GAGTTTCTGATTTTGTTTCCGAGGCAAGCAGATTTTGATAATATGTATCTGTTCGCCGAGCCTTGACACCAACAAATGCTTGCCAGAGCTACAGCCCAAAATCACATATTATTTGGACCTCGTACACCAGAAATACAAGTCAGTGAAAGGGAAATGTAATAAGCATCACATATACCTCCCCTCTAAGTGCCATTGGCACTCCTCCACGAACAAGGACCTCCAGCTCTTCTTTCCAAGAAGACAAATCGCCCTGGTGGGGTGCATCAGCAACAGTAGCACCTATTCCAGATGCCGCGACATTCTCGACTGGAGGAACGTCAGGAACTGGATCTGACCGCTCCACATCATAAAACTCATCCTCAGAATCTTCCTCTGTCGCTCCTTTTGATGATTTTACATCTTCAATAACAGAGACTGGCTTTTCATTCATGTCATCTTGCTGTTCCTTCACTTGGTCAGGCTTCTTCTTCACACGCACACACATCAGATCTTCAATGACTCGAAGGGACTGTCTCGTCTCTGTCCAAATTTGGATCCTGTGTATTCTTCTATTAGCTTTGGACTTTTTCTCCTCCTTTTCAGTAAGATCCTGACATGAAACGTCAGAGCTACGCTTCTCGTCACTCAGACTGTCTCCTTCAGTTTCTTTCACTAAATTATCATCAGCCTCCTCCTCTGTTGCTTCAGTGATCGTGGTCCCAGTAGCTTCTTCTGAAGGAGAACCATTTACAGGCAGTTGAGCAGGCTCGGCCAACCGATCCAAGAAACTTTTCCATCTGTCTGACCTTTCTTCCTCTTCCTCCTAAAATAGCAAATGTATGATGGTAAAGAACAACAACTTCCTTTCCTTAAGATACATTCATTTTGAAGCTCCAAGCTAGGTTTTTCTCTCCAAAGGTCATGTTGGAACCCATGTCTCAAACCCAAGGCACGTTAGACATTTGTAACCCACCATTACAACTAGGGAGTCCCCATGGAGTTAACATCAACAAGATAATAATAATAATAATAATAATAATAATAATAATAATAATGCTTCGGCTTAAAGCTCCGGACAGTGACGAAGATAAAGTAATGTTGACAAGGATTCCTTCTAAAAAGCAACAAAGAACATGAGAAAGTGGATCAACTAACATAATTCCACTATCAAGACCAAAAATTCAACCCCTTAGGCTAAGAGAAATGCAACCACTCCAGACCTTATTTCATATTTTTATGACAATTTCTGATGGATAGTCTACTGAAAATTACAAAATCCTTCCTATAAGAAATTACTAAATCTTGAGCTCAGAGATATCATTCCTTGGCTCTCCAATAACATCTGCAACCAAGACCAGGGACACTTCAAAGCACCCGCAGAAGAATAGGAAGATGGAAAAGAAGATAAAAACCTTATAGATGTTAGCATATTTTCTGTATCTCTGAATATGTTGGGGTCTGACTGCAAATCCATACGCATCCCTGATCACAAGACCAACATCTTATCATCAAAACAATAACTCAATATGCATACTCAACCACATTCATGAAACAAGAGTAAGCCATCAAGAAACAGAAACACGCAGTTCGTACCAAGTAGACATCACATTATGAGGTATATTCTCGAACTACAGTACCAATCAACACAGTAGACTTCTCTCGAATATACCCAGAAATCACCAGCCATAGATCGACGTAAGCAACCCAGAAAACGACGAACTATTGCCAGCAAAACCGCAATTTCATCGTCCCATTCTGTTCACAATGACTCAACCCAGATATAAAAACCGATTCAAATCCACATTCCACGCAACACCCAAAACCCCAAAATGCATAACACATTGGACTAACACCGATCACAATTAAAATCCACGCACAAATTCTGGAGAACAGAACTCTAATCAACTCAGAGAAGAACAAAGAACCCAGAACGTTAATAATGTCGCAAAATCAGCAACAATCGACGTAACCAAAGCACATCGACCTACTCTGTGGCTCAAATTACACTGCCACGCCTGGCACGCACCGGGAATTCGCCGGATCGAGTCCAAGACGCAGTAGCAGTGAAGCAGGTGAAACAATAGTCGTCTTGCTAACAGTACGTACCTCTTGAGGTCGAAGGTGACGAGAGGGTTTAACGGCTTGGCTTCCGCCTTCATTCTCGGCGGATCGGTTCAGTTCGTGTACCGGTCCGTCAGCTTCTTCCCCCTTGCCACGGCAGCAGAACCAGAAGACGGAGAAAGGGAGGGAGAGACAGAGAAAGAGAAAGGTACAGCGGGAGGGATGGAGAGGGTGAGAAAGAGAAAGAGAGAGATCTTCTCGTCTGGTAATCTTGTATTTGTCCTATCTTAGGCCCATTCCCTTGATTTTCTGGAAGCCAAATTAGGGGAGCCGACAGAGAGAAAACAGGGAGCGGTAGAAATGGCGGAGACAGAAACTGTGAGGAGAGTGAGTGAGAGTGTGGACTCTGCTGTACAGGAAGAGGATGGGGATGGAGATGGAGCGAGTTTTGGGTATGGGCCTGCTGTACAGAAAGGCAGGCCTTGTTGAAGAGATTAGTTTCTATTCAGAGAGATCACATGCAAATCGCGAGATTAGCGTCACGTTAGCTACATGTGGTGAATGAAGATGGAGAAGTGAAGGGACGAGAAGAGCAGTGAGTCGGTGACCTTCCTTCCATTTTTGCTTCAGGAAAACTTTTTGATGATTTCGTAGCACAGAGTTCCAAACATTTGCCAGCCGGGAAGGAGGGAAAAGGCGAAATTTCCATGAGGATGTTAGGCAAATACGTAACACAAGAGATTATGCTCGAATGATGGAATTGGAAGCAATCCAATCAATTCTCGTCTTGTGAAGGCTAGAGATTGCTTCTACTTTGTCGAGTAAATTAGTAGATCTGTGATTCGAGATTAGATGTAAAGTACGGTTGAGGATCTACATGTCTGGATGAGGGTCTAGAAGACAACATTTTGACCATCACATCCTAGTCGGAATGAACTACATATTAAGGATTAAACATTGCACTTTTTCGAAGAATGCTTTTGATTCACTTGAATCGGCAAAAAATAAAGTGTCGAGACAGCTCACCCATCACAAATTTGCATGTGTAGAAATGACGTCATATGAGAATAACATCATATGTCGCCTCATGGAATCATATAGAGGTGACTCGACAGAGTGAATCTCCAAGCATGGATTGTTTGACAACAGTAATGATAATTTGTACGATAACACGCTTGAGCCAGTGTATTCGGAGTGAGTATTACTTGTCTCATGGTATCGTGGGCATGGGTGACACTTCCTCTTGTCTTGTTCTCAATCCATTTTGTGTTGTCATAAGTTTGCATTGTTTTACCTCTGTCATTGTCCCCGTAGCATGATGTATGAGTCTCTGTCGATTGACTAAAATTGGTAACGTTGTCTCTTTATGTTACCGCGATGGTCGGTTGATGTTCCATAATTTTCATATATTCGATCTTCATCTAAGGTTGATTTGTATGTGCGGTCCGGGGGATATTGGTGGTGTTGTGGGCGATGCTCTTTTTTGTTTTGGTTATGTGTTTGGGTGAGTTTTTGTTTGTTGGTTTTTTAGTTTCTGCAAGTGGTTTTGGGTTGGTGTTTCTGATCTAAGTTTTTTTTTTTTTTTTTTGTGCGCTTCCAACCCTTAGAGGTGCTCTTCTCTGATTTGTCATGGGTAACTTTGCCTCCGTTTGCCTTAATCTTATTTCAACTATGAGCAGTCTGGCTATAGTCCTGTCGACCGATGGCCAATCTAAATTCAGTGATTTACCATGATGGGTCATCTTCAAACAATTCTCAGGAGGCAAAATATGTAGTTGATTTGTTCAGTTGTCATGGTCAAGTTTGTATTCGATGAGCTAAAACAATGCTTTGTGTCGCTTCGATAAATGAAGTTGCAAAGATTGTTTTTCTATGTTACGTGTTTCGCACAAGATAGAGAATCTCTTTTTTCTGGTTTGATCATACTTAGTTTTTTTTAGCTGACCACTTGGCCAAGGTGTGCTCTTTTGGACAATAGAGAATCCTCTTTTTTTTTTTCAAGATTTCATGATGTTATCCCTCTTTTTAACCGAGTTTATTGAACTGCAATATAAGTGATCACAATAAAAATAAAAAAGAGACTTGTACACTTGTCAAGGTTGCCAAACTGGTTGCTGGCAGCGCGACACACTGTTTAGCAAGTGGAATGACCCGATCGAGGTACACTAATTTATGCCGGTTAATATCCGTTTTAATAAAATAGATAGAGAAAGTGAAAAACTATTATAAGCACATGCATGTATATATATAACATATCTCAAGACAACCTCCCTACAACTGACACCATATATTTAAATAAAACACAACGCTATAAACAAAACGTCAAATTCTCATATTTAGATATAAAATTTAAAGCCAATATTTAGACGTTTATACTTAAACCCAACATATAATATCATCCATATTTAAATGGAACACATTACAAACATAATGATCAATCATCATATTTATATACAATTATTTTTTGTCGATTAAATTCACAAAAACGACGTCATTTTAGTAGAAGAAGAAAATTGAACATATCAATTGGACCATTGCTTTTGTGGTTTCGACCGTCGTTGACCGATATTGACTACCGCTTCATGCATTTGATATTTCAGTCGATTTTATGATCGATACCGGTTGAACCTAATTATATGGTGATGACAACATAAACTTGTTCCTAAAATAATCCATAAAAAATTTGGTCAAAGTAATCCGCCCCCAAATTAATAGCAGGTTAGCAACGCCAACATGGAATATATCTCAGGAGAGAAACAGAAAAAGCCATACACCAAAAAAAAAAAAAAAACCCTTCGCTTCCGTCCAGATCCCTTCTTTCAGACAAACATCGATCGATCTCTCACCAGCCAAAAATCTGTTCCTCTTCCTCCAAATTTTTTTTTGTGCGTACATGCTTTTCTCTGATTAACAGCGCATTCCTTCTTCCCCAAAATTGAAATCTAAATCCGGCCACCGCCATGCCAGCCCTCAAACTGAGCATGGCCGCTGCTTCCTTCTGCGCCAAACCCTACAAATGGCCTCGCTCCGCTTTCCCTCCTTCCCCTTCTCCCAATTCACCCACCACCACCTCCGCCGCCGGTCTCCTCCCTCTTCCGCCCCCTTCCTCCGCCGCCGCCGTGCTCTCGCTCTGTGCGGTCCCAATCAATTGCGGAAGAGCGTGGCGCAGGATACCACCCTGCGCACACCTCGCACCTTTTAATGATTGTTATCGGTACCAAATTTTTAGCTGTAGCAGTAATAATAAAAAAGATATTTTTTTTAATATAAGCGCCACCAGCGGCAGTTTGTTATTAGGGCTTCCTTCTCATTTCTCATCTTCCTCCCTCCGAAATTGTGGGTTGCCGCCGTTTGCTCGTAGGGCTGCCGGATTCTCCGCTGGATCCGATTCTTCCTCGTCGTCGCCTTCCGGGTCCGGTGGTGTGATCGCGGAAGATATGGGATCCGGTAACAAGGCGCCCGTGGACGGCGTCGAGTGGTACCCTGGTGGCGACGGCGTGAACGGATTAGATCGACCGTCTTCTTCGCCGTCGCCCGATCATCGGAAGCAGGAGGAATGCTCGTCGAAATTTCTCACGCTGCCTACCATTTTAACACTCGGCCGCGTTGCTTCCGTGCCGCTTCTCATCGGCAGTAAGTTCCCGTTTTCTTGGACTGGGTTGGTAATTGAGATTGCTGTTTCCGGTGGGTTTGAATTGATTTGCTTTTGGGTTTGTGATTGGAAATTGTTGTCTCAATGCGATGATCGGTGGGATTGGCGTCTTTCTTCCCGGGAGGATAATTTGTGAGATAGAAAATCAACAATGTTGATGGTTAAGAGCTGCGTCCGATGTGTTTCTGGTCATGTTTCTTGCGAATGTGCCTGCAATTGTATTAATGGCTGATTTTCCTCACCTTTGGGTGCATATGTTAAATTTAGTGTTGGAATGGGTTTGATATTTCTGTGAGAAGATGATCCTTGAAAGGAAAGCTTGTTACCTGTCCTAGATTTCTGGAAAATTTTGTTTTGACAATGTTTCACCGTTGCTGGCTTCCTGAAGCTTGAAGCTTCATTGAATGACATTTACAATTGAGGAAATAACTCTCAGTTTTTGTTCACCAGCCTTTTACATTGACACTTGGTTGGGAAGAACTGCTACAACTAGTATCTTTCTTGCTGCGGCAGTAACTGATTGGCTTGATGGGTACCTCGCGCGGAAGGTAACATATGGCTTGATGATGAAATGTTGGAGTCCTAATTAAAGTTTTCCAGAGGTTTTTTATATTGTAGGAAGTTAAATGTTCTTTTATTTTTCAGATGAGGTTAGGGTCTGCCTTCGGTGCATTTTTGGATCCTGTAGCTGATAAGGTTGGCAGTTTTTCCTAATAACCTATGGATATATTCCGACTTAGCTGAATAGGGTGATCTGCCTTGCTAAGAGGTTTCTTATTTGAATTTGTATGCTCATTACCACAGCTTATGGTTGCTGCTACCTTGGTTCTCTTGTGTACTCAACCTTTGGAAGTTCCTATGCTCGGGCCAGTGCCATGGCTACTCACTGTGCCTGCGATTGCTATTATTGGTCGGGAGGTAAATAAGATTTGGCTCTTTGTTTTGGCAATTACTTCTCTTTGGTTGATGCTTGATACATATTGTTTGCTTTCCCCCTGATTTTCAACCCATCTAGCTTCTGTAATTTCTCAAGGGATTTGTACTTGTTAATGATCTTGCCTGTTTGTTTACCACTATATATGTAGATAACAATGTCAGCAGTCAGGGAATGGGCTGCTTCGCAAAATACGAAGCTTCTAGAGGTTTGTTTGTCTCTTCTGTTGTTTTCTGGTTGTTGTACCCTGTACCATATATATGCTGCTGACTCTCACTTGTTAAACCTTGAAAATGTGTTTCAGGCTGTTGCAGTAAATAACTTGGGGAAATGGAAAACTGCTACACAGATGATCGCGTTAACCATACTTCTTGCGACCCGAGATGGAGGGTTGGTCATTCTGTGCTTGTGCCCCATAAAAGTTTCTTCAATTCATAGCCATTCTTAGTACATTTGATAATAGTTCCTCTTTTATGAGAGTTGTAAAGAGCTTTTTGGTTTCGTTTTTTGCAGGGTTGGAGGCCATGGGGCATTTGTAGCCTCTGGTGTTGGTTTGCTTTATATTTCAGCAGGTCTCTCGGTATATTCTTTAGCCGTGTACATGAGTAAGATTTGGAAAGTACTGCTCAAGTAGCTAGCTTGACTTCGCCGCAACCTGCATGGCTTGGGCCATCACTTCTTGCTAGTGACGGTGGATTGAGAGGAAAGCTGCTGTACAGGAGAAGTCTCAGCTCATCTCCTTACCTTTTAAAGGTGAAGCTGTCTCTCTCTGGACATGGTTGCCGAGCTTTTGCTGGTGTTTGGGAAGCAACAGTTCTTAACATTCTGAGATTCCGTGTATATGTATATATATTTGGACAGAAAGCCCTTCTCTGCTTAAAATATTAGCCGGATTTTGGTTGGCAGTGGATTAAGGTTGAAGCTTCCACAGTGCTGGTCTACGAGCTTGGACCTCGGCTGGAAACTATGTGCATTGATAAGATGAGCTGTGATGCAAACGCCAATCTTCTGTATTTCTTACTTAGGCAATAAAACACGGCGACTTGTTTGGATGAAACTTTTGAGTTATACAGCATTAATGCAAGAGCAGTGGCATCACATTTCATTTGCACCTGTTGCATCTTGTGACACACGGCATGGAAACTTAAGAGTAGATATTTGTTTATTTGTGACATCTGCGAATGTCGATGCCTGCTGGTAGCATTGCCATTGCCAACTGAAATCAAAAGTGTAATTAAGATTGTCATCTGCAATTATTGAGACCCCTCTCTCACAGATTCGACACTGGCATTGTGTTCGAAAGAAAACTGATTTGTTTTAACTTCTTCCTGCTGCTTCATAGTCTTTTCAAGCCTTCCTAATACCGTTCGAGAATCACCAGCGTTGGCAATGTATAGGTGGCAAATGAGGTGAGTTGATGTGTCGTGGGTTGAATTTAAATGGATTCATATACAGTATTAGTGAATTCCGTCAAACATATAAGAGAATTATAATTGAACCAATCGCCTCAAATATATTCGTACAATATATGTTCACCACATCAACAACGTTGATAATATTCTGTGCATAGAATCACTGAATACGCCATACTATTGAAATGTTTCTCCAGGCAGGCTATGACTTTCACCAAGAGAAACTGTTTTTGTACCAAAGGTCTAGAGAAATAGGTTAGGTTGCTAAACCAAGTGGATAGTGCCCATTAATGCAATAATTTCAAATGAAGTGCCGAATGTTGGAAGGGTACAAAGTTGAGTGTCCAAAAGTGAATTTAACCAACCAGCAGCTCACAAAACGGCGGCCGGTTGATTCAGGCGCTCAGCCTAAACACTAAACAGCAAAGCCCTACCGGGAAAATTCTCTAATAGGCATTCTCAAATCGCGACGATGTCCTCGTCGGTCTCGTCTTCGTTCCGCCTTCTCACCACCAGAATCCCAGTCCCCCTCTCATCAACCAAGTCACTCTTCTCCTCCTCCTCATTCAAACCCACCCTTTCATCTCCCTTCCTTATCTCCAAATCCATTTCATTCCAGCGAATCGAGACGAGGAACCAATCGCGATCACCAACATCAATCTCAGCATCGAGCTCCACATCTCTGCAACCCGTCGAAGAGCTCCCTCCCAAGCTCCAAGAAATCGTGAAGCTTTTCCAGTCCGTGCAGGAACCCAAAGCCAAATACGAGCAGCTGCTTTTCTACGGCAAGAACTTGAAGCCGCTGGATGCCCAGTTCAAGACAAAACTGAACAAAGTGGAAGGATGCGTTTCTCAAGTCTGGGTCAGGGCTTACTTGGACAACGATCGGAATGTCTCGTTCGAGGCGGATTCCGATTCTGTTCTCACCAAGGGCCTCGCTGCTTTGCTCGTTCTAGGTCTCTCAGGGCGGCCAGTCGAAGAGGTTTTGAGGGTCTCTCCTGATTTCGCCGTGCTTCTTGGTCTTCAACAGAGTTTGACCCCTTCCAGGAATAATGGGTTCTTGAATATGCTCAAGTTGATGCAGAAGAAAGCTCTTGAGCTGTATGTTGAAGCAGAAAAGGGTGTGCTAGAGTCTGCCCAAAGTTCAGAGGGGGGTAGCGTTCATAATGAATTACAAAGCTCGAAGTTGGAGTCAAATGGCGATGCTAGTTCCAGTAATTCAACTGTGGTTGGCAGCAGCAGCGTGGGTGAGGGTTTGGTATCAAAGAAAGACGTGAAAGCCTCCGAATTTCCTGGTCTAGGGAGTAGAGGGACTAGAATTAAGGAAAAATTGGAGAAGGAGTTAGACCCGGTTGAACTGGATGTTGAAGATGTTTCTTATCAGCATGCGGGGCATGCTGGTGTTAGGGGGAGTGATGGGGAGACGCATTTCAACTTGAAAGTTGTTTCAAAGGAGTTTGAAGGGAAAAGCTTGGTGAAGAGGCATAGGTTGATCTATGGTTTGCTGCAAGAGGAGCTGCAGAGTGGATTGCACGCATTATCTATTGTTGCCAAAACCCCGGCTGAAGTTGGAGCAACATGAGGGTGATTACCAGATGGACAATAGGTCCACACATTTCATACCCCTTGTTCCAGTCAAGTTTTTTGAGTTGATAAAGTTATAATGCTGATTGTATTTTTGAATCCTTATATTGCAGAACGAGTTACTTGTGATCCTACCTGTATAGTACGATGTACTCTGCTTTTACTCCTTAAGTGAACTGCTCTTACTTGTGATTTTGGGGTGAAGAAAGTCCGTAAGGCAAACCGTGTCAATTCGGATACATGTTCTGCATATATAAAAAATACTTGCAATGCCTTGAAGTGACCTGTTTTGTAGGGACGATTGTTGAAAGTGAGGGCAAATTTATGTGATTTTTTCTTCTGTCTCTCTCCCCCATCTCATTTGAGCTATGTATGTATACAGAATTAGAACTTGGGTACAGGACTACAGGGTATTAATCATTCTGGATTAGTTATCCGTTTATGATGAGTAATAATGAAAAGGACTAGTGTTTGGTTTCGTGAATGATACCGAATCGGTCGGTTCCAGTTCAACCTGATTAGTTCACTGGCCAGTTTAGGGTTTTATGTTTCAAGTTTTCAGGCAGCTTGTATCCTACAAGCAAAGAGTATTCAGTATTGTTAGTTAGTCCCTACAGTGGGTAGGAAGTAGGAATTGCATCTAATCTAATGTAGCTAGATTCAGTTATTGAAAAGACGACATTAATTGTTCTGCTCTGAATCTGATTATGGTCACTTGATTGAGGAGTACAGTACATGTACATTAAGCGGTACACAGAAAACCAAGGTGGGCAATGAAGAGGTAAGGGACTGAGGAGAGTATGTATAAGTAGGAATACTATAATGGAGTTTTTTTGTGATTAAAGGAGGATGACATTGAGATGTGGGCTATTGCTGATAAGTTTTCCAGAGGTTTTATATTGTAGGAAGTTAAAATGCATTTTTCTCTTTCAGATGAGGTCAGTGTCCACCTTCGGTGCATTTTTGGATCCTGTAGCTGATAAGGTGGGCAGTTTTTCCTTGTAACCTATGGATATGTTCTGACTTGGCTGAATAGGGTGATTTGCCTTGCTAAGAGGTGTTCTTATTGTGTGCTCATTACCATTTTATATAGAGACATGGATCTGCAACCTTTCTTTCTCTTCCCTCGATATGGTCCTTTGTTTTGGCAATTAAGGATAGATGCAGAGGAACCATTCAGGGTAAATGTAGCCATTTTCTGAGCTGCTTCGTTAATGCTTTCCTCGTTTCAGAACAACAGACGTAGAAATATCAAGATTCACCTAAAACATGCAGTTGTTTAGTATTCAGCGCTTCTGTGTAAAAGTTTGCACCCTTCCTTTTGTTTTTAGTGAAAATATGCTCCCTTCAACTCTTGCTATGAAACTGTAACACAAATTGCCAAATTGGATAAGACAAATTAACGAAATGATATTTTATGGTGCTAACTATGATTTGAAATTTGCATAACGAATAGAGCTACTTATACAACATAATATTCATATGTGCTAGCCCACTGATGAACTGAACAGAACTGAACTTATTCCCCCTCCTATTTTCCCTGAATTTTCTTTGTCCTTTAAGTAGGTTTGGCTATAGAATGGGAGGGAAACTAAGAAAGAAACAATAATGAATCTTTCTTTGCAACTCCCTCATCTCCTGGTAAAAAAAAGGGGAGGAAAATTGCACAAAATGGGTTCTCTTTTTTATACTCCAAATGCCATATTGCTCAATAATACCCCTCTTGGTTCTTCCCATCTCCCCATCTCAACCCCTAGCCTTAGACGGATATTCAATCTGGCTAGCCAGCTTACAATCCCCGGTATAAGCATGTGTTTAGACCGTACAATTCACGAATATCGGATGTTAGTGATGATAATTTTATACATAATTGTCATGGCATGCATCCACCGATGTGAATTGGTGACGTGATCATATGCTTACATCAAGGGACATTGAACATGGTAGTTGAATTCCGAGAAACTAAACGTTGGTGGAGCTATGTCCAAGTTGGCACACCTCCTCCTCCTCTTACTGAAACACTTGGACTTCCGGACATGCTGCGACTTATGGTATCGGAATCCAAAAACAAAACTACAATTGTAATGTCATCGTGAAAATGTCTCCTCACGCCACGGTCGATTTTTTTCAAGTCCGAGTATCTCATCTCCCTCTTTTTTGCTGCTTCTTGGAGTGCAGCCTTTAAGAGCTTCCTCGCTACACCCTGCAATCAAAAAGACTATTTTTTAAGGATACCTTCTTATTCTTGAAAAAAAATAAAAAAAATTTGGAGCACAGGGAATTATTTGTTTCTTTAACGCTATGGTCTTATATGCTAAAAGTTTATAAAGGTTGACCACTAGTAAATGATTTCCAGAATGAAGAAGTTTGCTTGTCTTCACTAGATTTTGAATATGCTATTTTTGTCAGGAAGAGAAAATCACACATGATGTTTAGTTAGAGATCCTACATTACGAGGACAAGTATGAACAATGTCAACTGCCTCTTGATTGGTCAGGTGCTCCCACAAGCCATCTGATGCAAATATCAGAAACTGATCCTCAGGAGTTAGTTTCTGCACTTTGATTGTTGGCTCTGCTAGCAAGATTGGGTTTTCAAATGGTCGAGGCAATCTAAACTTCGCTAATAGAGGTTCACGGTTGAACTCTGATCTTTTTAGGTAGGCGTCTCCTAGCGATCTTGATACCTGAAAAGAGGGAAAACTTAACTTAATGGAACCTCTTTGATTCGATTATATATGCTATTACAAAGTAAGAAAGATCCAAATGCATGTGCACACATCGCAAAAGTTTCCCCTGCTACATACACCTAGTTCTAGACATGAACTCACCTGGATTAGCCCCTTGACGCGCCAAACTTTGTGTTTCAGTACCACAATCTGAGGATCATCGGGGTGCAATTGTTGCAACTCCTCTCTCACAGATTCGACGCTGGCATTGTGTTCATACGATAACTGAATCGCCTTAACTTCTTCCTGTTGCTTCATGGTCTTTTCAAGCCTTCCTAATACCACCCGAGAATCTCCTGCATTGGCAATGTATAGCAGTCCACTACATACTACCCCTACTAAACAACATGCTCCCACAGAAGCAATTTGTGGCTTGTCTAGCCATTGGTTCTTCACTAGGCCAAGGAACTCCTCGTCTGTGGCCAAGAATGCTCTGGTGATCACATCACTAGACATTTCATAACTCTCCGATGTAAATTCTGCAACATGGTTGACCGTCGATCAGTAAAAATATGAGCAAAGCATTAGCTGTAAAAAAAGACATGTGGCAAATGAAACGAGTTGAGTTTGTGTTGAGTTCAAATGGCTTCATATGCCCGCGTTAGTGAATTCTTAGGTTGGTTTACATGGGTTTGTGGGTAGAGTTACTTGGTTCTACGAGTTGTTGGGTAAACTTATAGAGGCTATGATATTATTAGCTAAAATAACCGTAACACGATGTAATATTTTGTTATATGGAATAAATTGACAAAAGCTTAAAGTCGCATTGTTAATTTTGGAACACTGTTAAAATTTAGATACTTAATTGTAGAAAAAAAATATTTTTTGCAATAAGATGTAATTTTCGACTCAAAATAAATTTATATAATAAAATAAAAACGGTAAACATACTATATCGTAAATCTATCACTCAACCCAACCCTATTTTCAACCTGATTTTTTTTATCAATCCAATAGATATTAGTCAAATGGGTTTGGGTGAAATTGATTTGAAGTGGGTGGATTTGATTGATATTTATAGCTTGTGGTAACAAAAATAAGCATTACTCTAACTTCATCACGAGAGACAAAAATTGCATAGAGGAACACAAGAAGCATACTCTTGATATTCTCAAAGAGGCGCTCATTGACAAATCGGGCAGCTTCTGGACCTCCATGGCCATCATAAACTCCCACAAAGGTACCCTGAGGCCCCGATTCAAGTGAACTCAAGGGCCCAGATTCAAGCTGGCTCTGGTCTTCGAGTAGATTGTTAGCTTGAATCACAGCCATGGAGAATTCACCATTCACATGTCGTCCAACATCTTTGTACCACAACAATCCATCAGCACGTCCAGTGGCCGGGTCTCCAGCTCTGCAATTAACAGATTCTCCGTCCACCGCAGGCTTCCAGCAGCTTGAAACAATTCTCTTTAGCCCAGTTGAAACCATAACTTACATAATTCTCCTCCAACAAACCCACCAGAAAGAACGATTCCTTTTCGGATCAGAATCCAAAGATGGTAGCAAACTGCAGATGCAGGCAATTCGCGAAGGAGGATGCAGACACCGTTGATCAATTCCACTACAGAGAAAGCAACAAATCAACGTTTTTTTATAAAGTCACATCAATTCTTCATACATAGAAACACTTTATGTTCATAAAAATAAAAAAACTAAACTTTATGTAAAGGAAAACAAATTAGACCTTGAAATTGAAAGCTCCGTTCATAATCACAACAAAATCTATCACGTGCACAAATCAATGGCACTTACTTTTTTTCTTAAGAAAAAGTCAATGTATTGATTAATTTGCAGAGAAAAAGATACACAATATCAAATCCAGTGGCATTATTATATACGCAATCAAAAGATTCCAACGCAACATCACAAAATTCCAACCCCCACACTTCATGAAACTTGCCGAATTCAAAGAGCACATAATGAAAATGGAGGAACCCCTGAATCTGAAAGTCCGAAAAACAGAGCATCCATTTTTACCTTTCAGAGGCGACCTAAAACACCCTTGACGGCTAGCTCTGTGATTCCAAGGTCGTTACACCCACCATTCAAAGGCGAGAAATTCCCCAAGGAGAAGGGAGAAGCGAGGGGCGAGTATCTCAGAATTTCCTTCCTTCCCTTACAACAGAGGACTAGGGGAAGGGAAGGGGAAGAACAACCGGGCCATACAACAAAAGAAGAAGAAAAAAGTTCGAGTTTTTAACAATTAATAGTAAAGGGCAGAATAGATTCACGGTAACAGAGACAGAGACCAGAGGCAGAGACGACGACGACGAAGAAGAAGAAATGAAGGGTGAGATTTGAGAGTCGAGAGAAACCAACCAGAGAGAAAGAGAAAGAGATTTGAATGATCAGTTGGGTGGGTGGGTGCTGTTAATTAGAGAGAGAGAGAGAGAGAGAGAGAGAGAGAGAGAGAGATATAAACAGAAGAGCGTATCATCAAATCGCAATGGTGAGCTGGCCGTGATTAATGATATGATAAGCGCTCTCTCTTCTCTCTTCCTAGTTTTCTGATTTCTCCCCTTTTGCCGTACGGCCACCGTTGGACTTTTTTTTTCTTAATAAGTTATTTAAAGCGGTTCTTTGTTTTTATTCCTTTTGTCTCTTAGTCGTATTGACATCTTCTCTTCTATTGGTTGGTGGTGTTTTTTTCCCAGTTTTCTTTTTTGTTTCAAAAATTTAGGAAGGTTTGACTTTTTTGGTTTTTAGCCAATTGGATTTCCCGTTTCACCTCACAACAACCCTCTACCTTATTTTAGCCAATCTTTGTTCATCTACCCTGCTTTCTTCTCTTTATATAGTAAAAAAAAAAGAGGTTAATTAGTTGGAATCAAAACAATTTTGCTACTTATTTTATTTTCCATTTGCTTTGTCCGAAAGTTAATTGCTTTAGTGGTAGAACGATCACAAATTCCGATAACAGCAATCGATGTGTATGTGTCACATTTCGAACAGTTTTTTCATCATGTTAATTTGTCCTTTATAATATGCTTCTAAGTTTCTTCATTTACTATGAATTTTTTGTGTGTGCTTATTTTTACCAAAAATAAGCTCTGCTTATACTTGTGATATTTTACTTAGAAATTATACATCTATGTCCTACTTTAAATTACATATCGTCGATATCCCGCATACATAACAATTCAACTAGTTTAAATACTTGTGTCTTCTAAAGATTGGTTCTCCTTTTCTCAACTCAAAAGGCAAAGATGGATTGCAGTTGGAGACCCCCATAGTTTTGACTCTACAGGGATAATAAGCTCATTATTCCTGTTGTCAAACATTCAATTTACCACTTGCTAAGCAGTAAAACCTAGAATGGACTGGAACAAGAAAATCAGGAGCCGGGACCGGACCGGACCGAATATAATGCTGTCCGGTCTTTGGTCAACATGAATTTTACAATTACTGAAAAAATGATGGACCGAATTGATTTTCGAACCAAATGGATCGAACTCAATGACGATTCGGTCCTTGATCCTAAGATGTCTTTACTAATGGACCGCGGTTCTCGTAAGTTGGTCCGGTCCGGACCGAACCGTTGCTCACCCCTAAGGAATAGTAACATATTGGTTTGTTTGTGAACTGTCAGGAAATGGGTGATTTCCGATGGAAACGATGCCACTCTTTTCCACGTCACTCTCCCAAGCTTATAAGAGGTTAAAAGGCTTAACTATCCCTTTCCCAACAACTCGAGTTATTGGGACCAAGTGGTTAGTTCGCTAACATGGTATCAGAGCCTAGAACCGAAAGGTCATGGTTTCGAATCCTCATAACGACCCCCATTTCATGCCAATTCGTTTAGCACAAGGAATGGTATGTCCAACCTGTGCAAACTAAAGCCTCGTGGTTTGGCAGCACAAGGGTTCAACCTGTGCAAACCGTAAAAATCCACAATTTGGCATCGGCTTTCGTTTGAGGGGGCGTATAAGAGGTTAAAAGGCTTAACTATCCCTTTCCCAACAACTCGAGTTATTGGGACCAAGTGGTTAGTTCGCTAACAAAGCTTCCCGTGAAAACTTCCGTTTACTCCTCCGATCCCCGACCACGTGCCTCCCTGATCGCTGACCGTTAGCTCACGTGCTTTTGCCTGCTCCGGCGAGCCAGCAACTATGGCGTCGAACTCAGTCCGACTAGCCGCCGCTCAGAAAGATAGACACCAGAAATGAAGTTTCAGCTGTGGCTGATATTTGATTTCTCATTCATCGATTCAGTGAGAACAAAGTTGCCAATTGCTAAGGTAATTCATTAGAAGCAATAGTTCTAAAAGCATGATGCCCTGTTCTCAAGTTCCTTTAATAACAAATTGCTTCTGCCACAAGTAACATGATCGTATATTTCCTTGTACAGCAACGCCAGCCCATTGGCTTCTGGAAACCTTCACCTCTGTGATCTGTTGAGACATTTGGGTTATTCTGGACAAGGAGAAGACGACGTAGGAATTTGGTTGCTTCGATGTTGTGGAAAAATAAGATCATCTCAATCATTATCGCAGTTTTCTTCTGTACTCTTCAGTTTAGAAGCAATCTTTTTTTTTTATAATGGTGATTGATGCATTAAAAAAAAAAACCACAAACAAGAAAGTTTACAACCGACGGATCAAGAGAAAAGATCCGCCAAGGAACAAGAAAAGAAAATCTGCGAAGGGGCCAGGCCGCCCCAACCGTAGTAAGCAGAGGGAAACAAAAAAGCAAAGGAAACAAATAAACAAAGGAACCAACTATAGATCGGGAGGAGAAGAAGAGGTCGCGCCCATACGAGAGTCACTTCGGATCTGCAGAGGGCACAAAATATGCCCCAGAGACAACCACTCAGCGCTCTGCGAGTCACTTAGAGTGCCCGTCACCCTCACCCAGCTTAGTAAAGTCCTGCAAGTCTTATGAAAAACCACCTGCCACCCACACCTTTTATCATGGAAGCTTCTATTGTTCCTTTCCTTCCAAAGCTCCCAGGCAAATGCGTGCAGGATACACGCCGCCAAGGAACTCATCCAGGGGAGCTGACTGCGAGGAGACCAGCAGTGTATAATAGAAGCAAAGCAGTCGGGGAAAGGCCCCAAGAACCCAAACAACTGCTGGAGGAGGCACCAAATACTGCTGCTGTACCGGCATTGACAGAGGAGATGGTTGGTGCTTTCTTCAGCCTCTTCGCAAAGGACACATCTGCTTGCAAGGGACCAGCCCCTTCTCTTCAAATTTTCATGAGTTAGAATGCGTCTGTGCATGATCAACCAAAGAAACGCATTCACCTTAGACGGAACGTGCGGTTGCCACACCACCTTGAATGGAAAATTGTCGAGGCCCACCATTCTATCATGAATCAGGGCACGATACATGGAGTTCACCGAAAAACCATCCTTTGGACTGGGGTTCCAAATCAGCTTGGCCGGACCTGCATTAATCAAATCATGGGGTAAAAGAGATAACAAATTCAAGAGATCATTCCTCTCACGATCAGCCCCACCCCTTAGAGAGTACATTAAAGGAAAATCCCACACCACACGCTCATTATCAAAGGATATGAGATCAGACACCCAAGCATCCCGGTTTGAGGATGCAGCCGCAACCCTAGGATAGGAATCTTTCAGCATCTTCCCCGGGATCCAGCAGTCATTCCAAAAAGACACCCAAGCCCCGCCACCCGGGCTAACAGAAGCAAACTTCCAAAACATATTTTCTTCCTTCATAATGCATCTCCAAATTGAGCAACCAATCGGACCTACGCCATTCCCAGCCCTCCACTCGGAAGAAGTTCGAAGATACTTGACATCGATAAGATTACGCCACCAAGAAGATGGTTCCAAGGCATATTTCCAAAACCATTTACACAGCAAGGCAGAGTTCATACAGCCGAGATCAAGGATACCCAAACCGCCTCTTTCCTTGGTCGATTTGCACACATCCCATCGAACAAGATGATATGTGCTTTTATCTTGGACACCTGCCCAAATGAACCTGCATTCCAATCTCTCCATCTTCTGAATCGTGGTTTTCGGGGCTTTTAACAAGGAGAATAAGTATAAAGGCTGACTTGTAAGGCTGCTTTTACAAAGGACAATCCGGCCACCTAGCGACAGAAATTTTCCCCTCCAACCTTCAAGTCTCGACTGTAATCTGGACAGCACCTTGTTCCAAATCGCTGAGGAATTTGGGCTAGCTCCGAGGGGGGCACCAAGGTAAATAGTAGGCAGAAAATTCCAACCGCACCCAAAAATTCTAGCAAAAACATCCGGATTACCAACATTGCCAACAGGGAACATCACACTCTTCTCCACGTTAATTCGTAATCCGGTCACAGATTGAAAGCCTCTTCTCCACGTTAATTCGTAATCTTGGTAATCCGGATTACCAAGATTAGAAGCAATCTTGCACCACAATGCTTCAGCGTCACCAGAATACCAGGACAAGTGCCTTCATCTTACACTTGAACTGTTCATTCAGCCCTGTAGGATAATGTATTCTTGGTAGAAACGGTAAATTCTTTTATCAGATGGAAAAGAGATTTACTGAAACAAGATGGTAATTTTCGAGAGACATGAAAAATCCTGTATACGACTATGTAATAGAGAAGACAAAACCAAACCACTACATACTATTCTTGGTAAAAGAAGATAAAGCAAACAAACCCTGTACTGGAAGAAATTATCAACAAGAAGCTCTTTTTTCCCAGGGCAAATGAGGCATACTGACCCCAAAAAAACCAACCCCAAAATATTCACTAACGTGACCCCAAGTATACCGTAAGTATACCACAGTTCCCCCCTGTACAACATCCTAACAATGAAAGCGCAAACGACTATTCTAACAAGAATTCTGCAGTGGAATCAGGCCCTGCGAGAAGGTCAAAGGTTCTCTTCCTCAAGCTGTCTTTCAGTATAGTGATTTGACCTTCCTTCACAAGTACGTCTTCATCGAGAGCCTCTAGCTTCTTCTTCAACAAACCGACCTCCGAGTTCAATAGCATGTTCTTCTCGTTGTACTGCTTCACTTCTTCCCACATTATATCTCTCTCCTGCGTTACTTGTGGCAGTATCCCCTTTGTTAGTGATAGCTCCTTCATCGATTCTTGGAGATCATGTTGAAGCTGACTTAAGTTTTCATCCTTCTTTGACATCTGAAGAAGAAAGAAAACCCAGAATCAAGGGAATGTTAAACAGTTTGGAGGTGTTGGGAATCAAGCCACGTATATGGGTTCTTAAGCAAGATCTCCAAGCGGCAGTTTATTTGTATTCACCTGAAGCTCGAAGTCTTTCAGCTGGTGGCTGACGCATGAAAGGTTATCCATAGCATTTTGGACTTCATATCGGAGGATGTCATTGCCTCTCACAGCCGCTGCTATCTCAGCTTGCAATTGCTCAACTTCCAGCTCTTTAGCATAAAGCTTCTCCCTTAGCAGGCTTGTAAGCAAAGCCTCCGTCTTTAGTTCAAACTTCAATGTCTCCTACAGGGACAGAGAAAAAAGCTTCAACTTGTTTGCTTGCAACTTCTACTTAATGAAAGACATTGATTACCTACAATTCCATCGCACATTTAAGATAAGCTTACCTCTGATGTTGGATGATTTGGCTGCTGACACGATGGAGTAACAGAATTCGACTTTTCCTGCAATAAATATGAAACAGACTGCAAACATCTTGTTAGGCTCTCGATCCCACGTCTAAAGCCCTGAACTTTGACATCCGATTCGACAAGGAAATGCCCGTCTAAACCGTTTCTGATGAACTCCATCCGATGTGCTGTTTCTAGACATTCCCCTGCATTCCCTTTAATTTGCTCCAACAACTTGGAACACAATTCAGTGCTCTCATTCAGCAGAGACAATCCCTGATTTTGCAGACAACATACACGGGTCCACATCTCTTGATCAAGTTTGAGAGTCGCTGCATAAATCTCATTCCCACTGCCCTTCAATCTATTCAGTAGATTCATATTCTCATGTCGAAGAGAGTCTACCTCATTTCTGTGAGATTCCACTTCCCTTCTAAGTGACAGTTCTACTCCTGCCAACCTCATTTGTTCCATTCGCATCTTCGTGAGGTGTTTATCAAATTTGTCCACTGATTGCTGCCTCTCCATTTCAGCACCAAATTCATCCCTCAATCCAATGATTGTCTTCTCCTGTTCACTGCAAGTTCTCAACAACCTTGTCGTTGACTTTTGTAGCTCCTTGCACTCCTTATCCCTAGCTTCAAAATTTCTCCTGATACAACTTAAGTCATGTCTAGATGCTGTGTATTTCTCCTGCAATTCAGATAAGGTTTGCTGTAAGTGCTCATTTTCCTGGGTCAACTCTTGCACACTTGAAGTCAGCTGCCTAAGTTGTTGCTCTGAATAAGTCAACGCATTTTTGGTATCGGACTCCCTTTGACTAAAAGCAGAGACTTCCCTCTGGAGAGACACATTCTGCTCCGCAAGCTCTCTGACCCTCTCACGCAGTCTCTGCTCCTCTAACTGGCACTTCTCAAGTTTCGATGACCAGTCATTTGACCTCCTGTCTAACTCTTTCTCCAATGCTGACTGCAGTTCATTCTTTTCCTTCTCAAGTCTTAGACTCCGTGACTCCAGTTCTGCCTTCGCCAGCCTAAGTGCTTCCTTGCCAGAATCTCTCTCCACAATCCGAGACTTGAGAAGCCCTGAGATCTCAATTGCCATGCTTACCCTGTCCTCCATTAGGTTCCTAACAAAGTGGCCGAATGATGAACTATCAAACGCACGATCCTGGAGAAAGCCTTCCTGCTCAAGTTCTTCGGACAGAACAACAACCCTCTCCTCAGCTTCTTTTGATCTTCTTTCCAGCTCCAAATCAACTGGATCTGCATCACCTTTGACAGACTTTATATCCCTAAAATCATTTCCACCATAGACATCTTGCCGGTAGCCCAAGTAATCATCTTCATGATACCTGTTCACAGTATCATCACATGACCCCTCGAAAGAGCAACTTTTCGCAGCCTGAGCTTCTGGGTTCAATTCAAAGCGTTTGCTTAGTGATCCACCATAAATATCCTCAATTGTGATCGGAACACCACAATCAACCTCCTTGGGATTTGATTTAGGGAAACCGTGAGCTTGGGCGAGTCTCTCAATAACATTCTTTGCAAGTCTCCTCGGTGATCCATGCCCAAATTCATTCTCCATCCAGTCATCGTTGCAAGGGAAGTGGGGATGGGTTCGTTTAGACTCCCTAAAAGAGTGAGACTTTGGTTTATCTCTGACAGGATGTGTTGGTGAAGTAGGAGCTGTATATTGGACTCGAGGTGGAAGCCTCCCACCTGGATTCCCACTCCCAGTACCAAAGTATCTTTGAGAAGAAACTTTTTTTGGCTTGCTTCTTTCTATTTGTCCCTCTCCATCAATATAGCGATCCAAGACCTTTGTTGAAGCATTACTGCTACTGGTAGAACCAGAAGTAGGCATCTCCAGTCCATGAACTTCATGTTGCTCGGGTCTAACTTGCCTCACAGGAGTAAGCGCACGCCTACTGCTACTGGCAGAAAACAAGATATGTACCCATCAGATTCTCAAAGAAATGACCATCAAGTTTTATGCAAAAATCGCAAAGCAACAAAATGGTAAGCTGTTAAATATGAACTCAGACAGTTGCTCACCGAGAAGAATAACTGCTAGGAGATTTACTTCGATTGACTGGAACTGAGAAGTTTGACTGCCCATCATCATCAAGTAGAAATGCTCCAGATGTATAAGAGCGGCTCTTTCTAAGACCGGGATTGGAACTGGGACTTTGGTTATCATAAACTTGCTTCCTTGACTTGGAAAAAAAACTCTTCGGGCTCCTGAAATTGCTCTCAGACTTATCAGCAACGTGATCTACCAGCTCACTTCCAGGTCGATTCTCCTTCTTAGGTGATGGAGAAACAGTACTGCTGCTTCCATCATTAGGGGAAGACCGGAAAAAGAATAGTTTCTTCATCTATATATACCCAAAGATAAAACCAGTGCAGCTTCCACTCGAGCCTTTATAGCCGTTTCTGAAAATAGCCAAAAGTTAAGTTTTGAGATTTCTAACGAAAATCCATAACATGAACTGCTTCAAAGGTAAAGCATATCATGAAGGCTTCAACCGATATATTATACATGGCAGTAAACAATGAATAAAAGAAAATGGGAAACACATCAGTTGGCCATAAGGGAAATTGGATTAAAGAAGAAAAAACCATGTGCACGTCAGAGTTCAGCTGCTCGCTCAGTAGTTTAATAATCAGTTAATTACATGGTCATGTGCCATGGCTTCTGATTCATTCTCACTAAGCTCAATCTTTAAATAAAACTAACACCAACTCCACTAGCTAATACCGATCAAGAAAAACCCTAGAGCTAGCTTTAACCTTAGAAGCAGCATCAGAAAAAGTGGGGAAACTACCCCCGATTCACCAACTTCGTCATATTGCTGCTGCAATAATCTTTGAGAATCGAGAGCAACACATGAAAACCCAAATCGATTTTCCCGTACATGTAATCAGAATTCGGATAAAGGAAGAAGAAAGGATTCCAATTATGTCCAATGCATCAAGTAGATTTGAGCTGATAAACCCCAAATGAAACCTCGCCCGTTTGGTTGCAAAGGAAATCAAGGGAAAAGGATCACTCAGAGAGAATCAAACTGAAATCAGTTCAGACTTCAGAGAAAAGAAACGTTATCAATGATCATCCACCAAAAAGAAACAGAGAGAGAGAGCAAAAAGAAGATAACCAGAATCCTACTTTACCTTCAGAGAGCACTCGCCTTTGACTCCTCTCTCTCTCTCCTCCCTTGTCCTTCCAAACTTGGCCAATACACAAACCTCCTCTTCCTCTTGTTTTCTTCTTCCTACACCCAGAAGAAGCCAACAACCAAAGACGCCATTAAACAGCAAAGAAACAGCCACCCCCACCTTCCCCAGAATTCAAATTCCGGGGAACAAATCCAAATATCAGGGGAAACCGACCCGCACAAAAATCCATTTAAGCACGCGACATTAATCACGGGAGGGGGAGTTTTCAATTCCTCTCATTTACCGACTACCCTTTCGAATTAATTTGAAAATGGAAAGACGAAATCAATGACTTACCCCTTTTGCCGCCCACCAGACAGAAATCAAATCACTCCAACCAGAAACGGACCCAAAATTCACCGACCCCACTCCACAGCAGCGGAGGAACAGGTGGAGGCTGCAGCTGGCTGTTGGACTTGGATTTGGGTAGCCGTTTTCGAATAAGTATACTACTAGTAGTACAGAAGCCCTTGACCCTTCCTCTGCTATTGTCGTAGTTTGGATGGCAGTGTTGAAGGGGAGGGCGTCAACGGGAGAGGGACGTGGGCGGAAGGGAACGTTTGGGAGAATAGGAAATGATGGCGACAGTGAGAGCCACAGTCTTATTGTAATTGTACCCTACGGCGAGAGCCACAGCTTCTCTCAGTATAACGGGGAAAAGGACGACTAAAATACGTTATCTGCAGTTCTGCTTTAGCTTTTTGTTTTTAAGGATAAAAAAGGTTGATTGATCACGTTTTACTGAGCTCTTGTTATGCACCATGCTTTTCTTTCAATAGACAAGTCTCTCTATGACTCTATTATGCATAAAATGTTCCAAAAAAAAAAGTAGTATTACAAAGAAACATAGTAGTTTTTAAGTTTCTAGAGAAAGGAGCGAGCAGGAAATATATAACGAACGATAAATAAATTGGCATCATATAAGTATTTATTGCCCTTTTTATGAGTGAAAGGAACATAATCCCTAGTTTTTCTAATGAGAGCTCGAGTTTACGCCGTTAGGGACTATAACAGGATTTCAGCTAAAATCTATTGCTTGAAGTACCACTTTCACAAAGTGAATTGAAAAGGTATAGGAATTGCAATTTGGATCATCCACCATTACAATAAGAAGAGTGTGGTGTTACGTAGTTATACATTGGAAGAAACTTGAAATGTGAATTGCTCGTTATTTTACTTTATAGTTCAACTCATACTGATATCATGATAGTTAGACACCAATTTATTTATCCCAACCTATACAGAATACTAAAAACTCATTCGATTAACTAACTAAATTGTATATGTTTCTTGACATATTGAAATCTAATTTGAATGGCAAATGTTCTAAAAAGTACTTAATAATATCAAAATAGCGATGAAATATAAAATGAATCAATAATATCTTCGTTAGGGACTATAGCAGGATTTCAGCTAAACTCTATTGCTTGAAGTACCACTTTCACAAAATGAATTGAAAAGGTATAGGAATTGTAAATTGGATCATCCACCATTACAATAAGAAGAGTGTGGTGTTACGTAGTTATACATTGGAAGAAACTTGAAATGTGAATTGCTCGTTGTTTTACTTTATAGTTCAACTCAGACTGATTTTATGATAGAAAGACATCAATTCATTTATCCCAACCTATATAGCATACTAAAAACTCATATGATTAACTAATTAAACTGTGTCTATTTTCTTGGCATAATGAAATCGAATTTGAATGGCAGATGTTCTAAAATGTACTTAATAATATCAAAATAGCGATGACATATAAAATGACTCAATAATATCTTCATTCGAGAACTAAATAATATATTTGGACGTCATCACGTATAATTTAACAAAATTACAAATTAGCAATAAATAACAACACCACAAATCAGCTATTGAAAGGTACCAATACATATACAACCAGACACATAACATCCCTTCTGTTTGTTATTGTTGGAGAAAATAGGACACCCAATCTCTTATCACGTAGCAAGAAGAACTACTTGCCATTTGCCTACATGATAATGTATATTTAATTACATCGATGTAACCATTTTACTAGTAAACAAGCATGAAATGGTGATGATCGTTTCCGTTTCGATTTTTTTTTTTTTTTTTTTAGTATTTGGTAACCTCAAATCCTAGTCAGCCTGGCTGTGTGACTGTGTCATTTACTTTATTTGTTAAAAAAAAGTCATTTGCTTTATTTATGAATGCAATTAAGTCATTGTCATATAAAATGTAGAAATTAAAATATAGAACTACTAATGACTAATGAGCTTAGGCTACTGTATTGCTTGACCCCAGGGCAAATGAGGCATACTGACCCCATAATATACCGTAAGTATACCACAGTTCCCCCCTGTACAACATCCTAACAATGAAAGCGCAAACGACTATTCTAACAAGAATTCTGCAGTGGAATCAGGCCCTGCGAGAAGGTCAAAGGTTCTCTTCCTCAAGCTGTCTTTCAGTATAGTGATCTGACCTTCCTTCACAAGTACGTCTTCATCGAGAGCCTCTACCTTCTTCTTCAACAAACCGACCTCCGAGTTCAATAGCATGTTCTTCTCGTTGTACTGCTTCACTTCTTCCCACATTATATCTCTCTCCTGCGTTACTTGTGGCAGTATCCCCTTTGTCAGGGATAGCTCCTTCATCGATTCTTGGAGATCATGTTGAAGCTGACTTAAGTTTTCATCCTTCTTTGACATCTGAAGAAGAAAGAAAACCCAGAATCAAGGGAATGTTTAACAGTTTGGAGGTGTTGGGAATCAAGCCACGTATATGGGTTCTTAAACAAGATCTCCAAGCGGCAGTTTATTTGTATTCACCTGAAGCTCAAAGTCTTTCAACTGGTGGCTGACACATGAAAGGTTATCCATAGCATTTTGGACTTCATATCGGAGGATGTCATTGCCTCTCACAGCCGCTGCTATCTCAGCTTGCAATTGCTCAACTTCCAGCTCTTTAGCATAAAGCTTCTCCCTTAGCAGGCTTGTAACCAAAGCCTCGGTCTTTAGTTCAAACTTCAATGTCTCCTACAGGGACAGAAAAAAGCTTCAAATCTTGTTTGCTTGCAACTACAACTTAATGAAAGAAATAGATTACCTACAATTATGCACATTCAAGAAAAGTTTACCTCTGATGTTGGATGATTTGGCTGCTGACACGATGCAGCTACAGAATTAGACTTTTCCTGCAATAAAGATGAAACGGACTGCAAACCTCTTGCCAGGCTCTCAATCCCACGTCTAAAGCCCTGAACTTTGACATCCGATTCGACAAGGAAATGCCCGTCTAAACCGTTTCTGATGAACTCCATCCGATGTGCTGTTTCTAGACATTCGCTTGCATTCCCTTTGATTTGCTCCAACAACTTGGAACACAATTCAGTGCTCTCATTCAGCAGAGATAATCCTTGATTTTGCAGACAACATACACGGCCCCCCATCTCTTGATCTAGTTTGAGAGTCGCTGCATAAATCTCATTCCCACTGCCCTTCAATCTATTCAGTAGATTCATATTCTCATGTCGAAGAGAGTCTACTTCATTTCTGTGAGATTCCACTTCCCTTCTAAGTGACAGTTCTACTCCGGCCAACCTCATTTGTTCCATTCGCATCTTCGTGATGTGTTTATCGAATTTGTCCACTGATTACTGCCTCTCCATTTCAGCACCAAATTCATCCCTCAATCCAATGATTGTCTTCTCCTGTTCACTGCAAGTTCTCAAAAACCTTGTCGTTGACTTTTGTAGCTCCTTGCACTCCTTATCCCTAGCTTCAAAATTTCTCCTGATACAACTTAAGTCATGTCTAGCTGCTGTGTACTTGTCCTGCAACTCAGATAAGGTTTGCTGTAAGTGCTCATTTTCCTGGGTCAACTCTTGCACACTTGAATTCAGCTGCCTAACTTGTTGCTCTGAATAAGTCAGCACATTTTTCGTTTCAGACTCCCTTTGACTAAAAGCAGAGACTTCCCTCTGGAGAGACACATTCTGCTCCGCAAGCTCTCTGACCCTCTCACGCAGTCTCTGCTCTTCTAACTGGCACTTCTCAAGTTTCGATGACCAGTCACAGACCACGAGGGAAAGACTCCCATTGGTTGAAACTTGAAACCAACACAGACCACGAGGATCGCCATCTCAGGCCGTCCAATCATCTCCTCAATCAACGGCAAGGATTTAATTTCACTACTTCTGGCGGAACCAAACGAAAATTTTCAAAATTTCCCTCCTCCGTCTCCCCTGAAAACCGCCTCCCTATATATACACAAATCCTCCATTCACAAACCTCCATCTCAAACCAATTTGCTTCATCAAATCCCAGATCCCAAATCTTATCTCCGATTCCCACAAAAAAGGTAGCTCGCACGAATCAGACAGCTAAGAAATCCACCGGCGGGAAGGCGCCGAGGAAGCAGCTGGCGACCAAGGCGGCGCGCAAGTCGGCCCCGGCGACCGGAGGAGTGAAGAAGCCTCACCGATTCAGGCCGGGAACCGTTGCGCTGAGGGAGATCCGGAAGTACCAGAAGAGCACCGAGCTGCTGTTTCGGTAGTTTCCGTTCCAGAAGCTGGTGAGGGAAATCGCCCAGGATTTCAAGACGGATCTGAGGTTCCAGAGCAGCGCCGTGTCGGCCCTCCAGGAGGCTACCGAGGCGTACCTTGTCGGATTGTTCGAGGACACTAACCTCTGTGCGATTCACATCAGGAGGGTCACCATCATGCCCAAGGATATCCAGCTTGCCAGGAGGATCAGAGGCGAGAGGGCTTAAACAGAGTGTAGTTTGTTTTAATGGGCTGTTCTATGTTTTAATGTCTAGTTGTTTAGGGCTGATTCCTAAAGTATTTCTGCTTTTGATTTTGGATTGTAGAAGTCGCTGTGGAAGCTCTGGCTGAAGTTGCTGAGGTAGAAGTCGCTGAGGAAGCTCTGGCTGTTGAAGTCCCCGAAAAAGATAATGGAGTTTCATGAAAACGTAAGGCCGAAGATCTCGTCGATGAAGAAAATGGTGGAAAGCGAAGAGCGTTCGAGGAAGAGAATCGGAAGGACGTCAGCAATCTAAATCCAGAATTCGCTGAGTCTACTCCACCAAGAAAACGAAAAGCGCAGCATCTGGCTGAGCAAGAAAATGGTAGAAAACGTAGAGCTCAAGGAGTGGACGAGGAAGAGAAGGGAAAGGAGGCTGAAATTTCACTGGGTAAGTTTTCAAAAGACCTTCCCAAGCTTCTTCTTTCCCCTCTTCGTCGAATTGGTAAGCTAAAGTTTCTTTTTCCTCCCTTCTGGGCTCTTTCAACTTCAGCGGAATACCAGAAAAAGAGGCAGACGAGGGAGTTAACGGGACCTTTTGATCCTATGCGTAGAAATTCTCTGTATGCAAAAGTCATGAATTCTTATCGCTGCTGTGTAATTTTCCCCCATTCCATTGGAATTCCACGTTGTCGGACAGAGGTAAGGATTCTCTCTACCCACTCCTTTTCTTTTTCTCTTGTTAATTTGGTTCTGGGTTTGATGAAAAAGTGTTTGCTTACTTTTTAGATTGTCAATCAAAGCTACGCTTAATACCACAGGTTCCAATACCTTCGTTCTCGTGCTCTCGACCACCTGCCAATGATCAGAGCTTTCCTCGCACACAATTTCCTGTTTTTTTGCTTCTTTCTCTTCCAAGATAGATATTGAGTGACTGTTCATTTTTGCAGGCATGGCATTCGTGGAATCGACTTTGATCCCACGGTAAGTAAGCCTCTGATGTTATTAGGTTAATTAGGCTAGTTGGTTACTAGATGCGTCTGTAGAAAAAGAGAGGGTTGATAATTGATTTTCAGGGGGAGCGCTTAGTATCTGTGAATAGGATTGGCTGTTTCACCATTCACAGGTTCCAATACCTTCGTTCTCGTGCTCTCGACCACCTGCCAATGATCAGAGGTTTCAACTTTCCTCCAAGTTATAAATAGCCTTAGACAGCCTAGTAGATAGATTCTGAATTAATTGATTTTCAGCCTAGTAGATAGGTGCGCAAGCAACCTAAAGGAAAGCATGAACAAAATGTAACAACACAACACCAAGAAAAAAGAAAGCATGAACAAAATGTAAACTGACTAGCAATTAACCTGCTGGGACTTGGCTTTGTTCCAACGAACTGCCTCTAATGAGTATCTTGAATAGAAGTGAAACTCATCTCTAACTGTTACTTCACGTGATCCAAATTCTGAAAAATACGATGCATAATATAATTCAGAACCTATCTACTAGGCTGTCTAAGGCTATTCATAACTTGGAGGGAAGTTGAAACCTCTGATCATTGGCAGGTGGTCGAGAGCACGAGAACGAAGGTATTGGAACCTGTGAATGGTGAAGCAGCCAATCCTATTCACAGATACTAAGCGCGCTCCCCCTGAAAATCAATTATCAACCCTCTCTTTTTCTACAGACGCATCTAGTAACCAACTAGCCTAATTAACCTAATAACATCAGAGGCTTATTTACCGTGGGATCAAAGTCGATTCCACGAATGCCATGCCTGCAAAAATGAACAGTCACTCAATATCTATCTTGGAAGGGAAAGAAGCAAAAAAAACAGGAAATTGTGTGCGAGGAAAGCTCTGATCATTGGCAGGTGGTCGAGAGCACGAGAACGAAGGTATTGGAACCTGTGGTATTGAGCGTAGCGTTGATTGGCAATCTAAAAGGTAAGCAAACATTTTTTCATCAAACCCAGAACCAAATTAACAGAAGAAAATGAGTGGGTAGAGAGAATCCTTACCTCTGTCCGACAACGTGGAATTCCAATGGAATGGGGGAAAATTACACAGCAGCGATAAGAATTCATGATTTTTGCATACAGAGAATTTCTATGCATAGGATCAAAACGTCCCGTTAACTCCCTCGTCTGCCTCTTTTTCTGGTATTCCGCTGAAGTTGAAAGAGACCAGAAAGAAGGGAGGAAAAAGAAACCTTAGCTTACCAATTCGACGAAGAGGGGAAAGAAAAGCTTGGGAAGGTCTTTTGAAAACTTACCCAGTGAAATCTCAGCCTCCTTTCCCTTCTCTTCCTCGTCCACTCCTTGAGCTCTACGTTTTCTACCATTCTCTTGCTTAGCCAGATGCTGCGCTTTTCGTTTTCTTGGTGGAGTAGACTCAGCGAATTCTGGATTTAGATTGCTGCCGTCCTTCCGATTCTCTTCCTCGAACGCTCTTCGTTTTCCACCATTTTCTTCATCGACGATATCTTCGGCCTTACGTTTTCTTGAAACTCCATTATCTTCTTCGGCGACTTCAACAGCCAGAGCTTCCTCAGCAGTTAAGCGAGCCACGGCTTCAAATAGAATGTTAGGGTTTACCATTACTACAATTATTCCTAATTTCTGATAGGAAGAACAAAGAGGGAAACGGCGGCGGTATTATTTGTGGGTAAAGGGGGAGGTGGAATCGGAAGGGGAGAGGAAGGAAGAAGAGTCTTTTCGAAAACGCAGAAGAATTGAAGAAGTGTCAAAGAGGAACTTTATCCCGCCAAAACTAAAGGGTCTGGATCTGGAATTGTGATCCGTGTGGTAGGGTTAGTTAAACTCTATTTTTTTCTTCGGAGTTATAATCAAGCGGGTCCTTTTTTCCCGCGTTAGACGGTTAGGATGGTTAATTTTATTATTAAACAAATTATTATCTTCAAACAAAAAAACTACCAAAAATAAGACAAATCCGAAGGATATAAATTATATAAATCATTAAAATATAGGATAAGTAATACATTCATGATACCATAATTAAGGGCGGGTCCATCGTACACTTTTTTTAACCTTTTATGAACATTTTTTTTTTATAGAAATCTGCTCGGAGCTAATATTAATCAGATGAGACAGTTACATCATCGAGTTTCAACTGATCGAGCAGACACATTGGTGGTCTATCAAACCAGACCTCCGCTTCATTCCATCTCGTATTGACATGCGCCATTTTATGGGCTGCCTCATTTGCCATCCTGCTAACGTGTCTCCACTCGCCTCCCCCAATTTCCTCCATCAGCTTACATATACTTCGACATATAACTCCCACCTCAGTATGGACCTCTCTAGCTGTCGATAGCTTGCCCGCCAGCGTAAGGCAATCCGTTTCGAGTACTGGGGATCCCAAGTGATGCTGTCGCACCAAAAGGAGACCAAACTCCCCTGCTAGCGCCTCGCCCAATTCCGGATCTCCCCCGTATCGGACTCTCTTTGCAGCCGCTAACACAAAGCGCCCCCTGTCATCTCTTATAACCACACCCAGGCCCAAACCTCCATCCACGACTCCTGCATCCACATTCACTTTAATCTTTCCCATTGCTGGACGTTGCCATGTTTTCGCCATGACTGGTCCCGGTGAATTCTCCAAAGTCTCCTGGTATTGTCTATAATCATCAAGATAAGCTTGGGCGCGCACCACTATTTCTTCTTCGGCCAACTTTGCACCATTGAATAGATGTGTGTTTCGTTCTTTCCAAAGAAACCATAGTAGTACGCTCCAGTCCGCAAACTCATCTGCTGTTGCTGTCTGAGCCACTCGTGCTACCCATTCCAAGCATCCTCTATCATCCCTCATCTCAAACCACTTGGCCAAAGTTGATGCCCGCCAGATTCGACAGACCCAGCTACACTCCCCAAATAAATGGACTTGTGTCTCCCTCAAGTTGCAAAAGGGACAATCATCTCCTCTCCGCTCACTTCTCATACTCACCTGGTCCCCCGTAGCCAATGAAACTCTCGCAAACCGCCACATAAAATGGCGGACTTTTGGTGGCGTTTTCATGGACCAAATCGTCTTCCACATATTGGCCTCCCCTATCGGCTGCACCCCCCGATCAGATATGAACTCCTTCAACCACACACGGTATCCCTCCCTCACTTCATAGCTCCCTGTTTTACTCGAAGCCCAAATCAGCCGATCAGGATCGCTAATACCTCGCACTGGAATACGCAAGATGGACTCAGCCATCGCCGTTGGAAAACAACTTTCAATAAGTGATGCATCCCACTGCTCCGTATTTGCATCAATCAGTTCACTGACCTTCGAGTCTACCGGCAGCCCCATCGGCGGTGACTGAACGAAGAAGCCTGGTACGTCCGGCAACCACCGATCTCCCCAGATACGAACCAAATCCCCGTTCCCAATCCTCCACCTCAAACCACTGCATAAGAACTCTTGTGCGCTCATCAGACTGCGCCATACAAAGCTTGGTCGGTAGCCGACATTTGCCTCGAGTGCGGTCCCATTCTTATAATATTTTGCTTTCATCATCCTCGCAATAAGAGAGTCAGGCCGCTGATGGAGGTTCCATAATTGCCTAGCTAGCAGGGCAGTGTTGAAACCCCGCAGGTCTCGGAAACCAATGCCCCCCTCCGCCTTTGGACAAACAAGCTTCTCCCTCGCTAGCCATAGAACTCTCTTTTCAGTTCCTTTTTGACCCCACCAGAACCTCATAATCATGCTATGGACCTCATCAATAATTCCTTCTGGTACACGGAATACCGACATGACATAAGTCAATTGAGCCTGGGCAACTGATTTAATTAAAATCTCTTTCGCCGCTGCTGACATGTTCCTCTCTTTCCATCCCGAAAGCTTCTTCCTCACCCTTTCCTTGATGGTAGAGAATAATTCCTTCTTCGATCTGCCTGCCACCGTAGCTAATCCCAAATACTTCTCATGCTTTTCCACAGTCTTCATATTCAGGATCGAGCTTACCAGGAGGCTCTGATGGGGCTTCACACTCGCCCCAAAAGTTACTTCTGACTTCTCATAGCTGATCATCTGGCCTGACTCTTTTTCGTAGTCACTCAGGATTTGCTTCAGCTCCCGACCTTCCTGTGGAGTAGCCCTAGCAAAAAAGATAGAGTCGTCAGCAAAAAACAGGTGTGATACTGCAGGGGCTCCATGCGCCACCTGAAGTCCATGGAGTCTCCCTTCTCTCCTTGCTTTCGATGTATATGCCGAAAGGCCCTCTGCCACCACCAGAAACAAATACGGGGACAGTGGATCTCCCTGCCGAAGCCCTCTGCTTGGCGTGAACCGGGAGGATCGATGACCATTCACAAGTACCGAGTATGATACCGAAGTCACGCACATCATCACCAGACGGACCCATCTATCATCAAACCCCATCTTCTTCAAAACGCCCTCCAAAAACCACCACTCAACCCTGTCATACGCTTTTGCCATGTCTGTCTTTGCCGCGAAGTATCCTCTCTTAATCTTCGTTTGTTTTTTCATCGTATGAAAACACTCAAAAGCTGCCATGATGTTATCAGCTATGAAACGTCCCGGGACGAAAGCACTCTGTTCCGGCGAAATCACCACATCCAGCAGGCTCTTCATACGATTTGCTAACGTCTTTGCCACAATCTTGTAAAGAACATTACATAGGCTAATTGGCCGAAATTCCTTAGGCATTAAGGGTTCTTTTACCTTTGGAATTAAGGCAATTAGTGTATGATTCAAATTTGGCGGCAAGCTCTCATGTTCCAAGATGTGAAGAACGAGGGCTGTAACATCGTCTCCAATGATGCCCCAAAACTTCAAATAAAATAACACTGATAACCCATCCTCTCCGGGCGCCTTCCTTTTTCCCATCTGCTTTAACGCAGCAAAAACCTCTTCCCTAGTGAACGGTCGCAGCAGAATTTCATTTTCTTCCTCCGGGACTCGGCGATCAATTGAATCCAGAACTGGTGTCGCAAGCGGTCGGTCCCCCGCTTTGAACAGTCGCCCGAAATACTCCAACAAACAGCCAAACACCTCCTCCTGTCCGCGATACCATTGGTTCCTCTCATCCTTAAGCTTAGTGATCGTATTTCTTCTCCGTCGCGCAGAGGCTTTCCGGTGGAAGTAATTGGTATTCTTATCACCGCCTTTTAGCCAGTCAGCCCGGGATCGCTGCTTCCAAAAAATCTCCTCGTCACATTCAATATCTTCTAACTCCGATCGGAGTGTATGGCTTTGAGCCAATATTGTATCCGTCTTCGGTAGCCGCTCGAGCGCCCTAAGCGCCTTTCTAATCTTCTCCTTTTGCTTTTTGAAATTTGGAAAAGTAGCTCTACTCCAACTGTCCAGGTTGCTTTTAACTTCTTCCAAACGAGAGAAGAAGTCCATTGCCCCACCTTTCCAAACTTCCTCCACTACTTTCGGACACTCCACATGTTTGGCCCAGTGTGGTTCGAACTTAAACGCCCATCCCCACTTCACTTCCTCATCTTCCTTCCCCATAGTGTCACAGAGAATAGGTCGATGATCCGACCTGCTCGCGTCTCCATTTACCACTCGGGCTAGATCAAACAGCTCCTTCCATGCGTCATTGGCCACAAAACGGTCCAGCCTCTCCTCAATAAATCCCCCCGTTCTCCTTCGGTTCTCCCACGTATACGGATAGCCTTCATACCCCAGATCATACACCCCCACATCCACCAGACATTCCGCAAACTCCACCATTTCCTGTTCCGGGACGAGGTTTCCACCCTTTTTCTCTTCAGCCGACAGAACCTGGTTAAAGTCCCCTCCGCACAACCACGGCCCTGCCCATTGATTCGCCAGTGAGCGTAACAAATCCCATGTTTGACCCTTATCCCCCCTCTCCGGCCAGCCGTAAATCCCGGTGAACCTCCACAACCTTCCATCCTTTTCCTCGACGCAAGCATCCATATGATGTAAAGACCGCCCCATGACCTCAAGCTTTATCTCTTCCTTCCACCATAAACACAGCCCGCCCGCCTTTCCACCATTTGAGTCATTTGCCGGCCAGCTTCTTCCTTTCGTGAAACCCACCTCTCTCATCGTTACTTCATTCTCATCCTCGAACTGTTTAGTCTCCATAAGAAAGACTATTTTTGGGGAAACTTGACGCAATAGCGACTTCAGGGATCTAACTGCTCGTGTGTTCCCCAGTCCACGGCAGTTATAGCAGAGGATCCTCATTTATTCCTCAGAGGGGATAGGTTCCCCGCACCATCAGCTTTCTGCACTCCTGCTCCTTGTCCCCCTCCTCCCTTACCCCCTCGTTCATTGTATCCTGCTCCTATTTGAATCCCTTTTTTTGAGTTCTCTTTCGGCTGTCCCTTCCCTACCACTGCCTTCCCTTTTGTCCCCTTCGCTTCAGCACTCGGCGCCTTTTGTTTCTCCTGCACCTGAGTTCGTGCCTCTTCCTTCTCCTTCTGTTGTCCCCTATTCGCTTTTTCGCCACTCCCTTCCCCTATCTTTCCTCTTTGATTCGCCCTTTGTTGTTCTTTCTGTTCCTGGCCCTTGTCCTTTGATGTCCCGAATTTATCCTCATTTCTTGTCAATGGGTCACGGTCATCTGCCATGTTCTCATTAAGCACTTGGAATCTGTTCCGTTCAGCCGCGGAGGCTCTTGCATAATTCCCTCCCTTATATCCTGCCTCATAGGCCCTGTAAGCAGGACGTCTCTCCTTCTTTTTTACCATCATCCAATCCCCATAAGCTGGTTCTGGCCTTGTCTCTTCCACCTGCGTCTCCGGAACCACCTCCACCGTCTCAACCACTGTTTCTGGTACTATAGGTTCCTTACAATCACACTGATCAGTTGATCTCCCATACCTTCCGCACTCAGTACATATCTTATCCAACCCCTCATACTGGATGCGATATTTAATTCCTTCGACCTTATATTTTGCTAGCAAAGGTTTTGAGAGATCCACCTCTACACATACTCGAGCATAATTGCCTCTTGCTCCCTCTTCCGTTGCTTTGTCCACTCGGATAGGTTTCCCAATAAGAGCTCCAATTCGCATAGCTGCTTCTCTATTGAAAAACTCTATTGGTAAATCCGGTAACTGCACCCACACCAACGTGGATTTCACCTTGGCCGTCCACGGATTGAAACCCTTATACCACCTCATAACCTTAAGATAAGTGTCTCCAAGCAGCCATGGGCCACCATTGACTGCTCTTTCATAATCTTCTTGGTGACGAAACCGTATGAGAAAACATCCATTCCTCAGGTCAGAGATTTGCAGTTCGCCATGCCGTGCCCATAGGAAATTCAGTCGTCGAGCTAGCGGCTGGTATGTCACTTTTCTTCCCAGCCCTTGCACGACCAAAGCCGAACGCCATTCTCTTCGCCACTGCCTCTTTTCTGCTGCCGTGAATACCGCCGTTGGACATGTTGGGTCTTCCTCCATCTCATCTATCATGTCATCCTCTTCTTTTTCCGCTTGTGCAACATCTTCAGAATCCGAGTCCGCAACATACCAACCCTCATGCTGGGACTTATCCCCAAACAGGTGGCGGCCGCCATTATTCCATGCTGATGGGCCAGCTTGGAAAGCCGATTGTCGCGGCTGTTGCGGTGCAGCTTCCTCTTCCATCGCTTCCGCTGTCGTTTCCTCCACCTCCACAGTTTCAGCGTCCATGTTGATACTACGTACTTTCTTCTTAGCTTGCATGGTTTCTTTCTCGCTCTTATTATTTGGGGAGGAGGATACGTCCGCCGGCCGCCGAACCCCACTCATTGTGTCCGGTGGCTTCTCCTGACGATCCGGCGCTGACGGTGACGTTGCCGTCCCCATTGGAGACCTCCGGTAACCCTAGCACGGCTTCGGTGTGATTTTCGCCTGCTCCGGGAAACACGGAAACCCTAGTAAGCCTACCTTTTATGAACATTGAATTCCTTTGATTTGGATGCATAATAATTGTTACACACTTAATTAATTATAATTATATCAAACAAATATTGGTGATTAATACGTGATATTTGTGATTAGCATTTAGTGTGTAACGTCGGTTGGGAATGATCACGTTGAGCAGGGGCTTATGGTGTGTCTATTTAAAAAATAGGCATAATAAAATAATTTTTGTAATTATTCTTGATATATTACACTTGAATATTTTTATAAATTAAAATACATTAGTAATCGAAACTATAAGGATTATCGTGCACCAAACAATTATTCATAATTTAGTTGGTGACTTTCGGATGGTGTTCTTTGTCTAGAATCATTTAGTATCAATAACTCGAGTTGTTGAGAGAGATTTAATAATGAATCTTATACAAAACATTTATTCATAATTTAGTCATTCGTTGGCTTTCGAATTATGTTTATTATTTGTCAATTACCGTAGTATCAATAACTCGAGTTGTTGGGTGAGATTCAATCATATATCTTACAATGTATACTAACACACCCTTTATAAAAAATCAACTTATATAACATTGAAGTTTGTACAAATCTTAATATCATGTGTTTAACAAATGAGGCGGCCAAGATTCGAACACAAGATCTTTTTGGTCAACTTGGTAAAATATGAGATTTCCTTTAGCCCTAACATTAAACCAAATCGACAAGAGAAGCTAACAAACATTACGGGAATGAAAGGAGTGGATCACCATGTGAAGTACCTGGGACTGCCTAAAATGGTGGGTAGATCAAGGAAGAAGGCTTTTGACTATCTTGTGGATAGAGTCAGAAAGAAGGTGAAGTTGTGGAAGAGTAAAGTTCTATCAGTAGCAGGGTAGAAAGTTTTAATCAAATATATGGCTCAAGCTGTCAAACACAACTGACTTATGATACGTCATTTTTCCAGATCCCCGTTGGTATTCTATAGGAAATTCAAAGTGTTATCTCTAATTTCTGGTGGGGGCAACAACAAGATAAAAAAGGACTTACTGATTGTTTTGTGATAAATTGTGCAGACCAAAGTTCCAAGGTGGACTGGGATTCCGAAATCTAAGTAGTTTTGATCTGGCTTTACTTGGGAAGCAGCTTTGGCGATTGATTGAGAACCCCAATAGCCAAGTGGCCAAAGTGATAAGGAAAAGTTCCACAAAGATAGAGCAATTATGGATGCTGAACTGGGCAACAACCCGAGCTATATCTGGAGAGGTCTAATGGCATCTAAGAACCTATTGAAAAGAGGCAATTAGGAGGTCCATGCTAGAGCACCCTTCATCGGTTCCCCCGAACAAATCGCTCCACTACGAGCTCTAATTCGCTCTTTGGCTCCGGTTGTGGAGTGGCACATGGTCTTGAGGTTTGTCCCATGAAATCTCCATGGCCAACTCCAACTTGGATTTCACCTCGAGTTGTGGAGGGAAACCTTCTTGGTATCCCCATGAGCATGGTTGCTCTTCTTGGAAGAGAGGTTGGTAGTAGAACCCGGATCCTCGACTTCCCCCATTTCGATTGTCCCATGAATTTTCAAGGTAACCACTCTCGGGTGGTGGTGGATACCCCCACACTTGGGTGAAATCACAAGGATCCATGATCCAATACCTACAAGCACAAAAACACTAAAAAGGAAAGTAAAACACACACAAACCACCCTTCAAGACGAAGAGTGGCAAACAAAACACAAATGAAACACAAAACAAAAACGAAAGGGCAAGATAGAAAATGTTAAAGTAACGCTAAGCGACTTTTTCTGGATAATAGACAGTTAGGTTTCCCTGCAACGGCCCAAAAAATTTGACTCGCTTGGACTACACCGCAATTTCAATCCCGACTAGAGCCCAAGTATAAACTCTAGTCGGGTGCAGTATATGGCAAGTATGTTTTAATTGTCAAACCCGGGCCAGTCCATGTACTCCTACTTCAATCGCTTAATTTGTTATCTAGCAAACGATTTTGGGTTAAAAACTAAGGAAACTACAAAATTAAAAAAAAAACTAACAAAGTAAATGGAGGTTGGCCTAACAAGAGAAGAATTCACCTTGGTATTGCTATCCTTAACTACATATCAAGATCGACCAAATCGAATGTAATTATGTGAAAGTGTGTCCATACACCGTTAGGTGGGCACAACAATGTAAGAAAACCTCACCCTCTTAATCAACCGGCTAAGGAAAACAATGAAGCTAACAAAAAGGGGGTTTCCATCTACCTAGTTCAAATTGGCAAATTAAGGAGAAATGGGAACACAACCCAAACACTGATATTTGGTTGGATAATAGGCCCCAAACAGTGACAACAATAAGGTTAGTTCTCCTATGGTGGTGTTTGGCAATTCTAATTCTATTACTAAGTTGATAAACCCGAATTCTAGGGCATGGAGACAGGATCTATTGCAAACACATTTTACACTAGAAGATAGAGTTAATATTTTGAGATTACCAATCCCAACACAGCCTAGGGAAGACGAACTCGTATGGAATTTTGAGAAGAATGGTCATTATTCGGTGAAATCGGCTTATAAGCTACGACAATGACGACATGAGGAAGTGGAAGGAGAGCCACACACGCCAGTAAACTGGAAGAAAATCTCGGAGCTCAAAATACCACCTAAAGTGAAGATCTTCGCATGGAAATGAGTACACGATATTCTTCCAACAAGGGCACAAATTGTGGAAAGATTGAACCTCTTTTATGACTTGTTGTGACCCAACCACAGCCCCAAAAAAGGCTAAGATTAGGTGACCAAGGGGGTCCTTTAGTCACATGACTAAGGCAATCTCAGCAATTCAACCTCATTAAAATCTAATGGTCCTAAGTTATTCAGTTTAATGAAGGATAAGTGGTAATTACACATTTAATTTATTTAACAATTAAAATAAAAAAAACACATCCAACGTGTGGTATCTCCCGCCCCTCGCCGGTGACCTTCCGCCGGTCCCTCATCGGGATAATTTTTGTCGGATTCCCTCGCCGTAATTATTCCATGACCTTCTGGTCATTCTTCCCAGCACCGGAATTATTATTCCATTCTTTCTTTCCTTGGCCTCCTGGCTAGGGGTGTTCAAATGGTTACCGTGGTAATAACCAAACCAATTAAGCCTAAATTTCATTAACCATGGAATAAAATGTCTTAACCAAACCGTCCAAATTAATAAGAAAACCAAATTAACCAAATCAAAGTTTAATTGGTTTGGTTAATCGGATAATCGTATTAACCACATAATATAATATTACATGTAAACAATTATCCTGTTAATGAATAAAACATAACCATATGTTATTACTATCATAAACTATCACTATATATAAGAAATAATAATAAGACTAACCATGATTATCATCATCATTCGAGTTAATACATCATTCATCATCTCCGCACCTAATATAGTTAGCTTACAACAAAACCTTAACATAAATATTAAATACATACCAATACCACTCCTCAGGAAGTTAAAGCTCTCCTACAAAATACTTAAACTATACATAGTTTGAGGTGGCTGTTTTGGTATTGTACGTAATCCTAAAGTCTAGTAGTTGTTCAAAATGTTTTGGTTTAGTAAATAGGCAGTCCTATTTAATTTTTGACCCATAATGTTTTGGTTTGTTGTGCACATGGAAATAAAATAGGGAATCACGAAAGTTTGGCTTGGTTGGTTATATGAAAGTATAAATAATTTTGTATATTAGGTGTATCATTAATTGGTTTCATTGGTTAGCAGTGTTGAAACCAAACCAAACCACCTAAACCAAATAAGCTAAATTGTTTAACCAAACCAAACCAATTATCCAAATTAACCGAATGCTACTGGTTAATATGGTTACCACGATTGCCAATCCGTTTGAACACCCCTGCTCCTAGCCATTCTTTGTTACCTGGGGATTTTATTCCCCAGCAGCTGAGAGAGAGATTCCATTCTTTATTTCCTTGGCCTCCTGGCCATTCTTTGTTTCCCCACTTGGGGATTTTATTCCCCAGCAACTACGAGAGAGATTCCATTCTTTCTCTCCTTGGCCTCCTGGCCATTCTTTGTTTCCTGGGGATTTTATTCCCCAGCAGCTGAGAGAGAGATAGAGAGAGAATTTTCCGGCGACAGTGTTGGATTTTGTGACGTTTGCTGACCTATTTTGTAATGTTTGTATTGTTTGTAATTTTTAGTGACATTTTGTACGGTAGTATGCTTTGTACTGTTTGTCGGTTTATTTTATAATGTTTGTACGCTTTGTTATTTTGTAATGTTTGTCGGGTTTTTTTTTGTAATGTTTGTAAACTTTGTTATTTTTGTGCACCATGTTTATCATTTTTGTCAACCATGTTTGTAATGTTTTTTTATGTCTAAAAAACAGTGTGATTGACTTTTGGATGGAACTCCTCTATATAGGGATGGAGCCTCCAAAGTCAACCCGAGTGTTTTTTCTAGTTCGTATGGATTGTCGGTCTAGTTTGTCATTTTTGTCCACCATGTTCGTAATGTTTGCATGTCTAAAAAACAACCGGGTTGACTTTGAGACAGAGCCCTCTATATAGGGATGAAGCCTCCAAAGTAACCCTGGTATTTTTCCAGTTTGTATGAATTTTTGGTCTAGTTTGTCATTTTTGTCCACCATGTTTGTATGTCTAAAAAAGGGGTTGCTAATTGTCGCCCTAGATTTATTATAATCGCCCTAAATTAATTTTAAGATTACTGCTTTAGATTTATTATAATCGCCCTAAATTAGTTTTAAGATTACTGCTTTACCCTTCTATTTTTTATTATTGATAATATGTAATTTATTCTAATAACACAATCCATCCGACGTTGAGATTAACGGCGGCCGGCCTGTTCCCGCCGCCCACCACCGCCAAAGCTAATCAATGTTTTTTTAATTGGACATATTATATCCCATCTAAAGAAGCAAGAGCTTTGGGTAGGAATTCCCAATTGTAATTTCCTTAATAAAGTATATGTATCTTTGTTGAAGATATAAGAAATTGCATGTTACCATTCGCACATCGTCGCTGCGGGAGACGAAAAGGAGATGTACGTGGGAGAGAAGGGCATGGCCGTTCCATGATATTTGGAGGCCCTGTTCGAAAATTTAAATTGTGGTCTTAATTTTCCCCATAAATTTATCAAAATTAAAAATGAGTAAATAATTGTAAAAAAATACTTAAGTTCAGAAAAAGATTACATCAGGAATAAACGATCTCGTTTCCAGTTTGACCAAAAAACCAAGACCGAATTCCCAGCCCTAATAGGCAGGAAAGTAAATCTGGAAGGAAGAGAAAATGAATATAGCGCAAAAATTGAATGGAGAAATGAAAATAGTCTAAATTGATCGAGAGGTGGGTGCAGGGTTGTCTACTAGATCGTGGAGGCCCTATTTCAAAATCTAGATGTGGTCCAAATCGACCTTTAACTATAATAAAACTAAAATAATTATAATAACATTATTAAAAATGTAACATCTTTCTATATTATTTAAATTAAAATTATCTATTATTTTTCAGATTTTCGTACTCTCCATGAGATCCTTTTCAATTGTTATTATAGCTAAAATTATCTATTAAACACATCATCATACTCATAATCAATCAATCATACACTAAAAATACAACCTACAATATACGATCGGTAACTAACGAATCTAAGTAGAGGCCCCTAATATTCTGAGGCCCTGTGCCAGAGGGCGGGCCAGCACACCCTCTTGGCCGGCCCTGGAGAAGGGACAGATGTTGGACAGTGGGAAGAAGGGATAGACGAGGCGTTTGTTTCTAGCGGAGGATCCAGTTGACATACGACACACAAAGCAGGGAGAAGGTCGGCAGTGAAGGCCGGATGGTGGTTGAGACTTGAGAGTGCAAGAGGTTGGTCACACTTGTGTGGATGGTGTCGCCGGTAATGAAATATGCATAGAAGGTTGGGAGCGGAGGGTCCAACTGCTTCTCGATAAAGATGGAGGATTGGGGATTTTAGGTTTTTTTTTTTTTGTTTTGTCGAATTTGTTTGATTAATGAAGGATAACTTAGTAATTTTACGTTAGGGCGATAATAAACTTAGGGCGACGTTTAGCCATTCAGCTAAAAAACACCCGGGTTGACTTTGGGAAGGAGCCCCTCTATATAGGGATGGAGCCTCCAAAGTCAACCTGGTTGTTTTTTCTTTTTATATGGTTTGTATTGTTTGTCGGTCTAGTTTGTATTTTTTGTACAGTTCATATGTTTGTAAATCTGTTTGTATGTTTTGTCGCTCTAGTTTGTACTGTTCGTATATTTGTATGGTTTGTACTGATCGTAAGTCCGGTTTGTATACTTCGTAATTTTCCATGATACCCAAACTAGCCCTTCCCACTTTTTAACCATCAGATTGCTATATCTAGATCTAAGGGCTGGGAGGGACTTAGTCAAGTGACTAAGCACCCCTTAGTGACTGGATCCTCTCTCAAAAAAAGGCTACCATGGTTTTTCCAACCTCCACATGCTAAAGCTTTTTCCAGTTTCATTTGTTTAATCATAACCCAACACCCAGGGACGAGATACGGTGACAACCCCTAAGGGGGGTGTGAGATTCACAACCCACTTCATAGCCCTTGGATACGCTCTCTCTCCTGTCTCTTTCTTCTTTTTTTAAATTAACGGTTAAGATTAAAAGAAGGATATTTTTGGAAGGGTAAAAATTTACCACACCCAATCATTCACCTCAGCCGCCACAACCCTCCCACCACCGCAGCTCCCTCTTCCTCTCCCATGCCCACCGCCACCCCTGACCTCCGCCGCGCCGGCTGTCCTCACCGCCCTGCCGCGCCGCTGTCCCCGCCGCTCCTGTCGCGCCGCTGTCCTCCCCCTCTCTCCGCCCTGCCGCGCCTACCGTCGTGCCACGCTGACCCCGCCACCATTTTTATGCCGCCGCCGCGAGGTCAAGACTATTCCCTGCCTCCCTCTTTCCTCATCCCTATTTTTTTCCAGATCTGATAGTATCTACTGGTACCAATACCACTGGTAGCGCTATTGGTACGCTACCACTACTCACTGGTACCAATACCAGTGGCTCCCCTATCATCTGGTACCACTATCATCTTTTTTTGTGTGTTATTCTCTACTGGTACCGCTACCAATGCTAGTGGTAGCGCTACCAGTGCTAGTGGCGTTGTGTTATTCTCTACTGGTAGCGTTGTACTGGTAGCGTACCACTAGTACTGGTACATTTTTTACTGGTACCACTAGTACTGTTACATTTTTTAACGTACTGGTAGCGTACCACTAGCACTGATATATTAATTACCAATAGACTAATAGATTTGTACACTTTTTAACGCATTGGTACATTTTTTCAGGTTGCCGGAGGGAGTCTACCGGAGAGAATTTGCCGGAGAAAAAGTTTGTCGGTCGATGTGGAGTGGCCGTTGGAGAAAGGAAGAGAGAGAGATAGATAGAGATAATGTATTTAATATGGATTTTTAATTTCCAATATAATTAATACAAAAGAGGTAATTAATATATTCCTTTTTTCATACCTAAAATACCCTTGATTGTGAATCTTACAACCCCTTAAAGATTGTCATCGTATCCTGGGGGTCGGATACTATGCTAACCCCTAAAGGGGTAGTGATTTTCGACACCCTCCTATTGATTGGTCAGTTTTATATTTAATTATTAGACAAGTATTAATGGTTGTCCCAAATAAATATGAATGGAGAAAGAATTAATTGTCATGTTAATTATGCACGGGAAGGGGGCAATTTAGCTGGATCCCATTTCCCTCTGTGGCGTTTCTACTCCCTTTCCCTTTGTTTCTATTTCCCCCCCTCCCTCCTCTGCTATTTCCCCTTGTTTCTTTCCATTGTTGTGGAGAACCATAGCTCTGGTTCATCATTACACGGCTGGCGGATATCCCCGCCGCCCTTACAACAAGTCCGACCATCCATGTCGTCGGCCGTCTGCCGTCCTCCGTCTTCCATCTCAAACATCACCTTCCAACAACTTCCTCTTATCCACGGCCTGCGCTTGATCTTTTCCTGTTGACCACTGTCCTTCCACGGTAGAGATTCGATCAACCCTAAGTGGCGGCGACAGAATCTGAAGGTGAGGGTGGTACCACTAGGCGGCAGAGGAAACACACCAATGGACTGGTACATGTACCAGTGGAGTGATACGTGTACCCGTGGAGTGGTACGTGTACCAGTGGAGTTTGGAATACATCGTCATGAAAATATTGTGGTCTCCACCACTTTTGAAGTTTGGAATTGATTTTATTATTTTTCTTTTGTCTTAATTATTGGTCAACTTCTTTCAATGTCATTGAAATATCTTTGCCGACGAGTAATGAATAGAAATGGTCTTCGCACAACTTCGGCGGTAATCATACTACTTCAGTGGTACATATATACCACTGAACTTGTACTATACCACTAGACTGGTATACATATCAATTAACTGGTACTTATACCACTGAACTGATACTAATTAAGACTGTCCTCAATATACCAATACTCAATACTTACTTGATCATGAAATATAATTCTGGCACAAGCAACACAATAAACATTTAAATCAGTCAACAAAATAGGAACTTTATATTAGTAGCCAAAAGTTGTGTTCCAAAATGGGTTGCAAAATCAGGGAAATGCCAACAACAATGCCAAAAGCAATAAATTATCCTTCGAATGTGAATAAACATAAAGTCTTCACAATTTTTTTAAGCCTAAACAGGACATATGGTTACTAGTACCACTCCACTAGTATCACTCCACTGGTACGCGTACCACTCCACTGGTACATGTACCAGTCCATTGGTGCGTTTCCTCTGACGGTGGCTCTCACAGCGTTGCTTCTTGTTGGTACTCGCACCCGATGAATGATCCTGACCTACCCCAACTTCTACATGGCGAGGAAATAGCTTCCATGACTCTTTCCTTTAGGCACTCCAAGTTACGGTCTCTTCGTCTTGACCATTCCTACAGACAATAATCAACACTATCAATTCAGTGATAGAAATATGAGTTTGATAAGTAAGACAACTATCACTATAGTGGTAGAATTCAGTGGTAGAATTACCAATACATCTTTGCAACTATCACTGCAGTGATATAAATCAGTAGTACATACCAGTACAGTGGTACTAATACCAGTACACTGGTACTAATACCACTCCAGTGATAGACATACCAGTACACTGGTACTAATACCACATGAAAAAATCCACATGAAAACCCAGATTTGAGTTTGGGAGAAAGAGACAGTAGGGGAGAGAGAGCTACCTCAGTTTCTTCGTCGTCATCTTCGCAGGGAAGGGGAGGAGGGTCACCGCAGGAACGACATGAGTGAAGTCATCTCGTAGGGAAGGTGAGGAGGGTCGTCGTCTTCTCCGTCGATCCCTTTGCAGTGCCGAGCTTTGTGGAAGGAGATGGAGAGTCGCGGCGGCAAGCCTGGTGTTGCTCGGAGAACAACGACAACCATCATCCGAGACTTAGCCCACGACGGAGGATGGGGGAGAGTCGGAGGGAGAGGATTTTGTTGGTGCGTCGACGATCAGAAACCATGGACTGTGGCGGGGAAGAGGTGACGGCGGCGAGCAGGGGCAGAGCGAAATCGAGGGAGAGAGAAGGAGAAAGGGAGAAAAAAAGGGGATTGATTTTTGAATTAGGGGTGTGAACTGTTTTTTCCTAGATTCTTTCCATTTTCCAATATAGTGAGAGAAACTTATTGTGTAATTAATACCTAATACACAATAATCAGTTTCAATTGTGTAATTAATACCTAGTGAGAGGATTTTGTAATTAATACCTGATTAATCCTTACCATTGGATTAGATGGACGGTATCTAAGAGGGGTGTCAAAAATCAGACCCCCTTAGGAGGGTAGTCACGCTAACCGCTCCCCCGTATCCTGTCCCCAACACCCACGCCAACATGAGTCATGGCTCTCTGTTATTTCCTTTTTTTTTTTTTGGTCATCAAACCCAGGGGAAGATTACATACTTGGAAGTTAATTTCTCTTTGTTATTAATCTCTTTCGTTTGTCTAAAATGTAAATCTTATCAATACATACTTTATTGGGTTTTTTGTCTTCATGGTTTTGAAAGTATTCTGTCTGAAATCCCACTATAATGAACATTATCTCTCAAACAACATCTCCTTATGGTGATCTATATATATCCTCAAATACTTCAACCTTCGAGTTAGTTGGATCGTCAAAGTCCATACTCTCAAAAAGTCTCCACTCATATTGAATTTTGATTCATACCTCATTACTCTCTGATCATTTCCTAACTTTTCACTCTGTCTACATTGTCTAACAAACTTCTCACTTCTAAAGGGAAACCCCATTATTAGTAGAATTATAATTTTAATCACCATGTGTATATTAAACATTCAACAAAATTCTATTGGTGGCTTCTACTTGCATCGTTGAAATTCATTGTTGATGCCCCAAGCTTGCTGTGTACAGCTAGTCAGCTTGCTGTGTACAGCTAGTCTTCTTCCTCTGCTGCTGGTTCAAAATTGGGATTTTTCGTTGACATGCATAACGACGGTGGTGGTCGGAGGTGGTGTGCATCGATCTCTAATAACCGTCTCTTGAAACCGAAACCGACGGTTGCGGTTATCGGCTAACCGATAGTGCCGTCGGTCTCGGTTGCGGTTGCGGTGTTGCCTCTTTCTAGGTGTCGGCTAACCGACTTTGTGGTTCGGTTAAAACCGAAACCGCACCGCTAACAGGCCTAAAGGTGAATGTGAATGCGGCTTGCATGAAAGGTCGAGGAAAGAGATTGGAGGTAGTAATTTGAGATAGATATGGTGGTTTTAAGGCGGCGACGGTTCGCAGAAGTCGGATCTAGTGGGAGCCCAGAAATTGTAGAGGCTACGGCCTATGGCAGTGAAGTTTGGATTGGAAATGACATTTCGCCTCAATCTGTCTACTGTGGAAATGGAAAACGATTGTCATCCCTTGAGGTGGGTCGGGTCTATGATGAATTCATTAGAATGGGCCGGGATTTTCATTTCATAGACTGGAAGTTTGTTGGGAGGGAGGCGAATGGACCAGTCCATATAATGGCACATATAGATTGTCATTGGGATGCTGGCGAGGTGTGGATAGACAAGATCACTATCTTAATTGAAATAATACATATGATTATAAAAAAATTACTATTTTCGTCCTGAGTAGACCCATCCTATTACCCTCTCCCTCAGTCGTTAATGCTAGGTACGAGTATGATAAGACTTAAGACTGGACAACAACTTGGAACTCCACATCTCTTTGGCACTAGGCTACTCATGCCCCTTCACTGTGATGGGTCGTTCATAAGCGACTCCCAACCGGCGGCTTATGGTGTTGTTGTTGTTAATCACCATGGACAAGTTTGCGATGAGCGAGCTGACACATTACTTTGTTCCACCTCGTTTGAAGCAGAAACGAAGGCGCTTTTGGAAGGTCTCAAATTAGCCCAAGAATATGGAGGAGAATGTATAGTCCAATCAGACTGTCTTAATCTTGTTCAAGCACTCAGGCATGACAAAGCGAGATGGCCATGGAGGGGAGCAGCATGGATGGGATCCATGAAATCGATCCTTCAGGCCTCAAATCGCGTTGAGGTCAAGTTTGTTCATAGAAAAATTTAATGCTAGAGCTGATTGGGTGGCTCGGTCGTTGGCGAGAAATTCACTTTTAGATGACTGAATTAGTATTCTTGATCTAATTTCCGATTTCCTTTATCTTTGTAACCGCCGTTTATGGTTTCATCAGAGTGGAATAAAGTTCATCATTTGTCAAAAAAAAAAAAAAAAGTTGGTCTCCCTTATAGACAGCTGACATAAGTTGAAGACTGATGGTGCAGGCTAATGCAATTAGGGTGTCACAACTCACAATCACTTCAACGAGAATTTGGTTTGGCAACAAATTTTCTTACAACCAAACTAAATTGGTTAAGATAAAGCTATTATTTAATTATATTTTGGAGCTAAAATAATGATAAATTGGTTGCTTATTAAAATCAAAGTATCAATAACCATATACAAATTGCGAAAGACCAAATCATTTGGTATCAAAATTATTTACACTTTTATCAACCAAATAATTTTGGTAGCAATATTTTTATTTGTTCCAACCAAATGATTTGACAGTCTAATAATTTATTAAATTTCAGTTTTTACAATCAAATATTATTAATTATGAATTTTAATAAAAATAAAAATAAAACTAAATAATTTAGTTGCAAACTCAATAAAAAAATGTCACCAACTAAATTATTGGTTGTCAATGTTTAATAAATGTTCAGGTACTATCAATGCAAAATACATATGTATAGCCATAATATGCACTTTGTGACAATAATAGTCAGATTTTGAAAAATACACAAAAATAACCATTCCGTCCAAAATTTTAACAACATTTAGATACACGCTGACTGGACTAAGATTTATTTATGATGTGGCAATTTCTGTCAAAATCAATGCCACGTGAAATCTTCCCTTCTTTCCTATATAAAAAAAATCTTCCCTTCTTATACTAATTATATAAAAAAAACAAAAAACCAAAAGAAAGAAAATAAGAAATGAAGAGTCGTCTGCTCCAACTCGTCTCCATCTCTCCCTTCCTTCTCCTCCTCTCACTTCCCTATCCCAAGTCCCATCAACGTTGATTCTTCCTCTCCCCTGGTTTTGCCCCCTGAATCCTCCCAAACCCCCCACCATCCACCATCCACGACCCAACCATCCCTTTCCATACCACTGTTCTCCTCCTCCTCCTCCTCCGCCATGTGTCCCATCATCAAGCAGCCATCCCGCAGTATGTCGACATCACCCCCAAATCCCGATGCCATGGGGGAGAACGACCTGAGTTTACCGATTGGATTTCCTTCATCTTCAGCCGCCATCGCGAGCGGGTAGTGGGAGGTGGAGAGAGGAAGAAGAAGACGACAGGGAGAAGGGAGCAATGGTTAGGTTTTCAGATCGAAATCAAATTAATTTGGGATGGATTCTTGTGGGTTTTGTGGCTTTGGTATGGCGAGGCGAGAAATAGGGAGAGCTCTGAATCGGCGATGATTTCTTCTATCTGGAAATATGGGAAAGAAAGGCGATGATTTTGCGGCGGAAGGTAGAAGGGATTTTTGGGGAGAGAAATCGATTAGGCAAGGAACAAGGATGGAGGCACCTGGAGACTTAGTTGGGAGGAGCAAGGGTTTGGGGTGGTGGCCGGTGGGCTAGGGGGATTTTTTGGCAGGCGGTGGTAGGTATGAGTTGTTTATTAAAAAATAAAGTAATTAATTTTTTAATTAAAATGTGACGTGGAGTACATGTGGCATTGTGTTCTTGTTGGAGATGACGTGTGAGCTGATGTGGCGTCCACCTCAGCATAACGTTCACTTTACAGACAAAGATACTGACGGTGTTAAAGATTTTTTCTGAAATGACTAAACCTGTCAATATACTTTTCAAAATGTGGCTATATTTGTGTATTTTTCAAAATTAGGCTATTATTGTCACAAATGGTAAAGTTATGGCTATACAAGTGTATTTTGCCTACTATCAATGACGAACATTAAAATTTGGTAGTTTTATACTTTTATTGAACTAATAAAACGAATAACTATTAACTAGCTTTGGGCCCGCCCGATGGGTGGATAAATTTATTACTTCATGCTTTCGCTCATCAGTATCCGAATACAACTGATCTGATAACTATTGAGACTCTGGCTTTGCGCAATGCTATGCGTTACTGTGTGAACGAATTATTGGATTCGGCTTTGTTTATGGGAGATGCAAAAACTCTAATCGATCATTGCAATAATGGGGTCACTCATGATGCGAAGGTTGGTTCTTTGTTGATTGAGATTGCTCATTTGGTTAGGGCGCACTGTAATTACCATGTTCGGTTTGTTGGACGTGTTCGAAATAGGGCGGCTCACTTGATAGCTCGTCATGCCCTATTATTGTCGCCTCACTTGTTCTCGAGGTTCGACTTTGCTCGTTGGTTATGTACCTGTTAATTTTGTACGTATTTTTCCTCTTAATTGAGTGACTTATTGGCCAAAAAAAAAAAAACTTATCCTTGTATAGAATAAAGGTGATCTGTTTTTTAGAAAGCCCGTTAATTTTTTTTTATGAATAGTTAATTTTTGGGTTAATATTTTCGTATGGCCTGAACTTTAACCAAAATAAACATCCTGGCCAATCTTTTCGATCTATAACATCCTGGCCCGAACTATACACCAAAATAAACAATTTGGCCAGATTCGACTTTTGACCGTCAACTTGGACGGTCAAACGCGTTGACCGTTAGTCAACGCGCCACATCACTGCCAACTCAGCAAGTTTAAACAATTTTTTTTTAATTTACACCTATTTCATTTTCTTTTCATTTATCATTTTGACAAAAAATAAATCGGGACAAAAAGCCCCACCCCGAGCCCTAAACTAAACCCTACCTTATCCATATCTCAACCCCAACCCCATCCCCATCCACAAATTCACCCGCCGTCACTCACCTTCTCCTTCCTTCGTCGAAGCTCCTCCATCGACCGACAAAAATCTCCGGTATTCCGTCCTTTTCTGCCACCGTCCTCTCCTCCGTTGCTGCTTGTTTAAAACGTAAATCGAAACCCATTGGGGGAAAGAAAAACAAGATTAAGAGAGGAAGGCCAAAGTCCCCAAATTGATTTGAGTGAGCCAATGTAACGAAGGAAGCACCACCATGAAAAACACGATTTGTGCTTCTCTCAAATCAATTTCCTCTCAGCCATGGCTGCTCCATCTCCCCCATCCTCCCGATCTCGAATTCCCAAAATGCCGTCACCACCACCATCGTTCCTTCCGCCGCCGCGTCTGCCCAATCCCAGCCTCGATCGCCACCCCGACCTTCCGCTCCTTCATCAACAAGATCTCCGACACCGTCCGCAACGGCCTCTCGAAGCGCCGCCCGTGGGCCGAGCTAGCCGATCGATCCGCCGATGCCTCCGCCGCCGCCGCCGCCTCCGCCGCCGTCGAAGGTTTGCAGGAGGCGCTGGGCTATTCTATCCTTCTCTACAACATCTTTGGCAGCCGGAATGGAGGAAGAGAGGAGGAGAGGAGAGGAGACTGGAGAGGAGAGGAAGAAGGGGAAGAATCAGGTTAGGGCTCGGGGTGGGGCGTTTTGTCCCGAATTTTTTTTTTGTCAAAATGATAAATGAAAAGAAAATAGAATAGGTGTAAATTAAAAAAAAATTGTTTAAACTTGCTGAGTTGGCAGTGACGTGGCGCGTTGACTAACGGTCAACGCGTTTGACCGTTCAAGTTGACGGTCAAAAATCGAATCTGGCCAAATTGTTTATTTTGGTGTATAGTTCGGGCCAGGATGTTATAGATCGAAAAGATTGGCCAGGATGTTTATTTTGGTTAAAGTTCAGGCCATACGAAAATATTAACCCTTAATTTTTTATTGCTTGTACTATATATTGCTATCATTATGGTAAAAGAAACAAACGATTTATTTGGTTTCTGAAAAGAATAAGAAATCTGAAAAGAACAATCACTTGCTAGATCAATTAATAACTTCTTAATCAATGATTTCACTCCTATATCGACTGCCAAACCCTCAACCAAAACTTTTGAAATTAAGCCTCTTTACAGACCCACAAACAAATAAGAACATCGTGCATTTTTCTAATCTAACTGATTGACAACTAAAAATTCAATTAACTACAAAATAACCTTCCAGCAAATGGAGAAAAGACAGCTTAATTAATGAAAAAAAAAAAAAAGAATTAGTCGTGGTATGTTAATATGCAGAAAAGGATTTGAGCCCAATGTTTGACAGTGCAACATTTGACACAATCCTAACTCATGGTATGTTTTCTTGCCCATAATAGTCATGGATCAAAATGAATTAATTCGTTTAGAGATAATACAAAAATATGGTAAACTTGATAACGGTAGAAAGTATCCTTCATTAACTGCAGAAATAATAGAGGAATTGTATGTAGAAAATACCAACAATTATAAGAATCATATGCAAAGTGCTATGTTCTATACTTGTATTGGACTCCTCCAATATCTAACAAACAAGTACGTATAACTATAAAACTTACCTGGATTTGCAGGGACAAAGAGAAGATGGAAGGGTGGGCTAGCCGTAGCAAATCAATATACATGCAGACTCAAAGCCTAGGGATTAATAGCAAGAAAATAGAAATGCATCGATCATGAATAAAAAGCAACTTAATAGACTAGGATATAAGGAAGTGATTCATGTCCTGTGGCTGCTCTTGTGAGGCAGAATTAGATGGCGTGATTAGGTGGCTTTGCCGGATGTATGCAACTTGCTATTGGTGGAGCAAAATTTCTTGGACCAGACGTGGCTGAGGACGACACAATTGATGCATGTTGGTAGTTATATGGTTGCTGCTTCTGCCCAGTCAGAAGGCGATCCCATAGGTAGATGAGTCCTCATCATATCTATACGCCGGTCGTTTGATCCACATGTCGCTGTTGTGGCCGCCAACGGGCGTGGCAAACAATTTTGAGCGTCTTCACCACAAATGAGCTAGTCCACCAAAAACGCTCCTCTCTCCCTTTTCATAAACCATTTTGTTTCCTGCGGATAAAGCGAAAGTGGATGGAGCGGAGTATAGGCGTCGCTCGTTCATCATGCACACGCCAGCCAGGGATGCTGGGTTTCAACATCTGCTTTAAGACACATCATCATCATAATGCAAAATCATTATACTCTTTTCTTCCCCTTGTAACGCATTTCCTAATATTGAATCATTTTCGTTCCCATGATTTCATGTTCATGTCTGATTATGATGTTTTGTGTTACATATGGGCCAAATGCTACTAAACGAAACCTAAAATTTGAATGGGTCGGGTGGGTTTCCAGGTAGCCGGGATGGGCTTTATCCATCGGACTATCCGATAAACTAACTAACTAACGCAGTCGTTCGGCCCGCTCACTCTGCCTCTCCTTTCTTCTTCACTCATTGATTTGATTGGGTCTTCTCTTCTTCGCATCCCTTTCTCCTCTCCATCGGGACTCCAACAATCGTCCACGTCTTCTTTCTTCGGCTCTCTCCCACACTGCCTGGCATTTCCCTTCTGATCTCCACTCGAACTCTTTCCCACCGCCATGGAAATCGATCCTCCCCTCCCCAACGGCAACTCTCCAGCCGCCGCACCCCTCCCCGTCCATCCTGCTTCTACCGTCACCACCCCCGCGCCGCCGTCGAACCTGGCGCAACTGACAGAATCCTTGAAGCTTGAGCACCAGTTTGCCCGCGTCCCCTTCGAGCACTACAAGAAGACGATCCGCGCTAATCACCGCGCTGTCGAGAAGGAAATCTCTTCCGTCGTCTCCGGCGTTAATGAAGCCGCCGGTTCCGATTTGACCAAGGACGACGCCGTCGAGCACCTCACCTCCCTCGTCTCCAGATTGCAGGGACTCAAGAGAAAGGTGAAAGGCATAAAATTGGGATTCTTCCGTTTACCTTGTTTCCGAATTAATTTAGTAATTAGTAATTATGTTTTGTTAGTTAGTGCATACCTATCTATCTCGACGGATAAGACTATTTGTTTTTGTGTTGCTTATGGTGATTGTGGTTGTTGGTTTTGTGTGTGTTTAATTTGGTTCAGCTGGAAGAAGGTAGTCGTACCGAGAACCTGCAAGCACAAAGGTGTCGTGCTCGTCTTGACCATTTAGAATCAGCAGATGCTGAGAATTTGACCGAATGGAGCAACACGCGTCTGAAGCGAATTCTTGTAGACTATATGTTGCGGATGTCTTACTATGACACTGCAACGAAGCTAGCTGAAAGCAGCAACATTCAGGTAGTTGAAATTGATCCCACTGGTTGAGGCTCTTCATGTGGTATTCGGTGTATGATGCGCTTGTTAATGAATTTGTCTTTCTTTCATATCTCTATCTAATCCTTTTGAGTCATTGTGATCTCAGGATCTGGTTGATATTGATGTATTCCAAGAAGCGAAAAGGGTTATTGATGCTCTCCAGAATAAAGAAGTGGCTCCTGCTTTAGCTTGGTGCGCTGAAAACAAGTCACGGTTAAAGAAGTCCAAGGTGAGCAGCTACTATATGTGTTGCTCATTTCTTTATGGACCATGCTATGGTGCTACCTGGGTTGGAGAATAATTCCTGCCCAGTTGAGACACAATCAAGTTTTTGGTTTTCCCTTTCTCTATTTGTCTATGCTTTCTTATTAGAATTATTTTGTTATTATTTACGGTCAAGTATTTTGATTCTTCCCGTTTGGGATTTAAGTGCTTGAGAATAGGCTTTTTCTTTTCATCAAAGGAAGCTAATGATGGCATAATTTGGAGTTAACTTTGAGTTTCGGGTCTATAATGATAAAATTTGGAGATGAATCTCTGGTATTGGGAGGATTCCGACTCCTGACCTGGAGCGGAGAAAGGATTGCACCAATTTTGCTGCCTGTTATCAAGTTTTCCAATGGGGCGTAATCTGAAAATCTGCCATTTTTGGTTCCCTGTGTTTCTGGTATCGTGGAATCATCAGAACTTGGTGACATACGGCTTTCAATTCATTGAAGTACTTGATTGCTCACCTCATCCCTTTTGTGCTTATAAAAGAGAATTTGGAACTTAAAACTCAGACTAGCAATTTTGGGGCTTTAAGGGTTAGTGGTCCACGGTTCTAGGATTTGGGACTGGCAATTAGGCCCTTCTAAGGGTTCTCAATTTTTCAATTGGTAAGACGGAACATGATGAAGAGAACAACGAAAGACATACATGCTTGGCTGGATGCCAATGGGTGCAGATGGAGTTCTTCTCCAACCAGGGAGGAGCGTAGCATTGTGCTTTGTTCATTGTGAAATAGATTATAGAGTGTTTTCTTTATACAATTAGAGCAAACTTAAACTGTATTTTATATTGTGAATCATGATTGCAATGTTGTCACTTTTCCCATCTCAGGATGTAACAACCTTTATATAGCACAACAGTAACTTAAATTTAGTTTTCATTGTGAACCATTTAAGTTGCTGACTGTACTATAGGAATATGTGCAAACTATAATTTGATAGGAGAACCCCCAATTGCAGCCATGGGAGCTTATTTACGATCTTGTAATTTCTTTGGTATGCTAATTTGTTCGGAGTGATGCCAGAGCAAATTCGAGTTCCTGTTGAGACTTCAAGAGTTCATAGAATTTGTGAGATCCGATAATCACATGCGTGCCATTGCATATGCTCGGAAATATCTTTCTCCATGGGGAGCTACCCACATGAAAGAGTTGCAGAGGGTCATGGCCACTCTGGCTTTCAAGAGTGGTACTGTATGTGCTGCATATAAGGTAATCATATATCCCCTCTATGAAAAAGTTCTCTTTGACTACTGCCCAGTCAACGTGATTATCTCTGTGATTGATTGATGATATCTTGAACTGGTGATTATGGATTCTGAGATCTTATAGTTACCTGGGTTTCTGATACAGATTTATGTGGACGTTCACTTTCTTTCACATGTTTATTATGTGTTATTATTGCATAGTGCCATACTTTGGGAGTGCAGAATCATGCTATGGCCTTCTCTTCAGACGTTTATTTCAACTGTGCTTTCTCCTTGGAGTACTCTGCCTACATGCTCAAACATATGGTGATTCTGATCGTCTCTCTATGGTACTTTGCTCTTTACAGGTTCTTTTCGAGCCGAAGCAATGGGACTATCTGGTGGACCAATTTAAACAGGAATTCAGCAAATTATATGGGATGACTGTTGAACCACTGCTGAATATTTACCTACAGGCAGGGCTATCTGCCCTGAAGACCCCGTATCCACTTACTGCCAGTCATTTAACTGCTTACTGTTTTCAAAATATGTCGTTTTTCCATTACCTGTCATTATTGTTACCGGATTTCCGAACCTTTTTTTGCACAAAGCAGATTTCCACACAGAACGGCTGGAGGTATGCTTTGAAAAATACTATTTTCCAAGTAGGTGTTTCAGCTTGACTGTGCATTTAGATATTGCTATGATGATGACTGCCCGAAAGAGGATCCACTATCGCAAGAGACCTTCCGCAAGTTAGCATTGCCATTACCCTACTCTAAGCAGCACCACTCAAAGCTCGTCTGCTACATAACTAAAGAGCTCATGGACACTGAGAACCCACCACAAGTCTTGCCCAATGGCTATGTCTACAGCACTAAGGTAGCGGCACTATGCTCTCACAAGTCATAAAAATAGATTACCAGCTCGTGTAATTGGTCCTCTTGGCATATCCCTATATGTTGCAGGCACTTGAAGAGATGGCCAAGAAGAACTACGGTAAGGTGACCTGTCCAAGAACAGGACTGGTTTGCAATTACTCAGATGTGGTGAAAGCATACATTTCATAAATCATGGAGATCTACAGAATCCCTTGATCTTGTAAGAGTGCTTAACGACTTCCCAGCGAGATTATGTGAATATTAGTGCTGGGCCATAAAACTTGCTGGACAACCTACTTCCCTGGGTAACTCCTCTTGTTCCTTTGCCTTACGATTGGCGATTGTCTCTGGATACATTACATTGTAAATATTGCATGTATTGCTCAAAAGAAACCGAGTTTATCTTCGATCAGAATAACCAAAATCCAGAATGGGATTGAGGAGTAGTTATCCCCCTTTTTCTGTTTCCTCTTCCTGAACATTGTAGATATTGTTGTCCAGCCAGGTGATGGAATGTACTTCAACTTAATATATCATTTTGTTCTCTACATCGGATGCACTAGATGCAACGATGCGAGTCTGCGGTTTTGCAGTACAGCTTAGGAACTAAGCCAAAATAATGTAATAGCCGCAATGAACTGAATTTCTTCGAAATTTGACGATTATGTGTTTACTAGGTACAGCGATATCCTGATTTCCAACCCAAGAACATGATTGTTAGGAAATTTGTGAAATCTGCAAATCACTTTTAGTCAGGTACTAAGGTTAATCAGGGAGTCGCACAAACTACATTGGATCTATAATTACTAGTTTACTACTAACAATATTGGCATCCACCCCCCAAAATTCTTTGCATTCTCCTGTAACTAGATTTCCCGTTGTGATCTCCCAGCCCCTAGGGCGCAGGCCGATCCTGAGCCGCCGTCCTAAGGATGCAGGCAGATTGTTATCCACCATGTGAACTACATGTTTTAGAAATGTATCCGGAGAATTTGTTTGTGGCAAGTGCTAGTTTCAAGTGTTGTAAGTAGGACGATCCACCATCTTCGCTACACCTTTGGACAACTTTTCACAATAATTCTCAAGCCACGCTGAAGCAGATTTGAGAACGCGGAGCTCACCAGTGTGGAGGTCCATTGCCATTTGCCTTCGAAATGAGTGTCTTCCAGATGCAGAGACGACAAAACTCTGAGATAGTAAAGACTGCAGAATTAGGCAAAAGACAGGCTTTAGGTTAAGACCCCTTTCAAAATGTTTACACTATTTTAGCACTCTAGACACGTCATAAGTACTAAGTAGCGAGATACAGTTAGAAATTGACCTTAATAGATGCATGGCATTGGTCAATCAGTCGATTAATGTGTGACAACAGGATCGTATGAGCTCGGATCTCTCTGCTGTTATCCTTGAAAGGGCGACGTGCCAAACGACCGTCGTTTTGTGCAGCTTCCACAGCCAGATCACTTAAATCTGACACGTTTCATTGCAAATTTGATATTCCTATATTAGGGACTGGCGCAGCCAAAACAAATAGCACGGAAGTGCAAATAGGTTCCTTTACTGAAATAGAAGACTGTTTCACATTTAAGAATGTGGTTACAGGGCCATACCTTCAGGATGAGTACAACTCAGAACACGAGCAAAAGCACGGATTGATTGTGGAATGCCCTTCCCTCTCCCTTCTGCCGACTTCACTTCCCTGTTTGTGATGTTACAGATAGAGAAGTAAGCATGGAAATTCATACCTTTTGCTGTCATTTTAAAACATAAAAGCCAGAAAGGAAACAAGTATGGATTCCTCGAGCTCAAAGGGAAACCTTCACCAAGGTTACACAACTAATATGCCTAGTTCAATGTTCTTGACCAAGTTAGGACTGAACAAACAAAAGAGCACTCCTCAAATTCCCAAGTCCAAACAGATACTTCATCACCCTACAGGCTACAGCTTGGGAACTGTCTCCGTATATTCTATTTGTGGCCTTTGAGATTAATATTATAACATGCATCAGTTCTCACCTGATTGTGAAACAATTCCAAGATGATGACTTCACATCATTAGCATCACAGATTGTTGGTAACTCATGTCTTTGCAAAATCTCCATCTTCATTTGATGCAAAATATCCCCATCTGGAACACTCATCTGGATCTCCACCTGAGAACTGACTCCTGAGTTACTTAACTTGGAGCAGAAAATAATACACATGGAAGAACAATACAAAGGAGATTTAAGAAAGACAGGTATATTATAATAACGAATTCTACCATATGAAAGATATAGTAGGTCAGATTTCAGAATGCTACAGATCAAATACATTACACCCATCAAGTACAAGAAGCTGGTTTCGGTACCAGCTCAACTAACTCAGTTCCAGATTAGCCACGACCCACGTCTATTGGGTCTATGAAAGAACTATTGTTCAGAAGCCAAATGAACCTGATCATGGATATTATGTTGAATCGTAAATCCAAAGTCCAACATCAGTGTAGCATTTGCCAACTTTCCATAACTGATTCGTACCTGTCAAGTTTCTCCATACCTGGTCAGTACAGGGGATTAAAGCAGCCTAGTTGACATACAAATGAGGAATTCTAGGACATTACAAATAATAACAAATGTTGCCAATATTTACATTTTAACTGGTTAACAGCATCCTGAATAGTGTGTCAAGAAAACTACAAGCTGCTTTTAGGATTTTTCAAAGGTAGTCATAAGTCCATAACAGATCAACAAATTATTGGCAGCAATATTTTCATTCTTCACATATTCCCTCCATTTGACCCCTTGCATAGACTGAAATTTGTAGTCACACTAGCTTAGTCTTATTCCAACGGTTCGTAAAATGAAATTTATTATGCTTAACAAGCCTCTAGTTCTTTTTAAAACAAGCCTCTGAACTCCATGTTTTCATAAAATATTTTCTCTATGAAAGCACAAGTGTATATATGTACTCTATGCTGACCTCTTCTTCAGGGGCATAGTTGCAGTCAGCAGTCACCTGCATATTATTAATGAATTAAGCCCATCATTATAAATAGGGTCACCACTGAGTGAATGCATGAGAGGAAAGGATTAGCCAGTTGCAAATGGCAAAATGATTTTCCTCGTATAGATTCTATTTCTGAGGTTCATGTTCTTAGACAAGAGAATGAGCTTATGAAGAATTTTGGTAGGTGGTTCGAAGATACTCCAAATAGTTCGGCTGCTAGTTAGCTTAAACAAGAGAAAGAACAGCAGAAATATACCTCAGACTCTTGTTTCTCCTCATCATTCACCACAATTGCTTCAGAAAAGCCATCATGGTTCAAGAAATCTGCAAATGGAATCTATAGAATAATGAATAATTTCCAAGACCTTAACCTCAGCAAAGAATGACTGAAGAAGCAAAAGCTTAATCATTAGAAGCGTACCAGAGAAACCCCCTTCGGGCATTCCCAAGCTCTAGATTTCACTGTCACATTGGTAAGAGATCAGTTTTACAACTTTAGCACTGTGCTAAAAACAGGGAATTATTACCAATATCTGTAAGTAAAAGGTAATGAAAGATTAAGCATCACAAATATTTTCGTGCTTTGAGAGCAACGGTCAGTAGCTTTGAAGGAATTAACAACTGCCTTAAATTCACACACTTAGCGCTAAATGCCTTCCAACAGCTCAGCCTGACAAACAATGTAGTCCTTAAGATTTTTTAACCTCACCCATCTTTAAGAAGTGATAGTTACCATCAAGAGCATATAATGTAGCCAATGGCTTCAAAGAAGTTGCTAACCTAAAGCATACGCATGCATGAAATCCTCATACAAGATACTTCCAAAGACCTCGGGAAAGGTTTCAAGAACCTGTGAGAAAAGAAGAAAGCAAACAAAGAATAAGATAGAACAGTATTAAAAAAGACCAACCACGCAAAGCTGATACCAAGTTATTAATGCCATTTGAGTTTTGTAATGTTGGACCAGAGTACTAATTGACAGAGACCTCTGGAGTAGTAATACTTTTACGCCCCATCCCAAATTGGTACAGACTGGAAATAGAACTGACATCCTATCCCAAAAAGAAAGGAAACAGAAACTAAGGTAAAGATTTCATTGTTCATAGCCAGTCAGCCACACAAAAAGGTTACATTAATAATCACACTATCAGAGCCATTAACAACAACAAAAACACTCACTCTCACACACGAGAGTGAACCACAGAAAGCAAACTGAACTTACTGGTCTGATCTTTGAGAATGCATCTCGAATAATAAATTTTTGTTTAATGGTTTCCTCATATACTGTGCTTCCATAAATCATGTTTAACTCATCTTCACTCCAGAACACCTGCAGGAATTCCCCATGAATATGACATCCACAAACACATATAGAACAAACTGTTGATTAGATCTAGTAGCTGAAATAGTCATGCACACGAAGGAACAATACATAGTCATTAAACTCGAGCACACTCCAGCAGCTAATTGAGGCAGGTAGTCACAACAACTGACAAGACTCAACTGCTTTTACATGCCAACTGAACCATAGCATCGTGAAAAAAAATATTTCTAAAACTTCACAAAGTTAGTTAAGGAGAGAACAAACTGTGCTATTCATTTCTTCAAGGCGAGGAAAACAGCTGATATAGGGAGCCCACCTGGAGTCCTGGTATAAGGAAAATCCATAAACAACAAACAAAGGGTTCTTGCATGAGAGGCAGTGACATGTTTACCTTTCTAGGACTCCTATTTGCAAACTAAAATTGCCACTACAAGCATAAGCATGGATAGAATTCAGCACAAAATATATCGAATTCACCTTGCCATGTTTCCTTTCCGCCAAAATGGCAACAGCAACCATTGAGACATGATCAACTTCATCAACCAATATAACCTTGACGTCCCGAGGTAGATTATCAGGTGCTATTTGCTGAAGATAGAGTAGCAAGACTACTTAGTACCGTTTCTACTTGTCTCACAAAAGCTAAACCCATTCCACAAACAGGTGACACGCTAAGAGTAGCCTACCGCGTTGAATGGAACCTTTAATATGCAGTCTCCCCTCTGTATGTGTTGAGAAGCAAACAGGGATCTGCACATGAAAATCTCAAATTCAATGGAAGGAGGAGCTTTCCACTTTTAGAGCCACAGTAGTAACTATCCCTAAGTTGTGCTGCTGCACAGTACATTTCCATAAAGGGCTCCACATCAACAGACATTCCAAACTAAGCTATCTGGATCCACAGCTAAACTCCACCTCAACAAAATGCAAGGAATAACTGCTTTCCAGCTGTGACAAAATATATATGGCAATCTATAATTCGTATATGGTGAATTCTGTAACTTTGCTGCCCAATCAATCAGTAACTCATCCCATCTCCCATTCAATCACAACAGTTTCTACTGCTTCCTATACAGAACGTGTTGATCATATCCCAGAACTCCATTATCGAATGCCAGCAATCGTTAGTTGACGATATAAATTATCCCTTCCAGATAGCCAAATTTATCTTTGATTATCTCAATCACCCCCAAGAAATGCGAGGAGGGGAACAAACAAACACAAGTTTCCAACTTCTCGCTGATCAAACCAAATAGAGAGTTGTAATAACAAAAGGAAGAAGAAGAAGAAGAAGCTATACGAGACAAGTAATTCTTCAAACGATGCTTCAAAATTCGGTGGAAGCAATGAAAAGAACCTGCCGTATGACGATTTCCCGATGTAAAGCTTGGTCGAAATCTCAGCTCCTGCTTTCTCCTCTAACCACGGCAAAAATCCACGGCAGTCCTCATCCGGAGGATTCAACAGCTAGCACCGCCGTAAACAAAACAACGCAATGCTGAACGGTGATTATAGGGAGAAAGAATGAGGCAACAGAAGAAGATGCCTAAGCTCTGGAATCATTCATTCGTACCTTGGCTTGTGACGAAGAGGAAGAGATGTTTGATTTGGCGGAGAAACGAAGAGAGACGGTGAATAGTCGCCGTCGATACCTGGACGGAGTGGATAACAGCATCCGTCTGCAGTTGCCGGTAAAATGAAAAGGTGTCAAATGACGTTTGCTCCGAAGTTGGCCAGTGTAATCATTCTGTCACGGCCGGAAAGATGGTGGTAGAGGATTAGGACATGACTTTTTTTCATTAGGTCACTCATATTATCAAGAAAAGAAAACAAATCAAAGTCAATACATCATTATGAATCAATCAGGACATAAAATCAAACTCCAATAGAATTAAACTGGACCCACCAAATTATCACCAAAACCAAACTCCAATCATTGTAAAGTCAATAATGCATATGTATTATAACTATCCTCACAAAACTATCACCAAAACCAAACGACCCCAAAGTACTCTCCATCAAATGGACAATCCTGTATTTTATCCGCCAATAAAGAAAATATTAAAGATCTTAAAATATTCCTGAAGGACGGCTATGTTTATCAAAATGGCACCCCCACGAGCATCCAACCCAATTTCGTTGCGAATCTTATCCAATACAATTTTCGTATCACTAGCAAACACTACCTGCTTGACGTCGTGAAGCACACACCAACAAATCGCCTCTCTTGGCACCAATAGTTCCACACAAAAAAAAAATCATTGACTTCATCAAACAATCGACCTTCCATCTCCAAAAGCATTCACTATGAATCATGCAAAACCATCCCCTAGCGGCCTAGCCCCATGAGTTCCAGGCTTCCAGCCCAAACTGCGTCGTTAGCTAAAACCCTCACATGAAACATGACATTGCGATAACAAAGCTGGCTCCACGCCTCCACCACACCAAAGTTTGAGTTCCAACTTCCTGTTAGATAGCATAAACTTACGAACAGAAACGATAATGAACACACAGGTTTACGTGGTTTCCCCGTTCAGTGTGAACGAGACTATTCCACGACCGAAGCTATATGATCCTCTTATTCAGCTTAACTTCAGCATACGGTTACATACGTATTTATATAAGCTAGGTGCAAACCCTAGCTAGCCTCTCGGCATACCCCATACCCGCCAAACCCAATACATACGAGATAGGCAGCCTGAGTCCGAAGCCGCGTCTCCTCCTGGATGAGAGCTCCCAAGACCCCTTCAATTCGGAGATTCTCGCGGTTCAAGAGAGAAGCCCGGATCGTCTCAAATTCCGGGTTCAAGCGCATCAGGAACTGCATCAGCCTGATCTTCTCCCTCTCGGCCTTGACTTCTTGCGTACCGGCGGTAGTCAGAAGGCTTGCAATGATCATGTCCTGTTCTGTCCACAGGTTGCGAGCTGCGTTGTAGTACGAAGTCACATCCAGACTCCCTTGAAACAGCGCCGCAAGTTCGACCTCGACCTCATATTGGCGAGATGCTCCAGCTGTCTTGTACGTATCAGCTAGATACTTCCACATGGCGGCTGCGGTAGGTAGCATGCGTAGACCCAAAATAATTGATGGATCGACCGAATTAAGGAGCAGCATCCGAACCTTGGCATCGGTGAGAACCCATTGTTTGTGCGCTTCTTCATCCGTTGCGGCAGGTCGAGCGGCCGTGCCGTCGAGCCAACCGAGAAACCCTTTCCCTTCAATCAACGTACAGAACTGAAACTCCCATATTGCATAGTTCTTGGAGTTGAGACGTGCAGTAATCTGATCAGACGACATTGGCTCTGATACCATGTTAGATAGCATAAACTTACGAACAGAAACGATAATGAACACACAGGTTTACGTGGTTTCCCCGTTCAGTGTGAACGAGACTATTCCACGGCCGAAGCTATATGATCCTCTTATTCAGCTTAACTTCAGCATACGGTTACATACGTATTTATATAAGCTAGGTGCAAACCCTAGCTAGCCTCTCGGCATACCCCATACCCGCCAAACCCAATACATACGAGATAGGGGAATGGGCCGAGCCCATGTACATCAACACTTCCAACCTACCAATCCACCCAGCTATGCCTCATCCTGCACGTGATGCTGCCACTCACCTAGCTGCTAAGATAACTGCATGGACAACATATCAAAAGATTATTGTGTATACTCAAACACCACCCAGTTTTGAGGCTTTCGAATGTGCTACAAACAAGGCAACCATACCCATAACCCGTTCCCGCGCCATCCCCGACCGTTTGAGAAATCTACTCCAAAACAAAGTGACATTAACCACAGGCAAAGTACCCCAAACAACCCAAACCCCAGTTTTCTTCCAAAGCATACGCGTTGAATAACCGTCGAAAAAGAAATACTCAAGAGACTCCTCCTCCTACCCACAGACCAGACAAAGCACCAAAGCCCGAAATCCCCCCTAGTGGCAATGACCTCCCCTCTTGGTAGAACCTAATGAAGGAACTACCATAGATTTAGACGGGACATACAAAACCCAAACCACGAATCACAACCCTTTATCTAACACAACTTTATATTTCAACAAAATTACTATAGGAATATCAACCAATTTGATTTTTCTAAATCCGAGCAAACACGACGTATGCTTGATTCCTAATTTCCTATATCAAATTTCAACGTGGATTGTAAAGATTACAAAAACCAACGAACTTTAGAAAATATTAAATACTCACGTAATTTCGATAAAAAAAATATATAAGAAAAATAGAAAATACTCCACAACGACCACTTAACTTAAACCTTGACCGGCAACCAGCTGCCACCCTCCTCCTCCATTTCTTTTCTACAGCCTTAACGTTTTATCTTTTTTCTCGCGACCTAAACACGAACCGACCTCGGCTCCTCTCCCTTCCCATTTTACCAACTTGAATTTTCCCAGCCCTCATTCATTAACTTATCCCTCTTCGTTAATTTTTCCCGTTCCTTTGTACTCGTTTTGCTCCATTGCTGATTGATTCGCGCGCGTTCATATTCCGTGATTAATTCTTTGTTCAACTTTTTTTCTCCTCTCTTTTCTTCTTCTGTCCCGTTTCCTTCTGATGTCAATCCATCTCTGCTGTTTCCGTTTCCCGTTTTGATCTTTTATATCTCTGTATCTCGTTTCCCTCTTCCAATTCGCTTTCGGAGGAGCTACAGCTCGCTGAGAGCGCTTTCTTCCCCCCTGCAAGGTTAGGGTTTTGATTTTGTGGTATTGAACGATGGTGCTGGAAAACTTAGTTCCGTCTAAGCTAATTGTGATTTCTTGTATTTGGGGAATTCAGGTAGGTAACTGAGCGATGATGAATCAAGGAGTTAACGCCCAGACTGTTGCAGCCGCGGACCCTAACTCGCTTGAGGTAAATTCAAAGCTCAGCTTTACCTCGAATTGCATTGGATCATTAATATACTGAAGGACTCAAGCTGTGACTTTTATCAGTTCATTTGTCACGATAAGTTAATTCAACTTAAGATTGGGAAGCACCAATCTCTTCCTTTCCCACCTTTCGGTTAATATTGTTAAACTTTGAGGAAGGAGATTGCTAGATTTTAATTAATTATGTTGTGTTTTATTTTGGCACTTGTATAGATTCAGTCAGTAGCCATGTTGACAGTGAGTTTGTTCTATTTTTCAGAGCAGATATGCAATTAATGCAAGCCAAGGGCAGGCACAGTCATATCTTCCCTCAGCACCTGGGTCTGAGGCTGCTTCACGGACAGTGCACAAGGTAGAGGGTTATCCCTCACAGGATGGAGTGCCAGCAAACGCCAGTTATCAACATGTTCAACAGCCAGAGCCACACACACAAAATGTTCAGGATGGCTCATATGTGGCCCCCCTTTCTAGTTCCTCGAGTACGGGAACTGCTAGTGCACCACAAGACTACAATAGTTATACATCATACTCAAATACCACAGATCCTTACAGTGCATATTCAGGATACTACAATGGCTATCAGCAACAAACTAACAATCAATACTCTCAGCAGCAACCCAACCCCTCGTACTCTCAGCCGGTAGAAGCATATCAAAATACAGGTGCTGCTTATCAGCCTAATTCCTCATTTCAGAATACTGGGTCTTATGCTGGGACTGCATCTTATTCAACCACTTACTACAATCCTGGTAATTATCAGACATCTGGAGGTTACCCAAGCAGTGGATACAATAATCAGCCAACCGCTTGGAACAATGGAAGTTATGCCAATTATACATCCTACCAGTATCCAAATTACACTTCAGATACTTCAAGTGCCTATAGTTCTGTTTCAGCGCCTGCAACTTATCAGCAGCAATATAAGCATTGGCCAGAGTATTACAGTCAAACAGAAGTTACATGTGCACCGGGAACAGAACACTTGTCTGCTGCTAGTAACAGCAACCATGGAAGTTCACTTCCTAGTGTCTCTGGTGGGTACCCTACACCTACCAACCAGATTCAGCCTCAGTCACTGCCTCCGCCTCCACCCCTACCCCCTCCGTCCCTTACCTCTACTTGGAGGCCAGAAACCAGTTCATCTGAACTGCCTTCCATGCAGGTTTGGTGTTGTTCTTCCACCAGTTCGGTGTAATACAAGAAAACATTACCTGTGTTCCTTGTTTGAAATATGAGGCTAAAAAGTGACAGAACAAAATATCACTTTTACCATCATATCTTCACCTTGCGTCAATAATTTTATGCATGTGGTTAATGTATGAGATGATAGTAGTAGTAATACCGAGGGGCGTTCATTGAAAGAAAAAAAAAACAAAAGGATCTAGTTGAATTCACGTGGGTTGGAGCCGTAGCTAATAGATACTTTCCAGATTACCAACCTTAGTGCTTTCTCTTACAAATAAGTGATGTGGGGATGATAACATTGACAACAATTCTGGGTGGGCAACACCACCTATCAAAAGCAAATGCTTGTGCTAATTTGATATGTTAACCGTTATTCTAAGAAAGACCCGTTTAACAGAATAATTCCTTAATACGGTTCCTCGATTATCCTAAATGAAAAATGTTCCTGGACGTAGGCAGTGAACAGAAGCAACATGTGTGGTCTGCATATTTTTGCTACCATGAATTGCGTTCTTGTCTCCATGTAACATACTTGCGTTTTCTGTTGGTCATTGCTTCCTGTTTTTCAAGGTATGTTGTTTTACGGTTGGTTTATTTAAACCACTTTTGTAATAAATATTAGTACTGAAATCTTATGAAAAGTTGATGAATTGGCAAAGAATGGTTTAAGTTGTGGCAGATATTTACTCAGGAGATGTAATTTTTTGGTGCTCCCGCTCCCTTCTGTCTTTGATTATATATCAATTAAATGATTCACATTTTATTCTTTTTACTCGGTAATTGTCAGACTGTTTTGATATATTGGTAGCTGAAATCATTTGGGTACATGTTACATGTATCAGTATAAGGGAACATTACTTCTGGTTTTATTACATCTATGTGCTCTTGATCCTTACTCAGTATTATGTGGTCGCATACCAGTCTACACTTGTTTATTTTTTGTTGTTAGATTATCCTCTGCCTATTGTTGGTCTAACTAATAGCTCTCTTGTTTTGATTCGGTGTCAGCCTGGAGGAGCAGCCAGTGGTGCTCCTAATAATTACTGGAACCAGCCGGCTCCAAGTTTTCAAACTCATCTTGCTGCTCCTACTCAGCCAATATATCAAAACTCTTTGGACTCAAAAACTTCTTATGAAAATTTTCAGGAACTAAAGACTGCTCCTCAAGGATTAAATTCCCAATATCCTGTTGTTCATCAGGTGTCCCAGAATTATCAATCAACTTTACCAACTGTTCCATCATTTGATGCGCGAAGGGTAAGCAAATTGCAGATTCCAACAAATCCTAGAATTGCTTCGAATGCAGCTCTTGGCATAGCAAAAACAGAAAAGGACAGTTATGCGGCCAATTCAGCTCCGAAGCCGGCTTATATTAGTGTTTCTGTACAAAAGCCAAATGACAAGATGTCGCCAAATAATGCTGCTGATCCTATGCTGAAGGTAAAATTTTCTTGCTTGACGATATGCCATAAGAATGATGCTAAGGTTAGTACTATACGGGCTGCTTTAAAATGGTTGGTAACAGTTGATCCTGAACTGGCAACTTGAGATTATGGCAAGTGCAGAACTTCAGGAGCTTAGTTTTCGTTACTTTCTATCATGAAACCAAAATGTGTCACAGAGGTTAAGTCGCTTTATACATTCAAATAATCTCATTTTGAAAGGGAGGGTGGTTCTCTGAGTTGAACCCGCTACCTTCCCAATCAAATGAAAACTGTAATGTCGGGGTGGAGTGACCAATGAGTTTTTACTTGTTTCCTCCACTCCCTGAATTTTGAACGTAGGGTGGTTTCTCTGGCCTAAACCTGTGAGGCTACTACCTGTTAAGGCGGAGTGGAATGGCATAGACGTCACAATGATGATGTGCATTCATCTCTCATTTTATTGTAAACTGTGTTCCACCGACTTTTTTGAGCTTTTACAGCTAAGGCACTTAGATACTACCCTTGTAGTATCATTTATGTCAACGAGTGTAGGTATTGGAAGTGATCACGTTTCATGATACTCAGTATTGTTCGTTGGATATTTACAGACTTTGGCATTTGTTTCAAAACTTTTTTCTGCAGCCTACCATGCTCCCGAAGTCATTACGTGGGTATGTTGAAAGGGCTTTTGGGAGATATAAAGATGATGATGCTAAAAGGGCAGCTTGTGAAGCATATATGAAGGATGTGAGTTCAACTGATTATCATTCCTTCTAATGAGACCACTGGGAGATAAAGTTCATGCTTCGATTCTCATTTGAAATAGTATTCATGCTATCTGTTACCACTTAACCTGGATCAGAATAATGATCTTTCGTATTGTCGACTTGTTTTAACCATTAAGATTTTATCACATTTTTTAATCTGGGCTATCAGATATCATTGATGGGTGTTCTTGGTACTTTTCTTCAGATCATCACTGAAGCACGTGCTGATGGTACACTTTATACTAGAGATTGGGATAGTGAGCCTCTTTTCACAGTACCAGACTCTCTTTCCATCAGCAAGGCGTACGTTCTATGCATATTCTCACTGATCAGTATAGATTACATTCCATCATGCATTTTCACGAGCAAGCCATTCTCCACTTCCTATATACCTATGGTTTCAAATCTAAAATTTCATTCTAATCTGAGCAGTGATATTTGTGCTCTTCCTGGCTGCAGAAATATACAAACTCCAACTCATGCTTCAATACCAAATTATAATAAGTGTCCAGTCAGACGGTCTAAAAGCAGATGGGAGCCTTTGGCCGAAGAGAAAATGTTGGAAAAACCTGTTTCTGCCAGTAATGAGATTGGAAAATATGGTAGCTGGGACAGAAAGGTAATCATATTCAACTCTTCCGCATTTCCTAATGGTCTTAAACTTGATTTATTTGAATCACTTTTTCACTGTGCCATCATTCTATTTTTTATTATCACTGCAGACTTTCAGTGGGTACTCTGCTACCAAGGATAATTCTCTCAGTAGTTTCAGATTTTCTGGATCACAGCAGAGAACTCCTAGCAAAAGTGCCCAGAGGCCCATGAAAAGGCAACGCATCGTAAATGGTACTGGTTTAACTAACAATGATGATGATGCATCAAGTGACAGTGACAAGGAGCAAAGTTTGACAGCATATTATTCTGGTGCAATGGCATTGGCTAACAACCCAGAGGAAAAAAAGAGACGAGAAAGTCGATCTAAGCGTTTTGATAGAGGGCAAGGGCATCGCCCGGACATCAATTATTTCAAACCAAAAAATGCTGGTCCAGCAAACTTGTATACCAGAAGAGCTAGTGCCTTGATGCTTAGTAAGAGCTTTGATGATAGTGCAAACCAAGCTGTTGAAGACATTGATTGGGATGCACTCACTGTTAAAGGAACATGTCAGGAAATTGAAAAACGCTTTTTGCGTCTCACTTCTGCACCTGACCCCTCCACTGTATGTATTTCTTGATGGGCCTTGTCCTGCTCTTATCTGCTTCCTTAGGTGAGATCAAATGGGGTAGACATTGTTAATTTCTATACATTTTGCAGGTGAGACCAGAAGATGTACTAGAGAAAGCTTTGTTAATGGTTCAAAATTCTGAAAAGAACTACCTTTATAAGTGCGATCAGTTGAAATCCATCCGTCAGGATATTACTGTACAGAGGATAAGGAATCAGTTAACTGTTAAGGTGCAATTTCTTTATATCGTTTAGTATATGAAAAGAACTCTCTATGCTATGGCCTTATACATCCATTAGTCCACTAGCTGCATAATTATGGGCAGTGGTATGATTGAATCTTTAATCGTGTGGAAGATCAATTCCAATGGTCCTACTTGAAAAAGGAGGTATATGCAACGTTAGAGTTAGTTAATTTATCATAGATTCTTAGTTTGCGGTATCCTTAGGCTACTTTAGCATGTCACTAACTCTAATCATGCTTAGTCCTTCCAGAAATGTTTTGTTGCTTTTTTTTTGGGTGTGTATGACTTGTTAGGGTTGTATTTGGATTCTCTTATCTAGTTTTTACTTATGGATGTCACGGATTTTATAATCTGCAATTCAAAGTTTTTGAAGTCCTTCAGTGGATATGAATTCACAGTCGACTAGTGCACATGAATATCAGAAAATTTTGGCATGTTTTAACTATTTTGGTCGTGTTGCATATTCATTCAGGTATATGAAACACATGCAAGACTAGCAATGGAAGTTGGTGACTTGGCTGAGTATAATCAGGTATGTAGCTTTGCTACTCTTTGGGTATAAAATGCAATGTAGTCAAAATCGCGATATAAAACTTAAAAACTTACGATTTTACGTTTCTAGGTCACTAAAATGCTTCTACACAAAATCTCAGTTTTTATAACTTATGTAGTTAAAAAATCCGCTTTAAAACTTAAAAACTTACGATTTTACGCTTCTAGATCACCAAAACGTTTCTATGTTGAAACTCGCTTTTGACTACATTGATCAAATGCATGTTTTACTTGTATTTTGAAATGTAATTTGCTTTGGTAATATGTGGGCCTGAAATATATTTAATTGAAGTGAGGGTTCACTAAACAATCTGCTGACATGTGAGTGTGATGAAGTCTGAGATTCATAATACAGAAAAAAGAAAAGAAAAAGAAAGAGAGTCGGAGCGTATAAGAAAAGTTTGAAAGAAAAAATGGTGATCAATTTTTTGTTTCAACTTCTCTTGGACTGAGCAATAGCTTCTTTTTTGCAACTATTGAATCATAGATGCAGTGAGTTGCATTAGCTTTTTTGAGGCATATCTGCTATTCTTATTTGAGTATTTTGTCTTTCATTCATGCATGTCAGCTGTTACATAATTTGTTTGTTAAAGGCAATGTGAATGTGACCTTGATCGTCTAGAGCCTTAGATCCTCAGGAAAGGAATTTTGATATCTGAAGTCAATCCAGATGCCACCACTTTTCTGATTGAATTCTTTCTATTTTTTCAACCTCCCAGTGTCAGTCACAGTTACAGATCCTCTACTCAGAAGGAATTGAGGGCTGCCTCATGGAGTTCGCAGCTTACAACTTGCTTTGTGTTATCTTGCACTCTAATAACAAAAAGGATCTTTTGACGTCAATGTCAAGGTAGGAGTCATTTTGCAGGATGTTGGTATTCGGATGTGCATGTCTGTTCTCCATTTTATCATTTTTAGAGACTCTTGGTTTTTTACTGCTCTATCATAGATTCATAATCATGGGGAGGCTGTCCAGCTATGTACATGCTATATTGTTGGATGCCTGTATTACCATGCAAAATTGTCCATAATATTGGTGACACAAATTGTCCTTAAGATATCGAGTTGGTGAGAACATTTCAAGGCATAAAAGTGGTACAAAACCAAGATAAAACCAGTGTTGTGATGCTGGTTATATCGTTTAAACTATGTACCAGGTTCAAGCTGTTCGTTTTATAACGGTTTGTTATCGTACCTCTATTATACTTTAGAAGCGCTAGTGTCATTAGTCTAATATCCAGCTTTCAGAACCCATGGAGAAAGGTGTACATGCCACCAGTATAGTTAGTGTTAGGGTATATTAGTTTATTGCAGTGATTTTTTTATACATATTTTCTGCTTTCAGCTCTTACATTGGTTCTTAAATGTAGATCTCATGGGCTCGAGCCTCGAAACATATACCTTTGCTGCCTTCCAATTGGAATCCACATTCAGTCGCAATGCTGAGGAAACTTTGCTGTTTTGAAATTTGCAGATTAACCCCAGAAGCAAAGGAGGAGGATGCGGTGAAACATGCTCTTGCAGTTCGTGCTGCTGTCACTTCTGGAAATTATGTTACTTTTTTCAGACTGTACAAGTCGGCTCCCAACTTAAACACTTGTTTGATGGGTTAGTATTATTGTTTTTTCTGTACCTCCATTAGAAAATCTCATACCCTCTGAACAATCCAGGGAATTAACCTGCCTGGTCATTTTTCTTGTGTCCTTCCAGATCTTTATGTTGAAAAGATGCGGTACAAGGCTGCAGTCTGCATGTCCAAGTCATATCGCCCCACGGTTCCCATTTCATATATTGCGCAAATCTTGGGATTCTCTAATGCTGCGGATGGAAATGGGGAGCAGGAGTTGAGCGGGTTGGACGAGTGCTTAGAATGGTTGAAGGCACATGGTGCTAGCCTGATCACAGACAACACGGGGGAGATGCAACTTGATGCGAAGGTAATTCAGAACTTTCTTTCTATTGAATGTGTGTGCGTGCTCTTTTAGCTTTTAGACTTAAAAGCTTTGCCCCTAATAAGGGTTTAGAGATACTTACAGCAGATGGGATATGAAATATTTGTTGGCAATAAAAATAACTTAATGAGATGGTAGATAGTCAGTAGTATAATGTTTGGTAATGTGACTATTATGGGCGTGACTTTGAGGATTGAGTTGAAGAACTATTTCGCTCTTGGGATTCATCAAGAATAGTTGGTTGAGAAGTTAGACCCTAGAAGTTTGTTTTGAGCTTCTAAATCCACCGTTAATCAACATTTTCTTTAATAGCTAAAACAAACGCACCCGTATACAAAATCACTTTGCACTTCAGTATGCTTGAGCCGATCCATTTTTTATCCTGCAGGCATCTTCTTCCACCCTGTACATGCCCGAGCCTGAAGATGCGGTTGCTCATGGAGACTCTAGCCTTGCTGTCAACGATTTCCTGGCTCGGACCTCATAATAATGCAGAAGGCTGATTCTAGTTTCCCGGCAGGTCGCACAAGAAATCGGTGGAAAAGAGCCTGTGTGTGTCCCTCCGACGAGTTCGAGCAAGGTAACCATTTTTCCCACTTTCCTGAGAATCTCGAAGAGGGTTATGTTGAATGGTGTATAGAAGGGCCGTTAAATTCAAATACTACTTCATGCCTCTTTGGTCGCTAACCCTTTCATTTTAGGTTGGCTCTGAGCGTCATTAGATGTGTGTTAAGTTGATTCGTTGTTAGTGAAGTTGTAAGAAGGTATTAGGTAACGGATTAAAATTTCCAGGCATATACAAAAAGATCGATCTGTTGTATCTTATGTTGATCCTTTGAAACACTTACCCGAGGCACTCAGTTTCCAGATTCTGCGATGAAATAAACCCAAATTGTTCATGAACGTACCAGTGAAGCTTTTTCGAAGAACGCAAATCAAGGAAGCTTTTCGAAAGGATGGACTCAATGATGAATGTTGCTTAATGACTTCAATGGAAGTAAGGTTTTGTGTTGATCTACGACTCGTTTCTGGGTTTTAGATTACAATTACGTCAATTCAAATTGCTGTCAATTGAATAAAAAAGCATCAATCACATCATAGATCTCAACTTTGACTACTATACTAGGGTTCATATGGTTAAAATTGAAACCCTCACTTAGCAAGTTGACTAAATTGATGTGATCTTTCTATCTCCATAGACATTATGGCACGGGTAGTGTGTTCGATATGATATCCATAGTTTGGAGCTGACAAAGAATAGCATAAACCGTAAAATCCGCAGATCGGGAACTGATCGCCGCCATTTTCCCGCTCCCGGCTCAATTTCGGATCACATTGTTCCGTTTGTGGCTCTCTATTCTTTCACCAGAGTCGACTCCGGCCAGATGCTGTTTTTCTCCTTCTTGTACTTCATGTACAACGCCGGCACCGCAGCCACGAATTAGATCTGGACGAGGACGATCGACGGGGTGTGGTAGCTGAGCACGCTCTTCCCCGTCGCCAGCTCCAGCAGCAGCAGCACCGCCAGCCCGAGAAACGCGATCCGCCCGTTCAACCTCTCGCTGTAAGGAGTGAATCCGAATTCCACTTTCAAGCCTGCCGAGACCGGCTCCTTCAGCGGGACCGGAGGCAGGTAGAGGGCCGCGCCGGAGGATTTCGACGAGGCTCCCTGCTTTCTGGCCTTCCGCATATCGGCTTTCTTCCCCGTTGATTGGACAAGGTTTCCTTCTCCCTCGTGGTGCTCTATCCGTTTCTTTCATCAACTGCGGGCGGGACTATTCGTTTCTGTGGAGTAGAGTTTTTCCTTTCGGAACTGTTCGTTGAGGTTTTGGGCCCTAGATTCGGGAAACTCGGCCCAATATTATATAGCTGGACGATCCATTAAGAACTAGATCCAGTAACGTTGGCCTGCAGGCTGCTGCAGCAGCAGAATCCGATTATCCCAAGTTTTATACGGACCAAAATTACCAAAACAAGGAGAAGGCCCTTCTATTTGGAATGGTGCTGATTTATAGGTTTCAAGTTCGCACAAAGTCTTCATGTATTTATTGTATCTAAATGAATTGTTAACATTACAGTGATGCAGTTTGAGTACAAGACCTTTCAATCAAAGTTTGATATGGATAGAAAGCATATAGACGATACATATGTAAAAGAGATTTGATGGTGTGTTTCAAGTCCGTACAGAGGATATAAAAATGCCTCACAGTTGCAATTTGATACGGCAAATGATCAAGGTACATTGTGGGCTCCATACTTTATATTGACAAATAAGATCCCAATGATTGATAATGAATTGATATGGAGTTCGAATTACAATACAAGTTACTTACAATTATTTATTTAATTGTCTATAGCACAAGTAACCCAGGCAATGCAGTAAAAAACGTGATTCTACGTAGAAACGATTTGATGACCTAGAAACGTAAAATCGTAAGATTTTAAGTTTTAAAGCGTAGATTTTGACTACATTTATAAGGGAAAAGTGTGATTCGACTTAGAAGCGCTTTGGTGACTTAAAAGTGTAAAAGAGTAAGTTTTTAAGTTTTAAATCGCGATTTTGACTACATTGAAGCCATGGTTAAAACACTGTTTGCTCAAATAACTGCAGTTGTTGGGTTAGGTTGAATAATTGATCTTATATAATTTACTAACACACTTTCTCAAATAAAATCAGGCTTGAAGTTTGCACAAATTTGATTATCACGCGCTTAGCAAATGAGGTCGCCAAGGTTCAAATACAAGACCTCTTGGTCATCCATTCTTAATTTGACGCGGCCTAGTGTCATCCCGTGACACTCTTCCTCCTCCCTAGTAATTTTTTTTTTTTTGTGTACTTACAATTAGGGGTGTGCAACGGTTCGGTCTGGTGATCCTCATGAGAACCGCGGTCCAGTAGTGAAAGACATCTTAGGACCAAAGACCGGACCATCATTGTATTCGGTCCATTTGGTCTGGTTCGGTCTTGTCCAAATATAAGCTCGGTTCATCATTTCTTCAATAATTGTAAAATTCATGTAGACCAAGGACCGAACCGGACCGCACCAAACTTTGGTTTGGTCTGGTGCGATTCGGTCCCAAACCAGACCATTGTACACCTCTACTTACAATTTAGCTAACATCCGATGAAAATTTTGTTGCTAATATTGAATAACTACACTTTTGATTTTCAATGGATCACATGGACCATTGTTATTTGTAGATAACTCGTTAGTAAAGTTTGAATAGCTGTTAAAAGTACTGTTATTATACCTATCAAAGTTATCAGATTTATTACGTAAGGTATAACGGCGAAAAGGAGAAGAAGGCGGGCTACAAGAAAAATTCATGTTTTCAATAAACGTTATCCATCATGCATTTGTAATGTCGTTCATTCTCAATTGGGTGCGCCCTAATTTTTATTTACAATTAATTACTATACCTAATTTACCTATTTTCCAGTTTTTCCTACCCTCTAACACTCTAGCTAAGCTCCTTTGCAAATAGCTCCAGCTCATGCATTATTTTACCACTGTACGTTATAACTACGTACTTAAGGCTAATCTTGTGGTAAGAGGACAAAGTAAGCCAAGCTGAGCTGCATGTGAAAGGTACGTATTACTGTGGCGGGTTAAACTTAAAACTTAAAACCAAAGTCCTTTAATTAAAGCATATGCATGGGTGGGTTTCATTCGCGTGGGGTCACTGTAGAGTAAGTAATTAATTATGGCCTACATTACATGCATGCAAGTTCCATGTGCCCTTGTTCGATATATATATACACGCATAATTTAAGCGACCCAATAAATTATGATTATTGTCCACTTGGTGTAAACAGATCTACAACCATAACAGAAAAAAAAAATAGAAAACACAAACCTATTTAGTTGATAATCTGAAAAATAATGAAAGCAGACAACAAGAAACAAAAACGCGTTCAATTACTACTATTAGAATTAAAAACCATAAAAGAGAGGAGGCGGCGGCGGGGGAAAGGATTCGAAGTCGGCGACGGGAATATAGAGGAGGAGGCGACAGGGATTGCGAGGTCGGGCGACAGGGGAAAGGGAGGCGGCGGGGGCAAAGGGATGAAATCGACGACGAGGGGGAGATGGACGATATCGACGGCCTGGGTCTCGAGAGGAAGAAGTTGAGAGAGGAAGGGTGATGTTGGGCGGCGGGTTTGGGAGAAAACGAGGGTAGGATTGGCCGACTAGGGTTTCGAGGTGGGTTTGGGAGTTAAAAAAAAAAGAGAAATTTTTTGCTTTAGGTGGGATTCAAATTGAGGGTTGTTTTAATGAAAACAAACGGGAATCCCGTGTAAAACATGTACAAAAATCAAATCCAAAGCAATAAATTGTTGTTTCTCAAATTAGGGGCATGTTGTGCAAATCTGATTCACAACAAAAAATAGAAATCCAACTAAACATGTTTTTTTTTCTTGGTTTTTCCAATTTTGAAAAACACAACAGAAAACAAAAACAGGCAACAATACTAAACGGGTTACGCTCGCTCGTTGTAGAGTTTGAAACGCACGTTAGAGCTTAACTGTTGTGTTGTTATGAACCCGATCGACCTCAAGCTACGTACATTTATCTACTTACGTTACGTACCGGCCGGTCCACTCCAATATATAATGGGGCGGGGCTACCGGCTATTAATTGAGCCCGATTGCCCGACCGGCCAGCCAGCCAGCCGAAAGTGGCGAGCGAGTGCAGTGACCTAAGCTAAGAACATTCCTTCCTGCCCTCTTAATTATATATATTCAGGCCGCCGAAGCTTGATCGACCTCAAATAATTCCCTTCATATCAGATCGATCGATCAATGGATTCCCTTTTTCCTTCCGCAGCAGCTACCTGCAGATCATGGCTGTAATGCATTATTATTATTATTATTATTATTATTATTATTATTATTATTATATAGTGCATGTGCCAGTTGCCATTACCCTGCGGCCATGGCATGCAGCAGACGCGCGATATTTTCGATCCCTTTTGTTTAGGGATGACTATACGTTCCGGTGCAGTTAAATTGGACCAAATTGATCCGGTTCCAGTCCGGTCTTTTCGGGAATATAAAGACCAAAGATTGGATTGGATACAGTCCGGTCTTGCTCCGGTCCGGCCCCAATTTTATCTTGATTTTAGGTGTTGGGGGGTCTCTTATCCGGTTTTTTACCTCAAATCTAAGCCTGAATATGAGATTGCATTGTTTGCTATCCGGTCCCAGTCCGGTCCCGGTCCGAGTTATATGGTCCGGTTTCGGATAAAACCAAACAGTCCGGGACCAAATAACCAGCCCTACTTTTGTTACCACTTGACAAACTAATAAATCTAGGAATGGAATGGTTACCGGCCCGGGAGCTCGTTGACCGGGCAAATACCCAATAAAGGAAACCCTCCATCTCTACTCTTAACGGTCCAATTAAAGCTGTCGTCGTTTTTACTTTTTATTTTACTCTTCTTCCTTTTTCATTTTTTCACTGTTCATCGCCATCTACAGCTGAATGTTTTTGGTTGTAGTTAGGTTCTAATGCCATCACCTTCAAACCCTATTTCACCAAATTGTTGATCGAGGAAATTGTTGTCATAAACCAGTTGGTCCCAATAACTCGAGTTGTTGGGAGAAGGTTATGCTGGATCTTATACAGGCCAGTGTATGGTGCTTAACCACTTCCTTACACGCCCCCTCAAACGAAAGCCGACTCATGGGCTTGAAAGTTTGCACAGGCCCAGCCCTACCATGTGCTTGAAAGACAACGGTTAATATTGGGGGTCGTGAGGACTTGAACACGTGACCTCAAGGACAAACCAGGCTCTGATACCATGTCATAAACCAGTTGGTCCCAATAACTCGAGTTGTTGGGAGAAGGTTATGCTGGATCTTATACAGGCCCGTGTATGGTGCTTAACCACTTCCTTACAATTGTATACCAAACTATTTATTTGGGAATACATTTGACAAAAGAAAGAAAGAAAGTCTCATGTCGAACCGAAACTTCTTCAATCTCTTTCCTTGTGGGATGCGGATTTGAATTCATCCATTCCTTCTGATACATACATGCATGTGGCAACACATGTTCATCCAACTAACTACATATGGAAAGTAGCAAATGATGATGAGTAGGCCTCCTTCAAAACTAATTAATTAAAGTTGTCATTTTATCCTTTTTGTTTACCCTTAATTAATTAAGGGATTTGTTCAAGTAAAGAACTATAAGCTCCACTCTAAAAACCAAACTCTTGGTAATTGTTTTAGTTCATCTGGATCGATCTCATCATGAAAAATCTAAATTCGAATTTTGGCCAGTACGTATCTATACACAAATAAAATAAGCATATCCATATTTGTAAGGGGATATTATAATATATACAAGCAACGAAACCGCCTCCCAAATTCCCAGGCGATAATTAAGCCTGCCGTCGGTATGAGTTAGGCTACCAACCTGAAAACAAGGGTCCTTCTTTCCTTCATTCTATTCCTCATCATCTTCTGTTGCAAATAAAACAATAAATAGATAAGAGAGATAATATAATATAGGCTAGCAATTTAAATAAAAGCCAAAGGGTGAATATATTCACACGAATTGTCAAAGTCATGTTTGTGCCTTTGGGTTGACACCTTTTGCTAGCTAGCTTTTAGGTAACCTATCTCCCTACTTCACCTGCATCTGCATCTGCATCTGCATGCATGTGATCCTCCCTCCCTCCACATGAATGAAACACAAAGAATTCTGTGGTCTAATCTAACCATATCTCTTTCCCCATTTCCTGACGTTGACTTCTTCGTATCCTACGTTTCCAAAGTCTTGGTGGGGCTACCTACCTACTACTATACTGCTTCTTCATTAGCCTACCAATTTGCTTAATTGCCTTTATTTTTTGATTGGGTGCTTAATTTCCTTTATTATTGAGATTTTTAATACTACACTTACTTATTAATTGTAGCTATATATGTATAGTTTCTTCTGGGCAATCTCTATTCTCTTGACCACGATTAATAAGTTCTACTTAATTCGGCCACTGATGGCTTACTTGGCTTGCTAATGGTGGTAGCTAGGAATTTATTACATACGGACCAAAAATTAGGTAAGAAGATTTGGAACATCAATATCTATCTGACTAGCTTAGCTACTTGGTTAATTGGATGATCTAATCTAGCACACTCTAACAAATTAAACGCCCTTCAAGAAACCCGCATAATTAATTATATTCCTAGCTACCTAACACACACATATATATATACTACACTTCGAGTTTAATTTGCTATTTATATCACAAAACGTAGTTTGAGTAATAATATAATACTCTAATTTCCAATAAACGAATTCCAATCTCTAATCCTCTAACTCAATCATAAAATTCATTTAATCTAGAATCAATAACTGACATTTTTTTTTATTTATCGACATATATCGAGATACATGTGAACATATGTGTATAATATGTGCAAGACATACGCTACTCTTTACTTAAATAAATAAATATATAGGGATGCAACAGACAACCCCGAGGTCTAACCTAACTCATCGGTACGATTTACATTTTCGTTAAGTTAATGCCGCCTGCCAATTAATAATGACGGTAATGCCTCCTTAATTAGGCACACGAGTTGCGTTTTAGCTTGGATTAGCCGCAGTACTGCAAGTTAGGTTTGCTTCCGTTTCATTTCTTTCCATTTTATATAACAGCTCACTAATGACACGGTTATAATCTTGATCCGACTTCCGAGGGATAAAATAAAGCATGGTATGGTATCGCACCCAAAGCAAAAAAAGTTTATCCATGTGCCAGTTTAAAAATTACAACCAAATTAAAACTAACCTATTTTGTGTGCTTAATTATTCTACCATTAACATTTGCGTTGGATTACTTCCATCAAAAACGATACTCCTCTCACAATAAGGTTTTGTATTTCAATAATCAGGGGACAACCAAAGACAAAACTTCAATAATTATTTGTTACCTTTGATAAAGGAGAGTGAAAAAGTATATGTAATTCATATATATATATATTTAACAGTTTTTACATCATCATCAAGGTAATACTCCAAATAATTTACCCCAAACTGTTAAACTTCTTTTAAAAAATCCCAAACCTCAAAAGTAAAACAAAGCAAAAAGAAAAAAAAACACACCATCATCCAATACATTTGGCCGCCAATCGCAGCCTTCTTCCCTTACCGACGGGAACCATTCAATTTTACCTTTTACCTCATCAACTTCGATTTTCTTCACCTCCTCTTGTTCTTACTCCCCAGTAACAAAGCAAAGTAAAACAAAATCCTGAAAAAGAAACCCCACGCCACCGTCACCACCAAGCACTCCCACTTCCCCAGATCTGTGATCCCTTGCTGCTTCAGTATGTCGCTCCCGGTCGTCAGGCACGTCGTCGCCGTTATGTTCACCCCCATCGACCCGCTAATGTTCTTCAGCAGCCGCAGCTTCATCGCCGCCGGCAGCGCCGCCAACGGCGAGTTGTCGAAAATCTGCACCCCTCTCACAAAGCACTTGTGCGGGTCCTGGAACTCGTTCAGCAAAACGGCCTCGTATGGGTACTTCACCAGCGACATGTAATGGAACCACAACCAGTAGTCGGGTATTCGGTCCCGGGTTATGAAAAACCCGCTGAACAGCAAGAAGTAAGCCAGAATCGCCACCACGATCGTGTAACCCAGCATCACATGCGGAACGACGCCGGATAGAAAAGTAACGAACGAGTTCCCCGCCCAAAACGACGCCAGGATTATGAAAAAGTAGAAGAGAAAACCCGAGAACCCGCCGTCCAACCCGACCGCCCAAAACGTCGTCGCTGCGAAGGTGATTGACAGGAAGGCGATAGCGGGGAAGGAAACCAGCGCGTGGGAGAGGACGTAGGAGGATCGACGGTACGCGTTGTGCGCAGTCTCCCGCAAGTAGATGTAACGCTCCTGGAGGAAAACAGGGAGCGCGTCGGCGCAGGTGTAGAATGTAGTCGACATCGCGAAGGCGAAGAAACCCAGCCGCTCTTGAATTCCCTTCGGCGAGTTGTCGAGGTGCCAGAACATCGTCGCGAGGATGAATCCGGTGACCAGAACCGCTCCGAGCCGGATTCCGAAAAGCTCCGGCATCCGGCGGGAATTCGTCACAGATCTGGTGGAGAGAACCGCCATTTCCTTCCAGATCGGGTTTGCGAAGGTGGGGACCATGGATGCTGAGCTGGCGTCGTTGGTGGCGCCGGAGACGAGCTTTCCTCTGGAGATACTGGCGGAGATTGCTTCCTTGAGCGAGATCTGGGGGTTAATTGAATCGTCGTCGTGGTGGCGGTGGCGAGATACGGCGCCGTTTTTGACCGTTTGCCAGTGTTTGTTGAATTCGACTAGGGATTTGGTGCCGCCAGGGGAACCTTCGAGCTCGCGGATCAGATCCAGAGCGAATTCGGTCCGGTTCTCCTTGTCGGGTATCGGGTGCCCGAAATCCGAGAAGAAAACGGGCAGGTTGTTAGGCGACCCGCTGTAGACGGTCTGCCCGCGGGAGAGGAAGAGCAATCGGTCGAGCAGGCCGAGGATTCTGTAGCTGGGCTGGTGTACGGTCATGATGACGATGCTGCCGGACTGCGCGATTCGCTGGAGGACTTTGACGACCATGTAGGCGCTGGTGGAGTCGAGCCCCGAGGTCGGCTCGTCGAGGAAGAGGATGATCGGGTCGTGGATTATGTCGATTCCGATCGAGACGCGGCGGCGCTCGCCGCCGGAGACGCCGCGGTGGCCTTCGTCTCCGATGACGGTCTTCGCCGCGTTGCGGAGGCCGAGCTGGTCGATTAAGGCCTGGACTCTGGCTTTCTTCTTGGAATTCGACAGTGTCCGCGGGAGGCGGAACTCCGCCGCGAACATTAAGGTCTCCTCCACCGTCAGCATCGGGTAGAGGAGATCGTCCTGCTGGACGTAAGCCGAGATTACCTTCAGCATCCTCGATTCGAGCGGCTCGCCGTTCAAATTGACCGTTCCTTTGAGCGAATCTTTCGCGATTCGGTTCGCGAGAGCGTCGATCAGAGTCGATTTGCCGGAGCCGCTGGCTCCGAGCACCGCCATGATCTCGCCGTCGCGAGCCTCCCCGGAGATGTCGTTGAGGAGAGTCTTGGTGCGGGTGAAGAGGCTGAGGCTCTCGCCGGCGACGGGGTCGGCGGCGGCGGGGCCGAGGCGGTTGCGGCGGACGGGGAGGAGGTCGGGGAGGCGGAGCTTGCGGCGGGTGCGGACGCTGTAGGTGAGGTTGTTGAAGGAGAGGACGAAGGGGATGGAGCGGGGGAGGTTGGGGTGGGAGTCGCCGAGCTCGAGGACCTGGTGGACGGGGGTCTCGCTGCCGTCGCCGGTGGCTTCTTTTCTCACGTCGCCGACCTGCTTGAGGAGCTGGCCGAGGGTTGGGGAGAGGCCGAAGGGTCGACGCGACGGCGGCGGCTGATGATCGGTGAGCTCCATGTCGGCGAGTGCGAGAGAAGAGCGGAAGGGGACGGTGTCGTGATTGGGGGAGGGATAGTCAGCCACGACGCGTGACATGTAGGATATTTGTAACTGTCCGAGTGGGTCGCGTATTTATAGGAAGCTAGGGAAATGGGGAAGCTGACGGCGTGAGAAGGGGTTCTCACGCTGTTGGAGGAGAGGGGGAGGGGTTAACGGCGTCAATGGGGCATTTTGTTCAGCGAGCAGAGTCGGCGTGGACTGGGGAATTGAGGAGAGAGAGAGAGAAGGGGAAGTTGGTTTTGATTACTGTGTGTGGGTTTAGGGTTTGTGAAAAACTGTACGTATATATAGCGAAGTTTGATTATTGAGATATTCTGATATTATATATTTACTTATTTAGTTTGTATTTTTATTAGGGTTTGAGTTTAATTAATTTTCTAATTATTGTTATTATATCATCGGGGTGATTTATGGTTTCAGCTGTGGAAGGGGGAGAGAGAGAGAGAGGAGGTGACCTAAAACCTCCTAACTTTTTTAATTTGAGTTTGTTTATACGTCTCCTATTACTTGGGGGAGAGGGTCCCCTGCGGCTGACACGTGGGAGGATCTGGTTGGGTGAGGGGATCCTCCACGTGGAGGAATGGGTGTTCAGCTTGCATGGGTGGAGTAATATAATAAGACTACTGTAGTTTGGAAGCCACCAACAGAAGAAGGTTTGGGTAAAGTAGGTTGGAGATTGATGGGCTGTGTTACGTAAGCTGTTGGCTCCCTGTGATCAGTAAGGTAATTAAACTAACAAAGAATTCTTGGGAAATGGAAAATTTTCTAATCAAATACCGCATTATTATGTCAACCTGGCGGTAAACTAAAAGTCTGATAAAAGAGGTATAATATGGTAAATACTAAATATCCAAAGCAAAAAAACTCAAGATAAATATCACCCCAAAGTAACAAACGCACTATAAAAACTAAGATTACCTCATGAGTTAAGTTACCCAATATTTTGGGTTATCTATAGTTAATTAGCTATAGAAAAAACCTTATATATAGTTGAGTGAGTATAATGGTGATCCTTATTTTTGGGTGCATAACACGAACTAACAATATCATTTTTTATCATTTAATTCGTCCTAAAATTCTCACATTATACAAATGTATGATACTTATCAGAAAGCATGACAATTTACGCAAAAATTATTTAACACTTGCATGCCTATGTTTAGTAAATGTGAAAGTTTTCTCTCTAGTATGTATTTTTACCAAATCAATCACTGCATTGTTAATTTGTTATCACATGACTCTAGAAACTAAGAAACATTTTTTGAGCAAATTAAAATGCTGCTCCTCCTGCTGCTAGTAATAATGATCAGTCGTAATCACCTGTTTGTTTTAGCTTGTAAACTGTAACGCACAGCGCCACTTCCCTTAATTACTCCTCTCTCTCTCTCTCTCTCTCTCTCTCTAGTCTGTAGAAGTTAAGTTAAAGTGCAGAGAGGGCTAATTAAGTTAACTCAAACTTGCAAGTTTAAGTGTCTGATAATTAATGAATATACATGAATCGATGGCCTAAAATTACCGTAGCATACTATATATTATACACGTACCCATCATACCAGAAGAAGAAAAAAAACTAAATATCGAAAACCCTCGAGAACAAGCAACAGAGACTTCTGACTTCTTAACTCTTTATCTGGAATGAGATGCAAAACCCTCTGCATATATATACACATGAATGCAGTTACATGTTCTTTTCAGTGCGTCGAGCAGCTTGGTTACTCAGAATATATGGTAAACTGGCCGGGGAGGGAGTTTCGTAACTGAAACTTTGGAAGACTGTGTTAATATGTGACATTGCAGACTTCCAGCAGGAACAGTGTACGACCTTCAACCATATCTCAAACTAGCAATTGTCCAAATTAATCCCTAGCAACTTGCAACAGTTAACCCACATGCATGTGAAGCGCCAAAGAGTTGGCAGTTTTAGGTTTTACCAAAACCAGAAAGAAAAGAGTTCAGGAACGACATATATACTTTGTTTTGGGTGTTTTGACGCAAGTATATATGGACTTACATAAGTGGATTGGGGGTTTTGACGGCCATGGTTGTTGTTGGATGTACACATGGTAAATTATTTCCCAAACTTGCACTATGTGTATGTGCATATCCAACGACGTAGGATAATATTCTTTCTGGATGATTGTGTATGAATTACGGGACGCACGATCGATCCAATGGCGTATAAAAAAAATGAATCGACAAAAAAGTAATAAAAATTCTAATTAATCCAATCCAATTAATTCAGATTCACCAATCCGCTAATCTAATTCATCACTTCATGAATACAATTTATTTGCTAGATGATCTACATGAGAAATATGTAGGTTTGCAAATATAATTGATGTGAGTATCTGTAGGGTGGACATGGATGTTCATAATATTACTTCTCGATGTCCCTCAATTGAATCTTTAAATTATTATTAGAAAATTGCGAAATAAAACCTAATGAAGACAAAATTTAATATACTTTTTCTTGGACTTCACCAATGTATATATAACTATATATACATTGCCTGTTTGAAAATCTTAACCCCAAATAGAAATTGTTTTAAATTTAACGAAAAAATTTATTACGCCTATCTTTTAACGTTCATCTCATCAACTCAATCTTTTTATATCCCAGATGATTTCAAAGTTCATAGCTAAATATAATACAAAATCAAGGTTTGCGAAGTTTAGGATGAAGAAAAGTTACTTTCGACTCTTTAATTAAAGTCGAACTCTACATACTTTGATCAATTCGTTTTCTCTCTTGAAGATAGAAAACTAAACCGATAATTCTCTTTTGAAAAAATGGAAAGTATCCCGATCGAAAGAGAGAGAACGGGCCGGAAAATCTCATGAAATGAATTCGTTGGACATTTTCACAACCATATTCGTCTTGATGTTGAAGGATCAATTGAATTCCTTGTTGTACACTAAACAGTACACACGCAAAAGATTGATCATCCCTGATGGTTAATGAACCCAAAGCATCCGCACTAAGAGAAGAGGGGGACCCTATTTGAAAAGGGGAAAAGAGAAGGAAGAGAGGAAACCAACAAGAAAGTGATTTGTTAAACAAGGTGTACATATATTAGTGTAAGAATACTAATAATAAATGGAGGGTTGGGTTGGGTAGTTACTTTGTAGATGAGGCTTCATCACCACTTTCACCAACCCATAATCAAACTAACTTGCACCCCTTCACCATCTACCATTACCAAAACCATTGATACCCATCCCAAAGTCCTAAGATGATTGAACAAGTGCTAAATATAGGTCGATTTAGCATCAAAGATTATAAAATCGTAACGGAAGTTGTGTATGATAAATCAATGATAGGGTATTTCGTACTTAAATTGTTATTTAACAAACATATGAATTATCAACATATCAGTTCATAAAATATAAATGGGTTCACCAATATGTCGATAATCGAGTTAGCTCGGTAGTTAGTCAAACAGGCAGGCGAGCCTTGCGAGCCGAACACAAATTAGCTTAAGCTCGGCTAATTAGTAAACGAGTTGCGTTCCTAATGAACTTTTCCTGCCAAACGTGTAACCGCTAATGAACAACTATATTTACTCATTTGCAACCTTAATACCGACTTAGACTCTGTTCAAACAATTTTTCCAATAAAATCGCCGATATGGTATGGTTTAGCAGACAATGATCAGAATTCAACCCCTCAAATGAAAAAGTAAAAAACACACGAGAACATGGGCATAATAATTGAACAAAAAAGCCCAGAGAATGCATGTGGCCACTTCGTATCTCATACTAGAAACTTGATTTTTGGTCAATTTTTTTGGTTTGCAGTTCTCATGCATCCCCCAACTAAACGAGACACACAAACTTTACACACTTAAGAGAGGTGATGCCCAACATATGCAGTTACCTGTCCCAATCATGCCTTCCATCATCTCGGTTCAAAAAAGGCGCAGATGTGGGGATTCATACATATATTACGAGACTTTTTAAAGAGTATGAAACGAGCGAGGGAGCAGTTCAATTCTGTTGTCGTCTGTCCCATACAGAGTTGGGTAAGAAAAAAGACCAACCAATCCAAAAGGAGCACAAGAGCTTTCAAACAAGTCGCCTGAATCAGTCCACACTCGGTTTGGTTATAGATGTGAGGCAGGAGAAAGAGCCCATGAACCCCTACGACCGCAACATCGTCGAGAATAGGGGCGGAAATCGGTACGGTATCGGTATCCCAATACCAAATACCGAAATCCCGAATGCCGAATTACACCCTAAAGTCAATCCCAACCCTAAATAATTTTGGTATCCCAACCCCAATCCTCCATTAATATATGGTAGAGTTTTGAGTACTTTTCTCCATTTCAAATTTCCTGCAACGAGAGTGAAAGTAGGAAGGTCATTTTTGTCTTTACACATTTATTATTTATTTCATATAAAAATAGCAATATCAAGATTTGAACCCGGGTCTCTTCAAACTAAGATAACAATCACAACCAGTTACACTAAACAAATTTATTGCATCTTTTTTTATACAAAAAATAGACAAAGTTAATCTCTGAAAATCAGAGGACTTTTTCATCATAATTAGCAAGCTCACTAAGTCTACCGTATGTATTTTTATCGAGCTTGATACTTCTATTTTCATAGTAGAGTTTCATGTAATTTTCTCACTTTTAAATTCCGGCTCTCTCCTTAATTTTTGCTAAAGGTAAATGGGTAATTGGCCAACATGGAAGAAACTGATTATGTAACTACTGTTGTATCCTTGCATTTTTCAATTTAAATTTTATGTTTTTTTTATCTTTGTTCTTTTCTCTTTCTAACTTCCCCCGAAATTTCATCCATCGTGCAATAGTTTGCGCCTTTCACTTCCCAGTACAAGACTGTCATTGAAAATCAATCTTCAGGTATCTCTTGGCACTACGGTTTTATTGTTGGGGATTTTAAGCTGGGCGAGTAGAAGATTTCAACTCCGATATCAATTCATGGCGAATAGAATGGAGTTCATCAATAACTGAAGTTGTAGAAGGAAGATTAGAAATTGAATTTTTGGTTGAATATATGCCTCTTGAGATAGAAATTTGGTTGTACAACGGAGAGTGGTGACTATTGGATCTTTAGGTTTATGGTTTTTGCAACTGTCATAACCTATTTCTATCTTAAAACGAGGAATCATTGATTGATTGTTTGAAATAGGCCGCTTCTTTATTCAACCTACTGGAACTAATAGATAAGGAGTGTCTAATTTTGCGCCTTATTACTTTGATCGAGTCTATTCGTATATTGGAGATAACCCTGATTTTTTCGTTTGCTCTCAAGTTGTGATGGTCCCCTTTTAGCTGAGTTTTTAGTATATAGATGACTTGAATCAACAACTCTCCAATTCTTTTTGATTAGTGACATATTGTTTCTAAAAGGAGAGCATTGAAACCTTTATATAGGATTGTGAGGTTTAAGATTTAGTTTCAAACTATCTATGGGTTGTGTGAGAATTTCAGTGAGCTTTTATACTCTATATTTCTCGACTGTCAAAGAAAACTAACCAATAGCATTTTAACAGGGACTTAATTAGCAGTATGAAAATGGGGTCAATGATACATTTTTATATTTATATTCTTAAATGATTATGATATTTCTCCGAATGTTCGACCTATATATTATTTCTTTATGTATCAACTCGATCGAATGATTATCAATAAGATTAAACGGGTTAATAGACTTAAAAGTAACATAAAAATACAAATAATCAAATATGAGCATTCCGGCCAAAGGGCTGGGTTATAAGCTAGTCTCTAAATATTTCGCTATCCCAATCGGTACTTCAATATCCCAATTGGTATTATCGAATACAAAATTAATTACCTTTGCAATTAATAATTAAATATATAAATTAGATTTTATTGTTTAGTTTAGGGGGAAAGACTAACTAAAGTGTTTTGAATTAGAATATTATTAAGGAGAATGGAGGAGAGGAGACATTTCAAGTTCTTGTTATTGGTAATCGTTAATTTGACGAATTGGAGGTTGAGAGACGACTATTAATAGTGATAGAATTAGGGGTGGGATTCGGTCGGTAAATGGTAAATTGTTTACCGAATTTACCGGTTTCGGTATACCGACGTTGGCCAAATTGAAATCAATTACCGGTACCGGTTTACCGATTACCGATTTACCGGTATACTGTTACAAACCGGTATCACCGAAATACAGTGAAAAGCGACGTCGGGAGGACGGCAGGACGACGAGGAGATGGTGGCCTGGCGGCGGCGGGGAAGCCGGAATGTGGCGGGGCCGCGGAGGAGGACTGGGAACTGGAAAGGGCTGGCGACTGTGTCTCGTCGCACGTTGACGAGGGAAGGGAGAGACGAGAGTCGGGGATGGCTGGGGAAGCGCGCTCGTCGTCGTCGTCGCCGCCAGCATAAGGAGAGGATGACGAGAAGAGGAGAGCTGGAGAGGTCAGGTGGCTGCGCGGCGGGTCTCGAAAAAACGAAAAGAGTAGAGGTCGGGGGCGGGTCGCTGGTCTGGGTAGGGGGTTTTAGGGTTTGGGAGGCCAAGCAGCAAAACGCAGCGCAGCGGCAGTGGGAGGGAAGATTTTGGTATCGATATTACCGACTTACCGTCGGTATTTACCGATATCGTGTCCGATAAACCGAGTATCCCAAGTTACCTCTCGACCGCCGATACCGCCGGTAAACGATTTACCGTTTACCACCCCTAGATAGAATGATCTATGTATAATTAAATGACACTGTTGGTGGTTTAGGTTCGTGTAGTAGTGAATGAGAGAATCTAGTTGAGAAGATAAAATACACACTAGCTTATTTTTCTGTATATACCAATCCCAATCTCGTAATCCCTAATAACGAATAACAATTGAAATTCAATCCCAATACCAATCCCAAAAAATAATACATGTATTTGGTAATACCAAATATAGACAAATACGGTACAGTATTCGGTATATTCCAAATACCGGTAACAAACTTCCAGCCCTAATCGAGTAAGCAGACATACAACATACAATTACCACAGCGTATCGAATGCCTACATAGAACCACAGCTTACTGCTACATTGACCACTTGGGATCTAGTGGCATACCAGTAGAGAACATAAAGCACATTTTGAACAGGAAAACACAGTTAAAAGCAATAGAAAGAGTTGCTAGTCTTTAGCTCACGTTCTGCGCAGGGGCCGATTTCAGCGCGCATATACAGCACAGAACCATCGGCTTGAAACAATCGGTCCCTAGAATTCAGCGCACTCGTAAAACGAAGCAACAATATGACAGAGAAGCATGGTAGAAAGAACTACTTCCTAGAAAAACAACAATGGAGCGCATACAACAGACATCCATCAGAGATTGTGCTACCAAAACTATCCCACCAGAATGGCTCCAACTTTTCACATAAACTCTCCACTAGAAATGCAAGAGATGCCATGCAATACCACCTAATTGCTGGGTCAATAGCTCTGCCTCACACCTGATCCTCCGAGAAGTTGACAGAGAGATCCCAGTACTGGACGACACCAGCATCGACAAAAATCTTCCTCGCAGCAGCTTCGGTCATGCACTCATGCACAGAGAACCTGTGGAAGCTGGGTTTCGCAACAATCCCTTGCCACACCAACACACATTTGTTACCCGGTTTCTGCTCATCGTCATCATCTCCACCATCTTCACCCTCATCCTCATTCACAGCCTCGGCCCAATTTATACGCCTAAGCATCAAGTTTCCATAGCGCTTGATCGCTTTGCTCCCACCTTCAACAACCACAACGTTGATTCCCTCGGAGATAACACAGCAACCAGTCAAGTGGTTGTGACTCGCATTCACATCAACTTTGAACCGGGTCTTCTTGTGGGACAGATCATTTATCTTGTACACAGAGACCATCGTGCCCAAGGTATATGGGTCGTCAAACAGCTTCCTCTCTTTCTTCTCACGACGCTCGGAAGGCGTGAGCTTCCGTGCGATGTTCCTATCAATATGAGCTTCGTGGGGTCCTGTGTCGCTTCGGCACCGAGAACTTTCATTAAGTTGCTCATTTTTACTTTTGGTTTTGGCGGTTCAAGCAGGCCTTGCCGGATCATCTCCTGCCTGTCCTTCTCACGAGCAAGACGGCGCTGGGTTCGGAGTTTCTTCTGTTCCTTCTTGGTCAGTTTCAGAGGCTGTGGTGGTGGAGGTGCTGGCTCTGCGGGAGGATCGATGGGACGTGGGTGTTCTACATAGCTGGTGATCTTTTGTATCTTCAATTGATTGTCATGGACAATGCCATCCTCGAATTCACCATACACACCACCAACCAGAAGAGGCAAATCCCTGACACCAGAACGAAAATAATTAGACCAACAACGAACAGAATTCAAACAAAGTAGGATAGTTCCATTAAATAATTTCTATTACGAGCTCGATGAGAAACAGAAGACATACCACCACTCAATTTCAGGAATTGGTTCCTTCGCCTTCTCTTTAGTCATAACTCTCTCTCCTACCTCTATAAGGTTAGGATTCACGTCAGGAGCAGCTTTAGCCTTTGCATGAAGTGCTTGTCTGGCCTTCATATCTCTAGCTCTTTCCTCTCCAAATTGATGCTGAAGACATCGTAATAAAAAGAAAACAATCAGCCAAACAAAAGGATTTAGGAATTAGGAAGACATTATGGTTGAAAAGTATTAAAAGCTGGTTGTACAGAGAGCATTATGGATATTCAAAAAGAATTACCCTTAGTCTTATTGATTCAGCATCCTTGGACCATTTCCCTTCCTCAACAAACTGAAAAGACATCCGCTTAGGCCTCAGAATCTTAGCCTTATTGATGCCCATTCTTTCATCAAAATGAGGGTTTGAGTCGGGATCCACTTCCAACTCGGGCTTTAGAATCTGGAAAGCATCCTTCTTTTGCTTGTTGATGTTCACCTGAAAGGACACACAGATATTATGTAGCTAGCAACTTAAGAAATATATCAATAACAAGCGATAGAGCCAAAAGAACTTGGACAAACCTTGAGCGTGCTGAGGTTGCTTGGTTTAGTCACACTCACAATATTTCCATGTTCATCTATTTCCCTGCCTAGTGCATCTACCCGGAGAACAGGAGCCTTAGTAGGCTTCTGTGGTCCAACAGCCTCAGTCTGCATCTGTCCAGGGAACATATTAATAAGTGGAGCAAATTCAGGATCCTGACGGAAGCCCATCTTTGCAGCAAGTTCCTGTGCACGTCTGACAGCTTCAAAGTTAGGTGTGCTATTAAGACCAGGAATTGGGGGGAAGCCAATAGCAGGTTGCACCAAAGTAGTTGCAGCAGCAGCTGTAGCTGAAACACCAATAGTGGATGTTGTGGATAATGCACCAACTCCCTGTGGAGTCGAAGATGGAACTTTCAAATAATCTTTGGCCCGTGAAATATTGGTACCACCAGAACCGGAAATATTTGTCAACTGCAGGAACAAATAGAACAGCTGTTAATGCGTGAAGCAGAACCTAAGATAAATTGATTAACCCAACAACAGGTGAAGCACAAAATTTTCCAATTAGAGTTGGTACTTACCATTTTTAGCTTCTTCAACTTCTCTTGTAGCTCTTTCTTCATTTCAATGGCTTTCTTAGCTTTTGCTAAAGCATCATGGGAGGAACTTCCACTTTTGCCAGCAGTCGATGATGACCCATCTGTACTAGATTTTCCAGGAACCTCATGAGATCTGGTAATACTAACTCCCTTATTTTCAGTCGTGTTTGAAATTGAAGATACCTTGATAGGGACGGAAAAGTCAGGAGCCACAGAGGACCCAGCAATGCTTGAAAGCTTAGTCAATGAACCGGAGGCAGCACCCTGAATAACATCACAAGTTACTTTCAGAATCAGAAAGCTAAACGATACCAGGTGATCAATGTTTGAATAATGACAAGAAGAGCCTCAGCCTGACAGATACAGCCAGATAAAAGGTAGATAACACTATAGCCTTGCAGACAAAGAATAAAGCGTAGATAAGGTTAGAAGGTTACTGAAAAGACAATGCGAAAAAATCAACACAACCAGAACAATTGCAATCATATGCCAAATCTTACAAGTATAAGAAGTCTAACAGGCAATGCAGGCTAAGTCTAGAACACTTTCGATGTAGGAACTGTTAAAAACAACTTAAATCTTCAGATTGAAACAACAAGTCACAGACACAAAGTTAGTACTGCCCTGACCGTGGTCCAGGATCATAGGCTGAAAAAGTAGTGTCATGTGTATAACGCGTGAAGCAGACAGAAGATACAGTGAGCACATAATTGACAATAAATAGAACTCAGTATATAAGAAAACATGATCACAATACCAATAGCTTTGGGGGGAAAGGATCAGGAAAACTACAACGAAGGAGAGAATCATCCTGCCTTGATTAACTACAGCGCCAGCTGGAATTGAGCTTAACAAAACTGACCAGCAACAAGTTAGCGAGATGTTCAAACACAGAGTTCAGTCACACGGCAAAAGAAGGTGTCCAATGCTACATAACCAGTTTGTTAGCAACTTAATTCAAGTCTAGATAAGAAACGTTATTGGTTACACTCAGACAGAAACAAATTTTCAAACATACAATAGCTCATACGCATAGAAAGTACGACAAGGCAGCTTTATGTGCAAGGATGCATAAATGACAATTTCTACATTGGCTTAGGCCCAGACCCTCCTTAAGACACGCGGACATAACCAACAGATCGCCTTATTCAATCACCTCAAAGAACACACAATAAACAAAGGAAAAGCTCCAACAAAGCCAAAACAGGATGCCCACCAGAATAAGCAACATCTAGCAAGTTCAAAGTTATGGAAAACTCACATTATCAGCTGGAAATCCACCACTGATGGTGCCGCCACCAGCTACTGACTCGTCATTTACTTCCTCTTTTACCTTAACCTCACTAAATTCACCTGTAGCAGCATTATCAGGAACACTCCAGTTATCACCATTACCTACATCATTCTCTTCCTTAACTTTATCCCCAAATCTTCTCCTTTCTCTCTTACCATCCGACACCTTAGCTTCCTTCTTCTCCCTTTCATCCCCACCGTCTTCTCTATCTTTCCTCTTCCTTCTCGAACCATCATCCACCTCTCTACTTTCCACACCATCATACGATCTCTCACGCTTCACTTCTCTCTCCCGCGGCTTATTATCGTGCCTATCTCTACTGCCTTCCCTCTCGTCTCTCCCGTCGTACGACTTCTCCCTGGACCGTTCCCTTTCATCTCGCCTTCGACGGTCGTGAGACCGATCAGCTCTATCGCTGCTGCCTTCCCGATCGTCTCTCAAATCAATCGACCGCTCTCGCTTGGATTCTCGGTCCCGAGAACACTCGCGATCCTCGAGCCTTGAAGACTTGCGGTGGTGGTCGTGGTCGCGATGCTGACCCTCGTGCTCCGACCGGTGGTGGTGGGAAGAATTGCCATCTCGATCCTTATCCCGCGATCTGTGCTTGTGTTCTCTATCGCGGTGGTCTCTGCCGGAGTCCCGATCACGCTCGTCGCGCGAACGCTTGGAGGATTTATCCTTATCGGAGGTGGAGCGATCCATTGCTAGGGTTTGCAAGAGTTCGCTCTCTTGATTTCCCGTGGAAAGTGTGAGGAGGTAATAAGAGTCGAATTTTAACGAGACATGGGTAAACTACAGCGGATTCGTATCATCAGCTTAGTTTTTCAGTGGCTTGAGCTTTTAAACAAGTACTTTTAAAAAAAAGTAGTTTAGTATTTAACTGTAAAATTATTAAAAGTGTTTTTTCAATGTAAAATTCAATTTTTAATCCTCCTTATACACCTTCATTTATTAAACTCCATTCTATTCGTCATGATTGATATCGAATTTGAAATCTTTAACTTGCCCATTTTAAATCCCCAAGAATTAAATCGTAGTGCCAAGAGACCGGGAGGTTCATTTTCAAAGGCGGCCTTGTACTGTGAAGTGAAAGGGGCAAACTATTGCACGATGGAGGGAATTTCAGAGGAAGTTAGAAAGAGATAAGAACAAAGATAAAAAAGTACAAATTTTAATACAAATTGAAAAATGCATTGACACAACACGTAGTAATAGAATTAGTTTCTTCCATGTTGGTCAATTACCAATCTACCTTTAGCGAAAATTGAGAAGAGAGTAGTGATTTTAGAATTGAGAAACTACATGAAACTCTGCTATGAAAATTGCAGTATCAAGTACCATAAATATACATACGGTAGACTTAGTGGGTTGGCTAATCACGATGAAAAAGTCTTCTGATTTTCAGAGTGTCACTTCGTGTATGTTTTGTATTAAAAAAGATACAAAAATTTTGTTTAGTGTAATTGGTTGCGATTGTTGTCTTTATTAGAAAAGACCAGGATTTAAATTCTGATATTAACATTTTTATATGAAATAATTAATTAATTGTAAAGACAAAAATGCTCGTCGTATATTCACTCTCGTTGCAGGAAATTTGAAATAGATAAAAATAGACAAAACTCTGCTATATTATTCGAGCCCGAATCTCTACCATTGTCCGCAAAATGAAGGACCATATGATACTGCAGGCCCAGTGAAAAATAAGGCCCATGTGTAAGAAGTTCATATCTGTTTATGCAATTTAAGTTGGTCAGGTATGAAAGGCTTTTTTATCGGTTCTACTTCTAGTCGACTTTCATCTATTCACTATTTTGGTATCTATTGTTCCGATTCGGAATATATATGACAAAAAATAAATTTTAACGATGTATGTGTTTCTTCAGAAATCAATAATGTTGTTAACATCATTTTAGTGACTTGTTGCGCCATCCAAATTTCTTTAGAAATTGAGTTTTGTATAAAAAAATCTCAATTTATTTTGAATTGGGATCTTTTGGCTCAATTGTATCCCAATTTTGTCGACGGAGCAACTCCTTTTATCACTTTGAATTGGTCAAAATATTCAAAATTTCTTACTTTTCGTGGATGATTAGATCCTAGATCCAGTAACTGGTGGAAACGAAAGAACAAAAATTCAACGAATTGAATCAATTAATTCTAAAAAGAATGAAAGTAGAACTCCACAATGAGCTCGAGTCCTTGACTTTCTGTACAACACTATATATGGTTTGCATGAAAGCAAACCTCATTTTGCTCTATGCAGCATCATCTGTAAGCAAAAATAAACAACAAACGAACACTTTGTCGTTTACTTTTGCAATTGTAATTCCTCGCTGTCACTCACCAACTTAGCAAACACTTGGCTCATCGAAACATCAGCAAGGTCGCCAAGTTGTGTGCTTCCCATCGCGGTCGTACCAAAGCTCTTAGCAGGGCTGATTTGTGAATTCCCATCACCATGGCGGCTTCTGGGCAACTCATCATTCAACTGGAGAGCAAACTCTTCATTCACCTGCAACTGGAGTGCACATTCCAGGTTCCACAACACATCTCCCATGGAAGGTCTATACAACCCACAATCAGCCAGGCATTTCTCTGCTATCTCTGCAAACTTCTTCATCGATTCCGGCTTGATCTCGTCCCGTATCTTGGGATCGACGATTTCCTCCAACTTCCCTTTCTTCAGATTCTTCACTGCATAATCGACCAAGTTCACATTTTCCCTTGGCAGTGACGGATCGATTACTGGTCTGCCACATAGAACCTCGAACAGCACCACTCCAAAGGAATAGACATCTGATTTCTCTGTCAGCTGTAGCCTCAGAAAGTATTCAGGATCGAGATAACCGAAGCTTCCCTTTACTGCTGTGCTCACATGTGTCTTGTCGATCTCAGGTCCAGCTTTGGAAAGCCCAAAGTCTGCAACTTTGGCCATGAAGTTGTCATCCAGCAGTATATTTGCTGACTTTACATCTCTGTGGATGATGGACTTTGCAGTCCCGGTATGAAGATAGTGAAGCCCCTTTGCTGCTCCAATACATACCTCGAGTCTTTGCCTCCAACTCAAGCTGGGATTATCTGAATCATAGAGATGGTCTTTTAAGTTGCCATTTTGCATATACTCATACACTATAATCATCTCATCCATTTCATCACAGTATCCAATTAAAGAGACCAAATGCCTGTGGCGAAACTGGGACAGCAGTTCGATCTCAGTCCTGAATTCTGCAATCCCTTGTGATTGAGAAGTAGCTCTTTTCACAGCCACCATCATCTCGTCTCTCAGAACTCCCTTGTAAACCTTACCGAAGCCTCCAGCTCCAAGCACCAAATTCTCACTGAAGCTATCAGTAGCTTCTTGGATGGCATAGAAAGGGAATCTGTAATCCAATTTCGAAATCGAAAATGCTGTCTCGTTGGAGTAATCCGTTGAGTAAATCATACCCCCTCCATATGCTGCAAACGGACCTTTCTTATCTTCAGCAAATCTCCTCCTCCGCCAACAAATGAAAAACACAACAAAAGCAGATATCACAATGATGATCAATCCAACACTCAACAAGATGATCCGAACAAGATTCGACTTGGAACTCTTGGGAAAAGATACGTCGAGCACATCGAGACTGTTCTTCGAGTTGCTAATCTTCACAATCTCCAATCCATTGAGGATGGCAATTGGATTGTTATCACTGTTAGGAGGCCCCATGCTTATGGTAAGAGTGTCACTAGCAACTGACCCTGCAATGTAATCCATGGAATAAGGAGCACCAGAGACATACCCAGTAAGATTCTTGAGATCAAGATACTTGTAAACCAGCCACGATTCAACATAAACATTGAAATAGAAGTTCGGGTGAGGATTCGGCAATATATCACAGAAATGAAACCGGATCAGATAATCAAACCCAGGGTCAACTCCAAGATGCCATGTAACATTTGCCAAAGTGTTGGGATCACCATCCGAGTTCAATCTAGTTGCAGTGCCATATACTGAAACAGGAGCAGTGAAGTTGGTTGGCCCTTTATTCTTGAAACTGACAGATGAGAAATCCGTCACATTGACTGCAAGATAATCATGTCTGAGAAACTTGTCATCAGAATCCCATAGCCTCCACAGTGTATCATTCTCAGGAAGCACAGTCGTTTTCCCCATGTTCACCCTCTGAAGCGTCTCCAGTGCCCGATTCCCCAAAGACTGAGAACTCCCTGAGGCAATCATCTGGGCACTCTCGGGAATGAGCCCACCAGGGATTGAGAACACTTCCAAGGCGTTCACAAAAGCGAAAGAACCAGCTGAAGGGGCGAAATTGAGAACCAAATTACCAGAATTCACATTGATAGAGAACTCCCTCACCTCAGGATCAGCCTTCGATCTATACTCCTTCAAAAGGGTGAAATTCTGAGCAGCCACAGAGAAGTGAGCCGTGCTGAGATTGTAACTGCCGCTGGCGAAGGGGAAGAAATGGAGGCGAATCCAAACCCGGCCGGACTGCCTGATTGGGAAAGTATAGCGAGAAGGTTCAGTGAAAATCCTCGCAGTTCTGTACAGAGCAGAGCCATAAGGGGCAGAGATGGAGCCAGAATTCGGACTAGCAACAGATATATTCTGTTGGGTAGACAAAATACTGGACGGGTAATCATCAGCTGCAAATGTCCGAACCCCAATTGAGGAGCTGGTGGGGGATCCGCAATTTATCAAATAGTTGGTGGGCGGAACATACCCACCTAATGAAACGGAAGCCAGGCAAGAAACTAAAGAAACCCAGATGAGGAATTTGAAGCTCCCTCCGACCACCATGACCAGACAGGCAGAGACCTCTCCTGGAGAGAAAGATAGCTAGAGAGAGAAGGAATGTGGGAACTTGGGGAGGAAGAGGGAGAAAAATGAGAATACTATAGGAAAGCGAAGCTGTTGATTCCTCGATTCGACACAAATTGCCAGGACGGCTGGTATTGCACAAGTAGGACGCCCAAAAGGACGATTCCACAGCTGGGAACTGGGATATCTGATAGTACACGGTGGAACAAGACAATTCCACCCAAGAGAACAAGTAGAAGGAAACGAAAAAAGGAGAGGGTAAGGAAGCGAGGCTTGGAAGTTTGGCAGGAGACGAACCTGCTGAATCAATCAAACTCCGGCCAGCGAAAGCATCAAAAAGAAATAACAGGGGAAGAATAATCTTACGGACGAAAACCGAGTAAAAGGGGTTTTGCAAAATTCAACCCACACACAGGACAACTAATTACATGCAGATTTTCAGACCAAGACTCCCAGTCAAACCCGCCATTGTTGTTAGCGACTAGACGATAGAGATGCTCCGGGAGAACAACTGGGGAAGGGCAACAGTACACACAAAACTACTCCCGAAATGGAATATTGGGAATGGAGAAATCTGTAATGTGAATTGGAATTTCCTATTACTTTGAGCTCTGTGAGATACGGAGAGACTGCGATCGGACAAGCAGATGGGGACAAAAACTGGCTCGGGGGCTGGGAATGGCCGGTGAATGGTCAGAGAAGAGGGCGACAGAGGGAAGCAAAACGCGACAAGTGGGCGGAAAGTACGAAGGAGAAAGAAACCAAGTCCTAATCCGGGTACTTGCAGGATTATTATTAAAATGGAGGGAAGGAAGGAAGGAAGAGAGGAGAGGAGAGATTGACAGGCCTAGGCGCCTAGCTGTCTCTGGGGAATTCTTTTTGTATTCTAATACGTCCCATGAAAGCACAATCTGAGGACATCTGGATTCTGATTTCTATGTTTGGTTGGTGTTCTTTTTCTTCGTTGCCTTTGTTAATAATTTCAAGTTCTGCGTGTGAACGGATAGACGGGAGGAAAAGGGCGCGCGGGGTGGTTCTGGTTCAAACGACCATCATCCGTTAGGTACTAATGCCATATGGGGTAGGGAGGGAGATGGAAGAAGAACGATCGTGATGAGTGGTGTAGCGAGAAATTTATTTAAGATAGGTTAAATATATAATCTAAGTTTTAGGAAGTGCTCATCTTTTGAAAGTTTTCTAAAGTACAATCATCATGCAAATTATTAAAAAAAAAAATTTGTTAAGATATCACATGGAACAATCGTTCATGCTTCCACAACTCATCTTATTTTGAAGTGTGTTTTCATTTTGTTCATTACCGTAAGTGTTCGTTCAATACTTGCAATGACAACCGATAGCAACAACCACCTCTATGTTTTCAATTTATGTTTATATTAAATTCACTTAGAGAACATATGAATTAAAAGTTAAATAGAGATAACAAAATTACTTTTTTCATAAAATTATCTACAACAATATGAAGATTTTGTATTCAATCGACGTTAACATAAAATGAATAGATGGCTTATAAATACAAAGATTGTAAGAATTAGATGATTGGAAGAATGTCTCGTTTGTTTGTAGCAATTCAAAAAATTTGAAGAAAATAAAAAAATCACTTTATGAGCTAAAACTAGAACAAATTAAAACCCACTATGATCATAACCTATAGAACCTAATTAAAACTTTTCAATCGAAGCACAAAATTTCATACATGCGGGCAAGGTCTCGCTAGCCTTGCAGCGAGACCCCATATCTACCAATCATACCAATATATAAGCATATTCAAGGCATTCCAACATCTATCAATCCATTGAAGAATACGTTGGTTACCTCCTAAGCTAAAGATCACATCAAAATGAGGAATTCGCGAGATGATGTTTTCTAGTAAACAGCTTCCCTCGACAATCGACAAAGGGTTGTCATCTTCCTACGTCTTTTACTTGTAGTTTGTTTTTGACGATAAACAATCATCGTCACCCATATCAGTTCGGAAAAAATCCCAAAGTACACACGTTCTTAAAAAAAATTCCCAAAATACATGAGTTATAAAAAAATTTCCCAAAGTACACATGTTTGAGCATCACCGTTTTAGACAAACGCGGTGAAGATCATCACCGCGTTTGACAAACACGGTGAATACTTCACCGTTTTAAACAAAAACGGTGAAGTATTCACCGTTTCAGACCAAAACGGTGAAGTTTTCACCGCGTTAATTAACAACGGTGAATACATCACCGTTTTGGTCAAAAACGGTGAAGCCTTCACCGTTGTTAACTAACGCGGTGATCATTTCCCACGTTTCCCACCCCTGGTAGGTCAAAATTAGGTCGCAGCTACCACCTATTCACCGTTTGAGACAAACGCGGTGATAGTGTTCACCGTTTTTGACAAAAACGGTGAATAGTAGGCAGATTTTCCTATAAATACCACACCACCAGCAGTTGTAAAAACATAACCACTCCCCTTTATTCAAATTTCAGCAGCCAAAATCGAGCATAATACACAGAACAGAAATTTTTCGGTATGTTGAGACTTTTCGTATTATGGTCTAATTATGTTTTTAGTAGTTATAGTATGATTTAATTTTCGTATTATGTTGTTGTTAGTTAGTTGAACTTATGTTTGTTAGTTATAGTATGATTTAATTTTCGTATTATGTTGTTGTTAGTTAGTTGAATTTATTTTCGTTAGTTATGGTATGATTTAATATTAGTTGTACAATATGATTTTGGTTAATTTTACTGTCTTTAAGCTAATAGATACTTATTGTAAATTGTAGATATGGGTAAATTCAAGAAGTTTCATCTTACTATTCGGTGGAATGGAAGGGTGACAAACTCTGACATAGGCATTGATTATGAGGACGGCGAATCCATTATGCTGAAAATTGAATCCCGATTCAATTTTCAAGAACTCTATGATCTTTGTGCAGAAAGGGTTTGTACGAGCGGACAGACGAGACTTGGCAAAATTACTTACCGGTATCCAGACATGAGTGCTGGCGGGGTCGTGTTCCAAGAAGTTGTCATAAACGATGATGACGCGGTTATGATGATGTTACAGTTCCTAAGCGATAACCAAGTCCGGCTTGCAGAGGTGTATGTTGAGACCGAGGCGCTCGGTGAATCTCATTCTCACCAGTATTCTTATGATGATGGTTTTGCAGGAGGGTACGAATGGGGTGGTAGTTCGAGCAACTACCAAGGCGGTGGTTATACAGGAGGTTACGGGGAGGGTGGTGGTTCAATCAACTACGGTGGATCGAGTAGTGCAGGATGGGACCAATACTCGCAACCTCCTAAACCAGCCCCATTTGTTGAGGCCGATGGTGTTCAATGGCCTGCTTGGGGGCCAGAGTGGTATGGAATCGAGAATACCATTCGATCAGGGCGTACTTCACATGAGCGAGAGGACGATGTTGGTGATCGTGGTCATGTTGATCCTTCTAGCTCGAGCTATCCATTCGAGTCAAGCGACGAGGATACTGAGGAAGATTTGATATCAGTGAGCGAGGAGGAGGAAGATACTTATGATAACGAGGATGAGGCGGCATTTCGTGAGGCACCCACGCCATATTACACACAGGTTCCAACTCAATTTTTACATAGTCAGAATGATCCCCCCGACTTTGTCCCTATGCCAGTGTACAATCCGACGGCCAATTTGGAGGTGGGTATGGCGTTCACATCGAAAGACGCTGTGCAGGATGCATTTACAGAAGAGGCGTTGAGGCGCAATTTCGAGTGGAAGGTAAAATATTCTGACAGTAAACAATTACATGTCATATGCAAGCATGATGCAGAGGGTTGTACGTGGCAACTGCGGGCTGCAAATATGAAGAGAAAGGGTGCTTGGGTGATTCGCAAAGCTGAGACGATCCACACATGCTCCTCTTCTATACTTTCCCAAGATCACAGGCAACTAAAAGCAAAGAAGGTTGGGAGAACTATTAAGCACCTTATAGAAGCACAACCAGATATCAAGGTGAAAGCTATCATGGCAGAGGTGAAGGATCGACATTCTTACACGATAAGGTACAAAAAAGCATGGCATGGTAAGCAGAAAGCCATGGCTGAGGTGTATGGTGATTGGGAGGATTCGTATGCTTTACTCCCTAGACTTATGGGAGCAATGGAGGAGTCCAATCCTGGGACTGTTTTCGTCCCAGTATACAACAATGTATACACTGAGGATCAAGTTCGAGTACAGGATAAGCTGATGTTCCATCGTCTTTTTTGGGCTTTTAAACCATGCATTGACGGTTTTGGGTTCTGCATACCGGTTATTCAGGTATTTTACCAACTAGTTCCGGTTTTAAATGTTGTATTATTTGCTGTTAAGTATATTTCATACTAATTATATCCTAAATTTTTATTCAGGTTGACGGAACTTTCCTTACTGGGAAGTACAGAGGATGTCTTCTAATTGCCACTGGCGTTGATGGAAACAGGCGAATTTTCCCGCTTGCATTTGCATTAGTGGAAGGGGAGAACAGTTTAAGTTGGGCTTGGTTCTTTGACCAACTGCACGAACACGTGACACAGCGGGAAGTGACTCGCTCTAAAACACAACACCTAACAAAGGCCAAGTGTAACCAATGAAAGGGACTGCAGTATAGTGGCTCAAGTGATAAATATCGAATCCACGGGTCTCTAGAGTTACTATTACTCAGCTTCAGTTTATTATTTAGCAAACCAGATTAAGATGAAAGAACTAAAACTACTCTAGCAAACTACAGTTAAAGTTAATCTAATTACAGGTTGGGAACTCACTTAGGTATGATTCCCCCTAGCCACTAGCCAGATTAATGATTGATGATCTCTAACCTGTTTCACTTTCATTCACAATGCGGAGAATCCTTGACTAGACCTTGAGTCTCGACTAAAGGAACAAGGCCCTCTTGAGTCAATTGCCTAGAGGGACGTATCCTTCTCTAGAACAACTGATCAAGGCGTTCTGAACTAGACTCCCTCTATCGAAAGAGGTTCTCAATCGATACAAAGCAGTGAATCAACCCTCGACTAAAGCAATCGATCCACTACTATCAATCTATGGTGCTCTATTGACCTAATCAGGTATTCCCTCTCATAGAATCAAAGCAGAATCAATAATCTCGACTAAAGCAGAATTGAATCATGAAAACATGCATAGATTGAATATGAACTCAAGATTATCCAGTCAGAGTACTCATACAATCATCCAATCAAACAAACATAGCTAGGGTTCCTCAAAACCTAAGTGAAGGGAAGTTACTCCATAGAGAAGAGAGAGACTGCAGTAAGAATCTTCAGATGATCAGTCTTCAAGTCTGGGCTTGTTCCTCGAGCTTCCAAGGCGAAGAAATCCTCCTTCTCTACTCCAAGAATGCCCTCAAATCGCCCTCTCTCTCTAGGGTTCGTCCCTTGGGTGTTTGGGATCCAAAACCCAGCTCTCCTTCTTCTTTGGTTCGGAATTTGGCTTAAAACCAGGAAATCCCGACTCGCGCGGCCAGGGTGCACGGCCGTGCACATCACCATTCTGGCCGTGCACCTCAAAACGCGGCGTATCAATTAGTTGAACCTCAGCCAACTCGCACGGCCAGAATTGTATGTTGCACGGCCGTGCGGATTTCACTTGTGCCCGTGCGTGCCCACGCACAATCCCGCACGGCCAAACTGGTCACTTGCACGGCCGTGCGTGGCCACGCTGGTCTGCCCGTGCAGCTTGCTCAGCCTCTGTTTAATGCTTCGTTTCTCCCTCGTCCGGACTCCGAATCAATCGCCGTTTGATCCCAGACGCTCGTAGTCTCGTCCTCTTTCGTTTCATAACAAGCTTGCATGATTCTTTGTCCATAAAGTGAGGTAGAAATCCATTCTTCTTCAGGTCATGCCCGAGTTTCTTCTCTCGAATCGTCAATTGATCTCTGATTGACTTGAAACTTGCGCCTATGCTTCACTTTATGTGCTAGGACCTGAAATGGGACAAAGGAACACAACCTAGCATAAAATAGGCCAAAGACGCAATAATTCAAGCTCAAACAATCAAGAAACAAAGGGGAAAACATGTGCAAATACCGAGTCATCAAATCCCCCCACACTTAACCGTTTGCTTGTCCCCAAGCAAACCTAACTCAAACCAATGCAACTCTCCAGACCTCCATAGCAACAAACAACCCAGATCGTAGGTAGAGGACTTCCTAGATCATTTAGCAGCTTACGAGGTCAACCGACGCACAAGTCATCTCATAACTTCTTCGGCGAGTCGGCGTCACGGCAAATAGTGAACAGAGGGCAAATGAATTGTGGATGAAGCGATTCTCAAAAACAACAGATCATGGACTCACATTTTTCAAGGTGCTCTATTTTATTCTTGAAGATGGTTGGAACCCCTTTTTTTTCTATTTTGCTTGTTTTCTGTTATTTTTCTTTTCTTTTCTTTTCTTTTCAAGGGTCCCAACCTGCTCTTACCGGCCATGCCAGGAGCGGATGTCTCGAGCCTCATGCGGGGGGAAAGACATGTAAGGGGGCTGGAGGTAGTAGGTGGAAATTGGGAACGAATTCCCGTCTCCCCTTACACACTTTCGCCCTATTCGCACGGGAGACGTTATTTTGAAGCACATTTTCGAGCACCTGTTACTTTCAAAACATGATACAAGAGTCCATGACAGGTAGAGAATCCACAACACCACACAATTCAAGGGTCCTAAGATCACTAATTCACTCAATCAACCAACTCAATATGAAGAAGACATGAGACTTCTTAAATGCATCAACATCCTCCATAGTGCTACACTACCTCCCTAGGTTGCATATTACTGTAAAGACTGTCAATTCAAAGCATACTGAGCAGGCAATTGCAAGGAAACACGTACTTGGAGCCCTCAAATTTAAAAATTTGGACAGTGGACTAGGCTCCAAGCACACAAACAGCCAAACATTCACCCGCATACATAATCGAACATCCCCCCACACTTAAGCACGACATTGTCCTCAATGGAGGAAAGATAAGGAGGGTAGAACGAAGTTACCAGATCAAGGGTGAATGATGATGAACGGGTCAGGCGGTGCCATCCAGAAAGAGAGAGTAATCAGAACACAAACACCACACAAAATCTCACAAAGGTTGAGTTATTGACTCTAAAATCAAATAGCAAACTGACTCAACCGAGGAGAAATAGAGACAGAAATGCAAACCGACTGGTTGGGTTGCCTCCCAACAAGCGCTTCTTTCACGTCGTGAGCCGGACGATGGCTCCTAAGTTTCGGTCCATGCTAGAACCTCCTTGAAGTTGAGGTTCTCGTCGATGAGGTGGAGTCTCAAGTCACGAGCATGTGGTGTGGCAGGTGATGAAGGCTCATGTACTTGATGCAGATGAAGTCTCCACCCTCGAGACCTCTTCTTCTCTTCTCTCGTCTCATTGCCCCAAACCAGATATGACAGCATCGATTGGCCACCATCGCGTCCACCAAGAGGGACCGATGTCGAGGTGGCCTTGGTCTGGCAAAGAGACACTGCAAATGGGTCCTTGCTAAGCAGTTCCTCGAAGTTTGGTGGAGATATCACCTGTAACTCATGGCCGGTGCAAGCCTCTTCCACCTCAACTTCGTCCTCAGCCTGGACGCCAATCGCCTCTTCAACCTCCCTTCCTTCTTCATGTGGTATCACCCCTGGGAAATGATCAAGAACTCCTCCAGCTTCACTTTCGTCATCCTCCACAACTTCTTTCTGCACCCTTTCTTGCTCTTCTTCTTCTAGCACGGATTGGAGAGCAAGTTGCCAAGCAATTTCTTTCATGAGATCTTCTTGCATCTCCTCACTCATGCCCGCCTCTTCAAAGCTCAGTTTGGGGTGTGGGAAGGTGTGGTCGGCTACGACATGACAGGCCTGATCATGATCATCACGGGAGCTCTCCGTGACAACTTCAGTGTGTTCCACAATGCCCTTGTAGCCTTCTTCTTCCTCCTCCTCTTCTTGTATGGTAGCAGAAGGGTGATCTGGAGCAGGTTGCGCCCAAGATCGCTCAAGATCATCGACGCTCTTCTTAAGGCTCAGGAGGATCTCATCTGTTTCACGATAGGCCTGGACACACTGATCCATCCTGGAGCATGTTCTCTCACAGTCTCGAGCAAACTGCTCCATGAGTAACTCCAGCGCAGATGGCCCTTCTGGTTGTGGGAGAAATTCTTCTTGATAATGAGGTTGTTCTTGATATGCCCAGGGGTCCGGTTGTTCTCCGTAGTAAGGGGGTTGGTACTGGAACCCGAATCCATAGTCTTCTCCGCCTTGATTGCTCCACGGAGTCTCGGGGTAATACCACCCAGATGGTGGTGGATACCCCCAATGATTGGAGAAGCCATTAGGATCCATGATTCAGATCTGCACCAACAAAAACAAAAAACACCCAAGTGAAAAGCAAGGGTGGAAAAGAAAAGAAACGAAAAACGCTAAAGTAACAAACTTCTGCCTTTCCTAATACTCTAGAAAGTCCCCGGCAACGGCGCCAAAAACTTGACTCGCTCTAAAACACAACACCTAACAAAGGCCAAGTGTAACCAATGAAAGGGACTGCAGTATAGTGGCTCAAGTGATAAATATCGAATCCACGGGTCTCTAGAGTTACTATTACTCAGCTTCAGTTTATTATTTAGCAAACCAGATTAAGATGAAAGAACTAAAACTACTCTAGCAAACTACAGTTAAAGTTAATCTAATTACAGGTTGGGAACTCACTTAGGTATGATTCCCCCTAGCCACTAGCCAGATTAATGATTGATGATCTCTAACCTGTTTCACTTTCATTCACAATGCGGAGAATCCTTGACTAGACCTTGAGTCTCGACTAAAGGAACAAGGCCCTCTTGAGTCAATTGCCTAGAGGGACGTATCCTTCTCTAGAACAATTGATCAAGGCGTTCTGAACTAGACTCCCTCTATCGAAAGAGGTTCTCAATCGATACAAAGCAGTGAATCAACCCTCGACTAAAGCAATCGATCCACTACTATCAATCTATGGTGCTCTATTGACCTAATCAGGTATTCCCTCTCATAGAATCAAAGCAGAATCAATAATCTCGACTAAAGCAGAATTGAATCATGAAAACATGCATAGATTGAATATGAACTCAAGATTATCCAGTCAGAGTACTCATACAATCATCCAATCAAACAAACATAGCTAGGGTTCCTCAAAACCTAAGTGAAGGGAAGTTACTCCATAGAGAAGAGAGAGACTGCAGTAAGAATCTTCAGATGATCAGTCTTCAAGTCTGGGCTTGTTCCTCGAGCTTCCAAGGCGAAGAAATCCTCCTTCTCTACTCCAAGAATGCCCTCAAATCGCCCTCTCTCTCTAGGGTTCGTCCCTTGGGTGTTTGGGATCCAAAACCCAGCTCTCCTTCTTCTTTGGTTCGGAATTTGGCTTAAAACCAGGAAATCCCGACTCGCGCGGCCAGGGTGCACGGCCGTGCACATCACCATTCTGGCCGTGCACCTCAAAACGCGGCGTATCAATTAGTTGAACCTCAGCCAACTCGCACGGCCAGAATTGTATGTTGCACGGCCGTGCAGATTTCACTTGTGCCCGTGCGTGCCCACGCACAATCCCGCACGGCCAAACTGGTCACTTGCACGGCCGTGCGTGGCCACGCTGGTCTGCCCGTGCAGCTTGCTCAGCCTCTGTTTAATGCTTCGTTTCTCCCTCGTCCGGACTCCGAATCAATCGCCGTTTGATCCCAGACGCTCGTATTCTCGTCCTCTTTCGTTTCATAACAAGCTTGCATGATTCTTTGTCCATAAAGTGAGGTAGAAATCCATTCTTCTTCAGGTCATGCCCGAGTTTCTTCTCTCGAATCGTCAATTGATCTCTGATTGACTTGAAACTTGCGCCTATGCTTCACTTTATGTGCTAGGACCTGAAATGGGACAAAGGAACACAACCTAGCATAAAATAGGCCAAAGACGCAATAATTCAAGCTCAAACAATCAAGAAACAAAGGGGAAAACATGTGCAAATACCGAGTCATCAGGAAGATATTACGATTATATCCGATCGACATGCGGGGATAAGGAATGCTGTTGGTGGTTTTCCCGACGAGTGGGGGTGGAGATGGAGATGGTGTATTCGGCACTGGCTCGCCAATTTCCAACACAAATTTGGGAAGAAGAAAGACATCAAAAATCTACTTTGGAATGCAGGTACTCATGTTTTTCTTATGCGATTTAAGTTTGTGTTTATTAAGCTGATGAGCTGATGTTATTCATCATGTATTGACCAGTTAGTCTTTTGTTCACCTTTTAGCGGTTGCACATCAACCAAAAAAGTACGAGCAGATCATGAAAACGATCCGTCAGACCCACCGAGCTGGAGCAGTATGGGCTGAAGGTCAAGAGTTGCCCATGTGGACGTTCCATATGGACAACGGGGCTAGATGGGGCATTGCAACTACCAACCATGGAGAAAGTATAAATAATGTGTACAAGGGTCTTCGAGCGATGCCTATTTCTGTCATCGTGGAAATGTCTTATTGGAAGGTCAACGAGTGGCGAGTTGCTCGGCTACAGCTAGCTATAGGGAGGGAGTTGCAAGGTCATTCAATAGCACATGACGTATTCGCTCAAATGCAGAAGAACGATGAAAAATCAAGTAAGCATAAGGTTGTTCTTTTTAACCGCAGTGAAGGAATATTCGCTGTCGAAACAGGTATATGGGGTGGAGGGAGACGTGGTCACAATCGTCAAACGGTCAAATTGCACTACGAATTAGGGGAGTGTTCTTGTCAAAAGTATCAGAACGAAAGGATACCCTGTTCACATGCAATGGCGGTTGCTAAGTCAATAACCATGAACAGAAACAGCCTGGTGAGTCCTTACTACACTGAACAAGCGATACGGAACTCATATAATGCAGCTTTGAGCCCCATGCCAGATGAAGCGTATTGGCCTATATACGCTGGAAAGTTGATTATCCCACCGTTGCACCTAAAACGCACCAAAGGCCGTCCTAGAGTTGAAAGGATACACAATGAGATGGATCAAGTTGAACGGACGAGAAGGGGACCGAAGCGATGCTCTAAGTGCAGACAACCTGGTCACGACAAGAGGCGTTGCCCAGGACAACCATCAACTTAATTTGCATTTACTTGTATTCTGCTACTAAATTGATAGCTTGTTTAATTTTTAATTAACGTTTGCATTTGAAGTCCAAGTATTTTGTTAAATCAAAAATGTTTTCCTTGTCGATACGATCGCGCGGCCGCAAACGGCTCGTTATTTCGACCTCAAACGAATAAGATACGGGCGTTTTAGTTTATAGTACGCAAAAGTTACTTTAACGATACGATCACGCTTTGACGTCACTTATCTCACTCGTTTGGACTCGGAATTGGGATCTGTAAAATTCTATGCGATCGTGGTTGATTTGCCCAACTTTTTTGTGTTGAGGGAAGATACTGATTCTTGATAAAATGATCCAGAAAATTCATTCGACAACTTAAGTGCGTAGGATAGTTTTTAGACAATGCAAACTCAAATAACAACACCTAAAAATCACAAAAACAACATTGATAGTTCACTACAATGATAAAACGATAAATTCACTAATTTGCTTCGTTTTGGCCCCCATCTCCACCTCTTCCTCCTCGTCCTCCACGACGTCCTCGACCCCTTCTTCCCCCCTCCGCCGCTGCTTCTTGGCGGGCTCGCTCAACGGCTGGTCGCGGATTTCTCTTGACCCGAGCCCCAACTGGGGTTACATATGGTGGTGGTGGTGGCTGAGTTGGAGCGGTAGCTTGACGAATGATCGGAGTTTGTTGTTGCGGGGTCTGAAACATCGAACTTTGTTGCTGATGTTGGAATTGAGAGAACCCATGAGAGAAAGTGTCCCATTCCTGAGATCCTCCACGACTCGATGAGCCTCCACCGGCATCCGCTGTAGGTGCCCACTGGTACTCGAACGGTTCGGGGAGCTCGGTTTCTTGAGTGGTACGCACCTCTTCGAACGTAGGCAAAGGCCTGCGTTTGCTCCTTCGTGGGGGCTCAACCGGGGGCACAATGGCTGCATCATCACGGAATGAGGGTCGTGCCGGGGCAGGAACGGGAGGATAGGCCACGACATCCCTCCTTTGCTCTCTGGTGCAACTCAGGAGGTTATTCATAAGTCGGGTCAACCAAGTAGTCTTCCGCTCATCCATGGTTGGAGCACTTTCGAGAGTGTACTTCGCGTGTTCCAAACCATCAACCTAAGGAAAGCACAAAATATATCAAATTAACTAAACATTAAAATAAATATATTTAAGAATGAGGGAGATTAGGATGACTTACCACCGAACCCATCACAGCACCTTGCTTTGACACCCATCTCAAGGTGAACTTCCGATACCACTGCATGTACCCATCGTGGTAGCCCATCGGTCTCGTCTCCGGCATCCCTTGCACCACCCATTGGGATCGATTCTCCCAGATGTTGATGTAGAATCCATGCTTTAGCGTCCAGTTTGCATTGTTTCGGAGGTCCATAGCATGTAGCTCCTTGAAACCTGCTGGCGGGTCTTGTGGAAGTGGTTGCTCCATTCGATACTGCCTCAGGGATCGATCGGGTAGGTGCCATTCCACAATGTGCCAACAGATCAATGGCACCTTGCACAACCACGTCTCGTGATCCAGAGGGTGCCTAAGATGATGCAGCTCAACCACTTCACGTGGATATGGATCCCATATAACCTAAAATCACAAAAATTCGGAATTAACGACCATTTACTTTGATAAAATTGATCTTGTTCAAATATGGACAAAACATGATTACCTGATTCCACCATGGTTTATCTAACTCAGAACGATAAAACAGTAACGAATGCTCAGGCTGATGGTCATTCGTATTTGCTCCTATCCACCTTGTAAGTAAAAGTACGGAATCAATTTAAATTCAATTTAAATCTAGCTCAAGCATGTAATAAAAATTAAATTGGGCTAAGTACGGAAGTGCAGACAATTTAAATCTAGCTGAAGCATGTAATCAAAAGTTAAATTGGGCTAAGTACGGAATAAATTCAATTTAAATCTAGCTCAAGCATGTAATAAAAAGTTAAATTGGGCTAAGTACGGAATAAATTCAATTTAAATCTAGCTCAAGCATGTAATAAAAAGTTAAATTGGGCTAAGTACGGAATAAATTCAATTTAAATCTAGCTCAAGCATGTAATAAAATTTAAATTGGGCTAAGTACGGAATAAACTTACTTGACACCGTAGGGGAGATTTTGCAGAAGGTTGAGCTCATCATCGTTTCTCCGGTATGGACGTGGGTCGAGAGGTGCGAACATTGGAAGATGCTCCCATACCCACAGTTGAACGATGAACATCGCAGCACCAGCTTGCTTTGCCCCAACCCTCGAGCAAGTACACAGCTCCCGGTATACGCCCGCTAGCACGGCCGATCCCCAACTCTTCTCTCCAATTGCATCCCAGTCACCGGTGAGCAATGGCAACCATATGCCTTGAATCCACCGGTTGGACTTGTCGGGGAACAAAAATCCACCCACCAAACCGATGAGGTAGATGCGGGCGTAGCGCTCGACTTGTTCTTCCGGTGTCTCGTCATTGATTTCCACCTCTTGCTGGATGTGAGATACCAGCCACGGGACCGACACTTGCCCCGCATTCAACGGTGGATGCCCCCGTCCTTGATTTGGTGTGGTGGTCGGCATGTCGAAGCCCAAACGATCACGGATGAGCGGCCCCCAACCTCCTCCGGGTTTGGTCGTGTTCCCAATGATGGCATCTCCAGATATAGGAAGCCCGGTGAGGATCGCCACGTCTTTGAGGGTGATCGTCATTTCCCCCTCCGCAAGGTGGAATGTATGGGTTTCGGGACGCCATCGTTCCGCCATTGCCGTAAGCAGCTCGTTGTCGATCTCGATCCGCAAGAAATGGCGCAACATTCCCAAACCGGTCCTCGCTATATAGGGCTCCAACCTTGGATGCCAAGCGGGCAAGTTATTGGTCCCTTTATGAACCACGGGAACAAGAGATTCCTAAAAAAAATAGGAAAAACATCAATTAATTAGATTAAATAAAGCAAAATAAAACATTAGAAAATAATAAAATAAAGCAAGTCAGTTCATCAAATTACCGGATTGTTATCCCAAATGGCACGGGAGCGATGCATTTGCTGATCGGTTAATAGACTCGCATCCCTTGGGCCATAATGGATATACAATCGAGGATCGTATATCTCGGCACCCATCTATAAAAAAGTAATATAATCAGAGATTGTTTTGATAAAAAATAAATCAAATTTTTTCGATTAAAAAAAATCACAAACCAAAAACCTACACGAAGAGCCTCTTCGTCCATTATTGGCGGAAGCCGGACAGAGGTTCGACGGGTTTAGCTTTGTAAGGGACGGGAACTTAGCGGGACGGGGGCTTTAGGGTCAAACTCTAGTAATTCTTTCTGATGTGGAAGATCGGACTTAGCCGCAACCACAGAGCATACTTAGAACGAGACTAGAGCGGATAAATTGAGGGAGAAAGAAGTGAAATGTTTGTGGGGTGAGTTGAAAGTGAAAGGGGAAGGGGGTATTTATAGTTTGGGGGAAGGGGGGAGGAGATGCGCAGCAGTTATTAGGGCTCCATTCACCGCGTTTGATGAATGCGGTGAACTCACCGCTTTAACCAAACGAGGTGAATGTATGGGTGACGTGGCGTGCTGTGAGGCGTCGGATCGTGGGAAGAAAACCACGATCCGCGTCTCACCGCATCTAACGTCCACGGTGAAAGCACATTGGCGCGGATTGCTGACGCAAACAAACACGGGTTATTCACCGTGTTTGTCTAACGCGGTGAATACCCCGTGCTGTCCACGTCAGCAACTTCACCGCGGCCGACAAAAACGGTGAGGTATTCACCGTTTTTAACAAAAGCGGTGAACACTTCACCGTTTTAGTTTAAAACGGTGAAGTACTCACCGTGTTTGTCAAACGCGGTGATGACCTTCACCGTTTTAGACAAAGACGGTGATGCTCAAACATGTGTAGTTTTGGAATTTTTTTTATAACTAATGTATTTTGGGAATTTTTTTTAAAAACTAGTGTACTTTGGGATTTTTTCCTATCAGTTCGCTTGTAGTTCGCTACACTTTATATCCTTTCCGTCACAATTACAAGCTGCTTCTCATACGAGTTTATTCAGTCGAACAAGCACACTCACCTTAGCTTATGGCCCAACTATGTGAACTTTGCTATTTTCATGTTCCTATTTATCATCATCATATTCATATGGTCATATTGAAGTTGAAACTACTCCACAACCATAAAGTAATGTTTAAAATGCACTGGTTCAACATAAGCACTTCTGAAGGGATTGAAGAAATTGCTCACCAATAAAATGATTGAACAGTAAGTTTACCCTAGCAAAACATAGTTTTCTTTTTTGATTGAAATGAGAGACCACTTCTGATTTCAAATCTTGCATTTCCTTTTGACACCATCCACAATTGCCCAACCAAGTACCAATTATTACCCTCTCTTGTTAAACCCTTTTCAATTAATGGGAGTTTAGATCTTCATAGTAGAGAGGATTGGTCTGTTAGTGTGAAATGAAGCAGGGAAGGTTCCTATTTGTTTACTTTTCATATCATTTTTCTCCTCCTCCTCTAATTATAGGATGTTTTATCCATGCTGTTTACTTGCTCATGATAGACTATCCAATTACTTCCCCTTTTGATTTTGTTCCCAACATATTTTTAGTAGGTGGGAAGACCATACATTCCCTTTAGCCCTAAAAAGTCTTGCAAAATTTCTCCACAAAAATGGTACTTTCACATTTCATAAAAATGTCACTTACAAAAGAGTATGCATTCATGTGTGTGAGAGTGAGAACTATTTCCCCCTTCACAATGGCTTGCCCTTTGAACACCTATGTTTATAGCTCTAATGTTACCTATTGTTGATGCTATGGGCAAAATATACAAATAAATTTGAGGGACAATACCGTTGTTCAGAATAAACTATTTGAGTATCCACTCTAATACGACATGGAGCTGGGCAATACTCGAATCATGACAGAGTGTTGTGAATTTATAGACCTTTAATATCTATATTGCACGGATGAAGGATAAATCGATCCGTCCAGTAAATTCATCCACTATCATATATCACTCTTTTTTTACATTCTTTCTATTTTGAATTTCATGAGTTGTATTCTATAAATCAAACTATCAAAGTCAAAATTATTGGGAAGGAAAGTCGACTTGCTTCAAATGAGCAAATACAGATGTATGAAATTGTTTTATTTGAGGATTCAATTTTGGGTACATCTGTATTTCTTGTAAAAGGAATCTTTTTACGGCATCATTATATTTACATTACATATGAAGGAACACTTATGGAGGAACACTTATGGCAACGAGCATATTACTAGGCAAATAATTTTCTAGCAAATAGAATCACAATAATTGTGATGCATATCTTATTCCTGAATCAACAATTATGCTGCATGTTCCTTTTCCCAATCAAATTAAGAAGTTATAATTTCAAGCACCATGACTGCCCTTATATAAACCAACCAAACCATGAAGGATTCTCTGCAAGCATTCACAAAACTTTTGGTACGAAACTAGTGGGTCGTCCAAGAAGGAGGAGATAGAAATCATTAAAAAAAAACTGTAGCGATGAGGTTGGCTTTCTTTGTTGCTCTTTTAGTTTTCGCAACAGGTACACATCGATTTACATGATTTTCGATTCAATATTTTACAATTGTTCATTGTAGTTTGAAATTCATGTTTACTCTGTCGTTCTTTTGGGAGGTATGGAATGCAGGTGGAAAGAATATTGGAGTAGAAAGCAGAACAGTGAACACAAACAACGAACCTTTGTCTTGCGTTACGCCATGTCTACCACCACATTGCGGTTGTGTGAGGGGGATATGCTTTTGCAATGATGCTTATGACCAACACTCACTTATCGATGTTGGCCACTTGAACCCAACTTCCCCGGAGGCCCATGGGCAAAGGAGTTAAAATAGTGTGACATTATGTAACATGCTATGTTTTGCTGTTGTCATGAAAGTATCGAAGTGACAATATCAGAATTACAAATAGACAGTTTAACACAAATGCAATTGTTTCGTCGGGCAGGAAACTCATCTTTATGTTCAATTTAGTCAGACTTCTTCTCTATAATTTAAAGAAAATTTATGAAATTGAAATAGAATCAAATTATATTTAGTCATATATGATTACATCGGAATATCATATTATCATTGGTTGGGTGTTTACTAAATTTTTGTACACCCATAATTATACACCCTGGCAGGGGGGCCAATGGGATTGTGGTCTGTGGACAGGATCTCTCTCTCGCTCTGCTTTACCCTTTGCTGCTTGCTGAACCTTGATCCACGAGGCCCGACTATTTCGTTTAATCTCGGCGAGAGGATTCGGCTAAGCCTCAAAATGAGTGCTTGGGCCTATATCGACGGCCCATCTCGCTACTGCTTCTGTATCCGTTTAATTCGCACTTCATTTCCCCTCTTCCCCAACCTTTGGCATTTCATAGATACTAGCTTTTCACCCGGCCATTGGCCGGGAGATTTTATTGATTACATTAATAATAATTTGATGGTATAATTAAAATTATTTTGGATGTTCAAATCTTGTTATATTTTTATAATACATTTTTCATGAATATTGTGTTTTCTCGAGTATTATCTCAATACAGATTGATAAAAAGTTAATCTTTTACATATTGATTTTCCAATTAACATCCAATACTGAATTCAACAATTTTTGTTTTGAATATAAGCATTGCATATTTATAAATAAAAATACTCATTTCATAATCGAAAATATCAAATGTTGACTAAATCAATCATAAACATATATTAACAATTCTCAATTATCATGTCAATTTATGATAGTTCAAGTCTTTATTATTGACTCATTCTTTTGATATATATTTCAGATAACTTTTTTTTTATTTTAATAAATGATAACTTATCAAGTTTTGAGATAGGTTGGTAACCTGGTATGTACTAAAATATTCAAATTGATTATATTATACCATTAAAAAAAAGCAAGGAATACTGTAATGAGCAAAATTGCAACGAACACCAATACACCATAGACAAACCAAAAGTGGAGAAACTGGAATGCGATTAAGTTAAGAACCGGTATTATCATCCTTGTGCAAAATAAAACTTTTGAGGCCTTGAAAACTAAGCAGCTAGAGAAATATGCCATTGGAGAAGATTCTTATAGTTTGATTGAAAAGCAAGACGTAACCTAATTTCAATCGGCAATATGATGGAGTATGGGGCTGCAAGAAAAGAGCCACCAACAAACTTGCACGGCATACTCACGGTGTATGGCAGAATTATAAGGGGGACTCTGTTGTGCGTTTTCAGGGGCAGAATTGGGCGAATGTTGAAGGGTCTGCAAAACAAAACAGAGTCCAAAGATGTAAATATTTCCGGGTTGGGGAAGTTCGAAATTGCAGCAGGCAAAACAATGGAGGGATCTAATTGGGGTATGGGGAAGTAAAATCGGGTTTATATTAGGGGGATAAAGGCACAACAACAATCCAAACGGCCTGACAGATTAAGAAAAAAACCTTTGACCATGAATTAAAATCACCGGTGTTGGCTAGATCGGGCACAATGTGGGGATGGATTTGTGCCGACGGTGTTATGATGGAGGAAGTTGCCGCGAGAAAATATTGGAGATTGGCCGATTGCTAAAGAAGATAGAACAACGCCTGATGGTGGAGGAAGGGAAGATATAGGGCCGGTCGCCGTCAGGGAAGATAGCGGTTTTCCAACTGCAAAAATATTAAAAGATGTCGTAGAGCGGTAGAAGGAATGAAGAAAGAGGGAATGACGTGGACACGATGGGCTTTCAGTAAGGCTTACGTGGACGGGGTGCAAAATCAAAAGCCCTTTAATATTTTTAAAGATTTATCCCACAATTTAATCATAGTGAAAATGCAATTACTAATTAATCTCCCAAACGGAATGGATTGATGGATTGGATTATTGATAAAGTAGCATTCAAACATTGGATTAATATGCACATTTTGAAAAGTTTTAGTAAAATGTTATAAAAAATTTAGGTACCAGATTTTTCAATGATAATTTTTTTTATAAAAATTGTTCGGTAATAATCCATCAATCCAATTAGATTTTGATCAGATAGATTTGATTTAAATACATTGAATTTATAAATTAGTTGGATATTTAAATGAATGAAATAAATTAAATTGGTGGACTAGATACAAAATCGGCACGTCTAGTCCCGACATGATGACACTTCTTTGACTCTAGTGGTTAAACAAAACTACGTACATAAGTATTTTAAAGTGTTTAGCAGCGATACCAGGCTTAACTAGCTTAGAGTGTATCAATAACTGTTTTACTCAAAGTATAAAATTACCATATAAGATAAAATAAACCCAAAAAATAAGTCAGAAGCAGCGATAACAATAAGGTTGGAATGAAACAGTTGTCTCAATGCTCATTCTTGTTTCGCATTACTGTGAATCACATCATATAATATTCACATGTAATATAATTTGGACAAGCTATTTATTCTTAAATAGGATTATTAGAAAAATGTTTTATTCTTTTTGGATGCACAAAATTGATCATTATTGTAGGTTCGTGGCCGACTTGTAATTAGCAGCAATTCTGATGGATCACTTTAGTGCATGCAAATCTTAGCAAATAGTAACTAAACCAGAGATATGAACAAAATGGATACAGCATGGATGAAAACCACATAGGATGCTACAACGAGACGCATCTGCGCGCCGTCGCTGGTGGATTTGGTCCCATCGCCGCCGGCGGAGCTATCGATCCTTGTAAACACCTCCATTGCACTGACCATCGGCGGCAAGGTCGAGGAATTTTATTTTGCAAGTGTGATGTTGATGCTATTAGCAGGTGAAACAGTAATCGTGTAAAACGTTGTCACTTTGCATTTGGTGAGCTCGGCCTCCACCGACGTCATCATCTTGCCGGATGTGGATGTCCATGATCCTCGTATCTTCGAGTTTAGGTCGGGCGAACAACTCCGTGAAGTAGAATACGAGGTACGCAGTCTGCTGACCCGAATCACCTTTCGGAAGATCGACATTCAGAGCTATGGTATTTTGTGCATTGCCGGTTGAATGGAATTCATTAATGCGTCGATCGCAGGATCGTTTTCCTTCCACCCGAGTCTGGAGAGGTGCCATAGTGGTGACAACACTGGTGTTGGATAGGTCAGCTCCACGTGTCCATATCCTATTGTGCAATTCGCCATCGATGCCAGTCTTGTATAGTTACATGTTGAACGAAAAGTAATTCATGGCTTGAAGTTTGCACAAATGTTGTACTGCGTGACTGAAAGACTTTATAAAGCACTAGAATAAAAATGACCTTTTGTGACTATTTTTTTCTTGGAACCAATTTGTTTTGGTCGGCAAAGATCTAGTATTTGTGACTAATTATATTTTGATTATGAAAAAAATTGATAAATTGATCCCTCCGCAAAGTGGAATGAAGATCACTGACCTAGATCACAAGCCTTATTGATGGCATGTATATCCCATCGTGGTAAGTATGTTGTAGAGAAGCACTTACCTCTCTTATTGTACTCCTTTCTCTTCGTCCACAGTTATTTGCTTCTCGATGTGGTATATTTACTCACACTTCTATCTTATATGCATACATAATCAAACACTTCCCTCCAGCTGCTGCCACCTGATCTTCCATCTTCTTCCTCCCATCTCTCTCTCTGTACATCTATTATTGAAATCCTCCCATCATAATTGATACCAGCTGACTGCTAATGGAAGAGTAATTGGATGCTCTTAAAATTTCGTAAACGCGTATGAGTTTGGACGATTAAGATAACAATAACGAGAATGCCAGTAGTATAAAGAGTCGAGCTGCGCTTACAATTTGAGGTTACCCATAAGAAAAAAGTACAGTAAGGAAGGATACAATTTGAGGTTTTCCGTAATAATCCATGGTCCATGTTGAGAGATCATCATCAGCATCAAGCTGCCAATGGCTTCCCAGCAAGAAATGCAGCAAATAAAGTGAGCGATCTCTTGGGCGAGGAGAGCGGGGCCATGTGAGAGGCTCCTCTAATGGTTGCATATGAAAGTTTGTTGTTCTCCCCATAGACTTGTGTCCACCCACCAACCTGAAAGCATCCAGAATAGAGTGGTTTTCATCAACAGATACTGGATTTAGAAAAGAAGAAGAACAGTAGATCAAATCCTGTACTTAATTTGATGCACCAAGAGTTAGTATAATTAATTAACCTGTTGTTCATCATCAAACCAGGGCTTGTAAGGCAGAGTAGTGTTCAATCCCAACTGTTTCGACAGACGATTCACCAGACTCCTTGTACCGATGAATGGGATTGCAGCATCTTGATCTCCGCTGTAAACCAGTACTCGAATCCCCGAACCCACCAACGATCCCACCACTCCAATTGTTGGATTCTCCAAGTTGCTCTCATCGTACTTTATGCGGCTGCAGTTTCACAAATTGGACATTAGAAAGCAAGCCAAGTGTAACAATTACTACACCACTCCGCTCGATCAGTTTAGCAATTTTGTTTCTTACTGGGTACAAGCAGTCCAGTTGCTGATGGCTACAAGCTGGGCATGCATAGCTTGTTGAACATCTTTCCTGTTCAAGTACTTGTTCATCTCATCTTGTATGCAGAGGTCTGTAGACTCTTCAACTCTCTGCATTACATAGCCAATCAACTCTAGGCTTATAATTGTCCGAAAAATTATGAATTACGTTATGTGATCAATGATTTTATTATATGCTTCATGGTCAGACTTTGAAATTCATCGAACTTACTGCATATCTGCGAGCACCAGCTTGGTTGGAACGGAGAGATGAAAATGGATGGAAAATGGTTGCCCAGGACTGCTGCTTTAGAGCTGCAACGTTCGTTGCAGCTTTTGATAAGCAGGAATCGGCAGTGACATCATACGTATCAAAGTCTTTCTCAGGAACTTGAGCATGAATCAGGGCTGCAACGATTTTGCAGGATTCAGAAAAATCCCTTGACACGGCCTGTCTCCTGAGCCGTGAAGTGTTGCAGGCTGCGTTGGCGAAGTTATAGGTATCCTCTGAAATCAAGCCGTGAGACCAATAGAACTGCCCTTCCGCGTTGAAGTCTGTGTCGAACTCTAGTGTCGGGTTCCCTATCTGCAAACACACAAGGATGTTACACGGATTGCATACGTTATTAGTTTAGAACATTGTCATTGTCGAGTTATTGGAACTGAATGGTTTGTTCGTTTACGGTGAAACTTACAGCTATGGCTCTCAGGCTGAGATTTGATTCCGACTCCACGATTAATTGAGCAAGTTGTGGGACATAGTGACCTATTGAAGAAAATGGGCGAGTGTAGTCAATAGTCTTATCATTTGACATACAATCTGAATCTATTTGTGTGCAACCCTGCTAGTTAAATTACCAGCATAACTCTCTCCCGCTATGAACAGATCTCTGTTCTTGTATTGCGGGAACTTGAGTAGCCATTGTTGTAGGAAAACCAAGTTATCATGAGCTGATAAAAAGAAGATTTTATAAAGAGATGTACATGAGAAGATTAGATAATAAAAATATATACCAGTCCAACTGCAAAACGACAGAACAAATTCTGATAATCGGTTCAGTTTCGAACCTGTTATGGTATCATTCACAGAGTTGTAGAATGATGAATCTGTTGAGTAGGAGAAACCAACTCCAGCAGGCGATTCCAGGTATATCATGTTTGCTTCTGCATAATATACCAACAAAAATACTAATACTGGTGATCAACTTCATGCAAGTAACCAACACATCATAGGCTAAACTCATTGATTTCATTTAAGTTATTGCCTTTGTTCCAACTGTAGTCATTTTTTACAAGATAGCCTGCAACATTGGGCTTGAACGGGCCGTGCTCCGTAAAAGCTCCACCACCAACTGACGAGCAACCAGGCCCTGATATCATCAGAAAAACAAAAGCAAACTTAGTGCTACCGCCTACCAGGGGCATAAAATTAAACGTAGCTTGTTAATATCAGCTGATAAATTAAGTACCTCCATTTAGCCAGAGAACGAGAGGTTTGGAAGTGGAGTTGGTCTCAGCTTCAACAAAGTAGTAGAAAAGTTTCCTCTGCTGGGTTTCATCAACAGTCACATACCCTGCATATTGCTGGAAGCTAACCTCTGGCTGCCCTGGTAGCTTCACGATCTTGTCCTCTTCAGGTGTTGATTCAATGGTCCTGCAAATCACGACGAGGATTGTTGCGGCAATCAAGAGCATAACAATCCATAACTGATGAAAACCCATATGGCGAAGAAGAAGCTTGAAACTTTGAAGACTTGTTTTGGTAGTGGTTATGGTTGGTTGAATGTGAAGAACTTTGCTTAGCTCCTTCTGTCTTTATAGATTATGAGAGTCATAAAATGACAATTTGGACACTTAACACAGTCGAAGGAACTGTTTATGTAAATCCATGAAAAGGAACCAAGTGACTGTTGCTTCTTATTTACAACATGGGAAACATGATTTTCATCATCATTAATTTATGATACTTGGTTATGTTAAAAACCAGCATTGTAGCAATCACAATAGTATATTTGTTCATTGTTTCGGACTCTGGGATAGATCACCACCATATGTTGCTGACGATTTCTATTTTGAGTAGAGTACTGTCATTTTGTTTTGGCAACAGAGGCTAAACATTTCTCTGATGTGTTGGAACAAACGACGCAGTTTTGTAGCAGAAACGAACATCTCGCCGTTGCACCGGCCGCTGTCTAAAAAAAAGGTCACATCCCAACATTCCTCCTCTGCTCCCTCAAACTTCTCCGTCTTCTTCCCTCGCCCTTTTCTCTTCTTCTTCTGCAACTCGTTAAACCCCTCGGGAATCTAAACATTCTCATCACGACGCTAAAGCAATTTGCACGGACTCGCCGCAAATCCTGCCGTAGTTGGAATAACGGTACCAGTTTGTGACTGGATCGCCATTTCTAGGATTCCCGGCGCAATCGTCGTGTTATTTTCCTAAGAGGAGAACTGGCGAACCCCCTCGCAGAAAATGTCGTGGTTGAAATCGGCTGTGAGCAAAGCGGTGGAGGTTGGGAACAATAGCAACCTGACTCGCGCAGTCAAGAACTATGCAGACACCGTCGTCCAACAAGCTGGTCAGGCCGTCGCCGATGGAGCCAAAATCTTGCAGGATCGCATTGTAAGAACCTTTATCTCTCTCCTCTTTCTGACGCTTGTCAATTTGGTCTGGGTAGGAAGGATCTTCGTCTCAAGTTGTATTTGGTTTGGTTCATTGCTTTCTGTAATGTCTAGTTCTATTTAGTTAGGGTTCTTCAGTGTCTTGCGCGCTACGACTGTAGCATTTGACTTTCTGTCGCAGCTCAGAGAATTTGCTATAGCGAGACGTATAGGGTTTTTCACTAGCGGTTTTCTGGATCCTTGGTAGTTTATTTGAAGGTAATAGCAACAGTTAAGTTGAGGTGTTTGGCAGTGTTACTTTTCTTATGTTGCAGCGTGGGCTTGTCCCTTTACATTGTTCCCGTAATTGAAGTTCTGATTCTGATCGGATTCTGTTTTATTATTGTTGCAATTTGCCCGATTCTTTCTGTGCTTTTCTCCCAATGCAGGCCACTCTCAATTTTAGAAGTGCTAAGCAAACAATTAAGAGATTGGAAGAGGCAGCTGTCTCCTGTAGGGGCCAAGAGAGATCCTTGTTAATGGGAAGATGGTTGGAAGTGCTTAAAGAAGCTGAGAAATCTGAGGCAGGTTCCTCGGAAGATAATAAATACAATGCTTATGAGCAGTACCTTCTGCCTGATGATGCTAGAGAAGGTCTAAGAAAAGTATCCACGGTATGCAAAAGTTCTTTCACTTGAACCACTTATGTACATTTGAAGAATGCGATCCCGAACCTTGGCTTCTTTTTTAAAGTTCGGTTTCTAAGTTGAGTTTACTTAATGATAAATTTCTGTATTGTGTCATCAACCTACCTTTCTGCACATAAAAATGTAGATTCTGTACTATGATGCTGATGTTGGTGGCGAGCCGCTCCCTTTCCGTGACATTTTCCTGCAAAGTCAGGCTTTGGAGGGCATCACGTTATCGATGGTATGGCTAATTAATTTAGGTTATGTTTAAGAGTTTGTGACATGTGGTTAAGGAAGTGAGATCTATAACAAGAAACGTAGTTGAATTAAAGTTTGAGAAATTTTAATTGTAATTTTTGCAACTGTTACTGTCTGGTAACGCGGCAGCAATGTAGAAATAAAGTAAGTTCTGGATGTGAATACACTACGATACTGTTGCAAATGGAACACAGCTTTCCAAATTAGGCCCCAGCTGGTAGATGCTCTATGCCAAAATCTGGTCAAGTACTCACATTGGCAATTTTTAGTATTTGTTGGTTTAGCTTTCAGGATGTAGTTTCATACTATGGCATAATTAACGAAACCTCATTAAGGAAACTCTATTTCTATGCATACTAAATTTGGCTACATGCGTTTAAACTTATCAATTAGGATACTGAGTGAGTTGGGACAAATTTCGTGTTAATATTTTGAAGTGCTTTATCTTTATAAAAAAATATATTGAAGTGCTTTATCGTTAAATCTTGCTGAATGGTACAGTGCATGAGTGGGGACTAATGACATTATGCTTAAATTATGTGCTGAAGTACTTAATGATCATGAAAGATTGATACCCTGCTATATTTTTCTCTGGTTCAGATCCTCCACTCACCAAATGAAGATGAAATTGCTCTGTTACTGGAGTTGTTTGGGTGGGTTTGCTATCATTTATGGTTGTTATTTTCTGGTATGGTCCCAATGGCTATTTGTGGGTTTGCTGTGAGATATTCAACCTACAGAGTACATTTTGATCTCTTGCGTACTATCTGCTTCAAGATGTTTATCGTTATTGAATTTACGAGGAAATGATTCAAATTTTATATCACTTTATCAGGACACTGCCTTTGTCTCTATGGGTTGAAGTGTCCAGTACTCAAGGCAGCCTCAGCTTTTCTGATTCTGACTTACTGCCTGGTGCTGTTTGCAGTGTTTGTCTAACTGGAGGAAAGGAAGTGCATATTGCAATACTGAGCAGTATCCAGGATCTGGCTACAGTTTTTACAAAATACAAAGAGGAAGTGCTGGTATGAAGGGAGTAATAATGAGTTTCTGAATACAAATACTATATCTGAGAACTTTTTGAAGTATCCATTGTCTGAATAGATTGCCGAAAGATAGAATCATGAACTCATGCTTGACCATGGTTATTAAAACCTGATTGGTTATCAAATGCTACCTCGACCTGGAGTGGCAAGGGGTCTATCATTTCTTTCTTGTGTTTCCTTTTTATGCCTCTTGGAACTGTTCTTGTATTGGCAAAATGAAAGCTATCCAAAGCAAGCTTGATATCAGAAGAAATGAATAACCCGGACCTCGTTGTTTATATGAAAATGATGTAAAAACGGGGAAACAACTGGTCGAATAGTACTCAAGTAGTCTTAACACTTTGTTCGTTTTGCACTAGGTCTGTTTTTGTTCTTCTTTTAGAGGAGTTAATGGATGGATTTAAGCACCCACAATGATTCTGGAGGAAAGCAATTAATTTTCTTGGAGTTGCATCTTCAAACTTTGACTGAGTTTGTCGTTTCCTCTTTTAACCCGGGTTATAGTTTGCTATGCTGGGTTTCCAAACATTATCTCATAATTTATGTGTAATGATGGAGCAAAAGAAGCAAGAAAAGAGTACTATAGCAACCCTAATCTTTTTCTGCATTATGTTTGGTTTGTTCTACCTTGAATCAGGTGGAAAGCAATTAAGCCTCTGCAGTTGTGTCTGCAATTCATGACTGAGATGTTACCTCCTTAGATAAGAGTTGAAGATTGCTATATTGGTTTTCTAATTCTGCTGACGACTTTACAGGTTAAAAGGGAGGAGTTGCTTCAGTTTGTGCAAGGTGCCATTACAGGGTTGAAGATTAATGCTGAGATGGTCAGGTACTTTTGGACAAGGAGATCTTTTGCCTCTTGTTTTCCATCCCCCCTGTTTTTGCCTCTTGTGAGCTATGCATTGAAGTTTCTGCTAATTAATTGCTCCAACATACTATACACCTTATGCCTCGTGGGTCACTTCCATTTCCGTTTTACCAATGTTGATAACTTGAGTTGCCAGAAAAATTTCTCTGCTTTATGGATATGGATCAAGTACTCCAATCTATGTGTCAAGTTCTTGCCATTTCATACATCCGTAATTTTTTCTTCATCAAAGTGATTCTTTACGTCATTCTAAGGAAACTTGACTTTGGATAGGCTTTGTCTTCTGTTTCATCTATTTCTTTTTATCCTTTCTCCTCGCGCATGCTTCTGTGTGGCTTCCCTGTATTCTTTGAACTCCTCTTTTCTCCGTTAATAATGATCTCGATTGTCTTTACAAAAGTAAAGTAAAATTGAATTGCTATGATGCTTATGAGGTGTCTCTGATGACTCTCACTCGTTTCTCACCTATGGTTTGCTATCACAGAATCGATGCTGAAGCAGCAGACCTAAAAAACAAACTTGATGGGATAACTGTGCAGGGTCCAACAAATGAAACCAAGGACAACGAATCTGTTAGTTCCACTAATGAAGCTATAGAGGTGAGTATGAATGCGATGATCTATATAGCCTTAGTGTATACCGATCCTTAAAAGCTAGTTATTAGGTCAGATACACCTGTGCAATTATGCATAAAATGTAATTTTGGTTTGTCTTTCTGTACGTATGTGCTGGCTTACTGCACTTCAGTCAGCATAAGTTGGTGAACCAGATGTGTTGATCCTGTTTCTGCAGGCTCTCAAGGAAGCATTAGCTAAAATCCGAACTTGTTCAAGACTGGAAGAGCTTTTATTGAGAAAGAAAAGTTTAACCTTTGGAGACACTCCAGAGATTCATGCCCAAAAGGTATTGAGGATCTTTCCATTGGAGAGTTCATGCTTGTTGCCTTTGTAAATATGCAAATGGACATAAAACTGCACATTATAATATTATATTTGTGGAAATTCATCAGTCCTTGGTCTTTGAGCTGATCCGGTTGGAATACTGCAAATTCGATGTGTTTAAGAGGGAAGTTTTAGTTTTCAATTCCTGCCCTGGCTGGGCGGGGTTTACGGGTGTGGGATGCATATTTCCCTTCAGATTTTCATGTAGAATCCTTGACCACTGAGCATATATCAGAAGCTCGCAATACTATTTACCGGCCATGCGTCTGGCCAGTTGTGACTTGTTCTTCTTACATGAGCAGATCGACAAGTTGAAAGTCTTGACAGAATCTCTTGCTAGTTCTGTGACAAAATCTGAAAAGCGCATTGTAGATCAGAGGTACAAGATATTTGTTTCTTTTAGCTACTACTGGTTTAATGGTTGTTATTAGTCTACCTATATTTGACCACTTGAACACTTCTGTATGCTATTCACATTCTGTATTTCGAGATAAAAAGATGTAGTCTCTTTCCATCATTTGTGGTGTACGTAATAGTTACTGAGTGGTGCTTGAGACTTCAGTTCTTCTGGTCTATTAGAGATGACATAAGAGAAAAGAAATGGAATGATATGAATAGTTTTGTGGATATTGACATTTAATCTCTTCGGGTTGTACTTCCCTGGCTGTAATGTCATCGTAGAATATACCTAAAGTGTAGATATTGGATTGTGTTTTAATATAATTTTTTTTATTGAGCCCTTTTTTAATATCCTTTGGATAGTTTAACTAATCTTTTGGAGATATATATTAACTGATGAATGTTGGCCTACTCATCTAATGGATTCTCCTTCATTTCACTGGCTTGGCAGAGTACAAAAGGAAGAGGCTTTGAAAGTTCGTATGTCTAAAGCTGACGAAGCCAATGAAAAGGAAAAGGTACGGAGTATTATGGTACTTTGGTCCGACCGCTTCCTTGCAGATTGTTGAAAGCAGGAAGATTATATGTCATTTAGTGTGGTGATATGGTGCTCGTCAGTCAGCATTTCATAACCCAATTGAATTTTTTTTTTCCGAGTGTTTTTATTAAGATCGGAGCTGCTAGTTGCATCCCTTATTTTGTGCTGTTGTATGCGTGGCAGTTGCCAGAAGAATTTTCTTTTCGTTCTTTTTGATGATTATGGGAGAGGGATTATTTTGCGATGAACAATTCAATGTACTAGAATGCATTTAGTGTTTATCCAGAATTTAGCCAAAATAAATATTTTCTATCTCTCAATTTTTTTTGCAGGAAATAGGTGCTGCGATTACTGTACTTGAAAAGGAAAGAGATGAACTCGAAGCCCAGTTGAAAAAGGTTCTTCTCTCTATTACTTCTCAGTTGTGACGTACTGACAGCACAACTTGAGTTACGTTGATGATTATAGTATTCCCTTGAACAATATATGATTTCTTGTAGGTTGGTTTGTTTGTTCATACGGTCTAGATTCCTTTCTACATATGAGTATTTACTATTTACTGGTAGAGCACGATATGGCTCTAATTGAAGTTGGCTGGTTTTTTTGACCAAGTGTATCATCACTTAAACTCTCCTCTGTATCTTGAAGGTTAATATTTCCTTAGCTGCTGCAAATGCACGCCTCAATAATGCCAGAGAAGAGAGGGAACAGTTTTTAGAAGCAAACAATCAGATTATTGAGCATTTGAACGCAAAGGTGCCTTTTCCATTTTTACTTTTTCAGCCTCGTTAGTGTCTGTCGAATAGTTAGTGGTGAAGTTATGCATCTTTGATGTGTCTGACACATCTATCTTGGGTGTTTTAACAGGAAGATGAGCTGACGTGCTCAATAACTGCATGCAAGGTAGAATCTAATGTTCTGGGCACGTGGGTTAACTTCTTGGAGGATACTTGGGTTCTCCAGCGCTCCTATGTGGAAACGATCGAGAAGCAGGCAACGTAAGTATTTAAAGTTAATTACTGGTATTTTCGGTAGGATTCTCTTTCTGAGGTTGTGTTCTGCACCTCGTTTGTGTCCCCTGTTTTTAAGTGATGAGCTGGAGAATCATGAGGAGTACTTCACGAAATTGGCTGTCAATCTTCTAACTGACTACAAGGTATTGATGCTGTGTGTTTTCGGGTTGTACAATTCATATGGAACTAGAGTTGACGTTAGCCTGCTTTTATATTCTTTTCATGCTTCTGACCACGAGTTTATGTTATTGTTCTCTCATGCCTTCTCCTTGTTGTGCAGAAAGAATTGGAACCTTCTATTGGCCGCATTGGTACATATGTTGAGAACTTAAAGGCATTAAGTCCACGGTAATCTACTTTGTCTCCTTAGTTTTAGTTTTATGAACCACTCAAACGTCAGATACTAGTCGTATATATGGCCTGAAGTAAGAGGAGTGAAAACTGTTCTCCCTTGTTTGATTCTTTTCGTTCGGACAATGCAGGTCAGAGGTACCAGCCAGTGCAGATAATCAAGATTCTCAAGTAACTAGCCCGAGGCGGCATCTTGAGGAAGAATACATGGATTATGAAGCGAAGGTGAGTTGTTGCTTGTGTTTGGTCTCTCTTCTGCCGATACCTGTACAATTCCTAAAACACATTGGGCTTCCGAGTTAATTAAGCTATTCATTCATTCGAGTCAGATCGTGACCACCTTCAGTGTAGTGGATAACATGAGAGAGCAATTCTATGCTAAAAAAGACGCAAGTTCAAGGTCTGATTTCTTGTCACCATCACTTAATAGCTGTGTTTTTAGTTAATCTCCGCCAGTACTGTACACATGAAGAGCTCTCTCTTGTCAGGAAACACGACGAAAGAGTGAAGGAGCTGTTTAACGAGATCGAAAAGCTGAGACAGGAATTCGATGCCATCGAAAGACCAAATCTTGAGGTGGAGGTTCCGAGCTCAAAGCAAGAAACAACATCCGATCAGGAGAAATCAGCGGATATTTCTCCCCACCCTACAGCGGAGCTGCCCAAGGGAGAACCTAGTTCGCCAAAGCCACCTGCTGAGCTTCCCAAGAAACCAGACACAAGTGGTGGTGAGGCTGGGAATCCCCTTGATCCTGAAGCAGAACTAGCAAAGCTGGAGTCAGTGTTCGGCAAGATTGATCCAACAGATTATTCACCAGAGGAGGTTGGCGAATGGGAGTTTGACGAGCTCGAAAGAGAACTACGAGCCGGCAATAACAACACCAAATCCTGAACTGCGTACTGTAAACTAAAGAAGCGATAAAAGTGGAAGAACCACCCTCCAGCTTCTGTATGAATTTAACTGCAGGAATTCGTCCCTGGAAAAAGAAGCTGATGGAAGTTTTAGATGACAAAGGCTTGCTTTGGACGTGCCAGTTAACACTGCTTTAAACGGTGACGGAGGAGGGAGAATTCTCCGTTTCAATTTGTTAATTCTTAATGTACATCCACAACAAAGATTTGTTATGTTGTATTATTGTAACAAATAATCGAACACAACAAAAGAAATTCTAACTATTTTTTTTTTTTTTTGGGAAATATTCTAAGTTCTTTTTATGTATGTAATATGTATGAGGCCAAATTCGAAATAGTATTTTTCCCCCTTCTCTTCCACTTAAAAATGGCCAGGCGACTTCACGATCTTGTCCTCTTCGGGTGCTGATTCAATTGTCCTGCAAATCGTGATGGGACTTGTTGACACAATCAAGAGCGTAACATTAAGCCATAACTGACGAGAACCCGTTATGATGAAGAAGAAGCTGGAAATTTTGGAAGAGTTGTTTTGGTAGTGGTTATGGTCGGTTGAATTTCAAAAACTTTGCTTAGCTCCTTCTGTTACTTATAGATCATGGAGTGATAAAATGACAATTTGAGGCCTTAACACAATAGAATGAAGTATTTGATGTAAATCCATGAAAAGGAACCAAGTGACTGTTGCTTCTTATTTACAACATGGGAAACATGATGTTCATCATCATTAATTTATGATACTTGCTTATGTTAAAATATCAGTATTGTGACAATCGCAAGAGTATATTTGTGCATTGCTTTGTAGATCAACACCACATGTTAGAGTACCGTCATTTTATTTTAGCAACAAAGGGTATTTCATTCGAACATTAACTATATTATTACAAGTTAAGTCAATTACGGAGAAATGGATTATGATATTTTGATAGAATAACAATAGCATGCACCACTTTGTAATAAACCTGGCCTTTTTCGACATTGTAGTACTCACTAACTAGTCGTCGAGGTGTATATTAAACGTTGGTGGTTTCAAAACACGAGAGATGAGACTCAAACGGTACAAGAATGGTGGATAAAAACATGTGTATATATCAAGTCATCAAATTCCCCCACACTTAACCGTTTGCTTGTCGCAAACCTGACCCAAACCAATGCAACTCTCCAGACCTCTATAGCAACATTCAACCCCAATCGTCGGCAGAAGATTTTCTAGAGACAACTTAGCTTCACCTTGTAGGCCTACCCCACCAAGGATCACTAAAGTCTCTTCCAAAACCCGATTTTGTGCAATGAACGGTGCCGCACACGTTGGGCTTACCTCATGTCTTAGAATTTCAAATTTTTTACATGGAGGACCAACTGCTTTTTCATTTCACACTTGAGCACCCTTTTTCGATACACGAGTCCACAACACAACATAAGAGAAGTCATCAATACCACATGAATCAACGGTCCTAAATCCACTAGTTCACAAAATCAACCGGCACATCAGAGAGACAGATATGAAAAATCTTATACTTCAACATCCTCCTACAACTACCTCCCTAGGTTGCATATCACCATAAAGACTGTCAATTCAAAGCATACTGAGCAGGATTTTGCAGGGAACAGTACTTGGAGCCCTCAATTCATCAAATTGGACAGTGGACTAGGTTCCAAGCACACAAACTCATCTAGCAGTCAAAATAGATAAACACCCCCACACTTAAGCACGACATTGCCCTCAATGGAGCAGAGGAAAGATAAGGAGAAACGATGTTACCGGGAATACAGACTGTCAGTAGGGCTAGAGTCATCAAAACACATTGGGTGATAGAAACCATAGCTCCAAGTGGACAAACCGAAAACAAACGAAAGGAAAACAAACCTTGGTGGGGTTGCCTCCCCACAAGCGCTTCTTTACAGTCTTTTAGCTGGACGCCAGTAGGGTGGATGCTCAGAGAGGTGTAGGAACATGTGCCTCCAAGGGCGGATCCACATCGCTCTTGAGGTACAGCTTCAGATGGTGGCCATGCACACGACGGGTGTGACCACCAGCACTCGTCAACTCAACCTGGCCATCCGACAGGATGCAAGCGAGTGAATACTCGGATGGCCAAGGCGGTCGATGCTCAGGAGGCGGAACCAGCTAATAGTGGTCTTCAGCTTTCTTTTGAGCAGGCTTAGCTACCTGCAGTTTCGGCCGCCACTCCTCCTTGATCTTTTCTTATGATAACAGAGTGGACGGGAGTGACGGCGAAGGTATGGGAGGGGGGTCCTGCAAAATGGGGAGCACAGAAGGATACACGACAGATAGCGGGTGAGGAACCTGTACTCCAGGTTGGCGAACGTGGTGATCGAGCCTGGAAGTCGAGTGTCTAGCCACTCCTTGGCCTGCCCCTCCAGAGTAAATGGGAAGTACCTCAGCTGGATTTCATCGGTTGAGACCCCATTGATCTTGATCCCATCGATCAGGTGTGATCGGGGGCACTCCCCCTTCTTGCCATGGAATACCACCGAACCGCGCAACATGGTGATGACAGAGGTGCTCACCTCAAGCTGGAACATGAGGGTGTTGAATGGGAGACCTCATGCCCGCGGCTCTGACGGTCCAGTAATACCCCATGGTCTGCTCCTCGGGAAGGACCACATCATGGTCCTGTGGGTCACCCATCTCTTCCTCCTCGGTGATTTGCAGCTGTGCTAAGGCCTCCTCCGCAGCCAGTCGTGTCTTTAGAGCCCGCTTGAAGTTCCTACAGGTCTGTTCAAGCTCTTGGTCTAATGGTAGTAAATCTCCCGACTGGCTACGGGTCATGCACTACCTGCACACAATCAGCAAAAGCAACCTGTGAAGGCACACAGGTGGAAGAGAGAAAATGCAGTAAAGAAAAAGCTAGAGTAACAAACTTTCACGTTTCCCCAATAACCTAGAGGTCCCCGGCAACGGGGCCAAAAACTTGACACGCTAAAACACAACACCAAACTGCGACCAAGTGTAATCGCAGTCCAGAAATGCAGTAACAGGCAAGCTCTATTTGTCAACCCGGGGTCTAGATCTACTGCCTACTCCGTGAATATCTATTATCTAGCAAACTAAGTCGAGTGATTGTGATTTTAACTAAAAGCAGTAAGAAAGCAGGAAATGGTTCGGTTTTGTAAAGCAAGGGAAGAGTCACTCGGGAATAAGTCCCCTCCTGAGTTAGGTCACAGTTGTAATTACCCTGGGTATACTAACTGTTCTTTAAACTGCGGAAGAACTGACAGTAGCTTGGAATCTCTTAAGCTGACCAAGCCCTCTCAGTCCGACTACCCGGCAGATGACTAGTCTTCACCGGGTTAGAAAGCTGAGGCTATGAACGCAAAACTCCACTACTGGAATTGGATTCCAGTACAGTCTTGGATAATGAAAATGTTTTTACATATACTACATCTCCCGCGGCGTAGCCGTGGGTATTGATTCTAGTTAAAGATTAAAGTAGTGACAGAAATCATCCACTCCCCAACAACTGTAGAAGCCAAAACCCCTAAATAAGGCCACCAAGAAAACTTCAAAAGGGTTCTTATTGTTCTTTTGATTTTTGTTTCCTCTATTTGGTGCCCATAAAAGCAAAATTTGGTTGATAGGCTACCATAGAACTGTGTTATAGAATAATGCCAACAAAAGTAATTTACAGTGTACGAAAAATCCCCAAATATGAGTTAGATTTTCTTAGTGTATTCATAAGCTTGTCAACCATTCAAATTTTGAAGAAATTTGAATTAGAACATGAGAGAGAGAAAGAGAGAGGAGCAACAATTTGAAAGTTTTTACATTGTCGATATTAATAAAGAGGACAAACTCGAAAAATATTAGCAGGACGATTGAAGAAGATGATCTTTTTCATTAAAGGCTTAAGAAAATATTGTGAAGAAACTCAAGGGATGAAAATGTAGGATGTTGTCTTGTCTCATTTTCACAACCGCAGGATGTGTTATGAAACTTTGGGTTCAATGGTTCTATAAACACTGCAAATAAAATGTTAATGTCATTAATTTCTATTTTTAAATAAAACTATTATCCCCAATGTCGAGAGCCGGCAGAGCAGGAGGCCTAGATATCTCTCTCTGCCTGCATGTCATTTTCATCCATGTGAATATGTGATTAGTATTTAGTCATTAGAGTAGCCGTCTGTTTTGACCAATTTCACCAATAATAAGAAGATTCTTTTTCCTCACACAAAAAAAAAAAAAAAAGATGATTCCTCGTTTGCACATTAGTATCAGTTAATTAGCTGGGAGACTCCTGCTACTGCAGGGCATATCCTTGGAGTACATTTGCATCTTTTTCACAGTACAGTTCATGCATTTGTTTTCAATGAACAAGATGAAGGAAATGCCTACCAGAGAAGAAATCCTCTCACCCAGATGCAAATCAAAACTTTGGTCTTTTTATATACATACATAGCTGTTGACATGTTCAATGTTTCCACATTCATGTCACTAGCCTACAGTAAAAGATCAGGTTTTGGAAGTAACTTACAGAGAGAATACAATTACCGACCATTTAAAGGGCATAAATTCGATCAACTTCAGAGTTGGAGAAATCAGACTGATGCCATGAATTCGACCCACTCATCCTTGCATGCTTCTCCTTCTTCCTAATCGACCGACGACTCTTTGATTTCACCACATAGTAAGTCATGGTGCCAAGTACCCCAGCCATGATCACTCCACCAACACAAGTTATCAGAATCGCAGCCCATTCGTGCTTTCTGCCAACCACTATGTAAGAAGAGGCCATAAATGCCACAGAGGTGCACACCGAGGCTAACCACATCAACTTGTTGATCACCTCCACAACTCTTTTCTCTGCTTTCGTCTCACCTCTCACCAACGTGATTTGGACCACGACAACAGCCAGTGATGTGAAGAGAGCAATGGCATTGAAGATGAAGAAGATCTTGAAAGAAGCATGGGTCACCACCACAGCTATCCCGTTGTTATCATCCCCTCCAGGGACAGTGAAGATTGCTGCAAAGGCAACAGTTGCAAATAGCACAGCTACAACAGTGACCGAGTTTGTGGCGTTGTTGATCCCTTCACGGTGTAGCTTCCTGAGCTCTTTGGAGATGTTGTGGACATTCTTGTTGGTCCTTCTGGTTTGCTCTAGCTGAGTATGCACATCTTTCTTGATTTGAGTAACCGTATTCCTCAACTCATCCCTTGGTTGGTTGAGTTCATTAGCTCTGACAGCTCCATAGCGAGAGAGACACTCCCTTATCTCTGAAGAATCTTCTGAAAGGGGGAGCCCTTCCGCTATATCGAGCGCTGTCTTGTGATCACGAGTCAGTGCATTGACGTTTGTGTCAGGAAGTAGTAACAATTCATTCACAATCTGCAATGAAAAAGATGGACCATTTGACATTAGTGTCTTATGACCAGCAAAAGCTTGAGAGAGGAGAGAGGAATGAGAGATCCAGAGCATATTAGACATCTATATATCCACACCACCTTGGCAAGAAGATGCAGAATTATGGGATTACAAATTAACCCTACCAAACCCCGTGTATACACGACAGTGTATAAAACTGAAACCATATAACCAATAACAGATCTAAGCAACTTCATTCGAAGAAATACCTCTGCGCGCTTTTTTCTGGTAGCAACATGCAATGCTGTGTTACCAAACTTGTCTGGCAGCATAACAATAGCAGCATCAGCTGCAAGAAGCAATTTCACCACCTCACGGCTCTGGCCTTTCACAGCCATATGCAATGGGGTCTGCCATTTCTTGTCGGTCCTTCGTGCCAATTGAGGGTCTTTGCTGAGCAATGCCCGCACGATTTCAACATGGCCTTGCCTGGCAGCTAAATGCAAAGCATTTTTACCATTTGACCTAGAGATCTCCAATAAGCTGCCATCCTTGGATAGCAATTCATTGACTACAGCAGTATGCCCTCTGGTGGCAGCAGATACAAGAGGTGTCGCATTTGACGGGCCATAGGTTTGGCTCAGGCTGGGGTCATGATCAAGTAGTACTTGAACAATGGCTGCAAGACGTGACACATTGTTCAGGGATTAATGCTTCGTGTAAAAATAACATAGAGAGAAAGCAATACAATATCAGAAACGAGGAACAATGACAAACAGTCAAGACACTTACCATGGTGCCCTTGCATAGCAGCAATATGGAGGGGGTCGAACCCCGACCTGTTCTTCCTAGTAGTGCACTCTTTAGTTGCATACTTGAGAAGTTCCTTCACCACCTCCAGATGTCCTTTGTCAGCAGCAGTAAACAAGGCGGTCTCTCCCAACTCATTGACTTCGTTGACAACCGACGCCCTTATCTCTGCGACCTCAGTATCAAAGTCTGCTCCTGTCAAAGTCCCCACCATTTGAGAATCAATACCATCTAAAATCTGCTTCACAGCAGCCAAATCGCCGCGCTGAGCTGCCAAGTGGAGCTCGGTATCGTTGTGCCGCCCTGTTACTTGCTTTACATACTTCTTTTTCCCAGCTTGGTCAATCCTTTTCCCAGAGTTGGACAGAACCAGAGCAGGAGCTGTCGATGCAGAGGATGGTGAAGGTGTTGGTGATAGCTCACCCAATGGGTTTTGGGATTTTTGACGGATGAGAAGTCCATTCTCCAAATCCATCTCTGCTCCTATCCAAAATGGTTGAATAGAAACCCATCAGAAACATGTTAAAAAGAGCTTCCTCCACTAATATTCAATCGATTAGCAGAAATCGAGCTTCCCCTCCACAAATTCTCTTCCTACAAATTAGTTTGATTTTTGAAACTATCCTCTAAGGCTATAGGAATTAAACTTCCCTCTCCTCCAATAGAACCCATGACCGAATTTCTTTCATGAAACAGGAATCAAGCAATTATGACAATGGAAATTTTATGGGTTTCTAGATTCACTCAATAAATACAGTAAATCGCGCAGCAATACACTACTACTAATTATCAGTAAGAGCGAGAGTGGAAAAGGAAACCGATTTCGCATGCGCAAAGCTGAGTGATTTGGATTAAAAGCTGAATTACCTTCTACTACATGGGAAGCCATGGCCGGAGCAAGCTGTGGCAGCAGTTATTAGAAGAAGAGGGAAGGCAGAGCTTCAAGGAATCATCAGCTTGGGAAAGAGGAAGAGGAGTGGGTAATAAACTAATAATTGAAGTGCTTAGGAGTTAGGCAGCCCAGAAAGGAAAGGAAGAGAAGTGAGAGGTAGAGCTGATAACCAAAAAGAAAAGGAAAAGTTGCAGAAGAAAAGAGGAAGACGACAAAAGATGGAGGGAAGACGAAGAGGAAAGCGCAGCGAAGGTGAGGAGGGAAAGAAGTGTAGAAGAGTGCGTTTTTTGTTCTTGGCCCTGCTTTAGAGCAGCAAATGGTAATGGGTCGGGTTATGTCGGGTTTTGTTAACTCCAAATTTATGGTTTTATCCATGACAAAAATTTGGATAAAATTTATTGGTTTTGGAAAACACAAACTCAATTTGTTGGATATTCACGGGTTCATTGGTTTCTATGGGTTTTTGTTGTAAAAAATTTACAATAACAAGTTTTTATCAAAATAGAAGTCAAATATCAATCTCTCAATACAAATTATTCATATATAAAACACCATTCTAGAAAATTTAAACAAATCACAAATTAACCATACAAATTATTCAACACCAATCTAGAAAACTCAAGAAAATTGAAGTAAATTATAAATTATCCATAAACAACATGATTCATTGAAAGCTTCTTCCTCCTTGTCAATTAAACTTCTTCACTCTCCACCCATAATATCATCTTCATTCTACTCAATTAGAAAGAAAAAAAAATTAGACATGTCTCCACAAACATAAATAAAATTAGTTGCTTAGAATATTAAATACATCAGAAAAATTAATTATATAGGTGTGAGCAGGTATCCATGGGGCGGGTATATCTAAACTCAAACCCAAACCCATACCGGTGAATAGTGAACGAGTTTACATCCGAACTCGGCCCAAAATTCGTTAACACGAGTTTTACCCGCGTTGACAGGGTTAGATTGGGTAGGGTAATGTGAATTCGGGTTTTATTGCCATCTCTTTTAGAGTGACTTTAGGGTTTAGAGTGACATGTATGATTATTGATTACTGTCTCGGCCCAATAAAGTCATCCTATATCTCTGAGATATAGAATGCCTTTAGCTTCTAGGTCCATATAGGTAGTGTTGGGCTTTATGTAGGCTATCTCACAAAATTGCCCCATTGTCAAGTTTGATGTTTATAGAGAAACCAGCGCTGTTTGAGACATTTGTACCCGTCAAAACCTTCTTAGCAGTTTCCCTTTAGCACTTACTTATAGAACCCAGAAAAGGAACCAACTTACAATTTTCAAATGAGGCAGAATGAAATACACCAATACCAAAAAGTAAAAACATATAGCCTGACAAACTCATCATTTCCTTGATATCATGACTCATGAGAAGCCACTGAACCTCTTTTACCCACTTGACCAAAAGAGGTTTGTTCAAACCTTGTTGAATGCAGAAGTGAGATCCACATCGGTGCGACCCTCATCATTAATCCAGCTAAACTTCTCCAGGAAAGGGCTGACATTGAGTGGAGGAAGAGGGTAAGAAGCAATGCAATCTCCCCAAACATTCCCATCTCCCAAATCCCTAGTCACCTCCCACACACAGTTGTTACACTTGAAACCTGCACCAAACCCAATCATGAATATCCTGTCCCCTCTCTTCAGCCTCTTCTTGGCCTCCATGTACCCCAACACATACCAAAGCCCACCAGCCGATGTGTTCCCGAACCGGTGCAGTGCCATTCGAGATGGCTCGAGGTCGTAGTCGTTGAGGCCCAAGCTCTTCCCAACCCCATCAATCACTGACCTCCCACCAGGGTGTATGCAGAAGTGCTGAATTCCTGCCTTCATGTTGAGCCCTTCTCCTGCCGCTTCAAGCGATGGAGCAACCCCACCTTTCGCCTTCTTTCGACGGTAAGTGTGGAGGACATAGCGCAGGAGATCCTTCAGTGGCAGTATCTTGGGGACCAAAACCCTGAGGTTCAGTTTGAAGGCTATAGCAGCAGCTTTAGTGAGTCCCTTTGTGAGGAGGAAACCTTCATGTCCAAGCTTGTCTTCCATTTGGATGCAGCAGTTGTATGCCTCGTCATTAGCTCCCAAATGGGTTCTCACCAACTGGTTCAGTTTCATCACTGCTTTCCCCTTCAAGCTCCCATTGTTGGTCAGCAGCATTGAACACCCACCGGACCGGAACAGGCAGTTGGACAGAATCATGGATCTCTCCTTCCCACAGTACCAATTTGGTGCAATCGACTCTGTGCTCACCACAATGGCTAAAGCCTTGCTGTGGCTCTTGAACAGCTGCTGCACCAAATCGATGGCCACAATGCTTGCACTGCATCCCATCCCGGAAATGTTGAACGTCTTGATGTCTTCCCTCATCTTGTACCTGTTCACCACCCTGGAAGTCAGAGAAGGTTCAGGGGAAAACAGAGAGACATTGACCACCAGGATGTCGATGTCGGTTGGCGAGATCTTGGTCTTGGCGAAGAGGGCGTCTAACGTGTCGAAGGCGATGTCATCGAACTCCGAGAGGGAGTCGGTGAGGACTGGAGTGGCTTCCCTGCCTTCCAGAACGTTTCTTGGGCCGTAAGTTTCCTCCCCGAGGCCAGAGCTGACTATGGTTTGGAGGAGGAACCTGTATTCTTGCAGCCCAAGGTTCTTGTTTCGCATGACGATCTTGGCGCAAGTCTCGGTGTTGAGCATCCTGTCTTCAGTGCCCTTGTAGCACTCGTAGTGGAGCATGTAGCAGCATGAATGTGCCCTGTTTTGGAATATGAGCTTGTAGAGGTGGAAAGTGATGTAGGAGAAGAGAAGGAGGAGAAAGATCATCATGGCTGTGGCTTAGAGGGGGGAAAAAGAGATGTCTTCGTGGTTCTCACAAGCCCCTTCCTTTGTTGCATGAAGTGTGTGGAAACTGGATAAGTTAAGTCTTACCTTTATAGAAACTTCTGCTTGGAACTTGGAGAAGGCATGGTTGTATCTTCTGTTTAAGGCTGTGTTTGGGTTTGGTGTATCCGAAAATAGGTACAAGTGTGTAATATAATGAGATCCAACCAGATAGATATATATATATATTTGAGAATCCATAACTTTGTCACATTTGAGATTAACAGTGTTATTCTCATTACACAAACTTATGTTAACAGTGTGCACATAAGACTTACGATGTATTTGTTCACTTACACCGGGCGAGTACAACTGTGCACAACCAAATGAGGCCTAAGAATCTACTGGCTTCCACCATGTTGGCAAGTTGAGGGTAGTGAAATCTTTCTTGAGTGAGAAGAAAGTTGAGTACCTCAACCACCTATATTTATTACCTGGGTGTAAAGTAGTTGAAATGAGTTTTTATCAGCAGGTGGGGAGTGTAGTAATGATATGGATGGAGATTGGCAAGGTGGGAAGCTTTGGGATGCTGTAAAACCTGTGTCTGGCAATGCACAAAAATCATCAGTAACTCGTAATAAGTAATATGAGGTCAGAACATACAAATAGAAACTGTGTTCTCTTACCTCTCTGATGCTTTTGTGGGAGATTTTTCCCCTCTTGTTTGAACTCTGCAGCTGGCACTGGGTTTCATTTAAAACAATGGGGGTCCTTTTACTGCACTGAATCTGACAAATTGCAGACAAGGAGCTAAGCCATGTTTTTCAAACTTAACAAGCTGACCTTGCGCTTTCACTTTTTGCCGTACAAGTTCTATCTGTATTATACCCCAGTTCTGTGTGATTACACTTGCTGCTGGGTGAACTGTTCTGGAAAGGGAAGGGAGCTAATTTGCTGTTATTATTAGAGTTTGATTAACATTTACCACATGTATGAGTTGGTATTATGTAATTTATCACAGAATCGTGTTTCGTATTAGTTTTGACTGAGCAAGCCCTAGACAGTCATACAGAAGCCAAAAGTTGAGTATAGGATCAGAAACTGGAATGCAATGTAAACCCAAAATGAGAGCAATGCCTTCAACTAGCTAAATAGTCCTTGTTTTCGTATAAACTTACACGAAATGCGATGTGAATAATGTTTTGTCAATTCAAGGAGCTATTTTGAGAAAGGGGTGTGACTTATCCAAGTGCAGTGACTACAATAAATATAGGAAAAGCATTGGCTCTGCTCCGTTGCGGACTACTGAGTATTATGGCAGTCTGCTCTCTGCTGTCGCAGCAAATCCAGTTCATGTGGCCAGATGTCTTTATAGGTGGTGTTAACACGATATGATGCACTTAGAATTTGAGACCAAATCATAGTAGGATAACAATAACGTAACTCAGATTTACAGTCATGATAATAATAACCCAAAAGAGAATGTAGCAGCTCCCATCTTTCTCGAAAAGCAAGGTATTAGCAAGTTGAGCAAAAACAGAGGATTAAGAGCAGCACAAGTGTTATGGCTTCAAGGGAACGAGTCAAATGGGAATCAATTAACCCTCATCGACTAGATGATGAAGCCTTCTGTTTTAACAAAACCCAAATGGTAAAAACACCAGAAAAAAGGCCAATCGCTTCCATGGAGATCAAAAGTTAGAAATCGTTTGACAAAATATATAACGATCTGGGAATGCAAATCGAAGAGATTTAGTTGCTCTTTCGGCGACACCCCAAAACCCAGAAAGCATTAAGGGGATAAATATTGTCAAGAAGCAACACAAACAATATGGCTTCAAGGGAACGAGTCAGTTGGGAATGGAGGTATCCACAATGACCAGATAATGAAGCATTCATTCCCTAACTCGGTTCAACTGGGACAAACAACAAAATAAATGAAATGGTTCATATCCTGTATGATCAAAACGATTATGGCGATGAACGGAGCATTTGGAAAACATGGCTCCCGCCATGGGTAACCATTCTCGCAGCCGCAGGAAGAAATGAAAGATGAAGGTAGTGACCCGTGCATTTCAACGGTGACTATAAGAAGAGGGATTTGCTGGGATTTTAGCAACTCCATCAGACAAAACCCTAATTTTGGAGAAAACCTTGAGGAATTTGGGCTTACGCCATTGATACAATGGCCTGTTAGATTGGGTTTTAACCCAAGCCCTTCATCGGGCAATTATCATTGGGCCTCGCTGTGCTAGTAAATCAGGAGCCCAATCCATGAATTAACTCAAAAATAAGCTCTAGATCATCTTTTTGAACAAGCGCTATAGTAGGTGTTCACCATTCGGATTACTCGCTTCGGTTCATAGGTCGTTCTAACAATAAGGAAGCTCATTCTGTGGCTCGTCATGCCTTGTTCATGTCACCCCGTATGTTTAAGGGGTTCAACTTCGTCTCTTGGTTACGATGTATGTAGGAATCCTTTTGGATCTTCTTCAGACAATGTATTTTTTTCTGTCCCCGATCTTGGGGTACTGAATGGCAAAAAAAAAAGCGCTAAATTGAAAGTAAATTCATATCGACTAACAAATTTTGTTTTGGTTAAAAAATGGACGTCATTGCGTTTAATTTATGTTAAAAATAGAACGAACATGAGCAATGCCGATAATGTCATATAATAACAACCATCGTCCAAGACCAGGATCACACAATAAAGAGATGTGTGCCAAAATTTACAAAATGAATCCTAGAATTCACCGAATGAAAATCATCTTATTGAGAATGAATAATCGCTTATAGATCTTACGCAAATGAATATCATATATCAAAGATTCAAAATACCCAAACCAAAGCATATATAAAGTATCAGTTACCCACAAAAACAGATGCTTCTGATAATATAGTACCTAGACTCAGACGACAACAGAAGTGTTCCATAGGCAAACCAAAAAATATTGTCTTTCCACGAGAAATAATCCAGTAGATTTGCTTTTAACCCTCTACTTCCCGTACCCTACTAAAAGGCTTAGACAAATAAGTTGGGTCTGGATGCCTTGTATGTGGTCTTCAGCTTTCTGGTTGGTGGTCTAACCTTCTTGAACACCAAGGGGAACTTGATCTTGGAGTTGTGGAACTGCTTGGTGCTCTCCCTCTTGCACAGCTTAGCGGGGATGGTTGCGGTCTTGATGAGCTGGATGCAAGGGGATCTGACCCTGTGGCGAGAAGCCATCTCGCTGTACATCTGTTCCACAGCACCATTCAGAGTGGTGTCACGGAATTCCTTGTACATGTTGTGGTAACCTGTCCTGCTTTGGTAGCGCAGCCAAATGCCATAGTTGTTGATCTTCGTGGGGTTCTTCTCGAAGATCTGCACATGAATCATGATATCATAAACAAGCATTCAGGATTGGCAGGAAATGAAAATGTTTGAAGGCATCAATCAATGTGGGTGCAAAACACTGGATCAAAAAGAAATTAAGGAAACAGCTGTTGAAACTTGAAAGCAAGCAACAACTCTTTCCCTCAACCATGCAACGACTAAGAGGCTCATGGACTAGTACGGCAAAAATGTAGCCTATCTAATGTCACCGGAGTAGAATGCCTAGGATTGGAGTAATGAAATGGAAGGAGCGATGAGTATTATAGTTTGAAGGGTATAAGTCATATAGGGAACCATGGAATTCGTATCAACAAGATGATGAAGCATTGCAGTTGCTACCCAAAATAAAGTTGATGGCTAAGCACTCTAGTGAGATGGAGCACATGATGGAAGAAATTAAATAGTTAAACAATCCAATAATCCAAGGAGCTTACAGCTTGAGGCTAATGATAACCCTATGTTTGCTTGGGCTTCTAGAAAAATAACCCATTTCCTTTCCTCGCTCCTTACAGGACTAAGAGTCTAAGACAATCGTTCTTTAGCAGATGCACAAGATATAGAGATATAACTTGACAGAAAATGAAGCTACTCCGTTGTTCTCCGGACAACCAAAGGATCATCATCAAAAAAATTGGACACAAAAGTACGGAGAAAGACCTTCCACTTTACGTTTCAAGATGTTCAACAACCCATCCGACAAAATCTAAGAACCTAACAAGATAATTCTAACTCATATATGAAAAAAGGGTGATCCCTATACCAAAGCCACATTTAAGTGATTAACAGTAAGGATTACAAATTCTAAAACAGTTCACCTCGTTGATAGCAAGAATCTGCCCGTTGCTTTTCTTGACCTTCTTCAGCTTCCTCAAGAAGTACCTGGCCCGAAACCAGCCAGTGAATTCTTGAGCAACATAATACAAAACTCTACCAAAGTACAAAACAGAGGAAACACTGCAGTTAAGGACAACCCACCAGAACTTGGACTTGGCGCGAACCTCATTCGTATTCCAGAGCTTCATCCTATAGATCTTCGGGTGCTCATCGTTCTCCGTCGGCAGAGCTCGCCCAACGACCTGGTACTGGTGGTACTGCACACCCCGAGAAAGACAAAAGCACCCAACAACACAATCAACATACGAACAAGACTTGAATCCTAACTACGTTAGACCAACACGCCGATGAGCCAATGCTATATAGCATAGTAGAAGTGCTCAGCTAACAATTAAACAAATGAGAATCAAAGAACCCCAGAGAAAATTTGAACGGAAAGTGGAGAAGCCGAAAGCTTTCACATACCCTGTAAGCAACCATTCTCGCCGGCTGAGGAAAATAGAACGGTAAGTTCCCTTCGCTTCAAACCGTCTCTGCCTTCCCCTCTAACGCCGCCGATCGAGAACTAGGAAGAGCGTTTTGGTTTTGGTCGCTGAGGAGTGAGGACGGTAAACCCTAATTGTAGAGATAATGAGAGAAACGATGTCGTTTTGAGGTTTACCCAGGCGATGGAGCAATAGAATCCCGACACGTGGTGATCGAAATGGGCTTTAGCCTGGAATGTTTGGATCGTAGCCCAAAGCCCACGAAACCCAACAACTAGCTTCACCATTAGGCCGTGAGAAACTTGTTGGTTGTTGGCTTGTTGCCCATAACGGGTTAACCGTTAACGGCTATTTCGCAACGAGAACCGGGCAACGGCAGGTACCTTCCTCCTCGAAGAAAGGAATCCTCAGCTTCCCCCGTTCAATTCTTTCCTCTCATTTCCTTTCAATCTACAGAGCCCCGATACGGAGAATCGGAAAGAGTGTAGAGAGAGAGATGAGGTCATTACCGTACGCCGATGCCGACAGCCATATGAGAGCCTTGGCCGGCCGGGCGGAAGGTTTCGGCCGGATGGCAATCGGCGGTCTCCACGGAGCACTCTATTCGGTCACCTCATTGGCAGGTTCTCGCCTTATTTCTTCTTTCTTGAAGAACCTGAAGTGGGAGTTTGTATAAGAATTCAAAGAATTAGGGTTAACTTGAAATTCGCATTTGGTCCTTTTTAATCATCTCGTGTGTGGTTGTTGAGTGAATATGCTAGATAAGCAATTTAGGTGAATATTAGGGCTAGTGAATGAATATTGATAGGTTCCTTGCCATTGTGATAGATGATGGCCCTGGATCACTCCGAGAGGGATGCCGAAGGAAGGAGCCACTGTGGATTGTGTTCGATGTCTCCGGGACGATTGACCTAAAGACATTTTTGAGCGTGTCGTCTTACAAGACGATCGATGGGCGTGGCCAGAGGATTAAGTTCACTGGGAAGGGTTTGAGGCTGAAGGAATGTGAGCATATAATCATCTGTAACCTTGAATTTGAAGGTGGGAGAGGGCATGATGTCGATGGGATTCAAATCAAGCCGAATTCGAGGCACATATGGATCGACAGATGCAGTCTTCGTGATTATGACGATGGCCTCATTGATATCACTCGTCAAAGCACTGATATAACTGTCTCTAGGTTTGCGTCTGGTGGCTCTTGGGTTTTTCTTTCTTTCGTAGGAGAAAAACAGTGGGATTTGGGTGGTTATGTTGTCTTGCAACTCTGCAGGTGTTACTTTGCTCAACATGACAAGACCATGCTTATCGGAGCAGATCCCACTCATGTGGGCGATAGATGCATTCGTGTGACTATTCACCATTGCTTCTTTGATGGAACCCGGCAGAGACAGCCTCGTCTTAGATTTGGGAAAGTTCATCTCTATAACAATTACACTAGGAATTGGGCAATCTATGCTGTCTGTGCTAGTGTGGAAGCTCAGGTAGTTATGATGCTTTCTTCTGCTATTGAGCATTCAGGATAGAATCTGGCAGGTGCTGAACTGAGTTTTGTTCTGCACTTATATTCTGTTTTGCCTCCACAGATATATTCGGAGTGCAATGTATATGAAGCTGGAGAGAAGAAAAAGGTCTTTGAATATTACACAGAGAAGGTAACCTAGATCATTGGTTTCCATATGATTATATAAATCAAAATATTCTCTTATTGTAAATAAAAATTTGGAGAAAAAGCAAACGTGTGATACAATCTGAAATGGAGACTGCTCTTAGCTAATAGATCAAACACTAACATGACACATACCAGAAGCTGGTTTGCATTATTTTGCTTCAAGTCTCTCGCTTTTGTTCTTTGGTATACAGGCTGCTGATGCAGAAGAGGCCAAGTCTGGCTTTATAAAATCTGCAGGAGATGTGTTCCTGAATGGAGCTCTGCCATCTCTTCAACCTGTTATCGCTGAAGATTGTGTGTTCCATCCAAGTGAGCATTATGCAAACTGGACAGTGGAGGCTCCCTCGGATTCTTTAAAGGGAGTTCTTCAAGTCTGTGCAGGTTGGCAAGCTCTTCCTCGACCAAACGAGAACATCCCGAACTAGAAATAACTAGTTTAATATTTCCTCGCTCTCTTCTACATTGTACCTTATGTTTGTATTTTGTTGCATCTGTTTACGTCTATTGTCATAGGCTCTCACACATTACTGTGTGCAAATGGAGGGTGAAAATGGAAGGTGTAAATTTTTTGTATCCAGCTAACTGATCTAGGTTTTCAATTGAACTTTGTGAATGGTGATGCAGAATAATTCCAGAACACATTTGGTCAACTCTATCACATTTTTGTAGTAATTGTTAAGAGTTTCTATTTTTATGGGCCTGTCTGATTTACTTATACTTATAGCTCAGCGTCTTTGTCGACCTTCTTAGTTAATCTGTTCTTGCTACCATTCTTTCAAACTTTTACATTATCTCAAGCCTGATTCATTTAGCCAAGTTCCGCCAAAAAATGAAGATAGAGCTCCAGTTTTTGGCTTATTCTACCATTTGAAATGCATTAGTAACATCATTAGAAAGAAACAAGTAGGTGGTATCAGCCAAATAATATGCTGCGTAATTTCTTCCATGGGGATAGTATACAATGTCTCTTAAATCTTACTTCTATTGCTACTTCGTCGTCACATACATCCTCGAGATGAGTTTCATGATCAGATGCAGAAGAGCCATGAAACATATCAGAGAGGTGATTCTCCACGTCATCTGGACCAAACATCACCAACTCTCCTGAACTGTTGTCTTCTCCACTGAGCACTCCAACGTACCTGCCATAAACTTCTCTATATGTAGGTAAGAGTTTCTTTGCTATTGATACCTTCAATGCATCCCTCAAGTTCTCATTTGGTACAATCCAAGATACCTGTTTCCTGTGTGATTCCTCAAACGCTGCATTAAACCTGCGAAAACATTCTTCTGCAGCTTCTGGTGATACCTCTTTTAGAGGCATACTCGGCAGGGCTGAGAAGACCTTATTCCAGGCAATCGTCTCATAGTTAGCAGCATATTTTCTAAGCTTGTTGGCATGCTTGGACACCCAATCTTCACCCAGGATAACCCTTAGCCTGGTTGTGCATACCTTCTCGAAGATGAATTGCAGATTGTTTGCTAGGAAGAGGTATGAAAGGGACACATCATCGTACTTTTCTGATTTCATGTCAAGCTTGCATAAGAGAACCAGTATTAACCAAGCTAGTCGGGATGATAGAGCTGGTGAGGGCCCACCATCAAAGGAGCTGGTTGGGCTCTCAAAGTAAGATTCAGGCAGCTTCGCATTGCTCTCTGGGAGAGAATCAACAATAATGTCTGCGAGAATGCCACTGTAATCTGCCAGGGCTGACAAGTAATCCATGACTGATCTGGTCAAGGGATGAATCCCACCACCAGGAACTATATCTTTTGATGAATACTCCCTTTGGAGGGTAGATTCAAACTCGGATAGAGTCTGACGAACTGACTCACCAAGCCTGAGAAGCGATGAATGAGCTTTCCGTTTGACATTGGAGGTTGAACCACCACCGAACATGGATTCTATTTCAGGCCAAAGATCAAACAGTGCTTCATGGAGATCCATTAGCAAGAAAATCTTGTCATCCTTCAAGTTCTTGTTCCTAGTCACGAGTTCAGGAAACCTGAACAAATTGGCTGCAGCTTCTTTAACCACCTCAGAGAAGCATAGCTCTCGGGTTCTCTCAGATGCCGAGAACACATGGTCGCAGAGATTTTTCTCCCCTGTGAACAGTGTTTTGACAGCAACACTAGCAGCATTCAGCCAGTTCTTGATCATACTGTCAAGAGCTTCTGGATTCAGTCTCTCGACTTGGAAAGGGTTGTGGAAGTGTTCAACTCCGAGCAAGAAGAACAGTCTCTTGTCCACAATGGATCTTCGGACGAGTATGTAAGTTTCGAGACACTCTTTCGCATACCCAGCACTCGTCATGGAAGCAGCAATTGACTTCAGATCAGACATGGCAGCTTTTGGAATTCTCCAGTGGTTTAGAATTAGGACCGACTCCTCATGACCTGCTCTTGGCTTTTCCTCTTCTGCAGAATAATGGCTCAGATACTCGGGATGAAGCTGATCATGAAGTGTTGACAGAATATGGTGGAACTCTTTCTCCAGCCTCGTCATGGCCATCTGTATCAGTTTCTGACAGTGAACAATAAGCTTCGCGGTATCAGGATACTGAGACTTAAGCAAACGGATGGACTGACGGAGGTCGTTGATGGATTTCAGGAACTCTTTGGCCTCCTTCCTTCTGTCGTGGTGGAAAAGGGAAGAAAATTTAGGCGCTGAAGAGGAATTTTCAATATCCCACCTGGATATGATTGATGCAGCATTTTGAATGTCTTCCTCCATCATGGATGCAGAGAAAGTTCGGTGGAGAGGAGAAGGAGGGAGGGGGGAAGGAGATGAAGAAGATGGGAATGATTGGGGAGAAGACAGAGTTCTCTTTGGGGATGATGGAATAGGAGGGTGTGGAGAAGGCGAAGGAGAAGATGGGACGGATTTGAGAGAAGACAGAGTCCTCTTTGGGGATGAGATTGGGGAGCAGTGTGCCATTTTGTTTGTTACAGGGTCTTGCTCCTTTGGCTGGCTGTTAGGAGGGAGGGGAGAAGGAGATGAAGAAGATGGGAAGGATTTGGGAGAAGACAGAGTTCTCTTTGGTGACGATGAGATAGGGGGGAGGGGAGAAGGAGAAGAGGGGGCGGATTTGAGAGAAGAGAGAGTTCTCTTCGGAGATGAGATTGGGAAGCAGTGTGCCATTTTGTTTATTGCAGGTTCTTGCTCCTTAGGCTGGCTGTTTTTCTGGCTTTGCTGGGATACTTTGGAGCCTTGGATACGAGAAATGCAGGGAATTATATAGAGGGGGAGAACAGCTTGCGGGAGTTTCTGATTGAAGGTAAGTTTATTATAAGAGCAACATGGTTGGAGTCTTCTTTCTCTTCTTTTTCATTTGCCTCCTTTGTTTAAGCAGTAATGGAAAATTAAGAGTTGACTTATGAAACGAAGATCAAGCAACTAGTAGTTAAGTTATAATGAAGGTCTTCTTCTTTGGGCGGGCTAAAGAAATTTTGTACTTCTCCTGGCTAGACTCAAGTTAATTTTTCCCCCCTCCTTGTTTTAGTGTGAAGCAACTCTACAAGCACTACTTCTTTTCTAATGGACGCTAGGAAGTCTAGCAGTACAAAAGGTGTAGCTTGTTAATAACAGTCCACTGTCCATATACAGTTGTGGCATTTAGTAGTTTATTATGTCTTTAGCTTTCAAGCCTCCAACAGGAAGGAGACCTCTACTCTCTTATTCTCATAACACATTTGTTTATCTCCCTGTGTATCTCTAAATCATATAGCCATGGTTTGCCGGCTAAGCCGACTGGTTTACTTCTGGTACGTGATTGGGAATTCAGGTTTAGCCATGTGTTTAGAGAGTAATTTTGCAACTGACTTCCTTGCTTGTAAGAATCACTCTGTTAGTTTTCGCATACATTCTTTCAATGTGTGTTGCCCTAACCTAAAGCAGTGACTTTTCTACGATTCATTGGGTATATTCATGAATCGTGTTATTACAAATACGATTTAGATGCTTATGTTGTCTGCTATTTTACCCACAAAAAAAAAACTTGGACCATCACTGGTGCAGATTTGGGAGCATTCCCATCTAGTCTTGAATCAACTAGAAAGGATCGAATAAAAGAAGTCAGATTAGCTCTGTACATAATTAGAACTCAATGCATTTAGTTTCTATTGTTTTGAATTCACAATCCAAATTCCAATACTCTATAATTGTAATTAGCTCTAAACATGGAGGCCAATGAAGCTCCTATAATTTGGAGGCACTGTGCTGGAGGACGTCCCAACATACTATCAAGCCGGCTGTGTATACGAGACTCTAATAGAGCTCCACCTTTTAGCTTGCCGGAAGAAGGTAATCGTTGGTTAAAACTATATTGACCCTTGATCTGAGATTTCGTTATCATAATCTACTAAACAACAAATTGATCATCACCATGAAATTGAATTGAATTAAAAGAAATACGCAATCTATTAGATATATTATGGTTTGGTAAGATATCACACCCTTCATACTTCATGGTAGGAGGGGATTGGTTAACGTTTCTTCTTTGAAATATATGTTAGTTAATTGTGAAGTCAGATATTCATCACCCTTCAATCTTCATACTTGCCCTCCCTCTCATTCGTACAGTACGAACTTGTCAACTGGGATCTGTACGGTTACTATGCATACATCTTTTATCTTCCTAACTATAATATTATGCCTATATTGTTAATCACGTCATTACTCACTGTTTTCAATAACCAGTTTGTTTCAACATTTCGAAGTTTTGTGAGAGATTCATTTATGGATGATAATCACTCCAATAAACGCCCTTTTAAATGAAAGCCAAAGGATTATGCGCTTGAAATTTGTACAAGTATATCATATCATGTGCTTTAGTCCAACTGTAAGTATTGGTGAAAAGGACTAAACGAGAACTTGAACACGTAACCTCAGGATCAAATCAACTTTGATATCATTTTAAAAATTAATTGGTCTCAATAACCCAAGTTATTGAAATCAAATAGTTCTTGAAAATCATGATATATATAGAAATTGCTCACTACAATACAGTTGTTGAATATGTAAAGAAATAATATAAGATCTATTCTAAAATTTATCCTTACAATTTGAGTTACATACAGATATCGTTCAGCTCTCTTATGACAAAATATTCATAAAAATCAGATAGTCTAAAAAATATGTCCTGAGATCCTCGATGTTTATATATGAAAGAAATTGCATTTTGAATTTCAAGTTCAAGTTCGTAATCAACCTCTTCATTAGTAGTCTTACGTAGGTAGGTGTCGTATGTGGTATATCCGCATGTCAATACCAAATGGTTGTGAAAACCGTAGTTCAAATAGAAAAACTTATTATTGTAGTCTAAATCAGACTTTTAACAATACAAAAATAATTGAACCACAATTTCAACCCAAAGTATCTTACTGCTGCTAACTTTTCTGATAGATGCTTAGGATTTTATAATCTGTTTTGAAATACAGACCTGAAAGATTTAAACATTAGAATCAGTAGTTGCGAGACAATGCGTATAGACATCCGTACGATATTAAGAGTACTTTCATCACGTTAATTGTGCTGCATATATTCATTTATAATTAATTAGCCGGTCGCCCGTGGATGACGATAATTAGAGGTTTATATATATGTTGGGGAAAGTCGGGAGTTGGTGGGGGTGGCAGCTATGAACTGAAAGGGAACCTGGATTATCACCCATCTCAAATACTATAATTAAGCTGATTGTTGGCCAAAGTATATATATAATAAGTTGCTAAATAAATAGTTTTGAGTTTTGACCAAATTTGGTGGAATAGTATTATATATATGGGCGCCTCTAATGCTAGCTGGCTAACCACGTTGTGTAATATAATAGATGTTGTTTTGGAATGGAATATTGGCATATGGGTCGACGATGGATATTACTCAGCTCAGCTGGCTAATCCATGAAACGAGTTCTGAGTTTTTTTCTGAACCAAACTGCATGCATCATTTAATGTTGACTGTGATATATAATACGAATGAAATGCTTTTTTATCAGACCCTTTTTCCCCGTCGTTTATTTTAATGACCGAATTAAAAAAAAGTCTACTACGTTACATTTTCCCCATATAAATATATATTAAGCAAGTATAATTAATTTTTTAACAAAGTGAAAACATGACCCAGGTGCTCATAGTTTATATTGCAGCTATCATATATATATATATATATATATAGAGGTAACTACTCCTTAGCAGGGACGGAGCTAGGATTTGACGTTAGGGGGGCCGAAAATTATTTAATACTATTACCACAGAAGGGTGATAAAAAATTAAAAACTAAGCAAGACAATCAAAGTAAATTTTACTTTTAATAGTATTATGATTAATCATTTTAGATTATTAGAGTCAAAATATTGATGTCGAATAACTTATAAAAGGTCGAAATGGATAATTTTTCAGTGAAATAAAATTTCAAAGTGGTATTAAAACAGAAAGCAAATAAAAAGTAACAGAATTGTAGAGGCTGGGTATCAAACCCTCAACCAACTACATCATAACTCACTTCCTCCTCACTTGACTAAGCCTACTTTGTTTTTATCAAATTTGCACACTAAACGTATTAGGTCTTTTGTTAGTTTTTACGAAATTTCCAAAATATCAATGTAATTTAGACGTAACTTTTACGATTCTCGGAGGCCCGGGCCCCCGAGACCAACTGTAGCTCCTCCCCTGCTCCTTAGAAACTAAAGTTGCAGAAAGTTCTTCAGCAAACCAGCCCAACGATAAATGGCAGTTAAAAAGTCTGAACGGATGCATGTGAAACTTGAAAAATATGGTGGATCATCATTTAATTTAATGGTTAATTGTTATAGAGTTGTTGGTGATTTATTTACCTCATAGGCTAATTAGGGTTGGTCAAAAATGAAAAGGAATTCGAGGTTGCAAATGAATTGTACTTGATTAATTGGCATCTAAATATTGTATCAATATATAGAATTTGAAAAGTTTAGGACGACACTATTAAAAAAACTAAGTTTTCAAAATATAAATTGTGAATGATATTTTTCATGAAAAAAATAAAAATTAGGTATCATATATATTCAATATATAACTGGGCATACTATGATGGTTAATCTTGGAAAAGATATAATTAAGTTGGAATTTCCTTAGAAGATAAAAGATTATCATCACATTTTTCAATTTGAAGTTTATATAGTATAAGTTCATAGCCAAGCTTCTAGTTGTGTGCAGGCGTCATATACATGACCAAATACGTCGCAGCCGAGAGATATTTCTTTTGAACGAAACAAACCCAAGAAAATCAGTAACGTACGTACATCAACAAAATGCATGGGACGACGATATGTGCTTATCGCTATCGCTGATGATACAAAAATCTGTACGGCAAGGTACTGCATCACATTGTTCATATTGTAATATCTGCTTATGACGATTAATTAATGTTAGGAAAAGTCAGAAGATGATGGCTGGCAGCTTAACTTATTCGCGTAAAACCGGATTCATGGATGAGCCAGTAGACTAATTAAAGTTGCATTTGAAAAGTTTGAAAAAGTAGAAAGCTCACCCAAACGAACACAAAAATATCTTCCTAAAAAACGTATCCGATTAAACATTAAGAGTGGGCTTGGGTGGGTCGACTGAATTTTGACCATGCACAACTCACGCTTAAATAGATTATTAATTTTTAACCCACTACCCACCCACCCACATTTAGTATCGGGTTGGGTCGGGTGGATAGCGGATGATGCGGGTGGGTTTGCGGGTTCACCCACGTCATAATAAACATAATATAAAGGGGTCAACTTGACATTATCCATTTATATTTCAAAACCCCTCTGTAATGCCAATATATGTAAAATAAAAATCCATTTCAACATCCATTCACCCTCCAAATTTGAGATTCACTGGCACGATAATTGGTGGAGATTTGTTATCGGACATAAACAAGAAGATGGAATAGGAAGAAAAAATGATGAATTCGTTCTGAAATTGGATAGAAATTCTATTATAGAGGAGTTTTCTATGGATGGAGATGATTATCGGGTACGGAAAACTAAGAAAAATAATTTAACGGAGGAAAGAGATGTGATTTGGGCACAAGAATCAGAGGGAAAAAAAATTAAAGGTAAGAAGAGGGAAGTCGAGATTTGGAAGATTGGCTTTGATATTCAATTTTCAGGACTAACCCTAGTTTCCGTCAACGTCTCCACTATCCACTCTCCAGCGCCAACGATTTTGTTCTTTTTGTTGTTGTATTGAGCGGGTCACCCGCGCACCCGCCCACCTGCCACCGGACGGATGCCTCCCAGCACAACCCATCACCCATCCACAGACCCACCCACATAACAAAATTCGGGTCAAATGCGGGCAAATCGGCTCAAACCCGCGGGTGACCCGCCTGCATGATCAGCCCTATTAAACATAAGCTCTCGAGTAACTACCAGGGCCGGCCAAGAGGGTGTGCTGGCCCGCCCTCCGGCACAGGGCCTCAGAATATTAGGGGCCTCTACTTAGATTCGTTAGTTACCGATCGTATATTGTAGGTTGTATTTTTAGTGTATGATTGATTGATTATGAGTATGATGATGTGTTTAATAGATAATTTTAGCTATAATAACAATTGAAAAGGATCTCATGGAGAGTACAAAAATCTGAAAAATAATAGATAATTTTAATTTAAACAATATAGAAAGATGTTACATTTTGAATAATGTTATTATAATTATTTTAGTTTTATTATAGTTAAAGGTCGATTTGGACCACATCTAGATTTTGAAATAGGGCCTCCACGATCTAGTAGACAACCCTGCACCCACCTCTCGATCAATTTAGACTATTTTCATTTCTCCATTCAATTTTTGCGCTATATTCATTTTCTCTTCCTTCCAGATTTACTTTCCTGCCTATTAGGGCTGGGAATTCGGTCTTGGTTTTTTGGTCAAACTGGAAACGAGATCATTTATTCCTGATGTAATCTTTTTCTGAACTTAAGTATTTTTTTACAATTATTTACTAATTTTTAATTTTGATAAATTTATGGGAAAAATTAGGACCACAATTTAAATTTTCGAACAGGGCCTCCAAATATCATGGGACGGCCTGGTAACTACGCTCGAGCCTCTCCTTCGTTTTTCTTCTTTTGCTCTCATGCGATGTTAGCTACAAGCTACTACGTTAGAGTTAGAGACGGCACTTTTTAGAACATAATTTTGACTTCGATATAGATCTAACTGCAGGGCTTGTATGTTGGCGTGAGTTGCTGGCCGGATTCGATACAATTTGAGCTAGCTAGCTATACAAGTATGCACATGCTACCATGCATGTTCCGGCGATAACATATATGGTCCCGGCGGCCGCTGATAGACAATAAAAATAAAATAGTCCAATTGTTTTTATTTATATATCAAAAGCTGAAAGCCGACGGCACAAATTTCCCGACAAAAAAGAAAAGTCTACGTTACAAATACAAGTTGACCAAATATAAGAAGAGCAAAAAGTCGTCCATGATTTCATCATACATAGTCTAATTATTATAAGGGTAATACACAAACATAACCATGCTTTTTTCTTGATTGAATGTTTAATTGAATTTTTTTATTGTACTTTTTGTCCATCCTTTTATTAATAAATTTAAATTTTGTTAAATTAATTGATATTATTAACCCTTTTAATTATAAAATTAAAAAGTAAGCATTCAATCAAGAAAGGCATGAATTTGACTTTCGAACGAGAAAAAAAAAAATTAAGCATGGATTTGGCAATGTAATTCCAATCGTGGGGTGACGTATCCCATGTGCTGATGACCAACGGTGGCATGGAACCTTTTGACATTGACAAATCACATTTTATTTTTAACTATGTGCTTCATTTTACATATCCTAATTGTATGCTCGTATAAGCTAACACTATGAGTCAATAGAGGTGGTGAGTTCGTGGATGGGATATGGAGTGGATTTGTAGATTTATTGATTAGGTCTATAGATTGAAATGGCGTTTAAGCTTTGGACAATTTTATAGAATATAAATATCTTACTTAGGGACTAAAGCATAATGTGAATAAATTTAGGTCGTAAAATGTGATTTTTGAAGGGTACTATTTTTAGATAAGAAAAGTAAAATTAAGGTACCAAAATGAACGTGCAAAATATCTATTGTAATATTTCTCAAATTGATTAATCCGCCAATAATTTATTACAATTCCTTAATACCATTTCACGTAAAATAAATTTTTATATGATCATTTTTGCACAAATATGAAATAGCAGAGCTAGCTAAGGGATCTTTTTTGTGGAAAGAGGTTTTGTGTAAACAGATTCCTTTTTCTCAGTTAAATTGTGTAAACAAATTCTAGTGTTCCAATTTTATCGGATGTCTATGAAAAAACAAATAAATTCTTGGTCACAAACAAGTGTTCAATTTTATTTTTACTTTTTAGGATAGAAACTATATGGTAAATTGTGCTACATCCAACTCATAAAGTCATTAGTTACAAAAACAAATCCTAATTTAGTAATGACTAATCCGAGGGGAATATTGCTCGTAGCTGAAAGATTTGTAGAAACGTAAAAGAGAACACGAGACACAGTATTTACGTGGTTTGTCTCATTCGATGTGAATGAGCTTACTCCACGGAGAAGTTATGTTATCTCAACTTCTTTTTCATAATTAGCAGCCGATCACAATCATACATATTTATACGTCTACTGCTAACCCTATTTCACTCGGCAACTAGGGCTACACAAAGAGATGGGCTTAGGCAAGTAGCCCATATCCCATACTACACCATGCAAAACGGCTACGTACTACAAACATGTACATTATATTAGTATATATAAAGCCCCTAATTACTTAAGGGGTTTAGTAGGATGCGGTCATATCCATAGTAAGCTTCTGCACCTCTTTCTCCGTCATTGTACCGAACTGCTTCTAGCTTTCCCCGTCGGCTGGCTGGCGACTTTGCATTAGGGAAAAAGGAAAATTTTAGAAAGGAAGAACAAGGGTCACCGTCGTCAAGTTTGAAAGGACTCGAGTGATCGATCAAATCCACAGCCGCTTCCAAAGTTCCATTTATCAAGCAAGGCGAGCAACGAAATTCATCTTCTGTGAATTTCGAGTCAATTAATTCTTCCACCCAGAAGCTATTCAATAACAGAGTTTGGACAAATGCAGAACCCTACTCCCTATCACTTCTCTCCAGTTCAGCAATTGAGCTAGAAATCGTCCTCTGCAACTTGGAATTTGAGATGTCCGGCCGTCTGGGTATATATAATAGAGACTGCTAGAGAAAGGAATTGCATGTCATCTATTTATCTATTATTTTTCCACTGCACGTCCGATTTGCCCTCTTTAATTCTACCCTGGTCGTATCAAGTTTTACTCTGCTTTATCATGTGTTGAATATGATTTGGTGGAGATTGATTCGTCGGAGAAGAATATAAACAGAAATTGGTTGTTGGAGAGACTAGAATGGGTTCATTCTTATTTTAATCAACGAATGCTAGCTACTAGATACTCTCTGCCGAACCGAAGGGTCTACTCTTCTCATTTTATATATGTTTCTTTTGCAAGATATCATATATGCATGAGTTACATTTGGCAGCAAAAGAATGACATTTGGCAAACTCCACTAATCTTATGGTTTCACTACACACCACTCCAATCCAAATGACGATGTGCAATTACAGAGCTTGCTGCATAATAGAGATGTCCAAGTCTTAGGCATTTTTTAAAATGCCTAAATCAGTTTAGCATTTTGATGGTGTTTTCGTTGATATTCATAATAAAATGTGTGAGATTAAAAGGTATTTACAATGAGAATATTTGAATGTGTATTGGTTCATGAAGTTATGGTGGTTGCTGAATTGCAGTGGTTGGTGCATCATTAGCAAAGCATTTGAGCCCATTTAGTAAACATGTTTTTTAGACACACTTAATACATATTATGATTTCGGTTAGTAAAGTATCCATTCAACTGTTCAAGTACTGGTTGATTAGTAATTAATGATCATGTGGATTAGTAGTTTCTTCGATTGGCCTTTGGGGTTTTTAATAAATTGTTTGTAGCCGATTTGTAATAATTTTTTTACTTCTATTGTCACGCGCCTATACTTTAAACGAGATCATATGATCTAAGATTACAAAAAAATCATGATTTCTGATAATTTGGGTATTCTAATTGCCGAAATGTTTGAGCATAGTACTTCATGTATGTAAAAAAGACTATTGACCATATGGTTTTACTGTTCCAAAAAGACATAATGAAGTTTGAATTAAAAAATAAAACTTTTAGAACACTCATTTCTTCCTCCTTCGACGATTTCCCCTACATTGGCCAAGGTCACCTTCGAATTGCGATCCACTTCAAGAATCATATATTTTTTTAAAAAGTCAACTGGACAAGAAGTCCTTCAAGTACTTAGTCAAGTATTAAGGTTAACTTGCTTTGCTTAGCAAACAACTCATCCTAGGAACGGTGAATAGATCACATGATAGCGTATACTATAAAATACTATTTATTACAAAACATGCATCCTCCTCAACGGATTGATTGTTATTTTTTCGTTAAAAAAACATTCTTATTATGTGTTTTTCCAATGTCATGATCTTACATGGATCGATATGCAATTATGCATGCAAGTCAAGTGTTTTACACTTTGTTTTTCAGTTACTCTAATCTTCTTTGAAAAGAAAAAATTTCAGAACTCTCAATGGATATGCTATTTGTGAATGTTAGTATTTACGATCTTATAATGGTGTTCGATTGAAAACTGCACACATTTGAGATGATGAATTATGTTAAAATTAAAATTTTGGATAATTATGGTAAACTTAGTTATAAGAAGATATATTGAGAACAATTTGATGATTTTTTTTAAATTTTTTGGATACATCATACAAAGTACATATGTTTTTAATTACATTTATTTAATAATATCTCAAAGATCTCCAATTCTCCACAAATATAAAGTCGTATATGTTCTTACAGAAATTTAATAAATAAAAATATAATTATAATAAATTTGGCAATCAAAATCAAGCTACAATAAGAATAGATTTAGTCTAATTCAATTTGGTGTAACTCAATTAAATACTCATCGATACCCGCCGCAGAGCGCGGGCCAATTATCTAGTATCTTTTATAGCCCAAGCATCGGGGGTTCCTTTTTGTAATGCATACTGTAACAAGAGCTTGGATCACTCCAACTCTCCAAGGGTGCGAATTTCGCCGTCGGTGGCACCGGCTTGCTCTCGAAAGAAGAACGAGTGTAATGGAATGTCACCTTCAAATGGTCCAATTAAGGTCGATGAATGTGTGCAGAAATTTATAAGCTATGGAGCAACCAAAGTGATGGCAACGGGATTGTACCAAGGTGGATGCATAGGCGGTTGCAAAGTGTTGGACAAAGGGCTCCATTGTTGGGCGCCAACCAACGAATTTCACGACCTTCACAATCAGTTCCTCAAGCAGGAGCTCCAGAAACTAGGGAAAGAGTACCACAATGCTCGGTTTTCCTATGGAGATGTTTGGGTTGGTGCAAAGTGGATCTGGGACCGTTATGAATCTCTTGGTACGTAACGTTTTTGCATGCATGCATGCATGTTGTCTGGTACGTACGCAGTAATATACTGATCGTTGTTGTTGTGTTTTGCCTGTGTACGTGATCGTACGTATTTATCCTCAAAAAGCTTGTTGTGGGGATCCAGACCACATGTGTGGCTTAATTGACGGGGCTCCGTGCTGCAGTAATCCAAATGAGCACGTGTTTTGGGACTGTCCAGGGCATATGACGGACAAGGCTTGCCGATACATATCTGAGCAGATGATTCCACAGATTGCCGCGGAACTGAAATATTGCGACGACAGCAAGAATGAATTGTAGACTTGTAGCAGTACTGATCGATACTCTGCTAGCTAGCTAATAGGAAAAAAGGCAGATAGATCGAGAGATAATTAATGCTTATGTAATCTAAGCAAATTCTTACTTAAATAATTACTAGATTTGTTTCTGATGAGCCGCCCTCTGCTGCAGCGGAGGTGGGAAATGCATTTGAATCGTTTTTATTTCGTGCTATCTTATTGTCCATGAAAACTTCATCAATAATTGGTTCGAGTAACGATCGAGTTCGAGATCGATCGATCCCATCACGTTGGTATTACTCTGATCCCCAACATCATACTCTAGATATGTGTACTCAAAGTCTCAAACATGGGAAGTGTTCCATTATTATAAACCCAGTTTATTCTTGGTTAAGGGAAAATACACATAGATCACTCTATACGTGGTAATTAGTAACATATACCAAACTTGAGAGAGGTTTTTGTTTAGATTCACGTAGATTAGTACGAGCCGACTGTCGGATGTGGTGGTGGATCAGCACGAGGAATGTGGCGCTCAGAGCTGTCACATATATACTTTTCCATCCGCGCGCCACCTTGACAAAATCTTAGTAGATCCCAAAGTCTTACGAATGACGAGTTCAAGGCTCTAACACACCATGAGATTGTTAGAGGTGATGCGATTTTTTTTTTTTTGTGAATTTTTTTCCTAGAATTCACTAAAAGTAGAGATGCTAAATATAGCTACTTCTTTCGTTGTTGTTTCACCCTTCGACTATCTCCTTGTGATTGCAACGGCTCGACCCGTGTTCGATTCTATTGTTCTAACCAGATTCTTTTCATTGCGGGATCTCTTTGTTTCTTCCTCGTTATATTGGCGATTTTTCCTTCCTCGCTGTTTCGTCCACGACATTCAACAGTAAACATGACGGAGGAGATGCGTGAAGAAATGAAGAATATAATTAAGCAGCTGGAGTGTCATCATAGCAACCGATCGAGGAAATTAATTAGTACGATATCGTACACTCAGAATTAAACGCACCTAGTTACAAAACAGCTCCTAATTTAGTATTGACTAAATATAGATATGAATCTGTGATCCGAATTGACAGAGAGAGCTTCAGTTCAATCCTCTTTGTTGCAATAACCGAAAGCACAATTATTATAAATATTGTGAATAGCAGACAAGTCCATTTTGGAGGATCAAGCAGTACTATATTGTTTTAGATCGAGATCAATTGTAGGCATAAATTACTTAACAATGCCAAAACAAATGTCGCTGTGGTTCGAGTCACGGCTCGCGACGTTATCTTCTCTCTTGTTACTTATTTTTCTCGTTCATCCTCATTCCTGCAAAGCTGTCGATCTCAAACCGTGTGGATTCCAAGCGATCTACAATTTCGGCGACTCCCTTTCAGACACGGGCAACGCCATGGCAGAACACCCAAGCCCTCACGCTTGGCATTATCCATTGGGCATGACGATCGGCAGAGCCACCGGCAGAGCCTGCGACGGACTACTCATTATCGATCATATCGGTACATGCATATGTATTTTGTATAGCTAGTTACGAATCAACATTTGTTTATTATTAATTTCTTCTAGGTGTATGTGTTCATTTATGACGTACGTACGTGTCTAACTAATGATCAATGAATATTGCTCATGTCAAGAACCAGTTGATCCCAATAACTCGAGTTGTTGGGAGAGGTTCAATCGTGGATCATATACCGTTTACTAACACACCCCCTCAAACTCAAGTCACTCATATAGGCTTGGAGTTTGCACAGGCACAGGTCCGGACACCATGTGCTTAACAGAAACAGAAACAGATGGGGGTCATCGGGATTCGAACAGAAGACCTCTCGGTCACAGAAGGCTCTGATACCATGTCAAGAACCAGTTGATCCCAATAACTCGAGTTGTTGGGAGAGGTTCAATCGTGGATCATATACCGTTTACTAACAGCTCATTCATTCATTATTCACAGCTGAAGCAACGGGGCTTCCTTTTTGTAATCCATACTTAAACAAGAGCTTAGATCACTCCAAGGGTGCGAATTTTGCCGTCGGTGGCACCGGCTTGCTCTCGAAAGAAGAACGAGCGGAATGGAATGTCAATTTCGTATGGTCCAATGACTCTCTTGACGTACAACTCCGATGGTTTGATCAACATCTAAACGACAACTTCAAGGACGAAAAAGGTAACACATATATAATTATGTTTGCTTAATTAACTACACGATCAAACTTGGTTAATTCATCCTCCAATTTCTTCGAATTCCTCCTATCCGACAGCTCGCCGAGATCATTTGAAGTCGTCTCTATTCGTCATCGGCGGCGGCGGCAATGATTATGGCGCCATGGGCGGTTCACCTCTATATGATAAACTTCCATATATAGAGCAAAAGAAACTCATAATGCCTGTCGTCGTCGGAGCCCTAGTTGACGCTGTCAAGGTACGTTCGTTCGTACCTAATTATGCAATCTTATTATCTCATTATACTCTCTATTCATGTAATTCGACTCGATTCGACGAATGGACGTGCAGAAATTTATAAGCTACGGTGCAAACAAAGTGATAGCAACCGGAGTGTACCAAGGTGGATGCATAGGCGGATGCAAAGTGACGGACAAAGGCCTCCATTGTTGGGAGCCGACCAACGAATTTCACAAGCTTCACAATGAGTTCCTGCAGCGGAAGCTCCAGGAACTGGGGAAAGAATACCCCGATGCTCGATTCGCCTATGGAGATGTCTGGGGCGGCGCGCAGTGGATCTGGGACCGTTATCAATCTCTTGGTACGTTTGTTACGAATCAGTGACGCAAACTTTTAGTATCTAATTGCATGCATGCATGCATGTACGTACGTACTGATATCGATCTTGTTGTTTTTGGGTTGTGGTGTAATTTACGTATATAGGGTTCGTTTATCCGCAAAAGGCTTGTTGTGGGGATAAAGATCACATGTATTGTGGCATGGACGGGACTCCGTGGTGCAGTAATCCAAACGAGCACGTGTTTTGGGACTGTCCTGGGCATTTTACGGATAAGTCTTACCGATACATGTATCAGCAGATGATTCCACGGATTGTGGAGGAACTTCAGTGCGACGACAAGAAGAATGAATTGTAGAACATTAGCATACGTAGTAGTAGAGGAAAGGCCCATCGATCGAGGGAGATATATGATGTTATGTAACCTTCTGCGAGTCTGCGATCGGTTGCTAGTTTCAGCACCACATTAATAATAATCCAGACAAATTATTGAGAATTATTAGCTTCTTGAACAATTACTAGGAATCTAGTAGGGGTGTGCAACGGTTCGGTTCGGACCGGACCAAACTCATGAGAACCGCGGTCCATTAGTGAAAGACATGTTATGACCAAGGATCGGACCATTCTTGCATTTGATCCATTTGGTCCGGTTCGGTCCGGTCCAAATATGAGCTCGGTCCACCATTTCTTCAGTAATTATAAAATTCATGAGGACCAAGGACCGGATTGCATTTTACTCGGTCTGGTCCGGTCCGGTCTTAACAACAGTTTGGTCCGGTGTGGTCCGGTACGGTCCGGTGTGGTCCGGTACGGCCCGGACCATTGCACACCCCTAGAATCTAGGATCATATCTGATGAGTCGGGCTCGGGCTTCTGCTGCGGCCGGGCCGGGGGAGGAAAAGCTTTGAGGAACAGGGTTCAAGTATTAAAATCATTGGGCCCGGCCCATTGGAGACTTCGCAGCATCTTTTCTTGATGCTCCCGGTGGCAGTTGTCTCGTGGGGTACACTGGGTTTGCTGCAATGCCGAGCAAAATAATGTTTGCCTATGGAAATTTTCTTCTTTTCTTCTTGTTTTCGACGAATGTTTGAGCGGGCGGGAGGGAGAGCTCTCACGACGCTGATTTGGGAATCATATGAACCTAAATTCAACCGCACATATGGCATCTATCCGCTATCTTGAGGTTATAATCTCCTGTTTCTCCGCTGCAATTCTTTGGTTTTGCTTCATTCATATCTGGCATTGTGAACTCTGTGGGCGTCGTTTTCTTCATATGGAATGGATCTTTGCCCTATCTATGGGTATTGCTGATCACTGTGTGTTCTGCTTCCAAGTGAACGATATCTTGATCCTAACTCGACAGTGCGCCAACAAAAATGGGGAGATGTGATTGTCTCGTTATGCCTGGGGAGCAGGGGAGCTAATTAGACCGATCCCATTAATCAAATGAAAACTATAGCGCGTGGGATCATCTCGAGACTTAGCTCAGTCAACTGTGTTCCTTGTCTTACATGCTCGTTTGAGTTTTCACGTTAGTCGGGGCTGGCTTTCTTGCTCGACTTATACTTGTGCTATGAATGATTCTGTTATTTTGTTGACCTTTATGAGTTTACTCTGTGCTGGACATACAGTCATGTCATTGTTTCTAAAGGGTCCCAACTCCCAGCCCTTATTCATATTAGCCAAATCCATTGAAACAAGCATCATAATTGGGCTAGCCATGTGAAAGATTGAAACTTTGCAATTATTGTGAATTAACATTGCTGCACATTTTCTTATGTCAAACTGGTATACATCAATGCATTTTCTTACTGCATATACTATTACTGTTAGTTCATCGTGGCATACATCCTCGAGATGAGTTTGATGAGGAGCTACCAGATGAAGAATCACCATGGAACAGATCTGAGAGGTAGTTCTCCAGATCATCTGGACCAAACTTCACCATCAACACCTCCAAACTATCTCCACTCAGCTTTCCCGATCCCACCACATAGTTATCATAAAATTCTCGATATGCTGGTACGAGTTTCTTGGCTATTGACACCTTCAGTTCATCCCTAAATTTTCTGTTCGGTACTACCCATGACATCTGCTTCCTGTGCGATTCCTCGAAAGCTGCTTTGAACTTCCGAAAACATTCTGCTGCAGCTTCTGGTGATTGTTCTTCTGGGAAAGGCTTGCTTGGGATGAATGAGAAGACCTTATTCCATGCCATTGTCTCGTATTTGGTAGCATATTGCTGGGCCTTCTTGGCATGATTGAACACCCAATCCTCGCCTAGCACGACCCTTAATCGAGTTGTGCAGACCTTCTCGATGATGAACTGCATGTTGTTTGCTAGGAACAGGTATGAAAGGGACGCGTCTTTGTACTGTTCTGCTTTCCTGTCAAGCTTGCATAAGAGAACTAGGATGAGCCAAGCTAGTCGGGTTGACACCGCTGGTGAGGGAGCATCGACTGAGGTTGTTGTTGGACTCTCGTAGTAAGATTCTGGCAGCTTCGAGGTGCTCTCTGGAAGAGAGTCGGCAATGATATCTGAAAGAATGCTACTGTAATCCGCCAGTGATGATAAGTAATCCATGACTGATGTGTTCAAGGGATGAATTCCTCCACCAGGAACTTGAGATTTTGACGAGTCCTTTTGGATTGCTGTTTCAAACTCGGATAGAGTTTGGCGAACTGACTCGCCTAGCTTCAGTAGAGACGAATGAGCTTGCTGTTTTACAGAGGAGATGGATTCGAAACTGAAAATGGGTTCTATTTCTGGCCACAGATCAACCAGTGCTTCATAGATGTCCATCAGAGGGAAGATTCTGTCATTTTTCAGGTTCTTGTTCTTGGCTGCGAGTTCAGGAAACCTGAACAAATTTGCTGCTGCTTCTTTAACCACCTCAGAGAAGCACAACTCTCTGATCCTCTCATAATCTGAGAACACATAGCCACACAAAACTTTTTCTCCAAGAAACAGGTTTTTTACTGCAAGATTCACAGCATTCAGCCAGTTCTTGATCATGTTCTCCAGAGCTTCTGAATTCAACCTCTGGATTTGGGAAGCCTTGTAGTGCACAACTCCTAGCCGGTACAGCCCTTCATCCACAATGGATTTCCTCATGAGTAGGTAAATCTTGACACACTCTTTGGTATAACCACAAGTTATCATACAGTCGGCTATGGACTTGAGGTCCGATATGCCACCAACTCCTGGAAGTCTCCTCTGCTGCCTCACAAGAACTGATTCGTCACGAGTTATGAACTCATCTTCTTCACATCGAATCTCAGCCTGATCGTCTTCGACATTACTCAAAGACCCTTCTGATGACGATTGACCTGAAACAGACTCGGGATTGAGATGATCCCAGTTTGCTGACAGGATCTGGTAAAACTCTTTCTCCAGCCTTCTCATAGCAATCTGGATAAGCTTCTGACAAATCGCGAGCTTCTCAGGGTCGGAATGTTGTGATAGTAAGAAATGCATGGCCCTGCGAAGGTCCTTGACGCATTTCAGGAACTTGCTGGCCTCATCCTCGTTATTTTGGAAAAGGGGAGTGACCTTATGGATGGATGAGGAATCCAGATCCCACTTGGAGATGAAGGATGCAGCATTTTCAATGTCCTCCTCCATCATTGAAGCAGAGAAGGTGTGGTGGAGAGGGGAAGAGGGAGGGAAGTGTGAAGGAAAGGCTGAGAAGGAAGTGAGGGAAGGGAGACTTTTGTTGGTGGATTGGAAGAGATGAGACACCCCTTTTCTTGTCAGAGTCATTTTTTTTTTCTTTTCTGGGGCTGGTTATATTATCACTTGTCAGAAAATTATATAAGGATTGCTTGCTAGGCTTTTCGTGCAGGTTTTCAGGAGCTTGGCTCTTGGGGCTGAAGAATGGAGAAATGTGGGAATTGTTTCTTTTGCTTTGAGGGTATGCAGTTTAGATAGACAGATGCAGGGGACTTTTATAGAGGGACACTTGCAGCAAAGTTGCTCTTTTTATTTATTATTTTGTTTTATTTTTGAGAAGGCTCAGCGAGTCTTCTGAGTGGGGCAAAGTATGAAGACAAAATCATCAACATGGAAGTCTATTCCCCTTACTCTCGATTGTCTTGCATCTTTATTTCTTTAAAGGGTTTTGTGGTGTTTGAGGACTTCAGTTTTCGGCTGCAAGGAATCAAAACTCTACAGTTGACTTACAAAGAGGTAAGCGGGAAACTAGTTATTTGTTAAAGGTTAACTTAATGTACATGTATTTTTTATTGAATCCAAGATTTGAATCTACAGTGCGGTAAATATTATCATCCATACATCAACGTTCGGTCAACGTTTTGGAGAGCTCTTCTATGAGTTTGTCGACTTTACCACCCAGATAAATCGAGGTACTCTCTAATATTTTTTTCTTCCTCCACTTCCAACTCTTTTAAAAAAATGTTATATCTTTTGGATATGGAAAAAAAAAACATTTTCTAGAATGTCTTCGAAATACATTTATTGTATGGAAAATGCATGCTTATGTCTAACCATCCCATCTTGCTTAAATTATTAGGAAAATGCATTCGATTTTAGCAACCACGAAATAAGAAAAAGGCTGATAAGATTGCATCAATTAATGACATTTCGTGGAAAAATTGATTAGCGGCAGGTGAAACTGCGTGATTAAGTGGTTAGAATTACTTAGACGTGTAAGTATTATACATGAATGATAACTGATTGGCGACAAATGAGTCTACATGATTGTGATAGAATTACTTGAGCATATAAGTATCGTATTCGTACATGAACGATATACTTTTTTTGTTTCACGGTGACCCACAAAAAAATATGGTTCTTGCATTGTGTTTTTACCTATAGAAAAATAAGCCAATGAGGGAGGATTGGTGGTGGGATTAGTAACATTAATTGTTGTGCTGGCTTGACTTGTTCTTAACGCGACCAAATTGGTTAAATAACAAAAACCTAAACCTGGCACCATGTTGCTTGTTCCCTTGCCATTTTTTCAACATACAAAACAGCCTTCTCTCATTGATTCTTTGTTCAGGAATCTGGAGAAAAAATGAACAGTAATTATTGATCACAACCTTGAAAACAAACAGGAAATGACAACTAACTTAATACTTGTTAATTCCAGCGGCAAGCATGTCCCATGATTTTAAATTATTAATTAACATAGGAATTTGGGTTGGAAGAAGAGCAACGGCAGAGGAAATCATGGTACATATCAAGGATATGATACTATATAATAATAATTAAGCTGTCCAGCATGTTATTAGCGCCTCCTGATCTGGACCTAGTCAAGTGACTGATCAAATGACTAAGAAAACAAGACTTATTAGTTTAGGAGTTTGTGAGAGCTTTAGATTGAAGATTAGTCGTAGAACTGCTAGAAAGAGTTGTGGTCGAAGACTAGCGGTAACCATGCATCATCATTAATGTATGTTCTTAGTACTATTTGTTGATGGATTTATAGGTCTGTGAACAGATTTTGCTTTTTGATGAAAGTGTGCTGTACTACTTTTCCAAACTGATAAAGTTTGTCTTCCACAAGAATGAAGCAACAAAATCGACCGTCATTTGCTTGTGCTAAGAACACTATAAGCGTACAAATCATGTATTTCATCGAATATTAGAAATTTGTGAGACCAAACAACCATTGAAATTGTGCTTAAAGAAAAACCAGAAGGAATGAGGAGGAAGAAGTCAATGATTCAATGAGCCTGCCATTCCCAGATATCTATGGCTTTCCCCAGATAGCAAAGAAAGAGCATTATGCAATTGGCTAAGCCATCGATCATTCTCGATCGGATTGAATACAGTTTCTCTTGTCGGTATATCAATGTTCTTCAAGCAGTGTACATTGCTTTATATATAGATACAAAGTTCATGTATTAGGACTAGAATTATAGGAGTAGTAGTTGTCAGCAGTTATTACCACTCACTCACCATGCCATCTTTTATTCTAATCTCAACCGGTACTCTCCTTAACAGCCATGTTCTTCCCATTTCCTTCAATATGGAGTAGAAGGACCCCATTGTCTTAAATGAAGCCCAGCAGCACAGTGAGAGAGGAAGAAGACAATTGATCTACCAGTCTCTCTCAACAGCATCATATCAGGTAACTTGTTATTACAAGCTAGATAGGTACTGATAGATGTGTTTGTGCAGCTGCTAGCTACAGGTTGTACAGTATCCCAAGCTCCCCTTTTCAATCTGTCTACAACTGAATTGACGATCCGTGCCTGCTGATAGAAGCTCATACCAACTTTACTGCCATGATGATCTTTCTTTTCCTCCTCTTCTCCTGCATCACTTTCCACCTATACAAACTCATATTCCAAAACAGATCATGCTGCTACTTGCTCCACTATGAGTGCTACAAGGCCACCGATGATAGGAAAGTCGATGCAGAAACCTGTGCCAAGATCGTAATGAGGAACAAGAACCTTGGACCGCAAGAACAAAGGTTAATCCTCCAAACCATGGTCAGGTCTGGCCTCGGCGATGAAACGTACTGTCCAAGAAACATCCTCGAGGGCAGGGAAGCTGCTCCAACACTCTCCGACTCCCTCTCCGAGATCGATGACATCACCTTCGACACCTTGGATGCCCTTTTCGCCAAAACCAAAATCTCCCCAACTGACATTGACATCCTAGTGGTCAATGTCTCTCTGTTTTCCCCTGCACCTTCTCTGACTTCCAGGGTTGTCAACACGTACAAGATGAGAGAAGGCATCAAGACGTTCAACATTTCTGGGATGGGGTGCAGTGCAACCATTGTGGCCATCGACTTGGTGCAGCAGCTGTTCAAAACCCACAACAAGGCTCTAGCCATAGTGGTGAGCACAGAGTCACTCGGACCAAACTGGTACTGTGGGAAGGAGAGTTCCATGCTTGTGGCCAGCTGCCTGTGCCGCTCCGGTGGGTGTTCAATGCTGCTCACCAGCAATGGGAGCTTCAAGGGGAAATCAGTGATGAAACTGAACCAATTGGTCAGAACCCATTTGGGAGCAGATGATGATGCTTACAACTGCTGCATCAAAACGGAAGATAAGCTTGGACATCAAGGCTTCCTCCTCACCAAGGGACTCTCTAGAGCTACTTCCATAGCCTTCACATTGAACCTCAAGGTTCTGATCCCCAAGATACTCCCAGGGAAGGATCTCCTGCTCTATGTCTTCCACTCTTATAGTCGAAATAGGGCGAAAGACAGTACGGTTGCTATTCCTTCATCGATTGAAGAAGCGGGAGGAGGGATTAGCCTGAAGGCAGGAATTGAACACTTCTGCATACACCCTGGTGTGAGGGCACTGATTGATGGGGTTGGGAAGAGCTTGGGGCTGGATGACTATGATCTGGAGCCGTCTCGAATGGCATTGCACCGATTTGGGAACACAGCGGCTGCTGGGGTTTGGTATGTGTTGGGTTACATGGAGGCCAAGAAGAGGCTGAAGAGAGGTGACAGGATACTGATGATTGGGTATGGTGCAGGTTTCAAGTGCAACAGCTGTGTGTGGGAGGTGACTAGGGATTTGACAGGTGGGAATGTTTGGGAAGACTGCATTGATTCATACCCTCTTCCTACAGTCAATGTGAGCCCTTTCCTGGGAATGTTTGGTTAATGATACGAGGCTCTCGTTCCTGGCTTTCAACAAGGTCTGAAGGCTATTCAGGAATGGCGTCGATTGATTAACTGTGCCTTTTTTTATGAGCAGGGTTTCATTGTATCTGGAGTTCATGTATTTCATCCAGTACTGCATATCAAACATATCAAAGTTGCTTTCTATTCTGGGTTCTATTATGTATCGGCATTTTCCAAGTGATCATGCTTAAAGTTAAACCAATGTCACCAATTAAGTTATATAGCTAATAATTCATCAGAACTCACTGCACCTCATTAATGGATCTATTTAATGATCTGGGTTTACTTTTAAAATATAAAATTTAAACCCCAGAAAATGTTATGATCCATCCTGCTACCCACCTCACAGCTCTTTGTGATGAGTACAAGAACTAGAAGTAACCATCCATATGCGAGAAGACCAAAATCCTCATCATCGATCGAACAACCATTGTATTTGACTATTGCTGCTGAAAGAAAAATCAGCAAAGAAAGTGACAATATAGTCGAGTGAAGGAAGAAGTCAATGATTCAATGAGCCACTCATTCCCAGATAAGGCTTTCCCCAGATAGCAAGGAGCCTCTTATGCAGTTGGCCAAGTCATCCATCTATGGTATGAAAACCAAAAGTAAAACCAGAAGAAGAAAGGAAAGGAAACAATGATTTGAAAACTAAATGGGAGAGTTGAAGAAGCTGCATCATAACTGTATTGACCTGACTCACTGACCATGACCTCCTGCAGGAATGCTTGAATTCGCCAACAAATGTGGAAATTAAGGGCTTCTATTCTACATGTAATGTATTAGACGACTCTTTCAATTGGTGGATTGATCGTATCCAGTTGATAAAATGGATTTCGTTGACTTGACCTAAATGCGTGTAGTATAAGTGTACAACTATAATGAAGTGATGATATATTTTCATTTCTTATGAATAGCATTATATGGAATGATAAGAACCAAAGATACAGCTCAAACGGTCAAACCTCTTAATTAGATTGACTTTTTAGCGTCGATAAAACCTTTTAGTCAGTGATGTCGAATCTAGGAAGTGAGTTCGGAACTATGCACTTGTCAGGAGACCGTTTTAGAGGGTATGGTTGGTTCTTCTTCTTTAATACATGAATTAAGCACTAGACATGTTCTGTTGGTATAAATGATAATTAGTGATAATATTGATTGAAAAAAATCTAATCAATCTTACTCTTAGATGAACATATTCCTTTGAAAATAAATACTCATCCACCAACCAGCGATAATTGGATTGTTGTTGGTAAAGAGTTGTGAATATAATAGTTTGATTATGTAAACTTACGAATTTTACTAATAAGCTAACATCTTCCAATCTTATAAAAGAGTGACACTGGATCTGGATGAGCGACCTCCTAGTAAAGAATACAGCCACCCAACTTATAGCCTCTGGATGCTTTGTCTGAAAACAAAGGAAACATTCCCTAAACAAGGAGTAGTGTCTTTATAATCTATAGCTCAATAAGTGAAGGTTGGCACATTGATTCTTCACAGTACCAGTGAAATGAAAGCGCAACATCAGCTGCCTAAGCTTGGAATATACAGTTTCATTCAAGTCGTCTGCAACGCGACTAAATGGAGTAAAAGGACTCCCGTCGTCTTAAATGAAACCAGCAGCAGAGTGAAGGAAGAGAAGAGACATGTCCAGTCTCCCTCAATATATCAGAGGGTAATAAAGCACTTTCTATTTGTGTATTCTGATACCACATGGCTGGTACAAGCTACAGATGATGAATTTGTTCATTTGCCAGCTACAGGTTTCAGTGTCTGCTGAGTGCTGATTAAACTTCATACCAACTTTACTGCCAAGTATTGACTATGTAAATAGAGGTGATAATTGAGGTGCTCAAGTTTCTGTTCTTTGGAGAAAGGATTTCCACCTCTGCAAAATTGTGTTCTGAAACAAATCGCACTCCTGCTGCTACATGCTCCACTATGAGTGCTACAAGGCCACTCAAGAACATTGTGCTGCCAGGCTACAGGTTGCTCCTCCAGACCATTGTCAACTCTGGCCCTGGGGACGAAACTTACGGCCCAAGAAACATCCTGGAAGGCAGGGAAGCCGCTCAGACACTCTCCGGCTCATTCTCGGAGATCGATGACATCGCCCTCGACACCTTAGACGCTCTCTTCGCCGAAACCCAAATCTCCCCAACCGACATTGACATTCTAGTGGCCTATGTCTCTCTGTTTTCCCCTGAACCTTCTTTGACTTCCAGGGTTGTCAACAGGTACAAGATGAGGGAACACATCAAGACGTTCAACATTTCTGGGATGGGGGTGCAGTGCGAGAATTATGGCAGTGGATTTAGTGTAGCAGCTGTTCAAGAGCCACAACAAGGCTTTAGCCATTGTGGTGCAGTTCCGCTCCTGTGGGTTTTCAATGCTGTTGACCAACAATGGGAGCGCGAAGGGGAAAGCAGTTATGAAACTGGACCAATTGGTGAGAACACATTTGGGAGCAGATGATGATGCATACTAGTGGGAGATGACTAGGGATTTGGCTGATGGGAATTTTTGGGTAGACTTCATTGATTCGTACCCTCTTCCTACAATCAACGTTAGCCCTTTCCTGGAAAAATTTAGCTAACCAACTGCATTTCATAGTCTTTTCAAGGATTGGGTTGGATTTTAATATATGATTTCACAACTGAAACTCCCAATATGAACGGCAGATTGCAGGAGGATCCTGGTTAAGAACAGTGTGTCCAGAAGGATTGCAGGTGTTGAGATGTGCTTATACACTAGATCTGCCAAGCTTTTCCTTTCCAGTACAAAGACTTAATGCTTTGCTGCAGATTATATCGAAACGTTACCAAGTAATGCCTACCAATCCAGACTACTGATAATACATGATGCATTACCAAAAACCTAACTGAATCACTTCCAGTAAAATAACAATCCATATAACCAAAACTTTGAGTCGATGCTCAGCTCACACATTGACTCCCCAAAATACGAGAATACAAAAGGCAAAACAGTTCATCATACCAAAATGCACTTCCTTCATAACTCTTCAGATATAGAGAAAATAGCAAACGGAACTTTCCTGGCTAGTTCTACACCTTAATTGCATACTTTCTCTTGGGGAAGTACATTTCTCTCTTCTTCTCCCGCTCAGTCTTCAGTGATTGCTGCAAATGTAAAGAAAGATAAATTCATTCAGGGCAAGGCCAATAGAATGGAAGACCAACAGGTAGATATCAACTAGATCACGGAATTGGAGGGCAAAAATCTAAAAACCAAAGAGAAGCGACCAAAGACAAGAATAGAAGACATCTCAGAATGGAAACAATGTTCAACTTACAGGGTCAGTAGGCAACAAGTTCTTGAGTTTAAGAGAGTACAAAGACACTTTCAAAGAGCATTTACTTGGGACTTTGTGATAAGGCAGTAATTAAAAACAATCCAAGGCATCTGGTATTATATAAGAGCCATAGCCAACTAACTTGCAGGATATGGCATCCCCGCGATAGGATGCCATCCTACTAACAACTATCAACCAGTATTTTCAAATGTACACAGTAAACTGCAAGTGGTGATGCTGGCCAAGACCAAGGTTCACCAAAGTTGCTTGCAGCACAAATTGCATAATCACAATGGTCTAAAGGTGGAAACAAAAGAAGTACCTGGTGCTTGGTAAGCCTCCTCCTGATGGCTCTGGTCTTCTTGGGACGGAGATCGAGGGGCAAGAACTTCTTGTTCTTATAGGCCTCACGCAGAACAGATTTCTGTGTCTGAGAAATCACAGTCAACACTTGGGCAATCGACAAGCGCACCACCTTGCTGCACACACACACAACAATCAAGCAGGAGAACACACAAACAACATCAGCCTCGCTCAAAGTTCCAGCCTTTATACTGTGACAGACTTTTCATTTCAGGAACTCCACAAGCCAGTGCTGAAAATTTCGCATCTAGGCCTTGGATACAAGGTAAAACTGAAGCTCGAAAATAGCGCGTCAGAATCTAATAACAATCCTATGCGACAAGTCAATAGTTCAGAAACTATAACCATAGAGAGGAAACCCAACGAAACCATGAACCACATTCTAAGTACAAAACAAGAAATTTCGAAGGTCAAAGAGAGAGAGAGAGAGGTTACATCTTGGAGAGCTTGTTAGGAGCGCCGCCGGTGACCTTAGCAACGCGGAGAAGGGCAAGCTCAGCCTTGAGATCCTTCAACTGATTCAAAAGCTCGGCCTTCGACTTCTGCCTCAACTCGTGGACTTTGATTCTGGCTGTTTCATTTTTCCAACAGCATGATCAGGAATACGTCAAGGCTATCAAACCATAGAAATGCAGCATCGATTAAAATGGAAGAATTACTTACCCATGGCTCCCTTTCAAAGTTCTGCACTCTGCAACGACGGCGGCTGCGGTAAACCTTCTACTCACTCTCCGGCTGCTAAGTGCAAACCCTAAAGTGGCGATGAAAGTATTTATATGCACTCGGAATATTTCGCGCTTTATGCTGGGCCGAGCTTCATGTTATTTACTTTGCTTTGATTTGGGCCGAGACTAAAGGACTGGACTTGTGCCGTTTTATGGTCCAAAGGCCCTAGTGCGCTAGCTCTTTACGCATTAGATTGATTGGCCAACTGGAAACTCACCCAAAAAAAAAATCAATCTAATGGAAGCCTAATCGACAATTAGGATTTAGGAGTGTACATAGGAATGGTAATGGGCAGGTCCGGGTTGGGTATCTCGATACCCATACTCGTCCCATGGTAGGTTGGGTCCAGGTCGGATAATTTAATACGGGGTGCGGGTTGGGGCAGGTCGACTCAATGGGTATGTAATTTATGTGAAAAATGTTAGAAATATTCGTTATTTTCATTAAAAGACCAAGTAACAAACCATAATATGATAAAATGTAGTTAAATTATTAGAGAAATTGAGGTTTTCACTTATTTACAACTTTTTTATAGCTAAAATATGAGATAATAAAAGGAAAATCCTAAGTAGTTTGACTAAACTTACATGTAATTTAGGCAAGAACAGGTCAAGAATGGGACGGGTCAGGGCAGGTCGGGTCGATGAGAGGTACCCAAACCCGCCCCCCGCCCCAAAACAAGCCAAACAAGTCGAGAACAACGGGTCATGTCGAAATTGTCATCCCTGCATGGTTGGTTGAATCAGTTTATAGTGTTTTTAACAAATCAGTGAATTAGGGGTTGAATTACAAACCCTTTGCCTATTACAATTTCCATACCGATAAAAATAGTTGTTACAGGCATGGTAATAAAAGAGCATTTATCTATCTTATATCATTGGATTTCATTAGTCACCCAAATTTCAGCATGTTCTCGAACTGGCTTTTGAAGCACAATGAAAAATACATTAGATATTCATAGTCCCCTTTGACCACTAGCAAAATATCCAATCGCATCTAGATCTGAAGATAAATAACAAAGACTCGAACTGAAGTCATCCATCTTACAAGAAGAGGAAGAAAGAAAATCTCATAAATGGGCAAGAAACCAAAACGAAAAGTTGAAGGGACAACGAAAAAAATACCGAGGAAGGAAGAAAAGAAGGTCAAATTTGAAAGGAAAAAGGGAGGAGGCTACCACCAGTCGTTGGAGTGACTCGCAGTGACTCTGGAAAGGATAATTCTATAGAGAAGTGAAAAGATTTGAAAAGGGAAGCCATAGTTGAGCATTTCGTCGCGACCATCATAGCAAAGCAGTTGTCACCCAAATTTTAACATGTTCTCGAGTAATCTCGACATTATTTATAAAAAAAAAATTAAACACGTAAAAGTTTGACACAATTCTGTAAATCACAATTAGTGTCATTTTTAACATGTAATAATACGTTACATCGTCAACAATTGAAAGAGATGGTAATGTGAATGGTCTTTTTTTTCTTCTTTTCATTTAAATGTGTAATGGTCCCTAGTCTCTAGCTACCATGCCTCCATTGTTTGTCAATCTTGGATCAAGCTGAGGGGCTCCTAGTTGCAAGCATTGTGGGATAACACCCACTCAAAGAATCATAGACGGCACCGCCGATCATCTCCGAAACGTTAACCTCCGAGGAAATAAACAAGATTAAAAACAATCCAGAAAAACGTAATCAAGGAGGAAGAAATCAACCATTGATTCTGTGGCGGCCATTTTTGTAATCTAATTACACAGCATCGCCTGGCTGGGTCAACATCTCAGCAACTGCAAGCTAAGTGATCTCCTCTGTGCGGCAACTTGTCCACTAATTAGACAATCTTTGGCTGGCTGGCGCAATCAGTAAGCAGGTTCAAAAATAACAATTCAGCATGAAAGTCCAACTCCAACTTGCGGGTCTCTATCGTGTATAACGTATCTCGTTTTAATTCGCTGCTATTTCATATAATGCACTGAACTGATGTCCAATTGAGATATTAAGTAACTTGGAATTGCCCACCTCCAGTTGTTGATTAAGACCCAACGATTAATTGTTGTTCTGCAAATTTCGTTTTGCTTATTTTAGTTCGATTAATTATTGTTAGGCCCAAATAAATTAATCATCCATATATAATTAAGATTACGATGGCAAGTCATGATAATCCCTTAATTCACTAATTCCGGTGGGTGCCAAGGGGATCACCATTACGAAGGGGTGGAAATCGGTATGGTATCGGTATCCCAATACCAAATACTGAAATCCCGAATACCAAATTATATCCGAAAGTCAATCCCAACCTCAATCCCTAAATAATTTCGGTATCCCAATCACTAAATATTCTGGTATCCCAAACGGTACTTCGGTATCCCAGTCGGTATTATCGAATATGAAATTAATTACATTTCAAATAAATAATTAAATATATAGATTAGATTTGGTTGTTTAATTTCGGGCAAAGAGACTAAGCAAAGAGTCTTGAGTTTGCCTACAGTTAGGATATGGATAAGGAGAATGAAGGAGAGGTGACATCTCAAATTCTTGTCATTGGTAATCTTTAGTTTGACGAATTGAAAGCTGAGAGTCGACTAATACTAGTATTTGCTTTTTGGTGTTATGCAAATTTCGTTTTGCTTATTTTAGTTCAATTAATTATTGTTAAGCCCAAATAAAAAATCATCCATAATTAAAGATTATGATAGCAAGTCACGATAATCCCTTATCACTAATTCAGGTGGATGGCTAGGGGATCACAATTATTGATGATGGTGGCGAGACATGAATACCCTTTTGTCAAATCCTTAGCCAAATTACGAGAGTTGGTAATGGTATGGTAATGGAGGCGCAAAAGCCTGCAATCAAATTCGACGTCAATGGAATTTCTCCTTCAGTAACTTTGTATTTCCAGGAACACCAACGAGTCTCGCTTGTATTCAAACTTGGTATCTGCAATTCGCAAGCCTTCACTATCGTGACAGCTTTACCATTATGCTATCTTACCTTTGGTAATTTTTTGTGTAAGTGAAAAATATTACTATGGTATAAAATTTATTTTAACTACTATGGTAAAGTAAAATGAAAAATACAGTCAAAGGTTAAAAAACAAAAGACTTAGACCATCCACAATGATAAGTGGTAAAAGTGAAAAAAATGGGATGAGGAAATTTGGGTTTTTATATTTCAACAAATACGGGTAGGAAAAAAAGTGAGAAATTGGTAATTATTTATATATAGTATAAATTAGTTAAGAAAAATTTTCTGCATAACTTTTTTCTCAACATAAATTTGCTATCAATAATTAGATACGACCACATCAATGAAAAAAAAAAAACAATAATTGATAAGATGTCATAGTAAAAAATAGTTTCATCATTCATAAAAGAAAATAGTTGCACTAATAATGGAACAAATAACCATTACAAAAATGGTCATTGTAATTTAAGTTTGAAAAGTATGTGTATAATCCACAACACGACTCAAGTTAGGGTGCATAATGCATCCTTGCATAAATAAATTTTGGCCCTTAGTTTAGAGTGGCCTCACAAGGGTGCATATCTAGGGTTGGGAATTAAAATTTTTTATTTTTCTTAGTTTTTTTAATTGACTCTTATCTTCTTCGTTCTAATTTGGATTTTAATTTTTTTTACCTAAGATGAAACCAGTTCATTCTGATTTACAAATTAATTATCAATATATTTGAGAGAAAAAATTCATATAACTTGTTACCACCTCCATACCATATGTTATCTACTCCGTTTTAAAGTGAATTTAGAAATTTTTGACAGTAGGAACGTGTTCATCATGATCTGTTAAATCTACAAATTTCTGGGGAGGGGGGATACTGGACAAAAAATACCACCTCATACCACCTTGGTATAAGGGTAGTATCGGTTCACAATTTTGAAAGTTGTAAATGATAGTCGATTTTGAAATTTTTGCATAGAAGGAACGTGTTCATCATGTATTCAACCCTTCTACTTCTACTTCTACAGCCTGATATGTTCATACCACCATGATACACTTTCCATTCCACGTAATGTGCCCTTATGTAAATACCAAACGATACCACCATGGTATACATTGGTACTAATTTTATTTCAAAAAACATATTAGAATAAATATCATTTTAAAGAGCACGATTAATCTGATTTTACCTGTATAAATATGGAAAAAAATATATATATAATTCTTATCGAATCTAGAAGGCAGGTCGGATTGACACAGGCAGCACGAGTCTCACGACCATAATAATGCAAAATGGTAGGTCTATTTTCAAGAGGGTCAATATTCAAACGAAATTATGAAGAGGAGAACAAAAACTTTTCCCTCGTCTGAAAAGGAGAATAAAGCAGTATTTTTTTGCATTCGGATTGAAAGCTATTTCTTGAATTATGAAAAGGGCCAAAATAAAGTTTCACCACCTAACAATTGCTTATATGCTTAGTGCAGGAAAAAAGGTAGCGTTTTGTTCAAGCGGACCCGAGACTTGATTGAGATGACAAACCACCCTAATTGTCATTTACAATTACGACATTTTTGCGGAGTTTTAACCTTCTGGAAATCTATCTCGCTTTTCGTTTCTACTCCCTCGCTTGTATTATTCTTCCGACCAAGAGCTGGCCGGATGGGGAATCCTCTTTTGTTGCTTTCTCCGGAGCTTTCATTCATCACATGCAGTTGGTAAAGACAGAGGTGAGTTTATTTACCTTATATCACTGTCGTCTAGAATTAAGGGCTGTCAATATGATCGTGACTGAGTGATCGTGTCGTTGGTTTTCAGTCTGGAGTTTTAAAGTCTGAATTTCAGGAATGGTGATCGTTTTTCTTTGAACTGGTTCTTGTAAGAAAAAAAAATGTGAGTTCATAAATTAGGTACGTGGATTCGATTCAAAAGTACATCTAACTTTAGATAAGTATGATATTTTTAATCCTTTATACTAAAATATCCTTATAAATAATTAGGTACCAAAAAAAACCTTTGAAGAATGGTTTTCATTACAATGGGAATTTAGACTTCAAAATGTAGAATACAAAATTTATAGGTGCTAAACCATAAAATTTCCAACAACTCATTAATCAATCCATAAACTAAGATAAATTGGATTGAATCGATATATCATATTCAAATGGTATGCTTTAATGAGAAGTCATTCAAGTACCAAGTTATACCCCATTAGTCTTATAGTCGATGGTTCACATTCTATGATGTTATTGATTCGACAAATAACATCGTATGACAAATTCATGAGCTACTCTCGAAATAACTTATGAGAATGAGATTTGCCTCCAAATTAGAGCTGGCAATTTGGTCCAGGACTGTTTGGTTTTACCCAAAACCGGACCGTATAACTCGGATCGGGACCGAACTGGGACCGGATAGCAAACAATTCAATCTCATATTCGGGCTTAGATTTGAGGTAAAAAACCAGGATAAAGACCGGATAAGAGACCCCCCAACACCTAAAATCAAGATAAAATTGAGACCGGACCGGGTCAAGACCGGAGTGTATCCAATCCAATCTTTGGTCCTTATATCCTCGAAAAGACCGGGCTGGAACCGGATCAATTTGGTCCAATTTAACCGGATCGGACTGTATAGCCACCCCTACTCAAAATCGCTTTTTCGAATACTCTCTCAATGTGTAATATATGTATTACCTTTAACTTAGATGTGGGTCACGCACACAATAATGTACTCGTTCAACCAAAATCTGTTCGAACTTGAGATTTGATACTAGTCCGTGGGATGTAATGTTATTCCTTCCCAGAGAATACATTATTTAGTAACTAAAATATGTACAATATCACAGGAAATCATGAACAAAAGAGCCAAATCTCAAATTTTAAGTGCCACGCGAGTCATGACCCCCTGGTTTCTGGTGTACTCATGCTAATAATTAATAAAGTTTATGAATTAATTAAAAAGGTTTTTAAAAAGTTAACATAAAAGAAAAATTATAATAAAGGTTAGGAACTCTACAAGAAAAAGATCACTCGGATCGTGCATTTTGCTTCCCATATTTCTTATCGCGTTATTATATTTTGTTTATCACATTATTTCCAGGTAACATGAATTTCGATCATTTTAGCTTTTGACTCCCAATTTCTCTTTTTTATTTTTTATTTTTTTGGTAATTACCCAATTTCTGCTTTAACCTCCACTTGTGCTTATCTTAATATCCACGATTAAGTCTTAATTCCTCCCCTCTCCCCCCTATATATTCAGTTCTGCGAATCCCACCATCTCTTATCAGAGTCCACCAAGGAATCGGATTCCATCCATCTGTTCATTCAGTTCCCTCCTGACTCCAAAACTTCTCCACCTTTCACTCCTCCTTCCTCTTTCCGCGGAAAACTCAATCGCCTCAGAAGAATCAGGAATCCATCATTCACAATGGTAAGTCTCTGTTTCTATCTCTGTCTCCCTGTTTTTCTTCCCCTCCCAGTTCTGCTACAATCTGCTGACTCTTCTACCTTTGCTTTTCTGGGTTTGTCTTTTCCCTTCGAATTCGGTATTCTTTTGCAGGCGAGAGAAGTTGACGGTGTCAAATACAACGAGGTTGGTAGAGTTTCTTTACATCTCAAACTCCCCTGTTTTTTCGCCTTTCTCTGAAAACAGGGACCCCAAGCGTAGTCAAAACTGATTACTGACTTCGATTTTATTGATATGGGTTTCAGGAGTTCATTCTGAACTCAAGAGGGTCGAAGCTGTTCACGTGCAAGTGGGTGCCAGCGAATGAAGAGCCGAAAGCTCTCATCTTCCTCTGCCATGGCTACGCCATGGAGTGCAGCATCACCATGGACAGTAAGCAACCCTCTTGGCCTCTTCCCTCTCTCTCTCTCTCCCCCCTATCCCTTCCGCTCCTCCATCAACCCAACCTCTAAAAATTTCACGGAATCCAGGCACGGCGATGCGGCTTGCGAAACAAGGATACGGAGTCTACGGGATAGACTACGAAGGACACGGGAAATCTTCAGGATTGCAAGGCTACATCCAGAACCTCGATTCTGTGGTTCAGGATTGCGCCCATCATTTCAGAAACATAAGCGGTAAAAAAAAAAAACATTCCAAACTTGTCCCCAACACTCAATCACTGCAAATTGCATTCAATTACTAACAAATCTGCTTGCTGGTTGGGGGAAAAACAGAGGATAAGAGAGGGAAGAAGAGGTATCTGATGGGAGAGTCCTTGGGAGGGGCGGTGACGTTGCTGCTGCATAGGACAATGCCCAATTTCTGGGACGGTGCCATCTTGGTGGCTCCAATGTGTAAGGTGCGTATGCCGCTCCCTCATTATCGCAATTACGATAATATTTCGTTTTTTTTTTTTGGTTGGGGAAAAGGATATAAAAATAGTAAATTTGGTATTCTGTTATGTGGGGAAGTTTCCCTAGTGGAAGCCTTTGCCTGACTGACTCGTCTGGTTTTGTGAACCCGCCAAACGTGTGAGGTCAGCGGGAAGGAAGGGAGGAGACGTGGTGCTAACTAAGAAAAGCACATTCTTCGCGTTTTTTTGTTTGTTTTGATCTCTCCAAAGTAGTGGAAAGTTAACGTAGAAAAGTTGTTATATCAAACAATTAGTTCACATGTCAACTAAAAATGACAAAACCGAGATTATAACCTAAATAATCAAAACCTTTCCACTCGTTACAGCTAATCAAATTGGACTCTATATTGAGTTGTATTTAGCTCTTAATTTTAAGATTGTTACGGGATCGAAATAATAGTTATTTCGAAGAGGGGGTGACCGAGCAAAATTATAACTTTGGTGGCATATTTATTATAAGCTAGGTTAATCAAAATATTAATAATTATCGTTTTTTTTATACCTTGATACTCTCTGTTTATTTCGGTAATTGTTTATTTTTATTTTTGCACTCCACGCCCCCTTTGTATGACCACCTACTACTACAACATGATCAAATAGATAAATGAATAAAAATATCCCACGGGGTTGAAAAGCTAATCATGCCGCCCCGCCCCTTCAAATTGTGGAGCCACTTAAACAAATTGCCTTATTCTCCTTGCAATGATGGACAAGTTTGGCCGTTTAGAAATGGGAAAAGGGAAAATAATCGTTGCTTTTTTCTTCTTCTTCATAAAGTGATGGTGGTGGACCGGCGAAAGTCCACTCATGAGATTAGAGAGCCACTAGTACCACTAATTCATTTGCAAGAAAAAAAAAATACTAGGAACAAGTACCGTATAACATAAAAAGTCAACTAAGGGGTCGTTTGAAAGTTGCGATAGTTTTGTTGAAATTGTCATTATGCAAGTAATGTTTACAATGCATCATTTTTTTTTTGTTTTTTAGCAGAAACAATACATGAATTGTTTCTGTGATGTGACAGAAACTATCACTCATGCACAATCACAACTTTTAGTTGTGATTGTTGAGATAGTTGAGTTGAGATTGTTTTGTCTAAACTTTTAGCTGATGCGACATACACAATCATACATACCAAACGTTATATTCTACAATGCATCAAATTCGACAAGATATGTATAATATTATACATGTATTCTCAATAATACATCTATTTAACAATCGCAACTTCCAAACGACACCTAAATTAGAGACAGTTAAGTTAAGTTACAAAGGTGTTAAGAAGGTGAGTTGACTAATTTACGAATGGATGGGAGAGATTATTTGTTCTATTTTTTTTCGACGACAATTAATCGGACTTCAAGCCATAATTGTATATACTCTGTGTTATTTTCACCTCATTTTACTTCCCACTTATTTGTTTTTTTTTTTTTATATTTGGGCTGGACGTGCAGATAGCAGATGACGTGAAGCCGCCTGCGTTTGTGATCAGCGCTCTGACGAAACTGAGCTACGTGATCCCAACTTGGAGGATCGTGCCGACGAAGGACATTATCGACACTGCCTTCAAAGTGCCGGAGATCAGAAAGCAGATCAGAGAGAACCCTTACTGCTACAAGGGCCGCCCACGCTTGAAAACTGCTTTCGAGCTCCTCAGAACCAGCATGGACATCGAGCAACGCCTTCACGAGGTAACCTCCTTAATTACACTGCTAAACTTGCTCCTAATTATTATTACCACTGTTTAATCGCTCTTGCTTAAATCGTGACTTTTGGGGCTTGGGCTGATTTGGTCAAAAACTAGGATCCCTCTCATCATAAATATCTCACAAGTCCAATATTAATAATATGGTCCAAGTACCTTTTCTCATAAATACTAAACAGTGTTCCGGATAAGATGAAACTAATAATGTTGAACGTCGAGGTGATCGAGACTAATGTCGTGCTTTTGTTTTGAAAATTTGGATTCAGGTGACGATGCCGTTCATTCTTCTTCACGGCGAAGACGATAGGGTGACCGATAAATCCGTCAGCAAACAGTTGTTCGGCGTGTCGTCGACCAAGGACAAGACGATCAAGTTGTACGACGGGATGTGGCACGGCCTTCTCTACGGGGAGACGCCGGAGAACATTGAGCTAGTGTTCAACGACATTACTTCGTGGCTCGATGAGAGGAGCGGCGGCGCTTTGGCCTCGAGGTCTGAAATGGAGCAAAAGTTTAGGAATGATAAGTTATCCGGCCACTACCAGTCGTCCAAATGATGTAATGGGGACAGTACAAACTACAAACTCCACGACCACTTTCGTCATTTGATTGATTTGCCGCTAGCTTAACGAATGTATGCATATATGGGACTTATTTGTAAGAATAAGGAAATCGGTGACTGATTACGGTGAAAGAGATCCTGTTATACAGAGCTTAATATTAATTACATGCATGGATGCTTGTTCACCTGCTGCGTGATGAAGAGGAAGGTCTATTACCCAAAGGGGGAATGTAAGTTGTGCAGGAGGGGAATTACCGTTGTCTGTATTGAGTGTATTCAGTGACATGTACGTGTGAAATAAAATTATATTCTTTCTTTTTCATTGCGGACGAGAGTAACTTTTGTATGTGATAAATTCCATCAGAGCTGTCATTGAATTGGATCTGAGTAGGAACAACTAACTAATACACTAACTAAGTATATCAACACTTCCATTATAAAATCGTGCACAATTAATATTCGAATCAAATTGAATATAATTTTATAGTTTTGTCTAGAGAATTAGAGACTAAAGCTCATGATACAATATCATGTCTCACACTCCAGTTAATTTATAATATAAATAGCAAAACTCAATTAGGTGTACCGTGTATGGTAGAGTAGCGTAACGTACGCCAGACATACAAGTAGTTCATCTTCCCAAGCAGAAGTCGGTTCCCTTTTGTCATGTTATGAGAATCTGTTGCTCTGTGTTTCAGGAGTTTTGTCCAGGGTTTTATCTCTGCAAAGGATAGAGGTTTAGCCACACAGTGGTGGTTGTGTGTGTTTTGGTTTTGCAGGATTAGTGGTATATTCGGTGGAGGCTTTACATGCTTTTGTGTTGAACTGGGCCAGATTTACAAGGGTTTGCTGCTCTCTTTCAATTTTCAGCATGGTTAGTTGATAATTTTGAGCCTTTTAAGGGGAAGAAATTATGATATTGCCATGCTGTTCAGGTATCATAGGGCAGCCCATATCGTGGCAGGAAAGCCCTATTTTGTCAAACCTGCAAAGGTCTTTTTATTTTTTATTTGTGATTTGACCTGCAAAGGTCATGTATATTATTATATACTTCGTATCTGTTGTTCCCTTTGAAAATAAAAAAAAAATTGAATTGTCACATATTTGAATAAAATAAAATACCATCTATATCTTTGTTCTCTTGATTTTTATTAAATTCTATTCCAACTCAGTCAGGTTCTGATTTCTGAACCACTCGATCCATAGCCATATTCTCCCACCGCTAAAAACGCCCGGAGAAAGAAAAAAAAAAGGGGCAAAACTGCAAAAGCGAGAAAAATAGCATTTGAGAGGTGGTTGTTGCGTAGATTCCATCAATGGAGAATCAGCAGCACGAAGTAAACGTTCCCGCCCAAAATCGCTTCTCCGTATTGAACTGCATCGATCTCTCCAGCCCCGATACTCAAACTTCCGTTTCGTTACTCAAAAAGGTTCCTGTTTTTTCCTTTAAGTCTCAGTTGCTGGGAGACTTTTGGGTTATTTGAGCGTTCATAATCTTCAAGGGCTGTTTGATATTTCATCAGGCGTGCTTGGATTGTGGATTCTTTTACGTGGTTAATCATGGGATAAGCCAAGAATTTATGGCGGAGGTGTTTGCTCAGAGCAAGAAGTTATTCGAGTTGCCGGCGAAGGAAAAAATGAAGGTTTTGAGGAACGAGAAGAATCGAGGATACACTCCGGAGCTGGACGAGCTATTGGATCCTGAGAATCAAGTTCATGGTTAGTAAGGCTGTTGTTGCCTTCCATTTAATCGACTTTTGGTTCTAGCCTTGGTTTCCTTTTAACCATTTCTGTTTGGAAATGATGAGTTGAGGATGGGAAGCAAATGATTTTTCTTGAGTAGGAGACTATAAGGAAGGGTACTACATTGGAATAGAAGTTCCAGAAGATGATCCCGAAGCAGAGAAACCCTTCTACGGGCCTAATGTTTGGCCATCATCAGGTTCTTCTTTCCCACCTAGGTTTTTGCCATTGGTACAGATTCGATCTTTTGGTTAGATATGGTTGATTTGCTACCCCTGTTTCCAAGCTTTGAATTTGAAACCGGTTGTTATGTTGATAGACCTTTTGCCGGGTTGGAGAGAAACAATGGAGAAGTTCCATCAGCAAGCTCTGTGAGTTTATCATTTGCTGAATATATTTGTCCCATGGGAATTAATTAGGGTGTTTAGGCCGTAATATATGATAATTGTCTGATGTTTGTTTCCATTTCCCTTGCTGTTTTTATTCTTTTACTTCTCAATTTAGTGAGGTAGCAAGAGTAGTTGCGAGAATCATAGCTCTTGCACTTGATCTTGAAGCTGATTTCTTTGATAAACCGGAGATGCTTGAGCAACCTATTGCTATAATGCGACTGCTGCGTTATGGAGGTAATGAAGTTTATGGTTACTAGTTGCTGTGTTGATCCATTGGATCGCTTGGCTCTTTGCAGCCTTTAATAGTTTTCTTTCCTTTCTGATATGTCACTTAGGCTTCCTGAGATGCTTCCTGTGATGGTTCCAGGTCAGGTGTCTGATCCAGCAAAGGGCTTATATGGAGCTGGTGCTCATTCGGACTATGGTTTTATTACCCTCCTAGCCACAGATGACGTCTATGGCCTCCAAGTACGAATATACAAGTGAATTTGATGTGTTTGACCAATAGATCAAACTGTTTTTTGAGTTTACAACTAGTATTGATATGATCTTCCTACAGATATGCAATGATAAGGATGCTCAACCTCGAGTATGGGAGTATGTAGCCCCAATGCAAGGGTGAGCCTGTTGTGAGTTTATCGATCGCGATATATTACTATCTTGGACTAGTGTACTTATTTGGTTGATAAAAAATCTTGTGTTAGCTATCAGCTGTCATTTTGTAGAGTAAAAACTATAATGGCAGCACCAGCACTTGTATGCGCAAAAGATAAATTTGGGTAGACCTTGTAGGCAGGATAATGACAAGTTCTTTTGTTGTCATGTTGAACAGAGCGTTCATAGTAAATCTTGGAGACATGCTGGAGCGGTGGAGCAACTGTATCTTCAAGTTAATCTTTCAGATCTCAGGCTTCTCAGCATTTCACACATAATCACTCGCAATTGCATTCCTGGTGACAATTATGGATTGAATTATTGAAATGGTTGTCTCTGCAGGTCCACATTACATAGAGTTCTAGGAAATGGTCAAGAGAGATATTCCGTAAGATTTCGTTTTCATATCTATCTTGTTCCTCAGTTTTGGTCCACCTTTCCATCAATTTGGTTGATGGCATGTTAAGCATACTGCTTCGTCCAGCAACTTGTAAAATTTGTGTAACCGTGATTTGCAGATTGCATACTTTGCTGATCCAAGTCACGATTGCCTTGTTGAATGCTTGCCAACGTGTAAATCAGGGGAAAATCCTCCCAAGTAAGTCGATAACCTCATTTTTCTTAGTCCCATAGGATCTAAAACTACAAGTATGGCTTCCACTTGATCAGTTCGCTCGTCTTATGCTGTTAAACATCCAACTTGTAATATAGGTTTCCACCAATTAAATGTAGCACGTACATGAGCCAGCGGTACAAGGAGACTCATGCCGATTTGAGTATTTACGACCAGAAGGAACATAGTTAGAGCTTTCTGTCCAATGATCGAGCTCAGTTTGCGGAAGAATATGATGAAGACGAGAGTTTGCAGCCTGTAGGTGGCAAGGTTAGGCCTCACTTGCAGTAGAGCTCATGGCCTCAGATGGTGGTTTTTAATTGCTGTACAAAAATAGATATCTAGCGTATGATGGTTGTTACTACTAGTTCAAATGCATGTATCTAAGCTACAGACTCTTCTCATTCACCTAAGTCTAGCTATGACCTAAAGCAGGTTCAAGATGGTCACAGAGAATAACCAAACCTGAACCAATCCAAAAGGACATCACATGTCCAAATTGACCTTTTTTGAGTGAAAGAACAAATATCAGAAGAGCTCCATTGGCCTACACTTTTAACCTTTCTCCAAAAAATGGCCATGGAGGCACCAAACTCCAAATGAACCCTGTTCACCCCTCTATATGCTGAAACAGACTCCATCCCACTCAAATCAGAGTAAATCATCTCCCCGTCAAAAACTGAATAGTTCCATCATTTGCCGGACCACTGTAAACCTAACTAACTTACCACTTTCGGCTGCATACATGATACATCATTTGCATCATCCTAACAATACTCTCCACAGGATAATGGAAGCCAATAATTGACCAAGCTGAAAGAAGCCCTATAAGTTCCAGTCATTTTCCTGTAGAGTGAACTTGTAACATAATCACTCCGAAACCTACAATGCAGACTCATCAGGTGATCATGGTGGTCATCACGACCATGGCAGCAAGTCTTTTCATGATGCCAAGCTTCATCAGGGCAGAATCCGTTGCTTGTCAACCACCTTTAACCAACGAGGCTGACCGAATCAGCAGCTTGCCGGGGCAGCCAGAGCCAGTTGGGTTTGGACAGTTTTCAGGATACATAGCTCTGGACGATCAGCTTCAGTCTAGACTTTTCTACTACTTCGCTGAAGCTTCCACCAATCCTGCTTCCAAGCCTCTTGTTCTCTGGCTTGGCGACCGTAAATTAACAAACCTCGGATTCTGTTTTGTAGTTGTGTTTCTATATTAGCAAAGTTCTTCATTTTTTTTGTTTTGTTGTTGTTGCTGTGTTTCAGAGTGGGAGTGCTCTAACTTTGGGGCATTCTCTGGGAATGGCCCTTTCAGTCCTGTCTGTGGAAATGTTCTGGCTACGAACAAGTACACATTCAACCAAGGTGACTTTCTTCTTCTTTTCTTCCTTTTTCTAAAACATCAGACGAGTCCTGAAGCAGTTTTATGATTATTGTGTCGCAGAGGCTAACATAATCTACCTCGACTCTCCAACTGGCACTGGGTTTTCGTTCTCTGCCAATACTACTACTACTTCTGCCACCTACATCTACAATGACACCGTTATAGGTTCTTAAATCCTTTCTTCTTCTTCTTCTTCTGAAACTTATCTTTCTGGGAGTGATTTACCTACCTATTCTGTTATATCTGTTGCAGCTACGCAGAATATGATCTTCTTGACCAGATGGTTCCAAAAATATGCAGAGTACAAGAACAGAGACTTCTACATCGCCGGGCAGGGCTATGCTACTGGTCGCTCTGTTCCATTTCTCGCCGATCGCATTCTCCGTGGCAGTACAACAAACGGCATCAACCTGAAAGGAACCATGGTAACTCTTAAAAAAAACTGGAATTCTCTGGCTCCCCTGAAGCTATGGTGAACTTTTTTGCTTACATTTTTTTCAGATGGGAAACCCTCTGCTGAACTTCAACACTGATATGGGGTCAATCGGAGGCTTCCTCTGGTCTCACGGGTTGATATCAGATAAAACCCACGAACTAATGGAAACTTTCTGCAATGGCGCCAAGTGGCTGAGAGAGATCTACTCTGGCTCCCCATTTTCCACGGCTTGTAAAGAAGTGGATGATAGGCTCTCAGCAGAGATTCCAGACGGCCTTGACATGCAGGATGTCTCTTCCGATACTTGTGTTGCAATATTTGGACCGTCGTCAAGGGTAACGGGAGGTTCCAAGTTCGAAAGTTCGAAACTTTTCTCGTCGATTCGCTCACTCACTGCTTCACCGAGTCATGAAGTAAGTTAATTCAGCATCTCGTGATTCTTCAAGTTTTCTTTTTTTGGATTGAAGTGTAATTTTTGGTTGCATTGATTGATCATGGACAGGAAGTTTCAGAAGGGACAGATGTGTGTGTGAAAGAGAAGATCATGAACTATTTGAATAGAAAAGATGTGCAGGAAGCTCTCCATGTCAGGACTACCAATTGGACTGCCTGCCCCAGGTGAAAAAAAGACTCAATTGAAACAGAGTCCTCCATTCTACTGCTGGCTGCTGCAAGTTTAACCTGTCTGTCTAATTCTCTCTCTGTGGCTGTTTGTGGGCAGGCCTTTTCATTATGATAAGAGAGGCTTCGAGACTCCGACGATAGATATGGTGGGTTCATTGGTGACGAAAGGGATCAGAGTGCTGATTTACAGGTTTGAGTTAATGAGCAACTATATACTAAGCCAGAAGATTGAACATTCATGACTAAATCTCGTTTCAAACTTACTGGATTTCAAAACTAATGCAGTATTGATGAAGTGACATTCGCACCGTTTCTTGGGACAAGGGTGCTGGTCAGTGACTTGGCCGACAAGGTAGGGCTGAACACAACAGTGCCTTATCGAGGGTGGTTTGACACTGATAAACAGGTTAGTGCTGAATGATTTGCATACTGATGTTTTATGTTTGAACTGTTCTTAACCCTAGAAATTGCTTTTACTTTGGAAGGTTGGTGGATGGACAGAAGCTTATGGTGAGATGCTGACCTACGCTTCCATCAGAGGCGGATCGTCTAAGGTTGCCAAGAGATCTCTGTCACTGTTGAGATCATTTCTAGAGAGGAAGCCATTACCAGTGTCAAAAGCTTGAGCTGACTTTGTCAGTCTGTGTTCCTGCTGGTACTAAATAATTCAGCAGATGGTGTTTAGTGTTCCAGAGAAATTGTGGATTAGTAGGAGTTTAAGGTTCTGTGTAACAAAGGAGCTAGCAGTTAGTCTGTGTTCCTGCTGCAGTAAATAGTTACTTCAGCAGATGGTCTTTAGTCTTTCCTGGGCAGTTGTGGTCTATTAGCAAGGAGTTTGAAGTATCATGTAATGAACTTGCAGTTCTATCTGCATATTGATCTACTCATGTGCAAATATGCGAGGTATATCATGATCTATTTCCATAGCAATGGCAGTGCCAATTAGGACACTGCAACATCATCTGAACCAAAGGGAGATGTAAACGCTGGAAGCTGCAATATATAAGCTTTATCCCGACAGATTGGATTCATTGTGTAAAATTTATTTTACTCTCTGAACATTCTTGAGCGCAGCAGCCAGTGATCTGTAATCATATGATTAAACAGGCACAAACTTGTTTGATTTGCACCCATTTCTAGATGGAAATCAGCTACACTTCTCATGGCCATGGCTTCTGTATGGATAATGAATTGGAGAGTAAACTTTGTCATCTCCTTCTCTGCAGAACTGACCATAGAATGGTAAAAGTAATTGGTTGTTGACAACTCGGAATTATTTGGAAAGCGATGCAACAAAGCATGAAGGAAAATGTAGTAGGCAAAGTATAATCCAAGAAAGCCGGCTTGCTAGACATTAAGGTGGACCTAAAAAAGGTAACAAACTTTGTATCCTTCCATTTGTCTTGTTCCTTATATCACAAAGTTCCAGAAGCCAAAACCAGCATGATGTCACCATGTGCCATCCTTACCAATGCTTTCGATTGGGAGAGAAAAACAGAAAAGATAAGAAATGGAAGCTTGGTTGGTTTTCTCAAGAACATCTTATTGTCTGTATTATGGTCACAATGCTTAATAGAGGTCAACTAGTGAACATAAGCGTGGCGTGGTCACAAAGATACCATATGCTTTTGTCCCGCTTCATTGATTTGTACAGCTATGTCTCATAGTGTGAAGACTCCAAATACTGTTTCTTCAGACATGAACCCCATCTATAAAAAGCAGATAGGGTAAACCACATTTCTTCACCTTCAACCACCACCTGCACAATCATCCAAAGAAAGGAAGTTCGAAGCTTCTTCAGCACAATGATGAGTTCGCGGTCATGGCTTCTTATGTTCATAATTGCTGCAACTCTCACCACAATTTGCAGAAAAGTTGAGTCAGCATATGAAGCTGATAAGATTGTGAAGCTGCCAGGGCAGCCAGAGGTTAGTTTCCAGCAGTATGCAGGGTACGTGACTGTTGATCAAACCCAGCAGAGGGAACTTTTCTACTACTTCGTCGAAGCTGCAACCAACTCCAGTTCCAAGCCTCTTGTTCTCTGGCTCAATGGAGGTATGAACTGAATTTCAGTTAATCATTATTATGTTTTAATATAAGCTATAATGACTTCTTAAATGGGTTTATCTGTGCTATCAGGACCTGGGTGCTCTTCAGTTGGAGCTGGAGCTTTCTCTGAACACGGCCCTTTCCAGCCAAATGCAGCAGGGCTTCTGGTCCACAATGACTACAGTTGGAACAAAGGTTCCCTTCACTTTTCTGCTCATCTATCTCTTTTGTAATACAAACATTTCTCACACGTTACCAAAAGTTCACCTGTTTTACTTGTTTGTGCTGCTACAGAAGCAAATATGCTGTACTTGGAATCCCCAGCAGGAGTTGGCTTCTCGTATTCTGCCAACACCTCTTTCTATAACTTGGTTAATGACTCCATAACAGGTCGGTCTGAAACTGCATTTTCAATTGGAAATCAATTGTCAAGTTAGCAAAAAAAATCCAACTGGGTTGTCTGTCTTCTTCATACTATCAGCTAAAGACAGCTTGGCCTTCCTACAACGATGGCTACTCAAGTTTCCTGAATACAAAACCAGAGATCTTTTCATCACTGGAGAAAGCTATGCTGGTACCCAACTTCTAGAGTCCATTGATAGTTAAGAAAGCATCTGATTCAAAAATCTTATAGTTCTGTGCCTGATTCTTTTTCCCTCCAACAGGACACTACGTCCCGCAGCTAGCCCAGCTAATTGTAGAGTCGGGATCAAATATCAGCTTGAAAGGCATTGCTGTAAGTTGAGCTGCCACATATCAGTAAATGCTGATACTTGAAGGACGTTTCATTATTTCTCTTCGTATCCTGTGTTGTCTTTTGCAGATAGGGAACCCATTGTTGGAGTTCGACACAGATTTCAATGGGGAAGGAAGTTACTACTGGTCTCACAGCTTGATATCGGACCACACCTATCAGCTTGTGAATACAATGTGCAACTTCTCCCAACTCAGGAGAGAAAGCTTGTTGCCATCGAGCAGCCTTTCCGACCCGTGTGAGTTCGTTGCAACTCAGATTAAGGCAGAATTGCCCCACAGAAACTTCAACGACTACGATGTCACTTCTGATGTCTGTTTGTCAGATGGTGAATCACGATTTGGTTCCCAGGAACAACACTCTTCATTAGCTTCACGTTTCCATCCAGTTTCGTCCCTTAGGTCCAAGCAAACTGGTTTCAGAAAGCAGGTAAGTCTGTCTTTTTATTGATCCCATCAAAACCCATCTCGAATTATGATCAGCATAATGGGGGTGTGCATGCAGGAAGCTGGTGGGAAGTCAATTGACCTTTGTGTACAAGATGAGACATTCACGTATTTGAACAGGAAAGATGTCCAAGAAGCTATGCATGCCAAGCTTGTTGGCGTCATTAGTTGGAGTTTCTGCAGCTTGTAAGAACTAAGAACACACATATTCATTCCTACATTACCTGCATTTCTAGCTGCTGCTGAGTCTTTCTGGACCAAAAATAAATTATGCTGGTAGTCCTAAGATTCAAACTTAGTGTTACCACAAAACTTACAGGATCTCTTATCGCTAATCCATTTCACAGTGTGGTGAATTATGACAACAACAATTTGGAGATTCCAACGATTGGTGTGGTGGGCTCATTGGCGGGATCGGGAGTTCGAGCACTAGTGTACAGTGGGGATCAAGATTCAGTTCTCCCATTCATCGGGACAAGGATTCTGGTGAATCGTTTGGCAAAAGAGATGGGGTTGAATACAACCGTGCCATACAAGGCATGGTTTGATTTTGACAAACAGGTAGGTGGATGGACCCAAGTTTATGGGGAGAACAATAAGTTGTCATTTGCAACAATCAGAGGAGCATCTCACATGGCTCCATTCTCCTCTCCCAAGAGGTCACTCGCATTGTTTGCAGCATTTGTTGCTGGGAGACCATTGGCAGCTTGATGATCTCTCAAACTTGGAAACACGATAATGTATAATACACTCTGAATCTATTCCAAACTGTAATTTTAAATATTCTTGAGGCAACCATTATGCCTGTTTTCTACTGTTCAATAAGTTAATGTAACCTTGAATAAGGAAATCAATTACCTTCGGTACTAGCTTCAGTTGGAGATGGTCGGCTACTGTTTCATTGCCTCCGACACCTGTACAATAACAGAGTTTATATATGTTCATCCTTGTCAGTACCCTTTTCAACCTATAAGATAAGTAGCCAAGAAAAAGACAACTAACTTACCTAACCAAAGAACATGTCGTCGAGCAGCAGCAGCATCAACTTCTATTTGCTTAGTAAGTTCATGCAAGACCGGATTATTTGTAGTGCGAATTGCAGACTGATTGTCACGGTAAAGTTCCGTCTGCTCATGTTGGTAAGGAGTGGCAAAGTAGTCAGTTTGCAACCATAGGAAATGCAAATAAAGGTACCATCAACGGAAGCCGGCTTGGTAGGCCATTAGGTGGAGTAAAACCAATAAACAAACTTCTGTCCTACCCATTTGTCCTCTTCATCAGGCAACAAATTCCTGTAACCAAAACTATCTTTACTGTTGCTGTTATGACCCATATATCCATCTAAATGCTTTCCATAGAGGAAAGCCCTTAGTTCCACAGAACAAGAACTAAGGCCATTTTATTGTTGTTAATCGTTAGTTGCTTTTCTTAAGGGTGATTTTTAGTCCGCTATTGATGCCAGGAGTATTACTCTAGAGGCCGAATGACACATGAGCGTGGTCACAATCCTACTGTCTCCTAGTGGTGAAGACTGCAATACTACTACTGTCTTCTAAACGTGATTTCCATCTAGAAACAGCAGAATAAGGAAATCACATCTCTTAGCAGAACAGGGAAACCACAGCAGGATTTTGTACCTTCGCTAGGGCGGTTGAAGCAAGCCTGGAGCCGGTATAATTTCATCATCTCCGTGGTTTTCTAGAGACGGAGGAACTCCGACTCCGCCGGCGTCGGCCTCTCTGTCTGTCTGTCTCTTTCTCTCTCTCTCTCTCTGATTCTTGTTCCATCTAATACCGCGGCGAGATACGCCGGCGGAGCTCGACTGAGGACTGCGAGTTTCAACATCTAGGCCCATCTGGTTAGTTATTCTTTAGCCTGCTTCCGCTTAGCGTCCTGGGCCCGATCTCAATCTTCCGTTTCGGCCCAAATGTAGTAGTAAACTCTCAGGCAGGGTTGTCACGCCGGCCGGTGTGCCACCGGTTGTACATGGTTCAACCTATACTGGTCACAAAATCGGCGTGATACCACCGGTATGACCGACATGATCGATATACATATCTCTAAGTAAAATAACCTTATTTTAGTGACTTTAATTGTTAAAATTATTTTATTATTTATTTTATGAGTATAAATGTTAAATATTGATGTTATTTGTTGGATTCAAGTATAAATATTTAGGTATTGACGTTAAATGTTATGTTTAAAATGAGTATTTATAATTTTATTTGTAATATTGACCGGCATGAACCGGCACAAACCGGTATATGCCACCGGTCGAACCATTCCACTTGCTAAACCGGCACACTGGCATAAACCGGTTTGACAACCTTGCTCTCAGGTCTCAATCTTCCGGTTAAACTTTTCTTTTTCCACAAAGAAACAATGGAATAAATGCAAACTTTCTGCAGTGGCGCCCAGTGGCCGAGAGAGATAGACTCTGTCCTCCATTTACCATGGGTTCTAACGAAGTGGATGGTCGGCTCTCTGCAAAGATTCTTGACCTTGACTTCCAGATGTCTCTGCCGGTACTTGTCTTGCAATGTTTGGACCGTCGTCAAGGGAAATCGGAGGTTCCAAGTTCGAAAGATCCAAGCTTTTATCGTCAATTCGCTCACTCACAGCTTCATCAAGTCGTGAAGAAAGTTAGTGCCCTAGGGTTTTTGTTAATTTAGCAGCTCATGACTCTCCAAGAAATTCAATTTTGGTTGCATTGGTTGATGATGGACATGAATTTTCAGAGGGGACAGATGCGTGTGTGAAACAGAAGATTATGAAGTATTGAACAGAGAAGATCTGCAAGAAGCTCTCCATGTCAGGCATGACTACAAACAATTTGGACTGCCTGCCCTTTAATTTGATTTCACAGAAACTTTGACCAAATCATGCCTAATCTCATGTCAACTTACTGGAATTCAAAACTAAAAGGCAGTATTATCTTTTGCTTCTGATAAATCAAGATTGAAGCAGTACTGAGGAGGCGACATTTGTGCTGTTTCTTGAGACAAGGGTGTTCGCAAATGACTTGGTCAACAAGGTAGGGAAACACTACAGTGCCTTATCAAGGATGGTTTGACTCTGATTAACCAACCGGTCAGTGTCTGATGATATATGTACATATCCATGTTTAAAGTTTGAAAGTGTGCTTTTAGGTTCATATAGGTTAAGTTAACCCTGGAACTTGCTTGTTTTTTTCCCCAGGGAAGTTTGGTGGATAGATAGATGCTTATGGTGAGATGCTGGCTTATGCTTCCATCAGCGTTATCAACGTATAGAGACTGAATCTAAACTCTCTCGACATTTCTAATATGATACATCATGCAGAGCTTCATTCGGTCATTGGCGGCCGTTAATAACCCTAACTCTAGACTGGAGGATCGGGTGTCATATGTGATTCTTCGTCATTGACTCTACTTTACGCTTCAAGGCAGCATGACAAGCCTACTAGACTTCCCTCTAAATCGACTCAAGATGGACATACCTTCCTTTGGACTAAATTGAAAATTGATATGCATGCTTTGATTTCCTTTTTTGGTGTTTCTCGACATTAAATTTTGATATATGATTTTGTTGAGAGGGAGTAAGGAATTTTGAGAATTATATTTGACTTTTCGACGAAAACTATTCACTTGATTTAGAAATTTGTTATTTTAAATTCTAATATAGTCCAATTGTATATCTACACAACAAAGAAAAGGTTTACCTGTCCAAAGGGCAAGGTCAAAGCTAGTTAGAACTAATGCTGTTTATTGTGTTTCTGCCTTTCTGGACAGTTCTGCTTTATTAAGAAAAGTTTCCGGTTTCTTGTACCTTAAAGAAAATGGAGTTCTATCTGCGTAATGATCTTAATGGTGATGTATACAACATAGAACTAATCGTATTAGAATATTGCAGGATGTCACACAAAAATAACTATGGTAAAAGCAGTTAGTTGTTGACAACCAGTTTTATTTGGACAGTGTTGCAACTTGCAAATGATACAACTAAATGGAACAGAACTATAATCCTAGGAAGCCGGCTTGGTAGGACACTAGGCTGAAGATAAACAAGGAAACACTGTTGTATCCTTCCATTTGTCCTGTTCATTATCATGTCATAATTGCAGTAGCAAAACTAGCATGCCATTGACATATGCCATCCATCCCAATGCATTCGTTGAGAGAGAAAGAATCAGGAAACAATGCTTGCCAACTAGTTAACATAAGATTGGCGTGGTCACAATGCCATTATATTATTTGTCTCTTTTCATTGTTTTGTGCAGCAATGTATCATAGTGTGAAGAATCCAATACGGTTCTTCAAACATGAATCTCAGCTATAAATAGAAGATGGCACATACCATATTGATTCACCTTAAACCATCTATACAAATCTCTAAAAGTTAGAAGCTTCTTCACCTCTATAATGGTTTCTCATTCATGGCTTGTTATGTTCATAATTGCTGCAACTCTCTCAACAATTTGCAGAACGGTTGAGTCAGCATATGAAGCTGATAGGATTGTGAAGCTGCCAGGGCAGCCAGAGGTTAGCTTCCAGCAGTATGCAGGTTATGTGACTGTTGATGAGACCCAGCAGAGGGAACTTTTCTACTACTTCGTGGAAGCTGCAACAAATTCCACTTACAAGCCTCTTGTTTTGTGGCTTAACGGAGGTGTCTACTGAAGATCAGTTGATCATTATGCTGTTATATAGCTACTATCAATCTATCATGATTTCTTAAGTATGTTTCTCTGCCATTATCAGGACCTGGGTGCTCTTCAGTTGGAGCTGGAGCTTTCTCCGAACATGGCCCTTTCAAGCCGAATGCTGCAGGGGTTCTGGTAAAAAATGAATACAGTTGGAACAAAGGTTAACTTCACAGTCTGCTCGTATATTTTGTACAGTTATTCATTTTTCGAACAAAACCAAGAGTTCACGTGTTAACCAACTCTTTTTGCTGCTACAGAAGCAAACATGTTGTACTTGGAATCCCCAGCAGGAGTTGGCTTCTCATATTCTGCCAATGCCTCTTTCTATAACATGGTTAATGACTCCATAACAGGTCTGTCTGAAACTGCATTCTTAATTAGAAATCAATTGTCAAATTAGCAAAAAAATCCAACTGGGTTGTCCGTCTGTCTTCTTACTATCAGCAAAAGACAACTTGGCCTTCCTACAACAATGGCTACTCAAGTTTCCTGAATACAAAACCAGAGATCTTTTCATCACCGGAGAAAGCTATGCTGGTAAGTAACTTCTAGAATCCATTGATCGTTAAGAAACACACGTAGATTCAAATCGCCGACTGCTCATCATCGTTCTTCTGGCCTTCCCTACAGGACACTATGTCCCACAGTTGGCACAGCTAATTGTGGAGTCCAGATCAAATCTCAGTTTCAAAGGCATCGCTGTAAGTTCACATGCCAAAAATTTACATTGCCATTCATAAACAATCCTGGCAGTGTTTCATTGATTATCTTCTTTGTGGTGTCTATATTGCAGATAGGGAACCCATTGTTGGAGTTCGACACAGATTACAACGGGCAAGGAGAGTACTACTGGTCTCACAGCTTGATATCGGACCAGACATATCACCTTCTGAATACCTTATGCAACGTCTCCCGGATCAACAGAGAAGGCTTGGCGTCGTCGGGCAACTTTTCCAAGCCATGTGAAATCGTTATAGCCCAGATTAGTGCAGAATTGCCCAGCCAAAACTTGGACTACTATGATGTCACTTCTGATTTCTGTTTGTCAGATGGTGAATCACAATTTGGTTCCCAGGAGCAGCACTCTTTGTTAGCTTCTCGTTTCCATCCAGTTTCATCCCTTAAATCCAAGCAAAGTGGTGTCAGAAAGCAGGTAATTCTTTTTCTTATATTGATCCCATTGAAAGTTGAAACCCATATGGAATTGTGATCAGCATAGTAAGGATATGCATGCAGGAAGCTGGTGGGGAGTCAATAGACCTTTGCATACAAGATCATACGGAGAAATACTTGAATAGGAAAGATGTTCAAGAAGCTATGCATGCCAAGCTTGTCGGCGTCAATAACACTTGGAGTTTCTGCACCTCGTAAGAACAAAGCAAATATATACATTCCTCTGTATTTCTAGCTTCCGATGGACAAGTCTTGACAGGTTCTCCCATCTCTCATTCGGTTGCAGAGATATAAATTATGACTACTACAATCTGGAGATTCCAACAATTGGGGTGGTGGGTGCGTTGGTGGGATCGGGGATTCGAGTGCTAATCTACAGCGGAGATCAAGATTCGGTCCTCCCATTCATTGGAACGAGGATTCTGGTGAATCGTTTGGCAACAGAGATGGGGTTGAATACAACCATACCATACAAGGCATGGTTTGATTATGACAAACAGTTGGGTGGATGGACACAAGTCTATGGTGAGAACAATAAGTTGTCATTTGCAACAATCAGAGGAGCCTCTCACCTAGCTCCAGCCTCCTCGCCGAAGAGATCGCTCGCATTATTTGCAGCCTTTGTTGCTGGGAAACCATTGGCAGCTTGATCTCTCTCAAACTTGGAACCTGTCACCAAACTGTAATTTCAATTATCTTGAGGCAGCTATTTTTCTAATCTTGTATTATCAAAGACTTAAAATGACAAATTGGAATCAAGAAATCGATTAGCTTCGGCGCTAGCTTGAGTTGGAGATAATTGGTTGCTGAATACTCAGTAGTGTCATGACAGTGTGCGTCATAGGAAATGCAACACAGGTACCATCCAAGGAAGCAGGCTTCGTAGGCCATTAGGTGGAGTGAAACCAAGAAACAAGCTTTGTGTTCTTCTCATTTACCTTCTTCATTAAGGCAACATTCCTGTAACCAAAACTAACTTTACGTTGTTGCCATCAGCCTTAATTAAATCCAACCAATTGAACGAAAGAAGAAGCAGGAAAACCAAAGCTTTCTTGTTGCTTAGTGTTAGTTGGTGCTGTTAAGGATATTTTATTGCCTGCTGCTGGTGCACGGGAGTTATTATTAGAGGTCAGTAAAGTAACATAAGCAGGCTTGTTTCTTGTTAGGACACTAGGCTCAAGATAAACAAGGAAAAACTGTTGTATCCTTCCATTTGTCCTGTTCATTATGTCATAATTCCAGTAGCAAAACTAGCATGCCGTTGATCTGTGCCATCCATCCCAATGCATTCTCTGAGAGAGAAAGAAGCAGGAAACATTGCTTGTCAACTAGTTAACATAAGCTTGGCATGATCACAATGCCATTTAATTATTTGTTTATTTTCATTGATTTGTTCAGCAATGTATCATTGTGTGGAGGAATCCAATACCGTTCTTCAAACATGAATCTAATCTATAATTAGAAGATGGCACAGGCCATATTGATTCACCTTCAAACATTCATACAAATCTCTGAAATTTAGAAGCTTCTTCACCCCCATAATGAATTCTCATTCATGGCTTCTTATGTTCATAATTGCTGCACCTCTAGCAACAATTTGCAGAACGGTTGAGGCAGCATATGAAGTTGATGGGATTGTGAAGCTGCCAGGGCAGCCAGACATTAGCTTCCAGCAGTATGCAGGTTATGTGACTATTGATGAAACCCAACAGAGGGAACTTTTCTACTACTTCGTGGAAGCTGCGACAAACTCCACTTCCAAGCCACTTGTTTTGTGGCTCAACGGAGGTATCTGCTGAATATCAGTTGATCATTATGTTGTTACATAGCTACTATCAATCTATCATGATTTCTTAAATCTGTTTCTCTGCCATTATCAGGACCTGGGTGCTCTTCAGTTGGAGCTGGAGCTTTCTCCGAACACGGCCCTTTCAAGCCAAATGCTGCTGGGGTTCTGGTCCACAATGAATACAGTTGGAACAAAGGTTCATTTCACATTCTGCTCGTATATTTTTTACAGTTCATTTTTCGAGCGGAAACCAAAAGTTGTCGATAATCGTTTTACTGCTACAGAAGCAAACATGCTGTACTTGGAAGCCCCAGCAGGAGTTGGCTTCTCATATTCTGCAAACGCCTCTTTCTATGAGTTGGTTAATGACTCCATAACAGGTCGGTCTGAAACTGCATTCTTAATCAAAAATCAATTGTTAGATTAGCAAAATATCCAACTGTGTTGCCTGTCTTCTTCTCACTATCAGCAAAAGACAATTTGGCCTTCCTACAACGATGGCTACTCAAGTTTCCTGAATACAAAACCAGAGATCTTTTCATCACCGGAGAAAGCTATGCTGGTACGTAACTCCTAGAGTCCATTGATCGTTAAGAAACACACATATATTCAAATCGCCAACTGCTCATCCTCATTCTTCTGGCCTTCCCTACAGGACACTATGTCCCACAGTTAGCACAGCTAATTCTGGAGTCCAGATCAAATATCAGCTTCAAAGGCATCGCTGTAAGTTCACATACCAAAAATTTACATGGCCATTCTTCAGCAATCCTGGCATCGAGAGTGTTTCATTGATTCTCTTCTTTGTGGTGTCTATATTGCAGATAGGGAACCCATTCTTGGAGTTCGACACAGATTACAACGGGAAAGGAGAGTACTACTGGTCTCACGGCTTGATATCCGATCATACCTATCACCTAGTCAACACAGTCTGCAACTTCTCCCAGATTTACAGAGAACTCTTGTCTTTGTCCGGCAACTACTCCAAACCGTGTGAACTCGTTGTAGCCCAGAGTATTGAAGAATGGCCGAGCCAGAACTTCGACTACAATGATGTCACTTCTGATGTCTGTTTGTCGGATGGTAAATCACAATTTGGTTCTCAGGAGCATCACTCTTTGTTAGCTTCTCGTTTCCATCCAGTTTCGTCCCTTAAATCCAGGCAAAGTGGTTTAAGAAAGCAGGTAAGTCTTTGTTTTATATTTGATCGCATTGAAACCTGTCTGGAATTATGATCATCATAGTAGGGGTATGCATGCAGGAAGCTGGTGTGGAATCGATAGACCTTTGTGTACAAGATCAGACGGACAAATACTTGAACAGGAAAGATGTTCAAGAAGCTATGCACGCCAAGCTTGTCGGCGTCAATAACACTTGGAGTGTCTGCAGCAAGTAAGAACTAAGAGCACATATATCCATTCCTCAGTTACCTGCATTTCTAGTTTCCCATGGACAAGTCTTGACAGGTTCTCCGATCTCTTATTCGGTTGCAGAGTGGTGAATTATGACTACAACAATATGGAGATTCCAACTATTGGGGTGGTTGGTTCATTGGTGGGATCAGGGATTCGAGTGCTAGTCTACAGCGGGGATCAAGATTCAGTTGTCCCGTTCATTGGAACAAGGACTCTGGTGAATCGTTTGGCAACAAAGATGGGGTTGAATACAACCGTGCCATACAAGCCATGGTTTGATTGTGACAAACAAGTGGGTGGATGGACACAAGTCTATGGGGAGAACAATAAGTTGTCATTTGCAACAATCAGAGGAGCCTCTCACCTGGCTGCAGCCTCCTCGCCCAAGAGATCGCTCGCATTATTTGCAGCCTTTGTTGCTGGGAAACCATTGGCAGCTTGATCTCTTTCAAACTTGGAACCAGTCCAAACTGTAATTTCAATTCTCTCTTGAGGAAACCATTCTGCCTATCTTTGCATTATCGAAGACTCAAATGTCACATTGTAATCAAGAAATCGATTGTTGGAGATGGTCGGTTGCTGAATACTCAGTATTGTCAGGACAGTGTGCAGCCTTAGAAAATGCAACCAAGGTACCATCCAAGTAATTAGGTGGAGTAAATCCAAGAAACAAGCTTTGTGTTCTTCTCATTTATCATCTTCATCTAGGCAACAATTCCTGTAACCAATTAGGCAACTATTCTTCATACCTGATTCCAGATTCCAAGTTGAATCCGGAAAAGAAAATGGGACCGTCTCGGAATCGGAAAACTGATAATGGCGGAGAAGAGACAAATATTATCTTCCTATTTCCCTTTGGATTCGGGGAAAAAATTTGCCTATATAACAACAGACTCCCCACTTCTATCAATTCATCCAATCCAATCGACAGCCTGCAGGATCTCTGAAAACCATTATTGCTTCCGCGTACACATACTCTCGCCGGCGACGCTACGATCGGAAGCATGCAGGCAGTTGAGCCGCAGCCGCTGAAGCGAGCGGCGCTCGATCTATCCTCTTCGATGTCCCTCGGCAAACGAACTCGCACCACGTCGCGGCCGCGAAATCACACGTGGCACGCACCTTGGAAGAGTTACAGAGTAATTAGCGGTCACCAGGGTTCGGTTCGATCAGTCGCCTTCGACCCCGGCAACTCATGGTTCTGTACCGGTTCGGCCGACCGGACCATAAAGATATGGGACGTGGCGAGCGGGAGGCTGAAGCACACGCTCACAGGACACATCGGCCAGGTCCGAGGCCTGGCCGTGAGCCAGACCCACACCTACATGTTCTCCGCCGGCGACGACAAACAGGTCAAATGTTGGGACCTAGAACGGAACAAGGTCATTCGTTCTTACGACGCCCACCTCAGCGGAGTCTACTGCTTGGCTCTTCACCCGACCATCGACGTGTTGCTCACCGGCGGGCGCGACTCCGTGTGCCACGTCTGGGACGTACGGACTAAGAAGCAAATCTTCACCCTAACCGGACACGGTGACACGGTCTGCTCGGTGTTGGCCCGTCCGGTCGAACCACTGGTGGTAACCGGTTCGCACGACTCGACCGTGAAACTTTGGGACATTAGGAATGGGAAAGCGATGCTGACCCTGACGCACCACAAGAAGTCCGTGCGAGCTCTAGCGGCGCATCCAAGGCGGCGTGGTTTTGCGTCTGCCTCCGGCGACGGGGACATTAAGAAGTTTAGCCTTCCGAGGGGCGAGTTTCTGCACAACATTGCGAGGGAGAAGGAGTGGAAGGGAGGTATCTTCAATGCGATGGCGGTTAATGGGGATGGGGTGTTGGTTGCGGGAGGAGACGATGGGAGCTTGTGCTTTTGCGATTGGGAGAGCGGTTGTAGCTTCCAGCGAACTCGGACGGTGGCGCAGCCTGGGTCGCTGGAAAGCGAGAATGGGATTTTCGCTGCTTCGTTCGACGTGACGGGATCGAGACTGGTGACGTGCGAAGCTGACAAGACGATCAAGATGTGGAAGGAAGATGATGAAGCCACCCCAGAAACACACCAGCTCAACTTCAAGCCACCCAAGGACATTTGCTGGTTCTAATCACATCATTGCTCTGGTTGATCATCCTGTGCTAAATTTTTTTTTTTTAATTCAGTCGCTTAATTATGTACCTGGAATAATTGAAGTATGGAACTTTCTTGCTCTTGAATATTTCACAGGTGGCAGTTTCGCTCATCTCAGATCAATCATAGAGCAACCATGAACAATCCGATCGACTATGTTGTTTCCTGTGCCTAAGTCGGTATTGTTTGGACAGTGATGAAAATGATCATAGGAAATTTAGCCAAGGTATAATCCAAGGAAGCCGGCTTGATAGGAAATTAGGCTGAAGCTAAACAAAGGTTGTATCTTGTACCTCCCTTTTTGTCTTTGTTCAATATGCCAAAAGTTCAGTTGCCATAACTATCCATGCCATTCCAGTTAGATTGTTGGAGGCCTACTTTGCTTGCTTTTTATTCCATTGTCAGATATTGATTTCCCTGTAATCTGGAAGTTTGATAGTAGTCACAATGATTTATTTTACACTCTGAATCTGTCCAAAAGCAAAGGATTGAACTAATGAATAGTCTTTCAAAAGCAACTTACTGCACCTGGACCAGTAATAACGAGTAGTCATTCAAAAGCAAAGGATTAACAAGGAGTCAAGGATTGAATCATTGAACTAATGAAGTCTATCGCAGACTAGACCAGACTGCATCATTCTGGGTTGGTAGACGTTCGTCACTTAAGCTGGACAACTACATACATAGCGTCTTCAAGTAAAGGTCTAGTACTTGTTACTCTCATGTCCCAACTTACGCGGTTCACGACTGAAATCTTCGTCGAACAAGCCCTTCAGTAGATTAGGTCACCAAGTTGGGAACTCACTACGAACATGGTATACTGTGGTTGTCTTGGGAGTTTGTTTCTGGTGATTTGGCCTTGCTTGATGTCGACTACGAAAACCATGTCGGAGGAGAATAGCTGGTGGAATCTTCGATGATTGAAAATGGCATTTCTCAGGCCTCACAAGTGGCACAGGGTGTTGCTCAGAGTACCTAGTGAAGCACTTGCAGGGGACAATGCACACAACATCTATCCATAGGTTGATTGTGGATCCTTGGTGTTGTTAGATTGCTCGCGTTGACAGCATTGCACGTAGCTTCCCTTTCAATCGCGTCTTTGTTTATGGTTTTCCGGTTTATTGTATACCATTTACATATGTTCACATGCCTTGGCATTGAGGTAAAGACCATCATTCCTCAGTTTGCTTCCAATCCATAGTTCTTTGAATCGACACGAGAAGCCATACTTGTATTCATAGAATGAATCCCAAGCAGAAAGGATTATCATGGCCAAGGAGTTCCCTCAGAATGAATACCACATCGATGATTGACTCAAAAGCACCCCTTGCCTCAGCACAGTAGGCTATATAATCAAACTCTAATTTTCCTTCACTTCTCACGCAGCCTTGCAGTGAGCACATAGCGAACTATTCTTTCGCCTTTTACTAAAGAATACCGTGTGCGCGCTGCTTTAAAGAGGCATACGTCTATTTTTGGAGGGATAATCCTTAATTGGACTGTCCCAACAATACTTAGTTAAAATTTAAGAATTCAATAAACTTATAAGCAATCCTAACTAAATTCTGAATCATAACTTGGTAACTATCTGTGTCGAAATGATTGTTTCTTTTTAGTATAACAGTGATCAGAAATGTTATATATTGACAGTTTGGTGAATCTATTGTTGTGTTCTCGTTTCTTTATGCACAGTTACAAGCTGGAATAGCAATAACATGTCCCTGGTTTTGCAGCTGCTTTCGAACTGATCGAGCAAATTTCTGCTTTTCAGAAATTTACGCGTAGGTTGCTCCCCTTGTTCGTGAATAGCAGACTGATTATCGCAACAACAACAAAAAAGAACCCGTTGGTATGCAGCTGTAAGAATTGCAACGAAGGTTGCATCCGAGGAAGTCAGGTTGTGTGCTTACCATCTGTCATGACCAATTCTTCCTGTCGAGGAAGGGAGAAAAGAACTAAGAGATCTTTCTTGTAGTTACTGTTATTTATTCTAGAGGCCGAATGGCATATAAGCTTGGTCACTATCTACTGTCTCATAGTGGTGAAGCCGCCTGCAGTACTAATGCCCTTGTAAGCAGGAATTTCAACCTATAAGTAGCAGAAGATGGGAGTTACATTTTTTATCAACCGGTGCAATACTGTGAACGTGAGAGCTTCGTCACTGCCATATGGCTTCTCGCTTATGGATTGTAACGTTTGTGATTTTCGCGTCCCTGACAACAGTCTGCAGAAGAGTCGAGTCTGCATATGAGGCCGATAGGATCGTGAAGCTACCAGGGCAGCCAGAGGTTAGCTTCCAGCAGTATGCAGGGTATGTGACTATTGATGAAACCCAGCAGAGGAAACTGTTCTACTACTTTGTTGAAGCTGAGACCAACTCCACTTCCAAGCCTCTTGTTCTCTGGCTCAATGGAGGTATATACCAACTCATCCTTCCATCATTAATTCGTTACGCCGTTAGAAGGCTGGTTTTATGTGTTTTTAACTGACGAGGATGAACAGAAAATTTACATTTGTTGTATGTACTGAATGGGATGGCATTCCTTGACATCAGGACCTGGCTGCTCTTCTATCGGAGATGGAGCTTTCTCCGAACATGGCCCGTTCAAGCCTGATGCAGCAGGGATTCTGGTCCACAATGACTATAGTTGGAACAAAGGTACTCAAATCTCTTTTTAACAGTTCTCTTTTTTCTTTTTTCTACTACTGGAATCGGAACCAACATTTCAGGGGTTACTTTGTTTGGCTGCTACAGAAGCAAACATGCTATACTTGGAATCCCCAGCAGGAGTTGGATTCTCATATTCTGCCAACACCTCTTTCTATGAATTAGTAAATGACACCATAACAGGTTAGTCTGAAACTTGGACTAATCTCTACATTTTTCAAACTTGAACAACTTATCAGATTGACAGAATGTAACTGGGCTGATGTTCTTCCTCTTATCAGCGAGAGACAACTTGGCCTTCTTACAACAATGGCTAATCAAGTTTCCTGAATACAAGAACAGGGATCTTTATCTCACCGGAGAAAGCTATGCCGGTATATAGTTCCCGAGTCCATTGCTCAAAATACACACATGATTCAAGTCTTAGAATTCTGATACGGATGTGTTCTTTCACCAACAGGACACTATGTTCCACAGCTAGCCCAGCTAATTGTGGAGTCGAGATCAAATCTCAGCTTGAAAGCCATAGCGGTTTGTTCATGCCACAGAAGAATATAGATGACATTGTCCTGAAAGTTCAGAAATCCTGACATACAGTGTTTTGTATTTTGATTTTTGCAGATAGGAAACCCATTGTTGGAGTTCAACACAGATTTCAACGGTAAGGGACAGTACTACTGGTCTCATGGCTTGATATCCGACGAAACCTATCACCTTGTTAACACAATCTGCAACACATCCCAGATCAGGAGACAGGCTGCGGATGGCATTCTTTCTGAGCAGTGTAAAATGGTTGCAAATCAACTTGCTGCAGAAATTCCTAGAAGAAACTTTGATATTTATGATGTTACTTCTGATGTTTGCATATCAGAAAGTGATTCACCGGAAAAGCACTCTTCATTAGCTGCCAGTTTCCATCCATTTTCATCGCTCAAATCCAACCAAGGCTCTCTCAGAAAGCTGGTCAGTCATTCTTGGACCTCGGTCAAGTTGCGTTCGAAATCCACACGTACCAGCTGCACTCATGATCATTGATCGATTCTGAACTGGTATGCAGGAAGCCGGAGAGTCCATAGACCTCTGTGTAGAAGATGAGACACACACTTATCTGAACAGGAAAGATGTCCAACAAGCTATGCATGCCAAGCTTGTAGGCATCCCCGGCTGGAAGGACTGCAGCAGGTAAGCATGCATTTCTAGCTGTGCCACACTTGGAAGAATCTTTGACAGGATCCTCTTAATTTCTCTCGAATTCCATTTGCAGTGTCATGAATTATGATCATAACAACTTGGAGATTCCGACAGTTGGAATCTTAGGCTCATTGGTGGGATCGGGGATTCGAGTACTAGTCTACAGCGGGGATCAAGATTCGATTCTCCCATTCACGGGGACAAGGATTCTGGTGAATCGTTTGGCTACAGAGATGCGACTGAACACAACCGTACCTTACAAAGCATGGTTTGATTATGACAAACAGGTGGGTGGATGGACCCAAGTTTATGGGGAGAACAATAAGTTGTCATTTGCAACCATCAGAGGAGCCTCTCACCTGGCTCCAACCTCCTCGCCGAAGAGATCGCTTGCATTATTTGCAGCATTTGTTGCTGGGAAACCATTGGCCACTTGATATCTCTCAAACTTTGAATCTGTCCAAGCTGTAATTTCAATTATCTTGAGGCAACTATTCTGCCTATCTTGTATTATCACTGACTCAATGTCACATTGGAATCAAGAAAACACAAGAAATAATAGTGCTTTCTTGTAGTTTGCTGTTAATTAGTTTACTGCTATTTTTCTAGAGGCCGAATGGCATATAAGCTTGGTCACTATCCTACTGTCTCATAGTGGTGAAGCCGCCTGCAGTACTACCGTCTTCTAAACAGGAATCCCATCTCTAAATAGCAGATGGGAATCATATTTCCTAACAACCGTACAATTCTTTGAACGTAAGAGCTTCTTCACCACCATATATGGCTCCTCACGTATGGATCGTACCGTTCATGATTTTCGATTGCTTGACAACTATCTGCAGAAGAATTGAGTCAGCATATGAACCCGATAGGATCGTGAAGCTACCTGGACAACCAAAGGTCAGTTTCCAACAGTATGCAGGATACGTAACCGTCGATAAAACCCAGCAGCAGGAACTGTTCTACTACTTTGTTGAAGCCGATACCAACTCAACTTCCAAACTAACTCATCCTTCCATCATTAGTTCATTATATTGTTAGAAGACTGGTTTTATATGTTTTCAACTGATGAAGATGAACAGAAAATTTGTATTTGTTGTATGTACTGAATGACATTCCTTGACATCAAGACCTGGTTGCTCTTCTGTCAGAGATAGAGCTTTCTCTAAACACAGCCCGTTCAAGCCAAATGCAGCAGGGATTCTTCTGTCGGAGATTGGAACAAAGGTGCTCAAATCTCTTTTACTGTTCTCCACTTTATTTAATTTTTTGTAACTGGAATTGGAACCGGCATTTTGATGTGTTACTCATGTTGGCTGCTGCAGAAGCAAACAAGCTATACTTGGAATTGCCAGCAGGAATTGGATTCGCCTACTCTGCCAACACCTCTTTCTATAAATTAGTAAATGACACCATCACTGGTTAGTCTGAAAATTGAACTAATCTCTATATTCTCAAACTCGAATAACTTGTCAGATTGACAGTGTAACTGCGTTGGTTGTCTTCCTATTATCAGCGAAGCACAACTTCGCTTTCCTACAAAAATGACTAATCAAGTTTCCTGAATACAAGAACAGAGATCTTTATCTCGCCGGAGAAAGCTATGCCGGTATGTAGTTTCTGAGTCCATTGCTCAGAAACACTCGTAATTCAAATCTTAGAATTCTGATACTGATGTATTATTTCACCAATAGGACAATGTCTCACAACTAGCCCAGCTAATTTTGGAGTCACAATCAAATCTCGGCTTGAAAGCCATAGTGGTTTGTTCATGCCACAAAAGAATTCAACCGTGCATACAAGGGCTGGTTTGATTGTGACAAACAGGTGGATGGATGGACACAAGTCTGTGGGGGGAACAATAAGTTATCATTTGCAACCATTAGAGGAGCCTCTCACATGGCTCCATTCTCCTCTCCTACGAGGTCTCTGCATTATTTGCAGCATTTGTTGTTGGGGGACCATTGGGAGCTTGATCTCTCATTAGTCTGCAAATTATCCACAACTGTAATTCTAATCTTCTTGACTTGTGGGTTTGATGTCATTTATTGTACTAAAGAAATCAATTTCCTTCATCACTCACCCAAGATCTACAGAACCCACCTGCCAGATTCAGCATGCTTCAAGGTATACAACTGAGTCATACTGTCGCTAGTTATGCTAAAAAGTGGTGAATTAATTGGTTGCTGACAAAGTATTGTCTGGATAGATGCACATCATAGGTAATGTAAGGAAAGTATCGTCCTAGTCTAGAAAGCTGGATGAATAGGATATAATGCAGTTGAGAGAAAAGCAAGATACAAGGATGCGCCCTTCCATTTGTCTTGTTTATCACACCACAATGCTAGTATATGCCTTTTCCCTTCTCATTGGATTGCTCAATTCTGTCTCTTGCTGTGAAGAATCCAATATAGTCCTTTAACCATGGATCCCATCTATAAACAGAACAAGAATGAACGTACCTTTATCCGCGCTCAACTGGCCATACAGTTCAGTTAGAGCTTTTTCACCACAATGGGCTCTCAGTTATGGACTTTTATGTTCTTCATTTCGGCAGCTTTTAATGCACTTTGCTTACCTGTTGAATCTGCATGCGAAAGTGACAGGATTGTAAAGTTACCAGGGCAGCCAAAGGTTAGTTTCCAGCAGTATGCAGGGTATGTAACTGTTGATGAAATTCAAGGAAGGAAACTTTTCTACTATTTTGTTGAAGCTGAGACAAACTCCACTTCCAAGCCTCTTGTACTGTGGCTGAATGGAGGTATTGATTCACCAATTGGTTATTTATATATGACTGCTTTATAGGGTTGTTATTTTTATAAACAATAGTAAAACATTATATGTTTCTTGTGTGCTTAATGATTCTTCCTATGACATCAGGACCTGGGTGTTCCTCTGTTGGAATTGGAGCTTTCTCTGAACATGGCCCTTTCAAGCCAAATTCAGCAGGGATTCTGGTCAACAATGCATATAGTTGGAACAAAGGTGCAGTTCACATTCTGCTCATATCTCTTAGATTGCAATTTCCCATTTTTCACTGGAAACCAACATTCAGCATATAACTTTTCCCCGCTACAGAAGCAAATATGCTATATCTGGAAGCGCCAGCAGGAGTTGGATTCTCGTATTCTGCCAATGAATCTTTCTATGGCTCGGTAAATGACACCATAACAGGTTAATCTGAAACTTAATTCATCTTTATAGCCTCAGGCCAAAATCAACTGTCAGATTAACATAATCCAGCTGGGTTGTCGTTTAATCAGCAAATGACAACTTCGTTTTCTTACGACAATGGCTAGTAAAGTTCCCTGAATACAAAAAGAGAGATCTTTTCATCACTGGAGAGAGCTATGCTGGTAAGTTTTCTACCCTCATTGTTAACATTTGGACAGCATACAAAGTATATAAACACTAAATACACACTATCAAACTACTGACCTCAATCCAACCTGAGTTTGTTTCATCAACAGGTCATTATATCCCACAACTAGCACAGTTAATTGTTGAGTCGGGATCAAATCTCAGCTTGAAAGGCATCGCTGTAAGTTCACCTGCCACAATTAACATGACATTCATCAGCAATCCTGATATTTATATTGTTACAACAAGTCTCTTGTGTTATACTTTGCAGATAGGAAACCCATTGTTGGAGTTCAACACAGATATCAATGGGGAAGGAGATTACTACTGGTCGCATGGCTTGATATCAGATGAAACCTATCACCTTGTCAACACAATCTGCAACACCTCCCAGCTCCAGAGACAGACTGATGCCAGGTCTCTTACTGAGGCATGTCAAACCGTTGCAACTCGACTTGATGCAGAAGTTCCAAGAGGCTACATCAACAAGTATGATGTCACTTCTGATGTTTGCTTATCAGATGTTGAATCACAATTCGGTTCCCAGAAACTGGCTTTGGCTGCCAGTTTCCATCCAGTTTCATCTCTCAAATCCAATCAAGGCGTTGTTACAAAGCTGGTAAGTCCTCTTCGGATAATGTTCAAACAAACAAAAAAAAAAGCTACCATATCAGCAAGACTCATGAATCATTGATACTGATTGGTATGCAGACACATGGTGAGTCCATAGACCTTTGTGTACAAGATAAGACATACACATATTTGAACAGGAAAGATGTCCAACAAGCTATGCATGCCAAGCTTGTACACGTCCCCAGCTGGGGCATCTGCAGCATGTAAGCCTGCATTTTTAGTTCTAACCTCTTGGTCTTTCAGGACAATATAAATATTACTTTCTGTGTATACTTTGCCATGGATGGTTTGCAGTGAGGTGGGCTATGACTTGGACAATTTGGAGATTCCAACAATTGGCATCGTTGGTGGGTTGGTGGGTTCAGGAATTCGAGTACTAGTCTACAGTGGTGATCAAGATTCCGTGATCCCATCCACTGGGACGAGGACTCTGGTGGATCAATTAGCAAAAGGGATGAGACTAAACACAACAGTGGAATACAAGCCATGGTTTGATTATGACAAACAGGTAACTTAATTGCCCTCAGTTCTCTGTTGGAAGACTAGATTGATAACCCTCCCTCGCCTATTTCTGAACTAATCACACATATCTTGGAGCAGGTTGGTGGATGGACACAAGTTTATGGGGAGAACAATAAGTTATCATTTGCAACCATCAGAGGAGCCTCTCACATGGCTCCATTCTCCTCTCCCAAGAGGTCACTCGCATTATTCGCAGCATTTGTTGCCGGGAAGCCATTGGCAACTTGATCTCCCTCCAACTTGGACCACGGATTTCCCAAAATGTAATAAGTTCAATAATCTTACAGGCAAAGAAACCAACTATGCCTATATCTGAATTGTGGATGCTTTAATGTCATAGAATAATCAAGCAATCAATTTCCTTTCGAATCTCCCTGCTATAAGTACACTACAATGATGCTCAGCTCAGCTCAGCTCGTGAATGACTGATAATGGTTCATTCCCTATTGTTATCATCTCCCTATTACTATCAAGATACTCTACGGCCACGGCCAATAATTTCGTACCTTCGCTAGTGTGGTTGAGGCGCGCCTGAAGCCGGTATCATTTCGTCGTCTCCGGATGGTTCCTACCGACGGAGGAACTCCGACTCCTCCGTCACCGGCCTCTCACGGATTCTTCCGTCTAGTACGCCGGCGGATGAGGTTTTGGCTGAGGACTGGAGTTTCAAGTTTGGCAAGGGAGGTTGATTTTCGTCATGAGCCCAGACATTCTGAATTGAGGCCCATTATATTAGTTTGTCTTCAGCCTGTTTTGGCCCAACGTCCTGGGCCCGGTCCAGTTCCGCAAATGCGAGAGCACTTGTTAGTTGTCGGTTGTTACCGAGCATTTCTACTATGCTATATAGTATTGGTGCTTTAATGTACAACTTAAAGTTGTACCATAACATGAAATGTATAAGTTTAGATTGTACCATAAAAGAATTTGTACCATTATGTTATGGTACAACTTTACAACTTGAAGTTGTACCATCACATAAAGGTACAAGTTTAAGTTGTACCATAACATAAATTTGTACAAACAGTATAGGTACAATCTGAAATTGTACCATAACATAAATGTACAATTTTAAGTTGTACCATAAAGGGAAAAACCTATAGCACCAATACTATATAGCATTGTAAAATTCCTCGTTGTTACCAGTCTAATAATTAGTCCTGCTGAGGTCCATTGGTTATGGTCTTATGGACAAAGTTGAGCTGTTCTCAGTGACTATAGGGTCCGGTCCGGTTAAATTGGATCAAATTGATCCGGTTTCAGTCCGGTCTTTTGGAGAATAAAAGGACCTAAGATTGTATTGGATACAGTCTGGTCTTGATTCGGTCCGGTCTTGACCCGGTCATGTCCCAATTTGATCTTGATTTTAGGTGTTGGGGGTTGTTATCCGATCTTTATCCGGGTTTTTTACTTCAAATCTAAGCCCGAATATGAGATTGAATTGTTTGCTATCCGGTCTCAGTCCGGTTCCGATCCGGGTTATACGATCCGTTTTGGGGTAAAACCAAACAATTCGGACCAAATAGCCAGCCCTACTCTCTTGCTTGCTGGTTGAACTGTGGTGGAAGAAGGTGGGAGATACCCAGAACGCCATCCATGGAGGAGGCTGGGAGATAATGCTAAAACACAGTCGTTTCTACACAAAAAGGATCGTTCAACGAATCTGGAGAAAAGCCCAAGATAAAGAGGAAACCAAGCAGTTGTGGTCTACCATTTGTCTTGTGCGCAGTCCATAATTTGACTAACCCAGATGAGATGAGGCACTTGTCTTCAGAAAAGCGGTACAGTGTCCAAATGGCGTCCATGAACCATCTACGCCTCATGGTTTTCTGCAGACAACAAAAGTAAAGTGATCTTTCTTGTTTCTGTGTGTTGAAGAATGTATAACGCTTGTCTGTATTAGGTACTGCAGAAGCTTTACTCTAGAGCGCGAAGTCGCTTAAAGCGTGAACAAAATGCTTCCTCTGACTTCATCCAATCCAAGTCTGTTAATACCAATCATAATCACGATTCTCTCGTTGCAATAAAAAGGTAATGTAGTGATGCAGCAGTTTGTTCGTGTTTGTTTAAAACCTCTAAACCCTGGATCCATCTATAAGTAACAGAAGGTGAAAATCCCTTTTCTCCATCACTTGTAACCAACCCATACAGCGCCCTCAAAATCAAAAGAGCTTCTTCACCACCATGAACTCTCATTTACGGATTGTCATGTTGATGATATCTGCAACTTGCACCGCAATTTTAGGAATTGTTGAGTCATCATACGAGGCTGATAAGATTGTGAAGTTGCCTGGCCAACCAGAGGTTAGCTTCCAGCAGTATTCGGGTTATGTTACCGTGGATGAAACCCAACAGAGGAAACTCTTCTACTATTTTGTTGAAGCTGAGACAAACTTTACTTCCAAGCCTCTTGTTCTCTGGCTAAATGGTGGTATGTTGTCAGCAGATTTGATTACCTACGTTTTTTACACAAACTTCTGTCAACTTTCACTTCCCAAGTTCGGAGCTTTGACTTATTTTGGCTTCCACTTGAAGTATGACTTTTGGTTGGTGTATTGTGCTATCAGGGCCAGGGTGTTCCTCTATTGGAGCTGGAGCTTTCACCGAACACGGCCCTTTCAAGACAAATGGTTCAGAGGCGCTCCTGAAAAATGACTACAGTTGGAACAAAGGTGCCTTTGCATTGATCTCAAACTTGGCATAAAGTTACATACCTCTCTTTTGAGCTTCTCATTTCTTTTCTTGTTATGAAACTAGCAGCTGACTGATACTGTTTTTGCTGCTGCAGAAGCAAACATGTTGTACCTGGAATCGCCAGCAGGAGTTGGATTCTCGTATTCTGGCAATACCTCTTTCTATAAATTAGTAAATGACACCATCACAGGTTAGTCTGGAACATAGACCAATCTTTATATTCTCAAACTGACTTGCAGATAAACAGAAACCGACTGGGTTGTCTGTCCACTTCTTATTATCAGCAAAAGACAACTTGGCATTCCTACAACAATGGCTAATCAAGTTTCCTGAATACAAGGACAGAGATCTTTATCTCGCCGGAGAAAGCTATGCCGGTATGTAGTTTCTGAGTTCATTGCTCACAACACACATGATTCAAATCTTAGAATTCTGATACTGATTTCTTCTTTCCCCAACAGGACACTATGTCCCACAACTAGCCCAGCTAATTGTGGAGTCGCGATCAAATCTCAGCTTGAAGTTGAAGGGCATAGCAGTAAGATTACCCGCCAAAATCTACATGACACATCAGCAAATTCTGATACCTGTGACTCACGTTTCACTGATTATCTTCTTGTATTGTGTTGTAATTTTCAGATAGGGAACCCATTGTTGGAGTTCAACACAGATTTCAACGGCGTAGAAAAGTACTTCTGGTCTCACGGTTTGATATCAGATCACACCTATCACCTTCTCAACAAAATGTGCAACGGCTCCCAGCTCAGGAGACAGGCTGCTTCAGGCTCTCTTTCTGAGCCCTGTAAAATGGTTGCAACTCAACTTAGTGCAGAGATGCCTAGCCAGAACTTCAACAGATATGACATCACTTCAGATGTTTGTTTGGCAGACAATGATGGGTCCTCATCCAAACTGTCCTTGGAAGCAACTTTCCACCCATTTGCATCCCTCAAGTCCAGCCAAAGTACCAGCAGAAATCCGGTATAAGTTCCCTTGACTATGATCAACTCCTCGTCTAATCTACCCGAATCAATGATACAAATATGCAGCATACTCATCATTGTTAGGTTTTTTATTGGTCTAGTCATTGCAGAAAGTTGGAGAGTCGGCCATAGACCTTTGTGCAGAAGGTGAAATCGACAAGTACTTGAACAGGAAAGATGTTCAAAATGCTATGCATGCCCAGCTTGTAGGCATCCCTACCTGGAGAAGCTGCAGCTAGTAAGCCCCATTGAGTAGATTGAACATCTTCCAGTCCCAAATTATCAACTAGACCGGCTTCTAGAATTGCTGCTTCTTATATCAAAACTTGATCGAATATCCATGCTCCAACTTCGCTTGCAGTGTGATCAATTATGACCGAAACAATTTGGAGAATCCAACAATTGGAGTGGTGGGCTCATTAGTGCGTTCAGGAATCCAGGTACTAGTTTACAGCGGGGATCAAGATTCGGTGCTGCCATTCATTGGGACAAGAACTTTGGTGAATCGTCTGGCCAAAAGGATTGGTTTGAACACAACTGTGTCATACAGGCCATGGTTTGATGCTGAAAAGCAGGTAACTTCTTGCCATCATTTTTTCTGTTACATAACACTCAAAAGAGCTTAAACTTCCACCAATCTGCCTGACTGATACATAACCAATCATCTGTGATCTTCCTTTTCCTGTTGACATGATTCAGGTGGGTGGATGGACACAAGTCTATGGTGGGAATAAGCTTGCATTTGCAACTATAAGAGGAGCTTCTCACCTGGCCCCGTTCTCATCACCAAAGAGATCCCTCTCATTGTTTGCTACTTTCTTAACTGGGAAACCATTGGCAGCTTAAGATCTCTCAACTGGGTCATGGAACATTGCAGCCTTTGACAAACTGTTTTCAACTGTGATTTCTGATTTCTCCGAGTTGTAATTATTTCGATCATTCTTTTATCTTTGGAGGAGTGCAAGTTTCGTTCTAAGGGTATACATAAAGATTCAGCATATCCAATTGTCTCCAGAGTAAAGAACAGCAGTTACAACAAGGAAGTTGATGCTCTCATAACAGGGGAACCATCTGCATTACTCTCGTTAGCTATATTTTGGATGACAAGCTTTCTGTTAAGCATTATAAAACTGAGCAGGAAGTCGTGGGGTAAGGACAACCTGCAATGGATTGGTCTTGGAAAGGATGATTCCCAAGTCTTCAGTCATATCCACAGGCTTATCTCCAGGGGTACTCCAATGGAACCCTTGCAATAGTCTCGCCAGTGCCAGTTGTGTAGCCTGCATTCCGAAATTGATCCCTGGGCATCCTCGTCGGCCCGACCCAAAGGGGAGATACTCGAACTGATGTCCGAATATTTCGATATCGGCATTGCTCGTCAGGAATCTTTCCGGCTTGTACTCGTTGGGGTCGGACCAGACGTTTGGATCCCTGTGCAGCTTCCAGAAGTTGGCAAAGAACTGAGTGCCCTTCAGCACGTGATACCCTTTGATCGTGATGTCCTCTGATGCTATTCGAGGCAATGAAAGAGCACCCGGTGGATACATTCGCAATGTTTCTTTGATCACCGCTATTAAGTATGGCAACTTCTCAATGTCAGAATCGTCCACCCATCGACCTCTCCCTACGATGTTGTCTAGCTCTTCCTGAGCTTGCTGCAACGCTCGCTTGTGGTTCAACAAGTTCGATAGGCTCCACGTCAGCGTAATCGCAGTCGTATCAGAGCCCCCGAAGATTAAAGCCTGATGACAAAAAAAAAAAAAACGAGAAAAAATTAAACAAGATCAATCTGTTTGTCACCATTTCTTAGGATCGAACGGTTACTCTTTCCGAAAATGCAATTATCCTGACTCAGAATTTGTTCAAAAAAACAATAACTTACATGAGCAATGGCCTTGACGATGGTCTCGCGCTTGTAACCGAAGGCGACTTCCTCTTTAATTTCGTAGAGCATAACGTCGATGAGATCGCGATTACTTTCGTTGCCGTCGTTGGCAACCTGTTTCCCCTTGTGCTCGTCGATCCAGCTCTCCATGACAACATCCAGCTCCTTGAACAACCGTTTCATCGCCTTCTCGGCTCCTCGGGGCAAGACCCACCGGAGAATCGGAACCAAATCGGAAGGAACCGGAGTACCCATCACCAGCATAAATTCCCTAATCATTTCACTGATGGGCCGCCCGCCACTAAAATTGGAAACAGAATGTCGCTCCTCGTAATTGGCCTTGTCGAAATACCTCTTCCCGGCGATAATCCGAGTCATTATGTTGATGACGCAGCTGTGGATCCCCTCGCTCACCGAAATCACTGTCTTCCCGCCGCCGCCGCCGCCGGCGGCCTTGCTCTGTTGGTAGAGGTCGTGAATTAGGGAATCTATCTCCGAGATCTGGACGCGGCGGAGGGCCTTGATTCGCTGGGCGGAGAGGACCTCGGAGATGAGAATCTTCTTGATGTAGCGGAAGTAGTCGCCGTAGGAGGCGAATCCGAAGAGGGCGTAGTTGTAGCCGAGGATTTGGGCCTGGGTGGAATCGGGCCGGAATGCGAGGGCCCGGTCGTTGGCGGTGAAGCATTCCTTGACGGCGTCATAGTCGCTGACCACCGCCGTCAAATTGTTGGCTCCGAGGCGGATGGTGAAAACGGGCCCGTATTTGTCGGAGAAGGATGCCAGCTTCCGCGCCAGGGGCTGCTTCCCGCCGAGGAGGTGGAGGTGGCCCAACAAGGGCAGGGCGCCGGGGATCTCCGGGAGGATGTTGTCGCTGGGATGTCGTCTTTGCCGTTTTCCGACCCGCCGTAGGTGGAGGAATACGGCGACCGCTATAGCAACGAGGATTTCCGGGAGGTGTAACGAAGTCGCATCCATGGCTGCCTCTGGTTGGTGGCTGGGTTGTGGTGTGAGGTTGCATAAGTGCACAACTTATAGTCAACTGGTTGAGGACATACATGGAGAAAGAAAAAAATCAAAAAATGGTTCATCTCAAAATTTGAAGAAAAAAAATTATCGAAAAAAAACATTTGAAAAAAGTTATACAGAAATGACGAGTTTATCTTGATCAATTGTAGTCAATAAATTTATGAGAAAAAATTATTCAGGACCATATATGTTACCTATATCATTCTAGTATATGGTGGTAACTAGTCCTGAAAAATGATAAATGGTGGTTGGTATTTACTATATTTATATTAGCATGTATACAAATACAATCATTCTACACTATTGTATATTCGTAGCACCATAGTATAACCTTATATACTGCTAATTGTTACAATCATGGTATAGAGTAATTTAGGGCTGGTAATCGGTCGGTGTCCGGTATACCTGATACCGATTAATCGGTATTCGGTATACCGGAAACAGACAGTGTACCCACCGAATACCGATACCAAATGTTAGTCGGTATACCGAATACCGAATAGTCGGAGTCCGATATTAATACCGGTATACCGAATACCGTTTAATGCATTGAGATTACGTTTTTGAGCCGGTATACCGATTTAATACCGATACTGGGTGGGCTGATTTGGGTTTTTTGTGCTTTTTATTTTTCTGAATGTTGTTTAATTAAATGATGTAAATAATTTGTTCGTTTATTAATTATTACTATATTATATTGCTATCGTCTAGCAAGATTTATTAATCAACAATTCACTATTAGTTAATAGTAATTAGTAATTAGTTAATTAGTTATTTATCTAATAGACCCTTACAGCTTACAAGTGCAACTCACTTATCATTAACGATTTACCAATAGTCCAATACTCCATTAGGCAATGACATTGTTAATGTCAACTACATTCTACACAAGTAGTTAGTAGATAAATATAGCATTACTACGACATAAGACATAAGTACATAGTCTCAAACATGAAATAATTCACAAATTCCATCATCCAACAATCAATATAGTCTCACTCTCTCAACATAAGTTACGCTTACAAGTTCCAACTTAATCGGTATTCAGTATACCGATTTACCGTCGGTATATAACTAATCGGTATTCGGTATACCGTTTGGCCAAAAAGTGCAGCCGAATACCGATACCGCCGGTATAACCCTAAAGAGTATAATACATGTCTTAAATTTTGTTCCAAATTATATCAAACGGGAAAGGGATGTCATTTTGAAGAGCAAGATTAATTCGATTTTTATATGAAAAAGTTTGAATTCCAACTTAAAGCGGAAAAAATATCTTGTTAAATTTAATCGAGATTTAAATTATGTATAATTGATAACTAAGTAACCAACCAAACTATTGACCAGTTGGGCTGGAAGTTTAGTAGCCGTATTTGGGATAATCAAATATTGTACCGAATTTGACGGTATTTGATATTATCGAATAAACTTAATGTTTCATGGGTAGGATTGAACTTTAAGTGTTGTTTGGGATTAGGAATTACGGAGTTGAGATTGGTATATACAGAAACGTAGGCTAGTGTGTATTTTATCATTCTCAACTAGGTTCCCTGACTCACTACTACGAGACTCTCAACCGCCAAAATGTCCATTTAATTATACACACACAACTCATTTCCTCATTATTTGACAACCAAACTCAATTCGTTATTTGTAATATGCTTATGAGTTGCTTAGTCACCTCGTGTTTCAGTTTGTTATTAATTTGTTTCTTACACACCACATTTCACTGGGTTGTTGTTATTGTACTTGAGATGATTTTTTTTTATTTGATTACCCAAAATTATTTTGATATTGAGATTGAATTTGCAATACTATTTTTTATATTTAGAATTTTGATATTTGGTATTTATAATACCAATATCATCCCGATTTTCACCTCTATTAACTAGATCCGCTACATAGCAGATGCTTCTAAATGATGATTTTGTAATCGTTCTCCCTCGTATTTTTATAATTAGCTGCAGATTTTTCGTTGATCCGCATCAACTCCCATCATTTTGACTTTTGAGCTGACACCATTGTTGATTTGATTAATTAGTTTAAGTTGCATTTCTCTCGAGATTCCCCATCTTCTCCTTACCTTTTACGTTCTTGTTTCCTGGCCTGAGGGTCGACATTGCCATGTGTTTCCTGCTTAAGTAACTCGTCACCGGCCGTTGTAGCCGGAGAGTGATATTAGATAGGGATGGGCCACTTGCCACCCACTCCGTTGAGTTGTCCGGCTACGTTCTTGACATCAGCGGCGATGGCGATTTTATTCTAATACCTAAAATATGTACTCTCCGCGATTTCTACGAAGTACGAACTGCAGTTTTTAGTTTTTATATGGGCAACTCCAGATCGCAGAAGCAATATTAGATGAGAACAACAAAGATACTCTAGTGAGTAGTGAGTGAGGGGTAAAGGCTCTTGAATGACCTTCATTGCACTTTAGGAGTGGTGTTGGGCTAAGATCATCCCATAATCGCATTGTGTGCGAGTATACGTCATAATTTGTGGCAATAATGGCTAAGATTAATATGGGGATAGTCGGTACTTGCTGAACACGGTGATTCCCCCACAAAAGACGATAGTCGTGACATGAAAATCAAACGCATAAGAGTAGAGAAACAACAAAGTAATTTTATGTCGCAATACACCACGATATCTCCAATTGTAGCTGACCAACGGTAGAACGAGAACGAAAACTTACAGCTGATAATGAAACAAAAATAAACATTTAAATTGTATTTATTTCGACCTTACAATAACATAAAAAATTACAATGAAAAGAGAAAGGAATAACGACAAATAATTAGAGCCGACCAAGGCCTCTCTCTCCCCAGGGGCGGACCCAGGGGCCAAGGAGTTTTAGGAGTGTCCCCGGACACCCCTAAATTTTGGGAATACGATTATCCAACCTCGGTGGTAATTGTCCTATGGACAAAAAAAATATAATTGATAGTGAGGGACACCCCTGAAATTTGAAAACATGATTATCCTACTGTCATTTATGTGTAAGAATATAAGTGGTAGATTGGGTAATTCAAATCTAGAACACTATTCTTATTAATAAACTTAATTTTCGTTGACCTACAACTCATTTGTTGTTCGATTTTGAAAAAATGTAATAGTAAAATGTCATTTCCTATCTCTAATTATTTTAAAAACCTAACAATTAAACTAATTTCAAACTACCCTTAATACGACAAGTGTTGAAAGAGTCTTTCAGCTTTGGGTTACATCGAGAACAAGTTTACAAATCGAATATGCGATAAGTTCGTGAATGATTGTCTAGTATGGTATATAAAAACAAGTTTTTTAACACTATAGACACCAAGTGTATTCTACAATTATTTTCGAATATGAAAACAAATCATGGACTTTTTTAACCTGTACGAGTAAGGTATTTTCAAATACGATTTTATTTTTATTATTTATTTTTATTTAATTTATTTTTAAAAGATGACACTCTATGAAAAATTTCTGGGTCCGCAACTGCTCTCCCCTCGCTTTCCTCCTCCTCCCAAATTCTCCACTCCAATAATGGCAGACAGCATTGTGACCACATTTAGTGACGGAAATCTCGTCACAAAATAGAACGTGACCAAAGATTGGCATTGTAACAGTGTGTTGCTGGAAGTTGAGGGAAACCTTTCGTCACGGAATGAAAGGTCCGCTACTAAAGGTTTCCGCAGCCTTTAAGAGGTGAGGTCAAGTCACTTGGCTACTTGGGTCATGGGTGGCTGATCGGCCCGGTCGACAGCTGGTCGGTCCCCTTTGGCTGCTGGCACTGTAGCACTTGGACTTTTTGGGACATATGACATATCTCCCAACGGCGGATACAGGACGGGTAGAGCACTGGACCAAGTTTTGAAAAGAGGCGTAATGAGTGGGGTCGTAGCTCGACGAACACTTAAACAATTATCAAAAATAAAAAATTTATAAGTGTTATACTAGGTAGGGGGTGGAAGTTTGGGTTGCGAGTTGTGGATAATCCGCAAATTGCACCTACCCGCACCTATTGTGGGTAACCATACCCACAAGTTGTGGGGTAGTGGGTTGGGTGTGGGTAGTAAAATAACGATTTTTGTGGTTAATGGTTATCAACTACCCACCGCTGTTAAGTCACAAAATCCACTATTAATAACCACACTAATTATATATATTTAGTGAATTAACTTTATAATATAATAGTACGTGAAAAGTGCGAGGATACAAAATTAAAGTAGCCACCAAATAAAAAAGACACACCTAATTAGTTTTATGTAAGAACGTTTTAGTTATAAAACACTATAATCGATAGAGTGGAGAATAATCAATTCATTAAAGGTGAACACCTTTTGTAACTTTTATTAGTATGTTTTTGCTTTTGTGTGAAAAAAATACAAGATCATATTTAATTTTCATATTTCACCCCTATTCGGGTATGAAATCACAGCTCTCTGATACAAAAGTTGAATACCAAACTCCAAAAGAAAAAATCTCCACGTTGAATAAGATCGATGTACAGAATTGTATCTCCACGAACAACATAAGTGTATCTCCACTAGAAATCTATGCTTGCAAAGATGGATTTTTGTGGGTAACCACACCCAACCCACACAAACCCACAGTTGGTAGTGGTTACCCACTAACCACTGCGATACGAGTTGTGGATAGCATAATTGTAAATTTGTGGGTGTGAGCACCCACAAAATGTGGGGGCGGGTAACCACACCCACCCCAATTTCTACTCCTAATACTAGATTTGATTCGGAAGGTTGGGCCGCAACTCGGTACCTCTTGAACCCGCCGCTGATATCTCCTTTGTTTGATCTACAAACTGATTGCCATTTACGCCTACACATCTGTGTTTTTGCCTCTAACAACTTTGATCATCATTCATCAATTTCTAGTGTTTTAAATTTGAGTTGGATCGATTTTCTTCCTTTTCATTGTAAATACATAAAACGATTAAAAGTTAAAACACACAAAGATAAATCGAAAAAAGGAGGAAAAAATATTACCGACATAAAAATGTGAGTATAAAAATATATAAATTTTGTGTTATCAAACTACTTTTAGAATTAGGTGCATGGAATGCACTCATTTTGTGAGTGCACTTATATACAATTCTATTAATAAGTAACCAACAATTTCATAACAGTTAACCACTTAACCATAATCATCTAACTTTTTAGTTCAACATCAATCACGATTATGGAAATATTGCTTTTAACTGGTAACACAAATGAAATAAAACGATTATGGAAATATTGCTTTTAACTGGTAACACAAATGAAACAATGCTTGTTGTTGCTAAAACAAAAAAGTCAAATTAGGCCTGCTCAATTAGTACTGATATTATCCGCTTTGGGCCAAATCCGCACGATTTTACTAGTGGGTGTCGTCCCCAAAAGGCCTCATACTAATTGAGTTAGGTGGAGACTATATACTAGGAGCTCCTTCTAGACTCTACTGTACTGGTAAGTGCTAAGGCTTAAAAATGTCATTTCACGAATCCATGATCTATAAATGACGTTCTTCACGTATCCTTAGAAGGCAACTTAATTTTTACTACCTTGTTGAATTTGAGACCAACTCCACTCTCAAGCCTCTCGTTCTCTGACTAAATGAAGGTACTTAATTCAACACCTGGTATTAATTGGCTACGTTTGATGTAAAGTGTAAACTGTAAGGCAGTGGTCCCAAGTCTGGTTTGTTCGTGTAATGGTATCAGGACCTGGTTGCTCGTCGGTTGGTGGTTACTTCCACAGAGCACGGCCCGTTCAATCCTGATGCTGCAGGCTATCTTGTCAAAAATTACCACAGTTGGAATAAAGGCAATAACATACATGATTATATTGAGTTTTGCCTGTGATGTGTTGGTTGCTTAGCCTGAAGTTGACTCTGGTCTTGTTAGTTGTCATAGACAGGAGAGAAACCTCATGGTCTCCCAAGCTTCTCAGTTCCAAAGAATTTTGGATATGCAAAGTTTCTAATAACTAATACCCACAGCATTTCTCACTACTGGAGTAGCAATAGTGCCAAGAGAATCAATCACAATTAATGGCCGTGCCTACATATTTCGCTTCTGAAGTAGGAGTTCTACTGTCCAATCCAATCAATATCTGATCCCTTGAACCATTATGGATCTGTTGGGATTGTCAAAACCTTGGATGCAAAGAATGGATATGAACTGGATTAAAGTCAGGAGGTACAAACTGTCAAAATCATCTTCCTGGGGATACTGCTGCTAAAAATTAGTGCCAAAGTCAATCCGTTCCTGTATGAATGCTGCACTGCATCTAGTTTGACAAGTATCAAAGCTAGGAGAGATGTGTGTTGGTTAAAGATGTGCCATTGCTACTGATGCATGCATCATTAGCTTGGCTGGTTTACCTTGCATGAAAAATCTAACTTTTCTCTCTTTTTTTTTTTTTTCCAGGTGACTGTTCTTGGTTTAGCCAATTTAGTTGGCTCTTTCTTCTCCTCCTCCTGTCCCTCAACAGGTGAGAGATACAATGACCTGGGACCTTCAGCATTTTTCCTAACATGTTGAGATTATCTTGCTTCTGCCTACAAAAGCATGTTCTCGTCTCAATCACTTGGTAACCGGACAGCTTAAGCCCTTTCACATTCACTAAGCAGGTTCATTTTCTAGGTCAGCTGTCCAAGCTCTGAAGGGCTTGCAGCAAGATTACAGCTCACATGATGTCCAGGCTGGTCACCCTTCTACTTATTGATAGTTTCGAAAACGATGAACTGTGAAAATCTAGATTTTTACAGCCGTGAAAAGTTGCAGTGAATTGATGTGGAAGAAGGGGGCGGCCAGGGGATGTAGTGTTTCATACTTTCATTGTGCATTTAAGGATAGGAATATATGAGAGTGGGAAAGGGGGTTGGAAATAGTACCACATCGGCTGGAAGAGAAAGTTTGGAATGAGAAAGCGAGTATAAGTAAGGAGTTGGGTGCTACGGATCAACATACTTACCTGGACGGGATCTACGGGTGATCAATAAGGCTTGTGGTCTAGGCCAGTGACCTCCATTGCACTTTACGGAGGGGCGTTGGGCTAAGGTCTCCCCAATGAGGGAGAGCCTACGTCATAATTTGTGGCAGCGGGGGCCTGCGTTCGCGCGGCCCCTACCCAATTTTCAGTTCAAAATATGTTTGGGCTCGGCCTTGTTGGAAGTCTGGGCCTGATGAAACTAGTTCCAATAATGTATGTGTAATATTTTTGGGCTTGGCTCTTTGTATTTCTTTCTGGTTATTATTTCCCCGTCGTCCCATTATAGAATGGGTTTAAGTTGCCAGCAAGCAAGTAGAGCCATTTCATCACTTGGATGACTCTAGCAAGTATAATTAAATTACCGATAATGAAAATGAAGAGAAAAAGTAACAACCACTTGGTTCCTTGGCATAGATTTTCATATATTAATCCTTCTAGTGTGGTAAAAACTCCCATACTGTCATTTTCATAGATAATCTATCCATAAATAGCAGCAGGTGTGAAGGCGATTCTTTCACAAGCACACCACACAACTCCTTTAAGAACTTAGAGCTGGTATCCAAATATAGATAATACTCTTCGACATCCATTTTCCATCGATCCCCTCCTCCTCCTATCAAGTAGTTAGTGCTCACGAAAATGTAGCAAGTGCAATATACAACGAGTCAAAGTGCACGTCAAATTAACTCTCAATAATTGTTTTATGCAGTAGTTTTTAACTTGGTGCTTAGTTGGTGGATTGAATTCCGGGTTCCGGGTTTAGATAATAGACAAGGAGAATATGAAACTTATCCTCCCTTTGAATGTGGGAAGGGATCAATTTTTTCGTGGTGGGTATTTTAGGCTAAACTTGGATTCCCCAGGTGAATCTTTGATAGCTTAGATACAACGAGTCTTTGGTGTTAAGGCAACGTAGCACTAATTATGCTTTGTTTGTTTGATGATATCAGAGTCTGGTTGATTGCGAGGCTTTCACATGAAACTGTTCGTCCAAGCCCAATGTTGCACGCTATCTGGTAAAAAATGACTACAGTTGGAATGATGACAATAACGTACAGGATTACATTGAGCTTTGCCTGTGATGTGTTGGTTTATTTGCATGAAGTTGATCATCAATGTTCATATTTTTGTTGGTATATACGTATTAGACAACTCAATTCTCACTTTTTCATATAGCAATAAACTAGTTTTTAATTCACGTTTCTTTATCGATATTTGATTATGGTAATGAACTCCTTCATGGACGCTTCCCTGCCGAATATGATATTTCTGGAATTTATATGAACTATGACCTTGATAATCTGGCTGATTCAGGAAATTGGTCTTGTTATATAGATAGGAGGTGCCTCAGGTCTCACAACAATATCAATGCATGCATTGTTTTAGGTAGGTCCCACCAACAATCACAAAAAATGATGTATTATACAATCTTTCCATTGATATCCCCAATAGTTTTTGTCTTGTTCTAAAAGTTGAGGGTAAATGTGACATTTACCCATAAAAGTAATATTATGTAAATCAATGCATAAAGTAAAATCTCAACAACCAAACAATGTATTGTTAAAATGCACCCATTGTATCAATACACGCATTTATATTATGGTGATTCATTATAATGCAACGATTTAACATTCGCAACTTCCAAACGATCCCTTAGTTCCAAAGAATGTTGGATATGCAAAAGCCATCAGCTTTTTTGAAACCTGTGAATGACATGGAATCTCGAGTTTTGAGTAGTTTCAACTTCGTTATACTTATCAGCCTTTGTAATACTCAAAACATTTCTCATTTATGGGTAGCAATAGTGGTAAGAAAATTAATCACAACTGTCATGCTATATATATTTTCACATTGTGAAAAGTTGCAAAGAATTGATGTGGAAGAAGCTCAGAGAGGGGGTGGAAATACCACATCGGTCGGAGAGGAAGTTTAGAATGAAAAAGAAGTATAAAATGAGAGCTTGGTGCTACTATGCAACATACTTACCTTGACGGGATCTACGAGCTATCAATAAGGCTTGTGGTCTAGTATAGTGACCTCCATTGCACTTTGCGGAGGGGTGCTGGGCTAAGGTCTCCCCAATGAGGGAGAGCCTACGTCATAATTTGTGGCAGAGGGGGCCTGCGTTCGCGCGGCCCCTACCCAATTCTCAGTTTAATGATTTCGGCTTGGTACATTATCACTTATATTAGCTATCTATTTTCCTCATAATTCTGTTCTTATAACTTGGAATTACCCTAATTAGCATATACCTAATACTTGTTCTGAAGTCCAAAGTAATGCACACAATATACTCTTTTGATATCAGTTGTCCTAAACAAGAAGAACTAATTACTAATTCTGGTTCCTTCCATGGATTTTCATATATAGTTCCTTCCAGTGTGGTAAAAACTCCCATACACATAGATAAATTCATCATAAATAGCAGAAGGTGCGAAGCCAATTTCTTCCACATTCAACCACCGTGTTGGACCTTCGTGTTGGAGATGAACAAGTAATTGAACAAGAAAGATTTTCAAGTAATTGTAGCCATCAGAAATTGGAGTGCTTGCTCCCAGTATAGAACAGTGACTTAATCTTGTCACCTACAACAGAGTATTCTTAATCTTAATGATTATTGTTACACTCAGCTTGCTCTTCATGAAAACTGGACATTGATACTTTTAATCAAACTGCAACCGCATTAAGTATGGTGACAGCAACTTCGAGAATCCAATCATTGGAGTACTGGGGTCATTGGTGGATTCAGGCATTCGAGTACCGGTTTACAGCGGTGATCAAGATGCAGAAATCCCATTCATAAGGGCAAGAGATCTAGTCTTCCAGCTCTACGAACAGACGGGATTACACTACTGTGCCTTACAAGTCTGGATCATGACGAACAGGTCAACTACAGAAATTGCTGCATTACTTCTTTTCTAAATCAAGTATCTGTTCATGAAATCACTCTCCTACTGAATGTTTTCAAGTTGGTGGATGGCACAAGTCTATGGTGAGAACAATAAGCTTGCATATGGATGAAACCCTTAGAAGAGCCTCACACATGGCCTCATTATACTTCACCAAAGAGATCACTCACTTCATTTGCTGCATTTCTTGCTGGGAAACCATTGGCAACTTGATCAATTGCTTCCCCCTCTCATCGTTGCTTGATCAACCATATAAAGCAGGCATGTATGTGTAAGTTATGTTGGCTACAATTGGTTCCCCCTCTCTTCTGAATTAAGCAAAAAAATAAGGGAAAAGAAAGTCCGTGCCTCTGATTACGTGTGAGTGAATGAAAAAAAGAGGGCTGGTTTATGAAACTACAGCCTTTTTTACGCGCCTTATTTCGACTCTAACAAGCTCGAGCATGCTCAATCATAAGCAGCAACAGGATTCAAGTTTAATTCTAACTACTATTGTGGCCTATATGATGGAATGAAGCTCATATTAAATCACCTTACTGGCTGCTGCTGCTGCTTATGATCGATCGAGCATGCTCGGGTTGGTAAGAGTACTCATACTCGAGATGAACAAAGGCTCTCTCAATCTCTGGGAGCAGCTCCAGCTTCTCCTGCAGGGGCATATCTGCATGTCAACCTCCACAAAGTTGTGGGAACTGAACGTGTAAAGCGCGGACCGTATCGATGTGCTTGATGGATTTTGTGGTGGTTCCAAGAGAGATAGGTGAGTTTCTGAAGATAGCCCGGAGTGGCCGATTTGCCAACGAGGGAGTGCATATTTTCCAGAACTGTTCGTCCGGATTGTGTACAATGCCAGATTATGTACACAGGTACAGCTTCAATACTTACAGTTACGCCAGTTATCAGAATTCAGAACTGCTAATCTAGAATAAAAAACTTAAAGAGGGAGGGAGGGTACTTACAATTATGGCCATAGAAGTGTATTTTACTATTTTGCCAAAAAATATGAAGAGAGCCAACTCATTTAGCCGAACAACAGGCTAAGGAAGACTACTGAAACCCAATAGGCAAGAGTTTGTTTCGAAAGAAGTAATTTACATACTGCAATCAAGATTCAAGACAGAATCATCAACTAAGAAACTATTCAGTAACAAATCCCGACATCTTGTAGACTACAGGAGGAGATTAAAAGAAAATTTTGGCAATTCCAACAACACTAGCAATGGCATCTCAATTCTCAAGTGAGGGTCCTCCCAAGTCCCAAGCTATTCTTTTTGAATCAGCCAATTCCAGGTTACAAGTTTGTAATAAACTACCTACCTGATCCTCGAGCGATTCTGGCCTCGAGCGATTCTGGGAAGTGATTCCAAACCACTATGATTGTTGTGCAGCAACTCATTAAATGAGAATGCATCGCATAACATGACCCAGCAGCACATCATGTCCAAGATTACAAACTCGTACATATCCATACAAAAGCACAAACATGCCTCAAACGATCTTGTTTCGCGCTTCCTCGAGTTTCTTCAGTATCTCCCCTGGAGTTCTATCCAACTCATCAGCAATTTTCTTCTGTACATCAATAGGCAACGTGGGGAACTGTTCACACAGATCTCCATCAATCACATCCTGCAAAAGAATAACAAAGAAACCCTTCAGTTCTTCTTTCCTATCTGAACCGGGAATGGAAAAGCAAATAACAACGTATGAATCAACTTTACCTTAACAGGGAAATAAGAAGATCTGTAGGCCATATGGTCCCTTCCACACAATGGTGGATGGTCTTGTCTCAAGTGCATTTCCAAGTGTGAGAAGAAGTCGACATCATCCCTAGAATTGAATGGCAGCAATGCCCCCAAGCTACCCATCATTGTGCCATATATGATGCACTCTCCTCCACCAGGAATCAAAGATGCCTTTTGGACACTACTAACCACATCACCTACATGAAACTGGACTATTTCTTCGACCTTGTTAGGAGCTCCGTTAAGCTTTCCTTGCTCCCACTTTATCTTCCCACCAGTCGGATCTTCCTCTATCTCATCAGACACATCCTGAGGCAATCTAGCAAAATAGATGTTCCCAAACTTGTCTGCACCCGCCATGGTATCAAAATCTACATGTTGTGATGCTGTAAGCCACCTTGGGACGCTATCATCAGCAAATATGTAGAGCTGATTCTCATCCCGCCTATACTTGCAGAAGTGGAAAGACTACCGCAGCAGAAGAGAAACAAACAAGTGAATATTATTCAAGGCAAGCTATAAGATGACAGGGGGAAAACAGCGAATGTAAGCACTTGCAACCAGTTCAATGTAAACAACGTCATACCTCTTGGATGTCGCCCACGTAAATGCGATCGCGGTAGGCCTGAATAGAAATAATCGTGTTTGGGAAAAGCTTGTTCTCACATTTCTTCAGCAACCTCTTCTTCCCCAAGTCATATAGTCTGAGTGTAGAGCCTATTCCAGCCAGTAATCTACCTTGGAACTGGCACAAAGCAACTGGGACGCCTTCCACTTGTGTCTTGTGCAAAAGCTCTAGGCTTCTCCCTTCATCCACAAATTTATAAATGTGAATGAATCCAGCAACTAACGTTTTCTTTGGCCAGAACTGCAACCCCTTTGCTGTACCAACTGCCAAAAGAGCACCATGTTCCTTATCATGGAAATTAACCGTGCATACACTGAATGCAGCTTCACTGTCCTGAAGTTCAAGCAGACAGGTCGTGGTTGCTGACCTAGGGTCCAGAACCCTAATGCAAGATACCCACTTATCAGACTCTGCCTTGGGGTAACCATATTGCTCATCTGAGAGGGGGTCCTCTTTGTCTTCATCATCACCATTCTCCATCTGCTCGTTGGCAGTTCCATTTTCCCCCATACCAGCAGCCTCAAAACACTCTTTTTTAGCAGCTTCACGTTCCTCTGCTGTATAGGCTCCCTGATCACTCTCAACAATAACCAGAAGCTTCCGCTTGGGTTGAATTACAAACTTCCTAGGAGTGTACCTGAGAGGAATTGCAGTTTCATTAAATGTTTCACCCAACCTCTCGATAGTGAAAATCCTGAGTGCATCGCCAGCAACAGCAACAACACCTTCAGCACATTGATCAGATGAGAACGAAGCAGCATATTCAAGAGTCTCATACGAAAGTGGCGTTAGCAGGAAATGCCCCTGGTGAATATAGCCAAGCCAGGGTCGACTTGACAAACATAGCATTGCACGGCGACCTCTCACAGCTATTGAGAAGAGCTTTGGAGCCCTCAACCCCAAGAATCGGGATCGAGAATCAGAAAGCTGGCCTGTCACCATATCCACCACTGTCCTAAACAGAACCCCAGACTGCAATCCAGCATTGAGGAAGAGATTAGCTGGATGATCAGCTCCATCTTCACCACCTATAGACGCCTGCACCTCAAGGAATAGAAGAGATTCTGGAATTGACGAAACACTTTGCACACTCAGGATCTGCATGCAGTCATCAGGATCCAAAGACAATATACGAATAATGTTGTCATATGTACCAACTGCAAGGAACCTTGACCTCTGTCTTCCTTCAGGAACAGGGGCAATGTCCAAACAAGCCACATCTCCAGACATCTCATGCTTTTCCACCTCCATTAGTTGACCCGTCATGTCCACCTCAAAATAAATAAGCTCCCCACCACTTAAAGCAATAACCACTTGAAGTCTATTGGAGCCAACTTTCACAATCGTCCTCTTTCCAGGAGTTCTCCACTCGTTAATACGCCCATCTTCCCTGATATGCCTAATACCATTTGGGTGAACTTGCATTAAAGAATCGTCACCAATCAGAGAAACAGCAAGGGAAGGAGTAGTATCAAGAAACCCACTATCACTAACTTCCTCAACTGTCTCCCCGATAGAGAGAACCAGAGTTGCATTAGTAAATGACACAACAATGTATGCATCAAATTCATCGCTGGCATTCTTTTTCACAGTCCAAACTGCACTTGGCACACCAGGAAGCTGAGACACAGCCATTTCGCTTACAGCTAAACCAGGCCTCAAAATCCTCAAGGATGACCGAGGTCCTCGGCCACAAAGGGTAAAGATCTGAGGTGTTTCTTCATCAAAAAGATTAACGATTTTCATGTCCATAATAGGCATCAAGCTCTCAACCTGGTCAATTCTAACAAGATTCTTTAATCCCCTTGGCTGGAAAAACACGGGCTGGAAGCCCTCCTCAGTTTCCATCAAAGTAGCTGAAGAGGCCTCCACATCTGGGTCCTCACCAATAGCCTGAAACTGATACAAAGCATGATTTCCAAACTCCGATGCAGCAAATAGAAAGCCTGATTTCATCACACACATTGAAGCTGTCACTGGAATCGTATCAAAATACTTGATTTTGATCTCTGAAACCTTGTCATTCTCATGCTCTAGGGTAACTTTAAAAATGTCCCCATACTCGGTCTGCAACAAGAAGAAGAACATGGACTTCTGCTTATGAGTTGCTGCAGAAACTATCAACACACCACGCTCGGCAGGCAAATCAGCACGCCTAGGGATCACTGCCCTCACATCAGGATGTCCTTGATTCTTGTAAATAACAAAATTTTCAGCGCAAATCAACACTCCACTTGGCCCATCTCCACCACCAGGAACCGTAACAAGCATATTAGCACCGTTATCGACAGGCTCAGACCACTTCCGAGAAACGTGATTAAGCCCCAAATCAAGTTCATAAAAAGTCAAATTCTTCTGTGCCTCATTTGCAGCCTGCCCAGTTGCATCCTGGTCAGCCTCCGAATAATCCAACTCAATAGCCGCAAATATTGGATTATCAAACCCACAATCAACCCCACAAATGTGGTAAACAATGGTGTGTGACTTATGCGCCTCCAAGGGCGAGGATATGGTTAACCTAGCTGCAGTATCCCTGTTCAACACATAGACCAACTTCTGCTTCTCGCAGGCTCCAATCATCACCGCCCTCCCCTTGGGGTCAACCGCCAAGTACTGACCAGGAACTATCCTCCTGCACCCGGACTTTCCAAACGTCTCCTGGTGAACTTTATCGAACACATTCTTCTCCTTGTTGTACTCCAAAATCACAATCCTCCCGGAATCGGAGCCAACGACGATGTAATCCTTCTGAGATCCAGTAAGCCTGAACTGAGCTAAGGAGCGAATAGCACCGAAGATTTCGACGGAGAGAATGGTTTGGAGCTTACCGGTGTCGTCCGGACGGAGGAGATCCAGAAGCTTTCCCCGCGCAACGACGATTTCCTGGGACTTTCCGCCGGAGAAGCTTCCGTTAATGGCGGCCACCACGCCGGTGGCTCGCTGAAGCGTGAGACTGTAGAGATACATGGCGGAAACGGCGGTAAGCTTGTCCCCAAGGCTCGGGAGAATTTCAATGGAGGGAGCAGTGAGAAAGAATTAGGAAGGGAAATGGTGTTGGAGTCAGCGAAGCTGATTGTTGGATTCGAAGGTTTTTTAGGGTTTAACGGACCGACTATGCACCAGTGTGGAACTGGCGATGTTCGATTTGAGAAAGTTTTTGGTTATTTTATTTTCTTTCGACGGCGCTAACTGCTAAGAGTTTTGGACTTCTGGCCCAATGCTATGGGCCATGGCCTGGCACTGATTAACCCAATATGTTACGGAGTCCAGTAAACGGCTTTTTTTCCTCTTTCAATTTTGTTCCTAATAAGTAGCCTAAAATCAGTTATTTATCTCTTTATATGATCTGCATCAGTGAGAAATATAATTAATAATTTAATATTAACAGTATGAAGTAAATTAATTCATAAAAATATACATTTAATTTGACTCAATAACTCAAATAAAAAAAACTTAAAGAGCTTAATAATAATGTGGGAATGAGAACATCCATCACATTCTAAGTTCGAACATTATGACCAACATCCAACGAAAAATACATCAAATCAACTTTAAACTATAGTGACATGTTATCCTATGATTTTTTAAACACAGCACATTCACAAGTACAAAAATTAATAAAGTAAGAGATGACAAATTTCCGACTAATATTTTTTGTATTCATAATCCATCCTTGCAACTTTCTTTAAGTAGTATTCTCTATGTCTATATCCCTAGTCAGCACATATCTAAGCCACCAACTACACCATAATAACAACCCCAACACAAAACGAAAAAAGTGCCCATTCAAAATTCCAATCTTCCCACACAGTTCCATTTTATAAACTGAAGTTGGTAGCAACACAGAAAAAAAGAGAAACCAACATCAATCATCTTCCAACCATGAAAACCCTCGAACTCCCTTCATCCCTGACCATGTTCATCTTCTGCTACTCCATCTTGATCACCACAATCATCAACCATTCCACCTCCTTAGCTCGAACCATAGCCGACCCAACTCCGCCTCCCACCCACAGCCATCATCACCACCATCTTCACAAGAACCTCACCTTCCTAATGCAGAACATTCTCAATGCCACGCACCATGCAGCCACCACAAAGCTCACCAGCCAGATCCCATTCCCAAAGCCTCTAGGCTTCTTCCCTCCAAGCACAGGCATCCTGATCCCACAGCCTTCCAATGTTCCTACGGTTTCAGCCGCTGCAGGATTCACTAAGCAAGCCCTTGATGACTCCACCATTGGGTTGCTGTCATTCCCAGCCAGGGCCACCCTGGAGGAGCTTGAATATGGGAGCGTGGCAGAGGTCAACGAGGAGTTGTTTGAGAACACTAGTTATGGGCCAGTCGTTGTTGGGAGAGCGCAAGGAGTGTTTGTGGCTAGCTCGGAGGACGGATTCAGCCACATGGTGGCAATGACTGCGAACTTCAACGGTGATGGTGGTGATCAGAAGGGAATCAATGGCGATGGGTTGAGGTTCTTTGGAGTGCATAGTAAGAAAGATAAGGGAGAGTCTCACATCGCTGTGATCGGCGGGACGGGGAAGTATGAGGGTGCTAATGGGTTTGCAGTAATGGAAGTTGTGGATTTAGGTTCCAACTTTGCTCTTGTTGAAGAGTACAGAACCAATGAGTTCCTTTTGTTCAGTGTGTATCTCGGCTAGTTTTTGTAGTTGATATAATCAGAGTGACTGCTAGAGAAAAAAAAAAAAAAAACTTGATTGCTTTCTCATGGAGGATGACTATCGACATGCTAATCAAGTCTGTAATATCTGGACAATCTGGAACTGATGAAATTGCCTCTATATTCCAAACAACTATCATGATCGACTGATGAATTTGCTAAAACACAGTAGCAGTAGCAGCAGATAACAATGTGGGATCTATGTTCATAACTGGGGACTGTCCTCCAGGTAAATGATTTTAGATGCATATTATAGACTGTACTAGTCATCAACATAGCAGAAAACACTTAGTAGACTTGGTATAGTCCAACCTTCTTAAAGATCTCTGAGTAAAGGGAAGAAGACTGATCACATTCTGAGATGAACCTTGTTAGTAACTGAATTCACAACTGCAATTTAGAGATTCTTGCTCTGTTGCCCATATACCCATATAACTTGCCCTTTCAGTCTTCAAAAGCATTAAAATTTAAAAACATCCGCACTAATTGGAGTTGAATGGAACAATAAAACGAAACTAGACTCTGAAAAAGAAGGTGGAACTTCAATGGGTGATTCAATTCATGCTTCTATTTCTTGTAATTGATTAAGAGTTTCAAAATGACCAACGAACAAACAAGGCCGTGTGAATACAGTAAGCATAACTCTTGCTGAGACCCAAACGAATTGAATAAAGAAAGAACTACATTCTGAGACTTCTCCTGGGATGGTTGCAGCAGGAGGTTCCTAAAAATACCCATCTGTTCCACCCAAGTAAACTACTCAACCATCCAGCAGAATCAGTACCTGCTCTTTGATGTTAAGGGGAGCAGCGACTAAAGCCAGATTCAATTATGATCAAGATCAACTAACCTGAATCTCATGGTTTAGTTGAAAAATTGCAGTTCAGGTGTCCACCAACTCCATCTCAACAGCTCCACAGGTCCATCAGAGAGGCTCAAAAGCATCCCTAGCAAAGCTATATATGCTCAACTCCGCCAATCCTTCACCATCAAGCTCACCATTTCAAAGCCTTCACAATCGAACTCCCCTTCACACAAAGATCCCGACTAACACACATCTGTAAATCCAATGGCGAAACCTGTAGCCAGTTGCTTCTGCCTTATCCTTCTGGCAGTCATTGCTGCAATTTCCTGTGCTGCCAATGCTGCCAGACTCCTAGACGAGCTCAACCCAGCTCCCTCTTCAGCATCAACTCTGGCTCCCACCACCGCATTACCAAGCGGCCCAATCCCCGCAGCCCCGGTAGATGATGATGACGACTCCGACGAAGCAGCTGACCCACCACTTCCAGACGCCGAAGTCACTCCTCCAGCCGTCACAGCCCCAATTTCCGATGAAGCACCGCCGGCTACTACTCCTCCTCCCGTCGCAGAGGAGGAAGCCCCAATTCCTAGCCCCACCGCTATTCCAACAGCTCCGACGGCGGCAACCGCAGCTACCACCGTCACAGCCACGGCGGCGGCAACCGCACCAGCTTTGTCCTTCTTTATGCACGACATCCTGGGCGGGAGCCATCCGTCGGCCAGAGTAGTCGCCGGCCTAATCGCGAGAACCGACATCAACGGAATCCCATTCTCCACCCCGAACAACAACATCTTCCCGCTCCAAGGAGGAACCCCGCTGCTAAACCCTAACAACATCAACAACCTAATCAACCCAAACACCGCCCCACTAATGACCGGCCTGAACCCCGGCAGCGCCCGCTCCCAACAGACCAACACCGTCCTCCAGAACGCCGGCAGCAGCGGCAGCAGCGTCGTCAACCCGGCCAGCGGCAGCCAGCCGTTCGTCACCGCCGGCCAGCTCCCTGCGGGGCTAACCCTCCAGAAGCTGATGTTCGGGTCGATTACGGTGTTCGACGACGAATTGACGGAGGGCCACGAGCTGGGGTCGGCGGTTTTGGGGAAGGCACAAGGGTTTTACCTGGCGAGCTCGCTGGACGGGACTAGCCACACGCTGTCGTTGAGCTTGTTGCTGCACGGCGGGGAGAAAGAGCATGAGGCGGTGGAGGATACGATTAGCTTCTTCGGGATTCATCGGAATGCGTCTCCGGTGTCGCACATCGCGGTGGTGGGCGGGACCGGGAAGTATGAGGACGCCAAAGGGTACGCGACGATTGAGACGATTCAGCAGGAGGATCAGCATGTTACCGATGGGGTGGATACCATTACTCATATCAATGTCTATCTCTCTAAGTAGAAGGGAGGAGGAAGAAGAGAGGGAAAATGTGGCTTTGGGTTTAATTTGTGTTTTCTTTCTACTTGCGATAATTTCTATTTCCTTGGATGTTATGGTGAATTTCAACGGTTATGAAGAAAATTGAAAGAGAAACATTATAAGTATTTTTTTCCTTTTTCTTTATTTTTGATGAAAAATATTCTCCTTAGTTAACCCGGTAAATATATGTGAATTAGTGAAGGACTATATATAAATCATGTCCCACTAAAAATTAATGAGATAAATAAACGGATAAAATTAAGGTGAATGCGTTCGCCAATAATTTTTTGATTACGACACCAAATGTATATACAAAATGCAAAACACAATGGAACATTTCAATTCACATGAAATATTTGATGCATAGAGGCAAGATAATCCGCAGCGTAATTGCTCTCCCGAAATATATGCACTATTTGAAACCATGCGCACTATTAATATTTAAGTGTCAGAGCACCCCTCAGCGCTCTATTTATTAAAAAAAAAAATTGAGGCATATTAAGTATTTCCATTTGTGGAAGTGTGATCATTGTTATGTTTAGTAGTTTTAGTTTGATATAAACTATTATTAAAACAATTTCATCCACATAATCTAATAAGTAATAACGAAGTAAAAGAGGAGTGAGCTATCATATCGAATAACCTGACATTGATAACAAATAGGTGTAAGGTAAGAAAGTGATTTTTTCTAAAAAAAATCACAATCTATTTGTGTGCTTCTAGCCATACCAATATTCCCATTCCCCGTCACTCAAATAACTAACTATTTTTTGTTTTTTACAAGAGGAGCACTTGTATTGCAATGAGAGTCACGGTTACACGGGGGTGAGAACCACAATGAAAGCAGGAAACAGAGCAACAATGGAGCCAGATGTCAAAGCAATCTAAATCAAAAGAGAATGCCAGAAAATGAACAAGAACTAGATTTATCTCCAACAAAAGAATCTCCACAACAAGATGCTAACACTGAGAACCCAAAACCCGTGCTTCTACAATATTCAGCACAGCACAAGCAAGGTTCCAACTCGCCCAAAACCAGACAAGTCCATGGCTATTGAACATTGCAACGCCATAAGCCGCCACCTAGGGATCGTTCAGAGCTAAATAGGTCGAGGAAGTCGGAGGCAAGGATGACCATGAACCGGGAAAAATGAAGAATCAACTTCACCATCTCCAGAAAGCCAAAGAAACAAAGCCAACAACACCAAAAATGATACCACACCCCACTTCAGTCGACTGAAAGTCTCAAGAAAACCAGTGGAAGAAGGGAGGGAGGAACAGTGAATATGCTCGCCAGAAGAGATGAGCACACCAACAAAGAGTAGAACCTCCAACAACAAAATACCATTAGAAACACTCCAAGTAGCAATTTTCAGGTCCAAGTAGCAAAGCCAAACGAGATCTAGAAACTAGAAAGAACACTGTGGATAAACCCACTTGGAAATGACCACGAAGGTTCAGAAAAAAGCCACCATGTGCTGGAGAAAAACGCACAACCAACAAAATATAGAAAAAATAGCAAAAGGAAAACCTTGGGCCACATTTGTCACCAAAAGAAAGCCGACAACAAACCTAATGAAAAGGGAAAAGGCGGTGGCCTTTAGAGAGAAGGGAGATCGAACAAATTCAAAATAAGATTAAATAAGGAGAGCAAGGTATAAAAAATGAGATTAGGTTTGTCACGACTTAAATAACTAACAAAAAGATGTGGTGTTCACTCTATTTCTTTGGTTTCCCTCATCTTTATTGTTTCATATATGTTGAGATTGAATTAATCATATTTTGTTGGTGTTGGCATCCTATCGAGATTTGATAGATTTTTAATTGATTTAATATCTTATTCCTCTTTCAATAGACTTGTTGGTGACAACAACAATACGCTTTATCTCGACCTAGATTCAAAATGGTCGTCGTTGCACTAAATCTAATACCTAGTTTCATACTTTCATGGTTGTGTTGGCATCTGTCCTTCATAACAAAATTTCATTCCACGAATGTCCTAATTGAAAATGAGACCACATTTGAAGAAAATTTTCGAAATACGTCACATAAAATAATTGACGATGATTGTCGCAGAAACAAAATTCTACAACCTGAAAAATAAAATCGTAAATTATAAAAATAATATATAATTACATTGCACATAAAACGATAAATTTTAAAAATAATATATAATTATATTGCACGGTTTATTTGAAAAGAGAAAATAAAACTTGCTCAACAAGAAAGTCCTACTCCTCCTACCTGCCCAAACGGCATAGGGGAATAGTTACAATTTTGCCCTTTTCTTTAGTTGTTCTAGAAATCACCCTTCCCTAAACCCTAATCGATCCGTTCCCCGCTCCGGCAACAAGCATACTGCTATATATATACCAACATTAGGAAAGAGAGTCACCAAAATCTAAATCTGGAGAGCTAGATCAATCCATTACAGAAATCTAGCAACGCCACAGCAAGAAATCCTCTGCGAATCATGGCCAGCGCGCCGAAATTCAAGATCAACGGCCGCACACTGGCGCCGGAGATCCAACTGCCTTCGCCGTCCGCCACCGTCCTCGACCTGAAGCAGGCCATCCAGTCCCTGCTCGGTGTCGCCGTCGCGAGGCAGAGGCTCTTCCACAAAGGCGTCAGCGGCGAGCTCCTCAACGACCGCTCGATCCAGTCGTACAAACTGAAAGCAGAGCAGCGGAAGGGGCAGGGGAAGTCAGTTGTGAATCTGGATCTGACGGTTGAGCCGCTGCCGAAGAAGAGGAGAGGAGAGAAGATCTCGTTCGTGGTGAAGTTCGGCGACGAGCAGGCCACCTTCAATCTCCGGGAGACCGACACCGTCCGTGACCTGGAGGACCTGATGTTTGACCGATTCAAGATTAGCGACTACAAATTGCGCTGTGCTGGTGCGGAATTGCCTACTTGCGATGACGGCGTTGAAGTTATCAGCCTGTATGAGTACTATCTCTCGGAAGGGACGGTGATTGAGGTTGCCAGTGGTACCAAGTATTGGGGTTTCGCTCACAAGACTTACCCGCCTTCCTACTACAATTCTCAGTAATCTCTCGACTCTCGAGTCTGAAATTGCAGTGGAACGACGTAACTTCCCCTGTTATCACTTCACCCAGTTTTCCAATTCTCGCACTTGTTTGTTTGTTTGTTTGTTCGTTTCGTTTGTCTGTTCATGGATGGCCCAAGGATTGGAACTCGGTAATTTCTTGTTAGACGTACGCTTCTTGGTGCTTGTATGGCTATGGAGAATGTTGAAGTCAAAATAGAGTATGCTAATTAATATGCGTTGTTTGTTACTTTGTTTGGCTGCTCTAAACGCCCAAATTCTCTCTATCTCTGTTCTCTTTGATCTCAATTTTCAAGTTCTTGAGGTTCAAATCTCCGGCCAATGTTTTAGCTTCATCGTCGATCATATCCATGTCAGTTTCTTCACCCTATGCCTCTCCGATCCTTCATTGTTTCACCACAACCGTCCAACATTTGCACTAGTCGTACCTCCTATGTGCCGTCGAAGATCAAAGCCGGAGAATGACCGAATCCATAGTGGTGTGTATTTTTCACAGTAAGTTAAAATGATGTACCAGAAATAATTGAGCAATGAGTTCGTACTTACAACCTAATTTGATCTTTCGTCTATAAATTCATAATCCATAGTTAACCGTCATAAATAGAGTATCAAACTTGTTAAATGGAAAATATATAATTTGCACAGCAAGAAGCCAAAAATTGTCAGATCGCAGAGTAAAACTTGCTCGATAAGTCAGTCATTCCCAAACGCAAATGGCAAACGGCAAACGGGAGGACGGAAATGTAACTGATTAATATGCGTAATGACAATTTTGTCCTTCCCAGGAAGAGTCTAGAAACCCTAGGACTCCTACCGTCCTACTTAACGGTTCACACTCCGTCAACTAGCATGCTACTATATGTACACATCAGCAAAGCGAGTCAGTGAACAAATCCAAATCTGATCCATTGCAGAAATTTAGCAACACAATCGAGCACAGCCGAAAATCCGCCGCGAATCATGGCCACCGCTACGATATTCAAGATCAACGGCCGCACACTGGCGCCGGAGATCCAACTGCCTTCGCCGTCCGCCACCGTCCTCGACTTGAAGCAGGCCATCCAGTCCCTGCTCGGCGTCTCCGTCGCGAGGCAGAGGCTCTTCCACAAAGGCGACGGCGAGCTCCTCAACGACCGGTCAATCCAGTCGTACAAGCTGAAAGCAGAGAAGAAGGAGTCGTTTGTGAATCTGGATCTGACGGTGGAGCTGCCGCCGAAGAAGAGGAGAGGAGAGAAGATCCCGTTCGTGGTGAAGTGCGGCAACGAGAAGGCTACCTTCAACATGCGGGAGACCGACACCTTGTACGACTTGGAGTGGAAGATCCATTGCAGATTCCAGGACTTGTATCCGACGAAATTTCGCTGTGCCGGAATCGAGCTGCCTTCTTGCTACCACGACGGCGATGACAATGATATCAGTCTGTACGAGTGCTATCTCTCGGAAGGGACGGTGTTTGAGGCTGCGTCGGCGACTTGTCAGTCTCGTCACACCTACGGCCCGAAAACTTTCCCTCCTTCCTTCTACAACTAAACTCCGAATTCCGTATCACATTAATGGAGCTAATTTCTGTTTCCTCTTTCCCTCGCCCCCTATCGATTCCTCGCATCTTGTTTGTCTTTTCTTTGTGTAAGGTGTAGTAAGTCTGTAATTCCTTGTTAGACCTCCTCTGTTTGTATCGATCTTGAGAATGCTGAAGTAAAATTGTATGTTTATGCACTTTCTTGTTGTTACTTTCTTTGCCGATGATCAAATTCTTGAAAATCTTGAATTTCTGCAGAAAGCCAGAAACCCTAGCTATCTGTTAATTAATATTTTATGAGGATTCCGATTAGCTATCCTGCTAATTAATATTTAATTGGGATTCCAATTCCAAAGAGAGTTCTACTCCACCAACCCTAAATCACCATAAATTATTAATTATAAGAGACCACAAATTTATCGCTACGCCTAAACAGCAGATCTGAAAGCAATGAGCTTAATTCGTCTCGGGAGGCAGTAGCCACGGCGGGGACACTGACATACAAAATCCACGGCCGAAAAGTGGTGCGGGAAATCAAATTCACCGCTCCGATGTCTTCCGCCATGCTCGACCTCAAACAGGCAATTCGATCCCGCTTGGGCGTCGCTTGCGCTGACAGAGTTGGGAGAGATGCGGCGGTGGACGGGAAGGAGGCATCGGCAACCGGAAGGTTCTCAACGGAACCGTGAGCTTACCCAAAAAAAAAAGGGAAAACGTTCTCAAACCCCTGCTGACCATGGTCCACCTGGATGTGGACTCGAGTGGTCTCCATGCTCCAACAGTCCAACTAATTCAACTGCCCGGTCAACCCGTATTTTACTGCTCATAGCGGAAATTAGTGGGCCTAATGTCAAACTGGGCCGGAAGTGGTGGCCCAATCTGAAACCAATAATCCAGCTAGGAAGTTCAGAGGACAAGTAGCCCAAGACCTAGGCCCGCTGATTGCAGAAAAAAAGGAAGCAAGGCTAAAAGAAAGGGGCATTCCGAGAATTGAACTCGGGACCTCTCGCACCCTAAGCGAGAATCATACCACTAGACCAAATGCCCTGCTGTGCCATTAAGTCTGTGGTATAATTTTTATACGTTTTCTGAATATTCCTATTCATGGACACGATGCTCGTAATTTCTGACAAAATTCGCGTCGGTTCAATCCTTGAAAGTTGCAACCAACGATGACACGTTGCCTAGATAGCAGCTAGCTACCATGATTGTCATTTCATTTCATATCAAAAGCCAAGGACAAAAAGAGAGCACATGCTACTATGCTAGAGTTGAACAATAATACCACAAGTGGAGCTGGGTATCCTCATTGTTACGTGTATAATAGCATGCAACACTATCATGTTGCCAAACAAAGTTAAAGATCCACTAACCCCATAACATGGTTTTGAAAGTGATCGATGACGAGAGGAGTAGACAACACATTATTAAAGAAGCGACGACGATTTCATCCAGCGGTCACAGGAAGGGTTTGTTATAGCAATCGTGCATTACCCCATGGAAGCAAGAGGACAGGGAAACACATACGCCATAACCCAGCGGTCTCTTATGAGTAACCTAGAGCGAAGAAATAATGGTTATTTTGTCTAAACTTGTATGACATTGCACAATTCTCGTCCCGCACATAGAATAGTTACATTAGGGAAAAAAAATAATTAATTATGACGATTTTGATGAACCATGTTGAGCTGATAACTGATCATGGCGTAGGCATGCATGGCACGGCAGGATTAAAAGGACAAGTTTTGCCAAAGTCATCATGGGTACCCACTTGAACCAAGCCGATTGGGCAAGGTAAGAAAAAATCATTTACTGAAACAACCCATGGACGAGAATTTTTTTTAACCCAACACACAAATTATTTTTAGAAAGTTATAGGTTGACACTTAAATTTAAAGTAATTTAGAATTTAATTAGCAGTCGAGTTTAGAAATAACTTCAAATTGGTCGAAGAGTTTGATGAAAATATCATTTTAGTAGAAGAATATATTTTCTATGCTCACAAGTCACAATACATAAAATTTTACAAATATATCAAAATGTTATTTGTATATCTGATATAATGGGGGGATAAAAAAGAGCCAATCCACCCTAGTTCCTAGCAAAAGATTATCATAAACTCATATGTTTATAACCGACCAAAATCTAGTTCGTATGAAATCCTACTAAGAATAATGTACTTTGGCTTGTAAGTACACTCATAATCGAGATGTATAAACTCCGGCTCAAATTCTGGTAGTACTTCACTCTATGTTTACAACTATTTGTGAACTTAATGAGTTTCTTTCAACAACATGTCTTCCACCAACTCGTTATCAACCTGTCAAACCAAATATCATTGCTCACCACCAATTTCTTGGGGAAAAATAAACATCGATCTGTATGCCCCATCAATCTAACTAACCTCAACAAAGTAGATGACATAAAAGATGTATGCTCGAATGGTCTCCACTCTTTTGACTTGTGGATGATAATGTCACAGAATTATATTAGTTTCTTATAATAGAACTTTGGGAGAATTGGCTGCCAAAAAACTTGCAAAAATTTGGAAGTAAGGTCAGATTTAACTTTTTGAAGTATTGCAAAGTATCAATATGAACACACCAACCTAACCCTTATGTGGGTTAATGAGATGGGTTGATGCTTTATGGGTATTTGAAAAATTAATACGACTTTAGATCTCTCATCGTTAAATAGAAGTATACTTTGCACGGAATATTTGATGAGTAGTACCTAGAGTTTCATATATTTGCCACTTTTACAATTTGAACCATTTATGGACCATGCAATAGTTATTGATGATAAAATAACCAACTTGTATTTTCTAGTACGGTTACAAACCCGATTACAATTGTGTAGATTGCAAGGATGACAACTCCAACGGGATCAATACACCAGTAGCACCAGTGGCCGAGATCAGCAACAACTAGACCAACTTCATTCAAGACTTTTAATTCGAGGCTTGCAGTATAATGCAAAGTTAAGGCTTCCTTTTAGAAATCACTTAGCAGCGTCAAAGTAGTGATAGTTGAGGGAATAAATTTCTCTAGCTTAGAGTTTCTTTCCTCAGCTATCATTATTTTCATGCTAAGTGGCTTAGTTAGAGAAAATAACCTACAACTTTGCATTATATTATATTGTATGTCTTGAATCAAACAGTCTTGAAATTGAAAGTAGTCGGTTTTCTTGTTATTGTTCTCGACCATTGGTGTTACTGGTGAATTGATTCCATCGGAGATTTCATCTTCATAGTCTACACCACTATATATTGATTCGAAATCGTATTAGAGAATGCAAATATGTTAATTTCTTACCAATGACTAACACATGCTCCATAGAACGGTTTCAAATTGTAAAACTGAAGTTAGTATAGACCCGGCAAAACCAAACTTTAGGTACTAGGCATCAAATATTTTAGCATAATGCATACTTTTTTTAAAGACGAGAGACCTCGATGCATAGTAATTTTTCAGAAACCCATCAAGCATCGACCCGACTCATTAACCCACCTACCCATCGATATATAGGTCAAACGGGTTTTGAATTTTGATAGATTTGGTGAGTTCATGTTGACATTTTCTACTACATAGAAAGTTAAAGATGACATTGCTTCCCCCTTTCTTGTAGTTTCTTTGGTAGGAGAGTCAGCCCTCGATAGTTCTATGAGAAGCTAGACTATAGTACATTTGTCGATTATGAAACCTTGTTTGGTATTCTGCTTATACATCGGGTATACACATGTCCTCGTTTCCTTTGTGCAGTGGAAGTGAGGTGAATGCAGGAATTGCAGTTCTAAAAGTGAACAGTAAATTTCGAGGGGGTAGAGTTCAGTTCATCTCCACTCCACACCATGAGCTTGATAATATTTCTGGCTGTTCAAAAATGTATACCTATAATGACGCAAGAAAATTATTGTATTACATTAGTAGGAAAAAAAACTGGGGCGGATGAATTGTATTGTAATCATCCAAAGCCCAAATTGTTTAATTCAAAATTGGGTAGGAGCTGCGTTGGGCCCAGACTTCCAACAAGGCCGAGCCCAAATATATTTTTAACTAAAAATTGGGTAGGGGCCGCGCGAACGCAGGCCCCCGCTGCCACAAATTATGACGTAGGCTCTCCCTCATTGGGGAGACCTTAGCCCAGCGCCCCTCCGTAAAGTGCAATGGAGGTCACTGGCCTAGACCACAAGCCTTATTGATCGCCCGTTGATCCCGTCCAGGTAAGTATGTTGATCCGTAGCACCCAACTCCTTACTTATACTCGCTTTCTCATTCCAAACTTCCTCTTCCAGTCGATGTGGTACTATTTCCAACCCCCTTTCCCACTCTCATATATTCCTATCCTTAAATGTACAATCAAACACTAACTGCATACCCTGGCCGCGCCTCTTCTTCCACGTCAAATTTACTGCAACTTTCTACTGTGTACCTCCTGGCTTGAACCCAGCTCATATCCATTCTTTGCAGGACATGGCTTTGGCGATTCCAACCGATTCCCAGTAGTTCAAGGGTCAGACTGATTGGATAGGAAAGTGGAACTCGTATTGTCATTGATTCTCCGGTAGCAACAAACCAAATCAAACACAACAAAAGTAAACATACAAGCATACACATCTTTTTCCCACCACAACCCAAACCCTCAAATCCCTTCACACAAACAAACCCAAATCACCAATCAATCCATCAGTAGATCACATAAACAGCAAACTCGAGCAAAGTCTCGATCCCATCGGTCTCATGATTCCCAGGACCAACTGGAATCGTCTTCACAACCGCATGCCCTTTAGCGTTCACATACTTGCCAGTTCCACCCATCACAGCAAGCTGAGACTCGGAAACCCCAGACCTGTGGACGCCAAAGAAGTTGAGGCTGTCCTCATAATGCCCGCTCTGGAACATAGCAGTGAACGCCATGGCCTGGCTCGTCCCGTCCAGCGAGCTAGCCACGTAGTAGCCCTGAGCTTTCCCCAGCAGCTGCGAACCCAATTCGTGCCCTTCGGTCAACTCGTCGTCGATCACGTTGATGGTCCCGAACATGAGCTGTTCGAGGGCCGAACCCGTGGGGAGCTGGCCACCGTTGCCTACTGGGAAGTTGTTGAAATTGTTGCCATTGTTGTTGTTGTTGTTCTGCATCACGTTTGCTGACGCTGTGCCGCCGAGACCAGTGAGGAAGGGGAGGTTGTTGTTGTTGATGACTCCATTGTTGTTGTTGTTCTGCTGGACGCCGTTGTTGACCGGGAGGACTGCGCCGTTGGGCTTGGCGAAGGGGACTTGGCCGTTGATTGCAGGGTTGTTGACCACTCCTGTCACGGCTCTTGTGGTTGGGTTCGATCCGCCGAGGATGTCGTGCATGAAGAAGGTCAATGTGTGGTCAGGGTCAATGGCGCCTCCACCACTGGAACCACCTGTGGTGGTGGTGGTGGTGGTGGTTGCAGGGGATGCAGAGGTGGTTTGTGTGGTGGTGGGTGGTGGTATGGGTGCTGCTGGCAATGGGGATGATGACGAGTCAGCAGGCTGTTCATCGACGAGGAATCGGGCTGCTGAGCTGGTGGTGAGTGCTATTGTGAGCATGATGAACAGAAGGTAGGATGTTGCTTGGGTTGAGCTCAAAGGGGTTCTGAGTTTTGCCATGAGATGATGAGATTTTTGTTACCAGAAATGGTGAGATGGGAGAAGGGACTCTGTTTGTTTTGAATTTTTTGTTAAGAAGTTGGATGTGATTGAATGAAAGGGTGGCTTACTGGATATATATAGCTAATAGATTGTATTTTGGAGGTGAGGAGTTAGTGAGAATGTGAGATGGAGTGGTTTAATGGTTCTGAGCGCTTTTTGGTTGGCATAAAAGGAAAGGCAATGAGAGCCGAGAGGAATGGTTGGGATTGGCTTATTTGGTCACATATTAAAGGTTTAGGTGACCTGAAAGCAAATTTGAATTAAGGGTCATTTAGCACTAGGGTTTTAGACAAAATTGTTTGCCAGCCTTCCAACAGGTTTTACAGGTTGTGAACCAAATAGTCTCAAATGCTGCTTTGCCAGCAGCAGCCAATGTGCCATTGTTAATGTCTTTCACAAAACAGATCATGTTCTTAAGGGTATTATATTATCCGGACAGAATTTGAGGTCTTACCAGCAGATACAATCACCTTGACATTTTCCTTGTATTGGAAATCAGTGAACTGAAGAGTCAACCGAGAGAACAACAAATTCAGGACACTGCAATTCTTTGCAAGCTCGAGCAAAAATGGTTGCATTCATCATTCTCTCAAAGCAGTAGGAAAACTGCTGCAGTTTTACAAAAATAGCTTTTCCAGCAAATGACCATATCTTACATGAGAACTCACTGATTTACTCAAAAAGAACACATCCTCTCAACATTTTCAAAACTTACTACAAAATACAAATACTATGTATCTATCTCTCACCCTCCCTGTGGTCTGTTGGGGAAAAAATTGCACAAGTGGACTTGGCAGGGAACAAACAACAAGCAACAATCAACCTTCTACTTTCTTCAAAAACCATATTGCTAACTATACCAACTATCTGTATTTACTAAGTACGAATTTTTCTGGAGATTTGTAAAGGTATCACCCCATGCTGCTAACAGCATCCTGTACCAACTCATCAAACAAAGAATTTGCTATATCTCTACTGATATCCTGAACATGATCACCCAACTCCAACCACTTATCATCCTCCCCCATCACCTTCTCAGAATTTTTTCCCTTTCCATTTTCCTGGCTGGCCAATAACATCCACACCTCCTCCTCAATATCTTCCTGGCCACCATAATTGAGCATGAACCTTCTTGCCACAGGTTTCGACCACGACACTGAGTGCTGGCACAAAGATGACTGCAAAATCTCCACCAGCCCCCAGTTAATACGATCAAACAGTAATCTTCTATCGTCCCTCTTCCAAGATATTTGATCTCCATACTTTTTCTCTAGTGTGTCAAACACCGAAGGACTGATAATATTGCATTCATCAGAGTGCCATGAGTAGTTAGGACCAATTAAGAGTGGGTTTCTGTTAATCAGTCCTGCCTCGGTTAACACATCAACCAAGTATGAGAAATCCCTGCTCTCTTCAGCTTTAAAAAGTCTCATTGCATCTTCATTGGCTTCAAAATCGCCTACAGATTCGGCTTCTCGAGGATCTCCCTCGCTAGAGACCATTGTGTCAAAGTCCTCCGAGTTTCCATCTGATATCTCTGACTTCAGAAGTTCGAGTCGATTGTGTAAGCCTAATTTAGAAGGGGAAGAAAATAGAAAGATCTAGTCAAATGACCAGGCCCACAAACATCAAAACATAGCAGGTGAATCAAGAAGAGAAGATGTTGCTAACCGTGCAAAGAAACACCATCACCATCCCAGCAACCGAAACAAGAAGAGATCTCTTTCCTGTATGAAGCCTCCAATACTGAATTAGGACTGGACTGATAGTAGGAGTCTTCTGAGCTCACTTGTGATTCTGGGTCAGTGCACGAGCAATAAGTCGAGATGTACTCCTTCTCAAATGAAACAGCTGATACATCCTGCGTAATGGGAATAGACTTGCTAATGAGCAATTAATATCAGTGAATTGAAAAGTAGAATTGTGAGATACGGAGGAAAGCAGTAGATGATCCAGTAATGGAACCGCTTATCAATTAGTATTGAGATGCATCAAACCTTTTGAATTGAAGTAGCCATTGTATCAGGAGTATCGTCCTGATCTCTCAGAGAAAGATTCCCATTTTCTATTTCCAATGACTGCTGATCATCCAGTGCTAGGGAGGATTCATTTACAAACTCGGTTTCTCCATCAGTAACCATCTCATAGGAACTCTGACTATGTGAATCCTTGTCAAACTTGTTTTCAGCAACACTTGGAAGGATATAACTAGGTTCTGGATAATTGTTCACCACTTCCGAAGCTTCAACAGGCAGAGACTTTTCCTCATAGCTTTTTACTGGGATTCTATGTTGTGAACCATCTCTCTGAACGACCAATAACTTCCTTGCCTTTTGATGAACAGAATTTATAAACTCAAGATTACTCACACGGCTGCTACTTTTAACAACAGAGTCATTGCTGGCACTCGAAACATGACTGCGGATAGCACTAAGATCCCAGTGAAGAGGTGTGGGCCTCTGTAAGCATCCAATGCTCCTGACCTTCCAGCCATACTGACTGTTTTTGCTTGGGCGAAGACCACCAGGATTGAAACAAAAAATTTCTGGTTGCGGGTCATGATCAGGAAAGGCAGTCGCTTTTTTAGCCATTCTGCTCAAATTCTGTTCAACTTGCTGGGTAGGAGACAATAGTGCTGTCTCAGACTTCTCCAGGAAGGTGTCATCGTACAGGTATCTATACCTTGTTTCAGCATTCTCCATATTCTGTAAATGTGGCTTAAGTACAACCATTCTACCAAAATCCCTGCCAGGGCGGGAATTAGTATACCTTTGGTCACAAACATTCCAATCTTTCCTGCAGATTTCATAGTTAGAGGGCCTTAATGACACCTCTGAACTCAAATGAGCTTTCCTCTTCCCAGCAAAGCTCACACTTTGTCTGACCCTACCCGAACTGCTGTTATCTCTTGACCCTTCTGAAACCAAACCGATTGAACAACGCTTTTGATGTTTCGCTCGGCCACATATAGAACTAAATCTCTGCATATATTTCTCAGAAAGCACTCTTGCTTTCTTTTGAACTGGTTGTCGCGGGTGAAATTCATCCAAACCCATCAACCTTGAAATAACACTAGGAACAGGTTGCCTGGGCTCCATTCTTGGAAAGTTTTGATGCAATACTATCTACCCGCTGCTTGTGTAAGAATGGACCTGGTCAAATCGAAGAGAATTTCCAGATGAGAAGAGTATATCAATTGCTCAGCTCTGCAGACAAATGCAGTCTACAACAAAAACAATTTCAGGGTGCACAAAATCAAACACTGAAAGTGGAAACAAAAGGTCTCTACTTAATATCTTACTGATTAGGCAATAACTGGTTCCTTTTGTCAAGTTGGGATCGACTCAGGAAGCAGCCCAGCTAACTTCCTTGAATAACATTACATTACATTCAATGGATGAATGCAAAACAATCAATTAGCAGAAGGAAACATCAAGAGAAACTTAGGGACCAGAAAGGAACATGAAACAAATGCCTTCTACACTACAACTGGTATTTCATTGCGTTGAAGAAAGCTCTAAGTTGTCTGGAAAGCAGAAATGGGGAAAAAGATCCAACTCGGAAATACGAATGAAAAAGAGGATCGAACGTCCAGAAGCCCAGGAAGGAAAACACAACTTAGAAGATCAAATAAAGTATCCATTTTTATGAAGCCGGAAAAGGGTTTCAACTTTCTAGAAACCAATTAAAAACAGAAACTCCACCAAACAGATACCAAATAAAGCAAGCATCAGTGAGTGACAAAAAAAAGCTTGCAGACAATCAATTAGTATGCAGAAACAGAATCATGATATCTGGGGCATCTTTCAGTAAGCAATTCTCAGAACAACACTAAGAATGAAAGAAGAAATGTAATAATCTAAAGCAATAAGAATCCCACTCATATGATTGTCACTCAACAGCAACCCTAATTATTAGAAACAAGGAATAATTCATCGTACCCTCTATGCCACAATTTCCCCTATACAATCACACGCCAAAATCTTTGCCAATGAGGAGAACCAACTTCAATCAATCGAAAAATGAAAACCCCATTAACCAGAACATTTGAAGAAGGGGAACCAAGAAATTTGGAATTGCAGAACAAATAGGGGAAAAGAACTGACCTTTACTGAAGACAAAGAGATCAATCCAAAATCAGAGGGAATTCTCGAATACCCAGAACCAAATTCGTCAGTAGCGAAGCTAAAATCCCCTCAAGGAAGTGCCAAAGATTCCCTCCTTGGGAACGAACAAACAGAAAACTGTGTTTGGGCGGAAGGTTGAAGAAGGTCAACTGCCAAATTATCAATAACAAACACTTGGAGAGGTCAAAACGTGGAAGAAACAAACAACCAAACAAAAACCTCCCCCTGGCGGCAGGGCGGCTACAGAAATAGCATGTTCGTCGAGGAGAATAATTACCTTCTTTGCTTTCTTCTGGATCGGAGACGTTCAACGAGATGGTCGTCGGAGCAAAATGAGGGTCGGAGAAGGGAGCAGAGCGGCTATTCTAGAAAGGGAAACGACGAAATATAATGCGGGAATAGAAAAATGGCTGATCGATCCCAAGTTCGGGGAGAGAGGAAAACGAGGAATATTAAGAAAATACGCAAAATATACATTAATTAATGTTAATAATAATTAGTGTAGAGAGAGAGGTGTAATTTCGAATATGGATTTGATTAAATTAATTTAATGGAAAGGACGTGTGGGTTCGAGCGATACTGTTAATGTCGTTTTATTGAAGTACGCGCCTTATTAGTGGCAGTACGCAACACATGATATGATAGGTCGTGTTCGCGGGTTTGGCGCCAGATTTTCCCCCCACCGCTTTGCTGACGGTTATAATTTTGAATAGGGACCCGCCAGTGCAATTGCTATTTTCATACTCTAGTTTTTTCTTTTTACAATTCTAGACCCCCTCTTTTTTTGTCTTTTCGATATCAATAATTCAAACTGTAGAGAAAGGTACAATCTGATAACGGGTGCAAAATGAGAAATGTTTTTTTGTTTCTTTGACAAGTAGACTCTGCATTGTCCACAGCGGTGGATTCAGAACACAGAAGAGCACTGGGCCGCATTTCAATATAATATTATATACCGTAAACAAAAATAGTCAATATTTTTAAATTTTAGTATTTCAAATAAAAAAATAGTTACAAGATTACCAACGATAACAGACAAATGACTAATATTTTGATGCGTTACAAAATATTTAGCTAATATTTTGTATTTCGAAAGGTTTGGCTAGTAATTTGGAAAGTTTAAAAGGTTTAACTAATAAATTGTATTTACTCAAAATTAGTTTTCACATATTTCATTGCTTAAAATGTTCTCTCCATGGTAGCCGCTGAAACGGGCAAGGTCAACATTAGACGAATCAACTCGCAAATCAATTTGTTTAGAGGGTTTTCTTATTTCAATGAAACTTTATACATTCTTTTACATCTTAGACTTTTAGGTTTTATTGTTTTTTTTTTCAAATGAAAATCATTCGGGCTAGAATTCCTAAACTAAATTGAGAGTAATGATTTGCATATGTTCATCTATACCATTTTTCTAACTACACAAAATTATTATCAAATAACACTCGACCGACCATTAAATAATACTGGGCCGAATACCTAAATCGAAAAATTTATAAGCTCTATACTAGCTCTGGATCCGGCGAAGGGTTGGGCCGTGGCCCGGGTTGGCCAGCCCTAGATCCGCCGATGATTGCCCATTGATCACAAGCACGGCTAGTTACAGCCAGGGGCGGAGCCAAAGCAGCCCAAGGTGGGTCGGCTGCACCACATTGGCTTTACAACACACAGACAAGTAATAGGTTTTTCAGTTCTTCATATTTTATTCTGTGTTCATACTCTGTTCTTAGTCCAAGCTTACATAAGTTGTTGCTTTGACCGAAACATATATAAAGGGAACCTTGTTTATGTGTTTAATGAAAACGTATGCGTTTTAAAATTAGTTGTAGGTTGTAAATTGAAGTGAAAGTGGGTTTAAAATTTAAATATCACTTTAACACAGTGTTTTTTGATGGGCTTGCTAGAAAAACGAGTTCTCCTGAATATATAGGCTTGAGTTTAAATTTGTGGTCCATTGGCTTCTCTTTACTTCATATACAAACTCAATTGAAGTCAATTAGGGTAGACTTTTCGAATAAAAGTCTAATTTTTATAATGAAAGCAGAGACACGCACCATCAGGACTAACACCTCTTCATCCTCCCGGATCGATGAAATTTCCTTGGTGGTTAATTGGTAGGTGGTTGGCTAGAAGACGATGTTGCTGGCAGTCTGATCATGAAAATAATAATATTACTGTTTCTCATCATCTCATTCAAGTTACCTATTGTCGTTTATCGAGACCTATATTACTATTCGACCCACCTTACCAAAATTCCTGTCTACGCCCCTGGTTATAGCAAAGGAGAAATGGTTTCATGTGCAAAGACCTCTCTTAAATGTTTTTTAGAGGATATTTCTTGACATAGAAGGTGACTTATATCCCTAAATATAATCACACAATCATATCATCTTGAAGTAGAGTACCTCCCTCTCCAATATGGTAGCAACTCACATAATCTAGGTGGTATATCATATATGACGGGCTCTTGACCATAATCCATAAACATGTGTTTGGAAATTCGCATAATACTTTCTTACTTGGAATGGCAATAAGTTTGACCAATTTGGATAGTGGAATACTGAAATGAATCTAATCAATCGAGATACTATTACATGGATCCACTTTGATGATTGGATTGAGTAAGGATTGGACATTTTTGTGTCCACTTTTGTTGGGCCGGAGTCAGTTGGATCCACTTATGTAATGTCTTGCTTCATGCTCCCTTTAAGCTTCGTTCGTCGTCTGAATGCTCATATTGCGCGCTTCTTGTGGGGGACTGATCAAGGACAACGAACGATTCATTGGATTGCATGGAAGCCATTATGTCTTAGTAAGCATGAAGGTGGGTTGGGATTTTGAGATTTTGAGGCCTTCAATCAAGCATTACTAGCAAAGGTAGCTTGGCGTTTGCTGCAAGAACCTGGTTCTTAGTTGGCGCGACTTCTGAAGGGTCGGTACTACCCTCATTTCACTTCCATTCTTGACGCGACGGCGGGCTCTGATCCTTCTTGGGGCTAGAGAAGCATTTTAGTTGGTCGTGACCTTCTGCAAAACGGGCTTCGCTGGCAGGTGGGTTCTAGCCATTCGATTCATGCTTTCAGTGATACTTGGTTGTCGTCCACACCGCCATCTGCTCATCTTTTGCGGTTAGGGGTTCAACCAACGACGGCCTTTGTTTTCGCGTTCATTGATCCAGGTACGCCAGCTTGGAATCCTGTGGCTCTTCAACACTATATACATGCGAAATCAGTCCGGTTGATTCAGTCAATTCCCATTCCTTTACGGCCCATTCCGGATCGCCTTATTTGGCATTATAGTCCCTCAGGTATGTATGATGCTAAAACATTTTATCATCTTGCTTATGATTTGTTGCGTCTGAATCCTAGTAAAAATGCAGAGTCAATGTGGTTGATCGGAGTATGTGGAAATGGCTATGGAATTTAAAAGTGCCTCCAAAGTTAAAGATTCCTTCTATGACAATGTTTGCATCGGATCTTACCAACTCGGGAAGCTTTGTTTTTTAGAGGTGTTGATCTCCTCCCGCTGTGCCCAGTCTGTAATCGGAAAACTGAGACTTTGGAGCACATGTTCTTCACTTGCCCTCTGGCTAGACGTTTTTGGCGACTCATTGGTTTTGACTTGTCACTTGCACAGTGGGACACCAGAGCCTTTGCGATTTTTGTTCTTCACATTTGTTTTCTTCTTCAGGTTCAGATGGGCAATACAAGGTGTTACAGATTATCTGTGCTTTGTGGCAGCTTTGGAAGAATCGGTGTAAGGTGTCTTTTGAGTATTGTCAACCCCATCCGTCAATGCTGGCCCATCAGTGGGCGCATCAAGTATAAGAATTTGATAGGACAGTTCTTCAAGAGTTGGTCAATCATAATCCTTGATCTTCAGCACTTCCATTACGCTATCCGGCGCAAGGCGGATTCCAGGCTTGGCATACGGTTCCTTTGATAGGACAGTTCTTCAAGAGTTCGTTCTCCTGCTGGTGACATTGTCATGGCTAAGGGGAACCGGTACGATGGAATTCAAGATGCAACAGCTTTGGAGGCACTTGCTTTGAGAGACTGTTTAATTTCTTGCAAAGTGCGTGGATGGACCCAGGTGGCGATTGAAGGGGATGCACAAGTTATTATTGACAAATGTTATGCAGAGTGTGTTAGGGATGTGGCAATTGCAGGAGATTGTCATGATGTTGGGAGAATTCGGTGGATTGTCCTTCGGTTCGTGGATAGGGAAAGAAACAGAGAGACTTATTTGGTGGCCCATAAAGCTATGTTATTGTTGCCTTACATGTTTCGGAGGTTCAACTACGTCTACGTGTCATGGCTTTGTAGTGTTTAGTTCATTGTAATTCTGTAATGGATCTTTTTATTGCTCTTTGACAAAGAGATCCAATGGGGAAAAAAAATATTCTATAATGATTAATGGCAGTCCATTTCCAACCCAACTCTAATAGACAAAATCCACCCAATTCAACTTGGTGGTTACTACTAGAAGACATTATTATTATTATTTTATTACTCTAGCTTTCCCTTAACGCAGGACTAAAAACATTAGTTTTGATTTTTTATGGGATAACCAAACTTGAAAACACAACCACATAATTGTCATGAACTTGGAAATACTAAGAATTGAACTAAGTATTGTTGGGGTGGGCTATCCAATTAAGGACCAGCCCTTCAAAAATAGACGTATGCTTCTATGCACAACGCGTACATGGTATCTCTACACATAATATAATACACCGAAGGGAAAAACGGGAGCCCCATTTCAAATTTCCTGCAACGAGAGTGAAAGTAGGAAGGACATTTTGGTCTTCACACTTACTTTTTATAATTCATTAAAAAGACACGTAGTGGGATTCAAACCATGACCATTTTAAGGAAAAGTAAGGATCATAACCAATCACACTAAGTACATTTGTTGTATCTTTTTAAATTAAAAAGATATAATAGCAGAGAGGAAAAAACCCTTCCCCCATTTCAAAATTCCTGCTCCAGGAGCGTTTGTAGGAATGATAGAATAGGGAGTGTCAATTTTTTCCTCTTTCCTCTGTGGAACGGGCCAACTTACCGTACAAATGCGGATTTAAACGGGTTCAAGAGTGTCAATTTTTTCATTAAGCCCTTTTATTTCTCCGTGGTGATAGAATATATATGAAGAGGCAAAAACAATACTTCTTTTTATTGCTAAAAATAAAAAATTTAACAATAAACTAATGCATGGTATCTAATGGGCTAACCGCTAACCATAAAATAAAAGAGTTGAATTGGTTTGACCTACACGGGATTTGGACATCAAGTAAAACAAATGAACATCATTGGTTTGACATTCTAAAACAAGCTATTTTCTCTGGCATAATATATTATGCTATTATTTTATATCTTAGTGGCTAAAATATAATGTATTTTAAAGTTATTCAATGGTTCAACCTCGACCAACCCAATTAGTCCAATTTTTATCATTTCAAATATATATTATATAATTATTTGATATCATAATGATCAAATCATAGTGTATTTTATAGGGAATCGTTTGGTATTTGTTAGTAAAAAACTAAACAGAAAGATCTATTTGGTTATTTTAAACATTAAAATGATCCTAACATTTTCAGTTCCTTTTGAATTTCTATGGTTTTATTCCCGAATAAGTGATGTGCAAATGGCAGTCATCTCTTTTCTTTCACTATTTTTTATTTTCAAATAAAAAGTTTAAAAGTAAAGAATAATTAGAATTTGGCATGGGTCGGTCATACAGGCTGCATTTCAAGTTTTGGCCCCTTTTGATCAAGTCTAATTTATAATCACATGGTTCCCTAATACCTTATAAAAATCTCCATCCAAACCAGTTTGGCAGGTGAGTCCGTGTTTACCACCATTTTCTAGGGATACGACAACGACGGTTCCTATCCAAAATCGTGTTGTTCGTTCTTTATTTCCTTAGATTTTATCATAGCCTGAAAAAAACCAGAAAGCACAATGACGACAAGATGAAAGTTTTATAAACCAAATTAATCGGCCAACGGGCCGAGTAAAAGCTAGCAACGATTGTGAGATGCTCATTTCCCGAAAACCGACGGGATAGGCGATTTTTTATTCGATTTTCTGGAATTCAGTTTCTATAAAACTTACTCCACCTCATCATATTACCAGAAACAATATTGTTTCACAAGGTAACAGGTACTTGATTTTGGTTCATAAGGCCGATTTTTGATTTGTTGCATCTCTTTCCTGCTAAAATTCACTATTTTTATCACGTGTTTCCCAAAAAAACTATACAACAATAAGTTATACACCCCATTACATTATCAAATTTCATACCTCACCTTCCTCTAGGGATGAAAACAAAATCCGAACCCACGGGTACCCACCCTACCCAACTCGGTCAACGCGGGTAAAATCCGTGTTGACGGGTTTTGGGCCGGGTTTGGGTTTAAACCCGTTCAATATTCATCGGGTTGGGTTGGGTTTAGGTAAACCCGACCCATGGGTACCCGCCCACACCCATATAATTAATTTTCTCGATATATTTAATATTCTAAACAACTTATCTTATTTATGTTTGTGGAGACATGTCTAATTTTTTATTTCTAATTGTGTAGAATGAAGTTGATGTTATCGAGTGGAGAGTGAAGAAACTTAATTGAAAGGAAGAAGCTTTCAATTAATCATGTTATTTATGGATAATTTGTTATTTGCTTGAATTTTCTAGAATGGTATTTTATAGGGTTAATTGCATGGTTGGTCACTGAAATTTCAAAAAACGTTCAAGTTTGGTCACTCAAAATATTTAAATCCATTGGTGGTACTTCAGTTTACTGAAACCGTTCACGTTTGGTCACTCTCCGTCCAACTCCGTTAACTTTTGCTGATGTGGCAGTCAACTTTCAAAGTTGACTGTTAACTTAGTGACGTGGCAATTAAAAAATTATTAAAAATAAAAAAAATAAACTTTTATATTTTCCACCTCATTATTACATTCATTAAAAAATAAAAAAATAAAAACCTAATTTCTTATTACATTCATTAAAATGCAGGACGAAACAGTTCCGATCGTCACAGGCATTGGGATCCCACCGCCGGATTTGCTCCCTCAACGGAACCCAGCTCGGCGGAGGAGGAATGGGGAATGTGGTGGCTGCGGCGGAGAGGATTTTCCGGTGCCCGTATTGCTCAAAGGTGTTCGGGTCGGGTCAAGCACTGGGCGGACACAAAAGGTCACATCTCAACGGCGGTGGTTCCTGCCCTACGCCAGCTGCCGCTCGTCCACCACCACCACCTCCGCCGGCTGCCAAAATCGACAAGAACTACAGTTTTTTGGACCTCAACTTTCCAACACGGGTGGAAGACGACGAGTTTAGTGTGGTTTCTGATGCTTAAGTTTCTCCAAACTGAAACCAAGGTGGATGTTTTCGATACACAATACCAATTTCTCGAATCAAAGTTTCCATCTTTATGGTTCTGTATAGTCTTTTCCATGGTTGATGTTGGCCCACAGGGTTGGAACTAACTTGGGTTCTGTAGAATTTGGTGGAAGTGGGTCAAATTCATGAGTTGTAGCCATAGATAGGGAAACTGAACCCATGAACCCAATTCTCATTTTGCCTCCATAGATGAACTTCAGATGTTCTTCTGTTGTCTTGCAGACTACTAACTTGACAATGTTTGGTTAATCTTCATTTGCTGTGCTGCTGCTGAATGCTGACTACAAATTTGTCTGATTTGGATTTGGGTCCTTTTGGTTTCTTTCGGAAAACTTCATTGAATGCTAAAGCTGGCTAATGGGGCTTTGCTTTTGCTTTCAAACAGATACTTACTTGCCTCCTCTCCCACAGAGCTCCTGAATTCCTGACTCTTCCTTTCCTCTGTTTTTTTTTTTTAACTTTTCTTCATGTGATTTCTTGATTTGATTGGTTCTGGTTCATGCTGTGTCAGTTTCGGCCGCTGCTGGAGCATCGCTGCTCTGTCCCTCAGCGTCGTCGGGAAATCGATCTCGGTTGAACACCGGGTAGAAAACAGGAGAGACCAGTATTTTAATGAATGTAATAAGAAATTAGGTTTTTTTTATAATGAATGTAATAATGAGATGGAAAATATAAAAGTTTATTTTTTTATTTTTAATATTTTTTTAATTGCCACGTCACTAAGTTAACGGTCAACTTTGAGAGTTGACTGCCACATCAGCAAAACTTAACGGAGTTGGACGGAGAGTGACCAAACGTGAACGGTTTCAGTAAACTTAAGTACCACCAATGGATTTAAATATTTCGAGTGACCAAACTTGAACGTTTTTTGTAATTTCAGTGACCAACCATGCAATTAACCCGTATTTTATATATGGATAATTTGTATTGAGAGATTGATATTTGACTTTAATTTTGATAGCAACTTGTTATTGTAAATTTTTTAAGACAAAAACCTGTGGGTACCCATGAACCCGCGGATCCCCTGGGGGTTGAGTTGGGTTTGAGTTTTTCAAACCCAGTGGATTTACCCGAATTTTTTTCACGGATAAACCCATGAATTTGGATTTGACAAAACCCGACCCATTGCCATCCTACCTTCCTCCGTCCAACTAGCCAGGACCCACACTAGTTCTTTAGTAAAAGGCGAAAGAATAGTTCGCTATGTACTCATTGCAAGGCTGAGTGAGAAGTAAAGGATAACTTGAGTTTGTTTATATTGGCTACTGTGCAGAGGAAGGGGTGCTTTGGAGTCAATGGCCGATGTGGTATTAATCTTCCTTGGATAGGTCTTTACTCTTTAGCCATGAATGATAACGCATTATGTTTGTTGGGATTTTCATTACAGGCATGAAAGTTTGGCTTCTGATGTTTGATTCAACGTCTCAAACAACAGTTTCTGATCCTCTCTGCCCCCTCACCCCAAAGCATCAGCGTAGAGACCATTGGATGGAAAGCAGACCGGAGGAATGAATGTCTGCAATTAGAAACAGCTATAGCAATTGTCGTCAGTGAAACAAGTAGCCAGCAAGTGTTTTCCTTGTATTCTCTCTTTGCTCCCTTGTTGTAGGTTACATGGAAGAGTTGTTGTATCCATGAAACAGATCTGTCCTGCCACCAAAGTCCCTCGCACAAGAGGAAATAACTCCAGATTCAGTGTCATAAACACCCCAGCCGCCGCCATTGCCGGAAGCAGCAAAGTAGACGGAGTTTCCCTTGCATTCCAACAACTTATCCCCAGAAACAGACATACAAGAATTGGAGCCCAGAAACAACGCTGCTCCTCCCAGGCTCCTCGCCCTAACCCACGCCAGCTCCTTCAATTCTAGCCTGTAAACCTCCACATGATCCACCGTCTCCGTAGATCTAGTCGAACACAGAAAAACCAGCACCACTTTCCCTTCCGATTCCACCAAGCACTCCCTGAAACGACGCCTCGTAGCGGCCAGATCTGAATCAGGAACCGCTCTCTGCTTCCCCAATTTCGTAATCCGCAGATCGGAGTTCACATCTTCTTCTACAACAGCGAGCGTGCCTTCCACACTAAGAGCATAGAATCTGTCCTGAAACCAGATCCCATTGCTGAATCGCATCCAACGCCCACGGGTACAATGTGGGTCTACGATTTTGCAGTTGATCTTTCGCCAGTCGGAATCTCCGTGCAGATCCAGCCGGGTAAATGCAAAAGCCGGGCAGCTGGTTCCGGTCAGAACAATCACAATCGGGCATTTCCTTTTCCTCTGCTCTTTGGAGAGGAACCGGCAGGAAGAAGACAGAGCAGGTAACAAAGTGGGGACATCGGGGCTCCATTTGGGCAAAAAGCAGGACAATCGCAAAAATGGGTCGAAGAGGATCATCTCCTTCTCCCTGCTTGGGGACAACAACGATTTGATCACCAGAAATCCATGGGTGCATCCCAGGAATTCCAGAGTGGAAGGTTCTTCGGGCTTCTTCCATCTTCCTCCCCAAGAAAAGTAACCGAGCTCGAACCTCTGGTGCAGCTGAACCCGCTGGAACCCGTTAGTAATCGAAGGGATGTTGTGGAGCTCGAGCCACGGCCCTGCAGAAATGGAGTGGGTGGACTTGTGTGATGGGATTCGCCATGATTTGGTGACGCTTGTGCTGGTGATGTTGCGCATCAGGGACCATTCCCTGTCTACTGTCAGATCGGAGGGGGAGAAAGTCGACTCACTAGCTATTAAGCGGATGAGCTGCTCCGGTAGATTCGGCCAACAATTTCGGGGTTTGGAACGTTCTTTGCTGCTGCTCGGAACTGCGACACCATCATTTTTGCTGCCTTTCTTCTTCTGCTTCTTGTGTGGGCCATTTGTCGCCATAGCGGTTTGGAACGAATTGGTAGGTTAGTGAGGGGAATGGTTGGGAATGGAATTGAATAGTGTACGATAGATATACATGTCGAAGCCGTGGTGCTCAAGTTGTGAAGTCAACCGAGTATATGAATAATGGGTTCTCAATTTTTTGAAGGGCAACTTGTTGGAATCTAGAGTGGGTGACAAGGTTTCACAGGAACCAGAGTTGAATAGAGTGGGATTCTTTACTTCTTTCAAACGAGAGAGTCCCTATCTTAACCTGGTATTTTGGATTTTGCAGCAGCTGCTCGATTCAGTAAAAGGAGATGGATTCAGTTACTCAAAACCCTTTTCTATGCACAATCTTCACTTCCTTTCACTGTCAAGATAATTATAAGTAAACATGCACTGGGGGGAGTTAAAAATTCCATCGATTTTACAGATTTTCAAGGCTGTAGACTAAGTCAGCCGGGTAACTCAACAGCTAGGCAACTACTGATAAAATTGGACTAAGCATTGTTGGGACAATCCAATTAAGGATTATCCCTCCAAAAATAGACGTATGCCTCTTTAAAGCAGCGCGCACACGGTATTCTTTAGTAAAAGGCGAAAGAATAGTTCGCTATGTGCTCACTGCAAGGCTGCGTGAGGAGCCTTAGAGCGTTTGAGTTGCTTTATATAGCCTAGTACGCCAGGGAAGGAAGGGGTCAGATGTCCACCAGCGATGTGGTATTCCATTTTCGACTGGACTCCTTTACTTCAGCCACGCACCTCCAAGCCTTTGTGCCTGCGTTTCTTTCTACCGTTACCAAGTCAGTATTATGGTTTCTGAAGTTGATATACAGTCAGGGGAGAAGGATGGTTTTTTTTTAATCCATAGTTCCCCTAACAAGAAGAGTACTAAACCATGGATAGAAAAGCAAGCTGACCAAGGAATGGCATGCTGAAATGGAGATTTGCTTATCCCCAGCCAAGTCAAGAAATAGGCTTTGCAGAAAGATACATCTGGTATTCAGCTTTTCCTTCCCCAGCCATCCCTATGCTAAATCTCTTCTTCTGCATCTTTCAACGAGACTTGGTCCCAATCTCCACTTGCTCTTTGGTTTTTCTCCAGCAGCTGCTCAATTCTGTAAAAGGGGATTGATTCTCTACTGCTGCAGAAACCCACTTCTTCCAAAACAGAGTTGGCTAGGAAATCAATCCCTCGCGATTGTTTGCCACTACTACAGGTTTTATACTTGTAAGCAAATATTCTTCAGTTTTAGACCAATTAATCCTCAGATTATTAAAAACTACTGGTACAGACATCAATGTTGCTACTTTGGAACTAAAGGTGAAGGTGGGGCACAGCAACCAGAGAAGAAATTATGTATCAAGCCCATATGTTATTTTACAGCCCAATTACTAATACAAATCGGCCCATTTAGCAAAAAATATTGGACTTTGGATTGTAGGGCTTTACCCCGAAGGGGGCCCTTCCAGAAATTCTCGAGGGCCACGAGCAAGCCGCGGCCCAAGAGGGGGTTTGGAAATAGTTTTCAACCAGCAATTGACGCGCCTCGGTTATTACCTCACTAGCTGCGTCATTGCCCCAAGCGCAAAGATGCTTTTTTCCGTTGGGCTGCCAAGTGTTCTTATACTCCAGCTCCCCTACTTGGCTTTGTCAGTGGACGATGTGGTATTTTCTGCTGCTTCTGGTCAGTCCTCGAGCCACGTTACAAATGGATTTGTTTACTCCTCTCCACTGCTTTCCTTTTGCTCATGCTGTCATGCATCACTATCGTTTGGCCGATCATATGGAACATGTGTTTTTTTTGGTCCCTCTCGCTACAATTCGATGGAAGAACTCAGATCAGATCATCTGAAGGTTGGTCAACTTAACCCAACAAGTAGCACCATTATGAAATCATCATAGGATGCTACCGGTTAACTTACTATTACTTGATTTACTTCCACTAATTGCTCATATCTGGTATAAATTTTGAAATACTGTGATCGGTCAAGTAAAATATATTTATTTATGCTGTCAACTTGAAAAGATTTTTGTTGCCTACTGGCTACTACCAACCACGCCCAACACCATAAAAATGTGACAAAGCTGTATAAATTTATTCGCTCCCCTTTTCGCTTACGAAGATCACTGCTATCCCTGCTCTGCTCACTAGCCTCTCCTCTGCGAAAGAGAAAACACGAGAAGAATAAAAAATGACCCTGGAGATCGCTGTGAAGGCTGCCGCTGGTGCCCCGGAGCTGCTGGGAGACTGTAAAGCTTTCTCCTTTCTTCATCCTCATCTCTATTTTCTGATACAATCTCATGTGGCGACTCGATTTTCGACAAATCATGGTTCTGCGAGATGGGTTTTTGATAGGATCAGTTGGGTTTTGGTTTTGGATGTTCAGGTCCGTTTTGCCAGAGAGTTCTGTTGACATTGGAAGAGAAGAAGGTTCCTTACAAGTCGCTTCTTGTCAATCTCAGTGATAAACCTCAGTGGTACGTTTTCCTTTTTGTCCCTCTCGATGATTGACTTGTTGCTCCGTGTAAAAGTTTTTGCCTTCTCTGTTTACTTTCCGTTCTTTAACTAATCTGAGGGTTGAGCTTATAGTTCTCTTTCTGAGGCTGTAATCAGATATTTGTGACCCTAATAGTAGTGGATTCAAAAGCTTTTAGTTCTACTTTCTGAGACTTGTCTGATTGGCTGATCTTGTAAGACAGAACATATTGTTTGATCTCTTGTATCTGTATACTGGATGATTTATCATTTGGTAGTACTTCACCTTGAAGAAGAGATCTTCACTGCAATGTTAATGCAAGTTTCCTTTTTGGCTATGGTACTGGAATAACTGCAAGTACTTTATTAATGGGGTCATCCTACTTACTGAGAAGAAGTGAGAGGCCAAGTAGATCTTGTCTTCTGGATTTACTTTGGGACTGTCTCCTGGCTTTGATAAAGTTATAGTGGTTGGTGCCTGGTTTAGTATGGAAAATGCGTGGCTGCTTGTTATGCATACTGATGGAAAAGATTGTGGGTTGTTGTTGGTTTGATTAGGTTCTTGGACATAAGCCCTGAAGGGAAGGTTCCAGTGGTGAAATTTGATGACAAATGGGTTGCTGATTCTGATGTCATTGTTGGGATGCTAGAAGAGAAATATCCAGAACCATCTCTTGTCACTCCTCCTGACTTTGCCTCTGTGTAAGCTATTCTCTTCCCTTTTTCTAGGCTCCCACTGTTTGCATATGTTGCAGCTGAAAAAGACCTAAGATCTCATTGAGGTTTCTGGATTGTTTGTTTGTTTAGCTTCTCGTTCTAGATCCTGCTATGAATCATTATTAATTATTCTGAACTGTTGGATCTTTTTATTTGACAGAGGTTCAAAGATATTCATATCCTTTATCAACTTCCTGAAGAGCAAGGACCCTAGTGATGAAACGGAGAAGGCTTTGGTTGAGCAGCTGAAGGCACTTGATGAGCATCTCAAGGCAAATGTATGCAAAAACTTGAATTGCATATTCATGTAATAGAATCGCTGGATGCCTTGTTTATTATTTCTTCTTGAGACACAAAACTAAATGGCCGGCTATGAATCAGGGGCCTTTTATTGCTGGAGAGAAGATCACTGCTGCGGACTTAAGCTTGGCCCCGAAACTGTATCATCTGGAGACTGCTCTTGGCCATTTCAAGAAGTGGAGTGTCCCTGAAGACTTGACTCACGTCCACAACTACATGAAGGTAAAAAATCCACCCCCCCACCCACAAAGTTTACTTCGATTGGTATGTCCGAATTTGGAACTCGTCCTAGTCTCTCGTTCAACGTTGGACGAGTTGGAACTTGTTCTAGATAGGATAGAAGTAAAAACTTAACTCATAGTATGTTTGTATTTGTAATTGCAGACATTGTTCTCCCTTCAATCATTTGAGAACACCAAGCCTGCTGCCAAAGAATATGTCATCGCTGGTTGGGCACCTAAGGTCAATGCATGAATTCGTTCTCTTATATGAGTAGTAGTTGTGAGCTTCGGTTGTAATGTTTGTCGAGGATGTTGTACTAGTAGACTCTGCTACCCACAAATAAGCTATTTGACTTAGAAGAATAAAGCTTTGTGTTTTTATCTTGAATGGTGGTGTTATCACTTCATCTGAAATGTACTTGTGGAGAATGGGACTCTTGCCATATTGAGGTCTCGAGATGTTGGTGTATGTCAACTTTGACCACATGACATCCCAATCGCGTGCGATAAAATTTATCACTGGATTTGAATTTTGGGGTCGATAATCATAAAAATAGCATCATCTTGATCTTGTACAAAAATGCTAGTTTGTTCATAGTTACTGCATTGGTTGAAAACCTACAAACCCAGGTCTTATCACTCCTAGTTACTGCATTTTTAGAATGGCTCACGACATAAAAGTGCATTGGATTGCTAGTTTGCTACTTGTTAGAACCGGTGACAGGATTCTCTTATTCCGGAGTGAATTCAATTACTTAATCCGATTTCAGATCGCGCTTTAGAGTATTTTTTGCTGCTACCACAGGCGCCTGATTATTGGATGAACGAACTTTCAAGTAGAAGTAAAATGAAACGTGGATACATAGTGCTTTTACTCACACAAGCAATAGGTTCATGATCATGATAAGGTAGATAGAAAGCTCTGTTTCCTGTACAGGCAAACGTCCAACAAGGAAGGGTAGGAAGGAAATATTACAGCACACAGCCAAAGAACTTTGGTTTGTGAGGATAATATAATTTCACCAATCTCATTTCTGCTCCTACGTACCATATCTTCATTTTCACCCACACAAAAAAGTAGTTGATTGTGACCATCCATCCAAGCTCCCACCCTTTTGTTTTCGTCTTTGTGGGTTCGTTTCCCTTTTCTTCCTCGAGGTTCTACAGATTGTCCCCACAAAGCATATTCTTGACTTCATTTAAAGAGAGAAATGGAGCGAATCAGCTTCAAAACGTCGAGACAAACAAAGAAAACAACCACACAATTTAGCAGCAACTGAGAAGGAATGCTTCCTTTCTCATCAAACACACGATCATTCAAATAAGACTGAGAAAGAAAGCAAGAGGATCGATAGTGTTTTTTTTTTTTTGGGCTCAAGATTCACGTGGCATACGATGATGGGACGAATACAACAACAACAACAAGACTGACATGAACATGCAGCAGCACATAAAGAGATTCGTCCTCTTACGTATACTACATAGCTTCTTCCATACATAAGGACAGAAAAGGGGCAATGGACCACTAGGAAGCCAATGACACATGTAAGAATAAGCAGTTTGAGATGTTCCTTTCTTGCAAAATACTACCGAAAGGGGGGAGAGAAATTGTAAACCTGCTAATGCTTTCATTCATGATCAGTCCTTGGAGTCTTCTTTGGAGGATTCAGTGATCATCTTCTTGATCATTGTGCTCGTTTCTTCCTCGGTCATCCTTTCGTCTTTGCTCTTGGATTCAGCATAGGCTTCGAAGAATCCTTTGTTCTCTTTCTCCAGTTCATTCCACACTGCCATCACACACACAGAAAAAGAGTTACCATCTTACTGAGAAATTTGGGGTCTTTGTGATCATAAGAATCGGTTTTGTATCTCTATGCAAGGATCACAGTGATCCTGATTTTGGAATGACATGCAGGACATGAAAGGGCCATGAAACTATCTTCAGCCCAATCAAGTTTCAGAAATTGGACGTCTTGATGATCCTGAAAATAGAGCAAGCAACTTTTGGGTTTTCTCTTATAGTTCTGATATGGAGATTACTGTTTGATCAAAAATTAGTTCCATGGAGAGCAGGGTTAGGGATCATTTGAAAGTTCGAGCTTTGATGGTTGAGACTTACGACCCGGATCAGCTTTGCTGGTATGCAATAATGATAAATGAGGTACGTGTTTTCTTCATCTTTACCAGATCAAAAATGAAAAAACTAAACAGCTAGACATGAATATCAGCTGTGATTCCTTAAAGCTACTGAAGACTTGCACAGTTGCACAGAACAGTATCAAATAAAAAAAGTGGTCAGAGAGGTTGAGGGAGGAGAAAAAACCTGTGGAGGTGATGACAGGTTCGATTTTTGCATGCTTGGAGAGAGCTTCCATGCACTCTTCTTTACTCATATGGAAGATCAAGCATTTCTCTATCAGATGCTGCACCTATATATACGTTTGCCAACCATCAGTTAATATCATCAGCACCAAGTGAAAAATAACAGTAAACTGATCAGTGTCAAATGATATGAGGACAGTTTCAACCATGTGTATGTATGAAGCAGAAGAGTCGCCCTCCATGAATGAATAAAAAATCTTCCCTGAAAAGAAGCAAAAGCCCCACTTCTAAACTAACTACTACTGGGAACTCAATGAGTTAGGATCTGAACCCACTAACACAACAACTATAACAAGCAAGTGCACATATATATACAGCAACATGGTGTAGCAGTCCACAAGAGAAAAAGTAAGAGAACTGCAGCATAAGGTTTAAGTTGATAGGGGGAAGATAGAAATACGATCAAAAGTAGCCAAAAGAGGTGGAAGTGGTGGGGAAACAAGGTATTAGTAGAGTCCCACGTGGTAGATGTGCAACAATTGGCTGAGAGAGGATTAGGGGAGATTCTGTAAATGACAACAAGGAGCTTGCCACTTAGGCAAAACCTCCCAGCACCCCCTCCACGTGATTGCTGGGACCTTCCCCAGGCCCCAGTCTAGAATTTGTGAGGAGAAAACAGACAAAAGCTCCCATATATGTATGATATGAAATCCTCCAATAGTGTTTTTGATGGAAGTGATCTCTCATTTCATCTCTACTCTTATCTTTCTGGATCACAAGATTACTCACAAGGCTACCAACAGACAACAGTGTGCAAGCTAACTTGCCCTTTCTTCTTTGCTTCTTTTCCACTGGTTTATGCTATGGGACATGCAACCAAGATCACTGATGATAAAATTTTCCAATGGAAGTTGTTCATTGAAACCAAACTTCTTTCTACAAATAGACAGCTCTGTAAAACAGTTCCTCTACAGTTTTTTCAAGTGAAGGGACTCCTGTCATTCAGTAATCTGGCCGTGGTAAACATATATTCCTTACCTCCAAACCCTATGTCGTTTACCTATCAATAGCTGAAGGGGCAAAACTTGCGAAGATTTTCTCATATTCTGTGCTTTCCAAAGAAAACAGAAGAAAGAAACCTCCAAGATGCTCTAGTGCTCTCGAGTGTTGGAAGATATTTCACAACCCCAAATTCCAACAAAAACTGCCCATCATGCCACTAAGTCTACGTGACGAATTGTGGTTGGTTGGCATATGCCTACCCGCCAAGATCCCAGTTTGAACAGCTACCCTAGTGTCTGTCTTCTTTTATTTTCCCTCCTTGCTATCTTACGAATGAATGCAACTGATCATGCAACTAGCTCCCTTCTCTTTCTTGATTGATGCCCTTTTCTTTTACCCTTTAACATGCTAATTTGGCTGATCAAAGTCCTTGCCACTGAACTCTAGTTTGTAATGGGATGCATTTGGAGGTTCTAGTTCTTTGTGAGGTCACAGGTAAATTGCTGATGCATTCGACTTATGATGTCTGCTGATGATTCTGCCTAATGGCATAGTGTAGTGAAGAGTGTATAACTAGAAATATAAACAGCTAAGAATATTCACTACAAGCAAACATGAGAATCTATGTGTGAAATTTATGAAAACTGACTGCTTTTGTCTTGAGGGTAGTGGCTGGAATACCTTGACTGACTGGTTTGTCTGTTTCTGTTTTAGCTTTTCGTGTCCAGTCCAGTTGCATCAATATATTCCTCCCTGTAAGTGAGTGAAAATCTCAAAATCATACATGCTTATAGGCCTTCAATGGAATAATGAACCAAACCCAAATATGGATCTCAAACTAGCAACTAACCTCACCACACAAACAAAAAACTTTCTGTTCAATTTGAACTGAAATTGTAGACTCTTGGCATGGTTATGTAACTTCTAACCAAAACCATCTGTCCAGTGTCTCTTATGTCCACAAATTCCGTGTAATCTAACAGTCAGCAAAAAATCAGACACCAGAAGTGTCATCAAAATACACAAATGCTTCAAGTCACATGCGTCGTATTTGACGAATTTCAGATTTTTCCGACCATATTGATCCGGATTATTGTGATACTGTCGAGACACCAACAAAGGTTTACCATGATCCACTTGAAAATAATGACTATGAGGTTGTTAAGGACATGCAATAGTTTGCAGAAGAAAGTGCAAGCTCATGGCAAGAGACAGAAGAAAGGCCAAAATTAAGAGAGCAGAAAGCAGAAAGCAGGGAAGAAAACATTACATAATGGAGAGACTAAACTCTAAAGTATATGCAGTGTGGTCCAATTGGAAAAGCAGAGCATGATCATAACATCGTTCAGTTCTTTTGGTTCTTCCTCTAGTGCCAATACTTACAAATTTCCTGAAATCGACTGTTTCTGCAACCGCATATATAACAGAGAGAGCTTACCTTACCTTACCTTACCCACTGCGGAGCTCGTATTTTGATAGCGTTGAAGATCGAGGCAGATGATGTGTCGGAAACCCATTGGCTGCGGGTTGCCAGGTGTGCCCAAGAATCAAAATGAAGAAGAGCAAGACTCCACCTTCCACATTTGGTTTTTGATGATCGATCTGGGTTCCTTTGTCAGCATTCTCACTATCGCGAACGCCAGAGCTTTCCAGTGACCCACCATAATCGCCTTTTGTTTGCTGGTGACGTACCACGAAACGATAAACCAAAGACCGGAAAGCAGAGACCCGTTACAGATTATTCGCAAGGACAAGACTCATGTGGGTCATTCCCACAATCGAACGAATTAGCTCCCTTCAATTTTTTTGACAGTCACAACCTGTTCGACGAAATGCCTAGATGAGAAACGGCGAGAAGATAGACAGTGTTTTTAGACTGTGAAATTGGGGGATGGGTCCGTAAGGGAGGCCCGCGCGAGCGAGTTCTGCAAAGTAAGCAGCGTCAGCACTCGGCCAGCCTATAACCCCTCCAAAAATTACTTGCGCATAATACTATGTCAATTGCGCGGCGAGCGGCTCCCACCGCTCGCTTTGTTTTCCTTACTCATTAGTTTAAGGCAAGTTTCGAAAATGGAGCACGATCGTTACTTGTAGCTAGTTGCCTGGCAGACCTTTTGGAAACTGACGATGTGGTATAAGAAGGGAGTTGAGAGCAAGGATTGACAAACCTTCTACCGTAAGCTAAATAGATGTGTGTTATTTAGCGGTATAAAACAGCTAAACCGCGATTTCGACATAAAAAATCATTTACATCCTCTGGTACGGTTTTACAGTGTTTGGTTTAGACTTTAGACTACTATATTAAAAAGCAAGTTGAGACTACTATATAAAAAGGGAGTTGAGACTTTGGGTGTTATAGTAGTATGCAAATCTAACTAATTTTGTTGTCGATAGCACCATATGGGGGTTTAGTGTTGTTAAGAACAACTAGTATCAATACCCGCGGCTACGCCGCAGGAAATAAACTTGTTGTACTATGATTGAAAGAACTAAAGTTGTAGAATCCAAATAAGCAAACTTCATTTAGTCGACTGAAGCAAAAATATGTTATTAAATACCATACCGCAATCTAAGAAAACACCATATATATAAATAAATATCTTGACAACATTAAATATGAGGCAGTCTTAACAGATCTCAATTCCGAAGGTAAGTGGATTCCATATGGTGATGACCTCAAACACAGAATTGCCAAGTTTGACACTAAACATTTTTCCTATGACCGAGTTGAGGCATGCATTTATAGCGGTGTTAGTGGGGTTAGTTATTCCCTAGTTGATTGTTGCAACAGCGAGGTAGCGACATCGTTGTTGAAGAGGAGAATACATGAGGTTGAGATGTCATCACTTTCGATATCGATACGAAACCTGTACATAATTTGGTGAAAATGCAGTAAGCTTTTGAATTGCTGGTTTGTATAGTATTGTTATAATATGTACCTAGAGAGTTTGAGGCCTGATCAGAAGCATAGTGACAGTGATGCAATCAGTCAACATGTAAGTCGAAGGTAGGTTAGTGTAGGCAACAGTGACAAAGCGATTTACATGTTGGATGGTTTTGGCCAAAGCTGCAGTAGAGGATGGTTTCTATATAATTATGAGAAGTTTGCAAAATTAGCAAGTTGACAGGGTTATCCTCAAAATGTGAAAGATAGGAGAAAAGCATAATTAGCATGCAAACGAACCCATACAAAGGAGTTTGCATCAGCAACTTATTAGGAATCCACTGAAGGGTCAATGAAGTTGCTATAATAATTATGGTAGGAGTAAAATTGGTAAATAAAAAGGATTCAATACCTTCATAAGTCACATAAATTGGTAAATGAAAAGGATTCAATACCTTCATCCATGGTTCACATGTCCATCATTCCTATTCCTACTGTGACATATAGTTCTATTATTTGGCAAAAAAAAATCCGATTTTATGCAAATAAATTAGCAGGCAGGAAGGCTCCTTTGCACTGTTCTTTATTTTGACAATTTCGGGCAGAAATTTCCAAAACAAATGGACCTCTTAGCTGGGTTTGATGGACTTCCTATAAGCTCTGGAAAATATGAGCAGCAAGAGCTGGTTCGAAGGCAATCATGATAAATAGGGGTGGGCATTTGGTCGGTTCTGTTTCGACCGAACCGAAATTATGAATTTCATGTCCTCGAATTCCCTCAAACCTCAAACCGAATTATAATTCGGTTCGGTTTGGAATTCCACACAAAACCGAATTTGTGAAGCTACTTGTATCTTCTCTCTTTTAAATTATTTTCACCCCTAGTATAAATAATAAATATGCAATTATAGTAATTCGGTTTTTCGGTCAGAATTTCAATTCGATTGAAAGAACCCTGATTTTCAAAATATTCTTATTTTCCTTCCGAATTTCGAACCAAATAGCATTAATTCATTTTCCGTTCGGTTTAATTTGATTTCAGTTCGATTCGGTTCGAGTTTACCGAACTGGTTGCCCACCCCTAATGATAATCAAGGAATGATGAGAAGCACGAACCAACCACATGTCTATGGTCTGCATTGGCCGCTATGAGGTATGACATTAGTAGTAACTCTTTTCTCAACCAACTTCTTTTAGCCTACCACAGTTGACTATTTCGTCTTCAGCTACTATCTCTGCAGTTCTTATGGGCTTGTGCATGTGGGACTCTTGGTGAGATCACAATGCGAGTTGCAGAGGTGTTCGATGCATCAAAATTCCATGCAAACAAAGCGTTGAGGGTAAGGAAAAGATTGGGCAAAGGCCGTGTAGAAAACATTCATCAAACTTGAAGGTGGCCATGTAGGTAAGTCACCCTAAACTGCAGACCCACTACTACTACAACTTCTAGGGAACAATCAATGGCAAACCCATACAAAATAGTCGAAGAGAAGCAGTTGAAGTATAACCATCAAAGTGTTGTACATAAACACCCGCACGAATCTACTTAGCATGATTGATTAGTCCTAATCAGCTTTGTAAGAAATGAGAAAGGAAAATGGAAAAACCCGCTGAACCGAAGAAACCCTTTAAACCCAGCTTGTGAACCCACCAACCCATGCCCTTTGCCGTCTAAAAACCCCTTACTATATATCATACTTAGCCAAACAAACTCCGGGAGGGAATTTCTACTAAGCATGTCATATACTTATCCCATGAATCATAATGGAAGACATGAAAATAAGCCATTTATGTGGTTTACTTGTCATAGGAGTTTATGTTTTCAACTGGTTACTTTGTATATGGAAAGAGCCCAAATGAAGTCCCATATGACCCTAAATAAAAGAAATAAGAGAAGTGGTAATTGATAACTATGTACTGTTATCATTCAAAAGGTCCCCATATTGATGAGCTTGAGAGAGAAAGGAAGGATTGGCAACAGTAACTTGCTTAGGCTACCTGAATAGAATTTAAAAAAAAAAAGCGGCACACATGAAGTTTGAATAAACCAAGAACATAAGAAAAATGTACCACACCAAATGGAGGGATTTACATGAAGTTTGAATAAACAAAGAACCTAAGGAAAATGTACCACACCAAATGGAGGGATTGAGACAGGTGAATGCCAAAAACACCACTGCAGCTCCACACATTCGAATGAGTTGAGGAAAGGTCAGGCAGCTTGTCTGCAACTCTGCCCATAACGTGATTGAGAGTGAGGCTTTGCCGTGACCGATACAGAGTACATCAGGTAGCGGTACACACGTTAAACAGCGATTAGCGACAGAAACAAAAACCAAAGGCAACTTACCGTCCATTTTCGATGATAACAACCTGCTTCTTGATGGAGCATTCCTTTCTTATGGAAATAGTTGACAACAGGGACCTAAAGCAGCGAGAACTAAAGCTCATAGAATGCTTTCTTCATTTACAATCGATGTACTTCAACCTGTGAAAGCAGATGTCGGTAAATATAATTAGTATCATGTGCAAGGTGAAAGGTCTAGGGATAAGAGGGGAGGGAAACAAACTTGTGAATCACAATCAATTTGAAGAAAGGTTCTAAAACTTTGAGCAACGAAGATATTGTACAATTCCTTTCAAACAATTGGGTAAGCTAAGCATACTAAGTTCGTAAAAAGTTAGTAATGATGAAAGGAAAATCAACCTGTGGAAACCCCAAAATATGAAGAGGTTAAGGGCGAATCACAGGGCTGCAATGAATAATGAATTCGGGAGCCGTTGATTCAATGAAATGCAGCAAGAGGAAACAACTACCCACATGGAATCATCAGTGAAAACATCAACGTTTCTGTCTTTCCTCTCCGGTCTGAACTGAAGGTCGGCGAAGGCGTTCACAAACCCAAAGACCAACCGTCAGGTCGACGGATTGGGGCCATATAGAGACATGCGCGACCCGGCGGAAAGTCGAGTGTTGAGCGGTCTTCGCGTTTGACTATGTTGTCAGCGGAATTGAAGATTCGGGCCTCGATTCCTGCAGCAAGCGTCGTCGCTCCTCGAATTTTCCGAGCATTGGCATTGCACCGTCGGGAGAAGCGGAGCCCCGTGGAAAGGCAGTGATGGGGCCGTCGTCGTCGTTTTCCTTCGGAAGGACAGAGATTAGAGAAAATCACAAACGACAAAAGATGGAAACTTAGCAAAGAAGAAGTACAGAGGAATTGACGAATCTGGAGCTGGGTTTGTAAAAGAAGATGAACTGCAGGCGGGATGAGAGATTTCTTCTTTCTCGGGTTCTTCTTTTCTCCTTATCTTCGTCCTTCTTTCTGATCTAGGACAATGGGAGATGATTGAAAAAGCATGGGCTTGAAGTGTTTGAGTAGGTCTAGAGAGTTTGCTACATCGAGAAGCAAACCAGAGTGGTGAGGTGATGGGAGATGATTGAAGGGGTGACGTGTGAATGCAGATTTTGGGCTGAGATTGTGAGAGGATGGGGGATACAGAAAAAACATGGTCGTCCGTAATTGATGAGATGGAAGCAGAGTCGATGGGGAATGGATGAAAAGGGATATGGGAAAGTTTCGGTTCGGCAACGGGAAGGTTTACTCTGGGGCAAGCAATGCTGTGAGAGCAACTCACTAAACGCCAAAGAATGAAACAGTAACATACATATTGGGCCAATAAAGTGTAGTTGGCTTTCATATTCTATATAATGCTCACTTTGCAGGTTTGGCATTGAACTTCGGAATTAGGTTGGGAGGTAAGTTGTCTTATCTCCTGTTTGTCCTTGAGGAGGAATGGTTGGTGTCTACTTGTTCTTTTTGTCTATGTCAATAGATGTTGCTTGTTTCAATTTATGTTGGTATATTTCATCCGTGATATTATTATGCGATGTGTATTTGCAGAATTATTGTTTGTTTGTCATGGTCTTTATTGTTGTTGGAATGATCAATGGTCAACACTGGTTGAAGAATAATTTGGATCAGGTTGACAATATGGAGTTGAAATGTGAAAAAAGTAACCATCAGTCTTTTCAATGCCATTTCTTCTTACAAGTTTTCATTTAGGCATTGTTCAAACTTCAAGATCAAAGGAGAACTAGTGATACTTCTCGATGCTTTCATACATTCACCAACGATCTAAAACTTCGCAAAAGAGAGAGATAAGAGACACGCGATTTAAAATGATATACAAAAATATAAATATTTCATGTCTAATCGCAAATAACCTAAAATGTGATAAATTGAGAATGCCAAATTATACAATCCAAGCAAGCAAGAGGTGCACAACAATTGTTGCATAGATGACTTGTTGTTGCGACTACCATGAAGAGTGTAAAAATTGGTTATGATTGCTCTCTTGCATTGCTCAAAATCGTCAACAGAAACATATCATTTGATGTTTGGAAATGTTTGTAAACAAAAAAAAGATGGTTGGAAATGGAATATGGTCGTAATCTCTTATAAAATATAAACTACAATCTAATTGATTAATTAATGTGCCAAAGGAAGTACACAGGGACAATTCACATCCAGCTGAAGTAGGGTACGGGATTTCGTCGTTGTGTTTATCTTTATCATTTTAAGTCCAATGATATTTTTATGTTGCAAATTTTGCAGTTATTCAAAACCCCTGTCATCAATCTACTCTACCTGTCTGTGAGTTCAAAGCAATAATCGACCACCACCAAGTTGTGGTGATCATAGATCTCGTCTCTATGAAACAATACAGGGACATAACAAATTGCAAAACCCAAAATGTTAAACTGAGACACAAACAGTGTGGACATTTATCCTTTTCCTCGTCAAATTTTACACACTAGCAAAATATTCAACACTTACTTACAAAGAATATGTCATTACACACTACATGCCAATGCCATGGACAAAAAATTCAGGCACTTCTGTGAAATGTGAATACCCCTTTCAAGTTTCAAGGGGTGAACTTGTGGGACAACAATGGCTCCAAGTTCGGGTCACCATTCCTGGAAGCAGATGCTTTTCTCTGCCCAGATTCCAACTCGGCCACCGACAAGTCCTCCCCTCTCTGTTTCAATAACCTCTCGAATCGATTGGGTTTGGACTCCGCTGCTGGCGATGAAGTTTGGTGCAAACTCTGAACCTGCTGAAGGCAGACTTGGACCGCATCATGCACTCGTACGAAGTACCATTCCTTGCCAATGAGTTCCACAACCCCAGCTTTCGAAAGCGTCAGTAGAACTTCTCGGTTCGGATTTGTAATAGCTATCTGCAGAGAATCAAGTGTCAATAATCCATCGTTTCAAAGTAAAGTCAAGTTAAATTGTGGTTTGATCCTCCAATGCGGTTAAGAAGCCATTTGGGCCGCAAAAGGGTCTTTTAAACAGTACTGTGAGATAGGATAGTTTACTGGGCCACGAAAACAAACATCAGCCGGAAAGTAATAGACCCAACAACAAAAGTTCGACGAAAAATTGGGCAGGGGCCCAAACAAAGTAATAGGCCCAACAAGAAAAGCTGGACTAAGAATTGGGTAGGGGCCGCGCGAACGCAGGCCCCCGCTGCCACAAATTATGACGTAGGCTCTCCCACATTGGGGAGACCTTAGCCCAGCACCCCTCCAAAGTGCAATGGAGGTCACTGGCCTAGACCACTGGCCTTAATGATCGCCTGTAGATCCCGTCCAGGTAAGTATGTTGGGCAGTAGCACCCAACTCTCAATTTATACTCCTTTCTCATTCTAAACTTTCTCTCTCAACCGATGTGGTATTTTCACCCTCCTACTCTAACTATTCTCCCAACATATGCACAATCAAACACTACATCCCCTGGCCGCGCCTCTTCTTCCACATCAGTTCACGGCAACTTATCACGGTTGTAAAAAATCTCGATTTTGACAATGCGTTGTTTCAAAACTAGCACAAAATGGATGGGCGACAAACCTGGATATCTCGGGATCTGTACTCTTGGTGCAGGTCCTTCAGAGCTTGGACGGCACTCGAGTCTATGTACGTAACAGCTGCAAGTTTGAACGAAAGATGTCAGGCCACCATCTGGGCTATGAATATTTTGGTTGTGGTAGTGAAGTCTCAAGTCGCTGAATCGAACTTACGTGACATCTCTAAAATCACAAAGTATATCCTTTCGACTTCTGGTCCACGTCGGATCGAATTGTCAACGTTAACTTCATAGTCTCGCAGTCTGAAATAACAGATAGGAAATGGGATGAGTGGAACAAGAAGCAACGGACACACGATCGAAAGGGAATGCAGGGTTTTCACTTATTACCAACCTGTCCTTTATGTAGCTTGTATTTGCAAAATATATTGGGGCATCAATGCGAACGACCACAATGCCATGGTATGTATATGCCTCTGGGTATTGTTGAACATTTCTGTATACAGTGGTGCCTGGAAGCCGCCCCAGGACAGCTGCAGAAGTACAAACAAATATTCAATAAGTGTATGATTCGTTTGAGCAAACTAAGCGACTGAACCAATTTGCTAGTTAGTAACTTACCGATATGTGGATTTGCTGACTCATGAATGACAAAAGCAAGTGACACACCCACCTGCAGTTTCCAGGTCAAACAATAGTTAACTAGTCAGTTTCTAAACCATTATTCAGGCTTTCATGTTCCCTAACTGAAAAACTTTTAGTATTGTCATGCTAATTGTCAACGAAGCTTCTTACCCCGATGAGAACACCAATCTCGATACCTAGGAATAAAGTGGTGGTGCAAGTAATGATCCAAAGAAGAAAATCCTTCTTATCGATACGCCATAAGAAGATTGCCTCCTCATACTCCACCTGAAAAAAACCAGCATTTGCAGACAATTTAAGGAAGTGGTGCAGTCGTAATTGTTAAGTCTCAATTCTGGCAGATACATTCTGCCTATCTTATGTTCAAAGTGTAGTATGAATTAAATTGTCCATGTCCATGTTGCAAATGATGCAAAGCATAACTGTGAGAGATTGCTTCTATTTATCAGTTCACTCACCAGTCCAATCACAGCTGAAACGACTATTGCAGCCAGAGCACACTGTGAAGAAAACCAGAAAAAGAAACCCAAGGTGAGAACCAATTTCCTCTTTACTGAATATAAGATTTACAAGGCCACAACAAATTTATTTAAATCTTTCCAGTGTAATTATCAATTGAGATTAAACATCAACCGCAGTGGCAGTAACATGGAAACCAACCTGTGGTATGAACTCAAATAATGGAGTCAAGAACAAAAGAGCACAGCCCATAACTATTCCAGTAATGATGCCGGATAAGCCAGTTTTTGCCCCACTCTCATTGCTAACAGCTGACCTAGAAAATGAACCTGCATAGTGAATGTGAAAGGACATTCCCTACTTAGCTGTCCGTTACCAAGTGATTATGACGTGAACATGTTTTTTTTAGCAGAGCAAGATAATCTCAATATGGTCAAAAAATATTGAAGGCCTCAGGTTATTGTGTCTCTCACCTGTTGATGGATAGGAGGAGAAGAAAGAGCCAAAGATATTGGCTAAACCAAGACCAACCAACTGGAAAATGAGAAAAGTAAGTTAGCTTTTTCACGCAAGGTAAACCAGCCAATATAACTGATGCATGCATCAATATCAGTTGACTGTTTAAATTGTGTACCTCCTGACTTGAATCGAGTTCATATCCATTCTTTGCAGCCAAAGCTTTGGCAATCCCAACAGATTCCTAATAGTTCAAGGGTCAGATTGATTAGATTGGAAAGTAGAACTCATGCTTCAGAAGCCAAATATATAGCACGGCCATTGTGATTGATTATCTTACCAATATTGCTACCCCAGTAATGAGAAATGCTGTGGGTATTAGAGACTTTGCATAGCCAAAATTCTTTGGAACTGAGAAGCTTGGGAGACCCTGAGGTATCTCTCCTATCTATAACAAGACCAATTTGATCGATCAGCCAGAGCACTAGTTAAGTTAAATTCAGAAAGATCATATTTGGCAGGAAACATTCATGAATGAGTTCATCACATAAAATCAAATATCCAGAAGGAAACGTGAATTAAGAACTAGCTCATTGCTATAGATATATTGTGAGAATTAAGTTCTCTAATACAAATTGTATGTCTGCTAAGGACTCCCTTGTCTTAGAATAGACTAGGAGCTAACTCAGAGGCTAACAAATTCATGGGTGACTACATTTGCATTACTTTCATGGCAAGAAAAGCCTGGACTGTTGATAGCTTAGGTAGCATATTTGAGGAGAATCACACTACAATGTAAACATAAAACATGAGCATGGTTTCAGTTACTGCCTCCCCTGCACCGAGTATCTCTTCAGATTGAAGATAGACCAAAGCACAACGCACCCATATTCATGTAATTTTTATTTACTTCACCACATGTTAAACATACAGTTCTTTGCAGACTTCGCTTCATTAACACGTTACACTCACCAATGAAATAGACGGATGATGAAATATTTTTGCTAAAGTTGTCCCCAAAATGACACCTGTGAGGGGACCTGCAGCTCGAAGAAACCTGAATTGCTTCCTCGATTTTCCCTTCAAGAAGAATGCATCAATAATAAATAGAACGGCATGGCATGACACTAACAAAGGTGAACAAATGGCTAAAAAGATTTCCATACCAAATGCTTCATAATAAGAAGTACAGCAAGTATGCCAGATCCCATCACGAAAGGAGGCCATGCGAACTACAAAAGCAAAGCTTGCTGTTAAAGAAACAAGGTAATGAGCGGAATATGGGCTTCAGCTTCAAAAAATAGTGAGTAGATCATAAGTACTGGAAATCACTCCGCCCTCCCTCTCCCTTCCCAGTAGAAAGTGAAAAGTTCAGGGCATTAGCTACACATGTTTGGAAGCTGCACCAAATCCTCATGGAAGCTGTTTCCAATTTCAGTTTCACAGTTCGTATGGTGATTCCAGAAGCGTTCTATCAATAACAACCTAAACTTTCATTGATTCAAAGAGCATTTCCATATTTAGTAGTTGGAAGCTCTCTCATTGGATAATAAAAGGTGACTGCCATGGCACAACAGGTTCTAGCAATTATCCTTAACATCACTAAGCATGCACAAGCCGTCCTACCTGGTCTGCTCCAGCTATTATGCTCTGAATTAATGGCACAATCTTGCTGCTCTGTGTGATGTTGTATCCCAAGAAATACTTTGCTTGTGATAGTCCAATCACAAAGGCTGAAGCAGTTGTAAAGCCAGAAATAACAGAGTGGCTGATGAATCGTAAAAGCCATCCAAGCCTACAAAATGAGCCACGAAAGAGAACAGGACATGACTAAAATCTCTTGAAGAACATATATCTACAAGAAACAATCCCAAGTGCAAAGGAAGAGTATCACCTACCTCAAAAAACCCATAATGCACTCCAGTATTCCAACCATAAGAGCCAATACTATGGCAAGTTCAATGTACAACTCGTCGGAAGAACCAGCAATTCCCCTTAGAACATTGGACACCAGAAGAGAAACAAGGGCCACAGGACCAATCGCCAGCTGCCGCGATGACCCGAATATTGCATACACAAAGATGGGGACAAAGCCGGTGTCTATCTTGCATAACAACAACCATTCTAGAGTTAAAGAAACCTTAACGAAGACCAAACTCTGATTTATTGTGCTCCAGAAGGCTCATTGTATACTTACACAGTCCATAAATTGGTTCAAGCCCTGCTAATTTTGCATAAGACATAGCCTGTTCCAGGAACAGTGACAGAAAAAAGGTCAGGCATAAAAAAATCAAAGTGAACCAACCATAGACCACCATTAATGACCCCGGCAAATCAGCAGAGTGAGAAACAAAAGAAAAAAGATCTCCGAGCTGGAACACGATTGGAGGAATTCGTGACGAATGCATTTATGTAAAGTGTTGTGGCGCAGATGACGCAATATTCCAAATCGGAACGACCAGTAAGAACATTCAATACAAGCCTGACGTTTCAGCGGAGCTGGAAATAACGATGGGGAGAGAGAGAGATGAGGCGCGGCGGAGAAAGAAAGAATGACCTGAGGGACGAGCATGATGCCGATGGTGAGACCGGCGATGAGATCGACCTGGAAGTCGTCGCGCCATCTGTAGGTTCGAATCCAACGGTAACAGGGGAAGAGGCCGTCGATGAATTGGAGGAAGGTGAGGCGTTTCCATTTGGTGGCGAGGCCGGAGAAGAAAGCGGCCGGGGAATTCGAGGAGGAAGAAGAAGAACCGGCGCCGACGCTAGGATGCTGAAGAGGAATGATCTTGACAGGGCGGGAGACGCCTCCGGCGGTGGGCATCGCCGGGGAAGAAAGGTCGGGGTAGCTGGAGGAGGCGTAGGTTGAGTCCATGCGCACTAGTGGCGCATTGGAGAGCGGGAAGAAGAAGAAGAAGAAGAAGAAGAAGAAGGCAAACTGCTTGTTTCGTCGCGGTGGTGAGAACTGACAGGAACCGTTGCTTTTGCGCCCCCCACCAAAACAAGATTTGTGGCGCAAATGAGAGGAAGAGAGAATCGGACGAGGGATCAAAAAGCTTTTGGCTGTGGATGCTGCTGCAACAGAACAACTTGTTGGACTTTTCTTTTTTCCCCTCAGGAGGCGGCTTTTCGTATTGTTAATTGTCTATTATCCAGTTTTTTCTTCTGGATTTTGGTTGATGTGATCATTAATAATGATAATAGTAGTAATAATAATGTTCCATAAATTAAAATTTTGGTGCGCTACATTTTCATTGGCTGAACGATAATTAGCATGAATCATGTGAAAATTTGAGCAGAAGGAATTAGAGCTGTAATTGGAAAGATTAAGATCTGATTATTAGAGTGGGCCCCTGGATTTTGATTTATAATGATGTTGTTGATGATGATGATATAATTCTACGAAGAAATGGGAGAGGAGGAATTCATTTGACTTTGAGCTACTGAATGTAGACGCTGTACAGAGGAAGGTTCAATGCTGACCAAAGCAGACCAGACACGTGCACGCAATTCCAAATAGCCAATTTTGCTGCTGCATTTTTGTGCAGTTGGGGCCGCACCTGAACCATCTTCCTCTGTTTTGGATTTTGGCCATCCTTCTTAATCCTTAATTATAGCAAACGTTATGAGTTATGACCATTCTTACAGTTTTCTTATAATTGTTCGCAGGATAATTTTTCTGATTGCCTTGAAGTATCTACTAGAACAAGTAGGATAAGAATCATCTATTTGAAACTCATAAAGACTGGAGTCGGAAACAGAGCTTGATAGAGCTGGATTACATATAGAACGAGACATGAATCTTGCGCTTAGAAGCAGGATTCAACTTTGATTCTAACTGCTATTATGGCCTATATAGTGCCATGAAACTAACACTAAATCACACCTTTCTCCACCTTCTCCTACAGCTCATCTTCTCTGCCCTTACAGCTCCAGGATTTACAATTTACTCAGCCCCAAGTACCCTATTTCAAGCGGTTTGACAAACATTACATAAGACTAAGTTTGATTAGGGCTGCAGAGGGGACTGGACAGAGCAGAAAGGGAAGAGAGCAACAACACCATGGCACTGGAAGAAGAAAAAGACATGTTGTCATAATGGCTGCTGCTTATGATTGGGCATGCTCAGGCTTGTGAGAGTACTCATAGTCTAGATGAACAAAGGCTCGCTCGATCTCTGGGAGCAGCTCCAGCTTCTCCTGCAGTGACTCACCGATGTCGTGGGCCTCCTGCAGGGGCATATCTGCAGGCAACACGATGTCAACCTCCACAAAGTAGTGGGAACCGAACGTGTAAGCCCGGACCGTATCAATGTGCCTGATGGATTTGTGGTGGTTCCAAGAGAGGTAGGTCAGTTTCTGGAGATAGTCCGGAGTAGCCGATTTGCCGACGAGGGAGTGTACATTTTCCAGAACTGTCATTGACCACGTCCGGATGGTGTACAATGCTAGCTGCAGGGTGGTATCAAAGAGATTATATTCACATGTTTAGCTTCAATACTTAATGTTATGCCAGTAATCAGAACTGCCAATATAGAGCCAAAAACTTAAAGAGGCAGGGTACTTACAATTATGGCTCCAACAGGGTCCATCCAGTCGTCGATGTAGTTAGCAAGAAGTGCAGCGAAAAGGCCAATGAAGTTTGTGACAACATCAAAGAAGTGATCTTGAGCATAGGCTTTGACAATCTCGTTGGTAAATGTGCGGCAGTAAACCATCAGAAGCAGTTTCACCAGGGTTACTGACAGCATTATCCCCACAACCCAACGCTCTTGATCTCTGGTAAGATCAAATTCTTTCTCCTGGATGATAAGCACAGGGGAAAGGTCAAAACGCCTTCTTCCAACATTTTCCATCCTGAGAATTCAACTATAATTATCTTACATTAGACATTAATGCACGTGCTGACTCCAAGATTATCTGCAGTCCCAGAGTCGCCATTACAGATGCAAAAACAAGAATTCCCTGCATAACATTCACAACTCATTATCTCATTCATCCAGAAAATAGAAAATACCCGCAAACTTACTAAAGCTTATTCTAAAGACCATCTACCAATCAGTAACAAATCAAACTTGCAATCTCCATCATCTGAATATCTATGTCACATGAGGTATAAACTTTTTTCACATCAATAGAACAACAAACAAGCCATGGTATTCATCGGATAAAGTTTCAGCGCCTCAAGCTGGGTTCTTATTGTTATCTTCGTTGAATAGAAGCTGCAGTGAATGTACAGAATACATCACTGATTCGATGTCCTACTTGTTAGACTATGGATACACGAATAATTACTTCTGGTCAACCAAACAGGTCAAAGTAAAGGCTACAGAAAAGATATAAAAGAGGACCAAATATTGCATCCCGGAAGGGGGCGGGGGGGAAGCGGAAAAAAACTAAACATATTCAGTATGTGGCAGTTCACATATGGAGAGCAGCGCACTAACTTGAGGCAGATGATCCAAACATCCACATAGATAGAGAGAAACTACACTAACCATAAACAAACAATTGAAGAATTTAAACAGGTACTATAAAAAAATATCGATTAAGTACTGACCAATGGCTGCATTCGCTTCTTTCCAATAGGGTATTGATAAGGGTTTGGAGTTTGCATGGAGAATGCAGTAAACCAGAGTATGAAGCCTGAAAGAAGATCAAGAAGCGAATCCAAAGTAGAAGCAATAATGGCCAATGAACCACTCCGGACTGATGCATAGACTTTTGCGACAAAAAGAATCAGATTGGCCACATTGGAGATTCTAATGGCAAAGGTTTCACTTCTAGCCAACCTTTCTTCTTCTTCCTGCAAACCATAAAAACAATTCAGATGAGACGGCACATGAATGAATCCACATTAATTGCCATCCAAAGAAACCACAGGGAAAGCTCCAAGCACAAACCTTTGACATTCCAGGGATAAAGCCACGGTCTGCTAAGGCATCCATTTCAGTGAATCCCTCGAGCATTTCTACCTGCTGCTGGTAGTACACCGCAATATGATCTTCTGGACCTGGATCCATCAGGAAAATATCTATATTATAGATCACTCGAACATTATTGCATTAATTATCAGATGGCTTATCACTCAATATGCCAAAATTCCAACGTAACCTAGTTGGTCGAGTCCAAAATCTGTCATCAAACTCAAAACGGTATAGATTGAACCTCTACCAAGTCTAGGACATTCAAGCAGAGAAAGCAAGAATGGATTTCAGCCCTCTGACTTGATTTGTAACCATTTGCTAAGCTGCAGAGTTCAACTCTATGCTTGTATACGGGCCAACCGAAACATGGACTACTTAGTTGGAAAAACAAATGAAATTCCAATTCTGGATTCCAGTTAGCATGACAACCCCAAAACCAGATTAAGAAAGTGATCCAGAAGAGCTCAAACAATCAAACCAAAAACAAAGAACAAACATGCCTACCATGCTGCCACCACCAAATCTCAAGACTACCAGAAACAAGGGGAACCCATTGAAGCCAAAAGCCATTCAGGGAGTCAACTTAATCAGCATAAGCACTAGACTTACTAGCAAAAACGGCCAACAGATGCTCCAACAAACAACCAAACCACACATGATGAAGAGGCCAAAAGGGCAAAAAGTATTTTACCAGCAGCTGCCGACTGCCGAGACAGCACCACACCAGTCCCGGTAAAGGAACTCGTACAGCTAAATAAAAGACAAAAAATCACCAACCCAGTTCACTCTCTCACACACACTTGACTTGATTAAACATTAATTTCCCATAGTACGACCCAAGCAGAAGAGTTATGAAACAAAGGGTATGATGTTTAATAACCAATAAACTAGCATTAACCAACGACCACAAGATATTTGAAAGAAGGCCTAACCAGAGTTAATAGGGGAAAAGACAGAGGCTTCCGTACAAAACAAAAGGGGGAAGCAAGCAGAATATTTTTCTATTCTCGAACAGTAGATTGGGAATCGAAACTTTCTACACCAACCATTCGTTCCTTAGGAGGCTTCGAATCGATCCCAGATGTCTGAAGTTATTTTACCTGAAACCCCGGGACAACAATCGTGGATTCCACGAGGCTGCTTTTTCTCTTTGTGCTCGGGCGACAGCTGGTATCCATCGAAGTTCAACCGCCACGAGTGATCCACTCCATTACTGTCTACGCGTAGAAGGGTAAGCTCCTCGTCGCCGCCACCACCGCGGTCCGCCATTTTTGCTGGCGTCTGTTGTGCTGAAACCCGAGATGCAGGGGAGTGGACGCAAGGAGTGAAGAAGAATAAGCCACAAATATTTGCAGGGAAGGGCGGAAGGAAGGACGAAGAGGGGGCGAGGGTAGTTTTGGGAAATCCACTGGAAAACTTCAACGAAAGGTGTCCTCGTCCGGCGTTCTCTGGTCGGTATGCGGAGGGATATTTTGAACCGGTAAAAAGGGAAAATCTAAAAATCCACGTGGCGGGTTCTTATTGAAGGGAGGTTAGAGAGCGTGTAAGCTGCGTGGAGTCGGTGGGTGGACTCGTGGAACATTAGTACACGTGTATGGCTGGAGATTCCACTTTTCTTAAGTCGATGTTTGCACCGTCAGATCCGCTACCGGCGGAGTGATTCCCCGATCACCATAGCCCGGAGATTAGGCTCCCGCTCCGATCAGACTGATTTTTTTTATAACGGTTATAGATATAATATGCTCATCTACTATGACTTTTTATCAAATATGTCCCTCTATTATTTTTTACATCAAACATGTCCCTCTATTTTGGAAAAATTATCAAACATCTCTGGCCCATACAAGAGCAAAGAACAAAAACTAATATCGTGCGACAGTCGACAAATAGTCGAACTATTGATAAAAAATCTTTTTTAGTCATAAATGGACAGTCCTATAAGCGACTACACCGGCAAAATGAACAAAACATACTACAAAATAGTATAAAACTAAAGGTTGGTTAAAGGCCTCACTAAAGAAGATAGTTACGAGAAGCTAAGTATCCAAAAATGCAAATAAAAAACGACAGTCCATGCCAGTAAAAGGATACAACTTCAACCAACGTTTAGCGTTTGCAATGCAGCTTCACACAACTCAGACGGATAAAACACCCAACAATTCGTCAAAAGCCGAAGTACACTTGAATCATGCTAAAGGACTTGTCGCTTCGAATTAGTGTTGCAAATGAATGAAGTTGAATCGAATTTTACTTAGTTTGTCTCCACTCGTTAATAAACAAGTCGAGTTCATAAGTCTAACTCGAGTATGATCGTTTATGTAGTCAGTTGGTAGCATATATTAATCAACTAATAAATTTATAACTATTTCACATGTTAATTTACAGTAATTAGTACCTAAATAATATACTATACATAACTTATGAGCATGGATGGCATGTTCATAATCGAGCAAATATGCCCCTGTCGTTTAGTGGTTCAGGTCATCTCTCTTTTAAAGAGTCAGCAGAGATCCGATTTTCCCCCGGGGATAGACAATCACGAATGAAGTTGTCATGACTTATTAATTATATGATAAATAGAGACGAAAAATGAACATTGTCTGTTTTCTCAGAGGAGCGGAGTAGCAAATCGGGACTCTATAATTAATAACCCACTAATAGTATAGCATGATCAAATGGCAGAAGCAATACCACATCGCACACAGAGGATGTCAAGTAGGGAAGCTGGCGAATATAGTGTCTTGGTAGCCCAACGAAGAATAAGCATCTTTGCGCTTGGGGCAATGACGCAGCTAGTGAGGTAATAACCGAGGCGCGTCAATTGCTGGTTGAAAACTATTTCCAAACCCCCTCTTGGGCCGCGGCTTGCCCGTGGCCTTGGAGAATTTCTCGAAAGGCTCCCCTCGGGGTAAAGCCCTACAATTAAAAAAGACCAGTTCTTTTCTTTGTGGGCCAAAATGTAAACTGTTCATGTGGGCTATATGAATCTATGATCCTTTTTATGGGTCAAGCTATGGGTAGTCTTCTCTGTTTGCAGAGCTGACCTTTATGTCCAAGTAGCCAACTCTGGTTTGGAATAACTGGGGGTTTCTGCACCAGTAGCCAACTCTGGTTTGGAATAACTGGGGGTTTCTGTCCAAGTAGCCAACTCTGGTCAATCAATCCCCTTTTACAGAATTGAGCCAGCTGCTGGAGATTATCAAAGAGTTGAGAGTTGAGATTGGGACGTTGAAAGAAGTAGAAGAGATTTAGCAAAGGAAAAGCTGAGTACCAGATATATCTTGACATGGCTGGGGATTATCAAATCTTTCATTTCAGCAGGCCATTCCTTGGTCAGCTTGCTTTTTCATCCATGGGTTTACTCTTTCTTGGTAGGGATAAAAAAAAACCTTCCCCCCGACTGTATATCAACTTCAGAAGCCATTTATTGACTTGGGTACAAGTAGAAAGAAACGAAGGCGACTGAAGGTGAGTGGCTAAAGTGAAGGTGTCCAGCCCAAAATGAAATACCACATCGCTGGTAGACACAAGACCCCTGGCGTACTAGGCTATATAAACCAACTCAAACACAACTACATTCCTCACGCAGCCTTGCAGTGAGCACATAGCGAACTATTCTTTCGCCTTTTACTAAAGAATACCGTGTGCGCGCTGCTTTAAAGAGGCATACGTCTATTTTTGGAGGGATAATCCTTAATTGGATTGTTCCAACAATGCTTAGTTGAACATTTAATAGTTTCCCTATCAGGGGATGTCCAAATTAGTTCCGTACTGCTGCGTTCTTTAGCGGCAAAACACAAAATGAAATACCAGAGCTGCAGAAGAAGTTGATTACTTCCCAGATTTATCGGTTTTGATTTTAATTTCCCCACGGATAATAACCTGCTTTCTTTGTGTATTTTGTAAGTATGGTGCTGAGCGGAGACAAAACTACACTTAATACGTTACAGAAAAGTTTACGGCGATCCGCTACTAATATTTATGGATTTTAGCGGTTTAAGTATGTTTATAGAACTTTTCCATCCAATTTTCAGCACATATTTCCAAACGCCATTGTGTGTTGCTGGATGGTGTTTTCGAGAATGATTTTGGGAAGCAGCCCTATACAATCTCTAGATCAAATTTAATAAAAAACAAAGTCTTCAACAAACAACACAGGGAAGAAGCTCCCTCTACTGGACGAACTCAAGCCCTTAAAGACCATCATGCCTAGAGAAAATTGCAGTAGAGAAGATTCTGTCATACAAAGTGATTACACATCTGTAGCTTTAACACTACCAATACAAGTTAACCGTAAGGATCTTCACACTGAAAAGGAAGGAAAGAGTGCATAAAAGGAAACACTTGCTGGCTGCTTGTTTCACTTACGACTGACACTCCTCTCTCCCTCTGCTTCCCATCTGTTTATGTCTAACTGAGTGTAGGAGTGAGACACATGATAAGTGGGATGCGAGTGAAGGACGAGACGATCCGTTTGAACACTGGTGATTTGTGTGGGAGTAATGAACTAAGGAAAGCAGGTTGAGAGAGTTTTAGAGAGAGAATTTCTAATATTTCTAGAGTGAGAGAAAAAGAGATCCCCCACCAAGTTACCAAGGCTGCACAAGAAGCAGGGGATTGCTGCTTCCCAGATTCATCGGTTTTTTAGTTTAATTCCCCATGAAGAAGAACCTGCTTTCTTTGTGTATAATTTGTAAGTATGGTGCCGTGTGGAGACAAAAAGTATTAATCAAGACGACGATCAAATGATGCGCTGTATTATCTTGGATTTGTATGTGCTTTATTTGCGGACTTCTTCTAGCTTGGAAGAGAATCAGCGACAGCTAAGTTCCTATATTTGTTTGAGATAAATAATAATAATAATCTCAAACCTCTATTCCCCTCATCCATTCCTTCAACTTGCACCAGACGGGAAGCGAATCTCCATCGTCATTAATTTGCCTTTTTTGTTTTTTGTTTAAAGAATTATCAAATTGCCATACGCTCCACAATGTCCTCTTCTGCTTAACAATATTCTTTATCATTATATATAAAAAAAATCAAATATAAATACTATTTAAATTACACAATCAAAATGGTTGATTATAGATAGAAATATAGATAGCAGCCGTTTACAGAATCTTAAGCAACAATGTGCGGTGGTAAACGAGGAGATAGATTAGCGATCAAAAAACATTTCAGGTTTTTCTACTAAATATCAACAAACAGTTCCGTTAAAATTTCACAGTAAAGTTCATCTGTTGATGCAGTGCTCGTATATTGGATTTGTGTTGCAGAAGTGCCTAAGGTTGTGTGCTCCACCTCCATTTTTGCAGTGGGATCAAATGATTGACTGGTGTGTGCAGAATTGGGGAGGGGGAAAATCTGCTAAGTCTAAAGTGTGTCGCCTTACTTGGTGTGTTGTCCTCAGCTGGGTTTGGCGTGAGTGATACTTGCGTTTGTATGGAGATCGGCCTGCTCGTTCCCCATTGGAGATCTGTAGTGTAGTGCGTGGTGAAGTGGCATGCAGGGTGAATGGAGATCCAGAGATGCAGAAAGTTCTTGTCTCCTTGATGGAGGTTGATAGTTAGATTTTTCTTTCTGATAGTTATAGAAGCTATATAGCTCTTGTATATGACAGTTTGAGAGGCATTTGTAGCTTTGCAAATGGCCCGAGCTTAATGAAATTTTTAGATTCCCATCTAAAAAAATTTCACAGAGAAAAACAACAAACGAAATCGAAAAACATGAATCATAGATAGACTATACTTCTCCAAATGCGCTCTCCATACCTCTACGTCGTGGGTCACAGCCTTGTCAACAAAACAACGAAACATTGATTGAGAATCACCCAAAATTAGAAACCACCATAAATCCATGAGACAGTAGTTACATCACACAAAGGAATATGTACCTTGGGCATTTGTACTTGTACAATAGCCACCATTTATTATCATGATTATATTAATGCAATGATGAGATATTTACTTAGCAGCATAAACTATCAACGAACGACATTAAGCGGACAAATAAATTTTACGATCAAATCATCAATTATTCACCTTATTAATGATCATTTAGTAGATTCCTAACTTTTTCTTAGATGATTAGTACTAGCATCAAAGCTTGAATAAGAAGTTTTTTTTTATAAGCTCGAATAAGAAGTTAGCAGCCACAACTAGCTAACTTCTATTTTTGAGTAGTTTTGCTGCAATGCTGGAAAAAGGAAAAGAAAAGACGCTTTTTAACGACCCTAGGAAAAGAAAAGGACCCGCTAAAGAAAAACGGAAGAGAGAAACCCGACCCGACTGACCCAGAAAATGGTTGCTGAAGGTGGAGTGAGGGCGAGAGCCTTTGCTTGTTATCTAGCTAGTGTAGTCAACAACACACACTGCTTTATAGCTCCATCCATCTCCTCTTCTCTCCCCCATTTCTTCCCCTTCCGATCAAACCTACCCACCATTACCAAGATGAAGACCCACCACGGTCCAAATTTACCGGTCATATTCCTCATCCTCGCCCTCTTCACACTTCTCCCACTGAATCCAGCCGCCGGAGCCGACGCCAGTACCCTCACTTACCTGTGGCCCCTCCCCGCCGACTTCGATTCCGGCGAGCAGACTCTCTCCGTTGACCCCGACCTTGCCCTAGTCGGCGATGGAAACGGCGGCAAGTCGGCGATCGTCAAGGACGCCTTTGACAGGTACAAGGGGATTATATTCAAGCGCGGCGGGAGTGGCAGCAGGCGGTCCTTGGCCTTGGAGAGGTTTACTGGTGGTCGAAAGGGGAAGCGATCGGCTAGCTACGATATTGCAGGGTTGAAAATCGTCGTGCATTCAGAGAGCGAGGAGGTAATGAAGCTCTTTTTCCTTTCTCTTTGGAAATCCGATGGAATTTCTTTCTCCGAGCTTGTTCTGGTACTTGGGGTTTTTAATTTGATTTGGGTAATTTGGAAATGCAGCTTGCGCTAGGAGTGGATGAGAGCTACAAGCTATTTATAGGGAAGAGTGATGGGCAGTCCATTATATGGGAAGCTACTATCGAGGTAACAAAAAAGATTTGGTCTTTCTCTGCTTTTCTATTTGGCTGAGTTTTTCGTGGTTCTGGGAAAGTGACATTCGGCCTAGTTTCTGTCGAACTGTGTATACTGTATAGTCTATTTCTTCCTTTTATAGTTCTTTTTGGGTGTAGCTATGTTTTGAATTGATGTTCCATCTCCTGCAGGCGAATACCATCTACGGGGCGTTGCGGGGTTTGGAGGTAATCTATGGTTTTCCAAATATTTTTTTCGTACCCAGTAATTCATATGGTCTCTGTGTTTGGACTTGATCTTTAACATGTCACACGTCTTTTCCTCTGGATGCTGGTGGCTTGCAGACTTTCAGCCAGTTGTGTATATTTGACTATGGAACTAAATCTGTACAAATACACAAGGCTCCATGGTACGTTCAAGACAAGCCAAGGTTCGATTACCGCGGGATGATGATCGGTAAGCAGGAAAGGGAGTTGAATTTGAGGAACTCATTGCTTCCATGATGTGTGGTCTGTTGCTAATATTAGGTTCTTGTCATATTTCAGACACGTCAAGACACTATTTGCCGGTTGCTGTTATCAAGCAGATCATTGAATCCATGTCCTATGCCAAATTTGTAAGATAATAACTACTAATTGTGAACTTGTTGTCTGAAATTTGGATCTCGGTGAGGCTAACAATTTTTATCATCTACTAAGTGGTTTTACTTTCCATGCTTTGCTCTAATCCTGATGATGGGAATTGCATTCAGTAGAATGTGCTGCATTGGCACATCATAGATGAGCAGTCATTTCCGCTGGAGGTGCCATCATATCCAAAATTGTGGAAAGGTTCATATTCAAATTGGGAGCGCTACACTGTTGAGGATGCATATGAAATTGTTAAGTAAGATTCGACCTACTGGTTTTCCGAATTTTATGTCAATTTCACAGTGTTATGGGAAATAGAGAGAAATAGATGAAGTCATGCTCCATTTAATTAAAGGAGAGATGAATCAGAAAAAAATTGCTTCGTACAGTTACGGATCTGGCCTATATAAAGTAACTGCTGATAGCAAAAATTCGACCAATCTTATTTCTCTCTCTTTAGCATAATGATTGGTTTCTATAATTTTTTTCCTAGTTTGTTTCGTCATATTGTTATTGTGCTGATATATCTCTCTTTCTCATGGGTCCATGTCTAACTTGAAGCTTTGCCAAGTCCAGAGGTGAGTCTCATTTCCATGGTTTGGATAAGTTTGAGCATTACTGCATTAGTTTTAGTTCACGTGTTGAGATTGCATGGAATTTTAAATTGTTAAGGAGATTGAACAAGTATTCCTGCTGCCTAATCTTGTCTTTCCATATGATGCAGGCATAAATGTAATGGCCGAAGTAGATGTCCCTGGTCATGCAGAATCATGGTAATTGAATTATTTATGTCACTCGACCATTCATCGCTTTTTGTTGTAACACTACACCGCGTTAGAGTTTTCAAGTGCAAGTGTGTTTACATAAGGAAAGAAATCTGGATGTTTTACGTGGAAGACCTTCAGCAGCTTTTAACTAACAGGAACTAGTTTGTGGTTGACTTTAACACTTTGGTGCCTAGAAAGCTTGGTAGCTAGTGATTAATCTCTTAAAAGTGAACTAAATAACTTCTGCCGTTTCATTATTCCAAGTTCCATTCTAGGTTCGCATTTTGCCTACTTCTGTTCATAATCGAACCTGTATACAGAGACGTTGCTTCAGTTTGTTTTTTGGTATTGTCACTCTCTATACACACGGTAAAGTGTAGGTCCTAAAAGGACTGAACTTCATATTTTCATTTGATTATTCTGAAAAGTCTATCTGTTATGAGCCTGCTCTTAATGTGATAATATTATACCTCATGATGTTCAATTATGCAGGGGAGTTGGATACCCTGATCTTTGGCCTTCTTCCTCCTGTAGAGAGCCACTGGACGTTACAAAGAATTTTACCTTTGATTTGATATCAGGGATGCTGTCAGGTTAAGATTTTATTCCTTCTTGTATACCTCACTGGGATTTCCTGATCTTAGCATTCTCGGTATGTTGCATCTCTTGATATGTGCTTATTCTATTCTATCTCCTTACTAAAGTTTTTCCTCACAACTTTTGCCATTTTAGACATGAGGAAAATTTTCCCTTTCGGCCTCTTCCACTTGGGCGGAGATGAAGTTAACACAGGTTAGTATGATGGCTTATGTTCAATATATTCAAAACAATAACAAACGGTGTCACAATTCAAAAGCAAACTCGCCATTGAGAATATTAGTGCAGTTGAATATCTTTTTCTGACTGTTGTTATGCAATAACTCTGAACTCTGGAATCAAACTGGATTTTTGACATTTTACAGATTGCTGGAGTTCCACCCCTCATATTAAGAAATGGTAGATTCCTGAACTTCCAGCGCTGTTATACAATTGCATTGTATTGGATGAAGCTGATTTAGAAATTTGTGCTTGCTGGAAAAGCTCATCCTCTGTGTTCTTATTTCCCGTTTTATCAATATGTCATTACTCATTACGTTCTTGAAAGTTCACTCCTCTAATTCTAGGCTTGCGGAGCGGAACTTGACCACAAAAGGTGCATATGAGTATTTTGTACTCAAAGCTCAAGAAATAGCAATTTCAAAAGGTTGGACCCCAGTCAACTGGTACGATCCTATTTCCCGGCAAATTGATTTCTACTGTATTCTGTAGTCGTTTGATTCCTTGTTCTAACATATGAGAAATCCAAAATCTCAACTTTCCCTCTCTCCCAGGGAAGAGACATTCAATGCATTTCCATCAGGCCTCAACCCAAAGACCATAGTGCATAATTGGTGAGTCTTGTCGTATACTGCAAAGAATTTTTAACTGTGACATGAGTTCAAGCAACACTTTCTCAAGTCTCAACTACTAAAGAAAATGGGTTTGGGTGGCACAGGTTGGGCGGAGGAGTTTGTCCAGCAGCGGTTGCTAAAGGTTTTAGATGCATATTTAGCAACCAAGGTTTCTGGTACCTTGACCACTTGGATGTTCCTTGGGAGGATGTTTATACAGCAGATCCAGTTGAAGGAATCTTTGATGCCTCCAAGCAGAAGCTTGTCATTGGCGGAGAAGTTTGCATGTGGGGCGAGACTGCTGATACCTCCGATGTCCTGCAAACAATTTGGCCACGAGCTGCTGCTGCTGCAGGTATGCCCCCAAATTCACAAAATCAGAATGCACTATTTTGAGCCCACCATAGTTGCCTGAAGCATTGGAAGCAACTTTACATCAAGCTATCGAGTTTCGACTCTCGGCTTCATTAGATCAATACTAACATATCATTCCACTATCTAACCTTGTCCAGAGCGGTTATGGAGCAAGAAAGAAGACATATCTGGGAACATTACGCTAACTGCATTACCGCGGTTGCACTACTTCAGATGCCTATTGAACAGACGTGGAGTTGCAGCTGCTCCAGTCAATAACAAATATGCCAGGCAACCTCCAATCGGCCCAGGTTCATGCTATTTGCAATGATCCCATGTGGCTGCTTCCTGTATTCATGCAAGGATTGTGCTATAACGATCTTTATGTTTGTGAAAATTCCATTTGTTCAACTTTACAGTTCTTCTTCTAGTATGGGAACCACCAGGTGCCCGTAACCTGGTTTGAGCCTATACCCTGTTGTTGTAATTTATTTATTAAGGAATCGGGTTAACCAATTTCTGCTCCTAGTTGAACTTACTTGCCTTCCATTTGAGATCATGGTCACTCCTAATTAGGTTTCTACTCTGCTCTCTCCGGTGTGGATTGTTATCTGTGAATGTCTCTGAAAGTGTTTAGTTTGGTTATCAGCAAAGGTGACAAGTGAGTCTGCTGAGCTAACCTGTCTACTAATCCAGGAAATAGTTGCACTGAACGCTAGACTTTTTGACGAGGAAGAGACACAGATGATGTTGACGGACAGTGGCCAAAATCCATTTTAATGATGTTCTTTCAAATCCACTGTTTGGCTGACGAGAATCTGTACTCCACTTAGGACGTGAAGGATTTACAAACGATCCGATTACAAGTTAAGATTTTTCTGATATTATGAGGATACTTTCTCGTTCGATTATGATCTCTTCTTAGAATTCACATACGAACACAATCATTGTGAAATTCATCAACCAACCAGACAACAGATTTCCAAAAGCTGTTATGTACGACTAACCTCATCTTATAACTGTCTTTTTCATGCTTGGGAATCAAGTCAAAGGAAGTGTAGTCTGTTAACTTTAATATGACATATCCTAAGTTGTTTGCAAATAAGTAACCACAAAAGGCATGACCAACCTTGGAATCTTAGCTCTCGGTTGTCCAGGAAGTCTGTTTGTGTATCTTTTATCAGTAACTTATTACAGATATACTTTGTAGTTTATAGCATCTCGCGACCATAGTTTTGATTTTGAAGGGTCCTACCATTTTCTTATGATGATTTGAGGAAAAGCATTACCAACCTCAATTCCCATTATCGGAAAATTGCATCTTCCGATCTTATTCCTAATCTTTTTCTATATTAGATGAACGGGTAAATGTCACATTTGGTTATTGCGATTACTAACTCATGTCATGTTTGGTCACTTGGAAAAAATTAATATCAATTTTGGTCACTCGAATGACTGAAACACGTCACATTTAGTTACTCTCCCGTTAGTTTCCGTCCAACTCCGTTAATAGAGTTGGATGGAGGCTAACGGAGATTGACTAAATGTGACATGTTTCAGTAATTCGAGTGGCATTCATACAAAAAAAAAAAAAAAAATCGAGTGACTGGAGTTGGATGAAGGCTAACGGGAGATTGACTAAATGTAACTTGTTTTAGTACTTTGAGTGACCAAAATGATATTACTTTTTTTTAATGCTAAACATAATACGAATTAGTAATCTCAGTGACCAAATGTGGCATTACCCTTAGATGGACGTTGGACGAGAGAAAGTGTTTTGTCATATATGGTCAAATATGGTTTAAGTGTTAAAAAAAAGAAGTGTATAGCTCAGATGGAACCTGAAATTTTATGGATGATGTGATATAGTTACAATTCTTTGATCATGTGTATAATTCCTACCATATAGGCGGTATATTAGATAGATGTATTATACTCATTTATTGACTCAAAATTTAGGGATGGCAAAAATATCCGTAACCGTGGATATTAGTGCGAATTCGGTCTAAATGGGTATGGCAAAACCCGAACCCGAAGGACATTTAGTGGGTACGGGTAAAACTCGAACCTGAATATTCTGGGTAATGGGTGGGCATGAGTTTCTCACTATCCAACCCGAACCTGCCCGATTATACACATACATATGTATTTTGTCTATAAATAATCATTATATTTCTCTAACATATTTTATATTTAGCATATAAATATAATATTTTCGTGAAATTGTGTTGTTTTAATTAATTTTCTTCATTCTAGTGAATTATTGTCATACTTTTCCTCATAAGTAATGTGAGAATACGTGTGAATGTTAACATATTGGTTGGAGTTATGAAGAGAAATCATTACTCATGGATAACCGTGGATACCCGAAACCCGAACGGGTATGGACATGGTTTTAATTTTATACCCGTTTCACATATGGGTATGGATAAAATCCGAACTACTTTGGGTAGGATAACGAATATGCACTATCCGTCCCCGACCCGACCCATTGCCATCCCTATCAAAATGTTATCATTTACCAAACGTAAACTAGTTTGAAAGTTTAAAAGTTAAAGCGGATACTCTTTTATCTCAAATTAAATAAACAAAATAATTCAATTTAACGTGTGGCTTTTTCTATTATTACTTGAGTTAACTGCAAATATATAGTTATTTGTAGTTAAAAGACAAGTCAATATGAACCATTGGTCCGTAGACAAATGTTATTGTATTGTAAAAAAATTGTTAAGCATAAAGATTTTTCAATTTCATTTTAATGAACTAATCGATCATCGAATCACGTCATGCAACACCACGATAACAGCCATTTATCCTTTTTAATGCCTACATTGCAGATTTTTTTTTTGTCATAGATCGGGAATGAAATAGATATTAATGCCACACCCAATTTAGACTTGTCTTCAAACATGGATCCACCATTGGTCAGAGGTCAAATATTGAAGTAAAATATTATTTTCAATTTCCATCTAATTTTGCATTTTTAAAAATTATTTGTGCCAAAAAACCTCTTAGTTTTGTGATAAAAAAGCTTACCATGAATGTGATTTTCATTTAGGAAAGTTATTAACAAAAATTTGACCACAGGAAACTCTTCAATGGCCTGATTTCTTTCCTTTTTTTTTTCCTTTCTGAATTCAGATATCCTCCCATATTATTACTTTTCATAATCACTTTATATATGTCATTTTCTTTATTGGTATTGCACACCTACCAACTTAACTTCTCATTGTCAAAAAAGTTCAAGATATGGCAGCAAAATGAATGTGTTTAAATAACTTGCATTTTTTGCTAGTTGTCATAGATATTCTTATTTGCGGTTGTCTATTTGGGGAAGTATCTTGTAATTAGGTTAAATTTTCTGGATTTTTCCAAAAAAAGAAAAAGAAAAAGTTAATATACTGAATTTACATTTCTGTCCAATACAGCAGACCAGTTTATTATTTATTATTCATAAGCAATCACACATAGGTCTATGAAGTATGAAAACCTAGTGTAAAACACGATAACCTGAATATTTTGTTACAATAAATATAAGATAAAAATATAAATATAACCGATCATAATGCATGCCATAAAATTTTGACATAACATGTTGTAAAATTCAAGATCATGCATATTAGTAGACCAATAATCAATAGCATGATATAGCTCATAATAAAGGCGCGGTACACTTTTTTTACAAGTACGACCTGTCTTAATGAGTTAGTTAAAATTATTCTGTGTCTAGAAGAATTAATATGAAGTAGCATACATTTTTTTTATCATATCTCACGAGAAAAAACAACAATAACAAACATATGAACATTTCTATTTTTATCAAATTCGCAAATCTCATAGATTTTTATAATTTCATCCATCGTTGGATCACTAGATGTAGGTATAACCTCCTAGGTTTTACTAATTTGTAAAAAGTGTAATCTCGAAACAACTTTGGTCTTGTCCCTTCAAAGACATTCGATGAAATTGGAATCAATTTAAATCTCTGATATTAAATTAGGATATTTAATTGGTCATATCGAACTATATATCACTAAATCGATCCATTATTATAAGTTATAAAAATATATTTTACTAGAGTCATAACATATCATTCACCTAAAACCCCTTATATCATATTGAACATGAATGGTGAGATCGATTGTCTCAGGAATCATAATATTTGATGCGATATATTTTATCCAAAGTATAAAACTCAAATATGTTTAAGTTAAGATAGGATTGGATTGTGTTTGTAATGTAAGTGATGATAATGTGAATAAATCTATTGCCCTATATTTTCCTAATTGTGATGATTAAAACTAATACTTGAGTAATAACTAATAAGTAATATCAAATGCAAATAATTATAAAATAAATATCAAATGCAAATAAACAGAGAAGGGTAAATTTGGTAAAATAGAACGGTAAAAAGGAAGAGAGTGAGAAGGGAAAAATAAAAGGGGCAGTGGAAACTGAAAATCACTGCAACTGCTCCCTTTTTTCTTTTCCTTCGTCACCGTCTCCTTCTCCCTCAGCTCTTCACTCTGTGCCTGACCTCTCAAATCCGCTCCACCTTTCCTTCTTCATCTCCCGCTTCATTATTTCATCAGAACCTCTGGTTCCCTGCTACCCGTGGCTGCTTTGACCGTCTCTTCTCACTCAGTAAGTTCCAAATCTCCGAATTCATGCACTTCCTCCACGCTCTCTCTCAATCTCGCTATCTTTCTATGGCTCACGGCAGTTCTGCGCTCCATGAAGAACCCTAGATGAAAGCTTTGGCATCTTTCTGATTCGGTGCTTATTTTTCTGGTTTTTGTTTGAAATAATGAAATCTGAATTTAAAGACTAGAAGTCTAAAGCTAGGTTTTTTCGTCCATCCCGTGTTCATGGTCTTCCAGTGCCGTTCTATGAAATATTTGTATTGATTTAGGATTTCTTTATAATTGAAATCTTTTGCTTCCGGGGTGGAAGTTTAACGGTTTGTGTTCCTCCTTGCAGCGACATTCTGTGGGAAAGTTGGGCAGCCTTGATCTGGTATGCACTTTCTCTCCCACCTTCTGGTTAAGCCTTCCCTGCCGAATCTTCAGTAGTTGGGAAAGAGTAGTCAAACCCGGAGGTTTTGGGGGGTTCTGATTTCTGGGTCTGGTGTCTGGTTCAAATCTTACTTTTGTTTCGCCTCTTATAGTTAAGTGGGCATGGTGAAGAAAGAGGATGGCCCAGGTAATTCTTTGCCACCGTGCCAAATTCCACCTACTGGTGGGCGCAAAGTGTTCTGGCGCTCAGCATCCTGGTCCTCTTCCAGGACAGGGCTCCAAAATCCAGGAGGTGATCAGAAAGACTGTGTCATGGATCCTAATGGTAATAATGTTGGTGGCTGTGAAGGTGGGCAAACCCGGAGGTATCCTGCCCCCTTGACTCCAAGGTCTCAACATAATAGTAAAGCACGGTCCTGCTTGCCTCCTTTGCAGCCGTTGTCCATTGCCCGAAGGAGTTTGGATGAGTGGCCTAAAGCTGGTTCTGATGATCTGGGCGAGTGGCCAATGCCGTCAACTCCCAGTGGCAACAAGACGGGTGATAGATTGAAACTTGATCTGTCATCAATTGAAAAAAGCCAGGATAGAACTTGTGGGTCAGTGAAGAGGGATAGGATTGCTGTGTTTGATAAAGAATGCTCGAAAGTAGCAGCACATGTGTACCTCGGCGGAGATGCTGTGGCTAGAGATAGGGAGATTTTGAAACAGAATGGGATTACCCATGTCCTGAATTGCGTTGGGTTTGTTTGTCCTGAGTACTTCAAGGCTGACTTTGCTTACAAGACATTGTGGTTGCAGGATAGTCCTTCAGAGGACATAACAAGCATTCTATATGATGTATTTGATTATTTTGAGGATGTCAGGGAACATGGTGGGAGGGTTTTTGTGCACTGTTGCCAAGGTGTTTCACGGTCCACATCATTGGTAATAGCATATCTTATGTGGAGAGAGGGTCAGAGTTTTGATGATGCATTTCAATATGTCAAGGCAGCAAGAGGAATTGCCGATCCAAATATGGGTTTTGCCTGTCAGTTACTACAGTGTCAAAAGAGGGTTCATGCTTTTCCTCTGAGTCCAAGTTCGTTGTTGAGGATGTATAGAATGGCTCCGCATTCGCCTTATGATCCTCTCCATCTGGTCCCAAAAATGCTGAATGATCCTGTACCATCTGCTCTTGATTCTAGAGGTGCCTTCATACTTCATATACCCTCTACAATATATCTTTGGGTTGGTAAGAATTGTGAAGCCATAATGGAAAGGGATGCAAGAGGAGCTGTTTGCCAGATTGTTCGTTATGAGAGGGCTCAGGGTCCAACAATAGTAATCAAAGAAGGAGAAGAGCCAGCATACTTTTGGGATGCATTTTCAAATTATTTACCTCTCATGGATAGATCTCGCAATGGAGTAGACGCAGAATCATCTAAGATTTCCGCTGGGGACAGGCGGGTTGATGCTTATAATGTTGACTATGAGATGTTCCAGAAGGCTACTAAAGGTGGTTTTGTACCCCCTGTTTCATTATCTGGAAAGGAACATGAAACCCGGCTTCCTGCCAGAGAAAGTAACTGGAGTATGCTCAGGAGAAAGTTTGCCCCTGTTGATACGAAAGAGTTTGTTTCTGCCCCCAGGACATTTCTCTCTCGTGTATATTCAGACACTATGATGATTGTCCATTCATCATCACCTTCATCATCTTCGTCAGCATCATCTTCATCTTCTTCACCTCCTTACCCCTCTCCAGATTCCACCACTTCTTCTGATTCTAGCACAAGCTCAAACTTCTCGGAGTCCTCTCCCGATTCTCCTTCACTAGCTTCTTGTTCTCTTCCTGTGTCTTCAACTTTGTCTAACTTTTGTGACTTGACTGTTGCGCCATCAACCCAACCGTCTCTTAAGAGCCATGGGTCTGATGAACATGGTGTGATTGTTCCATCTCAAATGAGTTCTCAGGTTGCGTCTTCGCCATCCAGGAAGTCATCACCTTCACTTGCAGAGCGGAGAGGTGGCTTGTCAAAATCCTTGAAGTTGCCAATGACGTCTGATAAGGCGGCCAGTGTGCCAGCTGGTTCTCGTTCAAGCAAAGATGGTGCTAGGTTAGATAACAACGGCTTCTCTTGGTGTGTTTCAGATAGTGTGGAGATTGTTTTAGAGTCTAAAGACAAAGATAAAGGAGTTCAGGTTTCAACTCAGCAGTCTAATCTGAGTGCAAACAGTATAGTTGATGCTAACTTGTGTCACAAGGAAGCCAGCCTCTTAAAAAATTGTGATAAACCTGGTCACAAGCATTCTCACAGTGAAGGAATTGATAGTTCCAGGGATGAAATAGTGTCAGCAGAGTGTGGCCATGTACAACCTCTTGCATACCGCTGGCCCAGTTTAGAGAGGATTTCACCATTTAGTAGGGATAGTTTGGATTGTAATGCAGCGTTTGGAGTATTGATGCCACCTAAATTGGATAGGGATGTAAGGAGGATTCTGTACTTTTGGATAGGCAAGTCCTTTTCTTGTGGTAAGAGCTTGATTCAGTTAGAATGCAGCCAAGATTATGTGGATGTACGGGATATTGACTGGGATCTGGTTGGTTGTCATTTTTTAACTCATGTCGGACTTCAATTGGACGCTCCCATCAAGGTATGATATGGCTGCATCTTAACTCATTTGCTTCTCATCATTATATTTATGTTAAGGGTTACCTTTTGGTGTTATGTCTTATTCACTATGTTGATGCTGTAACTTACGATACCAATTCCTAGACTAGCTTCAATCTTTCACCGTAGCCAATACACCCAACTCCCAAGTAGAAAGACACGGTGCAAATGAGATGAAAGCTCCCCTATATAGTTCTCAGATCACTGATGTGTGCTGCATATGGAAAGTAGAACCCTTCCTAAGACTATAAGTTGAAACCCTGCTCAGTTAAAGTAACTTCATTAAGAGCTGTCTGAACTCTGAAGGACATGATCATTGAGGTGCTTCTGCGCAGAAACATAGAAACTCTTGACACATTGGTGGAGGGCGTATTTAGTATTACAACTTAAAAGGATAACCTCTACATTTGAAGTCATATTGCTGGTCATGCCATAAACCTTGCTTTAATGAGTTCATGCCAATGAAACCTAGAAACACGAATTCATGATAATGTAGTGAAGTAAACTGCTCTTTAGTTATTGTTAAAATGGTGGCATGCTCAGTCGAAGCTGTAGACTTTCTGAGTTGATTAAGCTTTCTCGACGCGGGCCGTTCAATATGGTTCAATCTGCTTTACATATGTTATTGATGTTTCACCCCTTTCCTGGTGAATTCTTTGAACTTTTGCTCTGCTTTCTGATTCAGTTTGTTACTGCTGCGCTTTTCTCATTTTCTCTTCATGTGGACCCCTTACGCTTCTTTCTACCTTAATTTGCATAGGTGCAAGTCGTGAAGGAAGGAGAGGAACCAGCTGGTTTTCTTGCGTTGCTGGGTAGTGACTTGTAGCACACCCTGGAGGTGATAAGTAACCAATTTAGCATAACTAGTGATTTGATTATCTTCCGCGGGCTGTAATTTTTTTGAGGGACAAGATATCTGGAACTAGTATGAACTCCTGCAGCTAAAACCATGAGGTAACAAAGCATCATTTCCCCCCTATAGTCTTGTGTCAATTCTCCTTCACACAACTATCTCTGGTTCTATACCTACTATTGATCATTTATTTTCAGCGGGTTTTGCTGTCAGTTTCTTTAAGCATTATAAAAATCTTTTTATGTATTCTTTTCCTCAACTTTTCTGCTGATAGAGAGAATGAAAGAAGACTTATGTTTCTTGCCAGTAGTCTTTCGTGGATGTTTGGCCTAGCTGTGCTGAACTTCGGTTGATACTTCTGTAGGTGGGCTAAGCAGCAGCGACAACAAGTTGATATCTTTTCTTGTTTTGGCTAATCGCATTGTGCCGCCCTGGTTGCATGTGTACATTGGTATAGCTGCGGGAGCGTGTGTGCGTCATCCCCTTCCATAACTGCTTCTGGAATTTGCCCTCTCCTTACAAGACACCAGACATGTTTCTTTGCCCATGTATATTCATTCCCTTGTTACAGAAGTGTTATATTAGACGCTTTTCTGAGTAGAAACATAAATAGAACCGAAAACCCATATTCAATTTCATTGAAAACTTTCCTGCTCTGTTGCTGCTGCTTGATCAAATAAACTTTGAAGCTCCTAAACTTTAGCATCCTTTGTATTCGGAGTTTCCTGAACTTGTATATTGTCAATCTGCAGCCTTCTTTGTATGGGTTCCCAATTGACCTGAAATTGGCAGACTTGTGCCGAGGTCAGCTATGTTGCGTCTCTCTAACGAATGAGAGGATAATCCAATGTGTTGAGACGCTTCAACATTATAGCTGAATTAGATAGAGCCAAGTGAGAAGTATTTGGATACAACTGGTGTTGTTGAAAACATCTCTATAATCGACACAGTTTCTGAGTTATGACTATTGTTACTTTGTGAAGAAAGTGGTGGCGTTGGTAGCAGCGACGACTTTCATCACAGTTTCAGTTTGTACCAAGAGCCAATCAATCTAATATGGTCTAAATGTTCAACTACTGTCAAGGTTGGTTGGTGGTCTTATATTTATGTGTTGTTTTCTCTTGTACCAGTAGATTGTGGCTACTTGTTTATTTTACCAGTAGATTGTGGCTACTCCACCAATGGAGCCATTGTACTAAAGGTACAAATTTTTCACAGTTTGTTAGCGTGCTGCCTCACTCCATCATTTGGAGCATATGGCTAGAGCGAAATTCAAGAACCTTTAGAGATATCAGCTGCACATGGGATCGGGTCGTACACAAAGTAGTTAACAACTGCATAAATTGGAATGTGGCCAAAGGTGATATGAATATGCAGGAGGCACTACTACTAACTAGGTTGTTTAGCTATGTAATCCCATCTTCTTCCAACATAACCTGAGAACTCTCATTCGTCAATTATTGTAATAGTCTCTCAGATTATACCTAGTTGTACCTCACGTGAGATGAGCTCTTAATTTTTAAGAGCAACCAACAGTTCATTAATACAAATACAAAATCATTCATAAAAAAAAAATCATTTCCGGTTAATAGGGATTAAGGAACACTTTTGTTGTGAAATACCCTGGAAATCAAGAAACAGGCTACACTATGCATGAACGTTAATGTTGCAGAGAAAGGAAATGAAACAGGACACTAATGTGAAGAACTAAATCTCAAGTATCAACCAAATAATGGATAACGATTTGGAGCGTGCTTCAATCAGTTTCCTCCTTCACTTGTGGCCTCAGAAACACGGTGGTGAGAGGCGTGTCTGAATGCAAGGAGGCCTTCAGCAACTTCAGAGCCTGCACACAAAAAGAAAAGAAGAGGCCAGGGGAAAAAGAAGGAAATGTAATCAGGTATTATCGTCTGTTTGAAGACAGTGAGCACTTTTTTTGTTTTTGTTTTTGTGTGTGGAAAAACGATCAAAATGAAACCTCAAGCAATAATAAAGATTAACCTCATCAGAGCCAAATTCAACCTCCCTCTCCTCCACATTGCTCGGTTCGCAGAGCTTGACAGCATGGAAAACAGAGGTGGAGTTCAAAGCAGTCACCGACAAATCGTCGGCGACCATGTATGGGATCATCTCCTTCACGTAGTCTGCCTCCCTCGTCTGAGCCGAAGAATCACTGAACATCACCCTGTTATTCATCTCCTGGTTACATTCATAGCCAGATGAACCGGTACATCTGCAACGAGTAGGGTTTTTTGACACCATGTCTTTGACATGTCTATGGTTGTTGACGCAACAGTAGACCGTTTTCTCGACCGGGGTCGTCACTGGAGGGGTCAAGCGGGGCAACAGCGGGACGTGGGTCAACAAGTGAGGAATAACGATGGAGCTACATCTGGTGTTGGATGGATCCGGCTTCATGTGTCCACCAGGCTCAAGCAACTCGATGCTGTTGTGGAGTTTGGTGATGCTGGATGGCGCGGCTACGTACTTGGCCACTGCGCTCAAGGGCAGGGAGAGGATGTAGATTAGGAAGTCCACGAAGTCCTTGCCGGCTTCGGCGAACAGGACCTTGTTTCTCTTCTTATCCACCATCAACTTCAGCTTCAGCTTGGTCGCCGCAGGTGTGGTGCTCGTAGGAGCTGCTGCGGCAGCCATTGTTGAATATGTGGGTGAGTTGTGAACTCGATTACTTCCCTATTTATAAAGGTGGAAGCCACTAAAGAATCTGCTGCTCTCTGCTTTATCGGGGGCCGACGGTCTGCATTCCTACTACCATCACGGTTTGTTTATTTCGATAACGAAAAAGGTGTGCCTTCCAAGTTCCAACTCTGCATGCAGGCTTTTGATTCTCGACTTCTCATTTCCCTTGCATTAATTAATTAAGTTCCTAACGTTTTCCCCCTTTTTTGAAGAAAAGTTCCACTCTAATATCAGCTTCCTCTCTAGGGGAATCGGCACTGGAGGAGTCAAGCGGGGCAAAAGGGTCAGCAAGTGAGGCACAAGCACGGAACCAAATCCAGTTTTAATTTGCTGTGGTCGAGTGGATCCGCCGGCTTCAAGTGTCCAGGCTCCAGCAGCTTGACGCTGTCGTAGAGCTTGGTGATATTGGATGGTGCGGCCGAGTAGTTGGCCACAGCGGCCAAGGGCAGGGAGAGGATGTAGATTAGCAAGTCCACGAATTCCTTCTCCCCCTCTGCGAACAGGACCTTGTTTCGAGCCTTGTCTATCATCAACTTCAACTTGATCTTGGTTGTGGTAATCGTAGGGTCTTCTGCAGTGATTATATCGATCCGTTTGATTTCTTCCTTTTTTTTTTGTGTGCGGTGGATATCAGGGTGGACGGACTTCCAATTTCCATTTATAGAAGTGAACATATTAAGCACCATTAATCGTTTAATTAATTGGAGACGGCCCGCATTCCCTACCATCAATTTTTTGCTCCTTTTTATAACGAAGATTGTTATTAGTTTCATATTTGCATCGGAAGGTCTTCCAACTTCCAGCGTCTGCAATCTGCATGCATTGCTTTTGGAATTTCAGAGTAAAATTTAAAAGGAATAAATAAAATTATATTACTGATGGTTTCTGTTATGGGACAATCCAAGTACCACATCGGTAATACAAGGGTAGGGACCCTTGTATATTAGAGTCCACCTAGCCCAATTAGTATGAGGCTTTTTGGGGAGGACACCCAAGAGTAAAATCGTGCGGACTTGACCCGAAGCGGACAATATCGTACTAATGGGCTGCTCAGTTATGACAGTTTCTGACGTTGATATTGCTTTTGGATACAATTTTATAAGAAATGAGATATAAGTGAGAGAGAAAGAGAGGAATATCATAGTGGAATGATAAAACGTTTAATTTAGCGGTAGATAATTAGACCAAATTGATATACGTTTGTTAGATTGATAAATTAGGCTGCTGCTTGCTTCTATCAAACCTACTCACGCCACCTTGTGAAAGGATCAATAATGAATGATGGATAAATTTGATATGAATTTTTTTGTATGGATTCGTTTCAGTCCATTCCAATCGCACGTGGAAAGAATAGATAATTCGAATGGATTAAATTGTCTAGTTTTATAAAATCATAATGATCCCTAGTTTTTCATACTTAAATCTTGTAGAGACAGATAGAATATAAAAATGAACTATTTCTTTAGAAAATGTAAGACTTTTTCTTTCTTTCCTCAGTCTTCTATAGACTAGAAAAGACTACTTTCCCGTTATCGGCCTCTGCTTGTTAATGGGGAAAAGGATCCCACGCAGAGAAGACGAAACAAACTCATCAAAACAAAGAACAATTCATATAAATAAATAAATTAAGTAACAAAGAACACATGAGTTACATACGTAATTAACCTCGCTAGGGGAAGCAAGAGGGATATCGGAATCGGTAGCGCCTCGATCGCAGCGTCCTTTCTTTCCCCTCTTTAATTTCGACGCATATTGCGCATGTATCCCAATCCCATGCATGCAAATTAAAAACATACCCCATAATTACGTTTCCTCTTCCCCATGCACAACGCAGAGAGAGCGCATGGAATATGCTATAAATATGTACATGAAGTAAGCTTACCGAAGATCGCCTACACAACCGAAAAAGACCCATCTCAAGTTCTCGCGCGTCAACTAAACGTAGCAGCAGAGCAGAAATGGCAGCAGCTGCTAATTCTTCATCATCATCATCATTCAGCTTGAAACTCGTCATCGACAAACGTGAAAAGAAGGTCCTATGCGCCGAGGCAGGAAAAGACTTTGTGGATTTCCTCTTCAACTTCCTCACGATGCCGCTCGTCTCCCTACTCCGCCTCCTAAAAGACCAACTTCCAGCCCCAGGCTGCGCCCGTGAGCTGGCCGCCAGCATCGAGAACATGAACCAGGATTGCTTCAAGACTGCAGAAAGCAAAGAATACCTCGTCACCAATCTCCGCGGCGAAACCCACGTCACGAAGGTGCCGCTTTTCCCTGCAAAGGACAATCCACACGTGCAATAGTATGGATTGGTTAGCCACTAGCCATTGCTATTTCTTTCTTGGTTTCTCACTAGCCAGTGCTTTTTCTTCATTTTGGATGACATATGTGGAATTAGCATATAATTCTAGTGAACATTGGTCATTCTCATTCATCCAACTAAATCAAGGCACTTAATTTCATTTCAAAGAATAAGATATAAAAGAAATCTTCAAAATGAATAACACCTAATACATAAATCAAATACATTCTACAATTGTTTCATAATAATAATCAGCAGTATGAGCTCATGTGAAAAAAAAAATCCAAAATTAACTTCTTAAAAAGGCACCGAGGAGTCCTGGGCCAGCAAACACAAAAAAACAAGACCACGATTCAATTTGAATCCAGCCCATTTAGCTAAAAGGCCGAGAAAGGTAGGAATCTAGCCTAGTTAGGGTATATGGTATTGGGGATTTTTTAACAGTGTTATATATAATAATAATTATCATGTTCGTATTACTCCAAAACCCTAGTCCAGCCAAGCCACAGCTCGATCACCAGGTATTTCCGCCGGCAAAGCTCACTTTCTCTTCCGCCTCTCTTATGGCTGGCTGAGTGAAATTTGTTTTTTGTGTGTGTTTTGTTCCGGTCATAGAGAGGAACTCTTACCATGTTTCTATAAGTTTTCCACGGATACGCATATTCGATTACGCACAGGAAAGAAGAAGAAGGAAGAAAGAAGAAAAAATCGGTGGGCAGAAAGCAGAGACATGGCAGCGGCCACAGATGATAATGCTAACTCGTCAAGCAGTAGCTTCAGCGTGAAGCTAATAATCGACAAAAAGGAAAAGAGGGTTCTGTGCGCGGAAGCAGGAAAAGTATTTGTGGATTTCCTGTTCAATTTCCTGGCAATGCCAGTTGGTGCCATTGCCAGGCTCGCTGCAACAGATGATCATGGTAAAGAAGGCACGTGCAGCAGTTTGCCGACGACCACAATATTGCCAGGCTGCATCGAGAAACTCTACGACAGCGCTCGTAATTTGGACCTATCTTTCTTCAAGAATGCTAACAGCAAGGACTACCTGGTCGCCAAGCTCCACCCAGAAACCAAGGTCACAAAGATGCCTTTGCTCCCGATTCCCCCGAAGCGATCTTTCCAAAGGACGTTATACAAGTCCTATTGTAACTATAACACGTCTCTTACCCCTGGCGGTCGATCGTACCTGTATTTTACGGACACGGAGGAACGTTGTCGTGAAGCCGACTTCGTGAAGGACCTAGTGACCTACATGGTGATGGATGATCTCACGGTTTTGCCCTTAGAATCCACCATGTCTACTGCTATCTCCCTTCTCAACAAGTTCAATATCAAGGATTTGGGGGTCATCGAGGAAAGAGTGGTGCAGGTCGGCATCAGCGAGGTAAGTTAAAGTTAACCCTAGCTACAGTTGCAAACACTTGTTGAAAAAGTGTAGTCATTACACTGTAATGTAATGGCGTGCGTGTGTGTGATTTTGTATTGTGATGGACTTATTGCTACCGATAATATTGCAACAATTCTCTTCTCCTTGGCATTTCGTAGGGACTGGAGCTGTTGAGGGCGTTTATGCGCACCAAATCGGTTCTTACCAGTGTGTTTTTCGAGAAGAAGGAGAAAATCGTCAAGGAGGAATTACAACTATTTTTATGAATATAATGGCAGCGCTAGCTAGCTCTTGTTAATGTGACAGTAGATGGGTCGTCGAGCAGGAATCAGATTGAATTGAATGCTGCCCACAAGCTGCGCTTTATGATTTGCCTCCATTGCTTCTTTATTTCTTTGTGATTTGTATTTTTTTTAATTGAGTGGAACGTTAATCTTTCGCCTTCATTTTATAATCGTTGTTTAGCAAAATGTATTCAGTCTTGAACAGATAATGATCTCAGGCTGATTCAAGTTGGAGGAGAAAGAGGAAGTTTTATTCTACAAAGGCAAGGAATTGGTTGAGTTCGAATCAACCTAGAAGACCATTTTCGAAGGGCTCAAAGATACTATGAAGCCTGTTTTCCTAGGCAGACTTATTTGTGTGTTTATGTCAGTTTCTTGGCTTGCAAGTTACCTTGTTTTACACGAATTATTTAGCCTTTTTCTGTTCTAACTAGTTTCCTTGTTTATGTAGGGTTGTATTAGGATTATTTGGCTATAAAAAGCCTTTCTTTTCATTGTAAAATAAAAACTAGGACTTTGATTAATCGAAAAACAAACCTTTTGATAAGAATATATAAAGTGGAAATGCCTTTTGGTAAGAATATATAAAGTGGAAATGACTGTGGAACTTATTCCTCCCTCTAAAGCTGCATTTCTTTAAACACTATTTTCCCAGCATCCCCCTCTCACGAGGATCCTCAAATTGGCTCTTCTCTCTTAGTCAAGTGGGATCGTCTAGCTCTTGTGGCCAATTTATAAGACAAGAAATGAAAAAGGTCTTCAGAAATGTCAATCCTTGGCCACCATCTACTTGCTCCAAGGCATCCCTGGAGGTCCAGACGTGCTGCCCAAGAAATCTCAAGGAACCCCAAGGACCATGATTCATCTCCAACCACCCCCATATCAAACCTCACCATCGTCAAGTAATCCCCATACGAGATTCACTGTGATGGGGTCGTTTCTACACGACTCCCAAGAGGCGGCTTATGGTGCGGTAGTAACTCACTACCATGGTCAGGTCTGTGATGGAAGAGTTGAAGCCATACTTCGTAGTTCAGCATTAGAAAAGTGAGACGAAAGCGCGTTACCGGAAGGGATTCGATTGGCAAAAAGCATATACCAACCCTGCCTCATTCACTCTAATTGCAACACATTGGTTTCTGTCTTGAAAATGACATATGAAAGATGACTCTGGAGAATTGTAGCATGGATGGACGTCGTTATGAATCTACTTAAAGACAATTTCAGCGTTACAATTTCTAATTTTAAACGCCACTTGAATGTCAAACTGGGTAGCTAGATCTTGTGCTCGTGAACATCTCTCTATAAATTGGATCACAACTCTTAATGTTGTTTCAGCCTAACTGTAACACTTTTGATTTCACGATCTAATGGAAAATTGGAAATACATGTCTTTTTTTTTTTTTTTTACAAATAACCTGTATTGATAAATTAAGAGAGTTCAAGTACTACAGTGCCATCTTTTGCTAAAAGAGGTATGAGAAAAATAGGGGCTCGGTTGAACCACACTTCGGTTTCATCCGGTCGACATCGGGTACGAGCCAACAAATGAGCACACTCATTTGCATTTCTCCCCCAGAATCGCCAATGCACATTTCCAGCTTCCTCCGCCAGTTCCCTAATCTCATCACAGATCCCCCTAATCTCCCATGTCGTTGAATCCCTTCTATCCAGCTTCTGAACCACCGATTTGCAGTCTGTTTCCATAATCAGAGGCCCAAAATCATGGCTTTTTGCCAATTTCAAACCCCATAAGAGAGCAAGAGCTTCTGCCATCTCCGGTGGCCATTTCGTCCTCGTCCGATGCACTGCCGCCATTTGAAATGTCCCATCCCCGTTTCTAATCACCATCCCGAAGCCCGTTCCCTCCTCCCCCAACACAGCCGCATCAGTATTCATCTTGAACAACCCCTAAGGCGGAGGCTCCCAGACAACCCTAATCGGTGTCAGCTTAGGTTTCGGGTCAGGGCCCTTCTGCAATTGCTGGTATTCCTCCAGGTAATTCTGTGCTCTCGTCACTACTTCCCACTCCTCGAGCTTGTGGTTGTTGAAGAGATGATTGTTTCTCTCTTTCCAGAGAAACCATAGGGTAATCAGAACCATAGTGAGTTCTTCCTCAGTCGTTCCTTCTATTAGGTTGCAGAGCCATTCCTCACACTTCTTCCCTTCTCCCATGTCAAAATACTTAGCCAAATAACTTGGTCTCCATACTCTTCCGACCCAATCGCAGTCCCTCGTGATATGTTCTTGTGTCTCTACTAGACCACAAAATGGGCATTCATCGTGTGCCTCTGGTATCCTCCTGCTCAGATTTGCACCCGTGGGGAGAATATTACTACCCCATCTCCACACAAACACTCGTACCTTAGGAGGTAGTTTCAGCATCCAGAGCTGTTTCCAATCGATGGGGACATAGTGCTCTACCTGGCTGTTCAAAAATTGTCTCCTCCATTATTTATAGCCCGAGCGGACAGAGTACCTCCCAGATTTCTCCTTTCCCCAAACTCGAACATCTGGTCTTGATCTGAAAGGAAGTGGTATTTGTTTGATCCGATCTCGGTCCACTGGTTGGAAATTTACTTGCAAAAGATTGCTTTTCCACGACCGATTCTCATGATCAATCAATTTCGACACCCTTTCCATCATTCCCAAACCGTTCACCTGTGTTTGAACTTTGTAGTCCTCAGCTGTTGGGATCCATCTATCCCACCAAATTCGTACACTTTCCTCATCTCCTATCCTCCATCTCGTGCCCTCCCTTACCAAACTTTGAGCTTGCATTAAGCTTCTCCATATGTAACTTGGGTTTGTACCCATCTCGGCCTCTAGTATGTCACTATGAGGATAATATTTTGCCTTTAAAACCCGAGCTACTAGGGTGTTAGGATTTTGTAAGAGATTCCAGACCTGTCTTCCCAGGAGGGCTATATTGAAACCATGGAGGTTTCTAAATCCCATTCCTCCCTCATATTTAGGTCGACACAGCTTTTCCCAGCTCATCCAGTGTATCCTTTTCTCCTCCCTTTTCTTTCCCCACCAGAAGCTGGCAATCATACTCTGTATTTCCTGAATCACTCCCTGAGGGATTAGGAAAACTGACATAGCATATAGTGTTTGAGCTTGGGCCACAGCTTTAATGAGTACTTCTTTAGCTGCATTAGATAGGAGTTTTCCTTTCCAGTGTTTGATCTTGTTTCGGACTCTATCAATAAGCTGAGAAAACACAGCTTTTTTTGCCCTTCCAATTACAGTAGGTAGTCCCAGATACTTGTCGTGAAACATGACAGTTTTCATGCCTAGGATTCCAGCCATCTCCTGTCTGTCACTGTCCACAACATTTGTACTGAAGGATAGTTCTGATTTGGCTAGACTGACTTGTTGTCCCGATGCTTTTTCATAATTGCTTAGAATATCCCTCACCACCTCACCCTCTTCTTTCTTATTCTCAAAGAAAAAGATATTGTCATCTGCAAAGAAAAGGTGAGTGATCATAGGGCCATTGTTACTCACTTTTATCCCATGTAATCTCCCCTCCTCCACTACTTTTTTAGTTAAAGCAGACAACCCTTCTGCACAAAGCATAAATAGATAGGGGGATATAGGGTCCCCCTGTCTTAAGCCTCTTGTTGGTTGAATAACAGCTGTTTGGTGGCCATTTATTAAAGCATAATAGGTCACAGTAGACACACACTGCATAATTAATTGAACCCAGTCTTCATGAAATCCCAGTTTAAGCATAATCCCTTCCAGGAAAGCCCATTCTACCCTATCATATGCCTTGGCTATGTCCAGTTTGGCTGCAACATACCCCTTCCTCCCTTGCTTTCTATTCTTCATGGCGTGAAAACACTCAAAACCGACCATTATGTTGTCTGTAATGTTCCTTCCAGGAACAAAAGCACTCTGAGTTTCAGTGATCACCTCGTTTAAGATCCTCTTAGCCTATTGGCCATCACTTTGGATAGTATTTTGTAAAGTACCTTGCATAGTGCAATAGGTCTAAAGTCCTTAGGAGAAATTGGCTTCTGAGTTTTAGGAATCATAGCCAACAGGGTATGGTTTAAAGATCGAGGAATCTGACCTGTTATCAGGATTCTCTGTAGCTCCAAGCAAACTGTATCCCCAACCACTGCCCAGTTCTTTTGGAAGAAAAAGGCTGGCATCCCATCTGAGCCTGGTGCTTTGGTGGGTGCCATTAACTTTAAAGCTTCCCATATTTCCTCCCCGGTAAAAGGAGCCAAAAGTTCTTGATTCATTTGGGGAGTCACTTTAGGCTCCACTGCTGCTAAAACATCCTCCATGTTTTGAATATGCCCTCTCTGGTATAGCTTCTCCAAATACTGCCAGAAACAACTCATAACCTCCTCCTGCCCTTTGAACTCTATTCCATTCTCATCCCTCAGTTCTTTAATTGTGTTCCTTTTCTGTCTGTTTGAGGCTTTTCGATGGAAAAAACCAGTATTCTTGTCCCCTTCCTTTAGCCAGTCTGTGCGAGATCTTTGCCTCCATCTAATCTCTTCAAGATGCAGGACCTCGTTTAGTTCCTTTTCTAACACTCTTCTTTGCAGTAGAACTGACTTGTTCTTCCTTTGCTTAGCAATCTTGGCCAAAGCCTTCTCAATCCTCTTTTTTCGAGCTCTTAGACAACCAAAAGTCCTCTTGCTCCATTCCAACAAAGATTTCTCACAATCCTTGATCCTATCCTCCAGAGGCTTATCAGGATCTTTTATCCATTCTGCTTCAATGATGGCAGAACACTCTTCATGAGTTTGCCAATAAGCTTCAAACTTAAAATGCCATCCCCATCTGACTCTCTCCTCCTGCAAATTCAGCTCCACTTTTATTGGTAGATGGTCAGAAACCCACCTATCCAGATGACACACTCTAGCTTCAAGGAACCACTCCTTCCACTCTGAATTGGCTAAAGCTCTATCAAGTCTTTCTTCTAGGAAGGTTTCATCTACCCTTCCATTATCCCAAGTAAACATATTCTCGTAATATCCCAAATCCTCTAACTGACATTCATCAATCGTTGTTTGGAATTCCTCCATGTTTTGGATATCTGGAGGATTGACTCCATTCTTCTCTTCATAGCTAAGTACTTGGTTGAAATCCCCACAGACCAGCCAGGGCATATTTTGTTGCTCATGCAGCCTTCTGATCATTTCCCAAGTCTGTGGCTTATTTTCTTGTTCAGGCCACCCATAGACTCCTGTAAACCGCCACTGATTCCCTTCAGCCCCTTTGCTAATCCAAACATCAATGAAATTCCGGGTTAAGTTTTTCACAGTCACTTGTATTTCCTCTTTCCATAAGAGCAGCAGCCCTCCTGCTCTACCTTGTGATCCAACACCCTTCCCTTGTGACCATCCGAGTTGTTTGACAGTCTCTTCCCATTCGTGTTCTTGCTTCTTAGTCTCCATAAGGAAGACTATGCTGGGGTCTTGCTCTTTGAGTAGCGCAACTACTCTTGCAACTGTCGTGGGATTCTCCAAACCACGACAGTTGTAGCTCAATACACTCATTGGGCTGGGTGGTCCTGATTCTTATCAGGAGCCGCCATTCTGTCAACCATTTTTGTGGTATCCCTCTCATTTGTTGTTTTCTTCCCGCTTTGTGTTTCCCCTGCTATTTCAGGTCCATTAGCTTCAGTCATTGCTTCCTTTCCTTGGTCTTTTGGATTCACTACCATATGATCAAAAGACAGTGCTCGTGCCTTCTTCTGGAAAGCTTCCCCTCCCTCCATCTCGCTCCTATCTTGCCCCTCTGCTGCCATTGTTCTCTTCTGAGGGGTGAGTTTCACTTGGTTTATTTTCCTACCTCGTCTCTGTTCATGCCTCTTCCAGACTCTCCCAGGGACTCTATTGGTTCCTTTCTCATGGCTCTCCTTTTGGGAGAACAGTTTTACCGCTCCTACTCTCACCGGAGCTTCATGTTTCTTTATTCCCTGTTCAGTGGTGTTCAAATCTCTTGCTTCTTTTCGAGGTTCTTCTCTCTGCTCCTTGTCATCCCCTGTTGGGGACTGGTTTTCAGTGTCCAGCCCTGTATCCATGGGGGCAGGGTCTTTTGCCTTTGGTTTCGAATTTAACTCCATTTCTGCCTGCTTTTCCTCATGTTGGGCTGGCGACTCTTTTCCTGAGTTCGATCCTGAACTCTCCATATCGAATTTCCTTCTCAATTGTCTCCATATCTCATATTCCTCCTTCCTGGCTCTATGTGATAGCCAGTTCCTTGGAGCAGGAGGGGCTGTTCTCAGGTCAAACCCATATGGATCAACTGCTAATTGGGAAGGTCTCGGACACTTAGTTTTGATATGCCCAATTCGTCCACATGAATGACAGAATAGCGGTAGTTTTTCATACTTAATTTGGAACTCCAGTAATTCTCCCCCCACATTTAACTTGATCTTCTTCCTCAAAGGATTATTGATCGATAAACTCACCCTGATCCTCAAGAAATCGTCCCAAAGCTTTTCCGAGCTATCATCAAAGAAGAAAAATTCTCCTAGTCTTGTTGCTATCTTTTCTGCCATTGATTGTGTTCTTAGTTCAGCTGGGAACTCCTTTACCTGAATCCAAATTTCCATCTTGTGCAGGTCAGCAGGTGTTGGCTTCTTAATCCACCAACTAGCAGTGAAGAGCAATGCGTTGTTTTCATAGTGCCAGGGACCCCCATAGCACACTTTGTTACGATCATCCATCTCCAAGAATTGAAAGGCAAACATGTTGTTTCCCAACTCAGTGATTTGATAGCTCTTTTTTAGACCCCACGCTTTGGTTAGGGCATATTTCATGGACTTTATGTTGGGCTCCTTATCTGACAGCAGTCTGCCCACCAGTCCCAGATGACGAACAGCCTCCATACGAACTACATCCACATCAGCATCTTCAACATCTAGAGGCTCCTCATCTTCCTCTTCCAACGTGATTTGGTTTAGCTGATCTTCCAAACCAGCTGTAGGGTTTGTCCCATCCACTTCAACATCGTTCCTCTTCCCTGGCTCTGGATTGACATTGGTGGATTCCATCCCTCTTCTTCTTTGCTTTAGAACCTAAGTTTTTTACTTGGGCTCCACTCCAGCTCTGTATTCCAGCTCTTGTAATCGCGATGTTTATCCTCAGAATTTCAGCACCAACTTGTTCTGACACCAGACTAAGCTTCTCACCGCTCTAAATATCTTTCGTTGCTCAGAGTTTTCTTCTAGGTTTCGGATACGTCTTCCTCTTTCAATCAGAACTCGGAAACCCTAGGATTACCGCCGCTGCTAAAAACTCTCGCTAAACGAGAGAGAAAAATCTGGAAATACATGTCTTTCAGTAAAAAAAAAAAATCTTCGATATAACAAATGGTGTTGATAATATGAAAAATTTAAAATGTTTTTTCATCGGAAGTTCGACGATTAGTCAACTTCCGCCCGTGGTTAATCTTTATGCTCTGACTTTGTTTCTGGACTTTCGAGTTTCGACTATGTTAAAAAAATATGAAAAAGCCAAAAACAACTTCTTGAAAAGGATTAAGCCCATCAATCACAAAAAATAGGACAACGATTTATTTTGAATCAAGCCCAGTTCAATTGATCTGGGCCAAAAGGCCGGGAAAGCTACGAATCCAGCCCAGTTAGCCTATAAGATATGGGGGAATTATCACTGTTATATAATAGTTCGTCTTACTCCAAAACCCTAGTCCAGCCAAGCCACCGAGACAGCCGCAGCTAACCAGGTATGTCCGCCGGCAAAGCTCGAATTTCTCTTCGCCGTTCTTATGGAGTTCTGAACATAGCTGTGTTAACCTTCTTTTTCTTGGTTCGGTCATAGAGAGAAACTCTTACCTTTGTCTATGTCCGTTTTCAACGGATACGGATCTTCTATTACGAGTAGAAATGAACTATAGATCTCGTATGAGTTAACCTGATTTCGCAATCAAATATTCCACAGTCTTCACCCTCATTGCCTTGTTCTACTCTATTTTCGTATTGTGATGTGATTGCTTTTCGGTGACTGTATTTCTGACGTTTCTGGCTTGTATGAAACAGGTAAGAAGTTGTGGGTTTTGCTCGGAGTTCCCAACAATGGCGCCTAAAGGTATGCCTTTCTTTCTTGCTCATACCTTTACCGCTTTCACAATGTCTGAACATAGAACAAGCTAGAAATAAGTCCCTTAGCTTCATCTTCCTTCCCTTGGGTTTCCATAATTGCATTGATGGTGTTATGAGTAGGGTTATGTTCCGTACGGAGTGTCGGAGAGATGAATTGTTTGGGCTAGTATGCGGCGCTTTAATAATGTCTTTGTGTGGTTTTAACTTTTAAGGTTTTGAATTTCCACCGATTTTTACAGCTGATGCTCCCAAGAAGGCTGATCCTAAGGCACAGGCTGCTAAGGCAGCCAAGTCTGTGAAATCAGGGCCAACCTTCAACAGGAAGGCCAAGAAAATCAGGACTAAGGTCACCTTTCACCGCCCCAGGACTCTCAAGAAGGAGAGGAACCCCAAGTATCCGCGAATCAGTGCACCTCCAAGGAACAAGCTTGACCATTACCAGATTTTGAAGTTCCCATTGACTACCGAGTCTGCAATGAAGAAGATCGAGGACAACAACACCCTTGTCTTCATTGTTGACCTCCGTGCCGATAAGAAGAAGATCAAAGCTGCTGTCAAGAAGATGTACGACATTCAGGCCAAGAAAGTTAACACCTTGATCAGGTAAACATGGCTCTTTTGAAATCAGATCAGGTTGAATATTATGACTGTTGGAATCAGTATTGATTCTGTTAATCTAACCTGAATTGCCCTTGTTGGCGTCTCTTTCCAGGCCAGATGGAACCAAGAAGGCTTATGTCAGGTTGACTCCAGACTATGATGCCTTGGATGTGGCAAACAAGATTGGGATTATCTAAGTTCCATTCTTTTTGTAGCTACTGCTTCTCAGACTCTGAGCATTATTTTAAGATTTTGACAGTTTTGTTAGTTATATGGTGTTAGCAGTGTTCATCCATGTCTGTACCTGTCTTTCCATAGATGTTTGGAGTATTCAAGTTTTCAGTTTACGACATTTTCATTTTGAAGTTCTATATCAGTATCCATTATGCTTTTCAATATTAGTATCCGTTATGCTCTCATTAGAGTTCCGACTTCCTGTTGATACACATAGAAACCCTCTGCTGAAAGATGTTTATCAAGTCCATGCGCTTTGATTAGGGGTGGCTATACGGTCCGGTCCGTTTAAATTGGTTCAAATTGATCCGGTCCAGTCCGGTCTTTTTGAAAATATAAGGACCGAAGATTGGATTGGATACAGTCCGGTCTTGATCCGGTCCGGTTTTGATCCGGTCCGGCCCAATTCGGTCTTGATTTTACATTGAGATTGTGGGATTTGAGTGGCCTAAGGCCTTAAAGGGTGAGGAGTTGGTTAAGTTTTGTACTAAGTGCAAAGGTTTGTGACCGTTTATGCAAATTACCCTTAAGTTTTGGGTGTTGAGCTCTCTTATCCGGTCTTTATCCGGTTTTTTACCTCAAATCTAAGCCCAAAGATTGGATTGGATTGTTTACTATTCGGTTCCGGTCCGGTCTCGGTCAGGATTATACGGTCCGGTTTCCGATTTTTAATCCGGTCCCAGTCCAAATAGCCACCCCTAGCTTTGATATTGAGTTTTTCCAATTTGGTACTGTGGCTGTCAACAGAGCAAGAATAGTAAAAAAGAGATGTATTCATCTGAAAACAGGGAAATGAATTTTGGTGATTATTAGCCTTATACAACTCTGCAAAATGCACACACTAATATTAATATTGAAGAAAATCCATTGGTCCTTGTTGAGAATGTCACTTCAGACATTGGCAAGTTTGAATGATTCTACTACTGTCTGCAACTTATCCTTCATCTTCCCCCATCTCCTCTCGTTAGCTCCTGTTGTCAACGTATATAGCTTTCCTGCAACCGAAAGGAGATGAGTAGTTCACTTCACTTCAAAACTTTTGACAGAGCCTGAGATAAGGAAAAGTGATACGATCTTACCGTTGCCAATGACAATTGTACTAAGAGCGTGGCGGGTGAAGTTGGGCGCTTGAGCTACGAACTCGAATGTGTAATAAGCTTTTCCATCAACATCTTGCTGCAACCATTGACACACAATCTTCTTACAAAATTGCAAGAAAAATCTTCCAAGCAACATAAGGGGAAACCAGACCAACCTCCTTGGCTTCAATTAGTTTAGTCTTCTGGGAAGGAGGGGCTAAAACCTTCTTGATCAGTGTTCCTGCAACCTGATCCGGAGGCCCGAAATCTCGAATATCTTGCTTGTTAGTTGGGAACACGGTTACACTCACACTTTCAAGTGGCTCAATCACGTCTTTGAACACTTTATCTTGACCTTCTATCGTCACTTCCTGGACAAAACATTTTATGGAAGTTCTGAATTAGAAACAGAGGAAAGGGCAGCAATCAAGCAATCAACAGTAGAAAGAAGGGCATACTTGCCAACCGAATGGGTAGAGGAATGAGTATCCATCCTTATTGTCCGTGACCGGCAGGAACCCCTTTCTATTTTCTGCAGCAACTGAACCATATCAAGGATGGCCTCTTAGGATATTACTATTACAGAAATCAATGCCCACCACCACATACAACTAGGAAGAGAGTTCCCATTGCTATATCTCAGTATATATACGCAAGTCTGCATTTGGTTCAGTGGGTACTTACATGATGTAGAAGAAGTCTGATCAACCAGAGAAACCAGAGGGGCAATCACCCCAACAGCAACCAATTGGCGTCTACCTGATGATGAAGATGATGTTGCTGCAATAAACAAATTTCAACAGCAACCAAGTCTGATCAACCATAGCGCAGATATTTGGAACCCAAATTTCAACTAAACTCGTCCCTCCAAAATGGTCAGTTCGTTGTCTCTTTCTAGAAATGTCCAATTGGAAAATGCCAGAAACCCAATGTTCAAGTTCTGTCGCATTTGGCAAATAAATACCGACTAAGCAGGCTACGCAACGAAATGAAACTCACTTGGAGCTTGAGACTGGGAAGCAGGGGAGCTAAGTGAAGATTGGTCGGCTCGAACAAGAAACGAAACGCCTCTTCCTTGCTGCTGCTTCTGCAATCCTCCAGCCTGCTGCAGGACCCAAAATAGGAAGGTGAGTCCATTACATGAAAAAGATCAAATTTAGGCTATTGGGTTGGGTGAGGAAGTCGGGTAGAGGAAAAACGGAGGACCTGGCGAGGGAAGAAAGACAATGTGCGATAGAGAGAAGGTGAGGTTTGTAGGGAAGCCATGGCCGGCCGAGCGGCTGGGTAAATGCGGAGAAAATGCAGAGAAAGTTGTTCGGGAAGTGAGGTTGTGGAAATGGGGAGATTGGTGATGATGATGACTGTCTGTTTCTGTGGTGAAGACGAGACGAGACGAGAGCTTGTCTTCTTCAATTTGATTCTTTTTCGCTCACACTAGCTTATCCTTTCTTTTAGGGCTGGGAATCCAGACCAAACCGTATGGGAAACCGCGGTCTAGACCGGATCGTATGGTTTGGTCTAGACCGTGAGACTAGAACTATAGTTTGGTCTGGTTTGCGGTCTCCTCCTTTAGTGCGTGGTCTGAAGTGGTCTGGACCGCGGTCTACCGCAGTAAACCGTAACAGACCGCGACACACTACCTACTACCTTGGACAAAAATAACACTAAATTGAACCTCCATATGTGTATTTGAAGAACAAAGTTAGTTGATTCTTCATCTAATTGAGAGCCAACAAATTGCAAAATGATCGCTTATATGTTATCTCCTTATCAAAGTACCACACAAAAATTAGAAAGACTCATAAATAATATTCACAGATAATTTCTAGACTATGGAGTCGATAAAAATTAAACACTACAAAAAAAATTCGTTCACCTTGATGAGATAAGGAAAATTATTGAGAGATATGCGACCATCTTAGTGGTTCGAAATTACCTCGACGTCATAAAAAAGGTTATCAACTGGGAGAATCTTCAGATCACTCGAGAGAGGAGAGAAGCAGTAGCACAAAGACGAATAGGGAAATAAGGCTATTTGAAAATTGAAAAAAATCCACTTCTATCCTCATATTTCTTCTCATTTAATACGATCACAATTTTTTTGTTTCACTAGCATATTGGTCACTAGATTTTTTTTATAGATACCGGTGAAGGGTTGGAGGGCGGACAAGAGTTAATTTTTTTTAACATGGTCTGTCTCGTCCAGACCGTATGGTATATGGTCTGGTCCAAGGTCTGTGTTCCAACCTCTCGGTATGGAACACAAACCGTATCTATAGTCTGGTCTGGACCGGACCGCACTGTTTCCCACCCCTACTTTCTTTCCCTTGGTTCAGTTTTTGGCTTTTTACGTTAAGGTTCTCCAATTCCTTTTAATAGATAATTCAGTCCTCCTTTTCATTAAACCGGACAAACTGGGGAAAAAATCCCAAGTTACACATGTTTTTAAAAAAAAATTCTCAAAATACACACGTTATGAAAATAATTCCCAATCTACGCATGTTTGGGCCATCACCGCTGTCGACGAAGACAATGATTGCATCGCCGCTGTCGACGAAAACAGTGATTGCATCACCGCTGTCGACGAAGACAGTGATTGCTAGGGGTGGGCGTTCGGTCGGTTCGGTTTGAACCGAACCGAAAAGGGGTGTGCCGAATTTCCGAAACAGCATATACTGAAACCGAATTCGAACCGGTCTATAGTTCGGTTCGGTTCGACCGAACCGAATTATAGATCGGTTCGGTTCGGTTTTGCCAGGTTGAACCGAATTCTGTTGCCTTTTGGACAATAGGCATGCTTCCTGCTGGCCTTCGAATTTGGAGTGTGGGACTGGGAGGCGCGAGTGGTGGCTTGGTGGCTGTCGGCGGGAGTGGTCTGCCGAGTGTGGGACTGGGAGGCGGCGGCCGGCGATTGGAGTGGCGCTGGTCGGCGACTGGAGTGCCGACTGTGGGAGAAGTCGATTCGAGGGTCGGGGTCACGGGGAAACGGCGAAACGCCGTCGGGAAGAGGCTGGCGGCTGCGGCGGCTGCTGATTCGTAGAGGAGGTTGGCGGTGTTCTCTTCTCGGGGACGGCCGGACGAGGACGGGGAGGGAGAGTCGGGGTGTCGGGGACGGGGGTCGGGGAGGGAGAGGCCTTGCCGCGCCGCCTTGGTGCTGCGACGGCTGCTGCTCAGGATACACTGACGGGGAGGGAGAGTCGGGGAGGGAGAGGCGGCTGCTGCTCACAGAGACACAGACAGACTCGGATGGGTAGGGTTTGGGGTCTCACTCTCACAGACAGACTCGGAGGATGGGTAGGGTTAGCGGTTAGGGTTTTCTCAATTGTGATTTGTGGGCTTCAAATTGGGTTTTACTTAGGGGTTTGGGGCAAACAGGTTGGGCTTGGGTAGGATGGGTAGTAGGCCTGGCCTGCTGCTGAAGTCTGAAAAGGGTTGGGTTAATGGGTCATTGGGTATTTGGGTTGGGTCTTTTACTTTTCGGAAATTCGGTCGGTTTCTCGGATTTTCGGTTCGGTTTAACTGAAGCTGGTTCCCGAATTGGTGGAATTTCTCAGCCGAACTCCGAACCTAATAAGACAAAATTCGGTTTCGGTCGGTTTATGATCGGTTCGGTTCGGTAAAACCGAACCGTATGCCCACCCCTAGTGATTGCATCACTGCAGTACACTGCCGCGGTGAAGGCCTGACCTGCGTCGAAACTTTAAACAAACGTAACTTTGTGTTCGGTTATCCGATCGTAGCGAATTTTTTTTATTCCACATAATTTTTCGAGATCTTGCAAGCCGCTAATTGCCGTAGGCGGTTTGGTCCCGCCTTCGTCTCGAAAATATGTCGTTTGCTACCCCGAACGAGCCTTTTTCGATTTCGTCAAACTTTCAACGATCATATCTTTGTGCTCCACAATCAGAAAATCATGAATTTTTTTTGATTTCGCATAACTTTTTAAGGACTACAATTTTTAGTAGGAGAGAATTTTCAAAAAATGAATTATTTATGGATATAAGGGGTTTTGGGAATAACTTTACCTTCCTTTTCAGGAATCCAAGTACATTCCGAAAATATGTCTATGATAAAAATTGTAGTCCTTAAAAAGTTATGCGAAATAAAAAAAAAATTCATGATTTTCGGATTGTGGAGCACAAAGTTATGGTCGTTCAAAGTTTGACGAAATCGAAAAAGGCTCGTTCGGGGTAGCAAACGACATATTTTCGAGACGAAGGCGGGACCAAACCGCCTACGGCAATTTGCGGCTTGCAAGATCTCGAAAAATTAAGCGGAATCAAAAAAAATTTCGTCGAAAGCGATGATGCAATCACTGTCTTCGTCGACAGCGGTGATGGCCCAAACATGCGTAGATTTAGAATTATTTTCATAACGTGTGTATTTTGAGAATTTTTTTTAAAAACATGTGTAACTTGAGATTTTTTCCACAAACCGGCTCTTATATTATCTTGGTCCTTGGATAACTGCCCGACGAGTCCAGCCCAACACCCCAGGCAGGCTGACATGAAAGCCCATCCCAGCAAAAACGTGGCTGTAGTTGGACCATCCACGTCCATGTGTCATTTATTTGCAATTTGAAATGTATTCTCTCATACAATTAGGGATGGCAAAAATATCCCTAACCGTGGATATTCGCCCGAATACGATCTAATCGGGTAGGGTAAAACCCGAACCCAAAGGACATTTAGTGGATATGGGTAAAACCCAAACTCGAATATTGCGGGTAATGGGTGGGCATGGGTTTCTCACTATTCAACCCGAACCCGCCCGATTATACAGATGCATATGTATTTTGTCTAGAAATAATCATTATTTTTCTCTAAAATATTTTATATTTAGCATATAAATATAATATTTTCATGAAATTGTCTTGTTTTAATTAATTTTGTTCATTCTAGTGAACTATTGTCGTACTTTCCTCTTAAGTAATGTGAGAATACGTGTGAATGATAACATATTTGTTAGAGTTATGAAGAGAAATTATTACTCATGGATAACCGTGGGTATTCGAAACCCGAACGGGTATGGGCATGATTTTAATGTTCTACCCGTTTCACATGTGGGTATGGGTATGGTTAAAACCCGAACTACTTTGGGTAGGGTAACGGATATGCACTATCCGTCCCCGACCCGACCCATTGCCATCCCTAGATACAATTTCGACAACTTTTAACATTTTTATTCCAAATAATCTATACATACAATTCAATTGATGTTTTTGAAATAAACATATTCTTTAAATACAGGTATCATTTAAAATTAATCAAAGGGACAAGGAGAAATATTTGAGAAAAAAAGATATGGTGACATTGCATGGCACAAAAACCCAGTTGCACTCAAAGGTAAAAATGATTGTTAACAAACTTTGTTCATATTGTTTCGGTCATGGATGCACGAGTTGATTATTTTGAGCTGAGACTATATAAATATACAACTAAAACAACTCATTTTCCCTATAACATTGTAATAGAAAACTTGAATTTTAACTTGCAATAAAAATATATTTTGACGTGACAATTGTCGATATTAGACTCAAATTATATTATATTTTTGTGTAAGTTCTTTTGCCATCAACAATTGTCTTCCCCGTTCCAAAATCTTAGCAGAAAAGTTCATTGCAAGAATAATAAAACAAGGAATCATATGCAGGCAGTGGATAAATTTCATGTGAGGGAAAAAGCGAGGGAAGAGAGAAAGACAGAGCAAATGCACTGGCAAAAAGCACAAAAATATAATAATCACAATAAATTAACATATAGCAAAAAGTCATTATTAATTAATTAAGAAATAAAAGGAGAAATGGAACCACACGAGCTCGAGGCCAATTCTCAATCATGATTCATGAATCATGCCCGTTGGCCGTGGCTATTTTGCTAAGCTCACCTGCCGAATGACCAAAATACCCTCTAGTTTAAGAGGCGAAGTGTTGGGTTTTTTTTACCAGCTCACCACAGCTGGATGCTGGAGCCAGGAGGACGGTCGGGTCACCAATTCAAAAAGGGAGCAAACAATTCTTTTCTTATTTATTGTTCTCAACTTTGGTAAATAAGAAAAATAAATTGTTCATTCTTCACAATTTCACATGCCTTATTTCATTTCCGCATGTATCTTGTCGGTTGATTATATGTCGTGTCACTTATAAAATATAGCGATTGGATATGCGTAACAATAATTTTGAAATCAATTATTATTATGCGCATTTAATGACTATGAATTGTAAGATGCGAGATAAAAAAATATAAACACAGTTGCGTGTCTCGTGATTCATAACTCACGCAATCACAATTACATAACTTCAACTTGGGTTGCAATGAACAGAGGATGATGACTAAAAGTAAGTGAAGAAGAGAGGTAAGAATAGAACGAGAGAATTCGAAACATCCAATCTCAATTCGCGATCAAATTAAATTTCAACTCACATATGTAAAGTGACAAATTATAAACCAACACCTTATTTGAAATCACAACTGGACTCCATATGTCTCAAATTCTTACATTTAACTCAAAAAATAAATATTATTCCCTAACTTAACCTTCTAATAAAATCTAAATTGGTTATATACTCTAGCCTTGAATGTTATTATGTCTGTACATCATCAGAAGAAGCCAAACGAGTCAAGTAACCCAATTAGTTGATGCCTGATGGAGAATAACTTTTTTTTTATACATATTAAATGGCCAAACCCGGGTTTAACCACGGATAAAAAAATGTTTAATAAAATCAACAAAAATGTCTGTTACAATATCTGATTTTGGGCGGGATTAAAGTAAAGTATGCATTTTAATTTTTATAATTGGTTTCGCGACCGGGGTTGCCCGGCTGAAAGCCTGAAACTGAAAATTTCCCTGCTGTGTCCGCCTCTTTTGACTCAGTCGTCTTCTTCCTTCATCACACTCTCCCGCACCTAAAAAAAAACCCTTTTCCCCAGAATTTTATTTCGCTAAAGAAAAGAAAAATTTTCCATCTCCTTCTCCCAGCCGAGAAAATCACTAGCAAACAGAAAAGGGCGAGAGAAAGAGAGCAGAAACGAAGACAGGCAAATTGAGGAACAGTCCTGGGCATCACCATCAAGCCCCCCAGGCTAGCCTACCCACCTCGACAACCAACTCCATTCCACAGTCATATTCTTTCATTTCATCGTGGAAACTTGCCGATTTTCCTCTAAATTTGGCGGATCTACTGCTAAATTTAGAGGAAGAACAGCTGAAAGGGGGAGACACAGGGAGTGGATTCTAGGGTTTTGATACACACTACTGCAATCTCAAACACACCTACTCCCTCTTTGTCCCTTTGCACCTCTCGCCAAGATGATGATCTCGCGGGGACTCTTTGGGTGGTCTCCGCCACACATACAGCCGTTGACGCCTGTTTCCGAGGTGTCGGAGCCGCCGGAATCTCCCTCCCCCTACCTCGACCTCAGCGCTGAGGCCGCCGCAACTGGCGCAGCTGCGCAGGCCGAAGCCGACGAGGAGATGGAGGAAGCCGAGGAGATGGAGCAGCCTCCAGCCGCCGTGCCCTTCTCTAGGCTGTTTGCTTGCGCGGACCGGTTGGATTGGGTGCTCATGATCGTTGGCTCGGTTGCTGCGGCTGCACATGGGACTGCCCTAGTTGTTTACTTGCATTATTTCGCCAAGATTATTGAAGTTATGCGGATTGGTGGTAGTACTAGTGCGGAGGAGCGGTATGATAAGTTCATGGATGTGAGTGTCAGTTGATTTCTCTCCTTCTCGTCGGCATTTTGAGGCTTTGTTACTTGTGTTCAAGGTGGATTAGATGTTACTTTAGGTCATGGCGTTTCTTAGGGGGTCTTTAGTTGATGCCAAACCTGCTTAGTCTTTCGTAAGTGTGAATTTGTTATCTTGATTGAGCTAGGTGATTCATTCTATTCAATAGCTGTATCAGTATCAAGCATGGAATCTGGGATTTGTGAAGCTATTGTTTATTTCGACAGTCGGTTGCGCTATTGTTTACTGAAAATGCACACTAATTATGCATGGCTGTTGGTCAGCTTGGTGTTCCTTGTAGGGTGTTTACTTTAATTCAAGGTCGATTGGTAACTGCACATATGAATTATTGTGCTTTAAGACACGTCAAATTGCCGTTGAACTCAAGAGGATTTGTAGTGTGATTAAACTGGAGTAACTTAAGCTTGACAAAAGGACTTTTGAGAAATGAATACAGAGTAAATATTAGACTCTGGTCTGAAATATGGACGTACTGAGTTATTTGAACATTGTGAGAGCGCTGCTTTCGTATATGTTGATAGTAGGTATCGAGGGTTGCTTTGATGAAACAAGGGGAACATTGTGGACCTGATTTGTGTTTTTACTTTTTCGGCAATTGTTGGTGTCGTTTCTGTGTTTAATGTATTGGCAGAAAGTTTACTTCTCTGGACTGCTGTGCATTGAATAATTTGGGATAAAATTTTGAAGTTTGGCATGGACAATGGTGGAAGTTACATGCAAACTTTTGGGGTTTCCAAAAGATCCTGACTAAGTTATTTGCTCGGGATAGGTTATGCGTGAATGTTGTTTGATGTCCTGGCTAGGTGGTGAGAAATGTTTTTATGGATTGCTATGAAGGTTTTCTTCTTCCAGCTATTCTCCTCAATCTAATTTGCTCTCGAGATTGTATATAAGACTGTATGGCATGTGCTGTTTTGATGACTATTGAACATTGTTGGACTGTTGACACACCAATTTTCTTCTCGGCTACTGGTTTCTTGTTTCACTGCTTTAGTTGGGTGTACAAGATGCTGCTTTTATATGTGCTTAATGGTGGCTAAAGTATGACCTAATTTTTCATTTTTTTTCTGCGCTTCTCTTATGCAGCTTGCTTTAGCCATTGTTTATATTGCCGGGGGTGTTTTTGCTGCTGGTTGGATAGGTAATAATGAGATGCTGAATATGGTTGTTTCCATCCCACTGTGACTTTGTATAGCCAGTTCTTGATCTTGCAGTTGGTCTGAATGTCTCTTTGTAGAGGTATCATGTTGGATTCTAACGGGAGAACGTCAGACTGCCGTCATCAGGTCAAACTACGTTCAAGTGCTACTTAACCAGGACATGAGTTTTTTCGACACATATGGGAATAATGGGGACATTGTAAGCCAAGTATTAAGTGATGTACTACTCATTCAATCTGCTCTTAGCGAAAAGGTATGGCATTGCTAAAGTGTTACTTTTTCCTTTGTTTGAATTCTGTAATACTAGGTAACATGTCATCTGCCTTTTCGTGGCGCAGGTTGGAAACTATATACATAACATGGCTACATTTTTAAGTGGTCTTGTTATTGGATTCATCAACTGCTGGCAGATCACCCTCATAACATTAGCCACCGGTCCATTCATTGTTGCTGCAGGAGGCATATCAAATATATTTCTTCATCGGCTTGCAGAAAGTATTCAAGATGCATACGCGGAAGCTGCTAGCATCGCTGAACAGGTTTGTATGTTTCCCTTTTAGATGAATGAGAGTGCCACAACCTTTCATTAACTTGCTGAAGCCACCCCATCCCCTCCCCGTTTCAGTTTCTCTATTTGTGTTATTGAACTACATATCCTACTAGCTTCCTCTATATCTTATTGAATGAATTCAAACTAAATATGCTTTCTTGTCCAATTATTGCATATGTTCCCTTGAACTATTCTCCTTAGAAGACTAGGTGTATCTAAGGATCAGTGCGGCATTCCATTCTCCATTCATCTGTTTCCAAGTAGGGGCCAGTTGAACTGATGGACTCGGATAATGACTGTGGTTGGTCTGGAATTAGGATGCCATATGACCTCATGCTTCTGTGGCATGGCCCCAGTATGAACCCCATATGTTTCTTGGATGGTTACTGGACAGTGATCTTTTGAATTCGAAGTTATTTTACCATGATATCCATTATAGTTTCTGGATCATGTTCAGAATGCTGGACCTCCAATTGTCTGGTTAGACAATTGTCTAGAATTAGAAGTTAGAAGTGAAAAGGAATTAGACTAGGACACATAGTATTTTCTTATCTAATCTGTTCTCGCCAGTCGCAACCGTTTGTTCTTGGTACCATTAATAGATGCTCAGATGAGTTTTTCTGTTATAGATAATTTCAAATGAAGTTTTTCCTCTGGGGTTGGTGTAGCCATCAATTTATATTCTGCGCATATTTTCCAATCACTGAGCATGATACCTGCCCGTGCATTGTTTTTTGTTACTTCCTTGGTAAAGAGGCTAAGTCTTGAATGGTGTCTAGTTGCGATTTGTTGGTTACTTTAATTTTTGAACGAAATTATTTGAGTACTGAATTTGTTTGGAAAATTGCAGGCTGTATCTTATATTAGGACCTTGTATGCTTTCACAAATGAAACTTTGGCCAAGCATTCATATGCTAACTCTCTACAAGCAACTCTAAGATATGGTATTTTGATTAGTCTTGTACAAGGACTTGGGCTTGGCTTTACATATGGGCTCGCGATATGTTCTTGTGCCTTGCAACTTTGGGTTGGTAGGTTCCTTGTTACACATGGCAAGGCTCATGGTGGTGAAATTGTAACAGCACTCTTTGCTGTAATTTTGAGTGGCCTGTAAGTGTCCTAATCTCACGTCTGTCTACAAGTGCAATATATTTTGTGATAATAGTTCTCACACGTGTTATCTTGTCATTTAGTGGACTGAATCAAGCCGCAACAAACTTCTACTCATTCGATCAAGGTCGCATCGCTGCTTATAGACTTTTTGAGATGATAAGCAGATCCTCCTCCACTGTTAATCAAGAGGGTAACACCTTATCTTCAGTCCAAGGAAATATTGAGTTTCGGAATGTGTATTTCAGCTATCTGTCACGTCCTGAGATCCCTATCTTGAGTGGCTTTTACCTGACTGTTCCTGCGAAAAAGACTGTAGCACTTGTTGGAAGAAATGGCTCAGGGAAAAGCAGTATCATCCCACTCATGGAGCGGTTTTATGATCCTACCTTAGGTATGATGCCATACTGTTTCCTGTTCCCTTGTAAGCTCATGTGATGATTGCAATTGAAGCACAATGAATTCGTTTCCCTTGCTGATACTAGCACATTTCATTTATTGTGCAGGAGAAGTTCTTCTTGATGGAGAAAATATTAAGAATTTGAGACTGGAATGGCTGAGAAGCCAAATTGGACTCGTCACCCAGGAGCCTGCTCTGCTTAGTCTAAGTATAAGAGACAATATTGCTTATGGACGTGATGCTACTTCAGATCAGATTGAAGAGGCTGCAAAAATAGCTCATGCACATACGTTTATCAGTTCATTGGAGAAAGGATATGCTACTCAGGTGAATATTATAAAACACGCAACTCTCTAGAATGTTCTGTGCCCCCCTCTTCTCAAATCATTGCTATTTCTTTTCAGGTGGGTAGGGCAGGCATTTCCTTGTCGGAGGAGCAGAAAATCAAACTTTCTATCGCCCGAGCTGTGCTTTTAAATCCAACAATTCTTTTGCTTGATGAGGTCACTGGGGGGCTCGATTTTGAAGCTGAGAGGGCAGTTCAAGAGGCCTTGGATCTCCTCATGCTAGGCCGGTCAACGATAATAATAGCTCGGCGTCTTAGTCTTATAAGAAATGCTGATTATATAGCTGTTATGGAGGAAGGTCAGCTTGTGGAAATGGGTACACATGATGAATTGTTGTCTTTAGATGGATTGTATGCTGAGCTTCTCAAATGCGAAGAAGCTGCGAAGCTTCCCAGGAGGTATGGTGTAACGACTATACTTAGAACTGCTTTGTTCATATCTGCTGCAAGCATGATTGTTTTTCCCAGTACCAGTTTGAATAATATTTATTTTGAAAATTTTGTTTGCTTATGGAATCATCACTTTGTCCAGAATGCCAGTTAAAAATTACATGGATGCTTTTCAAGTTGAAAAAGATTCCTCTGCTAGTCACAGCTTCCAAGAGCCGACCTCTCCAAGAATGGCCAAGTCTCCCTCTCTTCAAAGAGCTCATGGTGTCATGCGTCCTCCTGATGGCACCTATAGTTCACATGAGTCTCCAAAAGTTCGGAGTCCCCCGTCAGAGACAATGAGAGAAAATGGCCTCTCTTTGGATGGATCTGAAAAGGAACCAACAATTAAAAGGCAAGATAGTTTTGAAATGAGACTTCCTGAGTTGCCCAAGATTGATGTCCATCCCACACATCAACAAAAATCAAATGGATCTGACCCTGAATCCCCTGTATCTCCACTTTTAACTTCTGATCCCAAAAATGAGCGTTCACACTCTCAGACTTTCAGTAGACCCCACAGTCACTCTGATGATTTTCCTCCTAAACTGAAGGATTTGGAGGATGCAAAGCATCGTGAGTCACCATCCTTTCACAGACTTGCCGAACTTAGCTTTGCCGAGTGGCTTTATGCTGTGTTAGGAAGCATCGGTGCTGCTATATTTGGCTCATTCAATCCACTTCTAGCTTATGTGATTGCTTTGATCGTTACTGCTTATCATAGAAGGGATGAACACTCTCACTTGCGTCATGAGGTGGACAAATGGTGCTTGATAATCGCCTGCATGGGTGTAGTGACGGTTATTGCAAATTTTTTGCAACATTTCTATTTTGGTATTATGGGGGAGAAAATGACCGAAAGGGTGAGGAGAATGATGTTCTCAGGTAAATGATAAATCCATTACTAGTTTCGTGTAATAAAAATGTTGACCAATCTGGTATCAGCTTCCTGAGGATGAAAGTCACTAGCTTATTTGTGCTTTTTCTCTGACAGCAATGCTTCGAAATGAAGTTGGATGGTTTGATGATGAAGACAACAGTGCTGACACACTATCAATGCGCTTGGCCAATGATGCCACATTTGTGCGAGCCGCATTTAGCAACCGGCTTTCTATATTTATACAAGACAGTGCTGCAGTTATTGTGGCCGTTGTCATTGGGATGTTATTGCAGTGGCGATTGGCTCTGGTGGCCTTGGCAACCCTGCCCATTCTCATCATTTCTGCAATTGCCCAGGTGTGTATTTTCGTTTATGCCTCTGAACTTCCATCTAAAGTTTCTAAAGCACAACTCGGACAGTTTTAAGAGACTTCAGGAAAAAGCTACCATGCCACCATCTGCCAACTCTAGTATTCAGGATTAGGTTGTGGGTTCTATTGCAATTTGGAATGGAGTGGACTGCCATTGTTATTCACTTGATTCTTTATGACGACACTCTTTAAATTGATTGATTGTTTTTTATTTGTGTTTTTGGCTCCATATGACTTGCAAATTGTATTAGTGTAAGTTCTGAACTCGATACTTTACTGGATGTGACAATTACTGATTTTAGTTCAAGTATCACAATCCTCCATACGATAGTGCAATGGTGACGTCTTTTGGCTTTTTTGTCCATATAAATGGACTGACATCTCAATGCTGACTTTAATTTATTGCAGAAACTGTGGCTAGCTGGATTCTCAAAGGGAATCCAGGAGATGCACCGGAAGGCTTCATTGGTTCTTGAGGATGCTGTTAGAAACATCTACACTGTTGTAGCTTTCTGTGCTGGCAACAAAGTAATGGAACTCTACAGGTTGCAGCTCCAGAAAATATTCAAGCAGAGCTTTTTGCATGGTGTGGCCATCGGATTTGCTTTTGGCTTTTCTCAATTTCTTCTCTTTGCCTGTAATGCGCTGCTTCTCTGGTACACTGCCTATGCCGTGAAGGAGGGCCACATGAGTTTGTCTACTGCACTCAAGGGATACATGGTTTTCTCATTCGCAACTTTTGCGCTGGTGGAGCCTTTTGGGTTGGCACCTTACATACTCAAGCGCCGAAAGTCTCTCATCTCAGTGTTTGAGATTATAGACAGGGTGCCCAAGATTGAGCCTGACGAGAATTTGGCACTAAAACCTCCGAATGTCTTCGGTAGCATTGAGTTGAAGAATGTTGATTTCTGTTATCCAACCCGTCCAGAGCTGTTGGTATTAAGCAATTTCAGTCTCAAAGTCAATGGGGGTCAAACGGTAGCAGTAGTAGGAGTATCAGGGTCGGGAAAGAGCACCATCATCTCTCTGATTGAGAGATTCTATGATCCAGTTGCTGGTCAGATTACGCTGGACGGCCGAGATTTGAAACTTTATAACCTCAGATGGTTGAGGAGTCACATGGGTCTTGTTCAGCAGGAACCGATCATCTTCTCAACAACTATTAGGGAAAATATCATCTACGCTAGGCACAATGCTAGTGAAGCTGAGATGAAGGAAGCCGCAAGAATAGCAAACGCTCATCATTTCATCAGCAGCCTACCTCATGGTTATGACACTCACGTGGGAATGCGCGGTGTGGATCTGACCCCAGGGCAGAAGCAAAGAATAGCAATTGCTCGGGTGGTGCTCAAGAATGCACCAATTTTGCTACTGGACGAAGCTAGTTCTTCCATAGAATCCGAATCCAGTCGGGTGGTGCAAGAGGCACTAGATACACTGATAATGGGGAACAAGACGACCATCTTGATTGCTCATAGAGCTGCAATGATGAGACATGTGGACAATATTGTGGTTCTAAACGGAGGACGGATTGTGGAAGAGGGGAGCCATGATGGCTTGATGGCAAAGAACGGGTTGTATGTCAGATTGATGCAGCCTCACTTTGGCAAAGGCTTGCGCCAGCATCGTCTTATTTAGGGTTTGGCTTTATCCGTTAGTATGTCTGAAGTCTCGATTTTTGGTTATACAAGCAGCTGGCCTCTCGTTCTCGGTGCAAGTATAAAGGAAAATGCTACAACAGGAGCTATATGCGTTGTGGGAGTGTCGATAAGATGGCAGCTATATCCAGAGTGGACAGACATGTGTATGACGATACTAAGAAGGCTTACAACAATGTTAATCGAGAGAAATGAGAGGTTGTGCAGTGGGTGGGGGAAGCTTTTGAGTTGTTCAGACTTTAGGATTTAGGAAGGCTGGTGATTTTGATGTTTGAAGGTGATGGTTGGTCAGGTCTGCTCAGGGTGTGGCTGGATGAAGATAATTCTTTGTGGAGGCATGGAGTGGTGTTAGTAGGTTGATGGACCAATGGTTTCTTGCCTCCATGGTAATATATATGTTTTGATTTGTTGATTATCACGTCGCGCGCGGGAAATGGACTAGAAGAAAGGGAGAGTAGTGTAATTCTATATCTAGTGATGTGTGTTTGGGTTTTCTCGTTGGTTAGATTTCGAAATCTTTGATGGTCTTCTTGAATGTAATCGGTTAATGGAGCACTGCAGCAGAGTGATCGGGCCACTGTATATTCTTTTACCATACTGGAAGGGGTAAATTAAGGAGGGAAGGAGGAGGAAGGGGCATTTGTTGTAATCTTTTTTCTCTGTAAATAACCACGTTGATAATTCTATAGCTTTTTCAACATTCCTCAACTACTGTAACATTGGTTCATGCTAATTGACATGATGATGCAATGTGAGTATGGCTTGGCGATAGATCTAGGAGCCCTGTAACTGGATTACAGTAAGGAATCATCAAATGTCGAGCAACTTGAAAGAGTCGGCAACAACTTTGAGCTGATTGCGAACCCTTTTCCACCGTCTCTCGTTTGCTCCTACGATCAGCGTGTAATAATACCTCCCTGCTGGAGGAAAAGTTAAGGATATGAACTCCATGGAAGTGTAAAAGAAACGGAGCAGGAAAACCCTACCCAGAAGAAACTCACCGTTGCCAATAGCAATGGTGGCGAAGGAGACGCTGGAGTAATTAGGAGAGGTGAGCTCATACTCAAACGTGTAGTAATTCTTCCCATCCACGCTTTTCTGCAAGAGGCGCAGAACCAGAAAAGAAGCAGAGGCAAAACTTGAGGAGCTTCTGTTGATAAATCTTCTTCATCCACTTGGAAACATTTCAATTTCTACTTACGTGAAGAAACAGCAACACAAACCAACCTCTTGCATGGAGTAAATGGTGGGTTTTTTGGTTGGAGCAGCACAAACATGGCTGCTGATCAAATCGGATATGACCTGCTCCCTTGGACCCAGTTCATGGATATCCTTCTTCCTCGTCGGCATGAACCTCACCCTCACCACCATCAAAACACAGTGAATATCCAATGCAACAACAGAAAGGGGAACATTGCTAGCATTAGGACTCACTCTCCAATCTGATGGGTAGATGTAGGAATACCCATCTTCAAGGTCCACATAACTCTGGTACTTCTTCATTATCTCTACAAACACAATCCCCAGCATCAGAATTGTGGCATAGGAAAACCAGGCCAAAGAAGATAAGCTTAAAAGGGCCAGTTTAGAGTACGTACCTTCACCAGAAGCAGAGTTTAGTGGGATTAGAGTACTTGTGGTGAGTGCTCCTCCAAGCCCCAAAACCAGTTGTCGTCTCTTCAACTTGCCTTGAAAAAACCGCAAGTAATTCCCAAATTCAGTGACTGACAATAATGGAAATGGACTGGACTGGGAATTGCCTAAACATCAAACACTATTTCTCACTCACTAGCTTCTCCATGGAAGGACGGCTCCGATGAGAAACTGACTGATGGCTCGTTGCCTGCTGATGATATTAAGGAAGAGATGGGGACCCTTTTGGTTATTGATGCAGAAGAAGCTGCTGCTGCGGTTGAAACCAAGCTCATTGAGAGTGATGAAGCTACAGCCATCGTCGTTGCTCTGTTTCTTGACCACTGACCAGAGTGATCCTTTTCAGCTCAAACGAACTTGGAATAGTGGATCCAAAGTCCATGTCGGGCCAAAATCCTATCTTTCACCGCACCCCTTAAATGCCTGCCGTAAGCCCAACAACCAGAATCCGGCCCAGAAAAGTTCCTTGCTCGGCGCGAAATCCCCGTCCCCCAAGTCCTCGAAAACCCTAATTACTATATAATATAAATCCTCTCCAAGTTTAATCCTAATAATCTCCTCCATCAAAACAAAATCCCTATTCCCTTTGCACTTTCTCGATCATGGAAGAGTATCTCGCAGCACTCTCACGCTTGCACCGCCCGCCAGCGGCAGCGTCGCCGAATCCCCGTCCCAGTCCTCCTGCCGGCGGCGCCGGGGGAGGCAGCAGCATGTCGCTGTGGACTACAGAGAGGATCGAACGAATCGGATCCGCCGTCCGCTCTCTCGCCTCTCGCGGGATCGCGGCCTCGTCCAGGGTTGAGGCGGCGGACCTAATTTACTACGAGATGAACGACCCGCGCATCTCGTCGGCGGAATTGCTCCAATTCCTCAATATCTTCGTCACTACCCGCCGCTGCTTGGACGGATCTATCTATTTCGCCCCGAAATCGGCCTCGCGGAAGTTTCGCCTTTTGAAGTCCCAGCAACAGGGGCCGCCGTCGTGCCCGCGGTTGTCGCCGTATTTCGTCGCCGGCAACAGGAACATTGCCAGGCCGGCGCGTTTCGCGTGGGGACTGAGGCTGCACAGGATGTTTCTGGACGCGGTGGAGCGGCTGGGGGGACTGGGGATGGCGGAGCCGGCGGCGATTTACCGGCTGATGAAGGAGTCGGAGCAGGAGGCTGGTAGTGGGCCGGAGGAGAATAATGGCGGTGGTGGTGGTCAAATTTTGAATGGGCTTACAGTGGGGGAAGTGGGCCGCCATCTTGTGCAGTTCCGGTACTTGATTGGGCTTCCCGGTGGAGGCCCGGTTGCACCATTGTCATCTCAAGGTGGAGATTCTTCGATGCTTGATTTCTTTGGGGACCTCAAGCTCTCTTGAGATAACAGAGGGTAGCATTAGTTTCGTCGTGAAATTTTTGTAAGGTAAAGAACAATTGTGATTTTAACTGAAGTTAAAAGTATTACATTTCTACTTTTTCATTTTGTTGAAAATGATAAGGTAACTTCCCTTTTACGTGAAATGATGTGTTCTTTCGAGTATGTGACTGTTTGGAATATAACTTCCAACTTTTATAAATATAAATAGATTATTGTCACTATTTTTTTAAGATGTGAATTCTTCTTATTCCCATTTTCCTTCTCTATTTCATAAACACATAAAGTATGTAAGATTGCTACTTCTAGACTTACAATTGAAGGACTCCTCGGGGTTATTTCCTCGAGCCTACCAGCAATAAGAAAATAACACTATAAAAAAGTGAATCATTCACGTCTTCAATCATGATAGCTTGACGCTGTCCACACATCTCTCGAGTTTGCCGGTCACGACAACTTACACGTCGTGGTGGCGAAAACAAGTATTTTATCTTTTTTTAGCGTCATAATAATTAGCTTATCTTGCTCAAGTAGTAGGTTTACTTACTGATTAGAATTATTAGCAAAGTTAAACACAACGGAGCTAGGAATCAACGCTCGGGGGCCGAAATTTTTTTTAGCACGTTATCGCAAAACAACTAAAATAACAAACAAAAGTAAAGATAAAGCAAAATTAAATATTATTGTACCTTCACAATATATTCATTGAAACAATTAAAATCACTTTATAATCTAACTTTTTTACATTAACTTCAATACAAATTACAAATGAATAATTAACAATGTGTAGCACATACATTTCCATAATTAAGAGATAGGACTAATATGATTATTGAAAAAAAAAATTACTATATACGCACATACTTAATTAAGAGAATATGCTGCACCTATTCCACTAGGCTAAGAGTCACTTTGTGATAATATGTACATACTTTTGGTTTATACGTAAAATATCCATGTGCTACATGCGTAACTTTCAAGATTCTCATGTTGTAGCTCCGCCCCTGATTAGTTAGTGGCGTCTAGGTACAGGTTACGTACAATAGAATTTCTTTTTTACGGGAACAAGAATATATAGGAATTAGTTAGTGTACGTATATGTAAGTTATTTTTCATTAAGAAATTTTATTATTCAAGCAATATATTTTTCAGTACGCTTAGAAATTAGGTGTCTAGCTTCAGCCTTCACGGATGACAAATGAGTCGAGTCGGAGGCGGATAGTGCATATTCGTAACCCTACCCAAATTAGTTCGGGTTTTACCTATATCAATGCCCGCATAACAATCGACAGAAAATCAAAACCATGCCCATACCTGTTCGGGTTTCGGGTATTCACGGTTATCCATGGGTAATAACTTCTCGTTATAACATTCACATGCATAATCACATTATATAAATGGAAAAGTATGACAATAAATCAATCACTTGAATGAAGAAGATTAATTGAAAACATAATTTATGAAAATATTATATATGTATACTAAATATAAAATATGTTCAAAAAAATAATGATCATTTATAGACAAAATACATATGAATGTATATAATCAGGCGGGTACAGGTTGGATAGTGTAAAAACCGTGGCAACTCATTACCCACAATATTCGGGTTCAAATTTTACCAGTATACTAATTAAAGAATTCTTTAAAAAATAAGTTATATATATATATATATATATATATATATATATATATATTGTGTATGTATGTTTAAATAAAGAATATAATTTAGAATTCTTTAAAAATTGGTGTTTTAGTTCTTTGCCTTGTTGTACAATTTGAAGTTGTACCTAAATAAATTTATTCTACCATGCTTTAATGTAGCTATACATTTGTGAATGGAATTGCATGTGCGGTTGTTGTAGGATATATGGCCGAGCTCCTCCGTTGGGTCGACGGATTCACAAGCCCTAGAGAGTGCCAAATTGTACGTGGAAGGGCAGGTGAACCATTTGAGATCTGGGGGCAAGAATAAGAAGAAGAACACTCCCATTCAAAACCTTCATGTTAGTGTTGTGGTATAATGTTAGTGTTGTGGTATATGATCCACGATTGAACCTCTTCCAACAATTCGAGTTATTGGGATCAATTGGTTCTTGACATGGTATCAGAGCCTTCTATGACCGAGAGGTCTTGTGTTCCATTCCCAATGACCCCCATTTGTTAAGCACATGGTATTCTTATCTTCAGACATGTGCAAACTTTCAGCCCTTGTGAGTGGCTTTCGTTTGAGAGGGCGTGTTAGTGTTGTGGTATATGATCCACGATTGAACCTCTCCCAACAACTCGAGTTATTGGGATCAACTGGTTCTTGACACTTCACATACGAATTGAGGGATGGTATAACGACGTAGTCAGACATTAGAACGGGGCATTCTGCACCCAGACTTAACCCCCAAGTACAACTTTCACAAAACAAAATTTAGTATTTAATGTATTAGCACAACCTATGTTGTCTAACTTTCATTTTATTTATAATTTGTTCCATATATTCGAGCTAAACTAATCAAAACCATTAACCATCAACCTACTTGCTCGATCGAGTCAACAGACTAATCGAGTTGACAACCCTAATTATTCTATTAAGCATATATGTCACATTTATTAGCCTACTTAAACATTTTCTTTTATTTTGTAAAAAAATATATTTTATCAAATAAAATATTGTTTTTTTTATTTTAATATAAGATATGTCATTTTAATTTTTACTTTTCTTGTATTCTTCTTCCTTCGTCTTTCTCTTATTCTTCAATTCTGCCCATCGGTTATAGATTAGGGATTTGCGTCCTATATCTTTCAATTAATCCATGCCAAATTTACAATCTTCACAGCTTTAGTGTTATTGATTCTTTTCCACTCTCGGATGTTTGATTTTCAATCTTTTCAAAGGCTATTTAGGTCGCATTTTGTAGTTTTCAGTTTTCACCATCTGCTAGAGTGCTAGCTGCTACGGGAGAGACTTTAAAATCAAAACCCTGCAGTCTAGTCTAGGGTTTTTGCCTCCCAAATCGAACAATGGTGCTATCCAACAAGAAGCTGAAGCAGAAGCTAAGAGAAGCAAAGGCCGAATCTTTGGCTTCTTCAATATCGGGGGAATCAGTATCCAATGCAAACGGGGGCGCGGGCACGATTTCGGAGTTGCAGGAGCGACTGGATGCAGCAAAACAGAGGACGCGGCTGGTAAAGAAGGACAAGAGAAGGAATTCGCTAGGGAAAGAGAATGATGAAGGAAAGGGCCTGGTAAAGAAGGACAAGAGAAGGAATTCGCTAGGGAAAGAGAATGATGAAGGAAAGGGCCCAACTAGCGGGAAGAAGGAAGTGCTGGACAATGGCGATGAGAAGAGAGATGAGGGGAAGAAGAGGAAGAGAGAAGAGGGGAAGAGTGCCCAGAAGAAGGACGACAAGAAGGCTAAAATGAAGAAGAACAAGAACAAGAAGAGCAAGGCAGCTGAAAATGGCAAGGACGAGAAGTCTGCGGTTATTGGTGGCGGAGCGGGAGAAGTAGAAATGAAAGGAATTGTTGAAAGGTAATAGGTTCTTGTTTGCTGGAGCCTGGAGCTTTGCTTATTATTAATTTATGTTGGCCTTTCATGATTCTGTGCTTCCTGGAAAGCTTTCCAAGTTTCCAGTAATTGGTTTTGTTGGGTTGGTTTGATCTTGGTCAATATCTGGTTTTGTATATCCTATTCGATTCTGCAAGTGGTATTTTGTAGTCATTTCTGCCTCCTTATTGAAAAGGTGTGACAATTTGATTCCCACGACTGCATTGTGTTCTTGCAGTTCAGTGAAAATGGATAGTGCCACAAAAGTTTATGTTGGCGGTATTCCATACTACTCGACTGAAGATGATATTCGGAGTTTCTTCGATAGTTGTGGTACCATAACAGAAGTTGATTGTATGAAGTTTCCTGATAGTGGAAAGTTTAGAGGAATCGCCATTATCAACTTCAAGGTACTCATCTTCCCTGGTTTGCTGGCTATACTATGGTGGTTGCTCCGCAGTTTATGTTGTCCTGAACAATCTTCCAGGTTACAGATAGGTTCTCTTAGACATTCACATTACGATTCTTGCAGTCTAGGTGTACAGAGTGTAAATCACTGTTTGATATATTTATCTTTTTAGCAAGTAACAATACGCATGTGCTTTCCAATCTGTTGTTGGGATGTTGCTTTCATCTATCTCAGATTTTTGCAAGTTTGTAACCTTGAGCTTTAAAGTGTTATTTTTACCGGGCCATCTGCAAAATGTAAATCAGTAGAATATAGTTGAATGGTTTTTCCTGTCTGGGAAGCGTTTCCTGGATATACCTCCATTCCCCTGTTTGCAATAAATCAAAGCAAAACATATGTAGGTCAATGTAACACTATGTCTGGATTACATCAAGTATCCCTTTCCAGAACCTGAAGTTTCTTAAAAATTTATATGTTACTTGAATGTTAGTTCTGACTTCAATGGTTCATTCATTCTTTCAGACTGATGCTGCTGCCAAGCGGTCCTTGGATCTTGATGGAGCTGACATGTAAGTAGGGCTATGTAGGTTGTGGTTGTTACTCAACTGCTTCACGTTCTTAAAGCCATCCTAGAACTCATGAAATTCTCAAATACATTGCAGGGGTGGTTTTTATCTGAAGGTCAAGATGTATAAGACAACAACTAGACAGACTAAGGTCCCTGATTTTGTTCCACAAATTGTAAAAGGTTACAATCGGATTTATGTTGGGAACTTACCATGGGATATAACAGAAGAAAACCTCAGGAAGTTTTTCTCAGATTGTAGTATATCATCTATCCGTTTTGGCATGGACAAAGAAACTGGGGAGTTCCGAGGTTATGGCCACGTTGATTTCTCAGATGATGTCTCAATGATGATGGCACTGAAAATGGATCAGCAAATGCTGTGTGGCAGACCAATTAAGATCAGTTGTGCAGTTCCCAGGAAAGCAGGAGAAGCTCGAACTAAGGATGGCCCTCCACCTTCCAGAAGTAACGAAGTAAGTGATCCTGCGATCGTTTCAACTCCTCCTGTGCCCGAAACTACTGCAGCAAATATTGGAGCAAGCAATGATGAGATCCCTACAACTTCGATCACCGAAGTTGTGAGAAATGAAGCCAGTATTGAGACACCGGCCCCTGTCAGCGGTAAGATAAAGAGGAGGACCTGCTATGAGTGTGGTCAAAAGGGTCATATCTCAACAGCTTGTCCGAATAAGCAGAATACTGATGTACCAAATTCAAATACTGATTGAACTGAGTCCAACTACCAAGTTTTGTTTTTCTCTTGCTCCCTGTGTTTGGGGGGAGAGATACTAGGTCATCCAGAATTATTTATTGGAGGGTATCTGGCGATCATAGGGAGGTACTATCACAGTTTTGTATTCTAGAAGTTTGATTTATTGACCAATGAGGGAAGTGGTGTAGTGGACTAGTGTTCTTTATCTGTCTGTTTATACTACATGTACCAAGCAGGAAGTTAAGAAGAGATCTATTGAAATTCTAGTGTTTGTTCCTGCTCTGAGAGAACTATTGCGATTTTCTTCTTGCCGCTGTTTTGGCTTCTTCCACTGGCAGCTCTGACACTTTGCTTTCTTAAGCTAATCTAATTTGCTATGCATGAATGTCTAGTGCAGATGATGGATGAAATGAAGGAATAGACAGTCAAAAGACAAAATACACAGGAAGTATTGATCAGGTTGAACCTGTGCTTGTTTATTAACATACTTGAATTTAGTGTTGATTGTCTTTAAGTGGGATGTTGCCTTGCACAGCTTCCTGGCTGAGAAAGCAAGGGTCAGGCTGCCAGGCGCTTCAGGTAGGGCGCTTGCTTAACTTTACCTTGAGATATCTCTCTTTTTGCAAGAGACAAGAAATGACATCCTAACTCTCTGTTTGTTCAATCTCTTCCTTTCACTTAGGAAGTTCCGTGGGAGTCAGATCTCTGATTTTGATTACTTTCCTTGAAAGGTTTGGCTTTCACTTGTATTAACAAAATGAAATGTGTGTATTTTGCAGCTGAACTGGATTGAATGGATCAAATCCATCGGAAGTAATATAATTCGATTTGGTTCAGACTCGGTAAATTATTTCAAAAGCAAAAAATTAAAATAGGATCGAATTAGAGCATATAATGTTTTATTATTTAACTCTGACCCTCATTTTTCATATATGTGCGATACCATCTCACATCGATACGGTTACCTTACCTTACCTATAAAGATTAGGGTTTGGATAATGTTATGAAGTAGACATGATTTTAAACACTTCCCATTGCTTGTCTGCTTCCGAGAAGTCCCTATTCATTCAGGACTCTTTATCACCAGAAAAAAAATCAATTATATCATTCAAGTGGATGTGATTTTTAACACTCCATTCCTTTTTGTAGTTTTCTTCCAGTGGTGAAAAATAGGTTGGAAAGTTGTCACAAACTGAAGCACTCTATCTCTGTCTCTTATTCCACAGTAGTCAGCTGAGAACAACTCCTATGCCGTTATATAAGAACACTCCTACACTATGCTTCTTTCCTCTACTCCAAAACATCTCTCCTTGCTGCTAGTAGAAAAATGGAATATGTTGGAAGAATAGAGTTGGCTACCCCAAGGCTGTATCACAACGACGATCTTACCCCTCTCCATCAAAATCTTGTAGCTTACTTGGATCACAAGCCTTCTCTCGAGTTCATGAACTTGAGAACTGACCTCAAGATCATAACCAAGAGAAAAGCAGCAGTTGTTTACCACATCTCACGTAACGGCCATTTCGAGCATCCTCATTTCCTGGAGGTCCCCCTGTCTTCTAGCAAAGGGCTCTACCTCAAAGGTAAGACTGCATGATTCTATACTGAACTAAGGAGAAGATCTTAAGTGTTTTCTTCTTCTTCTTCTTCTTCTTCTTCTTCTTCTTCTTCTTCTTCTTCTTCTTCTGCAGATGTGATCAATGCTCTTAACGCGATCAGAGGTCCAGGGATGGCTAACATGTACTCATGGTCATCAAAGAGGTAAGAATTTCTCAATACAATCCAATGAAAGAAGTGAATGTTGCTTGTTCTGGTAAATCCAATGGTGAGATCTTGATTGTTTTATTGGGTAGTAGGAGCCATGGGAAAGGATATGTATGGAAAGACCTGACAGACGACGACTTGATACAACCCTGCAATGATGATGGTGACAATGATCAGTACATTCTGCAAGGGTCACCAGTCCCTGAGCTCTTCTCCACATGGAACTTAACATCCCCTGCTGACACTCTAACATCTTCAGCAACATCCAAAGCATCCTCCGACGCCTCCAGCTTGAGCGAGGACTTCGATTCGCCTGTGATCAGAGGGAAGAGCTTTGGCCGGGGCACCACCACATATGTCGATGCTGATGTTGATGCGGATGTCGATACTGATTATGATGATCACCATCGTCGAGGGGATAAGCTGCCACCACCTCGCACGATGACCATCTTGACCAATGAGATTGATGAACTGTTATACTCCGAATTTCCATCGCCAATGGATGGTGGTGTAGCCAAGAAAGTTGGTGCAAAAGAAGCTTACAACCACCACAATGAAACTCTCCGATCTGCTATGATGAGAACTACTAGTGACAGTGTTTCTGCATCTACGCCTCCTGAGCCAATAGCCAGAAAGGCTGCTGCAGGGAGAGTTGGAAGGCCGAGGACAGCTGAGCTTCTGTGGACTCTGGTGAGGTGTGGATCACGATCCATGAGGTGAAAAGAGAGATGGAGAGTGGAGAAGTGGACGAGATGAACCAGTTAATGTGTAACTTGATGATCACGATGACCGTTGAGGGTTTTTTTTTTTTTAATAAGAGATTGTGATCATTGTTCGAATAATTACATGTCATTCTAATCTTTGTGAAAGGAGAGCTATTTGCAAGTAAAACATGTTGTAAAATATAAAGCGTTAATTATGATTACTAATGTATATAGAGTTATAGACCAACACAAATTTGGAATACTTAGAATTGTGTGGAAATGAAATAAATAAAATGATACCTACTACAAGCTTTAAGAGTTTCATTGAAGAGAAATGGTTCAAATTGGAAAGGTAGAATAGAAGAAGTTAAAGTCAAGTGAGTCAAGATCAATTTATAAAGGTAAGGGTATTTCTAGTCCCCCATGTTTTGTTGTTATTGTTAGGAAATTCTATTTCCAATTATGATATTGGCCACATATTTTACAATTATATGGGCTATTTGGTTATGTGGGCTAATTGAAAGTGATCCAATTAGGAGCCCAAAGACATCTTGCATTGATATGGGCATAAATGGGTGGAAACCCAATACTTGTTCACCTTGGGTCTTATGGGAGCCCATGGTGACTAGTATATAAAGGAGCTTGAGGTTGTGGTCCCCAAGACACCAAGACGAAACACTCTCTTCTTCTCCCCATCAGGAAGATCAGAGGATTCCCGTTAGTGGTCTAAGGAGGCTTGGTTGAGGAAGATCATGCTACCTCCCGGATCGTGCTCCCAGAAGTATCGTCCGGTTGCATATCGTCTTATGTTTTCCGCATCAAGATCCAGAGGATCAACCGACCCGAATCCAGGTATTCCTACTAATCTTTGATAATCTGATAGGATGAAGTTCCGGGGATTACATATGTTAAAAGTAATTCTAACAAGTGGTATCAGAGCCCTTCATCTTTGTTTGGTTATTGGGATTTTGGAATCCATTTTGGAACACTTTGATTCTGTGTTTTCCTCCTTGTGGTTCCTTTGGAACACTTTGGCATGTTTATCTTTGATAATCTCATGAAATTATGTATTCATATTAAGTTTTATATGCTTTTTGTGTTGATGGGAAAATTGTGGTTTCATTTTTTGTTGAATCCAGAACTGCATAATACTTGCATGCTACTATTCGAAACTCATGCAAGTGATTAATTTTTTCACCCATACTGCGTTGGGGAAAGTTTTCTGGGTTTCTTTAGGCAATTGTTGCTTTATCCCATCTAGTTTGGTTTTCCCCTCTAATTAGCCGTTTCAGTAATTAAAGACAAGAAACTAATCACAGAATGCATGAATGCGGTTTTGATAATTAGAGGGAACCGGTAAGTCATAAGTTTTTTTTATTTATGCTACTATTCATGGTTTTATTTTTTGTTTGCCCCTGTGGAATGGAGAATGCTCTCCAGAAATATGAACTAAAATGAATGCATCAACGTTCATGGTCATTTTCAGTTGTGCTATTTCTTACCCGTTGGAATTCTATTTGGGATATAATTCATTAAAGTTTCGGTAATAAGGATGGGGTATTAAGTGAAATTGTAATTATTTATTTTTGCCCCTTACCGTAAGCTTAATTTAAGGTTTTGGTGCAGGTTAACAACTATTATGCAAAAAAAAAAAAAAAAAAAAAATCGGTTAGTTGTATTGCTCCATTATGAAAGGTTTCAGTATAATAATAGTTATAATTGTTCTGTTGCGGAAGGTTACAGAATTAACTATTATTATCTTCCGTTTAAGGGTAACGGAAGTGAAAAGATTAATAATTCAGACTTTCGGTTACGGGAACTTATTTCCGTGTTTATGATTTCCATAATAATTATTATGTTCTCATTCGGTTACGGAGAGTTTTTTTTCCGACTTTGGTTGAGGTTATAATAATAATTATTATCAAACCAGATAATTAATTAAGTTTGTTGTCATTAACTAGGATAGTAAAAACTTTTTTTTCCCTTTTTCCATGAGTTATCTTTAAGATTTGGTACCAGTTACGGAAATTGAGCTGAATCTATCTTTCAGTTTTTCGGTTGGAACTCACATATTCTAACGATGATGATTATGGTTCAGTTACGGTTTCAATAATACTAATTATTTATGATGGGTTACAAATGTGAAGTTTAATTATTACCTTCCCGATATTAAGTATTTTTTTTATTTGTATGATAATGATTGTTGGCTTTTGCCGTGACTAGTAATTAATTCCTACAGTTAAGTAAACCATTATTGTGAGTTCATTATGCTTCTGAAGGGTCCATTAATAAAGACAACAACATGAATTTATGGTCTGCTTATATATTTGCCTCGGATTTTAGGGCTAGCCATAAGGATTTCAAGATTTATTTGTTTTTTTTTTCGTTGTGTGATGGTCGTTGGACTATTAAAATGCACTTTACGGTAATTTTGTGCATTTCATGTCTCGTAAATTGTTTGGTAAACAAGACCAGTTTATGAGGAATGTAAGCCTCATTTCAGCAAATCAATTTTGGGGTCGGTTTAACAAATTTTTTTGATAAATCCCTATATGGTAAAGATTTACATTTTAGTGCGTGCAAATTATGTATTCACTGGCCCAAAGGTAGGTGAATATTTAAGGTTCCATATGTGCGCATAAAGTAATAAATATGTGATGATTATTCGGTTAGCATGTGAATTTTAAATCGGCCCAAAGGTGGATTTACTGTTTCATATGTTCTTATCATCAATATTTAATTATCGTTTCATAAGACATCACTTACAAGTTAATATTTTGTCCAAAGATAAAATATTAATGGAGTGCAAGGTGTCTTGAGATGGAGTAAGCAGTTATTTAAAATTATTATTGTAATTCTCTCTTAATGATAATTAATCACTTATTTGGAATTTTGTGATTATGAGAGAATTGTCCGGTATTTTAATTAAATCAATTTTAGCAGTATGTTGCCAAAGTAACCTCTACTTGCGAAAAATTATTTAACTTAGATTACATGGATGTACGTGTAAGGTTATTTTATGTGGGTAGTGCTCGACCCAAAGGACGACATTATTTGACCAAAATAATCAAGCACATTAATGGTAAATACGTGATAATTATAAAGTTGTTGTTCATGTAAATAACAGTCGGTCCAAAGATAGGCTGTTGTTTGACAGAACTTATTATCGGTATTTGATCATTGTTTTAAGAGTACCGCTCGCAGTTAATTTCTCTGTCCAAAGACTAAGAATTAATGTTGCATTTGGTATCTTATGATGGGTCCCCAAAATTGAATAATTTTATCGTCTTGTTTAATTACATGGCTGATGTGTGTTTTTCTTTTATCTCAATATAGTTTTCGTGCTTTGATTTAAACATTTCTGTTGAAATTAAAGTTAACTCTTCTGTTAAATGGGATGAATCTAAAGAATTTAAAGTAAATTCAAGACAATTATTCTCGATATATAGGCATTGATCTTGCGCTTTTATGTGGAACAATCCCTATTCTATTTCGGGATATCTCAATGAGATTTAATAATAGCGAATAGAGATATATCCAATTCAGTGTGCATGGTGATCATTAAGCGCTCTATTCGTTGAATAATTATGGGGCTATTATATTGAGATGCCTTTGAGGTTTATTGAAGTAATAATACAGTATTTTGCCAAAACATAAAAGGATCCGGGGTAAGCTACCTATTGGGGTAATTTAATCCATAAAGTGTAAAGGCAAAATGTACAAGTGTATTATATTTTGGAGGTGTCAAAAGACATACTCAACACTTGGTTTAATTTATCTTCCTCCATGAAGTTTTAGGTGAGTACTAATATTCACAAAAGGAGAGGAGGGAAGATACGAGATGAGACTAAACTCAATAACTAAACCTCAATTTATCAATAAAGGAACAAATAGAGAGTGAAGGATGTTATGGTTTCGTTGACCTCTTAAGGACATGGTGAGGAGTATTTCTACTTACTAGACTCCATTTGGATAAAAGCCATAAAGGTTACAACGTACATCCTTAAATTGAGTATCCAGAAGGTAGTTAATGTAATCAATAAGTGCAATAAGGACCTTGCACATTTAGGGTTGTCCAACTTAGGAAATACCTTGTAAGGTACAAGAAGGTATAATGGACAAAAGAATTAACTTATATTTTGTTGGCTACTCAATAGTACTCTCGAGGCTAAAAGTTTTATAATCCCACCTCAAGAAGTTTTTTTTAATGAGAAATAGAAATTTCTTGAGTATATTGAGTTTGTGTAGTAACAACATTTCCATATGGTTACTACACAAACTCAACAAACTCAAGAAATGCCATCAATTAGGATATCCACAAAGTAGTTGTATCTTCTTTGAACATAAGGATGACGTCAGGTTGACTAATGATCAGGTTCATATTAGTCTAGTCATGCACAGTTCTAGTTATGAAAAGTGGATTGATGTCATGTGGTGAAGTCAACGAGAGATATAAGGCATGTTGGTCTCTAAGGCTTTACTAATAAGGAAAGTATTGACTCAAGAGACTTTCTCTCTGGTATATTTGAAAGACTCTTTAAGGAATATAATGGCAATGGTGGCTCATATAAGTATCTCATTATTGATATCACAATGATTCTCATGTTATTAGCTCATTCAGAATTAGAGACTAATGTTGGAGATGATTGTGTATATCTTAAGTTCAGTGGGAGTAAATCCTTTTTCCTGTTTTATACATCGTGGTTGTTCTACTTAAGGTGCAAGTAGAATAAGTTAGTAAACCAGGAGATATGTTGTAGCTAAGGGAGACAGTTTTGGTCTCAATCAGTGCCCCAATTATATTTAAGAAATTAAGATACAAAATCTCTTGAATGCATATTTGCATTAAAGAACTAATGTATAGTTTAGTTTATTCTCATCCCAATAAAGCATTTCTAGTAAGAGTTTTTTGACAGATATTTGTTTGGTCTATGCAAGAAATACTAGAAGGATTCAAACGTGTTACGCGTTTACTAAAGTTGATAAAAAGAATTCATGCAAATTTGTTAGAGATCAGATAATATAGAGATCATCAAGTACTCTGACTCTGATGTTACAGGATGTCAAGGTAGCATAAACTCTACATCAGGTTACCCTTCATTGTTGGGTAGAGTTCAAAGCATATCTTGAGACTTCCTATTATGGTTGCAAAGTTTTTGTTACTAGAATGACCTTGGTAAGGGTATTTCTAGTCCCCCATGTTTTGTTGTTATAACAAACACGTCCACGTAATAGGTAATTTGGTAAAAATGCTCTTGTATTATGTTATTTATCTGTTTATTATAATAGGTAATTTGGTAAAAATGCTCTTGTATTATGTTATTTATCTGTTTATTAAAATTTATCAGTGGCATGGTTGATTATGATCTTAAACCTCATTGAATTACCTTTGAAATTTATTTTTCACCTCTCTATCTGGTTCGATCGATCAATATTGTCTTGGCTTTATTAACTCCCAAACGAGGGAGATGTGATATTTAAAAGTTCAATTATAATTAGGACACAATACTAAGTCTATTGAGATTAGGATGTCCTCAAGCGCTAATAGTTTATTGAAATACACATTTCGTGATTCAACTGTCGTAAATTACACTAATAACATCCTAATCCTAACAAATCTTAAAGTGATTGAAGCATTGAACTGTTCCCAATCAACATGATACAACGAATCAAAACTTTGAGTTGTAACATAAATGTTATACGAATCATCCAAAATGTAAATACAAGGCTTTTTATAGAAAAACTATGAGTGGGTTATAAATGAATACAAATTTTGTATTAGTAGTCTCAAAATATATATAAACATAAATTTTATGGGACATAAAAGTCAATAACATAGAAAGGTATTTGTTAAGGAAATTAAAGATACACGGTAGATAGAAGGAATACAAACAAAAAAAGTGATAATAATAATAATTCAGGAAAAAGAAAATTAAAGTGAAAGAAAGCATGTGCGTACAACTTTGGTCTTACGAGATCAACGCCTCAAATAAAAATTTCACCCAACCCATCGAACGTCTCTTCTCAATAACTCTCTGCTCTGCTCACACAATTCGCTCACGACGGCCTCCTTCAGTTCCTTCTTCGTCTTCTCGAGCTGCTGGGTTTTCCTTTCTGAACTATAGTCAAGTCTGCCTTGCTTCTTTGAATTAATGGGACCCATCAGAGGCTTCAAGCGGAGGAAGAAATCTTCGGACCATAAGGTTGACCAGAATGCCTCACCTTCTACTTCTGCTTCAGCTGCTGCTGTTGCTGCGGAGGACCGTGGTGCTTCTGCGCCGTCTCTGCCCGATAAAGATGTTGATTGGTGGGATGAATTCTCCAAGAGGATCTCTGGTACGCCTTGCATTCTACTATTCCTTTCTTATTGCATATTTGGATGAGCCCAACTACTGTTTCGTTGTTACTTCTTTGATGGCCGGCCCCGACTGTTCGTATTAGCTTGATTTTGGATTGTGTGAGGGTTTGACATGTTTCTTCTGTTTGGCGAGAGATTATGCGACGTGGGTCGATTCCTTTTTTCGCTGTAATTGAGCTTTGGTAATGGCTGCCCGCGACGGTTTCTTAGCTACTATATCCATGTCGCAGTATGCTTTGCTTTGTGCCATTCTGCATCCGTGGATACTTGCATTGCTTTTCGTTCATCAGGATAAGATTGATTCCTCTGTCAGATCATTGATGATGGAACCTGGGAGTTATCAGTTAATTGGAGATGGGTTGATCTGGTTTTCCGTCAAGGACAATGGTAGACTTTGTGGCATTCAAACTGCCATATTATGTTTGAGATTCTACCAACTTGTATCCGAGTTTTATTTATCCTTCTACTTACCTTCTCTTCACAGCTAGATCAAGGCTTATCTCCTAGTGGCTTGGCTACATTGTGGCTTACGCACCAAGTAGATTACCTACTAGTTTATGTTTTTGCATCATGACATGTTTTTCAGTCACTTGAATGTGTCTTGTCTTCAATGTTTCTTCAGCGGTTTGGTTGTAATGAGTGTTAGTGTTGTGGTATATGATCCACGATTGAACCTCTCCCAACAACTCGAGTTATTGGGAGCTCTGATACCATGTCAAGAACCAGTTGCTCCCAATAACTCGAGTTGTTGGGAGAGGTTCAATCGTGGATCATATACCACAACACTAACAAAGATAAATTTCAGGTCAAATCTTGTATCTGTGAGAGATGAGTTGCTCTAATATTTAATCCTTTCAAGGTGATGATTTGTATATATCTACATTCCAGGTCCTTTGTCTGAATCAAAGAATGCAAAGAGTTTTGAGTCCCTTTTCAGAATTTCAAGGAAGACTTTCAACTATATATGTTCCCTAGTGAAGGACGATTTGGAAGCTCGGCAGTCAAACATCTTAGATCTAAACGGGAAGACATTAACTGCACATGATCAAGTAGCTGTTGCTCTCCGCAGGCTGAGTTCAGGTGAGTCATTAGCAAGCACAGGTAACGCCCTGGGAATCAACCAATCAACTGTTTCCCAAATAACCTGGAGATTCGTGGAAGCAATGGAGGCAAAGGCACTCCGCCATCTCCAGTGGCCAGCATCAGAAGTAGAGATGGGCCAGATCAAGAACAAGTTCAAGAAAATCCGTGGCCTCCCCAATTGTTGTGGTGCAATAGACGCTACACACATTCTCATGACTGTTCCTACAGTTAACCATTCACATGAAGTGTGGCTTGATCGAGAGAAGAAGTTCAGCATGGTATTGCAGGCAGTGGTGGACCCCGAGATGAGATTCCGTGATGTGATTGTTGGGTACCCAGGCAGCTTGAGCGATGCTGTCATCCTCCAGAGCTCGGGTTTCTTCAAACTATGTGAAGAAGGCAAACGATTGAACGGCAAGAAGAAGGAGCTTATGGAAGGGACAGAGTTGGGTGAATACATTGTAGGGGATGCTGGGTTCCCATTGCTGCCATGGCTCATTACCCCATTCCAGCATGCTGCCCCGGGTCATCAGGTGGATTTCAACAAGCGGCATTCTGCATCACGTTCGGTTGCAAAGATTGCATTGGCAAGGCTGAAGGAGATGTGGAGGATAATCCATGGTGTGATGTGGCTGCCTGATAAGAACAAGTTGCCTAGGATTGTCTTTGTTTGCTGCTTGCTGCATAACATTTTGATTGACATGGAGGATAAGGAGTTGAATGGAGTTCCTTCCTCCAGAGATCATGACCCGGATTACAGACAACAGTTCTGCGAGTCAGTCTCGGAACCAGCTAGTGAGATCAGAGAGAAGCTCTCTCTATATTTGTCTGGAAAACTTCCACCTTGAGAAGAAAGCAAAGTTGGGGAGATTTCTTATATTCGTCACCAGTTTTTTCTCTGACATACAGGTATTCAGGATGTTGTTATACCCTCCTTGTGCTCATAGGTTTAATAGTTACTATAAAGATTGGTGAACCATTGAATATGGGTTCTCATTTATCTCATCAATCGTTCAGTTGAATAGACAGACATTGTTATCCTTTTCTTCTGTCTCTCTCAATTAATATAGGAAGTATATGTGTGGAATTCCATCATTCTTGTAATTATGGATAAGGAGTTGTGTGACCAATTATGCAATGCTTTTCATCAGGAAGCTTTAGATTGTTGATTCAGCCCATTTTTTTTTTTATCTCATTGCCCTTGAACGTTGTGATCTTCTTGAGGATTGCTGTGAAACATTGTACAGGTTACTCACAACTGACAGTCTAACAAACCCAGTTATCTTATGTGTGTATTCCGATTTTCGAGTGTCGTAAAGAGAGCTAAGTTCTAATGGAGGATTCCAGTCGTTTGGAACGTATTAAGAATCTATATATACATTAGGCAAGGGTTTGATAGCACCAAACTGAAGTTGACTTCAGCTTCTAGTGATATCCCTTTCTTGGAGAACTAAGATATCATCCAGTTCCTCAGTTTTAACTTCTAAGCAAAACTTGGTCTCCTTCGCCGGGTAAGTGACAAGTTGGGCCTGGTCTGGGCCTATAAAGAAATGAAATTTTGGGCCAACTTGTGAGCCCATTAGTTTGTTTTTGCAAAACGGAGCGGAATGGAGCTCGTCGTCTCCTACCTCAGAGACTCGTAGTGATCGAAAAATCCCAAACCATTGTGGCGAAATCTGAATTGGATCAAGATCGCTAGGGTTTTAGGGTATAAGCGTGGTGACGACAGAAATGGAAGCAAGGCAACTCCTCAAGGACAAGAGATTCTGGGTCGCTTCTTTCCTGATTGCCTGGGCAGCTGCTCTTCAGGTAAACTTGATTTCATTGCCCTGATCTCTGAGATGGTTTTTCCTCCTGAAATCATGAAAGCTGGGTCCTTTTCGTTTAATCTGTAATTTCTTTTCCCTGGATCGAACAGGGGCATATGATGTGGTTACAGAGGCAAGACTCCTTCCAGCAGAAGTTTGGGACGGTTGAGCAGAGCGCCAGTAGCAGCAGCAGCAACGATGATGATGCAAAAGAAGAATGAATCCTCCTTGAACCCATTTCTTTTGTGAAGTCCGAAGCTTTCATGGAGCTTTTCCCCAATTGGGTTGTTCTTTCGTTCTCAGACCGAGATCAGACTGATTGTACCATACTTTTTTTTCTTTATGGGTCAATAAAAAGTAATTAGGATGGATATAAATTTGCCCCCTTTTTCCTCTGTTCTTCGAGCTGTCTTTCCACCCAAAATGAACTTAACCAATTTACTATGACCACCAAGTGTTCGACAAAATGTCTCTGTGAGAATTCACCAAAGGAAATTTGAGGAGCCACTTATGGGAAGTTTTGCAGACACCAAACGACAAACGTCATTTGTTCTTAACGGGAACGAAGCCCAGAAAGGGAAAGCGTGAAGAATTGCCGAAATGAGCTTGTCAGCTTTTGATCGAGGTAAAAGAGTTTCCATATCTATATCGGGAGGAAGTAGCCGTTGCGTTCAAAACCCTGCAGCTATATCATCATCAAGCAAAACCCAGTACTCCTCAGCAGACAAAATCTTTGCCGAAATCACAAAAGAAGATTTCAACCCATTTTCCACCAAGATTTTCCAGCAGCAGCGAAGATCTTTGTCGATTCTAAGGAATCGGTGAAGAATCAAATCTAGGCAAGCGAATCGGATCTCCTTCCCCTTCTCTACAATGTCGAGCAATCCGGGGAACAATAGAAGGTGTGCAGGGTGCAAGTATTTGAGAAGGAGATGCCCCAAAGATTGCCTGCTGGCTCCTTATTTCCCTCCCAACAATCCCCTGAGATTCGAATCTGTCCACAAGATTTTCGGTGCCAGCAATGTCGCCAAGCTCTTACAGGTAAACCAACCAGAATCTATTCTCATTATCCCATACCAAAATCCAAACATCGCTATATCTTAATCCTCAATCAATCTAATAGAAATAGTCTTAATTTGACACTAGATAACTAGAGTGTCGGCTGTTAATCGTACCAACCATTGTACTAAGCTTGTCATCAAATGTTATTTGTGATATTGAATGACAGCAAGTGGCAGAGGATCGGAGGGCAGAGGCAGCGGACTGCATGGTGTACGAGGCGAGCTCGAGGGTTAGCAACCCAGTGTACGGATGCGCTGGGATGATATATCAGCTGCAGGAGGAGATAGTGAAGGTGCAATTGGAGATCCAGAATGTGAAAGGCAAGATAGCTTTGCATAATGCACAACAGTCGTTTTCGTCGGTGTTACAGCAGCAGCAGCAGCTGCAGGAAGAGCACAAGGAGAGGGTTATAGGTGTTGTTGGAGCTAGTAATGATGTTCATCATATGGGACTGCAGGAGCAGTGTGCATACAATTTAGGAACCACTGAGCTGGATGAGTTCCTCTGGCCTGCTTCAGAGGTCAATTCTGATCATCATTTCATCAATTGATTGTTGATTAGTTTGATTAGTTCCATTTTGATGAGCTTAGAGTACTGGATCGAGTTCCCATTTCGATTGTGGTTTCATTTTCATAGATCATATTGTGTACTTCTATGAATTAACACGCAACAAGTTTCCGATACAAAGTTATGCATCTCTTATCTACGAATTTATTTATATTCTTTTATTTGCTCGACGCCAACATGATAGATACATTGTTTTTTTCAGCATTGTATATTATGTTAAATTAGTCAGGTTTATTATGGTTTGGGATATTAATGTGTAGGATTTTGCAAGATTTAGGATTATTATTAAGGATATTTGACAATTTTGGTAGTTAATTGTTTTTTTATTGTAAAAGCTGAATTATAAGTATGTAATGGGGATTATTATTGAATCTCTCTCGTGAATTCCTTTTTCTCTCCCTAGTTAAGGCCATCAGCCATTGTCTCCCTCAAACGTTCTTCTAAATCCCTAATTCTATCATTAGAGCTTTCTATATCTAGTTCCAAAATTCGTGTCTCCATCACAACGTCATTAAACTTTTAGACTTGATTGTACTTACACCACATGAATGCATATCATGTCTCCGCCTTATTTTATAATCCACATTGTACATACATCACACTTGCACCGTATCAGGCCGAATCACACCATACCACGAAACAAATACCCAATTATTAAATTTCCAATAATCACACTACTAAGAAACTAGAATCTTAGAAAGAAAAAAAAAGGAACTAATACTTGTCTCTAATAATCAAGTTCTTGACTTCTAGATGGGGAGAGTCACTGGAAAAATATAACTGATGCCTTTGTTTTTCTTTCTTCTTCCTCCCCTCTAGAAAAAGAAAAGTAATGACTTTGCATGTGATGAAGATGATGCAATTGGGGATTAGATAGACTATTATTTTCTTTCCCAAGAAATCAAGAAACCATCCAACATAAACTGGTTAGATATGAACAATAATGTAAATAAATGGGTGGCTGTGCTTGCTGACTCTTCTTTCTAAGGCATTCATATACTTATTTGACTTTCTCTGCCTAATTTCTAGACTTAGACAACAGCTGATGATGATCATCTCTTCTTTCATTGTTTATTTCTTGTAAGGAAGCTGCAACTCCATAAATATATGTGGTTCTGGAATCATATAGCAGCAGCAGCAGCCACCTGGAGTTGGAAAGATAACCTAACCCTTATGATTGGCAGTTTGGCACCTATCAAGCTCATAGTTCACACATAGAGGAGGAATAGTAGGGATAAGTTTGGGTGCAATTAAAAGCGCAATTTTGTCTGTTTGTCAAATTTAGGGACCTCTCAGTACTTTAGGTGAAGACAAGAGAATAGGATACAAGAGATTAGAAAGGGAGAGAAGAAAAAGAGATTGTGGAATGAGATGAGGTTTGGTTCAATCGTCTCAAATGAATTAATATAATTGATGAGGCTATTTGAATTATTTTGATTTGTATCCATTTGATGAGGAAGGATAAAATATTTCGAAATGATGTAATTTCGAGACAATCAAGTCAAATTACCTCATTTATAAAATTCATCACCCAAAGGATACCGTATTTCTTTTTCATGGAGCAGTTCATCATGTTGTTGAGTGATAAAACAAAAAAAAAATCTACTTATAAAATTTTTCCTTGTCTCCATGTAGCGGTGGCGCGCAACGTTCCGAGCACAATATGTGCACGTTTGCCAGCACGTTCTCATAGATAGGTAATGTTTTCGTCAGTAACAACGTACAATCAATTATGCTACTATCTACCATATACGTGTCTCTTGATCCATGTACTCTTTGTTTCGTTTCATTTCGTCTAATAAATCATCGCCATTATAAAAAAAAAGCTATTGATTATCCATAGATAAAGAAATGGTTGATTGAGTATACTTTCAAAAGCAGTGTACGTATTTAATTCGTGTCTTGGAACCAAGTCGTGGAGTGGGTGAGAGGGATGATATAAGTGGTTTATACTGAAGCAGCTTGCGGTATAAAGGGGAAGTGTTCTTTCTATCAAGTCAAACTAATTAAGTACGTAGCAGCAGCAAGTTAAATTTGTTCTAATTTATGAGGTTGCCGTACCGACGCCGCCCAACCAACGGAACGGAACGGAAGTTTGTCAATACTACTGCCAGATAGTTAGTCGGGTTGACTTTAGCATCCACCCCTGCAGCAGTGCTTGCTGCTTCCTTGGACTTGCGTAATTAAGTTGCTTGACTTTTCGAATAATCCTCTTTTTCTTTTCCTAATCACAATTCACAACTGATTCCCTTTTATATAATGGGTTTCTTTACGATAGATAGAATGAATCTCAGTCAAAGGGGTTTGTTTGTTGTTTCTTGAGGTTATTAGGTAACAATTAAGGTAAGCACTGACGACTCTCAATCACTACTCTTGATCATCTCGATCTTCTCATCATGTGAATAAATTAAGCTCATAAACTAGCTCTCATCATCTCACTCTATTTGAATTTCTTTCCTTCTAGGTGGCTGGACTTTTATGCATGGTTCTTCACAGTGAGGTAGACCGCGATCCATCAAACTATCGTGGATTTTGTGATTGTGAAGGCTGGTGAATTTTATTAGTCAATCAATAGGCGAAAGTAAAAAAAAAAAAATCCTATAAATGAATGGACTAGTGCATAACGTTGATTTCGTCAACCCATGTGACATTGAAAAAGTTACATTTTTTTCATATACATTGTCTATATGAAAGCGAAATACAAAAACTTGCACACATCTTCGTCCCAAAATTTTTGCCTTACATTTCACACACCTTTTTCACATGTATTTTCTTCCAAATGTGTAGTGCGTTTGTAAGAGAAAAAAACATGCATGATGAACACGGTGCATTTGACCAGCTACCTAAGAGAGAAGCCTTGTACATGCATGATCTAAACAAGGTTTTGAACACCTAAGAATTTGGATTGTAATAATGTCCTATTTATTCATTCTGAGTAGTAGGAGGTAGCTAGATAGCCAAGAAAGTCAAAATGGATCGGGTTTATAGGTAAAGAAGAAACTGCACCAAACCAACTTGTTTGTTTCAACGACCACATATATAGAGGTTATTTTATGTTGTATTTGTACGTATGGTATAGTGGAACTCATCAATTTGGTCACTCTAACGACTGGCCAAGGAAGGGCAGCCAAAATTCCCAACAAACCCTAAAAGTACCCTTAAAAACTTAAAAGTTGGAGTTTGTAATAATCGCCGGTTCAGTTTGGCAAGATGACAATTTTGGACCATTGACCCGAACGCGGCCTGGTTTCCCACGACAAACAAACTTTTCTTAATAGATAGAAAGGCCCATGCCTCTTGTTTGATAAATTGATTAGTTTGGGTTTCATTTGTGAGGCATACTTGTACTAAGATTTGGATAGTAAATCATAATATTCTAATATTTATTATATTTAGGGGTATTCATAGATACTCACAGATATTAATTTTTTCGTCTTTATTTCTTTATTACTTAATACTCACCCACCATATCCATGGAAAATATCCCTATTTAATCGAAAAAAATTCAATCGGGTACTCTTAATATTAATATTTTTTTATTCGTATTTTGTACCACCAAAACCCGCGTATCGGATATTTATCCCGAGGCACAAAAAATTCAAGTGTATAAAGTGACAAATTGGGATGATAAAACATGAAAGTTTGTTTTGGGTAGATAGTCGGGGTTAATTTACATTTATTTCCTGTGTTTGAGACTCAAGTGTGGTGATGTGAATGACTTTCATACCTATGTTAAACTTATTTATCAGGTATTTTTATATAATTATATGGTGTATGCTTAACTAAAAGTCAAAGGATTTGAATTATATTAGATCGATGGATAAGGCCAATTGAACCATTATTCATGATCCACGCCAATTATATTAGACAAACCAGATAAATCAATGACTAAGAAATGCATAAGAACAGGAAGGAGGCCTAATTAGTTTCATTTTTCTTTGTTATATGCTGTCTTTGTCGCTCTCTCTTGTATGAGGCTATGACATAAATGCAACTTTAATCTAGCCAATTCGAGAATAATATATTTTAATCTTAGGCAATTATATTTCGTAAAGTGTAAATTGGTTTATATAGAACAAGTGATAATCCCTTTGTAATGGAGAATGACAATGATCGTATACGGGCGAGTATCGTACTACTTATACGTGTTCGGGGCTTGCGGTTAGTATGATTCATTGAGTTAAATAATGCAAAACATGAGATGCATGGTTAGGGGCACTGAAACATCAAGTATTGATTTTCATATCGAAAGACCATATAGATACGAATAAAAATTAGTTAGAATTAAGATAAAACTTGTCAAATGCATAGAGAAGACACTGTGGAGTGGGTTGTATACTCATACGAAACGAATCAGAACAAACCAAATCATATACGGATCGGGTTAAAGTTGTTGATATCGTGTGTCGTGCGTGTTTTTTTTTTTTTTTTTTTTGCATTGTCGAATCTTCTAATTTCCCGATCCACAAAGTAACAATCGTGACACAAGTCATCTAACCCTTCTCTTATCAAGTAAAATGATCAATTTAAGAGAAATTTTACAATGCTATATAGTATTGGTGCTATAGGTTTTTGTCTTGATGGTACAATTTAAAATTGTACATTTATGTTATGGTACAACTTCAGATTGTACCTATACTTTTTGTACAAATTCTTTTATGGTACAACTTGAACTTGTACATTTATGTGATGGTACAACTTCAAATTGTAAAGTTGTACCATAACATAATAGTACAAATTGCTTTATGGTACAACCTAAACTTATACATTTAATGTTATGGTACAACTTTGAGTTGTACATTAAAGCACCAATACTATATAGCATAGTAGAAGTGCTCTCAATTTAATGGGTATGTACACGTATCCTTATCAAATTCGCCAAAGAAACCACTAGCAAATATTAATTTAATGAGTTTCTTTTTGGTACAACTATCAGGGAGTCCCTTTTTTTCTTAATGGAAAACACCTACATATACATTTTTTTTTCTTTCATCTGAAGTTTCCCAATGAATTAAATTCTTAACAAATTGTTTTGAGTTAAATTTGGTAATAAATTTGGAGAAAACCAAGTTTGTTTGAGGTGGGAAGAAAATTAAAACGTTTTCGTCCTCTGCTTGAAAGGAGTATGGGGCGACGGCTCAGTCGCGTAATATTAAAGTGACGCGCTCGGGGAGGCGAAATGATGTCATTACTGATGATGGGGATCCCTGATGCTGACATCACAGCAAAGCTTAACGTCTTAACCTAGCTATCTGCCCTTACCTCTTAATTGAATTTGAACCCTTCGTTTCAAATAAACTGGCCATGTATTTTGGTAAATATATAAATTAGCTTTAATGAAAAAAAGTACTAGAATGGTATACAATTTCAAATGTTTCCATGAACCGAGAAAGGGAATAAGTAAAAAACCAAAATGTAAACTTTTGAGAAAATTAGCTAAAATTCATAGTAGAACTGTTACCGTATTGATACCTTCTTATCAGTATGTCCTGACACCTTTTATATCGAAAACTCATCAAATTCAACAATTAGAAGCAAGCAACTCACTGACATATACAATTATACATACACTAGAAGGATGCATGTGCGTATATGCTTAACACATGTTGCAAATATTTTTTTATACGTGTTGTAAATACTCTAATTAAACCTCACGAATACTTTTAAGACATGTCTTAAATACAGTTTTTAATAATGCGTGAAAATCTATATTGTTCCTGAAAAAAAAAACATCTCCAAATTTACACATCGTAATTTGTCTTATTCCATACAAATGTGTCCAGGAATTCTTGGTAAGTTCATGGAAGGATCATTTCCCCCCACTAGGCTCCAGTCATTAGAAGGTATCTTTAATTATTAAATGGCAAAGCGAGAAACACACCGTAATTAATTAGTTTAGTTAAGTTTCATAAGCACAAACATCATCATCATCATCACACATATATATGCTTACTTGGTTACTTGGTTGACTATCTCTCTAAATCTTATACTAGCTAGCTACTTGGTCTTGTTAAACTACTTCACAACAAACTCTCTCCAACCTTGACATGTATATATATATATATTTAAAAATCATAAGCATGTACCTTGACATTGTACTTTTTTCCCGTATATATATATAATGGACTGACGAACTATTTTATTTTGTTTCAACAACCGAAAATTCCAATAATCCCTTGACTCACACAAATTAAAACCATTATCTATTCCTCTCCCAGCCCAGCTCAGCTCATCATCACAAATTTGATCCTATCATAATTAACGCAATTAGTTGTCTTCAAAAAGGGGGGAAATTAAGAACAAGTGTCCATAAATATATATATCCACTTGCATCAAACCTACAGAGATCATCCGAGTAATTGTCCAATCAATCAATGCCTACATTTTCCAGAATCGTCACGCAACAATTTTACAAAGATAAAAAAAGCCCTTATATTCAATTAACTACAGCCAAATGAGAAAATTAGAGAATCACAAGCAAAATCCATGTGTTTTATTACTATTCAATGCTACGGATTGTTGTTAAGCTATGGCTTTCCGGCCAAGGAGTCCAAATCAAATGTTAAGAGTCAAACTAGCTAGCTATTTTCGACACATCATGATCACTACGTACCTATGCAATTGCCGAATTGCGTATGTTTATCTGATGATTTAGGTAGAGCGAGGGGGGATTAAGTAAGTGGGAAAAAGAGTTTTTATATATATAGGTGGGAACAACATTATACATTTTCCTGTAAAAATGGACGTAAGAGAATAAGGATTTTGCATAGGAATAATACGGAAATTACTCTAAATTAATATTTAAAAAATTAGCATTCACATTTCCACACACTTGCTGCGGTACAGTCGTAGCATGGTCGAGACCATGGTTGTCTCGCCGGTTGGCATGTCACCCGTTTAACCGGATTCATTCAGTATTATATATGCGTGAACATCACCGGTACAATCAATATGATTGATTTACGATCACTAAGCAAAATATTCCCGTTTTAGTGAACTTAAGTAATAAAAAAATTAATTTAACATTTATTTTGTGAGTTTAAAAGTTAATTTTTGACGTTATTTATTGGATTCAAGTATAAACATTTAGGTATTGATGTTAAATGTTATATTTAAATATAAGTATTTGTAATCTTATTAGCAATGTCACATTTTATTTAAATATCAAAGTAAATTATCTTCAAATATATTTTTATGTATGATTAAATTTATTTATTGTTAATAAATTTCCACATTTCTACAAATTTTGTTAAACTAGCCTGAACCGATACACTATTTATACAACCAGTTGGACCATTTCACTTGCTAAACCGATGTCATGATATAAGCCCGTTTAACAACCTTGACCATGTAAGGCTGCAACACTTTTGTTTTTATCTCTTTAGCTAGATAGGTGAATGTGTATAAGTTTCCACGTGGAATTTGGTCGTCCACGTGTACGCATGTCCTTTTAATTTCATTCAAAACTGTTACCGTACGTACACGTAGCAGCTTGGGGTTGGCCAGTCGCCAGCGTAGCGAGACCTTTGCTTACAACTGGGATGCATGCATGCATCGTCTTAACCGAACAGTAAGATTCAATGCCCAATTTGTTGAACTTAATTTTGATCATTAATTACCTTTTGGACTTAAGCTGCAGAAAGACCTAATTATTATTAGCCAAGTCGTGTTTTAGCTTTTTTGGGCACCCTTGCTTTGACCAAATTAAACGACACTTAATTTTGCCTTCTAGACATAGAAAATACTAATAGGAAGAACGACGACTTTCTAGTTCTACGTACTCTGAAGGAATCACGAGGCGCTGACGATGGATCGACTCGTCAGCAACTCATCATGCTTACGTATATATTCACGGACCAGGCTAGCTAGGAATGAACACGATTCACGAGGCGCCGGCGGCCGACGACTCAGTGCTCTCAGTCAGTCCCCGCCGTCGGTCTCGGCCCTCATGCAACTCAGTCCATTCACACGTATGGTACGACGCCGTTATGGCAGCATAAACTCACTTTCCCAATCCATCCCTTTTGTTAACTCAGCAACTGATCATGCTTACATACTTCCCATTTCCCAATTCTTACTTCACTGAAGTGGCGAAGCCAGAAATTCGAACGAAGGGGTTGATTTGAATGGTCGTAATTGGAGGAGGAGGGCTAAAGTTTTACCGACCATTCTAATTCCTAAATTTGTACAATTTTATATTAAATTTTACTTATATTTCAAAATTGAGTGGGGCTACTTTCACTCATAGTTTCAATCTAATTCCACCATTGTTTCGTTGTATGAACATTTTGAGTTGTTTATCTAGTCTCAATAACTCGAGCTATTGAGAAAAATGCAATAATAAATCTTATATAACATGTACATAAGTAGGAGTATATTGATGGGCGGAAACTGTCAAGAACCAGTTGATCCCAATAACTCGAGTTGTTGGGAGAATGTTATGCTCGATCTTATACAGGTCCGTGTGTGGTGCTTAACCACTTCCTTACACGCCCCCTCAAACGAAAGCCGACTCATGGGCTTGAAGTTTGCACAGGCCCGCCATACCATGTGCTTGAAAGACAACGGTTAATATTGGGGGTCGTGAGGACTTGAACACGTGACCTCACAGACAAACCAGCTCTGATACCATGTCATAAACCAGTTTGTCCCAATAACTTGAGTTGTTGGGAGAAGGTTATGCTGGATCTTATACAGGTACGTGTGTGGTGCTTAACCACTTCCTTGCAGAACAACTAAATTAACTATTGATCGTGTCGTCCCAATCAATGCATTATTGCATATGATTGAGTATTTCGTAGACTTGCCTGATGCGCTGTATACGTTTACAATGTGGGATAGACTGTTGCTGATTGAAAATGTGCTGGGTTTTGGACACCCTTATATTTTGGGGAAAACATTTTCATAATGGGTCTAGTTGATTGCAAGTTATCAAATGGGACGTATATACACATCACCATCTCAAGGACATTAATGATAAAAATACGTCAATTTCCCCCAAAAATTATATTCAAGGATCTAATTGCTACGGATCTATGAGTTGTTAAGAGGTTATTAATAATTCCACTGGGTTTGAAAAAGTCGATCCGTGACCACATAAAGTAATTGCTACAGGGGGCGTTGTATAATTCTATGACAAATGAAGAACGACACAAAGCAAATTGAAAACGAACAATGAACACCGAAATTTTAAACAGGTTTCTCCTCTGAATATCAAAAATAGCCTACATGAAAGATAGTACTCTTTAAGTGGCTCTTATTTTCTTACAGTCGTGCTCGAGTTACAGACTATACACACACGATATCTTTACGTAGACATAAGAGAATAATTACATAAAGATACCTATACGTACTAAGCTGTCTGTCACTTTAAATGTTTCATCATCCATTCCATCTTTGAATACAAGCAATAATAATTTTCTGGATCCGTTTTCATAAATAAAAAGTAAATAAATTCCTCCAACTAGCCAGTCAAATTGTTCTCACCGGCCAGGATCAGCAATCTTTAACCAAAAATTATCAAACTATCTAGCTACCGACCTCCAAGTAGTGATCGAGTACATCATAAATCAATATAATTATTAAACACATACACTTTTTATTTATTTAATAATCCTATAGGCTGTAGCATAGCAGCCCAAAACCACTCATCTCTCTTTCACATTGCTTACCTCGCAAGCAAGGAGGGGCAAAATCGACATATTCACTTAACCCACTAGATTAATTAGATTAGATACAGAGTAAGAAAGTCAACTATAAAAGTCCAACACGCCCTCTCTAGCTAGCTAGTTGCAAAGTAGCACAAGTTACTACTACACCAAAGACCTATAAATACACCTTCTCCTTCCTTCCTTCTTCCTCTTATTCCCTTTCTCAGTTTTCTCATACCAATCCTTCTCTTTTTCACCCTTTCCTCAACAAGCAAAAAAAATGACGATGAACAGAACCATAAGCCTCACCATGCAACAAGGCGGCGGCGGCGGCGGCGGAGGCGACCTAACCCTAACCATGGCCAACTGCCTCATGCTTCTCTCCCAAGCCACCGCCGACCACCACAACCGCCAGTACGACGCCGTCGGCGTCAACTTCAACTCCACCACCACAACCTCCTCCTCCTCCGAGCCTTCCCGGGTCTTCGAGTGCAAGACATGCAACCGCCAGTTCCCTTCCTTCCAGGCCCTCGGCGGCCACCGCGCCAGCCACAAGAAGCCCCGCGGCCTCGCCGCAGCCGGATCCCCCGGCGGCTCCTACGACGTCGTTTCGTCGTCATCACCGGTGAAACCCAAGACCCACGAGTGCTCCATCTGCGGGCTCGAATTCTCCATCGGCCAGGCACTCGGCGGACACATGAGGAGGCACCGAGGTTCACGCGCCGCCGCAGCGTCGTCGTCGGAGAGCCACGAGAGTCCTGGTACTCCGCCGCCAAGAAAGAGGGCTAGGGTTTTGATGATGATGGGGCTGGATCTCAACTTGACGCCGTTTGAGAATGATGCCAGGATGTTTAAGCTTGGCAAGGCGGAAGCTAATTCTTCTCCCATGGTGGATTGTTTTTATTGATTTTTTTTTTTTTGGTTTCGCTGTCGTCCATGGAAATTTCCATTTTTGAGTATAGCTAGAATGGTTTGATCAATTAATTATTACATGTGCAGTTGGGTTCACATATTAATTTCTTGATTTTTTTTATACTTCATATACAGATACGACATATATACAGATTCTCTAATAAATTTGGTTCAGTAAACCTTGAACGGTTTTTTTTTTTTTTTACAATTTTGATTTTCCTTAAGTAATTATTACGATGATTTTAATGGCTTTGGTTCATTTGAGTTTTTCTGCGTCATGTTGAGATAAGGATGACGGGGAAGAGTTATTAATTCGGTGGTTAAATGGTTAGATTTGACTATAATTGATTAGATATAGGGTGATTAATATATAATATATCTATCCGCGCCTACATTTATTTTCGGAATGGAAATTGAGGAATTGACCGAAATGAATTGCTACGGAAAATTAAAACGCGGAGAAAATAATGACGTCTGGAGTTTTCTTCTTTTATTAATGCAATCTTGCTTAAAGCGTGACATGGACTCGTTGATTCCACATTTTCTAGCTTTCCACTAGAAACTTAATTAGTTTCACATTTGGGAGCTGGAAATTGATATACTGCATCTATCTACCTTACCCACTTTGTCAAAACGAAAGAAAAAATGGCACTGTTCTCGAAAGATAATCTATAAGAGTGAATTTAGACTAGTGTATATATATATATGAACTGTTTTAGTGTTTTGTCGATGAAATTAGTGGAGATAACACATAAGTAACAACTATAACATGTTAGCTCGAGCTAGTTTTTATCGTGGAGAACGTGTCGGTTAGTCCAGCTTCTGTCTCCTGCACTTCATCCGTCCCGAATCAATTTGACCCGATTAATTCGATTCACCCAAATGTCCAGCACTCACAACTAGCCGAAAAGTCGCATAATTCACGAGTTTGTAGTTTGTAGTCTCGAATTACGACATTAAGAGTACTTAAGACCGTAACTGAATTTGGTCTAGAAATTAGACCTGTTTACAGGCGCCGTAGGGTTTGAAGAACTCAATTAGATGAGGAGACCTCGGAGTGCTTTATATATACGATCTACCAATCTTATCAATCCAACAAGGCAGTGCCTTCATTTCAATGGGCTTTTCTATTAGAAGAAAGTCGTATCCAGTTAAGGCCTAAGGGTACGTTTGTTTTACTTATATATATAAAAGGGGTACGTTTGTTTTGTTTAATGATTTGCTTCGAAGGAGCAGAATAATATGTTTGGTAATTAGGGGAATAATTATTGATGGACATGTACATGCATGCATGCGACAATAGCCACCAATTTAGGGGAACCCATCAATTTGTTTGAATGTTTATAGTGTTTTCAGTTTTGCATGAATGGTATAAGTTTGACTATTACCTAATAAAATTGCATCACCATTATCTAAAGAAGTTTGACTGTTACCTAATTCCAATTGTCAAATTTTATGAAATTTATGGAATAGGTTTGTTAATTAGAACGTTTGAAAATAAATTATGGAGTGAAAGTATAAACCTAGCTAGAGACTACAATATTGTTCGCCTCATGGAAAATTTTCAATTTGTGAGAGTTCACATTGATTCATCTTTGCTATTTCTTCGATCTGCAGCGAAGATCTTTTTTAGTTGGTGCATTGTTAAGATTCAGATTAAGTGACTTACTATAAGATTAAGACCATACATATCCTTATAATTTATTAACAATTTTGAATGTAGTCTCTACTAACATATCAATAAATCTAACAATTACTCTATTTAACGATTTCAAACTTCAAGTTCAAAGTGTATTCATCTCGTATTTTTCTAGGTCACCAACCCAAACATTTGTTAACTGGAAAGCTAATACGTGAGGATTTTAAACACTTAATATAAAAATTCATTATAAGAAAGTGCTTAAAGGAAATATAGAAAACAAACAAAACATATTTTTTTCTTCATTGGAAAGGTAATAAGTAAAAAATTTAAAAAATTTAGAGAAAAATTTGTTATAAGAAAGTATCGAAAGAAATAAATAAATTTAAAATTATTCACACCAATCGCAAAAAGAAACTCCATAGTTCACGACATATCTATTGTAGCAATTAGTCATGCATCGATGCAATTACATATAGAAATTATACAATTACATATATCAACTATGTTGTCTAATAATTGAATGATCAGTAGGAATCGAATGACACATTTTAGCTTGTGATCAAAATTCGGATAAATTTTTTTCTCAACATCACAATAGTTTGTATACAGTCGTCAATAGAACCATTGTCACTAACAAGACCACTATCCATTACCTGGCAATAGAATCCCCATCGAAAAAATCATCAATTTTACAAATCGTTCACGCGCCGTGATCGATGATGACGACAAGACTATAGTGATTGTTGAATGATGATGCATGATCACTTATTATTAGTCCGTATTCATAGTTGATCAATATATGGATCTAAAATCCCCCCCAAATTTAAGTGACATGTTTTTGCAATTGATTCATCAAATACATTCCAAAAAGCACTCGATTATAGTGTTTTTGTTGGTGTTTGGTGATTCACCAATCACTTGATTACCTCATATTGTTTTCCTCTTATCGTGGATCTTACCATTACCAGATCTCTCCTCTCCTACTCCAACCAGAATCAGCCACGTCCACATTCATAATTCGCACTACTTAAACTCTAGATTGATTTAGTTATTATTATTTAACATTAAAAAAATGATCTACAAATTAATAATCCCGAGAGTTCTGCTCCTCTGCTTTCCAGGCAGATCGTGTTCCGTAATCTCAACGGCGTTGATTCTTCTTTCTTGCATACTTCACTAATTTCAGATCATCCCGGTCATACGTGTCACCTCAGGGAATGATGACTACCGAGAGCAGGTTGTGTTTCACCGTAGAAGATAACTATCGTCTAAGATAAAATAAATTTGGAAAGAAATAGAAAGAAAAATTAAAACCCCCGTCTCCGCTCGATTCTCACAAGTCACAGCTTCTACTACTCCCCTGTCGTCAGCGTGCTCTTTTTTTCCTTTCTTTCAAACTTTAGCCGTTTTCATTACTACGCTGGCTCACTCCCGCCGTCGCCGGGGAATTTGCCGGCGAAGCAAACTCTTCGGTAGGGACGAAACGTTTGACCTCGATTTCCGTTACTATTGTCTTTCATTTTTGATATTTTCTGGAATTGTAATCGCTTGGAAAAAAAGAAAAGAGGCTTTGGAGCCGTCGCGCTTTATGTACAACCCGAGGACAGTACCCTCTCTCACCCCCGTCTAGAATGAATCCCTAGTTCGCTGCATGTTTTCTGTCAAATACGCTGGTTTTGATACTCTCTCTGGTGTTCATTTTCAACTGCTCGGTGCGTTTGTCTGCAGATTGTGTGAGCGAGACGAAACGCACCGATCGCTGCTCTCGGTGGTCTGGACTGATCGGAGACGGCGAATTCCAATTTCCCGGTACCCGTCGGCGTTGAGAGTGCTGCGGTTTCCTGGAATTGGATAAGCAGCGAGATAAGAAAAATGGTAAGGGAACTCTGCTCTGCTCATTTAGCGATCCTGAGTGCAAAGTTACTGTGTGGGTTTTGGGTGATAGGTAGTGTTGTGTGCGTGTGTGGAAAAATGTTAGTATGTGGATGTGATTGTTGTTTGTTTTTTTGGTGGCTTCTTTTGAGGGGAAGCCATGTTGTGATTTTTTTTTCTTCTTCCTGGCAGTCTTCTCAAGGGATGAACTTCTGGGTGCCAAGAGATGCTGATTCTCAACCTAAAGGAGAGATTGGTCTTGATGACAATGCCTCAGCAGGAAGAGCTGAACAAAAGCGTGCTCACCAGTGGTTTACGGATTCGTCTCACCCAGAACTTTTCAGCAACAAGAGGTTAGCAACTGAAGTTGTTAACAGTAAGCCAGCATCGAATGTTCCTCCAAATGGAAATGCTTTTCCATGGCCAAATGTTCCCGAGTTCCACCTGCTTTCGGGCCAACTTGGTGGCGGCATTTTCGGGCCTCAGACATTTGTCAATGGAAGTTTGGCTGATCAGAACCAGCCATCGGTTGGGAGCGGTAGTATGGATATGCGGACAATGGGGTTTGGTGGGCACCATGTAAGTGACTCCTCTATGGGTTTATCTATAACTCATAACATTCAAGATCACTCAGCTAGCACCAGTCTTGGTGGACTAAGAAAAGTGAAAGTCAATCAAGTTACAGATTCAATTTCAGTGAGCACTACCTTCAATAAGAGTGATGGTGGCAGCTCCATGACTTTGCCTCCTGCTTATAGTAACTGCAATGAGAATGCTGTGTCAATTGAGCGACTCTTTAGCAAGGCACAAGGAAATTTTGTTTCATCCATGGGCTATAATTTCAACCAAGGGGATAGATACACCATGCCTGTGACTTATGGTTGTAGTAACAAGGAAAGTGGAAACATTTTGTCTATGGGGCAGACTTTTGATAAGGCTGAAGCCAGCTTCAACCCAATGGACCCATCATATGGAAAGAAAGATAACGCTCTCATGTCAATGGCTTCCCTAGGAGATGATGGTGCTATCTTGATGAGTCCAAACTATGCTAAACCAAAGGAGAATTTCATCTCCACAGTTCACTCTAGCTGGAAGAGAGATGATAATATTGTTTCAATATATCCATCCTATGTAAACTCCAGCATCAAACCAATGGTTCCAACTCCAGGCAGAGGGGAATCTGGGATCCTATCTCTTGGTCACAGCTACAACAACAATGCTATTGGTAATGCTGTATCTTTTGGGGCCTTTTGTGGGACTGAGATGAATGCCTCTAATGCTTCTGTTGGTGGTGGTTATGAAACGTTAATTCCTGGTCAGAACTCAGGTCAGAGTTCAGCAGAAATAGTAGGCCAGAAGAATTTGGTGCAGCCAAATAAAGACGGAGTGGCAGATGATGCTCCAAATGCTAATTTGATTGGCGATTCAGCCACCAGGAATAGAAAGCCAAAAGCCAAGAAGGATGTTATGAACAACTTCCCTTCTAATGTCAAGAGTCTGCTATCGACTGGCATTCTTGACGGTATCTCTGTCAAATACGTTTCCTGGTCAAGGGAGGTGAGACGATTGTTTATTTGAGTGGGATTGTCATTCAGGTTACTAATCAAAATTTTCATCCCATAATAAGCCAACGCTTTTTCTGCGCAGAAAATTGTGAAGGGAACCATAAAAGGAACAGGTTATTTATGTGGCTGCAATGAATGCAACTATGGGAAGGTAGGAAGTCCATATTATATGCTGGAGCTTCTTGTTTGGCAGGAAGTCAACTGAACTAGGCTGAGATTTTTCTTCCTTTATGCTTGTGCAGAGTGTAAATGCCTTTGAGTTTGAGCGTCATGCTAATTGCAAGACAAAACATCCCAACAATCACATTTATTTTGACAATGGGAAGACCATCTATGGTGTTGTTCAAGAGTTGAAGAACACTCCTCAGGAGCAGCTTTTTGATGTGGTCCAAACTGTAACTGGATCTCAGATCAATCAAAAGAATTTCCTCTCGTGGAAGGGTAAGGACTTCAATTTTTCTTTGTTTGATATCGTTCAACTAGAATACAGAAAGAAGATAAAAATATGACTAGTTTCACTTCCTTTTTTCTGTCTACATTGACCAATAAAAATCCCCCCTTTTTTCCCCAGCATCTTTTCAAGCCGCGGCCCGTGAACTTCAGAGAATCTATGGAAGGGATGAAGTTGTTGTACAATTTTGAGATTGCAATCCTTGAGTCGGGGGATGTTTTAGGTGGTATGTGATCTGTGCATAGCCAGAGCATCATAAAAATCTCGGTGAAAAATAGAAATGATAAATTCAGAAAATTTATCATCAGTTGGAAAATTGGGTAAATGCTGCTTGTGATTGGAAATAGAGTTGTCTGTCTTATAGTAATTGAGAAAGCAAAAGTACCTTTTGTAGATTCGTCAAACATATTTTCGAAGTGTCCCTGGAGTATGATAGAAGAATCATTTTTAAATTTGACAGACTATATAGTGGTCTTGTGATAGTTCTGGGTGGCAGTTTTCTGGTAATCACATATTTGAGCATTGTGTTGGAAACTAAGCTCATTGTGCATGGTACAACTGTTAAAGATATTCGAGCAGATTTCCTCAATTTCTCACCATCTCTGCATCCCTTCGGTTTATATGTCAATGTAAATGAGATGAGTGAATGAAAGGCTAGGAGCTGTATTGATGCTTTGCTTGCAAAATGGTGAAACTTGACTAGCATAAACATGATATGCCACCATCACAGCACCCTTTAGAGTATCTCTGTTGTTATATACACTGGTCATAGATCTGCTGTTTCTGATTCTGTCCCTTGGCCTTGGCAAATTCAGAATTGGTCCTTGACCAAGGTTCATCAGCATTGCACCCCGCTTTGCCTATTATTTTCACTGCTCTCCTATCTTAGCTTGGAGATGCTACTGTCTTATTTTTTTTCTGTCTCAGCAGTTTATTATCTTATTATATCTTTGTCGGGCAGTTCTGATAGAACCACATGCGTCCACTTACCATAGCAGGAAGAACATATTGGAGGTATTGCAGTAGTGTGTTTCACCTCATGTAATACAAAGTTTTTGCCAAGCACAGGCCTACAAACATTGAAACATAATCTCTGTGTTATGGTATATTCCATGTATGCAGCTTGTTCTGCAAGAGCTTAAGGAGGATTTCTTTTAAGTTCTCCTTTACTGTTAAGCAAGCTGAGAAAAGAGTATCTCTTGTCAGAGATGAAGGAATTCTTCTTTGGCTACTCACGTGAAGCATTAGGATTAACCCAATCACTTCTCCAAGCCTTGTTATATGTGGATATTCCATCAGGTGTAGGACACAAAAACTCCGACAAGGATACCTTTCTACGATGAGCAGGTGTGTGTGAAGAGTCTTCATCTTGCATTTGCTGAAGGGACAGACATCTTGGTGGGCACAATATTCTGCTCTTATAAAGAGCACACTCTGCCGTTCAGTCTTCGCTCCAGGTACATTGATAGCAGAATATGTTTCTATCAACTCTTGGTTATGCACTTTTCGTGAAGATCATAAACCTTTCAGTTTTATCTGTTTTAGCTTGATCGATGTCAGCAGATGTTTCCACCGAGTATTTGTGAATGGATACTCTTCCTTCAAAACATGGCAGTCACACATGATGAGATCGATGGCTTCCCTCTTTGTTTTCATAGAAGTATCACACCCTCCTCCTGTTGCTGAGTAAAATAAGTCCTAAGCATTTTCCCGCTGTTCGACTCCTGTTGCTACTTGCTAGATGCTTGAATTTCCAACTCTCTTTCGACTTTTTTTCTTCTCGCGCCCTGTAATAATCTTGCTTGAGCCGTGACAGATTATAAAGAATACTTGGCAAGGGATTGCCTTTTTAACAGTAGGTCAAAGGATGTCTCTTCTAGAACTCAGTATAGCTTGCAGTCTGAAACTTCATACTAACTATGCCTACAAATTCCGTTGTTGTTCAAGGTATTTGCTCTGTTTGCAGCTAAGGCTAACTCCAATGGAGCCTCTATATTTGGGGGAAAGTTGGCTCCAATGGAGCCTCTATAAATGGAGGAGTCTCTATATTTGGGGGATGAAAATGGAGGTTCCCCAAATATAGAGACTCCCCAAAGCCCGCCACGTGGCGTTTCTTTTTCTTTTTAAGATTTTAAGGGTTAATTGGGGTTTAATTAGGGGATTAGTTAGGGGTTTAATTAGATCAATAATTTTCAAGTGTTGTGTGTAAACCCAAATTAGGTCAATCATTTTTTGTCAACAAAAATTTGGTCTCAAAATTAAAAAAATTTCTACCGGAAAATTTGCATTTAAAAATGATGACGAACTGTACAAAAATTAACATGAACAAATTATATTAAGACTTCGATAAGTACATTTTTAAGTAAATGGAAAACTTAAAAAATGAGATCTCCAAATATAGAGGATGTAGCATTGGAGCAAAAGAAGGGAAAATGGGGATGAACCCCAAATTTGGGGATGAAGATCCCCAAATTTGGGGGTTTTCATTGGAGTTGGTCTAACGCCATTGCGTTTGTTCTTTTCGCTCATCAGGGTTGATTCATCAACAATGTCCCATAGAAGGCAAACCCCGAAAGAAGTGAACTGTATCATTATTATTTCCTTGCTTCTCAAGTCACTAGAAAAAGAGAAAACCGCCTTGGCCTCTGTTTCTTGCTGATCTGGATTTTATCTCACAGTTTTTGGTTTGGTATGGCTTGTTTCTCTCTCTTATTGTTCACTGCCTTCTCATTCCATATGTAGAGAGAATATATTGAAACTGACGTGTCTAGTTCAGGTCCATATTCATATAATTTTTTCCATTTTAGCTTCCTTCCTGCAGATTAAGGTTGATAGGGAAATCAAATCACCTGAGAAATGGATGGCAGGGGTGAATATTGATGATTGAGACTGATTGAATTAAGAAAAGATTTCATTTTTTTGGTGGGTTTGTAATGGAATGTGTATATAATTCCAAGTGCTGAATAATACACTTCCTAATCCACATCTAGTCACCTGTAGCCACTCACTCATTAGCCATTGTGATGTATGAGAAGCAAAGGTTTCAACTATGATACCAATACTTATTAATTATCATTATGTTCCTGGATTAGGACTTCCACACAAGGCTGCTTTGTTTCATTCATCAGGAGAGACACACCGGAGCATACAAATTGATCTCCCCCAAAAACAAAAGAAAAGGGAACTTGTGGAGGGTGGGATCATCTCCTCTGCACTTATGGTTAACGAGAAAATAACCAAAAAGAAGAAAAGAGGGCAAAGAAGGTTTACATGAAAAGGTAAACTTTTGCTTTCACAGTCGCACTTTGCAAAATTCCTCTCGTAAAGAGATCACATCAGCAGCAGCAAATGGTACAGAGACAGAGAAGAGACAGAAGACAGAGTTGCACTTGATACTCTTTTACTGTCTCTCTCTTTCTCTGCTCTTCGTTGTCATCAAGTTCTTGAGACCTCAAGGGAAACAAAGTGTTCATCATCTTCAATCTTCTCATCGTCGACTGATGAAGCAGCAGTAGCAGAAACTGTACTAACAGTGGGCAAATCAGCCACCTTATCGTTCTCACTGCCGGGCTGTTGATCTTTGCTTTTCCCCCACAGCACCATGTACAATCCTGTCACGATGACTATCGCTCCCAGGATCCTCCCCATGTACAGAACCTCGGATAAGAAAATGGAACCCAGGACTGTGACGATCACCATGCTCAGAGGGCTGAAAGCAGTCACGAAAACCGGGCCTTTGGTCTTCATCACCACTCCCTGTATGTAGTATGCCATTCCTGAACATATCACTCCCTGCATTGGCACAAAGTTGGGGGAAAGTAAGCAATTTGAATAAGTTCCTTGAGAGCTTTAATGTACAGAATTTGGCATTTGGGGACTTACACTATAGGCAGCAGCTAAGAACTTGGTGTCAAAACCAATGACCCAAGCAGAGGGATTTCCCCATTCCATCCCAATGGCCAAAACCGAGCCCTCGACCGTTCCCATCACGCAAATCAAAGCTGTCAAAGAGAGCTCTGCAGGGTATGATTTCAAAGTGATTGCCTGCAGAATGACAAAACCGGCCCAGGAAAGGCAACCAATCGCGATCATAGCTGCACCCTTAACAGGATCCTGAGCAGCTGCTGAAGTCGTGGCGGCCTGAACCCCTTCAGTCCATGGCAGGTTCACCCTCGCGCCTTTGATCAAAGTCATCAACATGGCTCCTCCTACTGTCACTATTGTGCCCATTATTTTTGCCTGGCTGTGCACCTTCTTCAGGTTAACTGACTCAAGCCTGGGAAATGAACCCATTTTTAATCACAGTGCCAAAATTTGAATATACTACATAGTGGTTAGTCACAGCATCACCATTCTTACCTCAGGAGCCAAGCCATGAGGAATGCAAAGGCAGGGAGAACATTCACCATAGCAGCAGCAAAAGTTGCTGATGTGTACTTCATGCCTGTATAGTACAGGTTCTGATCGATCGTTGGCCTGTAACACGAGTTAAGGAATATCCCCTTAGTCATCATAGTCGATACTCCCTTGAGGTTGATAGATAATTACATTTTGAGTTAAGAAATCAGGAGGATTAAGGGGTGGTGGTTATTGATGATCTTACTCCAACAATCCCAGGAGTGCAACCTTGAGGAAGATCCCCTTAGTCATCTTGGGCCTCACCTTCCTGTCATCATTCCCAAATGTTGTTTCATTAGCTTCCCCACGAAACATGATAAGTTGGCACAACAGATTACACTATGAGATCGAAGATGAATGTAACCTGTCAAAGATAAGTGCAAAGGGGGCAATAACAGCAGTGGCGATTGCATGTCGATAGACGACGAGGACATGCTGGCTCATTCCTTGGTCGAGGGCAAACTTGGTGATGATGGACATTCCGGCATAACCAAACTGCATGAAGATCACAGCCAGAAATGGCTTTGCTTGGTTGCATAACTTGGATGACAAGCACTCCATCTTGCTAAGTATGGGGGTGGTGACTTGAGGCAAAAGGTACTATAGCTTATGCCTCTAGTCTCTCTCTCTTTCTCTTTCTCTCTGTGGTGTAATGTAACTAGAAGGTGGTGAGTGAAAGAAGCAAGCAGAGGGAGGTTTATATAGAGCAAGTTTTTTTGGTTTTTGGTTGTTCTTTTCTTTTGAGGGTTGTTTTGGCATTGATTAGAACATTACCCACACGTCTTTTTAATTTGTTTGGGTTGGTTTTCAGTTCTGGCTATGGACTCCACTACCCATATCTAACTCCAGTTACTTTAACTCTCTGTGATCCATTACTGTTAAAGAATACAACAACAGGAAAGCAAAGATGAGCTCACGATCAGTTTGTTCCCTCCCACAAATGAATATTTGTATTGCTACTATTATGAGATAGTGTCTCTGAAACTTAATTACTTATATAATTAGATGCTAATGAGAAATCAAAGGTACGATATATGTATGTACCGGAGAAGAAAGATTTGTGACGAGGATTAATTAAATTATACTAGATTAGATTCATGGCTTAGTATTCAAGTGGTGGAATCTTGTTTTTAATATTGATAAGATAATGGTCTAGCCGATCGACCATTTAGTTTTTCTGGTCAATTCGATATTTTCCTATGTAGTTGAACAATTGTGTCATAGGATCGATCGTTTTTCGTAAAGATTGACTATTATTTTTCTTTGTAACGATGCGATTGTACCATCTTGATTCACCGCGTTTTGTTAGTGACGGTACTAAAATCCTTAATTACCATAGTTGATATATCATTATGATTGGTAACACTTGTTAATTTAGAATTGCATGGAATCATCAGCCCATGTGGTCGAGGAACATGGCCACGACCAGGACCAGCCGGCAGCCAGGCTACGAGCTTGGCCTGGAGATGGATGGAGCCGCCGGAGAAGGAGCCGCCTCTCCGCCGACGCCAAACTCTCCCTCGATCATCATTGGCTAGCACACACCTGTGGACTGACTGGTCGCAGAGGTTTAATTATTACTTAAGGACATTCAATTCCAAAAGAACTTGCATTGTATAAAAAATTGTATAACAAAGAATTCACCATACATACACAATTCTCATACATAATTGAGTATATGTATGCCTGTACGTAGTAGTGTGCGTGCTCATTACACTCTTGACACGATTATTGGAATTCTCAAGTGACTGACGGTCCACCAGCTACAACGATGCGATCTTTTCTGATCATCATCGTAGTGGTGTTTTACACTTAAAATAGCGTACATATATCTTGAATCATGTTGTTTCTTCTTCTTTTGTATGTAGTGTAGGTTTGCAAATCGGACAACGTAACCTGTCCATCTTGTGACACAAAATGCTGAGTCTTTCCTTTTCGCTCTCGGTTTCGTTGGGGGGAGGGGGAGTTTTGAGGAACCGAAATAAAATATGCACGAAACTTGAGGGACCTAAATGGAAAATCTCATCCCCAGAGCATATGTAAATGTGGTATCCTGGTATGTACATATCCAACTCCACTAGCTTAGATTCAAGAAGAAGAAGAAAAAAAGCGAAGTGGTAGCTGATGCGGCCGGCCGGCCGGGCCGTTTTGGTTGGCCAACGTATATAACGTAGTAAGAGGGAATATTTCATGATGCATGAGAGAAGACGACGTCGGCCGGCCGGCCTGAGTCATCTGGAGTGATCTGGTGGCCGGATTCCATCTCTGTTTTCTTTTTCTCCCGACCGACCCATTTGGGCTCCTCATTTTCCCATATGATATGAAATGAATTTCTTCTATTCCTAATGATCTGTTTCCTTTTGGCAAACTGGTGGATGCACTTTGCCCACATCAACCCTTAACCAAAACTAACAACCGATCGACGGTCCAATATTGCCACATGAGGCCAGAAGCTCAGATACGTCGCTTTTGTATAGGTTATATAATATATGTCAATGATTTGTTGGTCTCAATTACTCGAGTTATTGGAAGATATTCAATTATTGAGTAACACATTTAAATAAAAGTTGCTAATATGACTTGAAGTTAGCACTGATCCGAAATATCATATGCTTAACAAGCAGTGTCGTCAGGATTCGAGCAACTGACCTCTCGATCAGGAAGATTTTGATATAATATCAATGACTCGAATTACTGAAACTAAAGACTGAGTTGAGTTGGATCATTGAGATTCAGACTACATATTGTCATACCACTTTTAATGCATATGTATGCATACATTTTAATCTCGGACTAATTTTTTAAAGAAGATGCGCTATATATATAATCCTCCCACCTTAACAACAACATTGATCCGCGTCTCAATCTAATTCGTGGAGTTGGAGCATATATAAATGGGTTTTGCCATGCGATTTCGATTTGCCAGATTGATTATAGATGTGATGTGCCTCAGCTCAATTTATTCTTTGGAATTTTGCCCAGAAAAAAAAAGGGAGGGAACCGTGAAATGAAACATATGCATTATTATGTTGATGCGCGCTTACTTCTTGCTTTCTTTCTTTCTTTCACATATTCTCTGCACTACCACTACTACGTCTGCTGTAGCTACTATTATCCGATTCCGATCCTTATATGCATACAAAGTTGATGAGCTCATCAACCTGAAGTTGCAGTTCCCCTGCCTGCCTAATCCTCTCATCAACTTTCCAACTAAATATTGCATGTTTTTTTTATTATTATCAAGTATATATTCAACCATCTATGTATGTGAAGAGTTGCAACCATGCTTGTAAGGAACAAAAAAAAAAAAAAAAATCAAATCAAAGCTGAGCATGTGATGCATGCCACCATAGATATAGCTAGTTTGATTCCTACTGTTGGTTACTGTATAGTTTTGGCTTCAAACTGTTTTCTGTCATGGAAGTGAAGCAGCGACAATTAACATCATCAATATCCTGTCAAAAACGTACCCACACAAAATTATATATATGCTTGCCAACCACTCAAATCCTTGGAAATTAGCAACACATGATCATGAAAGGGCCAGCATATGGAACAATGGAATTAAATTGACTATGCTCTCAATGGGATTTGGGCAGATCCCATTTTTTATCAAAGCATCAATCTCTGATAGATGGCACATCCTGTCCAATCAACAGAAAGAGAGACGGGAATAATCTCAATATGCCGCGAGAATCAGTTCATCCATATTACTCTCGAGTATTGAAAAATGTTCAAGTACGTGCCTCATATCATTTCTTATATATGCCTTTATGATTGATAAAAGTCAACATGCATGAATTTGAAGTTTGCACAGTATCTTATACCATGTACATAATTATAAATCGATCTCACTCTGTTGAAAATTCGCTCTGTTACAAATATATATATACCTTATGTACGTTAAGGACTAGTTGGACCTAGTACCTATAAAACTATCAGGAAAAAGCCTTTCATATATATATATATATATGAATGCTATTGTAACGGAACAACAAAATCGACACTGCAAGACAATAAAGAACACACAGATTTTATGTGGTTCACTAAAATTATATGCGCTAACTAATTCATGAGCAGAAGAGATCAATTTCACTATACTTGAGAATATACGGATTACAACGAAACCTCGTAACTCACTTAAAGTCGCAACACCAACACCTCTTACAGTAGTAGTGTGGCATGCTACCTGCCATTGAACGACAGCAACTAATCCACAGTTTCATCTAAAGATTGCAGAGTCATGAGTAGTTTCGATCATTATAAGTATACCACCTAGCTTCCCACCAATAAGTAATCATCGATCATCAAGTGCATGGTGACAATTTCCCATTAATTACTTTGCTTGAACTATGTTTTGACTTGATCGATCGACATGCCCCCGATTCACCAGAGAACCCATCTGACCAATTATGCACCAAATCAAGATATTATTGCCAATAATTAATAATAATAATTAATATAAACTAAAGTTGTGGCTAGCTCTACCCGTATCTGTAAATCATGGGACTCCCCATCAAGATTTATTATTTGTTTTCTTTGTGTGGAGTAGTATGAGTGGATAAAAATTTGAGGCTGTTAATCAAAGTAAGATTCACATAATTAGTTAACCTCCCATTAGTCTCTCTCCAAACCTTCTTTTCCTCTCTCATTGGTGTTTAAGAATTTTTTAAATTTTCCCACAGCAAAATTGCTATCCATCTCAGCCTCATAATGTAACATGCTTTAATTATTCTAGATTTCCTTTGTAATTTAGTTGGTTTTATTTATTAATGGTGTACTAAAGCTACTTAATACACTCAGATACACGTATGCCTATCTATAGCTAGACTAACTAACCCTGGTACTCTTTAACTTCAAGTTAATTATATATCTACTTGAGGTTAGCGACTTGTAAAATTTGTATGGTCATGTACTCTTCACTTCAAGATAAAAAGTAAAGATAGAAAAAGGTGAATCCAGAAATACCAAGTGAAGTTTCAGAGTACGTACGTGCATGTATGAGTTTCAATTTTATAGACATTCTCTCAATATGGAAGAAGGATAATCTATTCGTATAAAAGAAGATAAAAACAAAAATTGGAAAGTTTTGACACATAAGGAATGATTTTGTGATCTACAACTAGTCATACCTCATCGATTTGCCAAGTCTTAATAAAATCAAATGCATGATTTCATTATCTTATATGTTTCTGATGCCTTGTTAAACCGCTTCAGCTGTTATCTTCATAAAATAAAATTTTCATCACGTTGAACCTATATATACCAAAGATAAACATCATTTTGTAGTTGTATTCAAACTTGTTACAACAAAACGATTGGTTCACTTCACTCGCTAGCTCGTTAATGTACTTAAATATCGTATATGTATGGTGATACAAAACTATACCACTAGTAGTCTAGTACCATGGTGGTATCCACCTTTACAATGATGGTATTAAATTTTACCACAATGATATAATTTTGTATCATGTGATGGTGAATGTTCTCTTTATTTGGACTGAAAAAACAACAAAAATGAATAAAGTTTGCCAAAATAATTAAGAAGATTTTTTTATGGGATTCATGAATTAAGTAACGATTATCCAAAACCTAATTTCGTGCCAGAAATTATGTCCTTGCTTGTTCCGCATACATGCATGATTTAGGGCAAAGTCTCAATTATTTGGCAACTAGGGTTTGTGGGATCACTGCAAATGGGGAAAACTTGCCTCACCTATTTAACGTGCTCCGTCGAATAATACAGTTATTCTATCAAGCAAAATACTCAAAAGGCAAAATATAAAGTGTAATGCTAGATGAGGTGTATCTCACAAATTTGTGTACAGACGAAAAAAATAATATTTTGCTTTTATGAGGCAAAAATCCAAAAGAATAAGAAAGCTGGAGGGCAGGTGTCCTTTGGAACTAATTCAGTTTTGGGTGATCTCCACTTTGTGTATATTTTTAGGCTTCTTGATAAACCTCTACACATGCTTTTCGATGGAATCCCTATCAAATATACAGTGACCGTTCCCCTAGTTAAAAAAGATCGGTAACAACATTTGATGGATTGTTTTTAATGAATTTTAGATCATTCCAAATGAAGGGGTTGGCCTCTGGCGCTAGCTATTGGTTCGCATAGAATCAAACTGGCATTTTAACGAGATTATATCGAATCGACTATAATATGGTAGGATTTTTGGTCGCATTAAATTTATAAAAATAAAAAAATAGACCGAAATAACATTTGGACCGGTCCTTGGTCCTAACATATATTTCAGTATTGGAGCGCGGTTCTCATGAGTTTGGTCCGGACCCGAACGAACCAGTGCACACCTCTAGCTACAATACAATTGGTAATATATCCATCACACCCTAAGTTCGGACCATAGGACCAACAATCCGCGAATAATAATATGATGATGATGATGAACAATGGAAACAATTAGGTTGGCTCTCAAAACTTATTGGTCCATTGAGCATAAATAATCTTCTTTTCAAGCTTACTAAAAATGTTTTCATTACTAAGAGAGGGTAAGGCACTTGATTATAAAAGCATGATAATACATTTCAAATATTAATATGATAAAAGTACGTATGGAATAAGATTCAAATAAATATCCATTAGGTATAATTTTGTATGAAAATTTCACCACGCATTTGTTCGACATAAAGAAAAAATTCTCTTGAAGAAATGTTTATTTCCGAAATCAGTGACATCAAAAGCTCAGGTACCCTTTTGATCCTTTTGGCTGCCTGAAATAATATCCTCTCCAAGAAGTATCAGCTTCTTATATATTTTTTTTATTTAGGGCATGAAAAATATTCTTATGTATGTTTGATACCATAATTTTGTAAAGCTCCAACCATTTAGCGCCTCGTTATAGACGATCGCAAGAAACGATAAATCTCTGACTAGAAGATAGCACGTATTATATCTACTAGGATATAAGGAATTGCGCCACTAAATTTGGCTACCGGTCTTCTCCCAATTCGGGCTTTATCGAGTTGTTGCCCAAGTGTTTAACTGGGCCGCCACTCCTCCCCATATGCTTGATTTGTAATCGTCATTGTACGTAAGAGAATATTTATGAGTCGAATTATCTCAATTATGCGTTGATAGTGTCACAGAATAATTTGAAGAAAAAAAAAGAAGCTAATCCTTAGTCGATCATATATTATTACTCAAGAACAGAACATTCTGTAATTAATACACCAATCCAATATCCAGAGTACTAGCTAGTAGTGAATACTGCAACTGATCATGACCCTTTATCAAATGTAACCACATATGTTTAGAGTGTTCCACAACAGCAGGGAAAAAAAAATAGTGACAAGGAGTATACGTAATTACTTGGTTTCTCTCTTAATTTGGTTCCCATTTCTGTCTGTCTCTTAATTTGGTCTCTTCTTATAAATTCATAACGTGGAAAGTTCGACGGCGATTATAAACTGCTGCTCGTGATCGGCGCCGTCGCCGTTTCCGGTGGCCTGCTGGTCTCTACTTTTCCCCCACAGCACCATATAGAGTCCGACAAGTATCATCCCGGCACCAATCACCCTGCACCCATTCCACGATTCACCCACCATAAAAATTAATCAATTTCGTGACTAAAGGCAAGAAAGTGGTTGCCATAAACAGGAGCGGAGCTAGGATCCACTGGTCAGGTGGCCGGACTTTTTTTGTATAGTATCCGTAAAAAAAATATATATATATATATATATATATATTTACATTGTGAGTCATTAGCTCCGAAATTTAATTATCTAAATTAGAAAAATATTATAAGCTCCACAATTTCATTATTTAGTTTGAATTTTGAAATTAAATAATATTTGAATAAGTACAATAGTTAAGTTAAGTGATCAGTCTAAATATTAAACAAAAACTTAAGCAAATTAGGAAAACTAAAAGAAAAATGTTGTTGTCAGGGATTGAACCTTGGTACTGGGTATTCATAAGCATCTCCTGCATTCGGTTAAACTAGAGCCAAACATAGTTACTCATATTTGCACGGTATTGTTATTCTACAATAGTTAACTTCTTCGGAATTTTATAAAATTCCCGATATTTTTACACGCGATCTCCAAAATTCTCGGGGGCCGGGCCCCTGAGCCTGGCCATAAATAAAAAAACTTGTAGCTAATGTTTAATTACCTTCCCATGAAGAGGAGCTCCGACAAGAAGATGGAGCCGGCAATTGTGACGATGACCATGCCCAAAGGGTTGAACGCCGTCACGAAAACTGGACCACGCCTCTTCATCACCATTCCTTGTACATAATACCCAATCCCTGAGCATACCACTCCCTGTTAATTTCCATACATCCCAAAAGCTAATAATTATTATTATTTAATTAATCAATTAGTTGATCAATTAATTAATTAAATGTGCGTGCTTGATGGATTGGGCTTGATTTTACGGTATAAACATAAGCTAGCAACTTGATGTCCATGTGTATGGCCCATGCAGATGGGTTTCCCCATTCAAGCCCAACCGCCAAAATCGAGCCCTCCAACGTTCCCATCATGCAGATCATTGCCGTCAACGATAGCTCAGCTGGGTACGACTTCAACGTGATTGCCTACACATGCAAAATAACAACAACATGTTCATATTGAAGATATATGATCCTCAATCCTAAGCTGTTCTCTGTCGTCAATTAAAACAAAACATTGCGACAGTAGTCTTCTCCGAAAAAAGGGTACCTGAAGGATGATGAAAGCAGCCCAAGAGAGGCAGCCAGCAGCAATCATAAGGCCGCCTTTCACAGGATCATCTTGAGCAGCATGATCAGTAGTAGCAATCGAATTTGTTGAACCTTGATAATAGCCTTGCGGCCATGGCAGGTTAAGCCTAGCTCCTTCGAACCAAGTCATGACCATTGCTCCGGCGAGGGTCACAACGGTTCCCCAAATCTTAGCCTGGCTCTGTGCTTTCTTTAGTTTGATCTTCTCTAGCCTGCAAAATTTACGTCCCTGTTATTAGTCATGCATTTTCTTCCACCATTACTAGAATTTTAACTGTAGTTGATTAATTTACCTGAAAGCCAAAGCCAGGATGAAAGTGAAGGCTGGCAGAATGTTCTTCATGGATGTGGCGAAAGTTGCCGTGGTCAACTTCATCCCCGTGTAATACAAATTCTGGTCGATCGTCGGTCTATAACGTAATGAAACATCAAAACAAGACGATTAGCAGCCAGTTTAAGATACTAATTATTGTGCCACCAAGGATCAATTAATAATTTGATATAATTAACTGTACTTGATCGATCGACATACTCTAGCAATCCAAGCAGAGCTATCTTGAGCAAGGTTCCCCGCGTCATCTTTGGCCGAGAATTCCTGCAGTTTCCAAATAAGAAAAATTAACAACTGCCCTAGTTGAAATCATCGCCTTCATTCCCGTAAACAAGTTGTCATTAATTACATTCTAGAAGCCTTTCAAAATTACCAGGGTTTTTCCAAGTTGAAAAATATAATACTAACAATCACTGAAATCGAGAAAAATCACATAAAAACATTGATTTTCCGTCTAATTCCATTAAATTTGTGACGCCAGGCATTTTAACGCTCTTTTAGTTTGCTGTATTAGTAGTCCGAAAGACTTAGTTAGAGTGGAAACCAAATTAGGGTAAGAGTATTACTTGCCCAGGACGCAAATAGCTAGCTAATTAAGCTAGGGTTACGGGTTTGGGAATAGCAAAACTACACGTATTAATTGTTACACATGTCCTTGTCACTATTGTGTGTATTTATTAGGTGGTTCAGTCCTGCACAATTGTTTATGTTAGGTTAATGCAGCTGCCAAGGAAAATGACAAAATGTTAATTAATTAACTCTAATTAGTACTTTCAGCTACTACTCAGAGGACAAATTTAAACAGAAAAAATTAACTCTTGTACGCTCTCTCCAATCTTGATGATCACTGTGCTACATTTTTTTCGTCGTCGTCGAACGAGACAAACGTAATTAAGAGGAACGAATAGTTCTTGATGATCCGATATAGTTCCCCACATGCTAATCGAATTACGTCGTACTAACCTGTCGAAGATGAAGGCGAAGGGAGCAATGAGAGCAGTGGCGACGGCATGCCTGTAGACCACCAAGACATGCTGGCTCATGCCCTTGTTCAGAGCCAGCTTGGTGATTATTGACATTGCCGCGTACCCAAACTGCAGCAGAACCATCGCCAGGTACGGCCTTGCATGGCTCCACGCCGTCGAGTACCAACTGATCTTCATCACCACGTGCTTCTCCTTGTCGTCATTTGACGATGAAACTGGGGAATTAGTTTTGACGGCATTCTCTTCTATCTTTTTCAGCACCATTTCTGCCATTTTCCTAGCTATAGGATAGCTCGGCTTTTTCTGAGCACTTGTGGGGATAGATTGAGAGCTAGCTAGCTGCTGGAGAAGGTATATGGATATATATATAGGCTAGGTAGCTGGTGTTGTTGGTTTACGTAAAGATGCATATAAATACACAGATATTTTTGTATCGTACAAAGTACAAACTCAAGCTAGCTAGATGGATATTTTTGTGATATTGGTAACGACGTGCATATGATTTGGTTACACGTTTCCATCGATCCCGGCCGTCTTCTTTCTGGGTTAAGGGTAGAAATCTGTTGCAGTACTCAACTGTATATGCCTCCATTTTGCTGCTCGATTATTCGGAATAAGAGGGATTTAATTAGTGTAATAAACAATATATACAGTTTGGTTCCTATTTCGCTAAATGTCAAAATGGGTCTGCTTGATCCGGTAAATTTGAAACAACCGAGGGTATTTACCATTCATGATTTACAGTTTTGGTTCTTTTCTTTTCCACCATGGGATGGAGAGAGATAGCCATATCATTACAGCTTTCTTGACCATTCATGATTTACAGTTCGCCGCCTTCTTGCTAAAAAAAGTTGAGAATAGAACATTTGTTGATTAATTGAATTCGGCTGTGGAAACATTGATCTCCGTTCTCAACTACCAAGTGACTGAGCTTTTACTAGGTACGGCTTAAGATCAATTTTCTGCAGAGTGGGCCCGAAAAGAACCGCCCATGTCGGCTAGTAAATTCCTAGGCCGACGCCGTCCCTATTAGGGATGGCAACGGGTCGGGTTGGGTCGGGTTTTGTCAAACTCAAACCCAAATCCATGGGTTTATCCGCCAAAAAAATCCGGGGTAAAACCCGTTGGGTTTGAAAAATTCAAACCCAAGCCAACCCGCTGGGTATCCGCGGGTTCATGGGTACCCGTGGGTTTTTGTGGTAAAAATTTACAATAACAAGTTTCTTTCAAAATTCAAGTTTAACGTCAATTTTCTCATACAAATTAAACATACAAAAAACACCAATCTAGAGCATACAAGCAAAGCGCAAATGATCAATACAAATTATTCAAAATTAAAGATAAACATATATAAACAATAAGATTAATTGAAAGATTCTTCCTCGTCAACTAAGTTTCTTCACTCTCCACTTCATAATATCAACTTCATTCTAAACAATTAGAAAGAATAAATTATACATGCCTCCACAAACATATAGAATATTAGTTGTTTAAGAAAGATATATTATTTAGAATATTAAATATACCGGGAAAGTAATTATATGTGTGTGAGCGGGTACCCATGGGGCGGGTTTACTTAAACCCAAACCCAACCCGACCCGATGAATAGTGTAGTGGGTTTAAACCCGAACCCGGCCCAAAACCCGTCAACACGGATTTTACCCGCGTTGACCGGGTTGGATCGGGTGGGTACCCGTGGGTTCGGGTTTTGTTGCCATCCCTAGTCCCTATTCATCCCAATGAAATGGGCCTTAAAATGGGCTGCGATAATGGAAGAATGGGTTATACAATGATTCAAGTCTTTGCCGTTTGCTAATTTGCCACTACTTGAGCAATTGTTGATATGAGTTTGTTGGTACGGATTCTGTAATTCATTGTGATCACAATGAATTCTGTATTTTGTAGTTGCGAAAAAAGTGATATAAAAGCTCACATTATGACGACATTTACGAACTCCAAGTCAAGTAAAATTGGTTTGGTTGTGAGATTTTTTGTTCAAGTTCTTTTGATTTCTTATATTGATTAAAAGCTCACATTATGACGACATTTACGAACTCCAAGTCAAGTGATGAATGTATCGTATCAAACATTGGCACAATTTCCAATCAGATTGCAATTGAAACCCCAAATTTGAATTTCTTCTAAATTTCATTTGTTGCTTTTGGAACTAACTTTACATGTTACAAGTTAAAGAGATGAAAGAGTTTTTGTTTAGTTTTGAAATTTTGGTGGACATCTTAATCAATTATATCACCATCTATGTTACCCTATTGGGTATTGATTGTCACCCTTTCCATTGATAATCTACTAGATGGGTTTCTGCTCCTAACCCAAACCTTTACATGTTTCCATTATTGATGGACGTTTGGAATATTCCAAGACTTAAATATGCACTAAGGCCGCTAGACAATTTGTCTTTGATAAGACGATGGTTGTGTTTGATGAATCATCCTCACACAGAAAAGTTAGATCAAGACACTAGAAAGAAAAAAAAAATAGCATAAAAAGAATGCAATGCATGTCCATTTTCCACTAACTTGTGTACATTTACATTCATCAAAAACACATTTTACGTTTATAACATAACATGAAAATAGCAACCGACAATCGACCAAACACGAAGTAAATGCCATACATAATACAATATATTCATAGTTGAGAACATATTTGCAATTCCATTCCTATCCTCTCCCGTTTTCTTATCAAAACGGAAAATTAAAGGAATAAACAAATTGACCAAGAACTACATAGAGAAAACAAAAACAGAGCAAGGTTGTGGTTAGAGGGATCAACCCGACCAAAATGCCACGGCTGAACCTAAACAGTCGGAAGTTTTGTCCTTCCTTCTATTCTATGGCGGGAAAGGAGGACGAAGGTTACATGGAGTGAAGCTTTCTGTGTTCCTCCTAAATCGAGAAAATGGCAGAGAATTTGGTATTTCACCCCCCACCATCCAAGGCAAGGAGTACAGAGTACAGACAGAGGACTCCTCTTCCCCTGTCTTCCTTTCTCTCTTCTTTCTCAATCCTCTCTTTTAATCAGATCTTGGGCAGCTCAATGGAAACAAATCCTTCCCCACCATTGATCTGTTCATGCTTGCTTTCTATCTTCTCGACGTTCGTGGCTTCCACTGATGAATCAGCATTAGCAATGGGGAGATGATCAGCAGCCACTAATTTGTCGTTAATTGTAGCAATGCCATTGCTGCCTTTCTCGTCATCTCCAGTCTTCCCCCACAGCACCATGTACAATCCTGTCACTATCACCACCGCTCCCACTACCCTGCGTCACACCCAACCAACCAAACACGAAAAAAGAAAGATTGAAACTTTATCAGCTTCATAGACTCTGTTGCAGAAAAATATCAGAACCCATTACTGCAAAATCGCAGAAAAAGTTTTTATTGGCTTAGTTACCTCCCCAAGTAAAGAATCTCATACAAGAAAAGGGAACCCAAGATGGCCACGATCACCATGACCAAAGGGCCGAATGCCGTTACGAAAACCGGTCCCTTTCTCTGCATCACTAGTCCTTGAATCGAGTACAGTACCCCTGACGACATAATCCCCTGCAGATTCATTCACCAAGTTATTTTACAGAAAACACAAACACCCAATAATGGTTGAAATTTCCAAACTTTGGTGGTAGGCCTTACACTGTAGAAAGCAGCTAGTAACTTGGTGTCGAAACCAATAGTCCATGCTGAAGGGTTCTTCCACTCCAGACCTACTGCCACTACTGATCCCTCCATTGCTCCCATCATGCATATTAGAGCTGTTAGGGACAGCTTCCCCGGGTACGATTTCAATGTGATCGCCTACATGATCAATTTAGAAATTAACAAAAATGTGAAGAACTAATCAAGCTTATACTAGGGAGTTGATTTGAGCAAAGATAACTACTTGGAGATTGACAAAACCAGCCCAGCAAACGCAGCCGATGGCGATCATGAGAGCACCCCTGATAGGATGCTCTGGAGCAGCTGAAGAAGATGAAGAATGGTCAGGAATCCCTTTGGTCCATGGTAGATCAAGCCTAGCTCCTTTCATGGAAGCCATCACCATGGCTCCTCCAACTGTCACTATGGTGCCTATGATCTTAGCCTGGCTGTGAAACTTCCTCAATCTAACCCTCTCCAGCCTGAAAAAAGGGGGGGACAAAACCCATCCATTATTAATTTCTTGATTACTGATACATAATAATGGTGATGTAATTATGTAAGAAGTTGTTTTACCCCAAGGCCCAAGCCATGAGGAATGCAAAGGCAGGCATAATACTGTTCATGGAAGCTGCAAATGTTGCTGTGGTGTACTTCATTGCAGTGTAGTACAGGTTCTGATCGACGACTGGCCTGTCAAGTTCGAATTTTGATGTCAACAATTACGTTCGCAACGTTAAAATTTTGAATGGAGCAATGAGCCTTACTCTAAGAAAGCAAGGAGTGCTATCTTGAAGAAGATCCCTAGAGTCATCTTTGGCCTCACCTTCCTGTCAACCCAAAAGAACAGGAAGTTGGCAACTTTGAACTAACGGTTACAGCAGAGAAGCAAAAGGGAAGGGAAAGGAGAAAAAACCTGTCGACGAAAAACGCGAAGGGAGCAATCACAGCAGTGGCAATGGCGTATCGGTAGACAACAAACACATGCTGGCTCATGCCTTGGTTGAGAGCAAACTTTGAGATGATGGAGCTTCCAGCAGAGCAGAGCTGCATGAAGATCACACCCAGATACGGCTTCGCTTGGTCGAAAGAATCGGATGACCACCAACCCGCCATTTTCATTCAATCCAATCAAATGGAGATGGATGATTGATTGATTGATTCTTTTGTTTTCTTGTTTCACTTTGAGGAGGGTTTTGATCTATTGAGTTAGGCTACAAGAAGGCACATTCACGTGCCTCTGTGGCTCCTTCTGCTGTAATGCAAAACAATGCAATGCAACAAAAGCGTGAGCAATGAGAAGGTGAGTGCAGGGGAAGCTTATATATAGTGTTTGCTCTGTCTTCCTCTGCCTCTCTCTCTCTCTGTTTTTTGGAGTTTGGCATCCCATCATCTCACGCAATTCAGTTTTGTATTTATTTCCTTTTACTGGTTTGTTTATATTTCGTATACACAAGAATAACACGTCTCATTTATGCCTGTTTCATTCTAATATTTCTCGGTGGAAACAGGGGACACTCTGCATTAATCGGGCCTTAAATCATCGTGGTGGAACATTTTCAACGAGTTGATAATTATGGGGATTAACTGTGTCTATTCAACACTTCACTCATTAGTGCTAATTGTACTATCATGAAATCTGAAGTAAGATATGTCGCACATCAGCCAGTATATGCTCTAGGTTACAGTACAAAATCCACGGTTATAGAACCTATAAAATCCGTGTCTTTATCGTCTTGATACGAATCATATTACTCTTTGATATGATGGTATCAAAGTAGTATGATTTGTATCAGCATTCAGGAGTGATAAGAGACGGATTTTTATATGTTTTGCAAGTTCTGAGTTTTGTTACTCTATGGTCTATCATTTCTCCTAATATATATATAGCAAATATGGATGGATTAGACGAAATAAAAATATGATAATTTCTTTTTTCCCCAAACATCGGGCTACGTACAATTCTAGACACGTACTTAACAAGTGCATTGCTAGTAAACGGCCTGATATTTGTAGAGTGTTATGTTTTGGTTCTACGTCTTCAGTTACAAAGGTGAATGGAAGTAAAGGTTGTGATGAACAAAAGCTAAAGGTTTCCAGCAAAAGTTTATTTTGTTTCGGTTACAACAGAAAGCAAAAAAGAAAATCAATTCGGAGAAAGGGGGAAAAGCATTGAATAATTGGACGATAGAGTGACAAATAATAGATACTGCCTGTTTAACAAAATCTCGGGTGGGCTCTTTAAGTTTTTTTTTTTTTTTAATAAATTGATGCAAATGTACGATTAAAATCTTAGGCAAATCTCATATCGACACACACGAGATAAATTTGTGGTTCATAAGTATGAAATCAATCTTAAATGAAAATATGCGTTTTGAGGTGGAATGGATGAGTTCTTGTGAGAACTCTAAAGTTAAACGTGCTTACTGCTTATTGTGTTGTATAACAAGGATGAGTGATCTTACGAAAAGTCACATTAATATTACACCCCCAAGACAAAAGACCGTGAGGGTCGAAACTCAAAGCGCGGACAATATATTATTCGGAAAAAGATTCGAGATGTTACGTGTACCATAATCTTATTTAACAAACAATCAAACTTTCTCCTAGCCACTAAAAATAAATTGTTTAGCTTTTAGTTTATCAATTAACATTATTTAGTGCGTTAAACAACCAATAATCAACTTAAATTTGGCTCGCCCAACTAGAAGGTTAGGTTGCAGAATGGGCTCACTGCTAAATGGGTCAAGAAATTAAAGCCTTTTTTTTTTTTCTCGACTTCTTTGGACTTTTAAAAGACCGGTCGTGGACACTTTTCGTTTGTGTGGGATTGTTTTTGGTGGAAACCCATTATCTTCTCCTTTTTTTCAAGAACCCATTATCTTCTTTGTTCAGATGCCTGTGGGCTCACTCAATGGATACGTATGAGACTATTTTGATTATTATGAATATTTGGAAAATTCATGCTTCTGATGGCCATTGAGAGAAATTACTTATAATGAGACTTTCTTTTATGGTTAATTGATCATCATTTTTCAAGTACGTTGTACTATCTTGTTTGTAAGTTGACCGAAAAATAAAAATTTAGATGATTGTTGGTATGAACCTACTATATAAATTGGATATCAAAGCAGGGGCGGAGCCAAGATTTGGATCTCGGGGAGGCCGAAGTTGTTTAGTTTACCATGACAAAAAAAAGTTTATAGAATTTTTATTATCATAACGAAACAAGAATTGAGATAATTATTTGCTATGTGATATACTCAAAACAAATTATTAAATTACGAAAAAAAATTAATCATGCATTTCAATATGTAGCTCATTTTTATCATTTTCAAACAATTTATTGGCCTATTTCAATATGGAAAGGGCAAAATGACACTTAGATAACAGTTAATTTGCTGTAGTTTAGGTGAGATAACAGTTAACTTGCTGTAGTTTAGGTGAGAACGTGGCTTACAACTTGAGAATGACAAAAACAAGAGCTAATTCGCTATTGGCAAAATTCGATCCTGTGCACCCATTTTATAAGATTGAATCTTCAACCACTCGTCCGCCACTTCGTTTCTTGTCACATTATTGCGCACAAAGTTAATATTACAATAACATCTATTTTATACGTAATTCTTCACAATCCGAAGAGATTTTGTACGTAGTTTCTAAATTCGGGGGCTCCACCTAGCTCCGCCCCTGTATCAAAGCAACATACAAATTTCAATAACCAATTGATCAGAATAATTATAATTCTTGAAGATATCCAAATATGAGTCTTATATCATTTTTTCATATACTCTCTCAAACGATGACAAATTCATATACTCCGAATTTACATAGACTTACCATACAGGCCATATATTAATTAATAATTAGTAGTAGATACTAAGTTTAACACCTGTCCCACAAGAATAGAAAAGAAAAACCATTCCTTAAACATAAGTACGTAGTGTCATGTCCCTAAGCTTAAGATCCACATATTAATCCGAATATGCTGAGGCCACTTGGGGAGTATAAATAGCCACACATGTAAACAGCACTCACCAAATTCAGTATGGTGGAATCACACCCACATCATGTAATATTATATTTATATTAGCTCACATCCCATTATAGTTTTATACCAAATTGAAAATGCTATCCCTCTCATACTCCTAATGAAAATCTTTTAATTATCCTTTTTTTTTTGTATTTTTCATTTGGTTCGATGGCGGAACTAGGTATAATCTAAAAGGTCTACAATATTATTTTTTTTACGAATATTTAGTTAGTATGAGTATTCTAATATATGTATTTCAATGTTGCATAAACACGAAAAAGTATCGGACCTGCCAAGATGAGAAGCTATTAACCTTATTTTTTTGGAGATGCAATTTAAATTTAGATAACCATTATGATTTTATCATGTTTAGCCTCCACGTACGTGTCCTTCTTTGGCGATTGAAATTATTGAAACTTAGGTGGAAAATAAAATTGTGCAGTCGATTATGGGAACCTCCAAGTCATATAGCAATATCATTTCCATATTGTGCTCAGTAATTAGATTTCTTTATAATGACCTAATTAAGCGGCTGACGCCTGACTACATTTGGGCACTTAATGATTCCCTCCTAATATTAAGACAAGTTATAATTGGATTAACAGTCAGTGGCCCAGGTGGATATATGGTGTTTAGATGATGGGTGGCATGAACTAATGCAAAGGTGATGACTTTGGTGGAGAAACATCCCTTTCTTGCATAGTAAAAACATCGACATGGTGATTAGTGGTATCGGTATATGTGTAGTTTTATGAAACCTATATCTTAATCCACCATTTATGTAACATAATGACTTATGTGGAGAGGCATCCTTTCTTTGTTTAGTAAAAAAATCGGCAAGGTGTTAGTGGTATCAATATGTGTAATTTTCTGAAACTTTATCATAATCCACCGACTGCTGATTTCAATGTGTTTTTTTAACGCCCGTACGTGAAATATAGGAAAACGTATGTGGACACTCAATTCTTTTTTAAAGTCTTTTGCAATAGCATATTCAGGATTTTACTCAAAATGAGTTTATATAAGTCTTTATTAATATTTAAATGATTCGGGACATATTTTGAGTTCGAGGGTGGAGAATTCCACACTAAAATCTATCTATCAACCAAACAACTAATTGTCGAATCTATTATTTTCCCAAGTCCAATCTTTATTCCTCAAATCCATCTCTCCTTCTTAGAACTTACCAAGTCGGAAATTGATCAGCCAGCTAGCCCTGAATTGACCTTCAACAGTGGTTGATGTTTTAGGTGTCCGAATCTCACTGTGGTTTGTTCATCATCATCATCATCATCATCATCAAGGAAATTGGATGGGGTTTGTTTGCATGGCACGTTGAAGGAATTCAGACTGCTCTTGTTTGTGAACCTGATAGAAACCCGTCGCTGTTGCAGCTGATGCTCCTCTGCCGACGTACTTGATCTCGTCGTAGGAACCTCTCCCCATGTCTTTCATGGCCGTCGCCAGCCGTGGCAGAATGTAACTATAAGCTCCCATGTTCATCGGCTCTTCTTGGCACCATACTACCTCCGCATCTGCAAAACCAAACCAAAAAAATAACACTAAAGATCCTAAGATATCATCAAAATCTATTAACCGTGGTTTATCGAGCAGAGTAAAAAGGTGTTGTAGGGAATACGACTAGAAATGGAATGTTGGGCTCAAACATAACCGTACAGTTTGGTTCGGACAGTACACCTTAAGAATGATTTGGTCTGATCTGTGATTTGTATTATGAGAAGGTTTGATCTCTTGGTCTAGTCTGATTCATACGGTGGTTTATTTGGATCCAACCCACTTTCGAATTCGTATTAGCATCCCAACTTTGACTCTTTGTCGTTTCACTAATTGGTTTAATGTATCAAAATTATGCATGCATGTTGGAATTTGGAATCTAAGGAGAAAAACTCATTTTTTCCCCATCTGTTATTGGTTGGATTTTTTTTACGGTGAGAAAATATTGTTCTTTTTTTTTTTGCTCAAGATGGTATGTCTAATCCAACCATACCGAACCAGACCCTATAAACATGGCTTGATTTGAACCGTATAGTATTTGGTCTGATCTCTAATCTATACTACAACTCCTTGATCTGAACCATAAACCATATTTATTTCCCAGCCCTAATCAAACACTATCAAATAAGTCCAAAATTCAATTCTCCACTATTTGCCCTAAAAAAGCAAGACCTATTAAATGCATGCACTTACAATGCATGAACAATCACCCAAACCTAATAAACCTTTTATATACACAGATATGGAATAATACGATAACCTATCACGCCCTCGAACACGCCATTCCGTGATTAACTAATTAATCTAGAGCAAATTAACAAGCCAACACCACCTAAAGAATAATGCCAAGCAAACAATATGATGTCAAAAGTAACATGCACGGTAGTGGAGCAAGCCTAAGAGAACAGATGCGTTACGTACTTGGATAACGCCTCAGCTCTCTTTGGACAAGGTCATATGGGAATGGACACAATTGTTCCACCCTACAAATGGCAATGTCGTCCTTTGCGTTATCACCCTTTCCACGCTCTTCATCCAGCTCGTAGTACACCTGCACAAACACGTTTATAACAGAGTTCCAAAGCAAACAAACAAGTATGAAAAAGGATGGACGACGAGAAAGAACCCCGAAAAGTCGGCATTCATTAACCTTTCCAGAGCACAGAATGAGCCTTCTAATGCTTTCCTCCACATCAGAGTGTCCATTCTGGTCCTTTATGAGCCGCTTGAACCTGGTTCCTTGTTTGTCGAATCCAGGGTGGCCTTGCACGTTGTCGAATTCGGAGAGATGGGACTTGCAGAGCTTGTGTCGTAGCAAGTTCTTGGGGGACATCACTATCAGAGGCTTTCTGAACTCCCTGTGTATCTATACATCATAGCCAACATAAAAAACAGTAAGTTACGTAACTTACTCGTATCGTATTTGACTAACTATACTCTCACCTGGCGGCGCAGCAAATGGAAGTAATTGGCAGGAGTGGTGGCATTCACGACCTGCCAATTGCATTCTTGGATTTGCTTTCTGAGTGTTGGTTCCATTTCGGGCATTACGTAAGGGTAACTATCGCTCATCTGTCAACAAAAATGAAAAATTAGGCAAAAATCTAGAATTGGTGTTTCAAGATAGAAGATTGGTTTAACTTATGTGACCATAGATACCATTAGGAAGCGCTCCAATCTAGCACTGGAATGTTCTGGTCCTTGTCCATCGTAGCCATGAGGGAGCAGAACAACCAGTCCAGTCTGGCGCAGCCATTTCGATTCCCCTGCACTAAGGAACTGATCGAACATAACTTGAGCTCCATTAGAGAAGTCGCCAAATTGAGCTTCCCACATCACCAAAGCATTAGGGTTCTCCATGGAGTAACCCATCTCGAATCCAAGCACACCGAACTCCGAGAGTGAACTGCACACGTCCAATGATCGACGTTGTAACATCGATTATTAACAACAAACTAATAGTCTGAGAGTGTTGGCCATATATCAAACATTATGTAGCCATTCACCTGTTGCTTACAGTAAACATCTCCTCATCTTGGCCCGGCATAGTATGGCCTAGTGGACAGTACTTTTCCCAAGTCTCTTGATCATGAAGCACAGCATGTCGATGGCTGAATGTGCCTCTTTCAACATCTTGGCCACTCAGTCTAACATGATTTCCCTCAACCAACAATGTACCAAATGCAAGGGCTTCTGCAAGTGCCCAGTCGATGCCTTCCCCACTCTCGACCATCCGAGCACGCTCTTCGTAAATTCTTTTCACTTGCTTGTGAGCCTTTATCTCATCTGGGATTGTAGTAATTGCTCTACCAACATTCATCAACACTTCTGGGTTCACACTGTTGTAACAAGTAATTAATAATCAAATTACAATTTGAATGAATGAAAATGCATCTACTATTGATTTACTTACCCAGTGTTTCTAATGCGAGAAAGCTGTTGAGGGGACTTGAAGCCAGCCCAATGTGAAGAAAGCCAATCTGTTCTTTTCAAGACATAGTCTTTACTGTTTGCATATTCTTCATTTAGTATTGATTCCACCTTGTTATGTTTCCTGTCGATTTCCTCCTGTGTCACCTCCCCTGACTCCAGCAGTTTCTTTTGATATATCTCAAGCGATGAAGGATGCTTCTCAATCACCTGCATTTGGGCATCAACATTGTTCTTGGTGATTCGAAGAATACACAGTTTCTGACAATTCATCTTATATGTTAGCAAGTTATGTTAAAAACAGGAACAAGACATTTACCTTGTACATCTTAGGTTGTGTAAAAGATGGTTCGTCAACCTCATTATGCCCAAACCTCCTGTAACATATAATATCAACCACAACATCAGCATGAAACCTCTGCCTCCACTCTGCAGCAAGCTCACAGACGCGAGCAACTGCCTCCACATCATCGCCATTCACATGGAAAATCGGAACATTAAACGCCTTGGCTACATCAGTGCAATACTGTGAAGACCTTCCCGACCTGGGATCAGTAGTGAAAGCCACCTGATTATTCACCACAACGTGTATAGTCCCACCAGTGCAGTAATTAGGCAGGGCACTCAAATGCAACGTCTCATAAACCACACCTTGCCCGGCAAAGCTACCATCTCCATGGATCAAAACACCCAAGTTCTTCGTCCTGTCACAATCCTTGAAGTAGTACTGCTTCGCCCTCGTCTTCCCCAAGACGACAGTGTCCACAGCTTCCAAGTGGCTAGGGTTTGCCATCAGAGACAGATGGATCCTGTTCCCTCTTCTCGTCGGTCTGTCATACGACGTCCCCAAATGGTACTTCACATCACCCGTCCCCATGTAATCCCCCACTTCACCATCGTCGCTCAGACCATGTTTAGCCTTCTTGTCGAACTCGCTGAAGATCTGTGCCAGTGGCTTCCTGAACACGTTACCTAACACGTTAAGCCTCCCACGATGTGGCATTCCTACGACGATGTTCTCCACACCTAAATCAGCAGCTTTGTCGAACATTTCCTTCATCCCCGGGATGAGAGTCTCACCACCTTCGAGCCCGAACCTCTTCTCTGCCTTTTTCTTGACAGCCAAGAAATTCTCGAACCGTGTGCTCCATATCAGCCGGTCGAGAAGAACTTTACGTTGTTCGACATCATAGTTTATGTGCTCCTGTGTCTCAATCTTGTTCCTCAGCCAGTTGCACTTGCTGCTGTCGTCGATATGCATGTACTCGTACCCAATGTTGCCGCAGTAGGTTTGTTCTAACCGATTCATGATGGATCTCAAGGTCATTACAGGCCGGTTCCCTGACAAGAACCCAGACGAGTCGTCCCACACTCCCAGGTAGAATTCCCTGTCGAGGTCGGATTCTGTGAAGCTGTGGAATGCTGGGTCGAGGTCCTCTGGAATAGCATCCTTGTTTAAGTCCAGGTTGAGTGGGTCTAAGTTGGCTTTGGTATGGCCGTTTACTTGATATGCTTTTACCAGTAACAACAAACTCATGCTCTCTTGTATCGACTGCTGACCAGAAACCCCAACGCCTGCTGCAGCCATTCCCTTGACATGATTCTGGCCTACCAGGTTCCTGAAAAAGTTGTCCCAGGACTCATCCACACTGCTTGGATCGGCTTCCCATGATCTTTGGAGCTCCTCGATGTAGACGCTGTTTGCTGAATCGAGGAAACTGTCTGTTTTTCTGTTGGCATTCACTTGTTCTTGTTTGGTGATTGTGCTGTGGAAAATCCGTCTGATGGGTGAAAAGGGGAAAGGTTGCACTATTCTGAAAATGTGCAATCCACAGAGATTTCTCTTGGCGGAGAGCTTTGTTGATATCATACATCCTGCTCTAAACCACCCCATTCTTTTGTAAGGGCAACCCACCGAAATTCCAAATTAATAGCAATTTATTCTGTAATGAAGGTTAACGCAGTGACATGGCTGACTCCTACAATCACAATAAATACCATAGAGTAACATTAGATACGAGAAAGATGCAAAGATGGTTTCAACAGCAAGAAAGGTGTAAACGTCATTACATTCATGCAACATATTTCATATTTGGAGTTCCGACGGTAAGAAAGCCGTAAATAAAGGATCCATCAATTAATGGCAACCGGGAATGCTCTGCAAAAGTGATGTTTCATGGGGACACAATCATAATATACAGAATCGCCATAAACAACAGAGATCAATTGAGTCGGATTCAACAATATCAAATCACAGTGAAACAGAAGTTACAACGTATTCAGATGGGAAGAAGTATTGTACGTAAACTGCAATTGCATTGCATTGGCATGCAATAGAAATTTACCTTGTTGAAGCGTGAAAATACCACCTAATGAGGTTATTATTACTGACCAGATCAGTTTTCCATGGGAGAGTGAAAATTCTGTCTGTAAGCAATAGACAGGTAAAAATTTATCAGTACAATACTTCTTCTCACTCTAATGAGGTTATTATATCACCCTTAGCAACAACAACAACAAAAAAAAGTTATCAGTAACTTGGCCAATTTCTACTCTTTTCACGGTACAATGGTGAAGACCATGTCACCTTCTTCAATTACTTGCCACGTGAACCTGCCAAGATGCACAACATAACAATGCATTTTTGGAAATAACAAAAATTCTTGCAAACGGGATTCATAAACCAGCATCTACGAGAGTGATAAACAATAGCCTTTCAGTTACCAGAATGAAAGTACCCTTTGTGGAATTCAGTTGAATGATGACCAGAATTCAGTTCAAGGTTATAAGGTAAGGGTTTTCTATGTTTTGCCATAAACTTGACTAACCATGGCGGATCATTCAAGCTCTTCAGAGCTCCATCGTACGCTGTTCCTCGTAGGTAATAGAACTACCTATCGAGACCAAAACATTCAGGCATAATGTTAATAGCAGAGGGCAGAAGCTTGTTGGAAAATAACAACAACAAAAAAAAACACACACACAAAAAATGGTAATATTGCCACTTGAAGCGTAAAAGCAACAACTTGTGAATCAACAAAGGATATCATAATCTCCTTATTCAATAACTCAAACTCATTCATTCCTCTTTTTCTAACAATTGTATCTCTCGCATGTATAAGCTTGGCTGATTCTTCTCCAGAACCGAAAAGACAAAAACAAAACTCAGGATGTCTCTAGCTCTCCACAGCTACCAAGTCATGTGGAAATAAGAGCAGAGAAAGGAAACTAGTGCCGTCCCACACTGTATTTCAAGGGAGATGGATGTGTATAAATATATGTAACTTTCTGAAAACTATTACACGGTTTGAGCGGGAGAATGGAGTGCTTCTTGTTGGATCGCCTTCTGCACCAACTCCGACTGTTCCTTTGTGTGGACTTGGTAGAAACCAGTGGCAGAGGCAGCAGAGGGAGCACGGCCCACGTACTTGATGTCATCGATGGTACCTCTGTTGAGTGCCTTCATGGCTGTGCACAGGCGAGGTGCTACGTAGTTGTATCCGCCCATGTTCATTGGCTCCTCTTGGCACCAAACAACCTCGGCATCTGAAACAAAACGAAAAAAAAAAAAAAAGAGGCAGGAAGTGAGCACGCCAATGATACTCAAACTGCTATTTATGCAGATTAGCCAGAAGCAAATTCGTGAGGATGAACCAAACCATTGTAGCACATTATGATAGAATTCACTAACAAATACTGGCAACCAGTACTAGAAATGTTAATAATAATCTGAAACAAAACAGAGTACAAGCCTCGTCATATAAAAAGGGCAACAAGCACTCATTTTGGGGCACCTCTGGGACCTTAAGTTCTCTGTTTTCATGCGAAGAGAAGGCCAACAGAGTAAAATATTCTGAAAGAACCCCACAACACTAAGCTTTGTGAAACTTTTAGATTTACTTCACTAAGTTATACACATGTATATATCAAATCAAAATGTCTGACCATATCGAGATAAGTTAAAGCCTCATGGAGTCAGCTCTAAGGACTGAAAAGCAACCAGATACAATCAAGCACTATTTCCCCGAGTATGGTGGGAGAAGCATGATTGCAAGTTCAGAAGCAGAGTCAAGACAGGCCTGACGACACCATATGCAAGATAAACTTAGTCTAAGAATTCATAGACAGCAAGCAAGAAGGAAACATACTTGGGTATCGTTTCAGTTCACGTTGGATGAGATCATATGGGAAAGGACACAGTTGTTCCACCCTACAAATAGCAACATCCTTTGCAGCAGCCTTCTTGCGTTCCTCATCAAGCTCATAATAGACCTACATGAGTTATTGGTCAACAAATTAATGCATGCATGTGCTGAAGATAAAACAGTAAATCAGTACTTAACCAATGCGTTCTTTTTGGCTCAGAGATTCAAGTAACTTCGACAAAGTTGACTGCCAATATTACAGACGCACTTTGTACAAAAATTATTCAACCCTGAATCTACTCTTTAAAGTTTACTCACAACTGTCATTTCACAAAACTATTCATTTTCTTGTTACGGAAACAGATTTCATATTCCATCAACTCAACCTTTTTTGGAAAACCTAAGCCCAGTTCACTTGTACTTCAACTGAAAGTAATAACTTTTAAGACAAAGCTACAACAAACACAGCCAATGAGTGCTGACACACCTTTCCGGAGCAGAGAACCAGGCGTCTGATGCCCTCCTCAAGATCAGAATGTGCATTCTGATCCTTTATTAGACGCTTAAATCTTGTGCCTTGCTTGTCAAAACCAGGGTGGCCTTTGACATCATCAAACTCTGAAAGATTTGATTTGCAGTCCTTGTGACGAAGCAGATTTTTGGGAGCCATCACGATAAGAGGTTTGCGGAACTCTCTGTGTATCTGGAATGTACACCATAAAGTAAGAAGCTCTGAGGAACTCAAGGATGGGTGGATGGACTAATTCCATTGTGACTAATAACTAATAAGCACAAAACATACCTGTCTCCTCAAAACATGGAAGTAATTTGCAGGAGTTGTAACATTCACAACCTGCCAATTGCATTCCTGGATTTGTTTCCGCAAAGTAGAGTCCATCTCAGGAATGACATAGGGATTGTCATCGCTCATCTACAACAAGTATACATTTACCAGTCTTCAATTAAAACGTGCTATACAGCAAAACTACTTATTTGACAATGATGCATGTGAGTTGGTTAGTGACGGAACCTGTAGGAAGCGTTCTAATCGTGCACTTGAATGTTCAGGACCCTGGCCATCATATCCATGAGGAAGAAGCACAACAAGACCAGTTTGACGCAACCATTTTGACTCACCACTACTCAAGAACTGATCAAATATCACTTGAGCACCATTAGCAAAGTCACCGAATTGAGCTTCCCAGATAACCAGTGAGTTTGGGCTTTCCATTGAATAACCCAATTCAAATCCAAGCACACCAAATTCTGACAGAGAGCTGCACATTATAACACAAAATTTCTGTCGGCCAAAGGATATAGAACTTTATGAGGCAATCGGGCATAGAAACGAGAGATAATTACAGCTAAAAAAGTCTAGGTACAATTGAAAACTGTGGATGAGATAGAAAACAGGTTTACTTCCAAGAGAAAAACTAAGGCAGCACAAAATCAAAGATTTTGTTGCGTACCTGTTACTGACGGTAAACATCTCCTCATTTTGGTTCATTACAACATGGTCCAGAGGGCAGTACTTCTCCCCAGTTTCTTGATCATGAACCACAGAATGGCGATGACTAAATGTTCCTCTTTCGACATCCTGACCACTCAATCGAACATGGTTACCTTCTACAAGCAATGTGGCAAAAGCAAGGGCTTCTCCAACAGCCCAATCAACGCCTTCCCCTGTTTCTATCATCTGGGCACGTTGCTCATAAACCTTCTTCACAGCTCTGTGCGGTTTAAAAGTTTCTGGAAGAGAAGTAATTGCTTTTCCAACAGTCTTCAAGATCTCAGGTTTGACCCTGGACAAAAAGCACAGATTCTCAGAGCATGATTCATACAGCAGAATGAAAGAAGCAAATATATCAGACTGCATACCCCGTATTTCGGATGCGTGAAACCTGCTCAGGTGATTTGAATCCAGTCCAATGAGAGGCAAGCCAGTCTCTTCTTTTAGGAACATAATCTTTGCTGGCCAGGAATTCTTCATTCAGGATTGCGCTGACCTTCTCATTTATCTTGCTAATATCTTCTTGACTAACCTGCCCAGATTCTAAGATCTTGTTTTGATAAATCTGAAGAGCTGAGGGATGATTCCGGATGACCTGTCAACAGATACACATCACAAGTTATGTAACTTCCCATAAGAGCGCTTGAATTTCATATTGCACGGCTAAGCCCAGGATCTGCAAGCATTGGAAGACAACAACAGGAGCAAGAACAAGAACACTGACCTTGTACATTTTGGGCTGTGTGAAAGATGGCTCATCAATCTCATTATGGCCAAAACGGCGATAACAAACTAAATCCACAACAACATCGGAGTGGAATGTTTGACGCCATTCAGCTGCAAGTTCACAAGCATGAACAACCGCCTCCACATCATCTCCATTTACATGGAAGATTGGGGCATTCAAGGCCTTTGCAACATCAGTACAATACTGTGAAGATCTGCCTGCCTGTGGATCTGTTGTAAAAGCTACTTGGTTGTTCACCACAATATGTATAGTCCCACCAGTGCTGTAATTTGGCAGTGCACTAAGATGCAGAGTCTCATATACTACACCTTGTCCGGCAAAGCTACCATCACCATGAATCAAAATTCCCATGTTCTTTGTCCTGTCCAGATCATTCGAGTAATACTGCTTAGCTCTAGTCTTTCCAATAACAACAGGATCCACAGCTTCCAAATGACTAGGATTTGCAACCAGAGACAAATGAATTCTCTTTCCACCTCTAGTTGGACGATCATAAGAAGTTCCCAAGTGATATTTGACATCACCTGTACCCGTGTAGAGCCCAACCTCATCAACAGGTTTCGTGCCACCACTAAACTCGCTGAATATCTGGCGTAGAGGCTTTCTTACCACATTTCCAAGTACATTTAATCTTCCTCTATGTGGCATTCCAATAACGATACTCTCCACACCGAGATCTGCAGACCTATCAAACATCTCCTTCATGCCAGGGATCAATGTCTCTCCACCTTCCAGTCCAAACCTCTTGGCTGTAGTCCATTTAGTGGCCAAGAAGTTCTCGAACTGTGTACTCCATATCAGCCTATCAAGAATGACCTCGCGACGTTGACGGTTATACTGCATCGGTGTAGGCGTTTCAACCTTATCCCTTAACCAATTACATTTCTCACGATCAGAAATGTGCATGTATTCAAATCCAATACTCCCACAATAAGCTTGCTCAAGCCTCGTCAATATGGACCTAAGGGTCTGCACAGGCCGGTTCTCGGACAAAAACCCAGCCATCTTCCAAACTCCTAAGAAGAACTCTCTATCAAGATCTGCTTCTGAGAAGCCATAAAGAGCCGGGTTTAGCTCATCAGGGACCTCTCTTTCTTCGAGGGCCAATGGGTCCAGCTTGGCTTTCATGTGGCCATTAACCTGATATGCCCTAACCAGAAGCAATAGCCGCATACTCTCCTGAATAGTTTGACCTGAAATGCCTGGAGATGTAGCAGCCTGACCAACAAAGTTCCTAAAAAAGTTGTCCCATGTCTCATCCACGCTACTAGGATCAGCTTCCCATGCGCGTTGAAGCTCCTCTAAGTACACACTGCTGGTTCCATCTAAGAAACTATCAGTGAGCTTAGAGAGAGGGACAGGGCGGGGGACAGGTGCAGACTGTGCCTTTGGCCTAAAGACCGTGCCATGGAAATACCGACTTTGAGCAGGAATCAGCCGTGTTCTGGCAGTGTACGAACCACCCTGAGATAGACTCCTCCTAATAGCAAGCTTTGCTATGCTAGAACCAGCTCTAAACCACGCCATGGCTATCCACCTAATGCCACTAGTTCATGAAAGACTGCACCGCCTAGGCCCAAACCTGAATCTAAAGTTGCTTATTGTTCTCGTTGCAAGCCCTATTAAAGAGAAACAAATAAGTCAAATGAGAAATACACATCAAAGAAAGCAATGGATCACCTACGAACTACTACAAAGAGCAGCTCTTCCAAATCATAGACATCAGTATGCTACTCGAGCTTCAAAACGGGCACGAAGTGAAAACCTGAACTATCAAAAGCGAAGATTAGAAGAAGAAAATTTACGAGCTACATGGATCCTAGACGAATGCAGAATGTACGGATGGCAACTAACTCAAGTGGCAATGCCGTTGTGTATTATACTAGGGAAAAACATGATGAACCCAATTATTTCTGTACAGACGTCCTTGTTTGAAACAATAAATAAGACAAACTGATGAATTCGCCCCCGTTCCCGTTATTACACCTATTCCAGGCGAAGCCCACCACCAATCCATTCCACATTGAGAAGAAATAAATTGAACCAAGCGAAAGGGAAACACAACAGAACAAATAGACAGGCAGAGTTTTCCAGTATTCTCTGGACTATGAAAACAAATATCAAACGCTCACATCAACGCACCCAAGATGATATATTTGGAGATCAGTTATACGAAGCAGAGACACCGAAACACGGAAATCAGACATGGAAGAAAATGCAGTGTGACTCGACCGAATCAAACCACAAACAAGCGCCCAACAAGATTCAGAAATCCTCGACTTGATCCACACACCGACCAAGACGAAGATTGGCTTTCAGTCCCATGAAAGGATTCAACATGTAAGCTGAATGGAATTTGGCGTAGATTTGAAGCAACCACCGTAGAAAGGTTTAAAACTTAAAAAGAATGAACAAATGGAAACGCCAAAGGACGGAAATAAAGAGAGAGCGCAGTTTGGAAAATTGAGGGCTGAGGGCGAAATTGCTTACCGCCGAGCTAAAAATGAGAGACGACGACGGAGACAAACAAAGTGAGAAAGAAGAAGAATGAAACCTAATTATTCCGAGCGGCGACTCTGTCTTAAGCCTCCACTTCTCCCCACTTTCTCTGGAAGCTGCAACTCGAAAGAGAAATTTTGCTCTTTTTTGCTTATTAAATTTTATTCAGCGGTCGGCTTTCCTCATTTTCTATTGTGCTGTCTATTATTTTATTCGTTCGCATTTATTTATATGACTTTTTTGTAGGAAGGAAAATCCCCGTTCGAGACTTGTCGGGCCCCGGACCCGTGTAGATTGGATGCCAAGTTTCCAACCCGGCTAGCCGATCTGGCTTTGGTCGAACCGAAGTTGAAGAGTTTAGTTGCATTGCACCTCAGCGGTCCGGGTAAGTGGCTGCACCTAGCCAAAGGAGACCAAGACCTGACGAGCTCATATTCCCTCACAGATCGCAATTCGCAACTACATTGATGATGACGAAATGTCGTTACTCGTGATGATGTGGTGACTGTTTCTATGTTTATTATTCGACGGAAAAATGGAGTTCATCACTATTTGGTGTATATTGTGGATGTTTCAACCTAAATCAATCCATCAAAACCAACCCAAATATCATTCAATCGAATAGTAACTTTAATCCTTTTGGCTTAACCCAATCCGACCGAGACCCATGATTCTCAGCGTGTTAAGAACGTGAATTTCATTCAATGGTCGGACCGACAACCTTTTGCAACGCACAAATACCAACCGATATGCTCCATGCACCGTTGAACAAAGCAAGTTTCATTCAGTCCACAGAAGCTTCTTTCTCCATGCCAAAGTTCACTTTTTCCAGATTATAATCAATTGAGTTGGTCAATCAACATAAACAAGAAAGATAAAGCTGTATTGATTTGACCATTAAAAATGGAATAACAACCGGATAGATCTGCCTTCAATAGAAATCAGAAACCTTCCCTTGCCTGACAACTTGGCATCAACATTGACAACAATCACATTCACATTCTCAAGTCAAATCAAATCAAATTCAATGGCCATCATATGCTGCTTTTTGCAGACGAAGCACAAATACTATGATGTTAACTCCCCAAAATGGGATTGTCATTGGCGAGGTTAACTACAACTTCCAGATTATCTATCTACATAGAAAGACATTGAGTCAACCGAGTTCGTTCAAGCACCAAAACCAAAGGGAAATATGAAGAAAAAGGATCCATTTGTTTCTCAGGTTCCACAGATTAGGGAAATAACAGAGAACTACCGTCAAATTACTAGACCTGGTTGAAATTTTGTAAAAATAAGATAAAGGCACAGTTACCTGCACCAAGCAGGAAGGCTGTTAACTATAATTAATCTTGAGCCCCCTCAACAGATGCTGTCCCTCAACATGCCATGTGTTGGTTGGATAGACTACGCGCCACAGCAAGCTGACTTTTGCCCAGCCTGCGCACCACCAGCTGAATTGTCGGGTTGGTTGATCTTGATTGTTTGAGGCTGCCAGGATGAATGGATCAGGCAAAACGAGCATGAGATTCTCTTGAAAAGGCATTAAACTAATATTCCCAGGAAGAGGAAGTTAAATAGTGAAGAACCAATGCAAATAGGAAGTACCTCAGACTTGGTATCAGATTCTGCAAGCCTTTGCTTGATATCCCTTCCAATGGAAAAGAAAACTTCCTCCACATTCATGTTTGTCTTTGCACTCTGCAAACATCCAGTTTATGAATGGAGCACCAAATTACTCACCCCCTTTCACTTTGGGACAAGGATGTCATAGGAACAGTCACTTACCGTTTCAAAGAACTTGATGCCATACTCGTCAGCAAGAGCCTGGCCTTTGGAAGTAGGAACAGCCTATAATATCAAAGAAAATCATCCTACATAAGTATCCACAAGCATAAGCAAATACACACAAAGACCAACTCAATACACAGGAGGGGCAGTATCAAGCACCCACCCGTTTGCTTTCATCCATATCTGCCTTGTTTCCCACCAGTATTTTGTTGACATTGTCAGAAGCATGCTGTTCGATATTGCGGATCCAGTTCCTAATATCTGAACATCAAAATAAAGAGTGGTTGTGAGAGCTTAAGTAATAAGATAAATCAAGAACATGAAGACTAATGATATATCCATCCAACTCTATGAATCAAGCAAAGATTTGGACATCACTTATCACCCTGCCAATTCCAGAAGCTGTTAACACCATTAGACATACAAATTATTGAACAACACTAAAATGGCCGAAAGGCCTAAGAGGGAAGGAACTTACTGTTAAAAGATGATTCATCAGTGACATCATACACCAGTAAAATTCCCATGGCTCCACGGTAATAAGCTACAACACATCAATAAGTGCATAAGCATGCTAGCAAGACATGGAAACAACAAAAATGCTAGATACAAAATGACCCCTCAACCCCCACCCATTTGACTAGCTGAAGTTACTGTAGATTCCGAAGTTCACATCTGATATATGTAAAGATAAGGAACATAGTTGCCTCCATCAAGTAGAAGAGAAAATTAAACTGTTATAGCCTTATAGGGCTTAAACACAAACCTGTTGTGATGGTTCGAAACCGCTCTTGACCTGCTGTATCCCAAATCTGCAACTTTATTCTTTTGCCATCAAGTTCAATGGTTCTTATCTTGAAGTCAATTCTGTTGAGAGTAGGAATAGAATAAAATGATGCTTCCACCTTTTTTTATTTTTACCATCCACAAAATAAATTTGCTACCTATTTATTTCCCAAAAAGAGATGCATTTAGAACTTGAAGCTAGCAGAGAACTCAAGATTACAAACCCGATAGTGGTAATAAAACTTGTTGTGAAGGAACCATCTGAAAAACGCAAAAGCAGACAACTCTTCCCCACACCTGCAAGGATATGACCAACATCAGAAATTCATGTATCAGCAAGCACTTTAAAATCAAATACTAACATGACGTCGTCGTTAATGTATAATGCCATTTGTAAGCGCATATACCCTCTAGTCCTACAAGCATTTTTGTACCTACTTTTAAAGCACTTGAGAATCAATGATAATCGTAGAATGGTGAAGAATACTTTACAAGACTAACACAGAGATGTAGGTTAAATCACCGTGGAACTCCATATTACCAGTTTAACACAATATCAGGTCACTAATAACCCTCCCAAAAAGCCAGTCTAATAGTAATAACCCTCCCAAAAGCAACTGCATGGTCAACTCAAAAAAATCCCTGTGACTATAAAATGCCTTTGACCCCATATTTAAGATTCAATGGCAAATTACTATAGTAAGCAACAGAAATGGCACAATGTACACCAATTCACAAGAAAATTGAGTAGTTATGTGCTTTTCCTATCCACTAACTAGTCTTGAAACCTGTCACCGTTATTGAAGTTGAAAAAAAGAACACATTCATTATACACTTATTTTCCTTTTGAACTCCGAATGCTACTGCACCCTATCCTTCCTCAACTGTACCGTGTTCAAATTCAAACAGATCATAATTAAAGCCCTCCCCTTCCTTCCAACATTATTGCTAAAACTGGAAACTCCATATACCATCAGGCCAAAAGGCTAATACAACTGAAATTTCCCTCGAACCTCTAGAACCAGCTTCCCGCACAGACCTGGCAAACGACTTGGACTTCACAGCGCAAAAATCACACTTTCAACTCAAGGAGCACTCAAAGACATAGTAGCAGTGTAGCACCATCCTAAAGCACACTCCATCCAAAATAACCCATCATAAACACAACCCTTTCAATTTATTGAGGCAAACGCAAGCTCAAGATACTGCTGAAACCAAATTCTGCCCTGCTTAATGTTGAATGCCATGAACATCAATGGAAACTCTAACTAGATTCCCCAAATGAAAACCTTCGGCAACAAGCTCTAAACACTCTAGCTAAGCAAGCGGTCACTAAAGTAGGGGAGTAGTACTAGTATATATATCTCCATTTCCCAAAATGTAGCACTAAAGTTCATTAAAACCCAAAAATGATCAAAACCCTCATATTGAAAACCAAATGAACGAAAAGGATAAATTAATCATCATCAATCAAAAGCAAGAGACTTCGAGTTAAAGGAAAGAGGGAGAGGCTAGAACCAACCACTATCCCCAATCAAGAGGAGCTTAATTAAGTAATCATAATCAGCACGAGCCCTTGCTGGTGGCGCCGCCATCGCCCTTTCTCCTCACACCTACAAATTCGCCCCCAAGAATCAAACACAAAGCGCGGGCAAAAGAGGGAGGAGTCAGAAATCCTTTCTCAAAGTCAGCACAGAATCGAAGTTGAGATGGCGGTGAAAAAGGGAATATAGAGAGATAGATACATAGACAGCGAGAACCAGAGAGGCAACCTTTTTCCAGGCGAGCGAGCGAGCGAGGGAAAGAGAGACTGACTGATGGCAATGCGATGGCCTATGGAGCTTTGGGAAATCTTCTGCCAGTGTTACGCCGTGTTGTGTACGCGGATCTTTTCTATTGTGGACATCGTACGGACACCAGTTGGAAGTTCGTGCTCCGCTGGCGTGACCTTGCCGCTGCAGCTTAATAGTTCTCTGAAAATTTACCAAAATGGTCACGTAAGTTTGGCTTATAAAGGTTAATAGCCATAAATTTTTAAGGGTTAATATTTTGTATGGCGTGGACTTTGATCAAAATAAATATTCTGGCCAATCTTTTTGATCTATAACATCCTGGCCCAAACTATACACCAAAATAAACAATTTGGCCAGATCCGACTTTTGACCGTTAACTTGAACGGTCAAACGCATTGATCGTTAGTCAACGCGCCATGTCACTGCCAAGTCAGCATTAAATATTTAAAATAATTCACAATTTCCACACATTCCCTAATTTTAAATTATTATAAATTAAAAATAAATCATCTAATACCTTAGTTAAACCAAAAATAAAAAATGAAAAAAATTAAATATTGATCAGATCTTCTCACTTGGCAGTGACGTGGCGCGTTGACCGTTAGTCAACGCGTTTGACCGTCCAAGTTAACGGTCAAACATCGGGTTTGGCCAAATTGTTTATTTTTGTGTATAGTTCGGGCCAGGATGTTATAGATCGAAAAGATTGGCCAGGATATTTATTTTGGTCAAAGTTCAGGCCATACAAAAATATTAACCCAATTTTTAAAATGTACCGAACTAGACAAGTATTATTATGAAATAGTGCAAATGACTAAAGTTTGCTTGCTCGACTCAGCCAAAAAACTAACAAGAAACATCTGATGACCTAACCGGCTCCTTTGTTTGACCTCTTCAACCAACCCACTGACCAAACTGGTCCAACCCATCCCTCCTAACTACTCCTTCCCCCCACCTTCCCACATATTGATCTCTGTTTTGTGAAAGCAGAGCAATAAAAATATGGAATTTGATCTCGAATCGCAATGCCAACAATTTTTCCCAAAGGGATTTGCGATGGGTGGAAGTCGATCAAGAAACTAAAGTAATTGAAGAGACATGACAACAAACTAAAATGTATAAACCACGTTAAAAACAAAACGGTAATCACTTCATCAATATAATTACTTCGTCTGCACGCAACAACAACATAGTTGTCCCCAAATAATCACATAAGAAACATCAAAATGGAGCGTCACTACATACGTGTAGTGAAGAAAGAAACTTCCCTCTTCTGACAATGTTTTCTCAATCATTCCAAGCGGGAAGGAAACAAATTGCCAGATACTTTGATACCAATGGATAATTGTCTATTCTCCAGCTCCCTCTAAGGTGGCCCAGATTTTGGAGGCTTGTGAAGAATAGCATGGCCATTTCCCAGGGAATCAACCAATACAAATGATTTTTAGGTATCTCTAAATTTTACCACCAACATCATGAAAAATGAATTTTATATCATTATTCAAATATATCTATATAATTAACACTCCACCTCACATTTCATCAACTGTCAGTTCTATACGAAGTATTATTGTCCAAAATCGACATTTTTTCGATAACTTATAACAAAATCCGCATTAGAATCACGATCAAGAAAAACCATGCAAACAACTATGAATAGACTGAGCGGGAATTAGTAGGCAGAGTGGCACACACCATCGTCACCTACTAACAAGGAATATGTGAAAGTATATTCCACAAATTCCATAGCCAGCAAGGAAACACAAAAAAAAAGCATCAAAAGCAAACAGAGACCCCAACAGAAGAAAAAGGTGACATGCACAAAAGAAGAGCATATGCTGAGAAGATCCTCTTTCCATCAACCTCCTTAATCTTAGTTTACCCCCCACAAGTCATTTTCCTTTTGGAGCTTACAAAAAGGCCACAAACCCAACCTCTCATCTTCCCTTCCTCCCTCACCCTTCAAGGCCCTGGAGGGTCTCTCTTCCATGATTCCAGGTTCTGGGTTTTGCTCCTTTTTCTCATGATCTTGTTATGACGAGTCCAACCCAGTAACCCTATCCCATTCCCATCCCTCTTTCGAGTACCGAAGAATGTGAGCTGCAGAGCTTCAGCTGAGACTACAGGAGAGTGAAAGGAGGAATGGCGGAAGAGAAGCTGATTTGTGGTGTGGAGACACACCATAAGTTAGGGCAACTATGTTCCTTTGGCAAAAAGTAATATGTTAAGTTGTATCAACTGTTGTGTGTTGCTGGTTTTTGTTCAGTCGCTGGCCTGGATAGGTCATCAGGACAAGTCTTGATGGTGGTTTTTTGGAGGTTTCTAAGTTTGTATCGTTGCTATTGTTAATCTCAGTTTTAATTTGGATGTGTGTAGTGAATCAATGTCACAGTCAGGTTTCTCTGCTTCCAAACCAAAGGGGTAGAGCAGGACCTTACGGTTTTGCCTGGTTCCCCTTACTATTACTAGGATAGAGGTTTATTGGGCCGACAGAGTATTCCTCTTGTTTTGAGCTATAATATTGCGAATCAGTATAAAAAAGAAACTAAATTGAGCAGCATTTTTTTTTTGTTTTAATTGAAGAGACCAAGAGGGTTTTCAGCTGTTGGATTGGTTGAACAGACAGTGTGTTCGTGTTGGAATGTCATTACGCCACCTACTCAGTTCTGTTAGTAACTTGACAATCAAGGGTCGTTGTCCTGCAAGTAGTGTTATGAATATGATTAATGTTGGTTTGGTCTGTTACTGGGTCGCCAAGCTGGTTGAATCTTAATCGAACTGGTCAAATCTATTTTTTTTTTTCCCATAGACAAACGAAAATCGTTCAGTCATATAGTTAGAGTACAGAGAGCAACCACACGCGGAAGTCGACAAGTAGTCGAACTTCCGATGAAAGGGCTTGTTTTGCCACAAGATGGGCGGCCCTGTTAAACCTGCGATTAGAATAGGAACAAGAACAAAACTCAAAACTCTCTGCAAACTGTTGAACATCTTCAAGGATAGCTCCTCCCAACACATGCCGCGGTTCACGCTGGTCAAATCTAATTAGATCTGGGCGAAATTTGCAACTATTTGTACAGAGATATTTCTTATTCATAAATGTTGGATCAAATTGACATAACTAGGTGTTCTCGGGAATGGAATAAACACAATTCCGATTAATATGCTAATGGGTGGCAACCATCATAAACCAATGCACTAATCGTAAAGCCCTTCCCTTTTGATCGAAGGCATAGCTCAATGAAGATCATCACTCATCAGGAGGTAAGTGCAGCACAAAACTGAAACTTCAACTCATATACATTTAGTAACAGAGCATAAACATCAAGTGTGAAGCACAAACATTCTTTATCCTTCCAACTTAATGGAGGAGCATGGAGATGGTTCCCTCCCACTCCAACCACAAACCAAGAACTTGGAAAAAATCCTAAAACATAATTATAAGGATCCTACAATCAAATTCACCTTCAAAAATTACAGGCCAAAACTCCTCGAAACCAGAACAAGTCAACTCAACTCCTCACATGTATAAATCTGAAGCAAGCAAGCAAGCTAAGCTTAGTAGAAGAAACCAAGAACTTTGCCACCAACGTTCTTCCTTCTTGCCTCTTCATGGTCCATAATGCCAGCAGAAGTTGTCAGCACAATGAATCCAAACTGCCAAAACCAAAACCAGCAGGCACATGAATTCTATCCTGAAAGGACAATATGAGACAAATCTAATATAATTTTGAACTCACACTTGCTATCTCATACCCAACCAGCAAGAAAATCATGCACACCGGATTGATCATAACATAAACTGAAAGAAGAAACTGTATTGGACCAACCTGTCTAGAAGGAAGCAACCTAGCAGTCCAGCCTTCAATCTCCTTTACTCCAACATCAAATCTTGGACTGATGACACCACATTTGTTCAGCCTTCCGTTCAACTCGACAACAATTTTACCTGCCCTGTGATCATCAACGTATTCAAATTCGCCAATATATCCTGCAAGGATGCATCAAAACAAAGAAAGGTATTCATTGATTCAGCAACTATACTGGTATCACAAACATCCAATTTTAAAGGGAAAAGGTAGACAACGCAGTTCATTTCCTACCATGCTTTTGCATGACAATAAGAAACTTGATGATCACTTTCGAGGATGGCCTGATCATGACCTGGCGCTTCCCCCGCTTCTCCGCATTGTACATGCTCTTCAGAGCATCATTCAACACGCTAACTCTCACCATTGTTGCTGCCACAGACAATTTCGAGGAGGGTAAAGGGTTAGGTCAACAAATACAAAAGTCACCAGTAATGCTAAAACTAACTAGATTGCAGGCAGTGGAGCATCATTTTAAGATGAAAAAATCAATCAGTTACACCTCAATCAGCATCCCATAGTCCCATTACATCAGCACAGAAACTCATTGGAAAACCACAAAGCTAGGAATTTTTCTAATCAAGGAATCAAGCAGGCATCAGTCAGTAACGTAAGAAGATCTCAGGTGACCCTTGCTCTAATCTAAGTACAACCAGCTACTCACATCAAGAACAAGCAAAAACCAATCAGTTCACTAAAACCCACTTGAGGCTCTCATCATTTCCATTACCAGAAAACAAAGGGGGCTAGCTAGCTTAGCAATAAAATGAATCGAACCTCACGGAGTGTAAGACTAGAACAAATATGCTAGAAAAGGAAGTTCCAGCTGAAAGGCAAGGCAAACAGAAGCAAATCTACACAAAAACCAGCAGCGAAATCACAAAGGATGGAGCCGAATAAATCGGAGCTCGCAGACAAAGAAGAGAATCTTGGTTTCCGTTTACACGTACCGCAATAGATAACACAGAGATCCGGCGGCACCAGGCAGCGACGGGGAGTTCCTAGGGTTTTGCGAGACTCTGTCTGTGCCGACTGCTGCGAGGGAAAACCTCGAATTACATATAAAAAGGTTAAAAAGGGAAATTGTTGATTTTAATTTTCATTTGGGCCGAGACAAATATATTGGGCTTTATTCAACGAAAAAAAAATGTATTGGGCTTTCGGAAGAAAGAGTTTGGAAACTGAACACAGAACAGCCAAATCATCAGACGGACGCCGAAGTGAAGTTTGCGAGTCGCCGATCCATCCCTCCCTCATTCCCTCCAGTTCAGCTAGCCTTTTTATGCTTCAAAGTAGGCTGTCTCTCTGCTTCTTCCGCAATTCCGGCAACCCTGCAAAAGGCTACGCTCTACAGCATCCTCTCCAGCTGAGGAAGAGCATCGGGAAGGCGGGATTAGGAGCCGCCAGGTTGGCGACTAGCCGGAGGGCAGAGACAAAGTTTCTTCGCCCCGTTTGGCGAGACGCGGCTGAGCGGCGGAATCCCCGAATTGTCTCCTGGATTGCAAGCGCTTAGGGAGTTGGACAGGTCAGATTTATAGTATTTACTGGTTTATTGATGAGAAATCTAGGAGATAAGTCAAACTAGGTTGTACTGGTTGAAACTCTATGACAGAAGATTGTGAGATTAGGGATTTAGGGTTTGTATTTGTCTGCCTTCGGATGCGCCATTGTCATCAGATAAGAAGTTTCGTGATAGCAATGTTTTCTTATTTATAAATTGGTTTTGTGGATGTCTGCAGATTAACTGGTGCAGTAGCACAACTAAACCTGAGTAAAAGCAGTTAAGAGTCATGGCCAAGCATCATCCAGATTTGATCATGTGCAGGAAGCAACCCGGCATTGCCATTGGACGGCTCTGTGAGAAATGCGATGGGAAATGTGTGATCTGCGACTCCTATGTGCGCCCTTGCACGCTGGTGCGAGTTTGCGACGAGTGCAACTATGGGTCGTTCCAGGGCCGCTGTGTTATCTGTGGAGGAGTAGGCATATCTGATGCGTACTACTGCAAAGAGTGCACGCAGCAGGAGAAAGACCGTGATGGCTGCCCCAAGATCGTGAATCTGGGCAGTGCGAAAACCGATTTGTTCTATGAACGTAAGAAATATGGTTTCAAGAAAAGATGATGAGCATCAGGATAGATATAGCGTATGAATTTTGGTCTGTTGTTTACAATGCAAGGAAGTTTATACACTAGCAGCTAGCATCTGCTGTTTAGTGTAGTCCTAGAGTAGATGCCCCTCCTTTCTGTCCTTCTGTCTTTAGTCTTTACGAATTCGTGATGAAATCTTGAGGCGGGTCTGCCATTTGTGTTGCTGTTTCTTTTCTCCCCAAGAACTAGATGTGTTTTGAAGCAGATGTTCATTGAATCGCATAAGCTAAAGCATAGAACGGATTTGACCGTAGTTTCCACTTGGGTCACTCATTGGGCTTTGGGCCCAGATAAATCTATTGGGCTTTAGAAGAAAAGAGTTTCGAAAATGTAAAGAAAAAACAGTCAAATTCAGCCGACGCAACGCAAGTCGCGACTGGCCTCCTTTCTGCTTCGACGAAGGCTCTGCCTCTGCTTCCTTTCCAAAGCCGGCGACCTGCAAAAGGCTCCAGCGCCTTCTTCTCCCGACGAAGACACCGGCAAGGCGGCATCGAGGAGCGGCCAGGTTGGAGGCAAGGCGGAGCCCCGACGCGAACCAATTCTTTTTCCGTTCGGGGAGACGCGCCTGAGCTGAGCGCGGAATCCTCAGATTTTCTATCGAATTGCCGGTGCTTAGGGAGTTTGAAAGGTAATATTTTGTGATGTTGACTTGTTTATTGATGAAAAACCATGGAGATCGTTCGACTAGGGTTGTATTGGTTGAAATTTTATGACAGAGGATTATGAGATTAGGGTTTATTTCAAATTACGGCTTGTGTTGGCTAGCATCTTTGATTTGTATCTTTTTTGCGCTAAATAGAAGTGGGTTGAGCGAAAATTTCTCCTTCTAGGTACCAGGATTGATCCTTTGCCTGAATAACTCCGTGTCTTCCTTGTGAGGTTGTAATTGGCATTCTTTCATGGTATTGAACTTTAGGTTTTTCTTTTTAGGTTTTCTGCCCGTGATCAAGATTTAAGTGCTTCTTGATAAAGTCAATGTGTTATGGAGGCTACGTGGTTGAGTTTGATGTACCTCTCATTCCCTTGCTTAAGCAACAAAACTGTGGAGCACTTATGCGTTGTGGGTTTCTGCTCTCGTGTTTGAAGTCACAATCCTATGATGATTGACTTTCATGTAATTGTTACCCAGCAGTTGCATAATTTATGCCAGTAGAGAATTAGAATCCTATCCAAATTCCCCAACTAGTCTTTGGCTCATATATGTTGGGTTGATATAGTTAAATGAAGAGCCAGTTGAGGTATTTGCTTCGTTTTTGGAACCCAGAGACACTAAATATTGTTTTCTTGTTGTTGCCGTCACAGGTAATTTCAGGAGAAAGCACTTCCGAGAGTCATGAAGCTTTCATTCTCAATCTCTGCAAAATCTTCTTCCAAACCTACAACTAAACCGATACTTGCTTCAAAAGACGAAGAAAGTGAACAGAGACAGAAAGAGTATGTGACAGAGTTCGATCCCTCGAAGTCTAATGCTACACTAAATAAACCTAAATTCATTATTCCTCCAAAGGAGAATGAATGGCGGCCTCACAAGAGAATGAAGAACATCCACAGCCTTGCTTCTCTTCAATCTGATACCTCAGCTAATGACGTCCGCTTTGAGGTTGCTGTTGATGGCGTGGATGATGGCAGTGGTGGCAATGTATCCTATGGGCTTAATGTTCGACAGAATGAAAATGGAGATTCTTCTACTAAAGATGGTATTGGTGGTTTCTCATCTGAAAATTCCAGCACCGAGAATATGCTTTTGGAGAAGTTGAAGTATGATTTACAACATCTTCCTGATGACGAAGGGTTCAAGGAGTTTGAGGATGTTCCGGTAGAGGGTTTTGGTGCAGCCTTACTGGCTGGTTATGGATGGACAGAAGGAAGGGGTATTGGGAAGAATGCCAAGGTAGATGTTGAAGTCAAGCAATATTTCAAGAGAACAGATAAGCAAGGACTAGGGTTTTTGTCCCATGAATCTGAAATGAGTAGTGACAAGAACAAGCAGAAGGAGAAAGGTAGAGAAATAGAGAAAGAAAAGGACAGAGATGGCAAGGCTGATGGGTTTGCTGTAGGTAAAGTTGTGAGGGTGGTTGCTGGTTCAAGGGGGGATGCTGTAGGTTCCAAGGGTACTGTTGTTGAGATACTAGGTACTGAGTGGCTAGTTCTGAAGCTTGCAAAAACCGGGGAGGAATTAAGGGTACATGCTTCGGATGTTGCAGCCTTAGGATCGGGGGAAGAAGAGAAGTGCTTGAAGAAACTGAAAGAGTTAAGAATTAGAAGTGAAAAGCAGTCATCAAACGGCGGGAAGAGTGGAAACCGCAGGAGCGGGGCAAGTGAAAGGACAAGAGACTATGATAGAATAAAACCTGACAAAGAAAGGGGGACCCCATGGCTAAACAATCACATTAGGGTGAGGATCATAAGTAAGGACATGAAAGGCGGTAGATTGTACTTGAAGAAAGGGGAAGTGGTGGATGTGGTAGGACCATATATCTGCGACATCGCCATGGATGGAAGCAGAGAGCTGGTACAGGGCGTTGATCAGGATCTTCTTGAGACTGCATTGCCAAGGAGTGGGGGTCCTGTCCTTGTTCTGTATGGAAAACATAAGGGAGTGTATGGGAAGTTGGTGAAAAGGGATTTAGAAAAGGAATCCGGGGTTGTGCAAGATTCAGATACCCATGAGTTCCTCAAAGTTAAACTTGAGCAAATAGCAGAGTATATTGGTGATCCAAGTGAAATTGGGTATTAAATAATTCCTTGGAGCTAGCTGCTGGAGTTAGCTGGCTGCTCAGTCTTTCAGCAGGTAATTTGATGCATGTGTTATGATGACGCATCATCCATGTTTGTTTTCTAGGGAGTTCTTTGTGGAACCTGTGGCTGTTTTGTGCAAAATATGTGCCTTGATTGTATCCTCTTCTCTCTCCTTCTTCATTCCCTATGTCATAATGTTGATGTTACTCGTTTTACTCGTGTGCAACGTAAAATTGATCAGTTGCTGATTTACCAACAGTGTTGTGAAATCTGAATGGCATTTGGTGCCATTGAAAACAACTTTTACTCTGTACCCTTCTGAGCATCTTCTTTTCTTTAATGAATTCATTCTGCACTACACCTTCATACGAAGAAGGTTAAATAAGTTGATTCTGCTCTTATTAGTATTTGGTTTCATGGTGAGGTGGTTCCTTCCGTATTTGTGATATTCCTTTCTTTCCACTTAATGGCAGAGGTGATGTTCAAGAATTTGCTATTGTGAAGCTGACACCGGACTCGGGGTTTCTTCATGGCGTATACAGAACCGAAACCCCCTTATGGTGGTATTACCGATGGACCGAACAAGCTACAATTTGCTAGCCTTTACTGCACAGCCATGGTGGGATTCAGTCGTTGGTGCATGCGTATGCCACCGACTTTACGTGCACAGCATAACTATTGATGAACTGCTAGCGGCATAGCACTAACAGAAGGCAATGCCAACTGAATCGTACTGCAGATTAAAGACTAGGCCCCGTCCGCTGAACACAACAATCGGCTTTCTTCTTATTCTGCACTCTCTCTTGGATTTGAATAAGTTGGATGAATGCCTTGCCCGCTGCTGAATGTGCAAAAAAACTGCAGGCAAGTGTACCTATTGCTCTACGCAATACAGTGCCAAGTTTGTATCTTACGAGCCCTGTACTAAGCTATCTAATAGTTATGTATGTAGCCTATCAAAGAAAGCAAATCAAAGATTACTCAATAAATAATTAATGCGAAATAAAGGCAAGTGTTAACTATTTGTGCGTCTTTACCTATTAATCCACTCAGTTTATTGGTTATCAAACAGAACGATTGAAACATTAAACTAAAAATTAATTGATGGGAAAAGAAGTTCCCTTCACTCTGTGGCTTTGTGGAATCCGATCTTTCCAAAACAATTCGAATACTAACACATGGGCACCACTAACGACGGTCCTGCTGCTGGCTATGTTATCGGTCCGGTGCAAGACGGGCTCGATGTCGAGTCGTTGTCCTTAAACATGTGATCTTAGACGGTGTTCTAAATCGTGTTTTGCTTTTTACTCAATTTCGAAATAACTACCTGGTCGAAATTTGAAAAAGTTGGTGAACACGGCCAGATTATGCCTAGCTCAAATAGTATTGAGTCTTTCGTTTTCAGCCTTTCTAGACTTTTTATCCAAGTAATCTCACTCGATCTCTTTGACGAACGAGCCTGGAGACATGGAAATTTTGAATTTGATCTTCTTTTCATATAATATAAATCTTTATTGTTAATAGGGAAACATTAAAATAAAAAAAACACCAAATTAAGACGAAATACCTAACACAAAACTAGCAAAACCGACGAACCTCATGCCAAATGAAGTTAAGAAAAGGTTGGTTCTGTCTTGGAGCGTTGACTTTCCCCTCCTACTGCCGGACCATTGATGGGATGTAAATCATAATTCATCCGAATTTGATCATCGTCATTTGAATATTTATATATATTGCCTCTGTTTGTTTTACTTGTTCTACGTACCTATCCAGAAGGAAAGAGAGAAAGAACAAGCAGATAGAAACAGTGGCAGCAGTTAATATTTTATGAAAATAGGGCCTGCAACTGCAATTAATGCAAATAATTGACTCACTGACTGGTCGACTACTATATAAGTTAATTAATTAAATCCTAATATAATCATAACATGTCTATATATTACTGATTAGGGAAGAGATTAGGGTTTGACCGGGCGATACGTAAACTCGATCTGCATGCAGACAGATATGGCTGTCGGATCCTTCCATCCCCATGGCTACATAAAAACTGCCTGCACATAAATCAAATATGAAAGAAATCCCGTCATTTTGAAAAGGAAAAGAGGCTTGAGGCCGGGGGACAAAGCTGGAATCATCGACAAAAACAATATCTTTTTTTTTTTTTTTGTAAATCTGGACTCCAAGATTCCAAACAAATCTTAATTACAACCTTAATTGTTTTGTTTATTACTGTACAGCTCATATATTATTGTTATGATAGTTTATTAGGGTTTGATTCTGTTTACTTAACAGGTGCATCCAAATTAGGCATATGCACATCGACGTTCCCCTAACACATACCCAACAACAATGGCATATATTGCCGCTTTTGCTACCTTCCTTGTCCTCCATCGCTAATTAATTACCTACAGACGCCTGGAAATAGTTAATACTATAGGGGAAATACTCTGTTATAATCGACATTTTTAGGGCCTTTCACAAAATTAATAATGTTATCTCCTCAAATATTTTTGGAGCTCCGACGAGGGTTTTTTAAGTTTATTGTAATTGTGGAGTTTGAGATGTATTTGATGTTGTGAAAAAATAAGTTGTGGAAGCAATTTTTAAATAAAAATGAAGCAATTCTTAAAGAAGTTGACGATAAATAGGTTTTCACTACATTTATCATTAAAAAAAAAAATTCATCGTACCCAACCAATAATTCCTAATATATGTCACGCGCGAGAAATTAACCTTAATACATCCAACCCGAATCACCATTAATTGAAATAGAAATAGAAATTGAGATTCTAGATTAACTGTGTAGAGTCCATTTGTCATCCTTTTCTGGCCTTCGAGCTAGCTCGAAACAAGACACTACCTAATTAATCAAATTGAATTCACAAATTAAATTTCTATTTCTGTCCACATAGCTTAATCCTAATACACTTTTCGAATTTAGTATGTTAATTAGGTAGTATAAACAAAGAGTCGAGACAAACATAACCCTCTGCGGCTTCACTTTCAAAAGGTTGGTGCTGGGAGTGTTGTTTGTAACGCTAACTAATGAAACTATATGCGTAATACGTATAAAATTATAAATGGATATGAGGGAAGAGAAGTATCTAACTACGGTGATATAGAAAAGAACTAAAAATGTTATGGAAATTGTATAAAGTTAATTTCGTATATATTTCTTATGAATAAATTTTTTATTATTATTAGTTGTTGGTCTCAAGATTCGAACACAATTGATGTGGTGAATGTTCTATATTTGTCACATTACCACTAGGTCAATTGTGTCATGAATGAGTTGATATGTTGAACTGAATTAGTTTTAGACATGATATTATTGGTCCTTGATAATCCATTGACATGTTATATTTTGGGATCTTGGTGGTTCATAAGTGTTAATGGTTGATTTTAGATATATGCTATGATATGCTTGTGTTATTAGAATATTTTTTTTTAATTTCTTACCACATATATATTAACATGTATCATATATATTTTTATATTATTTACTATTATAGTTGTATGAACAGTTAAAATGGTCGTCTCAATCTTAGGTAACATAGATCAAATTGTGATAAGCAACAATTTAGATTTTTAAATTTCGGTCTTGTTTACATTCCAATAATTATGTTATCTTTCATAATGCACCTTCATCGGTTCATCCAATTACCATCATAAATGAAAGTGTTCGGAATAATCTACATTTCAGGATTTGACTCAAGATGTACGTGATGCATGTTCTCATTGCTACGTAAACACCGATAAATTATGTGAGGTTAATTCTAACAAATTTACCATAGGTGAATGTTCTTTCTTATTCTTCTATTTATTAAAATATTTTTAAACGTATAAAAAGTAAAATGTTGTCTTACTCGAGCAATCCACAACAACAAGTGAAGGATGTAGCTATAGAGTACACGTAGCATATAGTGTATGTAAGGGGTAAAGATGATGTCGAGCAAAAGAAGAGGTCAATTATTAACACGTAGTTAATTAATTAATTAATTAATTAATTATTAACGATGTTTATCAAACCAGAAGGTATTTAACAAATGAATGATGGCGCAAAACAGAAACTGTGGGTAATTAAATAAGTATTAGTCGGAGCTGGACTAGGATTAATTTATGTGTGCGGCATGCAGGGACAAGGAGCAAAAAAACGATGGAGTGCAAGACAAATGAATTTCATCATCATCGTCATCGTGTAAATTAAAATTATTAATTGTTGTTTAGGAATGTATTATGTGAACTTTTGAAGTTGATTTAGAAGAGAAGAGCATTCTATCTTTTCTATGGTATTTAATGTTTCTTAGCGTTTAAACATCAAATTTTGATTTTGGAGATGAGGATGTGTTTGAAATCTCTACTGGCATGGAAATAAATAGTATATTGATTTGAAGATTTAGAATGAGAACGGAGATAGAACAATCCATCATTATTGTCCAAAAATTTGAAAAGTTTTATATACGTGACTTCTTTCAGCAATTTAATGACAACCAATAATAAATAAGATAAAATAGTAATTTTTAATAATCGATCTTTACCGATTTGAAAGTTTCACTCATACAGGTGGTAAAAATTAGGTTCATTGTGATCATCCTACTCGTCCCGACGGCCGACACCATTCAAGTTGAGTAAACCATCAATTACAAACTATCCAGCCCATATAATTCGAACTAACGCGATTAACCGACAACCTACTAGAGTTGGGCCGGTTGATTTGGTCTTTGGAAGATCTATAGTACTACGATGAATGACTATGGTTTAACCTACCAACCCCAAAGTGCCGCTTAATCATTCAAGGAAAGGAATGGTAAAACCGAGTTAAGAGTGAAACGTCAGTAGCTGGAGCTTTCGACCAATGAACATCCATAGTCAAACTGATATGAAAGAGAGATCACATTAACTAATCTGAAATACACATAACCAAGACACTACTTAAGACCTTATGTTAGCCGCCCGTTGTCTCTTTCTTGATCCCAGTGAAGGATAAAAACAGCAGAAACAGTAACCACAATTTTACATTATACAAAGGAAAGTTGTCTGTTTAATTAAATAGTGAGGCCGACTTAAATTGTGACTCTATATCTACTCCTTCCTTCCCACCACACCTTGTCAAAAGGAAGAAGAACCTTAAAAACTTCACTCAGAGAAAACAACATTGTATTGATTCTCCCGCTCTGTTCCTTAATGGGTTCACTGTCACCTCTGCCAACAATGAGGGATTCTGTCGTTCCACTTTCAGCATCATCATCACAGCTTTACAACTTTGGTAAAAACAACTTCATCCACAGATGTCTCAAGGGTCGATCCCATGAACAAATTCTTATGTTTCATTGTGTGTTCTGGTGATGTTTCAGGTAACAGTAGTAGTACTATTGGCGAAGTTCAGGTGATGCCAAGTTTGGACATCTCAAGTTTCTGCTGGGACTCCTCAGCTTTCACAAACTACCAACTAGAGCCACCAGCAGGGTTCCACATTACTCCTCATCAACCAGAATCCTTCAATGTCGCGAGCTATGATCCCTCGTTCGAACCAGCAGATTGGTATGGATACTCACCGTTCTCTGCCTGTGACAGCACTTCTTCAAGTGACTCAATCATGATGAGCAGCAATGTCACTTCTGCTGCTGCTACTGCTGCTGCAATGGTCGAAAATGTGAGGCCTCAGGAAAATGTGATTGTTTTGATTGATTGATCCATCCATGAAAATTCGGTAGAGTCATTGTTTTCAACCCCATGAATTCTGACACATTCTATAAATCTTTAATCAGGGGATGTATAGCAAACATGGTAGGAAACGTGCAATTGAAGTTAGCAGCAGAGCAACCAAGGGCACTACTACTGCTGCTGGGAAGAGGAAGAAGTCCAGTAGTGCTACTAATTCTGCAGGGTCGCGGCATGAACAACAACAAATGAATGATCAGTCCATCACAACCATCCAAGAATTCAAGGTATACATCTATGTTCTGTCACAAAAGTGTCATTCTTGTTACAAAGCTGCAACCTTTCACTGTCAAAACTTGTGGATAATGCATAGTGAAGTAGAAATGCTACTGGTTATGTGGGCATACAGATGGGGAAATTTTAAGCAGTAATGAGTAATTGACAGCGGTTTTTAACCAGCCAATTTGGTGATCGAGCAGCTGCAGGTTCCAGCAAGGAGGAGCCAGAAGCTAAGTGACAAAATCACTGCCCTCCAGAAGTTGGTGTCTCCATACGGCAAGGTCTGCAGCCTGCAACCACCCCATTTGATCAGCTTCATTTTATGGCTATACTTTCTTTTGAATTTCATGTTCTTCTTATTAAAGGCATTTGTCTGGTTCGTGGATTCCCATTTTGCAGACAGATACAGCTTCTGTTCTCCAAGAAGCGTCCCTCTACATCAAGCTCCTCCAGAAACAGATCCAAGTATATAATGATCACCCAACTAGTTAAATAGAAGTGTTGAATATTGTAGCTGAGTTTTAAGATTTATATCTTATATCAATAGTTGGATTTAACTTGATTTTGCTAACAACATTCTTTTTACCCAAATTCTCCTTTCTAGATGTTGAGTAAGGGAGCCTCCTCGTCGAGTTCTTTAGAGGATTTCGACAACAAGACATGGACGACAACCATTGTAAGTGACGCGAAAACTAAAAATTGAAACTAGCTTAACTTATTGTATGTATGGGTGATTGTAAACAACTAGTTGAACCTTATTGTGCCCTAGGAATAAAACTGATTTCTTGGAGTGATTTTAATATTTTGCAATGCAGGGTGGAAGTGATGGAGAATTATCGGACTTGAGAAATAGAGGGCTTTGCTTGGTTCCTTTGTCGATGATGACAAGGAAATTTGCAGACCAGTAACCTTGTTATGGATCCAAGCCCTTACCAAGAGGATCAAGCTGAACTCTGATTGGGCCTTGTTTTGGACAAATTGGGCTTTTATGGCTCACCATGGCTAACTCTCTAAAGTCTAAAATTAGGGGTTTTTTTATTTTTGTCTTTTTATTTGTGGGCAATTTGAAGTAGAGAGGAGAGAGCAATTACTAGATTATTATTGGAATAACTTAAAACAAGAAGCCTACCTAAATTTTCCTTTTAGGTAGGGGGAACATAGAGGCAGGCCTTTTGTTTTTCGTTTTTTTGTTTCATTTTCATTTCCCCCTATTGAATCATTTGCATACGACTTATGTGTATGTATAATTTGGAACCTTTTGTTACATGTCAAACATTTATTTTTCTTCTTTTCTTCTATCATGGTCTCTTATGTATCATTGAAAAAGTACAAGGAATCTTTTTAAATTAGCATGAAAGTTGATTATAGACTATAGTAATGGTGAAATTACAAAACTACAATGGTGGAATTTCAATAAAGCCGGTTCATGAATTTTTTTAATAATTAATAAGACTTGTATAACATAACAGTTTATCGATAACGACTAAATATGTACGTATCAAAAAGATTTATAATATATCTTTTTTCATGCTATTAAGAGACCACTTAACATATGAAATTATGAAACACATGATCTATGATGATGTGGAAAGCAGTAAACGAAGGTTCTTGGAAAATGTGATTGGTTTTCACTTATAATATACAACAAATTTCTGTCTCAATTTGTCTAGGGTTCTTATTTTTCACAATGCTAGTTGATAAATGAAAAATCAACAAAATAGATATTTATTTCAAACGGTGGTATTTGAATTTTCATAATATATTGTTAGATTGATCAAAATATTTTACGGGATTTTACCTTGGAGTCCAAAGATTTAGGGTTCGACATGGATATGTAGTTATCGAAATCTAACTTGATACAACTTGAATTGACAAATCTAGGTCTAACCCAATAACTATTTGGGTGAGGTACCCACTAAGATTTATTTTATCAAATCATCACCTTTAATGAGACAAATAAGTAGTTACATTTTCATTATTTGAAAAATTAACACATAGTTAATTTTTCATGGATGAATGTTAGGTTGTATATTTGACCACTTCATGCTAAGATTTGTTAACGTATAAGTACGATAAAGAACAAAAATTAACCATCTAAGGGTCCATAGCTCAGTGGTAGAGCATTTGACTGCAGATCAAGAGGTCACCGGTTCGAACCCGGTTGGGCCCTTAATTTTTTTTCCCTATTTTTCTATTAGTTCTAATAAGTTGCTCCGGTCGAACCTCAGACCGGTCAGCTCGAGTTGATCTAGGTGAGTTGGCCACGTACAGTCTGCTCGAATGACTGAAACGACGCCGTTATTTTCCACTAAATAAAAGAAACCCTATACCCCGAGTCTCCGGCCTCTGAGCCTGCATCAGTTCCTCAGCGATTCTTTCCCCTTTCTCGTCGGCCGTCCCCGTCGTCTTCTCCAGCAAACAGACGGCCAACCTCCGTCGTCCCTCCTATCACATCTAGCATCCGCCTTCCCTCCTCGAACCCGAGCCTTTCACCTGAAAAGAAGATTCCCCGCCTCTTACATCCAATCCAACCTTCGCGATTGCCGATTCCTAGCAGAAGAAATGCGATCCCTTTTCGGCGCATTGATTCGAAGGCAAACCCTTGGCAGCAGCTCCATAACTTCGCGGTTGCAGTCAAGTGGAGGAATAGGTGCTTCTTTCGCCAACTGTGGCAATGAAAATCATATTTTCTGTTGTTCGGCTTCGAATTGCCTTCACGCTTCGAGGAATCACTTTCTCCGCTCGTTTCACCATTTCCCTTCCGGCGCTCCTCGGCAATCGGTATGGTCTCTTACTATCCTCCTTGCTTCGCCCCCTTCGTTGTTCAGCTCTTCTTTACCGAGGATGAGGGGGGAAACATATTACTGTGATTACGTCTTTACAAATTCACCATTCATATTGGTTCGCACGATTGTATAAGAACGAGTTGAATGTTGTCGAAAGAATTCCATTTTTCTCGATACCAAATTTACATGCTTTATGTTGGTTTATGGTATTAGAGGTTCAATGTGAATGATCACCCAGTTTAGCATTAGATGTTCTAGGGAATGTTGTTTGCGTTCTTGACTTCTGCTATGCTCTCTGGCAGACATCAGACTTCAATAGAGGGGGCTTCGCCAAGTTTAGCAGCAATGGGATAAGCTCTAGGCTAAATGTATCGCCTTGGTCTGTTCTTGGGACTTCTATCACAAGTAGGAACATTTCAACAGCGGGATCTTCTGATGCACCAGCTTCACCAGATTCTTCAACACCGATTGATGTTGTACCACCCCGAATCAAATTTAAGAGAATGGATAAAACAGCGAGGAACATAATGCAGGTATACACTGGTTAGTAGAGGTTGGGTTTCAGTGGAAGCTCCTTTCCTAGTTTCACATTGATGCCGTGTATTTTGACCAGGACATTGATGGCTATTGTTCCTCTGGCAGATTCTCAATAGGGAAGCAGTAGAGGAAGTGAGGACACAGAGAGAAGTACCTGATATACGTCCTGGTTACATTGTGCAACTCAAAGTGGTACTGATTTTGTGCAAAGTCCTATCCTTTTTCTCATTTCAGCTTGACGCAATGCGACTTAACATTTTAACTGTTGGAATACTGTTCCTTGTATGTTGAACAGGAAGTACCTGAAAATAAGAGGCGTCTTTCAACTGTTAAAGGCATTGTCATAGCAAGACGCAATGCTGGCATTAACACCACATTTAGGATCAGAAGGCAGGTAGCAGGGGTTGGAGTTGAGTCTCTCTTCATGTTGTAAGTATCCTCGGGTGTTTTTTATATCAACTTGCACTTCTTGCCCCTTCTCCTGCTCCTAAGCAGTTAACTCCCTTACAATTCATCACTTTTCGATTTTATTTAGTCAAACTAAGACAACCAAGACCCACTAGAACCACATGACAACAGGTTTGTGTCTTAGAAGTATTCTTAAGCTAACTCCCTTACGATTCACCACTTTTCGGTTTTACTTAGTCAAACTAAGACATCCAAGACCCACTCAAACCACATGGCAACAGGTTTGTGTCTTAGAAGTATTATTAAGTGATTCAATTTGCTTCATTCTCACCGAAATAAAGCCAGAAGCAGCCATCTTAAGCTTCGTCTCTTTCTAAATGGCAAGTTTGAGTAATCAGTTTAAGAGGATGGGATTGCAGAGTGAATCATCTCTTCTAGTATGAAAAGTTGTCCATCTAGTACATTTAATGTTAACCTATCTTTATGGCTGCGAGCATTGTTCCTTAGAAGTTTCCTGTTAACTTACTGTTTAACGAGGGGAAAACTGTGGTGGATTGCAGATATTCACCAAACATAAAGGAGGTTAAGGTGCTGGACAAGAAGAAAGTAAGAAGAGCCAAGCTTTACTATCTGAGAGAAAAGATGAATGCCCTGTCAAAATAGCTGGTTTGTCGTGGTCAGAATATGCTCACTGGTTCAGGAAGTGGTAGGGTTTGATTTTATGAGATTGCTTTTGATGTTAGCCACTCGGTCTATTGTCGCAGTTTGTAGAGACTATTGGGTGCCTTGAATAACACTACGGGTAGCATACACATGGAGGTGCGAAGATTCTACTCAAAAGTAAGGAGCTGCAAAGAATCTGCAAACTAGATTGCACAGCAAATGAAATCTGCATGATTGTATAAGATGCATTATCCTTCTTACAACCAAAACTTCTTATCAAATACAAAATTTTGTAGTGGATATTGTTCTACTATTGCTTGTTGATTGCACCTAGGGCTGTCCATTTGGTTTTGGTTTTTTGGTTTTAACCATAACCAAACCAATTGGAAAGCTAATGGTTTCAGTTTTTTGGTTTTAAACCAATAAGCAACTTAATGGTTTTGGTTTGGTTAAAACTGAAATACCAATAAGAAACCAATATCAACGAAAAGACCCCTTTCAACGAAACGCTCGCGCAACTCTTTCCCTAGAACCCTTCGAAATCCCTAAACCCCTTTCGAACGAAATGCTCTCGCCTTTTCACGAGGCACCTCTCTTCAGAGTCTTTTCGTTGCTCTGAATCCCTAGAACCCTTTCGAGGCACCTCTCTTCTTCTCGTTGCTCTGAAGCCGACTATCTTTGGCATAGGCGGAAACCTGAGTTGCTGCTTTGTGGCCGTTGATTCTTAGCTCGAGGAATTGGGTCGGCGATAAACTCCATGGGTGGGCATTGTCCAGCTTGAGCATATTCTGGGTCGTCGGTGACTTGCTGATTTGTTTTTTCCTGCTCGCTAACATTGTCCAGCTTTAGCAAATTATCGATGTCGATTGGAGAGAACTGGGCCGTCGGCGAATAACTCCTCTCCTACTCCATACTCTGTTCTAAACTTGCCGCCTTTGTTCAATGGAATCTCAGTGAGTCCCTCACATAGCTTGCTTTCATCTATCTTCCCCTATTCGATTTGTTGATTTTTGGATTTGGGTTTCGTTTCTGGGGCTTGGTTGTTGGCTAAAGCATGGTTTATGTGTTGGATTAATTGATTTGGGTTTCGTTTCTGCCATATTTTCTGGTGACTCTGTTTGTGGCTTTCATTCAAGCTCCCCTGACTTTTTCTGGGTGGTGACTCTGTTTATATTTCCTGGTTGCTTTGAAGTTGTTCTGTTTCAAAAGCAGACAGGGAAAATTGATTGCTTGTTGTCCTTGATTGTAGGCTAGTTCTGTGCGGCGTTGGTGATAGGTAACGTGTCGGTGACTTGCTGATTTGTTTTTTCCTGCTCGCTAACATCGTTTGGCTTGGTAGCTTAGATGGTATGGGAATTTGTTGAAACGTCTGATTTCGGTTTTCGCTTGCTTGCTGTCTGATACTGCTAATGGTGAATTTATGAGTGGCTGGGCCGGAAATGTGTCTTCCGGTCTTTGCTATACTTGTTGAGTTGAGTAATGCTAAAATGTGATTGTGTGAAGTGACATATGGGGGAATCCAAGTTAATACTGCAGCACTGAGTGCCTTAGAGGATCATTACCTGATCTTGAGACTGTAGTGATAGATTTTTGTTACTAGTCTCTTGTAGAATCGATCCTGAAACGTACCAGTCCTTGACACAGTCTGGTAGGTGTTCGTTCTTGAAATTTAAGTTTAAGTATTGTACATCCCCTTCATCTGCTCTCCTCCGTAGAAGGAATTACCAATTTAGGAGTGTTGATCAGTCATTCAGTTCCCTTCTTTCTCAAGTTCTTACTGATAACTTCTGTTGAGATTGGAGTCCAATTAAGCTGGCGAGTAGCTTTGTGAAGTTTTAGGTCTAAGTCTAGGAAATGGACAAGTGTGTGATGTTAGGCCAAGTGATTATGTACTTGATTTTGATACAAATTCACTTTTGATATTGGCAGGAACAGTGAGATACCATTATCACAAAATGTTTCATCTAGTGGTGCTCGTCCTAGAAGTGGGCACTCCAAAAGCACCAGTATTCCGCCTAGACCTCCTGCAACGTCTTCCTCCACTTTTGCACCATCTTCCGGTACCACCACAGTACCCAATGCTCAAACAGAAGGTGGGGGGACAACATCGAAAAAAAAAGGAAAGACAGATATGATGTTTGGAGACATTTCACACACTTGGAGATGGGTGGAGTGAAAAAAGCTCGATGCAACTACTGCAATAGTGCTCTTGTAGCTAACGGGACATCTACTCTACGGACCCACAAGGATAATTGTTTGGCAAAGATAGCAAGGGGTGATCTTGTAGTCGAGCTTCCGTCATCTTTTGAAGGCCAGGTACACACTCTTGGTTCTTGGCAATTTAATCAGACTGATGCTAGGAGAGCTTTAGCGGAGATGATAATTCTAGTTGAATTGCCATTTAGATACGTAGAAACATGAAGGGTTCAAACGCTTTATGTCCCGTGTTTGTCCTATGTTTGTGCTGCCTAGCCAACAAACTGTTAGAGAAGATTGCATCAAGGTGTTTTTTGAAAACAGAGATACGTTAAAGGATTATTTCAAAGCTAAATGTTTGGGGATGGTATCTCTCACAACTGATTGTTGGACGTCTTTGTCCAATCTCAACTACATGTGTGTTACTGCACATTTCATCGGTAGGGATTGGAAGCTGTATAAGAAAATTATCAACTTTGTTCAGATAACAAAACATTCTGGAAATGAAATTGGAAAACAGTTGGCTAGTTGTTTGGTGGACTGGGGCATTAGGAAGGTCTTTTGTATCACAATGGATAATGCTAGTGTTAATGATGTGGTTGCTATCCATATGAGGCAACAGTTGAAAGAGTGGGGATTAGATATTGTGGATGGAAAGTATCTGCAGATGAGGTGTGTGGCTCACATTATTAATTTAGCTGTGAAGGATGGGCTTAAAGAAACTGGTATATTTGTTGAGCGAGTGAGAGAGTCTGTGAAGTGGGTTAAATCTACACCAACTAGGAGCAGAAAATTCAAAGATTGCATTGAATTTGAAAAGATAGTGTCGAAGAAATTTGTTTCGTTGGATGTAGCTACAAGGTGGAACTCAACGTATCTGATGTTGGAATCTGCAAAGCCATTTGAGAAAGCATTTCAGACATTAGCCAGAAATGAGAAGAATTTCAAGAAACATCTCAATGAAAAAAAATATGGAAATCAAAGCCTTGGTATCCCAACTTCTGATGATTGGTCAAGTGTCGGACGGTTGATTAGTTACCTGAAGCTCTTCTATGATGTGACTGTTCGAGTTTCTGGGACTTCATATGTAACTTTACACCTCTTATTTGATGAAATATGTGAAATGTATACTACGATTTCTGAGTGGGTTGATAGTATTGATTTTGAGGTGGGTTGCATGGCTGAGAGAATCAAGTCCAAACTTGCCAAGTATTGGTTTGAAGAAGAGTGGGAGAATTCCAAGATCAATCGGTTGTGCTATATGGCAGTCATATTAGATCCAAGGCGCAAAATGGAATATCTTGAAGAAGCTTTGAAGAAGGTATATGGTGAAAGTAGGGGGAAAGCTTTGGCCGATGAGGTGAAAGATGAAATGCGTGCTCTGTTTGACCATTACAAGCATAGGATCGGACTTCATAGTAGTTCTCCTATTGTGATTCAAGAAGGTGAGCAAGAACCTAGTGGAAGTGGGGATGGGAAGAAGAAAGGAAAGTTTTGGGATGATTTCAGGAAAAAGAAAAGAGAGGCCATTCGGAAAGGAACTAGAAAAAGTTCCAAATCTGAGTTTGATAGGTACCTTGAGGAGGAGGAGGATGATGAGGAGGTTACACGAGCAATGGTGGGTTCTGAAGAGGATGAGTATAAGTTTGACATCTTGGGATGGTGGTCGCGAAGTGGGATGAAATATCCTATTATTTCTGAGATGGCTAGGGATATTCTCGCTGTTCCTATTTCCACGGTTGCTTCTGAGTCGGCATTCAGTACAGGAGGTCGAGTTTTAGATTCATTTAGGACCTCCTTATCCCCTGAAGTTGTGGAGGCTTTGATTTGCTGTGAAGATTGGATAAGATCTTCTAACTCTGAGTTGGTGGCTGATGGAGAAGATGAGTGTGATGAAGTTGTATTTCAGAATGGTAAGAACTTATGTTTATTCTTATATTTGTTATTGTAATGAAATCATATTCTAACAAGTTATTGTTTATGTTATCTAGTATTTGCAGCTTTTCAAACTCGAAGTGCAAGTGCACCTGCAGAACCTAGTGGAAGCTCACATTCTGCTCATGTTCCGATCTCGAGTCCTACTGGGTCACAAGTCGAAGAAGTTTATTTTGATGAGGATTCTGATGGGAATGATGAGACTTGTGTGGATATAGAGTCCGATAAGGTGGAGTGATGTTGATTTTTAATATTGTTACCCAAAGTTGACATTGTGGATGTTATTAGTCTTAAATGTATTACTGGAAGGATAAAATGTTGGTAAGACCATTTGTAGTATAATGTTATTAGGTGACAACTTATATAAAAGCAACCAACAGGGGACATAAATACGAGCCCCAAAACCATGGCTAAGACTAACTTCCTTCCTTCCTAACTCGTATCAAAGACACAGACCTGAAAGAGACTCTCAAAAGGGTTTCTATTCAATCCATGGCATCCATTTAAAATAAGAAAAACAATAACATGTTTCCTTGATTCATTGTGAACCATATATATACTATTTTTTATAAGAATGTACAAATAATAATAATAAAATTATTTATCATGAATTTTTTTATTGTTTCTTTAGATATGCATGCCAACCAATAATTTATAATGGTCATTTTATCATTTACCATTATTATGACATTTATTCAATAAAAAGAAGGGAAATAAAAATAAATATGAGTGTATGAGTACATGTTGGTTTTTTGGTTATCCAAAACCAAAACCAAAACCAATAAGGACCTTAATGGTTTTGGTTTTGATTTTGGCTGATTTGGTTTTTGGTTTTTCATACTTAATGGTTTGGTTAACCAAACCAAACCAAATTGACAACCCAGCACCTCTTGACTTCCTGTACGAGTTCACACCAGATAAACAAGAGAGATTCCCCCACGAAGAATCGTATATGAGAATTTCCTTTGGTTCAGCTCAAACAGAAGGATCCTTCTCTCAACATCCTGCAAACAGAAAACGCTAGCGGGTAATTCGAAGGCACATCTCCAAGAACCAAGATCGCAGTTCACCAATAAGAACTCGGATGAGACTGGACTCAATATGTTGCTAATGAGCTGCTGAACTCTCTGGCCCAAGTAACTTTTGGGCTTATTGAGTTGAGTTGGGCCTTGCGATCTATGACAACGTGTTCACTCTGTTTGGAGGATGGTGCCTTTATTTAAAGCAGTGATAGACAATATTGCCAACCAATTTACAGTCCATCACTATTAACCGGTTAGAGTCATTAGATCTAAGTGGACCCAGAAAATTCAGATCTAAGGATTGTCAATTAAAGGCATTTTATTTTTTCTAGCTTTTATAATCGGCTCTTATCTTCTTCGTTTTAATTTGGATTTCAATTTTTTTTTTCACACATGGAACGAGTTCGTTGTGCTCTACAAAATGAGGTCAATTTTCAATATATTTCGAGAAACTTTTTTTTTACAAACTACATACTATATGGTAACTTCTTCGTTTTTAAGTCGTTTCTGAAAACGTTTGCTCAGAAGAAACGAGTTCATCATGATCTATTGGATCTACAAATTTCTGGGTGAAAAAATTACTGGACTAAAAATTACCATACTTTACCACTATGGTATATGGGTGGTAACTTGTGGTAAACAATGATGAAAGTCGTAAGTGACAGTTAGTATACTCCTACTATCATGTATTCAACCTTCTTACCATATTGGTATGTTCATACCATCATGGTACGCTTTCTTACCATATGGTATTAAATATGAGCATACTATATGGTAATGACTGGTACAAAGCTATTCAATTTTTTTGTACTACAAATATATCAAAGTGGATATCATTTTAAAGAGCACATTTAATCTAATTTATCTGTGCAAAAAAAATTTAATTTCGACTTAAAACGATAGAGAAATCGTTCGTTAAAGATTAAAGCGGAAAATATAAAAGACTTTCTAGGAGAAAGGGGATGTTGATGTCATGCAGATGTAGACAGGTTACTGATGGTTACTCACCATAAGAGTTACTGACTTGATCCGCTCACCCTATTAACCGCTCGTGAGGGCCTTATTTAGCACCGGATTTTATATCTGAATGGGCTAAACATGCTACAAGGACCGATCCCTTATTTCCTACTATTAAGGGCCAAGGCATTTTGATTCCTATTCTCGATCAGACAGTCCTGCTCGATGACCGGGAGAAAGAGAACGATATTAGTATTTGGCTGGAAAATAAACAATGCTATGAATACCAAGACCGATCGCCATTGATAAAGAGGAATCTTTCTAAATCACTTCCGGTCAGCGGAATCTTCAATCATCCAAAATATGTCGCTCAAGATGTGCCTTTTGTTAGTGTATGGTATATGATCCACGATTGAACCTCTTCCAACAACTCGAGTTATTGGGATCAACTGGTTCTTGACATGGTATCAGAGCCTTCTGTGACAGAGAGGTCTTGTGTTCGATTCCCGGTAACCCCCATTTGTTAAGCACATGGTATTCGGACCTGTGCAAACTTCAAGCCTTTGTGAGTGGCTTTCGTTTGAGGGGGCGTGTTAGTGTATGGTATATGATCCACGATTGAACCTCTTCCAACAACGCCGATGGCCGACGATTTTTTATCCCTCTCCCTTCGCTCGCCTTTCGGGCTCATATATTCCTTCCCTCTCCTTTCAGTCGAGCAACTTCGTTCCTTCGCTCTTCGGCCTCATATATTCTAGACCTATGCGCGCTTTTCGCAAGCTCCTATAGAAAACCAGTCGCAGACAACGCTTAGTCCTAAGGATTACTCTGCTTAAAAGGCAAAGTGTGGGAGTTGATACATCAACACTCCTCCTTGATCGCCTTTTCTTGACAAAGACCGAGATTTGATCTCCTCCAATTGAATCGGGCCAAACGCCTAAGAAAAGATCGCTTGGATTCAATAAATTATATGATTAATTAATTAATTAATGTGGATTATCTTGTTAAAAAACAGAGGGTTTCAAGTACATTTATGTTCTGTCTTCTTATGAGATGATGTGAGCCAGGAACCTATTTCTATAACATATTACTACCTCCGAAATGCCTTGTACATAGCCAACACAAAGAGCAATGATCTGCACGTTTGAAGATGCATTCTTCACTTGCGGGCCTACAGCTGCTCAATAACAAAATAATGCTCTATGGCCCGGGGGGGGGGGGGGGGGGGGGGGGGGGGGGGGGGGGAAAGCAAAGGTTATCGCACATTTTTCTCCTTAGGATGCTGCCATTGTCACCATTTCCCCTTTCCCTTCTTATCTCGCACGGAAAATTTTGATGTGTGTGATGAGTTGAGTGGAAGCATCTAAAATGGGAAGAAGAAGAAGAAGGACACATACTTTCCTCTAGCCACCAGCATGAAAATTGAAAACCTCCAGTGCTTTTCAGCCTTTTGTCTCGTCAAAGTTGAGTATATTTTTTTAGGACCACATTACATGCAAGATAAAGATTTATCTTCCTTTTTTATTAGTAATTATCTTCCTTTTTTTTATCTAATAATACATTAATACTGCCGCTTAGATTTCAATTTGATGATTACATAGTCGAATCTTAATGTGAGTTTTCCCTTTCATATACGGATGCCTTTGTTTCTAATGGTACGTAGAATTCCCGGCATAGAAAGAAATGGGAGGCAAAGCTTGAGACTTTTAGTGTTTCAATATTTAGGTTGAATTTGCACCAATGAATAGTATTTAGGTTGAATTACGATGAAAGAGAGAAAGGAATTTGAGAAGGAGAAGGGGGGAAAAGAGAAGAGAAGAAGTTGAATATGAGTTGCATGAAAGCTAGCCTTGAGGTGAGCTAAATTTTACAAGTAAAGACAATAGCATATGAATGGGGGAGTACTTTTTTCTTGCTTTGTTTCATTGGGCAAATCTTTGTTGTGTGTGTATTTATCATGATTTGAACCTTTTGGATGATGCATCTCAATCTCCTTTTCCTTTTTGGCACCACCAATTCTGGCAATCAATCTTCCAGTCTTCATAGATCATCATGGGCCTTCATTAATGAACACATGCACCAATTTCCCAAATCTTCATCGAATTGTACAATATGGGATTAAGAAAAGTTCCAAGCATAGGGTTGGCATATATGCTTAAAGTTAAAGGAAAGAGATAATAACGTTTTAAGGGTGAAATAACAAAGGAGGGGATTTTTTGAAGGTCATAAAGGTGGGTACGTAGCTAAGATTGTCTATTTGGAAGGTGTATAAATTTGTACGAGTCGATAAAAATTAAATAATTGAAATAAAATTCTAATTCATTAAGTAAAGAATTTAATTGCTTTACGAGGTGTGACAATGAAAAGGAGAAGATGTACATAGTATTTTGCAGCTATGGATATAGTATGAATACCGCTAAAACTGTAATGTTCAAGCCCAACCGGATGTTTAGAATTAATTCATCATTTTAACATTACATTTTCCGATATTATCTTCTTTTTTACAAAATTCTACAAATCTTTTTACGCATTTGTTTTGTTTTCCGGGCGTACATATAAAGTGACTAAGATAAAAAAGACATTAGGTGTATTTGCTTGTACTTTTTTAAAAATTAAAAAAAAAATTGAGATTTTTTGTTCTTAAATGTACAAATCCAAGAATGATGATAGGAAAAAAAACTCAAACCCTAACCCCTAGATAATCAAAATTCTATTCCTAAACCTATAGACAACTTGAAAACTTTTTTCATGCAAAGTGATGGACCCATAAATTCAAACTCCAATTGCATTGCATATCCTAGCTAGCAGCTGCCATCCATCCACTTGCTTGGATTTTTGAGCTCTGCTTTCCCTTTTCTTCTTCTCCTCCTTCTCATAGCTAGGGGAAGAGAAGGAATCTATCTTCCTTGCCTTCCCATTATTATTCCACCCAGACAGTAACTGGATTTCATCGGTTTCACTACCTCTCCCTCCCACTACCTTCCAAACCAACCGACCAAAAAAACCACTGCGCCAACAAAAAAAAAGGAAACAAACATCCCGCCCCACATCCATCAGCCATCACCACAGAGAAGAAGAGAGAAAGAAAAAAAAAAAAGAGGGAGATGATGAGCGAAAAAGAAAAAGAGAAAGCAGTAGGAAGAGATTTGCTTTTCTGACACACCCCTTCTCTCTCTCTCTCTCTCTCTCACTAGGGTTCCCTTTATTCCTCTCTCTCTCTCTCTCTCTCTCGTCCAGCTCGTTTCACAGTAAAACGAGAGCAGCAGGCTCTGCTTTCCCTCATGTTCGTTTCCTGCAAAAGCAAAAGCAGATCCAAGTCCCAGATTCCAGCTCTCTCTCTCTCTCGCTGTAATAAACAAATTGTGCATGGGATTAATTCCCTAAATACACATAAAACTAAAGCAAATTCCTAAACTACCACACTTTTAAAAAAATTTCCCAAAATACCTAAGTTTGGAGTGGTTCGAGTTTGAGAAACTCGAACTACAAACCGGTTCGAGTGTAGGAGACTCGATCTACTCGTAGATCGATGATATAAGTCTCGAACCATGTGGAGTTGAAGTGGTTCGAGTTCAGTGAACTCGAACCACTCCTTTGAAATTTCCAACCACCATAACTTTGTGCTCGGTTATCCGATTGTAGCAAACTTTTTTTTCATTTCGTATAACTTTTCGAGGACTACAACTTTTATAATAGAAATATTTTCAGAATATATGTAAAAATGTGAAAATTAAAGTTAAAGTTACTCCCAAAACCCCTTATATTAAAAACTATTCCTATTTTGAAAATTTTTTCCTAGTAAATGTTGTAGTACTCAAAAAGTTATGCAAAATAAAAAAAAACTTTGCGACGTTCGGATTTTGGAGCACAAAGTTATGATCCTCTAAAGTTTGGTAAAATCGAAAAATTGCTCGTTTAGGGTTTACAAATGACATTTTCTCGGAGCGAAGGCATAGGAAATTTTTTTATATATAGGAAATTTCTGCAAAAAGAGCAATAGTTTTCCAAACGAGAAATTTTTGGATGGCTATCTTCCTTGTAAACGTCATTTGCTACCCATAAACGAGCAAATTTTCGAATTTGTCAAACTTTGGAGGATCATAACTTTGTGCTCCGCAATCCGAACGTCGCAAAGTTTTTTTTTATTTTGCATAACTTTTTGAGTACTACAACATTTACTAGGAATAAATTTTCAAAATAGGAATAGTTTTTAATATAAGGGGTTTTGGGAGTAACTTTAACATTAATTTTTACATTTTCACATATATTCTGAAAATATTTCTATTATAAAAGTTGTAGTCCTCAAAAAGTTATGCGAAATGAAAAAAAAGTTTGCTACAATCGGATAACCGAGCACAAAGTTAAGGGGTTTGGAAATTTCAAAGGAGTGGTTCGAGTTCACTGAACTCGAACCACTTCAACCCCACATGGTTCGAGGCTTATATCATCGATCTAGGAGTAGATCGAGTCTCCTACACTCGAACCGGTTAGTAGTTCGAGTTTCTCAAACTCGAACCACTCCAAACTTAGGTATTTTGGGAAATTTTTTTAAAAGTGTGGTAGTTTAGGAATTTGCTTTAGTTTTATGTGTATTTAGGGAATTGTCCCTTGTGCATGCAACTCCCACAACGTTAACCAAAAGTAACAACCATAACTAGCTACATTCAATTCAGTAATTAATCCTCCTTCTACATATGCATGCAACGAACTAATTAATGACTAATCTATATATAGTTAATTAACCTGTAAGAAATAATATCCTTGCTTGGAACTTTAGCTGAAGCTTTCCTCTTTGTCCATATGCTCCATGGAAGTATTCTCACCACCGTCTCCAAAAGTGATCGATCGAGCACGTACGTACTTGCCCCAAACTCTCAGTGGATGGAAAACTGGTCTGGCTGCTATTGTGTATACAACAAATAACTAGCTGCAGTAGTACTCATCCCCATTTCCCGGCCATTCTAATGCAGTTACTTCTCCATCAGCTGCATGCACTTATTAGCTTCTCTGCCTCTCTCTGTTTCATCAGTAGTAGTACGTGTACCTTTCTCTCATGCCCATCTCTTTTTGTCGCGTGCTTCAAAGTCCAATGGAACTATACCCCTCCCGCCAAACAGAAAAAGATAAAGGGAAAGTAGAAGAAGCAGGGGCACAGACTCAGATGCTTTCAACGGTTTTTTTTTTTTTTTTTGGAATTCCATGGCTGCAGTGCAAGGGTCAATTGCAGCATGGAACTGGAATCCAATGGTGTACATGCATAACTAACGCTCTTCTCAGTTTTCAATAGAAAAATTGCAGTAATTTCTCATAATTATAAACTCATGTTTTTGTTTTAATCCTTTTTCATGAATCCTAACTAATTAGCATTATAAGTCATTGTAAATTCCAAGCTGGAATTCAGTCAATCATATCACCGTCACAACAACTCGAGTTATAATAATCATTAAAACATCATCATCTTATATATGTGTGGTCATTAATTATGATCTACCTAATTTCCGTTCTCCTACTGTTGACACATTCCATCTCCATCACCTAATCAATATACCACCAACACGGTTATATTTATAACAGAATGTGACAAGAAAGGAGGGTAAAATCAATACAAACTTGCTAGCTGGTAATATGACATAAAGAGGCACTAGCTAGAGTAATTAAAGTTTACAGCACATCCCATGAATTAATTATTTTCATGTGTATTATGGTGACAAAAGGGTTTGTGCTAATCTGTGCAAAAAAAGCAAAAGGCATATACACAGAGAGAGAGAGAGAGGGGAGTTTGCAGTTTGCAGGGTATGGAAACCCTCTCTCCCATGTAGATATATAGATAGGGTTTATATAATGATTATCTGTATGAATCATGGAAATGGCGAAGCTGGTCAAATCTGGATTTCAGTACTTCTATGGTTTCCTTTCTTCCATAATCCATGCATCGTCACCCTTTTTACTAGGATATAAAAAAGATGGTCAAAAGCAACCTCCATTATAATCTCCTCTGTACGTGTGTAAACTGTGTAAGTGAAGCTAGCTGTACCAGCAGAAGAAGGATCTTATCCTCATTACCAATCAATAAATATCCCAGTTGGTTTCGAGAGTAACTTGGATTGCAACAACATATATAATTACTTATGACAACAATGTAATAGAAAGTGAAAATTAAAACCTAAAAGAAGAAAGTAAAACACTTGCCCTATAGATTATTAATTAATTAATACTGATATTCGAATTAAACCCTGATAATTGACCAATCTTATTAGCATAAACACACTATAGTTAGGATTTAAAATCTCGGGAGAGTCTATAAAAAAAAAAAAAAAATCTCGGGAGAGAAGCTGAAATAATAAGCTGCAACAACTTATTACCGTAGAACTTATAAATTTCGGATCGGAGGGCTATCATTTGTAATGTACGTTTTTTCAAGTTACAAAACATACGCATTATAACCTTCAATCAAAAAGTAAGGAGGTTGAGTACTTAACTTGTAACTCTATTTAACTACACGTAGTTTCACCACCAAAATTCGTCACAACTATTTACATACCTAGACACAAATTATATATCCCAACTCCATGAATGTAAAAATATGTAGCTTGTAATTAAGGAATCTTCTACAATATACTTTTGTCACCACCCACATAGCACATCGATATTAAGTAAGGAAACGATCGATAATATACGTGAGAACTAATTTAAACAAAAGACATCATCAATTGAGGATCAAGTTAAAGAAAAGCACTCACGGGCTACCTAGCTAGCTACCTTGCAACCATGCAATTCTTCTGGAAATCGCGCCATCGATCGAGTAATTAAATTCCATCCTCCTCAATTTACGATCACAAAAGATGGCTTGTAGAAGAAGATGAAGTAAACCCAGGTTGACCATCCCCGCCACCACTCCACAGGCTGTTTCCGTTCATGTACTTACCACCACCGCCGCCGCCACCTCCCGCCTGCCAGCCGCCGCTGCCGTTGCAATACCGCTGCTGATTCTCATCCTCGTCACGGTGATGATCTCCTACCGCCGGAGACGAAAAGTTGCCCAGGAAATTCCTCGACATGAGTAAGTTATTACCATTATGCCCTTCCATTTTGCCTCCTTGATTCATCTCCTCATCATGACCAATGGAGGAAGAGTACAACGACATCCCCGCCGTATTCGGCTGCTGCGGATGTTCCAAATTGGCGAAGAAAGGAAACTGATGCACTTGCTGCTGCTGCAACCTCCACTGCTCCACTATATTATTCCCGCCCGCCACGTCAGCAGGCGGAGAGATCATTCCCCCCGCGCTGAAGTTCAGCGCCCCGACACTACCACTGTCGACGTGGCAGGTACTGCTACTATTATTATTATTATTATAGTCCGCCAGCTGTCCAAGATGATGCAAAGGTGGCAGCAGGGGCAGCTGATGTGGAGCCAGAAGCTGCCCTAGGTTAATGTTGTGGTCGTGATGCGTGTTGGGGAAGATTAGCGACGAAGATCCCCGGCCGAGGATGTGGTGGTGGTCGGCGGTGGTTTTGTTGTTGGGGGATTTGGATCTGTTGCCGCCGGCGGCGGCGGATGAGGAGGAGGATCTGCCGCCCCGGCCGGAGGTGGATTTGGAGCGCTTGTTGCGGCGGCATCCGCCGCCGACGGGGACGGAGCGGAGGGCGCCGCCGCGGGTCCAGTAGCGGCGGCAGGTCTTGCAGAAGTGGCGGGGCTGGGTGAGGCTGTAGTTGTTGAAGTAGCAGAACTTGGTGTTGGTGGACTCGCAGCGGGGGCATTTTAGGGCGGATTCCGGCTGCGGGATCTTCGCCTGCCGCGCCCTCTCCGCCATCGAGTTCGGCTTCGCGATTGTCGCGCCGCCGCCGCCACCTGGCGCGGAGCCGTTTAAGCTCCCACCCCCGGCGCCACCGTAGTTCCCGCCGTCGGGGTGCTGAAATATAACTTGGTTGCCTCCAAGCCCATTTTGATTCAAGCTCTGTCGAAATAGGAAGGAAATTTATATAAAAAATAATAATAATTACATATCATAGTTAAATAAATAAATAAAAATTAAGAACAGTCTAAATTCGGATATGGAACCAAGATATGCTTAATTCTTGTAGTGGTATATTCAAGAACCAAGGAATTATTAAGTTTGTTTTCTCTAAAAAAGGAAGAAAAATTGATTCACAAGGGAAATTATTACAATTGAGAAGAGGGAAAGTGAGATTGAGATTAGGACTCACATGAGGAGCTTGTTGTTGTTGTTGTTGTTGCCAATTAGAGGGATCAAGATAGGCTGAAACTGATGAAGGGAAGACCATAGTGATGATCTTTAAATTCACACTCCCTCTTTTCTCTCTTTGCCCTTTTTTTCTTCCCTTTCCTTTTGCTTGATCACTAGCTGGATCTCTTTTCTTGCTTCTTCAATTCTTTTCTTGTTTGTTTCTTTCTCCTGTCACTGAGCTATGGCTGTTTTTGGGTGATGGGGTGGGAGAATCACATCAAGTGATGAAGAGAGAGCTTCTGAGAAAGAGAGAGAGAAAAGAGAAGGGGAAAGGAAGAAGAAGGAGATGATGAAATGGAAAGATAAAGGCAGGAAGGAGAAGATGGAGAGGAGGATGTAGAGAGGGAGAGGGAGAGGCTCTTTCTTTTCCCCTTTAGTTTGTGTGTGTCTATAATATAATTGTGTATGTATGTGTTTATTGATATTTATTGATTTTGGTGTTCTTTTCTATCACAATCTACTACTCTCCCTTCTTCATCCCCCCCACCATGCCACCACCTCCACCACCACTATGTTACTCTCCTCACTTTTTCTCAACCCCATCTTTTTGTTATTTTATGGTCATAGTTTATTGTTTTGGCTAGGGTCTTTGAAATGTCATGATTTTGTAACCCCCAAACAATGTATTACTTAACACTTAAGCTTCTCTTTCTCTTTTTACTTACAAAGTAAAGAATCAGCTGTTTTGTTTCTTAGCAGTACTGCAGATGAATTCGAAGTTTGAGTCCAGCACGCTGGTGGTGACGTCGAGTTGCATGATTTTGCTTTATTCATTGTTCCGTGACATAATTGATAATTCTCATTGATGAACGAGAAAATCGACGACGTTTAAATGAATGTTTCAAGTTCTTCTCACATTACCAATTGTGCAAATAATCGATGGATGATTGTGATGAGTCACATAATACTTGTGAGTGCGATGGCGATTTTACAAGTTGGAAATCACAGCGTTGAATGAGTACACCGTGAACTAGAACCATGCAGGGACATCAACAAGACTACGTATAGAAAAAAACGAGCCTTCGATTGCTGAGGATTTTCGGTATTAACCTGCATTCAGAACGCCTTTCAAGAAATGTGGTACTTTTATGAATAAATGAATCGGTATTTTAACGAATGTATTGAATTAAACATACTTCATAGTTAATATATACCTTGTCTATCTTGCCAAAAATTAATATAACTTGTGTTTCATTTCTAAAAATTTAAAATGATTGCTCTGATAAATTTGCTTTGAATTTAATATTGCACCATACTTAGCCAAATTTCTGGCTGCACCAATGGGGCCAACGCCAATCAGCTACTAGTTGATTAATTTATGTGCTATAATGGTTTTGCTTTTGACCTGCAAATTGGAAAGGAAAGTGAGTACGCGGTTGGCCATGCATGTAGAGGAGGAGAGAGAATAGGAGGGAACCCTAATCAGCAATCAGTGTGGTGTATTATTTATAATTAAGCCTTTTCTTCTGGTTGTTTTTAAATAAAAGTGATAAGATAATTAACTAATGCATGTATTAAACAGACTGGGAAAGGGAAAGGGTTAGTCCTTGGATAGGGTAAGTATTGGTTGGAAATGTCCTTATCGAATGTACCTTTGTTTCTTGGGTTTGTCTCCCTTGTAATTTTTAACAGTTTTTTAATCTCTCTTTTTCCCCATTTTGTTTTGGAGGGTTTTTTCATGGAGAATATGAATACATTTATTCGCACTTCTTATTCTTGGCTCTTTCTTGCCTTAGATAATGAGAAGGTAAAGTTCCATCCCAACCCGAGTGGTGTAAAATTTAATCAAACAAATTTCAGTTATATTGTCAATGGCGATCTATGTTTAAAGTTACTCACTACAAGACACCATCCTTATATATGATAATTCCAACTTAGTTTGTATGATCTAATTTATTTTGGTACATTTTGTATGACTATCGGTAACAATCAGATAGTCTTCTTATAAATATTACCAACACTTACACTCAATTGCTGACTCGTTTTATCTCTAATACCGCCAACCTTCACATATATCAAATTGGTTTATTTGGAAAGTGAAAACCCTAGATCCTTGGTTCCATTTTCATTTGGATCATAGTTTAAATAGACAAGCCTTGATAACTATATTACAAGATGTGCCAACTTACACTTTAAGAAGTAACAAAACATAAAAGACAATTAGAAAACATGTTGCAAAATGAAAAAAATGATTTGCTGTTGAAACAAAAAATAATTAAATCGTGTTGATGCAACTATTTTGTATATATTGCTTTTCTAAACGACGACATCAACCCATTTAGTTGCTTAATTTCCATCTGTTGGGTTGCAGGTTCGAGTTTTGGCGATGAGCTCTTACTATCTCCTGCATGTTAACACATTTATAATTTTTGACTACTTCATAAAATTATATAGTTAAGATTTAGGCCGGGCATCTATTTCTGAAATAAATTATCTTTTCATATTAAAAAAAAGGTCTTCATTTACTTCTTTGTAGAAATTGAAATTTTATGAACCTTTTCTTAAATCACATATCAAAATGAGAGTAATCCACCTAAAATGGTCTACACATAGTATCATCCCAATTTTACACACTAAGCACAAAACATACCTAAATATTGAGATACCATCTCACGGTCCTAATGAGCCTAGCCCAAGGGCTGTCTTTGCCAAAAGTATAAAATTGAGAGGAGACAGGATGCGCGTCCAATTATTATTAGCCCGTTCGGATGCATTAAGCAAATCTAATTAATTAAGGAAAATCTTTGGAAGAAGATTGTATATGGAACGCTTTTGGGTTCATCATTCCGGTTTATTCTGCCACATTTCTTTTCAGAAAATTCTTTGGACTTTACTCGTAAAAAGAAAACGTTTCTTTTCTTTCAGACCAGTTTGTTGGTGGTGCAATTGATAATTAAATGTAAAAAGTTTATATTCCAAAGTTTAAAGAAATCACCAATTCACATGCATGTTCGACATTCATGCAATTTTATAATAATCCCAAAACTTATTTACTTCGAATAGGTTGCTTCACCTTCAAGTGATTCTCTTGGTACTGCTAGACATGTGTACGGATCCATGTAAAAGCATTTGGAAATGGGAAAAAGGCGATTTTTTATTGACCTTATATATGCATGGCTCAAAGCTAGATTTCCACATATAAAGTTAACTAATTATTTAATATTACATGGCTAAGAGCTCTCATGTTATTTCACAATTGACTATACAAGAAAGATTACTAACTATAAGGAATATGAAATTAGATCTATAAATATTGATCCATTTATCCAAATGGACTAGTAGCTTATCATTTGAGAAGATACCATTTACCAATTTTATAAATAATTGCACAACATACATTTTATAAATCAGGCCGATGTCCATAGGGTGTGTTTGAATACAGTGATTTGGATTTGGTATTTGTGATTGAATTTTTAAATGTTAAATCATGTGTTTGGATATTAAGTATATTATTTGGTATTTGGATTTGTGCCAAATTCATGGGGTGATTTCCAAGTACATGTCTAGTGTGTTACTTGTCAGCTTCAAATACATTTCAACAATTAGTAATTTGAAATACATCCTAACAAAAGATTTGATCAATTTTTAAAAGGGTTAATATTTTCGTATGGCCTGAACTTTGACCAAAATAAACATCCTGGCCAATCTTTTCGATCTATAACATCCTGGCCCGAACTATACACCAAAATAAACAATTTGGCCAAACCCGATGTTTGACCGTTAACTTGGACGGTCAAATGCGTTGACTAACGGTCAACGCGCCACGTCACGGCCAAGTCAGAAGATCTGATAAATATTTAATTTTTTTTTTATTTTTGGTTTAACTAAGGTATTAGATGATTTTTTTAATTTATAATAATTTAAAATTAGGGAATGTGTGGAAATTGTGAATTATTTTAAATATTTTATGCTGACTTGGCAGTGACATGGCGCGTTGACTAACGGTCCACGCGTTTGACCGTCCAAGTTAACGGTCAAAAGTCAGATCTGGCCAAATTGTTTATTTTGGTGTATAGTTCGGGCCAGGATGTTATAGATCGAAAAGATTGGCCAGGATATTTATTTTGGACAAAGTTCAGGCCATACGAAAATATTAACCCTTTTTAAAATTTAGGTACTATAAACATGCAAAGGTACCAAAATGTAATATAAAGTAAGAAAAAATAAATTTGGATACCAAAGTGTAATTTAACAAAATTCGTAGTGAGTGATCAGTAAATTCAAAATTAAAATTAAAAAATATAAAATTTAAAGTACAAACAAATTACAAATGAGTTTCTAAACAACGAATTTGAATTACATATATTTCAAATACATACATTTTTTTATTGTAACCTGCAAAAATATATGTATTTAAATTAGGCCGATGACTCCTTCGTGTAGCCTCGTTGGACTACATTACAGCCCACAACCAATATGGACTGAGCGAGAGCTTGGGCTGGTATTTATGGGCTTTAGAACAATGTTAGGCATGGCCCACCTGAGAACCTGGACTGAACGAGCTGTGCCACATGTCGGCTTTCGACTCGGTCAAGAAAAAAGGAACTCCTAAAATTCAGGATCCCTTTCCCTCCGCCAGAAGACTACGCGAGAAAATTCAAATCCGTCTCGAACAAGGATCGATCCTCCACCGTCCAATACATCGAATCGACGGCCCAGACTCAAACATCTCCTACAGAACATTCCAGAACTGAATCCCCTGTAAACTCTATAAAACGGAACTCCCCCCCTGCACATTCCGCCATCTGAATCGAATCAGAGAGTCACACAACAACGACAGTTCGTCTGCGATAACATACTGCTAATCCCCCGAAAGAAATCGAATAAGAACCTTTCACAGTTCTACCTTCCGACTGTTCATCGCTTCATCATGCCAGGGAAAGGAGAAGGTCCGGCGATCGGCATTGATCTCGGCACGACGTACTCCTGCGTCGGCGTCTGGCAGCACGATAGGGTTGAGATCATCGCCAACGATCAGGGAAACCGAACGACGCCGTCTTATGTCGCGTTCACCGACAGCGAGCGCCTGATCGGCGATGCCGCCAAGAACCAGGTCGCAATGAACCCTACCAACACCGTCTTCGGTAAGGTTCCGTTTTCGTGTCAACCGATATCGTTCGTATTTCTTGGACGATTCAATTCCTGAAAGAAATCTGACGAATTAGGGTATCTTGAATGTGAATTTTGATTACAATGGATGTGATTTCTTAGCCAATTGAGAGGATTTTCCATTTCCGTGATCGTTGGAGCTTAATTCCCTGTGTTTGTTTGTTTGATTGTTTTAGATGCTAAGAGGCTGATTGGTAGGAGGCTCAGCGATCCATCGGTGCAGAGCGACATCAAGCTCTGGCCATTCAAGGTGATCGCCGGTCCAGGCGACAAGCCAATGATCAATGTCAGCTACAAAGGCGACGAGAAGCAATTCGCCGCCGAGGAGATCTCATCTATGGTCCTAATTAAGATGCGAGAGATTGCCGAGGCTTTCCTAGGCACAGAAGTGAAGAATGCCGTCGTCACCGTCCCTGCCTACTTCAACGACTCACAGCGGCAGGCAACCAAGGACGCTGGTGTGATTGCAGGCCTCAACGTCATGCGCATCATCAACGAGCCTACTGCCGCTGCCATCGCCTACGGCCTCGACAAGAAGGCCACCAGCGTCGGCGAGAAGAACGTCCTGATCTTCGATCTTGGCGGTGGCACCTTCGATGTCTCCCTGCTGACAATCGAAGAGGGTATCTTCGAAGTGAAAGCCACTGCTGGAGACACTCATTTGGGTGGCGAGGATTTCGACAACAGGATGGTGAATCATTTCGTTCAGGAGTTTAAAAGGAAGAACAAGAAGGATATCAGTGGGAGCCCGAGAGCTCTTAGGAGGCTTAGAACTGCTTGCGAGAGAGCCAAGAGAACCCTCTCCTCCACCGCGCAGACCACGATCGAGATCGATTCCCTCTTCGAGGGGATCGATTTCTACTCCACCATCACCCGGGCGAGGTTCGAGGAGATGAACATGGACCTCTTCAGGAAGTGTATGGAGCCCGTGGAGAAGTGCTTGAGGGATGCTAAGATGGACAAGAGCACGGTGCACGACGTGGTTCTTGTGGGCGGTTCCACTAGGATTCCCAAGGTCCAGCAGCTCCTCCAGGACTTCTTCAATGGGAAGGAGCTCTGTAAGAGCATTAACCCAGACGAGGCAGTGGCTTATGGTGCGGCAGTTCAAGCTGCAATTTTGAGCGGCGAGGGTAATGAGAAGGTTCAGGACCTACTTCTCTTGGATGTCACCCCTCTGTCTCTAGGGCTGGAAACTGCTGGAGGTGTGATGACTGTCCTGATTCAAAGGAACACGACGATCCCAACCAAAAAGGAGCAAGTTTTCTCGACCTACTCCGATAATCAGCCTGGAGTGTTGATACAGGTCTATGAAGGCGAGAGGACGAGGACGAGGGACAATAACTTGTTGGGCAAGTTTGAGCTCTCTGGCATTCCACCTGCTCCGAGGGGGGTTCCTCAGATCACTGTGTGTTTCGACATTGATGCCAACGGCATCTTGAATGTCTCGGCGGAGGATAAAACGACAGGGCAGAAGAACAAGATCACGATTACCAACGACAAGGGCAGGCTGTCGAAGGACGAGATTGAGAAGATGGTTCAGGAAGCCGAGAGGTACAAGGCTGAGGATGAGGATCACAAGAAGAAGGTGGAGGCGAAGAATGCGTTGGAGAACTACGCTTACAACATGAGGAACACGGTGAGGGACGAGAAGATTAGCTCCAAGTTGGCCGCAGACGACAAGAAGAAGATTGAGGACTCCATCGACCAGGCGATTCAGTGGCTGGATAACAACCAGCTCGCTGAGTCGGATGAGTTCGAGGATAAGATGAAGGAGCTCGAAGGAATTTGCAACCCTATCATTGCTAAGATGTACCAGGGTGGCGCCGGTCCTGACATGGGTGCCGGCGGTCATGCTGACGTTCCTCCGGCAGGCGGCAGCAGCGGTGCCGGTCCAAAGATTGAGGAGGTCGATTAAACCGATGATACGGTGGCGTTTTAAGTTCGAACAGTGCGTTTTGCAATTTTTGTGGTGTTTTTTTTTAATAACCTTTTTGGTTATCTAGCTTACAGTTGAGAACAATTATGATTTACTTTCCTTTGATCTAGCTTCAAAGGAATGTTTCGGATAATGTTACATTATGCAGTACTGATAGTTTCTAATCGAAGTAGCACAATTTTCCAAACTGATTGTTCATGTCAACCCGCTGTAATTTCCGATTTTCTTCACGACTTCCTCCTCCATTTCCACTAGCTGACCGCAGAAAGTTTCGAGATCGAACGCTTCCTCCTTGAAGCTGAATCGGTATTCTTTCCACTGATAATCACAAATGCCGTCATTTCCAACGGCTGCAACTTTTGCAAGCATGTCGAAGCCCTTACGATCCACAGAGAGCATGTATACATCCTGATTAACAAGTTAGGAGAAACTACTTAGCTTTGCTCTGCTGTTTCCATAAAAAGGGAGAAAGGGTGATGGAAGTAAGTTTCGAGTTTCTTACTCTGGCATTAGCATTCAAGTGTACGAGGCAGAAAAGGGTGAGAGCCTTACACCTTGCTTCGCTTTGGTTTATACCATCAATAAGCCTGGAAGAGAACGATGCTGCACAAGTGTGGAACACAAAACTGTTAACTAACATGCACATATGGGGTAAACATGGTGATTCAGATTCCATAATAAGTACAGTAGAATCAAGTGTAAAGGGCCTACCCAACGGATCGGTTCTACACTTTTCAATATCTTCAGTATCAACTTCATGCGTTCCTCCATTGCCATCAACATACATGCATGAACTGGATGGACAACAAGTTGACAGGTTAATTTCCTGAATCACTGTCATTGATTTGTTTCTCCAATCCTAAATCTTATGATCAAGGAAGGGTGCCATTGAAACAACACTTATATGCTCATTTGACTTAATAGCTGACAACGATGGGAAGCTGATCACCACTCGAGCAGTACGTAAATGATGTAATGAATATCCTGGCCTAGCCATGAGCAGATGATTGATGATTCCTTCTCTTCATTTTGTGCAGAGGGCCCCTAAAAAAGCTGAGTAAGTGTATCTGAAAGAATTCCTACCTCACGATGAACTTATAAATATGGTACTTTTCATGTTCATCTAACAGCTCCTTGAGGCTGTCACTTCGTGATGCAGTAATCACATCTGAACAACTCAATATGCTAGAAACCGTGTAAGCTGCATCATTAACAACTCTTTCTTCCGCCTCTATGATTTCTTTAAGATTTTCCACCGTCAATTGTGCCTGGACGGATAAATTAAAGAAACCAAGACTATGTAAGCATTAATGGTTGCATGGCAAATGGAAGTTCTAGTAAGATGGATATGAACCTTTTCTTCTCTAAGAGGTAAGATGTCCCCAGTTAGAGCAATCCGTGCTGGTAACTGCATCGAACATATAAAATAGTTTTACTTGGTATCTCTTGCAGCCTATCTAAGAAAAAGGGATCAAGCTCTTACACAGAAAATAGTCACTAAACCACCATATATAATTACTAAGGTGTCATGGAAGCAAATCTAGCAAACGTTAAAACTGCAACTCGTGAAATAAGAATGAGGGGGGAAGAATAGAAGTAACTTAGCAGCCAACCTTATCTGTCAATTTCAGCAACTTTGCTAAGGGCCCTGGGAAGGGACTAGCAACAGAGAACGAGCTACGCTCGTCAATGATTGTATTCTGCAAGAACAAAACAAGAAAACCAAAATTTGAACTTCACTATACAAATTTATGTGGAAACCAACAGCTTCAGCATATTTCATGTCAATTCTTATGCTCAGGTGGCATGTGAATTCTGTGTAAGTTGTACATGGATTAGACATTAAGGAATCATATAGGCACCGCAAGAAATGTGATCAACATATCAGTTCACCAACCGCATAGGGGAACCACTAAAAAACAAGGGAACTAATAGAACCGAGTTCAGAGTGGTACCATGTTGTGCATATCTTTGTCTTGTACCCATATGAATGGCCTTCCTTTCTTCACTATGTACTTCACCTTTGAAGTGTATATATCCTCCTTGCTATGATCAATGCAGATATGCCGATAAGTATTAATTAGCAAAAAAGATGGCAATAACTTCTGTTTACTGTTTAGTTTGATAAATCACTCAACCCAATGCAGACCCTATTCCTTAATTCCTCGGCAACCAAACAAAGCTAAGACCTTGGGATCAGGTACACCAAACCAAACGAGCAAAAAAAGGGCTGGACCGAATATATGCTTACCTTCCCTTTGCATCTGCTTTGATTGTGTGGAGGTGACCTTGCCAGTTAGAAGCCAGTATATTCTACAGAAACCATTACAATTCACCAGTGGGTTTTTACCCCAAGGAAATACTTTTCAGCTACTAAGCAAAGAAGAAATTGAAGTAATTGAGCACCTTGCACTTCTCAGCGAGCGTCAAGACGGTGGCTTTCTTGGCCCTGATCATGATCTCTCGTTAGGGTTCACTCTGGTCTGCGTCTATCTCATGCACACCAGCTGCTCGACGGAATTCCTCTGTCGGAGTCTTCGGCGACCTGTGCAACGTAGTAAGAGGTTGGCTGCAAGCTTGCAAGAGATGGCGAGTAGCGAAATGAGGGTTTATGGGCCTCGGACGGAGAGAAAATAAAATAGGAAGCGGGCTGAATTATATCTCAAGGCCCATTTGTTGGATGCTTGTGGGTCATTAGCCCCATGGGCCCAGCCCACTGAGACCGTTACTTTTCGCCTTTCACCTTCTTTTCCAGTTGAATTGGAACCCCTTGCAACAGTTTAACTGCCGTTCAGCTTCCGAAGTCGGAAAAGAATCGGAGCTGCAAACGTTGGCAAATCGGATCTCTTCTATTTCAGCAACCATGGCGGAACAGCCGCTGGATCTCTCCGCAACCATTGCGGAACAACCGCTGGAGCTCGAATCATCGCCATCGGCATCCCCACCAGGAGAAGAGGAAAACGAAGGAGAAGAATCGCTTGGTAAATTGGTAGCTGACTCTTCTTTTGAAAAGGGGCGGCATGTGATGTTCTTGCAGATGATGTACCAGATACTACCACATCATTACCAGTCTCAAGAGATCAACCGCCTTACTCTGGCCTATTTCGCCATCTCCGGCCTCGACATAGTCGGCTCACTAGATACAGTAAGCTCTGCTGCTTCTTCTCAATTGTTTGTTGAGTTGAAGCTTCTCCATACATGGATATTGGAGTATTCTAGTGTTTAGTTCAGAATTCCCTTGTTCTTGAGTGAATTTTCTTCTTGACTGGATCAGGGTGTCTGAATTATGAAGTTAGCTAGTTGAGATCACAGACTTCAAATTTGCCAATCCAATGAAAATAGTAGTAGTTAGACGTAGCTAATCGAATGAAAAGATAACTAGTAGGTGTTAAGCAATGCTGCATTGGTCAAAGGAACTATATTTCTTAACATTCTGTGTAACTTTAACGTGGAGTCTGGATATGCAAATCGCAACATATGTTTGCTAAAGATGGATATATTGCTGATATAAACATTCAGTTCTTTTCATAAGCTCTGAAGAAACCAAAAAAATGCTGTTATGGTTTAATCCCACAATTGTACCCTGAACTATTCAACTTTTTTCTGGATTTTCTAGGTGGACAAGGATGAAGTTGCTAGTTGGGTTCTATCTTTCAGAACTCACCCTGAAGATATTGCTGAAATTAACTGTGGTATGTCTTGAATCGTTTTGTATTTCAGAGAATGGGATTAAACTGATGGGATAGCTGTATTTATTGATTTGGGGAAAAGCTAAAAGGAGTTGTTGGATGACTTTAAAGTTTATCTTCCCCTTGGTTTCTATCTTTTCTCTTTTTGAACATGCAAGACTGGTCCAAGTTTAGGTGCCTGTATGAACACACCAAATGCTGATAATGAAATTTCACCTTGCTGCAGGAGAATTCTATGGGTTTAATGGTTCCCGCTCTTCTCAATATCCTTCAGACGATGCTGGGGTTCGATGAAAACTGACCTTTGTTCTTCCAGTGATGCCCTAGCTTTAGGCATTTCACTTAGTGTCAACAAAAGCTTTTAGCTGCTGCCATTTTCTTCCTGTTTTTGGCAACTTTTTCTTATAATTGATATGCTTGTAGGTGGTCAGCGGTAATCATAGTCATTTAGCAAGTACATACTGTGCTTTGGCCATATTGAAGATTGTTGGTTACAATTTGTCCAATATTGATTGGAGGCCATTGTTAATGACGATGAGAAACTTACAAAAACCCGATGGCAGGTATCTTAATGTTTCTTATTGAAAATGTTTGTTTTTCCTCATTCACAGTGACTGCTATCCCCGCCTCTAGGTGTTTTTACATACGAATGTAGCTGTTATTAAGAGAAATTTGTCTTTGAGCACATTGTTTGGTTGCACGAGGTAAAAGGAATGTCCTAATCTATCATTTTTCACTGCAGCTTTTCTCCAATTCATATTGGGGCAGAGACAGATCTTCGGTTTATTTACTGTGCTGGTAAGAAAAAAGAAGCTAAATGCTAATATGCTATAAAAGTTCTTGGACCTCTTTAAATGTGTAATTCTTACAAATGAGTAATGTTTCAGCGGCCATCTGCTTTATGTTGGATGATTGGAGTGGGATGGACAGGGATAAAGCTACTGAATACATCTTAAAATGCAAGGTTGTGCCACAATTCTCTCTTAATCTTCTCTTTTTAAGCTTCTCTCTATAGTCTCCAATTTCTGGAACGTTAGGCCAAGGCACTCCAGCCCTGGCGGCCAGAAATGCTCTTAGGGAGAAGGTTCTAACTTGTCCAAATGGCCCGAGTTCTCACTTTCTGCACTTGGTTTTTTCTTTCCTTCCTTGTCATATGGTTGTTTATTGCTTAACTGTTAGCTAAATAGGTCAATAGTGCTAGGAAAACTACAGACCATTGTATATCAGTTGATAAACACAAATCCAATGATCTTGTACGAGACAGAAGGTATTCCTAAAGGTTTTGCTACTTGCAGCAAACAAAGAAAGTTTTATGCTAATACTGCAGCATGGGGTGCAAGAATTGAATACAGTTAGTTATAACCTCAAATCTATATTAGGGTTAATCTTGAAATGTACTTTCGTTACATGCTGTCTTATTACTTGTTAGCTACACCAGGCTTCTCTGAGGCTCTCGTGTTGCTCCATGCCTTGGACTTACGAACCTAAGCATGCCTCCCCTTGGAACTTGGTGCAGCTTGATCAACGTTGTGTGATACACTGCATGCTTTTCGCTTGATTGAAAATTTGCTGCTTCATGCCCTTATGTACATGGTGTACTTTCCTTTCAGGCATATGATGGTGGCTTTGGTATGACTCCAGGTGCAGAATCCCATGGTGAGTGTAAAAAGTTCTAGTTGGCGAATTTCAGCACGAGCTACCTTCTAATGAGCCTTCCGTTTCTTTTCCTGCTTATTCTTCAGTGTGTAGTTGACCTCAGTAATATACTCAAACTGTTCATCTACAGTATAGGAAAAATAAGCTGTAACCATCGCATGTTACATATTCTCACTTCTCGGGTCTCACGAGCTTGCTCCTTGCAACTTAATTACAGATAATATCTGTTCTAGTGGACAGGTGGTGGTACTTATTGTGCGGTTGCATCCCTTCAACTAATGGGATCCATTGGAGTTGATCTTTTCTCCAGCTCTGCAAGTTCTTCCATACTGGACATTCCGCTATTGCTGGAATGGTGCTTACAGGTCTGTATTCTAGTATCTAACCTTCCAGACCATCTAGGATTTGGATACTGGACATTAGACAATCAGCTGAGACAAAGGTCATCGATGCTTGAATAAGGTTGTAACTATCTTTTTGTTTGCTTCAGAGGCAAGCATCAGATGGCGGATTTCAAGGTAGATCAAATAAGCCGAGCGACACTTGTTATGCATTCTGGTAAGTACCTTTTGCGAGTTCCTCTCCACGGTATGCTCTACGAGAGTTCCATGTCCTGGAATTGACAACGGTGATTCTTGCTTGTGTACAGGGTTGGGGCGGTTTTGAAGATCTTGGGGGCCGGCAAACTAATCGACGAGAAAGCTTTACGTGGATTTTTGCTCACCTGCCAATCTGAGGTGCTTGGGATTGCTGTGATCTACTTTATTTACTCTCAAGTTGGTCACTGTCAGTTGTTCCCTTTACTTACCTATGTTGTTTTGTTTTTGTCTTTCCAGTATGGTGGGTTCTCCAAGTTCCCAGATGAGCTACCTGATCTCTACCATTCCTACTATGGATTCATTGCCTTCGGCCTCCTGGAAGAACCCGGCCTCAATTCAATCTGCGTTGAGCTCGGAATAACTGATGCTGCTGCTTTGAGAAAATGACTACAACATATTAACGGCCACATAAGGAAACCGACGGAACAGAGGACTCCTGGCAACTTGTGCTCCCCAGAGAGTGGTCAGATAGGTTATGTGACATTGCTGATTCACTGACAGTAGACATAAACCAGAAAAAATACCAGCCATGAAGTACAGTTGGATCATCCTTCCATCATTCATTTTTTTCACGAAATCCGGTTTTACCTTGCATTTGGGGACAAGGATTGTCCATTGTGTAGAATTGTACCAAGTGTATTATGTATGTAGCATAGAAATTTATCTGGAACTACTTGACATCAGTTTACCGGCGAACCAAGAATCAGACATAGACGATATGGTATATTCCAGTTTAGGCATCTGCACTCGATCTACAATCTTTCTCTTAGCCATGTTAAGACAAGGAAATTAATCAGTTACAGTCAAACGTGAATGAATGATTACTTCAAAATGAGAAACAATTAAGGTTTCTGTTAACGATGGTAAGGCAGAAATGGTGGCAATACAGAGACACCCTGAATTGGTTAATCAATGTGCAAAGGCAGAAATGGTGCAAGAGTAAGCCTGCTATTGCTCCTCCAAGTTTGGGACAGAGAGTGAATACAGAGACACCCTTTCCTTTTCTTCCACTTTTAACCTTTCGGCCTCAGCAGGAAAACTCCCCACCCACCACGGAGGCAGGAGGGGACACACCTTCACGGGGCTTTGTTGTTTAGGAAAATGTCCAAAACGAAATCAAGCCAGATTCAGAATGTCACTAAAAGCTCAGTGTATTTCCTACTTTGTATAATTATCTTCCTGATTTGAGACTCTCAGACTGAAGATGGCCCTCTGATGTTGATCACACGGCTCCAAATATACCATTTGATGTCGATCAGCTCATGCTGAAGCAATAATGGTTTAGCAGCTTAGTGGAGCTGGTTTGGAGGATTGTGGCCCAGGGAGAAGTCCCCATGCTACAATAACTAAGCGTAGCAGCAGATCGTGCAGCAGGATTAGGACATGATAGATGGGCAATAAGTGAAGTGAGAGTGAATAAAACGTTGTGGTGGTCTTTGATTTCATGATCATGCTTTCTGTCGTCATAGGCATGGATTGGAGGGTGAGAGTGACTAAAAAGTGATTGGATGACGCTCTTCTGTGCTTTTGAGAGATACCCTTATTCCTTCCCTTTCCTTTCCTTTCTGGGTACAGATTGGTATCAGCACTTCCTATACAGATACAAATATGATCATCTTTTAAGTTTTTAACTACTTCTAGATACCCGTGTGGCCAAGTTGCCAGTGGTTTTCGATTTGGCGAGGGCATCTACATGGGCTACCACGGTACCACCGTTACTTTCCAACACGATCATTGAGTGTGTCTGGTGTTAGCATGAACTAAACAATATGGATCGTCGAATATGTCTGGTGTTAACACATACATTCGACGACTCAAATCGCGTAAAGATGACTTGATAGTGTTAGCCTGTGCTGAACCTCCTAGTTCAGCATGCTACCATTATTCAGTGCTTTTTAAGAGATGAATTGCTTTGCATATGAAACATATGACTAAGCTGACAAAAACCTGAATAAATTACTGTTACTAGTAGTACTTGTCACCACACTTTCCTTTTTCAATGTTACTTTCTTCCTTTTTTTACTCCTTTTGGACCTGAAGCAGCAGTGAGAGAGTTGTATTGCACTACTCATTCACACACACTCACCAGAATGATTACACATTGTGAATCAGAGACAGCTCAAAGTGACAAATGGAGGACAGTGCCAATATATTTTTTACTATGTAAAACAATACCAATGTTAACTGGTCCCTCCCACTTGTTCTTGTCTGCCTTACCAAAAACAGTCCACTCTTAAGCATCCCAGAAATGTTTAGTAGAGGTTTAAGAGGCTTAAATCCCAGGATGATGAGCTAAAACTGATACATTAATGGGAAGAGGAAGAGTAAGGAAGAAAACAAATCCCATCTAATTTCACCCATGTTAATAAACAAAAACAAAAAAGATAAAGATTAACAAGGAACTAACAAAAGGAACACTCTAATCTAATTATGACACAAAGGGAGCTTTGCCTTTGCTGGATGATGGTGAAGAAGGCAGAGGAAGTACCTGTGAGATTGAACTACTGCTGACCTCTCTTTCTCTGTATTTGTCAACTATGATGGTGATAAAAGGTCCATCTACTTCTTCACTTTGGTCAGACTTTGAACTTCCGGCCATCTTCTGATTCCTAGTAACCCTTTTCATTATCTTTAACTTCCCCTTATCATCAACTTCTTCTAGTCTTCTCCTCCTGTACAGTTTTTCCTCTGCATCCTGCAAGAACTTGAACTTTGGAGGTGGGGAAGACCTTATCTTGTTGAACTCAGCCTCAGCTGACGTCTCCAACTGGCCATGGCTGTATGACCCACCAATCTGGTTGTTACTACTACTGTTGCTGTTACTACCATTGGAAACGGGATCCAGCATTGGAGTGAGAGGAGGGGTGAAGAATGGTGGAGAAGCAAGAGGGGTGAGATATGGTGTCTCCACAGTCAACATCAAATCACTCAAGCTTCTCCCTCTTGACCCTTTACCACCGCCAGCTCTTGACTTGGCTTCCTCAGATTCCAAATCTTCTCTAGTCTCCTCAACAATTGTGAACAGAAGCCTTGGTGGGCCTGAGAGACTATTATTGCTCAGCATCATGAGCTCACCTTCAACCATTTCATCACTACTGCTCTCATGATCCCCGCCAAATGGCTTGAACACAAACTCCTTCCCTTGATGAGCCTCATTGTTCACCACTAGAGCATCAGTGATTCTCACTGATGAGCACAGCTCCTTGTTTGATGATGATGGCTTTTTGAGACAGAACATGTAGAACAATTCCTTGGCTGGGCTGCTTAAACCATCCCTCCCAGTGGTCATTCTTCTGTTTGTGAACCTTCTCTTCCACCATAGCAGGTAGTAAAGCTCACCCACTAGAGCTAGTAACAGGCACCCAAAAACTATGCTCAACCCAAGTCCTATACTACTCAAAGATTTCATCTTTCTCCCAAATTATTACATAAGAGATTCTTTCACCTGGACCCCAAGAACAAGCAGCAAGTTTTACCATAAAACAGCTTTGGGAAGTGAAGAGGACCAGCTTGGAAGGAGTTGACAGTACAAACTAAAGAAAGAGAATGAGTAGGAAAAGTAAAGAAAAGAAAAGGCTTGATGACAGTAAGGCCACATAGTTCAAGTGTTGATGTTCAGTGAAAAATGATCAGATGGCAATCATAAGCCTTTGGTTCGGTCCAATGCATGATGAACATGGCATATAGCATTAGCACAACACAATTGCCATTTGCCAAAAAACTTTTATCCCTAAAGCCCAATCCAAAAAATGGATCCCTTTTCTTTGCCCCGAAAATAAAAGACCCAACCATCTTTTCTTTTTTCTGTGCCCTTTCCAAGGGGACTGTCAACCCACATGAGCTACCTAGTAGGCCACATTGGTGCAGGACAATTACAAGTGGTCTCTCGCCTTTCAGTTTGGCATATTATCGAACAGGTTGTGGACAAAGCCAAATAATTCAGCGGCGAGCAAGTTTTTTAGCGAAGGAGCTATCGGTCTTCATGGGTTTTGCTGAAATGCACGCAGAAAACCAGGATGGGCTGTTAATTTAAGGGATAGACAGATTGGGAAATAAACATTGGTGGTTGCATATATAAATAGTTGAAATGTTGCAATAGGTAGCTCACATGGGATCACAACAAGTAAAGGGATAGTATTATAGTAATGTGTCAGTGGTTGCCAATCATGATCAAGTTGGGATTCACTTGCATAACCATAATTATTGAATTTATCATAATAATAACTAATTTATTAGAAATATATACCAAGTCCAGATTTTGGAAAGATTTTTGACAAATTTAGTCATTTTTGTTAAAAAAATTTTAACAACGTTAGAGATTTCGTCAATTTTCAACATTAACAATACGCTGACGAGTATGTCACCTGGACGCACACGTCAAAGGCAACTCGACGTGTTATGCCACGTTGATGGCACATCACACTTTAATGATAAAATACACATGTATAGCCATAAACTATCAATTTGGGGACAATAATAGCCAATTTCCGAGAGAGACAAAATGCTTAATTTCGTCTTAAACTTTAACGGAGTCACTTTAGAATTTAGATGCTAATTTGACTTATTTTTTTGCTGACTTGGCTACATTTATTAAAAATATTAGCAGGATAAATTAACTAACATAGATAAATAAAATAGAACGGAAGGGGTCATTCGCCTCCAATTCTCCCCAGCTCCTTCCCATTCTCATTCCTTCAATCGCCCGCCTCAACTCCTTTTCATCTCTGCCCATCCGTATTTGACTGGTGGCTCCAATCAGGACTTCCTCTACTGCTATCTAGACATTCTGTGTATTTCTCAACAATTGACTATTATTGTTACAAAGTCAATAGTCATGGCTTTGCAATTGAATTTAGTTAATTCCACCTCACAATATTTTTCATTCAGTTCTGCCAAGTCAGCCAAAATGTTAGTCTAATTATATTCTTAAATGACTTTGTTAAACTTTTTAACGAAATCGAACATCTCTTTGTATTTTTACAACGGTGAACACTCTCTCTCTTAAACAAAATAAATTGTTGCGAATAGCAAACATCAAACAATCCCTTCGCTGTGAAAATCAAACTGTCGTCGGAATGCATCAAAACCAACTTGAATGCCGCCTTAAACAAGCAACTTAGGTGACTTGGCCGCATCGGGGCTTATTGGAGACCACAGTTAAACATGGATTAAGGGATTTTGGTATAATGGCACTGAGAGCATCTCCATTGGTGCAATTGTATTTGCAATTGTATTTGTTTTTTTATGGTTATTTCATTTTTTTGCAATCCAACTCATCTTACTTGCATTGCACCACATCAATGCAATTAACTTACAATTGCAACTAATTTTTTAATTTAATTTATTAAAACATAAACACTCAAATAATAAAATTAATGAATAATTTAATAATAAAAAAGATGATGTGGCTTGCACTTCATAATTGCATTAGAGCATCTCCATCAATGCAATTGCAAAAGAAATTGTATTTGTGTATTTTATTGTCAACTCAAATTTTTTGCAATCCACATCACATTCATTTCATTCACCTACATCAATGCAATTAACTCGAAATTGCAAATATAATTAAATATTATTTTTAAATTATAAAAAATTAAGTAAAATAGAAAAGAAAATAATATAAAATAAAAATCCCTATTTTTGTAGGCTTTTTTTACTTGCATATGATATTGCATTTGTTGCGAGCTTGCAAATATGCAATTGGTAGCCACATCAATGCAATTGGTTTTGCAATTGCAAACACCTATGTCATGTCATTTTACAATTGAGAATGCAATACCAATGTGGATGCTCTTATATGCAAGCTTGCAAAGATGTAATTGTCATCTACATCAATACAATTGCATAATGCAATTGCAAATCAATGTTAATTGCAAATCAATGTTATGCATAATGCAATTCCATTGAAGATGCTTACCAAACCACTGTAATTCGTCAAATTCAATTGGAAAATCGAATCACAGAGATAAAAATTCAAAACTTCACTGGCTCGGCGCGGAATGTACAATAATACCCTCCAACGTAACCCCCAAATTCCGCTCCTCGTCCCCCACCACGTCGCCGCCGCCCTGAATCGACACCAGAGGCGACGGCGCGGCGTCGGTCCGGCACATCGGGCAATTGGAGTGCGAATACAGCCACATGTCGATACACCCGACGTGGAACGAATGCACGCACTCCGGCAGCGTCTTCAACTCCTCCCCTTCCTCGAACTCGCACAGGCAGATCGCGCACGTGCCGCCGTCCTCCTTCATCAGCCCCATCCCTTTGTAGAACTTGTACGCCGGGATCAGCTCCGCCGTCGAGCTCTCGATGCTGCTGTGCCCTTCCAGCACCTCCGCCATGAACCGCCGCGTCTGCTGCTGCCTCCGTCCCCCCGCCCCCTGCTGGTTCCCCAGCCCCCCGCCGCCGACCCGGCCCCAATTGTTGCGGTTGCACCATCCCACGGCGATGCAGTGGTAGATTGTGACGACGAGGGCGGCGGATCCGACGCCGACGAGGAGGATCGCGATCTTGGTGTTGAAGTCATCGTTGTTGTTGTTGCCGTTGATTCCACCGGGAGACGACATGGCGTTGTTGTATCCGGAAGGAAAGGATTGGGGGGAACGGAAGCTGGCTGGAAGAAGAAGAATCCATTAGGTTACAAGATCGATTGAGGATTAAAAATTGGGACTTGGGAGGGGGGAGAAGATACGGCGGTGAATTCGAGATTCGGGGGAGTTTTGTCGAGAGGGGTTTTCTAATTTTGTCTGAGATCACTAAGTAGACATTGGCAAGTTGGTGGAGTTCTGGGTGGACGGACGACGACGATCGTCTCTGTTCTCTGTCTTCTCTTCTTTGAACTCTTCCTCTGCGGTTTATTTCAACCAAAAAAAAAAAAAAAAACTCTTCCTCTGCGGCAAGGTTGTCAAACCGGTTTATACCGTTGTGTCGGTTTGGCAAGTGGAATGGTACGACCGGTGGTATAACCAGTTCGTGCCGGTTCAAAAAAATGTGAAAACAATTAATATGTAATGTATTTAATCATATATAAAACATATTTGTGGACAATTTAGTTACAATCCAACAAATATCATCAACTTTTAGCTATTACATTCATAAAATGAATAATAAATTAATTTTTTTATTAATTAAGTTCATTAAAAATGCGTAAGTCGATCATACCAGTCATACCAGTGGTGTCATGCCGGTTTCATGACCGGCACAGGTTGAACCAGGTTCAACCGGATGGCATGCACCGGCATGACAACCATGCTCTGCGGTGCTTCCGCCGGGCCCCACCTGCTCTTTTTCACGCGGTTTCTGGAACTGGGCTTCGGGATGTTCGTGGATGTTTGCACTCACGTAGCTCGGCCTCGGGCCTGAATTGGGCCTGGGTATGATTTTACAAGGTATTGACTCAGCCACCCTAAGCCCAAGGGTTGGTGTTCAATTACAGCTGAGAGCTGACGGATCACGCTTATATGTCCAAAGGATCACGCTGATATGTCCAAGTGAATCGGTACGGATAGACTTTTAATTAGCAATTTTATTAGTAATATTGATTTGACAAAATAATACTAATTTAAAAAAGACATATGAAGGTTATATTTTAAAATTTTAATATTTCAACTAAGAAAAAAGTTATAAAATTATTAACGATAACGTAAAAAATGCTAATATATTGATGCATAACAAAGATTTGACTAATTAATAGCATTTTAATAGGTTTGAATAATATAAAAGAATCTAATATTAATCATGTTTATAGGGAGTGTAACTCTGCTGCTGATTTCTTAGCTAGCATGGGGCATGATCTCCATTTTGGCACGCATCAACTTGATACGTGTGACCCCAAACTCCTGTATTGGCTGACCTATGACGCTAGGGAAACTTCCCAAGAGCGCGATATTTTAATCTGATTCTGGATGCTCTGCATCCATCTTCTTACCAAAAAAAAAACTAGCATTGGGCCCGCCTGTTGGCCGGGGTTTTCGAAATTTGAAGAACAGAAAGAGGATTAAAAAGCATAATCTGTCACTAATGGTTCAACGACATAAAGGTATTGTAGCCATTTTTAGTGTTGTTTTGCCAAGCATGTTAGATTGATTTTTTATTCTACCGGTATGTGTATTCTGTTGTACTATATCGGCCAGTGAAGTATAAAATACTCGAGCAATAGTACTCAAACAATATGAATTCTTAACTTTGACCATTTCATCAGTAAGCATTGGCCATAAGATCCATCTATATTATGCAGTATGTTGAAAGGTAATTGTCATGTTTACTCAACAATTTCATCCCTTAACACCAACCAATCTGCAGAGTGCACTTACTTGCCATAACCCACAAACATGTTCCTTATCTGTTTATTTGTTATTGATGCTTGTTGTGAATTTGTTTCTCTTGTTTTTTGTTGGTGTATTCTCTTGAACCATCCATTGTCATATTTGAGTAGTGTACCAAGTGTTATGTTTTACGGCAAATGATTATCAATAAAATCATGCTGCACTTTACATTATGTAGCAAACTTGAATTTCCAATGTGCATAAGTAATTATGACAGCTTTGTTGCTTCCTTAACACAAACTGGAAGTGTCTATTTGAAGGGTTGCTATTCCATCCTCGCGTGGTGGTTGTCTCCTGTAGCTAGTTTTTTAGTTTGATGCAGTATGAGTTGTGGCTTGCAGCCTTGTTTACCTTCCAATCTTTGTTTCTCATTGCTGGTTGTTTTACAGCTTGTGACCTCCCCAGCTCGTAGGGATCCCTCTGCTTTGGTCCCCTAGTTCCCTGCTTTTCCCCCTTTTGTTCCTGCTGATCTGTACTGCATTTTCTCTGTTCGTTTGTCCCTTTTCGTTTGGACTTTGCACTCTTGTTCTTCTTTGTTCTTTCTCAGGCCTTGTGGGAATCTGTCTTTTGAACTCTGCTTTTATTTAATAAAGGTCATCATCAAAGAAGAGTTCAAAGTCCAGAAGCCAAGGAGGGAAAATTAAACATAGAAGATCAAACCAATTCTCCATTTTTATGAAGCCAAAAAAGGGTTTCAAGTTTCTAGAAACCAAATAAAACCAAAAACTCCATTGAACTGATACCAAGTAAAGGAGCAAATCTGAGTGATAAAAAAAGCTTGCAAACAACCAATTAGCATGCAGAAGGAAAATCATGATAGCTGGAGCATCTTTCTGTAAGTAATTCTCAGAAGAACACTAAGAACAAAAGAAGAAAAGTAAATAAACAAAATTGAGAAAACCAACCATTTAAAATCTATAATTACACCTCGTTTGCTCACCACAAAATGATTTTGCTTCATTACATGTATCATGCTTATAAGGTAGAACTAATTCAATATAAGTAATATGCCATTTCATGCTTTTGCTGATTGCAAACGGCTTTTAATACATTACATATATCATTGCTAAGAAGTTACAATTAATCCAATATAAGTAATATGTCATCTCAATTCATGCTTTTGCTCGTTACAAATTGCACTACTTCAATACTTATATCATGCTTAGAAGTTAGAACTAATGAAGTACAAATCATGAATGGAAACTTCATAACAGCCAAAGAAGAGTGGAAGGAGAAGAGTACGTAATTGAGACTGTAATAACACTCACTCTGATGCATCCGTCGGACCACCAAAAGAAACTTCCTTCTCCTCCTCCTTCTGGCTAGAAGAAGTATCACGGCAACAACGCTTTGGAGGCGTTACTGCAATCGCTCAATCCCAACAAGAAAATTAACCAATAAGTCAGGGGAAATAAATTCTTCAACGAACTGTGGTTCAGGCCTCAGAGCCCAATCCAAAAATTGGATCTAAATCACGTCAAAGTACTGAGCAACTGTAGAACATAACCGGGGACGCGTAATTGTTACAATTGGATCAAACCTCAATTTGAAAAGGAAAAATAAATTAAAGAGTACCGGCACGGAAATCCCATGAACAGATTCCCAGAAGCCAAAATACAAAAATTCACTAATTAAGGGTACTTACATGAATAGAGGACATAGATCCAATTAGGCACTAAGAGAGGTTTCTTAACTCCGCGCATCGAGACAAACAACAAGAGCGAGAGAGGCTGGTTATCCAAGATGGTTTGGGTAAAGGACGGTGCTGGAGTGACTACGGAGTGGGACGTCAAGGGTGGCACGAGAGGCAGCAGGTGAGAGACACACACGCACGACGACAGAGCAGATGAAGGCGGTTTGCTAGGAGCTTTCGGCTACAAAACGCCGACAGCTCATAGCCAGGAAGTACAGACAGGGCGACGGTGGGAAATTGAGAGGTCTTCGATTGTGTTGTGACGGCGAGAGAGAGGCGATCGATTTCCGGTGGGAGATTATAAAACAAAATGCGAGAAAGAGAAGGACCAAAGGTGAGAGGTCTTCGATTGTTGTACTGCGACGACGATTGAGAGAACTCATAGAGGTGAGAGGGAAGCCGGTTTCCAGTAGGCTAGCGGAAGAGAGAGCCCGAGAAAGAGATGGATTGGAAATGTCCATAAAGGACCTCCGAACTGTGCGGTCGTTTGAGCAACAGCTGACGTGGCAAAGGCTGATTATTCGCATTGCATTATAGTGTTTTGTAGATTTCATTTATGTGGGCCTGTAATATAATATTGTATTCCCCCATTGGGCTTCAATACACCCATTGTTATGAGTATCCTCTCACGCGCCACCAACACGGATTATTGAGTACGAAAATTGTGGCGATGTGGGCGGTGATGGCTGGCCGGCCGGAATGCATTTCCGTTGCGCCCACCAAATACCTTTGTCCTTTACCACGTCGGTCAGTAAAAGAAGTCTCCCGAAGAAACTAGAAGTCCAAACAGTCATCAATCTTCCTCTTTTACCCCTTTTCCGACTTGGAAACCGAAACCCATTCCCCACCGTCCAATCTACCATCTAACGGCCACTGGTTCTCTAGAACTTTCGCGAACTCCCGCTCTATTCCGCCTTCGCCCCACACTCCGCCATTATAAAGTTCCTCTTCCCCGCAACTGTTTCTCCATATTGTTAGTCCCTAGATCTAACGCAAGCTCAAAAAATCCGTCGAAAACCCTACGCTCTCTCTGCGGTTTGTTTGATTCTTTTTCCTCCGGCGAAGATATGGCGAAAGGAGAAGGTCCGGCTATCGGTATCGACCTCGGTACCACATACTCCTGCGTCGGAGTATGGCAACACGACAGAGTGGAGATCATCGCCAACGATCAGGGCAACAGGACGACCCCGTCCTATGTTGCTTTCACTGACAGCGAGAGGTTGATCGGCGACGCCGCTAAGAACCAGGTCGCCATGAACCCCACCAACACCGTCTTTGGTAAGCTCTTATTCCTGTGCAGCAGAATTCCCCTGCTGTTCTCTATTCAATTGTTCGATTTTGTTTAAGTAGCCTGTTTAGGGTTCTTTATTCTGCTCTTCAGCTTCGTAGCTTGCTCTAGTGAATTTGATCGCCTGTGTCGATATAATTGTCTGAGCCTGTTGATGTAGTCTCCAGTTTTGATTTTGCATCTGAATTCTAACTCACCTGTTTGGGGGTTTTGATATTCTGTGAATATAAATATGCTAAGAGTCAGTTGTTTAGTTAGGGTTTGTGTGTAAACATTATGGTGGCTATTCAGGTATCTTATCAATTTGGTGTGATGTTGGGTATATGGTTGGGGTTTATGCGGTAAAACTCCCGCGGTTTGCTTACTGGTTTGTGATAATGACTCGCGACAGATGCAAAGAGGTTGATTGGCAGGAGGATCAGTGACTCCTCGGTCCAGAGCGACATGAAGCTATGGCCATTCAAGGTGATCCCAGGTGCTGCCGAGAAGCCCATGATTGTCGTCAATTACAAGGGCGAGGAGAAGACCTTTGCTGCCGAAGAGATCTCTTCCATGGTTCTTATTAAGATGCGCGAGATTGCTGAGGCTTATCTTGGTACCACCATCAAGAATGCTGTCGTGACAGTTCCTGCCTATTTCAATGATTCACAAAGGCAGGCTACCAAGGATGCCGGTGTCATTGCTGGCCTCAACGTTTTGCGTATCATCAACGAGCCTACTGCTGCAGCTATAGCTTATGGTCTCGACAAGAAGGCAACGAGTGTAGGGGAGAAGAATGTTCTGATCTTTGACCTTGGTGGTGGTACTTTTGATGTTTCTTTGCTGACCATTGAGGAGGGTATCTTTGAAGTCAAGGCGACTGCTGGAGATACTCACCTTGGAGGTGAGGATTTCGACAACAGATTGGTGAATCACTTTGTGCAGGAGTTTAAGAGGAAGAACAAGAAGGATATCAGTGGGAACCCAAGGGCTCTGAGGAGGTTGAGGACTGCTTGTGAAAGAGCAAAGAGAACCCTTTCGTCCACTGCTCAGACCACCATTGAGATCGACTCTCTTTACGAGGGCATTGATTTCTATTCCACCATCACCCGTGCCAGATTCGAGGAGCTAAACATGGATCTCTTTAGGAAGTGCATGGAGCCAGTGGAGAAGTGTTTGAGGGATGCGAAGATGGACAAGAGCGCCATTCATGATGTTGTGCTCGTCGGTGGATCCACCAGGATTCCCAAGGTGCAGCAGCTGCTTCAGGACTTTTTCAACGGGAAGGAGCTCTGCAAGAGCATCAACCCTGATGAGGCCGTTGCTTATGGTGCAGCAGTCCAAGCTGCCATCTTGAGCGGTGAAGGTAATGAAAAGGTGCAGGATCTTCTTCTGTTGGATGTTACCCCTCTGTCTCTTGGGCTTGAGACTGCTGGCGGAGTGATGACTGTTTTGATTCCGAGGAACACGACCATCCCCACCAAGAAGGAGCAGGTCTTCTCAACTTACTCCGACAATCAACCTGGTGTGTTGATCCAAGTCTATGAGGGTGAGAGAGCCAGAACCAGAGACAACAACTTGCTCGGCAAATTCGAGTTGTCTGGCATCCCCCCTGCCCCAAGAGGAGTACCACAGATCACTGTCTGCTTTGACATTGACGCGAATGGTATCCTCAATGTCTCGGCCGAGGACAAGACCACGGGTCAGAAGAACAAGATCACCATCACCAACGACAAGGGGAGGTTGTCCAAGGACGAAATTGAGAAGATGGTCCAGGAGGCAGAGAAGTACAAGTCTGAAGACGAAGAGCATAAGAAGAAGGTGGAGGCCAAGAATGCCTTGGAGAACTATGCTTACAACATGAGGAACACCGTGAAGGACGAGAAGATTGCCTCCAAGCTTGATGCTGCCGACAAGAGCAAGATCGAGGATGCCATCGACAAGGCCATCGAGTGGCTGGACAACAACCAGCTAGCAGAGGCTGACGAGTTCGAGGACAAGATGAAGGAGCTTGAAGGCATCTGCAATCCGATCATTGCGAAGATGTACTCTGCAGGTGGCGGTGCTGGCATGCCTGGTGGTGCCATGGACGAGGATGATGATGTTCCACCTTCCGGTGGCAGTGGAGCTGGCCCCAAGATCGAGGAAGTTGACTAAGTGTTTACCGTTTTTTAGTTGTTGGTGGGCGGTGTCTTTGGTGGATGTTTGAAACTTTTTTCTTTTTTTTTTGCTTTCCTTTTCCGTTTAACTAGCTTTATATGGTCTGATGCTCGAGGGAGATGCTCAGATGCAAGCTGGTGGCTTGCTTATTTGTTTCTGAACCAGTTTAAGTAGTATATTTGCCATTTCATTTTACATCAAGACCCTTTTCTTTATGTGGCTAGTTTTTTTATTGGAGTATCATTCTGCTCTAGTTTCGAGTACTTACATGGCCTTGTCAATCGGCCGGGCAATGGAGAAATCGGGTCATAGAAGCCAGTAAATCCTTCTTGCTGATAAGCAAAACGAGTATTGTAAAAGACAAAAAAGTAATTAGCAAAACGAGTCAGTTGATAAAAATTTAAACCAGACCACTTTAGATAGAACAAATGATTTAGTGATGATCTAAAACGTCCAGCTTCATTGTCGGAGAAGTTGTGCAAATTAAAGAAGAGCATCGGAAAAGAGGACTCGAGAGATTCATGATATTGGCTCAAAAACTCTGATGTATGAGTAGTCACACGGCAACTGGGAATGCACAGAGGATGATATCCTGAATTTGCTGAAGGGCAAAAAAGGTTGAAATGAATATTGTCATATCTATCGTAACGAACTAGAACAATAACGATCACAGTCCTTCTGTTAGTAAAGTACATAAGCAATCTTTCGCTATCCACCAACCTTCTTCTTCTCTGGAGGATGAAGGCGGGTGTGATTGAATTGTGTGTTAACTTGCAAAAACAATTCTTTAGCTAGCCATGAATTAAGTTGGTTAACATTTATAATAAATTTCTCGCAAATTAGTAAAAATTGTTACTATTCAGACACCTTCCTCATGCGGATCCGTGTAGTATTTACATTAAAAAAAAATTCCACTACTCAATCAACCAATTATGTAGAAGAAATTAACTATTTTGCGGCTTTGATACAATTAATGGCATCTATAATTTGCATTCCAATATCAAGTAGAAATTACGGCAACATAGTAAGCAGTAATAATAGTCCAAAAATTCTCTTTTATTCTTTGTTTTTAGGTATATGGTCAGTGTGCACTGCAATTAGGATATAGATGACTATTAGATAGTGTAAACAAGAAACAATTTTTTGTCAGGTGGAATAAGGATGCAAGTTATTCTGGTGATCTGCAATTCACTCACCCGAATAAGTACAAACAGAAAATCTATCATACCGCAATCCACCTACATCACTTTCCACCTAATATAATTCAAATTATTTACGGGTGGATCAATATTTAACCTCCCATTAACCACACACCCATATCTAAAAGCGCAAAGGCAATATCATAGTCGTCGAATGATTAACTTGAAACCCAACTAAAAAAGCTTTGTTTCCTTTGTTGATTGTTCTCTTGGCTAAGGCTTACGGTCAATTCTTATCATCCTTTTTCAAAAGTCGAAACCACTTCCTGGGGCTGTGCTTTTGTTGTTGCCATTGTTGACTGGCTTGGACCACGATCTAGCCGCAGATAGAGACAGCCATGATAGTCTTGAAGCGCACGAGTTTGAAACGGAACCGTCGAAAACCAGCGGCCATAACAGCGGTCCTTCAGATAGTGTAAAAGAATGTTGGAATTTTTGGGCATATGGTAATATCAAGCTACCGTGTTACTTCTTGTTGGATTCGAGTTCCGCAACTTCCTTTTTTTTTTCGCCTCCTGGCCTTTTCACTGATATGGTTCTAGGTGAACTCTTCCGCTTTCATGGAGGAGGTAACCTGGACTGGTTTTCGAACACCGGCCCTCCATCGAGGATGCGGCGAAGCTGAAACCGAGTCAGAGGCGTGTAAGTGAGCAGAAGTCAGAGCTGAAGATGCGCCTTACATTACTCCTATTTCCAGATTCTGCAAACTAATTGAAGAGAAGTGGCTAACGCCTAACAGTAACAAAGATCGTTAACTCAGGCATTCTAATGCCCAAGGATAATCATGCTTCATCTTCCTTTCCCTACTCCTAAGATTCATATTATCATCACATAATCAAAGAGAATACTACAAAAGAATGAAAACTCTGTAACCCGCTAGGAAGGCTTTAGAGTACGAGAACTCGAGAAGGGACTTGCTATATACAGTGAAACAGATGTATAGAACTATCAGGCAACAGGAAAAAGGATTGACGCGGGAGCAATCACTCGCAGATTTGCAGTTTTCTTTTTCATTCCTTCCCTTTGGGAAATGAAGATACCCCCGTATATCACGAGTTCACGACAATCTAAATTATCCACCAATAATAGAAGTATCGAAGATTCATGTATCAAACTACAGACTGGAACCCAAGGAAAAGGGAAAAACAAAAGAAGAGAAATCGTAATATGCTAAGAACAAAAGTGCCCAAATACCATTGAATGGATTCTCCACTTACAGTAAACAGAGGAACCCACAAATTCTAACATTCACCACCAGTCCAGAGAGCTTCAACCTGATGTCTCCTTCAAGTCGATGAACGATCGCTCGCTCAAAGGAGAAGGGCGAAGACAAACACGGACTTCATGTTCCTCTGGCCCCACGCGATGTTTCGGCACAATGATCTCCAGCATTGTCCCCGTCTCATCACGATAGGCTTCTAGTTTAGCATCTTCGGGAATGCGGTTTGGGAGGGGAATCTCCCTAACGAACTCCCCTGGTGGACAATGCTCAGGAGTTGGATCTGTTAGCTTAAACGTCCTATCATGCCGTTTAATAAATGGCATGCGTGCAGTACTTACACAAAATATCTTCACTATTCCGTGGCTGTTGGTGTTCCTCCAGGTGACTTTCACCCTTTCCAGATCTGCAAATGGCAGGCTGACAATGATCAAGAACGCTTCTTCGTCTTCATATATAGTTTTTGCAGCCGTAACAGGACCATGGACATTTTTCATCACCCCGCTGAAGTCATTGAGCCATGCTGGCTCAGTTGGATGGATGTTCATGTCTACCCTCTCAATATGGGTACCATTATTATGCAGACAATCATCCTCATTTGCATGAGGCGAATAGTCTTTCTTCCTTTTATTATTGCAAACCGGAGAGAGGTCCATCACTTCACCACTATGGTCGGAAGGCTGAGTAGAAAGATTCAAGCCAGTACCATTAAGTAATTTCCTTGGATGGAAATGCCCATTAATCTTCAATGGCAGAGGGGGACGCTCGAGCTCAAATTCTGAATTGGGCATGGTCCTCCAAGATCCAAAGTCACTTGCTTCAGGAGGGATTGAGAAATTTATATCACGGCCCGTGAGCTCTACCCACCTCTTCCTTTCTTCCTCTTCAAGACTCATGAGATTTGGTGTGCGCACAACTTCAATACCATGAAGACACTGTGGGTTGGAGAGACCCCTGTAATGCTTCCTTTGCATCCTGTGAGACCTGACAAAGCCCTTGTCAACACTGAATGGAAATGGGCGCTCCCCTTGACGCGAGTGCCCATTCATGTAACTTCGCAACTGCATCTTACCCAAAGCATTGTCAGGCCTGTCCTTGAAAACCCACATGTACATATTCTCCATATCATGCTGCACCAGGAATGCATCAAGGTAGAGATCTGACTTCTCATAACCAGAGATACCATTGCTATCCTTTATTATCTTGGACTTTGACTTCTCATTCAAAACAGGCTTGAAATAGAAGGTAAAGAAGAACCAAGCACCCCAGATACTGTCCAGCCTCTTTGTACATTTCTTCGAAGCTTTAGGCACGCTGACAGTAGTTTCGACCTCATAAACTGGAGGAGCATGACTCAAATCTAAGATGTCACATGGATCGTTCCAATTCAGCAGAGAAGGCGAATGTGGCTCAGATGATACCGGAAGATTGATATCAGGTGGCCTCGACAGAATCAAAGGTCGATTCAGCTCCCTCTCCAAATCATCATGGGTTAGGGAACCAGAATCCATGGACAACAGTGTAGAAGGGTGATAATTCTCCATTGACAATGTCGTTATGAGAGCTTCCCCCATCTCTCTCTTCTCTTCGTTTCCAATTTCCTTGATATGGGTTTGGATTTTCAAAATCCCAGGACCGTGTCAGAAGGTCACTGACATGTTTACAAAATCTGATGCAACCCACAAAACTGGGAAAGCCCTCGATCAGTCAACGAACCCAAACAAGCAACTTATCAACCTCTTCATGATTTCAAATGCCCGCAACTTCCCCAGTCGGAAGATCACAATAGCTCATAGGGGAATTCACAATCCAGAAGAGAGCAGCATCAAGTACATCACGAGCCTGGACAGGAGGAAGGCAAAAAGAAGCCGAGATCAGGTAAACAATCAACAAATCATTGACTGAGCAGCTAAAATTGAATCTCCATATAGTCATAACACATTCTGGTGAAAGCAACACTACCAATCAGTTCTGCTCATACAATATGGAAAAGTCACCCAGCAGCCAATCAGAATTGTCTCAGGCCACAACAAATTATGAATACCAAGAAACTTACAAAAAGCTACCAAACATCATTCTTGTTCCCGGAGGGGGGGAAGACAATCCGTTGTGTTCAAAGCTACAAACTTTCCCGAATCCCTCTTTGGAGAGACTGGAAGCGCACAAAATGTGAATCGATTAACCGATAGCTCTCTGAATAAACAATCACAGAGCAAGTACGCAAACAATCATGACGGGGACAAACAAACCAGCCCTAGAATTCAATCAGGGAAACGCTCCAAGAATTCGGCGGAAAAGGAATGGGAAATAGATTCGGAAACCCATCTAATCAAAAACCAACACAAACCCTAAGAAGTCTGAAAAGGGTAATCGCCAGAGATTCGAGAATTACCTAAAGGAGGGAGCTTGAAATCCACCAAGCACAGAAACTTGAACATTCGATCCCCAATTTGTGAGACAGAAGAGAGAGAGAGGGAGAGAGGAAGGGAAGTCGAAAACGGAACGTGTTTAAAAGGAGACGGACAAACAGCAGTGAGACCTGCACCAGATGAGGCCGGTCGGGTTCGGTGACGGGCCGACGTTAAGTTTAACAGCGGGACAGCGGCGTCACGTATTTATGTTGGGTTGGTATAAAATCCATCCCTTCGTATCAATACAATGGCCGTGAAGATTGAAGAAGACTGAAAGCTTATCCGTCAATGTCCGATAATTGGAACAAGATATATCCCCATTTCTTTATTCTTTGTTTGGGGAAAGGAAAGGAAAGGTTCGTATTTGTAACTTGTCAAACGTGTCAAGTAGCATTCACATTCATGATTCATGGAAAGAACAACGAAACTTGTCATTAGAATGGGGTTAGGTGAGCCAAGGATTAACACCTAAAAGATCACTTAAGGTTGATAATTTATAAATTTGGTCACTAATGTTTTGACCAAATCCATTGTACTCTTGAATCATATTGATTGAAAATTTAAATCGAAATACTTCAGCATGATGGAATTTTTTTATAGCAAACATGACGTAACCAACTTCATTAGTATGCCTCCACCATAGTAGAGGTTGGTGCTTTGCGATTGGAGCTACGCTAAGGATTGAAGTGCTTTGCTAAAACCAAGCCTACTCTAACATCAGTACTATAGTCGATGTCGATGCTGGAATTGTGGTAAGTATTGGAGGTACATATTCTCACGCAAAAGACAAATATTGCCAAAGCCTCTGCAGAGGTAGCACGAGAGACTGTCACACCAACTTCGGACATTTTGTGAAAGATAGCATACAGCTTGGAAGGTGACATAACTAAGGATATGGTGCTAAGCTTAAGAGATGACATAAAGACTTCCTTTATGTTTAGGCTTGAGAGGTGGCTTAGCTGGTGGTATAGTGATTCTCAGGCCGACCTCCACAATCTGTCATGCCCGATCCCATAAGGGATATGAGGCTTTCCAAGTAGTGGTAGGTCTTGTAGCATTCCTAAATTCGTAGAATGCTACAAGACCTATCAATATCAACTATGTGTAATGTCGACATAGAAACCAATGGTGTGGTTTTAAGTTTAGGAGGTGGCATAAAGCCTTCTTCTAGGGCAAAGATTGGGATGTGGCATAAGTGGTGGCAGCGATCTCAAGGACGACATCCATAAGGGTGCATTGCCTAATCTTGGAGGTGCCATGAGGCCTTCCGAGTCATCGCCAAATTTAAAAAAGAATCTATACTTTTCTCTTTAATTTTTATCAATAGTCATAATTGCGGAGCCAACAAGAGGTTAAAAAACTTACACTAAACCTATTATCCTCCGCTTCAAATTGCGAGAAATTAGTGAAAGTTCATGAAAAAACACATCTTGGTGAGTCATCATAGTTAATGGATTAGGATGCTAATACATAATCACCTGATAACTTTGTGTGACTATCATCCGAATTTGTTTAGTATAAACTAGGTTTCTATTCTATATGTTAAAGATATGAGTTACAAATTACAAGAGTCCAAGTTAGATGTTAAACTTAACGGCCTCTGTCACCGCCTCCGCCCGGCTCCATCTGGTGCAGGTCTCGCTAGAGGCTGTCCCCAGTCACCTCTCTCCGTCTCTTTAAACTCCCTCCGCTCTCTCCCTCAATCTCTCTCTCAAAAATTGGGGATCGAATGTCGAAGTGTTTGTTCTCGGTGAATTTCAAGCTCCCTCTTTTAGGTAATTCTCGAATCTCTGGCGATTACCCTTTTCAGGTTTCAGGGATTGGCTTAATTTCTATTAGATGTGTTTCGGAATCTCTTACCACTTTGTTTGCTGTATTATTGGCGCGTTCCCCTGAGGAGATTCTAGGGCTTGTTTAGGATTACTTTTTTGAGTTCTTACCTCCATGATTTGGATTTTGGTATTCAATATTCCATGATTGATTACCCAGAAAACTATTAGTTAATCGATCGACCTTATGTGTTTCAAATCAGTACTTTGATTTGATGTTTAGGGTTCTGCTGGGAATTATGATCTGTTCAATGTTGTCTGAGCTGATTCTGATTGTCTGTGTGCTGGAGAGTTTGTTTATTGTACGAGTAGAGCTGATTGGTGGTGTTGGTCTCATGCCATAATTATTACCAAGCTTCAATCTTTAGCTTTTGGGTTAATGAATTTGTGGATCGTTTATCTGATCTCGATTTCTATTTGGCATCATCCTGGCCAGGTTACTGATGTACTTGACGATGCCGTTTTCTTCTGGTCCTTGAATTCATCGTGAACTTTTGTGTTCTACCGACTGGGAAGATCGTGGGCAGTTGAAATCATGAAGAGGTTGATAAGTTGCTTGTTTGGTTTTGTTGACTGATCGTGGGCTGTGCAAGTGATTGTGAAAATCAGAACTCTCATTAGGGAAGTCGAAACTAGAGAAGAAAAAGGAAATATGGCGGAAGCTCTCATAACGGCATTATCAATGGAGAATTATCATCCTTCTACGCTTTTGTCAATGGATTCTGGTTCCTTAATGCACGATGATTTGGAGAGAGAGATGAATCGGCCATTGATACTCTCCAGACCACCTGACATCAACCTTCCAGTGTCATCTGAGCCACCCTCACCTTCTCTTCTGAATTGGAACGACACATGTGACATCTTAGATTTGGGTCATGCTCCTCCAGTTTACGAAGTGGAGACAACAGTCAGTGTGCCTAAAGCTTCAAAGAAATGTGCAAAGAGGCTCGACAGCATTTGGGGTGCTTGGTTCTTCTTTACCTTCTATTTCAAGCCGGTTTTGAGTGAGAAGTCGAAGTCCAAGATAGTGAAGGATAGCAATGGTATCTCTGGGTATGAAAAAACGGATCTGCACCTCGACGCATTCTTGGTGCAGCACGATATGGAGAATATGTACATGTGGGTTTTCAAGGAGAAGCCTGACAATGCGTTGGGTAAGATGCAACTGAGGAGTTACATGAATGGGCACTCGCGTCAAGGTGAGCGCCCATTCCCATTCAGCGTTGACAAGGGCTTTGTCCGGTCTCACAGGATGCAAAGGAAGCATTACAGGGGTCTTTCTAACCCACAGTGCCTTCATGGTATTGAAGTTGTTCACACACCAAACCTCGTGAATCTCGAAGAGGAAGAGAAGAAGAGGTGGGTAGAACTCACAGGTCGTGATGTAAATTTCTGCATCCCTCCTGAAGCAAGTGATTTTAGCTGTTGGAGGACCCTGCCAACCACAGAATTTGAGCTCGAACGCCCCCCTCTGCCATTGAAGATCAATGGCAATTTTCATCCGAGGAAATTGCTTAATGGTACTGGTTTGAATCTTTCTACTCAGTCTACTGACCATAGTAGTAGTAGTAGTGGTGAAGTCATGGACTATTCTCCTTTTTCCCACAATAAAAGGAAGAAGGCGTATTCTCCTCAGGCAAACGAGGATGATTGTCTACGTAATAACAATTCTCATGTTGAGATAGTAGACATGAACATCCATCCATCTGATCCAGCATGGCTCAATGACTTCGGTGGGGTGATGAAAAATGTTTATGGGCCCGTTACAGCAGCGAAAACCATATACGAAGATGAAGAAGCATTCCTGATCATCGTCAGCTTGCCATTTGCAGATCTGGAAAGGGTGAAAGTCACCTGGAGGAACACCAACAGTCATGGAATAGTGAAAATATCTTGTGTAAGTACTGCTCGAATGCCGTTTATTAAAAGGCATGATAGGACATTTAAACTAACAGATGCAACTCCGGAGCACTGCCCACCAGGGGAGTTTGTTAGGGAGATTCCCCTGCCAAACTGCATCCCTGAAGATGCTAAACTGGAAGCCTATCGGGATGAGACTGGAACCATTCTGGAGATTATTGTGCCGAAACATCGGGAAGGACCAGAGGAGCATGAAGTCCGTGTGTGTCTCCGCCCTTCTCCTTTGAGCGAGCGATCATTCATCGACTTGAAGGAGACATAGAATGTTCGGATGGGATATACGTCTGTTTACTGACCTGTTAAGGAAAATCGGCGCAAATGGTTACTTGGTGCACTTTTGTTTTAGCATATTCTTCTGTATTGCCATTTTTTTTCCTGTTTTACTTTTGTTCTAGTTCTTGGGTTCCAGTCTGTAGGTTGATGATATACCTGACTCTTCCATGTTTTGGTTCTTGGTGGGAAATTTTAGTTCTGGTTTGATTGTTATATTTATGAGGGGCGTATTCATTTCACTAAGGGAAGAATGAAAAGATGACTTGAGATCAGTGAATGATTTCTGCTGCATCATTGATTTGTCTGTTCCCATACAGCTGCTGTATCAATATGTTTTCAGGGTATGTAGCTGTGGCACCAGAAAGAATATCATCGCGAAGATATTTATGTATAGATAGAATATGTGCAGGGCAAGAAGAGGAAATATTGCAACACTTGACTGCTAATCAAAGGAATAGAGTCCCTAACTAGATGTCCTCTACCCCATTGAATATGCTGGTTTGGTAGATGGCTTCCATTGACATTTTTAAGTAACCAGCCATTTTTTCTCTTCCTTGTTTCAGTGAAGAACTAGAAACGATTGCCTACATCTGAACTCGAGTTTCCATCCTGTGATGTAGACTTCGGCTGCAGGCCCTTTGGTTACTAGGTTGAACCTCCCTTTTGCTGGAATTGAGAAAGACACACTTTGGATAAAAACCATCAAAGCGGGCCTTAAGCCCTTAACAGATCCAAGACCCACACGACACCTAGGACTAGGAGGACTTTCCCATATCTTGTTTTACCCAACGATAGATTAAGGGCTTGAATTAAAAAAAATAAGGTTTTGATATAACTTGGATTTTGAAAAACCATGAATATATGAGGATTTTAGGTTCATTATGGATTTGATAAACACCGTTGTTTGTTTGATGGATTTCATGATGGATTTTGTTAATTAAATTTGTATGTATGAAGTGGAATTTACCTTTGTTTTCCTCAATGATATAAGAAGAGAAAGGAAATATGAGGGGTAGGTTGGTAAAAAACGATAGACTTCAAAGTCCATAATCAATTCCCACCTAAATAGGTGGAACTTTCAAGTCCGTGTGGTCCACGAATTTGGTCCCTTAGGGGTCGTTTGCTTCATGGATTTAAAAATGAGGGTTTTGTAATTAAAAAACCCAAGGATTTGAGGCATCATGGGTTTGTAACAATCCTTTGTTTGTTGGGATGTTTTTATCATGGATTTAAAGGTGTGAGATTTACTACTTGAAGTCAAAAATTACATTACTGTCCTTTTCTATATGTTTGACATGTTTATGATATGTACACAAAACAAGGACAAAACTTCAAAATTACCTTACTATCATTTTCTATATGTTTGACATGTTTATGATATGTACACAAAACAAGGACAATACATACTAATAAGCATAATGTTGCCACATGGACAATAATAATAACCGAGAAAATTCCGTTTTAACTTTTAACGTAACATAATCAATTACCAATTCTTTGTCCTCCTTTTCAAAAGTAACATATAACAACATATATTAGAATCGGGAGAACAAAGAATTACACGTTCCATGAAAAGGTCAAAGAAAACTAGAACACAAGAAATGATATAAAAAATCTAACTCATGTTTGCACATTAATTGAACGTTTAAATTATTCATTTATTGTTAATTATAATGTATAATAGTTAAATTTGAGGGCAACCTTGAAATATTAAAAGTGCATGAGGGTATATGGGTAAAATCTCATCAAGGATTTATGCCATATTCCAAATCCCACATCAACATGTGGGATTTATAAGTCCATGGGGTCCACGGATTTGGACCCTTAAAATCCGTGGGCCCACGAATTTGGTCTCCAAAAAAGGTGCAAGCAAACAACGGTTTGTACCTAAATCCTTGATAGTTGATTTTTTGGTACCAAATCCTTGAAGCAAACGACCCCTTAAAGTTCGTGGTACCCACAGATTTGTTTCCCCTAAATGCATGAAGCAAACAATAGGTTTTGGACAAAATCCATGATGGATCCAAATCCCTCACCAAATCCATCAAGCAAACAAGCCCTAAGTAATGGAGGCGGATCATGGGGTCATGACCGGTAATATCATCTTCGCCGCTGTATCCAAATTCCATCTCCTTCCCGATAAAATGTATAGGATCATGATGGAAATTTTCCAACAATTATTGGAATTAATTGGTTACTATTTATATGATATCAATCTTTAATGATTTAGGTATTTTGTGTTTAAATTCCAACCACTCTATTTGGTAAGCACATAACTCTATTATTATGTTGATTTAGGGTTAGCACTCCTAAGTGTTTCAAGAGTATACCCGATAAGTTGTACCATTTTAGATTAGCTAATGATCTTTCTGTCTCATGCAAATAAATTTCCTCACACGAGAGAATCTTTTCTATAGAGTAGGAAAAATAAACCAAATTGTTAAGAAAATCACAAACCAAACTAGATCACTATTTGGTTTGAACAATAGACTGCTAAGAATGATCTGTATTATATGATGTTTTGACTACTTGTTATAATTTGTTTTAGACTGTGGACTCGGTCCACTTCCCAATTAATTCACTTGAACATTCTCCAAACTCCACATCGGGACCCAAGTCTCAACCCTAATTTCACAAACACACTCTGTCAAAGAGTATAAATGATCGTGTCTCCATATGACATTGTGTTAATGAGAATGACGCCTGGTACAAGTTGGGTTACTCAAACATTTACTTGGATTTAGGGTATTAAAATTGTACATACATGTTAGAATTAAGGTTTAATACTTTATTTGAGTCTAAACTATGACCATATAATCAACTTTGGCATGTGGTTTCAGAAATTAACATCCTAGCCTCAATTATACAACATATTGACTCAATTGGCCCGACACATGGGTTGACAGTCAATTTGGACGGTCAAAACCATTGACTGTTAGTCAACACGCCATGTCATTGCCTTGTCAGCATAAAAATCATTAAAAATATTCAAATTCAAATTATTTTCCTAATTTATATTATTTATCATTATCAAATTAACCAATAAATTAAAATTATAAAATAAATTGAATATTTTATTTTTTGTTTAATTTGAAAATGATAAATAATAGAAATTAGAAAAATAATTTGAATTTGAATTTTATAATAATTTTTAGGTTGACGAGACAATGACATGGCGTGTTAACTAACGGTCAACGGACCTTCCAAATTAATGGTCAAACCATGTGTCGGGTCAATGAGTCAATATGCTGCATAGTTGTCAGTTGAGGACAAGATGTTAATCTCTGAAACCACGAGCCAAAGTTGATTATATGGTCATAGTTCAGGCCAAAATAAGGTATTAACCTAGATTAGTGTGTTAAGGAAAAAATAAATTTTTCATCAGTTATTGGTTCACCTTTTCATGTACTTGACTAAATTAAAAGATCATTTCGAACATGCATGCATAGTTTGATTTGGATCGTATAGTATTTAGCTTAACCTCTGGCTTATGCTCCAATTTTAGCCAAATCGTACAGTATTTAGCTTAACCACTGACTTATGCTCCAATTTTAGCTTAACCATGAAGTGCAACCCATTTCAATTTATTCTCCACGTTAAGAGGCACCTCATCACGGTGCCTCACCACGCGATGATGCACGACTGGAGGGTCTAAAGAAATAAGAAAAGAGGACAAGGGTTATGAAACAGCACAGACGACACTGGATGGTGGATAGTACCAAATTTTGACAAACTAATCACAGTTGCTAGTTGCAGAATGTAGCAAGGCAAGAAGGAATAGAAGCATCCAAAAAGAAATAGTGCACAAAGAATTGGCAAAGGGAGGTAATGTCATTCATGATGCAAAAAAAACATAAGCGTACCAGTTCAAAATAAGCAAGCTAACCAGCTTGCAATCGCTTAACCCTCCCCCAGCAATATCCAAATGCAAAAAGCAAAACAAAATCCAAATTCAACGACTCATAATTGTAAAAACCCCAGGCATGAGAAAGAATCTAGCCAGAGAACTTAGTCCACCTCCTCGATCTTGGGACCAGCACCGCTGCCACCTGAAGGAGGAACATCATCCTCATCCATGCCACCAGCAGGCATGCCAGGGCCGCCACCTGCGGAATACATCTTGGCGATGATGGGATTGCAAATGCCTTCAAGCTCCTTCAACTTGTCCTCGAACTCATCAGCCTCACCGAGCTGGTTGTTGTCCAGCCACTGGATGGCCTTCTCGATGGCATCCTCAATCTTGTTCTTGTCAGCTGCATCCAGCTTCTCAGCAATCTTCTCATCCTTGATGGTGTTCCTCATGTTGTAGGCGTAGTTCTCCACGGCATTCTTGGCCTCCACCTTCTTCTTGTGCTCCTCATCCTCAGACTTGTACTTCTCAGCCTCCTGGACCATCTTCTCAATCTCGTCCTTGGACAACCTACCCTTGTCGTTGGTGATGGTGATCTTGTTCTTCTGTCCGGTGGTCTTATCCTCGGCAGAGACGTTGAGGATACCATTGGCATCAATGTCGAAGCACACATTGATCTGTGGTACTCCTCTTGGTGCTGGTGGAATGCCAGACAACTCAAACTTGCCGAGCAAGTTGTTGTCCTTGGTCCTGGCCCTCTCACCCTCATACACTTGGATAAGCACACCAGGCTGGTTGTCTGAGTAGGTGGAAAATACCTGCTCCTTCTTGGTGGGAATGGTGGTGTTCCTTTGAATCAAGACAGTCATGACACCTCCAGCAGTCTCGAGACCAAGGGACAAAGGAGTGACATCCAACAGGAGAAGATCCTGAACCTTCTCATTGCCTTCACCACTCAAGATGGCAGCCTGGACTGCAGCACCATAAGCAACTGCCTCATCAGGGTTGATGCTCTTGCAAAGCTCCTTGCCGTTGAAGAAGTCCTGGAGCAGCTGTTGCACCTTAGGAATCCTGGTCGATCCACCGACGAGGACAACATCATGGACAGTGCTCTTGTCCATCTTAGCATCCCTCAAACACTTCTCCACTGGCTCCATGCACTTCCTGAAGAGATCCATGTTGAGCTCCTCAAATCTGGCACGGGTGATGGTGGAGTAGAAATCAATACCCTCATAGAGGGAATCAATCTCGATGGTGGTCTGGGCGGTGGATGAGAGGGTCCTCTTCGCTCTTTCACAGGCAGTCCTCAACCTCCTGAGTGATCTGGGGTTTCCACTGATATCCTTCTTGTTCTTCCTCTTGAACTCCTGAACAAAATGGTTCACCAATCTGTTGTCAAAATCTTCGCCACCAAGGTGAGTGTCTCCAGCTGTTGCCTTCACTTCAAAGATACCCTCTTCAATTGTTAAGAGGGAAACATCAAAAGTACCACCTCCAAGGTCAAAGATCAACACATTCTTCTCCCCAACACTTGTGGCCTTCTTGTCAAGACCATAAGCAATGGCAGCAGCGGTAGGCTCATTGATGATTCTCATAACATTGAGACCAGCAATAACTCCGGCATCCTTGGTGGCCTGCCTCTGGGAATCGTTGAAGTAAGCTGGAACTGTCACAACGGCATTCTTAATGGTGGTGCCAAGATAGGCCTCTGCAATCTCACGCATCTTGATGAGCACCATGGAAGAAATCTCCTCAGCGGCAAAGGTCTTCTCCTCGCCCTTGTAGGTGACAACAATCATGGGCTTGTCTCCGGCACCGGGGACCAACTTGAAAGGCCATAGCTTCATGTCACTCTTAACAGACTCATCGGTGAATCTCCGCCCAATCAACCTCTTTGCGTCTATAAAGATGGACAAACATCGAAAACAATAAGCAAACGTCACTGGAAACTACAAAACTAACCTACATAGCCACACAGTCGGCACCATCCCACAATATTCAACCTTTCTATACAGAGAGAGATAAACAAACATATGTATCAATTTCTCCTACAGCTACATCCAACGAGCTATGGCAATGGATACTCAGTTCTATAAACAATTATGTCAACAGATATTCATTCCTATAAACAGCTAAACATGTACTCAGACGTATAGATCAAAACGTCAAATCTAAAATCAGGAAAGACTACCACTTTGACATAGATCCATCGTTTACTACACTTTGACTACATAGAGCAGAACAGTGACTACAATGAAACGAAGTTATCTACAGATATGCAAAACCCTAAAGCAGCAAATCTTTACAAGAAGCAATTTGAAACAAAATAAAAAGATCTGGGCGGAGCTACTTACCAAAGACGGTGTTGATGGGGTTCATGGCGACCTGATTCTTTGCGGCATCGCCGATCAAACGCTCGGTATCAGTGAAGGCAACATAGGACGGAGTCGTCCTGTTACCCTGATCATTGGCGATGATCTCGACCCTGTCGTGCTGCCATACTCCTACGCAGGAGTATGTAGTTCCGAGATCGATACCGATGGCGGGACCTTCACCTTTAGCCATATCGTCGCCGGAGAGGAAGAAACAAGAACAACGAAGTTAACTAATAAAGCTTAGAAACACAACGGAAAGTAAATGTAGATCTGAAAAGCTCGATTAGGGTTTTCGAGCTTCTCTTTCAGATCTAAGTGGAGGAACACGGTGTAGAGCTCAATGTTATTTTATAAGCTTTGGGGGCGGGGAGCGTAGGGCAAAGCTGGAGGGTGCCGGAATTCCAGAAGGTTCGAGAGAATAAGAGCCGTTGGATGGGATATGGACGGCTATGGCTTGGTTTGCGATTTCGGAGAGGTCAATAGCTAGCTTGTTAACGCGTCTAAGAAAATTCTCCTTTTCAAAACAGTAAACGGGTTTTAAGGTCGATGGCCCAATATGCTTTAGGCCCAAACACAAACCATCCAATCCTATGTCCAGAAGGTAAAATGATTACCGCCAATGCCATAAAATAAAGGCAAAATTCACTTGCATAGCCAAAACTATCACCTTTGTGTCACTTATAGCCACTTTTGGCGAAATACCACTAATAGCCACTTTTGAAAGATGTTGCGTGGCAGATATAGCCATTTCCATTAGAAACTATAACGTTGTTAATAACACCGTTAATAACACCGTCAACTTATTTGACGGTCGACTGACGAGGCGCCAATTCAGCGGACACGTCAGCGCCACATAAATAAATAGTGACACGTTAGATATTTCAATTATTTAATAATTACAAATTATAAATTAAAAAAAATACTCTCATATTCCTCATCTGCGCAACCCATCTTCCCCAACTTTTCCCCAAATTCAATTTTAGGGTTCTTCTCCAATTTTTCCATTCCCCACGCGAATCCTCTACCCCTTTTAGATCGAAGCGGCGAATCCTCTTCCCCGATTACTTCTTATGCAACCATTTCCCCCAACTTTTCAATTTTGGATAGCAATCATGGAAACTAGAAGAAGAAAAAACAGAACCCCCAAATTGAAAATGATGTACGCATGGAAATTCTGCAGGTGCTCCACGAACAGAGAGATGACTCAGAAGCAACGGCAGCTTATGGAATTTGGGTTTTTGGAAGCAGCGGCGGCTTTTGAAGCAGCGTCCCCATCTCCTATACTTCGTTCCATCTTCATATCCTCTTTTACACCGACCATCTACGATCCCAGCTTTCATGCGTAGTATTAGAGTATAGGACTAGAATACAATTCGCTGTTAGATAGATGACCATATTGTAAATATACATAGGTAGTTGAAGAGTTAGTTAGATAGATAGACTATATAAGCTAGGATAATCTGTAAACCCTTTACGTTTTTTCTCTCAATCAATCAAGCTTCAGTGATTAATCAGAAACTCTAGCATGGTATCAGAGCTCTTCTGAGCTGCCTCGCTCGTCTTCTCGCTTCCGCAAACTCATCTTCTTCCAATTTCTTCGCAAAGCTTCCTTCGCGTCCTCCTATGGCGTCGAATTTCTCTGTCTCTTCTGGCTTCGAAGCCGAAAATCCTCACAATGGAGGTCGCCAGCACGGATCTGGTGGAGTTTCTTACCTCGGCATCGCGATTTCTGATCCGGCTTCTCCCTTTTTCATTCATCCCTCGGAGAATTGGGGGCAATGCCTGGTGTCGCAGCCGCTTACTGAGAACAACTTCTCCAGCTGGGAGAGATCGATGATTCTGGTCATCGATGGCAAGAACAAGCTTGGGTTCTTGAACGGCAAGATTCTGCAACCACCAGACGATTCTCCTCTTCTTGAGCCATGGAATCGCAACAACAAGCTTCTGTTAAGCTGGATTCAGAGGTCGGTGAATCCTACCATCGCTGAGAGCATCCTTTATGTTACAACGGCGATTGGTACTTGGAACGAGCTGCGAGAACAATTTTCCCAAGGGGATTCGTTCAGAATTGCTGATTTACAGGAGTCCATCTTCCTCCTAAAGCAAGGTACTCTGAGTGTCTCGCAGTATTACTCTAAACAACGAGCTCTATTGGATCAATTGGCTAATTTTAGGTCTATCCCTGATTGTGAGTGTGGCGTTGCTTGTCACTGCATTCTTGCTTCTCTTAGGAAGGATCATATGAATGATAAAGTGATCAGATTCCTTAGGAACTTGAATGATAGCTTTAATGCCCCTAGATCAACAATCATGCTCCTTGATCCCCTGCCTCCCATCAACAAGGTCTTCGCCATGATGGTGCAGCATGAACGTGAGAACAACTTGTTGCCTAAACCGAATTCTGGTTCTCAGTCTATCACCAATCCTACTGCTGACAGTATGGCCTTCTTTACCAGAGTTGCTGGTACTAATCTTGGAGTTCAGGGTGCTGGCCAAGGCTTCAAGAAGCAAGGCAAGAAGTCAGTTTGTACCTTTTGTGGCTATACTGGTCACACCGAGGACATCTGCTACAAAAAGAACGGCTACCCCCTGGTTATCAACCCAAGAAGAAGAATCCACCAAGACAGGCCAACAACATTACTGTTGAGCATGGAGAAACCTCCTCTGGGAATGGTGCAGTGATGGTTAATCCAGCTGACTAGATGAGTTTTCAGCAGCAGTACCAGAAGATGATGCAATTCATGCAATCACACACTTCTGCTCCTCCACCAGTATCTCAGCAACCTGCTTCTCCCAGTTTTGCTGATGTCTTCATGGGTAATCCAGTCTCCCATCCAACTCAGTCTGCTGAACATGATGATTCTGGATCACATCCCATTGTCAGCAGATCCAACTCAGTGGCCTCTCATGTCTCACATGCTACTGCCACACAGGGTAACTCTCATTTAGCCCTTTCAGTTGGTTTTTCTATTACTAGTAAATGGATTATTGATACAGGCGCTACTGATCATATCATTTGCTCTATCAAACATTTTATTAATCATAAACCAGTCCTTAACACCTTTGTGCATTTGCCTAATGGTGATAAAGTAGCAGTAACTGCTATTGGCACAGTCCAATATTCAGCAGAACTAGTCTTAAGGGATGTTTTGCTTGTACCTAGCTTTACTTTTAATCTGGTTTCTGTTAGCCAGTTAGTTAAAGATAAAACCATTAGCTTATGGTTTCATTCCTCTTTCTGTCTCATTCAGGAAATCCATTCCCTGAAAACAATTGGTACAGCTAGCTTAATAGATGGCTTGTATATCCTGCATTCTCCCCAGCATACAGCCAACTTAAAGCAACTCCTATCTCCTTCTCTTCCTGTCCAGTCTTCCAATCATTCTGCTGCAGCTTTCTCTACAGAAAAGCACAAGATCAACATCTGGCACTACAGGCTTGGCCATATTCCTCACAACAAACTACTGTCTCTAGACCTCCCTAAACTCAATGTATCTAGCTTAAATGATTCTCATTGCACTGTATGTCCTCTTGCAAAACAGAAGAGGTTGCCCTTTCCATCCAGTGTTAGTCAATCAGAGGCTCCTTTTCATCTGTTACACATTGACATATGGGGAAATGCCCCTACTCAGTCTCTCAATGGGCATTCCTATTTTTTGACAATTGTAGATGACTTCTCCAGGCATACCTGGCTTTTCCTAATGAAACATAAATCAGAAGTTAGAAATATCATTTTCACCTTCTTTGAGTATGTTTCTACCCAGTTCAATGCTAAAATCAGAACAGTTAGAACAGACAATGGCCTGGAATTCCAAATACCAGAATTTTATAAATCAAAAGGAGTGGTTCATCAAACCACCTGTGTTTATACATCTCAACAAAATGGCATTGTTGAGAGAAAGCATCAACATATATTAGCAGTCACCAGATCTCTTCTCTTTCAAGCTTCCTTACCTACTCATTTCTGGCATTTTGCTGCTATGCATGCTGTTCATCTTATAAACAGAACCCCTACTCCACTTCTCCACAATTCCACTCCTTATGAAAAACTACATGGTCACAAGGCTGATCTAAACTACCTCAGGGTATTTGGGTGCCTCACCTATGCATCCACCATTCAGGCCCTTTGAACTAAACTAGATCCTAGAGCTACACCTAGTGTGTTTTTGGGTTTTCCTATTGGTACTAAAGGTTACAGATTATACAATCTGACCACTCATGCAATTTTCATCTCAAGGGATGTCGTGTTTCATGAGGATATCTTTCCATTCTATAAGGATACTCACCAAATACATACTCTAGTTCCTTTTCCTGTTTTTCCAGAATCCTTACCTCCACTGGATTCTTCCATTCCTATTACTACACTTCCAGTTGACACTATTCCAGATGTTGCTGAACCTGTTTCTGTTTCACCAACAGATCCAGCAGTAGCTTTTCCTGCTCCTGCTGTCATTCCACCTCCATTAAGGAAGTCTTCTAGACAAAGAGTCCAACCTGCCAAATTAAAAGATTACAAGTGTAATCTGATTGGATCTACAACTAACACTGATTTAAGTGTTACACATCCTATCCAGGACATTCTAACCTACAGCAAACTTAGTCCTAATCACAAAAAGTTTGCACTTGCTATTGGTCTTCTTAGAGAACCACGTACTGATAGACCGTTAGTTACACATGTTTTCACCCCTGTTCTTACACCGTTTAAGAGGTGGTTTCTCGTGTTTTAGACCGATTTCACGCTAGGTTGTGCTTGTTTGTGATATTTCAGGTCCTGGCAAGTGAATGAAGGTTTAGGAGCGAGTTCGGGGTCGATTGGGTGAAGATCGGGCGCGAGACAAGTCACAAGGGAGGTCACACGGGCTGCCCTGAAACTCGCACGACCGTGTGAAGTAATGGCCTGGCCGTGCGAGTTTTGCCGAGAGCACACACGGGCAGAGCAGAGGATCGACACGGCCGTGCAAGTGGTCGGGTTGGCCGTGCCACATTCTGCGAGAGCAAACACGGGCAAGAGGGGATGTCCACACGGCCGTGCCATTCTGGCCGTGCAAAGAGCCTGGAATTCGAACTAAATGAAACGATGCGTTTTGACTCACACGGGCAACTGGGTGAGCTGCACGGCCGTGCCACCCTGGCCGTGTGAGTCGGGATTTTCTCCTTTTAAGCAGAATTTCAGCCACAATTCGGGGGGATTCGAGTTTTTGAGAGAGAGATCAGTTCCTAGAGAGAGAAAGTGACGAGCAAGAGTTCCCAAGTGCCCTAGATTGATCTTCAACACCATTGGAGGCCAGTTTGAGCTTGGAGAAGTGCCGATCAACGTCCAGGAGCCGGAATCCGTCCTTCGCAGTATGAATTCCGTGTCTGTTTCTGCTTTTGCTTTCTTCTCCATGGAGTAGTTCTCCCATTCATCTGGGTATGGAGAACCCTAGATTTGTATGTTAGGCTTTGATTGTATGAACCCAAGTACTGATTCTATGATTGATTATATTCGATTGAGGTTTTAATGATTGAATGACTTGAATCCTGATCAAATTCCTGTTGTTTCTGCTTTAACCTAGAATGAGAATATCTGCCTAGGTTAATAGAGTATCCTTGATTGAAGGTAGGGAGTTGGTGACTTTAGTCGAGGAGCCAACTCACTATTCTGTACCGGATTTACTCCGGTAGTGGAGGTTTTGTTCTTAGGGCCTCAATCTGTCGACTCCGGTGGAGGTTAGTCGCCCGCTAGAGAGTCAGATTGAGAGGGTCTGAAGACCTTTAGTCGAGACTTCAGGCTGTTTAAGAACCTTCCGCAGTATAACTGTCATAGAAACTGAACTTGGTAATTACAATCCGGCTTAACTGCAGTCTAGGGGGAACCATATCCGGGTGACCTCTTTAACCTGAATACAACCGTTTACTTGCTTTGTTAGTTTGTTAGTTTAGACTTGCATTCCAGTTTCATTGCTAGATAACAAGAATTCACTGAGTAGTCATCAGATCTAGGACCCGGGTTGACATATAAACCTAACCCGCTATACTACGCTTTAGGAAGTGGTTTCACTTGGCCAATTCCTAGAGTGACAGTAGAGTCGAGTCAAGTTTTTGGCGCCGTTGCCGGGGACGGCTAGGTTGTTGAAGAAAAGTGATTTCTGTTAATTTAGCCTTTCTTTTTGCTTTGTTTGCTTTTTCCCACTTGTGCCTTCACGGGTTTGCTTGCTTGATTGTGTGCAGGTAGTGCATGACTCATAGCCAGTCATGAGGTTTACTGCCGTTGAATCCAGAGATTGACCGCACCTGTCGCCAGCTCAGGAGACAACAGCAAGCTAGACTGGCTACGGAAGAGCGCATAGACGGCCACGTGAGCAGTGATTCTGAGGAGGAGTACGAGATGGAAGACTACAATCAACACCAGGGGAATCCTCAGCAGGCTCCCCCGGTGAATCAGGTCCTGGGGAACAACCCCATACCCCAGGATCATGGAGTTCATCATCCACCGCAGCCGGGTCCCACCTTGGAGTACTACTACACTCCGCGGATTGCTGACATCCGCCCGGTCATCCTCTACCCGCCTATCCCAGCAAACAACTTCGAGATCAAGCCATGCTGGATTCAGCTCATCACATCCTCTATCCAGTTTCATGGCTTGAAGGATGAGGAGGCCAGGGTACATCTGTCCCGTTTTCTGCAGCTGACAAACGGGTTCAAGCTGAATGGTGTCCCGGATGATGCAATCCGCCTTCATCTCTTCCCACATTCTCTGGCGGGGAATGCTAAGAGGTGGTTGGAGACCCAGCCCCCATTGTCCATCACCTCTTGGGACGATCTGGCGGACAAGTTCGTGCACAGGTATTATCCGGCGTCGAAGACTACAGAGATTCAGCGGGAGATCACTCACTTCCGCCAGGAGCCAGATGAGTCACTTCGTGATGCATGGGAGCGGTACATGGGCTATTTCTGGCAGTGTCCCCATCATGGCTTCAGTGATGCATTCACAGTGGGGAACTTCTACAGTGCCCTCTCTCCAGACAGCCAGAGGGTGATTGAGTCTCTATGCCCAGGAGGGGATATTCTCACTAAGACTCCACCTGAGTTGAACCAGATGATCAGTACTTTGGCTGCCAGAGATCATTCTTGGGGACAGGGTAGCCGAGGCAGACAGTCCCGGGACCGTGGTGTGCACGCCATGGAGACCAGATCCGGGCTCGAGCAGCAGGTGGCTGAGCTAGTGCAGACATTGAAGCAGCCCAACAGTCTTATTCCGGGCAGAGGTTTGGCTACACCTCCAGTAGCTCAATGTCAGTGGTGTGAGAGCTCCAATCACCTAGTGGAGGACTGCCAGGCTATGAGGGAGTCTACCACACCCCAGGAGCAGTTGGCCTTTATCGCCAATGCGAGGCGCCTCGATCCATACAGTAGCACATATAATGAGGGGTGGCGCCAGTATCTCAACTTCGCCTGGAGCAGCAACACCACTAAACCACCTGGTTTTCCAGCACCAGCAGGTGGTTTTCAGCAGAGGCAGCCCTTCCAGCCTAGGCAGGGGCAGCCATTCCAGCAGCCCCAGCGCCAGTTTGCCGAGCCAGCAGCAGCTCCAGCCCTAGATGACAGGATGACGAAGCTGGAAAACATTCTAGCTTCATTCATGACGAGCACTCAGGCGACTATCACGAGGTTGGACCAGAGTGTAGCCTCACTGGAGGCAGGTCAGAGGAACCAGGGTGCCATTTTGCAGGATCTGCAGACCCAGGTGGGCATCTTGGCCCGCCAGAACACCACCAGGGCACCGGGGACTTTGCCTGCCACCACTGTCCCGAATCCTCGAGATCCTCACCAGCATCAGCAGCTGGATGCCATTTTTACCAGGAACGGTAAGACCATATCTGCTGATCCTGTCCCGGCCAGACAGGAGGAACCACTACCTGCTTCAGCACTTCCAGCCGACGATGCAGAAGTGCGGGTGGAGAAGGAAGCCCCTGCTCCCAAGCCACAACCAGTGGTTAAGGAGCATGTGCCCCAGCTTCCCTTCCCCACTCGCCTACATAAAGACAAGCTGGAGACTGAGTTTGCCAAGTTTATGGCAATGTTGAAGCAGCTCAACATCAGCATACCGTTCGTGGAGGCACTGTCGAAGATGCCCAAGTATGCCAAGTTTATGAAAGATCTCTGCACCAACAAGAAGAAACTTGGGGATCTTTCGACAGTGATGCTGAGCGAGGAGTGTTCTGCTATCATGCAGAACAAGCTGCCCGAGAAGCGCAAGGATCCAGGGAGTTTTACTATCCCTCTTACTATTGGCAGCATGCATGTAGGAAAGTCCTTGGCGGACCTAGGCGCTAGCATTAACGTCATGCCATATAAGTTGTATAAAATGCTAGACCTAGGTGAACTTAGCCCTACTAGGATGAGCATTCAATTAGCTGATCGTTCTATTGTGCATCCTAGGGGAATCATAGAGGATCTGCTTGTTGGTGTTGGTGCATTCACATATCCTGTTGATTTTGTTATTCTTGATATACATGAGGATGTGGATGTGCCCTTGATTCTAGGTAGGCCATTTCTTGCCACCGCCAAGGCACTAATTGATGTGCATGATGGTAAGTTGATCTTGCGTGCTGGGGATGAACAGGCTACTTTTTCTGTGACTGAGTTTGATCACTGTGTTATGATTGCTGTCACGCCTGTGCATGCTATGTCTGATCAGGTACACGAGTCTGTCGTGTACCCTTCTGCACCTCCTATTTTGCAGGACCCTCCTATCATTCCTTCACCGCCACTCCATCCAGCCTCGCCTCCGAACAAAAAGCTCAAGGAGGAGTGGCGCCCGAAGCAGCAGGTTGCTAAGCCTGCACGGAAGAAGAGTGGAGACCACTATGAGCTGGTCCCACCTCCTGCACCACGACCACCCTGGCCGTCTGGGTACTCGCTCTCCTGCATCTTGCCAGATGGGCAGGTCGAGCTGACTGATGAGGGTGGTCGCATCCGTCGGGTGCATGGCCACAACCTGAAGCTGTACCTCAAGAGCGACGTGGATCCGCTCTTGGAGGCACCTGTTCCTGCACCGCCCTGAGTATCCGCAATTGGCGTCCATCTAAAAGACGGTAAAGAATCGCTTGTGGGGAGGCAACCCCACCATGGTTTGATTTTCTTTCTTGTGTTTTGAGTCGGATTGTAACCCGGTTTGGGTTTGGTTTGTTTTCTTTTGGTTTGGATGATATTTTATTGGGCTGACCATTGGACCTAACATACTGTGTTTGAGCTCTTCTGTTTTCCTTTGGCTGTGCTTGCCCCGACTGGCCCCCTTCCAGTCCCCTGCAGTCCGTGCATACCGGTAACATCTTTCCCTATCCCTTCCCTCTTCTCCATTGAGGGCAATGTCGATCTTAAGTGTGGGGGGATGTTTATCTTTTGACTGCATTAGATCTGTTTGTGTGCTTGGAGCCTAGTCCACTGTCCAAATTTTTAAAAAATTTGAGGGCTCCAAGTACGTGTTTCCGTGCAATTGCCTGCTCAGTATGCTTTGAATTGACAGTCTTTATAGTAATATGCAACCTAGGGAGGTAGTGTAGCACTATGGAGGATGTTGATGCATTTAAGAAGTCTCATTTCTTCTTCATATTGAGTAGGTTGATTGAGTGAATTAGTGATCTTAGGACCCTTGAATTGTGTGGTGTTGTGGATTCTCTGCCTGTCATGGACTCTTGTATCATGTTTTGAGTTTAACAGGTGCTCGAAAATGTGCTTCAAAATAACGTCTCCCGTGCGAATAGGGCGAAAGTGTGTAAGGGGAGACGGGAATCCGTTCCCAATTTCCACCTACTACCTCCAGCCCCCTTACATGTCTTTCCCCCGCACGAGGCTCGAGACATCCGCTCCTGGCATAGCCGGTAAGAGCAGGTTGGGACCCTTGGAAAAAAGAAAGTAAAGAAAAAAATAACAGAAAACAAGCAAAACAGAAAAAAGGGGTTCCAACCATCTTCAAGAATAAAATAGAGCACCTTGAAAAATGTGAGTCCATGATCTGTTGTTTTTGAGAATCTCTTCATCCACGATTCATTTGTCCTCTGTTCACTATTTGCCATGATACTGACTCGCCGAAGAAGTTATGAGATGACTTGTGCGTCGGTTGACCTCGTAAGTTGCTAAATGATCTAGGAAGTCCTCTACCTACGATCTGGGTTGTTTGTTGCTATAGAGGTTTGGAGAGTTGCATTGGTTTGAGTTAGGTTTGCTTGGGGACAAGCAAACGGTTAAGTGTGGGGGAGTTTGATAGACCGTTAGTTACACATGTTTTCACACCTGTTCTTACACCGTTTGAGAGGTGGTTTCTCGTGTTTTAGACCGATTTCACGCTAGGTTGTGCTTGTTTGTAATATTTCAGGTCCTGGCAAGTGAATGAAGGTTTAGGAGCGAGTTCGGGGTCGATTGGGTGAAGATCGGGCGCAAGACAAGTCACAAGGGAGGTCACACGGGCTGCCCTGAAACTCGCACGACCGTGTGAAGTAATGGCCTGGCCGTGCGAGTTTTGCCGAGAGCACACACGGGCAGAGCAGAGGATCGACACGGCCGTGCAAGTGGCCGGGTTGGCCGTGCCACATTCTGCGAGAGCAAACACGGGCAAGAGGGGATGTCCACACGGCCGTGCCATTCTGGCCGTGCAAAGAGCCTGGAATTCGAACTAAATGCAACGATGCGTTTTGACTCACACGGGCAACTGGGTGAGCTGCACGGCCGTGCCACCCTGGCCGTGTGAGTCGGGATTTTCTCCTTTTAAGCAGAATTTCAGCCACAATTCGGGGGGATTCGAGTTTTTGAGAGAGAGATAAGTTCCTAGAGAGAGAAAGTGACGAGCAAGAGTTCCCAAGTGCCCTAGATTGATCTTCAACACCATTGGAGGCCAGTTTGAGCTTGGAGAAGTGCCGATCAACGTCCAGGAGCCGGAATCCGTCCTTCGCAGTATGAATTCCGTGTCTGTTTCTGCTTTTTCTTTCTTCTCCATGGAGTAGTTCTCCCATTCATCTGGGTATGGAGAACCCTAGATTTGTATGTTAGGCTTTGATTGTATGAACCCAAGTACCGATTCTATGATTGATTATATTCGATTGAGGTTTTAATGATTGAATGACTTGAATCCTGATCAAATTCCTGTTGTTTCTGCTTTAACCTAGAATGAGAATATCTGCCTAGGTTAATAGAGTATCCTTGATTGAAGGTAGGGAGTTGGTGACTTTAGTCGAGGAGCCAACTCACTATTCTGTACCGGATTTACTCCGGTAGTGGAGGTTTTGTTCTTAGGGCCTCAATCTGTCGACTCCGGTGGAGGTTAGTCGCCCGCTAGAGAGTCAGATTGAGAGGGTCTGAAGACCTTTAGTCGAGACTTCAGGCTGTTTAAGAACCTTCCGCAGTATAACTGTCATAGAAACTGAACTTGGTAATTACAATCCGGCTTAACTGCAGTCTAGGGGGAACCATATCCGGGTGACCTCTTTAACCTGAATACATCGTTTACTTGCTTTGTTAGTTTGTTAGTTTAGACTTGCATTCCAGTTTCATTGCTAGATAACAAGAATTCACTGAGTAGTCATCAGATCTAGGACCCGGGTTGACATATAAACCTAACCCGCTATACTACGCTTTAGGAAGTGGTTTCACTTGGCCAATTTCTAGAGTGACAGTAGAGTCGAGTCACGTACATACAAAGAAGCTGCTTAGTATGAAGAATGGCTCAAGGCTGTTCAGTCTGAACTAGCTTCCCTCTTAAAAACTAATACTTGGATACTAGTAGATCCTCCCATTAACAAACCTATCATTGGTAATAAATGGGTTTTTCGGATCAAATTTCTTTCAGATGGTACCATTGACAAGTTCAAAGCTCGTCTAGTGGCTAAGGGATACACTCAAACCCCTGGTATTGATTATCTAGACACCTTCTCCCCTGTTGTCAAAATGACTACAGTTAGGGTCCTCCTAGCATTAGCATCTATTAATAACTGGTACCTAGAACAGTTAGATGTCAATACAGCCTTTCTTCATGGTGATTTGAATGAGGAAGTATACATGGCTTTACCCCCTGGTCTCCAGGTTAGTGATGCTGACAAAAATAAGGTTTGCAAACTTACCAAGTCCCTTTATGGGCTAAAAGAGGCAAGTCGCCAGTGGTTTGCAAAACTGTCTGCTACACTAGAAGAACTAGGATATAAGAAGTCAAACAGTGATTACTCCCTTTTTACCAAACATGAAAATAAGAACTTTACAGCTTTACTTGTATACGTAGATGACATTATACTAACTGGAAACTGTTTCTCTGAAATTCAAAAGGTCAAACAGTTCTTAGATGACAAGTTTACAATTAAGGATCTTGGGAATCTCAAATACTTCCTTGGCATGGAAGTATCCAGATCTGATTCTGGGATTCATCTTTGCCAAAGGAAGTATACACTAGACCTCTTATCTGATACTGGTTATCTTGCTTCTAAACCAGCAACTACACCTTCTGTTCCAGGCACTCATCTCTCTAGCAATGATGGAGAATTACTTGATTCTGCTGCACACAGTAGTTATAGAACATTGATAGGTCGTTTACAATACCTATGCAATACTAGACCTGACATATGCTATACTGTCAACCAGCTGAGCCAATACATTGATTTCCCAAGAACTAGTCATGAACAAGCCACTCATAGACTTTTGCGCTACTTAAAGACTAATCCAGCCAAAGGCCTTTTCTTTCCTTCAAACTCTAACATCAAGCTCACTGCCTTTTCTAATTCGGATTGGGCTGGATGCCCCGATACTCGCAGATCAGTAACTAGTTTTTGTGTTTTTTTAGGTTCTTCACTCATCAGCTGGCGTTCCAAGAAGCAGCAGACAGTCTCACGATCATCAGCTGAAGCAGAATATCGTGCCCTTGCTGACACCTCACAGGAACTCCAATGGATGACATCTCTTTTTCAACAGCTCCCTGTGCAACCCCAGCAGCCCTACTTCATCTACTGCGACAGTCTTTTAGCTGTAAAGATGACAGAGAACCCAGTTCAGCATGAAAGAACGAAGCACATCGAAGTAGACTGCCACTTCACAAGGGATCAAGTGCTTGCCAACAAACTCAAAGTTCAACACGTTTCAACTACACTACAGCTTGCTGATCCGTTTACAAAAGCCTTGCCAGTTCACACCTTTGTAGACCTCATCTCCAAGCTAAACATGAAATCAATACATGCTTAGCTTGCGGGGGGGTATTAGAGTATAGGACTAGAATACAATTCGCTGTTAGATAGATGACCATATTGTAAATATACATAGGTAGTTGAAGAGTTAGTTAGATAGATAGACTATATAAGCTAGGATAATTTGTAAACCCTTTACGTTTTTTCTCTCAATCAATCAAGCTTCAGTGATTAATCAGAAACTCTAGCACGTAGTCACCGCCATCGCCACCAAATTGAATGTACGGAGTCGACAACTGCGCTTGCTCTAGTCGAAGTCGCTCCTCGATAAACCCCTTCAACAACTGGCAATGGAAGAGGGATTGGGGGAGGTGGTTGAGGGAGCGCCGGATTTTGAGGGCAGCAGTGGAGGCGGTGGTTGAGGGAACACCGGATTTTGAGGGCGACAGTGGATATGGGACCCACGACTCCTCCACCACCGGCATCATTGAGTCCCGACGACGGGGAGAATCACCTCTGTTCTGTTGAATCCAGAAAGCATCGATGGCCTCGCTACAGGATGCTCCGTTGGATTGGCAGTGCGGTGGCGTCAGAGCGGTGGATTGTCGGCTGAGAGGATGTTGCGGCAAGGAGATTTGCGACGATGGAGGAGGATACCAGAGCGATTTGGGATTTTTTTCCCCCAAAAATTACGCTGGCCACGCAGAGGGATTTGGGATTTTTTGTTTTCCTTTTTTCATTAATTTAATAATAAAAGAAAAGCCTATTTCCACCTAGTATGATTTTGGAGAAAAAAATGCTCATGTGGCTGGCCACGTAAGTCACGCCGTTTGCCCAGTCACACTTAACGTTAACAGCGTTAAAGAATTGGATGGAAGTGGCTATAAGTGGTATTTTGCCAAATTTGGCTATTATTGACATAAACACGAAAATTTTGGCTATACAAATGTATTTTGCCTAAAATAAAAATAGCCCAAAGAAGCTCCCAAGTCCCAACTATGCAAGCATGTCGGCAAGGGCTTTGAAAAGGAGAGCTCAAGGTATTGGAGTTGGGGAAACTCGTGAACTAGGAGACCACCACGATAGGGCTGAACAAATTTGAATAGTATAGGTTTGTTGTTCACCTCTTTTTTATTATTTTTTTCGCTGACGTTATGAAGAGAAATAATGATCGTTTTATCGATATTTTTTAGTGAACATAGAAAAAGGAGAGAATCAAGAAGAGGAGGGATCCGACTCCTGTGCAAAACTAACTAGTGTTGTGCTAGTTTCATATGGAATTGAGATTGTTAAGGTTTTATGCGGACAAATTCGAGCATAATCATTCACCTTATTTAGATAGCAACGCCATCACATCTGCATCGCAAGATGGTTGCAGAGGTCTGATGCCTTATGTCACGAGACCATGCATGGCTAGTCAATTTGGAGCACATACATGTATGGGTTAATATTGTGAACCTCGGTCATTTTAAAGCACCACATAACACATCTCTCACTATCTGAGTAAGTGGTCTCAAAGCACCTCAACCTTCCCATTCTTACGCAATTATGATAATCAGAGTGGTGAGAAAGTTAATCATAAAAAGTTTGTTGTATATTTTAGTTTGACTATGAACCATGTGAATGATGCTGAAAGGGGAACATTCTTGGTCTGGTACTCTCGAGGTAACTAATCACTATTTAGGCTTGCTATTGTTAGTGGGGCGATCTATCAAAATTGGATACCTTTCGCTTCGTAGTGGAGAAGGTGTTGAGTCAACTTCATAGAAGGAAGCAATGATACCTCTCTTATACAACAAAGGGAACTCTCGAAAGCCATGACTAATACTCTACCAATTGATGTTATGTCGTGTTTTGTCCTATCGATTTCGATAGGTCCAACTCTCGAATGACATTTAGCTTGATTTTGTTGGAGTTTGAAGCATGCAGAGTCGCTTGAACATCTTTATGTCTTACTACATTTGAATTTTACGATAAAATTTTGTCTCAATAGAGTCATCCAAGAACGGTTCGAGCTCAAACCCGAACCGACGAACCCATCTATCAATTTAACTTTATAGAATCGACTTTAGTGAGAATATTACCTCCCAACTAATCTTTAACACCTTAAATGATTGTTCATCATTTCTACTTCAAGTTCTTATTGTCAACTTTACGGTATATAAATAGAGAGCGATAACACTGATTCATCATTCCTTATGCAATATCTCTCTACGATCTAGTGTTGTTAACTTGTTATCTTGAACTTACAAGTCTATTGTTTCGTTTTGATGTGGATATTTGATTTTTGCAATGTATCGTTACTGTTATGGTATGCTCGCTAGGTTCCTTGGATGTGATCGAGTGAGTAATGTCAAACCTAAAATGACCAATGAATGGTTTTTACCAGCACATCAAGTAGCTTGCTTCGTGCATAATGAACATTTTGAAGTAGTGTTAGTTACACCTTTCCGCCAACGCTCCACCACACATTCAAGCAAACTAAACAGTCATCTTATAACACTATGAGCGGTTATCTTGCATTGGCTACCACAAGTAGGCTGTTAGGGGTGGGCAACGGGACGGGACTGGGTACCCGTCCCGTTTAAAACGGGTACCCATTCCCATTTGGAGAGAAAACCCCATCCCATATCCCAAACCCGTACGGGTTAACGGGTACCCATTACCCGTACGGGACGGATAACGGGTACCCGCGGGTACCCGTAGAAGGAGCCGTGTCATTTGCCAACATTGAGTTGAGGTTTACAGACACATGGGATGGTGTCGTAAAGCGGGGGAAAGTTGAGGTACTTCGTGAACGATGATCTCTTCTCTCGGTTCTACACTTCGACTATTTCAACATGTCTGGCCTCTCCATTCTCACCACCGAGTTTAGCGTCAAAGACTTTGATGTCATCGAGGAAAGATTCGTCCAAGTTTACTACGGATCGCTCTAGAATCTGATTTAGTTAGATACTTCTTTTCCCGGAAACAAAAACCTGAACCGTAACCTACTGGTGCAAGCAATGATGTGTGTGGAATTGTGGATATTGTTAATTGTTGTCAACCAATTACGTACCTAACCTTAAATTATTGTTTGGAGCTACAGGTTTTTTCTTAATTGGTTTGTTTCTGTACTAAGAGAACAATTATTGGTTTGCTTCCTTTTCTGTTTAATTTCTATGTTGCATTGTGGCTCTCCATATCTTGTGTTTCTTGTGTTAATTTATTTAGTAGTTTATCAATTATAAGGGGAGCGGGTAGTACGGGTACCCGTAATACCCAAACGGGTATTAACGGGTAACCCGCGGGTACCCATTGTTGAACATGTTGATCCCATGTCCCATCCCGTAAAAAATATTACGGGTATTTGGGTACCCGTAACTCTCAAAAAACGGGACGGGTATGGGTATAACCAAATATCCGTTTCCCATTGCGCATCCCTATAGGCTGTCTTTCTAAATGGCGCTACAAAATCTTTTTGCATTTGGTCTGGACATGACCATCTACAAAATACTATAAGGCAATGTATAAAAACAGGGTTTGCCACATCAGCCTCTTCTGAAATGGCCGCACAGTACGGAGGGCCTTTATTGTCAATTCCCAATTTCGTTTATGCCGCCGGCTGCCTCGGAGAAGTGGGTGTAAAGTGTAAACCCAAACTACATCGCTATGTCTCTCTCTCTCAATTTCTCTGCCCATCTTCTCTCTCTTGGCTTTTGTGGAGTCCGACCCTGAAGATTTCTCCCTCCCCTTCCTCACTCATCTCTTATCATCGCAAATGCAATGGGCACCCAATATTCAGTGGCTGAATATTTGGCCACCTTAGATGTGATTCCACAGCGCACCATGCCGTTATTTTCTCGATATACCTCTTTTTCTTCATATTGATTATCACGGGATCTAAAGAGACGAGATTGTAAGATCCAATTTCTCGATTGATTTTGGAGGAACCAACTTCTTAATCCATAAAGAGTTAGAGTTATCTTCTTATTCTTCCCCTTCCCCTGCATCAGGTTGCGTCGCTGCCCTGGCTTCCACATATCAAAGATGATGACTGCCAAATGGGCTAAAGCCCATTGTTTTCTTTTGCCATGTTATTACGTTTCGTTTCACTTCTGCTCTCAACTAGAATCAACATGAGGTCATGAGGCCCACAGCCCACTCGCCCCTTTCTCCCATCCCGTCCCTTCCGTCTTATCCGCTTGACTGTATTCATACTCGAGTCAATTAGCTCCCAGATTTAAATTTTTTTGTTACAGTGTAAATAGGAATCTCATTTTTATTTTGTGCCTCCAATAGCCTTCGATATTTATTTCACAATTGAAATAGCTGGATTGTTATTTAAAATTTTGGGTGATTATTATTGTCAAGCAATTTGATTGAGTATGAGTTAAATGATATATGAAAGAGAAGTTGAGTATGGACTAAGTTAAAAACATATTGTTCTAATCACTGGGTTATAATTGTTCCTTTGAGTTTGATGAACATGATATTTTTATACTTTCAATTTTATTCAATTAAGTTTTTGTTTTATGGTCTCTAGGTATTATGCATCCGAAGAAGTAGGATTGTTTACCTAATTTGAGCCTTATATAAGTTGATCTTATTGTGGAAAAGATCTTATGTAAAAAGATTTGACCAACCAACTGACTTGGTTAGTGATATTTAATATGTGTCTAGGTTGGATTTATTGGCTACCTCGATTATAATCCAATTAATTAGAATGAATTAGCGAGATAAAAGAAATATGGTCTAATTTCGAAATCCAACAATTTTAGTTGTAGATAAGTTAATCAAATAGACCTCATTGCTTATGACAACTGATAGTTGTTATTTTATTCAGGGCTCATACTTGACAATTATCATAACCGTAGGAACTTACATGGTAGTCACTATTAGGAGACTCAAGTATTTATAATAAAAAGAGTCGTCTGGATTGGATGCCTAAGCCTTCAAGGAACTAATCGTATAATTGAACTCCTTCGAGTCCATCAATTCAATTGTTGATTTAGCCTTTAACGCCCCCTCATTTACCTGCATACGAGAATTAGGATTGGCTGCAATGTCTTGGATTAATACAATTCTCCGCCAATGTTCACAGGTAAATTGTTTTATGCCTAACGGGCTCAATCTCCAAAAATGTTTAACAAAATCTTTTGGATGCAACCCAAATTTCACTCGGGCATTGCCAAAAAGAAACTATAAAAAGTGTTCTCCCCAAATTTTGCCAAAATAAGAAGCAAAACACACCATCACATACAACCCTTTCCTATTCCGGAGAGTTCCATGAAAAGAAAACAGGCTGCCAAAATGAGTACAAATTTTCAAATGCCAAGATAAAACTTCCCCGGCCAATAGGTCGGGCCCTATGCTAGTGACAAATAAGCCAAAGGAGTAAATGAGTCGAAGCAAAAATAATTTGAAATAAGAGTTATTCACATTAAACAACTATACATTCGCATATTGTGTAAACTCTTTTAATATGAATTTGGCACCACCTATCGTGCACACTATATTTGATCACAAATTTATGCAAGTGTTAGAAGTATGATCATATTTACGATCGTGAATAAGCCCATAAATAATTTCTTAATTTATGCTGATAAAGATTGTCATTTGACAAATATTAACCCTACTATAATGAAGATCCCCTCCAATTGCAAACCCTTGACGTAAAAAAAAAACTGACAAATTTACCGTGGTGGTGCTCTACTCACCTATTATTCATGAATGTAGATCATGCAAACACCCACCAACCACAACATTAATGTTGATTGAGTTGCCCACATTGCTCGGTGCCTTGTTGTAGCCTTCGATCACGATTTGGGGCTATGAAATCGCAACTAGAAAAAAAAAATTACAAAAGTTGTCCAATTTCTATGAGCAAAATTGGAAATAATGAACATGCAGCACGGCAGCAAGAGTGGCAGTTTCCCAGAGAGAAAAAAATAAACCCAGCTGGTCCAGCTCACTTCTTTGTTCTTTTCCATTGGAAGGTGAAACACATCAGAACCTCTCTGTTTCTTTCTTCTACCTTTCCTTTTCCTTTCCGATTTCCCCACTTCTTCTTATTTTCATTCCAGGCCCCATTTCCAGACAGTAAATAACAGAACAGAGACACCAATTACCAGTGCAATCACCCATCTTTTCCTTACTTACATTTCACCCCCTACTATTTACTTTCTGAACCCCTAAACCCTTTTCCCCCTTTCCGCTTTCCCAACTTTCCCCAGTTCCCATCTCTTCTCTCCAGTACTCTCTCATCTTTTTCCCATGAAAAATCGAACTCTCCCTTCCCTAACGCCTCCGTGAACCTCAACGCCCCCCCTCTTTCCTTTCCTCTCCCATATCTTTCCCGCTTCCCTTCTCAAATGGCTCCCTTCTTCTTCTTCTCCGCCGCCGCCGACCGCTGATCCCCCCGCCGCCGTCGTCATCAATCAATCACCATCATGCTCTCACCGCAGCCGCTGCGCAACGGCGAGACTCCGTCGCCTCACCCCCGGATCTCCGCCCCTCACTTCCACTCCACCCTGTCCGTACAGAAGCTCCGCCGATTCAACTCTCTCATCCTCCTCCTCCGCCTCCTCGCCTTCTGCTTCTCCCTCTCTTCCTCCATCTTCATGCTCACCAACTCCAGGGGATCCGACTCCCCCTCCTGGCGCGACTTCGACGCCTTTAGGTCAGTCCCCCGCTCTTCTAATTTCTCCTTCCCAATGTCTTGTTTGGCTGCCGAGAAAAGCAGAAGGAAAACATTTCAATTTCAATTTCAAAAAAGATTTCGCGATTCCCGCTTCCTCGAGCCGCAACCAAACAAAATACAAGCAATAAATTAAAGCCGGAAATGAAACTCTTTCCGTCACTCTTTCGCAGATACGTTTTCGCGGCGAATGCGATCGTGGCGATATACTCGCTCCTGGAAGTGGCGGCGTCGGCCTGGGAAGTTCTCAAGAGCGCGACGATTTTCCCGGAGGTGCTCCAAGTGTGGTTCGATTTCGGCCACGATCAGATATTCGCTTACCTCCTGCTGTCGGCGGGCTCGGCGGCGACGGCGCTGGTCAAGACGCTCAAGGATAGGGACACCTGCCGATCTTTCAGCGCCTTCTGCCTCCAATCCGACATCGCCATTGCCCTGGGCTTCCTCGGGTTCCTGTTCCTAGGGTTCACCACCTTGCTCTCGGGTTATCGGGTCGTCTGTTTTGTAATCAACGGCTCTCGTTTCCATCTCTAATAGTTAATGACAATAAAAAGGTTCTTAAGAATAGGATTCTGATTTTGAATTTTTTTTCCTCTCTTTGCTTTTAGTACCATATGTGAGTGACTGATGTTATGATGGCATTCCTCCTTTGGTACAATATGATTCAAAGAGATAATGATTGTGTTCTATTATTGATCAAGCAAAGATTGTCGTAATTCATTCAATCGACGAGTTCTTCGATAAAAAAAATATAATTCCACCTAGATTCATAATTCTCCAACTTCTAATCCTCTCATAAATATTTCTATTAGACTTTTTTCAAAGAATCCTTCTCAATAAGTGGCTAATAAACACAACACAGACTCATGGTCCACTAGCAATGGAATTTTCTAATCTGAATTATGCTGTTGACTTGTCAGTTGTCACCAATTACCACTGATGGCATAATCTGTCATCAATCCATCAAAACTAGGGGTTAAGGGAGATTGGTCAGGCAGCCACTTGATAAGAAAGAATTAATGGGAAGATCACTTTCTAACCCTTCCCCAGACAATTACAGACCTGCAGTGACCATAACCAACCTGGAAAGAGTTCTATACCGAAGTTCCGGTGACTGCAATAGTGATACATCAACATCACAGAGAATGTATGCATGTACAGAAGCAAAGAGATTGTCCTAAAATGTGATCTCCCCAAAAAGGAGTAGTGTATGGTGAAACTGTGATGTCTTGAAAGAGAATTCATATGATGCAATGGAAAGTTATGAAACTATTGGTGGTCCTGCATTGATTGGGATAATGTTATCTAGTAAAGGGCAGGCAAGAATGTTATCTAGGCAGCAAGGGACAACTTTTAAGCTGCTGTAAGATGTTCTCTTTCTCTAGTAAAGCTTCTTATCTAAACAGGATGCAAGTAAAGCCGACAAATCCATTCTCAGTTGCTGCCGTCGTATTTCGGGTCGGCAACGACGTAGTGGTAGGCAATCACCAGGAGGAAGATGAAGATGCCGAGGAAATTGGCGAAGAATCCGAGATCCTGGTCGTCAAACATCTGCAGAATCCAACAGCAAAACATTGCATTTACCAGAACCATAACATCTCAGGTTAACCATTCATCAAGCAACAAAATGTGCAAAGTAGCACATTCCAGTTTTCCCCACTAAGAAGAGTGGCAAACTAGTGTGGAAATTGGAAAAGCATGTAGCCCCCAGTTCAGACCACCCCTTTTCTTAGAGATAGATTTAACCCTTTGATAAAATTTGCCACCTTGCTAATGGGCAGCTTTTCAAGATTCTCATACAGTAAGAGTAGCTTTGATTCGCAACCCATGAAATCATAATAGCAAATCCCCCCAGAAAGAAGCTGCTGTAAACAAAAACAAGGCACCTGTCTTCTTACCCCAAAAGCTATGCGATGACATAAACTTGACAATAGAAACAGAAAAGTAGGGCTCAAGTCAACTTTAGCATTCAAGAAGGTTAAGCTCAAGCAAGAATGTGAATTGAAAAACTAAATAATATGTCCCTGTGCAAGGGGGATCCTTTCTCAAGAATTCATTAACATTTGATTCCCACCATTGTTAAGTCTCATGAGGAACTCCTATTACTTTGAGCTCAAATGAAATTCACTGCCATATGAGGTTTCCTGTCTCATTCGATTCTACGGGTTTTAGTTTCATGATCATAACAAAGATTCTCACACGAAGCAAAGAGATGCCAGATTTCAGGTATGGCACTATCAGGAGAAGAATAAACCAAGAAACCGATTCCAACACCAGATCTCTGATCTTAGACCCGGACGGCGATCCGCGATCGGCCGTCCGTGAAAAACAGAAATGAGAAAATTGAGAACTGAACAAATGTGAAGAAGGAAGGATCGATCGAGCTACACAAACCTTTTTAATAACGCGGGAGCTCAGCGTCTAGCAGCAGCTGGCAGGTGAGAGCAACTATGGCCGCCGGCGTCGGTGAAGGGAAATTAGAATCTGAAAACACCTTATCTCTTACTCGATCTGCTTCCCCCCTGAAACACTGTCGCTACTCGCTAGCGGACACAGCAGTTGAAATTGAAAGCCCGTCCGCCGCTACGCTTTAGTCAATGAATGGCCCATAATTACTTGGGTTGTCTTCTCGTACTGTTATGGGCCAACACCCGACCCAATAACAAGTAAGAGTTGTGTTTGGGAGATCTCGGCACATGCACATCCCTTTAGAACTCGGGATAGCTAAGGGCAATCAGCAATCCGGTTATGGTGCTCGTAGCTCGTTGTAAACTCGTGCTTATAGAAGTTGGACATCGTCGGATCATGCACCGTCTGTAACCGTTAGATAAACGGATTAGTAGTGCTAGTAGGAGCATGGATGCGCCCTTTAGTTTCTGTGAGTTGAGCCCTGAAAGCAATCAAGAGAGGGCAAAATGTTCCAGGCCACAGAACCTCGCAGCCATTCTCTTTCTCACCCATAGCAAATTCACATACATGGCTCAACTCAAAAGAACAAGATAGAACAGGCTAGAACCGGCAAATATGTGAATGAGTTGATGTGTTAGACCGACTTTTCCATCTCCATGGAAGGATCATAGAAACAGACTAATGTTGGATGAGAACTCCAGTATGATAAACCTAACTTGAACTTAATTAAAGCAGATTTAATACAGGGTTCGTTTGGATGAGGAATTGTAACGGATCAATTTGACACAATTGTCTCGTTTTGAGACAATTGTTAAAAGCCTTCTAGGTTTGGAGAATTGGCAAACCCTCAAAGTCTAGAGAGCTGCCTTTGATTCTATATATAGCAGTGTGTTCTGTTAGAACAGAATCACTCCAAAGTTAGCCAAGTGGCAGTATGCCATTGGATATTGCAAACAAAGTAACAGTACTTAACAACGGCTATTAAGCCTAAGTAAAACGCAGCGTTCAATATATAAAGAGACTATGAAATGGAAACGTCTTCAGAAACGTTTCTCTGGTGAAACTCCTTCTTCTTCCTTGTAATCCAGATAGCTTTAGGATTCCTCTGCAACTCCATTCTTCTCTTCACTTGGTTGACACCCCCCTTCAAGTTGTGACATCCTTCAGGATTCCCAACTTGCCAAGCAACTCCTGGATGCGCACCCTGTGGAGACCTTTAGTGAAAATGTCAGCCAATTGGTTAATTGTACTGACATGTTGCAGTTGTATCAAACCATCCTTGATCCTTTCTCTGGTGACATGCATATTGATCTCGATGTGCTTTGTCCTTTCATGAAACACTGGGTTCTCAACAATATGGATTGCAGACCTGTTGTCACAATAAACAGTCACAGGTAATGGTATTTTAACACTCAACTCAGCCAATAAACTTCTCAGCCACTCAATTTCACAGACCAATAGAGCAAGAGCTCTATATTCAGCTTCTGATGACGATCTGGAAACCGTGGTTTGCTTCTTGGACTTCCAGGTGAGTAATGATCTTCCAATGAAAGTGCAATAGCCTGTGGTGGATCTTCTGCTGTCAGGACAGCTTGCCCAGTCAGAGTCACAGAATCCAGTGAGTTTTAGTTCTGCCTTGCTACTGAAGTAAATCCCTTGTCCTGGAGATGTTTTAAGGTATCTAAGTACCCTATGTGCTGCTTGTAAGTGATCACTGTAAGGATCTTTCTGGAACTGGCAAAGTTGCTGCACTGAGAAAGTAAGATCAGGCCTAGTGATTGTAATGTAGTGCAACCTTCCAACAAGCCTTCTGTACATCTCAGGGTCTTCCATCTTGTTCTCTTGTCCTGCTGCAAGCTTTACTTTGGGGTCAGATGGAGAAAGGAAACCTTTAGCTTCAAGAAAACCAGTGTCATTCACCAGTTCCATACAGTACTTCCTCTGGCAGACAGATAAGCCTTCTGCAGTCCTTGTCACTTCCAATCCAAGAAAATATTTCAGAGGGCCAAGCAGTTTAACTTTAAATTCACCACATAATGACCTTTTTATCTGGTCTATGTCCTTCTGTGCATCTCCTCCAACTATAATATCATCCACATAGACTAAAATCACCACAATCCTATCATGAATCCACTTGGTAAACAATGAGTAATCAGATTTGGACTGTGAGAATCCATTCCTCAATAAGAAACCTGTCAGCTTAGAGAACCACTGTCTAGAGGCTTGCTTCAATCCATACATTGACTTTTTCAATCTGCAAGCCATCCTTGCATTGCTTGAACCTGGTATTTCAACTCCTTGGGGTATCTCCATGTAGACTTCTTCAGTTAAGTCTCCATGTAAGAAAGCATTAGAAACATCTAACTGCTCAAGAGTCCAATTCTTAACTACTGTTATTGCCAACAAGGCTTTCACTGAATTGATCTTAGCCACAGGTGAATATATGTCAAGAAAGTCAGTTCCATACACCTGAGTGAAGCCTTTTGCAACCAGCCTAGCCTTATACCTCTCTATTGTACCATCTGGCTTCAATTTGAGTTTAAAACCCCATTTGCTCCCCACTACATGTTTATCTGGGGGCACTGGTACTATTTCCCATGTCTGATTGGCCTCCAATGCTGCAAGTTCCTCATTAATTGCTCTCCTCCATTCCAGAACTTGAATAGCTTCTCTATAACTTCTAGGTTCCACACAAGTCAGAATACTCAGTGCATAAGCTTTATCTGCTGCATTGAGATGTTCTAGATCAAATGTGACAGAATGCTTAGTCACAGTAGCTCCAAAAGCTCCAAACTGCAATTGAGGATCCAATTCACAATCTTGATACTTAGCAGGAAGGACAATTTTTCGTGTGGGTCTACCAGTAGGTTCCTCATATGATGCCTGTGGTTCCAATTCAGGTTCCAGTTCTGAACCAGGTGAAAAAGGTGAAGTAGTAACCCCCTCAGAACTACTACTGGATGAATCCCCCTTTGAACCACTGGCTGAATCAGGTATAGGAGGTGGTGTGGTAGTAGGAACTAAGAGTGGTGGAGCAGGAGTCACCACAGGGAATGAAGAAGAAGGCAGATCAGCATCAGGGGAAGGTAAATCAGAGGTGTCTGATGAGCTTCGAAATGGAAGAATTGATTCATAAAAGACTACATTTCTGGAAACAAAAACCTCCCTGGTATGCAAATCAAGCAACTTATATCCTTTAATCCCAACTGGAAGACCAATGAAAACACACTGTCTTGCTCGAGGTGCAAACTTAGTTCTACCACTAACTAAGGTGCTGGCCTAGCATAAGCACCCAAACACGCGCAAGTGACCCAATAGAGGTGAGGTCTGGTATAAAACTTCATATGGGGACTTGTTGTCAAGGACTGGAGTAGGCAATCTGTTTATGAGATAGGTGGCATGCAGAATGCAGTCACTCCAATAGGTTAAAGGAAGTCCTGACTGGAATCTAAGGGACCTAGCAACATTTAAAATGTGCTGGTGTTTCCTTTCTACACGTGCATTTTGTTCTGGTGTCTCTATACAAGACATCTGATGTTCAATCCCATGTTCCATGTAAAAGTCACACATGTTAAACTCCTGACCTTGGTCACTCCTTATCACTTTAACACATTTACCAAACTGATTCTCTACAAGTGTGCAGAACCCTTTAAGAAGGGGTCTAGCCTCACTTTTGTGTTTCATCAAAAACACCCACACAGCCCTTGAACAATCATCCACAACAGTCAAAAAGTAAGCATATCCATCATAAGAAATCACAGACAAAGGCCCCCATATATCAACATGAATTAAATGGAACAAATCATGTACAATACTGGTGCTAACAGGAAAGGGTAATTTCTTATGTTTGGAAAGGTGACAGACATCACAGTGCTTAAATTTAGGACTGGTTACAGAGGGATATGTTTGTTGTAACAAAGAAGTCCTATCTTTACTAGGATGTCCTAATCTCCAATGCCATAGGTCTACTTGTTGAGGATGGAAGTTGAAAGAACTAGCTGCTTGAGGTAGTGGAATAGATGGCTGGTCTTGTTTTGGTTTGGAAAAGGTGAGCTGGTACAGGCCTCTACTCTCTTTTGCTAAACCAGTCATCTTCTTGCTTAGCAGGTCCTGGATTTGGTAGAAATCAGATTGGAAATGTAAGGCTAAAGGATGATCATGGGTGAGTTTACTAACATATACAAGGTTAAAGGAGAAACTGGGAACAAACAGAACATTGTATAGAATGAGTCCTGAAGGTAATCTAACAGTTCCTATATGTGTCACAAGGACTTTTGTGGCATTTGGTAGGTAAACAAACATACTGTGAGTCACTCTATGCTCTATGAAAAGGGATAGAGAGCATGCAATATGATCTGATGCGCCTGTGTCTAGAATCCAAAAGTTAACAGGATCTAGGTTACTATGTTCTGTGTGTGAGGAAAGGATGAATTTACCTGAGAAATTTGGGAAGGGAGGTAGATATTGGGACACTGAGTAGGCATGGCGTGAAATGGAAGGTGAATGAGGTGGTGAAGGGCTTAGGTTAGCACCAGTTTGCATCATTAGCCTAAGTCTGTTAACCTCTTTAGGAGTAAAGGCTGCCACTACCTTTGCTGGACTTACAGGACTACCATCTGGTGTGTCACTGTTATAACTCACCTCAGTTGGTGAGTCTCCTGAACTGGCTTGAGAAACTGACCCTGCAAACTTTGATGCATTAGATCCTCCAGAACTGCTACCATTGTCAGCATCCTTCTTTCTCTTAGCCCTCCAACATTCATCAACCATATGACCAGGACTTTTGCAATAAATGCAATATTTCCTTCCCTGACTCCTTTGTCCTGATTCTTGAGGTTGATTCCCTGCTGCTAAAGCAACACTCTGAGCCTTCTTTCCAGTACTTCCCTTCTCAACCTTCAACTTTTGCTCATATTGCAGCAAATCGTCAACTGCTTCTGACACAGTAGGCAATGGCTTCTGTGCAAGCAATTGGCTCTTGATTATCTCAAAATCTGGGTTAAGACCCCTCAGGAATCGAATCAGGTAGTCAGCTTCTTGTCTCTCAGTGTAGGCTACCACTGCATCACATGGATTTAGGTTTCCTGGAGCACAGTTGCAGGGCACAATAGGATTGAACTGCAGGTACTCCTCCCATAACCCTTTAATTTCAGTATAGTATTGGTTAATGGTTTGAGTGCCCTGCTTACACTTGTGAGTCATCCTCCAGATTTGTTATTCTGATGGCATTTGGTTTCCCATACCTCCTCTTCAGTTCATCCCACAAAACTCTAGCATTCACATGACTCATAACAGATCTCCTTAAATCCTTGTTCAGGGAGTTAAGAATCCATGACAACACAGCAGTATTACAACCATCCCACAATAAGAAATTAGGATCTGTTCTAGCTGGCATAGGTATAGTACCATCGACAAAACCCAGCTTGTGTTTCATCTTCAAACCCATTATCACAGAACGACTCCACATAGTGTAGTTACTACCATCAAAAACCTCAGACCCTACAGATTGATTTAGGGCTTCATTTGGGTTTAGGTAGTAAGGATTACCGAAGGTTATGACATCGTTTCTGGCTCCAGCAAAGAGTTGTTGTTGCTGCTGCTCATCAAACGACCCAAATTGGAAAGCATGAGGACCAGACCCATTTCCCGCTTGAGCTCCTTGAGAGGTGTTTCCCGAAGATGAATTTGGACGACCCTGGGAACCCGGCGGCGTGTTCATGGCTGCCCTAGCTGCTTGACCGCTCTGATACCATAAAAGCCTTCTAGGTTTGGAGAATTGGCAAACCCTCAAAGTCTAGAGAGCTGCCTTTGATTCTATATATAGCAGTGTGTTCTGTTAGAACAGAATCACTCCAAAGTTAGCCAAGTGGCAGTATGCCATTGGATATTACAAACAAAGTAACAGTACTTAACAACGGCTATTAAGCCTAAGTAAAACGCAGCGTTCAATATATAAAGAGACTATGAAATGGAAACGTCTTCAGAAACGTTTCTCTGGTGAAACTCCTTCTTCTTCCTTGTAATCCAGATAGCTTTAGGATTCCTCTGCAACTCCATTCTTCTCTTCACTTGGTTGACAATTGTACCAAATTGCCTCGTTTGCCAGCAAAAAATTTGGATGGATCAATCTGCCTGAAGTATTTTGAATTGATCCGTTTTGAGTCAATTTCAATTATCTGGAGTGGGGGCAGATAATTCGAATTGACACGTTTATACAACGAGAGTACGAGACAATTGATCGAATTAACTCATTTCTATATTGACCCATCCAATCAACCCCACAATGCCATTGTCATGGTAACCACGTGACTGGGGAGAAGTAAGAAGATTCATTGACTTAGACTGTTCTCACTTATATGCAGGAAGAATCCCCAACTTCGTAAAAAAAAAAAAAAAAAAAAAAAAAAAGAGGAAGAATCCCAAACAGTGATAACAGAGCATTCAATCACAAAACTTCAGAAAGTTTGACTACCCAGACAAAGAGTTGCGCTAACAACTTATGTAAAAGAACCTCGAAGTGTCCAAGGCTGAGAGTTGGATTCAATTGTCGCTGCAACGTGAAAAAGGGTTTCATTGCTTCTGGTCCTGGACTTCATCTTTCTCAGCAGCGGTGTCAGCAATCTCCACCGGAGGTAACGTCTGTGTCCATGAAGATAATTCAGTTAGTCGAGCATTTTATCGAACAGGTGGTATGCAACTTGTATTTCATAAAGCAGGAGAACAGGAGCTGGTGTGGGACTTACGAGATCAGGTTTATAGATATTGTGCACGATGGTGGCGCCGGAGAGAAGAGAAGCGATGACGACGACGCATGACCAGGCCAGTGAAGGAGTGCCTGTTGGCGGCTTCCCTGCTCCAAATTTCCTGTTCATCTTTCCCCGCTGTCAATGTTTACCAGCTTTCCCTCGCTGCTACTCAATTAACGCAATAGAACACAATATGCTTCGGCGCAAAAATAAACCAAAAATTCAGGGGTTCGGCTTAAATTAAAATAAAAAAATTACACTAAAAAATAATGGTGTGTGGCTGCTGGGATTCGAGCCCAGGTCTCTACGGCCACAACGTAGAATTCTTACCACTAAACTACAGCCACAAGATATTCAAATTCTTGTTTTTTGCTATCCATCATATTGTCTTTAACAAATTGTTCCATAGAGCTGTTAGAGCATACCTATACCATGTTAGATTAGATGCGACCTGATCACATCAACAAACCACACAAAACTACCTCTTAATTTTCTTTTAATTAATCCTTGCTAATCTCAAGTCTATTAATTATGATGATTTCCCGTAAACAATCGTTTGCTAGTGAATACTAATCGCATTACACCACATGTTTTGCTTAATCACCGAGATTAATATCTAAATCATACCAACCCTTTTCTAGACGATCCAAATAGTGTCAATTCATGTGATGTCCGAACAAGTTTTGCCTAGTCAAGAATTAGTATCTATTTATTCGCCAACCAGTGTGCCATAAACTTGCGTTTTTCACCAATCGATTGTGTCATGATTCCAAGTTAAGGTCACTTCTCTACTCCAACTCTCCAAGTTTTACCTCGAGGCATGATGAGAATATCCCTGGGTATCTCTACCAATACCATCCATTTCCTTTCCGTAGCACATAAAGCCAAGCCCAGATCTGTCCTATATGCGGCAATCTCAAGCCGTTTTGTTATAACAACTTCCTTTCACGTTGCATCTGTTGTTACTATTAACATCTCAGGAGAATAATAATAGTAATACATCAACAAAACATTCAGCACCTTCAATAGACTGATCTCAACAAAATTGTCATGGTTAAGTATACGACTGATATTGCAGTCAATTCCTAGGGACAATATCCTCTTGACATATTCGAGGAAGCTAGACTTTCGGCGGCATGAGGTTGATCTCTAAAAGCTTCTCTGAGATTGTACAGCTACAAGAACAACCTAATCTCAGTTGGTACCCTCATATTTCGGGTCAGCCACCACATAGTGGTACACAATCACCAGGAGAAAGATGAAGATGCCAAGAAAATTGGCAAAAAATCCAAGATCTTGGTCGTCGAACATCTGCAGGATCCAACAAGAAGCACTGATCAGAACTAAATCACATCTCTGCCGACTGCCAATCAAACAACATACTCAAATATTTGTCTGTCCACTAAAACATCGCTGCAGTATCCACCCCTGATAATGGCAGACTAGACAAGTAGAAGTACATGTAACTCCAATACAGCCACTGTTTAGGCATAGAGATATTATCAACCTGGTTCCTCGGAACACCAATTCCCTACTAAGTTACTTTGTTCAGTAAAACCTGGATGCTATTGGATCCTAACCTTTCTCACACACTAAACGAGTTCCAGAACTATGCAAACGACTTAACAGAAAACAAGACAAGAAAGACTTCGGAAACGAAGGCCTTAGGCATCCAAGTATCTCTGGTTGCCGAAAGTCATGATTTGGCACTTAGTTAACAGACATTTCATCTGACTGTAACGTTTCAGGTTCCACAAAGTTTGATTTTACATCGACTAGACCCTAAAAACAGGACTAGAACCAGCAAATCCGAGCCAGCAAGATAAGCAACTAGCGCTCAAGAAACAAACTTTGGACAAACAAATCCGGGCCATAACCCATATGTCAGCCATTTGCAAATACTTGAGAAAAGTAACAGCAGACCTAAAGAACAACTTTATCAATTAAGGCCATTACCACTTACCAGTTTGCCAATTGACAATCAGATCAAGGAACAAGAATCCAGAACAAGAAGGGATTCAAGCTGGCCATCAAAAAGGACAAAAGCAACCGTACGATCACACTGGGATTTGAACAACGACCTTTAGATTCGGAGTCTAATGCGATATCCGCTTCGCTATGGTATCTACCGCGCTCACCTATCTCATCCTAACCAGTTTCCATTTTGCAGGTTCACGATACAGAGAATGAATCAGAATTCATTCAGGGGAAAAGCAATAATAGAACAAAATAAAACCTACTCCACCAGATCTCTGATCTCAGAGCCGGATCCGAGATCGGCCGGCCGAATGTAAAAAATGAGACTAAACGAGTTCGCCGAGGAAGAAAACAAAATGACTAAAAGAGAGGATCGGAAGACATACCTTAACCGGCTTAGTTCGTCGGGAGAGGTAATCGCCGAAGTAGCGGTGGCGATGAGAACGAATTGGGGCGGTGAGGGGAAACGGCAGTTTCTGGACTCTTTCACTTTCCGCGATCCGTTCTGCTTCCGCAGGGTTTAGCAGTCTAGTAGCAACGGAAAGTGACACCAAATGAGTTTTTATTGTTTTATGGACCTCAGCGTAGATTCGATTCAACGGCCCATTATTGGCCCAACCATCGAGAAAGTAGGCCCGTGAAGCGGTGAAGCTACCTATTGAACCGGTCACTAGATTAATGTCTAACCAGCCTCCAGGGATTCCTTAACCCGACCTGCTCGACTAGGGGTGGATACGGTTCGGTTATAATCGGTAACCGATTGGTCGGTTATCGGTTAACCGAACCACCATCTCCCCTTACTGACGATAATGCATCGGTTAACTAATAACCGAACTGCCACCCCTATGCTCGACCCTGCCCGATCCTTCAATACCTCCCACATAGTGGGTGGCCACATGAGACTGACCAGCGAACATGAGTACCACTTTTGTATTGGTCTATCATGTTCCTGTCGATTCTCGAGTTGTTCTATTTTGCTTCGTCTTAATATCAGATTATATTTTTTGATTTTTCTTAAACTGTATTTCAATCTCGATAAAGGTCCGGCTAGATACGGGAATCCTTCTTTGGATAAGTTAGATGCATTTGCTCGAGACAATAAATCTCTAATTTACTTTGGTTTATTTGCTCGAGGTCAACACATTCTGCATAATTCACACTTAGTCTAATAAATCGGCATTTGAATACCTACACATTCCAATCCATTGCCATGCTCAACCAAAACTCGTTTTTCTCTGCAAAGACTACGTTACGATAAATTCGGGATTAAAGAGGATAATCTCTTTGATGATCTTATATGATTTTGCGCTAAAGGGTTGGGTTCACATTTCTCTTATGAATGGTGCATGTTCGGCGAAGGAAAGCTGGATTGGATTACCAGTTAATCACAAATCAGTCACGACGTTAATTGCTTTTTGAAGCCTTTAACATACTAGCGTGGCCCCGGCCAGTTGGCCGGAGGAAGATGAAGTATGAAATTTGATAATGTAATGAAGTGTATAACTTATTATTGTATAGTTTTTTTTGGGAAACTCGTGATAAAAATAGTGAATTTTAGTAGGAAAGATACATGAATGATGTAATGAATCAAAAATCGGCCTTATGAACCAAAATCAAGTACATGTTACCTTTTGAAACAATATTGTTTCTCGTAATATGATGAGGTGGAGTAAGTTTTATAGAAATAGAATTCTAGAAAATCGAATAAAAAATCGTCTATCCCGTCGTTTTCGGGAAATGGGCATCTCACAATCGTTGCTAGCTTTTACTCGGCCCGTTGCTTGATTAATTTGCTTTATAAAACTTTCTTCTTGTCGTCATTGTGCTTTCTGGTTTTTGTTAGGCCATGATAAAATCTAAGAAAATCAAGAACGAACAACACGATTTGGGATAGGAACCGCCGTTGTCGTATCCCTAGAAAATGGTCGTAAACACAGACTCACCTGCCAAACTGGTTTGGATTGAGATTTTTATCGGGTATTAGGAAACCATGTGATTATAAATTAGACTTAATCAAAACGGGCCAAAACTTAAAATTCAGCATGTTTGACCGACCCATGCCAAATTCTAATTATTCTTTACTTTTAAACTTTCTATTTGAAAATAAAAAATAGTGAAAGAAAAGAGATGGCTGCAATTCGCCATTTGCACATCACTTATTGAGGAATAAAACCATAAAAATTCAAAAGGAACTGAAAATGTTTAGGATCGTTTTAATGTTTAAAATAACCAAATAGATCGTTCTGTTTAGTTTTTTACTAACAAATACCAAACGATTACCTATACAAAACACTATAATTTGATCATTATGATATCAAATAATTATATAGTATATATTTGAGATGATAAAAATTGGACTAATTGGGTTGGTCGAGGTTGAACCATTGAATAACTTTAAAATACATTATATTTTAGCCACTAAGATATAAAATAATAGCATAATATATATTATGCCAGAGAAAATAGTTTGTTCTAGAATGGCAAACCAATGATGTTTATTTGTTTTACTTGATGGTCAAATCTCGTGTAGGTCAGGCCCATTCAACTCTTTTATTTTATGGTTAGCGGTTAGCCCATTAGATACCATGCATTAGTATATTGTTAATTTTTTTATTTTTAGCAATAAAATGGAGTATTGTTTTTGCCTTCTCATATATATTTTATCACCACGGAGAAATAAAAGGGCTTAAATAAAAAAATTGACACTTCTGGACCCGTTTAAATTCACATGTGTACAGTAAGTTGGCCCGTTCCACAGAGGAAAGAGAAAAAATTGACACTCCCTATTCTACCCTTCCTACAAACGCTCCTGGAGCAGGGAATTTGAAATGGGGGAAGGGTTTTTTCCTCCTTGCTATTATATGTTTTTTATTTAAAAAAATACAACAAATGTACTTAGGGGTCGTTTGGAAGTTGCGATTGTTAGTGTTGTATTTGTTAAATACATGTATTGTCCACAATACAACATTTGGAAGTGTCAAGTTGCAGAACAATGCATGTATTGTTTTGTGTGGGTCCCACCAACAATCAACAAAAATGAGGGATTGTACAATCTCAACTAAAAGTTGAGATTGTTGTGATTGTTGGTTTAATAATTGAGCACCTTTACTTTTTCCAATTATGTCCATAGTTCTTTTTGTTTTATATTAAAAGTGGAGGACAAATATGACATTTCCTTATAAAGTAACTTTATAACAATCAATTCATAAATTATAATCCCAACAACCAAACAATGTAATTTCAAAATACATCTATTGTATCAATGCATGCATTTATATCATAGTGATTCATAACAATACAAAGATTTAACATACGCAACTTCCAAACGACCCCTTAGTATGATTGGTTATGATTCTTGCTTTTCTTTAAAATGGACATGGTTCGAATCCCAATACGTGTCTTTTTAATGAATAAAAAAAAGTAATGTCTTTTTAATGAATAAAAAAAAGTAATTGTGAAGACCAAAATGTCCTTCCTACTTTCACTCTCATTGCAGGAAATTTGAAATGGGGCTCCCGTTTTTTCCTTCGGTGTATTATATTATGTGTAGATTGGATTAAGATTATTAACCCATACACGTTTGACTGAGTGACTGACTGATGGAGATTTGCCTCGCTAGGACCCACCACAAACAAACCTGATCTGTATCCGCCGTGGCAGATAACATCATATTTACGGTTACAATCTGACGGATTAAACTTCCCCACACGCAACTAGCAAAGCCAGCCACAATCACGTGCCTCTCTGCCTAGTACAAGTTTCCGTTTACCCACCGCCCCAAAAAATTACCGCGTAAAATCAAACGCCGGTTATCTATCAGACGAGCTATACATATGACGTGGCCCATATCCATGGCGAGCTCATACCATATAGTGTAAATATCGCCACAGGGAACCGCTCCCCTCCCACGGAGTAAAATCCGGGGACGGAATCTCTAAACATTTAAGCCACAGATGATGTTACAACATGTCAACAACTCACGACGACGTGGCGTGTCGTCATTGGCTCTGACCAGACAAACACCGAAACAAAATAAGAAAAGAAAACGTCTCTCTCGCTGGCGGATTCTTGACCCGAACCGAACGGTGACGGTGCAGCTGACTTGAATAAATTCAGTCATTTCACAGTCTGTCACCTTCAGAACTCGTACTCTTGATCCAGATATATATATATATATCTCCCTTTTTCCGAGCAAGACAGAATATAAATTCTCTGTCTCTGCAGAGATACAATCCGACTGGTAATTGCTTTCACTCAATTTTTTTTTTGAAAACGCTTCTAAGGAGTTTCTGTTTTTTGTTTTAAGATTCAGATCGGGTGTGGGTTGTCGTTGGTTTGAAGCTTTCGCTTCGGTTGAGGATGCTTTCCTTGTTTTTGAAGGTTTGTTTGTCAATGATGTTTGTTGCTGCTCTGTTTTCCATCAACCGAGTTTGGTGGAGTTGTTAGTGTGGTTGATTAGTTTTTGCTTTTTTTGGTGATTATTATAGTAGAGTCTAATTCATTGCAGATTTGAATTTGGTCTTATATAAAGCTGCCATCTTTCTGTGTCATTGCATCTCACAGCCGAAGTTTTTATTGATTCTTCAGATAGTTTTCTGATCTGGGTTTTGAATTTCTTAGGTTCGTTTTCTGCATTTGATGGTTGCTTGATTTGGGTCATTTTAGTGGAGAAATGTCGTGGGGGCTGACGGTTGAATTTGGTAATGTGTTTTGCTTAGGGTATCAGAAAATTTTGACTTGCAAAGAATGGCTCAGTCCAATGGAGATCACAGCTCTGCAGCTAAGCCACCACCAACTCCTTCTCCCTTGAGATTCTCCAAGTTCTTTCAGGTAGAATTTTTGTGCATTGGATTTGGATGATGTTTGTTTCTTCATAGGTGGATCTTAGATTAAAAGAAAACTGCGAATCATTTTGTGGCAGTCCAACATGAGGATTTTGGTTACTGGAGGAGCCGGGTTCATTGGCTCCCACCTTGTTGACAAGTTGATGGAGAACGAAAAGAATGAGGTAATATTAAGGCTTTCATTGATGGCATTGAACTACGCCTCTTGTTCACTGTTCAAACACATGGAACAATGTAACTTAATGGGCATGAAAAATGTCTCTGATTCTTGTTTCTCTCAGGTGATTGTTGCTGACAATTACTTCACCGGCTCAAAGGACAACCTTAAAAAGTGGATTGGTCATCCGAGATTTGAGCTAATCCGTCACGGTAACTACTTACTGTCTTTCAGATTGTTTATTGGCACGGGGGAATGCATTACAGAAAAGTTCTGATATCGATTCTCGATTTCTGTTCTTGTCTTGTTCAGATGTCACTGAACCTTTACTGGTTGAAGTTGATCAAATATACCACCTTGCCTGCCCAGCTTCTCCCATTTTCTACAAGTACAACCCTGTAAAGGTATAAACAGTATATGACAGCTTCATAAAGCTTGTGTCTTTGATCTCCTATGAGACATTGTTGTTCAAGATATGTGTGCTCTCCTTTGACAGACCATTAAGACAAATGTGATTGGTACATTGAACATGTTGGGGCTTGCCAAGAGAGTTGGAGCTAGGTAAGTGGTGGTGATTTTGGGAATCCTTTTGATAATTTCCCATTCACATTATAAAGTTACTTGAATGAAAATGGTTGTTCATTCATAGGATTCTGTTGACTTCAACTTCTGAGGTTTACGGTGATCCCCTTATTCATCCTCAAGAAGAGAGCTACTGGGGAAATGTCAACCCCATTGGTAATTCAAAATGTTTATATTCTTATGTTCAGTGTAGAGTTAGTATGTATAGCATCCATCTAGCCTTAGGCATTCCTACAAATTATAATTGCCTGGTCATTTTACTGAAAACTATAGGAGTCAGGAGTTGCTATGATGAGGGCAAGCGAGTAGCAGAAACTTTGATGTTCGACTATCACAGGCAGCACGGCATTGGTATGTGGCTGGCTTTGTTCAAACTTTTTGTTGTCTGGAGTTTATAGTCAGCCAATTGTTAACTAATATTTGATAATAATGTTACCAGAGATCAGAATTGCCAGAATTTTTAACACTTATGGACCTCGTATGAACATTGATGATGGTCGTGTTGTCAGCAACTTCATTGCCCAGGCTCTTCGGTGGGTTTATTTTTCTTGATACTACCTCTCAGCCTTAACTATATGCCCTGCAAGACTGCAACTGACCACCAAATTTACTGTCATGTTTTTTCGTCTAGCAACGAGCCCTTGACTGTTCAAGCACCCGGAACACAAACCAGAAGCTTCTGTTATGTCTCCGACATGGTACTGCTGTGTTCACTGGATTGATTAAATAAAGTTTGGATTATACTCTCTCTTTTGTGCTTCTTAAAAACCGACTCTTCATGTGTTAAAGGTTGATGGTCTTATTAAGCTAATGGAGGGAGAAAACACTGGACCAATCAACATTGGAAACCCAGGTGAATTCACCATGATTGAGCTTGCTGAGAATGTCAAGGAGGTTAGTTCAATCAAAGCCCTTTTACCAGTCCTGCTCTCCAAACACTTTAAATGGGTTTGTATTCACAAGTTCATTCATCCTGTGTCATGTAGCTCATCAATCCTAAGGTGGAGATAAAAATGGTGGAGAACACGCCTGACGATCCTCGCCAGAGGAAGCCGGACATCTCAAAAGCTAGGGAATTGCTGAAATGGGAGCCCAAGATCAAGCTGAAGGACGGGCTTCCACTAATGGAGGAAGATTTCAGGTTGAGACTTGGTGTCCCCAGAAACAACTGATTGAGAGAACCAAACGAGGCTTATGCCTGCTTGCTGCGTTGGATGGAACTTCGTTTTCCTTTTCTTCTTTCATTTCAATATATATTACATGTTACTATGATTTGTTCAAAGCTATAGTAGTTCATACCGTGCTGCAAGTGTCTTTTGATGCTTTTGTTTAATCTCTGTATGGTATTATCATAAGTTGATCATAAATCGAAAATTATTGAGTTCCCCTTGTCTCTACTGCTTGTTCTTGTATTGTTATTAGTAACGAAAGGGTAATAGCACTTTTAAACTTAGGTGCTCTCGAGGAAATGGTTGGTGTCCTTGCCATCTCTTTGATAGAGGCTTCATGGATTCCATATCCATACTCTGCTTATTGCATAATCAAAGATAACGATCAAATCAGAAAGCAAAGGCCTTTAAATGGATTTTGATTGACACAAAAAGGCGCATTTCGATTGATTATCAGATTCAATGTCTTTACTTTATAGCGAAATTTTTTCACACCAAAAGATTATTTGTATTACCCAGAAAATAGAAGATAAAAAAAGTTACATGACTGAAAATAACTAAGAACATAAATTACACTCTATACAAAAATACAATAAAAGACTTATTTTTTACTTGAGCAATTATATTAGTACTAAGAGTCTATGACCGAAAAAAAGGTTAATACTTAATATCTTATTTTGGCCCGAACTACGATTATATAATCAACTTTGGCCCGTGGTTTCAGAAATTAACATCCTGGCCTCAATTATGGAGCATATAGACTCAATTAGCCTGACACATGGTTTGAGCGTCAATTTGAATGGTCAACACTGTTGACCGTCAGTAAACACGCCATGTCATTGCGTTGGCAGCCTAAAAATTATTTAAAAAATCAAATTTAAATTATTTTCCTAATTTCTATTATTTATTATTTTCAAATTAACCAAAAAATAAAATTTTAAAAATATAAATAATATTTATATTTTATTTTTTTGGGATATTTTAAAATTATAAATTTTATAAATTAACCAAAAATTATCAAATTTTATAAATTTAAAAATATGATATAAATTATATATTTAATTTTTGTATAATGTTAAATATATAAAATAATTTGATAATTTTTGGTTAATTTATAAAATTAATCATTTTCAAATTACACAAAAAATAATAAAAAATTTATTTTATGTTTTTTATAAATTATTTTTAGTTAATTTGATTATAAATCATAAAAATTAAAAAATAGTTTGAATTTGAATTTTTTAATAATTTTTTGGCTGACGAGTCAATGACATGGCGTGTTGACTAACGGTCAATGGTGTTAAGTCTATATGTTATATAGTTGAGGCCAGGATGTTAATTTCTGAAACCACGGGCCAAAATTGATTATATGGTCATAATTCAAGCCAAAATAAGGTATTAACAAAAAAAACATGCTCCTGAGTCTGAAACAATATGAAGGTTCCTTTGTTTTAACAATCACATCACCAATTAAGTGAAATGTCTAAAGTAGAGCGTTGGACAAAAATCATATAAGCAAAAATACTAGTTCTTACCTTAAGTAAGAAGTATGATAAAGAATTTGAATAAAGTTTTCTGGTGTTGTTTGTTTCGTTCTTTTTTCTTGTTTTTTTTTTTCTTGTTGCTTGTCGGCGTGCACTTTTTGTTCTACTGATTGTTGAACTTTCTGTTCTTGTTTTCGTTTTAATAAAATTTCACCATTATAAAAAAAGAATTCGAATAAAATATGAAGGAAGTGACTTGAAATAGTTGGTTTGGGGTCGGCGACCATCATATATGAAAGTAAAATGGGGGATGAGAGTCACCGAAATTCGAGGTGTAATACATGTAAGCGTTTGAAAACATGAAAGTTCACAAGTGGGTTTTTATAGCAAGATCAACTTTTATTTCAATAGCGAAAAAAGAAATTAAGGTTAAACACTTTTTAGAGAGTATAAGAAATTAGATCTAGAATATCTATCCAGTTATCTGGGAGAGATATTTAGTCAGAAAACGAGTGACTCTATCAACTCTAATATTAAACTTCCTCGACACACCCTTGACCTTAATTTGAGAATTCATTTTGCATATTGAAACCATTAATTCTATTCAGTCTGCACCTCGCCAAGGCTAGCTCAGAGAGTCTTGAGATAATGATTTAACCAATACTTAACCGTCTAACTGAACCACACATTTAGAGCAATATTTTGTGTTAATTTAAGACTTATCTATAGGTTAACGACCCCAATACTTAGCTTCAATTGGGATAGAATAAAGTAGAGTACCAGCTCGCCCTTCACAGTTCACGCTTATCTATAGGTTAACAACCCCAACATTGGCAGCTCAAAGTTGCTTAGAAACGACCCATTACAAGTAAATCATCATTGAGTCAGCAGCCACATCGGCATTCTGTTAGGGTTTTGGATGGAGATGGATGGAAATGGCGGTTTTGTTATAAGTGTAAGCTTGTATCACCAAATCGTGCAAAATGAAAGTTTTGTGACCGTTTTATACAAAGTGATAAGTTGTGTGACCATTTATACTAACTACTCATGATTTGTACGACGACATCAAAATGTATAATCTCAAACATTTATGTCCTTCCAACCTTGCAATAAGATTTCTTTTCATCTTGTCAAATAAATAAGGCAAAATACACTTGCATAGCCAATACTATCACCTTTGTGCCACTTATAGCCACTTTTGGAGATATACCACTAATAGCCACTTTTGAAAGATGTTGTGTGCCAGATATAGCCATTTCCGTGAGAAACTATAACAGTGTTAATAACATTGTCAACTTATTTGACGGTCGGTTGACGAGGCGCCAATTCAGCGAACACGTCAGCGACAACTAAGCAAATAGTGACACGTCAGCTTAATAATTTATTTATTATTAAAACAATCAATCTAAAAAAATTAACCCTTATATTCCCACCTACCCGATTCGCATAAGCCTTCCTTCTTCCCCATCTCTTGCCAGAAAACGAAATTAGGGTTCTTCCCAAATTTCCTCTTGCCCATGAATATCTTCCACATTCTGATCGATTCGTCTATTACTCCTCACCATTACCCACCAATCTTCTTCTACTTTCTGAACGGTTCGACGATTGCTCCTCTTCCCCAAATCCCACCTTCTCTGCCGATTCGCGACCCCGGAATCGGGATTTCTCCTACCTAGAACTTCACGCGAAGGTACAGCCATGTCGAAGCGATCATCTTCCTCAACTTCGACTAGCATCAATAGCCGAGGGGCAGTACTCCGTTGGCACAAGAATAGGGGTGGCAATTTCAATCCAATCCACCAATCAAATCCATCAATCCATTAAAAATATCCACCTATTCCAATCTATTTAAATCCAATCCATTTTATCCAAATCCAATTGGATTGGTGGATTCATGGATTGGATCCATGGATCATTGGCAAATTACAGTTTAGTACCTATAAGTTTTATTTTTTACATTTTGGTACCTAAAATTTAATTTTTTATACGAAAAATATTATTGGAAAATAACGTTTTGGTACCTAAAATTTTTCATTATGACATTTTAGTACCTAAACTTTTTACATTTTACATATTGGTCCTTGGTTGAGGATGTCATTTGGATTCATGGATAATCCACCAATCCACTTGATCCAATCCATGAATCCACCAATCCATTAGATCCATGGATCCACCAATCCACCAATCCAATCCATTTGCCACCTCTACACAAGAAGCCATGTGTGGTCAATACATTCGGAATGGAAGCGAACCCAGGCAGACAGTTCTATGGGTGTCCATTTTGAATGGTAAAGTGTTTAGAGATGGCTTTTGCAATTGTCATTGATGTATGTAATAAATTGAATGCTAGTATGGTGCAGGACGAAAAGACTCATTTACTGATTTCTCGAAGATGGGAATAAGGGTGGGTGGATTCGAAGAAGTGGATAAGACAGAGTAAAAAGGTGGGTGGGTAAAATTAGGGGTTCTCGGTTTTTTCCCCATTTTGTGTAAAACTCAGGCGGGCCACGTAAACCTCTCCGTTTGTCCAGTCACACTTCACATTAAAAGCGTTAAACAATTGGACGGAAGTGGCTATTAGTGGTATGGCCAAAAGTGACTATTAGTGACACCAAGGTAATAGTTTTTACTGTAAAATTGTATTTGCCAATAAATAAACAACAATCGCATGCTTCATACTAGAGGTGGCAATTTCAATCCAATCCACCAATCCAATCCATCAATCCATTAAAAATATCCACCTAATCCAATCCATTTAAATCCAATCTATTTGATCCAAATCCAATTCGATTGGTGGATTCATGGATTGGATCCATGGATCATTAGCAAATTACGATTTAGTACCTATAATTTTTATTTTTTACATTTTGGTACCTAAAATTTAAATTTTTATACAAAAAATATCATTGGAAAATTACATTTTGGTACCTAAAATTTTTCATTATGACATTAGTACCTAAACTTTTTACATTTTACATATTGGTCCTTGATTGAGGATGTCATTTGGATTCATAGATAATCCACCAATCCACTTGATCCAATCCATGAATCCACCAATCCATTAGATCCAATCCGTTTGATCCATGGATCCACCAATCCAATCCACCAATCCACTCTATTTGCCACCTCTACTTCATACCATTGCCAGTATCAAAAGGAAACAGGACGCCGACGGGCTAGAAAATCGCCTGAACGCGGCTAAAAAGCACGGCAGCTTTGCTTCAATAACGGAAAGAGTGTGTCTGTCTTGGGTCTACTTGATTTTGGCGTACTGAATCTGGCAACCCTGAAGCTGGACGGAAGCCTCGGTCCGATTCCTACATTGATCCACCAGCTTCCCTTCCGCCTTCCCCAGGCAAGCGATGCTCCAACAATGCGGCGCCGTCTCTGCAACTGGCGCTGCCGGAGATCGATCCCGATTTGCCATCGGGGAACTTGCAGTTCTTGTTATGACCCCCGCCCTTCACGGGCGTCACCGCACCCAACTCCGTTAAAGCCCCGGCAATGTACCCGACCGTCTTGCCGTCGGTAGCTACGGTGCCGTTGCAATTCGGCCCGCTCACAACGTCCAGGTTTGCGCTCCTTCCCACCGCGATCGATAATCCCAGCACCACCACCGTCGCCACCACCACCGCCAAGTTCCCCACGGAGTAACCCATCTGCCTCGAAAGACTAGAATGAGAATCAACTCCCTGATAAGCACAATCTCTGTGGATTTGGTGTTGGTGGTGAGGAATTAGGCAACTGGCTGGATTGAATTTATAGGCTGCGACTGGGGGCGCAGGACAGAGTACGAAATATTGCTGCGGAAATTCGTAGGCTTTGTTGTCTGGATATTACAATTCGGTCATTTGTTTGATCGACGGGGACGAGTGAGTGCGTAAAATGGAGAAAGACGAATCCGCTCGGAGTCCGGAATCGCACTGGCCGTTTTGTTTTGGATTGGTTTCCTTTCCTCATCAACAGGCAACAGCATATATCTGAAATTCCTTTGGAGAGCTCTAGTTCCTTACATCTCTGCTCTACTCTGTTCTGTATAGGATCCTGTGGTTAAGGCACATAAAGGCATAGATGAGCCGGCTACGATCTCAATCGAGGAATTTTACAATCCTTCATAGTATCACTGCTTTCGTTATAAAAAAAATTCAGTTTGAACCTATACCTTTTCATACAAACTGAACCTATACTTTTGACGATTTAAAGGACTAGATTTGATGATAGACAACATAGTAAGTAGAGGGGGTAATTTGATAAACTTGCATAGTTTAGGAACCTGAAATGCTCTTCTTACTAGCCCTTTAAGCAAGAAACCAACAGAAATTATTAAGTTCTCAAATTCTTACAGCAATAACAGTCGCCTTTAAACAAAATGTCGAAGTAGACATAGAGCCTAGAGGAAGGGGGAAAAGTGGATTCCAAAACACCACATAAACAACAACAGCCTGTATGTATATCCACAACCCTAAGACATGAAAAGAAGAATATTTTCCCTTTTCCATGGGTATGAATAGAAGGATATTGGACACAAATCACACAATGAATAAATACAATAGTACATATTTTTCTCTTCTGGGTGAAGAACAACAAACCTTCGTCGGAGGAGGCATGGAGACGTTCGACAGTTTAAGTAAGCTTTCGCCAGATATAACCTTTGGAAGCAGCTAAAGATTTCACCCTGGGGAACACGAACCCTGTTTTCGGTGGGATACCATCCACGAGCGAATTCTCGTATATCTCTTTGCATTCTTGCACCACCTGTACTCCAAAGCAACAGCCATAAACCCCACATTCAAACAACATAGATGAGAACAAACTCCACAGCTGCAATGCAATGAAACTCCAATATGCACTGGAAAATCGAGGATACTACTCATGCATGGATGTTTCGTTGAACAGTCTATGAGATCTTATGTGCATACCTCTTTGGCATCCTTCCGAGGTATACCCTCTCGCAAGGCAACAATCTTCTCCACTACGTCAGGCTGCCCAACAAAACGAAAGAATAAATTTTTAGACCTTGCCAACTAGAGTTTTCTCTTTTGGGCTTTGCCTGACTTTTTTTGAGCAAACTATGAGAGTACTGATGGAGAATAGCAAAGAGGGGTATGCACCGGGCAGTCTGGTTGATGTTCCAGAATATTTGTGTACACAAGTGTAAAAGTATCCAAGCTCTCCGCTGAAGCGAGTTCTCTCAAGTCACTCATTATCCTCACTCTGTTCTCCACTTTCTGGTGCAAAAAACAAATTAAAATTAATAATAAACAATGTAAGCTGATAAATCTCGAAATTGATTGCTCAAAGATCAAAAGGCAGCAGCACTTACAGAGACACTAACATACTCGCGGAAGAAGTCCATGATCACCTCTTCATCAAGCCTCATCCTCTCTATGGTCTCTTCTTTTATGTAGTTTTTCTAAAACCATGATCACAAATGACAATAGAAACTGGCTTAAACAGACTAATAAAAGAGAGCGTTTGGAATCCCGCCCTTTCTTTATCAACGGCAGATATATGTTTGTGCAATATTACTACTCTGAGAATAGATCCGAACCTGCATCATAAGATGATCAACATAAACCACCACTGTCTCCTCCACACAAGCCTCCACAAATCTCCTAAACGATCTTTCCTCGATATACCTACCGACCAAAAATATCACGAAATCATCCAATTGGCCTTCTTCACATAATGTATAGATAATAAGTTGATCAACCTATTGCTAATAAATGAATCATCTAGAGTGACAGAAAATGAGCCCTTAACTTATCATAACTAATACTGGTTAACTGAGAAAACACAAAGTTCCCATGAACCTTATAAGTTCTTCTGCCGACCTTTTTTGTTTTCTTCAGAAAATGGAGAAGCAATATGATATACTTTGTATTTGAAGTCAGATCCATCTGATGAATGGTTTGAATGAGTAGATTTAAATGTCTCATGTTTCTTTCGTATTAATATTATATAAACTTTGCTCAAGAGTTCAGAGTGATATGTTCCAGCATTGCAACTGACATCAAGCAAAGAGTTATCCGGTGTGGCTTGGCAGGGCCTAATTAACTAAAATGCGAAGAAGATTAGGGTGGCCTCAGAATCAACAAAATTCATAGCTAAATAGCCAAACCCAGACATAGCCCAACTATTACAAGCTCAACTCGGAAGCAAGGAACAGTCAGAACTATGCTTTCGCACAAAGACTGCAGGGTATTGAACAGTGATGTGGAAACACCACTGAAATGCAATGAGGGAACTTACATTTTTACGTCTGCAAAGTAATCACCAAATGTCGCAACAAGGTATTCAGTGACCTGTCCTTCTGACCAATCTGAGACATTGAAAGCCCAGATTCAGAAGCAAGATATAAACAACACCCAAACAAACAGCAATTCATAAAGCTAAGTCCTTGCTCATTCTTAGAAACAGTATAATGATTGCCTGATTATAGCAACATCAATCACTCCCTAGGACATAGGGTGCAATAACCGTCGAACAGAGTTGTCTTACTGAGGTACTGTTTATCCATGTCTTACTTAAGAAAACTTCAGTATATATTGATCGAAGCATGAAATCATATAAAAATCCTGACAAACTTGAAGCCGAAAACATTTTAATTAGCAAGAAAAGAACATTTGCACCATCTACTGAAGCACACATCTGACTTTTAAATATGCAGATTTACAAGCCGCACGATAAGGTTGCTCACGGAGATTTTCTGGAAGCCCAAAAGACCATGGTCGCAATTTCTGAAAGCTTTATATCAATCAAAAGATCAAATCCTTCAGACAGTCGCTGAACTTATATAATACTTTCGAGTGAGCTCTTCCATAAGTTAGTTGTATATGTTAGAAGGGCCATCGATCAACCCAATTATTTCAAGGTCATAGATGGCTGGTACCCACACATCATTTTTTTGTTAGAGATGCTTCAAGAATTAGTTAAACACCCAACTACCAGGTGCTAGCTGAATGTTCACTGTTGACAAACATCGTCAGTCACCAAGTAAAATTGCAATCTAGTACGCTTTTGAGGCAGGTGAGTCAAATTAGACCTAGCTCCTCTTTCCTTGCCTATTAATTTGTGTTCAAGTCAAGGCCGGACTTCGGGTTCTTTCCCATGCTGACGTCAAGCTCAATCTCTCCTAAGCCGGGATGGAGTGAGCGAGTCAGGTCAAGTAGATCTTAGGTTGTAACTTGATCATGAGCGAATTTTTTGATGTTGCACCCACGAAGTATGGAAAGTGCCAAACATTGGGAACTACCCGGGGAGGAGTTAGGAACAGGAACACATCCATTTTAGGTTCTATCAATTTTATAACAACTATCTTCAACATAATGCTTCGTTCGGTTATGTCCAGTCAGTTCAAAAAGCAAAGTTTGAAGCGAACGCCGAAAACACTTTCTACAATTACAGAGTTAATCAGTTACTTTAGACTTTTAGAAACAAGACCGGTCAAGCAGTACTAGCGTACATCATAGTGATGACAGCACGAAAATAACTAACAGATGTATGTATCCGATTCAAGGTTAACGTAATCCAACAATTCAGTTCAAAGAGGGAACAAGGAGGATATCATTTACCTTTCTGATAAAGCTTGACAATCAACTCTTCAACCCCTGGATCTTCAAAGATCACTTTAACTGTTTGATGCACTGCTTCCTACAAATACACAATTTGCACGAGAAATGCCAGATCAAAATTCAATTTCTCAAGTTAATGTGGCATTCAAAATAATACAAACATACATCCTCGCATATGATGGCATAACCTTGGAACTCTCCATTTCCTTTACCCAATAAACATCCCGCTCTCGGTTCCATCAAAGCCTCACAGGTCCATTTATTATATATTCTTTTAAGTTTAACCTTTACTCTTCTCATGTCCGGTTGACCTGCTAAACTTTGGCATGCTCATCACATAATTCCTGAACCTTTTGCTGGATTGCTAATCATTTGAAGAGCACATGCTGAGTAAAATGAAACCTCAAGGGACCAGGTTCCTTTCAGCAAAATAAAATATTTTGGAATAAAAAAATGTGCAACAAAAGCAATTCTGATCTTTGTACCTTTGCGACCTCCAAGAAGCCTTTACAAGTATCTTCAAAATTAACCTGTTCAAAGTGAGGACACTCAGTTACAGAACCACCAAAAAAAAAAAAAAAAAATCCCTGAAGAGCACATGCAAGTTCAGTTTCTATTATGCTCCTTTGTTAATTGCCTTGTCACATTTGTTTCATGAGCCTCAAAGAGTTAACCTAGTGGTCATGGGTGACGAAAAACATCCAATGGAACTTAGGTTCAGACCTTGGGGAGTTGGGGTCAACATTAATCTATCAAACAAGTAGCATCCCCTTCATGACACAAATTACACAATCAATATATTACTACTGTAATAAATCTTATGACTAATGAGTAATGAAGAGGCTGGCAATTGGTGTTCAAATATATCATGGACTAACTTAGGCCAGGCTTCGTAATTTAGAGGACAACTTGTTGAAGTGTGCATGACTTTACCCGCCAATATTTCTTTATCCATAATGCATATGAAATTTGCTGCATATAGGGCTAAGTAGGAAATTATGGGATATATATAAATGAAAAAGTATTCACAGCAAACACATTTTGAAGTTGATGTAATCAAGACAGAGACCTGCTCAGCATAATTCTGTGGAAGTGCTTCAATTATGCTTGTACTAAGTTCCATTGCGAGGTCGTAGCAACGCAGATTGTTATTAATCTGCAGAGAATGGTAGTTGTGAGTCAACCGCACACAGAACTTATCATCATCAAGATCAATAAATAACATAGGTCGTTGTGTACCATTGCACACAGAGGTTCCAAACCGATGTCAGAAGCTGGTTCTTGGAGCCTTTTCTTTTCAGCTCCTTGAAAATCTATCATTACCTAAGGAACACCAGTAAATAATGCAAATAAAAACGGGACTCCATAGGATTCAACATAAATGACCTCAAATTGTATATATAGGAACACAAATAGTAAAAACAAGAAGAGAAACACAAAGATGCAACCCTAAGCACCTTATAACTGAGCTAATCAGCATTGGCTCTAAATTTAAACAGTTGCACTTTGGTTTCTACTGGATGGAGGCTAGTTTCCTTATGAGTATTAGCAACAGAAGACCTTTTTGTGAAGAAAATTACGAAACTTGCAGTGAAACAACTATTTCCAATAATGATATATTCCCCCTCAGCTCTCGCCAGTGGCTCCTTCCAAAGGTTGAAAATTGAATTTTGTAAATTAGCGAGGAAGATCAATGTAAGACTTACTATTCTAGTGGTTAGAGTCAGAGATGAACCAAACATGTATAGAAACTCGTAATGTAATCCAGCTAACTCTATAAAATTGAAATTGACTTGCCTGAATAATAGCCAAAGAAATTCTATAAAGCATGACATCAGTGCTATTGTCCCTAACAATTTGAACTTGCTCCCCAAGAATCCTGAACAAGTCAACAGCAGCTGGAGTGTACAACTTTCCATCCTCTGTTTTCTTTGGAGGCTGTACTTTATCAGCTTCTAGTATATTCAAGTACCATTTCTACACAAGTAATGCAATTGATGAGAACCATAAAACAAATATATCTCACTTCACAATTTTAGTTGTAAGGACAGAGATTACCTTTGTTGTAGCTTGCATTCTCTCAACATAAGAATTCATAAGGGGATCCATGGCACCACTCTCTGAACATACTTGTGCCAAGGTTTCATCGACACCAAGTCCAATCAGATTATCTTGGTATTCGACCACCCAACCTGTAACCTAGTGGTAGGAAATAAAAATTGTTACCTATAAAATCGACAGGACAAGAGCAAGCCTCAATGAAACTTCTTTTAACAAATAACAAGAAAAACACCAACAATATACAGAAAAGGCCATAACTTGTTTCCCAGCAAACTGCATACTCTAGAGCAGGTAGCTCTTAGTTTCCTAAGATGAATGATGAGTTTTTATTGTTCCGCATATGAGTGCTCCCCACAAGGGATGGCAATGACAGCATTTCAGTAATATTGCATTTCCAATCGATATAAAATTGAATACATAAGTAATATATATACCAATACTAAGAGACCAGGGAACAGAAAAGGAAGTAGCATCCATCTAACAGCAACCCCTATGCTTGTGATTGTGAATGAATGAGGAAAACTTAACTACAGAACACTAAAGCAAATCACAGACAACAATGGCAACCAGCTATTTAACCGCAACCAATAAATAATGCGTGATCTATGTTAGATGATGACATTTAGTTCAAAAATTGTTTTCATATAGTATCAGCAGTCTCTTGAAACATTCTGAGAATGGCATTCACCACTAGCTTGAAACTCTTAATCCTATGGCAAACAGCATAAATTCCACCAATCAAACCATTGAAACAATACAAACGTAAGTGCTCAAAACAATCAACAATTGCATATAGCAAGGAGCCACTTTGAGATTTAGGTAATGTGATAACTATTGCAAGACTCTGGTTTTAAAGCACTTCACACTAAAAGCAAAGACAAAGGAACAGCCAATAACTGCAATTGAACTCTTATGCTAATCTACATTTCACGAGGTCAAGCTCGTCAGGTCTCTTAATCAGCATAAATTAATTTACAATTCAGTCAAGATTAATTGCTCCTCAGTACTATTTCTTATACCTTCAAAATCTCTATATTTGTGAGTTCATTGGCTCTGTCACTGAGCAATCGGAGCATCTGAATAAATCTCTCAGTATACAGATTCACCATGAGTTGGAATATTTCATATCTGCAACAATAAGAAATGCAATACATGAGCATATGACTTAACTGACAAGCAAAGGAAATAATAAGTAGATGATATTAGCTCCAAAAAGCTATTCCAACGAAATTAGTGTAAGAAACCTTTTTTTTTTTTTATCTTTTCTTAAAGGTAGAGATGCATCTTACTTACATCAAATCAACTGAGAGAAGGACTTCCTATTCACAGACCGTACTGTGACACAAGAAATTTCAGCCTGGTGAAACAGGTTGCCACACTTAATTTGTGAGAACCTCTTCACTAGGTAGGTGCTCAATTTTACACTTAGTGTACTGCACTTGCACATTTTCCTCAGTTCAGGATGTAAAGTAACCTAACCCAATTGACAACCAGGAAACAAGAAAGGAATAAGGGGGAAATGTTATATATACTACACTGCTTGTATCTATCATATGTTTCACATAATGAGTAACGAATTCCCCATTCTTATAGTTGTCTCATACATTTTTTCTTCTTCTAAGAATCCAAAGGATGCAACAGTCGCTTTCTCTTGCAAACATTTTGTCCCGCAAAGCAAAGTCCAGACAGAAGTCTAACCAGCTGTAAATAAAGTACTCTCACTAAAAAAAAAAAATCTGCCCAGTGGAGGGAAATACACTACTTAATCATGCAGAATGTGGAGCTCAAATAATAAGCATTTGAGCTTTAATGTTCTGATAAACTCATTAACCTTTCTTGTGATTCCACTGACAAAGAATGTCATGTGTCGCTGTCTATGGTCTTATATCGCAATCTTACTACCACTAAGAAAAGTTGGTACATAATAAAGCTAGCATTTCTGCACAACTACTCGAAGAATCATGTTAATATGCAGGAGTACCAGAATGAAAATAATCTGTCTTACTTGCAAACCCCACAATTTGTACCAGCAATGTAAGGGGGGAAAAAAAAGAGAATACTGGAATAAGTTTGAATAAGAAATCAAGGTACACAGAGAAAAATATCAACTGCGGAGGAAGGACAGAAGTAGCAAACGAAAGCAACAGACAGTTGAGTGATATAAACCTTGGAGGAAAACAAGGAGCCACAAAGTCATAAATGTCTCCAAGCTCTTCTCCAATCTGAAAGGAAAGTGCTAACTTCACTATTACTCGGCAATAGTTAAATCTAATAACAACGAAAGCATGAAAAATTCACTATGAATCACCTAGCTAAGTGCAAAACAATGGGCACAATGATGATACCCACTAAAGGCAACATGACAGCATGAACCCATCCAAGCAAAAATAGAAGTCTCGTGTACAGAAACCTAAACAGGGAGAGAGTATGAATGCAAATGCTTGTGGAGGAGCATATAGAACAAACATTTGAAAGAAAACTACAATTATGCAGAATTATTCTAAGGTAGACTTACATGACAGTGGAATCCTTGGGTTACATCAGACGAGTGGACTACTTATGCATAAACAAATTATGTATCTTGGGCTAAGAAACTCAGACTATACTAACTAGATCAACACACTAAACTCTACAAGAATCTGTTAAGATAACTATGTAGGGGACTCAATTATGCATACCGTTCGAGCTTCTTCTAAAGCAGCTTTCAGATCCTGGAATACTAGCTGCATGATAAACAATGGTTAGACAAAGAATTTACAGAACCTAGTCGTGCAAAAACAACTCAATTTTAGAGACCTCAGTCAACAGCCTGTTAAACCGTTCCTCCACCGCTTTCCCTATTGCCTCATAGCATTTATCCTTATAACCTTTTCCCTGAGATTTTACTTTCTGTTGGGTGACATTTTTCACAGCTGCTGCACCAGTAGTTTTTCTGCTTCATCACAATTAATCCTTAATCAGTCACACAGCCATTTCAAGAGGAAAGGAGAAATGCAGCTTCAAACTGTCAGTGTGATAGAATTTCACAAACTGGACATCAAATGACTTCAAAGTAGGTACTTCGCTGATCGACGAGGATTAGCAACTGGTGTCACCCCGTCAGCTCCTTCAGCTTCAGCTGCCTCCTCCGCAATTTGTTGATCTAGAATTTCTTGCATTTCAACAACCCTATAACAAGGTAGGAAATAGCCTTCATTAGAATGTTTCAGATGCATGTCATGCAAATACGTTCAACCACCCTGAGCTTGACCTTCTGCATATTTCAGACCATTTCACTTCCAATCAAGAAGAGATATCTAAGAAACGGATAATACAACGGGTACCAAGAGATTTTGTGGAAGGGCTAGGAGCATTTCTACCACCTAGTAACTCTTTGTTTTTAGAATGCAAGTTGCAAGGACGGCTATCAGTTAAGATAGTTATCAAGGCTTGTATAGTGGCTTCAAGAAGAAGATCAGCTAAGGTATCGTAGGGAATCAAAAGTTGCTTCCAGCAGTACTTTCTTACTAGCATATAAAATCAATTTTCCCCCTTTTTTAATAACACAATACGAATTATGAAAAATTAACGGCTATTTCTATCAAAATGACTCAAGCATTTAGATATGAAAAAAATCTTGCCACACAACATACCTCAAACCACGAACCAGCGTTTGTGGGCTGCACAAGAAAGAAGAACATGATTAATCGACATCTACAGTGAAAAAATTCAAAGCATAAAACTTGCATTCACAAGCAGCCCTATTTGATATTAGCAAAAGAGAACAGTATATCAAAAGTTAAAGACAAATAACCTCAACCAGACACAGTGCTCTCATATCAAACTTGAAAAAATGGTAAATATCCTAATGGAGAGACTTCCATTGAAAGATGCAAACAAAAGAAAAACACATTAGTAGGTTTCTTGTGCATGCTTTTGAAGTTTATGCTATATCTGCAAAAGATGGGATATTGACAGCTCATATGCTAATTCCACAAGAACACACTGGAAAACAAAGGGAAAAGGTCAAAGAACCCTTATGATCTACCTTTCTTTTGCAAGCTTGTAGTAGTTGGCTACATGGGCCCATAATGTCTTCTCAAAGTTCTCCCAACTCTGATCAACATCTTCAAAATATTCCCTAGACCCAGAAACAAGAATAGGTGTTACCTCTGCCCATAGGAATCAGCCAATCAACCTCAACCCAACAAATGTAACCATACTGCATGAAGATCGAAATGAAGGCAAAAGAGAGACTAGTAAGGGAAAAAATCATGAGAAAGTTAACTAGCTCCAGAAATTCAGAAGGGATTGAATTTGTCAGTTCTTCAGATGTTAAGAACTCAACCATCAACATTCAGAGACAGAGACTGCTTCTAGTTCGAGTTCACATTAAAATGTAAACATGGAAACTGGTTGGACAATTCCAATTGAAACCAAACCATATTATCAACAACTTCACATATGTTTGTTCCCTTCGAAATTTTAGTTACAGTGAACAAACTGCCATACCAATAACCTATTCTGTAAATTAGGAAAGGGGAAGTAACCCTCTGAAAAAATAAATGACACTGTAGACCTTCATCTACGAATAGGAGTGTGCCTTTACTATACTACTCAACCTAAGGTAATCATGTAAAATAAATACCAGTTGGAGCAGGACGGGACAAGGAGCCCCCCAAACTTTCGGTAAGGTAAAAAAAGACAAACCTTAATTTTCCAACCTCGTCAGTATGAGATTCTACGGCCGCCAATGCAAACCTTCGCTTCCCGTCGAGAGCTGTTAACCTCTATGACAAACAAAAACACCCCCAAAGTTTTTTATCTGGAAGAAAGTAAAACTTCTAGGCTAGAAACAAGGAAATATCAGTTTACCTCATAAGTATTGACAAGTTCCCTATCATCACTCAACGAATCTCGTGCCTCTGTTGCTTCAACAGATATTGACATCATACCCTCGACATCCTGAATTCATAGTGTAAGTGATATAAGAAGAATAATCTTCCGAGGGCTCAACATATTCAACATGGTTTATATTCCAAACAGTCGAAAGCGCGTCAATAAAAACAACTTCACCATCTCACAGTTTGCCAAACTACAGAATGAATATCCCATCCATCATTTCACCATACAGGCCTCAAGTGCTAAAGTTTTTAAACTTACATAATTGACAGTCAGTACATTGTCAACTAGCATACTGTAGTCTAACTTATTCGTCTGAATCTCAAGTGAAAGTAGAGATGTTGTGCGGAAATGCAAGAACTAAAAATCAATTAATTTGGAGTTGAGACATTGATGTACCTAGGGTTGCATTAAAATTCTTTAAACAGGGAAGCTGGAGCTTAAGGAGAGTAGAAACTAGGGTTTCTCATATGTAGGAAGGAATACATACCACCACATCAGTAGGCGAAAGGTCAGACAGGTTTGGCACCACAACTCAAAGTTGACAAGCTATAGAAAACACAGGACTGTGTCTTGCAAAACTCTGAAAATTTCATATTGATTCTGATGTCTAAAAAGAAGAACTGTTACTACAAAGCCTTCTTATACAGAGAGGCTGACAGAACAAGAATGAACTGCTACTACTACTACTAGGAACCGAGTCTTCTACGACCAGGAAATAAATACCGACTCCTGATTGGAAATATAAAGAGAAAGTTCCCTCAACTCAAAGACATCCTAAATCAATAATGGACAAAATGAATCATCTTCTCCAAATCCCTGTCAGGAAAGGATTGTTGCAGAAAACGTCTGATTCTGATATTCTGCATCTAACTTCAAGATGGAGAGCTCTTCTTGCCAATAGGGTGTTCTTAATAACAGCTGTAAGTTGACTAAGCTTATTCCGCGAAGAGCGGGGCATCAATTGCATCCCTAGGATGAACATTGTGCATATATCATCTAGATTCTCATCAGAACTTGAGTTTAGATTTAAGTCCACGAGGTAGCTATAAAAAACAAACCATTTTTATGAGCAATTCAACAGATAAGCACAGTCTTAAGGTTAAAGCCCAACATTACACAAGTGCCGGTTAAGTTCAATTTTAAATGCATCATGTAAAGCCAGTACCACTGTTAGTTTAGATACAAGTCTATAACCATAATGTATTTACAATTCATACAGCAGGAGACAATATATTGCACTTCAGTTTCCAAAATCCCTATCTTTCATCTACTTCATATCAAAATGTATATTGGAACCACACACACAGCAAAATACTTGAGAGAAAACCAAGTACAACACTGCAGTGACGTCAAGTAATTCTGTCCATCAAAAGACCATCACTCATAAAAGGAATTGATTCCTTCATTTCTGCAAATTCCAATTTTGTTTGAAGCTGTCTCACCTTCAAGGTCATGTTTAGGTTATTCCTCGCATTGCTAAGGAGCTTTATCTGATCGTGGTTGTCAATTAAGGTTTGACACTCTTGACAAAGCCTGATAAATTGGCACAGAATCAGACGAAACAAACCAGAAGAAACTAAGCTGCATGTTTAAAGGACTATTATAAAAAAAAAAAAAATCATGTAGCACACTGGAGCACATTCTAAAGCATTCTTAACAAGCAAAATAAAATAGTATTATGAGTCATACAGACAGTGTTCCGTTTTATCATGTTTGAACTCAAATCGAAGATTAGATTCTAAAATTGCATGTCATCTAAGCATACCTCTCAATGCCAATAAAGTTCTCACGAAGTTGGTTTATCGTCGTCTGAGATGAGGAAAGTGAGGCCAAGCCAGATTGTGCTTGTTCAACCTACATTTTATAGCACTGGGGCATTAAAGGCACAAAACATGAAAGATGAGTAAATATCAAATAATAATGATGCAATTATAGTATGTATTCCACCAATACCTGCTCCGCTACCATTGTACTAAGCTGAGCATCATTAGCCTGGAAATGTATTTAAATGTGAGAAATGTAAGATACATGGTATGAATTCTTTAAAGAAGAACACAAAGAAATGCATAAAGCAAGAAACCCTAATGAAAAATGCAACAATTAATCATAGTGATAAAACATAAGCAGACAATGAACCTGTTGCCGTGAAATATAATCAGCTTTGATAGAGGCAATCGACAGCAACAGCTCTGGAAGTGGTAACAACTTGGCAACCTCACGTACAGCAGCCTCCTTGGCTTCCACTCCAAGATCTTCGCCCATCATTTTTTTATCTGTAACTGTGTCCATTTGCTGAATTAAACTAGAGGAACACAAAGAGAAACCGCAGATGAAACTAACGGAATGTCATAAATTACATTGAGACCTTCAAAAAATGTCACAGCAAACTGTTTGTTCAGAAACTAGAAAAGCTTCTTTCCTCTCTTTGGTGAACTCGGTGAAGGTGAGTGATGCAATCGAATCGAGGTCCAGTTAACAAGAGAAGCTGATAAGCCCCCAGCTATCTCGTATCAAATAGATCTGCTCTCAGCCTTCTATCTTCCTCGTCAATCGATCCCTTTCTGCATCTCTCAATAGATTAATAATTTGGCTTTTGTGACTGAAAGCAGAGAACCTCCGCGGAAAGGATATTGACTCAGGAAACTAGAGGAACAGACGGAATCTAAGAACAAGTTTTTACTTGGGTAGATTTTTTCCTCTTACGCGCTTTAGACAGGCAAATAATTTTTGGAGAAAAAATTATGTGGCCGCATTTTTTAACTGATAATTATATACCCAACTCTGCTAATGCACAGCATATCATGTCAATTACCTAATCAAGGAAGCAGAGCTGAGAAAAATAGATTCACCAAAACTACATTCTTTCAGAAGCACACATCGCTCAATTATGCTGTTATCCATATATAGAATTATCTGACTTCGAAGGGTTTACCAACTGGAAGGCAGAAATTGAAGAAACAAGGTAAAAGGGAAGTGGTTTGCATTGGGCAGAAAGCTCCGCATTCTAAGAAATAGTGACGCATTCCCAATCTGTCACGGCAAAACCCTTAATCCTCACTTCTCTTCGATTTGTGTCAGAGAAGCAAAAAAAACTAATCAAATTTCCTGACTCATCTTCTCAGTAAGAGGGTGATAAGAAGCTAATTTAGAATTTATCCATTTTTTCATGAAGTGGAAACAAAATCAAGGACTATTAACGACAATCATCCAACAAAAATTTGTATAAAATCCATTAGGGGAAGAAAAATTAGACTTACGGAGAGAAAGCAGGAGACGACGACGATCTGTTAGACAGTGGAAGGGAAGGAGGAAGGGGAGGGCGAAGGAGAAGGCAGCGTGTAAGACGACGAGTATATCGGATTGGAAAGGTAGTGATTCTGACGACGGGAGGAGGACGGGCGGGGAAGGCGCTTGGACGAGTATGGTCTTGGTTTCAAGTTCAACTGTCGATGAACGGGAAAATAAAATTCCGAACTGGGAAAAGGAAACGTGTCGCAGAAACGGTCAAAAATTAAAACGCCGGTCGTCTCGCGAAATCGAAACCCCGACCGATTGGAACAAAAGATGAAAATAAAATACCCTTTAGATTAGTCAAATATTTTAATAAATTTGCCAAGTCAATTTCATTAGATAGAAAACTAGATTGGTGCCGGCCTTTGGCCGGGTGTATTATACATGGTTGTCTTGTTAGACTGACGGAAAGTCGGTCGGTTGAATCTGGATCAACCAATATCGATTTTAAAATTAGTGTGAATGACCAACATGATCTATTTTTCGACATATAAATATCATTTTAGTGAATTTAATTGATAAAAAATTTAAATTGAGATTTATTTCATATATTTTAAAACTAAAAGTTGATGGTATTTGTTGGATTCAAATATAAAAGTATGGGTGTTGATGTTAAATGTTGCATTTAAATATGAATATTTGTTATTTTGTTTGGAATGTTGTATTTCATTTAAAGATGATTATATATTCTGAGTAAAGGGTTTTAAACTATGTTTTATAAATTCTTAATATTCTTTCATACTTTTATATATTTTATTAACGCTATGAACCGACACAAACTGATTGTGACACCAATCGAACTATACCAATTACTAAACCTATAAATCATCAATTTGACAACATTGTTATCATGTTTCAGTGTTTGTGCTAATCTTTCTTATTTTATAGCTATATATAGGAATCTGTCATAACACTAGATATATAGATATATAGATATCTTATCTAGTCTAGCTATGTATATTGATGCATTACACTGTATTCTACTTGGACTATAAATATGAAGAAATGCAGGTAGTCATCCGCAATAATCAACATAGAAATAGTCTAGACAACTTGAATCCTGGACGAACCGATTAACTAAACCAAAACTCTCCACAATGAAATTGACTTGGGAGATTTTCTATGTTAAATGAGTCCATGAGAATTTATCTAACAACAAACCAATATGAGCAATACAATGAATGAATCCTCATAGCAACAGTTTTGTGCACCCATATGGTACATAAACCTGCAATGTAACAGTCAAACATGCGCTTTAGAGGTTAGATAACCATGGCTTACTGTAGTCTTTATGGCGAAGTAAAAACAGAGGGGATTCATAAAAGGGCACTTTAAAACAGAGGAGCAACAATGCAACATGCACCCAAATTAAGAGGATCCTCAAAACTTCAATATTACCGTACTCTGACAATGACTGACCAGTGACCAGCTGTTGGCGATGAAACCCATTCAATTATGCAGCAGGGTGCGGTTAGGGGTTGTAGTATGAATCCTCAAAAATTCAATTTTGTCGTGCTCTGCCCAATAGCTGACTGCGTTCGATTATGCGGCGGCGATATTGCGGCGGAACGCGATTTTGGTTAATGACAACTTCCGATAATATCAATTGCTATTAAGTGAGATGGAAATAGAGTAGGAGGAACAGGGGAAGGTAATAGGAAGAGGAATTGAATTGTGATTTTGGTGGGAAGGCGGGAAGGGTGAAATCAGCGCTTGGGATTGGGGAAAATATGCTGCTGATATGTTATCAGGAATGGAAAAAGGACAGATGCGGAGGAGCAAGCATCACAGATTAAATCGGGGCAGTGAAGGGCGGATTAAGTCGCCGGCAAGGTAGGATTGATGGTGCGGAATCAGGGGCCATATGTGTCATTGGTAAGGGTAGAGAAGCGCCGGCCATGAGGAATATGTTGGGACTCGATTGGGGGTTAATCGAGGGCAAAGAGCCGGGAAAAAGTTCATGCTAGAGTTTGGGTGGCGGGGAATTAGAGAGGCTGACGTGGCCGCTTAAAATGCAAGTAAGGAGTACGTGGCATGGGTCTTAAATTAAAAGTGCTTTAAGATTTTTAAAGATTCTTGGACTACAGAAGTAAACTTTTGGAAGAAGACTATTAGATATGGCAGTAATTTTCACTTAATTCATCACAACATAAAAAGTTAAGATTATTTTGGTACTAGATTTTTTATTTTTAGAAAATAACAAACAACATGCAACGACAAAATAGAGTACTTTCTCCCTTGTCATTGTCGGTCGTTGGCCACTGACTGCCACCGCTTACCATCCGCTCCCTCCGCAGAGACCATGAGTTAAAAAGATGTGGTATTTGATGAATTTTAATCTGAAATTGCTTGAAAGTCGTACCTAAATTGATCGTGGTAGTACTTGAAATGAGCTTATGTGGGGTGTTGAGGGGTCACCACAACGGCAAAACCAGCTTAAGTCCCCTCTCAATGGTACTAGCGTGGGCCCCGACCATTTGGTCGGAGGAATTTGAGGTATGAAATTTGATAATGTAATGGGATGTATAAGCTTATTGTTGTATAGTTTTTTTTGGGAAACACGTGATAAAAATAGTGAATTTTAGTAGGAAAGAGATATGAATGATGCAACGAATCAAAAATCAGCCTTATGAACCAAAATCAAGTACCTCTTACCTTGTGAAACAATATTGTTTCTGGTAATATGATGAGGTGGAGTAAGTTTTATAGAAACCTAAATCCAGAAAATCGAATAAAAAATCGCCTATCCCGCTGGTTTTCGGAAATGAGCATCTCACAATCGTTGCTAGCTTTTACTCGGCCCGTTGGCCGATTAATATGCTTTATAAAACTTTCATCTTGTCATCGTTGTGCTTTCTGGTTTTTTGTCAAGCCATGATAAAATCTAAGAAATCAAGAATGAACAACACGATTTGGGATAGGAATCACACGTTTCTGTATCCCTAGAAAATGGTGGTAAACACGGACTCACCTGCCAAATTGGTTTGGATTGAGATTTTTATCGGGTATCAGGGAACCATGTGATTATAAATTAGACTTGATCAAAATGGGCCAAAACTTGAAATTCAGCATGTTTGACCGACCAATGCCAAACTTTAATTATTCTTTAATTTTAAACTTTCCATTTGAAAATAAAATATAATGAAAGAAAAGAGATGACTGCAATTCGACATTTGCACATCACTGATTCGGGAATAAAACTGTAGAATTTCGAAAGGAAACTGAAAATGTTTAGGATCGTTTTAATGTTAAAAATAACCAAATAGATCTTTCTGTTTAGTTTTTTACTAACAAATACCAAACGATTCCCTATAATATACACTATAATTTAATCATTATGATATCAAATAATTACATAATATATATTTGAAATGATAAAAATTGGACTAATTGGGTTGGTCGAGGTTGAACCATCGAAAATAATTACATAATATATATTTTAGCCACTAAGATATAAAATAATAGCATAATATATATTATGTTAGAGAAAATAGCTTGTGTTTAGAATGGCAAACCCATGATGTTTATTTGTTTTACTTGATGGGCAAATCCCGTGTAGGTCAGGCCCATTCAACTCTTTGATTTTATGATTAGCGGTTAGCCCATTAGTTTATTGTTAAACTTTTTTGTTTTTAGCAATAAAAAAGAGTATTGTTTTTGCTTTTTCATATATATTTTACCAACACTGAGAAATAAAAGGACTTAAAGAAAAAAATTGACACTCCCGGACCCGTTTAAATCCGCATGTGTACGGTAAGTGGGCCCGTTCTACAGAGGGAAAATAAAAAATTTGACACTCCCTATTCTCCCTTCTTACAAACGCTCCTGGAGCAGAGAATTTGAAATGTGGGAAGGGTTTTTTCCTCTCTGCGATTATATGTTTTTAATTAAAAAGATACAACTACTTAGTGTGATTGTTTATGATCTTTGTTTTTCTTTAAAGTGGTCATTTTAATGAATAAAAAAATAGTAATTGTGAAGACCAAAATGTAGTAAGTGTCTTTTTAATGAATAAAAAAAAAAGTAACTGTGAAGACCAAAATATCCTTCCTACTTTTACTCTAGATGCAGGAAATTTGAAATGAGACTTCAAATTTTCTCATTTGGCTTTTATTTATTGTGTAGATGTTTGTTTTGTTAGTTTCTCTTTGCTTGATGAAACGGCTTAATAATTTGCATTTTAAAGTTAGGGCAATTGTAGTACAACTAGAACGATTTTGGCCGTACAGAATTTGACATTAGTGAAATACTATTTGATAGAAGTATTGTTGGTTGGATAGATCTTTTTTTTAAATGAATGGTGTAACTTTTTCATTGATGGATGATGAAATTATAAAATCTTACCTTGTTGAGAGAGAATCGAGCTGAACAAACTAAACTAAACCGATGGATTAAATTCAAAGGTAATTAACAACCTAATGCAGAGAAAGTTCCATGATTCAATAATATCACGGCTCAAGACATGAAAGAACCATTACTACAAAGGGAAGAATGCGCCTTGATTTCAGCCTAAGCCTCAGCAGCTACTTGGGGCTGAGGCTTATTCTTCTTCTTGGTTTTCACTGCCGGCTTAGCTGCTGATGATTCGGTGCCGGTTGCCACTTCTGTTGGGTTCTCAATCCTTGCAAAAACAGGATTTGGTTGAGCCATTACCTGACCACCTTTCAACCCACCCCACTTGGTCTCATCCTGCATTGAGGGAAATCAGGAAGCATGGCACTTCAACCACAGCATATCATTTGAGTTCCAATGATTGGCATGGAAACAGAGAAATAGGCTTACCCAAGTAACGGTTGCAAACTGATCTTCTGAAAAACCAAGTTGTTCATATATTCTCCAGCACAAGCCTGGTGATACAGGGGATAAAGCAATGGCTATGATCCTCATTGCTTCCAGAATAATCACAAGATCCTGTTGCACAGGACCACTCAAAGATGTTTAGTTCAAAATTAATTCGTATAAGTTAGATGGCGGGAAAAATGGGGGCCAACATGTGGTACTCAGCTATTCCCTGAACCTTTCCTGGCTTTATTTACTTCAAAAATTGTCAAGATGCAAGAGAATCAATTAAGTGATACCTTGGCAGCAGCTTCTGAAGCAGCTCCACCCTGCTTAAATAGAGACCACGGCGCACGTTCATTCATGTATAAGTTTCCAGCATTACCAATTTCGAGTACAGCCTCGCATGCTGCTGAGAGAGACAGATTTTGATACTGGATGTTGGCTTTCTCAACCTATTAAAAACAGATAATAGTGAATTCTTTGCCAATGTTAAGACAATAGTGGATCTGAAGACATTAAGATAATCCTGTCATGGAGCTTTACAAGTGTTTCCACAGTGTCCTTGAAGGCACTTCCTTCAGCTGCAGTAGCTGAATCTACCACCAAAGTTGATTCACAATTCTTTCTCAGAAGTCCAAGAGTGCGATTAAGGAGATTTCCTGCATGCCATAATTGAAAGGTTTTAATGTCAGTTCCCCATACGATGAGTGTTTTTCATCTTTCTTGCAAAATTCCAACCTCCACATGTAGTCATCTAGTACAAATTGTGACAATATTCACCAACACCAATTACCTATGGTATTGGCAAGATGTGCATTGACAATGTTAATGAAACGATCTTCTGAATAGTCACCATCATTACCAAATTCCACTTCCCTAAGGAAGAAGTACCTGACTGCATCAGACCCAAATTTGTGGACCAAATCATTTGGTTCAAGTGTATTTCCCAATGACTTCCCCATCTTCATGCCGTCCTATAATAAGTTTCAAAATAAAAAGTAGTTGCTGCATAAAATAAAATTAGCTGTAAGAGAAAAAGGAAAGAACAGCTCAGGCATCATTCACTCAATATCATCACAAAGACAGCTTTCATAATTCAATTTGTATCCATTTAAATATACTGAGTACCAAAGATAAAATATTATCGTTTGCATTTTTCTGAGACCCCAACACAGTCTCAATCAGTTAGCACTTGATAAGATAACAGTAACGCAGTTGTAAGTATATCTAGTCCCGAAACCACAATGTACTAAAAAACGATTCACTTCACCATACTGTCATAAATCACCGCCCTGAGTTTGTTGATTACCAAAGGTTGAAGTTGTTCTTCTAGTTTTCTTTTCACTAAAGACTTCTGGTTTATCAAGAGAACATAAGTTAAGAGTCTTGGAATGATACAGGCAGAAAATGCAAAAGCCCCCAATAAATCTACTCCTATTCCAGGGCCATTACTACCATCAAGGTCCAAAAAAAAGGTGAGATATTGACAAGAAAATTTTAGCACTCCTAGTCCTAACCTTCAGCTCATCAATGCTATAGAATAACATACCTTAGTTAAGAAGCCATGCCCAAATACCGTCTTTGGAAGGTCAAGTCCAGCAGACATAAGCATTGCTGGCCAGTAAACTGCATGAAAACGCAAAATATCCTGCAAGAAGAAACAGTGAAATATTATCATAGTCTGCAAAACAAGCACGCAAGCATTAAAGGAGGAAAACAACAGTTGTTAAGTCTTGTGAATGTGCAGATAGAAACCATTGTACCTTGCCAATCAAGTGCAGTGCTGCAGGCCAACCAGAGGAAACAGCCTCCTGTAAACTAGACTGACCATTCTCCTCTGCAAGAGCTGATATATAACTGCCAGTTAAAAGGTAAGGATCAGTTGGAAGTTGCTTTCTCAGAGTGTGTACTAACCCAAGATATCGAAAGAAAAGCACAAGGGACCATTACATTATCAATATATGGAAAGGAAAGCACCATACCCAAGTAAAGCATCAAACCAAACATATATAGTCTGTCGTTTGTCATTAGGAACTGGAATGCCCCACTCCACAGATGCTCGAGAAATTGAAAAGTCTTTTAAGCCACCTTTAATCCAACTTTGCACCTAAAATAGTTAATATGACAAAATCAGGCTTTAGCACAAGGTGCACTGACAAGCACAAGCTTCTCTGAACATATGGAGAGAACTTCATAGCATGCCAAGAGCAGAATCCATACCTACACTATTATTCTGGCCTAAGAACATTTAATTTGAATAGAAACTATATCGTGAGTAATGCAACATCAATTCTCTTACCTCATTCAAACGATATGAAGGCTGCACAAAATTCGGATTTGAAGACAAAGTTTCTTCCAATTTTTGTTGGTACTTAGACAAGGCGAAGAAGTAGTTTTCCTCTTTGCGCTGTGTACATGGTTTCAAGTGCACTGGGCAGCATTTGTTTTCAAGCAACTCCTTCTCATCCTGTAGAAATACAGAGGCACAAAATTATGACACTAACAATCAACACCGTTATACACCGTAGTACAGAACTAAAGATGATGTGATATTCTCCATTCAATTAAAACGATTTTTTCTTTGATAAAAATTAAACACATATTTATAAGACACAGACACAGATAAGAATGATGAAACAGGAACCTTGTACTCCTCACAGTTGACACAGTATAGCCCCTCGTAGTCGGCATGATAAATGTCACCATTGGCAAGTACCCTCGAGTAGAACTCCTTCACAATGGCTTCATGCTTGGGATCAGTAGTTCGAATGAACTTGCTGTACGAAATGTCTAACTGCACTCAATCAAAATGAACAGTCTATATAGCATTAATACATTGGCAATAAGCAAGTAATGACGCAACAAGTGGAAGGATAAAAACGCGCACGTCTTTCCACAGGCTCTTGTATGCTTGAGATACAATGTCGCAGTGCTCACTTGGGCTAGACCCACAGGCAGCAGCAGCAGTAGCAATTTTCTCCCCGTGTTCATCCGTGCCAGTGACCAGTATAACCTTCTTTCCTAAAAGTCTCTGTCAATTGATCGACGAAGAAACAATTTATTTCTTCTGCAACAAGACATTAGTTTGATGCAAATAGCCCATTGCCATGTTAATTTCTCAATGAAATCCAGAAACCTTGATAAACCCACAAACTGCGGTAAACAATAGGCGGGAAGAAGAGAGTTAAAACCCCCCCGAAATTTAGACCTGAAACCGGGCTATGGCATCAGCAGCGATTGTTGTGTAAGCGCTTCCCATGTGGGGAGCGGCATTGACGTAGTAAAGAGGGGTCGTGAGAACAAATGTCTCCCCTGCTGCGGCTTCTCCTCCATCCCTTCGGGTATCCGCGGCGCCGCTCGTGGCGCAAGAACAGGAAAGGGCTCTTCTTTTTTCCGAGTAGGAAGAAGAAAGCAGGAAGCTCCGGTGGAAAGGAAGACGATCCCTGAACTGGGTGGCTTTCGTAGTGACTGAACAGAGAGGGTTTAAGAGGGAGAGAGTGTTCTGAATTGAGTGGTTCAATCTGGCAGCCATTTTACCCTATCAGGGTTTAGAGGAAACTTCAGCTATGGCATAGGCTGGTCAGCTTTTGAGTTCACTTCTAACTTCGTAAGGATGCACCGGCGGGAAATGGCTGCTCCGAGGCTGAAGACGGGATATGAGGAGGAAGAAAGAAGACTGGAAACCAGAAGCTGGGGACGGAATTGATGTTCGTCGATTCTCCTTCCTGGAGCTCGGCTTTGGGTTGAACAACAACCGTTCTGTGTAATGGATTCATGGATCGGGAACGAGTGGGCTGCTGGCATATGGGCCCATACAAATGAATGGCTATCGGGTCCACGTTTGCCAATGTAATTCGTCCAGTCCACACCTATGAATATGAAATCTTGACTCTACATAGCAAGGGGTGAAAAAGTGTATCAACCTTGTTTTTTTTATTTTTTTTATTTGACAATTATCAACCTTGTTTAATGATCCCTATGTAATCAACTCCATAATTATCAATAAACAAACAAAATTGTTATTAGTGACATTTGACACAAAATTTTAATTAGTAGTGGTCATGGTTAAATCATAATGGTTCGTCCAATAATGAGTGCAAAGTGAGTCCAAAACGTTTTGTTTTTCCCCCTAAATTTAGGGTGTCCAATTGTGCACAGAAGCAGGCGAGCATACCGTCAAAATTTTCAACTTGGTACTTAATAATTGTTTGTGTTTCGACCAAGCTACTCAATAATTAATTAATATATATTGACGATGGAGATGGATATATACTTTTTGTTTTTTTGGTAGTGAATTATTGCCGATATTTTGCTCCCCGCCGGTGGGTGCATAATGCAGAATCCACTTCCGGCCCCCGGATTTTAGATCGTGCCAGTGACAGAGTACGTGTCTCCGGTTATGCTCTGTTGCTGACTAGGAAGCCATCCCTTCGCGGGGCCCGCATCCATCTCAACCGACAGGGCAGACGACAGCCTCAAAATCTCTTTTTCTATGTCCACCTTCCTCTCCACCGCCACCACCACCACCACCGCTTCTCCAAATCCAGGAGCCGTAACCCTTCTCCCGGCCTCCGCCTCGTATCGCCCCGCCGCCGCCAGCCCTCTCTTCCGCCGGATTCGGAAATCTGACATTCTCTTCCCCCGGCCAAATCGACGGTCCTAAAGAGAGGGAGGGTTCAGCGAAAGATTTGTTTTTAATTTGTAACTGACATGGGCATTACGAGCGAGGACGTCGTCCTGATCCAGCCGGCGAAGACCCCCGACGACCCCACCGTCGTCACCGTCAATTGCCCAGATAAAGCGGGTCTCGGCTGTGATATCTGCCGCATAATTCTGGATTTCGGCCTTCAAATTAATCGAGCAGGTACTCTCTTCTCTTTCATTCCCTTCCTTTGTTTTATTTAAATTTCCATTTGAATCCTGATTTTGGTTACTTTTTCGTGAATGGTGGATTTTGGTTTCTGATGAATGTGAAGATTTCTCGACGGACGGGAGATGGTGTTATATGGTGTTCTGGGTGGCGCCATACTCGAGCTCGCATCGAGTTGATTGGGATAGCTTGAAGAATCGGGTCTACTATGAAACCCCTTCCTGCTTGGGTCCTTACTATTTTGGAAAGAAGTCAAATGGTCCCTCATCTTTGTACCTTTTGAAGATCTTTTGTGCTGACAGAAAAGGATTGCTCCATGGTATAAATGCTACAGAAGAACAAAGTTGACCACTTTAGTTTTTTTTGTTCTCTTCACTTTTTTGCTTCATACTTACCTCTCCTTTTGTTTCTGTGGTTAGATGTGACAAAAGTTCTTACGGAGCTTGAGTTGACGATCCAGAGAGTGAAAGTTACGACGACTCCGGACAATCGAGTTGTGGACTTGTTTCTGATCACAGACACCTTGTGAGTTGCCTGGATTCATGGGGAGGGTGGACCATTTTATGTGTTTACGTAGATGTAACTTGAATTTGCTGCTGGATTCTCATTGTCAGCTGCAATTTCAACTGAATGTTTGTCATTTCGACATAGGTTGCAATTGTGTGTCAATTTTCAAACTTTGTTTTCCATAAGGCATAGATAGGGTCCCCATTTGACGAAAATCAAAACTTTACAACAGCTTTTTCATACACATTCACTTGCATCATGCACACAAGTGCTTCTTCTGTTGATCTTTAGGATTCTGTCAAAAGTTCCGGTTACTATTTGCCTTGCCTGATCTTGTTTCCGTGCCTCATTTTTGCTTTGATTTGCCATAGCTTCAATGGGGACTTGTGTAGTGATCTTGCATCTGCATTCAGAATCTCTTCAATTACTCAACTTGAAGGACTGATGGAACTTATTAGTTATTACTAACTTGAAGAGTGCCTATATTGTGATACCACTGGTATTTTGGTCCGTTGAAGTGCTGTGAGACTTGAACAGATACTAGAAACTCTTATCTCATTTGTTTCAGCAGTTCTGGAATCGCTTTAGTTCTGGGATGGACATTCTCCTGTAGTCCTGTTAGTTTGCTGAATGATCAAAATTCAAAAAAAAATCCTTGGCACCTGGAAAGATGTCCACTTTGCATTCTAAATATTGACTACTATGTTCACCATTTCCAGAGAGCTTTTGCATACCAAACAAAGGCAAGATGATACGTGCAGATATTTGGTCGATGTGTTTAAAGACAACTGTGTCGACTGTGAGCTGCAAGTGGCAGGGCCCGAGTATGAAACCCTACGGGCTTTCTCGTCCATCCCAGAGGCCGTTGCAGAAGAGCTGTTTGGTCCTGATCTCTTTGAAACGGATTCAGGTGAACAAAAGGGTGAAAAGAGAGAGAAGGCCACCATTACAGTTGATAATCAGTTGAGTCCTGCTCATACATTGCTCCAAATAGAGTGTGTTGATCAGAAAGGCCTCTTTTATGACATCTTGAGGGCTTCAAAGGAATGCAATATATGGGTACTTTTTGCTCCTACTTAATGTTTCGCCCGATCAGGTTTTTCAGTTTGCTGGTTAATGCTTGCAATTCTCGGATGCTGATAATTTTGCTCTTGTCCGTACACTTTAGGTAGCTTATGGTAGATTCGCTCAAAGCAATAAAGGAATTCGGAATGCAGATTTGATCATTCAGCAAACAAACGGGAAGAAGATTGTGGATCCTAAGCATCTCGATATCTTGTGCACTCGTTTAAAGCTGGCGATTGTTCATCCGCTTCGGGTGATCATTGTTAGCCGAGGTCCAGATACCGAGCTTTTGGTTGCCAACCCGGTCGAATTATCTGGTAAGGGAAGACCGCGTGTTTTCTATGACGTTACATCAGCTCTAAGAAAGTCTGGAATATGCATATTCTCGGTAGGTTCTTCACACACTTGTCTTGCTTCCCCATTTTGTCTATTTTGATTTTATTCTGTTCCGATATGCTTAAAACACGGATAAGTTTCCTCACACCACTGGGAAAACTCTGCAGGCTGAAATAGGAAGGCACTCCACCCAGGATCATGAGTGGGAAGTTTACAGATTTCTCTTGGATGAGAGCTGTGAGTTCCCGCTGTCAAGCCCTGAATCCAGAAGCAAGGTAGTGAACAGAGTCAGGAAAGCACTAATGGGATGGTAGGAACAACGCGAACTTCCATGGCCCGGTAACCGATTCCAATTCTGAGCTGATCGAGGTCGTAGTACAAAACTACGAATGCCATCCGAGATCAACTGGCTCTCTTCCTTCGAAATAACTCACACTGGATATGTCAACCCAAAGCCCTTGTTGTAATACTTAGCAGGCAATTCATCCTTTTCTTCAGGTGAGGATTGTACATATTTGTTGTTGAGGCCACAGTAATAACCCGTTTCAGGCCATATCTATATATGTATCATTTGTGTATGTATATTTCAAGATGGGTAGTCTCGATTTTCTTGGTTATGGCGGAGGACATAACCAGATGAACGTCGTCATCTTCTCTATATACAGTGTGCTAACCAAACACTGTCATCCCTGCCAGAAAACATCTCCACGATTACCACCATCCGATTCTTCCCATAAGCTCCACCGACCCTCTTAGAGTGAGGATGTATATGTTTCTTTCTTCTCTATGCTGCACATTGTTGTTATTCTGTTCTATTCTTTGTTTTTTACTCTGTTTTTCTCCTTCCTTACTCTGTTCCATTCTTTGTTTTTTACTCTGTTTTTCTTCTTCCTTACTCTGTTCTATTGCCGGTCAAGGGTACCTATCAATAGCTGTCTCGTAATATGGCCGTTTCTCACTCTGTTCGAATATAATAAATGACTGTCGCCACTCTGTTATCCAAGCATAGGTATCTCCGAATTCATTTTTCATTTGAGGATTGAGAAGCTCTATTTCATAGCAGATTTCCTGGCTAGCACTCCGAGGCTTAGACTCATCTGAAGATAACAATCGGAGAGAAATGTGTACTTTAGAGAAGCGAGGTAACGTCTACATCCTCACGTTGACCGGCGCCGGCGACCACCGGCTGAACCCCAATCTCCTCGATTCCATCCAGTCAGCCCTCCGCCGGCTTCACGCCGAGCCAGCCAACCCTTCCTCCGTTCTAATCACCACCGCCGAAGGCAAATTCTTCTCCAACGGCTACGATCTGGCCTGGGCCGAAACCCCCTCCGCCGTCGCCGCCGCCTCGGCAACTCCCGGAGGCCAAAATCCCTTCCAGCTCATGTCAGCGAAGCTCCGCTCAGTGATCGCGGACCTCATCACGCTCCCCATGCCGACAATCGCCGCCGTCACGGGCCACGCGGCCGCGGCGGGGTTTATCCTCGCCTTGAGCCACGATTACATCCTCATGCGGAGGGACCGAGGGTTCATCTACATGAGCGAGGTCGATATCGGGCTGGTGGTCTCGGCGTGGTTCATGGCGGTGCTCAAGTGTAAGATCGGGGACGCGGCCGCGCGGAGGGATCTGGTGCTGCGGGCGGCGAAGGTCACGGCGGGCGCGGCGGCGGAACGAGGGATTGTGCACTCGGCGCACGATAGCGCGGAGGGGACATTGGCGGCGGCGGTTGAATTGGGGGAGGAGCTGGCCAGGAGGAAGTGGAACGGACACGTGTACGCTCGTAATAGGATGGTGGTGATGGGTGAGGTTTTGGAAAAGATCGGGTTCGACGAGACCGTTGAGGGGCAGAACGGGAATAAGATTAAGGCTCATCTGTGATCCATCTAAGTGTAACGGGCTAATAGCTTGTCTGTTTTGAGCTGGGCCCAGTTTGCCTTTAATTTATAGGACTGCGATGTCTACTGGGCTTAAGGTGAGCCCAATTTAAGAATGTGGGGTTGGAGTTTGGACCGATCTAATTTTTAAATTTGCCATGGAAGTCCTTATACATGAAGAAGAGATAACAAATGTGCCTTTCTAGGGTATTCGGTAAACCGGTATTTGGTATAACCGGTTACAATCGGTATTCGATATACCGAATACCGGCGGTATTGGTATTCGGCTGCATTTCTTGGCCAAACAGTATACCGTAAACCGACCAGTCATATACCGACGGTAAATCGGTATACCGAATACCGAATAAAAAAAAACGACAGCGTAGGGCGGTAGCGGAATTGGGGGTTGTGGCATTTGTAAACCCTAAAATCTAAATCAAATCGACACCTCGCCCCCGCCCTCCACCTCGTCTCGGCGTTTCCTCTATTCGACTGTTCCTCTCCATCCAGAGGCCGAGGCGAAATCCAGCACGCCGCGGCGCCGCGCTCCAGCACCACGCCTCGTCTGTGTTCCTCTTTGCACAGCAGCAGTCCCTGCGCCGAAGGTAGGAAGGAAAAGTCGAAACCCAGAGCCAGCAGCCAGCACGCCGCGTCGCCGCGCTCCACCACCACGCCTCATATGTCTTCCTCTTCGCCAGCAGCAGTCACCAGCAGCAGTCCCTGGCTCGAAAACGTAATCTCAATGCATTAACCGGTATTAATACCAGATACCGACTATTCGGTATACCGGCTAACATTCGATATCGGTATTCGGTGGGTACACTGTCTGGTTCCGGTATACCGGATACCGACCGATTACCAGCCCTACTTTCTATTACTTTACATTTTTATTATTATATAAGATCCCTCTTTATTATGAAAAACTCATTCTTAATGAGAATATGTTTGAAGATAATAAGTTCAACACCTTCGTTATTAATAAATGGTTACTAAGTGCAACTACTTATGAACCAATATTTGCTAAGCATGGAATTTGCAAATCATTTTGTAGTGATCGACATGAACTATGATGTGATTTGTATTATAAAATAAAACATAAAAATAATAAGCAATAACGAAAGTTGTCAATTATAACGTAACTTTGGATACCAATCATCAATCATTTAAGTGTCGGCCATTTTATATTTTAACCGCTACGCATAAGCAAAATATAATCGAGTCAGCCACCATAAGATTAAATTGTGTTGTTAACTTTACTTTGTTATCAAACTTTTAAATTGATTCACTCGTGGTCCAAAACTACTAGTGTTTGAATGGTTAACTAACCCGTTCAAGAGAAGCTTAACAAAGGAACAAAAAAGAATCTCCATGAAAGGAAACTCAAAGGAAACTACGATTATCCACCCACTAAAAATATCATATTATGACATCATTTTCTTTCCTGGACTAAAAAGCTAAAATTAAAAATTACACAGAAAGTTAAAATTACAGTGAGGACTGAGGAGTGGAAGTCTCCAGCGAGAGGTGAGAGAGTGAGACCGGAGACCCAAATAAATAGTAACTTTGAAAGATGTCTGGACTCTGGAATATACTATTAAATAGTTAATAAAATATATAATGGTCTCCTTCGCCGAAGCCAAGACGGCAAATACTCCCCTCCTCTTTCTCTAATCTCTACAATTACAGTGCTAACGACTGTTTAATTTTTTGATAATTCGGTTAATAAAAACAAAGGGAAAAGAGTAAATTAAAGTGGCGAGTGGAGTGGTCATTGAAATTTGAAAAGGAGAAACCAAAACATTAGCGCTTGCCAGCTAATAACCCAAAAAAAGACAAAAAGAAAAATTAGAGAGAAACTCCTCCTGTGTCATAAAACTACGCTTATACTTCCAGCTCATCCATTAACAAAGTTAAACAAAGAACGCCCCGAAATTTCTGAGAAAAAAAAAGAAAAGAAGAAGAGGCGATTCTGTTTTATTTTTTAATTAATTATTTTCCAATCTAAATTTTTTTCCTTCCGTTCTTCCCTTACCTTTTCACACCACCCCTGGAAGAACAAGAAAAGGAGACGAACGAAAGAGATTCAAAAAGGACCATCAACGAGAACGAAGGCAGCAGAGTATAAGGAAGAAGAAGGCCACAGAAGGAGCTGTGAAGGAAGGAAGAAAACGACGAGAGGCTTTGGCCACTTTGCTCTGCTTTCGTTTTCTGATCTCGAGAGAGGGAGAGAGAGGGGGTCTCTTCTTTTTTGGAACTGTGATTCAGCAAATGTAGGAGCTTCCACAGTGGAGAAGGAAAGAAGGAAAAACGGAAGGTTCCAGAAGTTTTGGCTCCTGACCGCAGCAGTGGTGGTGTGCCTTCTCGCGATTCGGAGGAGGGAAGGCAGATAAATGTCTTCGTCGGCGTTCAGTCCGTCGCGGGGTAGTCCGGTCGCCTCCAGGTTACAGAGGGAGCAGCACTTTGTTCTAATCGGGAGCTCCAGGCTGAGATCCTCTTCCCTGAGGAAGCCGCCGGAGCCTCTGCGGAGAGCCATCGCTGACTGTCTGTCGTCTTCCGCCTCGGCATCGGGTTCTGCTGGTGGGGGCGCTGTCGCCGGCTTGCACCATGGCAGCCCCTCCGTGGTGTTGAACGACGCTTCCAGGACTCTCCGTGTGAGTAATTAGTTTGCTTTGCTTTTTGGCTGTAGGCTTGGATCTCAATTTTTCGAGGTTTGAATTCAATTGGGGGGAGTTGGAGTTGCTTGCTTTCCTTGAAGGGCAGTTTGTGCAGTTTAATTTTGTTGTTGCAAAAGTGTGACTCGACATGAGAGGCAATTTTCGAGCTTATAGTGAAGAGGGTCCGTTGCTTCCTGCCTTGCCTGCCCATTAGGAGAATGAATTGTGAACGTAGCTTCTCCCCATATTAGGATTAGGATATCAGTTACACCTTTGAGTGTTGAATACGAGATTGGTTTGTCTGCTACTCTATGAAGGGAGTGATTGATTTTATGTCTTTTCCAAATCGAGTAGTTTTAATTGAGCATAGTCAAAATTTTCATGAGGTTCCATTAACTTTGCTCGGTGTTCTTTCGTTTTCTGTGGGCGTCAATGTAATGGTTGAATCAACTGAGGGTTGAGGAAGGGGCGGGGTTGTTTAATGGGGAAGAAATGTTTGACATGGAATGATGCATATATGTCATCTTATTCTATAAGATAGTGTTATGGCACTTTTGGCAGTTACAGTGTGTAAATGCTTGAATTCCACACTTTCCCTCTTTAATTTGGTATAAACGCTCACATTATTAATACTGGAAATATATATAATTGATCTGTGGAGCTCCTTTTCCTTTCCCCCTGTTGATGGAGGAGCATCTTCTTTCATCGGATGATAGTAAAGGAGTGGAATAAAGGGCACTTGGAATTTTTTTAGCAAAATCGTCATTCCATTATTTAGTACTTTTACACATCATCGTTATTGACATAACGATGTGATGATTTTCTCTTCTTGATGTGGATGGAATTTTGATTCTAATTCTTCAATTCACTACTGGCAGGATTACTTGGCATCCCCTGCAACCACTGACCTGGCATATTGTGTAATTTTGGAACACACGATTGCTGAGAGAGAGCGCAGGTAATTGTCGAATAATTTCAAATAGTTCTGATGGTCTTTTAAGCCATAGGGAACGCAAGATGCTTGAAAGTGCAATTAACTTGAGTAGCCTAGCTATTGGTTCCCACTTTTGGAGATACACCTGATGGGCGATGGTGTACTTAACCTTTAGAATTTGTGACTTGTCTAGTTGCTTATATCTAACCCTGTCCCGTTCAAGTCTCTTTTTTCCCATTCCAACTAAGTGGATGCTTCAAGTTCTGCTGTGTAGCTTACTCGCCATGCTTGTTGCTTATCTCATGCAATTGAGAATTCTACAAACGCAGTCCTTTTTCATCATGCCTGGCCACTGATGGGGTTGTTGGACTGGTTTTGCGTGCTGTTTGATGCATGGATGTCTTCTGAAATGTGGAAGACTGGTGCGGAACTATGGATCTTGCTGGAACATGTTAGTTTCATTATGCTCTTAACTACTCCCGCTGACATAGGACAGGCTGGCTCTGAACCAAATGAGCAGTAATAAGAAGAAATGTCAGTTGGAGAGGTTATGGATCTATAGTGCTTAATCCTACTGGCCAATTGGCATACACCTCATAGGGTCTACTTTGCTAAAGGTTATCTAACTCTAGATAGTGCAAGTCATCATTGTTTGAAAGTAATATAAGTATGTGTCAGTTAGATCTACATGTATCTGCTGCTGCAGTCTTTTATTGGATTCTGTTACTGCTCTATTTACTCCCTTGTGATCTGTATTGCTCTTGCATTACCTTTGTTTTGAGCAAATTTAACAATGGTGTTTGTATTATGGATTGTTCCTTATAGTACTGATATGAACTTATATGTGCCAGCCCAGCAGTAGTCGCGAGGTGTGTGGGACTTCTGAAGCGGTACCTTATAAGGTATGTTATTGCGCAAAGTTATTATAAATGTTACTAAACTTAATAGGTTCAACCAGTGAGTTCAATAAAGAGAGAATGTTAGGATAAAAAGTTTATGATTCTATCCATATGTTTCGCTTCTAACCCTTGGCCTCTGTCAAGTTTGATTGCTTGATCGATCCTGCGACCAGAGACGTAGGTCGGCAGTTACTTTAATTCCTGCAGGTAAAAGTTTCAGTGATGGTGCTAGGCCACTGCTTTTGGCCTTGAATGGTATTCATAATGACTCTAGTTAGATCACTTCTGTATGGTGAAAGTACACAAGCATCAAGTACTGAAAATCACTTTGTGCATTTAACAGCTGATTGCTGTCGTCCTGTTTATGTCTTTTCTGATATTGTTATGTGGCATTTTGAATCCTGTGGCTTTGCTTATGATAGATTATTCTTGTTTGGCAGATATAAACCGAGCGAGGAGACGTTACTTCAGATTGACCGATTTTGTGTGAATACAATCTCTGAGTGTGATAACAGTGCAAGTCGAAGATCAGCAACGTTATCACAGTCGACAGCTCAGCAATCTGTTGCTTCTGCACATAATTTGCCTTCTCTTCCTGTTTCTAGTTTTGCTTCCGGAGCACTTGTAAAGTCGTTAAATTACATACGTTCTCTAGTGGCTCAACATATTCCAAAGAGGTCATTTCAACCGGCAGCATTTGCTGGGTCCCCATCTGCATCAAGACAGGCACTTCCTGCATTATCTTCATTTTTGCGTAAATCCTTTAACTCCCAATTAAGCCCTGCAAATAATGTTGAATCTTCAGACATCAGAGATGCGGCTACTTTGCCTGTTTCACACTTTTCAAAGATGGAAAAAGTTGATGTAATGGAGGACATTGATCACATTGCATATGATGCTTTAAACTGGCGTTGGGCTGGAGATCATCGGTTTTCAGTATTGTCCACTGAAAGGTGATACACATCTTTGTACACGGTTCTTTATCGTATATCGCTATTATGTTGCTAAATTGATGTGCTTTATGAATTAACCTGTCGTAGTTGATGAATTAAATTTTGGTGCATGTCAAAATGTGTGCAACACAGTGATCGTGCTTCTGTTCTTGAGGATATGCGCACACATACTTTGCTAGAGTTGGGTGCTGCAGCACTGCTAGTTGGAGACATGGAAGCTAAGATGAAGAATCAACCCTGGAAATATTTTGGAACTGCTGATATGCCCTATCTTGACCAGCTGTTGCAGCCTTCTTCAGTCTCTACAATTACCATTTCAGCTTCTGCTCGTTCCCACTTACGAGCAATAACAGCATCTAAGCGCTGTAAAGCAGAACCACATCAGATATGGTATGTGTCTTCTTCCTCTATTTATTGGTTTTGTGTTTTGTATCTTTCGAGTTGGGATGAATTTGTGTGCCCATTAAATATCTCTCCGATGACGACATCCAGGTAGATTTTTTTTACTATTTATCTGATCCAGATGCAATATGGAAGCAGGGTCATTAACTCATTATTTGCAAGACGTTGTCTGTCAGGACCACTTTTGAGATTGTAACTCAACTGATTGACTTTGTTATAAATCCAGAATGATTTTTTTGTTGTTGTTAGAAATCCTCTTTCTGTTGATTTTGTTGAGACCACCTTGCAGTTTGCTTCAGCTGGTCATTATTATCTGGTTCACCAGCTAGATTGAGGCTTCAAAATTCTAGACCTTTGAGTGGTTCTTGGGTCGCTTGAGTGTATGATTGCTTTGTGTTAACGAACTTCAATTTTGACACCTCACGATGGTACCATAAGATGTTTGCTCAAAAGAGGTTACCAATGAGATAAAGAGACTGATCAACAAATGAAAATAACAGATTGACGTTAGTGAATTAGATTCATCCCTTTTTATATAGCACTTCCGTGATTAGATGATTCATATACATAGTTACTAAGGAATGAACGGTTAAGATTCAGATTAACGAACGAACCTTGGAGTAACATTCAAAATGTACGTAAAGGAAGGAGAATTGTTTACAGGAGGTTTCACCTATTGATTGAAATTTATTTGTCTCGTTTCTGGCTCATGGTGATAGATTTTTAGCTTGCATCTCTGTTGTTCAGTTCAATTCATGTTTTGTAGGGAAGATTCTCCTTTAAGTACTTTCCGCCCAAGAGCTCGGCCACTTTTCCAGTACCGGCATTACAGGTAACAGAGAAATGCACTTATCTATTTGTGGGAACCCTGTTTTATTTGACAATTTAAAATAATTCCTAAGCTACTGTCTTTATGCCAATTGATCTTGAGAATGAAATCCTTTTGATTCTGGCACTACTACTATCAACACTTGAAATAACCAAAATGGTTGTAACTTTCCGGCTCTTATTTGCTTCTCACTTGTGTATATCAGTGAACAGCAACCCTTACGATTAAATCCAGCGGAGGTATGTGAGGTTATTGCTGCCGTTGGGTCTGAGGCTTATACTCCAATGGCTACTCCTGCACTATCGTCTAGATTAAGTAATAACACTGGAAAGCCATCGATGGATGTGGCTGTGAGCGTACTTATTAAGCTTATCATTGATATGTAAGTTTTGTAGCTTATTTATGATCATTACAAGTTGACATGCTATCAATTTATGTTTTTTTGTTTCTTGTCAATGATCCTTTTCACAACATACTATACTTTTAAATGCTATCCATCAACAATGACTTTGCATAGTTATTAGTTTCTTTCAGTTATATGTTCCCCTGTGACTTGGGAATTGTTGATAGTTATTTCTCCCCACTATGTCGATGGATTGCTTAACTAGCCTGGCAGGAAGAAGGAAGGGAGTAAGATGAGTGGGAAAAGAGTAAGAAGACATACTAGTAAAGAAAGGAAAATAAAACAGGAGTGTGGAGAGAGAATAGCTTATTTCGAAGTAAAGTTACTAGGCAGGGCAGTAAAATTTGTATAAAGAAGGAACTTTATTGTGTCCTGTTGAGCTACTTCCAGATGCTGTATCTAGAATTTCTCAACGTGATCACTGATAGCAGATCGATTGCAATTGGCAAACAAAATATTTATGCTGTGAATTTTGCAAAAAAACGTATTTAATTTTAAGAAAATAAAGGAAGTCTGGGGGACTCTTACATGTTTCAACTTGTTAAGTGTGCTTATTCTCTTCTGATTCGCATTATGTCTTGCTCTATTGAATGTGCTTCTCTTGGTTCTTGCTGCTTCTTGGAGAAATTATTGAACTGTTTGTCCTGCAGGTATGTGTTGGATCCTGGGACTGCTGCCCCACTGACGTTGTCTATGCTTGAGGTGCTACATTAAGTCGTTCTTATCCTTCTTATAGTTATACTTGGTGAAGGCTTCTAACATTTCGTCTTTGGATATTCTTCCAGGAGATGCTTTTATCTCCAAAAGCAGCATGCCGAGTTCGTGCATTTGATTTAATTTTGAACCTCGGTGTTCATGCTCATTTATTGGAACCAATGATGGTTGGTGATACTACAACAATTGAAGAAGAGTATGCACAAGAATCCTTTCTCGAGACTGAAGACAAACTTCCAACACCAGATAATAGGAAAACAAATTCTGTTGACAAGATGGACGCTTCATCAGCTATTTATAAGTTTGAATCTTGGATCTTAAACATCTTGTATGAAACACTTTTGCTTCTTGTCCAGGTACAATTGCAGTTATTGCCATGGTATAGCTTTCTTGAAACTTATCTTTCCAACTACTATCGAGCTGTTCCTGATTGTCTTTCTATCAGAAACTGAGATTTCACTTATGAAACATGGTAAAAGATTTTTTCATGTGATGTAGTGAGTGTTTGACCAGATACACTTGTAAAATAAATTGATTTTGCTGGAAGATGTCCAGAGACCAGAAATATGAAACGCTGAATCATAGTGTTGTATGCTAATATTTCGTTTAATTCATCATTGTTAATGTCAATTTGCAGTTCTTTCCATTTTTTTCTTCTGAAACCTGGATTTCCTTATTTCCTCAACCATTCACTGGGTAAATTTTTTCTGCAGACAGAGGAGCACGAAGAGTCTGTCTGGGCTTCGGCACTAAGCTGTTTGCTGTATTTCGTCTGTGATAGAGGGAAAATTTTGAGAGATCGGCTAGAAGGCCTGGATATAAGGGTATGTGATTCCTTTTTGCTTCCTACTTTGTTCACTATCATAGAGTATAATATCCATTTTTGAAAAATCCTCCTGCAAGATTTTATTCCTCTTTATCGAACGGCAAGAACCTATTTTGTGTGTTTATGGTCACAGATGGTTTTTCTAAGCATATCTGGAAAAATGGAACAGATAATGGCTGTTAACAGCTCACTAGTGCCTTGACCATATAAAATGAAAGTCAAATGCTGTCAAATGACTGATTACAGATGCATTTGTAGTTTTCTTTATTTTGTCGTTTCCCCTTTATTTCTTATCCTTATCTGGCTAGACTGATTCATCTTACTCGTTTTAGAATCTATGCTGTTTATTGTACAATGCTGAGATCCACAATTTTCCTTTGTTCAGGTCATTAAAGCATTCATAATGACAAGCAGGACAAATTCATGGGCTGAAATAGTGCATAGCAAGCTTATTAGCATGTTAACAAACATATTCTATCAAATTCCAGATGAGTCTGTTGAGGCTGTTCTGAGCTCTCCTGTGTTTCTCATAGACCAGATTGATTTAATTGGAGGGATTGAGTTCATTTTCATTGAGGTATGCAACCTATATGCTGTGAAATGAAAATACAGTGCAAGATAATTTGGTGACATAAGTGGTATCATTAACTTCTTTCATTTCATGTTTTGCAGTATTCTCTCGCTAATTTGAGGGAGGATAGGAGAAACCTCTATTTGGTTCTTTTTGATTATGTTTTGCACCAAATCAATCAAGCATGTGCAACTGCTGGAGTTTCTGAATATAGCAATGATGAGATCCAACCTCTTGCAACCTTGTTTTCTCTTGTCGATGCACCTGAAGCTTTTTATATTTCCGTTAAACTTGGGGTAGAAGGGATTGCGGAGCTTTTGAGAAGATCAATTTCTACTGCACTCGCTAGATATTCAAACAATGAAAGGTTAAATATGGTAAGCTTGGTGAACTTAATATGAATGTGTGGATCTGTTCCCGTGCTTCTAGCATGTTTTGTGGATTATTGTCTACGAAACATTGTGCATATATACGCATATGTTTATTACTTTTTCGGTACTCTATATTTAATTTTAATCGTTTGATTTGCTAAAAAAGAAATTTTGACTATTAAGTGTTTATTGATAACAAAAATACTTTGATCCAAGTTAAATTTTGTATTTTTATCATTATATTGGACCACTGATATATATTAGAATTTTGAATTTTATTTTACAGTCTCATTATAGACTAGAGGGTGTGATATACACATTTCATCCTGTGTGCATGTAATTGTCTCTTTTTTACTTGTGCATTATCATCCTCTCCTTATTTGCAATGAAAAGTCCACTTCCCCCTTCATTTCCATGCACTCCTTATTTATACTTTGATATATAGCATGTGGTTTGACTCCACAGTAGACCTTAGATGTGAAAAATCAATAAATAGAGAGTTTCTCAGATTACCTCAAACGATACTCTTCATTTAAAGTGAGTTTTCATCTTTGCAGCTCTTGAAGAATATAACAGAGACATTTGATATGGTAATCAATTCTTTTACTCGTGTTGACAAGGATTTCTTCCATCTCATACAAGTAACCAAGCGCGACAAGTTTCTAGAGGGAATTCAAAGTGAGAGCCCACGAAATGGCATTGTCATGAAAGCTAAGCTCTCATGGGCCACTCTGCACTCACTTCTTCATTCTGATAGAATCGCATGTCGTCAGAATGGCTACATCTGGTTAGGTGACTTGCTTATTTCAGAGATTAGCGAGGGAAAAGAGGCTAGACTATTGTCAAATATTATTGCATTGCAGCATAAAATCATGCATGCTGGTGTCTGTGATGATATGGCAGCTGCTGCAGATGTCCCTCTGTCCATTTGGCTGATGTGTGGACTTCTTAAGTCCAAGCATAACGTTATTAGATGGGGCTTTCTATTTGTTATTGATCGATTTCTCATGCGCTGCAAATTTTTGTTGGATGAGAATGAAATGCAACATTCTGGTGTTAGTAACGTTACCGGTGGAGATGCAGATAGCCGGCTTGAGAAAGCAAATGCAGTTGTTGATATCATGAGCAGTGCCTTATCCTTGGTGGCCCAGATTAATGAAACAGATCGCTTCAATATTTTGAAGGTACATTTCATGGATACAGTCAACAGGAGTGAGATTTCCCTGTGTCTATTCATGTTGGCTTGTGTTTCAACCTTTTGGATGTGTATCACGCTGTTATATGCATATCTCCTCTGTTACCTTGTACAGAATTATTATGCCTCAGATGTCTACGAGATGACATCCTTTACTGAACATGGTTCTGATAAATAATGATGATGTGTATACTAACTTGTTCTCTGCTATACACTCTGTAGTAACAGTAGCATCATTTAGAGAATTCCCTGCAACTGAATTTGCTTGATTGCAAGCATCTTTCTCTGACAGAGAAGTCCAGAGTTCATTTTGCTTCGAGAGTTGCTATATGATAATGGTTATTGATGGTTACTTATCTTGTCTATGCAGATGTGTGATATACTGTTCTCTCAATTATGCCTCAAAGTTCACCCTCTGTCTGCCATGCCATATGGAGAACATGTACGCCGTGACGTAGTTCATGTTGGCATGGAGAAAGGTGAAAAAGTCGATTCAAATGACCACATCTCTCAACCAGAGAATCACTCGACAGATATTTCAGAGGAAAGGAATAGCAAATTTAGTTACAGTACTAGCAGTTCTCTGGTGCGTGAGACAGCTTCGATGGCTGCAATGCTTCTCCAAGGGCGGGCTATTGTTCCCATGCAATTAGTTGCCCGGGTCCCTGCTGCTTTATTTTATTGGCCCTTGATTCAACTAGCTGGTGCGGCAACAGATGATATAGCACTGGGTGTTGCAGTTGGAAGCAAAGGAAGAGGAAACCTTCCAGGCGCTGCATCTGACATAAGGGCTACTCTTTTATTACTTTTAATTGGTAAATGCACAGTTGATCCTTCTGCTTTTGAAGAAGTTGGCGGGGAAGAATTTTTTAGGTGAAGACATACTTTAAAACTCTAGATCTTGATTTTACCTGTTATATTGGTTGAGTTATTCACCCAAATTTTTTTGCTTCTGTCTTTTGCCAGGGAACTTTTGGATGATACGGATTCAAGGGTTGCATATTACTCTTCTGCATTTCTCCTGAAGGTACTACTGTTCCTTGGCCAACGTTAACCTTGTTTTTTTGTTAGGTTTCCCTAAAAATTAAGCCACTTTTCAAAAGTTTAGAAAAAGTGTATTTAGGATTAGTATAATAAGAATTTGATGAGATGTGATATAATTGTTTTAGTAAGAAATAAGTAATTGACGAGATGGTATATAGTTTGTTTAATAATTGAGAAACGAGAGGATTTTGGGAAATGACCATTATGTATATAACTTTAAGATAGACGTTTAGTTCAGAGGGGAGAATTTTGAAGTGAAATTGTAATACCGAGGCGGCTTTTAGATTTACATTATTTATGGGTTTCGGGTCAGTAAATTTTCTTAAGTGTTCCGCGAAAGAAAAAAAAAAGTATGTTCCTCTTAAGTTCGAGGAACAAAAACCTTTGATGAAACAAGCTGGGATCATGTTGCGTTGATTCAAACTAACTTGTTTTCTCGATTTGTCAGAGAATGATGACAGAAAAACCAGATGAGTACCAGCACATGCTTCAGAATCTCATATTTAAAGCTCAGCAGGTAAAAAATCGGGCATAAAATTTTCCACGTAACTAATGGAGAAATGAACTTATCAATTTGCTTTCCTTTTATCCCATTTTCAGAGCAACAACGAGAAGCTGTTGGAAAATCCCTACTTGCAGATGCGTGGCATACTTCAGCTGTCAAATTATGGGCTAATCTAATAGTGTTCTTTGTGGACCTTGTGTTCATTTTACTCTCGGAGAGAGCAGTTCTGCAGTAGTAGGTGGATGCTCTCAGATGTTGATGATACATCCGACAAGCTTGACCCATTGAGATCTGTTCGAAGTTTCCGAGGAGAAAAGTGGATTAAGCTCAGACTTCTTCGACAAGACTGTGAGATCTCGTGCTCTCGTAGTCATTCAAAGATACTAAGAATAGTGTCCCTGATACTTTGTTCTCGTTCCCCTGCTCAAACTTGAAAAGATGGGCATTGATGCAACACAAGTAGGTCATTGCAGTGGATTATTGTGCAGCAGCAGCGGCAGCATAGCTTGTCCTCCAAAGATGAACTCCTCCCCTTTCGATTGCTCCGTGACTTGGAGATAGTGGGTGTAGATGATAAGCCTACGGTCCAATACTCCATGGCTGTACACTAGATACCCCTACTATTATACGGAAAATGGGTTGCAAGATATCCTGGTGCCCTCCGGTCACTCCACATTTTTCCATTTGATGTTGCGACTCAGGACATTCAAAAATCCCTTCCAGGTACTGCCCATTCATCTGGCCTATTTATCCTACCTTCATGTTTCTTTCTCTGCCGTAACAAGCACTCGATCGTTGTATAACTAATATTTGCCATGTTCTTCATGGTTTCTTTTTGCAGTTTCCGGTGTGCAATATTTATAGACAGAGGCCACCTTTCTGGGCCAAACTGATCTGTACAGAAATCCTATTCCTGCTGGCTTTTCATATTTCCAGAAAAGTCAGATTGGGGGAGGGGCAACCGTACTAGTGCTGGCTTTATTTTTTAAAACAGCCATCCATTACCCATATGATAATAAGAACCTACACCTCTAATCCCTTTTTTTGATCCCGGAGAGGTTTTTTTCCAGCCGAGGGTACCAAATTCAACGATGGCTGTAACCTGTAACATCATCTTCCTTACTGTGCCTACCTGGTATGTTCTTTTTGTTCCTGTTTGGTCCTAGTGTATTATTTATTTTTGGACACTGTAAATATTCTAGTGTCTTATTACCTAATTTTGGCACAGCTATACCTCTTTCTAGTCCGGCTTTTGTTGTATGATAGCTTGTTGAGAAATTTTTTGATGTTGTATTGTAATGAAATTTTCTGGATGCAACGAGAGCTGGTTTTGAATGTCGAGATTATTCTGGGTTCACGGCTGAGCATCTGTTGTTTTTCGGAGTGATTTGACACTCTCGAGTAAATAATTTTGTGTTTCTTGTGTTGGATGAGTGGCAAAAGTTCATAATTTGCCCAGAAGCTGGGATACAGGCGCTACTAGCCTACTACACACCCAGGCAGCAGCACGGCCATTGCTACTGAAATCGGTTCCAGAACCTCTTCGACCTCATTCCGCCACGAGCTTCGCCATCATGCTTCGTGGTGACTGGCACGGTTGAGAACACGATGGTGCTTCGGCCTCTCTGTTCTATTCGAAAATTGTCTCCGATTCGAGATGGAAATAGCTCACTGTCACTGGGTGATTATTCGTCCGACTTGATTGCTGGCTGCAGAAGTAAACAAGGCTTGACTATTAAATATTAATACACCTTTCACAGGCATTCTTTGTCAAAGCAGATTAATAGCAAGAACCATGGAAGCTCAAAGGAAAATCCTTCAATATTAGCCATGGAAATTCTACCGATCAATCCAACGCAAAAGAGAAGCGAGGGCAATACTGTAATGAATATAAATATGAGGACCATACATGTAACTAGGACAAATGTGGTCAAAGCAGAAGAACGATTTCCCTTTTTTCCTCTTTTAACAACTTTCCATCTCTCTATTCGTCTCCATTCTTCTCTCGTCTCCTTCCCTTTCTTCCGACCACCACCACTCGCCGCCTTCTACAGTTCGGAACTGTCGGAAAGTTCCCTGAATCACTTCGCGTCTTATTACTCGGCAAGATAATCTATGTAGTGAGATTCACTGAAGTAGCTCTCATCATTTTTTTGTCCTTAAGAAAAACTAGGAGGTGGAGACTCTGGTAAAGCTCCGAACCTTACCATTCTGCTGCTACCGAAACCGCCGCCGGCGTTCAGAGGGTACAAATTTTGTCGCGGCTCTGTCGAGATCACGGTGCTGCTGATGAAGCTTTTCAGGCAGACTCTTCCTGCCCAATTGGCCGTTGATAAATTCATTAAGCGGTTTACAGGTAAACCCCCAAGCGGATTCCGTTCTTGAGGGATTCAGCTCCTTTACTACAATTTATCTGTTGATGGTCAAGAAACTCTATGGCCTTTTTATGAAATCAAGTTCGTATATTCCCTTTTGTTTACCCTCTAATTGGCGGACCCCTTTTCGCTACTACATTGGCAGGGTCTTCTTTTCGTTTCCTCCATTCTTCCCCTGATGGGTTTGTCGAAGTTCATTCTCCAGAAAATGAAGTTGTGATTGCTTTGGGAAGTAATGTGGGTGACAGGGTTCATAATTTCAATGAAGCATTGCAAATGATGAAGAAATCTGGAATAAGCATCACCAGACATGGCTGTCTCTACGAGACTGCTCCTGCTTATGTCACTGATCAGCCTCATTTCCTCAACTCTGCTGTTAGAGCCATCACCAAGCTCGGGCCACACGAGTTGCTGGGAGTGCTGAAGAAGATTGAGAAGGAGATGGGTCGAACGAAAGGGATAAGGTATGGGCCTAGGCCAATTGATTTGGACATTTTGTTCTATGGCAAGTTTAGGGTCAATTCTGATGTGCTTACTGTCCCTCACGAGAGAATTTGGGAGAGGCCATTCGTAATGGCACCGCTGATCGATTTGTTGGGTTCTGATGTGGAGAGTGATACAGTTGCTCGGTGGCATTCTCTGTCAATACATTCTGGTGGGTTGTTTGAGTCATGGGAGAAACTTGGTGGTGAAGGCCTCGTTGGGAGAGATGGGATGAAGAGGGTTTTGCCTGTTGGGAAAACCTTGTGGGATTGGTGTGAGAGAACTTCTGTTATGGGTGTGGTGAATTTGACTCCTGACAGTTTCAGTGACGGAGGGAAGTTTCAGTCTGTGGATGCTGCTGTTTCTCAGGTACAGTCATTGATCTCTGAAGGGGCAGATATCGTTGATTTTGGTCCACAATCGACTAGGCCAATGGCTGATAGGATATCTACTCAGGAGGAACTCGACAGACTGATTCCAGTCCTGGAAGCTGTTGTGAAGATGCCCGAGATGACTGGGAAGCTTATATCGGTAGATACTTTCTACTCGGAGGTGGCTTCAGAAGCCATCAGTAAGGGAGCTCATATGGTAAATGATGTATCTGGTGGCCAGTTAGATGCCAACATGAATAAGGTTGTTGCTGACCTTGGTGTTCCTTACGTTGTGATGCACATGAGAGGTGATCTGACAACGATGCAGAATTGTGAGAACCTGGAGTATGATGATGTTTGCAAGCAGGTTGCTTGTGGACTGTACTCACGAATTGCGGATGCAGAAATGTCCGGTGTCCCAGCTTGGAGGATCATTACTGACCCTGGACTCGGATTCTCGAAGAATACCAAGCATAATCTGGAGCTACTCATGGGCTTGCCAAAGATTAGAGCAGAACTAGCCAGGAAAAGTTTGGCTATCTCTCATGCTCCAATGTTGATTGGACCTTCGAGAAAGAGGTTCTTGGGTGAAATTTGCAACCGGCCTTCTGCAACCGACAGAGATCCTGCTACTGTTGCTTCTGTCACTGCTGGAGTCTTGGGTGGCGCAAACATCGTGAGGGTGCATAATGTACAAGATAACGTGGATGCTGCCAAGCTTTGCGATGCCATGCTGAAATGCCAGAGTTGAGAGATCTAGTACTGTACGCTAACGCGGTGAGAGCACCTGATACGCTTCTGCGAGTTTCATCTCAGGGAGAACCTCTGTGGCTTCTGCTTAACCAGTCCTTTGCAACATAGATGAAGTCCCAATGCAGAGAAGTGATTGGAAAGAGGAAGAAGGAAGACGCTAAGGATTTCACTTTGCAACATGTTTTTCACTTGTGTTTTTCATCAGATTTGACTCCATATCTCTGTGAAAGCAATCACTAATGGAAAGATGAACACGTTTTTGTCTCGAATTCGCCATAGATTCAATTTGCAACATGTTTTCATTGAGGTTTTTCGTCAGATTTGACTCCGAAACCTTGTGTTATTCATGATCTTCATTCATGCACCTTCAATGTCCTTATAATTTTGAAATTTTAGAACATAGCCATCTTTGGCCTAGAAGTAATGGGATAATTAGCATAAATGGTCACAAACCTTTGTACTTAGTACAAAACAGTCACAAACCTTTAATTTGTAACCATTTGATAACAAAACTTTTTACTTAGAACAAAACGGTCACAAATTAAACAGTGTGACCATTTCATACCAGTTCAAACTTTTGTTACCGTGTCGTTGCAAATTAGACTTTTGGTGACCGTTTTGTACAAATTAAGTTCAAAAGTTTGAACGCTCAATCACCGTTACAATTCGCTCTAGTTGTATGGTGGTTTTGTTAATGTATGTGAATGATATGATCGTCATAAAGGAAGACAATGAGAGAATTAAATGGCTCACAACGGGTTCCAGACTGCTTTTTAGTTGAAAAACTCTGTCTACTTTCTTGGTATCGAAATATGTTTTTTATAGATTGGTATCGAAATTGAAAGGTCAACTGAGGGCATTCTTATTTGGCAAAGCAAATATGTCGATGAACACATGAGCTGACATCTTATATGTCGTTCAAGTGGTTAGTGTAATATACTTAACGAACAAACTACCCGACCTCAAAACATGACAAACATTTAATTTGTAACGATTCAGTAACAAACCTTTTCATTTAAAACAAAACGGTCACAAATTAAATAGCGGTGACCATTTTATACAATTTCAAAATTTTGTTACCGTATTGTTACAAATTAAAGGTTTGTGACCGTTTTATACTAAGTGCAAAAGTTTGTTACCATTTATGCTAATTACCAGAAGTAATGTAGCGGCAACTGATGTGCGTTGATCTGAATTCAAAAATGATCCCGCCTTAATAAGGAAACCAATTCATTCTATACATTTCACCAAAATCCACAACCAAGAGTAAATTAAAAAACCTAGCCGCAGCCGCAGCTTCACCTCCCGACCGCTCCACCAACGCCGCTGCTGAACTCACCTCAGCCGCGCTGCCGTCAAAGTTCCAACGATGGCGCCGCCGCGGCAGAAAAAAACCAGCGGAGAAGTGATCGGAATTGACCTGGGGACGACATACTCCTGCGTCGCCGTTTCCCGAAACGGCAAGACGGAGATCATCGCCAACGACCAAGGCAACCGCACCACCCCTTCCTCCGTCGCCTTCACAGCCGACGCACCCAATTTCGAGCGCCTCATCGGCGACGCCGCCAAGAATCAGGCCGCCCTCAACCCCCGCCGCACCATCTTCGACGCCAAGCGCCTCATCGGAAAGAAATTCGACGACGCCGAAGTCCAATCCGACCTCAAATACCTCCCCTATCCCGTCGTCAACAGGAACGGGAGGCCGTTCGTGGAGGTAGAGTTCAAATCCGCCGCCGGCGGCGGCGATGGGAAAGAAGAAGTCAAATCGTTCAGCCCGGAAGAGATCAGCGCCATGATTTTGGGGAAAATGAAGGAAACCGCAGAATCCTACCTCGGAAAACCAATAATCGGCGCCGTGGTCACCGTCCCAGCCTACTTCAACGACGCGCAAAGGCAAGCCACGAAGGACGCGGGGAGAATCGCCGGTCTGAAAGTCGTCAGGATCATCAACGAGCCGACCGCGGCCGCGATAGCGTACGGCCTAATTAACAAGCAAACCAAGCGGAAAAGGAAGAAGGACGACACCAACGACGCCAAGGATGCGAAGAGTAAGATTCTGGTGTACGATTTAGGAGGCGGGACGTTCGACGTCAGCGTGCTGGAACTAGACGGGAGGGAGTTTCGCGTGCTGGCGACCGGCGGAGACACGCATTTAGGCGGAGGAGATTTCGATCAGAGAGTGTTGGATTATTTCATGAAATTGATCAAGAGAAAGCACAACAGAGATATCGGGGAAGACAACAGGGCGCTAGGGAAGCTGCGGAGGGAATGCGAGAGGGCGAAGAGGGTGCTGAGCAGCCAGAGCGAGACGAGGATCGAGATCGACTCTCTGTTTCAAGGAATAGACTTCTCTGAAACACTGACGAGGGCGAAATTCGAGGAGCTGAATCTGGATCTGTTCAACAGGACGCTGGAGGTCGTGAAGGAGACGATGAAGGATGCGAAGCTCGAGAAGGGCGAGATCGACGAGATCGTGCTGGTGGGAGGAAGCACGAGGATTGTCAGGCTGAGGGAGATGTTGAAGGAGATGTTCGACGGGAAGGAGCCGAGTAAAGGTGTCAATCCTGACGAAGCTGTGGCTTATGGTGCTGCTGTCTTGGGAGCCAAGCTAAAGGGTCAAGCCGCTAGATATGGTACACTACTACACTTGTTTATATGTTGTTTTTGGTGGTTACAAAGGTGTTGGATTTCAATGGTTTATAAAGTTTGGAACCGATTGTAAATTGCAGATATTACGCTATTCGACGTAACTCCCTTGAGTTTGGGGGTTAGCGTTGTTGGTGATTTGATGGCGACAATGATCCCAAGAAACACTACAATCCCTGCGAAAATGTCACAGACTTTATACAGCATTGAAGACCGACAGACCACTATAGGCTTCGAGGTTTGAATCGCTTAAACAACTCATTTGAATCGCTTCGTAAATGATCATATGCAGTATGTATTGCTAAGAAAGAGAAGAACATTCTTAGGTACTTCAAGGTGAAAGAACTCTAGCCAAGGATTGCCTTATGCTTGGACGTTGTATAGTAGGAGGTGTGCCGCCGGCTCCAAGGTGAGTGTAATTCAATCTATGCGGCATCTATTTAGCTACAGTATGTGACCGGCGCGTGTTAATGTCATTGGGTCGTCCTCTCCTAATTGTCGAAACAAATGTAGTGACATTTTTCCCCGACTAATGTTTACTATGTTGATTGTGCCATTGAGATCAACTTGCTATTGAAAATATGACCAACGTTTTCCTTGTAGGGGTGTTGGCAGTATTGAGGCAACCTTTGAGATCGATGCGGATGGACTGAGCGTAACTGGCAAAAACCACGTAACGAAGAAATCCGAATCTCTGGTCATTGACACCTACAGAGGAAATCTGGCGGAGGAAGAGATCGAGAGGATGATTAGGGAGGCAGAGCTGATGGCCGAGGAGGACAAGAAAGCGAAGGCTCGTGTTGAAGCGAAGTTGAACTTGGAGAGATACATAAGCGATGTCAAGGCGGCAGCTGCTAATCGTAATGTCAATGCCAATTGGACTCAACGTGACAAGACCAACGTGGAGATTGCACTGAGAGAAGCTTCGGAGTGGTTGGATGATAACGAGAGGAATCCATCATCGTCCAAGGAAGATTTCAAGAAGGCGATGCAGAAGTTGGAGGATGTATGGAACCCTGCTATATGCAAGGTTTGTGCGTGGATCGGTTGACTGACACCGCATGGATTTAAGCGTGGTAGCTAGCTAGCTAGTGTTGAAGTAGTCGCCGGCCGGCCGGTGCTCTTCATTGAGCAGCAGCCGGTGGTTTGTGAGCCTTTTCGAAGGATGCTGTTACGTGATGTTTTATCAAGTTCATATGGCTTTGGAATTTCTCATGGACACATTTTCATACATTGTTGTTGGCCTATCAATATCAATACAAACTTGAAGTGAATGACTCTAATCTTTCAAAATTTCACAACGGACTCCCACGTACGTGCTTACTAAAATGTCTGATTACTGATACTATCATCAATATTTGTCATAAATCAGCTTATGAGTTTGAGGTTTGAACATATCCGTCATTATCATGTGTTTGATACCACGATTAACATTGGAGGTTGTGAGTACCTGAACACGTGACCTTAAAAACTAACCAGCTGAACTGATACAATGTCATAAACCAACTTGTCACAAGAACTCGAGTTGTTGAGAAAGATCCATCTATGAATTGAATTTTGACCATTTCCTTACAATTAATATTTGTTAAACGTAAATAATTACTTATTGAACTACAAATCGTCATCAATAACTAGAGGTGACAAATGGATTGAATTCATGAACCGAATCAAATGGATAGAGAGATTCATTAATTAGATCAAACGGATTGATGGAGTGGATTTATGGATCAAAGTGATATCCAAACGCTGGATCATTTTTAAATTTTGAACCGGTTACATACTAAAATATCATTGTAAAAATTTTAGTTAATAAAACATAATATTTTAATGATATTTTTGTCAAATTTTAATTTTTGGTGTATTAGATTCAAAATTGACACCTCTAGGATATATTTGTTGCCTAATCGGAGACCAAGGCTTACTTATTAGTTATTACACTAGTTGACCCCTAATTACTTATTAATCGTCCAAAAGTGATTCTTAAATGACACTTGAATTTTAACCCTCTGAATTGTTGACAAATGATTTTAAAATATTCAGGATTTGGTAACTACTAATTACTATTGTTAACATTCAATGCCACGTAAAAACTATGAGTATTGAGAGTTTATTAGTAAAAGTATTTAGTGAGATAAAAAGAAATAAGGCAGTAGGTGGAAAACTCTAATTATAAGAGATTTGATATTTTCAGATTTTAGAGATTTAAAATTACTAAAACTAAAATTCATCATAAAAATGAAATATTAATTTTATTGGCGAATCTATAAAATTTGATGAATCCATATCATCAAAATCCTTTTCTCGTGTCTCTAAACGACCTCATAAATAACAATTTCACTCAACTTCCCATATCCATTTCTCCGTGTATTTATATTGGTTTAATATTTTTGATTCATTTCGATATATATAGTTCAGTTTCCTAGTTACAGCTAGCTAGATGATTTGAATCAATCTGAACTGCAAATGAATGCCTCCTTAATTAAGGAAACTAATTATTACTCTACACAGTACAGTACACAAACCCTCCACAACAATAAAAAGGAAACTATAAAAGCCCTAGCGGCAGCCGGCGGACCGTCACCTCCCGATCACTACTCCATAAACGACGCCGTAGAGGAGGGAAGTTTTGGAGGAAAATAATTAAACACCGCCCCATTCGCACTCTGCTTTTCCAACTGCCGCAAACTCCCAACAATGGCGCCGCCGCGGCAGCAGCAAAAGACCAACGACGACGTGATCGGAATCGACCTGGGCACAACCTACTCCTGCGTCGCCTTCTCCCGCAACGGCAAGACCGAAATCATCGCCAACGACCAAGGCAACCGCACCACCCCTTCCTCCGTCGCCTTCTCCGCCGAAAATTCCGAGCGCCTCGTCGGCGACGCCGCCAAGAACCAGGCCGCACTCAACCCCCGCCGCACAATCTTCGACGCCAAGCGCCTCATCGGAAAGAAATTCGACGACGCCGAAGTCCAATCCGACCTCAAATACCTCCCCTACCCCGTCGTCAACAGAGACGGAAAACCCTACATCGAGGTAGAGCTCAAATCGGAGGTCAAATCGTTCAGCCCCGAAGAAATCAGCGCCATGATTTTGGGGAAAATGAAGGAAACTGCCGAATCCTACCTCGGGAACCCAATCACCGGCGCCGTCGTCACCGTCCCGGCCTACTTCAACGACGCACAGAGGCAGGCGACAAAAGACGCCGGCAGAATCGCCGGTCTGAACATCCTCAGGATCATCAACGAGCCGACCGCCGCCGCGATTGCGTACGGCCTCAACAACACCAAGCAACAAATTGGGCGGAAAAGGAAGAAGAAGAACAGCGTGAAGAGCAAGATTCTCGTGTACGATTTGGGAGGCGGGACGTTTGACGTCAGTGTGATGGAAGTAGACGGAAAAGAGTTTCGCGTGCTGGCGACTGGTGGGGACACGCATTTAGGAGGAGGAGATTTTGATCAGAGAGTTTTGGATTATTTTATGAAATTGATTAAACGAAAGCACAAGAAGGATATTGGTGGGGACAGCAAGGCGATGGGGAAGTTAAGGAGGGAGTGCGAGAGGGCGAAGAGGGTGCTGAGCAGCCAGAGCGAGACTAGCATCGAGATAGACTCGTTGTTTCGAGGGATGGATTTTTCGGAGCCGCTTTCGAGGGCGAAGTTCGAGGAGTTGAATTTGGATCTGTTTAACAAGACATTGGGAGTGGTGAAGGAGACGATGGGGGATGCGAAGATCGAGAAGGGCGAGATCGATGAGATCGTGCTGGTGGGAGGGAGCACGAGGATTGTGAGGCTGAGGGAGATGCTGAAGGAGATGTTTGATGGGAAGGAGCCGAATAAAGGTGTTAATCCTGATGAAGCTGTGGCTTATGGTGCTGCGGTGTTGGCGGCCAGTTTGAGAGGACAAGCTGCTAGGTTCGGTAAGAACCATCGCGATTTAATTGCTAGATCAAGTCTTTGTTCAATTGTTTGTATGATTTGGACCTATGTTACATGCAGATGTCAGTTTGTTTGACGTGACTCCGTTGAGTTTGGGGGTTAGCATTGTTGGTGATTTGATGTCAACGATGATCCCAAGGAACAGTACTATCCCTGCCAAGGTTACATCGACTTTGTGGACTGTTGAGGACCAGCAGACCAGTATTAACTTCGAGGTTTCTGTCTTGATCATTTCTCTTTAAATTAATTGCAGTTTTGGATCGCTTCATATTATAATCACTATCGTATTATAATTTGCTAAGGATAAGATGATATTATATCTAGGTACTTCAAGGTGAAAGAACCCTAGCCAAGGATTGCCTTGAGCTTGGAAGTTGCGTCGTAGAAGGCATTCCACCGGGTCCACGGTGAGTGAAATAATATTGTGACATGTATGATTATTTAGGGTAATGTGTATTTTTTATCCAAACCTTTTTCATATTCTTTTATATTATTATTAAGCTTATTAAAATTCTATTAATTATCCAAATATTTTATAATGTATAAAAATATTAGCCATTTTTACGTTATCGTTAATGATTTTGTAACTTTTTCTTAGGTATAATACTAAATTATTGGAATGTTGACATTCATTAGTATTTTCCAAGTCAGTATCATGTTGTGAAGTCAATATTACTAACAAAATTGTTATCGGAAAGTTAACATTTGGCTAATTTTTAGTATTTTGATAGATTTGGATAATATAAAAGAATCTGAAAAAAGTTTGGATAAAAAATAGACATTATATTTTTTTTCTACAACGCATGTTAATATCGTTGGACCGTTCTTTCGGTAGCTACGACAATTGAGATTGTTTTGGAAGTTTGAATTGCTTAATTATGTGTAAGATAAACTTTCTGCTAATGCCCAGTATGGGGGTGGTGGAATTTTCCCTTGCAGGGGTGTTGGTAACGTTGAGATTACCTTTGAGATTGATGCAGACGGAATTCTAAAGGTGACTAGTAAGAACAATGCGACAAAGAAATCTGAATCTTTGATCATTGATAACTACAAAGGAAATCTGAAGGAGGAAGAGGTCGAGAGGATGATAATGGAAGCGGAGCATATGGCAGAGGAAGACAAGAAAACGAAGGATCGTGTCGAAGCAAGGAACCGATTGGAGAGGTATATAAACGACGTCAAGACGGCGGTGGGCGATCGTAATGTCAATATCAAGTGGGATCGACGTGACAAGACCAAAGTGGAGATTGCACTGAGAGAAGCATCAAAATGGTTTGATGAAAATGGAGGGAATCCATCATCGTCTAAGGAAGATTTCGAGAAGACAATGAAGAAGCTGAAAGATGTGTCTTACCATGTCATAAGCAAGGATTATGTGTGGATCGATGATGATGATGACTGATCGACGTGGACTAATTTAGCCTGTTAGGGAAAAGCAAGGTTTTTGCAAATTGCTCGACGGTTACATTATTAGGTTTTGAGTACTTATTGACGTTTTACTTGCTAACTAGCATTAGTTAGGTTTAAAGTTTCAAAATGGTTTGTGGGATTCACACCTTTATTCGGCTCCTTCCCATTGAACATCTCCCTCGGCTTCACAATCCTAGTGCTCCCTCCCACAAGCACGATCACATCGAACCTCATTATACGCAAGGTTTATATGTAGATTAGTGAGGACTTATCGACATAGGTTAATTAATGCTCATCTGTCACTTCATTAGTTTTGGAGTTAATTGACATTTTGGTGGTTATTTTTTGTTTTATGTGACATTTTGTTAGTTTTTCTTCATTTTCTTAATGAAAAATATAGGGTTGGCTAGGTTGGTTGATGTATATTGTGTTTGGCATAGCGAGATCAAACCTGGGATCACCAGCCATGCTAGCCTTATTTCGCATAGCTTTATTTCGCGTCTAGACAGCCAATATAGAGATGAAAACAGGGGAGAGTAGTAAGTGATTGATTTTTACATCGAACGCTTTACACAATTTTAGTAACAACTATCTGAGTTTTAACCTGTTGCTGAGTGCTAACCCATCCACAGAAGTACCCTACAACTACTAGACAATGATGAAGAAAACAACAAACAATACCATCCGCAGCAATAACAAAGTCTTGCTGTTCAAGAATGCAAAGAGCAAGCAGTGATGCAAAATTGCCACCCCTCCACATCCTTTTACCTTCCTTGTTACTATCTATCAACAAGTCATCAGAATGTGCAGTAACTATGATATTGTTCCGGCGAAAACTATATCCCCAATGATAGAACGTCAGTAGGGTGGTGGTAGAATTTGCTTTGCTCAATTGATCTTCATGGCTCCAAAGCGATAACCGTCCAACTCTGCATCCAGTTCTTCAGCAGTCATCTTCTTCCCCCATCCGAATTCTTGCCCTAGGGCTTGGACTTGAGGTCCGCCTGGACCTTGGTCTTTGCCAAATGCATCACCGCCACGAATGGGTCTCCTCCCTCTGAAGCTTCCTCCACCACTGAGGTAATCACAGCAGAAAGAAAAACAAACAGCTTGTATTAGCATCATTCGAGGATCTACAGAACACATTGCTCTCATCTTGTGGGTATTCACAATTGCCATCATCTTCAGTACTTGGCACCTAATTGTGGGAAATGGCGAGGGCTATGGGGGAACAAGGGAACTTTGGCCTTTTACCTCATGAAGTTGAAAGGAAGATTAGGCCTTCTCATGTTGCTCCCAGCTGCAGGAGCTCGAAGGGGAGTTGGCGGCGGAACTTTAGCCCCTATCAGCTCAATCCGTATTGGCCTCCCATCGAGATCGACATTGTTGTACCTCATGATAGCTGCTATAGCATCCCCGTGGCGTTCATACACAACTTCAGCAGTTCCCTACCACCACCACAGAGATAATAGTATGCAGGTAGAGTTACTTAGTCACTCAATGACTAGCCCTGGGGTACGAAAGGAGGAAGGTTACCTTAGATCTTCCACTCTTGTCATAGTGAATTGAGTAACGTCTCAACTCCCCAACATCAGAGAAAAGCACCTGCAATGCATCAAAAATGGTTCCAAACCCATAAATTACTAAGCCACATGACAGAACAGCAAGAATGGTCTTCGTACAGCACAAACCGCACGATGGTACCAGTAATTATGCGATAAGTCACATAAATGATGCATCACAGAAATGGTAAAACAAGGAGCTCAGAAGCTTCAATTATCTCCAATAATCCCCAAGATTAACAAAATCTTCGTGTATCATAACCTCACAACCATTCTTTGCCAGTAATGAAAAGAAGCTCATAACTGGAATCCACCAAAAGGGCAAAGAGGGAACCAAGAAACGCAGTGTGATACCTTGATGTCCTGATTAGTAACCCCATAATCCAGATTGGACAGGTAGAGCCTCGTGCCTTCTCGTCTTCCATCAGACCCAGTTGGGACGCGCGTTGGCTCCACCAGTCCCATGGAAGCCTGCAGAAACCTCGATATCAAAACTTAGCTATCAAAATCAAAACCAACAACCCCAAAACCTAGACTATTACTAATCTGTTATTTCTCCGTTACGATACCTTCCCGAAGAAACTCCCCCTCGCCGCCGGTACCGGCGGCAGAACGTAAGGGCACGGCCTGTAAATGCCGCGGCCGCCAAACCGTCGCTCCGGACCGGGTCCTTCACCGAAACGAAACGGCCGTCCTCCTTCACTTCCCCCGCCGCCTCTGCTTCTACCTGCTCCGTTTCCTCTGCTTCCTGAACCAGCGAAGCGGCCTTTTCCTCTGCCTCTGTTCTGGCGGACAATGTCGTCGAGAGTCATGTCCAGATTGCTCGCCATTTCTCAAAATCTTGAACCAATCTTTCTTCCCGAACTTCTCCTGTTTCCTCTTTTTCTTCGTTTTTTCGCAATTATGAGACTGGGAGGTAGCCTGGTAGTGTTGCAGGGTTTTTAGCTCTGCCAGAAATGCAGGGGTTTTGCTTTTGCAGGCTGCAGCACAGACCTTGGGGGAGAAGTTTTCTCTCTCATGCGAGTACGACAAGGTGACACGTGGAGTCAGTTATTACTCTCTCTTCCGAGCCAGGCCCATGTTTTTCTAGCCCAGAGAAACGCGCGGCTGACCCATTTCCCGGCCCGTGAACATTGGGCCACCCAAAATTGTTGTTGAAGTCAAAGTCAACGTCATACCAGCCTAGAAGATTTGACATATTATGCGACATCGACATCCCACCAATCTCCCGTAAAATGCAAGTTCCTTGAGTAGTATTTATTTAACTTAATTAAAAATTACTCATTTAAAACCACTGATTTAACTAAATTATTTCGACAAAGAAAATAGAATAAATTATGAGGAATCCTCAGTCTTGAAGAAATTGTAGTTTTAGCCCTTAACTTCCAAATATTATCTCTTACACACCCTACCTTTGATTGTCAACAATGCTAATGTCTAGAGTATATGGACCGAATTGCACAACTTAAAACTTATTGGACCTATTAGTAATTATGGATTTATTAAGTCTGGCAAAAAGTTAGTTAAATAGGGAGTGGACTCTCTCATTTTCATAGACATACCTCTCGCCTCTTGTTTTCCAGATCGGAAAAGAAGAAAAAAAAAACAGAGACAAAATGGCAGGAGCATTTTCATACGAATCATACAATCATTCCTCCGCCGCCGTCGCGCCAGCCACCGCCATGGCGGCCCACTCGTCCTCATCGCGGGGCTCCAGGAAGGCGGCTCTAATCCTCCGGCTGCTGACGTTAGCCTGCCTATTGATATCCCTGGTGATCCTAACCACCAACACCGCCACGCTTCAAGTCATCACCAACTTCTCCGCCGCCGGACCGACCCTCACCGGCATCACCGTCCACTTCAAGGACATCTACACTTACCGGTATACATCTACATAGAACAATTTCTCTCGAGAATTCATTAAATCTTAATCAAATTTTTTTATTATTTGTTCTGATTGATTCATTGATTTGGGTTGTAGATATATGCTGGGGGCGACGGTGGTGGGGATGGCGTACACGATGCTGCAAATCGGCTTCGCGCTTTGTTCTATCGCCACAGGGAGGGACGGAAGTCTCACCTTTGACTTCTACGGCGATAAGGTGATTTCGTACATACTGGCGACGGGTTCGGCGGCGGCGTTCGGCGCGACGAGGGATATGAAGCCGTTGTTCGCCGGAGTTGGGAACGTTGACAAGTTTTTCAACAAGGGTTACGCTTCGGCGAGTCTGCTCCTCCTCGGTTTCGTCTGCACCGCGATATTATCCGTGATGTCCTCTTACGCCTTGCCCAAGAGATATTGAGATAATTAATTTCTTAATTAGTCAATTGCATACCTGTAACGCGAGTGGAGTAAACTATCTATTTGTTTTTATTTGATTAAACAGTTGTTATGGGGTTGATTAATGTATACTGTAACATAATTAATTGTTGTGTGGTTTCCAAGGGATGGTATATGGATTTGTGTAAATGAGATTTCGGGGGTCACGCGTTTGTGTGTATTACTATATTGGTGCAAGTAGTTAGTGGTTTTTCTATGGAGAAATTGGCAACGAGGATGAGGTGTTTGGATTTCTTTGTTTTCTTTTTGGGTCCGAGGAGAATGGGACGACTTTGGGAGTGGGAATTGACAATTGACGAGCATTATTCCTTCGTTAACTCGGCGTAATTATTGACTTTGAAATAAGATTCATAACTAAAAATGACAAAATCAATTTAATTAATCCGATTTGCTTATTTCTATCTGTTGTTGGCGTGAATATTCTGTTATAACGTAGAATACTTTCGTGTGTATTACAAGCATCCATCCAACATCAATAATTAACTCCCCACCCTAAAGTGATAGTGCAAAAAAATAAACGACGGAAGGTAGGATCAGCTCTATCCTCATGAAACAAAAATTAAACATCTAAACTCTGACAAATTATTCAGCCACCGCTCTGCCTTATCCGAAAAAGAAGAAAAATCAGTTTATTCGATCAGAAACTACCAGCCCAGGAATAGTCGACATAGGGCTAGGCCCAGAACATGTCTAGCCAACAAATAAGCCCGACATAAATAGAAGCCCGAACAAGCCCAAACAATGGAGAAAACATAGAAGCCCAAATAAGCCAGCGTCATCGACGCGGCATCACTCGACGTTTCTAATTGATAACCCTTTGTCGAGGTTCTCCATCCTCAAAAAGCCGCAACCACCCCGAAATCGGAAGAGCTCAGGAGAAATTCCGTTCGAAAGACAAATCCCTCTATTTCTCCGGTCAGCGGCGGTGTAAAACCCCGAACCCCCTCTCGATCTCTCCCCGGAGGCGATGCCGAAGAACGACTTCCTCACGCCGAAGGCGATCGCCAATCGAATCAAGGCGAAAGGCCTGCAGAAGCTCCGATGGTACTGCCAGATGTGCCAGAAGCAGTGCAGGGACGAGAACGGGTTCAAGTGCCACTGTATGAGCGAGAGCCACCAGCGCCAGATGCAGATCTTCGGCCAAAACCCTCACCGCGTCGTCGAGGGCTACTCCGAGGAGTTCGAGAACGGGTTCCTCGACCTCATGAGGCGGAGCCACCGCTTCTCCCGCATCGCCGCCACCGTCGTCTACAACGAGTACATCCACGACCGCCACCACGTCCACATGAATTCTACCGAGTGGGCGACGCTGACGGAATTCATAAAATATTTGGGACGAACGGGTAAGTGCAAGGTGGATGAGACCCCCAAGGGTTGGTTTATCACTTATATCGATCGGGATTCCGAGACAATGTTTAAGGAGAAGATGAAGAGCAAGAGACTTAGGGCTGATATGGTGGATGAAGAGAGGCAGGAGAGGGAAATTCAGAAGCAAATTGAGAAGGCGGAGTTGTTGCTGACAGGTAAAGCCGGCGATGGGGAGGGTAATGGTCTTGAAGAGGGTGCAGTAGAGCCGCCGGCTAAGGAATTGAAGCTTGATGCCGATGGAGTCAAGATTGGATTTCAATTGGGCTCGAAGGGTAACAATGGTGGGAAGGATAAGGGTGAGAGTTCAAGCTCAAGATTGGTTTTTGAGGAGGTAGAGGAGGAAAGAGAGGGGAAGAACTCGAGAAGTAAAGGAAGCAACGGTAATGTTGGTAGAGGTGGCAAATCTGCGTTAGAGGAACTGATGAGAGAGGAAGAGAATGTGAAGGAGAAGAAGAACAGGAAGGACTACTGGCTATATGAAGGGATCATTGTGAAGGTTATGAGTAAGTCGTTGGCAGAGAAAGGGTATTATAAACAGAAAGGAGTTGTTCGGAAGGTGATTGATAAGTATGTTGGGGAAATTGAAATGCTTGAGAGCAAGCATCGGCTGAGGATTGATCAGGTTGAACTCGAGACTGTGATTCCACAGGTTGGAGGTTTGGTGAAGATAGTGAATGGAGCGTATAGAGGGTCCAATGCGAGGCTTTTGGGAGTGGATACAGACAACTTTTGCGCCAAGGTGCAGATAGAGAAGGGGATTTATGATGGCAGAGTGCTTAAAGCTGTAGAATACGAGGATATATGCAAACTTGCGTGATGAGTATGTGAGAACCCTTACTTTACCTATATATTCGTCTTTATCTGTTGCTGTTTAGGATTGAATGATGGTGTGCGTTGATCTTCCTGTATTCTGTTAAGCTGTTTGATGGATGAATCAGAAGTTGATTGAAGGGTAACTTTAGAAGCAGCTTGTCCTAGTCTTGGTCACAGTTTGTTTTCTTTGCACTGCGAGTAGGTTAAAAGGTTAGGAATTAGGATAGCTCTCGTTACATGCATTTCGTTGTCTCTTAAGTGGTTCAGAATGGTTGCCCTGTGTTATTCTTTTGAGTTGTTGCATCCAATTCTCTATGTAGATACTTTATTGCAGCATCCTTCTGTAGCTTTCGTTTATATAACTTTTTTCGTGTAATCAATTCTGTAGCTTTCTATGGTTAAGATTATACATGCAGTTGGATGATCAGCCATTTCTCTACTTTATTTCAGGGGTCCTTCTGTCTATCGAATCCAAACAGGACATAGCTGAACCTTACAAATTGATTTATGATGAATCTTGAGTTGGCTTTGGTTTTCTGTAATATGCTGCTGCTACTTGAGGGAGATTTTGCTGCCCCATCATGGTGACTGGAATTGTTCCATCTAACATATTTCAGCTGCTTCTGATAATCAGAGACCTCCGTGAACTTGTGATGTCCAGGCGCATATGCAAACTTTCTGTTGGTTGGGAGTGGACATCTAACTCCCAAGCTTGAGAAAGAAATTGCCAATTGTTGTCGTTCATTGTGTAGCACAGATTAGTGTAACACATCAACTGTTTATATTTGACTGTCCATTTCTTGATTGACTTGTCTATCAAACAGAAAGAGTTGGAGGCAAGAGCTCCTGTTGGCATCTGCTCTACCTGCTTAGAGATGTTAGTACCGACGTCTTGGCTGCTGGAGAATCCATACATGCCGATTCTGATTTCAGCTGTCGAATTTAGGGTTTATTGTGATGCCTTCTTGTGGAGGTTCGCCATATTTTTCAGTTTTCTGTGGAATGGACTTGGTTTGGTCGCTTGTGTTTATGTAATCGGCTACTTTTCCACCAGTTTTTCTGTATCATCCTCCAAGAGGCAGTAGGGTGGCCAACTCAACTGTATTGCAACTACCTTTTCCTTTTCAAGAGATGTCGGTCAGTGAATATGCACGCAAAAGACTGAAGTTTGGGAAGATATGAGATTTGCTTAATCCTAGTTGGGTCTAGACATGTGAGATTATTTTCTAAAAGTGTTGATTCCTATGGATTATAAAATCACCTCATGAATTGAATTTTACTTGTTTTGTATGCCCATTACTTTATAGGATTCTTTAATCTATTTTATTGGATTAATGATACTCACGAATTATATTTCTTTTGCTTTATCAAATTAATGATTCTACTCGATAGTTTAACAAATATAGTTCTGCCCGAACAAGTGAACGACTCTACTCAAAATTTTATCAACATGGTTTCACCAACCATTCTCAACGAGAGTAAAAATAGGAAGGACATTTTTGTCTTTACAATTAATGATTTATTTCAAATAAAAAATATCAACATCAAGATTTGAACCCGGGTCTCTTCAAACAAAGACAATGATTATAACCAATTACACTAAACAAATTTGTTGTTTTTATTTGAATACAAAACATACACTAAGTTAAACTCTGGAAAGTGAATGACTTTAAGCTCACTAAGTCTACCGTATATATTTTTATGGTGCTTAATACTTCAATGTCCATAGTAAAGTTTCATGTAATTTTATCCATTTTAAAATTCATGCTCTACTTAGTTTTCGTTTAGGTAAATTTGTAATTGGCTAATATGGAAGAAACTATTTCTTTTCTACGTGTTATGTCATTGCATTTTTAATTTAAATTTAAATTTTGTGCTTTTTTTATCTTTGTTCTTATCTCATTATAACTTACTTCGAAAGTCCCTCCATCGTGCAATAATTTGGCCCTTTCACTTTCGAGTACAAGGGCGCATTTGAGAATTAATCTTCTGGTTTCTCTTGGCAGGATAGTTTTATTTTGGGGATTTAAACTGCGTAAATAGAAAATTTCAAATCCGATATCAATCCATGACGAATAGAATGAAGTTCAATCAAGTAGTTATGAATTTGAACTTGGATTAGAAGAGTTGGAATTGAGTTTGAGAATGAAAGTGGTGGAGGGAAGAAATTGTGTTTGGATTTGGTAGCTGGTAAAGTTCCACTGCAGCAGGTGAAGGCAGAGAAGAGGGAGTTGGAGAGGGTAGTGAATGAATTGAGGAGAGTGTTGAAAGACATGAAAGCGAAACTGGAGCAGTTAACGAGAGAAGTGAGAGATGATGAGGATATTAATGAAAATGGAGAGGTTATTGAAGGGCAAGGAAGTGGACTGAAGTGGGTGAAGGCAGACAAGGGGGAGATGAACATATTGATGGAACAGGAGATGAGTGTTGGTTTTAGCGAACTTATTACAACTGCCCCGAGGAAGATGAGTTAGCAAACACAAGAAGAAGATTGAGGAGTTGAAGAGCGAGTTGACAAGAACCCCAATTGGAAGAGAAATTGAGGGTCACGGAGAGAAGGTCCATCAAAGTAGCAGAAATGGAATTGTTTGGTTGGAACATATGCCTCTTGATATTAAAGATAGAGTGGATAAAAATTTGGTCGTTCAACGGAGAGTGGTGGCTATTGGCTCTTTAGGTTTATGGTTTTTGCAGCTACCACATCCTATTTCTATCTTAAAACGAGAAATAATTGATTGATTTACAGAATTGGGTCGATTCTTTATTCAACCTACTGAAACTGATAGAAAATGAGTGTCTACTTTTGTGTCTTATAACTTTGATCAAGTCTATTAGTATATTGGAGGTAACCCTAATTTTGTCGTTTGCTCTCAAGTTTTTATGGTTCCCTCTTAGTTAAGTTTGTAGTATAGTTGACTTGAACCAATAATTCTCCATTTCTTTTTTATTAGTGGCATGTTGTTCCTAAAAGGAGAGCATTGCAGCCTTTATGTAGGATTGTGAGGTTTTAGATTCAGTTTAAAACTATATATGGGTCGTGTGGTAATTCCATTGAGCTTTTATATTCTATTTTTATCAACTAATAATATTATCATTATGAAAATGAAATCAATTATAAATTTTTTTATTTTATATTCTTAAATGATGTTGGTATTTCTTCGAGTGTTCGACCTATATATAATTAAACCATTTAAACGGGTTGATAGACTTAAACTTAACATAAAATTATAAATAATCAAATATGAACGTTCCGGCCAACGAGCCGGGTTATAAGCTAGTCAATCAAAATAGACTTGCTTTTGGTGTACAAATCAACAGTATAATTTATAGCTGAAAAGTAAAACTGCAAGCCTCATTCAAAGTTTCCTGTCCATAGAGTGATTTTAGAAAGCTGATGTGGCAGAGTGTTAAGCGGGGAAAAAAGAGTCCCGCCTGATTTCAGAACCAAAAAACTCTCCACTACCCACTTTTTTCTCCTTCCAGGCACACGTTCTCATTTAATTTGTATTAATTTGTATTTTTTATTTCCGATTTCCCTTCCTTCCACTCTTTCACCTCATTCGAATAAGTTTCTTGGCCTTCAGAAAACCAAACCTTGACTCAATCATCTGGTTCTTTTATGTGCTTGCATCTACCTTTGATTTCCGTTCTCTAAGCGTTAGATCGGTATTGGTTTTGCCGTAAGTTATTCTTCTTCTTTCAGATTTCTGTTTGTTGTTGTCGCTGCTTTTAAGTTTTAGGGATTCGGGTTCTGGGTTTTTTTTTTCCAGGGATTCGGTTGCAAAGATTCATCTCCCTTACCTTTGGTTCATTCCGTTTTCTTTATTCTCTTACCTTCCTCGCTTCATTCTGTTGATTGGATTCTCTAGAGATCAAAAGGGGATTTTTGTTTTTTCCCTTTCTCTTGAAAGTAACAAAGTTGCTTACTTTAAATTCCACTTCGCTTAGACTGTCTTCCAGAGAGCAGCCGACTGCCGATTTTGAGCTGAGTTTTTCCGGGCCGCAGAGAAAGAAGAGGAAAGAAAGAGACGTTCGGCGGCGGCAGCCAGGTACTTCGTCCGGGTCGTTTTCCGGGTCAGTAAACCGAAGGGCCGACTATAAACTACCGCTGGCCTGGCGGGGGAAAAGGAAAGCGTAAACCATAAGGCCTCGGGGATCCATTTCTCTCGCCAGCCCATACTTCAGAGGCCCAGCCTACTTGAGTCCAGAACCAGCCCATCGACGACGAAATTTGGCGCGCCGTCCCCCACCCGCCACCACGTATGAGACATATTCAACTGTGGCGGCGTTGATCTGGATAATCGATGGGTTGTACCCTACAATCGATATTTGTTACTACGATTTGGAGCGCATATCAATATTGAATATTGTAACAAGACAAGGTATGGCTGAAGTAAATCGTATTTATCTATATGACGTTGTTGTTTCCTTTATTATATTACCAAACTCAGATTCTTAATGACAGGCTATATGTATATTTATATGCTACACTCATTATTAACTTTATGCATGCATATGAATTATGATTTAATTTCCAAAGATGAATAAAAACCAAACCAATATTTGTGTGATTTCTCTTTTTTTTTAGTTATTTTATAAACCGAGTGTTATCTTATTGGTGTGACTTCTTGCCGCAACTCTGTAATTTTTGTAATATTTTTTGGTGTGTTTTCCTTCATTTTTTTTTTGCCCATTGGATAAGCTATTGTGATCCATTTGTTGCCTTTTGTTCTCTGTACTTTGATTTCTTATTTAATACAAGTCACATTTAAGAAAAAATGTAATACAACTTTTTCCTACTTCCCTATCTAACATCTACAACTTGGTTTTATTTGATGTTTCTATAGGGCTGTGAAATATTTGTTTAAGTACATCAACAAACCCGAGGATCGTGCAATGGTCACTGTAGCTGCACAACAAACAGCTTCGGCTATGGATGGTCGGAATCGTGGAACTACGGTTGTGCAAATCGATGAGATAAAGGCATTCATGGATGCCCGTTACATCACATCGGGAGAAGCATGTTGGAGAATTTTTAGGTTTGATATATACACTCACTCTCCAACAGTACTGCGTATGTCCTGTCATTTGCCTGGTGAGAATACAGTGTATTCAAATGTTGATTCTAACGTGGAGGAAGCGGTTGAGTCTAGCAGTTCCCAAACCTCAATGTTGTTAGCATGGATGGATCTCAATCTTCAGTCAATGGATGCAGGGAAATATACCTTTGCGGAGATGCCACAATATTATGTATGGAATAAAAAATACAAGAAGTGGCAGCAGCGCAAAAAAGGTACCTGCATTGCTAGATTATATTACTGCTACCCATCCGCAAAGGAGCGATACTATTTGAGAATGCTATTGCATGTTGTTAGGGGTTGTTTTTCTTATGATGATATTATAACAGTGAATGGGGTGGTATATGAAACATTCCAAAAAGCATGTTATGCTTGGGGACTGTTATCAGGAGATTCTGAATGGAATGATTGTGTCCAAGAAGCTTCGCACTGGGCTTCTGGTTATAAACTTAGAAAACTTTTTGTCACAATTCTTATTCATTGTCAGGTGGCTGATGTGACTTCTTTTTGGTTAAAGAATTGGGAATTACTAAGTGAAGGCATTTTGCATTCACGACGTAGAGAGCTGAATTTACCCCAGTTGAATTTGTCGGAGGATGAAATTAAGGAGTTGTGCCTTATTCATATTGACAAATTAAGGAGTTGTGCCTGTTCCCGATCAGTGTTTGCGTTCACATACGGTAAACAGGCTGATAGATATGGAGATGAATTATGGACCCCATGACTTAGACTGTTCTGAGGATCGACATAGTAGACCGTTGAATGGAGAACAACAAATCGCTTACGATATGGTATTACATTCTGTTTATACCAATGAGGGTAAATGATTTTTTGTGGATGGATTTGGGGGTACTGGTAAGACATTTCTGTGGCGAGCAATTTGTTAGCAATTAAGATTTGAGAAGAGGATAGTATTATGTGTTGCTTCATCTGGTATTGCTGCACTGCTCATGGTCGGTGGAAGAACTGCACACTCAAGATTTCACATTCCCCTGGATTGTGATACAAAATCAACTTGCAATATTGAGCAAGGTTCTGAGGTAGTTGAATTGATTCTCAATGCTTCACTTATTATCTGGGATGAGGCACCGATGACTCATAAACACAACATAGAGGCCCTAGATAGGACATTGAGGGATATTTTCCGAGTTAAGCATGTTGATTCTGAGTTGAAGCCTTTTGGAGGTATGACTATTGTGTTTGGAGGTGATTTCCGACAGACGTTACCTATCATCACGAAGGGTACACGGACTGAAATTGTTAATTCTTCCATAAAGAGATCTTATTTGTGGCAGTCTATGACAGTATTGAAGCTAACCGAGAACATGCGATTAAAATTGCCTCATTCTGAAGCATCGGCCAGGTTAGCAATCTCAAATTTTAGCAAATGGCTTTTGGAAATTGGTGATGGTACAAATAGTAATATTTTTGGAGAATCAATTATCCCGATACCTCTACACATTTGTGTTCCCCGTCGCAGTGATCCAATTCCTGATATTGTTGCTGAAATATATGGTCAGTTACTCTCCACTGAAAATATGTCAACCTATTTGGTTGAGCGAGCTATCTTAGCCCCTCATAATGACACTGTTGCGGCCATTAACAATTATGTATTGGGTCTATTTCCTGGTGAAGAAGTTTCTTATTTTAGTTCGGATTCGCTAGAGATTGATGCCAAGAATCAGCATGTTGAAGAAGGGGACTACACAGTTGAATTCTTGAACTCTTTAAAGATTGGGAATTTTCCGGAACATGAGTTGAAATTGAAGTTGGGGTGCCCTGTTATTCTGCTTCGAAATCTGGATCAGAGTACTGGGCTTTGCAATGGAACTCGGATGATCGTTAAGAGATTAGGTAAGTGGTTTATTGAGGTCCAAATTTTGACCGGGACACATGTTGGTGATACAGTTTTCTTACCACGCCTAAGTCTATCGGTCCACTACAAGAGCTTAAATTTCACTCTGGTTCGAAGGCAATATCCAATTGCACTGTCATATGCAATGACAATTAACAAGAGTCAATGTCAAACATTAAATCACGTTGGCATCTGCTTGCAAAGACAAGTATTTTCTCATGGACAGTTGTATGTTGCTATGTCTCGAGTTACGTCGGAAAGGGGACTCAAGATTCTTAGCTGTGACTCTCAAGGTAAACCGGTGAAGACTATGCAGAACATTGTGTTCACTGAGATTTTTGAGTAGTGGTTTATTGATGTATTATGTTTTATTCGATTCGAGGACTAAGACTGTCAAATTTATCGGGTCGTTACAATTTGAATCTTGAGTTCTCAATTTGTCGAAATTATTTTCCTGTTTTTAACAGCCAATTATATGAAATGTGATTTATGCACACTACTTTATATTTAATTGTACCTCAATTTACTCTACCGAAGGGTATGCGAGTGTGACTGTTATATTGCAATACGAAGAAGAACTTTCATAGTCGCAACTGAACTAAACTAAATTAACACCACAACCCAGCCCACAAAACAACCCAAGCATGGTTCAGTTAAATAAAATATAGTTAGAGAGGGAATGCCTAGCCGGATTTGTTGAAACTAAATGGCCAACCTATTCCCATAAAAAAAAGGCCAACCTACACTACCTTGGGCGGATCCTTCTCCACTCCCCCACTCCCCCACCTCCTCTACTACCCAGTATCCGATTTTTGTGGATCTTCTATGAAGTGAAGGCTGCCGCATTCCAAGACATTATTTCTTTATTAAATACATTCATTATGATTTTCATTTCATGTTAATTAGTGGTGGTGTGGGCCGGCCGGGTTGGCGCATCAAATAATAATTAGCAACTTTGAGAGGCAATTTTGGACAAGAATTGTTGACACAGTCGCAATTAGCAATGTTGTTAAAACGGAACCGGACATCGATCCGGATTAGTAAAGGGTTCAAGGTTTATCAAATAACCGGTGGTTAATCGATATTAAAAACCGATCATAAACCGGTGTTGACTTACTTGGTAGACTTAACAATTATTTTTTTTTACAATTATTGTTTCACTTATTAGAGATAAAAGAATAAAGTGAGAATTATTAAAACTGAAAAAGCATAATTTGGGCGGCTGTTTGGTCTTTTTTGGGAAAAGTGAACTGATTTTTCTTCTCTTTATATTTTATTCTGTACTTACCTTCTTTTGTTTTTGAAATTTTAATTGCAACAAAATAAAAGGAAGGCGCATGTTTGATTTTAAGAAGGTGGGTCGTTCCCCTCAAAAAAAAAAAAAAAAAGAAGGTGGGTCGTGAGTTCCGTGACACACCCGCCTCTTGAACTCTAAATGGCCAACCTTCTCCACTCCCCCACGAGGCCACAAATCCTTCTCCACTCCCCCACTATCCCACTTTCCACACACACACGTACTCCACTGCATGCGGCCAAGTAAATCACGTGTGTAGAATCACTTTCTCTCCTTTATATAATGGAGATACCACTTTCTCTCATGTTACAATTTCCGTTTACTACTTCCCATACAAAACACTTCGGTTCCATTGACCGTGCGAATTGCATTCAATATGGCGGGCCTGCCTCAATTCAATCAGTAAGTACTGCTCATGCATCCAACAAATACTACAGCATGTAATTTTGATTCTTTTTCACTACTTAATGCCAAAACTTGCAGTCCAATATATAGGCTTCCCCATGGTTTTATTGCTAATCTGCAATATGATGATGCTCTTGAAATTTGTGAGCGTGCCGACACCATCGATCTCATTATGTTGCAAGTGGATGTCGAAAATCAGGTAACTAAACAAATAAATTTCTTTTTAATCGTACGCCTTTTGTGGCATGCTGCATTTTATCGATTTGCTTTGACAATATTCGTTTCTGTGTTTACATCAGGCACCTCTTTTTTGTTATCCGGACGTGTAACGAATTTGACGACGTCCTGGTCCCCTGCATCCAGAATCCATTTCGTCCACCTCACAATTGAGGACGAATTCATTGGTGTTGACATCGTCTTCCCGTCATCACAGTTACGAACGATTGTTGAATCTGTATTCAGTCATGCAGATGTTGTCAATGCTGACTATATGGCCCTTCTGAACATGCTTGGAGAACAGATATTTGAAGTCATGGTCACAGTCGGTCCCTGGAACGATGCATTTGGTTATTGTGAACTTGTGTTGGTGAAATTATTTTTGCCTTTGTTGAATTGAGTACCATGTCATGAACAATGAGACAATGTATTGAGTTTTCTTATTTTGGACTTGCATGTTATTTGTCGTAATACTCAACTAGATTAGATTTGTGATTAGTAAAATTTCATGTAAGTATTTTTATTGTGATTAGCTAATCTTCAAATGTATTTCTAACTTATTATGAATGTTCATTCATAATACATGTTGCAAAATTGCAACAATCTTATGATAATATAAAACAAGACTCATTTCTCGACACTATCATTATAGATATTGTAACTCCATTTCCTTAAACAAATGCGGCCAACGGGCCGGGCTATAAGCTAGTAAACAATTAGATTACGAAGGTTCACACACTTTCAAAACAGGAGACGTGGAGTTGGGTGGCAATCTGGTGTGGCGTAGGGCGTTGATGAACAAGAACAAACAAACAATAGCAAAATCTATCTCCCTGTAATTAGCTCTCCTACCTCTCCAACCAACCATATCCCCCACATTACACCGCACACCCTCCCCGCCTTTATTGTATCGCCCGTCTTCCTTCAAACCCCCAACCGACTACTCTTTTATTGCTCCCCCCACCCTTCTCCCGCTGCCTCTCTCTGAGATCTCGTTACCCATCTCCCCCATCTTCCACCACGTTGCCTCTTTCTCCTCCTCCCCACTCTCCCTTCAAAACCCAATCTCAAGGGGGAAGAGAATTCTTCGCGGTCCAGGAATTGGGGAGACTCTTTGGTTGGACGGAATGAAGGTCACAGTGGTTTCTCGCAGTGGCAGAGAGGTCATCAAAGGAGGCCTCGACCTCAGCGATTCGGTACTTCCTTCCTTCTACTTGCGTTTCTACTTGCTTCTCAGTTCTTTTCTCCGAAATGGGTAGACAAGACTGTGGACGGAAAAGGAGTTCAATTGTATATCTATGTGGGTCTGGTTCACTGTAGCGATAGAAAAAGACGACTTCCAACTTTGCGGGGCTTTCCTTTTTCCTTTTGATTTTTCCCTTCTGGGTTATGAACTTAATGATTATTGTTTTGGTGGGTTTCTTTCTTTGGTCCCTCTCTCTTTTGCAGGCTACGGTGGCCGATCTGCAAGAGGCAATCCATAAACGAAGTAAGTGGACGGAAACTCCCAGTTTAGTTTACAATTGGGTGGAAATTGTGATTGTCATAGGTTCCTTTCTACTGTTTCCTTATGTTATTGTTTTAGTTGAGTTCTTGTTAGTTACCTCTCCATGCTTACTGTGTCCACAACCCAGCTGCTCTTTTCCTAACTGCTGAACTTGATATTGTTGGGCAAATCTCATAGAGGGTTAATCTTCTATAGGCTGTGTACCTGTGGAGTAAAATCTACTGAATTATTTAGTCAATCGTTGTTGCCTTGCTAGAATTTGAGCTGTTGTAGTAGCCTTTCTACGTTTCAAGTTTACTTACTGCACTGATGCTGAAGATCGCACTAGACCAGTTCCGGTGGCGATGTATGTTGACGGAAATGGTTTAGTTGGTCCTCTCATCCTTGGTACTTTATGGTCATAGTGCTCAATTGTGGCCTTCTCTTAATCTTGTATGAAGATATTTACGGGGAGTGCTTATAGTTAGGTAGATAACCTGATCTGTGTTGTTATTCATGATACAGCTAAGAAATTCTATCCATCAAGACAGCGGCTGACCCTTCCCGTGCCATCTGGTTCGAAAGAGAAGCCAACCGTTCTCAGTGCAAAGAAGAGCCTTAAGGAATACACTGATGGGAACTCAGACAGCTTGACCATTGTTTTCAAGGACTTGGGTCCTCAAGTCTCCTACCGTACACTCTTCTTCTTCGAGTACGTTGGACCTTTGCTACTCTACCCCGTCTTCTATTACTTCAATGTCTATGAATTCCTCGGCTACAAGGGGTCCGAGCGTGTTATCCACCCGGTTCAGACATATGCTCTGTACTACTGGTGCTTCCACTACTTCAAGCGCATTATGGAGACATTTTTTGTGCACCGGTTTAGCCACGCCACCTCGCCTCTGTCCAACGTGTTCCGTAATTGTGCGTACTATTGGACGTTCGGTTGCTACATTGCTTATTACATGAACCACCCGCTCTACACTCCTGTTAGTGACCTTCAGATGAAGATTGGCTTCGCCTTTGGTGCACTTTGCCAAGTCTCAAACTTGTACTGCCACGTCTTGCTGAGCAACCTGCGCAGTCCTGATGGAAGCGGTGGCTATCAGATCCCTCGTGGGTTTCTATTCAATATCGTCACCTGTGCAAATTATGCAACGGAGATTTATCAGTGGTTGGGTTTCAACATTGCAACTCAGACCGTTGCAGGCTATCTGTTCCTTGTGGTTGCTGCTTCCATCATGACCAACTGGGCTCTTGCTAAGCACCGCAGGTTGAAGAAGGTAAGTGTTTACCAAAAATCTCTCTCGTTAAGCTACTAGCTAGATATCTTGTTTTTGCTGTTGAGTAGTACATAACAAGAACCACTCTATGAACACCCATATCAATGTGTATATCTGATTCTTGCAGTTGTTTGATGGGAAGGATGGACGACCTAAGTACCCACTCCGATGGATCATACTACCTCCATTCCTGTAGAGCCACATTGCTTCTCTACTCCCCTTTGTTGTTGGTTGCTTGAAAAATGCTTTCTTGATACTCGGAAGAACACTTATTTCGCGTCGTGGTGGATCATTCTCTAAGGGGTTGAAGATGGAAGGTCCTGGATTTCCCAATCATCCCACTTATGTAGTTGTTAGGTCTTTCGATATGGAAATTGATTGCTGGAAACCAGAGATGGGATGATCCGGTCCTCCTTGGCGGGCTTTCTACATTCATACTCTTGGTTAACGTTTTATTTATCCCCGTTTTCCTGGTTAAGATAGCTTAGACGGAACCATTTGTTGTCTTAATGATCTTTGCTGTGGTGTTGAATCTCTTCTAGGGTATGAATTCTTGTTGTACTGTCCTGAGTTATAAAGCAGAGGGTATGTTAGGCTCACATCCGATCCGAGTGTCATCTCATTTCTTTTTGTTCAATCACATATCCTTTATCTCATCTTCGAATTGTGATCACCATATTCATGTTTTGCATCTAATCTCATTTGTTTATGGATTTGATGCCTTAGTTGATCCCATACTCTTCGATCTTAGAAGAGATTGAATATGGCTCTGCCTGCAAACAAGTTTCCAAGTCATCCAAGCAGTCATTGAACATGTTGAGTTTATACACAAACATCCCCTTTGACACGATGACCACCAAGTCATACACATTCGGAATTTCAGATGCCATCATGCCCACTCACAAGAAATCTAGAGCAAGTATTGATAGTCATTTCAAAATTAAGAACACGGTTTACAACAGTGCTAATATGGACGATTACCTTGCGAGTAAAAGGAAATCATGCTTAGGAAAAATGATGACTAATCTACATGGACGTAATGACGATGCAACGTGATAAAGGGTTGGCTTAACTTATTAATGCAAGTGGTAGGAACCTAGAAACGAGGGGGCAATGATAACGATGGATGTGGTGGAATCATGGTTGTCATGCCGGTGGCATGCCATCCGGTTGAACCTGGTTCAATCTGTGCCGGTCATGAAATCGGCATGATACCACCGGTATGGTCGGTATGATCGACTTACGCATTCTAAGTAAAATGATATCATTTTAATGAGTTTAATGAATAAAAAAAAATTATTATTCATTTTATGAATGTAATTGTTAAAAGTTGATGATATTTGTTGGATTGTAACTAAATTGTCCACAAATATGTTTTATATGATTAAATACATGAGATATTAATTGTTTTCACATTTTTGTAAACCGACATGAACCGGCACAAACTGGTTATACCACCGGTCGTACCATTCTACTTGCCAAACCGACACAACGGTATAAACCGGTTTGACAACCTTGGGTGGAATCAAATGATGGTCGAGGCAGGGGAGCTCAAAAGCACATTCACACTTCTTGAGATCATGATTGCCACTGTTTTACAACCTTTTTTCCCTCCCAAATCACATGCTTATGATTTTTCTTCTTCTTCAAATGGCTGCCTAAAAAAGCTACCATGACAGCAAAACTTGCCTCGAGATCCTGAAAAAAGATTAGCGATAAAGCTGTGAAATGGGTCAGCCATGGGCCATGGACAAGATTCAAATTTTGGGCCCGTGACTTGGCTTTCTAGCTGTGTGGGCTGCTACGAGCTGAATATTCTCTTTTTCAAAAATTAATAAACAGGGGTTAATTGCATGGTTGGTCACTGACATTACAAAAAGCGTTCATGTTTGGTCACTAGAAATATTTAAATATATTTTTGGTCACTAACTTTACAAAAACCGTTCATTTATGGTCACTCTCCGTTAGCTGCCGTCCAACGCCGTTAACGGCGTCCGTTAAGTGATGACGTGGCTGACGGATTCGCCTAATCAGCACCTTTTAACCCGAAAATTGACTGACCCGACCCGCCACATCATTTAAACCCTCCATGTCAGCCAAACCTCTAACCAAACCAGGCAAGACCCAACCCACCAACAAAAATGACCCACCCACCACTAATCAAAACCTAATTTCTAAAACCCTACAGGACATTCCCCTTCTCCTCTCCATCCCGCGCCGCCTTCATCTCTCCCGCGAAAGTTCCTCTCCACTCGTTTAATCGGCGACGAAGGAGGAATCTTGGTCGACTAAGCAGAAAGAGATGAAAACCCTAGAGATTACCAAACGAATTAAAGCAACAAAAATTGCGAAGAACATCATACATATCAATCTCCTGGGAAAGCAGCGGAAGGGAGAAAAATCGAGATTGAAAAGGGAAACCCAGACCCATTAATGGTACTGCTGTAGAAGCAGACATTTTCAGCAGCTTTTCTTGGGAGCCAAACGGAAACGAAAAGAGCAAAAGCGGGGAGGGATACATGGCTGGTTTGTTGCTTTGCTCCCCTGCTGATACTCTGCTATGCTTTGCGCTTCTTGGTTACTCAAGGGAGAAGGGTAAATTTGGTAAAATAGAATGGTAAACAGGAAGAGAGTGAGAAGGGGAAATAAAAGGGGTAGTGGAAACTGAAAATGAGTGCAACTGCTCCCTTTTTTCTTTTCCTTCGTCACCGTCTTCTTCTCCCTCAGCTCTTCACTCTGTGCCTGACCTCTCAAATCCGCTCCACCTTTCCTTATCTCCCGCTTCATCATTTCATCAGAACCTTTGCTTCCCTGCTACCCGTGGAGAGGAACTTTCGCAGGAGAGATGAAGGCGGCGCGGGATGGAGAGGAGAAGGGGAATGTCCTGTAGGGTTTTAGAAATTAGGTTTTGATTAGTGGCGGGTGGGTCATTTTTGTTGGTGGGTTGGGTCTTGCCTGGTTTGGTTAGAGGTTTGGCTGACATGGAGGGTTTAAATGACGTGGCGGGTCGGGTCAGTCAATTTTCGGGTTAAAAGGTGCTGATTAGGCGAATCCGTCAGCCACGTCATCACTTAACGGATGCCGTTAACGGCGTTGGACGGCAGCTAACGGAGAGTGACCATAAATGAACTGTTTTTGTAAAGTTAGTGACCAAAAATGGATTTAAATATTTTTAGTGACCAAATATGAACGCTTTTTGTAATGTCAGTGACCAACCATGCAATTAACCCTAATAAACAGATAATAAATCGGGAAAAGAAAAATCCTAAATAGATTCAATATTTTACCCATTTACTCCCATTTATTTCAGCCCAATCAATTTTGCTTATTCTCCATCGTTCTAGAATCATCCATTTTTGTTCTCTAGTTTTATTTTTCAAATGACTTAAAATCACAGTATGGAAAATATATAGTGATCAGGATTAATATATAGTGATCAGGATTCGACCGCAGTCTCTTCCATATCAAAACGACAAAACAAAAATCCCATAAACGCAGCGGCGAAGTAAACTAGAGAAATAGAAGAATGAAAGAAAAGACTGGAAAACCGGGCGGACCCGTGGATCCATGGAGCCCTGACGGCCTCAGAAATGAGAAAACATAGCAGAATGGGAACGGAAGGACAAGCCCGCGACCCGTTCCTCTCGGTAACCCGTACCCACAGAAATGATAAATAGGAAAAAAATAGAAAATAAAAAAAAATCACTTTTAAATTCTAAAAATAAAAAAAATGCCACATTTAATCCAACGGCCCACATCCCATCTCGGCCTTCATTATAATCCCCAATTTGTTTTTAGCATTCGAAAAAGAAGAAAAAAGAAAAGGTGTTTTCGTTTTCCTCCCTCCATCCCTCACTGCCTGCTCTGCTTCTTCTCTTCTGCTTCCATCTCCAACTCCAACCCCCGTTTCCTCATTCGCGCGCGCGCTCTCTCTCTCTCTCTACCGTCCCCTTCTTTCTCCTTCCATCGTAAGGTCTCCATTCTTCTCGATTGTCTCTCTCTGCATCGTTTTATGTTGATCCCTGCGAGTTATCGAAATGGCGGATCTGTTGATTGATAGTGATTTGAGAAGCTTCGTTTCTGTTTACCTGAATTTCGGGATGGGGATTGGGGAAGATCTGTGGTTTTGGTGGCCATTGTCGTATTTTCAGAACGTTTTGATAGATCTTCTAGCTCTGTCTCTGCTAATATTAATACTTCCTTTTCGGGGGCCTTTTGCTTATTTGGAGCGAATCAAACGGTGTGGGGTTTGCGATTGTGCAATGGTTGGATCTGAATTGTCAAAGAAAAAATGTTGATCGAAGTCAATGATGTTCATTTTCATTTGCGTTTGATGAGTTCATTCATTCATTGGTTCCCTAGGAACTATCGCTTTGTGGTCTGTCTTCTTTTGATTTTATGATTTGGGTCCTTCTAGGTTGCTTATCCTTGTTAATGTAGTTTCTCGATGTTTGCTGTGGCAAATTTTAATGGATGGTGGTTGATAATTGAAGATAAGATGCTGCCAATTGGCATGAGGCCACCATGCATTTATGTGAAAGTGATTGCAGGCGCTGTATTCCTTTCTATTCTGTTCTTTGTCGACCTGCATTGATGATGCTATGTGCCAATTTGATCTTCTCCAAACGACTGGGATAATGTTTGCGTCTTTTTGAAGTTCTTTCCGCTATATTACTACCAGTGGAACAATGTTTGAGCTGTATGTGCTGATAAAAGCTTAAATTGCACACAGTAGAAGATGGCAGAATCCGAGGATATCCAGCCCCTCGTCTGCGATAATGGAACCGGAATGGTCAAGGTTGGTAATTGGGCTTTGTTTTCTTTATCAGCTTTCAATTCGTTTGGAAGATCAGTTTCAACTTTCAACTACTGATTTGTTAGTGAAGAAGCATTTTTTTGGGTGTACTGTTCAAAGTTAATTATTGAATTTGCCCATTGTCATGATTTCCTTGTCAAGAACGAGAGTTCTTCGTAGGAATGTACATTTCAACAAAAGACAGTTGCTTTACACGGGAAAGATGAATTAATTCAATGCTTTCTTAGCTTTACTATTCTTCATTTATTTTCTGCGGCATGTGAGAGCTGATTCTGGTTTTCTTAGGCTGGATTCGCTGGAGATGATGCACCTCGTGCTGTGTTCCCCAGTATTGTTGGTCGTCCCCGTCACACTGGTGTGATGGTCGGCATGGGTCAGAAAGATGCCTATGTGGGTGATGAAGCCCAGTCAAAGAGAGGTATTCTGACTTTGAAATACCCAATTGAGCACGGTATTGTGAGCAATTGGGATGATATGGAAAAGATTTGGCATCACACCTTCTACAATGAGCTCCGTGTTGCCCCAGAAGAGCACCCAGTTCTTCTCACTGAGGCTCCTCTGAATCCCAAGGCCAATCGTGAGAAGATGACCCAGATCATGTTCGAGACCTTCAACACCCCTGCCATGTATGTTGCCATTCAGGCGGTCCTGTCCCTGTATGCCAGTGGTCGTACAACTGGTAAGCTGGTATATCTTAGCTTAATGAAGTCTATCAGTGCGGTTTTAAGGCTCTATTAATGAATGGGATTGTGGGTGAACAGTTGTTCTAAGAAGTGTGTTCGTATGTGGTTCTATGTAGGTATTGTGCTAGATTCTGGTGATGGTGTCAGCCACACAGTCCCAATCTACGAGGGTTATGCCCTTCCTCACGCCATCCTTCGTCTCGACCTTGCTGGCCGTGATCTCACTGATGCCCTGATGAAGATTCTAACCGAGCGTGGCTATTCCTTCACCACTACAGCAGAACGGGAAATAGTAAGGGACATGAAGGAGAAACTAGCATACATAGCTCTCGACTTTGAGCAGGAAATGGAGACCTCCAAAACCAGCTCATCTGTTGAGAAGAGCTATGAGTTGCCAGATGGACAGGTTATCACCATTGGTGCTGAGCGCTTCAGGTGCCCTGAAGTCCTCTTCCAACCATCCATGATAGGAATGGAAGCTGCAGGGATCCACGAGACCACCTACAACTCCATCATGAAGTGCGATGTGGATATTAGGAAGGACTTGTATGGAAACATTGTGCTCAGTGGTGGGTCCACTATGTTCCCTGGTATTGCTGACAGAATGAGCAAGGAGATTTCTGCACTTGCACCAAGCAGCATGAAGATCAAGGTGGTTGCACCGCCGGAAAGGAAGTACAGTGTCTGGATTGGTGGTTCCATCCTGGCTTCCCTCAGCACTTTCCAGCAGGTCTGTCATCATTGCGTAAATCCGAATTTAGTTATGCAAATAGATTGTTTTCTCCGACTTCCTGTTTGTCCAAAGCACTCATGTTCCTCTTCTGTGCTCAGATGTGGATTGCAAAGGCAGAGTACGACGAGTCTGGACCATCAATTGTTCACAGGAAGTGCTTCTAAGCCGTGTTCGGTTTCAGGAAGGGGAAAACCAGCCTATGGAAGAACAAAGGAAGTACATCACCTGTTTTGCAATGTTTGCAAGAGGACGATATTGCAACCCTTTTCCCCTCCTGTTCTAGCTCTGTTATCCTTCTTCTATGTTTACGCTCAGGTGTTTGGAGTGATGATTTTGAGAAAGAGGTCACAAATCGAGATAGCCAAAAAAAAAAAAAAAAAATTTGGTGCAAATTGCTTTATTTTACTATGTTGAGAAGTTTCTTCTGAATATTAGAATGCAATTTTCTCCCATTTTGCGCTTGTAAAACCCTTTGCTCTGTTTATTCTCTTCGTTTGCATTTACATGTTCTCAACATATAAGCATCAAAATGAATTAATGCATAGGCCTTTACATACCACACAAAACGAATTTGTGTGTTTGAAGAAAAACATTCACTACTTATAGAGAAGGAACAGAAACTATGGCTGGATGATCACATTTTAGTAATAGGTGATCGGCTTCAATAGTGGAAGAACCCTCGTGTTCTTCATCTTCCGTCTCTGGCTCATCGTTTGGAAGTTCGGTATAGGAATTGACCCTTAGTTTGAGAAGATCGCAGCTTGAATTCCAGCTGGTTATTGCCTTTAGTACTATCCCGCCGCCAGTGGAATCAGAACTCTGGCTCTGGCTGCAGTCGTCTGAATCTATATCGCCCGTAGAATGTTGTGCAGGAGAATGAGCTCTTTCTTGAGATAGATCATAGCTGGAATTCAGCCGGGTCATCCTCCTCGGACTGTCATCCTCTGCATCTGATGTCGATGATGTAGACTGTTGTTGTTCATCGTTGAAGCTTCTTCCGAATCCTTGAATCCCTCGCGTTAATTTTCGCTGTCGTGTCCTTTCTCCCATGAGAAACTCGCAGTCTTCGATTAGCTTTATCACCTTCAAGGACAGGTTCGCCACACTCAAACCCCTGTTGAAACTGCATGCCACCAGAAAGGGTAAAAAATCAGAGAGGGTAAAGATAATGAAACCCTAACATCTCCACTTATTTGATTATCCTGATTAATGGTTTTTAACTTTCTAGTTCTGATTGTTTGACTAACCCTTTTTCTTCAACGAACGAGAAAGAAGACCCAATCCTCCTGATAACAGGCCTCTGCCTTTCAAACTCTTCAGCAACTCTCAAGGGTCCATGTGTGAGAAGGTGTTCTAACAGAAGCAAGGTCTTGTAAGAAACTCGCCAACTTTCCTCTTCGAAGTTGATCAACCTGACCAATCGAAATTCACCGTCAAACAACATGCTAAAAAGATTATGAACAACTCTGGAATTTGATCAAACTACATATATATACCTATTGTGTACGATCTCCACGATTCTCCAGTAATCGTCGACCTCGAAAGCAGCTCTCGAAATCACTCCCATGCTGCGTGTGTCCGGCGGCCATACGTTTTCACTTGTAGCTTCTTCTGTCAATCTTCATCCTCCCAGCAAAGAGAAAAGCAGAGGACCCATTAAAGGAAAAACAGAGGAAAAGAATACCCAGTTTAGGAATCGAGCAAAATCAATCAAAGCTGCAAGCTTTTTGCAGTACCCATATTGCAGAAAGAAGATGTTGAGGTGAAAAGTGTTACATTTGTGCGGTGGTGACATCGGTAAGCGCCAGGCGAGCAGTTTTGATCTTCTCCTTGAGGTAGAAGGAGGCTTGTCTCTTGAACTCCACAAGAAATGGGCTTCCCATTGTTGATTGCTGTTATGCTGCTCTGCCTATTGCTTGAGATGGATTACAATGATGGCGTTCTTGTAGGAAGACGACGAGTGAATCAATGAATGATGATGCAATGGCGGAAAATTCCTGCTGTTCATATATGAATGGTCTTCATTAGCTGCTGCTGTGGAATTTCGGATAACTGTGTACGTAACCAAGAGCTCTTCCTCCAACTGCTCCACTGTAAAGAGAGCAACCAAAGGGAAACAAACAAGGGATTGTTAACTACTCTGCCCTAATGGGTGAATTAGCTAGGTTTGCGTAATGGGAACGATCGACCGATAAGAGACATTAAGATGAGGTCAGAACTGATAAACGATTTGTTTCTAGTTGTTCTTATGGAATGAAGGTGGTTGAAGATCTCTTTGTTAAAAAAAAAAAAAGTTGGTTAAAGGCCTGACAAGATGGAAGTTCATAGTAATCCAATTGAATTTCAGCTTTTAGTTTCTTTGTGTTTTACCGGTGAACTTGTCATCTTTTAATCTTTTATCGTTTAATTCATTTGACTATTTGTTTTGAAGGTGAGAATGACAATAACATGTAAATCATTTAGATTTAGATGTTGTAGAGGATAAACCCAAACTCGTATACTATAATGGATATATATCATACGAATTCAGTTTACATCTATATATACGTGTAAATTTCTCTACGATACAAACTTAATTTGTAGTATAGTGCAAATTAATTTATGATACAAATTGAATTTCAAAGTATAGTAAAATGACTAAATTATGACCCGTCAATATATTTCTTTTAATATTGGGTTTGAGCTGCAAATTCACTCAATTTATTCTATAATTATTTTGATTAGCTTATTAAATTACTTGACTTGACGTTTGCACATGTCTGCATACTATATGCTTAACAAGTGGGTGTCATTCTAATTTGAATCCAAATCTACTCAGTCATCAAAGACTCAAGAATGTAATGGTGTTTTGAGTTGGAAAGAAGAAAGAAGATCCTTTTCACCATTTTGCCGTCATCTAGTCGTTCAGTAATATCAGCTTTACCGGCATGCAGGCTCAATGACAATGCTACTAAAAAAAATAGATGTTTTTTTTAAAGTGTGGTTCATTAAGAATGTAAAGGGCAAGCCCAAGGGAAAAGATACAAGCAGTATAATACATGGGCTAAAAGTCAGAAAAAACAAGGCCCAGCAAACCTGGAACCCAAAAGGGCCCAAAGTCCAGGACCAAAACAACATTTTCTAACCCTAACCCTAGCAACCACTGCTCCCCTCTAGAAACTCTGCCGCCAAGGATGGAACCGCCGCCACTGTCGCCGATTGACTAGAACTAAACAACGCCTCCACATCAAAGGTAGAGAAAGCAGCGGAAAAAGATCCACCACCCGGATGGCAGGCTGGTGAAGAAACGATCTTCAACGAAACCCACCCCAAGCCGCTCGAAACATCCGCCTCCCGCTGCACGAATCCCAGGGGAAGACAAACAAACTCGAACGGTTGGACAACGGAGGAAGTAGAGGGGAGACGATCTTCTGTCTTCAAGCTCTCCAGACCGCATCCGTCGCCAAGGACTGCATCTCCGAACCACTAAGATCTGCAAGGTGAGAGCAAGGAGGTAGATTTTGGAAAGGAGAGGAGAAGACAAGCCAGATCTGAAATCACATCTTTTTATTGTTTAATTCATTTAGCTATTTGTTTTAAAGGCAGGATAAGACATCTAAATAATTTAGATATGAACGTTGTAGAGTACTTTGGATAAACTCCAACTCATATATTATCATGGACGATGTATATGACTAGCTAGTATGATCTTTTTATATTATCTTGATATCTCTTGGGAAAAAATGATTCTTTTTATATTTTGTTGGCAAATTCTTTCAGTTATATCATATATGCCTATATTTAATTTTATTGACATGTGTTTTAAACAAACTTATACATCCCTTTCATCTTGAAATTTCAGCCTTTCCTGAGTTTGCCAAATGATAAAATCCAAAATAAAACAAAAACTAATTTTTCAAAAGGCATTCACATAGGCATCTCCGGATTAATTTCTCACCGACGAAAAAAAGAGTTAGATTGTAAAATTAACAATCAACTAAAAGACATATTTGTTTGTTAATTGAAAATTCTAGATACAAGCATTTAATCATTTGAAATTAAAAGTCGTTTTGCTCTTAAAAATTGAGAGCGTATTTTATTATTCCAAGTACTCCCTCCGCCGTCCCTATTTTAGTCCCATTGGATTCAGCGGAAAGGATCAACCGTTCGAATGTGAAAGAAAAAGAACAAGACCGTTAACCATCTCGGCATCTAACCGTTCAATGATTATATTCACTTGTTTATAACATCAAACGAGAGCCGCGAGCGTACGCAAATAGAAACAAACGATAAGTAAAAGAAAATTTAACAAACAACGAAACTTGAAGATATATAGTTATGTACGCAAGTAGGTAAGTGATAAGTATACAGATTGTTCGAACTAACATGTTTTTCACATGCTATAGAACTGGCTTGATCAATCGTTTGTATGTTCAAATCTCCACGTCCCCAATATTAACAGTTGATCAATAACCTACAAGACACGGTAGGACTGTCCAAATCTCAAGCACATGAATCGATTTTTATTTGAGAAAGTGTATAAAAATATCCATAATTAATTTTGTCTCAACAACTCGAGTTATTGGAGTCAATCGTTTGTTGACATACCAGGTATGTACACCTACCTAGGTAGAGTGACTATAAATATATAGTAGCACGTACAGTTGAAAATATAAGCAGCTATGATCATGGCAAAGGTGGGGTCACGGTAACCGGAGATGATGTTCAACCGCCGCCGGGGTTAGCTTGGTGCAGCACTACAGTGTACACGGTGGCGGATAGTTTCGCCGTCGACATTGATAGAGTTCTCGACGTCCTGCCCAAAATGGATTCCGACGTCCTGCCTACCATCGACGTGAACGTGTACTCTCCCGATCACCATCATCCGGTGGCTTACGGGCAGCGGATATGCACCGACGACAAGAAGATCGTCCCCAGGTGCGAGCCGTGTTTCCAAGATGCTCACAGCCGCCTGGTGAGTGGCTGTCGGAGTTTATACAGGGTCGGCGGTCAGATAACGCTGGAGAAATGTTTAATGAGGTATGAGATCTACAATTTCGTATAACACGGGAAAAAGTAAACAGTAGTTTCTGTTGATGGGTTGGATTATTTTATGTGAACATTATAAATGTAATCCATGTTAAGGAAAAGTTCTCTTTTGTCGTAACAAAACACCTAATGCCACTTTATTCACGCAGTTTTATGCTCATTCACGATATTTGGTGTGTATAATATTGTGCTTATTCACGTAAGAGTGTCAGTTATTTACGTAAATGAAAAATCAGATTTTTTTCCGTTAATAATTTGTATTGGCTATATTTTATGGAATTAAAGTTGGATTCTTAATTAATTTGTAAAAATATGTTGCATTGATCATAATCTATACAATGACATCCATTTTTGATATATTTCAAAGTTTAAAATTTAATTTTACAATGGCGTGAATAAATAACAATATGCGTGAATAAATACCAGATTGCGTGACTAAACAATATTGGTTGCGTGAATAAGCAACACTTTTACGTGAATAACGCCAATATACATGAATAACGCCGATATGGCGTGAATAAATGAAAAAATGCGTGAATTAGGTGTTTTGATTCTATCTCAAATTTACGTTCAGTAATCTCTGATAAAGTAATAAGCCGTGGGCCCGTCACCATCTGTCACCCATCTAGATAATAAATAAAAGCCGAATGATGAAAACTGTTGCTCCATTTCAAATTTCCTGCAACGAGAGTGATTATAGGAAGGACATTTTGGTCTTCACAATTGCTTATTTTCTTATTTATTTATTCATAAAAAAGGCATGCACTGGGATTTGAACCTTGGTCTCTTTAAAGGCAAGCAAGGATCATAACCAATCAAACTAAGTATATTTGTTGTATCTATTTAAATTCAAACATACACGAACCTAAATTATGAAAATCATATGACTTTTTTAACGATTAATTGGCCACTGAATCTCCCGTAAGTACTTATTTGGTGTTTTAATACTTTAATTATTTTAGTTGTAGTTTAATACTTAATTTAAATTTCTATCTATTTTATAAATATACAATAACCCTAAAATTGCAGCCCAAATATCACTGGTTCGAATATTGCATATCGAATTGCAATATTAAACATGTAGAAGCAATATCGACTTCTTAAATTAATATTATTTTTCAGAATTACTATGGAGAAATTATATCTTTGTGCAAACTATATGAGACTGGTTCTTTTAATGTTTTAGTCGGGATAACCGCTACATTTTAAACTTCTTCATAATCTGGCATGATTGGATCCAATGATCATTATACAAGATTGTGTTTAATAGGGTGGCTCATTTCACCACTTTTTGGCGTGTTAATGAATTTGTAGGACAATGACAGGTCTACATCTACACTCATCACAATCTGCACATCATATAAATGTGAAATGTGAAATGAGAAAAGAGGGATTCCATTTCAAATTTGATGCGTACAGAGCAATTTTTTAGGGGTAAATTTAGAAGATGCCAGTGCGGTCGGTCTGTTGAGCACGAAAGTAAAAATATATTTTCATTTAAACGGGCCCAAACTGTTATTTGGCCCACTAATCGTGCACACATCGCCAATGCAGTCAAATTCGGGATTTTGATTGTAAAATCGTAGGATTTTAGGATTTTACTTAGGGATTCCGATCTTGATTTTACTATAAAATCGGTGGACCTTAAAATCGTTTAAAATCGGGATTTTGATCGTAAGAGAACAAAATAGGTGGTTTGAGCCAATTTAAAATAAGTATAATTGTTTCAGCGGAAAGGGCAATGGAATCTTCTCAGATATTTTTCTATTAGAAAAATATTCAAAAATAATAAAAATAACCAAATTAGGGTTCGGTTAATCTCTTTCCCTTCACCCCATTTAACTTATTGGTAAAACACCTGTCCTAATATTGGAAGTATGTAAGAACTAACATCATTATTAACTAATTAATTTATTAATGAATATATTTGTACCAAGCCACTAACATTACTTATTTTATTGGAGTTCAATTATTTTTAGTTTTAAATCATACTTAGTAGACGATGTCGAAATATTACTTTGAGTTAAACAACCTAGACATAACATGAAAATAAGAGCCAAACCCATGAACTATATCCCTTCATCATGAATTATTTTGAGTTACACATTAAATAACAATTAAAATAGTGATTTTGGAACATTAATCTTGAGAATTATCTTATGGAAAAAAAATCTTCTGAATTATCATTTTAAATGCTATGTGTCTTTGTGATATTAATAATTTACCTTATTAATATCCTTATATGCTATGTTCTATATGGTACTTAAAATCCTACGATTTTACGATTCGATTATACGATTTTGATTTTACCCCAGTTTTCGATTTTAGGTAAAATCTCGATTTTAACTGATTTGCCCATCGCAGCCTCTCCAAATCTTCCTATTCTACTCGCCGGGTCATCTCCTCCACTACAAAATATCTCCTCATGTACTCAAAGTTCTCACTGAAACCTAATATCTACAACTTAGGCGCAGAGGGAGCAACCGATGGATTGTAGCGACCCCCACTATTTTTATAGCTAATCAAGAAGAGCGCGTTTGTTTAGTTGTATGGTGATTCACTTAATTAACAATTTTTATTCCGTTGACAACCTCCTCTCCGCAATTGTATTGTGTTCACGAAGATCTGAAGGCGCAAGTGCAACAGGTCCAGGGGTAAACAATATGTATAAAGCGTTGGCCAAATTGAATTGAGTCATTCTACTTGGAATATGAAGATTTTTGCTTAATTGCTTTGGTTCGTGATGCAACTATGTTATGTTTGAAGGTAGACCAACGCAAACAACAGCACAGCTCCAGGGCTATTCTGCACATTAGGTAGTTGGGGCATTAATTGATAATTATTTGGGATTATTCCTACAAGTACATAATTTGGAATGTGCCTTTATATTGCATTGATTAATAGTTGTTTGAGATTTTTCAAATGAGTGATTTGACATGTTAAACTCTCTTATTTTTGAAAATGGAGTCTTCGAAGTGGAATATGAAGATTTTGGATTAAGCTTGGTTTCGTAACGCCCTTATGGGTGTTTATTCTCTAAAATGCAGCTGTCTTTCAAAGTGCCCGTTGCAAATGGCAAGTCAGGATACAACGATGGTACTGGTACACGTTTATATCATTAGTAGGTAGCAGATTGTGTCCATTCTACTATATCATTTAGCTAAATACTTAGTTGTTCTTTTCAACTAAAAATTATGCTTAAATGTTGTGATTGACCTCAGAAATGTATGTCTTTGCATTAACTGTTAATGATTGTGAGTTTTGGTTTAATGGTGAAAATTCCATTTATTTAGAAGTCTAAATTGGGCAAACCTTTTGGACAATAGGAATACCATACATTAGTGTCGTGGGAGGTTTGTTTGATGTCTCAGGGTTTTAGATTTTTAAGAAGGTTGTTTGTTGTGGCAGAGAGTCCTTAAAGCTAGCGAGGTATTCCTATGTGGGCTTTTTCTTTGTTTGACTTTTTCTCGCCTTTTTTCTTATCTCTTTTTCTATTTTTGGTTTTTGTGTGCTACCTTCAGTTGCTACGTCTTCATTTGTGAGCCATCTATACTTTTCTTATTCAGTGCCTAAAAATCATATATACTCGATTGCATAGTAGTTACTAATAGATACATTTATACCAATAGAGAGATTTTAAGTTTTATCAGTTGTTAGTTTTAATATTTACTTACATTGGTTGTTTATGTAGTTTTCTTTGTAATATTTCTCATTATACAACTAATTACTATGGCTACGTAGTTGTATAAGTGGGGGTTGGACATGATAGTTCTTAGAAGCATCAATACTTGAAGGTTATTATAATGACCAAATTCTAAAGTTATGGTTTGCCTTCAACTTGCTTGGAGCATTTCAATTATGCATCAATTGTTCTCTCCGTGTAGTTAACTCTCAGACAAATCGAAAATCTTGCTGATATGTGCTTGATTGTAGTTAAATTTAGGGTTCTACTGCATTGTTGCTTTACTCTTTTTTCGTAGTTGAGTCTGCTTCCAAAAATTTAGTTTGATTTTAGAAAATTTTGCTTCTGCAGTCCTGTCTGAGGCGAAGGCTATTTTTGTGTTGTTGTTGCTGGTTTAGGGATCGGTTTGTGAAGAAGAGGGAGAAGAGAGGGGGAAAGGGAAATGCAGGAGAGGGGGATAACTCTTTTCTCCGACAAAAATGGAGTGAAGAAAGGAATTATGATCAGTAAGAATATGGTTATCTTACACAACGGTCTCTATTCTGTTTGAATTGAGCTTGAGAGGTAGTGATAAGGACGAGCTGCAACCAATTCATAGTGAGAAGAGAGCTATGAACTGTGATCATGTCTTATTTCAAGTTAGAAGGTAGTTTCAGAATAAGGATTATTTAATTTGACATGTTGTTTCGTCCATGATTCTTGGTAGTTTCAGTGCCATTCTAGCCAATGTTTAGTCTGTAATTTTTGAGAATTGATGTGCGAGTAATGACTTTCACTTAGCTTCAACTATTATGTGTGTATTTATTGGCATGTGATAGAATTCTCTTTTCCTTTTCATTGAATTCATTTTCATACTCTAATTGTATTATTTGTACATAGGCAAATCATGCTCGAGATGGCAACTCGCTGATATGGCTGGTGCAAGGAATGAAGCCATCATTAGAATTCAGACCGACAACGGGGAGGGATGCCCAGGACTAATTCAATGATGATTGATGATTGTATAATAAAAACTGCAGTCTGCATCAGCATCAATTTCTAGGCCTAAGTAAAGGTATTCAACCCAGAACTCTGCTTAGCGCTAAAAATTGCCCTCACCCAACCTTGATCCTGTTTGACCCACTACTGAAGAGTCAAGATATATGACTAATCCTCCCCGTTCGTATTTTCTTATTGACTCTTTCTGACCCTGTAGGTTGGGGCGGGTCGGGAAGAATTGGATTAGTGGGTCGGTCCTAATCAAGTGGAATCCCAATCCCTTCACTCTCACTTGCTTTCTCTCCCATTCCACAAGTGGGTAACATACAGTAATTCGGCCAACGGGCCGGGTAATAAGCTAGTGTAATTATAGGCTCAAACCTGAAGGAGCAAGCGCCAGGTCCATCCTTTCGCAACTTTCTTTTATTTATTTATTTATCGTCACAAAACCTAGTACCAAGCCAAATCCTTCTCTCAAAGGCCCAGCCTGATCATCTCCTCTTAGCTCTCACTGGCATCGATACGAGCCCAACACAGGCCCAACTCCTTTCTCCTTTCTTCGATTGCGGTTAGAGCAATGTTACCAGAACCAACCGAAGTTTGAATCGATATTACGAATGGTTCATATTTTATTGATTTAATTGTTACTAGATCATAAAAAAAAATTATTAATGAATCGGTGCCTAATAAACTATAAATAGTGTAAAGACTACACATTTGTTAAGCATCCCGAATCAAGTACTCACCAACGAGAAAGAAAGAGTTGATTATCAAAATTAACCCTCAAGAGTGTGGGTTTGCCAATTGAAACTTTTAGATATAATGATTTTATTTGAAATTATTAGTTTTGCTCATCAAACTGCATATGTAGCCTATTATGACAATTTTCCTAGTACGTTGTAGAGTACTTTGCTTAATTCATTTAGCTATTTGTTTAATGATTTTATTTGAAATTATTAGTTTTTTTATTGTGTAATTCATTTAGCTATTTGTTTTAAAGGCAGGATAAGACATCTAAATAATTTAGATATGAACGTTGTAGAGTACTTTGGATAAACTCCGACTCGTATATTATCATGGATGTATATGACTAGCTAGTATGATCTTTTTATATTATCTTGATATCTCTTGGGGGAAAAAATGATTTTTTTTATATTTTGTTGGCAAATTCGTTCAGTTATATCATATATGCCTATATTTAATTTTATTGACATGTGTTTTAAACAAACTTATACATCCCTTTCATCTTGAAATTTCAGCCTTTCCTGAGTTGGCCAAATGATAAAATCCAAAATAAAAACTATTTTTCAAAAGGCAGTCACATAGGCATCTCCGGATTAATTTCTCACCGACGAATAAAAGAGTTAGATTGTAAAATTAACAATCAACTAAAAGACATATTTGTTTGTTAATTGAAAATTCAAGATTCAAGCATTTTAATCGTTTGAAATTAAAAGTCGTTTTGCTCATAAAAAATCAGAGCGTATTCTATTATTCCAAGTACTCCCTCCGCCGTCCCTATTTTAGTCCCATTGGATTCAGCGGAAAGGATCAACCGTTCGAATGTGAAAGAAAAAGAACAAGACCGTTAACCATCTCGGCATCTAACCGTTCAATGATAATATTCACTTGTTTATAACATCAAACGAGAGCCGCGAGCGTACGCAAACAGAAACAAACGATAAGTAAAAGAAAACTTAACAAACAACGAAACTTGAAGATATATAGTTACGTACGCAAATAGGTAAGTGATAAGTATACAGATTGTTGGGACTAACACGTTTTTCACATGCTATAGAGCTGACTTGATCAATCGTTTGTATGTTCAAATCTCCACGTTCCCAATATTAACAGTTGATCAATAACCTACAAGACACGGTAGGACTGTCCAAATCTCAAGCACACGAATCGATTTTTATTTGAGAAAGTGTATAAAAATAATCGGGGATAAGAATTGCCTTTTACTATTATATATTTGGATCTAAAACACAACAACAAATGAGTTTTAGTCTAATTGAAAATATTTTTATTATAATAATGACAATGTCTCAAGTTCAAATCACATCGACTACCACTTAAATATTTTATGTCCTCGTACGCAAACTACTACATGATACATTTCACAAATTTTTAAGGTATCCCGCTGCTGCATAATTTTTTTTTATACTCATGCACAAACTATTTTCGGAGGTTGGATAATCATTTTTCCAAATTTTAGAGGTGTCTCCATAGATCCGCCATTGAGTATGACCAGATAGTATGATTCTTTTCATATTTAGCTCCAAATTCGTTTAGCTATAAACATATTTTTCAAATTTTGTATTTTTCAAATTCTAAAAAAAAACGTATTTTTCAAATTTCGTGATGACGTATTTTCATTAAACTTATACATGAAGCAGGGGCGGACCCAGGGGGTTTTAGGGGTGTCCCCGGACACCCCTAAATTTCGGAAAAATGATTATCTAACCCCGGTGGTAATTTACGTATAGAAAAAAAATATAATTGATAGTGAGGGACGCCCCTGAAATTTGAAAAATGATTATCCTACTGTCATTTGTGTATAAAAATATAAATGGTAGGTTGGATAATTCAAATCTAGAACACTATTTTTATTATTAATAAACTTAATTTCCGTTGAGCTACAACTCATTTGTTTTTCGATTTTGAACAATGTGTAATAGTAAAAAGTCATTCTATATCTCTAATTATTTCAATCTAAACTAATTTCAATCTAGCCTGAATTTGTATTGATTTTATGATTGTACGACAAGTGTTGAAGAGTCTTTCAGCTTTGGGTTACATCAAGAACAAGTTTACAAATCGAATATGCGATAAGTTCCTGAATGATTGGCTAGTAGTGTATATGGAGAATTTTTTTTTAACACTATAAACACCAAGTGTATTCTACAATTATTTTCGAATATGAAAACACATCATGGACTTTTTTAACCTGTACGAGTAAGGTATTTTCATATTTACGATTTTATATTTTGTTAATTATTTTTATTTAATTTATTTTTTAAAAGAGGACACCCTATAAAAAATTTCTGGGTCCGCCGCTTACATGAAGTCCATCCAAGATTTCCAGCCTTCAGATTCTGCATACAAGAAAATGTCAAAATGTAACAAGATAGGATATCAGGAAAAAAAAAAAAAAGGATCAACCGTCCTCATATGAAATAAGGAGGAAAAAAACAAGACGGTCCTTTGATCATTTCGTCGCCAGCCGTTCAAAGATTCACTGTTTATTACATGACAACAACGAACGAGAGTCGTGAGGGTCGTAATTCCTGCACAATCATGTTAGCATTGCCGGCACGGCATGCAAGCTCAACGACAATAGTATTCCTACAAAACTAAACTTGAAGAATTACATCTGAGGTTACGTACGTCTACGTACCTACAGCTCATGTGACTATATATATAGATATATTGGCACCTACATAGCACGTACAGTTAAACACGTTGAACAACGTAATTACGAGCTAGCAGATCGATCGAAGTTGATTAGATCGATCGAGCTGATCATGGGGAAACATTCTGCGAGTGCGTTTGTATTACTATTATTATTATTATATATAGCTGCAGCAACCGGAGATGGTGAGTTCCCGCCGGTGGGGACACCCTTGTGCAGCCAACAAGTGTACACGGCGGCGGATAGTTTCGCCGCCGACATCGATTTAGTTCTCAAGGACCTGCCCGGGCTGGATTCCGAGTTCCTGCCCACTATCGACGTGAACGTGTACTCTCCCAATCACCATCATCCTGTGGCTTACGGGCAGCGGATATGCACCGACGACAAGAAGATTGGCGTCATATGCGAGCCGTGTTTCGCCGACGCGCTTAGCGGCCTGGTGACCGACTGCCGGAATAACCACCTGGCTGGCGGTCAGATAACGCTCAAGAGCTGTTTCATGAGGTACGAGATCTACAATTTCATAACACCCTAAAAAAAGCAGTAATTAAAGCTTGCCCTAGCTAGCTAGCTGCGGGTGGAGTGAAATCTTGAGAAAATAAAACAGCTAGTGATCATGTTTAAGTTTAGATTGAAGGAATGATAGTTTTGTCAAAATGTTTCCGATTTGGTGAGCAATCTCTTATTAAAAAAACTAATTTGTTAATACTTGATGTGGGTTTTGATGAATTTAGATAGTACAATCTCACTGGGATCAATTGGACCACACATATGTTCAAGCAGTATATCAGCCTAATAATTTGTCTACTTTTGAAATATATCGTATTCTAAGTGATCTCAGTCTTATATCGCAAACACAATTTTAGGATCAACAGCAGGACTATTATTATATTTGATTCGGTTCGGCTCGATCTAAATATCAATTCAGCCTTTTTTTTAAGTATTTATAAAGTTCTTTGAATCAAATATCGGAATGCACTATATCCGAAAATACGAGAGCCGAACAGATGTGATCTCTTCACCCTTCTTAATCAAGCAAGAGGACAGATAACGTACTCAGCTCAGCTAATGGGCTCACGAACTACACTACTGGGGATTTGTGGGCTAGATTCCTGGGCTGGGCCAATTTATACTGCATGGACGGGGAGAAGGCCCACGTGAACTTGTTTGGGTAGTGCCTTCGTGGCGTGGGATGGAGAAAAGCGGCCCAATAGTAGGAGCTATTTAATTGGTTGAGTTATCATCAACTTGTAGTTTTCTTTTGCTTACTCCAACTCAATAATCCGATGATTATAGCTAAGTGCCTCATAAAATGTGTTATTATTCGGAAATCATGCTTTGTATGATGGATGATTATTTTTGTTTGAATACATTACAGGTATTTGATTGCTAGAGCTATTGCTTGTTGCTAACTCTATAACAAATTTGATAGTATAGTATAGAGTTGGACTTGTTTTTTTTTTTTTTTTAATACCTTATTTTGGCCCGAACTATGACCATGTAATCAACTTTGACCCGTGGTTTCAGAAATTAACATCATGGCCTCAACTATGCAGCATATAGACTCAATTGGCCCGACACATAGTTTGACTGTCAATTTAGACGGTCAACTCCATTGACCGTTAGTCAACACGCCATGTCATTGCCTAGTCAGCCTAGAATTTTCCCCACCCATTGATGAGACAGAGGCCCTAAGAAAGATGAGATAGAGGCCCAACGGTCACGGCGGTTGGGCTTGGCTTAACGGATGCCCTCTCATCGGCTGAATGTGACTCGAAGGGAGCGTCTATGGGCATTTGTTCTATATAAATCTGGAGTCTTGATGTTGGTACCGGTCTTGGTAGTTTTATTTCGTGTTTGTAAAACCGTTTCGTATTTTATATTTTGATTGGAAAATTTTCTAAGAGTAATTTTAAGTTGATAAGTAATCTTAAGCGATATGAACGGTTGAAGAAGATTAGGGTTTGTTTGAGTAAAGGTCCAGCTTTTCCCTCGATTATGAAGATTAGCTAGGGTTCGTTCCAAATGATATTCAAGTGTTAGCGTGTGAAGACAGAGAGGGAAATTTTTTTAATTTTATTTGAGGTCTTGATGTTCGTATCAGTCTTGCTTCTAGTTTTATTATTTGCTGTGCTCTTTCCGATTGGTTGGAGTAAAGCTCCAGCTGCTCCCACGATCACGAGGATAATAGTTTTAATTAAACCAGATTCTAGTACAAGTTGGGCTTGCAAGTTGAAGTTGGTGGTTGGGTCACTCCACTTTATATTGATGCTGATCAGTGATCACACAAGTTGACACCCATTTGTCGGCTAATCGTGTACGCTAATAATACACAATGGCGGCTCCTATTATATATGGGAGACTTTTATTGTAATACTATGATAAAACTAGCGGTATTACATATTTTGAATTAACTGGATTTTGTGGTGGAAAATCTACATTATAGTGAAGTTCAAATCCTATATTTTTAAAACTTTTATCATCATAGATGTTACTGCTAAAATGGTTTCAAAAACCCGGTTAATTCGGTTTAATTTAACCTGATCAAACCGTTTTCCCACCCCTACCATATTTGGGTCAGACTCGTATGCACCAGTTACTCCTGGTGAGATATATCTATCTAAATCATGGACTAAATCGAGGTTGGGGCATGATACTATACGATACCCTAACTTCTAATGGATTAACCCTAGGCCTTGATTCTCTCAATCCAAACTCGAAGTTCAATTGAAGATAAAAACAATAATTGACCGTCCAGATTAATCGGAATCATAGATAGATATCACTAGAAGTATGTAGAGTATTGTATACTCCACTGAGTATAGCAGTCTTATCCACATATATGTATATTACATATTGATGCGAGTAAAGTTGGTTATGAGTGGTTGGAGTAAAATTATATAGGGTGCGTGATCAATTCCACGTTACGTTGAATGCTTATCGGATCGGTGAGGTAGAGTCTTCTGTTGACAATTGACGTTAAGTGTTCTCCGATTGAATAAGTACCAGGTAGGAAGAATATACACTACCTAAGTCTTATCTACCGGGCCAGATTTACCCAAATAAATGTGGGTGGATAGTGGATATTGGATATGGAGCCTCAACTCAACTGGGCTGTTTTTTTAACTGGATATATAGATATCAGGACAACAAATCGATCCTTTTGGTGGACCCTGTAATTAACAGCTGGCCTTGTTTGGCGCAAGGAGGAATGACGATCCAGTAAGAATCGAGAACACCAACAACTAGGCCGGCAAGTTGATCCATTCAGTCCAGTTGCGGTATATAATAATAATAATAATAATAATAATAATAATAATAAATGTACGTGCGGAAATAGTGGAGATGCATACACCTTCAAATTCAAGGTTGTCAACCCGCAGGTCGACCCACGGGTTGACCCATTTTGACCCTGATCCGATGAGAAAAACGGGTCGCACGCACCCGACGGGTCGACCGCCACAAGGTACCGGGTTGAAGGTCAAATTGTGTCATTTTTTTCTTTGGTTTGCGAAATGCGCCTATTTTCCGATTTTTCTTTTCGCCTATCTCAATCTTTGGAATTCTAAGTTGAACATTTGAATATTAATGTTGTATAAGTGTGTGTGAATTTTCACTATATGTTGAATCTAAGTACGAAATGTTATTTTGGTGTAATATTATATGTTATAACTCATATGTTAGATGAGATTTGATATAATTTATCAGGATAAGTACAATATAGTGACGCTTTCCATATTTCCGGGCTAAACCGGGCTAAAACGTGTGACCCATTAACCCGTGACCCACTAGCTCAACCGGGTCCGGGTCAACCCGCGGGTTGACAACCTTGTTCAAATTCCTCGGCTCCTCTACTCCTCTTCGTCATGGACGATATATTAACAGTACTATCGTCTATCTATCTATCCCCCACATATCGCATATCGGCATCTAATCTTCCTCCCGTTCCTCGTCTTCGTCATCCATTGCGTAGGTCTTATTCATATTATATAACTTGTGTATTTCCCCATCCATTTCGGCAATCTAACTCCTGAGCATGGGAGTCGACATGATACTATAGCGCGCAGCGGCGGCGGATCCAGAACACAATAACGCACTGGGCCGCAATTCATTAGAAATTAGATATCGTAAAAAGGATAATGGAGTCTACATCCATAGCAATAGTATGCTTTGTTTCAAATAAAATACTTGAGCAACCGAGGAGTAATTCATCGCTCATTTTTTTGGGCTATTCAGTTTTCACAGTTTCATTGTTGATAAGGTTTTGGCCGTAGTAGCTGTGGAAACGGACAACGTCAACACTAAAATCAACCGACTAATCAATTTCCATTATGTGTCCATCCCTATATCCAACAGCTGCTCTAGTAAATTTTCAATGGAATAAATCTCATATTTCTTTTATTAATCTTTTACGCTTTAGAATTTTAGGTTCCGTTGTTTTTGTTTAAACGAAAATATTTGGGACTAGAATTTATAAGCTAAATTTAGACTAATTATTTGAATATGTTCATACGAATTATTTTTCTAGTTATACACAATCTTATTATAAAATAACATTAAACCGAATGTCTAAAATCAAAATATTTATAAGGACTATACTTAACGTAACTTTGAATCCAAAGAGTTGGCCAACCCCTGGATCCGCCATTGATAGCGCGGGCACCGGGTGGGTCAGGACGAATTTAGTCTAAAACGCAACAGATCACCTGTGCATTAAAAAATCTGCAATAATATTTGTGACCGGTTATTCCTCAATATTTTCTTCCTATGATGTTAGGTGGGTGGCATATGGGTTAACCCGGAAACAAACTAATTACTTAACTAGTTGTTTAAGTTGAGGCACCTCTTGTTTTTGTCTCTCGTGGCATTTCGGACGACAATAGTGGCGGAGAATGGATCGGTGGCAAAAGCGAGACATTGATGGTGCCGTCTTCGTATTCGGTTCGATTAATTGAAGTTTATTTTCTAAATAATCCCTACCACTTGATCAATCTCAAGAGTCAAGGCTAGGGTTAGCGTTTGTACGATGATAACAACTTATGTGTTAGTATAATAGTATACCTTGTCTATAATAAAGAAATTATACGTACCAACACAAAATCAAAACAAATACCAACACAAAATCAAAACAAATAAATGTTAAAGAAATTATGCCAACACATATAATCAACACACAAATACAACTAATCGACACGGTATCACAAACTTAACAAAGCAAATTATTCAAAGCATAGCCTAGAATAAAAAGGATAAAATTAGCACAAGTGGAATCCAAACTAACTTTACATTTCTTTCCTTAATCAAATCGCCATTTGCATTTAACAATGAAGCTTCACAGTAGTTAGGAAAAGGGTAAAAGGGGAGGGACAGCACTGTAACTTCATCAACTTTTGTCGTCTTCTCTCGATCCCATTATTTACCCCACCAGGCAATACCTTAAATCCTTAATTACCTCCCTCCTTCAAAACAAACCAAAACGATTCATCACCTCTCTCTCTCTCTGTCTCTCTCTGTCGATCAAACTCCAACAAAGGCAACTTCCATTCCTCGCCGGCAACAAGAACCACCATGTGTGGCGGTGCTATCATCTCCGACCTCGTACCTCCCACCGCTCGCGGTGGCCGTTCCTCCTTCAGGAAGCTCGCCGCCGATTTCTCCTGGTCCGGGCTCAAGCCCAACTCAGTCAAAAACAACAACAACAAGCCTTATGCCAAGCCCGCCGTCATAGATCTCGACGATGATTTCGAGGTCGATTTCCTCGAATTCGTGGACGAGGACGACTATGATGTGGACGTTGACGTCTTGGCCGATGTCAAGCCCTTCGCTTTCTCTGCCCCTCCTCCTCCTCCTCCGGCTCGTAGCTCCGCTGCTTCCCGCGGTAACTATATTCTGATGCCATTTTTCTTCCGGAATCTAGGGATTGTGTCATTATGGGCGTTTTTTTTGTTGGCATCCATTCGAGTTAAATCAAGCCGGAAAATGTTTAGACTACTGCGTTTATGAGTTGGTTAATTGGCGTTCTGTGCAGGGACAAGGGGTGATATCACCATACTAATATATTCATTAACGATAATTAACTATTTGTTCATAAGCTCTATATACTAGTTTTTTCCCCCTTTTCTCGTCTGTTTTAAGAAATTTATGAGCACCAATTCGAGTTAATTCAAGTTTGGTTCAGCTGAAAAATGTTTAGACTGGGTTTATGAGTTGGCTAATTGGAGTTTTGTGCAAGGAATCAGGGGTGAGGATATTATGGTAACTCTTTTTCCCCTTTTTCTTATCTGCTTTAAGAAATCTATGATATGCTTTATGAAATTTCTGATATAATTAAAAAAAATTTGTGGTATGGTTTAATAAATTGGAATTTGGTCAGTTTAATCAACTCGCTAAGGACGAACTTGTAGTTTGGTTTGTGAGGTTTTTTATCTGTGTTAAGAAATTTGTGGTGCGCATTAAAAAATTTGTGATAAACTTTATGAGGTTTCCGGTATACTTCAAGAAAATTGTGGCGTGTTTTAATAAACTTGTGGTGTGTTTTAAAAAACTTGTGTGGCGTACTTTATGCGGCGCTTCCGGTATGCTTCAAGGAACTTCTGGCCTACTTTAATAAGTTTTGTTATATATTTTAATTAATTTGTTGTATGTTTCATAAGGTTATATTGCTCTACTTTAAGAAACGTGTAGTCTGATTCAACAAAATTGTGGTATGCGTTATGAGGTTTCTACTTTCAAGTCTATTTCTGGGAAGTGGGGTGTGATTTTTAAGAAACTTGTTATATGTTTTATGAAGTATTTGAGATATATTTTCAGGGAACTTGATGTTCTATATGTAAACTATAGTTTGATACCTAAACTTAATAGATTTTGAGGTATACATCCTAAAAAATATATAAATAAACAATTACATTTTAGTACCTAAAACGTTTATGCGTTACATTTTAAAGGATATAGAGCTGTGAAGCCCGTGGCATTCAGCGGTGAAGCTGAAAGATCCGCGAAGATAAAGAGGAAAAGCCCGTACAGGGGAACCAGGCAGCGTCCATGGGGCAGATGGGCCGCAGAGATCCGCGATCCGAGGAAAGGAGTCCGCGTCTGGCTTGGAACATTCGGCTCTGCCGAAGAAGCTGCCAGAGCTTATGATGCCGAGGCTCTCAAAATCCGCGGCAGGAAAGCTAAGGTCAACTTCCCTACTGAAGCTGCTGCTGCTGCTGCTGCTAAACCTAAGCAGCTCCCCACAAAGAGCAAATCGGGCCCGGACTATGCTGAACAAGAGTTCTTCGACTCTATGAGCTATGTGGAAGAGAAACCATCACTGAATTATCAAGGGAGCGATTCCTTTGATTTCTGTGACTTTGGATGGGCCCAGCAGGAAGGCCCAAAGGCTGTGTTTCAAGCTGGGCCTGGATCCAATGACTCTGCTGGTCAGGTTGCTGCCCAGGAGGAGAACAACATTGGGAAGTCGTTTAAGTGTGAGGGAGAGGAGGTGTTTGGGTTTGATAGTGATAAGTATCTGCAGATGCCGTATATGGAAGGAGGCTGGGAGGCTTCCCTTGAGAATCTGCTCAATGGAGATACAACAACGACGGCGAGGCAGGATGGTGGGAAGACAATGGATCTGTGGAGCTTTGATGAGCTCTTCGACTTGGCTGGAGGAGTTCATTGAGTGATCACCACATTCTGCTCTGCTGCTGGGCTGTTGTAAATAAAGGCGCTACAATTTTCGTTTGTTTTGTTTATTTTCAGTGGAGTATTGGAATGGGTAAAGGGAAAGAAGTCAGGTTGGATGGATGCGTATATATGTAGCCAGCAGCTTTTGTGTAAGAGTGGTAGTGAATCGATAACTAGTACTGTACTGATGCTGTTTTCTAGAAAAGAGGAGACACTTTTAAGATGTTGAATAATTTGACTGTTGTGTGTATGCCATAGGGTTGCAAATTGCAGTTCGAACTCGTTTATTGAAATCTTAGCTCTAGTTTATTTCTGATTTGAATTTTAGATAGATTCGTTAACGAGCTTACGAGCTCCACTCGAGCTCACGACTTATGATCAATCAGCAAGCGAGCTGTAGTTCAAGCTCAAACATTTTTTATTTATTTTATAAATTTTACGTGAATTGATATAATTTTGGTTAATCATAATTTGTATACCAAAGCAGTTTTTGGTTCATAATTTTTTCTTTTAAATTATAAATTAGACATATTTAGTCACTTACTCGAAGTATTAAACATCCTGTGTGGTGAGATACATAATCTAACAAACCAATGAATGGTAGACAAGTCAACTCACAAGTTATAGGTCGATTGTTCATAAGCCGGTAGTCAAGCTGCAGGCTCAACAACGACACACGTGAGCTAGCTGATCATGAGCCCAAAACGAGCTAGCTCGCGAGCTCAAACGAGACAATTCACGAGTTGAGTTTAACAGACCACCATGTCGAATTAGCTCAAAAACCATGTCGTGCGAAAGATACATAACACAACACAAACTCGGCTCGTTTTGTTTCGAACTTGGCTTTATCCAAGCCAAAGGTAACTGTGGGAGACCATAATGTGATGATCTTCACCAAAACCCAGTACCAGCCCAAATTGATATTACTGTTTACTAGATCTTCCGAGAGACTCTGCTCATTGGGCCAGATTAGTGAACATGGCGGGGATGTCCAAATGTCGATCGCAATCAGAGAGCCCAGCACAGGCCCAAGCATCTTCTCCTTTCATTGGTCTATTAATCTCTGGAACAAGTCTCTCACTTCCCATCCTTTTTCTGCTTTGTCATCACTCCCTCCAACTTCGATGCTGCGAATTAAGTCCAAAACTTGAATCAAATTAAAACTGATATAGCTTTCTTTCCATAACGATCGACGATTTCGAAGAGCACCGTTTGTCGCGCGTACATGGGAAGATCAGCCAGCTACAGAGTCCGGATATGAAGAAAAAGAAGACAGCACCCGTAAAGAAACATACGACAAGAAGAAGATGTTTGTTCGATTGGTTTCCTCATCTAGCTTTATATATATATATATATAGTTACACAGGTAATTAACTATATCCACACATAACATAAAGTTCTGATCGATGGGATTTGTGGCGGCAGGTGCGTTAGCGTTACTGGGCGTGTTCGTAATTATGAACACAGTTGCAGTGAGCCCGGCGGAGGACGTGATCCTGTGCAACACGGCAGAGTTCACGGATACGACGACGTATCTGGCCGTGAAGGACGCGTTATGGGTGTTGCAGGATACGGACGGCGATTTCCTGCGGAACATCGACGAGAATGTTTACTCCCCGACGAGAGCAGAACCGATTGCCTTTGGGAAGCGGGTATGTGAGAAAAAGAACGAGCTTTCGGGCGTTGCGTATTGCGAGAACTGCTTCCGTGAAGCTTACAGCTCCCTGGTGAATTGTTGGACCAACAACAGTGTCGGCGGTCAGGTGACGCACAAGTTTTGTAGCATGAGGTACGAGATCTACAATTTCTTGTCACCTTGAAATTACAAGTAGCCATTGAAGTCATCGTTGTGGCTATAAGATGATTTGAAAATCCCCCTACTGTGAGCTATAAGATGAGTAAAAGTCGTTTGTATGTAATTTAGTTAACGTTCTTAACCGATTGACATAAAAGTTCCGTTACGTCCTTGAATGATCATAGGTCCAGCTGCGATTCACAGTTACATATAAAATTGATTCATGCAATGACGATGTCGTATGGACACGCAATCCGACGACATAAAGACATCCTTAACTTGGCTACTCCGTTAGTTTTGGCACTTGTCCGTTTCTTCTAACCTGGGATTGTATATATAGCAATGAAGGTTAGACAATCAAATTTCGCCCGTCTCAAAAAAAAAAAAAAAAAAAAAACAAGTTTATGATCGGTAACATCGTTGATTCCTCTGAAACAGAATCACCAGCCCAAAAATGTGATAATAGAAGAAACTTTAGAAAGTGCCTGCCTAAATGTTAAAAGAGGTTTTTTTTTGCTGCTTCTACGAGGAACTGGCATAAATCGCTGGAGTGTAAATTTGTGCTGTCATAAACTCTAGAGAGGAAGAACTACGAAGGGAAGCTCATGTGTATATTTCACTATTATAAGGGTTCAATAGGAAATTTTCCACATTCCTGTCCTATATCCCACTGACATTAGTGCAAGCTCCCACAGCATATTGGGAATGCTTAAAAGGTTGACCTTGGAACCTGGTATTTCCGACCAGTTGACTGAAATCTCCTGCATCGGGATGCCAAATTGTTTGCACAGAAATACCAACTCGACGTCGAAGCACCATCTGCAGAGTCCCAAGACAGAGAGTGTCATCAGTCACCAGCCACCAAAGCAGTAGAGGAAAGTCCAGTTTGCAACACTTCAGGAGCTGACATCAGATTATTTACCTTTTGAGCCTAATATTTGTGAAAAGCTTCCTTGCAGCGGCCCTTGTAAACATCTTAAAGCCACACTGCATGCAGTCAATCTTTGTCAGGGCAAATGGCTGATATAGTGGACATGAATCAACCATTATAGAACTTATTCTAAACTTACCTGCGTATCGCGAATACCAGGCCCAGCAGCCAAGAGAACCACAACATGGAATCCTTTCATCAGAAAATTACGGTACCACTTCCTCTGAAAGATTAAAATAACAATATGATCAAAGAAAACAACAATGAAACATTCACGAAAAGCAAAACGAAGATACACGGTCAAAGCAGCAAGAAGAGGATCATAAGACTGAACTGTTGCCAAAGCCTTCTCTTCAAGATGAGCACGGGAACCAAATGCAGCTACTGGAATGTCAGCTATCCTAAATCCTGACGTTCCATCCTTAGTATCTTCAGCACTCGCAACTGCACGGATCTGATAATATATAAAATGTTGGAATCAAAACTGAATCACGATCTCTTCTATATATGTTTCAAGTGACTTCAGGGACAACAGAAAGTTGAAAAAATCACTGCCACAACAGATTAGGGACCTTATTTTCAAGCTTCTCCAGATCATTAACCTTTGTTGCTCCATCTGCATCCAGCATTAGAAGTATTTCACCACGTGCATGAAGCATGCCCTGGTTTAAAAGGGGTATAAGTGTGAGAAACTGAAATTCATTTTCTAGTTAGATACTGAGTCGACAACGGAAGATTAGACTCACTTTTCTAATTGCTTCTCCTTTACCATGATTTCGCCCAAGAAGGATAACCCTTACATTATCCACTGAGTATTTCCTTACAAAGTCAAATGCCACCCTTTTTGTTGCATCAGCACTTCCATCATCAACAATAATCACCTGCTCAGGTTCATATATATGTATGATTGAAGAAATCGGGAGGCATATCATCCATTATCAATAGCTAAATGTGCATTAAGATTAGAGAACCCCCTCTATGTGCCAGATCCCAAATATAAATCTAGGAAAATGTCAACCAGGGAAACTAGAGAAGCATACCTCGTAAGTAAAAGACTTGTCCTTTGCTGCACGGTTTTGGAGATAGCTACAGCGTAAAGACACAATATCATCTTTCATGTCATGATAAAGGACGATGAGTCAACATGAGCTTCTTATATAAAGTTCATCCCAATCATAGCAGATTAGAGTCGGGGGGAAAGTAACAGGCTTCAACATACTTAATTGTTTCATCAAGAGCTGCAGGAAGTCTGTGCTCTTCATTGAATGCAGGAATGATTAAAGATATGTACTTTTCGGCGGGATCTACCAGATATGGACATGGAACCTGAAAAGTGAAAAGGGTGGTTTACATAAGAGATGGAGCCTTCTCCGTCAAATTTAAGTAATTTAAGGGCCTATATCTAACAGTCAGAAAAATGACTCAAACGATCACGCTAATAGCTTATCCTAAAGAGGCCAGCTGAACTCTCTACTCTTCAAGCATACTGTCATGAAGACCCACAAAGCAGATCAGTTTCAGTATCCACTCAAATGGCATTCTTAAGATCACCTCAGTGACCATATTCGGAGAGGAAAAGGATAAAAAACATAACAAGGAAGTATATATCTTGTGGTCGCCTTGAAATAATTTTCTGTAGACTATAATGAAGCTTGAAATGATCACTTTAGGAATCAATAACGAGTTCTGTCAACCAAATATGTGAAATGAATCTGCAAGTCCCAACCTTTCACTTACCTAAACCAAAAGTAAACAACTTTCCATACTCATTGCTAAATCTCTGGCTACCTATCCTTTTCCTTTCAAATAAATAATGCCCAATTCCTATCATTATGTTTCAGGTAGATCCACAAACTCTGAGCACATCTCAGCAAATCTATCTTCCCCATCGATATTACAGAACACCAAGTCTTATCAAACCCAAGTGGCGAAATCTCAGACCAGATTATAAACCACTAAAGAGCTAGACCAGCACAAAGACGCATATCTATCCATCTACTAGTCTCTAGTTGCACAACAGGTTCACTATAGCCATAACTCAGATGCATAAGTCAAAAGCAGTCACGCGACACATTCTCCGAACCAGGTACTAACTCAATGCATTGTCAAGAGATTCTATCAGCTTAATGCTACTATGTTCTTTATCTTGTTCTGCAAAGCATTTGTCCTAGTCTACATGAGTATAATCTTATCCGATCAGAGAAGCATCATTCAACCAGTACTAATTCACTCTCCCTCCCCTCCTCGAGCTTATTGCACATGGAGATGCCAAACCCTCGAAGCTACATTCTCTCTTTCTTCCCTAACTCTCGCCCACCCCACTTCTGTCCTTCCCAAATTCACTTCAATCATTTTCCTTCAGCAAACACTTCCAGTAGCCCCTTGTAACTTCTCAAGCACCTCAACAATCATATCCAGCTGAAGTTCCACATCAACCGTTCAATTTCCAACGCCAAAAACGGGAAAATGAAAAAGGAAGTAAAGGAAAACGCCTTCCTAAGCAACCAAATAATGTTCTACCAAGACACAAGACTCCAACAAATTGGCAGCTGGAGTTAGATCAGCTGAAAGAACAAAGACTAACCTGTTTCAAGGAATTCGGATCCTCAAAAAAGGCAGGAGCATCAATGTGCCTGATAAAGATCAACCCCAATTAACCCATTACCCGTTTCTCTGGTACAAATAGACTGGAACCAAAATTAGGGATTGTGAACTCACTTGTTGTTGTTTCTTCTTCGGTAGGCTTCGAAGAACATTGCGAAGAGGAACGACGAAGCCAGGACGATAATCAGGGCGAAGAAGAGCTCCGCGATCATCCACAAGAGCTCCATTTGTTGTCAACCCTGTTTCCGTTAAGCCGTTTACCTACTCGATTATGCCATCGGCTGTAGCGGAAGCTTGAAGGCACCAAGACAAGATTTCCTTACTACGAGTTAGTTGGTGACTGTTGAAAATTGAAAACTCAGATCGGACCGCCGGTTAGCAATAACCTAAGAAAAATTAAATTTACATGGAAAAGTATATCATCCAGCCCGTCTAGCTCAGTTGGTAGAGCGCAAGGCTCTTAACCTTGTGGTCGTGGGTTCGAGCCCCACGGTGGGCGTTATTTTTTCTAACCACTGGTTTTTACTTTTTGGTGTTTGGCCCAATGGCCCCTGCACATTTTAGTGTTTGACCCCGGCATTGACGTTTGGATGATGACTAAGCTGAGAGGCATGTTTGGTCTTGAGATTAGAGATGGCAATTGGTTGGTTTTTGTCAAACTCAAAATCATAGATTTATCCGTGAAAAAAATTTGAGGTAAAATTTATTGGTTTGGAAAACTCAAACCCAACCCGTTGGATATTCGCGGGCTCATGTATACTCATGGAGTTTTGTCGTAAAAAATTAACAATAACAAGTTCTTGTCAAAATAAAAGTCAAATATCAACCCTTCAATACAAATTATCCATATATAAAACACAATTCTAGAAAATTGAAACAAATCACAAATTAACCATACAAATTGTTCAACACACCAATCTATAAAACTCAAGAAAATTCAAGCAAATCCCAAATCATCCATAAACAACATGATTAATTGAAAGATTCTTCCTCGTCAATTAATCTTCTTCACTCTACACTCGATAATATCAACTTCATCCTACACAATTAGAAAGAAAATATTAGATATGTCTCCACAAACATAAAGAAGATTAGTTGCTTAGAATACTAATATACCAAGAAAATTAATTATATGCGTGTGGGCGGGTATCCATGGGGCGGGTATACCTAAACCCAAACCCATCATGGTGAATAATGAACGGGTTTAAATCCGAATCCAATAACCCGTCTACACGGGTTTTACCTGCGTTAACCGGGTTGGGTCTGGTAGGGTACCCGTGAATTTGGGTTTTGTTATCATCCCTATTTGGGATGAAAACGAGGAGGATGGTATCGTCACATTCCTTCTGAGAATGAGGAGGAGGACATTTGATTCCATTGCTTGCGACGGTAGTTTAGTTCGTCCTTGTGGTCTGTGGATACTCTTGTTATAAGAACCAAACCGAATCAACGGCCGGGCTAGTAGAACTGTCAAACCAGTTACGATAGCGGTCCAGTTCATTGTTTGAGTGGTTATTGATGGACCAAACGGTTTTTCACGGTTCAACATAAATTCAGATGAACAGACACGGTTTAACTGGTCCATTGGTTCACTATTTTAACAAAAAAATATTTTAACATAAACTAAGACCATCAAATCATAATTATTAATTTTATATATGCTTCCTCAACCTTATTGTCGATTTTACAATGTATACTACCAACTAGAACCGTAATTTTTAATTTGAATTAACAAATGAGGTTTCTTTTGTGAGATGGTTGGAATGATTTATTAGATATTTTCGTGATGATATGAATTTGAACTTGTTTATGGTCAATGATAATTTCATTCTTAAATTATTGTAATATACAAGTCTTATATGTTATATATCATTAACGGTTCTATCAACGGTTTTGTAACGGTTAACCGGTGAACCCTTAAACCACTAATTTTTCCGATTCAGCCTCCGGTCCGATTCTGAAAACAGAGGTGGATACTAGCTCGTGATAGTGTAAGAGGAAGATGGAGACAGAGAGTGTACGAAGATTTAAAATTAATATAGGTGGCCAGGGTTATCAACCTGTGGGTGGACTCGGCGAGGAAAACGAGCCCAAAATATATGTGGGTCGACCCGCAATAAGATTTTTGGATTGGAAGACATACAGTGTCTTTTTTTTATTTTGGTTTGCAAATTGTATTTCTTTTCCGGTTTTCCACTTCAACTAACCGTACCATTGGAATTCTAAGTTGAACATTGAATATTGATATCATATAGTGTGTTTGAATTTTCATTATATGGATACAAACTGTTATTTTGGTGTAATGTTATTAGTCATATGTTAGATGAACTTTTATATAGTTTATAAATGTATAAACAATATTATAAAATTTTCATATATCAAGTCTAAATCAAATTAAAGTGCTCGAATCAATGAATTCTCAATCCACTTTTTCAATCAGACCAACATGCTAAATCGAGTTGGCAACCTTGTAGGTGCCTCATGTGAAAAAGTTTGTGGCTAGTTGCCAATGGGCGCCTTCGCAAAGCTATGATTCAAACCGCTATGTTATGTATGAGGAATGATATTGTCTTAGTTGAAACTAAACCACCATTGTTCAACTATTTTATACAATTAAAAATCATCTATCAATTTAAACTTTAGTATGAAAAAAATCTCCAGCCAGATCAGCAGTATGATACGATTTCACAATTACTACATAAAAAGAACGAAGTCTAAATTTGGTACTTTTATATACTATGGTGCAAAAGCTACATATATTGGTGGGCTATATGCTAGTGTATATCATTGCTGGAAAAGAAAAGATGTGTGCCCTCTTCTCAATCCTCATCCTCCTTTTGAACACAACCCCTGAGTTTTGCCTACCTGTTTTTTTCCACTTTATCATCCACCCTTTTCGATTTCTCCCATTCCCTCGACCTATAAACATCTGTCTGCTACATACATGGCGGATCATTGTAGTTGCCAACAAGCTTACAAGCCTCATCAGTCACCACCTATATTGATGTACGTTATCATGTGCATTATTAATCGCACCAATGCCCCCATCACCATAATTAATGATCCATGTGACATCAATGTCCATCGACTCCCACATTTCACTTCTTTGATTAAACATCACAGTCCTATCCATTCGCATGCTGACGTCATTAAATTGCACATCCTACAATTTCGACCAATAAGTAGACAAAAAAATCTTTATTTGCAAAACAATTCGATCCAACGAACTAATTAGCAGTAGCCATCTCGCATCTTGGCAAAAGTCCCATTGCAATTGTGAAGTTGTTGCAAAACAGGTCCAACTCGATGGGTTGGGTTTCCGGAACTTTCACTGTTTTAACCTCTCTCTGATTGCTAAACAGTGTTGGCGTCTCCTCAATGAGCCGGAAGCCTTATGGGCCAGAGTTCTTTATGGCCTCTACTTCCCGAATGGTGTGTTCTCCTCGGCACGAAAAGGTAGCGCCTCTTCGTGGACCTGGGCGAGTTTCTGTGAAGCAAGGCAGGCCCTGGATATTGGTGCAATTTGTGTCATTGGATCGGGGGGAGACCACTTGGTTTCACAAAGACCCTTTGATCTTTCCACTCCACAATCAAGGACATAAATTATCATCAAACCTTGACCCTCCCTCTCGTGTAAAGGAATGGATGAATGAAGATGGTACAAGCTGGAATTTTGACCTCTTGAGAAGACATTGTACAACTGAGGAAGTTGAGGCTATTTCGCTTATACAGATCGCCCCGGAGGGTACTGAAGACTTTTGGGTTTGGAAATTCTCCCCTAATGGAGAGTTCTCTGTCCGCTCTGCTTACCACGGCTTGAGGAACTATCTCCGTCAACAAAATCAGACCAACCATCATGACCTCATCATGCCTGCTTCAGACGACAATTGAAAATGGCTTTGGTCTCTCAAGCTTCCTCCAAATATCAGATTTTTCATGTGGAGATGCACCCGAAACGCTCTGGCGACCAACCTCAACCTCTTTTGGCGCAGATGTGCACCGTCTCCGGCTTGTCAGCTCTGCAGATCTGCGGAAGAATCCAGTATTTTTCGAGGAGCTCCACTGTCACCAACATACACTTCGATTTGTGCTTTCCGGGAAGCTGTTGAACCCCATTACACTCCTCGACATCCTGCCCCTTCTCCACAGCCTCAGGTTCTCCCATCTCAATCATGTCCACCGCCTAGCAATCTTCAACAGATTCACTGTGATGGTTCTTTTGAATGTGATTCACATAGGGCGGCTTTCGGAGTGGTTATTACCGACTCTAACGGGCGTATTTGCGATGGGAAGGCTGGAAGGATCATTTGTTCTTCCCCGATTGAGGCGGAAGCTACAGCCATCCTTGAGGCATGTCTTATTGCAACCTATGATCGTGTTCCCTCAATGATCCGTTCGGACTGCAAGATTTTGGTTGATACCATTCACAGCGACCCGGCAACTTGGCCATGGCGTTGTTATGCTACCCTCTCCTCTATCACCAGCATCCTGCACAGCTCTCAATGGATCCATGTCTCCTTCACTTGTCGATCGAACAACAAAGAAGCTAATTGGGTTGCTCGCAACTGTAGACATAATACCCTCCACGCCAATTGGCTCTCTATCTTGGTTGTAATTTCCAGCATGCTGTAGCTTCTCTGCCTCTTTTGGGCTTGAATGAATGAAAGTATTATTTAAAAAAAAGGTAGGGAGGTGTATTGACACACGAGCGATACTGGGGGTGGGCAACCGGTTTGGTAAACCCAAACCGAACCGAAATCGAATTAAACCAAATTAAACCGAACCGAAACCGAATTAATGCTATTCGGTTCGGAATTCGGAAGGAAAATATGGATAGTTCGAAAACCAGGGTTCTCTGACAAAAAAACCGAATTTCTATAATTGCAAGTTCCAAATGGTGGATTTTTATGTTTGTAGTTGTTTTAAGACTTAAATATTTGAAATATTTCATGACTTATGTGTTGAAAAGTTTGATTTTATCATTGATGATGCATATAATTACATATTTATTGTTTATATTAGGGATAAAAAATAATTAAAAAGTGAGAAGATACAAGAGATTTCACAAATTCGGTTTTGTGTGAAAAACGAACCGAACTGAATTATAATTCAGTTCGAATTCGATTTGAGGTTTGGGAGAATTCGGGGATCCGGTATTCATAATTTCGGTTCGGTCGAAACCGAACCGATCGAATGCCCACCCCTAACTGAGATACTGTGTTCGATCCTCCCTACTACAGTTGGAGCTTTGCCTGAGTAGTACATCTTCGATCAGTTATCAATAGTCAATCGTCAGTGACGACGGCGAGTACGTACGGGTTTCTTCATTATGAAAAAAAATTTATTGGAGAAAATAAAATTCAGAACGCCGTCACATGCCAAGAATTCTCAAGTCTCAAGACAGGTTAACAGTTTGCGCCAGAAGTGGAGGCAGATTACCCAGAAACAAAGCTAAGGTAACAGCTAACGTGTGTTAACTGTTCACTGTTGTATATTCCTTTTCCCTCTTTGACTGCATGTGATTGTCTGGCTCTGCACACTGTAGAACTGCAAATTGCAATGCAATAGCTGCAAGCCTCGACATTTGGTTCAGGAGGTCACTGTACCAAGCATCAATCTCAACACTAAATATTACAACAAAAACAGAGCTCTCAAGTCCTGCCCCTCCACCGTCTCCGCTCCAATTTCCAAGCCATGCCAATAATACAGTTTATCACAGTAATACTTCACAAATTTCAGATAATAATAATAGTAGTAATAATAATACTCCATTTTATTCACAATAATAACAGAAACAAAAACCAGAAGGAGTATTGCGGGAAACTAATTTTGAAGAACGAAAAGAAAAGGAGAAAAAAAAAACATACAACCATAATCATACCCTCCACCTACAAATCAACCAATCCACCCACCAATTAAAACCTCAGGAAGAAAAAAAAAACTGGAAAAATCTATTGTAAAATAAAAGGAATTACATCACCGGGAAATTTGTTTGTAATTAATGAGCCATGGCCGCGAGCGGCGGTACAGCGGCGAAATCAATGGATCGCTGGTTGGGCATGGCGAGCATAGCCGTATGGTCCAAGAAATCGTTGAGCGAAGCCACCGACTGCAGAACCAGTCTCAGATCTTCCCCGAACCCGCCGAACCCGGCGCTCCCTTCCCTCCTGACCGCGTACACGTAAAAAGTGATGCACCCTTTCCGGAACTTGAACCGGGCCAGCTCGCACCCGGTCAGACCGCGGACCAGCCTCCGGTTCACCTCCCCGAGCGGGATCTCGGCCGGCCAGCCCCGGTCCGCGGCGGCGCACTTCAGCTGCTCCGACTCGAACACGAACACCACCACCTTCGACTTCCTGGTCCCGAGTCCGAGGGTGAGGGTGTGCCACGCGTGGTGGGCCAGGATCGTGAAGTTGGTCGGGAGGAACGCGGCGGTGGTCGGGAGCGGCGGAGTGGTGGTCTTCTTTTTGTCGGCGGCGGCGGTGGTGGTGGGAGGGTAGGAGAGGAGCTTGAGGAGCTCTAGAGGGCGGGCGCGGCGGATTGTGAAGGATTTGACGATGAATTGGCCGCCGAATCGGAGGCCTTTTACTTCGGAGCTGGGCTTGAAGGAGTAATCTGGGGCGGCGGAGGGTGGGGATTTCACTGATTTGGATGGGTGCTGGTGTTTGGGCTTCTTGTGATGCTTTTGCTTTTGCTTCTCCTTCTCCGCCATGGCGGTGGTCGGACTTTTGCTGTGTGAGTTTTTTTTTTTTTTTTTTTTCTGGGTTTTGGTGGTGGTGGGTAATGGCGATGGTTGGGGGGGGGGGGGGGGGGGGGGGGGGGGTTTCAGACTTTCAGTGGATAAATGATAATCCAACCAATCTGTGGCTTTTTGGTAGTGTGCTGATTTTCTATATGCTTCCCTCCTATTATATCTATTTTTCTTTTCTTCTTCTTTTGGTTTCAGTGGAATTATTACAGTCAAAAGCTGGTAGAGCTTCTTTATACCCATAACGCATGAAGAAACGACCATCATAATTCTTGATTAATAGCTTAGTAAATGTAATGACTTAGAACTAAGTGTGGTTTATTATAGATATAGATTATTCAATTTGGGAACGAAGAGTAAAACTGTTTATTTATTGTTATTTTTATGAACCCGAATTGAGGCTCGAACTAGGATGTGATGAAATGCCATGATCTCTTGTTTATATTTTGAATTTCATTATACTTCTTCACTTGCTTTCACATGTGTATTGTCCATCTGTTTCCTTAATCAACTACGTCACATGTTCAGACTTCCTATATCCTTAGTATTACAGAAATCTCAAACTTTTTAAGTTGCCTTTGTCATCAAGATGTTCTTAAATTTATTGTGTACTAGTTTGGGTTATATGATGGCGGCTTCTATCGTGTATATCGGGTAAATTTAAGGTATCGCATGTTAGTAGTAAGAAAATTTTATATGAAGCTTTAATTAAAGTGCTAATTATTTAAACCTCACACCCTAAATTATAAAATAATGCATATGATATGTTGACGTATAATTGTCGGATATTTCTCATCAAATTGATCTTAGGGTTTATTATTTAAAGAAATAGAGCATAGATTTTACTTATTAAGACTTCAGTTATGGTATCATACAAAAACTACGATCATTTTAAGGTATGTATAATATTTTTCGTACTAAGTGAAGTGTAAGTGTATGGTACATCATATTTACCCACCCGGGTATCATTTAACTGCCCTGGGTTTATATATGTTCTATTGGTATACCAAAACTCATAGTTATACGTCATTGAGTTGTTATTAGGAAGAAGTTAGGTATGCTTTGATGAAGTTTAGTAATCTACTAATCTTTGATTCGACTACAAATTAAAAATAAGGTCATCATCACTAGTTTCTATTCCATTTCTTGACATTATTACCTTAAAATTAAACTGTAGAGGAATTTATAAAGGGAGAGGAAAGAAAAAGGCTATGAGTATAGGACGATGATTAAATGGAAATAATTTTCTTTAGAAAAGGGAATGTGATGGAAATAAGGTGGGGGGACTCGAGTACCTTCATAATTTGATTGAGAGATGTTAATCATGATGTTGCCTTGCGTCGCTTTAATCTTCTCTTTCTCTGTCGTTTCCAAACTTCTGAATCACTGAACCACAAACAAAAAAGTGTCTTTTCCATCTTTTAGTTTAGTTGTTACATCAAAATTGCTCGTCGAATTAAGTCTGTAAAGGAACCTGTAACCTACCGACCGCTTGTGGTTTTTGCTGGGGTTGAAAACACATCCATTGTTCTGCCCCAGCAGAAAGCGATATATTTATAATTGTTTTCTAAAAGATAATACAGATAGTGTTGGGTCTAGTATTAACCCGCCTAATACGGACCCAAGGCCACCACAAAACGTCTCATCTTGAGCCCAAGCCCATTCTAGGGTTCAGTACACTAGGAGGCGTCCAGTCCACCCGGGGGGCGTCATTTACTCGAAGGCGTCCATCACGGGGAGACGCCTACCCGAGGGCGTCCACCACCGGAAGGCGTTCATCGACGGGAGGCGTCCAGTCTACCGGGGGCGTCTATGACAACGTGAGGCGTCCACAGGAGGCCTCCGACTCCTATATAAGGAGGCTAGACCCTCCAAGCAAGAGGACTTCTCTCCCTTCCCACATTTTACCTCTGAGGGTTCTCTCTATAAACTCTATCTCTCTCTACATTCTCTACACTCTATCATATATCCTATTCTAACTTGACCGTCGGAGTGTAGATCACGGGGGCCGCCCCCGACTCTCCACAGGATTCTTCCACACCCGAGAAGATCAGACGAGAGAGTCCGGATCAAGGTTCCACACTAATCTCTCGGCACTAATCCGGGTCAAACAGATAGATAAAGAGAAATTAGGCTTGAATTATATTACAATTGATAACAAAAAATGAGAATCAAACTATGGGCAAGCTATCAATGAAATGTAAATGAGCAGTCATATTAAATCTAAAAAAAAAGATTAAAGGAAATAAAGAAAATAGGAGACAGACTTTTTTCAAGATGACCCCTCCAAGAACATGTCCAACCTCCGTTGATAACACTCATTGGATGCTAAGCATCCCTATAAAATCCTATAAAACGTTATGTCTTACAACCCCTAAATCCAATGGATCTCTAATCTCTAGATGCGGTTGATGGGTATCAAATGGTGAGTTAGGCGGATTGTGGATTAGTTCAATCAGATTCTAACCAACTGATTTAGGAGTTTGTTAGATTTCGAACTTAGCCATATTATAGGTTGATGAGGAGTGGTATGATTTGTATAAAAGGTAGTAAGACACAAAATTTTGGAGGTTTTGAACTCGTTTGCTTGTTGGATTTGAAAATGAGGGTTTTGAGTTTTCAAAACCTTTGGATTTATGATGGATTTGTTGCATTATGGATTTGGAAGAGTACATTGTTTGTGTAGTTTATTTTTGTCATAGATTCATGATGGATTTGTTCACATTTTGCCTTCCATTATCAAATCCCAAATGAAATGTGGGATTTGCAAATCCGTGGGGTCCACGGATTTGGATCTAAAAAATGGGTCCAAATCCGTGGGCCCCACGGATTTGTGTCCCTTAGACCATCAACAACCATGAAATAGCCTACCTATTTCATTTGTGGCCCCTGCTGCCACTTATACACTTTTTACAATTTCATTCTTTAACATCTATTTTATCTCCATCCATGAAATCTATCTCCAATTTCATATGGTGGGCCCGATTCACATAAACAATATAATTAAATAATTATACACTCTAACCAATTGAAATGGGCCCGCTTGCTACCCCACTTGCAATTTCATTTGCTCTTCCATCTAATGAAATATTTCATTATTGAAATGGGTTGCTACAACCATGAAATGGCAAATGACATTGCCATGTCACTTTGAAACAAAGAAGAGACAGCCGATGCAGCTGCTCTTAGCAAACAATGGACTTGTGCCAATTTCATTATGCTTGGGATTTGGGTACCAAATCCATCACCCAAATTCCACAAGCAAACGATACCTAAGTATCAGAATCGTTGACGAAAATGGTTCTCTAGCTGTCAATCTTAATTACTTCAGAAATTTTCACTTGCCTAAACTTCCCAAACAATTAGGGGTGAGATTCGGTCGGTAAACAATTTACCATTTACCGAATTTACCGGTTTCGGTATACCGAAGTTGGCCAAACTGGTTACCGATTACCGATACCAGTTTGTAACCGGTTTACCGATTACCGAATTACCGGTAAACGGTTACAAACCGGTATTACCGAAATATCGTGAGAAGCGATTTCGGGCGGTTTTTCAGTTGGTTTACCGAGTATTTACCGAACCGAATTTCTGAAAGTGGGGTGATGTTGTAATATTTTGATTTTTTTGAGTTTTTTCATCATTTTTGTAATTAATAATTTATTATTAACTCTTATTTACAATATTTTTGAGGCCGATACTAACATTCATGTATGTAATATTTTATATTTTTGGGGGTAAAGCAACAAAACGCAGCGCAACACTTGGGAGTAGGGAGGGGGGATTCGGTATCGGTAATACCGATTTACCGTCGGTATTTACCGATACCGTGTTTGGTAAACCTACTCCCCCAACTTCCCGCTCGGCTGCCGATACCGCCGGTTACCGGTTCGGTAAAATAGTAAACCGTTTACCGGATTACCGTTTACCACCCCTACAAACAATACAGGAAATCAGCTTCGTACATGACATATGTATGTTTTTCCTTTTTTTACAGGACATCAATATGCATGCTATTGCAATGAGTTTGCGTCACTTTGAAAAGAACATAGCGATCTTAACGGGGTCAAAGGCAGAATTTTTTGACATATTTTTATTTTCAATCGAGTTATTAGGCAAGAGCTTGGATTATAACTCATCGTATCACATGCTCACATTCCATCTATCAGATAAATAAATCAATTCTAACAAGCTGGCTATAGAGAAAGGACTCCTACTTTGTTAAATCATACTTCATACATGGTAAAACACATACGGTCTCAATTACAACAGAATTTGTGATGACATTGACAACCAGGGAAAATGCCCAGCCAGGCCCAAAATTAACTCGACAACCCAAACCTCATAATCGCAAAGACTGATTAAATTGAAACCTCCTCTTGAGACGATCTCGAATCCTACCGTTAATATTGTCACATCTCACATGTATTTACACGAGCCGTGACCTGCATACAAAACATAACACAGACATTAGCCTAACTCGATCAATTAATTGCTCAAACCAAATTAACCAGCCGTGAAACAATTATCTATTAAGTATTAACAAATAAACCGAGCGAAGAAAAAGAAAAAAAAAAAGAAATTAAACACTTACTTGGGTCCGAGTTAGCTACGACTCCGGTGCCGGCGAAATCACAGTTGAAAGGACGAGCTCCGTTGAGGCGGTAAAACGAGTTCATCACGAAGGACGCGTGGGACCTGACTTTATTGGGCCCGAAGCACGGGCCGCCGGCTTGAATGGGCCTGCAGTCCATGCCCTTCTGGCTGCACACGTAGTTTATGTTGGCTTGCAAAGCCTGGTCGCTCGCCGACGCCTTCGGAACGCACCACGATTTCTTCCCCGCAACCGGCGCCGGCCTCGACTGCTTGTTCTTCAGGATCCCGATGTCGTAGACCGCGCTGAAATCTGGGCGGAATAGCCCCCAGTTCCTCTCGTTCGACTGCCCCGGCTTCAGGTTCTCGTTGAACAGGGAGAAGATGTAGGTTTCGAATTTCCTGTTGGGCATCAATGGCGTCCCTTTCCCTGCGAGGAAAAGAAAATTGAATGTTAATTTCGTAAGGAACTAATTAGTAATTAGGGATACTACCTAGTATATTTTTATCTCAACTTTCAAATAAAACAGTTTTGTCCGAATTTTAAAAGAAATGGACCCATTTTACTTAAAATTTTGGGCTGGACATTAAAGTTGATGGTCTAACATTTCTTTCGTCTATTACTTAATCAATATACAAATATAATGCTGAGGTGATTGTGACGTGGCTTCCACGCAGCGGCTGATCCAAGGGGTGGCCACCCTGGGCCTCGGCCCAGCCCTCCCCTGGATTCGGAGTTAGTATAGTGTTTACGATTTTTTTTTATTTTAGTTATTCGGCCTAGTGTTATTTTATAATCAGATTAGGTGTAACTAGAAAAATGATTCAGATTAACATATTCAAATCACTACTATAAATTTAGCCTAGAAATTCTAGCTCCAAAGACTATTTTTTCTATAAAAAAATGAAATCTAGAATTCTAAAAGTGTAAAACGTAAAAGACTATAAGAAATATGAGGTTTGTTCCCTTGAAAATTTACTAAACCAGTTAGTGGATATAGGTATGGACACACAATGCACGATTGATTTATCTAGTGTTGACGCTGCTCGTATCAACAACTACTACAAGGAAAACCTTTTCAACAATGAAACATATGAAAACTGATTTCGTAACAAAATGAACGATGAATTTCTAGCCGATTGCTAAAGTATTTTATTTAAAACAATGTATAGTATTGGTATGGATGTGGACTCCATTATTGATGGATTCGCGAAATTAAAATACCGTCGTGTACAATTTATATTGTAAAATCATTATAATGCTTTATTACGGTTCTAATTTTTTAATGAAATGCGGCCCAGTGCTCTTCTGTGTTCTGGATCCGCAGCTGCTTCCACTTCATACATATAATATAGTATTTTACTATGAACTTTCACGTAAAAATCAATTTTGAATTACGATAGTATTGTTGAAATTATTAAAGAAATGAATAAAAAAAATTCCGTTGAATAGAAATGAACAAATTTGACCATAAATATTGGTTAGCCATTAATACTAACATCTCAGTTATCTTAGTTACAACCTATATTTTGTCTGTCAATAAGAAAAATTCACATAATTAAATAATGTACTAAAGTCCAGACTAACTTATGAAAACAAAATTAATTAATTTCATGTAGGGAAGATCTTACCTGAGGTAACGGCTTTGAGCAAGTTGCCGTTGAAGGAAATGGCGTTGTCCACTGTGCAGGCGGGCTGGTTGGGGTCGCCTGCGGAGGGCCAGCCGGTCTCGGCCACGACGATGTCGACGTCGGCGTAACCCATTGCCTTGATAGCGGAGTAGACGGCGTCCATCATGGCGTCGAACATGTTGTAGTAAGTGATGTTGGTGTGCGAATCGTGGACGCCGCGGTTGGGTCGGAAGAGGGCGTAGTCGGCGATGCTGGGGGCGTAGCTGAAGTAAGGGTATGGGTTGACCATGAGCGGCGACTTGGTCTGGCGGAGGAACTTGAGCATGGGCTCGAATATCACCTTGTCGTACCCCTTTCGGATCCGGGCCTGGCTCGGCTGCACCGAGTTCGATATTATCCCCAGCGTGTGCGGCGTCGACACCTGCGTTTTATCCATATAGTTGCATCGTTTTAGTACACGAAAACTTACTTTTCGTAGTTTGAAAATGTGGTCGATCTTTTAACATTTATTTACAAATCATATATTTATAGTCTTTCAATTCAATCGCCTAATCTAAGAAATCCTCGATTTCAAATACACGGATTTTGAAGGCACACTCTGTTTTACGGTAAAAGTTCCAAATTGATTCAATGTTTGTGGGAAGAATTGAAAACGCGTGGAATAATGGTTCTAGTTCAAGATCAACGGGGACAAATTAACAGACATCATTAAAGACACTAAACAGAATAATTAACCAGCTTTTCTTAAAGCCCAAAAGATATGGGCCGACGTGGGGCCTGTTTACATACCTGAATGTTGCGTATTCCGGCCTGGACAAGAGCGTTGTGTAGGGCCCACATACAAGGGACGAGCTTGGAGATCCAGAGCCTGTTCCCGGTGGCCAAGATCTCATTCCCCACCGAGATCCGGTTAATCTTGGTCTCCTGATAATACGGCTGCACGTTGGCGGCCACCCACTGGGCGGCGGCACCGGCGTCCGCGAGAGCAGGGATGTCGCCGTTGCCGACAGTTATCGTCACCGTGACGTTGGTGTTGGCGAAGGCGTGTATGATGTCGGGAATGACATCGAATATCTTGACGCTGTCGATGATGGTCTGCGTCGTTATGAACTGCGCCACCTGGGACGGTCGCGGGAGGTTGTTGGCTATCGTTCCGTAGTTCACCCCGATGGCGGTGGCGGCGGTGGAGAGGTAGATGGCCACGGCGGAAACGAGGAGGAGGTAGAGCGGAGCCGCCGTCGTCATCGTGACGGCTGCCGGCGGCGTGGGAATGTGAGGAGTTTGGTTCAAGGAGAGGAATAAGGAAGAGATTGGGGGTTTCGTATAACGGCAACGAACAGCTAGCTGTATTAAATAGTTTGGGGAAAACGAGGGTTGGTCTAATATTTATTTATAGGAGTTGGGGAACTATTAAATAAATGAATTATTAATCTTCTGGCCAGCGGGACAAAACAGGAGTCGCTGTTACGAACGCGGCTATTCCACGGATATGGTAAATTCGACTTTTTAACTAAACCGTGTGTGAAAACTAGATCGACCATGGATTTATTTCTTCTTTCTTTACCATTATGCCAAGTTGCGAACGTGACTATAGGGTTTGGCTTAAATATGTGCTTTAATTGAATGCGCAACAGTAGTGTATTTGGTGATAGTTTAATTAAATTGTCACGTACGGATTTAATATTAATGGATTGTGATACATATGATTCAACGATATATAAGCATGTGCTTAATTAAGACGCTCCTTGGAACATATTTGTAGTAAGTTTTCAATTCCACGTGGTTAATCTAGAACTATATGGGTGTAAATATGGTCTAAGAAGATGTGAGGCAGAAATCAGAATGAGAAAACGTGTGATTTGGGATTAGATAGATAGACCAAAGTAGCACACGTAATTAAAGTGAGGGGAGAGTGGGGACAATGCTACGGAAGTGGAGGACAACGTGGGCTAATGCTAATCAATGTGCTGTGTAATTTTGAACACCCAAAGAAGGAGGAGGAGAAGAAGAACATGGGCAGGGCGGACTAACAGGGCCGCCGCGTTGGCGCGTTGCTACCTCCTTTTCCTTTTTTGCTCGAATTAAAATTGGCACTGAGTTGGGCTTTGGACGTAACGTCTCTCTCCGTTTAAAAGCAAGGCCCAACTTGTTCAGCCCGGCCCATTGTTTACACGAATGCTCAAGCAGAGAACATATTAAATTCTTAATTGATGTTGCTTCTAAATTTTCACTATGCATATGCCAAAATGACATTTCAATTTCTGAGAAATCATGCAAGTACATCCAAGGAAAATAAAACCGATGCCCAGTTAGAGTTGGTACTATATTGGATCAATCGGGAATTTTCAATAACAAAGCGTACTTTTCGTATTTCACTTTAGTGATATTTTCCTTACATAATCAATTAAATTCGCTGATAAAACGAGATACTGTTGTATTACATAGAAAGGAAGAGTTACGTTTCCACATGATTAATTATTCGATTTTGCGGCCCTCGTTTAAAATCGGTAATTTGTAATTATAGGAGCTATGGAGATTTCTTCACTGCTCATCTTTAGTGTGGCCGGTATGCCCCGTGTGGCCGGTATGTCCAGTGTGCCCTGTATGTCCGGTGTGTCCAGTGTGACCTGTGTGTCCGGTGTGACCGGTGTGGCCTGTATGTCCAGTATGGCCTGTGTGTCCAGTGTGGCCGGTGTGGCCTGTGTGACCTGTATGAGCATCAACCATAACAAAAGTTGTTGTGGAAAGAAGAAGGAAAAGTGCAAGAAAAAGAATGCAGTTGCGACGATATGTTTTGTTCTCCATAATTAATTTTTTGTTTAGAAATTAACACAATGCTTCTTAGTGTTTCGTTCTATTATATAAATATGAGTTTATTTTAATCACATGGTGATTTTCTTCCAATAGACGACATTTGAGAATAAGTTCCTTGGTAGGAGTTTAGACAAGTGTGAAAATCTTGTCAAATGATGAGCCCCTTCTTTTAGAAACCACAGGCTTATTATTGCACGAGGGTAGAACTTTTCGGTCCTTTATCCCGGTCAAATCGCGGGGAGGAAAATTGGTAAGGCTATTTCCGATTTCGCAACACTTGGAACCAATATTCCCTATAAAAAAAAAACCACTTGGAATTGGAACCAATAGAATAGGCTGCCTTAAGTCTGAAATTGTTTGACAAAGAAGGCGGGGATATTTTTTTTTTGCATTGAAGGGAGGCCGAAGCCGCACAGAAGAGGTTACAGAGAAGAAGGTTGCGTCACAAAACGACGCTCAAAAGCAATACCCATACAATCATCAATAAGAATGGGAGTTAACGCCGGCGATGAATCAACAAAATCATGCATATCCGGGGGATAGACGAGACTGTGCTTCGAGAGCCAGTCCGCGGCTCTATTCCCCTCCTGATACACATGTCCAATGCTGACCAACCAATCCTGCGCCAAACTCCTCCGAATCGAGGCCAACAAGGCGGCGTAGGGATGAACGGGATCATGGCGACTCTTAATCAAAGCGATAGCCATCTGGGAATCTGACTCAATAAAAACACAAGCACATCCTGCTTTCCTGGCGAGTTGGAGACCATGGTAGACAGCCCAGAGCTCGGCAAGAGTTGCCGAGGCTTCGCCCACTTTAGCAACAAAGCCCCGGACCCACTTACCATGCTCATCACGGATAATGCCCCCAGCTCCGGCAAGCCCAGGGTTTCCCACCGACGCCCCATCCACGTTAAGCTTGACCCACCCATTTCGAGGAAAACTCCAGTGAATTTGCGTCTCCACCCTTTCCGGCTTGTATCCCTGGCGGCCGAAGTTCACCGTTGGGGCCTGCCAAGCTTTATGCCACAAAAGAGCCCTTTGGTGGATGGAGAAAACAAGGGAGGGTGCTGACATCGCCTTGTGCAGCCCCTGGAAACAACCTGTACACCTGTTCTTCCAAATAAGCCACACAGCAATACTAAAGAAACTGTTCCAATTCATACCAGAGTCCGTCACGTCCTCCTTGAGAATATTTTCCCGGAACCAATCTTCTCGGTTGCGGCTGAAAAAACTCTGTTGCTCCTCCTGCGGAATCCATCTCAGCCAAAAGAAGCGATCAGGGTAGCATTCCCGCAGCAAGTGCAGAATGGTCTCTTCATAGTTCCCGCATCTATGGCACATGGGGGACTCCGCACACTTACGGGAGTAGCGGAGAACATTAGTCGCAATGCGCCCTAAAGACACCAGCCACACAAACACCCTGACTCTCTCAGCAACCGGGAGCTTCCAAATGGTTTTACACATCTTCTCATTCGGATCATTCCTCGGAGGCAAGGCCAGGCTGTAGGCCGAGGAGGTTGAGAAATGGTCGTTCGAGGAAGCGGTCCAAAGGATGGTGTCCTCTTCCGGGGACAGGGGATCCACCAGGTTTGCCGTGATCTTTTGCAGCACCTCGACAGGCAGCCAATCCTCCAAACGATTGATGTAATTATCCTCCTTTAGTAATTAACTTTTTCGCCCTATCCTATGTTTTTTACTGGAGCGATTATGAGTTTTAATTGATAGAGTTATTGGTTTCAGTTTAAACCACGTGAATAAGTAACAATATCTTATTTTCATTGAAGTACCTCAAAGATGTTTAGATTAGTGTTATTTTACCGTCATCATCCTAGCGCAATATTGTTGATTTCTAAACGTCAAACTACTCTATCATATTAATGGATTGTGGTACTTATTTTGTTGGCCAAGATACTCGTTTGGTTTGTTTCATAGAACATTTATATTATCGTTGTGTAAACACTCTTAAAACAACGAAAAAGCGAAACAATTGCAAAAAAATCGAATTTCTTCGGCCAAATCCAAACTCATAAAAATGAATATATAATATGGATCGTTGAACTTTGGAAGCATAATACAAGTTTGAGACATGCATGATTGTTTTGCCCACTCTTACCAATTCTCTCCATTTTAGTCATTGATATAAGAAATGTGCAATCCACAATGGTTAGCCTTGTGAGGTTGGTATAGCATGAGTAGCATAAAATAGGGGGGGAAATCTAAAAATACAGGGGTTAGTTAGATAAATTCTCACGATACAACACTTGTCAAAATTTTTATCAAATAACAAGGGTTTGGAGCAATTCTCTCTAGAGTCAAGTGAACTAGATAGTGGTTCGTCTAATATTTGAGCGATCTATAATGGATTGTGCCATACAATCGTGAACCATTTTGAATCTACGTGGATAGCTGGAAGGTAACATGAACCTCGCCGCCCTCGCTGGTATGGAATGAATTTCCTTATAAGTTATATGTGCTCTCTACTAGTTTCTTTGTTGATTCGTTTTCCTTTTCATTCCAACGATTCAATGGCTTTGATGACAAGAGATATAAGGCTCCTCTTTTGACGTCTGATTGTGCAGTGTTTCTTCGTAGCCACTGTGACCGGGGGTCCCCAAAACTCCATTCGACTTGTCGTGGCTGGACCACCTACTAATAGTTGCTTTTCAATCACCGTCCGATGGAATTTTGTTTGGTTCTAATTGATTTTGTTTTAGGTTAATCATTGTAGTCAACCAACGTCAGCGAAGGAGAAGAGGAGATCGGGTAGAGATAGAGAGGTAGAGAAGTAGATTAAAAAAAAAACCTCTTCACTTCGTTTCAACATATTAATTAATAGGGTTAATAGCATTTTATACCCTTCTACTATTACAAGTTAACAAATGTGCCCTTCTATTATTGATTTGCACATTTATACCCTTCGACTATAAAAGCATAACAACGCTACCCTTCTGTTAAGTTACCCGTTAAATAACCGTTAAGTTGATGGAGAAATGACTTATTTATCCCTTTCCAATCAATTCCTAATAATTTATTTATTCTTTTCTTTTGAAAAGAAAGGAAAATAATTGAAAATAAAACTCGTCGCCCTCCGCCGCTCCGTGTTCTCTTTCCCTCTCCGGCCAACGTTGGCTCGACCTCGACGCAATATCCACCGCCTCATCCGGTTCTGGTATGTCTCCATCCACAACAACTGCGACAGCCCACAATCAACTCAAAGATTCCTCCACCGCTGAAGAGGAGGGGTACCACTCTCGCCTAGACAACATCCTGTTCAACGTCAAAAATCAGAGGCCAGAAGACGGAGATTGAGAAATCGGGGTCGTTCGCGAAGGAATCCGGTGGGAACCTGAGGTTCCTGGCAAAAATCGATACAACGCTTCCGTGTCTGGTTCGCTCGCACAGTAACTAACATTCGGCGTTGCTGGTAGATCGGGCGGTTTGGGTTTTGGGATTTGGTGTTGGCAAATTTGGGGACTTTACTATTTGACAGGTTGAAAGGAAAAGAAGCGAAGGAGAAGTGGGTTCTGAATTAGTATATTCATGATGATTGGCGATTGTCTGTTACAGAAGGTGGGTAGATATTGAGATGAAGCAATAAGGAGTTTGTTGGCTCTAATCCGAGGGGGAAGAAGAACAGGGGCGGGCGGAAGGCGATGGTGGGTTTAATTTTTCCTTTTATTTCTTGATAAAAAATAGAATTTAAAATTATAATAGAAAATAGAATTAGGGAGGTTAAATAAGTCATTTCACTTCATCATTAACAACCATTTAACTGAAAACTTGACAGAAGGGTATTCTTGTTAAGTATTATTGATTGAAGGGCATAAATGTACAAAAAATTAGTAGAAGGGTACATTTGTTAACTTGTAATAATAGAGGGGTACAAAATGCTATTAACCCTAATTAATAAGATAACATTTCTATGTTTCTTCTTCGCAGGGCCACTTTGAAGGGAGTTCTACACTATTATCTTTTTACCTTATTTGATGTTTTTAATTGTATTTATTTTTTATGGTTTCATCCAATATCTCAAAATTGTATATGGAAATTTCTTCTTAATCCATAATAGCTTGAGTGAGCATTTGCACAACAACAAATAAGCATGGTTCAGGAAACCGTACCGGACATCATACCGGTTTCATCTCTGATATGATATTTTGTGGTACAACCGTGGTTCAACCTTTTGTACAGTTAAAATATCGTTTTTAAAATAATTACATATTTTTTTGTCAAAATACCGTACCGGTAAAATCATGGTATCGTCCCGGATTAATACCGGAATAAAACCGAAAGATATCGGATTGTAAAATATTAAATAGTAATTTAAGTCTCTTGTGATCCTAACAGTCAATTGCTACTAATCAAATCATGACCATTGATTACATTACAAGACATATAAATAGTTAAAAACAAACCTCCTCTCAAACCATATATTCCATATCCTTCTAGTCTCTTCGTTTCTTGAGTCTCGACTTTCTTCCTCTCTCCTTCTCTTTCTGTTTCCCCTCTTGTCCCTGTTTCCCCATTTTAATTTTCTACTAGCAAGCATAATAAGAAAAACAGAGAGATTCCTTCCAACTTCCCACTTCCGCTCTACTCTCTTCAATTCTCTCTTACTCAATGTATTGAACGAGATGGATTTGAAGAATAATCAGTCAAGCCACTAGATCCGAGGCCTTTTGCATATAGTTGGTGGCGCCTTTAATCGATCTACTGCATGCTGTTAAAATCATTTATTTTTCCTAATCTGCATCATTCGGCTACTGCATGATGGAGTGGCGACGAGTGTTGCTACCGAATCTGAAAATAATCACGAGTGAGAGACGGATTGGATTTCGTCGGGGGATTTGATCGGCAACAGTAGTCATGGATGAATGTTTGGCGTTGGCGGCAGATAGAAGTTGAGGAGCTGGGGATTGAATTGAAGTTCAAGAGGAAGGAAGTGCTGGAGTGGAGCAGTCGAGGATTGGGCTAGGGGTTCTTTACTTTTTTTCCTTTTCAGATCAAATTTTTTATTTTTCTTGAAGGCAAACGATGATGAAAGAAAGCCTTCGATTAGGGATTAGAGTTTGGACGCCTTTTTTTTTTAATTTCTTTGTTCACATGTTCGTTGCATAAAACGGCGACTTTCTTAGCAAATAGCCTACCGCCGATTGGAACAAATCCGGACGATATTTCGTTTCCAATCGGTCAAACCGTAAAAACCGCCCGGCACGATAATTCTGCCACCAAATACCTGCCGTTTCGTTTCTGGCCTGGTTTCCGATTGAACCGGCCGGTACGATCCGATTTCCTGGTCCATGCAAATAAGGAGGCAAACTCAATTCATCCATAAGTACCCACAACTCATCTCGATATCATTGTAATAGCAAGCAAGGTTAAAGAAGATTATGAGCCATGAAAAATGAAAGACATTTTGTGGATCGCATGTTGATAATAATTATGGAATTGATCTAGAAAAGTGCATTATGTGTGACTTGTTATTGGGATGCGACTCTTTGTATGCCATTTGTACTCGATCACTTTCTAAGTTTGTATGATTCCCTAATTTTATTAAGTGACGTTTTAGTGCAGGGGTCAAAATGAAATACTTTTAAAATCAGAAATTCTTTTATGGAAATAATACTTCAAACACATCCTTGAGGGAGAACGACGACTTCCAGTTATGTGTGAGTTTTATGTCATTGTTAATAGAAATAATAAACATCAAGGTAATCAAGTGTACAAGAGTTCGTCTGGTGTTACTATTAGTGGACTTGAACCTGAAAATCTCAAATTTAAATTACTTTTTTTTATAAAGGTGAGCTAGATTAATAAATGTAGAGAAAAAAACAAAGTCAAACTAATATCACTCTTATCTAAAAAAGATCAAAGTAATCAAAACGAATGGTTTTTTTACAACAAATTCAATCATGTGTTGTACGTTATATATCAATCAAAATCAGTATCAATTGAATCACAATTCAAATCACAAATTCATTTTAGTGCTTCTACCATGGTATTAGCCATCAGGTCTAGTGCGGTTGCTATTGGGCATTAATCTATGTCGTGGCCGCTGTGGAAGGTGTCAACCACATCACGAACGGGGAACTGGTGCATCTTTCCGATCGAACAGGAGCTAGTGAATTTTGGTAACAAGAATCTGAAAAACGTTTCATGCAATTATTTGCTCTCAGAAAAAGAAATAAAATAGATATTGCTATTAAACAACCTTGATTTTATAGGGTGTAAAGACGATATTTTCTTCATGCTGAATAATTGATCAATCGGTTTTATTTTGCAATTTAATGACTTGAAAAATATTGTTCGTTATCATCTAATTAATCAAGCAACTAAGTTTAAAGTAAATCGAGATCTAAAAATTCACTTTTCAATTATGGAATACGAATCATCTTATCTCAAAGACCGGCCTTCGCATAATTCCCCCTCCCCCCCCCTCTCCATAAAAACAATATATCATAGTAAGTTAGTAACAACCATTTTTGCACTAGCTATTCCTCTTTCCCCAAATCAGTCAGAGCTCCTAAGCAGCTTCTTCATCAGTTTTGCTTCACGTTTCCATATCCTCATCCATCTTTCCTCACGGGACTTCACAATTGGCGCATGACCTGAAAGAACCCAGGACCAGAAGAAAAAAGAAAAATTACGCTAATTTTCTTTTCCTAAGTATCAATACCAGGAGATAATTAAATCAGTTCATAAATTGGGGTAGTTAGAAGGAAGAAACAAAAAAGTAGGATGGGAGAATGAGAAAATTTACTTGGATCGACAGTGGTGACGCCGCCAGACAAATTACAAGTGGAATCCAGCCCACCAATTGTCCCGATAGTAAGAGTTCATCGCAAAAGTAGCGTGGGCCATAACAATGTTGGGCCCAAATCACAAGTGGAATCCAGCCCACCAATCCGGCCTTGGCCACACACCATTTTATGGGTCAAATCCTAAAATCCCTAACATGACTAGCATTACTGACACGAAATCAATGACAAATTGTGAATACGGGTAAAGTCCAGCGGCATTCGACGTAGAGGTTTCAGATTCGCTTCCCGTGCTAGAATTCTCTTTCCCCTGTTCATCGGTAGAATCCTCCTTCTCCTGTTCATCGCTGGAATTCCCGTTCGCCTGTTGATCCTCTTTCGGTGATGAGCTCTACAAAATTAAAACTTGTTTGAATTATGGGCGGTTTAATTAATTAACCTCAGCAAAGTAAATTTTAATTTGTCTGTTGATAAGAAAGTATGGAAAGAGTTTAGGGGATGTCAAGTTGTGAACAAACCGGGGAAGATTCGGGGCTGGCGACGATCTCCTCTCCGGGGCGCACGACGCCGCAGTCATAAACGGGAGTCATATCGGGCTTAAACAGGCCCCAATGCTGCTCAGTAATTGGGCCGGGCTTTTGGTTCTCGTTAAACAGCGCGAACAGGAAAATCCCGATGGGCTTGTCGGGCACTAACGGCGTGCCGGTCCCGTTAATGTCGCGAGCGACGAGGTGGGAGTTGTAGCAGGCGGCGTTATCGACGGTGCACTCCAGCTGGCCGGGGAGGCAGAGGGTGGGCCAGCCGGTCTCGCCGACGAGGAGGCTGACGTCGGTGAAGTTGAGCCTCTTCATGGCGGAGTAGGTGGCGTCGAGCGTGGCGTCGAACATGTCGGTGTAGGTGATTCCGGTGGCCGGGTCGGGGATTCCCGGGTTGGGAAGGAAGAGGGAGTAGTTGGCCATTTTCGGGGAGTAGCCGAAGTAGGAGTAAGGGTTCACCATGAACGGAGCGTCGGTCTCGCGGAGGAATTGGAGCATCGGCGCGTAGACTGCGACGTCGTGGCCTGGCCAGAACTGGCCGGCGCTTGGCGGCTCCGATACTTTGAGAATCCCCATTGCGTGTGCTGTTGTTACCTGTCCTCAGAAGAACGAAAATTTGGATTAAAAATCGGTATTGGATGGATAATTTAACCATCTTCCCATAACCCTACTTCTTTGAAAAAAGGAGATACAATCTAGAAGTTATCACATTTGTATTTGGTTGAGAGCTATTTTGACTAAAAGACTTTTTTTTATGGATTTGGTAATGGATTTGAGTTGCAAATAATTGAACTAATTATGGACTTGTCTCAATATCAATTATTTGTTAGTCGATTTGAGCAAACTAAAATTCGTGGGGTCCCGAATTTTAATGTTCCAACTCCGTAGATCCCACGAATTTGTAAATCTCATGGTTAGAGGTGAGATTTAAGTGAATTCTAACTATCCATCATACCAACAAATCGCTAATGAAGTAAAATTTATAAAAAAAAATTCAATAAGCAAACAAGAGTCTCTTTCAAATCTAGGATTTTGCAAAACTCAGATTTTACAAAAATCATAATTTTTTAAATTCACGAAACAAATAACTCTCAAGTGATCATGTAGTGTTCGAATGTCCATGAATCCTAATATTAATAATTAATTAAACCACAAGGTATGACCAGTCTCTACAAATTTCGAATTCATAAATTGACTTTCATTTGAGAGAATACGTAAAAGAATGATATAAGTTTTTTTTATAATTAACATTCTCCCGTCCACGCCATCCGTTATTCATGACAGACACATTGGCAATATTGATCCTATATTTACGGCGGGTTATGAGATAATAACTTTACCTGAACGTCATCAATCCCGGCCTTGACCAGAGCTCGTTGAACAGCTTTCATGGCGGGGACGAGATTGGAAATCAAATTATCGTCGAGCGTGGCCATAATCTCGTTCCCAACGAGGACCCGGTTGATCTTGGTCTTGGGATAGAAAGGGGCAATATGGTCATTGATCCACCCACGGGCCTTATCGTCCTTCGTCAGAGACGGGATCAAGCCGTTGGGAATCGTGACCGTGACTTTAAGACCGGAGCCGGCGAAAGCGCGGAGGATGTCCGGGTCGGCGTTGAAGAGCTTCACGCTCTCGATGATCGTCTTCGTCTTCAGGAATTTGGCCACCGTGGCGGGTGTCGGCAGGTTGTTTCCGAGGGTGCCGTAGTTTACCCCGATGGCGGAAGCGGTGGCGGAGAGGCTGAGCACGGCGGCGATTAGACGGAGGACGAGGGCAAAGTTATTATGACGGGTCCCCATTTGTTTTAGTTTTTTTTTTTTATTATTTATTTTTGTGTTACGTTCTTCTTCGTAAGGAAATGAATTTAAATACTTCTGATTAGTTTCTTTTTTTACTATTTTTTTTTTTTTACAGATAGATCGTAGATGCGCCTTTATCTGTGGAGGATAACGTATTCAGTTGGTTTTCTAATTTGGAGTGGGTTGGCAAGGCAACAATAGTTATGTGCTGGTTGTTTGATTACTTAAGTCTGTTTATATAACAAATGACCAACACACTCTAACCAGTCTGAAATTTTACAGTCGAAAATTATATATGTACACAGGACAATTGTAACATTGAGGCTAATATGTATTAAAAAATTGTTGGGTAAATGTCTAAATATATCCAAACGAAGACAGAAATAGTCAAAACTATCAAATATGTCATAAAATAGCCGAACTTCGTAGAATATTGGACTATTTTAGCCATCTTCTCCAGCCACCTCACTGTTTCTCCAGTTGCCTTCGTCTTACAGGAAGATGTCGCCGCTGCCAGCAAGCCGCGACTGGTTCTTCTCCAAACGACGACTCTTCCTTCTTCACGCAGTCCAAATGTCGTCGCTCACTCCTTAATCTTTTATTAAGTGGCGTTTAGCTCTAAAAGTTGACGGTTAAAGGTGCAACGTCACAATTTAAAAATAATAATTTTTTTTTTCAAATTGTCATCTTATTTCCACCTCATTATCACTTTTATTTAAAATAAAGAAAAAAACATAATTTCTTCTTTATTCTCTATTCACAACTTCCCCCTCTCTCTCTCTCTCCAAAAAACCAGTGTCCATGAAACCGTACCGTATCGGCGGTTAAACCACGAAAATACCAATATTGGAGGCTAATCAATAGACGGTATTTACCGGTATAGCGGTTGAACTACAATTAAACCACGGTTTTACCATGAAATACCCTACCGCTGACTTTCCCGGTACGGTCTCCGGTACAATTTCATGTACCATGCAAAAAACACACAAACAACATTCCCCTGTTTCCCCGTCCTCTCTTTTACCTTCCTCTCCCTTTAATCCATCCACCAAAAGGACTCAACGTTTACTATAACAACAATAAACAACCCACAAACATAAAATGGGTACAATCATTTTCCAAGGCATCCAATCTGCCCGTAACCCCAGATGACCGAGCTCGATGTTTTTCCATACCTCATCGGACCAAACCGATGTTTTAATTTGAGCAATTTTTTTAATAGTTGAACCAAATTAGTAATAAAGAATAAATTTAATCCACTATTCTTAATGAAAATAATGTCAACAAATAATTAAATGATTTACAATTACATAGCTAATAAAATAACATAGTTAAAATACACTTATATAACCATAACTTTCACATTTGTCCATAACTATCTGAAAACACAAAATAGCCAATTTCGTCGATTTTGTTAACGATGTCAGTTGATGGTATGAATGGACAACGAAAGATGCTGAGTTGGCGATTGATTTACCCACCAACAGACGTGGATTAGCAAAATAAAAAAAAATTATAGATTCAGTACTTCCCCACCACCACCGCTCTCCTCCAACATCCTCCTCCCGACCACTTCCCCTATTTCCTCATCTCCCACCACTACCACCGTCGTCGGCCCCGCCCCGCTGATCGTCCACGTGAACGCCCCAGCCTCCAACGTCGCCTTCTTTAGGATGGAAGTTTGATATCGGTATTTGGGATATACCGAATACCTTACCGAATTTGTCTATTTTTTTTTATTACCGAATACACGCATTATTTTGTGGGATTGAGATTGAGATGAAATTTCAATTGTTATTCGGTATTAGGGATTACGGGATTGGGATCGGTATATACCAAAATACCGATCAATACCGAAATATAAGCTAGTGTATATTTTATCCTCTCAACTAGACTCGCTCATTCACTGCTACGCGACCATCAACCACCAAAAGTTTCATTTAATTATGCATAGATCATTACATCACTATTTCACACTAGTATTAGTCGTCTCTCAACCTCAAATTCGTCAAATTAAAGATTACCAATTACAAGAACTTGAGATGTTAGCTCTAGGCAACTCAAGACTATTTGCTTAGTCCCTTTGCCCTAAATTAAACAATAAAATCTAATTTATATATTTAATTATAAATTGCAAAGGTAATTAATTATGTATTCGATAATACCGACTGGGATATCAAAATTATTTAGGGATTGGGATTGGGATTGATTTTAGGGTGTAATTCGGTATTCGGGATTTCGGTATTTGGTATTGGGATACCGATACCGTACCGATTTCCACTCCTAGCCTTCTTGACAGCCTCCATCCCCGGAATCACCGGAGCCCTCTTCGGCTCCACGATCTTGTCCGACGAAAGATCCTTCCCAAGCCCGGCCAGATTCCCTCCCACAATTGACGCCACCAGGGCTCCCTCCTGGCTGCAATTCCACACACGCCACCGAAGGAAACTGAATCCTTTCGCAGATCGATACTTTCTGAAGAACAGATCAAGATCCATTGTCGGCAACCAGTGGTTTCCTTCGACAAGAACAATATTATTCTACCAGTGGGTTTTTGTGAGTAGAATATAAATCCATACCAAATCTCGTTGGATGCTCTTCCTCTTATACGAATCCGTGCGTACTCGGACTCTAATACGCCTCCGTCATCATCATTGATTCCCTGATTTAGCAGAATTCACCATCGCTGAAAGCTAGGGTATCTTCGTCGATTTGATAGTCACAAACTGAGAAGAAAGATGAACGCAGAAGACATGCAGCGGATTGATCTGAAGTGGATCGAAGCAGTTCTCCATCGTTGAAATCGATCGGAGAAGAAGACGCGTCCGACAATTGAACTCCCGGAGCAAGAAGCGTTTGGCGAAGATCAAATGATGCAGAAATAAGAAAAATTGAGACCAAGGCAGGAATGAAAGAGACTCAAGACGATTGGCGCTTCCTGGAAACTCGAAAATAGAAGAGATTCGAAGAAAAATTGACAAAAATCGATCAAGAACTGGAAGATTTCCGCTCTACGGGGTTTGATTTGGGGGAAGTGGAAAATTAGAAGGAAGATGGGCGGTGGGGTGGTAATGAAAAAGAGGAGGGTGCTTCAAAATTGTATTTTTTAAAATAAAATATGATGTGGCATCTACGTGGCAAATGTGGTAAAGTTGTCGCTGACGTGTGCGATGATTTGGAATCCTAGTCACCTTAACATTAACCTAACTGACGGAGTTTCTAACACCGTTAAAGTTTATAATGAAAATGGCTAAATTTATCACACTACAATCCAATTTTGGGTTATTTTGTGTTTTTCAATAATTATGACTATATTTGTAACAAGGCAAAATACAGTTGTATATCCACAACTATCACGTTTGTGACAAATATATCCACAACTATCAAAATACACGAAATATCCAAAAATCGGAGGGTTGTGTGACAAATCTATCCATTTCTGTTACAAACTTTAACGCCGTTTGTTACGGCGTCAGTTAATGCGACGGAACGCTGACTAGGACCATACCCATCCCACACGTAAGCTCATGGTCATCAAAATTTCACATGTGGACGCCACGTCAGCAAATAAATAAATAAATATTTTTTCTTTCTTTCTTATACCATAGAGAAACGTGCCTCTCTCTCTTACCTTCTCCGCGTTCACCTTCACACACTAAGCCAACCGAAGGAACCATCGCCACCGCCGCACAAGCAATCGGAGGGTAGCAACAACAATCTGAAAAATAATCACCACCAGTACCAGAGGGCTTCCTCTTCATCTTTCACATCTTCTCTTCAGCCAAAGGAACCATCGCTGCCGTTACTCCTCCCTCACTCGTCCAACACGACAGTGTCTCCCATCTTTCGAGAGGCAGTTGAATCCCAAACTCGATATCGCATCCGCGCTCGGATTTCATTTCAACGATGTCACTAGAGCGGGGAACATCAATCCCAATCTTTCGCGAGAGCTGCGGCGCTGGATCTGAAGCTGTTCACTCCGCTCTTCGAATTCGTCGCCGCTGGATCTCTCGCCGCGACGGGGAGCTCCAGCCCCGGACCTGGCGACAGAGGATCTGGGACGGCAGCTGCTTCGGGGGCAAAAAGGGAGGCGATTTCGGCGGCGACCGTTGGGGAAGAGGCGATGAAGAGGAGTTGGGAGCCGAGCCGGACGTGATCCTCAGTTCTTGGAAGATGCAGAGGTTGCTAACAGAGAACAGAAACAAAAATATGGATTTACCCAAACCCACATCTCACCTCTGCAAGAACATTCATGTCTGTGTAATGGGTCACGGCCTGCACGAGTGCCCAAGCAGCGAGGTCCAATTGACGACGATGGTGGCGGAATCTAAAGGTTGCAGCAGCGAGGTCCGATTGACGACAATGTCGGCGGTTGAAATGGAAACTCGAGGACGATGATAGTGTTGTGGTTGTCAGCGTCGACGCCAGTTGATTAAGATTGAAAGGGAGAAAGAAGGTTTAGGAGGAGAGAAGAGGTAGAGTGGTGGCGGTGGAGGTGGGAGGAGGGCGATGAGAGAGAGGGGAAGAGGTCGTGGGAACGGAAAATGAATCGAAAAAGGTTTTTTACTTTATTTTTTCTTTTTTTCTTTTAATCCACGTCATTCAGTGGGGTCAGAAACACGCCAACTAAGCATCCACCGTTTGTCCAGTCATCAAGTTAACTGACAGAGTTAACGGAGTGGACGAAAATGGATATTTCGTGTATTTCGATAATTGTGGATATATTTGTCACAAACCTAATAGTTGTAGATATACAGTTGTATTTTGCCTTGTAACAAACATGAAAGTTATGGTTACACAAATATATTTTACCAATAACATAACTATCACACTTCCCAATATACTTTTTTCCTCTCACTTTTCTCTTCACATTTCCCCGTAAAACATTTTCTTTATACTCTAACTTTTTTCTCTCCCTTCCAAATGTTCCTTGCTCTTCATTTTCCTTCCTTCTTTCGAGAACTAAGTGAACCAAATATAATTGACAATGGAAATCCGAACGTTAGATTTTTGAAAAATCATTAATTAACAAAATCCTCTAGCCTTTGACCATGCAACAATCTACCTAAATTTTGAAATCCGCCATAAATTGTCTAGTGGAAATTATCAATTACTTTCCTTGCTTCACAAAAAAAGAATATCCCTTATTTCTTTCTAAAATTATTGTCAGAATAATTCTTACTGTAACGGGCGTTAACAATTCATCTTAATAATTCAGAGTGAGCCCCTCCCCTCTTACCTATGCCTTGCCAATCAAAGCAAATATTGATTTCGCTTCCCCTGCTTTCATCTTGAGAAACCGCGTCAAGAAAAACAGGAAGAATGGAGAAAGAAAAACATGGACAGGAAGAAAGACAAGAACCGAGCAACACGCTATATAATGTGTTGGACACCATAATGAGAATCGAGGAAAGCGGAACGTGGCGACTCCGTGTTCCAGGCGCAACTTCCGTCTTCTTTGATAACACTAGCTCGCCTCGCTACAATTGGTTGCTCCCTGGTTGTCTTGTTGAAGAACAAACCATGCCGGATGGCAAAATTCACCTAGTGAGTATATTATAAATTCTAATTCTTCTTCGATTGCGCTATTAGCCTATTACAATACACAATCAGTATATTATCCTGGACCTGAACCAATAAGTGATGACTCGAATAGTTCCATAGAATCGATTATATGGTGTGTTGTTCAGATTTAATTTATATATGACTAACCATTTTGACGAAATTTCTTTTGGTGGTCTTGGATGAAACGGTAGGCTCGAATCACGCCTGCTCCATGAGTTTACTCGGACCCTCGTCACAATATATGTTGTTGACATGATTTCTTACCGTTTTTTTTTTTTTTTACTTATGTTTTCTTTATTGGTCTGTTTGATCTCTCCCTCTCTTTTCGTGGGTATGCGAGGCTGATATTTTGTCCTGTGTGCAGACTTACTATGATCACCTTGGCAGGGTTTATGCAAGCAAGTGTGATTTACTTCGGGCATGGGAGCAAGCTGGTGTGCAGATCTTGGATCCTAAATTCGATTCATTGAACAAGAAGGAGAAATGATAAGGAGGTGGCCGAAATTTTCATAGGGTTTGATGAAAATCATTTAAGTTCAACTGCAAGAGCAAATTATTGGTGAAATAATGGATGAAATAAAACAGCAATTTGGTTGTTTCTCTGGCAGTATTTTACTCTATTTCGTTTCTTCGGAATCTTGGCGGAAGCGGAAACCCTAATTTTGACCGGGCGAGTAGGCTGACTTTCTTGGTTGGGCTAGAAGACCCAATTCTCCTTCTTCTAACTTACTATCTCCCCAGGCCTTTACCCTTAGCCCACAGGCCCAAAAAAGGTTGATTGTTGTAAACATAACATCCCCAGCCAGATAATATGCTAGCAGAGCACAATAGCAATGGGGCGGGTACCTCAATTCTCATGTCCCGCTTCACGCTACTACGAGGCGGGTGAAACTCGCGCGGGTATGGGGCGGGGCGGGTCGACCCACTGTTACATGTTATTCGAAAAAAATACAAGTAAATTTTACTTTTTATGATAAAACGAAGGATAAAACACTTTAAGAAAGAAAAATAGTGATAATAGAATGGGTAATTGAGTCTAACAAATTGAAAGAGCGACTCTAACTAGTTTAAGAAAAGTCAAAATAGGATAAATATGTATAGAAATGGTAAGAAATTGAGATGAAATGAGTTTAGAGCGGAGCGGAGCGGGGCAGAGCGGGTCAGAAGTAGATACCCATACCCCGCCCCACGCTACTGCGGGTCGGGTAATATCGGTCCCATCGCAGATCAAGTCGGGTAATGCCCCCGTCGGGCGGGTTAAAATTGCCTCACTAAGCACAAGACCAGCCTTAGGCACATGGCCAGCTCTTAGTTTACTGCGCAGAACCAATCCCAGACAAACAAATGCACGTGTTCTGGCCCCCCAAACACAAAGCCTAACAACGTTAAGAGAGGGCATTCCCAAACATCATTGATTGAACAATCAACCACTAATCTCCGACATTGACGTATAATTAAATTTGTAATTGCTAACAGATACCTCAATAATTATAGTTTCGTATACATTAAAAAAACAAGTTCAGAAGAAGAGAGGGCACACAGAGAAAGGAATTCCTTGGCCAACCAAATACCTGGCAAGGAATAACGCAATCAAAACTGAAATACACAACAATGTAAAAAAGAATAGAACAGTAATATATATCCTTTCTATGGGTATTCCTCTGCTGCTGGTAAGTCAGTCCTTGTGATCCACGGATTGCCCCAACTTGATGTGATGAATGTAAAAGAAGTATTACGATACAGAAGAAAAATGCCTCAACAGTAATGTATTTGTCTTGTGATTCCTTGTAAACTCCGTTTGAACTCTGCTCCCGCCGACGATTTATTTCTCTCTCGGGTCAAAAAGAACCAATGAAGAAGAAGAAGAAGAAGAAAGAAAAGCCGCAATAGAATTGGCAGTTAAAAAAAAACTCTTCCTGGGAAAAAAATGTAAAGAAGAAATGGAACCCCTCCCATTTCCGGCAGCCGAATTTCTCTATACACTCTCTCTGCAGATGTCATTTGGTTTCTTCAGAGACCACCCCTTAACAAGGAGAATCTCCGACGCCTCTCCCGCTTAACCATCCTGTTGCTGTTGTTGTCGTTGTTCAGAGGCTTCAGAAGGCGTTCTTCCTCGACTTCGTAGTGAATAGAGGATTGCAGCCTTCTGAGATGCCCACCACACTGCCAGTTGCGGTCGGATGAAGATGATGTGGAAGTGCTGCTGCTGCTGCTGCTGCTGCTGCTCGACAAGTTGTGCCGCCCATCTGGGGCAAACAGTCTCTGATATGGAGACTGCCATTTGGCTTGCAGATAAGCCAGGGATCTCCACGGTGGAAGAGGCATTGAGTTTTGCTTCAGCGATGACTTGGCTCCATCGACCATGACCTGAAGATACTGCTTCAGCCGGGGCAATGACCCCACGTAAACTACAGGAAGTAGCTGTAGTATGCGGTCGTACGAGTCGACCGCTCTAGCTATTTCAAAGTGGCTTCTGAAGTCGATGTCTATGATCAGACGTTCTGAAATTCCAGCTTCGCTGAGGCTGATCACATCAATATATTCGTAATCACCTGCAATTGGCACATGGATCACACTTTTTTTCAGCAAACAATTGAGGAAGGCAACATCTCATGAAGTCTCAATTGCAGAAGCAGAATAACATCCTGTGACCTTCTCGTCTGGATACTAGTTCAGGAACCAATGGCCTAGATTAGCATTCAGTTTTACCGGAGTTTGGGCACTTGAATCATTATTAACTGCATGATAACTCAGACCTTCTGAACAACACAATTCTATCCCATCCCAATTCAAATAAGCATACTAAGAGCAGTAATTGAGACATATTATGAGCAGTAATCAACAATTCAAAGACGATAACACAACACAAGAACATGGAACATATAGAAAATCAGTAGCGTACCTCCTGGGACCTTGGCAGCACCCTGCCACTTAGATGAACAGACAGCAGCATCATATCCAGAAAACCTCAGGAGCTTCACCAAGGAAAATCTGATGCAGCTGGCATTGCAAGAACCTGACTCCACGAGATGAAGGTCTGTCTCCTTGATGGAGACGATAAGAGAATGCACCAGCGACAGCAATTCGCTCTCGTAGCGGGTCACCGAGTGTTTATAGAACTGCAGAACATGGGAGGAAAGATAAATGGTAAATTCTCATGCATCAGGGTTGATTCTGCAACATAACATTAGAACCTCGGAAGGTAAAACACAGATACCAACACGCAATGGACAGATTCTGCAAAAATCGATATTATGAGAGAATTGGAAAGTCTCCTTCTCACCGTAATTTTATGGGCAAGGGAATGGAGATCGGAGAGACCCGACTCGCTGTCGCTACTGCACCAGGACTCAGCGCCGCCGCTGCTGCCGCCGTTCTCGAGGAAATCGCTGACCATGAGAGCCAAATCATGCTCGCTCTCGTGGCTAAACCCTCCCCCGATCTGCCCAACTATCTCTCTCCCCCACCACTCCCCCGTCGCCGCCGCCGCACACATCTTCTCTTCCGCCGAATTCTACCTCTCTCCCCTTCCTCCTCCAATGAAACGACGCCGCAAACCCTCACGCCGTCGTTTCGAGGATCTCCGCCGGCGGGAGCCAAACCCCAACCCACGAGCCTCGCTCCCCAACCCAACCCCTAAAAGAACCTCCGAACAATCAACAATTGAATTCAATTTTCCTCTTTTCCTTTTATATTATTACGGCAGGGAAATGAATTGAATGTTAGCTCATCATAATTTCCCTCCAAACTATACGTATGGAGAACTCCGACTTCGAGGCTTTCTCCGATAACATTCAAACCTGGAATCAGGAACGGGGCAAAAGAAAAGGAGGGGAAAAAACTAATTGTTTCCTCTCCCGGTCAGGCTCTCTCTCTTTTGTACAGAAATTGCTAATGCCGAAATAAATCAACAGGGCGCCGCCGCGGGCGCGGTGGACGATTGACGGAGGAGGGAAGAAGGCAAATGATGTGATAATTTTTCAAATATTCAGCAAGGAAGGAGAAGAGAGGTTTTATTAAGAAAAAGAAAAACCCCCTAAAAGATTTTGAGAAATTAGGAGGAGGAGAAGGCCGGGTTCATATAAACGTCGGAGGCAGGAGCTGGAGATGAAAATGACGAATATGGCCTTCGGTTTTCGTTTGTTTCTTTCTGTTGCTTCGTGGGCAAGTAAGGCATGGTAAAAAGGTAAAAACAGAGAGAAAACTGGATAAGATGAAAGAGACAGGGATTTGGGGAGCGGCAATGGATGTAGACGGGAATGAGGTTTTGATTCGATAGTGTTTCGTTAATTTCGTTCTTTGTAAAGGTTATTTATTGTTACTTTGTGGACAAGGGAAATTAAGAGCGTAAAACAGCTCAGGAAAGCAAATTGTTTTCTTTTGATGAAGTAATTGGAGAATTCGGTCTATAGATTTATTGAGTTTGTAAATAGAATATTATGTTTTTTCTTAATGTTGTTTTTTTAATGGTGAATTTTAGTTTAAGATATTTTAAATCTCTAAAATTTAAAGATATTAAATCGTTGATTATCAAAGTGATTCTGTATATGGATTTCTAAGATTTTTTTTCCTCCCACTTTATCTCTTTCTTTATATTTATCCCACTAAATATCCTTGCCAATAAAATCTCAAGATTTTTTTGAGTCATTCTGATTATTTTGCTTTAACACTAAATGTGTCAATTGCTAAAAAAAATAGAAATTCTATTTGTATTGGATGTTAACAATGCAATTACAAAACAATGAGAATTTTAATTTTTTTTTCAACAATCCAAATAATTAGAATTTTGGATTGTTTACAATTTAGAGATTTAGACTCCAATTCTCGAACGAGCTCTAAAATTTGCGTTGTCACCGTTTCTCGGGCCCCCTTTGATATTATTTTTTACTTTACTAATGGATACCTCTATTTATTTTTAACAAATGTAAATAAGCCCTCTTACACTTTTGATCATAGATGACTTGCTCATACAATTGAACGAAGTTGTCTCGATTTATCTAGTAGAAGAGTGTGATTGCAAATAGAATAGAATGATAACCCACATTCTCTCTATTCATTGTAGGGGTGTGGTTTTGATGCTTAGGCACCATATCATCATTAACCTCAACGTGTATTTTTGGGTATAAAAGATGATGTCTCGTTTCCATTTTTTAGTTGTCAAACATTATGTCTTCATTTCACTGTTACCGTGTTGTATTTCCATTTGTATTAATTATTCCTATTATTCTAAGTTGAAAGAGATAAAACAATCAAGGATTCTAGTGAAACTCTAATCCTCCAATCCAAAAAATTAGAATACTATCTGGATATTGTTGGACATTTAACTAAAAGTTGGTAACTTTTGGGGTTTATTATCTTTTTTTTTTTTTTTACTTTAACGTTATATAGGTTATTAGGTTTTTAACTTTTTATCATTGTTCTTGTAAATGTACATATATGTGCACACGGGTGGAAAACCGGAGAAAAGAAGCGGAAGATTACAGTGCTAGAATATTCGAGCAGGTTCCTTGTACAAGCGATCTCCCGCGTAAAGAAATCAAAACCTAGAATTGTTGTACTTCTGTTCTGTACTTCAAATTGGCAAACGTGTGTCGTGTCGTCCCGGAATTTTCTTCCTTGTAATTAATTAAAAAGTCAATTTCCTAGAAACTCACTAAAGTCTAAAACGCATTATTACCCTTTTTCTTTTTTTGCCAAATGCAGTGCTTGGATTTTACATAAATTATGTGATGACGAGTAAATAGAGGTGGCAAATGGATTGGATCGGTGGATTCATGGATCAAATGGATTGGATCTAATGGATTGGTGGATTCATGGATTGGATCAAGTGGATTGGTGGATTATCCATGAATCCAAATGACATCCTCAACCAAAGACCAATATGTAAAAAGATTAGGTACTAAAATGTCATAATGAAAAATTTTAGGTACCAAAACGTAATTTTCCAATGATATTTTTTGTATAAAAAATTAAATTTTAGGTACCAAAATGTAAAAAATAAAAATTATAGGTACTAAACCGTAATTTGCCAATGATCCATGAATCCACAAATCCAATTGGATTTGGATAAAATGGATTGGATTAGGTGGATATTTTTAATGGATTGATGGATTGGATTGGTGGATTGGATTGAAATTGCCACCTCTACGAGTAAATTAAGAAAAGGATTTTTTACTTGGATAGTCGGGGTTCAATATCATCTCACTATAATATCATTGTTCGATAAAAATGTAATGTTATAATATATCTAATGGACATCATTTAATTACAATTATAATACCCACTAGACCAACATTACAATTATAATCACGTTAAACCGACTGACATAATAATTTCATAGTGCTTGTTTTCTTTCGTAAGTCCTCGTATTAATTATATCTAGTAATGCCATATATAGGAAGTTTTTTTTTTCTTTTTTTACTTTTCCCCGTATTGACCATAACTAAAATTGTTCAAAGTCTTGTTTCCCGAAATGTTGAAAGTTGTATCATGCATGGCACAGAACAATTCAACACTTACATTCGTCCACCAATCGCATTGTCCCAGACCACACAGAAATCTAACAAGCAATGACACAGAGAACTAAAAACCCAAAACTCCTTTTGCAGTCTAGCAATTTAGTCAATTTGATTACCAAGACAATGGATTAAGGGGAACCCAAAATACAATATGCAATTATGCATTAGGCAAGAGCTGGTTGGTAAATCATTTGATCAAAGAATAACGTAAGTAGGCTAGGGAAAGAAATTGAAAAGAATTGAGGGAGGAGAATATAATGGAGAGTAAACAATAGGGTTTCGCCATTCTATAAGGCATAACGTGACTTGGAGACCAAGCCACCTTGGGAGGCTGGCTGCTATGGTGAAAAGCAAAAAAATTATAGGGATTCCCTCTTCCACTTTTTTTTTTAATATTCATAAAAACAATTAATAAATATTATAGAAATTCATGCAAATTTGAATGAAGCAATGACCGGTTAATATTATCAATTTGATGAACAATCAACTAATAAGCAGCTACGACTAGTTGGAATATGAGGTTTGAGAAAATGGTCTATTATGGAGGCTGGCCTACCGTCTCCATCATCAGGCAAATTATCCGTGTCCATGGAATTCGATTTTTAATTTTCATATTTGTAGAATTTCATTAATAATTCTTGTGTTTGGAAATGAAATTTCTTGTTCATAAACCCGTTTCCAACCATCCTTTTTAGAATTTCTAGCACCCAGGAGTTAAATTATGTGAAAATTATTTTCACGTTATTTTCTTTCCCAACGTAAAACTGAAAATGAAATATCATTTTTAAACTTTTTTACTAATAAAAATAGTTACACATCAATTTTCAATCAGATAAATCTCTCGAAGCAAATTCAAATATTTCAAATCACATCCGAAGATAATTCCAATTACAAATTATAATTCTCAGAGATTATAGGTTGTGAAGTTGTTCATAAATAATGTAAAGAAAAACAACCAAGATGCACTAACATTTACATATTATCCCGATACTAACAACAACAAAGAATTAGTTTTTTTTTTTGTTGTTGTTCCTTCTCTCAAGAACAAACAAATTAAAAGAGGTCTCTACTTCTTTCTTTTATAAGAGAAAAGCCAAAATAGAGTTCCATCGAGCATATGTGTTCCTAGGATTATTATAAACCAAAGTACTAATTTCGTTACTGACTTACTGTCGCGACTACTTTGGGGTTGTCAGTTGTCACTCTCAAGATCCCATTTCTTGTTTTAAATTTTTTTCGGTTGTTTGGGTAACAGCACAATTCGCAAATCATAGTAGAGAACAACATATAACAGTTTGGACGTGGACAAATGGGATCACAAAATAAAAAGACTCAATTCTCTCGAATCATCCGTTCTAATTGTCAACATATACAGACATGAACCTAGAACCATAATTAGTAGAAAAGTGAGCATCAAGATGAGCTTTGAGCTGTCCACTAGCAGTAGGATGACAAACCCTGATTTATTATGTGATGCATGGATGTCTAGGAAACCCTACCGACCGGAAATACCGGATACCGAACTCAAAATGGTAAGCGGTTTTAGCGGTAGGAAACGGTTGAATCCCGGCTTTACTACAAAATACCCAACCACTTAATTTTCCGGTACGGTTTCACAAACCTTGGTTTTGCCTAAATTACATGTAATTTTTACTGAAATTACTTAGAAATTTTACTTTTATTACCTTCTGTATTAGCTACAATGAAGTTTTAAATAGCTGAGGTTAAATGAATTACGAGACACCCACCCCGACCTGTCCATTGCCATTCCTAACTAAACGCCCATATGTTGAGGTTTACTTTAACGAAACAATCAAGGAGGAAATAAATACACCTAGTGGGCGGTGGCAGATCTAGGGGCAGGTCACCCCGGGTACGAAGCATATTTTTTACATTGTTGGATCGAGCGTATCAAATAGTGTATTATTCTGCACTACATAGTCGGTGGATGCACCCGATGTTAGTCACTTACATGGATCGACATTCCCATGAATCTCATAAATGTGATGACACGATGAGCAACTCAACAACGTGAACACGCACATGCTTAAAAACATTATTGTAAACCCACTAACCAAATTTATCAAAATTGGTTAATATTTTCAAGCGGAGTGATGCATAAACAAAGGCTTTAGATTAACCGTTGGATACAAACAACAACTTACTACATTCAACGATATAACGAAAAGCACAATCCAACGATATCAGCAAGTGCGTATGCATACTAAGTAAGCATCGTGCCAAAGTTTGACAGCGACGAAGGCTTTGGCGGGGTGGAATGGGTAAAGAAAAGCCAAACCAGAACAGTGGGTGGACCATAGAAAGAAACCAGCTTGGGGTGGGGCATAGGACGCAAACATAACAATTGAGTATTGACTCATCTTTCATTCAATTATCGAAAGGTAGGCCTAAAAATTGACCGAAACCAGCTCGCAGGATTGTGATCCTTTTGTGGAAAGTGGTTCGGCCGGCCAATTAAGACCGCTCTCAAGAATCCCGTGGGCTGTGGCTTTGCTTGCGAGAGAGATGTAACCAGGATTCAGGACCACTCACCCGATCGCTTTCTTTTCCTTTTACCGGTCACGCGGTTCGGCTGACTTCTGACCCACATATACAAGCAAAGGTTTTCCCAAGCAGCCTAAAGTTTTCTTCTTATTCTCTTTCTGGTTTTTTACTAGGAAAAATCCATCAAAATTCAAACACGATAAACCTCGACTATTATGAACATTTAGCAGAGTAGGATGAGATTTATATGAATACAATTGGAGATAACAATTGAATTGGATTGGTGATTTATGGATTGGAGTAAATGGATTTGTGGTTTGGTGATTTTCATTTGTGGATTTGATTTATGGATCCAAAATGACATAAAATTTGATCATTATAAAAATTTAGATACTAAAATATAATTATAAAAACTTTAGGTTCCAACGTAATTTTATGACTATTTTTCATAACAAAATTGAAGCTTAGCTAAGAAAGAATATATTAATCTATTAATCTACCAATTCAATGAAATTTAGATTGAATGAATTGAATATTTTAATAGATGATTTGGATTCAAATGGTCACAAAATGCAAATTACAATTTATTAAATTCAAACCTACAATTTGGGATTCCTTATAATGTTTATTTTTGTCCTTAATTTATCCCAGGTATGAAAACTACAGGCACAAACGGACAACACTGTGGTAACAAGAGAAAGATCCCCATCTGCGGAAAAGGACAAGAAAAAGTTGAAAAACTTGGGACAAAGAAGATTTTGATGCCAGAGAACCTTTCCAATTCTATTTCTATATTTTGGTGACAATACCTAGATTGTTTTATTTATCTTCTTGTACTCTTACCAGTTTCGTACTGCTTGGAGAACAAGTCGCTCACCAAGAATGAAGATTACAATCTGCATATGTAACTTTTTATAAGGATAGAATGGAAAACATATGACATAAATTGATGAGATAGAAGTGATTTAGTCCATGATGAAATCAATTTCGATTTGATCTTTACAATGAACTTTAAGCGGACGGATAATGAAGATTACAATCGGCATATGTAACTTTTTATAATGATAGAAGGGAAACCATAAGACATAAATCGATGAGATAGAAGTGATCTAGTCCAGAATGAAATCAATTTCGATTTGATCTTTACAATGAACTTCAAGTGGACGGATAATGAAGTTTACAATCGGCATATGTAGCTTTTTATAATGATAGAAGGAAAAACATAAGACATAAATCAATGAGATAGAAGTGATCTATTCCGGAATGAAATCAATTTCCATTTTATCTTTACAATGAACTTCAAGCGGACGGAGTATACGTCCTATAGTTTGAAAGCATGAAAGTAAGTTTTTTTTATAAGGGTGATATAGATTTAAATTTTTGTGATTAAGGTACTACTGAAGGAATTCAAATCTGGAACCTCCAGGTTTTAGGCTAATGATATTATCACTAGGCCAAACCCTTGTACGTATCATGAAAGTAAGTTTAACTCAACAAAACTTATATCATTCGTCATCATAAAAACGGTTTCAAATTCGAATTCAGTGATCTCTCACCGGAAACCCTTCTAGAAATGGCTGTCTAAAATAGAATTCGCATAAGTGGTAATGAGAGTCAAGTCGTATGGTATGAGAAGAGGGAAAAACAACAAACGGCTATCAATCAGGTGTCCATTTTTTAGCCAGAGAAACCAAACAAGCATTACCAAACAGATAACAATTCTCTTCACATAAACCACTCGCCAACAATTGGCACTTTAAGCAACCCATAATATATGGTTTTTGTATCTGTACATGACATGCTGTCGTTGACAAACTGGCAGACCTCAATCATCAACAAAAAAAAAAAAAAAAAAGGAGAAAAAAGTGAGCATATTATGTACTCATATTTGAACATGGTCATAGGAAGACGATGAATCGTCTATTTTTCTGATACTGGCACAACATACAATCGCATGTCACTACCTTCCATTATCGTCAGACATTAGCCGACAATTAACCGATAACACTTGGTGGTGTTTTGTCGTTGTTGCTCGTGAACGAATAACACCAACAACCTAACACCATGTTGACTGAGTTGTTGGCGAAGGGAGAAAAACAAACATAAATAACTTACTTTTCCTAAATTACCTCTGAATGTGATCACAATCCGAATTCCTAAATCAAGAATCTCCTTCCATTGAGATCGACTTTTGCAGGCGCTAAAGCGTAAGGAACGCAGCAGCAAGCTTATAACAATATACTATTGTGTAGTGTGTTCATTCCATATCTTGTTTGGAATCTAATCATTGCTCAAAGGGAAAGTCTTTCTAATCATTGACACACTAGAAAATGAAGATGAAGGAAAACGAGAGAATCTAATTATTGATATGGTGGTTATATATAAACTAATAACAATCGCAAAACGAGAATGCATTATAGGGATGGCAATGGGGCGGGTTTGCTTAAACCATTCCCATCCCCATCTTCAAATACCCAAACCCATACCCGCTCCATACCCATGCGGGGAATGTTTTGCAAACCCATCCCATACCCGTGGGTTTCGGGTACCCATGGGTAATGCTCATACCCGTAATCCAACATTATTATACCTAAAACTTATAAGAAAAGTTCTAATTATAACTCTAAACGAATATATTATATCATGAAGTCAACAAAACACGGTCATTTTTTTAATATGGTTCAAAGATTATGATCCTAAAATATCCATTAATACATAATATAGAGTATAATATTTTTCAAATTATTATGTTCTAACTCTCATACATCTACTAAATAATAATTAACTAACATAATCTTGTTGACAAGGGGGAAAGTGAAAGAGTGAAATGAGAATTGAGAGAAATGAATTAGATTTTGATTAAGGTGTCACTCAATTGCATTTCTACTATTTATTTTCTCAAGTTATCCTCATCATCATTGATAGATTATAATTTGATGCACATATTTTTTTTTTATATATGAAGAAATTATCTTGGTGGGGCGGGTATGGGGATGGGTATGGAGCGGAGGAGGCTAAAACCATACCCGCCCCATACCCATCAAACTTTTTGCGAGTTTTACCCATACCCGCCCCATACCCGGTCAAAGCGGGGATTCCCCGCGTTGACTCGGTTGGGGGCGGTCGGATACCCACGACCATGGGTTTGATTACCATCCATAATGCATTATTCAAATCTAAAAGACTATTTATAACTAAAGTTCCTGTCATACACAACGTTGCTACTATGGATGACAAACATGTCAACCATTTGTGTAACTTCAAGTGCAGAGAGTGGTAACTTCAACAGTTGATTTGACACGATAATGATTATGTAAACAAATATCATTCACGACAATCTAACAACTGAGATAACACACATAATGGTCGAAATCAAACTGAACAAGAAGTATACCATCCACCGAACTATGGCCCATGACTTCTCTATCGAGTACTAGAGGAGAAGAGAAGAAAACTCCTCTGACCAAGAATGAGAGTGGGGTTAGAGAACATATCTTACTCAAAAGAATTATCTCCGTCTTTATACTCGACCCTACTATGGATAATTGGTGGCCTATATGTTCCCTATAATCAATTGAATACCAAAATGGGATCTAAATTGTGATTCTGATGCACAGCCTGGACTCTTAGGCAGATAAAATTATCAATGTGATATGGAAAAACCACTAACACAGGGTCGGAGCCTAATGGAACCTTAAAATTCAATATACCCTGTTTAATTCGAGCCTTGTAAAATGTTTCACTTAGCTTTCCTCAAGCAAAGATTCCCCCACTTCTAGTTTGCAGGAAGATATGCACCATTGCATTCCATATAAAGATTACACATATAGCAATAGTACACCATAAAATACTGACCTAGGATTCCATTAGTAGATGCAAATCTGGTAGCTGAGTTACTCAGGCAAAGACTTCTCTATAACAGTCAAAGAATCACCAAGTTATCAACGGGAAGCAGACTAACTTGTGCGGCTTCCTGACGAGGTTAGTTTTTCCTGCTTAATTTACCGAGGCCTTAGGTTACGCTGCAAAGCAACAATATAGAAATACTAAGCCATCCGAGAAAATAAAATCCAATTCACACCATGATCCAATATTTTGATTATAATGGAGAGGAAATAGACAAAAACAGGCAGAAAAGGGACATACTCTAGGCCTGTCATTGAGATTTTGCGGTTGTCTATCTTGTGTTCTATCAAGATCTGGTATGAGCTGCTCATTCTCGTGTCTATAAAATGCTTGTAGGGCTCTCCCAGAGAAGGCACGGATTATATTCACTTCCATAGCAGCCATATTTTTCCACTGCAATTTTAAACAAGAGTTCATGAAGATAGAAACCAAGTCAGAGCACAAGTACAATGGCAACTGGAGAGGTAGTTCAACCAACAAGAAGGAAAGATTTGTGATCATGTTGGTTACCAACCGAGGCAATGCATATTGCACCATAAGGAAAATGGTTACTAAACGAAGGTGCACAGAATAGTAGCTACGTTACAATAAAGTTCCAGTACGACAGTGCCTAGGTGATCCATTCCTATCCCAGTTTTAAACTACGGCTCATGGGAAGTTTTATGCAACAGTGGCCTAGTACTCTTAATATTTTTTCAACTATAAACCTATGGATTTGAACAAGTTGAGTTATATAAGTATCCCAGTGTTGCACAAATCAGATCCTTTTGAGAACGTTCACTTGACCCTTTTATACAGCAATGTGGAGTAGTAAAAGGCGTACCGTTACTGCAGATGCAGTGAAGTTTTCCAAGTTTGTCTCCACCTTATGAAACCTCACATCCCTGATGTCTTCAACGAGCGATCTCGCCTACAGAGGTAACAAAACTACATCAAGCTCCTTAGTCCAACCAAATCCCTAGCTATCCAAGAGAAACGTTAGGCCAGAGTTCCGAACTTGCCATGTATATCTCAGGAATGTCATCTCGTGCACTGCCAACCAAAAAATCCGGAAGTTATGGTCAGATTCTCTACTTGGGCAATTCCATGTAAGAGCAAGAGAGGTCGAGTAGTTACTGGTCAAAAAGAAGTCTGGAGATTTCAACATAATGGAAGGGCAATGACTGAAATGCATGAGACTCCCTTTCACCTTCCAGCACCTGAGTCAAGTTATCTGATTCACACATACAAAAAATCCACTATAAACCATCTCGAAATACGATTCGAAACAAAATGATGAGATCAGCACATTGAAATTGTATCTAATTGCCGCAAATCAAGAAACCCTAATTGACAGGAACAAACCGATAGACATCCACTGTGGAGGACGAATCGTGCACTTCCCTCGCTTCTTCAGCGCCAGAGCCAACCACAACGGAACCTGAATGGCTATTTGTGGGTAAAACGGGCCGTAATCCCCCTGAAACAATTACTGTTAATCAGTAATCTCCGAAATTTGAACAGTTGCAGCTAATGGGATGGGAAATTAGGGTTTCGAGAGAGATACACAGATGAAATTGAGGGAGTCCATTCTCAGATTCGGGACGATCTCGACCAACTCGTCTTCCGCCATGAACTCCACCTGCGAGAGTGGGAGGTAACAAATGAAACTTCATAGACTTATTTTACTAAGTAAAACCTGTGCCAGTCGAATCCTAGCGATCGACTAGATGGATGCCCGCAGAAAACGAACCTCGTCGGGAGTGAAGAGCGAGAGCTGAGAACCAGACTGGCCGGCCATTTCTTCAAGTCAGTTCGAGTGGGGATCGACTCGGAGATTTCACTGCGGGATGTCGGAGAAGATGAGGAGCGCCGGCTTGCCGGCTTGGGGAGTGGAGAAAGGTGGGAGGCGGGAAATGAAGAACCAGAAGAAAAAACTTAGAAACGTTGGCGGGCTGGCTTAAGGACGGTTGACTGTGGAGAGAGAGATAAATTGCCGTTTCTAATTTACGGCTCTCGCTCCGGAATAGGGATCTGCCAACGGCCCGTCTGGTGACGCTGCTTTTCCCCCGAGAATCGAGATATATGTCAATAAGAAAAAATGGTAAAAAAAAAAACATAATCTACAATTATCTCACATATTGTGCCCTTTGGGATTATTCTGGGTTGGCGTATTTGGGGAGGGGATCCCTCGTCATACATTCCATTTGTTCCTAAAACGATTAATGGCTTTGATTCACCAACCTACTCTGTTTATGGCGGTGGTAGCTGTCCTTTGGCGGATATGGAGATCCAGGAACTGAGTGGTCTTTGAGGGTAAGCAGTTTGGGTTCTCTGCGTTGATGCGTCAGTTTCAACAACAATACGAGGAGTGGGTCCGTTTGTCGGTGGATAGGGTTCCAACTGCGAGTCCTCCTGGGGTGGGTCTCTATGGGGCGCATCATCTGGGACCTGTAGGAGCGGACAAGATTATTTGTATGTGGGATGGAGCTGTTCGGCGTGGATCGCACTCGGCTGGAGGGGTGGTTCTTTTCACACCAAATAGGGCGGTCTGGTTGGTAAAGGGGATTCATTTTCCTTGCCTGGATGACCCTTTGGTGGTGGAATTGCTTGTCCTCCGCGAGGCGGTTCTGTGGTGCCTTGAGCTTGGCCTGTCAGATGTGCGCTTTGAAGGGGATGCCAAGATTATTATTGATAAGATTATTCAGGCGGACGTCAGAGACAATCGTGTTGGTGCTGTTTTGGAGGAACTTCTGCCATATTTTAGTAGTCTCACTGGCTTTAGTGTTCGATTTGTAGGTCGGCGTAGTAATAGGGTAGCCCATATGGTGGCTCGTAAAGCCCTCTCTTTGTACCCGACCATGAGTCGTTTCTTTAATTTTCAGGCCTGCCTGATTTCCAGGATGTAACTATCTTTTGTTCCAATCAATATAGATTATCTTTTGTAAAAAAAAAAACAATTATCTCACTTATCTAAAATTAAATTATAATAATTCTAGACGAGAAATTTTACAATGCTATATAGTATTGGTGTTATAGGGTTTTGCTTTTATGGTACAACTTAAAATTGTACATTTACATTATGATACAACTTAAAATTGTACCTATACTTTTTGTACAAATTCTTTTACGGTACAACTTGAACTTGTACCTTTATGTAATGGTACAACTTCAAGTTATAAAATTGTACCATAACATAATGGTACAAATTACTTTATGGTACAACCTAAACTTATACATTTAATGTTATGATACAACTTTAAGTTGTACTTGTATATTAAAACACCAATACTATATAACATAGTAGAAGCGCTCAATCTAGACACGACATAAAAAGCTTTACATTTCACTCTATGAGGCAGGACCGAGGAAAAAATCCCACTGTACACTAGTTATTAAAAAAAATTCCCAAAATACATAAGTTATAAAAAAAATTCCAAAAGTACACATGTTTGAGCATCACCGTTTTAGACAAAGGCGGTGAAGGTTATCACCGCGTTTAATAAACACGGTGAAAACTTCACCGTTTTAAAGTAAAACGGTGATGCCTTCACCGTCTTAGTCTAAAACGGTGAATGCATCACCGTTTTAAACTGAAACGGTGAAAGAATCACCGTTTTAATTAGAAACGGTGAGGACTTAACCGTTTTTGTTGGCCGCGGTGAAGTCGCTGACGTGGACAGACACGGGGTATTCACCGCGTTAGACAAACACGGTGAATACCCCGTGTTTGTTTGCGTCAGCGATCCGCGCCAGTGTGCTTTCACCGTGGCCGTTAGATGCGGTGAGGCGCGGATCGTGGTTTTCTTCCCACGATCCGACGCCTCACAGCACGCCACGTGGACGGGGGAACCGTTTTTGGTGAATGCGAGGCCTTCACCGCGTTCATCAAACGCGGTGAATGCTTCCCCAAAATTACTGCGCATCAGCTCCTCCCCCCCTTCCCCCAACTATAAATACCCCCTTCCCCTTTCACTTTCAACTCACCCCACAAACATTTCACTTCTTTCTCCCTCAATTTATCCGCTCTAGTCTCGTTCTAAGTATGCTCTGTGGTTGCGGCTAAATCCGATCTTCCACATCAGAAAGAATTACTAGATTTTACCCTAAAGCCCCCGTCCCGCTAAGTTCCCGTCCCTTACAAACCTAAACCCGTCGAACCTCTGTCCGGCTTCCGCCAATAATGGACGAAGAGGCTCTTCGTGTAGGTTTTTGGTTTATGATTTTTTTTAATCGAAACAATTTGATTTTTTTTTATCAAAACAATCTCTGATTTCATTACTTTTTTATAGATGGGTGCCGAGATATACGATCCTCGATTGTATATCCATTATGGCCCAAGGGATGCGAGTCTCTTAACCGATCAAGAAGCTCATCGCTCCCGTGCCATTTGGGATAACAATCCGGTAATTTGATGAACTGACTTGCTTTATTTTATTATTTTCTAATGTTTTATTTTGCTTTATTTAATCTAATAAATTGATGTTTTTCCTATTTTTTTTAGGAATCTCTTGTTCACGTGGTTCATAAAGGGACCAATAACTTGCCCGCTTGGCATCCAAGGTTGGAGCCCTATATAGCGAGGACCGGTTTGGGAATGTTGCGCCATTTCTTGCGGATCGAGATCGACAACGATCTGCTTACGGCAATGGCGGAACGATGACGTCCCGAAACCCATACATTCCACCTTCCGGAGGGGGAATCACCCTCAAAGACGTGGCGATCCTCACCGGGCTTCCTATATCTGGAGATGCCATCATTGGGAACACGACCAAACCCGGAGGAGGTTGGGGGCCGCTCATCCGTGATCGTTTGGGCTTCGACATGCCGACCACCACACCAAATCAAGGACGGGGGCATCCACCGTTGAATGCGGGGCAAGTGTCGGTCCCGTGGCTGGTATCTCACATCCAGCAAGAGGTGGAAATCAATGACGAGACACCGGAAGAACAAGTCGAGCGCTACGCCCGCATCTACCTCATCGGTTTGGTGGGTGGATTTTTGTTCCCCGACAAGTCCAACCGTTCCTCCCGTCGTGGCCTATCCTCCCGTTCCTGCCCCGGCACGACCCTCATTCCGTGATGATGCAGCCATTGTGCCCCCGGTTGAGCCCCCACGAAGGAGCAAACGCAGGCCTTTGCCTACGTTCGAAGAGGTGCGTACCACTCAAGCAACCGAGATCCCTGAACCGTTCGAGTACCAGTGGGCACCTACAGCGGAAGCCGGTGGAGGGTCATCGAGTCGTGGAGCATCTCAGGAGTGGGACACTTTCTCTCATGGGTTCTCTCAATTCCAACATCAGCAACAGAGTTCGATGTATCAGACCCCGCAACAACAAACTCCGCAACCTCCGATCATTCGCCAAGCTACCGCTCCATCTCAGCCACCACCAGTCCACCACCACCATATGTAACCCCAGTTGGGGCTCGGGTCAAGAGAAATTCGCGACCAGCCGTTGAGCGAGCCCGCCAAGAAGCAGCAGCGGAGGGGGGAAGAAGGGGTCGAGGACGTCGTGGAGGACGAGGAGGAAGAGGTGGAGATGGGGGCCAAAATGAAGCAAATGAGTGAATTTATCGTTTTATCCTGCAGTAGTGATCTATCCATGTTGTTTTGGTTAATTTTAGGTGTTGTTATTTGAGTTTGCATTGTCTAAAAACTATCCTACGCACTTAAGTTGTCGAATGAATTTTCTGGATCATTTTATCAAGAATCAGTATCTTCCCTCAACACAAAAAAGTTGGGAAAATCAACCACGATCGCATAGAATTTTACAGATCCCAATTCCGAGTCCAAACGATTGAGATAAGTGACGTCAAAGCGCGATCGTATCGTTAAAGTAACTTTTGCGTACTAAAAACTAAAACGCGCGTATCTTATTCGTTTGAGGTCGAAATAACGAGCCGTTTGCGGCAGCGCGATCGTATCGACAAGGAAAACATTTTAGAGTTAACAAAATACTTGGACTTCAAATGCAAACGGTAATGAAAAAATAAACAAGCGATCAATTTAGTAGCAGAATACAAGTAAATGCAAATTAAGTTGATGGTTGTTCTGGGCAACGCCTCTTGTCGTGACCAGGTTGTCTGCACTTAGAGCATCGCTTCGGTCCCCTTCTCGTCCGTTCAACTTGATCCATCTCATTGTGTATCCTTTCAACTCTAGGACGGCCTTTGGTGCGTTTTAGGTGCAACGGTGGGATAATCAACTTTCCAGCGTATATAGGCCAATACGCTTCATCTGGCATGGGGCTCAAAGCTGCATTATATGAGTTCCGTATCGCTTGTTCAGTGTAGTAAGGACTCACCAGGTTGTTTCTGTTCATGGTTATTGACTTAGCAACCGCCATTGCATGTGAACAGGGTATCCTTTCGTTCTGATACTTTTGACAAGAACACTCCCCTAATTCGTAGTGCAATTTAACCGTTTGACGATTGTGACCACGTCTCCCTCCACCCCATATACCTGTTTCGACAGCGAATATTCCATCACTGCGGTTAAAAAGAACAACCTTATGCTTACTTGATTTTTCATCGTTCTTCTGCATTTGAGCGAATACGTCATGTGCTACTGAATGACCTTGCAACTCCCTCCCTATAGCTAGCTGTAGCCGAGCAACTCGCCACTCGTTGACCTTCCAATAAGACATTTCCACGATGACAGAAATAGGCATCGCTCGAAGACCCTTGTACACATTATTTATACTTTCTCCATGGTTGGTAGTTGCAATGCCCCATCTGGCCCCGTTGTCCATATGGAACGTCCACATGGGCAACTCTTGACCTTCAGCCCATACTGCTCCAGCTCGGTGGTCTGACGGATCGTTTTCATCTTCTGCTCGTACTTTTTTGGTTGATGTGCAACCGCTAAAAGGTGAACAAAAGACTAACTGGTCAATACATGATGAATAACATCAGCTTATCAGCTTAATAAACACAAACTTAAATCGCATAAGAAAAACATTAGTACCTGCATTCCAAAGTAGATTTTTGATGTCTTTCTTCTTCCCAAATTTGTGTTGGAAATTGGCGAGCCAGTGTCGAATACACCATCTCCATCTCCACCCCCACTCGTCGGGAAAACCACCAACAACATTCCTTATCCCCGCATGTCGATCGGATATAATCGTAATATCTTCCCGCTGTGTCACGTGTTCGTGCAGTTGGTCAAAGAACCAAGCCCAACTTAAGTTGTTCTCCCCTTCCACTAATGCAAATGCAAGCGGGAAAATCCGCCTGTTTCCATCAACGCCAGTGGCAATTAGAAGACATCCTCTGTAATTCCCAGTAAGGAAAGTTCCGTCAACCTGAATAAAAATTTAGGATATAATTAGTATGAAATATACTTAACAGCAAATAATACAACATTTAAAACCGGAACTAGTTGGTAAAATACCTGAATAACCGGTATGCAGAACCCAAAACCGTCAATGCATGGTTTAAAAGCCCCAAAAAGACGATGGAACATCAGCTTATCCTGTACTCGAACTTGATCCTCAGTGTATACATTGTTGTATACTGGGACGAAAACAATCCCAGGATTGGACTCCTCCATTGCTCCCATAAGTCTAGGGAGTAAAGCATACGAATCCTCCCAATTACCATACACCTCAGCCATGGCTTTCTGCTTACCATGCCATGCTTTTTTGTACCTTATCGTGTAAGAATGTCGATCCTTCACCTCTGCCATGATAGCTTTCACCTTGATATCTGGTTGTGCTTCTATAAGGTGCTTAATAGTTCTCCCAACCTTCTTTGCTTTTAGTTGCCTGTGATCTTGGGAAAGTATAGAAGAGGAGCATGTGTGGATCGTCTCAGCTTTGCGAATCACCCAAGCACCCTTTCTCTTCATATTTGCAGCCCGCAGTTGCCACGTACAACCCTCTGCATCATGCTTGCATATGACATGTAGTTGTTTACTGTCAGAATATTTTACCTTCCACTCGAAATTGCGCCTCAACGCCTCTTCTGTAAAAGCATCCTGCACAGCGTCTTTCGATGTGAACGCCATACCCACCTCCAAATTGGCCGTCGGATTGTACACTGGCATAGGGACAAAGTCGGGGGGATCATTCTGACTATGTAAAAATTGAGTTGGAACCTGTGTGTAATATGGCGTGGGTGCCTCACGAAATGCCGCCTCATCCTCGTTATCATCAGTATCTTCCTCCTCCTCGCTCACTGATATCAAATCTTCCTCAGTATCCTCGTCGCTCGACTCGAATGGATAGCTCGGGCTAGAAGGATCAACATGACCACGATCACCAACATCGTCCTCTCGCTCATGTGAAGTACGCCCTGATCGAATGGTATTCTCGATTCCATACCACTCTGGCCCCCAAGCAGGCCATTGAACACCATCGGCCTCAACAAATGGGGCTGGTTTAGGAGGTTGCGAGTATTTGTACCATCCTGCACTACTCGATCCACCGTAGTTGATTGAACCACCACCCTCCCCGTAACCTCCTGTATAACCACCGCCTTGGTAGTTGCTCGAACTACCACCCCATTCGTACCCTCCTGCAAAACCATCATCATAAGAATACTGGTGAGAATGAGATTCACCGACCGCCTCGGTCTCAACATACACCTCTGCAAGCCGGACTTGGTTATCGCTTAGGAACTGTAACATCATCATAACCGCGTCATCATCGTTTATGACAACTTCTTGGAACACGACCCCGCCAGCACTCATGTCTGGATACCGGTAAGTAATTTTGCCAAGTCTCGTATGTCCGCTCGTACAAACCCTTTCTGCACAAAGATCACAGAGTTCTTGAAAATTGAATCGGGAATCAATTTTCAGCATAATGGATTCGCCGTCCTCGTAATCAATGCCTATGTCAGAGTTTGTCACCCTTCCATTCCACCGAATAGTAAGATGAAACTTCTTGAATTTACCCATATCTACAATTTACAATAAGTATCTATTAGCTTAAAGACAGTAAAATTAACCAAAATCATATTGTACAACTAATATTAAATCATACCATAACTAACAAAAATAATTTCAACTAACTAACAACAACATAATACGAAAATTAAATCATACTATAACTAACGAACATAAGTTCAACTAACTAACAACAACATAATACGAAAATTAAATCATACTATAACTACTAAAAACATAATTAGACTATAATACAAAAAGTCTCAACATACCGAAAAATTTCTGTTCTGTGTATTATGCTCGATTTTGGCTGCTGAAATTTGAAGAAAGGGGAGTGGTTATGTTTTTACAACTGCTGGTGGTGTGCAATTTATAGGAAAATCTGCCTACTATTCACCGTTTTTGTCAAAAACGGTGAACACCATCACCGCGTTTGTCTCAAACGGTGAATAGGTGGTAGCTGCGACCTAATTTTGACCTACCAGGGGTGGGAAACGTGGGAAATAATCACCGCGTTACTTAACAACGATGAATGGGTTCACCGTTTTTGACCAAAACGGTGATGTGTTCACCGTTGTTAATTAACGCGGTGAAAACTTAACCGTTTTAGTTTGAAACGGTGAATACTTCACCGTTTTTGTTTAAGACGATGAAGTATTCACCGTGTTCGTCAAACGCGGTGATGACCTTCACCGCTTTTGTCTAAAACGGTGATGCTCAAACATGTGTACTTTGGGAAATTTTTTTATAACTCATGTATTTTGGGAATTTTTTTTAATAACGTGTGTACAGTGGGATTTTTTCCCAGGACCGAAGGGTCATAAGCCAACTTGTTCATTGCTTAGGCCTTAGATAGAAGGCCCAACATAGTTTTAGGTAGCGCTTAACTCCATGGGCCTACGCCTCCTACCTTACCCGCTCAAGAAAAACCGTTTGCTCCTCTCTCAATATACCCATTTCCCAATCTACCCTCGACCAATACCATGAAAGAATACTCGCGTATGGGGGTCACAATCGTCATTCTCTAATTCTGACTTATCTTCTCAGAGTGCGCACCTGGTATGGTTGATATTTCATGCTCCTTAAAACCGTCTAACGATCACACATATTTCAAAATAAAATCCCCCCGAAGGCCTTTTGGAGAAGCGCAGATTATCATCGCCGAGCAGCAGAACAAGAAGTAGAGGAAGAGCCAATGGCAAGGAAGTTTTTCGTCGGCGGCAACTGGAAATGCGTGAGTCTCCGATTCACCTTTTGTTTTCGCGATCTTTACTTAGCTGAGTGAGCGTGATCCTGCCGTTCAATGGCAGGCTGTATTTTTGTGTCGTGGCTCGTAGGATCAGATTGGTTGAGCGATTTTTACCGGTTCTAGATGATCCTTTTCTTCGTTAATCTGTTAGTCTTGCCTTGGCCGTGGAATTGTTTCTGTTTTGTCTAATTTTGATTTGATTCGCACAGAATGGAACTACTGAGGAAGTGAAGAAGATAGTCTCCACTCTTAATGGAGGCGACGTGCCCAGCCCTGATGTTGTTGGTAAGTAAATGCTTTAGCTCCCTGCCTTGATCTTGCGAAGCTCTTGAACATATTGCAGAATCGAATTCACTTTCCGTTTACTATTGGTGAGTAGCTGTGATGATTGTGGTTGAAATCATGCTCATACTGCAGAGGTCGTGGTGAGCCCTCCATTTGTGTTTCTTCCTTTGGTGAAAACAACGCTGAGGCCAGATTTCCATGTGGCTGCACAAAATTGCTGGGTGAAGAATGGAGGTGCTTACACCGGTGAGGTTAGGTATGGTTCAATCTGCTCTCTAGAGTCTATTTAGTTAGTTCGTCAGTTTTAGCCTTGGCTGTCATGTTTTTCATTTCTTATTGTTTACTGAACTTTCGTTATCTTGTCTAATCCTGGAAATTATGAATCAAAATGTGACTGTGACCAGGCTTAATGGAACTACTTCAGGCTGATTCTTGTAATTGTTTGATGGATGTTTACTATAATGGAACTCCATTTGACAGGATTTGCTTTGTTTTTTTTTTTTTTTTACCAACATTGTAAACCCTGCTTGTTTATGTGCAGTGCGGAGATGCTTGTGAATTTGGACATTCCCTGGGTCATCCTTGGACATTCTGAGAGGAGGAGTCTCTTAAAGGAATCGAATGATGTAAGCTGTAGGGTTTTGCATGTCCCATCCTAGCTCAGGATCAGATGATTGATGGCTATAACACCATGATTGATTAGTAGCTTCCACTTTTCTTCACTTGTTTGACACCAAGTTATAACTTATATTCTGATTGTACTACCTTCCAGTTTGTTGGGGACAAGGTTGCTTATGCACTTGCTAAGGGTTTGAAAGTGATAGCTTGTGTTGGTGAGACTCTTGAGCAAAGGGAAGCTGGATCCACCATGGAAGTTGTTGCAGCTCAGACCAAAGCAATAGCAGGTAAATGACTGTGTCCCTCAGTATGCCAAAGTGAGGAGAAATCTGCACTTTTTTATTCCTTATTGATGTGCTATTCTTTCTTGGTAATGCCTGGCTTAGGAGGCATTACATGTTACCATTACAATTATTCACAGTTGTGATTCATTACCTGTTTGGTTTGTTTGGCAGAGCGGGTAACAGATTGGACTAATGTTGTGTTGGCCTATGAACCTGTGTGGGCAATCGGGACAGGAAAAGTCGCTACCCCTGCACAGGCTCAGGAAGTAAGCTCAATTTTCTGTTTCTTGATAGTGTGGTTATGTGGATGGGACCACCTTATGTTCTTTCGCTTGGTTCATATTGAATTACTCTGACCTATTCGTTGTGGCTGGAAACCACTGGTTTTAAAACTGGAACATGGAACTTTCGCTAAGTGATCATAACCATCATTGAGCTCGATATAGATCACTCATCAGTAACTTGATCTCGAAACTTGCTCTTGCCATAATGCTAGGTACATTCGGAACTGAGGGACTGGCTTCAAGCAAACACCAGCCCTGAAATCGCATCAACAACTAGAATTATCTACGGAGGTAACAGTTTACTCCTCTAATTCTAATACACACGTGGGAGTCAACCTGGTCATTCTCACAATCGAAAATTATGCGAAAGATGCTACATTTCTGCTATGAATTGGGGAAGTACAAAGGAAAAAGTGAATGGGCGGCCTTCCCCTGAATTTGCCTGACTGTTGTGAAATCCACGCTAAATCCAGGGTCAGTCAGTGGCGGAAACTGCAAGGAACTCGCAGCCAAGCCTGATGTTGATGGCTTCCTCGTCGGCGGGGCTTCTCTCAAGGTACAGAATCATATGACTGGTTTCTTCAACTTCAAAAACACTGCAGCGCATGTCCACATGAATTCCTGCCTTGCATTGCATAATTGTTGACTCCCTTTGTGTTTTGTTTCCCTCACTCGTTCTTAACAGCCGGAATTTATCGACATCATCAAATCAGCTGAGGTGAAGAAAAGTGCTTAAAACGTGGGCATCAGCTCTCTAGAAGCTGACCAGTGTGGTGGATATGGTTAAATACGTATCCTAATCATAATGATGTACGAATTGAGTTAATAAGTTGCAGTGGTTTGCAATGAGACCCTTACCTCAAAAGTCTCTCATCAATTCTCTTCGGCTCTGCCATTGAGAGAAAGGCCAAGCTTTGACCGTCTTGTGTGCCGTGACTTTTCACGCGTGAATCCTCACTTGCTTCTGTCTCTGTTTCTGTACTGTCTGGGTGAATTGTGTATTTACATTTTTTGCTCTCTATAAATGTGCATTTACTTGCGGGGCGACTCGATCGAAGTCCAACTGTAATTTTCTCATAACCAAAGTCGCTCTCTCTCTCTCTCTCTCTCTCTCTCTCTCTTGAAGCTGGAGAATCAAGTGAGCTCACATCTTGGGTGGAATTACCTGCTCTTATGGTTTGTAGTCAACGGTTGACAACCCGCCAAATTGCTTGCCTTAACTTCTATTCCAATTTTTTTAATTCGGTCGTTGGTGGAGCTAATTGTTTTCTTAATTATAGAGGCCAAAACCCCAAAATGATTACAATTAACTTAACATTTCTTTGGTGCATGTTGTTATTAAGTATTTGAATAATTGTGATTAGCAAAGCATGAGCGAATGGTGACCAAAGCATTGTGACGACACTCACGTGAAGCTGAATAGACTGGGCAGGCCACCATGGAGCAGGCCGTCACTTGCTTTCTCTAGCCAGCCACCGCCCTCTCCCTCATAGATAATACTGCAATTAGTTGACTAATGGCGGTTTTCTGCGGATATGAAAAAGAATCTTTTAAAGCAATAATTACATAATTTTCTTTTTGGAAATGAAACTACTAATTTTCTTTTGGGAAATGAATATTACATCACAGGTCCACCTGTTACTTTTCCTCTCATCCTTTGGAGGATAGTTCTCATTTTCAGACTATAAACGTCTTCGCCAAAGTCGAATTGAACCGTGATTTATAATACGACAATTTTTAGCTTTTGGAGTCTTCTAATACGCATGCTATCTTCTTTATACCCCAGCTTTTGTTTACTTTGTATTTTTTTTTTCAAATATAGAAAGATTGTATTAGCAAATAAATTAAAGATCCTCACCTAGAGCCCACCTTTCCTCACCTACAGAAAAGCAATAAATTATAGATGCAAAGTTTAGACATGATTACAAATACGATCTCAAAATTATAACTTTCAACAACAATAAGGTAGGGTGAGTTTTTTCTTGACAAAGTGTTATCATATATTCGACCAAAAAAATAAAGTTTTATCATATTGTTCATAACAAAAATCGACCACTCCACAATATCACGACTATAACAAACGGAGATCTGCTCGGATATCAGCGTTTGTCGCACTAACTCAATCAGTAGCACACCCTTTATCAATGACAATCTTGGAGACTCCAATAACTATAATTCATGCGACAAGTCACACGATACACACCATCATACTGCATACACCAAACGTATAAAATAGACTTGCTAGCTGCCGAACTCGCAATGCATGCTCCTAAGAAAAAACACATTTTGGTTTGTCAATGAGTAGAACACCTCAAAGACAACTAATCCACAATGTTTCGCCACCAGAGGATAGCGCAGAAGTAAATGTTCGAGCATCTCCAACTCATAGGGACAAACCGAGCACAAATTCGAATACCCAACTCCATGTTCTGACAACGCAACCGTAGCTAGAAAAATCCGATGCAACAATTTGCTGAAAATGAGAAATATATAGTTTGAAATGAATCGAGGAGATCCCACACTTGCAAGTTGAACCCATAAACCCCAAATCAAGCAGAGAAACCGGCCACCACCTCTCAAGACCCTTTCATCCAAAACTTTAAACACCCTGTGATAACCCGACTTACTAGCATAGTTAGTAAATATTCCGTTTAATACACGTATATGTATATATATCTGTACGTACTTTATCCGTTTAAAACTTCCGTATCCGTATTATTGTCAAGTCGTTTCATTTTTTTTCCGTTCATTGGATTGCTCCCGTACTAAACACGTATAAAACCCGTATAACACGTTTAATATCCGTATTTAGTGAATTAAATTGTGAACTTTACTATTATTTATTTATTTATTTTTAAAATAATTTATTTTTATATATTTATTACTATTAATGTACTATTAAACGTACATTTAGTTTAGAGACGACGTAAAATACCCATACGTATTTTTTACGTAACTTTCCCGTATCGTATTTTACTAACTATGCTTACTAGTATACTTACCAAAAACCCTTGTCATGCCAGAGTCAACCGAGCAGTCACCTACGAGTAACAAATGAGAGTGACAACAATTGTAATAACCCAATCATCCATCTACTCAGGTGCAGATAAACACCCTCGCAAAGTATTGGTGGGCCTGAATGAAGAGCCAAGGCCCAATATCGTGATAATGTTCTATCACATTTCCCAAGCCCTACCATACCAGTCCACATAGGCTACATGAACATTGTGACAGATTCTGACATCATCTCGTGTCATCTTCCCTTGATCTGCAGGACATTGTTGACCCTACTTAGTACGGTAATCACTGAAATTAAGAATGAATAACTACATAGTCAGAGTAGAGTGGGGGCTGCAAAGCTCATATGGAATAGATGGCTAAAAGCCCTATATCGTGCACCAAGTTGCCAAGAAAGGATCATTAATTAGTTAATTACAGATTAGAGAGAAGTATTACAATATACATACATGAACATGACAGGCTTTAGCTAGTCAGTCTTATACAACTGCAAATTGTATTAACAGACCCACTAATCTAATCCGTTTGCTTAAAAATTAAAATCCTTAATCCTAGAGAGAGAGAGAGAAAGTGAGGACAGGGTGGCAGAGTAAAGGAAGGGCCAAGTCAACCCTTTCTCACTGTTGTCCTCTTGCAAGTTGATGGGTTTTGCAGAGAGCCAGAGACCTTCAATAAATTTTACCTCAGCAACCAACTAACAATTAAACAACCGCTTCAGCTCATAAAGATCCAAAGAAACAAACGCCACCAGCCAAGAGCCCGGCCGTCTAGAAAGCTTTGTCCTTTTCCCCTCCTTTCCTTGGATTTTACTCTGTTTTTTCCCCCCCACTTGTATATCATTAACCTCTTAATCCGGTCAAAGTATGCGACTGGGAAAGGGCCATGTACTCATGTTCATATGCGGTGATGAAAGACAGCTTATCTTTATATGATGATTTTGGATTTCCCCACCCCCAATATATGAGAAAAGGGCTCACCTTTCCAATTTTCCGCTTTCACACTAACATTCCACCTCCCTCTCTATCTTCTCCCCCCTCACGGACTTCTCTTCTTTCTTCCTCTGCCCTGCTTCTGGAAAGCTGGGAAACTTTCCTGAGTTGGGCTCCTTCCTTTCCTGCAGCTGGGAAAACAGTTGATCTCTTCATTCTTTCTGTTTCCGGGAAGCTTGGTTGTGTTCATTTCATGGGTTCCTGCTTTAGTTCGGGAATCAAAGCTGGCAACCCCTTCTTTAATGGTACCTTCCCCAATTCTCTCCACACTTCTGTTTATCTCTTCATTTGGGTTTTCTCAATATGTTCCCTTTTCCAGAAAAGTCTATTCCTTTTTCTCCTTCAAACGATTCTGATCAACCAACATAGGTCGAAATAGGAAACCCTGTTAGCTCCTTCTGTTCTAGGTTGTTAGCTCGGAATCAATTTCAACATAGTATCCACCATTAAATGAATTCTATGTTTAACGATGTTGTTGGGTTTGTGCAGGGTCGAGGAAAGATTTGAGCGGGTCGACGAGCAAGGTATCATCGTCAGCTGGGGCAGTGCCTACTACCCCGAGAACAGAAGGCGAGATCTTGCTAGCTACAAACTTGAAGAGCTTTACCTTCGGCGATCTCAAGGCGGCGACTCGAAACTTCCGCCCCGACAGTTTGTTGGGTGAAGGCGGGTTTGGGTGTGTCTTCAAAGGATGGGTCGACGAGAATTCACTCACGGCTGTAAGGCCTGGGACTGGGATGGTTATTGCCGTCAAGCGGCTTAACCAAGAGAGCTATCAGGGCCACCAGGAATGGCTGGTAATTCTTAAATTCCCTCTCTTTCGTACGAGTTTAGAAATGTGAGTTAGAGGAATTGAAAACTGATTGTTTGTACTGTGGATGTGAATGGTGGACAGGCGGAAATCAACTACCTGGGGCTGCTGTACCATCCAAACCTGGTGAAATTGATCGGTTACTGTATTGAAGATGAACACCGGCTTTTGGTGTACGAGTTCATGCCTAAGGGTAGCCTGGAGAATCATCTCTTCAGAAGTGAGTTCTTCTTACCAATCTATTCTTTGATGTCAATCACTAGCTCATATCAATAAGTTGAGTTGGGAGATGTAAGTACCAGTTTGTTGGTTGAATTAATGTTGTCTGAAACAATATTGGTTTTGGTCACAGGGGCTTCTTATTTCCAACCTTTGTCCTGGAACCTGCGTATGAAGGTTGCAGCTGATGCTGCCAAAGGACTAGCATTCCTTCACAGTGATAAGGCCAAAGTGATATACCGGGACTTCAAGACTTCCAACATCCTTCTCGATTCGGTATTGTGAAAAACGAATAACTTGTTAATGACTTTGTTCACTGTACTTGTACCCAGCACTTTGCATTGAATCTCTCTAATACCATTCATTCTCCTGAAACGGCGCAACGGATGCAGAGCTACAATGCTAAGCTCTCGGATTTCGGGTTAGCCAAGGACGGTCCAACGGGGAGTAAGAGCCACGTCTCTACAAGAGTCATGGGCACATATGGCTATGCAGCTCCTGAGTACATGGCCACAGGTAACCCTACATGCTGCCTATTAATACAAATGATGATATGAATTCCAACATTATGCTTTGGTTCCTGCCTTGTTTTGTGTTCTAATTTCTTTCTGTCCTATTTTGAAGGCCATCTTACATCGAAGAGCGATGTGTATAGCTTTGGGGTGGTCCTGCTGGAGATAATCTCGGGCAGGAGAGCCATAGACAAGAACAGGCCGTCAAGGGAGAAGAGCCTCGTGGAATGGGCGAGGCCTTACTTGGGTAGCAAGCGAAAGATCTTCCAAGTGATGGATGCAAGGATCGAAGGGCAGTACACTGTGAGCTGCGCGCTGAAAGTGGCGACTCTAGCAGTGAGATGCTTGTCAGCAGAGCCCAAGTACAGACCCAACATGGCTGAAGTGTTGACAATTTTGGAGCAGATTCATCACGAGTGCAGTAGTACCAGTCGTAGTAGTAATGAGGGCGAATTAACAAGAGGATCGAGACCGCAAGAAGCACGAGTACTCAACAATGGTGGTGGGAAGCCGAGAAGGAAGGTGACCAATGGAGTTCATGTTGTTGGTAATGGAAGGGCTCCTTCTTCCCCCAGACCATCTGCTTCACCTCTCCGTGCATAGAAGGGAATGTGCCGAATGTGCATTGTTTGCTTTGGAGTTTTGGGAAGCTTGTCTGTTGTATATCCGAGGATGTACAGGTTTGAAGCCGGATATCATTGTACAGCTTTTGCATTCTTCTTTCGCTTCCTCCAATGTCAACTGGGTTTTGACATGTTCTTGACTGGAAACTGCTGTAACTGCAGAGTGGTTCATGAATCATGTTATCATCACTTCTCCTGTTATGTGGTTTGTTACTTGATTTCTCCATCATAGTATAGATGAGATGATCCATCGAAGACAATGATGAAAGAACCATCAAAGAAGACAAACGTTGGTGAAGAATCCTGTCTTGGAAATGGATCCTTGAGATCCACTAGGTTTCTAGTTAACATACTATGTTAGTTTTATTTTATATTAAGCAAAAACTACAAGAAGATACAGGTGGCGCTGGACTTGTTGAACTCACCCTCGCCGGCCGGCCCAGATCTGTCACAATCGAATCTACATGAGATTGTTGGCTTGATAGTTTTGGATTTTTCATCTGGGCCGCATTCATTTCGCAGCTTCTGCCTGTTTCAGTGTTTCCTTTCCCCTTCCACAAAGCTTTGCATTTATGGCCAATACTATGGTGCCGCGGTAAAAAGTGCGGCACCAGTAACGCACATTTTGATTGGACCACATGGATTGTGATGTGGCATGAGTTGGATTGAATAAATCCCACTCAAACCCGTTGGTCACAAGACCTTAACAAACCGAATCTAGCAAAACAGACGTCAAAAATAACCTCGTTTTCACAGTTCACCCAAACCCAAGTCGTCTTCCTTGATCTCTAGTTTTAGTAAAATATAGAAAATTAGAAATTAACGAACTAATGATAATGGTGATGATGATGATCTTGTTGGAGTACTAGGGTCTAGGCTTCAAGGGGGTTGTGACAAGAGATATTTGGGCTCATTTATAGGCGCCACAAGCCGAACTAAGAACACATCGGAAAACCAATTTATTCGGGCCCAAATCGATAATGGGCCGGACCAACGGTAGAGTAAGGCTTTATTATTGTCCTGGGTGCGGATACTATAACAACACAATAAGTGTTGTTATAGTAACATCAAGGGTAAATATGTCAAACCAACAAAAAAACAAAAAAATAAATAAAAAACACTAATTCTAAACACCACACGCGTTCTCTTATCCCTCTTCTCTCCCACCGATCTGCAACCCCACTGCCGCCAGTATTCATTCTCGCCTTTGCCGGAAACGGATTTATCGACGGCGAGATCGGTGGCGCTGCTCCTCCTCCCTTCCGGCCGGAAAATATCTGGTCATTTCTCTCGTTTCGCTTCCTATTCGCCTCAATTTCACCGGAGATTGGACATGTGAATCTCAATTACTTTCGATAACCTAACCGTCGTCTGCTGCGCGATTCGTCTTCTTTGCTTCTGTTCCAGATTATCCATGGCGGCGTACAACAACACCTCGGCTTCTGATCGGCAGCTACGGCGGCGAGGAGGGAAACCGAATGTTGTGTCTCTGCGTATGAGTTGTCGAAGTAGTAGTAGTCATCTTCTTTCCCGAGATGACCTTTTCACTGTTGTGGACATCGCTGGACGTGGTGTTCTTCGGGAAGCCGTCGGTGATCAGAGCCGTTCAGGGATGATGACGGGGCTCGTTTGTATCACTCCCGACGCAGGTTGGTTTGGAATTTCTGAGACCCGCTGGATTCCCCTCATCTGGGAGGAAAGAGTTTTTGTTGTGTCAATTACCTGAACAGAAGGGGTACTCATGATTTCGAATTGTTGTTGCCTCGAGAGTTTCGGATCAATGTAGCCATACAACTGGTCAACGAAAGTTGATTCCATGGATTTGAGATAAAGCCTATGCTCCTCATTGGTCCACTCCTTAGGCATAGATGATTCCACAGGCGGCTCCTGCAGAAAACCAAACATCACCCGTCACCATCCATGCAGTCGAGCAATGCTAAGGGAAAATCATGGTCAAGACATCATTCCCTATTGCCAAACATTCTCACAGGCTTCAACATTGTTGAACATCATACCAAACTAACAACCCAGATCACAATTCAGCGATAAAGTCGCTTCTTTACTTGGGGACACTCTTAAAAACAAATTAGCAACCCCATGAATCAAAATAATAGAAACCCCTCAGTAATCCCTCTCTCTCTGTGTTCTTTGATTATACAGATTGGTTCATTTGGCCAATCCTTAGGATTAACAATTCAAAACATCCAATCTCAAAAGGGTGAATCCCGTTATTTGGTATGAAGATCACAAGTATCTCATAAGCACACCAAAAACTTTCTAATATAAACCACAAATATGGTAAAACAAACCATAAAATGCATACCAGAAACCTTCAAATGTAAAGCACAAGTCTCGAAAAACATACCAGAAACACAAGAATGCAAACCACTAATATTTCTAAAACACACCAGAAACTTCATAAAACAAACCACAAACATGATAAAATAAGACACAAAAAGCATACTAAAAACCTCCTAATCCAAACCACAAATTCTCTAAAACAAACCAGAAATCGCACAAAGCAAACCACAAATATTTCGAAAAGCACACTAGAACCCCCTCAATGCAAGCCACAAACACGGTAAAGAAACCACAGAATGTTCGAAAGCATACCACAAATCTCTTAAAACAAACCAGAAACACCATAAACCAAACCACAAATATTTTGAAAGCACACTAGAAACCTCATAACGCAAACCACAAACACGTTAAAGCAAACAAAAAAACAAACAAACCAGAAACGTCCTAATGCAGACCAAAAATCTACTAAAACAAACGAGAAACTCCACAAAGCAAACCACAGAATTTTCAAAAACACACCAGAAATCTCATAATGCAAACCACAAACACGATAAAGCAAACCACAAAAACAAACCAGAAACGTCCTAATGCAGGCCAAAAATCTATTAAAACAAAACAGAAACCCTGCAAAGCAAACCACAAATTTTTTGAAAGCAAACCAGAAACTTCTCAATGCAAACCACAAACACGATAAAGCAAACCACAAAAGGCATACAAAAATATGAGAAACCAAACCATAAATCTCACAATGCAGACCATACATCTGGTGGTCGTTGTCCGTTGACCGGTCAACGAAGACCGTTGACCGAACTCCGGTGACCGTCAGTCAGCATATTCCGACGCCGATAGGCATATTCCGACCCCGATGACTAGATTCCGACGCCGGTAAGCATATTCCGACACCGGTAAGCATATTCCGGCAAGAAATAGCATATTCCGGCGACAAAAAGCATATTCCGGTGACCGGCGACCGGTGGCAGAATTCCGGCGACCAAATTTTTGGGCAGAAAATTAAAAAAAAAAACTTTTTTTTTATTTTTTTATTATTTAAACAGATTTTTCATAATGACAATTATACCCCTGCTTTGATTTTATACTAGGTCAACTCATCTAATAAAAAATCATCACAATCCTAACTTCCTATTGGTTGGAGACTAGTGTTGTTACAATAACAACACAAAGGGTGTTGTTATAACCGGTCCCTATTGTCCTTGCCAAGTTAGCAATTCTTCCAAGTTCCAAGTATCTGTCCATGATGCCTCCATGGCCATTGGCGACCAAGCAAATTTCTCAACCAAGGTTTTATAGCTCGAAATCAGCTTCCAGCTCAAGAAAACCACCGGGGAAGGGAAAGGGAAACCCCAGATGATGATCGCTGCTGCTGCATGTCTCCGTCGCGACCATCGTCCGGCCTGGCTTCCGCTCCCTCTCCACCGCCACAGCTCGCAACCTCGCCACCGCCGCTGTTGCAGCCGCGGCTTTGTCCTCGTATCGGTTGCTTGCAGCTGCCCAGCCTGATACGCGCTTTCTTCTTGGCTTGTCCTTACTGGAGCTTGAACACCTAGTTCTTGACCTCGGCCAGGTAATTCCAATTCGCAGCCCCCAAAAGTACTAACAGAACCGAGTGAAATTGATCTTGTTGCTAATGTTTCATCTATAATCTGTTAAATTTCCTGTTACCCTGCGTTTATTGATTGAAATGGAAGACAACAGACTGATTGAAACTCTTGAAACTGTGGGGCATTCGGTATCTGATTAGGGGATAAATAAACCAGATAGCGGATAAGAGCGGCTCCAAGCCTTTCCTTCAGAATTGATAGCTGATTTGTGTACCAAGTTGGCAAAAGCGAATAATTGTAGAGGAGTATTCCATCAATTTACAGTCTTTTGTTAGTCTTAAAGAATTATAATTGGTATCAAGTATCAACATTACCCACTGCCCACTAGTCTTCCTCATGCTTAATAGTGCGCCAAGCCAGCCACTGTTTTTCTTTTGCAAGTTGATGGAATTTGCAGAGTCTTTAATTAATTTTTCCAGCAACCAAACAAACAACTGCTCCAGCTATGGAAAAACAAAACTCACTAGGTATCCCAGCCGGCTGAGAAACTTACCTTCACTTTTCCTCATATTATAGTTTCCCGCGAAATTTCCCCAACTTAAATTATGATATATCATTGACCTCTTTAGTCTTAAACAGTCGAAGTATGTGACTGGGAAGGTCCATCGTTCATATGGGTGACATACAGAGAGCCTATCTTTATGAATGATGATTCCGTATCACCAACCCCATCCCCATCTCCATATATGAAAGAAAAGGGCTACCTTTCCATTTTTACCGCTCTCGCACTACATTCTACCTCGCTTGCTCTCTTCCCTCCCTCAGGGACTTCTCCTCTTTCGTCCTCCGCCCTGTGTCTGCAAAGCTGGGAAACTTTCCAGAGTTGGGTCTCTTCCTCTTCTTCCTTTCTTGCTGCTGAGAAAACAGTTGATATCGTCTTCTTTATTTTTCCCGGAAGGGAAGCTTGGTCGTGTTCTTTCATGGGTTCCTGCTTTAGTTCCTGAATAAAAGCTGAAAGCCCCTTCTCTAATGGTACCTTTCCCACTTCTTTCCATAGTTTTGCTGATCATAGCTTATTGTTAGGTCCTTTTTGTTCTGGGTTGTTTCCTGAAGCTCTAGGATGCCGATCTGTATTGTCAACTCAGCATTGTTGTGTTGAAGAAAACTCGAGGTCAGCTGTTATTGGGGGGTCGTCTCCCAAAGATGAAACCTAGTTCAGGCTAGTTGTCAGCGTTAGAGGCGACTATGCAGAGTCCAATTTCAGTTTTAATTTATGCTAAGTTCAAATATGCTGTGGGTTTTGGCAGGGGCGAGGAAAGAAGGTGAAATCTTCCAAGCCACAAACTTGAAGAGCTTTACCTTCAGCGATCTCAAGGCAGCCACTAGAAACTTTCGCCCTGATAGTTTGGATGAAGGCGGGTTTGGCTATGTCTTCAAAGGATGGGTGGACGAGAATTCACTCACTGCTGCAAGTCCTGGAACTGGGATTATTATTACCGTCAAGAGGCTTAGCCAAGAGAGCTGTCAGGGCGACCAGGAATGGCTGGTAATATATCTACAAACTTTTGCCGCTCTTAATTTCTTGGTATTTAGAAATGTGAAAGAGGAAATGAAACCAGATTGTGTGTAATGTGTTTTTGTTAATGGTGGCATGGTGATAGACGGAAATCAACCACCTAGGGCAGCTGTACCATCCAAACCTAGTGAAATTGATTGCTTATTGCATCGAGGGTGAACGGCGGTTTTTGGTCCATGAGTTCATGCCTAAGGGCAGCTTGGGAAATCATCTCTTCAGAAGTGAGTTATTACAAATCTTTTCCTTGTGCTAATTATCATATGAGCACGGCAAAATCTCGATAACTCGAGTCATTATGAAAGCCATCAGATTGGATATTGTATCAGTTTCTTAGCAGGAACAATGGTGTCTGAAGCATTATTGTTGTCATCACAGGGGATTCTGATTTCCAACCTTTGTCTTTGAACCTGCGTATGAAAATTGCACTAGATGCTGCGAAAGGTCTAGCATTCCTTCACAGCGACAACGCCAAAGTGATATACAGGGACTTCAATACTTCCAATATCCTTCTCGATTCGGTAACGTGAAAAATGATAACATGTTAATGACTTTTTCACTGTATTCATAACTAGCACTCACTCTGCCTTGCAACTCTCTAACAACATGCATTCTCATGAAACTGTGTAATGGAAACAGAACTACAATGCTAAGCTATCTGATTTTGGGTTAGCCAAGTATGACCCAATAGAGAATTTGCACCCCTACGACACAAGAATCAGCTCCGCATTTGATTATGGAGCTCCTGAGTACAAGATGGCAGGTAACCATACATGTTGTGTACATTGATATGAAAGAAACCATATCCCCCAAAATTATGCTTCCATTTCTCCTTTGTCTTGCTCACACTGAGTTTTATTTTCTTCTTTCTGTCCTATTTTGAAGAGCGTCTGACATCAAATAGCGATGTGTATACATTTGGGGTAGTCTTGCTAGAGATAATTTCGGGCAGGAGGGCCAGTGACCAGCAGGGGCCGTCGAGGGAGATGTTACTGGTGGAATGGGCAAGGCCTTACTTGAGGAGCAAGCAAAAGATCTCCCGAGTGATGGATCCAGAGATTGAAGGGCAGTATAGTGTCAGCTGCGCACTGAAAGTGGCGGCACTAGCACTGATATGCCTGTCAGCAGACCCCAAGTGTAGACCAACCATGGAAGAAGTTGCGAGAAGTTTGGAGCAGATTTATAACGGGTGCAGTAGCAGTAGTAGTAATGAGGGTGAATTATCAGGAGGATCAAGATCGAAAGCAGCACGAGTCAACAATGGTGGTAAACCGCGAAGGAAGAGGATGAATGGAGTTCATGTTGTGGGTAATTGAAGGGATCCCTCTTCCCCCAAACTATCTGCTTCTTCTTTATGTCGATAGATGCATGCCAACGGCGGTTGGTTGTGTTGTGTGTTCGACTTTGATCCGAGGGTGAATTGCCAAAAGTTTGTGGTGTTGAATCATGATTTGTTATAATAGTAGAGCAGTTCTTTTACCTTTTTCTCCCCAATGTCAATTCGGTTTGCATGTTCTTGACACCAGTTGATCCCAATAACTTGAGTTGTTAGGATAGGTTCAATCGTGGATCATATACTATTCACTAATATATTCTTTCAAACGAAAGTCAGTCACCTTATAACGGCACTCGAGTTGTTGGGATAGGTTCTGAACACGAGAATACATGTGCTTCACAAATGACACAAATGAGGTCATCGGAATTTGAACACAAGACTTAGTTACATAAAGCTCTGATACAATGTCAAGAACCAGTTTATCTCAATAATTCGAATTGTTGGGATAAGTTCAATCGTGTATCATATAGACATATACCATCACCAAAACCAAACCAATCTAAGGGGTCGTTTGCTTCATGGATTTAAAAATGAGGGTTTTGTAATTTAAAAACCCAAGGATTTATCAAGGATTTGAGGCATCATGGATTTGTAACAATCCTTTGTTTGTTGGGATGTTTTTATCATGGATTTAAAGGTGTGGGATTTACTACTTGAATTCAAAAATTACATTACTGCCCTTTTCTATACGTTTGACATGTTTATGATATGTACACAAAACTAGGACAAAACTTCAAAAATACCTTACTATCATTTTCTATATGTTTGACATGTTTATGATATGTACACAAAACAACGACAATACATACTAATAAGCATAATGTTGCCACATGGACAATAATAATAAACGAGAAAATTCCGTTTTAACTTTTAACGTAACATAATAAATTACCAATTCTTTGTCCTCCTTTTCAAAAGTGACATATAACAACATATATTAGAATTGGGAGAACAAAGAATTATACGTTCCATGAAAAGGTCAAAGAAAACTAGAACACAAGAAATGATATAAAAAATCTAACTCATGTTTGCACATTAATTGAACGTTTATATTATTCATTTATTGTTAATTATAATGTATAATAGTTAAATTTGAGGGCAACCTTGGAATATTAAAAGTGCATGAGGGTATATGGGTAAAATCTCATCAAGGATTTATGCCATATTCCAAATCCCACATCAACATGTGGGATTTATAAGTCCGTGGGGTCCACGGATTTGGACCATTAAAATCCGTGGGCCCCACGGATTTGGTCTCCAAAAAAGGTGCAAGCAAACAACGGATTGTACCTAGATCCTTGATAGTTGGTTTTTTGGTACCAAATCCATGTACCAAATCCTTGAAGCAAACGACCCCTAAAGTGTTTGTATGATAGGCGTGGAAAACGAAAAACCTTGCAATGGATGATCAAGGGCCCAAAACAAGAATGGGCCGGATCAAATGTTGAGTAAGGGTATTATCGTCCTTCCACAACTTTTCGGCTGAGGTTTTTCTTCCAACTTCCAAGTGCCATGGCTAGCAAGCAATTTTTTTTGTTCAAGGTTTTAGAGCTTCAATTAAGCTCCCAGTTCAAGAAAACGAACGGAGAAGGAAACGGAAAGGTGGAGGCAAAATGATGATCGCTGCTGCTTCTTCAACGCTGCTCCAGCATGTTAGCTCCGTCTCAGTCGCGACCATCGTCCGGCCAGGCTTCCGTTCCCTCTCAGCTGCCTCAGCTCGCAACCTATCCACAGCCGCCGCGGCAGCTGCTACGTCGTCGCCTCGTTCACTTTCAGCTGCACAGTCCGATACGCGCGTCCTCCTTGGCTTGTCCGAACCGGAACTTCAACAGTTAGCTGTTGACCTCGGCCAGGTAATTCCTATCCGCAACCCCCAAAAAGCACTCACAGTAGCGGGTGAAATTGCTCTGAAGTTTGACGCCTTTCTTTTTTCTTCCTAGTTTTGCTCCTAATGTTTACTGATTATTCTCTGCTTGGGAATTGAATACTTAGGAAGGCTACAGAGGGAAGCAGCTTCATCACTTGATATACAAAAGAAAAGTGAAGGAAGTAGATGATTTTAGCCAGTGTAAGTTCTTTCTTTGTTTCAGTTGAACCTAAAACTGTTAGGGATGATTGGTGTTAATGATATGTTTCCTGAAATTTGGAATTTTATCTGAAGTGCCCAAGGCATTTAGAAATGTTCTTCAAGAAGCTGGGTGGAAAGTTGGACGGTCTCCAATCTTTCGAACTGTTACGGCTGCTGATGGTACTATTAAGGTGAGCTCGTCTGAACCTAACTTGGATTGGGGCTAATTATGTTGCTAATCTGTTGATCCTCAACAGGGTGGATTGCTTAAATAAGAAGAAGGGACTTTCATGTGTCATTAGTAATATTTTCATCCACTTATTTGCGATTACTTTCCTGTTACTCTGTAGTTATTGATCAAACTCGAAGACAACAGGCTGATTGAAACTGTTGGCATCCCTGTGAACGATGATAAAGGTTTAACTCGCCTAACTGCATGCGTCTCATCACAGGTGATTTACCAACCAAATGGTCTGATGCGACACTGCTTTGCACTTCCTTTCTCTTCTAGTTTTCTAGTCTTCCAACTTGGTGTTTCTCGGTATCTGCTAAAACTAACTTCCTGTCACTCTTTTGTGGGCATTCAGGTAGGTTGTCCGCTCCGTTGCTCATTTTGTGCCACTGGTAAAGGAGGGTTTTCAAGGAATCTTCAGGCACATGAGATTGTTGAACAGGTGTGTGTTCTGTTTTGCTTTAGCAGTGAATTCTTTATATTTAGATAAGCATATAGCCGGAGATTTTTCTGCCGCAAAAGAATTGACTTGGTTCGACTAGAAAGCAATATTTATCCCAAGAGGATTTTATAATCGCAGGTATTGGCTATTGAAGAGATCTTCAAGCACAGAGTGACAAATGTAGTATTCATGGGAATGGGTGAACCAATGTTGAATCTGAAGGCAGTACTTGGAGCACACCGGTGCTTAAATAAGGTGCACGCTCAACAGTTTCAATCAGCCTGTTGTAACCTTGACAGGAATTGTTGTCTGCAAATGCATTATAGTTTAGCCGAGAGAAGATTTTTCTTGTGCTCATAGTTTACTATGCTTATTTGGGTTCTCAGATTCGTTGTTTTCCTGTTTACTCAATTGCTTCTAAATTATGTTACAGAAACGGAACTATTCACAAAGTAAACCATTATGGTTGTTTTACATGTCATCTAACATGTACTGGATCATTATTGCTTCTTCAGGATGTTGAAATTGGGCAAAGAATGATAACAATTTCCACAGTTGGGGTTCCAAATACAATAAAGAAGCTGGCCTCCCATAAGCTTCAATCAACCTTGGCCTTCAGGTATACCAACTGTCATTCTTAACGGGATACTACTATCCAAATAACCCATTGATGCAGATTTCCACTACCTCTTACATGGTCTAGTTCCACAAAAGTTAGTTCGTCAGCAGTTTGTTTAGTCTGCATGAGGTTGATATATTTTTCCTTTCCTCTTGCCCCTCAGCTTACACGCTCCAAATCAGAAACTCAGAGAGACAATAGTGCCAAGTGCTAAATCATATCCTCTGGATGCAATAATGCAAGACTGTAAGGACTACTTTCTCCAAACCAGTAGGCGGGTATCCTTCGAATACGCACTTTTAGGTATTGACTGCCCTAACCGGAAACTCTTTCTCCTTCCTTTCTTCATACATACAATTTTCTTAAGGTCATGTTTTTTTTTTTTTTTTTGGCAGCTGGAGTGAATGATAAGACAGAGCATGCCGTAGAACTAGCTGAGTTATTGCAGAATTGGGGACGCAATTATCATGTCAACCTCATACCATTCAATCCAATTGAAGGCTCTGATTATCAACGTCCAACTAAAAAGGGGGTAGGCCTCATCTATGGCGTTCAATCTTTACTTACTTTTAGGGTTTGTCAAATGTATAAATTCCCCATTTTCTCCTTTGCAGGTGCTAAATTTTGCTTCCACACTAGAGGCGCGTAAAGTAACTGTGAGCATTCGTCAACCAAGGGGGATGGATGCGAGTGCAGCTTGTGGTCAGCTAAGAAATCAGTTCCAGAAAAGTCCTTTGCTCACTGATTCAGAAATCTCGCCACCACCTGAGACCGAGCTTGCAGTCGCATGCTGATGCCAAAGTTGATGAAATTGGGCGGTTTTGGTTTTTAGATTTTGCCTCCTGCTACCACCATTGGTCTGCTGAAGTTTGTCTACGTTGCGTGGTTATACCATATCTTTCATGCAGACCGAAGATTATGAAGAGCGTAAAGGCCAGTTTCTCCAGCAGCGGGCTGCCCAGGCATTCACACCTGATATATATAATCCATAATTTTCAAATTAGAGGTTGCTCGGCAAGCTTGTAACGCAGACTACATGAATTTTAAGGACTAAGGTCTGGAGGAATTGTAAGAATCATGTGATGTTAGAAATATAATTTTGTTTGCTGGAATTGTGATATTCTCATATCAGAAATGAGAGTACCTAGAGCAGAGGTGAAACTATTTGGCTGTTTGTAAAAGTGTATCGTATCAATGGTTCGTCCGAAAAAATTGCCTATCGAATAAGCGGTATAAAACTGTTGAATCATGATTAATCCATAATTTCATCACAAAATACTGCCAGGGATTCTTTTGGTTATAGCCTCGGATAAGGTTACTTAAATTTCTATTTTGCTTGCCAAATTGTCGGAAAATAAAGGTGATCGGACTCCACATAAACTTTGTCATATGATCGGCTAGTCGGTAGTCCCTAGTCGGCTACTACCGAATGGGCCAACTTAATTGGACCCATCGGACGATCGAAGCCCAAAGTCTAGCCGCAAAGTTTGCATAATCGCGTCAACGATAGAAACGAGACGGTCCAGCCCAATATCAGATCCAAATCCAATTTCTAGGGTTTATAACAACCGTTTCAATTACTTCCTCCGACCACCATTTAGACAGCAACAGTTCAATTTCGCTGCTCTCGAAGTCAGTCGGGAGGGAGATCAAAATCAAAGTTTGAGGAAGGAAGACGAAGGAGAACGCGTAGTACTTCGGTCGGCGTGTCTCGTGCGCCAGGAATCTTTGCTGCTTGCATTACAAGTCTACAGGTATATCTGAATTTAAGAGGGCGTCGCTGTAATCAGCTTCTTGACCTAAAAAGAATCAAAGCCCTAGCCCGTTGTCTCGCAGCTGAAATAGAACTCTCGCATGAGCTATTGTTGCTCTGAATACCAGTTCGTTGCTATCTTTTACTTCCTACCAGTGTGTCCCCGTTGAATTTTGCTTCTTCAATGTAGGGAATTTTGAATTGAATGCGGCAAAAGTTATTATGAGGAGGATCTATATGGTAGATTAATATGAAGCTTTGTAATTTAATGGCTAGGTGGTGTTATGAGGAGGTACAGCCCGCCGTACTATAGCCCTCCGAGGAGAGGATATGGAGGTCGACCAAGGAGTCCACCTAGGAGAGGTTATGGAGGTGGTGGTGGAGGAGGAGGAGGTGGTGGCGGCGGTGGTGGAGGTTATGGTAGGCGAAAGGACAACCAAGGCAGCCTCTTGGTCCGTAATATTCCTCTTGATTGCGGGTGAGTTTTACGTTGGACGTGGAGCTAGTGATTGTTTTCGGCCCTTGTTTGAGAGTCATTTTGCTCATTTGTTGATACTTGGCAGCCAAGAAGAACTTAAGGGTCCATTTCAGCGGTTCGGGGCTCTAAGGGATGTGTACATTCCAAAGGACTTTTACACAGGGTGAGCTTTTGTTGAGCTTTTGCTGGTATTTTGTTTGCTTGCTACACCTTCCTCTTTGGCAATTTTTTTCGTTTCTCTTTGTAATACACCAAGTATGGATCTCTTTAGAAGTTTAAGTTTTGCTAATCTTAGAATTCTTGACATTGCCTAAATACGTGCAAGTATAGTACAGTTAAGATCATGCCAGCTACATCTTGGTGTATGGTACTGTGCCCTGTATTTTAATTGTGTGTGAATGCTGTTGAGTGGTGACCATTGTTAGACTACTTTAGGCAGTTTCCTGCATCTCTTATGCTTGTACTGCTCATGAAATTTTATATGCAATGGTCTCATGTTTTTCATTTTCATGGTGAACTGGATTTTAAATGGTTTATCAGGGGGGTTGTTGGTTTGAAGTAAAATCAAGACCAAGCCCCACAACTGATGAAGGCCTTCTGTAAAACATTCCCTAACATATTGCTCTCAACTCAAGATAATGTCGAAATGAAGAATGTTCCTTTATGAAGAGAAATTATGAAATTATCCAACAGTAGAGGTTTGATGATGAAAGAGGACTCATTCTTGACCGTCTGAAGACGACTTGAGGAGACTTAGTTTGGGGAAACATTGGTCGAAGTTGGTCTTGTATTTACCAGCATTTGAAGAAATTACCAGTGACTTGCATCTTTTCAAGTTGGCTTTGATACTTTTGACTTTTAAGGAAGATGTCAGCCACTAGCCTGAGTTTTTGTAAGTCCAGTGTAATCATACTTGTAAGTGCACTGGAGGCAGAAGAAAGGTATACTAACCACTAAATGCTTGAGTTACGGATGAATTTAGGGATCTCTTTTCAGCAAGTTCACTTATCATCATTAAATAATTCTTGCTTGGTTATACTCAAAACACTGTAGTCTTACGATCCTATTTTGCTTCTCTTTTTAACAGGGAACCTCGGGGCTTTGCATTTGTCCAATTTGTGGATTCGTATGATGCCCTGGAAGCTCAGCGTCGAATGAATGGGCAAATATTTGCTGGCAGGGAGATATCTGTGGTGGTTGCTGCAGAGTCCAGGAAAAGGCCTGAGGATATGCGCCATAGAACTCGGACTAGGTAACCGTGATCTCCTTGCTGCATATTACTTTCTCATGAGTAGTTTTCTAAATGATTCATCTAATGTTTAAAACATCTTGCAGGGGAGGAGGTCGCGGGGAGAGATCATCTTATTATGGTACATGCTGGCACCTTTAGTTGTACTCTCCAAAAGTTGGGATTTGGAAATTCGTTAACAGGAAACTTGTCTTCTTACAGCCTTCTGTTAATGTCAAATTATTGTTGCCATAATTTCAGGGCGCTCTCGGTCTCGTTCGCTGTCTCGCTCTCCTCACCATCACGGATCAAGGTCTAGATACCGTTCAAGGTTAGCATCTCTCATATTGACATATTGCTCTACTCGTGAAAAGATTGCCTGAGATTTAAACATGTTTCTGGACCTTGCGTTTAGGTCCTACTCTCCTCCTGCTCCAAGACACCGTCGAGACTACTCGCCGGCCTCACCAGGTAGGAGGCACCCTAACCCTCCAGTTCGATCTCCATCGAGATCTCCATCTCCCAGAGGTCCTGCTCCGCCTGAACGAGACATTGGTCGCGGCAGGCTATCATATTCCCCTCAGGGTTATGGCAACCCTGACAATCTAGACAATAAAGGGAATGGCTACGCTGAGTAAGTGACCTTTTGTTTTATTTCTCTACAGCCCCCAACATGGTTCTCTTTCTGCTCTTCGGATAATCTCTAAAGGCCAAATTTTGGTGCAGGAAACATGACCATGTCCTGGAGGACGAAAGAGCATGGAGAAGGCCACCTTCACCTGGCCGAAGGCCTGCCGTCGCCATGTCGAGATCCCCACCAGGTTCTAGATCAAGGTCTCCCATCCCGTCCCCGGGCCGCCGCCATGGCAGATGATTGATGATCTAGCACTTTCCACCATCATCTGAAAAGCACTCTTGCTACCTGCATTGTATGATAAACGAATCAAGTAGAGAAACGGCGTTTGGATGGTCCTTGTTGTTTGACATGGTTTGTCGTCTGCGCACAGATGAAACTCTCTTTCTCTGTCAATGCAATATCGGAGTAAGAATGTTTCCATCTTCATGGTGAATAGATTTATGGCTTTTCTTTATCCAGATGCCAAAATTGCCACGCCGTTGGAACTACGCTACCCAGCGACGTGTTATTTTCATTTTGTTTCTTTGCCCTACATGAGAATGTTTACATCTGGGTTAGGAAATGCTAGGGCGACAGGTGGTCGTTCATTCCTGCGACGGCAGATGCGTTTGACAAGCGTTATTTCCAGTCTCTTCGTTATCTCTTTTCCAAGGTAAGTTCTGTCGGCATCCGTCTGAACGAAGCAGTGACGTGTGCACCTGTCGTCGGAGTCTGAAGTGGCCGGCGCCGGCAGGGGGACGGAAACAGGGGGGAACAGACAAACGGCTGACTTGCCCAGCAAGTAACTTGGTAATCTTGTGAGGTCCATTAATATAAATCATAATAATAAACAATAAATATTAGCGCCACCGTGACGTGATTCTGCAAGGAAGGTCGTTGTTTTCAAGGGTGGAAATTTGTCAGTCTCCTGGCGAGATGGGGACGTGGGCAATTTGCTTAGTGTCCTGTCGATCCTTAATTATTGTCCGTTCGATGGTATCGGAGGTGGTCAGATGTGGCACGTTTCCTTTTTATTCATTCCAAAAGCTTTTTGTTTTTATTTTTTTTATCCAAATAAAAAATAAAGTAAAGCATTTTTAGGGGTTCTCAAGTTGTGGGGACTATTCCTGTTTCGCTGTTTCGGCGACCGCCTTAATTAAATAAAATACGACTTTATTTTTGCCTTCTCCCGTCCCGTGTAACATCACTCAGCAGCCAAGACAGGAAAAATAATAAAATAGTAAAAATGAAGTTTTTGATTTAATTTTCTTTCTTGCATCAAAATTTGGTTTCTGGAAACTATACACTACAGCTACTGCGTCTATCCTGTTTCGCTCCTTTTCTTACTCTGCCTCTTCCCCTGCCTGCCATATCCTTTCTCTTCTTCTTTCCCATTACCATTATTATTGCTGCCATTTCGTTGCGGCCGCCTTCTTCCTGCTTAAGGTTCTCTTTCTCCGTCCTTTTCATTTTGATTCCTTTTCTGTATTTGCTGAACTGATTATACCCCTTTTCAGCTGCTGCTGCTTGGTTTCTTTCCTCTGCAATTTTCTCATTTGGGTTGTTTCCATTATCCTTTGATTCTCTCTCAGGGCTTCTAGATTGGGGGTCAACCCTCCATAGTTTCTGGTCAGAGTAATCCAAGATAATCCCACCTTTTTGCTCATGGTTTGTATTACTTCCCATTTCATTGCTGATCTTGGTTTCTGTTTTGTTTCAGTCTGGTAGGGTTCGTGTTGGTTTCTCTGATTTTTGTGTTTGTGTTTGTGGATGTAGTGTGGTGTTTGATATTTGATTGCGGTGTTTTTGGATACAGGTGAGCCCAATCGACCACCAAATGACGGGCGGCGGTCCCAGGGACCTAGGACCGGCGTGGTTGAAACCAATGCTGAGAGCCAGCTACTTCCACCCCTGCCCTTTCCATGGCGATTCCAACAAGAGCGAATGCAACATGTTCTGTTTGGACTGCTCTGGCACTGCTCTCTGCTCTTATTGCTTGATCAACCACAGAGACCACCGTGTGGTTCAGGTAATGATGATGGTAGTGTGATTTAAGCCTTAATTGATGAGCTGGGATTCGATTGATTGTAGAGCTAATGGGTGTGGTTTCTTTTTCCCTTCTATTTGCCCTGCAGATTCGACGATCTTCGTACCACAACGTGGTTAGAGTAAACGAGATACAGAAGTACATAGACATTGCCTGCGTCCAGACTTACATCATCAACAGTGCCAAGATTGTGTTCTTGAACGAGAGGCCTCAGCCTAGGCCAGGGAAAGGGGTTACCAACACTTGCGAGATATGTTGCAGGAGCCTCCTCGATTCCTTCCGGTTCTGTTCCCTCGGATGCAAAGTTGGTTCCCTCACCCTCTATTCCTTCTGCATTCTTTCAATTCATCAACAGTTTGTTTTCATTTTTCATGCTAAACAATGAATGTGGTGGTATCTGTCTTGCTCTATCAGCTGGGAGGCATGAAGCGAGGAGATCGAACCCTCACATTCTCAATCCGGGAGAAGTACAACAACAACAACAGAGATCATCACTTCCTGGGAGAGTTCGACTCCGAGGATGACGATGATGAATCGTCCACTCCCAAGAAGATCAGGAGAACCAATTTTTTCAATCGCTTGATGGACAGGCTATCCATCCACTCCATCAACAGCGGAGCCGGGGATGGAAGGGACAGCTCGGGGGATGAAGCTGCGACCAACATTTCCCCATCAACTCCTCCCATATACAATCATCGAAACGCCAGGAGGAGGAAGGGTGTACCTCATCGCGCCCCATTCTGAAGCCAAGAAAACCACTGGGATGGTTTTCTATGTAGCAGTATACTAATAGTAGTAGTGTGTAGCTAGTGAAGCAGTAAAACCTTTACACTGATACATATATATTCATACAAACGGTAGGAGTTGGTATAGTTTGTTGTCTGGTGTGGGTGTATATATTCAGCTAGCAAGGAGGAGGAGAATATAAAGGGTAGTAGCTAATCTATGATGCTCTGATAATTAAGAGCTGGTGGTCAGTTTAGTTATAGAATGCTGTCTCTTTTCCCTTTGTGATATACATTACTAGGGTATTGTAGGAATGTAGCAACCCAGTGTACTGAAAACTGTATATATGTATAATATGCATGTATAGGTATGTTTGGTTGATGTGTGTACTTCATACCAATACAGGAAACGGCTCTTGGCCTTGAGCAAGCTTCTTACATGGCCTGTAAATTCATATGAATGTGAATTGTCTTATTGGGTTTACAATGTGATGTGTTATGGGGGCATTGATGATGTTCATTATGGGTTAAGGACATGGAATTAGGAGGTTTTGTGCTAGTAAGAGTTGCTTTTGTTGATTCTGTACTAGTTTTGGGCTCATCCGTGGAAACAAAGTGTCCCCAGAAGTTTGGGGGGTTTTGGTTGGGGGGAAACGACAAAACCGGCAATTTTAATGTAAGCAGTGGCAGTGACAATGAATGCTGCTGCTGCTAAACACTGCATACTCCTTATCCAGACGAGTTCTTGTTGTCCTCGATCCGGGTTGCCTTTGTTTTTGTTGCCCAACTGTTTTCTTTCGAGTAAATTACTTGGGGACGTGGCATTGCGTAACGCAATTTGGGAATTCTGATAGGGTGGGGCCTGGTCTCCTTCTAAGTCCGGCTATCTCATATTGACTAAAATATCTCAAAGTAACTCAAAGGTTTGTTTTTTAATTTTTATTTTATCCAAGGTAAGTCCACAGGTCATGATCGTCTACAGTCAGATTCCCGATAAAAGAGTCTGTTTCAGCTACGAGGTGGGCAGCTTTGTTGAAACTTCAATTAGCAAAGTAGAACGAGAAAATCGGATACAAAAATTATATCAAAATTATCTGAGAATGATTCAATATTCATGCCCAAAACAGGTGAAACAAATCGAATACAACAAATCATATTGAAATTGGCATCATCTCTAAGCAAGAAGATGTTATTAATTGTTATTGGTGCATGGTATATTGACTCTTGGTAGTTGGTAGGGTTGAAGAGGAAGAAGAGGTGGGAGTGGTGCAGTCTCTACCTGACTGAGGTTTCTGCTTTAGGTAACACCTCCCACCCGGGCCCCGGCCCTTCATCTTCGATCGTCGACGTTGTATTATTGGTTTTTATTCAACCTAGATTCCTTTTCATGATGGATAAGGAGGATTGTGAAACAATAAAACAACCCCTACTCTACAGACTTAACACATTGGAATGCTCCAATAATAATAATAATAATAATATAAAAAAAAAAAGAGTCCAGAAAACGACATGCATATGCTCTATCAGTCCAAATAAAACGTACTCCCCTTCTCCTTGTGTATCATAATCATATCCTAAATTAACCTTTTCCCTCACCTTGCTTTCCCCCGCCTCGATCCTGTTTCTTTTCTCTTCCCATTTACAAATCTCAAATAAGCAAGTGATAGTAATTAAGAACAGCAGCCAGTGTAACAATGAACGCTTCAGGGGTTATTGGTATGATGACATGAATTTGTAATTTTAGTATCCATCATTATTATAACTATATCCTTTTTTTATTATTCTAAATTAGACTCATTGTATTGGATATTCAAAAGAAAATGGATACCTGATTCTAAAAGTGTGGATTGCGTTAAAGATAGTTAATTAGATGGTCGATCTTACATTTTTGTACGTAGAGTCATCTTTGACAGTAGACTCATTTGGGGCGGATCCAAACTCAACCACTAGAAGTACGTATGGAACTAATCCACATCAACAAGTTGCGTACGTGTGGGTCTAACTATAAGTGTGGATGTGAGTAGATGATCCATTACCAATAAAGTAATTGACGGGTAGAGCAGTTTTAAAAATCAGTTACCAACGTTGATGGGCCTTTGAACCCAAGGCCCACCACACCACAAGGCAAGCCTATGGCACCCCACGTCCCACAAACTTGGGCCCTACCATGCAACGATCGGGGCCCATCAAGAAAAGACATCCCACTTAGCTTTTCCATTGCGAGTCAAAAAGTTTTATCTAATTTTGACCCAGTTGAGAGGATGAAGAGAGAAAGATAAAGAATTAGAGGTTAATTTGTGATTATAGGGCGAATTGCACCTAGCCGTATACTGGGCTATAACGGTCACAAACTTCAAAGTTAGTGGTTATAAAAGTGTACTTTGTCTAAAAATATTTTTAAAATAAATTATAAAGCGACATTTACTGATAAGTGAGGCTGAGTTGTCGCTGATGTGTACATCTATTTGATAACCTAGTCAGTATGTTGTTAACCTAACTGACAAAATATCTAACTTTGTTAAAGTTTGTAACGGAAATTGGTTGATTTGTTAAACAACCATCAAAATTGTGACTATTTCATATTTTGAAAATTGTGGCTATAATTGTCACAAACATGACAGTTGTGGTTGTGGAAGTGTATTTTACCTGTGAAAAACTATAAGGACATAACGGTGTATTTAATGGAAAGAGTACACTCCAAAAAGTGTTTGCTTGTTGGATTTTAAAAAGGCAGTTTTGAGTTTTTGAAAATTTTGGATTTATGATGAATTTGTTGCATTATGGATTTGAAAGAATTTATTATTTGTTTAGTTGATTGTTTAGTTGATTGTTTTATTATGAATGTCTCAACTTTTTGCTTTCCATAACCAAATCCCAAATTAAAATGTGATATTTACAAATTCGTGAGGTTCACAGATTTGCATCTAAAAAAAGTCTAAATTTGTTAGTCCCATGTATATGTATACCTCAACAAATAATAGATTTATATCAAATTCATAATACTTGAGATTTAAATACCATATCCATCACTCAAATCTCACAATCAACACATATCTTAGATTTCAAAAATTGAAAAAGAGGTGGTAAGGAAATAATTATTTTTTTTTATAAGGTTGACATTGATTCAGAAGAAATACAAGATTAAAAAAGAAACAGAAACAGACAGAAAGAAAAAAATAGAAAGGACAGTTCTGCTCTTCAAGACCTGAAGCCATTCCTCGGCAGCCTTTGTATCAACCTTCCCCGCGATCGCCAACCACTGCGCAATGAGACTACCGATCCTGAAAGCGATTCCAAATTCAGTGTTGGCCACCCCATCAAAAATCCTGCGATTTCTTTCCTTCCACAGACTCCAACACAAAGCATGGAGGAGAGTCGAGGTGCACCACTCTTTGGAATTGGCGGGCTTTCTACGAGGCCAGTTGTTGATGACTTGAGTTATGCTTCCCGAACCTCTGGTGGAATGAACGAAAGCTCCTTTAATCTCTTCCTCTTATTATTTTGTCTTCTACAGTGATAATATCACATTGTTGAACAATGTTTCGGATTTTGGTTACACTTTTACTGTTAGCAATCAGTGTAACAGGCCAAAAAATCAATCCCAGCGGTTCCCGATCCAATACATCATGGTTCACCTGCACCTACAAAGCCTCCACATGTGTCAAATTGGGAGCTCATTATGAGTAAGTTGTTTAATATTATAGAATATTAAAATGTTATTAAGCTTAGTGTTGTTGTTTTTATGGCTACAAAGCTTTATTGAAAAGATATTAAAATATTGAATTGGGAATAGGATTATGCATTCTTTTTTTTTTTTTTGTGTTTTGATCAAGTAATTAAACATTTCTCAAAAATAAATTAGGTTTTTTATCCACATCATAGCATATAAATGATAGAGTTACATAAATAAATGCAGGAGGTCTAGATATTGCCTTCGAACCTTTTATGTTCGTTAATAGACTGGTTCCCTCTGGTCCGAATCCACTACATAATAAAAAACATCCTAGATCATCACCTGCACCAGCACCACCAGCTTCAAAGCCTTCGCACATGTCAAATTGGGAGCATATGACAAGTAAGTTGTTTAATCTTTTATATGATACTAGCCTATTACCCGGCCCGTTGGCCGGATTACTGTATGTTACTCACTTGTGGAATAGGAGAGAAAGCAAGTGAGAGTGAAGGGATTGGGATTCCACTTGATTAGGACCGACCCACTAATCCGATTCTTCCCGACCCGCCCCAACCTAAAGGGTCAGAAAGAGTCAATAAGAAAATACGAACGGAGAGGATTAGTCATATTCATATATCTTGACTCTTCAGAAGTGGGTCAAACAGGATCAAGGTTGGGTGAGGGAAATTTTTAGCGCTAAGCAGAGTTCTGGGTTGAATAGCTTTACTTAGGCCTAGAAATTGGTGTTGATGCAAACTGCAGTTTTTATTATACCATCATCAATCATCATTGAATTAGTCCTGGGCATCCCTCCCCGTTGTCGGTATGAATTCTAATGATGGCTCCGTTCCTTGCACCAGCCTTATCAGCGAGTTGTCATCTCGAGCATGATTTGCCTATGTACAAATTATACAATTAGAGTATGAAATTGAATTCAAAGAAAAGGAAAAGAGATTTCTATCACATGCCAATAAATACACACATAATAGTTGAAGCTAAGTGAAAGTCATTACTCGCACATCAATTCTCAAAAATTACAGACTAAACAATGGCTAGAATGGCACTGAAACTACCAAGAACCATGGACGAAACAACTTGTCAAATTAAATAATCCTTATACTGAAACTACCTTCTAACTTGAAATAAGACATGATCACAGTTCATAGCTCTCTTCTCACTAGGAATTGGTTGCAGCTCGTCTTATCACTGCCTCTCAAGCTCAATTCAAACAGAATAGAGACCGTTATGTAAGATAACCATATCCTTACTGATCATAATTCCTTTCTTCACTCCATTTTTGTCAGAGAAAAGAGTTACCCCCCTCTCCTGCATTTCCCTTTCCCCCTCTCTTCTCCCTCTTCTTCACAAACCGATCCCTAAACCAGCAACAACAACACAAAAATAGCCTTCGCCTCTGCCATCTCCATCTACTGAACGCGTTGGTGGCAAGACAGGACTGCAGAAGCAAAATTTTCTAAAATCAAACTAAATTTTTTGAAGGAGACTCAACCACGAAAAAATAGTAAAGCAACAATGCTAATAGTTCAGATGGTTGGTTTTGATGTTATACATTGCTTTTGTTCTGGTCTCCAGTATATCAACTGCAATAGAGATGTTTCCTCCAATCATCTTTAGTGCACGATTTAGAAGCAAGTCCTACTGTTTGTGTCAAACGGAAACATTCATGGGTTCTTAACTCCCCTGTTAGTGTAAAAGCAGCAGCAACAAAGAAGTTTGACAACACAGCAAGCACCCAGGCAAAATGATACAATGCAGTAGGTTATATGTGTCTCGAAGGTTTTGAGTTACTAAAGTTCATGTTAAAAATAAACATGAATTAAAATGGATAATTCTATTAAGCAAACATCCCCTCCAATCATACAAAGATCAGATATCCAATTCACAAACAATTAAGCCATAAAAAATCATCACACATCCACCACCTTTGATTGCCTAAATTTGGTTTTTCGCAAAAGTTATGGACTCTTAAGGGAAACGTTCATGGGTAGTCTGTTTCATAACTCTAGAGAGCACAGTAAGCAGCCACCAGCCAGACACAGTGCGGTAGGCGAATATGATTCTCAATTCACAATTTCTCACCACCGGAAGTAAGAACAGACCATAATAAGCGTAGCGTTCATGGGTGGTCTGTTTCATAGCACTACTACACAATTTGTTAAAAAAGAAAGAAAGGTATTTAGCACCACGGCGGAACAACTTTTACAGGCCAACAACGACAACATGCTGCAACCACCAGAACTGGTATAATAACTCATAGGGAAAATCAAAAGATTTACTCTCAAATTAAGCAGTTACAACATCGAGCAATTGTCAAGCACATACACCATCACAAAAGTCACAGAACCTGATTCACAAAGCATTAAAACATTTGAGGACATTTTTGCAAAGGTACAACTTATATGTCTTTTTTCCAAGCCATTTCCATCAAAATGCTAATAAATTTGCAATGCATAAAACAAACGGGCCAAAACTTGAAATTCAACCTGTTTGACGACCCATGCCAAATTCTAATTATTCTTTACTTTTAAACTTTCTATTTGAAAATAAAAAATAGTGAAAGAAAAGAGACGACTACAATTCGCCATTTGCACATCACTTATTCGGGAATAAAACCATAGAAATTCAAAAGGAACTGAAAATGTTTAGGATCGTTATAATGTTTTAAATAACCAAATAGATCTTTATGTTAATTTTTACTAACAAATACCAAACTATTCCCTATAAAATACACTATAATTTGATCATTATGATATCAAATAATTATAAAATATATATTTGAAATGATAAAAATTGGACTAATTGTGTTGGTCGAGGTTGAACCATTGAATAACTTTAAAATACATTATATTTTAGCCACTAAGATATAAATTAATAGCATAATATATATTATGTCAGAGAAATTAGCTTATTTTAGAATGACAAACCAATGATGTTCATTTATTTTACTTGATGGCCAAATCCCATGTAGGTCAGGCACATTCAACTCTTTTATTTTATGGTTGGCGGTTAGCCCATTAGATACCATGCATTAGTTTATTGTTAAATGTTTTATTTTTAACAATAAAAAGGAGTATTATTTTTACCTTTTCATATATATTTTGTCACCACGGAGAAATAAAATGGCTTAAAGAAAAAAAATTGACACTCCTGGACCCGTTTAAATTCACATGTGTACGGTAAGTTGGCTCGTTCCATAGAGGAAAGAGAAAAAAAAATTGACACTCCCTATTCTACCATTCCTACAAACACTCATGGAGTAGGGAATTTGAAATGGGGGAAGGATTTTTTTCCTCCCTGCTATTATATGTTTTTAATTTAAAAAGATACAACAAATGTGCTTAGTGTGATTGGTTATTATCCTTGCTTTTCTTTAAAATGGTCATGGTTCGAATCCCAGTACGAGTTTTTTTAACACCATTGAGATGTTGCTTGGGCAACCCATCATACGTGAGCTTGCTATGCTCAACGTGATTGTAACCAGGTTCTCGACCCTGGTTCTTGTTTTCAATCTTATTAGAAGTAAGTCGATACTGACTTCTTTGTAGTGGCTTCTGCAAGCCACTTCCAATTGGTGTGTCCTTTAGAACAACGTTGTTCACAGGAAAGAACACATTGGATTCACTCACTTCTAGCAACAATGTTGTAGACATGGTTCGAGATTTAAACACATCAAAATCATACGTGGCTCCACGTATTGACATATTAAAATCAGAAACAGAGTCGTCCAACTTATCAAACCATTGATCTATGTTTTTTTCAAGATTATCCATTTTTTTATCAAGAGAAGTTAGAATGATATTTACCTGTTGGCAATCTCTGTTGAGTTCAGCCACTACTTGGCGGGGTATGAGCAGCATCTCACCCTGATCGGAGATTCGTGCCATTGATTGCACCTTTGCTCCAGCGTTGTTGCTTGAACCGCCAACAGCATCGTCAATCTCGATATTGACCATTTGAGCCTCCGTCATGGATCCTTGTCGAAGACCACAATCTTCTTTTCCTCGTCGCAGAGCCATGTCAAACACACGTGTCCCACTGGGCGTGCCAAAATGTTTCCCAGGAAAAATCAAATGCCACCGCCGGGCCGAATTCGTTTCCGGCGATGTTGATTTGATGTTTCGCGGTGGAAACTCTTGCGGTGCCGTTTGATCGAATGCACCGCTGATTGTTGAAATCGAGACGACCGTCAAATATCCGCCGCCGAATATCGGCGCCGTTGATTTGATCGATGCACCTCTAAATGGTGAAATCAACGTGACCGTCAAATATCCACCACCGGTGTCGGCGATGTTGATTTGATCGATGCACTTCTGACTTCTAACCAAGAACGACCGTTACTACGGTTCGCACCTCTCCAAACTACGTTCGAACGAGGGTGTTTGAGTTTTGGGGAATCTACACTACCGCTACTCCTATGGAGATTCCTGTGGAGAGCTCCGCGACTACGACTAAGACTACAACTATGGAGATCCTTCCTGGAAGGAGAGCTCCGCGAAGGAGTTACAGAGAAAAAAAAAGGTAAAGTTTGACAGATGTGTTTCTGTGTTGATTTGGTTGTCCCCTCTCTCTCCTTGCTCCGCTGCTTTTATTTGAAATCACTTGCGTAATCTTCACGCTAGGTGGAACCGCTTCCTCAACTGCTCCGTCCTGAAATCCCACGTGTCTCAACTGCCTTGATCTCCTCTTTCTGCTTTGCGTAAAAGTCACGTGCACTCGAAACCGCTCCTGTTTGCATAAACTTGGCGAAACGACGTTGAGCCAAATCCTACAACCTTGTCCATGTAACGATGTCGTTTCACCAATACCGCGGCATCACCTTTCACTAATCGATGCCGTTTCATAATCACCACTCGATTGTCTCGGCCCGGTTTGACCAACAACACTGTTAGCCTATTATACAACGTCGTTTTCCAGTCTTGCGCTGTCGTTGGGCCTGGCGGGCCGCCTTTGGCCGAACTCTTATCCACTGACCAGTGGCGGATCCAGGGGGTGGCCACCCCGGGCCCCGGCCCAGCCCTCCTCTGGATCCATAGTTAGTATAGGCCTTATGAATTTTTCGATTTTAGATATTCGGGTCGTTCTTATTTTAAAATAAGATTGGGTATAATTAGAAAAATAATTCAGATGAACATATTCAAAATCACTACTCTAAATTTAGCTCATAAATTCTAACCCCAAAGATTTTCGTCTAAAAAACAATGAAACCTAAAAATTCAAAAAGTTTATAACGTAAAAGACTAAAACATATATGAGGTGTGTTACCTTGGAAAATTTACTAGAGCAGCTGGTGGATATAGGGATGGAAACACAATGCAAATTGATTAGTAGATTGATTTGTCTAGTGTTCATACTCTAATTTACGGACGAACAATAATGTTTTATGTGAATCAAAATACTAAGAACGATATAATAAACGTTATGTTTTAAACTTTTTTTTATGTCTGATGGATATTGTTTGGTTTCTCAAATAATCATCGTATGAAAAGTGGTTAGAATGACTACAGTTCCCATGTGAACGTTGATTCATGGTTTGTCACATCATCATTAACATTAATTTGTAGATCATAAACGTGTCACGCCACAACTTTCGTACTTCAAATTCTTGTCCAGAGCTAAATACATACACAGAAACAAACCCTAAGTAGTAAGTACCTAATGGCAAGAGTTCCTACGATTTGTACCCTAACTCATCCAATTTAATATTTTAGATTTCGGTGAGTAAAAGGGTTTTAAGTAGGTAAGGAATAGTAGTTTAGCGCATTTGTGTTTATCAGTGTAACTTTTTTAATAGTGAAGAGACTTACAGTAATATCGAATGTCAATCCACTACTGAGATGATTTCAACCTAAATTACTCATTCTTGATTGCTTAATTAACATTCACTAATTGAAAGATTGGCTGGAAATTGGAGCGGGAAAGGAAGCTCGGAGCTGCATCTTTTCTTTGCAAGCACAGTGTGGTTATGATGCATTGTTAACCTCTTAAGGGATTAGCACCATGCTAATTTGTTTAAGAACCATTAAATTAAAATCATAAAATAAAAATTAATTAAATGATATTTAAGTAATATTACTTCTAACTCTAATATATAACCTCTCTTACCACCAGTACTCCCCCACTCACAGCCGCCTCCCCTCTTTCTACGCAAATCATCTCTTCCCTCTCCCCTCTATCTACAGAACCGTCTTGGTGTGGCGACGAAGAACATGAACGAGAGGCCCAAAGAGACATGCAATGATGGCAGACGGCGACGGGAGAAGAATGTTAGCCGAAGATATCGAGGGAGGAGGCAGGCAGTGACAATAGGTCGAGGAGGCTTGCGGCGATGAGAGAAGAAGGTGCGTTGATGGCGTGTGCCGATGTCTTTTTCTCCATTATTTGCACCATCTTCGGCGTAGAGAGATGTAAATTTTGGATCTGCCTTCCCCCAATGCTCGTCGATGCCCTAGTGCAACAGATCTGGGGCCACCGTCAATCAAATCCAAACGCCGATGTCTGGAGTAGTTGAAGGGAACAACAAGATTCGTCTGGGTGCATGTCTTTACGGCATATTTCTGAGGCGGGAACGACTTATTGGGGCATACTGAAGTGATCTTCGACAGTGGGCGACTAATTATGTAGTAGTAGTGATTTTTATTATAATGTGTAGTGTTTTTTTACAAATATTAGTAGTTGTTGGTATGGTCATAGTAATATTTTCATTCTTAGTGTCAATAGTTATATGAAAATCACTATATAACCGATAAAAACACTACTATCAACCCCAAAATCATCCATCGATTTTAATTACAAAACCTTAACTCAATACAACTAACAATAAAATCACTACAATCAACCAAAACCGCTACTAATTTAAGATGTAATGAATTTAGTGTAAATTTTCTAGGCCGAAAATGACTAACAAAAGAAGGAGAGAGAAAATATATTTTAGATTTTAATTAATTTTTAATTTTTTGAAATACCAAACACACCATTAATAACCATAATCAGATTTGATTTAAAAAATGAATGATAATTAAAATAGTTAATATGGTGCGCTAACTTCTATGAAGTTAACACTCTAACTTCTCCCAAAATCCTTATTGCGGAGAATTTAAAGTTGGTCTCACCATCACTCTTAATGTCATTGTATAGTTACGTGCATTCAAAGTTGTCGTCTTTGTATGTTCCAAAAATACATATGGGTCGAGATCTCTATCAGCTTCTTTGAATCCAGAGGATGTATTTTCACACTTGGGAAGCCACAAAAAAAAAAAAAAAAAAAAGAGTCAATCTACGATACCTCCTCAGCGCTAGATAATTCTAATTGTCTCATAATGTATTAATTCACATTTTCCCTCCTTCGATTGCTTCATCATTTTTTTTTTTGGTTGCCAAATGGAACAAGTTGACCCAATTATCTCATATTGAGGTAATTGAAGCAGATTGACTCATCACATAAATCTATCCAAATGACTTCTTAGAGCATTTTCATCGTCTTTCTAAACAATGGCGGACCCAGGATTCTCGTATAGGTGTGTTAGTCGATAAAACTAAATAAAATAATAAATAAATTTTAATTATATTTTACTGTGAAACACAACAAGAAGTGGGATCGAAAGAGGTAAAGGGAACACTAGGGATTTTTTTATAAGATAGTAGTCCATATGCAACCGGACTCTCGATGAAATAGCATGTTTTGTCACTAGCTGGACAACTATGTGAAAGCTACAAGGATCAATAAGAAACAAAACTTATTCAAGAGAAAAAGGAGAAAACTTCCTTATGATTACCCCTGCCTAAGACCTAAGAGTAATAAACCATTGCGTCTAAATGCTTAAGCAGTGGAAAGAACCTCAAATTTGTCATAAGTTAACTAAAATTTAAAATAAATAATATATATTTACGTATTTTGGGAAATTTGTGACACCAATTTCATCGTAATGTATTAAAGGTGTGTCGATTACAATTATTGAAGGTGTGTCGAGAGTCCTAAATTCTAAAAAATTATACCGACAAAACATGAGTCTCTCACAAAATATTCGAGCGAAAGTGTGTCGCTTGACACACTTCCCTAACACATGGTTTCTACCCTTTTCTTAACAATGCAAATGTCAAACTCTATGTTGCAAAGCAATTTGCAATTGCAAGAGATGGAGGGTTTTTGTTGTTGTTGGTAAGGTCAGGACTCAGTGTGCGGTGGATATTCTCTAGATTACTATTAGGCCAACTCCTTGAGGTTAATGGAGGGGTAATTGCTTATTTTGAAACATTGCTAAATTAACAAGTTCTTAAGCAATGTGTAAATGATTTTTTTATTGTTAGTTAATGTTCAATGAAAAGTATTTTGATAGATTTAAAATATTAGTTGGGACCCACAATAGCAATTACGAACAAAATTTAGGGATGTAGTTTGCTTGACATTTTTAAGAAACAATTGCTAAAATTGTTAATGTGGTTGTAGAGACCATATTTAGAAATCGGTAGGGATAAAGATGGTCTTATAGATTTCAAAATTGAAAATAAATAGTAAGGAAATAATTGTTGAGATAGACTTTGTAAACTACATGCAAAAAAAAAAACTTTGATTGTGATCTTTATATATATGGTGATATAGTAATATACCAACATGTATTTTGGAGGGTGTGACTCTATAAATACTGGACCATAACCTCTTATTGTTCCCAAACATCTACACCGTAAAAGAATTCTCTTCTCTCTTTCAATCTCTTCTTCTTGTTTAGCAATGTTGCAAATTTTGGTTGCACTTGTGCTGTTGGGAAACAGTGCAACAGCCCAAAAAATTAACTCTGCCAACTGGGCCAACAGTGGCTCACCTCAAATTGCATCTTCAACTCCTCCACATATTTCAAATTCGGATGCCGCTCCGAGCTATATAAGTAATGAATTTACTTTAATTCAATCTTATTAAGTTTTTTTTTTGTGTTTTTATGGTTACTTAATTTTTAATGAAATTATTAAAATATTATCATTTTTGTTGTTTTAGTCCAGTAATAAAACATTTCTAATAAAGAAATAAAGAAATAAATTATATAGCATAGAATTCAAGGTTCATACTGACATACGCTTACCTTATCATATGTTGGTCGAGTTTTGTTATTTAGACCATGAATTAATCAGAGTTTGGGGCATGATACTATACCCTAACTTCTAATGGGAACCCTAGTCCCCAATTCTCTAACCCAAACCAGAAATTCATTTATAAAATAAAATAAACGGTTATTATTCATCAAAATTATCAAAATACATATAATAGGTATGAACGCATGCATATTGCATACACTAATCTTTGTCATAATAGAAAAAATGTAATGACAAATAAACGATTACTTTATATATTTACAGGAGGTCGAAAGATTGCTTATGAGCCTTCTATCTCCATCGATAGATGTGTTCCCTCTGGTCCGAATCCAATACATCATCGTTGTGCACCAACACCTCCAACGCCTCGGCATATGCCAAATTCGGAGCATGTAAAAAGTAAGTTATTTAATATTTTATAAGATATAAAATACATCAGGGTTCATCTGCACGGGTGCACCGACACCTACAAAGCCTTCTCATAAGCCAAATTGGGATCCAATAACAAGTAATTTGTTTGATATTTTATAAGTTATATAAGTAATAAAATTACTTTAATTCAATCTTATTAAGCTTTTTTGTGTTTGAATGGTTACTATGTTCTTATAAAATTATTAAAAAAATTGAGTTAGGAATAGGACTATGTATTCATAATTTTTGTTTTGTTTTAGTGAAGTAATAAAACATTTCTCATAAATGATTTAGTATATAATTCAAAAAAATTATGGCATAACAAATAAAAGATTACTTTACATATTTACAGGTGGCCGAAAGATTACCTTTGAGCCTTCTATCTCTGTTGATAGATGTGTTCCCTCTGGTCCGAATCCAATACATCATCCTTGTGCACCTAAACCAGCACCTTCAACGCCTCCGCATATGCCAAATTCGGAGCGTATAACAAGTAAGTTATTTAATATTTATCAAATATATAAAAATAGAATTCTTACTAATATAATCTCACCAAGATTTTTTTTTTCTATGGTTACTAAGCTTCTGTAATAAAGTTATTGAAATGTTAAATTGGAAATAGGAGTATGCATTCATCATTTTTGTGCTTTAGCCAAGTTGAGTTGGATAAAACGTATATATTCAGTATCTAAACTTTTTGACAACCTCACAGTGTTGGCTGCGTAAATTGCAGGACGGTTGATTGGGAGGAAGATTGTTGATCCGGCCAAACCCTATACCAAAAAGGAGTAGACAGATAGATCAAGGGTGACCGTGAATGCACAACTCTAGTGGAAGAGTGTCAAGACTTCAAACTATAATCTATAGTTGATAAAAAAATGTTCTATGTGAACCAAAATAACAAATATTATGTTTTGAACTGTTTCGTTTTTCATGTAGTAATCGTAATGAAGTGGTTATATTTCATACATGAATCCCTCCAAACATTCCAATTTATTGTGATTAGTTTGTTTATGACATGATATGATCAGTTTGGTTATATTATGTTTTGCTTTCTCCCTTAATCCAATACTGCTCTTTCTAGATCGCTGATCAATTAACATTCACACCAATACTTCTTTTCTGTACCAATGATTGTTATTATTATGACAGGATTCACCAAGTGGAAAGATCAGTTGCTTGAAATTGGGTCGGGAAATGGGAAGCTCGAAGCTGCATTCTTGCAAGAACAGTGCGGTTAACTGCTGCCAATTCTTACTGTGCAGAAATTAAAGTTGTCGTCTTTGTATGTTCCAAATTATATATGGGGTCGAGCTCTCGACTCGACAGCTTCTTTGAACCCAGAGGATGTACTGTGTACGTACGTTTACGTTTAATGCAAACTACTGCTAGCTGCAAAGGAGTTGGGTTGGCTTTGTGCTGTCTTCATCATCATCGTCCCATATTGTATGATCTCTTACCAGCTTTCTGCCTACGTACGTACAGTCTTGCTCAATCGTATTAGTTGAATGATGCAGACGTATAGCCGACTTAGCGTTTGCCCTCAGAAGAAGCGAACTAATACATGCTGCAGTACTCGAGAATTCTTCACAAACTTATCCTCCAGTTGTCTGTAATCACAGAGAAAATAGTCAAATACTAGCAATATTTACAACTAGCAGTACGAATCGGATTGCCGTCTTAGCTCAGCCGGTAGAGCGCGTGGCTTTTAACCACGTGGTCGTGGGTTCGATTCCCACAGACGGCGTAACTCAATCTCTTTTTTCACAGTAACGCAATGGGGCATTTCATTTTCAACATTCCTGTAACTTCTGTTCTCCTATTTTTCTCTCCAAGTAATCTGACGGCTTGACCATTGAACAGTGAAAACAGACAAGAAGAGTGAGAGGAGGGTTCCATTAAATTCTTTTGCTGCCAACCCCAAATTTATTTATTTCGTTTCAGAGAAAGTTCTGCACATTTGGTACAGTTCATGGGCTTCACGTCGTCTCACCCTCTCTCACCAATCTGCTTCACGAACCCAGAAAAATGAAAAGGGAAATTAAATGGAGAAACCTTGAGAAAAAGGAATCATGGGATAGCCATGCACTTCACTAAATATATTTACCCGCCACCAACCGGCCATCCACCGCCACGCCACGGAAACTGCCCTTTCCTTCCCCTTCACTTTCTCCCCCCGCGCTCTTTCATCCATTCTGTTTCTTTCTTCTTCATTTGTCAACTCTTCTGTTCCACCATCACCTACCTTTAATGGCATCCACGATCATCCTCCAAACCAAACCTTCCCCTCTCTACTACTACTACTATATCATTACAAAGCCTAACCCCACTTGTCTTCTCTATTCGTTCAATCCCATTTAGAAAATGAAGTTCGAAGATTACTTGGTGGAGCAAGCTGACGATCAGAAGCAGAAGCAGCAGCAACAGCAGCAGCAGCAGCAGCAGGAGAAGAGGATCATCCTGGAGCAAGAGGTCTGGAAAAACTCCCATGCTTGCTTGCTTCTTCTTCTTCTTCTTAGTTTCTTTGGGTTGTTTGTGAAAGTTAGTAAAACACCCATGGGGTTTTAATTTTTCCAGGTTGAGAAGCTGCAGGCGGAATTGGAAACACAGCAGGCAATAGGGAAGGTGCTGCACTCTGCACTTCATGGCCCTGTTGCGTCAGCAACGAATTCTTCACTTGCCTCGTTGCTTCCTCCTCACGTAAGCTTTTCGGTTCCGAGACTATTCAGTGGGGGGTGGTTGATGATTGATCACTGAGGAGTTTCTGACATTGGTTACAATGTGGGGGCAGGTGCAGGAGCTTCTGTCGGAAATGGCAATGGTGGAGGAGGAAATCGTCTGGCTGGAGAGGAAAGTAGGTGAGTTGAAACTCGGCTTGTACAACGACCGGAAGCTCGCCAAAGAAAGGAAGTTACAACTGAAGCAGCAACAGAGACGGCAGAAGACAAAGCATCAGAAGAATTACTTGCCCCTGCCCCTGCCCCCGCCAGCGCCACCGTGCGCACCTGTAGGGGATCGCTCTGTGGTTAATGGTGATCTCTACCAGGTTTCGAAATCACAGCGCCATGCGGGTGGTTTCAGAAGGGAGAGGTTCAAGTTCAGAAGAGCTTCTGCTGGTTCTGCAGAAGAACTGTTCTGCATTCTTCCCACTGCTGCTGCTGCTTCCCCAAGTACGCCCCTAGTCAAAATCCCGAGTCAAATTCCTAAAAGATAGTATAGATTACGCATTATAAAATTACTCAACTAGACTCTGTTTGATTCTATGTAAAAGCTTTCATGAATTTACTAGCACAGTCAAAGAACTTGGCAGAATTGAGGACTAGATCATGATATCATTGCTAGAAACTTTTGAATCCGAAAATGTTTATAGGGTGTTCTTAGTAAAATTGTAATATTTTACATGAGTGATCCGTAAAATCTTATGGTTTTCACAATTCCAGTTTACTGTTCCAAATTTATAGTTGCTCGTGGATTGGTTTTAGAATCTGAGCGTGACTACCTTTGCAGAAGCCGAAAAGCCAAAGAAGCAACACAGGCGAAGATCAATCATGCAGAAGGAACCCAAAATGCAGAGAGAAGTAGTATGTTACGAGAAGCCAAATGAGCTATCGGAAGAACTCACCAGATGCCTCATTGGCATATTTCTTGATCTCAACCAGACGTCAGCTGTTGAAGAAACAGAAGATTCAGCTATCGTCCCAAAGCATAGTATCATCTCCCATCGCACAAACTCGAAAGGGCCAAAAGCAGCTATCTCATCATCATTCAGCTGTAAACAACCTTCACCGTGTGTTTCTTCCCCTTTCAATGGGTCGCCATCTTCGAACATTGATCCTTATGGAATTATGCCGGACGAAGACAGTGGTGGTATCAGAGACATTGGACCCTACAAGAACTTCATCCAGATTGGAAACAGCTCTTTGGATATCAGCAGCCGATTCAAGCAAACTTCACTAGCTGCTGAAAAGCTAAGGTTGTGCCTTTGGATATGCTTATTAGGCTGCTGCTGATGTTCTGAAAGTAAAATACTAAGTCTTACAAATCAACTCTCATCCATTTTCTTCTCAGGGATCTGGTGCAGAAATTGGGGAATGTTGATTTGACGTTCTTGACATACAAGCAGAAGTTGGCGTTCTGGATCAATATCTACAATTCCTGTATAATGCATGTACAGTAAGAGCGCCTTTTTCAGTATTCAAAGTCAAGCAAAACAGAAGTCCCGGAGGTGTTTATATTTCATAAACGCAAGTGCAATTAATTCTAACTTTGGTTTTCATTAAAATCTCAGGCATTTCTAGAACATGGACTGCCTTCCTCACAGGAGAAACTGTTGGCAATCATGAACAAGGTATGCTACATTCATTTCATGTCTCCCTAAAACACACTATCCATGTGCCCTAAAAAACTCTAGCAGAGTGGTGATCATGGTTCAGAGGATGAACTTCAAACAAGAATAGTGAGTGATGTTTCCATTCTTTAATTCACAAGCACAGGCTGCAATCAACGTGGGAGGAATGGTGTTCAATGCTCTGGCTATAGAGCATTTCATTCTCAGGCATCCATGTGAAGCAAGCTATGTAAGTAGATAAACTGAGGAATTAAGCATAGACTCGTACAATACTTCCACAAGAGAGATTCAAGTTCAAAAACAATATATATAGCCTGACAAAGGATGTCGATTACACTTACAAAGGGCCCTGTGGACGACAAGGAAATGCTTCTCCGCCATACTTATGGTGTTGGATATCCAGAACCGAACGTGACATTTGCCCTCTGTCGTGGCAACTGGTCGTCTCCTGCAGTACGTCACCTAACTCTTCCCGGCAAATTTCGTATTGAAAGCTGAAAAATAGGTCCAGAACTTAATTCAATTTTTAATTTGCAGTTGAGAGTATACACAGCAGACCAAGTGGTGAACGAGCTGGGAAGGGCCAAAGCAGAGTACTTAGAAGCTTCAGTTGGGGTGGTGAGGAGCAAGAGAAAGATTGTGGTGCCGAAGCTACTGCAATGGCACATGCGAGACTTTGCCGACGATATGGACTCACTACTGGAATGGATTTACAGCCAGCTATCACGCTCTGGTTCGCTCAAGAGGCTGATGATGGAATGTCTGAATGGAGGAACCAAATCTCCAGCCACAAAGATGGTGGAGATTCAGCCTTATGAATACGGTTTCCGCTACCTGCTGCCTTTCTAAGAATGAATCCAAACGAGAGTAGAGATGATAGATATCGACACAACAATCAAGACCCTGACTGCTATTATAGAGACTGTCAATACTTAGGTGGTAATTTCTTGCTGTGCACTCAAGATCAGCAGAAGTGAACAGCTGATTTTGTAACTAAAGTTCTATAACTTCATTCTAGTTAATACAGAGTTAAATAAAGGGTGTGCTCGTTTTGACTAAAGAAATACGTTAATTGAGTCAACATCATTGCATTTTCCACCTATGCTCATTTCAGATGAGAATTTATTCTCAAGTTATATAATTGATAATCATTTTCTGAAATACACTCGTATTCGTATTCAACAAACGATTTGTCGACAAATTTACTGTTCTTTTATTGCTAAAAAATATTTTCATATTTCATTAACTCAACTTTTTTTCCGAAACTCAAGCAAACACTATTTTGAAACCCAACCAAACACTTCACTTGATAAAACATAAACACCAACTTGGGCAGATTCATTGATCCACTAGCAGAAGCACTCAAACGCCAATAATGTATACAATAGGAACATGAACTGCAACAGAAGGAATAAACCGAGAAGAGCAGAGTGTGATGCAACAAACTAGGCAAGGGTATTGGTCACATTCTCCTTGCTTCAAACCGCAATCAAGACAAACAGATATGAGAAACCACAGAGTGCTACTTCAACTAAGGGAATTAACAATCCTATTTAACAGGTTTAACCCAAACACGGTTTCTTCACAATTGACTTTCACCACCACATTCAATGGCTCGGAGCATATACCTTCAGCTGTGATGGTAATTAAGCAAGGGGCTGAGTTGCTAAGGATTTCACTGCTGAACCGCAAACACAAGCCAGATGCATCATCGTGCTTAGCAGCGATTGGCATGTCGACGGATACAAGGAAGATATTGGCATTGCTGAGCATTGTTAATGCTATGCTCTCACAGACTACCAGAAATTTGTCTTTTGCGAAAGTGTGATTTCCCTTTTCCTTGTTTAGATAGTCTACATGGCCTTTGAAGATACAACTGGAAACCCGGAAATTGGAAAATGAAATGAAGATGAACTCAGTAAGTACGTGTTTTTAAATGCACTAAAGAAATAGGGGGACAGGAAAGCAATTGAATTACAGAATGGGTGTGTTTGTTTTCATCTAAAAATAAGTACTTTTGGAAGAAGAAAAAAATTGGCTCAAAAGCTAGAACTATCATGCATCATGAACCACGACAATTATTGAAAGCTAAAGCCACCTCACTAAAATATTTCATTTCCACCTTACGTTTGGAAAAACAATAATCTAAGTTATACTCATAAAAAAAATCATCTATCAGTAGCTTCTATTACTAAAAGATCGTTCATATCCATCAACTCAACTTTTTCTTAGCACTTTCACAAACACACATTCTCTCCATTTTTTCTAAAACTTCAGCAAAAGTCACTATCAAAAGCTAATACACAGTGAGTGATGATAATGATAACATAAGAGCGATAATAATAACTAAGATTAAAAGTTGGAGCCAAGTATAATTAACTGACCTCCTTGTGCATTCGAACATTCCTGGAAGATGAGACTCCTTGTCTTTGAATGCATCAACATCCATTGGAAGTGGTTTTACAAAATACCCAATGTCAGGTCGCAATTTAACTGGATGACTCTTGCCATTGAAATATATGACCAACTTCAAGGGCAACAAATGGTGGTGGAAGCGGACATGAATTGTCTCCCTAGTTGCCTGACCAGGTTCCAGAGAAGTAATCTCTTCCATAGGAATCAATGCCGGTACATCGTCCTGAGAAGAGCTGTAATAACCGAGTCAAACGCATGTGGGCTAAGTTATTGCCACAAGAAAATTGAAGAAAAAAATTGATGGTGATAAAACAAATATAGATATTTCTTCTTTTTTAGTGATGATAGGGGCATATGGAAACATCAACTGTACCAGAAAAATTACAACATCACAGCTAATCAATGACTAGATAAGAAAACCAGTCACAAGTAACATAAACTAGCCAAAGCCGGATAGGAACAAAAGTTACCTCTCAGAAGAATCTGAAGGCTTGGTCGTGAAGTCCTCATGCTTCAACACTATGTTTGAGATAGTCTCACTGGAACAGTTCTCGAAAGAAGCTTGTATGGTTATAACATGAGGTGATATTGTTGAAACTTCAGATGAAAACGTATAATCCACCTTCATGCCATTTCCATTCGCAGGGTCTAAGAGTTCATATGTCTTAGGTATCACTCGCTTCCCAATGTCCTTAATTGAAATTCTTGCTGACCTAGGGACCTTACTCTGTTCGGGTATACTTGAATTTGGTAAACTGGGCTGATCATCCAACCAAGTTTCTAAATCTCTTCTTGACATAAGTTCCTCAAGATCAGCAGAACCAGCTGGCCGGAGATGGTTCTCATCAGATATTTGAATCAGTGGATCTTGGATGTTTTCATCCTCACTTGAGGAACCAGTCTCGCCATTATCAGTATTGCCACCAGAAGCAACTGAGTTGTCAGAGCCATTGTAAGAACCACTTTCCTCATCCAAAGATCCAGTAAATGAATCAGAACCATCTTGTTCCGGCACCTCTGCCTCAAAATCTGCATCATCAAGAATAGTACAAGGCTTGGGCAGTGGTTCATACCCTGGGGCAGCATGAAGTACTATCTGTGACAGGGATCCCGGGAGATAGACTCGGTAATTGACTGGTACTGGGGACTGTTGAGTTGCTTGTTCATGAAACATGTGTTCGGCAAGTACATTGAGAAGGCCTTCATTTTGAGAGGAAGTGGCCACCTCATTTTCCAATTTCTTTGAGCCCAAATGACTTGAAAGAAGTTTCCTGAAGAAACAGCCTCTTCCGCGGACAACATAGTTCATATCACACTCAGCCAGTTCAAGCACATAACAACCTATTTTTGTTAATGTTTCTAGATCTCCACCTTTTGAATTTGACAGTACCTACAGGACATTAAATAAAGAATCAACTGCAGAGTTCTCGCAAAGCATCAAGCACAGAATGGGCAAAAGAGATTCATGCACGGAAGGTTATAAGAAAGGTCTGATGCATTTCGCACCTTAGGCCTTGGAGCTCATCAGAGAATTCCTATTAAGCCTCAATTCCGCAATCTAGTGAAACTGATTGATAAACAATTTAAGAGTTGCTGAAAGAGATCAAAAAAATACCTTAGCAACTGTGTTTAGAGTCTGCAGCTTTGTTTCTGAGCTTTCTGAAGTAAAGCTCCAAGCAATATACTTAAGAACAGTAATTAACATTTTCGGAATTATCTCCCCAACCTTGCTATACTCTCCCAACATCCAAATAATTATTGCACGGGCTGCAGGTACCTTGATGGAATCTAGGTTACGGACTAACTGAACAATAACCTGCAATACCAGATAAACTTATTAAGTAACAAGAAGAAGCTTCAAGACAGCAGAGACGATCATCTTCAAGCTTTGTTGTGTTATTTCGTGGCACAGGATTTGCTCGTAATTCATGTTTTCAAGCCTCGTGCTTTAATTGGTTGACCTTGTCATTTGACAGCTATTTTCCAACTAAATTGAAATAACTAGTTATTCAATATATGCTAACAACAGCTAGCTCATGGTTCTCTGAGAGCTAGTAGTAGGGATACAGTGAAATAGATGATAACTTCAACATCTAATTTCACCATCATCAAACACATGTCTACCTTGTTTCAGCACCATCCGCCGCCAGCCTCAGTTACCAAGATCAGGACATGCAAATGAGGATATTGGAAATGTAAATGACTTAAGAAGAACAAAGTCATAGCATTACCTTTTCATGACTAGGAGGATCCTGCTTTACAATCATTTTAATTGACATTATAGCTTGAACTAAAACACCTGCTTCTTCTTCAGAAGCCCAGGCGTCACTAGTGAAAGAATCTGAAAAATGAGCAGATAATCAGAAGAAGAGAAGAAAAGTTAAAGTTTCCTTGTTGGACTTAGCTAAAACCAACTACAGACCCTGCCTAGTCAATGCCAACAGCCCTTCCAAGCATGTACTAGCCATTTTAGGAAGTTGCAATGCACATAAACCAATTGCAGCTACTGTATCAGCTGCAAATCTCCTGTCCGGGTCCCTAATGTAGTCCTGTGAGAAATTAAGACACAAGCAACGAAAATGTAGTATTAGCCACTTCGAAGAAGATCCTATGATTTGAGGTATATGAATGACAAAGCAGTATTAGCAATTTCTTTCCCCCCTCCCTTTTTCATGAATGAAAGCAATTACTACTAGGCAAAGAAAGATTGAAGGACTTACCTGAAATTCCTTGAGGATAGATGCAATAGATGAATCTGTAGAAATAGTACAAAGAATCTCAAGCTTCAAGGCTTTTGTCTGATAAGAGTCTGTGGATAGTATGAAAAAGTTCTCGAAGTGTGAAGCAAATAGATAAGGCATTGCTTTAGCAAACACTTGAATGTTGCAAAGGACCTGTAAGGAAACAATATAAGTGCATCAGCTGGACTTGAACTAACTCTTTCGAACTTGATTAGAAAGTTTATATAAAACGAAAACAAAGCGCCAATTGGAGGGGATCGCCTAAGAACTATATGAAACATCATGAAGATTTTGCATCTTGCAACCTCCCAAACTTCATCCAACAAAACAACAGGACATAGGTATGGTAGGAGCAGGCATATGAATGCCTAGCTTAGAGTAATACCAGAAATTTTTCATGTAGATAAAATTACTTGGGCATGCATTACCACATTACTGAAAATTGAACTATTCTACATTGTAACCATACACGTATCTCCCCCTAAAATGGATATACAAGACAATTTCCTTCCAAGTGGAATAATGTAACCCAGCCACATTTGTTACTGAATGCCCCATTTTAATCCTTTCAAATCCTTTGCCACTAGCTTGAAAAGGAAGAAATAACAGTTCCTGTTTTATTCTAATTCAAGAGTAAAAGAGCACCTCATAAAGAGAATGCAGGAATCTGCTATAAGAAAGGCTACACCTTGCTCTTCAACAGAAATCAAAACAGCATCTACATATTAAAGATAAATGAAACACTTTTAGTACCATCTATGTATATGAAAACATATAGATGCAGGGATTGCACAGTACCACGTAATTTGAATTTCTTGATGATCTCAACAAAAATAGCAGTGGTTTAACAATTCTTTCGATGTTCTCTTTTGGTGCCATAATCCAATGTACACCAGCTGCTGCCAATACTACTGCACTATTGTTACTCCAAAACAATGGTGATGTACATTGAAGTAGGATCTTCACATCCTCGTTATTCTTGCTAGATGTAAACTTTGCACCACTAAATGTCAAGAACACCTTGTTGGAGTAACTTGAACGTGATAAATAGTCATCAGGTCCTTCGATGTAACACCTATATATCATGCTAGCCAGCTCAGAGTCATATTTCTTAATGGGGTCAATGCCCTCTTTTCCGAACTTGGAGTCAGCATCTGAATCATCATTTTCAGATGAAGAATGTTCTTTGCTGTGCAGATGGAACATCATCGACTGCTTCACCAGCCCGTGCCTCGCTATGACATAGCGCAGAAGAATTCCAATTAAGACTATTTGACCCCACTCCTCGACATCAGGAAGAATAGTGCACAACCTTTTATAATTTTTCCCAATCAATGAATAATTATTTGGGCAGACAGAAGAAAATGCGGCAGCAGTAGCACCCACTACAGCCGGTGAATTGTCAGTTAACAATGTTCCAACAATCTGCATTGAAGACCACAACAGATTGATCGTCAAGCAGCCGTCAATACTTAACCATGTTAAGTAACCAGAGATTTTTGCATGACATAAAGCTATGTAATACGACAAGTCCCAGATTAATCAATACCTCTTCAATGGTAGAAGAGTGTTCCTCCAAACGCAAATCATGCAATTTTGGAAGAGCACTGGCTGCACATTTTCTAACATACACAGAGGGATCTCTAGCGCACTTCCCGACAGCAACCAGAACAAGAGGAGCGATGGCATGTAAACGAATTCCAGCCATAGTACGGAGAGCCCATGCCCTTACTAATGGATTTGTATCCCCCAAGTCTTTCTGGAATGAATTTATCGACAGTAATGCTTCATTGGGACGCCTGCAAAATGAAATGATACAAACCAAAGGATCAACGCATAAATCAACCTCAGTTGCCCGAACAGCAGTTGGGATGAACTTAAGAGCGATAACCCAATTTTAAGTAATAACTAATAACCCTTGCTTTCAGTTAACAGGAAACCAACAACAAGCATGTTCTGTATCTATCTCTTGGACATACTTTTGAGCATAATGGAGGAGATACAAGTAAACCAGCTTCTTCACTTCCAACGAATGAGATGCCACGTTTTTAACCACCTGCAATTCCCTTGATTAAATGGAGAAGGGAAAACGGGACATAAGTACTGTAACCTCTGATGCCAAAGAAACCAAATTGAATATGCCATTTGTGAACTGCTTCACACTCAACACACTTGGTTTTGAATAGAAAGCGAAACCGCTACAAGCTGCCATAATCCAGTTCTACATTACCGATTAGCGGAATCTCCGCAGCCATCACCATGAAGGTTCTACTCAATTTCAGTAATTCAATGCGACAAGTAAATGGTTGCGAACCTGGGGGAAGAAATTGGAAACGTCGAATCCCTGAGCAATGAGAGCCAGCAGGCGCTTGAGAGCTTCGCATTTCTCGGAGTCAAATTTGCTGTCAAGCAATGGCGCAATGTTAACGTCTTCAGGATCATCGTAGAGGTGCGCGTCCGTCCCGATCCGGAACATGATCGTCGACGCCTTGCTCAGCGTATCAGCCGTTGCTCCGAATTGCGGGAACATTCTGCGGCCCTGCTTTCTACTATTCTGGTTAACCTCTGCCGGATATGGCGAATTGGCGATTCTTCCTCTTCCTTTCCTTTTTCCGATTCGGACACTGAACAGAGCGATGGTAGACTGGAGGTTGAAGAAGGTGAGGCTCAATTGACGAGAAGAGAAATTAGTTATGCACGAGAATAAGATTGAAGATTGTTAGTTGGATTGGGCCTAGATGTCGGTTAAGGAAGCCCATTTAAACAAGCTCGTATGGTTTAATATTTGACATTAGGAGGCCCATGAAGGCCCACAACACCAGCTCCACCTTAGGACCGTTAGTTTTTCAAAGTTGTATTTTTTTTATATATATTTATAATTTATGTGTCGTTTGGAATATGCGATTATTTTTGTGAGGTTGTTACTATACATGTATTATTTAGAATGCATCGTTTTTTAAATTTTTTTTGCATAAATAATACATGGATATTTTCTAGGATGTGACAAAAACTATCACTCAAAATGAGTGATCGTTATATTTCAGTTTTTTATATGTGATTGTTGAGATTATTAGGGATGGAAATTTTGACATGACTCGATTTACCCGACCTGTTTGACCTGTTCCGACCTGCTCTGACCCTCCCCATTCTCGACCGGTTCGTACCTTAATTACATGTTATCTTAGCCAAATTACTTATAATATTTCTTATATTACATCATATTTTAGCGGTTATAAAGTTTTGAATTAGTGAAAAGTTCAATTTCTCGACCCGTTCGCCCCAATTCTATCATATTGTTAGTAATATTGACTTGGTAACATGATACTGAACTTGGAAGAGACTCACAAAGGTCAACCTTTCAAAATTTTAATATTTTAACTAAGAAAAGAGTTACAAAATTATTAAACGATAACTTAAAAATGACTAATACTTTGATGCATTATAAATTTTTTGGATAACTAATAGAATTTTAATAAATTTGAATAATATAAAAGATTTTGAATTTTTTTTATAAAAAATAAATATTACCCCTAATATTTTGTAGTTTTTTATAAATGGGCTTTTAAATGGAGCCCATAAAGCCTATCCAAAATTACAAAACGAAACCTTATTCAACCGGCCCAAACTTCTGCAGATTTAAACTCTATACGAGACACAGCTCCTCCTTTTTTCCGTCCGGCCGGGATTAGGGTTTCCTCAGTGCTACTGCTACTACTTCTCTCCGCGTTTGTTATTTAAATCCGGCAAGCAGTTTCTTAGGCATTGATTGTCTGATTGAAAAGAGAGAGGCTTGAGGGGGATCTTCCGTTTCAAACGAGAGGGAAAATCTCAATTTAGTTAAAGGGTGGAACTCGGAGATGGCAAACCGAGCAGTAGGCGCCGCCGCTCTTTCTGTCAAAAGAATGATGCTTTGGTGTCTCTTCCTTGACACCTTCCTTCTCTTTTGCAGTTCGTTATCCCTTCAATTTAATCTGGGATATAATTTTTCCTCGACCGCTGTGAAGGTCCTTTAATCTATACACTTGATATGAGCTCTGTGATTTTCTCTTTCTTTTATATGCACACCAGGTGTTCGATGAAAATCTTATGTGGAATGTTGAGAATGGATCTTGAATTGCATTTGTTGTCTTTTATTGTGGGGAATCGGCCTTCGGGCACCTAGTTTTGGTTTCTCGCGCCGACAACAATGCATAAATAGAAAGCTCGATTCTTTCCTTGTTCTCCTCCAGAGGGAGGCTTTCGGGCCGTTATCCCTTGTGGATGGCGAACAAGATCTGTGATCGGGCAGCGGCCAGACAACCGTAGTGATGGTATCCACAGATGGCGGGTTCCTAGATCCCGTTTGTCTACTGATTCCATCTCACATTTTCTTGATGCGTTTTCAATTCCAAATCGACCATTGGTTTGAAGAAAGTAGATTTTATTTTGTTGACTTCGGGTTGCTACGCTCTTTGGTGCGGGAGACTTCTCGCATCTGAATCTGTTGTTTGTTCCATGACTGATTCTTAAAGTCTTTGGGTAAATTGCAATCTTCGATTTTCTTTTTGAACAAAATTTTGGCCTTGATTCAGAATTGGGTTTCACGCTCTGCAATGTTCTTGGCAATTGAACAATATCTTGGAGTCAGGTGATGAATACGGATTATACATCTCACGACGGTCGTCTGAGATCTTGTAAAGGTGTTGCTGCTGATTAATCCAATATTCTGATGATTCATTTGATCCTTTTACCAGAATTTTAGTCAATTTATCAATCCATCATATCTGTTTAATGTCCCTTCGAACAAATCTTTGTTTACTATAGGCGCGGCAATATACCTATCCAATGGATCTTGTGTTTCGGATGTTACATTTGAAACTAATGCAGAATTTTGATAATGAATAATATTATTGCTTTCACCGTTTCACGTTATGTAATGGACTTTATTGTCAATTGAACAGCGTCGTGGAATCAGGTGATGAATACGGATTGCATATCTCACGACGGTCGTCTGAGACACTTGCAAAGGTGTTGCTGCTGATTAATCCAATATTCTGATGATTCTTTTGTTTCTGTTTCGAGAATGTTAAGAAAAAACAATTTTTGGCTGTCCCTTAAATCAGATTAATGCCAATATCATGTCTCTGGTTGTCTTCCTCTGTTCTGGGTATAATGCTGATGTCTGTTGTTTAGTCCATACAGAGAACAATTTTCCTATATCCCTCTCTCCAGGCAATGGACTGGCCTATCTCCGCCGCAATCAGTTAAGGTGAAGTCGTCGGTGGTGCGAATATTTTGCATTTAGTGGATTTGACGTGTTTGGGTACGAGTTCAGTGCCAATGATATCTGTATTTGGCTTGTGCTGATTCAATACCCTTAACGGAAAACTGGACATAGTTTGGGTTTGAGTATGAATCAAGAGATGTAAGTGATCGGTTTGTTACATTTAAAAGTAGCATTGGCAACTTTATTATGTTGACTGTAGTTTAGTGTCTCATCGATTGTTTGGCGGTTTGAAAGTGCTTTCTCGCAGGATTTATATACCAGATTGTCTACAGTTCGACCACTGTCTTACTCTTCCAAAATCCTTCGTTGGTATAAAAAGAGCCATGCCTTCGGGCTAAATTGTGCCTCCTGTCTTTTTAAGCACAATGCTGGTAGCAGATTGTAACCGCTCAAGTGATTTCCTTCAATAAAACAAAAGAAGGAAGAAAAAAATCGTGCCTAAGCATTTGTGTGATTGATTTTTGGTCCTACATTTCAATTGCATACGACTAGACGAAACAATTCCATTAGGGTTGTTTGATTTCGGTTTAAATTGATGCATTGTTGTCAATGCATGTATAATAATATACATATACATATGAGAAAATTGGTGCATTGTAGTTTACACCGTTTAGTTTATGTGATAATTATTGGAATATTTAAATAAGTTATATTAGTTTTTGGGTGAAATATAAATTTTACCCTTTGTTTTTAATATTAAAGAAACAACACACATAATAGAGACATAAATGGAACGAAATAAAACTCAACAATCTCTACAACAATCTCAACCATAACTTGAGATTTAACTATCACTCATTTTGAGTGATAGTTTGTGTCAAATCAAGCAAACAATGCATGTATTGTGTCAAAATGACGCATTGTGGACAATATATGTATTGTAATTATTCTCACCAGATTATCACCAAAACCAAACGACTCCTAAAATTATAATAACTCTTTAGTACCTACAATTTTCAAATTTTCATATTGGTACAGTGTTTAAATAACACGTAAATTTAATCCATAAATTCATCAATTCACAAATCCATAATCCGATTAATTTTTCACCTCTACCTCTCATAAATTCTCTCTATAGCATTAGGGTGCAAAATTATAATGTGCACATGCTTTTGATGATCAAAATAACAAGCATAGAATTCGTATTTACATCAAGTTTGTAGTGAATTATTAAGTTTCACTCTTAGATCATTTGTGATTCATAGTCATCGGCCACACACATTGTTCATACAACTAACTATCCACGATCCCAATAATGTAAAAATGTTCTTATGAAAACATTGAAGAACCATAGACAAATTTACTCAATTTGTCATTTGCGCCAGCAGCAATTGAGAGGAGTTGCCTCTTTCTTGTTCACGTAATGGAGAGGTGCTTTATTTATATGGTTAAAAATCTTTGATTCCATAACAACAATGCAATAAAGAATTATTGGTTATTGGGATTGGTATGGAAAAAAAATTATTAATCGATTAGTAATATTACATGAAAAAATAAACTACGCAACTAATATAAGCCAACTTACAAGATTGATTGATAAATTTGTATAGAAATTGTAAAATATGCATGTAACAATCGTGCTATTTTTTTTTTTTTTTTTTTCACAAGTTGTGACATGAAACATTTAACTTTGTATAAATATGATCTAGTATAAAAGCTGCGGGCTACATCCATTCAGCTTTGTTAATGTGAAGCCAGCCACTTCAGCAATACTAATACAATTCCCCACCCACTCTATCACCTTTTCCCCTCCCCCCCCATACTTTTACTTTCACCCCTTTACCCATACTAAAAAACAAAACCTTTCAAACACACCCCCTAAAAATTAAAAGTCAACACTTCCCCCCAAAACAAGAAAGCAATACCTACCAATCCCGACACAAACAAAGCCGTAAACAAAGGAGAAAAAGGGATCCCAAAGAGAAGACAAAGAGAAAGAAAGAAACAACATTAGTGGTCATTGATCATCAGACCCTGAAGTTCTTGCCGGAGAAAGTCTGCCCAAACTGCCAGTTCGAAGGCACGATGTTCCACGAAGTGGAGGTGCGGCGGTCGCTGCCGGTGACACGGAAGGAGAGCGCCTGGCCGGCCAAAACCGCGTTGGACTGCCAGTTCTGTCCCCAATTCCTGCTCATTCCCATCCAGCCCGTCTTCGAGCCTTTCACCGACACCTTCACTATGTCCCCAGCTCCGGCCACGTTCGTCACCAGCACCAGGTTGAAGTACTTGAACCCGTTGATCGTGAACCTTATCCCTCCTTGCTTCCTGCAAGGAATCCTGTAACAACAAAATTTGCCCTTTTTTTTTAGTTCACAAATCTCCGTCACCACTTTGTAACAACTAGTTGAATGTTGCTAAATCAGAAGTCTACTACACTCACTACTACTATAGTGCTATCACAATCTTTGTATTGGTCTAGTTTCATGGTAAGATCTCCGTACTTTTGATTTTTTTTGGTTTCGTAGGCAGATTTTCAGGATACTATAGAAATGGCAGATTTGGTTATTTGTAGGGCCAGTAAACAAACAATCAGAAACCACAAAGTCAACCTTCTGATGGTGTCAGAAAAATGTACCACACACACAATCACAATCTGCTAAATACTTTTTGATTCACATTCTATGGGAATAAAAGGGGACAAGTTTGATTCGATTGAGATGAATAAATGTGTTGAGGGATAGTGTAATGTGGACTCACCGACGGTAAGAGACGGGGACGATGCCGGCGCGGTACTCGGCCATCTTGAGGAACATAGGCATGGCGAGGTCGAAATGCGGGCGGGGAGGGTTACACCACCCGCCGTTGTCGCTGGCCTGGGCGAAATTGGGAGGGCAGAAGTTGGTCGCCGTGATGAAGATGGAAGGGCTCCCCGGGTGGCACCACCGCGGGTCGTTGGCGCACTTGAGCTCGAAGCAGGCCCCGCAGCTCAGCCCGTTGTTGAACAGCGCCGTGCTCAGCGCCGCCGTGTTCACTCCGTACCCTTGGCTGTACAGGTTTCCGTACCCGCACGCGCCGCCTGCAAAAAAAGCCAATGTGGGTTAGTTGGGAAAAAACAGAGCATTAGAAAGAACAAGAAAAAACAGAGCATTTGAAAAACAGGGGAGGGAATGTTTTCTGGTTAAGTACCCATGGTGCCGGAGGCGTCAGAGCCGCCGTAGAAAGTGGCGTGGGCGGACTCCCAGGCGCCGCCGCCGTAGTTTCCTGGGACTCTGGCATCCACATTGATTAGGAGGAAGAGCAGAGAGGAAAACAGAGCGGAAAGAGCAGCAACAGCAGGCCTCATTCTCATGGTCCTCTGCCTTTTTGTTTTCACCCACTACTCTTCAGAAGCTGCTGGTGAGCTCTGCTGCGTCGGTTATGGTGTAGTTAAGATGCGGAAGTTGGGAGGGTTTTGGTTTTGGTTGGAGGTGGAGGGGAAGGATTGGAAGAAGGGTATTTATGGAGAAGCGGCTGAGTGGAAGGAAAGTAAATGCGAACAAAAGAAAGAAAAGAAGGACAGACAGACACATGAAAAAGGGGAAGAAGGGGAAACGAACGACGCAATTATCTCCCCGCAATTGATGCTCTCTCTTTACTAATTTCCTCCCTTCCTTTTTTCAACATTACGCACTCTTTCCTTCCTCAGCTGTTTACCAATTCATTATTTAAAAAGAAAGCTGTAACCAACCAGTTGATTGCCAAGGATAATGATTGTAATTATACGTAGTACTTCAACCTCAGTCAAGGGTCAACCTTTTGGGGTTCATGGTTGACTAATTCGATCTTAGGTCGCGGAGAAAGGTAAAAATCAAACTGAGGCCAACACCTTAAACACCTCGATTACTGATGAAGATGATGTTCTATAATAATAGAATTGTTATGATATTATGACTTAAATCAAGTTTTATTTTTGTCTCTAATACATGATTTAATCCGTACGACTGATCATGTTTATAATATGACGAACACCATCGATCGGTTATCGTCTTATCCTGCTTTTAAGGTTGGTTGGGGGAGGACCAGAGATGAGAAACCTTGCTTCGCTCGCAAGTAGTGCTACTAATTGCAATCACTTTAATGAATTTGTCCCTGCAGCTGCAATGCAATCCCTCCCTTTTTAGGGATGACTTCTTTTTCCCAGATTTTCTGCACTTCTTTTTTACTATTTTGTTCTTTCGATTTCCCTCCCTTGAAAATTTGTGGACAAGTGAAAAAGGTGGTGGTGGGCTGGGCTTCAACTTGAGGGCTAGCCATTTGATTTTTGTATGGATGGATGGAGTAACATTTTTGACCAATTGAAGGAGTTATTCTTTCTTTGAAGTGAGTGGGCCAAGTGGATGGAGTAACATTTATACCAGTTTCAGTAGTACTGCTTTGGTTTTATGTGCAAGCATGAGATGAGATCGATCACTTTTGTTACTTGGGAAATGCCTGGAGAGAACGCAACCAAGCCAAGCTTTAATTTGTAGAGAGATAAGGCGACGACTCGGGACCAAGAATCCTGATCCGATATGGATGGAGGAGACCCCTCCCAGTTTAGACCAACTCCAGTGCAAGCCTTCAAATTTGGGGATGAAGATCCCCAAATTTGGGGTTCATCCCCATTTTCCTTTCTTTTGCTCCAATGCTACATCCTCTATATTTGGAGATCTCCATTTTTTAAGTTTTCCATTTACTTAAAAATGTACTTATCGAAGTCTTAATATAATTTGTTCATGTTAATTTTTGTATAGTTCGTCATCATTTTTAAATACAAATTTTTCGGTAGAATTTTTTTTTAATTTTGAGACCAAATTTTTGTTGACAAAAAATGATTGACCTAATTTGGGTTTACACACAACACTTGAAAATTATTGATCTAATTAAACCCCTAACTAATCCCCTAATTAAACCCCAATTAACCCTTAAAATCTTAAAAAGAAAAAGAAACGCCACGTGGCGGGCTTTGGGGAGTCTCTATATATGGGGGAACCCCCATTTCCACCCCCAAATTTGGGGATCATTTTGGAGATCTCCCCCAAATATAGAGACTCCTCCATTTATAGAGGAGCCAACTTTCCCCCAAATATAGAGGCTCCCCCAAATATAGAGGCTCCATTGGAGTTAGCCTTATGGTTTGGTTGGCCTTTCACATCTGCGGAGAACCAGTTTGACTCATCTGATCGATTCAAAGAGAAGTATGTGTAAATGTTGTGCAATTTTGATAAATACTTTTAAACTAAAGTAAATTTGAAAAGCAAGACTAAACCAAATTGTTATTGAATAATTAGTCTAGATACAGGATGGCCAATTTTCAAGCTTTGTCTTCAGTCTCATTAATTTGAAGCCTAATGTGAATGTGGCAGTGGCTGGATGTAAAGCTAGACTAGTCAATAGAGTAATGTAGAAAAAAGAGTCTACTATTGAGCAGTGATTCTGACCATTATCCACTGACCATATTCTTCCATTAGGTACTTTTTTTGGGTACAGAAAGCCGATTTTCTGAACAGTTAGTTTCACGCTTTGGTTCTTTGTCTTGAAAACTATGAAATACTACTTTTTTGTCTTTTGAAATTTATATATCCCTGGCATAGGAAATAAGGTTGACCGGAGATTTGAGGTTTAAGTATGTGCTTAATAATTAAGTTTTTGTCTTTTAGAATTCATATTGATTTATGCATTTGAGATATACCGAGATTATATCATGGTTAATTTTGTCGTATGTATTATTTTCCTGTGGTTAACATAGAGATTAAGTTGCCGAAAACTTGCCAAGTAAAGTCGCAATTATTTTTTAGATGATTAAGGGTGTGTATTACTCTCTATGAGCACATGATACTTTAGACTTTAGTTGAGTGATGGGCTTTGTATGATTTGGAAATCCCTTTCTTCTTCGTCAATTTTGTTACAATTGAGTGGGAGTGGATACAGTGGAAAATTTTTGAATTAGAGAGGAAAAGTAGTGCAACAGAAAATCTTTGGGTTATAGGTATAATATGCCCTTCTACTATGACGTTTTATCAAACATGCCCCTTTATTATTTTTTACATCAAATATGCTCCTATACTATGAAAAAATTATCAAACATGTCCTTATGTTAAAATTTTCATTGAAAAAATCGTCAATCATGGTTGAACTGAGATTTAGACGACCCGACATCGGCAAATGGGAGAGAAAATGTTAGTTTTATCTCCCGTTGTATTTCTCTGGGTGTCTTCAAAGTGAAATTATTTGGCTATACAAAAGACAAAAAAAAAATTGAAAGTGAAATTATTAGGGATATTTTAGACATTTGTGCCGCCCAAACCAAAGTTCGACCTTGGTTAACGGTTTTTGGATGAAAATTTAAATAAAAGGGCATGTTTGTTCATTTTTACAAAGTACAGGGGCATGTTTGATGTAAAAAATAGTAGAAGGGCATGTTTGATAAAATGTCATAGTAAAGAGGCATATTATACCTATAACCCAAAATCTTTTTATAATCAGTTCAGTTGCCTCCATAACTAGTTTATTTATTTACAGGTGGGAACCAGAACCACTAGCCCGACCCGACCATGTTACCCGCGAAATTGGAAATTTTCACGAGCAAAGCAAATCAACCAAAGAAAAAGAGGGCAGAAGGGAAACAAATCAACAATAAAAAAATAAAAAAAAATTGGAACGACTTTGCAGTGAGGGAGAGAAGAAGTGAGAACTGAGAAGTGGATTCTTCTTTTCTTTGCGTTGCACTTGCATGCAGTAATGGCGGTGGAGCCCGGCGCATTCACCGGCCCCCGTATTCCGCCGTGTGTTAGCCGTACGGTTAGTTAGTTGGGTCTTCGCTTCACCCCTTTGGTCTTTACATTGACCATTTCTGCAATTCTTAACTCTTATTAATGTCATTATTATATCTTACATCTGTATAATTTACCTTTAATTACATATATGGAGTTAAACATGGTGTTTGAAATATCACAAAATAAAGTAAAAAAAGAAAAGAAAATAGAGAATTCTCATTGTCTATGTTATTTTAACCTTCATCAATAATTGCATTTGTTGCAAGCTTGTAAATATGCAATGGGTAAGCCACATTAATACAATTGATTTTGAAACTGTAAAAATTCACATCATTATCATCTTACAACTGAAAATGCACGACCGATGCGGTTCATTTTACTCGATATCAAATTTACTTTTGTTTTCAAAAGGTAGCTTTATTACCAATATATATTAGGGTTATAATTTATGTTACTAATTAACCACTCATCTAATAAAACTTCTGATAAAAAAATGCACAAAGCCATAATAGCCCTTGGACGGGTCTCCCCTTCTCACAACGCCTTATCATATCAATCAATTATCAAATAATATATATATTTTCTTAATAAAGTCAAACTACTTATTAAACAACTCAATTAATAGTAAGTATACTTAAACTAGACTCATTAATCCATAGGAAAATAATGATTAAAAAAAACCGTACTCACAGAAATTCGAAACTAGAACACATGGGACGGGAGGAGCATCTAGTAGCCATGTTACTCTTATAGTATTCTAGCTACATACACTGATACACACAAACAAAAATTCTTAAAACTAATAGTTGTCAACGGTTTTGTATAAACACTACTGATTATAAATAAGTTTATGAGAGAGAAGTCATGTATAGCACTAGCAGTACTTACGTACCTGCTGCTTGTACATAATAGAATATAGGGTACGCTAAACAGGTCAGGTCCAGGCCAGTTTATATTAATTGTTAATTAAGTACTAATACCGTAGTCTATGAAGAAGAACATGCCATGATGCTAAATCATATGCTTGATTGGAAGTTAGAAGTCACGCACACAATTAATACATACGAAGTCGTCGTACTTGCTGATCATAAACAACAATAATCAAGCCATAAGAGGGAGGGATGGCAAGGGGCCGGGGCAGGGTCGGATAATGTATATTTATCGTCAGATTTTACTCATATTCATGTCTATATAAGAGTTGGGTAGAATATAAAAATTTACTCATACCCAATCAAATTTCAGGTATTCGCAGTTATTCATGCATAATAATTTTAGGTTGGATTCCAAACGATCGAATATCCTGTTTTTCATCTTAAGAGTCAGAGTGACCGAGCGGATAATGTCGGTACCAGATCATATTATTGTTACTGCCGGTGCCGGTGGGTAGCAGTTATGGATTGGATGGAGATTAAAAGGTGTCACACGTATGTAGCTAGGGAAAACGGTACTGGTACTAGTGGGTTAAAATGCAATGCAATGTGTCGCCGAATCCTAGCTAACCTTATCGCCCAAATCTGGGAGGTAGATATGCCACGTACTACCATGCACGCAGTTTTTCACCAACACACTTCACCGACCGGCCGATCAAATTATTGCGGCCAAGAGCTGCTCTCTTCAACTCTCTTTGCTTGTGAAGTTCCCACCAAAGCCCCCTCATCCTATCCTATCATATCACTTCATTACATGCCTCAAAAAATCAAAACCAACTAACTCATAAATTCAAAGTTTGTGCATACTCGTTATACAACATGTTTTAAGATAAAGGATTAATAGTTGAGGTCGTAAGGAGTTGAACACGTGACCTATAGAACAAACAAACATTAATGTCATGTTATAATTAATCAAATTTAGAGGCGAGTAATGGGTGGGTTTATGTGTATTTGGGTGGATTTGGATCCACCCAGTACGTGGTGGATGAAGAAGAAAATGACCCACACCCACCCAACATGTACTTGTGGGTGGGTTGGGTTGTGTGATTGCGGATGGTGTGCAGTTGGGTGGATTCGATGGGTTTATAACTTATATTCCAAAATTCAATCCACCCGCACCCACCCAAACCTTTGTGGGTCACCTATTTTAGAACTCACGCCCACCCATATGGAACCACCCACAACATATATAATGAGTGGGTTATTTGTGGGTGGATTGGTGGTTTCAACCACCCAATACTCACCACTAATCAAATGTGTTTCAATAACTTGAATTGTTGTAATATAATCCGGGTATGGATTTTAAACCTTTTAATCACTTTCTTACATACTAATTAACCCGCCCCACTTTATTTTCCTCCTCCCGCTTTCAAGGAAATTAGGGGCGGACCCAAGTGAATGAAATGGATTGTCAATGGACAAACCTTAAATAAATTTTTTGGTTTAAAAGTTTGTGTAAAATTTCATTTTAGTAATGGTGGTATTTGAATTTGAGCTCATTTGACAAATTTTATAAATTTTGATCTATGGTTGAATACTCATTGAAATTTGAAAGACGAGTGGTTTTCCCTCCCTCCTTATCAGTATTATATATGCAAATCCGCTATGGGCGCTGCCATGAATGATAGAGGAAATTAATGCAGGCCAGCTTGCTGCTGTTTTGTGTTATATCTTTTTTTTTTTTTGGTAGAAGTTTTGTGTTATATCTGAAGTGGAATATAAGATAAGCATAAATGCGTATTACGTTTTGATCAGTGATAAGCTAGAAACCGGCAGCTTAGATGAGACGGTTGGATCAAATCTTGGAGACGAACCAAGCTAATTAAGCATGTATGTGATTATGCTAATCAGCTAATGTGATCGATCAATTGGCCATTATATGTATTCATCATGGAATCCAAGTGGGGATTTAGTATTTAATTAGTACTTATCATTAAGTAAACACAACAAAGCGTTGTGTACAATCAAAGTGGCCGAGTACGGAGCACCCGTATTGCATGGTAAAAGACATCCACCATTAATGTGCTCGCATGATGATCACATGATCGCCTTCGTAATTTGTATCAAGCAAACAAATTATAATATGTATATGTGGTCAAAGCTCTAGATCTTCAATAACAATGACAATAATGAAAATAAGAATAACTTGAAGGCTCCATATCAGATCAAGGAAATGTGATGGTATGGTTGATACAATCTTAGAACTCCAACAAGTCATCGGATATTGGAGAGTCTGTTTGTTGTTCGAGGTTGAGCCTCTTCATGGACTGAGTACAAATATGTTTCATTTCAGCGTAGGTACGTAGTGATGATAATGGGACGGGACGGGTACATACTTCAACTCCCTTATCGCTTATTCCTTTCGTACTAAATTTGGGTCAAATCAGATAATATCCACACGAATACGGAAAGGATCTGACACATTTTAATATGTTATTTGATGAAAGGAAAAACGATAACTAAATCTATTTATGTAACAAAACAAAAAAACACATCATAGACTTAACAATAGATACTAGAAATTGAATGCGATTCTAGCACATATTCAAAGTTTCATTAAAGTAAAAAAAATGTGGTTTACGAAGAGTAAAATAGATGTAGTGTCCATGCTCCGTCATACTTAATTTCAAGTGGGTAAAATATTCGATGCCTCAAACAAATCGGCTCGCGCGATTGTCTGATACGGGTCACCACTATAATAATGCATGTTCATGGATAAAATGGAGTACCCCTAATTAAGCTAATTAACATGATTAAGCTAATTGGTAATTTGGGGAGCTTAATTATTAGAGGTGTTTGGTGGTGCATCACTCTTGGGCCCTATCTTGTGGGAGGAAGAAAAAAAGCCTTTGCCCTTTTTGGACCGTGATGTTGGCCCAATTAATGGGACCATCCCTCACTCATGCTTGTTAGTTGTTACGCTATGTCTCCTCTCAAACACGATCCCGTGAAAAGAAAATCTGCCCCCACGCTTACCTATACATTATTATTCATCATGCAAGCATTCCATACACAAACAAAAATGTTCCAATTAACTTTCTTCAACAAGCAAAGAATTGGAATCGTATAATATCCATAGCGTTAGTGTTGTGGTATATGATCTACGATTGAATATTTCCCAACAATTCGAGTTATTCGGAGTAACTGGTTCTTGACATGGTATCAGAGCCTTCTATGACCGAGAGGTCTTGTGTTCGATTCCCGGTGACCCCCATTTGTTAAGCACATGGTATTCTTGTCTTCATACCTGTGCAAATTTCAAGCCCTTGTGAGTGGCTTTCGTTTGAGAGGGGCGTGTTAGTGTTGTGGTATATGATCTACGATTGAACATTTCCCAACAATTCGAGTTATTGGGAGTAACTGGTTCTTGACACATAGCCCTACTCCCGTTTCACTTTCCTCTACCGACTACCGTTACCACCAATCATGGTTCAACCATGGCGAGATGAGCAGCAGGGAGAGTTCAACTATGGTCTCAGGCAATAACTATACTTGAGCCATGAATCAAAATGACTAGGGATTCGTAATAAACCATTACAACACCTACCTCAGTATTGAATATAGTTCTCTTATTTGTGGATAGAAATAATATTAAAAACGGTATAATTCCTTATAAACTCCATATGTATGACTTTCTAATCATACTCTTTTGAATCAAGAACAATATAATTATGAGTCATGAACATAGTAGAGGGGCCATTACCCATTATGTACGCACCTCGATTCTGTCTCGTAGAACAAATATATATTGTTTGGGTTCTTGTTTTGGGAGAAGGCATAACATAACTACCGCCTTAACTAACATAACCACCATCATAATGGGAAGGGAAAAAGTCTCTCCGAAGCATGAATGATTGCATAAAAGTGAGGCATGACAACGTAAGTTTATTTGTCACACCCTCCTTTGGCCCGAGGGACCATTGATTTGGAGTGATTGGCACAAGCACAAGTGAGTATTCGAACTATAAGTAGTGGCAAATTTGGAATCTAGAACAAAAAATGAAAAGATAAGAACAATTGTTATTTGGGGTTAAACTTGGATTGTGGGGGGAGAGGCAGAGTTGATAAATGATAACCAATTCTCCTGTTTCCAATGTATGTTTAACATATGACACATAACATTATAATTTAAAATAATATATAATTAAGAGAAATATATGTGGTTTACTGATTAATAGTCACACCTTTATCATGGAAGAGTTAAATTTCCATCTCCTTTGTCTTTGAAAAAGTTCAAATATTATTGAAGAGTTACGATTTACCGTTGTATCATTTTGAACTCCACGTAACTTCATCTCTAATTACGAAGAATAAGACTTAATCGCAACAAATGAACATTAGCCAGGTTCTGATATGCTAATCTTATCGAAGGAACAGGAACAGCCGTGCCGAAATGGACGTCTCAATTAGAGGACAAGCACGCGACTGCAACATCTTAAGTGTGATGGCTACATTGAACAACAAGAATTTAAAGCTGAAGTTGATGTTCATTGAAATTTAACACAACAACGACTCTTCTAAGTTCCCCAAATGAACACAACAACCTGCAAAACCCTAACAAAAATTTATATGGCGGTTAAGCTCGTTACTCAAAGAATTTAATATTTGTAATACTGATTTTATATCCTCATATATTTGAATCAACTCTATTCATGATGGGGAAAAAAAATTTGTTGGTTCAACATCTTGTTGACCAATGTATATTATTTTTTATTTTATTTAGAGAAATGTATATTATTTTTTAGTATTTAAACATGTCAAACTAAAAAATGTATATTATTTTTTAATTTAACATGTTTAGATCCTATATTTATTCGTAACTAGCTATTCCTTCATGATGGACTTTGGAAGAAAAAAACACGTGAACGGCTATTTGCCGCCAAGCAAAAAAAAAAAAAAAAATTTTGAATTCAAATTTTGAATTTTCCCCCCCTTCCCTTCCTTTTATTCTATAAATTCAGATATCAGGAACATTTGACTCATTCCAACAAAAACTTCTGTTGACGAGCCCATTGCCTCCGTCGCCGGCACCGTTCTTCCGTCGTCGGCTAACCTCCCGTCGCCCTCAATCGTCGGAAAACAAGTAAGTTTATTTTTTCCGGCCAGTTTTCCAGTTTTCTGGCAAGTTTTCCAGTTTTCCGGCGAAAAACAGGGCGGGCCGAAAAAAAACTGCGGCCCAAATCGATAACCAAAGGTCCAGATCTGTGCACGGCCTGCTTGGAGCGCAATTATTGTCCATAGGGTAAATATGGGCTGGGGGCCCATTGCTCAAACCCCGGAAGAAAAGTTAAAGAAGCGAAAAGGTAGTTTGCTCAATCAATCTGAAGAAGCCTGATTTGTTGAAAGATCTCTCGGACTTGCACTACTACGTTAACAGACTTGGGCCAGAATGAAAGCCTCGGCCCAAATTAGTAGAGGCGTTGTTTTGGGCGATCAAAACAAATAGGATATCCCTTAGATTCCAACAACTCCTCTTTTTGTCTTTTTATGAAAGTTAAAAATAGAGTAGACAAACAACAACTCGATTTGGCTTATTCATTCATGAATCATGATGGAGTCGTCCAACCTCAGATCTAACCGCCGTCTCCTAAAACCTTCACTGTCTCTGAACATTAACATAATAATAAATTCGAGTCATAAAAACAAAGGAGATGGACATTTTAACTTTGATATGCCACCACATTTTGTCACGGTCTTCTCAGCCTCTATTGTTAACAATTAACAAAGAGTTACCCAAAAATAGAATTTATTTCGATAAAATAACTGTAAATTAGATCTCTTTATGTTAACTTGAACATAAATGAGCTAATAGAAGAAGGATGTGTAACCAAACAAGAATCTTGCATTCCTAATCGAGATTTTGCGTTCGAGCGATATGAATTGTATTGCTTTTTTTTATATATAATGTAAATTGTACTTTGTATATAAAAATTGTTGATTAGAACTGTACGTGATACTTTCCCAATTTGTTTCTCCTTTCTCATTTAGTGCGTCGTACATGCATCAAGCTTGTCAACTACTTGATAAATCTCTATGCAACAAACTGTTTGAAACTGGGAGATACATGGTGTGTTGAAATTAAGTAGGTGATGGCTAACAACTAGGGCTGGACGTTCGGGTTTGGTTTTATGGGTAACCCGGAATCGGACCGAAATTTCTGGGTTTTGGGTACCCGGGAACCGAAATATCATAGTGAAAAATGGGTCTCGGTATCGCATGTGGCTATTTTTTGGGTTTTGGGTAAACCGAACTCGGACCCGAAAATAAAAGGACCCGAAGTGGAACCGATCCCCAGCCCACAGGGCCAAATATCATATGGCCCATAGCCACACATACGGGCCAACCCAGCCTTCACGCCCCAAGCCTAGCCGAAGTTCGGACCTCCTTAGACCCCTAACCCTAAATCTCTACACTCCACTTCCCACTCCAGCAGCCAACGAAAGCAACCCTCCATTTTTTTTCTTGAATAAAGCTGTTGTAACAGGTTGTCTTTGATGGCTGATGGGTATTCAGGGGACCGAACCATACCCGAGAACCGTGGCTTCGGGTCTTGGGTACCCAAGAACCGAGTCTGGGTCGGGTCTGGTTCCTCAAACTGGAATTTTTTGGGTCCGTGTACCCGCATATTTCGGTCCGGGTACTAGGACCCGACCCGATCTCCAGCCCTACTAACAACTTAGTGTTGAAACACACAATACAGAGAAAAGGTGGAAGAGGGATTCATTTTTCTTTGGGAGGTTTTGGAAAGTCAATCTCGACTGGTATTAGATAATTGACGACATGCACCAAATTAAACATGAAAGCTCGATCGGCCTTTCTCTGCTGCAATATAACTTGCAAATTTTTCTTGCAATGGACGTCCAAATATACATAAACAAAGCCAAAGAGAATGTGACATGTACGTACATGCATTACTGATCTAGTTACCTGACAAATGGAACCTAACAATTGCTTTGCTTGGACAGAGACAGCATGGACTGCATTCAAAATACGACCATAGCTGTTTCTGGACAACATGAACATACTAGCTATTGGTCGTATGGTTTATGTCTTGATGCATATATTTGGTCAGTTTTGGAGTTGTGTGGTTGAGCAATTAATATACAAATAGGCAGCGGCCGGTTGGAGGCTCGGAGCTTAGCTTGGCCGTCGATTTTCCTAGCAATGGAGCGCCTTCTGTGAGAAAAAAAAAAATATATAGACCGTCTTGATTTTCATATGATATTGTGAAAGAGATGGAGGAAGAAAAAGAAGAAGAGTCACATATTTAATGAACACAAATTATTTGAGAGATGGAGGTTTGCACTAAATCTAGCTACACCAAACTTGAATATTAGTCCAAATAGCATGCATGTGAGTGAAAATTAGGTTGAGTTGAGATCGAAGAGGTCAAGAACGAGACAAGGCTCATTACTGTGTATATGGACACATATGCGTGTGAAACAATTAGATATGTGTCGTACCCAATCCCAGCTAACCATTCAGTTAATACGATGACAATTTTATAAATAACGTAAATCATTCAATCATGTAACTTGTAAACCATGGAAATAAAATAAAAAAGATTAATTAGGCTGGATTGCACAAGCCATCACATGTAAAATGATAATCACCCTTTCATAATCACATGGAATCTCCCCTCTCTTTCTCCAGAGTCATGTGATCATTCCCCCACTCTGGTAATTGTCTGTGAATTAAAAGTGGAAATCAATTGATTAAGCATCATTTAATTAGGATTTATGCATCCCCTCTGCCTCACTTGCATATATGATAGACCTGACTCCCTAGGTATATATAAATTACCCTTCCTTTTGTCTTATAATAATCGTATCTTATCCCCTAGATTTTATTCTTTTTTATTCCAATTTATTGCACCTAATAATATAAAGGGGGTAGAGTACTGGAGGCAATTATTGGATCATATGCATTTGAGTGAATGAACCAACAAAAGTCATCTCCCTCATCTCATTCCCCTTATTTATTTATTTCAATTTGTTCGTACTTTTTTCCTTTTGTGTAATTAATCAAAACGATTCCCTCATTTTACAATTACATAATCATGTCCCTCCATCAAATAAATATATCCTTGGCTCAGTGACGAGGTGAACACAGATCCAAATGGGTATTAGATTAGGTAGAGAAGATTAGAGCTTGATTTCTAATTAATTATGATGATAGTGTGGTCCCTTTTTGTACTACCCTTCATTTTCCCATAGCTGGGGGAGGTGAAATGTTAATGTGATTTTGAGGAGATTCCATTCTCTTGGGAAATAGATTCCCACTTCCAATTACTTGTATATTAATTAATTAAATCGTATTATTATTATTATTACAAAAGATTAAAAGGTTATTTGTTTGTAATTTTGTATATAAATCTACATTCACGTTACCCCCTGCCCCATGCCTGCTGTAAAGTACTGTTACCAGACATTAATAATTGATTAGTTAGTAGCATGGGATTAGTTCAGCCTAACCTCACTTTATCTTTATATATAGTTCAGTTCATATATATATTGGACAAAAAAAACCATTAACAGAAAAGAGAAAAGTGTGCAAGGAGTGACAATTGAGAAGAGAAGGATGGATATTCCAGAGTCGAGAGAATAGTACACAGAGAGAGAGAGTAAGGCTCAAAAGTCGATGAAGGCCTTATTAGCACGGTCATCAGAGATTCATATAAATCGGTTAGACACATTATAAAATTTACGTGATTCGGTTAGTATGGTACTTACGTTCACTATTAAAGGTTTTCCATAAATTTAATTATGGTTTCGTAAGCATGTCTATAAAGAGCTATAGACACATACATGTATACTCCTAATGTCGACAAAAGTTCCACGAGCAAAGTCTATAGCTAGCGTAGACACGTTAAATTAAAATCACCTCGACTTCTCATTCGGTATGATAAATAAATCTCCATTATTATTTATTACTACTATTATCGAATAACTTACCTTGAAATGGTGCCTCCGCTAGAAGATAATTGGTACAGAGGCAGAGCTAACATTACTTCCAATTTTCAGTAGATATATTCGTTTGATCTGAAAATCGATGATCTAAATTAAAGTTGCCTTGCATGATTTAAGCGGAAATTAAAAGTAAAGTATTTGGTGAATGAAGTGGCAACAAAAGGAGAGGCGGATAGAAAGAAAGTATTAACAGTTGGCAGTGTGGGAATAGTCATTTTCTTCCAACTGACGCCACCGATGGATTCTTTTTCACCTCTGTGATGCATATCTTGATATACTGCAGGCGGCAGTGACAATCGAACAATGTTTGATATTTTCAGCTTTTTTATATGAAAAAATTGATCTATCTCTAATACCATGAATATGCATACAAGAATGTAGTTTAGATATGCAATTAATCGTGTGGTCAATGGTCTTGTGATTTTAAATTGTCAAGAAGAGGACGCTGTTTACTGTCTAAATATGTTAAATGGTTCAACTGAAACGGTCGAATATGTTAGGTGTTTCGATGTTAGGAGGTAGTCAAGTTGTAAGGTATTTGATATAGAGAAAACACATCATTGTAGCTTCAACTTTCCAAATCTTTGATTCTTGATGATGCTACTGCTGCTTGTACATACGGTTTTTAGTTCTTTGATTCAACAGAAGTCAATATGTCAGGATGTAATTAAGTACTGCGCGATTGAGAGCGCCCGACAATATTGTTCTCTGTCTATATTATTTGCACCATAAACTTTAGAGCTTCCGAAATCTATAAAAATAAAAAGTCTACTTGGATGGGGACTCTATGAAATTGTGAGTGCTAGCATTGGAGAGTAGCGATGATAATTATCCATTGATTATGGTGAGAGTGTGGGTGAAGTCTATATTGATTTGGATTTTTATATATGAGTTTCGATAAGATATGAATATTGCTTCCATATTCTAAATCAGTATGAGTTGGATAATGAATGCCCATCTAATTGGATATGATTTTCACTAAAATTGGACTTATTTATCAAATTTTAAAAGTCCATGCATTAAAATGTAAGGCACCATATTTTTAGGCACTAAAATATAAAATTTCATCGATATTTTGAGGTCTTACTCATTTGTCTTGTATTTGAATTATATAGTCACCCTGGATAATTAAATACCCATTGATTTTGACAAAATTGTCAATCCTATTGGGAGGATACCGAAATTCAAATATGAAATAATTTGACATAACCAAAATCACATATACATATAAACTAATACATAACGGATAAACATTATATTGAATTATACTATGAAGATTCATATATAAACAATTTAAAATCAAGTCAAGCAAGAAAATAGTTAGTCTTAGATAAACAGATTACCATGCATGAATCGGACCTTTATAGTCGCCAAATTGATATGGAGTTTGGAATTAGAAGAGAACATCGTCAAGTAAGCGCGATCAAATGGGAACTTATTAGTAACGATTACGTGCTTCTCTTAGCTTTTGGCAGCTCATGCAGGCACGAGCTAGCCGTAGCTGTACTGGTTATCATCAAACACACGAAACTGGAAAAAAAATGTCAAAAGTACTAATAATAATGTCTGAGTAGAAAGGGCCCGATTTTATGTGTCATAAAAGGGAAGGCCGTAGCGGTAATTATGACACAATATTTTCATGATATTTGCTTTGATATTAAAGATATCATATCCCCATATTTACATTGGGAAGCACGTGTTTGTTTGTTGGGCAAGTTAATTAGGGCAATTTTGAATAGTAATTCATTGTAGGCTGTAGCCATTGGAGCGAGCTGTTTTTCGAGAACAAACGATGCTTTAATAAATACAAATCCAGGAGATTATCGGAAAATGACAACAAACCGAATAATACTAAAAATAACCATCAATGTCTTAAGCAACTTCTTGTGACGTAATTGCCGGAAAAAGTTATTGTGATGCATCTTTGAAAAGGAAAATTAACAATTAGTCTAATGACTAATATATAGTTATTAATTGTTTGAGAAATTAATTGAAATTTCATAGACCACTTGGTATTCTGAATTATTGTTTACACCATAAAATAATTATGTCTTGGATAACACATTTCCTAGCATGGAGTATTTAATTGGCTTTTAATAAACCAATCCGACTAAGCACAACAAATTGATTGGTTGAGAGTAGTAGTCTTGATCTTTTACGTTGTTTTGGCTCGCAATCAACAGCATCGCGATTGTCAGCGACTGTGTGAGGTCAACATCGTGGTGGTCAATGACGCACGAGCTTGTTAACTTGGTAACGACTATACGACGGGTCTAACACTTAGCGAGTCCGAACAATGTTGTGGTGTCAAAATGACTACGTTGTTCAATCAACAACGTAACACCACCTCACATTTTTTCAATGTCGTGGTGTCACTGTTAGAGAAATTTCGAGAGAAGTAATAAGTCACGAAGGTGGCATAATTCATAATTGTATTTGGGGGTCCTAAATTTAGGAGATGGAATATGTTTTTTTTCCTTTGAACAACGCAATCAGTATACAATGGAATATTCCTTGAAAAGAAACGCAGCCCGCCCTGCCGTGAAGAAAAGAAAATTGAACTGCGCTCTCCCTCTCTCTCTCTCTCATTTTTGTTTTCCCCGGTTATTATTTGGATCACATTTCCCTCCCTCTCTCTCCCTTAGCCACAATTGCAGTTAGTGGACCGCGCGTCCAACCCTCAAAGCCCACCATGCCCACGTCAAACCCATCCCACCAATCACACCGCGAGTCGCTCCCCACGCACACAAAAAACCCCATTACTTGTCCTCTCCTTCTTTCCTTTTCCATTTTCGTTTCTTTTCTCTACTTTTTTCACCTCATTATCCTTCAACATAAATAACAAAATTCGGCAGCGCTCCACGTGGCTAAAACCCATCACTTCCTTCAAATACTCCCGGAGAGAGAAGAGGGTGGAGGGGGTAAGGGGTTTATCGCTGACCGGCTATCGCCCGGTCATGGGCGCTGGGTTACCGGCCCGCCCGGTTTTGTGGTCAAACGTTCTTTGGAAGGATATAAAAACAGACGACGAAGAAGGAGAGGGGTTTAAGGCAGCAAAAAGCCACTGTTGTTTCTCTTCTTTCATGGTTTTTCCCTTCTCGTTGTTGTTGTCTGTGTGTTTTTATTGAGAGAGAGAGAGGTTTTTCTGTTACCCTCTTCCCTCTTCTTATGTTTCTTTTGAGTTCGAGGTAAGAATGAAAATGAGGAACTAGAATGCAGAGAGATTGATTTCGGTGGCGATGGCGGATTTGTTTTCTTCCGTCTTGTTGCATTGAATTGGAATTGATAATTCTCTCCCCTGATCTCTTCTGCCTGGTCCGATTTTCCACCTCCGATCCCGATCTGCGTCGCGCCGGCTCGGTTGGGCTCTTTCTGTACATATTGTTCGACGGAATTCTCTCAAGATTGACGTTAATCTCGAGGTCAGTGGTGGTAAGTGTTAGATCAGGCTAATGTTGGTGGAATTCCCTGCTCCACTTTCTTCTTCCTTGCTTCTGTTCTGTCCCACGATTGTGTTGTTTCAATTGTGTGCGAGCGAGCTGCGATTCTTTCGATCTTGCCGAAAATAAAAAAAAATTAAGGGTGAAAGTGATTCTCTGTTTTGCTTTCGTGGCCTGAGATCGGGATCTGATCGTGGATGTGAGGCGGTTTGCCGGAATTCTGGGTTTGGGAGGGAACTGCAGTTTTTTTTTTTACATAGAGGATATGAAGTTTCACTGCTTTTTGTTCTAAAAAAAGTCAGCAGCCTTATTTGAATTCCAGGAGGTTGTACTTGTTTTTTTGTAAAATCGGCTTTCTTCTTCTGGTGGTGCGTCTGTTGTTTTTAATTACTGTGGGCATTGCTGAATTACTGGTAGATTGTTTTCTGGAGCTGAATTATCTTCCAGCATGAGTCTTTCTTGACGTGTCTGTTGTAGATTTGTGCCATTTGAAAATCAGGATGTTCTGATTGCACTAATTGCAGCTGCGGCTGCTTAAGTTTTGTTAAGGTTCAGTAATGGTGTTATGGATCTCTTTTTGATGGGCTCAGAATTCAGATTGATATTGAGATTGTTTCAGTTCAATTTTGATTTGGTTTTCATGTTGATGAGCAGATCAATGATGATTGTGTTTGTTTGGAATAAACTTATAGATTGAATGCATTCAATATTGAAGCCAGAATAGCTTGTTGACATTTTCCTTGTTCTTTTGGTTGATCGCAGTGCTGTGATCCCCGATTGCAACAATTCTTGTTTGATAAGTGCCCATCTGGTATGTATGCTTGAGATATGGTGTTTAAGAAGAGACAATCTCATGGTTTTAACAATCTCCACTTCCCTTCTGTTCCCAAGGCTCCCAGATCTGCCAGAGTAAGTACTTACGATACATTTCTTTTCTGAGTTTAGTGTGCTATATCATAGAAAGGAATGGTCTTTCTAACGACCGCCATTTCATGATTTTACTTGGCAGAGGGCCTTTCATAAGAGGATAGTTGAGGACAGCCAAATCTGTGCATTTGAGTTACTTGCTTCTCTAGCTGGAAAGCTATTACAGGAGAGTGAAAGCTCATCTGCTTCTAGTAATGCATCTGATGCAAATGACCGGCCTGCAATTAGTGATGGTGTTGTTAAAAGAGAGCAAGTTGAGACTAAACCTGTGAAAACAGAGTGCTTGGATTTGGGAAGCTGCGAAGAGAGCATTTTCCTCCCTGACTACGGTTCACCTAGCAGTGACAGTAGGGGAAGTCTGAATGAAATTCCACTGCCAGCTGAGAGTGATGCCATTTTGGAGCGGTATTCAACTGTCTCGAATTCCGATTCCTCAGAGAAAGGCAATAGTGATGTAAAACCAATCCACGGTGAAAAGGCACCTAAGTTGGAGGGAGTCCCTCCTGTTACTGTAGAGCCTTGTGATGAAAAACAAGAAAATGGGGTTGGCAGTCAGCCATTGGCTGATGGGATGGAGACTCGGGGGTTGATCCTTCATAATGCCTGCAGTTCAAAGGATCCCATGGAGTCATGCCTGAGGAATCCTGCATTGATAAACTCAGACAACACTGCCAAACATTTATCCCGTGGGAATTCCCTTCCCAGGGCTTCTGATTTGAAGCATGGGAATGGTGTTAAGTTAGGTATTAGAGATGATGATGAAAACTTTTTTAGGTTTAATAAATTAAGCAGCAGAAGAAAGGCATTTAGGCCTTCATCTAGAATTGGAGACAGAAGAATAAGAAAACTACTGTCATCCAAATACTGGAAAGCAGCACCGAAGCTGAAAGACTATGAGCTAACGAGACCTTGTAAGTGGTTGTTTGCTGGAGTGTGATTTATATCTCTGCTGGAGTGTGATTTATATCTCTGTCTATTGACTTTTTCCTGACATTTCAGTTTCATTTCTGTATTTGCAGATTTGGGGATGAAGCCTCTTCATCATAAGAGGAAGTTGTCTTGCAACCCTGACAAAACTCAGGGCGACATTCTTTACAAGAGGAGGAAGTTTTCTGACCGTAGCGTAGTCATAGCATCTGATAGGGGTTTTAGCGGTGAAAGTGTTTGTAACTCTCCTGAGAAAGGCACGTCTGGAGACAATGGTTCAGCAGTATTGTGTTATGGAGGTGTGTTGATTTCTACTGCTCCGTTTTCCTGTTTTCTGGTCCATTTCTCTAAGCTTTCAGCTGTTGCTGGTTTCTTTTGCTCATGCCTCATGAGTATTATGCAGAAAATGGCAAGTCATCTCCCGTTATTGGTAATCAAGCCCAGCTCCGGTCGAAGGATTCTCATGGTACTGAGATGGATAAATGTTTATGGTTTTGGCCCTTGATTTTGACTGTCTTGGATTGCCAAGGTTCTTATTTGTTGTCAAACTTCTTGTTTCAGTTAAACTGAGCATCAAGTCCTTCAAAATTCCAGAACTTTTCATTGACGTCCCAGAAACTGCAACTGTTGGTTCTCTCAAGGTATAGATCTGCACTCTTCCGTACCAGTTGGGATTTGAAAGCTTGTGTCTGCTTGCATCATAGACTAGTTTTTCTTGTTGTCTTCTCTCAAACCTGAAACCAGTTAGTTAGTCGCTACTTGGAGCTAGATGTTTCCTGATGTTCCTTTATATTTTGCTCATTCTAATGAGACTGGATTTTAAATTTGCTACAGAGAACTGTTGTGGAAGCTGTAACTTCTCTACTTGGTGGTGGTTTACGTGTTGGGCTGGTTCTTCACGGAAAGAAGGTCAGGGACGATAACAGAACCCTTTTGCAGACTGGCATCACTTCTGCTGAAAGCCTTGAGACTCTGGGTTTTACCCTGGAGCCTAATTCAGTGCAAGCTCCTGTGCCCTTGTGCAGTGAAGAGCCTCCTGCTATTTTCCCATGTGAAACATCCCACCTTATATCAAGGTAATTCAAACCTTCTTTTCGACTAATCGTAAAGATTTTCCTCCCAGTCAGCTTATATTAAGGACTACTGCTGTCTCATGTTAGCCTTTCTCGACAAGACAAAATGGTTTTTGTTACACGTGTGATTCTCAGCTATTTATTTTGTTTCTTCAGGTCCCCAGAGACTACAATTGTAGAGTCACTAAAGCTTATTGACTCACCCAGGCTTGCTCCTTCTCCACCAACAAATCAGGTTGACTACAACAGTGAGACTACTGATCAGGAACCACTTTCCTGTAATGCTGACATAGTAGCTGACAACAAATCACCATCAGATTTCAAAGCTCTGGTTGCAGTTGAACCAGCAAGTGCTGAGGCACTTGCTGTTGTTCCCCTCAACCAGAAATCTAGGCGATCTGAGAATGTACAGCGTCGAACTAGGAGACCATTCTCAGTCTCCGAAGTAGAGGCACTTGTCCAAGCCGTTGAAGAACTTGGCACTGGAAGGTATATAAATCTCTCCTTCGAGCTTATACAATGCTCAATTCCCTGTACTGGTAAAACATAATCTCACCAATGGGTTCTTGTACTTCCGCAGGTGGCGGGATGTTAAGTTGCGATCTTTTGACAATGCTGACCATCGAACATATGTTGACTTGAAGGTACACAGACTTGCCTACTGTATTTCTGTGATCCTGATGTTTTAACTTGAATCCATATATTACATAAATTCACATTATATCAATGTCTATCGTTCAATCTACCAATTCACTTGTGTTATCCTTGTAATATGCACTTATGCTGAACTTCCTTCAGCAAAATTGAGCTGACATTCTACTGGCTCCTCAAACTTTTGGTTTTCAGGATAAATGGAAGACATTAGTCCACACAGCCCAGATTGCTCCGCAGCAAAGAAGGGGAGAGCCAGTTCCTCAGAAGCTTCTTGACAGAGTGTTGGCTGCACACAGCTACTGGTCGCAGCATCAAGCCAAGCAACATACCAAAAATGCAGCTGCTGTTGCCACTGCGACTGCAACTGCAACACCGACGGTGCTGCAGATAACAGACGGGCAGGCGATTGAGGCTTGAAGAAGGAGGCGGGTAACATTTCACTTGGTATAATAGTGTACAAAAGGAAGGGAAACTACTACAACCACTACTTGTTGACCGGGAAGGAACAGGGGAAGGCACAGAACAGGGTGACAAAGAAGAACAGCAGCAAAATTGTACAAAATGCAACAATTGATTTCTCAGAATGTTTATTATGTAATACACTCACACTTGTCTTTACAACAATTCATTCCCAGTGTTTCCCCTCCCCCCCATTGGAGACCAGGGGAGAAGGAAAGCTTGGGCATTTTGTAAATTGATTCAGTTCCATGAAATAAATCCCCTCTAGGGGGAGTGGCTCAGCCTAATAGGAACATTAAAATTTCCCAATTCTTTGATTTAATCTGGTGTAAAAGATTATGTGTAGCTCAGGTTCAAAGGAACATTTGAAAAATGAGAGATTTTTGTTTCTCATATCTTCACCTCGCTCGTCTCTTTTAATTTTGATTACTGTCGTACTCGATCTGCGACGCATCATAAGTTGCTCCCCTTTCGATACATGTATGTCTTGTTTCGATTCACGGACAGACGTAAACTACTACTAGCTTTAGCTATCATGAATCATTTGTATATCCTTTGCAGCATTGTATGTTCTGCAAAAAGAAAGTGGAATGAAACTGTTGGATTGTGAAGAGGGGAAAGCATCAAGGTAAAGTAATTGGAGCTTGAAAGGCAGGCAGAGAAGGGTGGTGGTGGGAGTAGGCGCAAAATTTCTTTACGGCTAAAACTCTATTCCTTGCACGCAACCGCCATGTGACATTTTTAAGCCAAACCGAACCCAACAGCACACACTGTCTCTCTCTCTGTTTTGTGAAGAAGAATTGGAACTTTGGAGGGAATATAAAGAGAAAAGAAAGACTTGATGAGGAAGGATCATGGTTGGATGGCTTAGCAGCTAGCTACCTTCCTTCCTTGTTTCCCTTCCTTGTCTAGTTTCGTACGACTCAAGCAAGCTTGCTTAACCAAGTCGTCTTTTTTACTTCTTCTTCTTAAAACTTCCCCCCTTTTTTCATTTCTCTCTCTGATTTGTTTTCTCTTTTCTGTTGCTGTAAGTTGTAACGGTGGATAATATGGGCAAGAGAAAAAGAAGAGCAAGAGGGCCGGGCACGTGCGCTTCACATGCCACGTGAATTTTATACCAGAGTATTCTGTCTGGGTTTCCTGCCTGCCTGGCGCTGTCTGGTTTTGGTTTTTGGGTTTTTAAGGAGGTTGGCTGGCGCTGTAGTTTAAGATGGTGTTCTACTTCTTTTGGATTTTGGGTAAAGACTGGAGAGTTATAATTTTAATATGGGAGCTGTTTGTTTGTTTTTATGAAATTGGGGCGTGTTTGGTTGTTGCTTGCTGCAGTAGCAAGTTAGTAAAATGCCAAAGTTTTGAGGATTGTGATTCTTGGCTGGAAATTGGGATCTGGATCTGATCTGATCTGACTGAGGTTGTGGGGCTGGTTGGTGGGTCGGTGGGGGCGTGGAAATGGAATCATTTCTCGGCTGGAGATGCCTTGTTGGATATGTTTTTCTTTTTTGACAAGGGGCCGCTTATATTGCATTCCTTGATCAAAGTTAAGGCAAAAGCCATTACAGAAGAGAATCTGAAATTAAACCCAGAACAACAATCCAGTCAACAGGAAGAGAATTATGGGCCAACGATCTCGCAACCCAGTCAGCTCTAACGTTGAGAATCCTCCGAAAAAACCTGACTTCGATCAAGGGGAATCTCCTGAGGATCTCCTTCATGATTCCCAACAGAGCCGCACAATTCCACGGCCATGGGTGATGGGGAAACAACAGAGCATTGACCAGCACTTGGCAGTCAGATCGGACAATCACTGGACCCGGAAGAGTTTGGGCCAATATCAAAGCTTCATGTAAAGCTTTTGCTTCAGCTTCAATTGGGGCAGCGCAAAGCAAAGTTCCAGCCCTCCCATCACAGACTTGACCATGGCAATTGATGACGACAATGCCATAAGCCGCCTCCTGGGAATCGTTTAAGAACGATCCATCACAGTGAACCTCCCATGAGGGGTTACTCGGCGGTGGTGTAGGCTGATTCTGGGGGTGAATAGGCTGGACAACAGGAACAGAGGAGGAAGTCCGAGGGGAATTGCACGTCGACCATTCATTGGCATCTCTTGCTGCATTGGAACATGTGAGAGGAGGCCAAGGAATGGAGCTGCGAAAAACCTTCTCGTTTCTAGTCTTCCAGATATTCCAAAGGGTGAAGATGATGAGAGTGATTGAATGGGAAGGGATCACGTCCTTCAGCTGGAATAACCAATGGACAATGTTGGAGTTAGCAGGGGCAGTGGCCAAAGAGGGAAAGGTCATATGCCAAACCTCCCAAGCATGGTGGCACTCAAACAAACAATGATGAATGGACTCCTCGGCAGCCAAACAGACAGGGCAGGAGGGATTAGGGGAGCATTTGCGGCTGAACAACCGACTTTTAGTCGCCAAAGCTTTCCTTGCACACTTCCAGACGAAGAACTTCAGCTTTGGAGGGAGGGAGAGCTTCCAAATCCATTTCCATCTCTCCTTATCATGACCCGATGGGGGGAGGTAGCCTGTCATTTGCGTACGAATCTTGTCGTGGAAGGCATGGTAAGCAGAGGCCACTGAGAAATTGCCTTTGGTGGTGAATCTCCAAGCCCAAAAGTCCGGGGCGTCAGCCAAACCAATGGGGACACGCTTGATGTCTTGGATAGAGCCTGGGGGAGCTTTTTGGTGAAGGGCAGGCTCATTCCACGTTCTCTCATTCATGTTGATGAACTCCACCACTCGTTCTTGTTGAATCACTGACCCATTGAGCTTTCCCCCAGGTATGTGGGGGATCCATTGATCATGAAAGAAACTGGTGGACTCACCATTTCCAATGACTCTGATGATACCCAGCTCCATCATCCGCTTTGCTTCCCAAAGGCTAGCCCAAATCCAAGAAGCCCGGCCTCCTTTCTTAGCATGTAGGAAATCAGAGCTAGGGAAGTAGAGTCCCTTCAGCAAACGAACCCACAAAGCAGAAGGGTTCTCAAGAATCCTCCAGGCTTGTTTTGCAAGTAAAGCAAGATTGAATTCTTTGAAGGATCTGAACCCAATCCCTCCTTCCTCTTTTGGAGCACAAAGAACCTTTGCATCACACCAGTGGATTGCTTTCTTGTGGAGGGATCCTGACCAGAAGAATCTCCGGAGAATAGAGTCCATCCTTTTTGTGGTTGATCCAGGCATGAGAAAAAGGCACATAATGTATGTCGGGATAGCCTGGATCACAGCTTTCAGGAGAGTTTCCTTCCCTCCAGGGGACAGTAAAAGGCTCTTCCAAGCTTCAGCTTTTTTCTCCATTCTGGTGATAAGAAATTCAAACGTTTCTCTTTTAGACCTGCCCCATTCCGTAGGAACCCCAAGATACGTAGCATGGCAGGTCAAGGAGCTGAAACCCAACATCTGTGTGATTTGAGCTTTTTTCCCCCCATCGACATTGCAACTGAAAAAGATGGAAGATTTTGTGTTGTTCACTTCTTGACCAGTAAAATTGCTGTAGGAGGAGATGATGTTCATGATACTAGTCGCTTCCTCTTCAGTAGCTCTTCCAAAAATAACAGTGTCATCTGCAAAAAGACAATGTGTAAGGGTAGGGCAGTTTCGGTTCAACTTAATTCCTCGAAAAACATTCAAACTTGCAGCCTTATCAATGAGAAAAGAGAGAGCATTTGAAAGGAGGATAAAGAGAAGGGGGAAGAGAGGGTCCCCCTGACGGATCCCTCTTGTTGGTGTAAACTTTGGTGAAGCTTCACCATTGAACAGAAGAGAGAACTTTACAGTTCTAATGCATTCTTTGACCCAAGCACACCATTTCGGATCAAAACCATAGAGAACAAGGATTTTATCAAGACAATCCCAATCCACCAGATCATATGCTTTTCTCATGTCAAGTTTGAGCATCATGTCTTGACGATTTCCAACTTTATGCTTCTTGAAATGATTCAGAACTTCGTGCACAATTATAACATTGTCTTGAATCTGTCTCCCCCCCGTAAAGGCCGTCTGAAGTTCCGAGACCAGATCAGGTAGCCATTTTTGCAATCTAGAGGTCATAATTTTGGTAATGACCTTATACCGGAAGTTGCAGCAACTGATCGGGCGGAAATGGCTAACAAATTCCGGAACCTCCACTGTAGGGACAAGCGAGATATGAGTGTCATTCCACCCCTCTGGAAGATGATTAGAATCAAAAAAACCCCTGACTTCCTCACAAAACTGCTCCCCAATAAGTGGCCAGAATTTCCTGAAGAAAAACCCAGGAAAGCCATCCGGTCCTGGGGCCTTAGAATGTCCCAACTGAAAAACAGCTTTTCTGATTTCTTCATTATCAACATTTGCACAAAGTTCCCGATTCATATCATTCGTGACTAGACTGGGGAAATCTTGAAGGAGATGATCAAACTGGGAAGGAGGACGAGCCTGGAACAGCTCCTTGTAGTAATCCTGAGACATCGCTTTGAGTTGCTGTTCATTGTTGATCCAAATTCCTGCAGTATTCTTAAGTCTGAGAATACGATTTGAATGTCTTCTCTGAACAGTGCTAGCGTGGAAAAAACCAGAGTTCTGGTCTCCTTTTTTTAGCCAATTGACACGAGAGCATTGAGCCCAAAAAGACTCCTCTGACTTCCAAAAACCTGCGAGCTCCCCCAAGAGAAGCTTTTCCTCATCCACATCAGATTGATTTCTATTTGGACCTTGAAGAGTTTGTAGTCTAATTTTGATTTCCTCTTCTCTTTTCGTTCTTTCAAATCTGTCCTTCTTTGCCCAATCTTTAAGTTCATCCTGACATTTCTCCATTTTGCTGCTGGAGTCCCCTGCCAAATTCCAAATATTCTGAACAATCACAGCACATTCATTTTTATCCTTCCATCTCTTGTCAAACCTGAAAGGGGTGTTCCTCCTGTTATTGTTGAAGTTGATGTCCACCCTGATCGGGCAATGATCCGATTCAATCATCTCCTCATGGAAAACAACCGCTTTATCATAATCAGCCCTCCAAGAAGTAGAACACAAGGCTCTATCAAGTCTTTCTCTAATGAGGTTGGTTCCTTGTTGCTTGTTAGACCAAGTGAATCTTTGACCTTTGAATCCTAAATCCATCAACGCATTGTGGGCGATGAAGTACTTGAATGGAGCCACATTTTCATTTCGAAGGGGGCATCTCCCTTCCTTCTCGTAGTCAAACTGAACTACATTCAAGTCCCCAACTATCAACCATTTTTCTACTGTACTACTTCTAAAAGAGCTCATTCGCTCCCAAAAGGCCCTTCTCTCCACTGCAGTGGAAGGGGCATGAACAAACGTACAAAAAAAATCCCTACCGCCATAACTAATACACACATCTATGAAATTGCTACTAGAGTCTAAAACATGGATAGAGACCCCAGAATTCCACCAGAGTGCTAAACCACTGCCCCCTACATTAGGATTAACATATTCCGAAAAAGAGAACTTCATCTGCTTCCTCTTCTCCTCCATGAATTCTTCATCATTTTTGGTTTCCATAAGGAAGAGTATAGATGGGCCTAGATTCCTGCAAAATCTGCTGCAATAGCTTCTTGTAAGGGGTTGGCCAAACCCCCTACAATTCCAACTAATAATTCTCATTCTTCATTTGGTGGCTTAAGGCGCTCCACCGATGCCTGTGACGAGGACCCATGCTCCCCTGTTTTCTGCAACTCAGAAGAAAAATCAGTTAACATTCTTTTTTTAATCCCAATCCTCCTTCTCTGATCACCCAACGGCAGAGACTCCAATCCTGGGTTGAAGATCAGTGGCTTTGTGAGCTCCGGTGGGCTGAATTCTGCCTGTGGGCTTTTTTCCAGATCAAGGAGCCAGACAGGCTTCCTCTTCTTTTCTGCCCTTCCCAGGGCCCGCTCATAGTTCAGTTGAGCCTCCTGAACAATGGACAGTTGCTGGCCTACTTGTTCACTCAATGGACTCAAATTAGAGTAGAACTGGCCCATTCCTCCAACAGGGCCTGTTGTGTTTGAGAAAGGAAGCCCACCCAAACTGCCCTGGCCCACTTGAGTTTCTCCCCTAGGACCGCTCCCCACGTTCAAGTCCAGGGAGAACTGAACCGCCGCCGCCACCTCTTCCAGGTCTTCTTCAAGTCTTCTGGGTGAACATGCTTTCTTCTGAAAAGCAGATAACGAATGGGGAAAGATGTCAGTGTCCGTAATGGACCTCTGACCCAGAGAGAGATCTCCTCCAAAATTTTGTTGCCCTTCTGGGGTATGTTCCCCTGCAGCGGTGAGAAGAGCCGTTGGGGCAGCACTCCCAAGGTGGTCAGGAGAGAGACGAACAGGTCCACCAGAGCACTCTCCTCGGATTTTGTGGGAAAAAGAGGCCGGAGGAGTGGCTGCCGGCGATTGGTATCCAGCTTTCAGTGCTGCAGAGTAGATTCCCGATGGCTCGGTGCTAAGCCCCTTCGTCCTGCACTCCTCTCTTGTTTGGCAGGCGTACATCTGATGTCCGATCTTGCCACAAAAGTAGCAGAGATCTGTGACCCGTTCATAGTTGATGCTTACCCAGACAGATTTTTTCCCCAACGGGTATTCAAAACCTATTGGGACAGGTTCTTGGAGGTCAACCTCCACCAGGACACGAAAGAATTTCATCCACCCATGTGCTTCCAGCCTTGAGGAATCCACTCGGTGGAATTTGGGGAAAACAAATTCAGCAACAGTCTGGATGGATTTCTCATCTCTGAGAACTTCAGGCAGGTCATGAAACTGGATCCAGAGGGTGATGGATGGAAATTCAGCTTCAATGGGCTTGGTTTCTCCATCCCACTTCAGTAGAGCTAGCAGGGTGTTGGATAGACTCCAGGGGCGAGAATCCCATACAGCATCTCTCCCAGCTACTGAGGGGAAAGTGTAGATGAAGAGGTTTTTTGCCTCTCTCCTGATTGTAACTTCTCCATAGCTTCCCCATTTGTTCTGGGCAGCATTGCACGCCTTTCCCACCGAGATGTTGTTGTCGGTGAGCCATTTTCCGATCAAGACAGAGTTCTCCTCTCCTCTCTCCCCAGCACCTTCAGGTAGAAAATTGAGGACCAGGTGGCCTTTTCCTGCTTGCTCATTCATCCGGGTGATTTCCATGGCTGCAGCAACAGAGGAAAGAGAATTTTTGGGGAAGGAAGGTTGTGTGCAAGGGATAAAACCTTCAAGGATCCAGGTAGTTTGAGTAATTTGGTGAATCTGACTTAGGAGAGGAGAGGTTAAATAGAGGGTTTGGGTTGAGGGGTATGTAGCAGTAGCTATCTCCTCCAAATTAAATCCCCTGGGTTTGATTTGATCTGACCCTGAGAATACCCTGAGTATCCTCTTCCACCCCTGCAAATTGCCAATGGGTGGCTCGATGGGGAAGGATCCCATCTCATAAATGGGGATATCTCTTGGTTGCCTGGATGAAAGAGCCAATCCAGGTCTTGTTTGATGCAGGTAGCTGACAAGGAGCACAGGTGGAGGTTTCCAGGTCTTAAATTGGCCATTGACAGCAAAGAAGATGGGATACAGAGCAAACTGGATTGAGGAGCCTCTAGAGAAGGAAGGAATAAAGGCTTTCTCTCTGTATCCTTTTGGTTTTCTTCTCTTGAAATGGCCTCTCTGTTGACTTGAAAGGGTTGTAAAGATTGAGGATCTCCCAGAAGTAAAGAGGCTGGATTTGGTGGTTGGCGTGAGGGGATCTTGATCTTGAGGTTTGAATACTGCACAAGAAGCAGTTGGAGTAATGACATAAAGTTGAGAGGAATTGATTTCTAGAGAGAGACTCATTTTTGGTGGGGGGATGTTTTCTTTGACAGATTTGGATATGTTTTTCGTTGTGTATAAATATTTTTTGTTTATAAATTGTTAAACGTTTAATTATACATGAAAACTTATCATTTCTCAGACTATTACAAGCTTATCAATGGTATTGTAAAAAAAAAAAAGATATATATATATATCAAGGTTAGAAGACACTAGACATAGATATTAATATTTTGTACTAAATGATGAATGAAGTAGTTAAATTCAACACTTCACTTCAAATGATTAATAAATTACTTAAGAATAAGAAAATTAGCTCACATGTTCGTAGAATTAGGAATGGCAATGGGGCAGGTCCAGGGTGGGTATCTCGATACCCATACCCGCCCCATGGCATGCTAGGTCCAGGTCGGGTAATTTATCATGGGGCGCAGGTCGGGACAGGTCGACCCAATGGGTATGTAATTTATGTGAAAAATGTTAGAAATATTCGTTATTTTCATTAAAAGACCAAGTAACAAACCATAATATGATAAAATGTAGTTAAATTATTAGAGAAATTGAGGTTTTCACTTATTTACAACTTTTTTATAGCTAAATATGAGATAATAAAATAAAAATCCTTAGTAATTTGACTAAGATTACATGTAATTTAGACAATAACGGGTCGAGAATGGAGCGGGTCAGGGCAGGTCGGGTCGATGAGAGATACCCATGCCCGCCCCGCCCCACCTACGGAGCGAGTCGGACCTGCCCCAAAATAAGCCAAACAGGTTTGGTACAATGGGTCAGGTCAAAATTGTCATCCCTACATAGAATCATATGTCAATGGTTCACATAGTTCTTGAGCTATTAAAAAGATTGAGAGCAAATATTGAGAGCTTACTGCCTGATGATGCGCTGAATTTGATTGCAGGATGTGAACCACCTAACCCGGAACTGGGAGAAGACAAGAGCATATGGGGGTTTGAACTTTGAAGTTGATGGACGCTTCAGACTGAAGTTTGCATACTACCTGGCAGCAGCTGGTAATGAAGGAGGAGATACTGACACAAGCTGAAAAGGCCTCTGGAAGTGGAAGGGACCCAATAGAGTTAAGCATTTCTTTTGGCTTGTTTTCCATGATCGACTGATGACCAACCATGAACACAAAAGAAGGAAGATCGCCCCTTCTGACAAGTGCAACCATTGCAACAAGGAAGGGTAGACAATTGAACATATCCTACGCAGCTGCAGCAAAGCAAGAGAGTTCTGGTGCAAACTCATGCATAGAATGGTGGAAAGCAACCTCCACCTTCCACTGGAAGAATGGCTAATAAGGAACCTGCTGGACGATGACAAGGGTATCAACTTCGGGCTTATATGTTGACACCTATGAAAACAAAGGAATGAAGAAGTCTTAGATGGAAAGAGCTACTCGGAACAGGGTCTTCTCTGCAGAATTAGAGCCTGGTTTAGCATCGTCAGGAATGCACATTCTTTCTGGGAGAACATAACGAATGAACCCAGGAGGGTGCCAGAGACAAAGGAAATTGCTTGAAAGCAACCACACCATGAGTGGATACAAATCCAAAGCGACGGATCAGTCTGCCATGACTCAGGCAAGGCGGCTGCAGGTGGCCTTTTCCGTGATAATCTCGGCAGGTGTCATCGAGTGTTTGTCTGCAATCTGGGAAGCTGCTTGATTACGCATGCGGAGCTGAAAGGTGCAATGGAGGGACTGAAGATTGCTTGGGAAGAAGGGTATAGGAAAATTGAGCTCAAACTGGATTTGGAGACGGCTATTTCGATCATAAAAAACCACTCGGAGGATGAGGGCAACGACAGCCATGTTTAGGAACCTTTTGGACCGGGATTGGGAGATTAGAATCTCTCATGTGTATAGAGAGTCTAATTGTGCCGCTGACTATCTTGCTAACGTTGGGCACGACTCCCCTTTTGGCACACATTTTTTCGATTTGTGTGACCCGAGGCTTAGATATTGGCTTCACTATGATGTAATGGGCATTGCCCAAGACGCAATGCGTCATCTTTTCGAAAGAAAAAAAAAAGATTGTAACTAATGTTAATTTCTCCCTGAATTTTGATATTGACGGTCTAGCTCGTTCAATTATATCTAGGCGACACCTAAGTAATTTTTCCTCCCCGCCATTAGATCACTGACACCTAAGTAACTAGCATTGGGCCCGGCCCGTTGGCCGGTGGAGTATATAAAATCGATACGTGTAGTATGTTGTACTATATTAGAGTATAAAATGAAAAACAAAAATACTATTCAAGCAATTTGAATTCTTAACTTCAATCGTTCCATTGTAAGATCCATCTCTTATGCTTCATGTTGAAAGATAATTATCATGAGTTTTCCTTTAAGAATTTCATACCATAGTAGTATTCCACTTCAAAGGGTCACCCAGTGCAGGTCAGCTGTGGCAGTCACGTTAATAGATTGAGCATTACTTGTATGGTTAAATTGACCTTAATAACAAATGAAATCTCCTTACTCTTTTAACATTGAAGATTTCCTGTTTTTTAGACATGTATTGATATCTTAGAAGTGAAATTTTGGTTGACATGGACAAATGAACTCGTGGAATGATGATAAAAGAAAACCAATCATCCAATATATAAGTTTTCAAATCCACATTTAATTGAACACTGTTTGAGAAATACAACACCATTTTTTTCCCCATAAATCATTTTACTTGAACCAATAGCCAACTTATGATCCCCAAGTTTCCACAACAAAACACTGGTTACATCAATGCACTCACCACCAGCACCATGTTGTCTGTTTGAAATTGTAGACACGCTGACGTCAGTTGCAAACTCAGCTTATGGAACCACCCCAGCTTCAATTCTTTTTATGTCAAACAGTGTATCGTAGTATGTAGGTACGTAGCTGACGGCAAATTAATTAGAACACAATAGCTAGTAAGTATCGGGCAATTGAAAGTTGAATATAGCTCTGAAAAGAAGAATTCGAACAGTAAGAAAGATTTACATCCTACAAACCACTCTACTGAAACCAGCAAGAAGCTACTCATGATCTCTACATTGTAAGCTCAAAAGGGTGAACCATTATACTCATTACCATCATGGTTCTCTCCATCCTATAACCACCCCAGTTGCATCATCATGGTTTATTCGTTGTTGATGCTTGCTGCATGCATCTTGTTTCTCTTAATTTTGGTTGGTACAGGTCTCTTCTGCACCCAGTCTTCTGTGCTGCCTTTACTTTTCATGGCCATAAACGGAGTACTCTGCTAGTCTGCTGCCTTTACTTTTTGTGCAATATAATCAACAACACTGAGTAAGAAAATGGGAAACATATCATGAAGCTAAGGGAACTGCTTGAACTTCTGAATGCAGCTCAAAGAGCCTAATCTAACAAATGAAAGCTACAGAAGCACGTATACATGCAATCAAGTAGAAACAATAATGAATGTCTAACAACAATTAATAAGTTATCTACCACTTTGATATCTATTTACATTCAGTATATAATAAAGAACTTGGCAAGGGTTGAGTGCCCATAAGCCCATAACAAAGAAGCTCTCAATTATATTCTATCGTCATACTCATTTGTGTCATTCTATTGTTTCTCCTCGTTACTGGACTCAAAGAAGGAAAACAAAATAGAAGAGTTAAGGTTGCTTAATATGGTTTTGATGTTTGTCTTGATCACAAACTGCACTGATTTTTCCTCATCACAAACTGATCGATTTGCTTCATTACATATATCATGATTAGAAGTTGGAACTAATTCAGTATAAGTAATATGTCATCTCAAGTTAAAACTTTGGTGATCAGAAACTGCACGTATAAGTAATATGCCATCTCAAGTTACTTCTTTTGTTAATCAGAAACTGCACTGCTTCATTACTTATCATGTCTAGAAGTTAGAACTAATGATGTACAGCTCATGAAAGAAAACTCTTAACAGCTCATACTACGATACACTATTGGTCTTCCTCTTTCAAACAGAACTCAACTGACTGCATGTCATGTTGGTTATTATGCTGCCACGCGGCGTGCAACGCAAGCTGACACCATCGGATTATTCGTGACCTAGACTCGCGGCATGTAATTTTCTTAATCGTTGGGCACGTAAGCGAAAAAACAATCCAACAATGCCTACTAGCAGTGAACTCTCACGTTTATTCGTGACCTAGACTCGCCATAGAAATGAAAACAAACAAATAAATATAACATAAAACATATACCAACTGACTCCAGCCGTAGAACCAGCTAGAAGACATTGACAAGCTACTAGTTTGGTGAAACAAATATATACACAAAGCTGACAGTGACCAAGACCAAAGATTTTATAGAGAAAACAAACAAAGTGCTTCAGCTGTGCATTGTATTTGGGAAAAACAGGAGAAAGAGACATGGATGAGGACTTTTCTAACGAGAATATGACAGGACGGCCACCACCGCTATCACCATCACCCACTTGCATTATCAGAACCATGAGATGAGATGAGATAACTGGCTAAAGAACAAAATTATTACTATGGGGTACTTAAGGAACTATTCAACTCAAAAGTCTGCAGATCCTAGAGCCGATATCAGAAACATTGCAGATATTTCTGCCAACGAATCTGATTAGATTAGCCATTTTGATGCATTGCCACAGCTAATAGCTTAGGAATATACGGAACACTAAAAACAAATCAAGAAATTTACACTTCTGAAGCTATACATGGCGAAAAACGGAAACTGTAATCTTCTCTTCTGTGCTGTGTTTTTTAACACGGCTCCAAGGCTACAGATGATCCTTAGCTCTCAAACAAGAAGCTCTAGCGGTTGCCATGAAACACTTGATCGATCATCAGTCAACGATCATCTCTTCCTCGCTCGTTGAGATGGATACTGCTGCATTGCACGCCTAGAAACCAGGGAACTCTCTTGGCCAACTCTCAGTCTCTCACTGATTGTCCTGCTCAGCAAGCAGATGAACCAAAAATATATGATGTTAATTTTTCCATTTTGACTGCAAGAAAGCAATGACAGTAGTTGGGTAACAGAAAGAAAGATGAGGGACAAATGGAATTACCATGAACTCACAGAATGAAGAAACCATTGCCCTATGGCAAGGTCACCCCACAATGCCCCTTGCCTGTTCCATGATGAACAATAGAGAGATTACTTTAATAATCGATAGGTTTCCAGGTAGAGAGTGCATACAAAATCCGACCCTTCCACCCTTGGAGAAGCCATTGCCCATCCTCATCAATCACAAAATCTTTGTCATAATTCTCCTTCACCTTTTCTTTTGCAATCGTAAAAATCCCCCTATTCAGAGGCAGCTGTGTGAACCCAGCTCTTTGCATCCTGACTTGACACTGCTTGTATGTCTCTGGCCTCTCCAGCCTCTCTACACCTTCACAAGCAATCACATTCATGGCCTCCCAACCGAAAATTTCTCTCTCAATAAGCTTCCTCTCCGGGATATCACGTGGAACAGTAGTCTCCAACATATCAAACAAAGTGGAGTAGTGGAAGAGAGCCTCCCTGAACCGGGTGATGAAGAATGGTGCGCTGTAGGCTCCATTGACAACGCCGAGTATGAAAACATCGGGTCTCATTTTCCTTACCAGGTTTAGGACAATGTTCCTAGGACAGTCCACCACCACGGTTTCATCCAGCAAGTTTCTCAGCCTGAATAAACAGTTCACAACCAGAACCTCACCCTTCTTAATCTTGAGATCCTCGATCCGAATGGTGTCCCACTTCTGTGCAATGGCATTGAACTCGAACGGAACATTGAAAGTTCTAGCGTAGTTTGCCAACCTACGCCCAGTCTCCTCCACCCTTTCAGCTGGCCGGAAACCCGGGTTTGGGAAATCGACTCCTGTGATTCGAAGCTTTGGAGGCCCACCAGGCATGGAGGACAAGCGCTGAATGAGGCATGGCCACTGGAAACCATAAAGAATTCCGAATTCAACTATGTGAAGAGTTTTCGTTGTTGAACGTTGAGCCAAGTTCATTGTTGTTTTGTTTGAGAAAAAGTTCGAGAGCTTCCTAAATGGACATGCAGCTAGAAACAGCTGGTACGCTTTCAACACATCAGCAGCTGAGGTTGGTTTTGTGATGAGTGCTTTATATATTTGTGTTCCCGAGCCAGCTAAGCGTGCCTCCAGACCATCTGCAAAAATGTATGCGAGTCTCTGCATTCCATCCCCAGTTTGGGAAGCATTATCCCTTATCTGTTTCAAAAGATCGTTTGAGTTCCTCCTGTCATCAGCAGCAACAGCCTGTGCGCAGAGAGTCAACAATGTCCTTAAGTCAACCACATTTTGTTTAGCTTTCCCCTGGCGCTTGCCTCGAGCTCTGCCACCACTACTAGACAACCCTTTGGTGGTTTGTCTATTCTGCTGTGCTGTCTTGTTCTTCTCACTCTGAAGAGCTGCACGGAGTGAAGCCTCTGGATCCTGTGCACAGTTGAGTAATATCCTGTCAAAATCTGCAGAACTCACTGTTGAGTCGGGAGAAGAAACTGCTGACTGCTTACTGCTCCTTCCAGATCCAACCTCCAAGTTGAGATACTCAGGAGGATGAGGGTTCTTCTTTCCTCTAGGCTCATGCTTACTATCATGATCATAAAGGTCTTTAAGGTATATCCCATTACTCACTACATCAAGAGCCAAATTACTCCTGGGAATGAACTTACTTGCCTCTTCAAACCCTTTTCTAAACTGAATAGCAGACTCGGTCTCAGCAAAAAAGTCTGGAACTGAAATGCTGCTCAATGGAGATTCTGCGAATGAACTATCAATTACTGTGCTTGAGCTGAGCACTGGACTATGTGATGTATAACTATCATTATAACTCCACCCAGAATCAATTAAGCTACTACCACCACAACTGTTGCTGTTCGGGCTACTAGTAGAACAAGTGCGAGGATTCGGTTCATGGCTTTCATCTAAACTCTCATGGTGTTGATCAGTAACATGTAAAGTTGGTGGGTACCTTTCTCCAATGAGATCGTAGAGTGATTTCTCTGCGGCCTGAAGTGCTGCTGAGGACTCCTGGAACATGCATGCTTTGTCTCCCATGTCTTCTTCCATGAGCATATCAGTAATATACTTGAGAACTACATCACTGAAATCAAAATCATCATGGGGCGACTCTAAAGCTTGGGTTCTGCTCGACTGAAATGTTGCCTCGCCAACGTTTCCACTAGGGCAACTGGTTGGCAAAGGAGAAATCCTCACTGGGTTCTTATTGTCAACAGCAGAATTATCTGACTTGTACCCAGAAACCAGATTCCTACTAGTTAAACCAGAGAGGGTTTCATGACTCAGCTTCAACCCATTCACAGAATCGAACAACCCCCCTAATGATTCACCCATGTACATCTATATAAACAGTTGTCAGCAGAACAAGGTCAACCAGAAATCCAAAACCTCGGTGAACTCCAAAATTCGCACTTGTCTCCCCGGACCCTTCTCTACCAGAACACGAAACACCTTCAAAAAGGGTGGAAAAAGAGAATTTTCACGAGAGCTTCAAATTACACTACGGAGGAGAACCCTTTGCCAAACAAATAAAACAGCAATAAGACAAATATTGGTCTTGATTATGTCGTCTCAAAGTTCCCAACTTCACAAACCCCCTACAAAGGGGCAGAATTACGCAGAGTACACAAGATTAAGACTTTGATTCGGAAGCCCAAATTACATCAGCAAAGAAAAGAACTTGAACATGCATTTCAATCAAGCAAGAGAATTAAAATATTCATCGAGCAGTAGCAATTCAGTGATGAAGGAAAAGAAAATACAACAGCCCTTCAGCGCCAAAACACAGGAGGGGCTAAGAAAGCAAAAAGGAAAAAGAGAAAAGTTGGAATTTATCTAGAACAGCTGCTTGGACAAAATGAAACAGGGCGGCGACAAAAAGGGAAGATGAAGTTACCTGCCAAGGGAAGGGAGCCGGAGAAACACCTCCAGCAAAGAAACGGGAAGAAAGGATATAGAATGAAAGGATTAGAATTGAGAGGAGACAGTACGGACCAGGGAGGAAGAGGAAGAAGCACAAGAGGGCGCGAGAGCGTTAGAAAAGCTGCTCTGTTTCAGAGCATTGGGAAAGGCTAATGAATGGAAGAGCTGGGCAGGGCAGGGCAGGGCAGGGTAAAAAGGAAATGATAAAAGTCAAAAACAAAAAACAAAAAAAAGCGCCGTAGACCCGTGAATTTAAACTAGGGCTGGCATTTCGGTTAGTTCGGTTATAACCGAAATGCCGGTTACCGGTTAACCGCGCCAAGGAGGAGCATTACCGCCAACCGACCGAACCAAACCTTCGGTTAACCGGCAACCGACCCGGTTAACCGAAGCAACCGCAACGTGAGATACAGACACTTTTAACCGACTAACCGAACCGACTAACCGAACCGACCAGGCACCTGTAACTTCAAAATCGATACAAATTGACTAAAATTAAACGTTCAGCCTTACATTTCTACATCTAAATCACTCCACAAGTCAAGTTTCAATCATTTTTGCATACAAAATAGATTTAAAATCACCAAATTAATGTCTCAAATACTAGAACATAAAGTCCATAAACTACATAAAGTCACAAATTACAAGTCACCACCAATTCATCACTTATCAACCGAAGAAGAACCAACATCTACATAACCCTTTTCTTTCAGTTGCGGCAAGAGGTGATGACCAACATCGTCATATCCATCTTTCTCATACTGTCCCTCCGACACATTTTCTTCACCCTCCTGCTCATTCCCATCTGGAATGTTCTGACTTCCATCTGCATTGCCAACATCAATTCTTGCACTTTCCATTCTAGACTGGAAAGTGGTATTAACTGAGTAAGAAAAAAATAAAACAAATTGTTAGAATATTCATACATTGAATTATGTAGAAAGAAATAGAATTTGTTTACTTCAACAAATAATAATTAAAGGAGTTTTAGAACAAACCGCTTTCCAAATCCATGATCTCTTCATCTTCTTCCCTATCGTCATTATCTCCGGGCCCGGCATCTTTATACTTTATCCAATCCTCCGCACAAATCAATGCCTCCAACATGATATCACTCAAAGAAGACCTGAATGGACTGAGAATCCGACCGCCACAGCTGATGGTTGCCTCTGAGGCAACAGAAGAGATGGGAACAGCTAGGATATCCTTAGCCATCTCAGCAAGAATCGGATATGTTCCAGAGTGTCGAGACCACCAACTCAAGATGTCAAACTTTGCATCATCACTCTCCTCATTGATGCCATCAGTTTGACATCTTAAATAGATGTCAAGCTCAGCAGAGCTACCTCCTGTATCCTGCAAAAGTGCTTCCCTTTTCCTCTTCCTAATCCTCTCCTCTAGCTCCTTAATCCTATCACCACCAGCCGTGCTCTCACCAGTGGTAGGCTCAGATGCAGAGTAGGGTGCTTTTGATCCATACTTCCCTTTGTAAACTTCAAATAGCTGTCGCATTTCCTTCCTAATGCAGTCAACCATTTCTCCTCCCTTCACATTCCCATACATCATTGCCAAAACCTCAGACACCAAGTCAAGCTTACTTCTTGGATCAAGCACACATGCTATATAAATTAAGTGGTTCACCTTCATGTTCTTCTCGTTCACAACAGGTGATTCAAACCAATACTTTTCTACCTTTTCCTCAACCTTCTCAGCCATCTTTTGGATCTCTTCAAGCGGATCCTTCTTCAATTTCTCAATGATGTCATATACCGTAACAAGCTTCTTGAAGAAGATATGCATAGTCACATATTTCGTTCCTGTACAATTAGAATAACACAAATTGAAATGAGAAAATCGTTAAATTTTTTAAATAAATCAATGCAGTATAGGAATTTTACTTACCAGAGACTAGAAGGGTCAAGTCATTGAAGACTTTCAGATAGTCTCTCAACTTCCTAACCATCTGCCAATCTTGATTAGTTGGAAGCCCACCTCTTGAGTCCAGATAATCTCTAAGAGAATGATCGTGTGGACTTGAATACAACGTTGTAAACACTGCCTCAAAACTTTCTGCCGAATCTAACATGGTATAGGTGGAGTTCCACCTGGTCGGTACATCCAAAGACACCAGCCTGGTTGACTCCATATGCAGACATTCCATGCCATTCTTGAATCGTAACAACCTAGCTGGTGAAGACCTCACCCACTTCACACAATCCCGAACTCTGTCCACAGCACCACCAACTACTTTCAGTCCATCTTGTACCACCAGATTAATGATGTGTGCAACACATCGAAACTGTAGAAACCTCTCATCCATCAAATCACACCCCCACTCCTTTAGCTTCATTATCATGCACTGACTGACAACATCATTTGAACTTGCATTGTTCATGGTCATGCAGAACAGATTCTTCACCTTCCACTCTTCAAGAACTTCTGCAAGCTTCTCTGCAATATCAACTCCAGTATGACTTGTGATGGGAACAAAGGATATCACCTTCTTCTGCAACTTCCAATCACTTCCAACAAAGTGAGCAGTAACACACATGAAATTCTTGTTGTTATCAGAAGTCCATGTATCCGTAGTGATTGAAACTCTTCCTTGACTCCTTGATTCAAAAAAAATCAATTAAATCCATCTTTTTATCCATAAAGATATGAAAGCAGTCATCTCTTATAGCTTTCCTCCCGGGTATCCTAAACAGTGGCTGAACTTGGGACATGAATTGCTTAAACCCTTCTCTCTCCACAAAGCGAAATGACAATTCATCCATAATGATCATACTGGCTAATGCATATCTAGCTTTTCCTTGATCAAACTTCCATAAACCACTTACTTGACCACCTTTTGATGTCTGCAATACTGTCTGATTTTTATTTGCTTCCACCTTAGCCAAACAGGAGACCATGTGGTTATTCATTGCAGTGGTCCCATTTTTGTGAGGATGAGCTTTGATTAGAGTATGACAGTGTTTGCACTCTCCCATCGGGTAGCTGTTAACTATCAACTTCTTAAACACCTTCCAACATCCAGCTTTACCCACCGTCTTCAACCATTTCTCGCAATCAAAAATGTCTCCTGTAGCTGTCTCTGAATCAGGAGCGCCCGTGTCAACAGAAGGAGTCACGGCAGATGTACCGGCAGGTGTACTTCCACTATCGACAGGGGGCGCGAATCGATGGAGTTGATGAAGACGGTTCAGCTTCAGGTGGTTGAACAGGTCGACTTCCTGTACGCCCACCACGACCTCGGGCCTGAACAGAAGCACTCGCACCACCACGACCTCGAATTGCCGGAGGTCTCCCACCACGAGGAGCAGGAGGTCTTACCCTAAAAAACAATTACACAAAGCCACAAATTGAGAGCTAAATTCTCATTTCTTGATGAAAGAAGAAAAGACTGCCATTGATGAAAGCTTTGTGGTTTTTTTAACCGATACTAAGTTTGTAAACAGGCATTCTCCCTCTGGCCAAAGAAGAAAAGACTGCCATTGAGAATATATCCCAACAATGTCGTTCATCAACAAAACAAAAACAAGAACAAGAACAAAAACAACATTGTGAATAGTCAAGGAAAGATTGCTAAGCTTACACACTCTAACAACCATCTCCAATATTTAGGATTCATGCAGTATTACTTCCGCCAGAGTATCACAAACCTAACTTCTAAAACTGGGAAGTTCCCTTTCCTCCAGGCTCACTCAACATCAGTTTTCATGACTCATGCAACTGGTTAAAGCAAAGGAATGGGAATTGGCATTCATTCACATTATTGTTGTCGGCTACAAGACTGATTAATTCTTCAACGGGTGACTTACATGATTGCAATTCTTCAACGGCGGTTGCTGCCTTGCTGGGTCGCGACTCGCGAGCAATGCGGCGTCGGCGGGTGGGCTCGCGGCGAAGGGAGAAGGGAGAATGGGGAGAATGCGGCGCCGGCGGGGTGGGCTCGCGGCGAAGGGGGAAGGGAGAATGGGGAGAAATCGGCGCCGGCGGGTGGGCTCGCGGGGAGCAGTTGATTGGCGCGGCGCCGGCGAGTTTGAACGGCGGTGCTGGGTCGAACTTCGATCGATTGCTGAGGTCTGAGCCCTGAGGAGTGGCCGTTTGGCGTTTGCAGTGCAGAGGAAGAGGAGGCAGGAGATGAGAGGCGGTCTTACTCTTCGTCGAATTAGGGATTTAGGGTTTTGGGTGGCCCGTGGAGTTCATGGTCAGCGGCTCAGCGGTGTCGTTTTGGGTTTTGCCGGTTAGCAGGCCGGTTAGCCGGTTAACCGGCGGTTACCACTGTCGGTTAGCCGGTTAACCGGCACAGTGAACCCTGTTACCGCCAACCGCCCGCCACTGTTTATTTCGGTTAGTCGGTTAACCGGTAACCGGCGGTTATCGGTTTAACCGGCCGGTTAACCGCTAACCGCTAACCGAATGGCCCGCCCTAATTTAAACTACTTGGGAGAGCCATTAAATTTTGCTTAAATACCGAATTTGGTCACTAATTTATTAGGAAGAATTTTGGAATTTTAATTGTCTCAATACCAAGTTTAGTGCGCAATATCACATGGAAAGAGTAGATGAAAGGACCAAATTGACATTTTTACGTACTAAAAAATGGACTTCGTCAAAAAAATTATCAAGAAGAAATAATTATTCAAAATTTTAGAATAATTTGCTAGTAGTTTAAGATTGAATTAATGAAGTCTTACGATTTGGTGGCGTCAGGCGTGGACTTCGGTTTGGGTTTTCCTAGTAACTCTTGTTGTTTGGATTGTATCAAAGTTTGCCTTGAATGAACCTGACGATGCAGATTGTGCAGATTCTTTATAGTCATTAACGAGTTCGAGAAGCCCACAACTGAAAACGAGCCATAGCCCACAATTTTCCCGGAAGGTTATATCCGTCTTCTTATCTCTTGGGCTCTTCCCATCCCACTAAAGGCCGAACCTGGCTAGAATTTCGAAGCCTTGTCGTGGGCTGCGATTTTGTAGCAGTTGGGCTCAACAATTATCTGCAATCAATCTACAAAATACTATAAGTCAATGTCAAAATACAAGCTTTGCCACGTAAGCCTCTGCTAAAACCGCCGCACACTGCGGAGGGTCTTTGCTGTAAATTCGTAATCCTTCTCTTCCGCGCATTCTCTCTTCCAATCTTTCACCGGAAATCGAACGCCTCTCTCACCGTTCCAACACATCCCGTCTTCTAATCCTTACCGGAATTGAGGACCTATCTCTCGCCGTCCCAACATTGTAATCGGCCCACTTCTCACTTCCTCAACAATCTTTAAAGTTCTCCTGCATACTTTACTCCGCCTATTACCCCCACAGCTCCCCCTTTGTTGCCCCAACAGTGAGGGTGGATCTCTCAATCTCCCAGCGCTGCCTGCCTCTGTTTCATGGTTGTGAGTCGTCGCCTTTTTATCGCCAACACCACTCCTAGAGAACCCCCATCATCTGCTCTGTTTTCATATGTATTGTCTCCCACCTGCTGCCTCTCTCTCGCTCTTTCCGTCTGTCCCTCTCCGAGTCTCTCTCCAGCGTCGTCCTTTACCCAAATCATACTGTAAAATTTAACTCGCCTCTCTCGCTCTTGCTGTTTGTCTCGCTGCGATGAGTGGATAAGTTGCTTCCCTACGAAGTTCCACTGAGACTAGCCAATTAACCTCGCGTAGCGCATAATCGGAGCTATACCATGTGCCTATAAGTTAACTTAGTTTGGTCTCTTTGTATTTTGGCTTTTGCAGCATCTGTAAATAGGATTTCCTTGCCGCTTGGCTTACCTCTATTTTTCCTTTTCCGATGGGTGTTCGATCCAATTATTAACTATTGCCGATTTCGTTCTACAGTGGCGTACTGATGATTTGTGCTTTTGACGAGATTTAGGCCCGATTTTGGATTTTGGTTTAGGGTTTAAAAGTTTGTTCAAGAACTATTTTCCTCTGACTAATTGGTTAGCTTTCTTGCTGTGATTTATCTTCGGTCTTCAACTATTGCAGTAATGCCCCCAAAGCGTTGCTTATTCTGAACTTATTTTGATGTTCTGTTAGGATTGATGAAATATATGCAGGCACCCGTTTAGTGATATGATTTTTCTGCTCCATTATGTCTTTGTTCGGAAAAGGTAGGGCAATATATGTCTCGCTTGATGGTCCAAAACACTAGCTGAAGTTACGCGGAGAGGGCGTGTCTAGAGGATGGTAAGTGAAATTCACTATTGTCTGTAATTGATTTCAAGTTGCAGTTGTTCTTAGCTGTGATGCTTCTTATTGTTAGTTATTGAGAAGTCTCACTTGCGTGGACCACCATCTTTGGACTATAGCTTGGAGGAGAATGAAGTCCTTTTGGTGGTACAATGGATGCATCGAGTGCGTGTTGTTTTAGTAACAAGTATGTCAATCTGTAGCTGCTAATGCTGGATTGAATTATCAGGTGACCAAGTCCATTATTGGGGTAAAAAAAGTTTGTTACTTACACCCCTCAACATTTTTCTTTCTTTTCAATTTCGGTTAGAAATAAGGATGTAGATTACTAAATCATGTTAGCTCTAATCAATCCCTCGAGTAAGCTGTTTGATAGTTACGTAAGTACAATAATTGTTTATTGTTGTCTATTCTCTATTGTGCCTGATCGTGTTTTGGCCTACAAATCAATAAGTTTGTAGAAATTTGTAGACGTTACTTGCAAGGATCTTCATTGATGACCATTGACCACTGATTACTAATTTTTTTTCATTATGGCATGATATATTACATGGAAATCTTAGCTCTAGTAATTTTACATGATAAGTAACCAACCCTAATTGGAAAATCCTAATTATATAAACTTCATGTACCAAGGTGACTATGAATAAGATTTGATGTATCAGTTCGATCGACTATAAGTTTGTTGTATAAAAAGATTACTGTACCAGAATGATCAAACTAAGGAAGTTCAAGGATGAAAATAAAATTTCTACCTTTCTCCGGCTAAAACCCAGAACCCTTCCTTCTGGTTCCCTCAATTCGAAGCACCCGTTCCTCCCTAGTGAGAGACTCTGAGAGATGAGTGGCGCCGGAACCCCTGATTTCTTCTATAGAGAAGCTCAGCGCCTCGGCTACGTAGCACGCTCTGCTTTCAAGGTGATAATTTATGTTCCTCCATTCGCATCCGATCTCCATTGTTACCGTCTTTCTTTGATGGTCTTTCTCTGACTCTCTGCTTTGATTCCATTTGCTCGTTCTTCCTCCAGCTTCTCCAGATACAGAATAAGCACAAACTGATAACTCCCGGGTCATCCGTTCTTGATCTGGGTTGCGCCCCCGGTGCTTGGCTTCAGGTATTTCGCTGGTTGTCTGTGCTCTAAAAGATGCAAGCTTTAATTAAATTCTGACGTTTTCCTACATGGGTTTTCATTGGATTTCTGTTTTGTTCTAATTTGAGGTATAAGATTGATATTTCTGATGTTGAAATGGGCTTATAATGTTAGGTGGCATGCCAGAGCTTAGGTCCATTACAAAGTGGCGGGGCAGTAGTGGGCATTGATCTCAAGGTGTGTTATCCACCACTCTGATTGTTCTTGGTTTAGTTTTCTGATAATCGTCGAGCTTGCTTGTTTTGGAGAACTTTTCAAGGCAGTGAACTTAGTACAACCTTATTATATGTTCTACTATGGAATGTGCAGAACAGAAGGTGAAGGTTCCTTCAGCTCACTGTGATGCAAGGGTTCAGACTGTTTCAGCTGATGTGGTGAAGCTCCCCATGGACCAAATTAGGGCTCTCTCTCCTAAGGTATTACTTGTGCTAACCGTGACTTCGTAATGGGTTGCTAGCTTAAATTAAATACTTATTCTACTAGTGGCTATTTCTAGTTTTGGTGATTGAATGTAGTTATTAGACTGAATCACTTAGTTTGCAGCTTACATAGTTCTTAATTAATTGTCTTAGTGCATGTCAACTGGAGGATTTGCAGATGAGACAATGTTTGAATGGGAGAATGACTGTAGTTATCACCACGGTCTGCACAAAGTCGTGTACCTTGGCTTTAAGCAAGTAGGGAATCAGCATTTGAATCTGTTGGGTTAGCTCACTGTTCCTCATTTTAGAACGCTGAAGTATGGCCCCATTTTTCCTTAATTCACTCTCATGCTTATCATCTGGCCTGGCCATGTGTATGGTTCTGACTGAACTGCCTCTCTTTAAGCCTTTAGTTATTTAAGAATACTCTTCCGTTGAGTTTCCACCATTTCAATCTTATAAAATTTTCAAATTTGCTTGCATTTGCTGTTTATGCAGAAGAAAGGATTTTCTGTGATACTGTCAGACATGTGCCCTTCAGTTTCTGGGATTACAACCAGAGATGCTGCTTTATCCATGGAGCTAGGGATGCGAGCACTTGAACTGGCTGTGGGTAGAGCAGCAGCATCAATTCAGCAGGAGGGGTCTGTAGATGGACCTTCTGCTGCTGCTGATACCAATGAAAGTGGTATATTATTATCTGGAGGAAACCTAGTCATCAAGCTTCTGGAGAGTGAGGATATTCAGGGTGAGTGAGAATAATTTCCTGAATAGAAAAGCTTCCAAAAGGAAGTTCCTTTGTTTTCACCCTTTGCTCCAACTTGTGGTTTTGCTGTGTAGACTTCACCAAGATATGCAAGCCACTCTTCAGAAAGGCATCGTGGTTAAGGCCGAAAGCAACACGATCTTCGTCAAGAGAGATCTACCTCATCTGCCAAGGCCTCCAATCATAAAAGATCCCGATTCTCGGTTTGCTGCCGGAACAGCTGCAGAGGCAAGGCTGGGTAGGTTAAAGGGTTCTGTGTGAATTGTCAGAGGAAACAGTCCTTCTCTGTTTCAGTGATTTACAATTTCTTTTTTGCACCTAAAGTTCTTTAGATGAAAGAGTGAGTGAAGGATATAGTGAAAGCGTAAAGAGAAGGTTCTATGAAGTGTAGGCGTGTAGCCAAGAAATTGGCAGTCATCTTCCAGTTTGCTACAAAGGGAAATCATATCACTTGGACAGAAAAAAGGTTGTGCAAGGTTACTGCTTACTAGCCTATTGGCGCGTAAGCTGATTTGAAAAGCAAAATCAAACTTGGTTGGTTGAGACTATAACTCGACTAGTTCTTAAAACCCAAGAATTATTGGGTACTTGATTTCTGAAGAGTTGGTAGTCTACGCCGCCAGCGGGGCCAATCAAAAGCTCACATTGGCCCATGAAAAATGACCGTTGGCTCCAACCTTTCACCGTTTCCCCCGCTCCCTTCCTATATATCTAGTCCCAAAATTCGACCGTTGCAAACTCCCAAAGAGAACCCCTCCGGCTCGCCATTGCCAGAGAGAAACTCCACCGGAAAGAAAGAAACCTCTCTGGTTTTCCCGGCGGCGGTCCTCTCCAAAATTCATCCCCTGTCCAACAATCAAAACGCCGGCCAAGAAAAAAACAATCTTGAAGCGGAAAACACAGAAACAATGGATCCACAGACTAGAAGGAAGAGCGGACTCAATCTCCCAGCTGGGATGAACGAGACCTCCCTCCGCCTCGACAGCATTGTCAAGCAAAATCCATCTGTTTCCTCCTCTTCGGTATTTCGAGTCGCCTCGGTGTCTTCCCCCCGAATGATCTCCAGCCTATCGTCGCCATCGAAGACTTCTGTCTGCAGCGATCGGTTCATACCTTGCCGATCGGCTTCCCGTCTCAACACATTTGGGCTTCTGGACAAGCCGGCGGCGGCTGGTTCTCCTGTTAAAGAAGGAGGGAACGAGACTTATGCTAGATTATTGAAATGTGAGCTGTTTGGGTCTGATTTTGGCTCTTTTTCTTCTTCTCCTGCAGGCAGCAGCGGTTTGGGAAGTCCGAATATGCTGAGGTTCAAGACCGATCACTCTGGAGGTCCCAATTCCCCGTATTCTCCTTCGATCTTGAGGCAGGATAGTGGAAGCTCTAATGAAGGTTCTACCCCTACTAAGCCTCCCCGCAAGGTCCCCAAGACTCCCCACAAGGTCAGGATTTTCAAATTCAATGTTGTCGTTTTCAGTGCTGAAGGGGAAAATGTGTAGGATGTTTTTGATTGATTGTAGTTTTTCTGCTGCAGGTTTTAGATGCTCCATCTCTACAAGATGACTTCTACTTGAACGTGGTGGATTGGTCATCCCAGAACGTGCTTGCAGTTGGGTTAGGGACTTGTGTGTATTTATGGTCTGCATCAAACAGCAAAGTAAGTTTTTTTTTTTTTGTTTTTTTTTTTGTTTTTTTTTGCTGTTGTTTGGTTTTCTTCTGTCACTGAATGATGCTGCATCAACTTGAAACATTTGGCAATGTCTGTCCTAAAGAATAAAAGTTGCAATTTTGATTTCTGTTTGTTATTATCAGGTGACCAAGCTGTGTGATTTAGGACCTAATGATAGTGTGTGCTCAGTACAATGGACCAGAGAGGGTTCCTACATATCAGTTGGCACCCATTTTGGGCAAGTTCAGGTAGCTTTTCATTTTGCCAAATTCTCGGTCCATTTTGATTCAGGAGAGTGATTGAAAGAGCAAGGATAATGGAAGCTGTTCTGTTTGGCATGGCAGGTGTGGGATGGAACACAGTGCAAGCGGGTAAGGACTATGGGAGGGCATCAAACGAGGACAGGTGTGTTGGCATGGAATTCGCGAACGCTAGCATCGGGAAGCAGGGATAGGAACATACTTCAGCACGATCTTCGCGTTCCCAGCGACTTTGTTAGCAAGCTCGTTGGTCATAAATCTGAGGTGCCTAATGCTTTCCAACGCTGTACTTTTAAGTTTCCTGAAGCGGAAGAAGTACTGTGTTGTGCTAAATTGCTTTGCTGCATTTTTCTGCAGGTGTGTGGATTAAAATGGTCTCATGATGACAGACAACTTGCATCTGGTGGAAATGACAATCAGGTAACTGGATTGAATCGACTTGAATGGGTGCGTTCGGTGATGGAGAGAGATTAATTGGGCAGAATGACTTGAATTGGGGTTTGTGTGGGTTTCTCTCAGTTGCTAGTATGGAACCAGCAATCTCAGCAACCGATTCTGAAGCTGACAGAACACACGGCGGCAGTGAAGGCGATTACATGGTCGCCTCACCAGAGCGGGCTGCTTGCGTCTGGAGGTGGAACTGCTGATAGATGTATTCGCTTCTGGAACACTACCACCGGCCATCAGTTAAACCATATTGATACCGGTAGCCAGGTAATATGTCGTTCTCTATGATCGAGTAGGACACATCATTTCCTCCAAGGCAGTAGTTTGTGTTTCCCAACAGTTTTTACATTATTGTCAAGTCCTGATGGAGTTTGGTTTGTGGGGGGCAGGTATGCAATCTAGCTTGGAGCAAGAACGTGAACGAGCTGGTGAGCACCCATGGGTATTCCCAGAACCAAATCATGGTGTGGAAGTATCCATCATTATCGAAGGTAATCAAATCAGTAGCCTAATACCAATAAACTGTTTCAAACAAAAAGAAGTACGGCCATTCACTGATTGTAGTTTTCCTTCTCTGGACAGGTTGCAACCCTAACTGGGCACAGTTTGCGGGTTCTGTACCTTGCTATGTCGCCTGATGGTCAGGTAATGGAGCTGTTTGTTTCATTCAGCTTCTCAAAAGGAGCTTTTGGCCTTGTACATTTCACCAGCTGAGTTAATTTCTCTATGGGGGTTTTTCTTTTGTTTGCAGACAATAGTAACTGGAGCAGGAGATGAAACTCTGCGGTTCTGGAATGTCTTCCCATCCATGAAGACACCGGTAAGCTAGCACTCCCTTTTGACACAATAGAATATCACCAGGAAGCTAATAATTGTACACTAAAACATTGTATTTTTGTTGCCAACAGGCACCAGTTAAAGATACAGGGCTTTGGTCGCTTGGACGAACGCACATTAGATGATGAGATTATCAATCAATCTTCTACTATTCAATTCATTCCCACCTGTACATGAAGGAGTTATGCATATACATACCAAGTTTTTATTTTCCCTCAGACAGATTTGACAATAATATTTTATGGAAACAGTTGTATTACTTTTTCTTTGCTCATTGATCACTTTTTTGGTAACTGTAAAGTCAGTTGTTTCCATATAATAAACCAAGTACCATGAGCACCATCAATTTATATACTTCTAGAATCCTTAGTTCTTAAAGAAAAGAACAACAGTGGGAGAGAGACCACAGAACTAAAATACGGCAATCAATTGGGCAGTTGATCTCATCACCAGTTGGGTTTTTCTGTTACTACAATCAGATACACGGGCTAAAAGTAATCATTCTTCAATAGGTTACTACAAATTGTACCTAAATTTGTAACCGCGAATCCAGTCTTCGCCCTTTTCAAAATAGCCCATCCTAGTAAACGTCTGCTGGGGGAACTGTACCGCTGCAGCATATGCAGAAGCTCCTCTCCAGGCATCGAGAATTGGATCCAATGCTCTCACCACCTTAATCGTTGTTCCACACGGTCTAATCATTCGAATCCCAGCTTCCAAGCGCTCGCACATACCAGGGTAAAGGCAGCTTCCCCCGGTCATCAGAATGGAGCTAGTCAGTCTCTTCTCCAACTCCTCATTCTTCTCTGGTAACCTCCTTATTGAGACCCCAGCCATCTCATCTACCCCTGCCTGACCAATCCCTACTAGGTTCGGATTAAATAGGACTTCTGGACATCGGAATCTTTCTATCCCAAGGACAATCTTGAAGTCTTCCTGGGTCAGTGGTCGGGACTTTGGTACCTCAGAACCCTGTTGTGAGGCCTCTGCTTCTGATTTAGGCACAAATGTCGGGTCTATTTCCTGTTAAGTAAAGATCGTATTGATATCAGAGTGCACAAGTTTCATTTTCAGCTCCTATTCTCAAAATAATACCAGTAGTACTTACTTCAAAGTCCAGGCCTTATTAGAATATGAACTATCTAGTATCTCATCAGTAACTCTTTGATTACTAAAAGTATACAACATGTCATCAACTCAACCTTCTGTATCAAACATATTTTTTCTTCACCACTTGAAGTTTTTAGAGCAAAGAAAAGTTTCAAAAAGCTGAAATAGCCACACCAAAATAAAAGAGAATTAGAGACCCGTTGTTTAGAACTTCAGAAAGAACATTACCTGAAGTCGGGAAGAAATGCGTGCCAGCTCTACTTCATCCGGTTCTGGTCCATCGTCATCGTCATCATTATCTTTGCTCATTAACTTGTACAACTGCCAATCCTCATCTCTAGCACCAAATGTATCCTCACCCTTCCCTCGATCAAATGCTGCTGTTGTCAGAAGCCGCATTCTTTCCCTTTGGGCAGCATTCAATCTCTCACCTCGACCAACACCACCAGAATTTCCATTGGTTTGGTTCCCGTTTGTTTTCAACCGTTTTCGCTGCTCAACTCTCTCGGCGAGTTCCATGTACCTAGCGTGTGTCTGCTCTAAATAAAGCTCTGGGTTCTCCCTGCAGTGGAAAAAACAAAAGAAGGCTACATATGAGCAGTAAACTATTGATTAAAATTAGCTGGAGGATGAGAGATTTCAGAAAGAAAAGATGCAATTCGAAGATGAGATGCATACAAACGTCTTTCTTCATCTAGCTGATTCCTTCTTTCTCGTTCCGATTCCTCATCAAGACGTTTCTGCTTTGCTCTCTGTCGACCATCAGATGTAGTCTTAAGGAAGAGCTGTTTTCTCTTCTCTTTGATCTGCCAATGATGCACAAGAAATATTGAATATTTTTATTATTTTCATTAAAAAAGATATAGCTAAAAGGACGCTGTATATTGTAGTTTGGGTGGATAATAAAGAAAATAGTTGCCTCATTGACAACGTGCAAAAAAGAAATTGGTAGCGTGCCTGATCAGGGGTCAGCATTTCATCAGGGATGTTTATTAGAGGATACTTTTCACTAGAATCAGTCTTGTCTTCAGCTTCAGACTGGTCAGCTTTTGGCTCTCCTTTAGCTTTCCTTAGAGACAGTGTCACCTTGTGCGCAGAGGCCTCTATTTCCTGCCTGGAATGATAGCCAGTCTCTCTAAGGAAATTAGGAATTTCATGAGCTTGTACCTGCTCAAGTTGGTGCAGAAGAAATTCCAGCCCACGCAACTCGTTATCTAGTTCATTTATCCTTGATAACCTCTTTGCTTCAGCCATTTCTCTTAACCTTTGACCTTGCCTTTCCTTTAAAGCAGCCTTTCTGGCTATCTCTTCCTCTGATGGGAGCTCTTCAACTGGTGGTGGAACCCAAGGAAGCTGCCAAACCCTAGTTTTATCTTCAGCTTCATCAGTCCCTTTCTGTGCCACATTTGCACTAGGTCACATACAGAGATATTCAAGTATTGATAGTCATGCAGTAGATGGGGGAGCCTGTTACCTGAAACAACCGAGTTTCAGAAGCATAGGTTGGTGCAATATAACAGTGCTCCATTTTTAGGTCTTCAACCTTTTCCCATGTAAATCGAGCCCTGATAGAAAGGATAGCATCTTATAAAATGCAAGCACAGACAATGGTTTATAGCAAATAATAAAATCTTCTGGAAACAGAGTCTGAATGAGAGTACACTCACATGTGGTGAGGGTACTTTAGTGAAAGAAGTTGCTTCAGGTAGTCAGTGACATGATAACCGCCAATGTTTGTCCGAGTGCACCCTTTATAAACAGGCTCTCCAGCAATGAACTAGGAGAAAAACAGAAAACTCTGATTCCATAGGAAGAGCAATCACCAATACAAAGTTCAAACGTTTTCCTAGACTAATGTATGATCAATCTTGAAAGCTGTAGCATACACGGATATATTGCCCATTGTGAACTAAAATTAGGATAAGCAAACACAGGTCAGAAAGCATACCGGGATAACATGGGTTGTGTTGAATCCAGGGCATATAGCAAGGCCATCTTCGTTGCAAATCCCATGGCGCTGATTGTACTTGTAGCTGAATGCAGCATCAACTCCGAAAGCTATGAATCAAAGCAAAACTAAAGTTGAATATATCAGTTGTATCTTTGAAAGAAAACAGAAAAGAACAACAGTTCCTTCTGTGAAGTGTGTGGATAGCTGTCTAATCAATGACAGTTAGGGCATATACCAACTGATGGAACTCCATATGTCTCGAACAAAAGTTCTGACATTTTACTACGGGAATGCACCGGATTGCAGACACATTCAGTGATCAGGACAGGATGATCAATCTGTTCTGTGCACAAAAGGATAGAAAGTCAATAAACAGCCAGCACAAGTAAACGTGTACGAAATATCCTACATATACAGTTGCAACACAGCAGAAAATGAGTGGACCCTTGCATTGCAAGCATCGCATAATCAGAACCATGAAACCTAATCTGAATATTAATTGGAACACTCTGAATGACGACTAGGTAGATGATACCTCCCTATTATTTCCATTAACCCGATAGCCAAATGAGAGAAGAATATAGAGCAGATCTCTCTCATTATATGAATCAATAAAGAACAAAAGACGACAACTGTGAGTATTATATAAAAATGATGGTCATTTTTAATAATCGCTAGTCTTTATAGCTTTCTGAAACCAGCCTGCTGAGCAGATGGAAGACCACAAAACTATTAGCCTATACAGTGGAAGCCTACTGAGGTATCCTCTCATTGATAAATGAACTTTTTATGTACCTGTGATCCATTAGCTCCGAGTCGGTCAAACCCAAAGTCCAGAATCTGCATGATAAATAGTAAAGATAATTAACTGTTGGTAGACAGGATAACCTATGCACGTTCGAACAAGAAAAACCAGGAATCTAATAACCTACATCCCGTCAGTAATGTCACACAGGGAGTTCACATGAGACTTAACATGTTCAATCTTGAATATGATAAATTCAATCCTACTGCTGTAAGCATCAGAGATGCACAAATGAAGCAATTGTACTGCTCATAAACCAGGTGAGAGAGACTATAACCACTCTATAATCTTGTGCAAAACTTACATATTCCATTATTTCAAACTGGTAAACGACATTGTTGTCAAAAGCAGAACGAGGCCCAGAGCGAGTGCAGTCAAAGTATCTCAACAACGCAGGATCATGGTCACCCACAATGGTCACTGTTTCACCTATATGGCCAGAAAAAGAGAGCAGATTAGAGCCACCCATATCACAGCTACTTAGTAACTGTAACTCACATCTCAAAGCAGCTCAACAGTAAGACAAAATGACAGTAAAAGGCAAGGAAAAAAGAAACAAAAGGACAGCAAAGAACAGAAGCACTCACCTGTGGCCTTATGGCGAGGTCTCTGGACAATGTTGCGGAAAATTACCCGAGGATCGTTCTCTCCCGCCCACCTGCCAGTACAAAATTGGTGGGGGAAGTCCAAACAAAATCAACTATAAAGTAAAATGGTTGTCAATCAAAACAGCGGGCATTTTGCTCTGCATAGTAGAGAATTAGGGTTCGTAGTGAGCTTGTTCGTCCTTTACCCGATGCGGAAGTAGGAAGCACCGTTGTCAATGACGATAGGGGTTTCGGATGGGAAGTAGGCGTAATCGGACTGCCGTTGTATCTGCGATATGAACGGCATTTTTCAACTCCGCGGCCTCTCTCTCTCTCCCTCTCGCCGGAAGCTGAAGAAGGAGAGAAGCTTTCGTCGACCGTCTAAAGCTCTTTCTTGTCCTTCTCCGCAGAGATGGGGCTTAGTAAAGTCTGGCTGGCGACGATTATGGAAAACAAAAACAGAGACGCGGAGCCCGGTGTTGCATATGCCATGGATCGGGTTGCTTCCAGCCTTCGGGTCAAATTTGCTCCGACCAACATTGCCTTCGACAAATTGGGCCCACGTAGTGGCTTGCTACAATTTTAGCCCAATCAAAGAACCAGATGCCGAACCTAAAAGCCACGACTCACGTTAATGGATCCATCTATAAGCCCAACCTAAAAAAGTCCCAAACGACGGGTTACGTTACGTCAAATTTTGATATACATTATACTGAACTTCCGTTTATATTGTAGCATGTGACTTTTTCAAACCACTATTTGATTTTTTTTCATCCATCTTCTATTCTATCCAAACTTACTGGTCGAGATTCTTTAGAGAATAAGGTTTGGAGTTGAATATAGTCCAATTGAATAGTACATATATGGAAAGGAGATTTACTTAATACTTAATTAATAGTGTAGACAATTAGTATATTTTATATTTAAAAAAAAACATGTCCAGTTTTGAGAAATTTAATATGTAATTAGTCAAATTCTTTTTGTTTGATAATCATAATAGTTTGATATCATAATTATAGATTTTATTTGAGTTATATTTTATTTATATAACAATATGTACTCATTTATTATTTATATTTTTATGCATGCAGGAACTTTTTTTTTCTTTTATAAAGGGTTTGATGAGGTAGTTGGCATGAGATAATACAACTATGGTGATCAAGAGGTCGTCACTGTATCTTTTATATTACCAACACCACCATGGCACCATCAACATTAAATATTTTCTCATGCTCTAAAAACATTTGCATCATTTGTTTCTTTTTACTGAGTGAGTAGTTATTATTATCAATTTTGTTGTTTTATGTTGGTCATCAAGTAAATAAATACAAAACGCTATTTACTTAGTATAACTTGTGTCGTCAGTTGTGAGATGCACGTGCTAACAGTTTTGTAAAATAATGTTGAGCTCAATTATTTCACTCAGTCATCAGTAGAGTCATTTCTTACCACGTAAACTCTTGATGGTGTGTCCCCATCCATATACTTCATTGCGCAGCCACAATACTGGTCGTTCGTCGAACACCGAGTTGCACTGCATGGAGTAACTACAGAACATTTCTTGTCTGAACAAGAAACGACCTTGGAAGTAGAAGAAGCCGCCACATCGTAGGGATTGAGCTCAATCTCCACAACAATGAGCACATCATAGAGGAGTGAGTGTGTATGACAGCTTTAGAACATGGATCCTCAATCAAAATCAAATTACAAAAAAATTAGAAAACAAAGCAGAGCTCGCCACGAATCAGCTAGTGCGTGGAACGAGGGGAATGTTAGCTGTTACAATGTAGAATATTCGAGTAATATGTTGATAGGAAACTCAAATGGTAATTTGATATATGAACATATGACATTATTTGACATAAATGTGAACTTGTAGGGACATGGACTGATCGGCATATGTTGTGAGAACTCTATCCAATAGTTTTGGACAAGGAACAACAAAGTTCATGAACATATCGTTTTGATTGCAAGGATCAAATACATGAATATAATCTTGTAAAAATCATCGTGTGTTGCATTGAAAGAGATGCAAAATGCAAAGATGCTTATCTACGAGTACATGCACAAAATAAAAGCTTGACCTTCTTCATTTTTTGTTAAACTTACAACTATTGATACCAATAATTTGTGGGATCGCTTCAATATAATTAGTCATATAACCTTTAGCCATGCATCACATTAACCAAACAAACATGAGTTTATCACGTCAATATATCAATTTGTTATAGTATAACTTATGCTATACTCTTAATCGTTAATCTAATCAATCAAACTAATATCTCATATAGTTTTACAATTCATAGATTTTACATCAACACGTGTAAAGAATCGGTTGATATTAATAACTGACTTGTGATTATAATGAGGTAGACCTTATATACACATTGGATATCCATAACAAAATTGGAATAATTAAAATTGGGGAAAAGATGAAAATGGAAGGGTGAGAGTGAGAGTGAGAGTGAGAGAGGGCAGAGTTTTTACCTAGATCAACAATAACCCCACAGCTAGCGGCCAATAAGTGGATCACCGCCATGCCATCAGTTTGCCACCCAGAGGCTCTGCGTACGTTAGAAGTGAAAGCTCCAATTAACCTTTTCTTCATTTTCTTCTCAGATATCCATAATTGATCCATTGAGTTTTTGTATATGTTTGTGATTTCAATTTCTGCTTTGATTGCCATCGGCTAGAAATTATAACACAACTACCCAAAAATTCTTTGGCTCTTCTCCCTTCTCTATTGGCGTCAAAAAGTCCCTCACTTATGAACAAAAGTTAGCTATATAGCTAGGCATAGGAGACGTCCACACATGCACTTGAGTGATTCTGATTCTGATTCTCACACATCTTTCCATCCAAAATCAATAATGTTGAATTTTCACACAAAAATCATACATCATAAGAATATTGCGTGGATTTTGTGACGGCAGGGTTGGCTCGTTGTACAAAGTTCGTTTTGCAAGTATTGCATTGGGTAAAAGTAATAATGGTTGTTGGCCTTTATCTACGTCTCGAAACGATGTCGCTTTACTGGGATAGATGGCCAGCTTGAATGATTCGAACTCAGAAGGCGACGGAAAATGAGTATTTTTTTTTCCGTATAGAAAGAAACATAAACTATATGGTTAGTATACAGTTCTTTTTATTTATGATGGAATTCTACGAAATTTGAAATTATATGCATGTTACTTGTATTGTTGCCCTAGCACCTAGTGAATGAGACTAACGTTCGTCGTTGTAGTAGTAAATGTGTAGGAAAGGAAAAGTCAGAGTGCGAGTGTCGGAGCTAATTGATTAGTAGCTACTAGCTAAGGTTATGGGTACTATCTCTGCATGCATATATATGTGTGTGTAGCTGCTCTCAGCTATTACCTAGCTAGCTAGCTAGGACGAGGAGCAGACTGGAGCAGAGAATGGTGGTCTTTCTCTCAGCAATTGGGGTTTCCATTTTGGGACAACCTGAGATTGCTTACACACAGAACTGAATAGTATCATATGCAGCCCAATTTTGTGCACCATCCTTCACTTTCACCTCCTTTGACAAATCTTTTCAACTTCTCTACCTATGGAACATTTATCACTGTAGTTACTCCTGCTGCATGCTCTCCCTTATAATGCGGAAGGCCGGTCAGTAAAAGAAAAAGGACTACGAGTTTATATATGGGTTGAGAAATCAAGAATTTGGGTCAGCTTTGAAATGGTGGTGGTCTGCGTTTTTCATCTGCCGGTAACACTTTGGCAGTGGTGTAGAAGCCTGGTCGGCCGCCGGCTGCCGCGCTCGCAGGGTTTCCAATAAAAAGCATGATGTGTAGTTTACTTTAAGCTGAAGGGGTTGATCATTCATAAAAAAAAAAAAAGTGGGGTGATCAGCCATGTGAAAGCAATTATGTCATGCCGAACCATATGAATATACATATGGGTGGATCTCCAAAATTTAAGTATTTTGTTTGTACATGGCACGTATCCGTTGGATGCATGCAATTCAACTTTGATTTACTGGATTCTGTATAATTTCATGATCATTAATTCATTATAATGAATCGAACTGTATGCAGTAAGAATTAGTATGCGGTGGTGTCTGGTGGAGGCGGGATTTGAACCATTTATGTCATCTTTTGCGTATTATAAATATTTAATGAATATAATTAAATTAATAATATAAAAAAAATAACGACTAATACAATCGGTATCTTAATAAACAACCATGACGGGTTTTCATATTTTGAAAGAAACACAAAACACATTAATTGTCTACACTCTTAAGTAACTCATTTTCAATAGATCACACTAAACAACCATTAGTAAATTGGTCGTGAATTCGACTCCGAAGTTTGTTCTTGACATAGCTCAAAGTTTAAGATATTTTATGATCAAATAATGAGTTGTGATAGAGTGACAAAATACGTTTTACTAAGTATTGTGTTCGATCCTTAGTATAAACATATATGAAGTATTTTTGTTCCTCCCAAAAGTTATCTCTGTACCGAAACAATACCCAACAGAGTTGCCTCCGCCTATGTTAGTAGGCTATTTGTAAACAAGGCATGCTAATAAATGGAATAAGTTTGAAATTAATGGTACACTAAAGATGTGTATTTTATATTACAACCGTTCTTAACTTAACTAATAGAGACGTACGAGGAGAGGGTGAAGTGTATTCTTCACCGGGTATTGTGGGGCTCTCTGACTCTGACTGCGTGCAGAAGAAAGAAAAAGGAACCGCCCAAAATTCCACTCCCACTCCCACTCCTCCTTGTTTCCATGCTCTCTCTGCTTTTGTGTGTTCCGTACACGAATTTCTGACACATCAACGTCCCTTCAATTCATCCATGTCCCACTCCCTCCTGCGAATTTTTAATTTGCTCCATCTCCATGAACACTTCGAATCAAATTAAATTAGACACCATCATCAATCGTGGGACTTAAATCATGGTATATAATTAAACCCCCCAACCTCTAGTTTTTCTTTAATCTTTTTATACATGTTAATCCAACCAAACTATCCCCCAAAATCAATTTCCCAAGAAGGGCTTTGGTAGTAGATAAAGAATTTCAACCATCATGTACTATAGCTTTCCTAACACGAGTTAATCGTCCATCACCTCAAGCCCTCAACTATCGGACCTAATAAGAAATTATCCTTGGTTTATAAATATATCGGTCGATAGACTGAAATGAAAATGTTATACACTGTCTCCAAATAACAATCCTGAATATGATCAAAAATCAAATGTCAATCTAACTCAACACGCTTCGTTTGTTTATGTTGAACATATCATGCCAAAAAGGAGCCCGTATCAACCTGCTAAGTAACCTGCTGCGGCTGTGCTGGGTATGTAAGCATTGTTGCAAGGAATATTTGCGGATCACGCAAGAACTTATTTTGATATTGACAGCTATATAGACAACAAAGTATGCGGCCAAATACACTATCGATTGAGTGAGTCCATTTAAATCTTACATGACTATCATGTCCATATTTTGGTAAATGGACTGAGTGTAAAATTGAATGATATATATTAATGGGTCCAAAGCATTGTAGTTGCTTGTCGTGTATATGGAAAGAAGAGTTTGTGTCTAAAATTACTGCCTTTTCTGCCGATGGACAGTACCAATCCTATAGAGAGTAAGTGGCCATGGTTCATACAACAAATTCACTCTTATAGAGAGGGGAAAATATAAACTCGACTCACAGTTCATACCAAAATAAGGTAGTAATTTTCGTTTTGTGATGCGTAGAAGCAAATAAGATAGAGTTGGGGAAATAGATCATATCGTTTGAAAAATTATAAATCATAACAAATCGTACAGTTCGATTCGGATCGAAAATCGTAAAAAATGATTTATTTTGATCCATAGTCTGTAACTCTGTATCACATCTTCTCCTTCATTCACAAATCACAGTATGTTGGAGAGCAGGGGAGAAGATAACATCTCCAAACATTATTATGTTAATGTTTATGAAGTTATGGTGAAAGTTTGGTTGTTTTGAAATTGTCTTTGTTATTTATTTGGTTTTAGAATACCAAAATTACGCATGTGGGTTGGAATTTAGGTTTTTATGTTTTCTCGATTATTGGTTTGATTTTGGTGTGATGGTCCAAACAAACTTTGATTTTTTCTCAACGTGGTATGTCTGGTCTGGACAATATCGAACCAAACCATACAGGTGTGATCTGGTCTAACCATGTATTTGCTCTGATCTCTACTCTAATCCCTTGGTCTAGACATTAAACCGTATTATATAATTGGGTGAACCAGATCACACTGTTTGCCTACCCAAATGCGCTAGAGATCATGTTAAGCGGTGAACTTGTGTAAGGATATAATATGAACTGCTATTGCTTAGTAAGAAAATGCAGAATCCCCCTGATACGGAAGTGATGATGCGGATTTGTGTGGATTTGACGCGCGCATCGATCCCACTTGGCTTGGCTGATCAGATCAGGTACAGCTACAGCTACAGCTACAGCAGGGATGATTATGCCCTCAAGCTGTGTTTTTGTTTTTGTACTGGATCGATCCAGTGGGTCACAGAGCGGCTTAATTTTATTCGGGCATTGGGCCAAGAATTTACGTGGATATTGATGATTGAGCGGGACATTGTGTCAACCTTATTAATTTCTAAGATCTCATCGGCATTGGCGTGGAACCTATGACTACGACCGACCATAAAAATTGCGGATGAGTTGGTGTATTTCTTTTAAACTTTTTTTTTTTATCTTTGTTCATTTTGTTAGTAAAATGGTATAAAATTCATTATCGAACTTCTCCCAATACTCTAATTATTGAGATCAGATGGCTCTTACATGGTGGTTTCACAACCTTTTGTGATAGAGAGGTCTTTTGTTTGAATCCCAATAACCCTCATTGGTAAGCACATGGTGTATGATCCTTATGTAAATTTCAAGCGTATATGAGTGTCTTTCATTTTAGGGTCATGTTAGTAAAATTGTATAAAATTCATTATTGAACCTCTCCCAATAACTCGTATTATTGACATAATAAGAATCTCAAAACACCCAGATATTAATGGTTGTTTTATATAGTAGATACTAAGGGAGAACATATATATGCAAACTTCAAACTCATCTTTCGGAGTAAAGAGGATTCATTATGTTTGAAACTGAACAAAGATTAAACCAAAAAGAAAACAAAGCGGGCTAAGTAATAGGGCTGGCTATTTGGTCTCAGACTGTTTGATTTTACCCGAAACCGGACCGTATAACCCGGACCGGGACCGGACTGGGACCGGATAGCAAACAATGCAATCTCATATTCGGGCTTAGATTTGAGGTAAAAAACTGGATAAAGACCGGATAAGAGACCTCCAACACTTAAAATCAAGATAAAATTGGGACCGGACCGGATCAAGACCGGACTGTATCCAATCCAATCTTTGGTCCTTATATTCCCGAAAAGACCGGACTGGGACCGGATCAATTTGGTCCCATTTAACCGGACCGGACCGTATAGCCACCCCTACTAAGTAAACAATGAAGCTGGGGTGAAACCCTAGGGATAGTAATAAAAAAAAAAAGAGAGGTAGGTAGCCCGCGGTCTACGCCCTAGCTGTTTGGTAATTGTATACATAGTGGGGATTCAAGAGGAAGCTTGTTAAATGAAAAGGGAGTTACTATTTGTCGCCCTAAAATTTCAAATTTTGAAGAGCCACAGACCGCGCCAATGAAACAGAAGAGGTTGGTTGATGCAAGGCCTCTGTCAATTGAACTGATGATGATCCCACCACCACCAGTATTCAGTACTACCACTGATCGGTGACCTTTTCCTCCTCGTATCAATCTATCCTTTTAATCCCTCTGTCGAAGAAAATGCTTGCTGTGGACGAAACTACTGCTGCAAGCAAATCGCCCTAAAAAGAAAGAGAGAAAGGGATTTAACCTTCCAATTACAGGCCCCAGTTCCAAATGTAGCAACTCACAATTGAATTGGAGCTTGCAGTAATGGGGAGGAGGGTGGTAGTAGGAGGCGCTTCAATGTCAATGCAGTATTCACATCATATACGACAGCGCGACGCAAGGAAATGGTTAAGATCTATACATAAATTTCTCCTAATAATTCGCGTACGCAAGGAAATGGTTAAAATCTATACATAAAGTTCTCTTAATAATTCGAGTTATAGATACGTTAAGATAAACCCCATGAACTATCTTGTTGATTACTCCTCATTATGTTATATATTCCCCTCTGCAAAAGCTCCTGCCACAGAGAGTTATAACTCAAGAAATATATAGCTCAACCTTCTCTGACAGACCACCACATACCTTTCTCCATTACTTAATTTTTTTTTATTATTTTCAGCTTATATATTGATATGCTCTTCATTATTTGTCTAGTATATATATTAACATCCAGTTGAGCAACGCCAAAATATAATTAGTCTGTGATGATGGCGGAATACTAATGATCATGTGGTAAGAGTGGACCGGATGCGGATGGAGTGCTGAAGGAGGCGTTTTTTTAGTCTGGGAAAACATTATCTGGGGCCTGGAGGACGTGATGATGAGGATAGTTTGGTCACACAAGCTTTGTTTTTTCGGTAAAACGTACAAATGACTTTTGTTTTGTTATTTAATTAATCCTATAATAATAATAATAATAATAATAATAATAATAATAATAATAATAATAATAATAATAATAATAATAATAATAACATATAGGATTCAAAGAATATCAAAACCATATCATAGACGACCCAATAGTATAGAATAGATTGGATGGATGTTAGAGGGCAAATTGTGTCTCTATTGGACCATCAATGTGTAGAAGCAATGATAAGAATGTGTGTTCTATAGGGCTGGCTATTTGGTACGGGTTTTTTGGTTTTATCCGAAACTGGACCGTATAACTCAGACCGGGACCGGATAGCAAAGAATCCAATCCAATCTTTGAGCTTAGATTTGAGGTAAAAAAATCGTTCGAGACCGGATAAAAAACTAGAAAAAGACCGGATAAGAGAACTCAACACCCAAACTTAATGGTAATTAGCATAAATGGTCACAAACCTTTGCACTTAGTACAAAACTTAACTAACTCCTCACCCTTTCAGGCCTTAGGCCACTCAAATCCCCACAAACTCAATATAAAATCAAGACCGAATTGGGATCGGACTGGGTCAAGACCGGACCAGATCAAAACCGGATTGTATCCAATGATTCCAATCCAATCTTTGGTCCTTATATTTTCGAAAAGACCTGACTGGACAGGATCAATTTGGACAATTTAATCGGATCGAACCGTATAGCCACCCCATGTTCCAAGAAAGAGGTATATGGTTTTTTTTGGAAATCTTGGTCCAATCTGGTGCCGTGTTGGGATGGAGAAGTTGTAGATGTTTTTCCTTCTTCTCCTCCTCCTTAATTTTGTGTTGTGTGGGGTTGAATGAGAGCGGTGGTGGGAGTAAAAAAAAAGGGGGTGACCTAGGATTACGATGTGTAACTGTTGTGGGTCTCTCCAATCTTTCACTATCTGTCTGTAACTGACACATACATAATAAATCTCTCTCTCTCTCTCTCTCTCTCTCTTTCTCAAGTCTCACCCCACAAACCAGACCAGACTCCCCGGCCCTTTCTTCTCTCTGTTTTCCATTCATTACTCACAGTAAGTAAGTAAGAGTAACAAGCAAGCACTGCCCATCTCTTCTCCTCCACCAATACCTTACCATCTGGTTTTAGGAGGGAGAGAGAGCAGATTGGGTGGTCGGCTTTTTGGGTATTTATACCCCCGACTTCCTTTCCCCAACCTAAACAAATACAGTACTCCTCCTTCCTTCCTTCCTTCCTTCCTTCCGTTCCGTCCTTCCTCTCTCAATCACCCAAACCCTACCCTTCTCCCACCCTCCATCCTTGTGTGGGAAGACAAGATCTGTTCTTTTCCCTTCCCTTTTCCCCTTTACTTCCGATCCTCTTGTTTGATGCGATGGGGTTAGGGTTAGGGTTCCATTAAAGGGTAGCTAGCTAGCTATTTTCTCCATCTTCCCTTTGAGCCTGCAGCCAGGGGTGTAGATGCATGATACATCCTTCCCGGTTACAGCTGCTGCAGCTAGCCAGTGTTTGCGGGTGGAGCATCATCAAGATTCACAAGCTCCCTGGTTCAGTCTAAGATATCATTCATATTACTAAACCAAATCAAATGGAAGCCCTCAATTTGCTACCATTTTCCCAGCTAGCTAGCTCGTACTAATTTTTTTTTTTTATTATTTATGCTGCTTTCCCCCACATTTACAGTGCCCTTCTCTCCTTTTCTTTTGGTGGGTCTTCTTGTTTAGGAATAATAGCAGCTGGTAGGTAGCAAGGTATCTTAGTACAAGACCAAACTTGGGAATCTTGATGATGCTGCAGCGGCGAATCACTGGCTTAAATATATATTATTGTTATTATTAATTAACAACGTTACAAAAACAAATTCCCTTGTCCTTTTACCCTATTATTAATCTTTTCTCCTTCCTTGTATCAGTCAGTCAGTCCAGTCCACCCACCACCGAAAGCAGCTCAAGGTAAGAGGAAAACCTGCACGATATATGGTGGTTTTGGCTGGGTATGTACAAAGCTAATTAGTTATCATTTGTTCAGTACTAGGGTTTTGTGAAGCTTCTCTCTCTCTCTCTCTCTCTCTCTCTCTATCTGCAGTATTATATATTTGGAGCGGGGTAATTAACATCTTTAACTTTGTTTATTAATAATCCGATATATATAAAGTTTCTGCAATCTGGATCTAAGACGACTCTCTCTTTTCCTGTCCCTTTAATTTTTTGGTTTGTTTAGATTGGAGTGGAGTGGATGATCAGATGAAGGGTTTGTTTGGAGCAACCTAGCTAACTAACTTGTTTCTGTTGCTGGTCCAGCTGCTGACAGCCACCACCACCCTCACCACCAGGTTTATGTGTCTGTACCTTTTTTTTTTCTACTTATTACTTGCTTCCTTTTTCCATCGATAAATGGGTGACTGAGTAGTTCCCGTACTATTTGTTTTGCTGCGAGCCAACATTTGTGTTTCTCTAGCTGTAAAAAATGGGCCTCTTTTCTTTCTTTCTTTCTTTCTGTTTGTTTTAACCTTTTATCCTTTTTCGATATTTGTTTCTCTTTTAGCAGCAGCATAAAGTGAATTTATTATTCTGAGGGAGGGCAGTTTAGGGTATTTTCGTTTCAGAGGAGAATCATATTCATATGCATACGCCCAGTTGTTGTTGTTGTTGTTGTTGTTGTTGTACATGGAAATCAACTGATGGAATCGTGTGAACTAGATCTGCAATGTGTCTAGTCGTCACTATATCTAATTTTTGTTGTGAACTATGTTTCCCTGAGTAGTAAAGTTTTCAGCTACTGTGTAAAACCTGGCTGCTGGTGGCAGCCAGCTACCCTGCAGGTTATAGTAATTTAAACAGCACGAGCACGACGAGAATGCAGCACAGTAGCATATATGAAAGAGGCGGCGCTTGCTTGCTTGCTACGTGGGGAGTACTTGAGACACAGACAGTAATACGTACTGGCTGGAGATGATTAGGGTTTGTTAGATTCCACGATGGACAAATTCATCAAGCGCATGTGTTTTCCCCCCCGCCTGCAGAGAGGGAAATGAAATGATCATGTTTAACAAGAGATTCCCTCTTCTGATTGATTGAGGCCTCCCATCTAATCTGTATTTATATATAAGTCAAAACTGTACTTTGCTATAGCTATGAAGAAGAAGGGCTCTTCGTCTCTTTTTCTCTTCTTTTAATTGATTGCAATCTAGTGTCCAATGGTTAAAAGAGGAGTAGCTGGTCTGGTGTGATCATCTAGCTGCAAACAGATACGCAGATCATGTGCAGACATATATGACAAGAGATGTGTTGGGATGGAGGCTTTTTCTTTCTTTCTTTCTTTCTTGGATCTGTTGCCGTGATCATCATCGATCGTAACTATGTTGATTTCATTGAAGTTTACGTTTCATGTTCATTCAGTTACATAGTGGCAGTGCTTTATACATGGTTTAACTTTCTGACCAGCACCGTACGTAATCACTAATCACCACGTGCTAGTTTCAACCTCGGCGAGCAAGTAACAAGCTGAGTAGCCCGTAAAAAAATTTCATGTCGTTGGTTTTTTTTTATTTTTTTTACAAAATGTATCATATATAGATTAGAAAATATAAATCAGTACATCCTGGAATTCAACCAGATAGCAAAATCAAAGGAACGACAAGTAGACGGGTACAATGTGAGGACCCTTTTAGATTTTAGCCACCAAATGAACTACCCTATTACTATTCCGAATCTTCGACCTACAAATCGAACACGAAGCCCAGCATGGAGCCTAAAATATCGCACAACCTCCTCAAGAACCTGTAAATTCTTTACCTTCACAAAATTTGAAGAGTCCGATAACAACTCAGCTATAGGTGATTAAACACGTCAGAATTTTATGTTCTAAATTCAAGTGATTAACGTGTTCTACCACATGTAAGGGGAGATTTCATTACTCGTAGCATTTTTAAAGAGATGACAAGATAATTATGTATTTTATTTATGTTTCATATATTTTTGAAAATGTATGATTGATACCGTTTGTAAATGTAAGAAAATAGGCAAACAATTCAGTTTTACGCCCCTACTAAAAATTTTAGTTATAGAAACTAACTAATATTTGACATAGCAGAGTTTCACATTAAAGGAATAATACAGTCTTTATATACAAAAAATACGTAACGTACTAGCGAAGCCACTATTTAAGACTAGTCACGTGCCCGGCCCGTTGGCCGGATTCGTTTATAAATAATATCAGGCTGTGGTCGAATGAATTTTTTAAACTATGAACTCTCCCGTAGATTTGTCCCGATCGTAAAATTTGAGGATTTAGGACAATGAGAGACGAATTTATCCTTATTGTAAGGAATCACACTTTCATATTTCATATGGATTTTACCTCTTCCGCGACCAAGTGGGGAAGTAACAAATCATTCTTGTCTCCTATCTCAAAATTAAAAAAAAAGAAGAAATAAATTCGAAAATGTAAAAGAGAACAGAACTTCAAGAGGCTTCTCCACCACACAGTTTACCCAGTTCAAGAACTTTGAGCTGAAACTCCATTGTGCTGTGCAGACTGCAGAGGAAGTGCACGACTATGCAGTCCAAAAAAAAGGCAATGTTTGAAGTCCCTACTTGAACCAATCATTGCATCGAAAAAGACTTTTACCGCAGTCAATTTACATAGTATTTTGGATGCACGGGGAACGGGCGGACGTTGAAGGGTAGGGATTTGAGCGAGGTCAGGAACTCCATTCTTCGGATGACTGGTTTTCTCGAAACTTAAAAACTACTTGGTTGGAAGAAGATGGGAGGATGTTGGATCACTTCCCCAGCACGGCCCGGCCCAGCCTAAAATTTTCTTTGTAGGTGATTGTTGGCCCAAATTTCACTCTCGGCGTGAAACTGTGGACTGGTAATTACAAATATTCAATACCCAGGGGGAAAAGGGGTAAATTATTATGAACAATATTCAGATTGCCAGGCTGTTTATTGGAATATATTGTTCGTGGTGTTTGTCAAAAATGACAAACCAAAAGTGATCGGTTTTCGGGTTGGAAGGACCTATTCGAACTGAAGAAACGTCGGAGCAGGAAGCAAAAAGAGAATAAAATAGTTCAACCGACATCCTCTTTAATTATAAATATAAGAAGAGAATAAAATAGTTTAACCGACATCCTGACCGACTAAATCCTCATACGAAAAATGAAAGAAAAACCACATGAAAGGGAACCGACTCCTAAAATTGTTTTAAAAGAATCCTTCTATTTACTCCTCATCGTCGTAGACAACTCCATGTTTCCGTTTTTTCTGGTTCTTTTCACTTCCTGCTCCATCGACAACATCAGTACGTCCATCCATAGTAGTTGCTTTGTCGCCATTGGTGTCGCATTGTGCTCCATTAAATGTAGAGACCTCCTTCTCTTGCATTTGGGGAATTTCTTCCTCATTTTTCTGCATTATATTTAGCACTTATTTTAGGTATTATAATTATTGTGCAAGTAAAACTAAATTATCATATCGTATAATATTTACCTCCGACTCATTAGCAATATCTTGCTTTTTCTCAGCACCATCAACGGCAGCGAGTACACCATTAGCAGGTTCTACTTTTTCCTCCTGCAATTGCTTGTGATTATAATAATGAATGAAAGTTCTCCTAATATATATCTATATAGCAGTAATAGAATTATATACATATCAAAATAAAACTGACGTAATGGAATGTGCATGGTAATAATATTAAGTAAATAGAAGTTCCAGTAATAGAAATTAACATGCATGGAATCATATACAAAGCAAAATTAACGTGACCAAATGAAGCTCAAGTAATGCAGAGTGCATGGTAATTATGAATCAATAGATAGAAGTTCCAGTGATAGATATAATTTTCATAGAATCACATTCATTACTTGTACATACCTCGATCAATATTGGGAGATCATTTGAGTTGGAGTTTTCCTCATCCTTCTCTATCTTGATAATTGTGTATTCGCTTGTAGGGTTAGCGATGTTGTAACCTGTGAGCTTGATGAAGAACTTCAACTTCATCCCTTCAATTTGTAAGAGATGGGCCGGTGGTGGTCCTCTCATTTGATCGTTGTCTTGGAAAAGTTTTTCAGCAGATATGCGAAAAAATCGATCGGCAACTCGATCCATAATAACAAAGTCAGCTGCATTTGTTGTGTCCGCAGCTCGGATGTGGATCCTGAATCTATGATTATAATGATGCGATTGAAGAAGAAGAAAAATCGTAGGAGTGGTGAGGTCGTTGAATTAATATATGTAAGCCAAAAATAAATGATTAAAAAGCATGTTGCATCAAATTAAATTATCAACCACGTTGCAATATCTATGAAATTAAAAAAGGTACATAAACTATGTCGTAGTTAATCATGTATCCAACCACGTTAGCAATATATCAAGGAATTAAATACATGAAAGTAAAATTGACATTAAACAATCATCGAATTACCGGGCTGTAGTGGTCTTTAATGTTGTCATACAATTCCCACAGAAGTACTCATTAGAATCTTCTTCGAGTTTTTGTGGACACTTTTGACAGCCAGCATAGCACCACCCATTCTTAACCTTCAGAACTTTGCATATGACAGAATAAATATTTCCCTGCATTTTATATGTAGTGTTAGCAATTGATAATGAGTAGGTTGTTGAATTGAAACTGGTACTGACCTCCTCTCCCTCGTTCATCTTCAATATATTCAGATCATCTATTGTTTTCAGCGGAACTATCTTTTGCTGTTTTTCTATTTCCTTCACTGGCGGAGCTGGCGGATCACCCCCACTGTATTCAGCAAAAGGGTAGGTAATTAATGTCTTAATACGTTATAAGCTTGTAACTTAAAATGCACATCAATACGATGACAAATATGTCGCGAGTTTTACCTTGGTGCAAAATTAATGACTTCAGGAATTTTTGGATCAGCCAGCAGTAAGGTCGCTCCGCTTGAGGAGAATGTATTCTCACCTGCAAAAGTTATGGGAAGTTTATTAAGGGCATATTTTATATGAATTATATTAATTGATATGAGAGTAATTAAATTGTGTGTTTACCATTGTAAGCAACGATGTATAATGATGTAATGACCAGGATGATAGGACGATCACCAGCACTTGCAAGAATGGAATTAAATTGGGTGACTATCCTACCAAAGATAGTTACCTTGACAACCAATCCCCTGTACCCGAATTATGTATTAGATTTGCACTTAGAAATAAAGTAATGTATGTTATTTGAATTTTGAAACGAAAAGGTAAGAGAAATACATACTCTGGAAGTTTCAAGTGTAGCTCTTTGCGGGTAACTTTTCCAGTCAGTTTAGTGCTTGTAAGCAAAGGAGAATACCGAGTAAGTTGGCCAACAACATCTGTCGAATGCAAACATTTGAAAGTTAGTTATTTTTGTTGCAAAAGCATAAGGTTGTAATTTGCATTGAGAATGGTATGTTGTACCTGATAGGTATTTCCTTTGGTTGCACTTCTTGGCAATTTCATCATGTTTGATGAAATTGAACTTGTAAGCAGGTATGGATGGAATGTCATCGCAAGCATGGGCCTCGGTATTTGGCAGGAACTTGATGACGAATCTGTTTGAAATTGGCCTGTAGTCTCCCGTTGTCATAGCGACCTTAAAGTTCCTGATAGTGTACACTCTCTGGTCTCGAAAGAGGGGCTGGAAGTCATTGATTTGGACTTTGGGAATTTGCACCCAAATATCATTGCCCTGCATAAGTTAATTCAACATATATATTAATAATCATATTGTGGAGCGTTAATCATGAACTTTGAATTGACATGGATGTTTGTTTCTCTACCTTTGAGTCGATGACTATCATATCCAGGCGAAGAACAGCATCGGTGTTGAGATTGATTGCCAGCCACTTCCTCGAAATGCGACATTGGATAGTCCAGTCCGTCTTTTGAGTTGTCAGATCGGATATGAGTTGGGATTGCATATTGACTAACCTTCAATAAAGCAATAAATTTGAAAAGTCTAACTCATAAATGTAATAAGCACAATCATAATGTAGGCAATTTAGAATTTGAATATCATAGAAAACAATATTAGCATATATAGTAATGTATATTATTTACCTATAGCTGCGGCAAATACATAGTATGTTTGTACGGATTAGCGAATAGGGAAAAGAATAAGGTATGCAAATACATAGTAAACTAATAATTAATGAAGGAATGTAAAAACTGCGGGGATTGGAGAAGGCGATTATCGTACCGGTATACTTCAGCTATGATGCGAGCGATGCAGATGAATTGGCTTGAATTGCTTCTGTTCTAGAGAAAGGTTGGTCGTGATCGTGATGGGTGGAAGTAGCAGGTAGCTACAGCCCTTTATATAATACTTGGGTGAGAGATCTCTGCCATTATTTCCGTGGCAGTAGATGAATTGAATTGGGATTTAGTAATTTTTTATTTGGACTCCTATTTAATAAAGTAATCTCTACTAACTGGGCAGGAATTGAATTGGAATTTAATAATGTTTTAACTGTTCTGGAACTTCGTGTTGTCTTGGATTAGTGTTTAGAGAATTGGTAATAAATTTTTATTCTTTATAGGACGTTCTTCTTATTCCGACGAAATTGGGGCTTGTATTTATTGTTTTGGAAGTCGGTACACGCACATACCTTGTTGGACTGGGATTTTAGTTTGAATATAAAATAAAGGAATAATAATGTAGTAAACACCAAACGTAATAACAATGATG